GGATCAGCTATGAAATTCGGGGGAATCTTCATGGCGGACCCGTTAATTCTGTTTCTTCTTTTTTCCCTCTTATTTCTGCTTCTTTTTTATCATCCAATGTATTCGATAGCCATTTTCTCGATTTGACATGGCCCTCTTCCGTCTAGAATGTGGTCGGCCTGGTCAGTAATTGCACCCCGTTCCATCAACCCCTTCATAGATTTTCTTTCTCCCTACGTAGATCGAAATATCTTGGCAGCAGGTCACACGGACATTTGGAGTCCACGGATAGGTACCTGTTTCCTTGGCTGTATGTTGTAACTAGTAACTAGGCTCATTGTATCACGTTTCATTTTTGAGTCTGCCAAGGTCCGCCTGGCCGATTATCCAGCCGTCCAGGGCAACTATCCGCCAAGCGCGCAAAAGGCTATCATGCCCCCGCTTCGTTCTGCTCTGGCTAGCAAGCAGGATTTTTATTAGTCCTGTGAGGACTCAATACATTTCTATTTCATGATATTTCAATCACATACGACCATAGGGTGTGGAGAACAGGGCTTCCCGTCCGCTCAGCCGTACTTAAGCCACACGCCGGCCAGTTAGTAGTATGGTGGGTGACCACATGCGAATCCTGGCTGTTGTATGTTTTTGGTTTTTTTTTTTTTGATCTACTTTCAACTCCCTACTATAGTAGGGAAAGAGGAGGAAGTAGTATATACTGTTACGGAAGAAGCTTGTGTAGGTAGAGGACTGCCGCGTAAGGACAGAGGTATCTAAGCTTAACACTGAACTGGGGAAACCACTGCGTTATAAATAATAGTTATAAGCTACGGTAATTTGCTAATGTAGTTAATTATGCTCTGAGATGCTGCCAAATTCTCAAACTGTACGTCCCGTCCTTCGACACATCCAAGGCTCGTTCCGTCCTCTCCGGCATTGGCTGTCAAGCATCAATCAACCTTAAACAACAAACCATTGCTCACAGTCTAGTAATCAAAATACAATAAGTGTGTCATCCTTCAGAACTCCCACCCATCGAGAACCCTCTCACCTATCAAGTCCCCCACAAATCACGCCCCCATGCCGCTAGTTTTTATAGGCTAAATACTGCCATCGTGGGGTATGGTCAGCTACACATTTTAGCCGTGTCCCCAGGCTAAATCAATAATTCAGTAATAGTAAGCCCCGTGTACCATGAATAATGGAAGGGTCTCGAATCCAAGGCCAGGTTATTGCGTGATCTTCAGGCCTGGACTGGGACGGCCGGTTATGGAGGATGTTCAATGGAAGGCTGAGGTGTTTTGTATGTCCGATTGGGCCTTTTGATCGAGTTTCGGATTTTTAGAAGAACTTTGCGATATATCTGGATCGGCCAGTGATATATATACATACCCTCAAGACTTTCACACAGATCTTGCTCGATTCATGAGCTTATATTTCAGTAAAATCCACTTCGATCATAATTGTCCTTATCCCTCTAAAGAACCTACAGGTGACCCTACAAGAGTATATCCCTTTTCCATAAACTCCACAACGACCCTGTCTCACTCTATCTGCACCTATCACACCCCATGCAGATCCTCCGCAGAGCCCAGCCATAAGCCATGCAGTACAATCCGGGCTTACTACACAGGCAGTACAGTAGCTGGAAGCTCCGCCACCGCGCTACGTTGCACGTTGCACAAATATATCTTGGCGACCTCCTCCCCTCTCTCCCTTCCATTCCTCCGCGTTGGCATATCGTGATTGGGACTAGGTACTATTGGTCTTGGCGGCGGATGCCTGACGATCATTTGGACTCACGGAGCTCTTGGCGTACATGATAACCTTTGAAAAGGGGTGGTACTGTATTTGCTTTTTGTAGATGAAGTGAAGAAGTCTCGGCGTGTCTGGGCAATTGACGATTGACTCTTGTAGAGGTAGGTTATAGACTGGCCTAGGCTGTCCATAGCTCCAGTTATGGCTAAAACTAAGGCCATCACGGGATCAATTAAACCCTCGGCACGCCGTCCTATAAATCGGCTAGCAATTTAACATCATCACTGACTACGGTATTAAACCGAGTCCGGAGTAAAAAAAAACCGGTATCAAGACCTACTTCCGGCCCTCCGGCTGGATGAACGCCAGGTATCATCTTTGGCGGGCAAGAATTTTACCATTTGGAGAGAGCCGCCTAGTGTCGTGGTGGTGTGGAGTGTGGGCGTTACGGAAGAATTATAGACACTTGGGGCTGTGAATTCTTCCGTGGGGATGGAGGAGAAAAAGCAAGGTTAGACGCGGAGACATGGTGGTGAATATAATATAATTGTATGGTGGTATCTTGTGTCGTGATTCGCGATTCGTGATTTGCGATCTTGCAGGACTGGTGCACATAATTTGAATATATTTTGGGTGTGGGGGTTGTTGATGGGGAGGGTTTTGTGGGGTGTCTTCAATAGAGTTACTCCGTCGTACGTGGACAGTTAACTGCTAGACAGACTCCTAAATTGTGCATCTACTAGATTCAGTGAGGTGACTGTCCAAAATCGAAAAACCCAAGGTACAGTAACCTCCAGTATGGAATCCACCCATACAGTAGTAGTGGTAGCCAGTGTCTAGCACATGCGAGCCCACTGATCTCCCACTGGGCCGATCTGGGGGAAGATGACGTCGGCGGGCGGTTACGGGAGGGAGATAAGCGTGCACCGGGTGGAAATGGGGATTTTGATTGGGATGTATGGAATGGAATTGCGAGGACAGTAATTGGACGTGGACTTGCTTATCGTGCAGGAAGTGAGGGTTTAGCGCATGGTGGGTTGGATTGGCTGGAGAATATGCCAAGTATCGTGCGATCGGTGTACAGTACATGAATGAAGAAAATACAGTAGTACGACAAGACAATAGCTGTCTCAATAATGGATTGTTGACTCCGTTGAATACTGTAGTAAGTACATAGTTGCTGAAGTCAGTCAGTCGCATTTTTGCGGTCGCAGCTGGAGAATGTATTGCTACGTGGTGGGACCTTGGCATTGTCAGTCTTGGTCCTCCTGGGGGCGTTTCAATAGTCTTGTGATGCCTCCGAGTATGTAGAAATAGTATTATGTACGGAGTAGTTCGTGAGAAATTGTCGTTGATTGCAGTTTGCACCGCCCTCGGTATGCCGCGGAGCTTGGCTGGTCCCTTGGCTGCTTGGCTTTTTCTGCAGATTCCACAATGGTAACCCCCTGGCCGGAGAGAGGAGCAGACTAAATTAGAAGCTCGAAAAGAACTACGCAGTGGACTACGAAAAACTATTACTAGGACTATTGCTTGGAGCTTGGCATATACAGGCCCTGTCATACCCGGAGACGGGAGATCAGCCGTAGCGCCAAGTGGGAGAAGGAGGGGGAGGTGTTGAGCTACAGTATAATCTGTACAAACTACTAATACAGGAACACGCAAGGGCCAGCGCGGTCCTCACGGTCCATCGGAAAGAGACACCGAGGAGCAACCAGATTGCGCAGCAGAAATTTCGAAAAAAAATCAGGAACAGAAGGCGCCATCGGAAGAGGAGACAGGAGATCCTTTCCTCTAGAGAATGAGCACGCATGACCCGACACAAATTTCGCGGGACCGCCAGCCTGGAGGGGTAAGAACTTCCTCCCTTCGTGGGGAGAACAATTGGGGGCTGGGCCGCTGGATGAGGGACGAGAAGAACAGGTCGTCCATAGTCCCGTTTTTCTCCCCCATGAGTCAAACGCAATCGGAGAAGTCACCAGGAGACTCAGCAATGTCCCAGTGTGAAGACTAAGATTGTCGATTTCGGAATGACTTTCCCCGAGGTCAACGTTTGCCAATGGGCTCTACAGAGGGTGTGATTGGCTCCCCAGTGGGTTCGTCAGGTCGAGAGTTCTCCGAGTCTCCCCCGGACCACTCCAGGTTTCCCGTCAATATCCGTCGCCCAGAGGGAAAAGCGGGCGAGTAGTCGATCTGGAAACCCGCCAGGGGCTGGAACGATCTGCTGGGCAATCCTAATATTGGATGGTCAGAACAATCCTTCAACCCAGAGGGTTCCGGTCCGAGGACCCGAGGTTGATGACGGGCCTAATCCACCCGAGATCTGGACACTACTCGTGGCATCGCTGGTTATCGTCGCTGATGGATGATGTCATCGGAGGATTTCGTGTTGCCGACTTCGCCTGATGAGACGCATGGAGCCGTAGTTAGTGTAAGAAGAATGGCGGGAAAAAAGAGAGAAAATCAAATCAAATCAAATCAAATCAAATAGGACAGACGAGTGCCCCGCCGGAGGGACCTATCCAGAGAGGGAGAGACAGAGAAAAAGAAAAGCAAAGCAAATAGAATCCAGTAAGCTAATGCTTGGGAGTACTATCCAGTGTCCGGTGTACCGGTGAGCCTCTTGAAGCACCAGATTGTTTGACCGAAGCCAAAAACGAGCAACGTGACTTGGGCCCGATTGCGCAGGCGGTCAGGCTGCCCGTTGGGAGCGTGATACCGCCCGTTTCCAGTGTACCGTACGCCGTCCTCATCGCGTTACCTCATCGATGGAGTCAACCCGGGGAAATGGGCCCAAAGTCACTTTGCGGCGGGTATCGGTCAATCCTGGCTTGGTCCCTTTTATCTGCCCCTCCCCTCCCCTCACATCCAGCATCCTTTTTACTTTTCTCCTCTCGACCTTTTTTTTATTTGAAAATTCTTCTTCTCCTCCTTCTCCCCCAATCTCTCCCAATTCCATCTCTTCTGTGGGAGTTTTGTTTCTATTTTCTGACCCCCCGCGCCAGTGCGAACCCATTGCGCTGTGTTCTGCCGAAATCGGCCTTGGGGTTCTATCCAGAGCTTCTTCCCACACCCTCCAGCAATCTCGCTGAACCCGTGAGTCACTTCCCCGGCCCATTAGCTTCGTTGTTTTCCCGTCAATCAGCTCAATTGGCTTCGCCGTGATCCGAGACAGTAAGAATTGACCGTTCTATCTTACCCATCTTCCAGCTTTCGGTGTAAACCCTATTCATCCTCTTTCGTCTCTCTTTCTCCCTCCATACATCATCATGGCTGCCCCGCACCGCCAGCCGGAGGAGGCCATCGATGACTCCGAGTTCATCGAGGACCACCAGGAGCACCACCAGGACTCGGTGCACCGTCGTCTACGGGCCAACTCGACTATCATGCACTTCCAGAAGATCCTGGTGGCCAACCGTGGTGAAATCCCCATCCGTATCTTCCGTACCGCCCACGAGCTGTCCCTGCAGACCGTCGCCGTCTTCTCCCATGAGGACCGTCTGGGCATGCACCGTCAAAAGGCTGACGAGGCTTACATGATCGGTAAGCGTGGCCAGTACACCCCCGTGGGTGCCTATCTCGCTGGTAATGAGATCATCAAGATCGCCGTGGAGCACGGCGTGCACCTGATCCACCCCGGCTACGGCTTCTTGTCGGAGAACGCCGAGTTTGCCCGAAATGTCGAAAAGGCTGGCATCGTTTTCGTGGGCCCAACCCCCGACACTATCGATGCCCTCGGTGACAAGGTCTCTGCCCGTCGCCTCGCCATCAAGTGCGGTGTTCCCGTCGTCCCCGGTACGGAAGGCCCCGTCGAGCGCTACGAGGAGGTCAAGTCCTTCACCGACGTCTATGGCTTCCCCATCATCATCAAGGCCGCCTTCGGTGGTGGTGGCCGTGGTATGCGTGTCGTCCGCGACCAGGCTGACCTGCGCGACTCCTTTGAGCGTGCCACCTCCGAGGCCCGTTCGGCCTTTGGCAACGGTACCGTCTTCGTCGAGCGCTTCCTCGACAAGCCCAAGCACATTGAGGTCCAGCTGCTCGGTGACAACCAGGGCAACGTGGTCCACCTGTTCGAGCGTGACTGCTCCGTCCAGCGTCGTCACCAGAAGGTTGTTGAGATTGCCCCGGCCAAGGACCTGCCCATCGATGTCCGCGACAAGATCTTGGCCGATGCCGTGAAGCTCGCCAAGTCTGTCAAGTACCGCAACGCCGGTACTGCCGAGTTCCTGGTGGACCAGCAGAACCGCTACTACTTCATTGAGATCAACCCCCGTATCCAAGTCGAGCACACCATCACCGAGGAGATCACCGGTATCGATATCGTCGCTGCCCAAATTCAGATCGCCGCTGGTGCTACTCTCGAGCAGCTGGGTCTGACCCAGGACCGCATCTCTACCCGCGGTTTCGCCATTCAGTGTCGTATCACTACCGAGGACCCCGCCAAGGGCTTCTCCCCCGACACTGGTAAGATCGAGGTCTACCGTTCCGCTGGTGGTAACGGTGTGCGTCTGGACGGTGGTAACGGTTTCGCCGGTGCCGTCATCACCCCTCACTACGACTCCATGCTGGTCAAGTGCACATGCCGTGGCTCGACCTACGAGATTGCTCGCCGCAAGGTCCTGCGTGCCCTGGTCGAGTTCCGTATCCGTGGTGTCAAGACCAACATTCCCTTCCTGGCTTCCCTGCTGAGCCACCCCACCTTCATCGATGGCACCTGCTGGACCACTTTCATCGATGACACTCCCGAGCTCTTCACTCTGGTCGGCTCTCAGAACCGTGCCCAGAAGCTGCTGGCCTACCTCGGTGATGTCGCTGTCAACGGCAGCAGCATCAAGGGCCAGATCGGCGAGCCCAAGTTCAAGGGCGAGATCATCAAGCCCGTCCTCAAGGACGCCTCCGGCGCTCCCATTGACGTTTCCGCGCCTTGCCAGAAGGGTTGGAAGCAGATTCTTGACAGCGAAGGCCCGGCTGCTTTCGCCAAGGCTGTGCGCGCCAACAAGGGCTGCTTGCTCATGGACACCACCTGGCGTGATGCCCACCAGTCGCTGCTCGCCACCCGTGTGCGTACCATCGATATGCTCAACATTGCCCACGAGACCAGCCACGCGCTGTCCAACGCCTACAGTCTGGAGTGCTGGGGTGGCGCCACCTTCGACGTCGCCATGCGTTTCCTCTACGAGGACCCCTGGGACCGTCTGCGCAAGCTCCGCAAGGCCGTTCCCAACATTCCCTTCCAGATGCTGCTGCGCGGCGCCAACGGTGTGGCCTACTCTTCCCTTCCCGACAACGCCATCTACCACTTCTGTAAGCAGGCCAAGAAGTACGGTGTTGACATCTTCCGTGTCTTCGATGCCCTCAATGACGTCGACCAGCTCGAGGTCGGTATCAAGGCTGTCCAGCAGGCCGGTGGTGTGGTCGAGGCTACCATCTGCTACAGCGGTGACATGCTGAACCCCACCAAGAAGTACAACCTGGAGTACTACCTTGCTCTCGCCGAGAAGATTGTCTCCCTGGGCACCCACGTCCTGGGTATCAAGGATATGGCCGGTGTGTTGAAGCCCCAGGCTGCCCGTATCCTGATCGGTGCTCTCCGTGAGCGCTACCCCGATCTCCCCATTCACGTGCACACCCACGACTCTGCCGGTACCGGTGTGGCCTCGATGATTGCCTGCGCCCAGGCTGGCGCTGACGCCGTTGATGCTGCTACCGACTCCCTGTCCGGTATGACCTCTCAGCCCAGCATCGGTGCCCTCCTGGCCTCGCTCTCGGGCACTGAGCAGGACCCTCAGCTCGACATCGCGCAGGTCCGCGCCCTCGACACCTACTGGGCTCAGCTGCGTCTGCTCTACTCGCCCTTCGAGGCTGGTCTCACCGGCCCCGACCCCGAGGTTTACGAGCACGAGATTCCCGGTGGTCAGCTCACCAACCTCATCTTCCAGGCCAGCCAGCTCGGTCTGGGCCAGCAGTGGGCCGAGACCAAGAAGGCCTACGAGGTGGCCAACGACCTGCTCGGCGACATTGTCAAGGTCACCCCTACCTCCAAGGTGGTTGGCGATCTGGCCCAGTTCATCGTCTCCAACAAGCTGTCGGCGGAGGACGTTGTCGAGCGCGCTGGTGAGCTCGACTTCCCCGGCTCCGTCCTGGAGTTCCTGGAGGGTCTGATGGGTCAGCCCTTCGGCGGCTTTCCCGAGCCCCTGCGCTCCCGTGCTCTGCGCAACCGCCGCAAGCTCGACAAGCGTCCCGGTCTGTACCTCGAGCCCCTGGACCTGGTCTCTATCAAGAGCCAGATCCGCGAGAAGTTCGGTGCCGCGACCGAGTGCGACGTCGCCTCGTACGCCATGTACCCCAAGGTCTTCGAGGACTACCGCAAGTTTGTGCAGAAGTTCGGTGACCTGTCCGTCCTGCCGACGCGCTACTTCCTGGCCCGTCCCGAGATCGGTGAGGAGTTCCACGTCGAGCTCGAGAAGGGTAAGGTCCTTATCCTCAAGTTGCTGGCTATTGGACCCCTGTCCGAGCAGACCGGTCAGCGTGAGGTCTTCTACGAGGTCAACGGTGAAGTGCGCCAGGTCGCGGTCGACGACAACAAGGCCTCTGTCGACAACGTGGCTCGCCCCAAGGCCGATGCTGCCGACAGCAGCCAGGTCGGTGCCCCCATGTCCGGTGTCGTGGTTGAGATCCGCGTGCACGACGGCCACGAGGTGAAGAAGGGTGACCCTATTGCGGTGCTGAGCGCCATGAAGATGGTAAGAAATGCCCCGTTCCTTCCTTCCTTGTATTTGATAATATGAATATCGTTACTAATCTTGTCACAGGAAATGGTCATCTCCGCTCCCCACAGCGGTAAGGTCTCTAGCCTGCTCGTCAAGGAGGGTGACTCTGTCGACGGCCAGGATCTTATCTGCCGAATTACCAAGGCTTAAAATCAACTCGAAGTTTATTTGACTTGAGAGTGAGCTTGAGCTCGCGCTTAAGCTTGGACTTGGGCTTTACTGGTTAGAAAAGTGTGCGACTTTGGTACTATTTGGATGTTCCCTTGAATCTTCCTTTTCTTCTTTTTGATATCTCTCTTATGTCTTATTGTGTAGAAGATGTGTGCACGACTAAACACGCGCAAAGACGTGATGTGATGTGAACGATATTTTTCAGCGTTGTGGTTGGTTATTTATCCCAACTGGATTTGTTTTCATGTTTTGGATTTGCTTGGTTGTTTTTTTCTTTTTGGATTTGATTTCCTAGTGAAATGATAAATGGTTTTTTTTCCTTGATATTTCCATCCGTTACTTCGGTTTCTGTTTCTGCGCTGTAGTCTATCAAGGAGTAGGCCAGTGCCAGAGTCTTGATTGAGCTGTTTTCTTACCAGTTTAGACTAATAGTCTCTGTGAGTACGTAGCCTTGCCATCTCATCTCTGGGCATAAAATCGGGTGCAGTAGTAGGTAGTGACTGGATATGAAGCTAGTACCTTGTACCTAGGAGGGAGCACCAGCCTGACGCACTGATTACACAAATCCTCGTACCTTTCCATCTATCCAACATCTAGAGTCGTCGGATCTCCTCATCCCTTATTAACTAGAATATAACAAGCCAACCTTTTCACACTGTACAACCCGAATGATACCATCCTTCGGCCCCCAGATGTAGACCCCGCAGCCGACAGCGGGGCCCTCCCCGCAATCCGCAGTCCCTCTCCAACACACGAATTGCCGATCCGAGTCCGCTCGTCTGGCGTACCCAATCGCGGTGCGCCTGTTGGAGGGTTATCTCGGCTACCGTTATCTTGTGGTCGCAGGATGAGGAGGCGGTCCGCGGAATACAGTCCGAGAGCTCCGTGATAAAAGCCAGTCGAGGCACTGTTGGAACCTTTTTTCTCTTAGAGAATGCTTTGAGTCTGTTGAGTAAAAGGTACGGAAAAGCAGAACCGCAGGTAGAAGTCATGAACAGGGCCAGACTAACCATGTGTATTTTTCAATAGTTCCGATTGACCTTCTCCATAATAGCTACCCTACACTCTTCTCCCCCTCCATCGCAATGGAAACAACAAACCGCCCACACCTCCACACCCTCGCCCACCGTGGCACTATCCAAGGCCTCACCATCACCGCTACCAAAACCTCCACCGACCTGTGCCACTACTTCGGCGGCGTCCGCTATGCCCTCCCTCCGCTCCAGCGCTGGCGCCGCGCCCGCCAGCTCCCGTCTACATTCACCTACGGCAGCAAAGACGCACCGGGTCGATGTGACAGCGGGGCCGGGTTGTGTCCGCAACCTGGGTTTTTGAGCTTGTCGCCGGAGAATGAGGCGGCGTGGACGGAGGATTGTTTCCAGTGTAATGTTTGGGTGCCGGTTGGTGAGGTGCCTAGGGGTGGGTGGCCGGTTTTTATGTTTATTCGTGAGTATATCGCCTTCCCTCCTAGCCCGGTCAGGCCTATCAGTTGTCATTTTGGGGAGATACAAGGCTAATTATGGCGTTGGTTGTAGATGGAGGCTGGCTACAGTTCGGCTCGCCGAATGGCTTTAATGCGGCGGCGCTGCTGGGCGAGACGAATTTCAAGTGCGTGGTTGTCATGCCGGCGTATCGGGTGAACTTGTTTGGTTTCTTGTACTCGGCGGAATTAGAGCAGGATGCTGCGGCTGTTGGCGAGACGGTGGGAAACCATGGGTTTTGGGATCAGCGATTGGCGATGGAGTGGACGAAGGAGAATGTGCATTTGTTCGGGGGGAATCCGGATAATATCACCATCTCGGGGTACTCTGCTGGTGAGTTCATATATCTCGAAGGCAGCTCAAAAAGTTACGACGACGATATACTAATCTTTGACCACTTCACCAGGCGCAAACTCCGCCTTCCATCAATTAGCCTACGATCTACGCCAACCAGATGACAAGGCCATCGTCCGCCAGGCATGCATCTTCTCCAACTCCCCAGCCGTTCAACCAAAAAGCCCAGCCGAGACACAACTCCAATTCGACCAGCTCCTCGCCGCACTGCACATCCCATCGACACTATCCGCAAACGAGAGACTCGCCCGTCTGCGCGCCCTCCCACCAAAACAACTCCTCGATGCAGCCAAAACCATCCAAGTCCACCAATTCCGCCCAACAACCGACAGCGGCTTCATCCTCCCCAATCTCTTCACCTCCCTAGACAACGGCGACTTTGCCCGCAAGCTCCTCGCCCGCAACATCCGACTCATCCTCGGCGAATGCGCAGACGAGCACTTCCTCTACAGCGTCTGGTTCCCGCCCCAGGAAAACACCCTGGAGTCACTACGCACCAGACTCATCGCCGATTACCCGGAGCGTATCGTCGACGCCCTGCTCCCCCTGCACTACCCAACCAAGCAACTCCCACCGACCTGCCAGAACTGGACACCCGATGCCTGGGGCCGGATCTACGCCGACATGCAAGTGTACCACATGCAGCGCGGTCTGATCCACGCGCTAACCGATAACGCCGCCGGAATCGATGCATCGCGGCTCATCCACCGGTACAGAATTGAGTTCCGGGCGCAATGCATTGAGAAGGGGATTCCGTTGGAGTGGGGGGTGACGCACTCGTCGGACTATCCGTTGTGGTTCTGGGGCAATGGGGATGTGTTGACGGATTCGGAGAAGAAGAGTACGGCAGAGGCGTTTATTGGGCCTTTGAGTCGGTTTGTAAAGGGTGTTAGTGCGGAGGGGAGGGATGGGTTTGGGTGGGGGACTTGTGGGAAGGGGGTGCGGGTGTTGAGGGCTGATGGGGAGGTGGAGATTCGGGGGGATGAGATGTGGGAGGAGGGGGTTCGGGTGTGGAAGACTTTGAGGGATGTTGATGTTGGGGAGAAGGCGAGGTTGTGATTGTGGTGGAGTGTGGTTTAGAAGTACTGATTTATAGATCGTGGGTGTTTTTGGAGAGAGGAGGACTAGTACCACCGTATGTGGTGATGGAGGGTTGGGTAGTATGCTGTCTGTCAGTAGGTCTTAATGCAGCAATTCAATCAATCAGACAATGATCGACCGATCCCGATCGATTAGCCACGATTAGATGAATCCTCATCGATGGTTCTCCTTTGATAGTTGCTACAGTACATTCCATCGGTGGTTCGTCATCAACTGGGAGAATCCTCGATCGACAACCAAGTGGGTCTAGACAGAGGTAAAGAGGTCAAGAGTACTTCTTCTGCTAAAGATTCACGCTAGTTAATGTCCATTTTGACAAGTACTGAGTACCTGCACATCTGATTCGTCGTTGAGCTTTCCCCGCATTCTCTCTTACGTCAGGCTACGACCATTCAGCGTCTGTCTCACGATAAAGCTGGACTCGAGTATCCCCCCAAGCTTGATGGGAGATGAGTGCATAGTCTCGGTGAAGTAATAGCTATCAGCCAAGTACGATATTAGCTTGATGAAGTCCATCCTCTTCCAGTCCGCTAACCTACCGAATTCCAGCTTGGTAGGTTCCATAGAGAGCATCACCTTATATCCGCAATTCCACCATCCATTCTACTGTAACCATGCCAATTACCAATCACCAACCTGGTTGGTGCCCGGTAGCAACCCAAATGGAGAAAACCAGTAGACATAAGTCCGAAACAAAGCTTCAGGGGTGGACTCGTTAACTAAGCACCATTCACACGCGACATAGCTCACATCCCTGGTTCCTCTTAAGTATAGCGCTTTCCCCTCTTTTCTCATCCTCCCTTCCCCTCCGTCAGATATTACCATATACTCTGGAATCTGAGACCATTCCAGACAATAACTAGGGCGTAAGGTACGTATCTGCTATCCTCAGACTAATCCCGTCACCTTCCACATCTCCACTGCTTCGTCTTGATACACGATCCCTCCCCATCCACGGATCCCACAGCCGCATTCCGCTCTTCCTTCAATGACGTCTTAGACTCAACCCATCTCGATTCAACCTCTTCTCTTTATAGAAGAGTTTATTTAAACCATCTGCCAAGCATGAATCACCCCCTCTCCATCGTCATTCTAATCACACACATTAAATTCAATCAATCATCCTCAAACGCATCCACTAATCAATCAATATCAAGACTATACCATCTTCCACCAAATTCACCACCTCAAACCCTCCCACTCAAAAGGTTCACCCATCATGTCCGACAACACCCCAGACAACGTCAAGCGCCACTGGCACGGCACAGCCGGCGATCGCCACGAACACCTCAACGTCTGGACACACGGCGGCTCCAGGGCCCCTGCCAGCAGAGCAGCCTGGGCCCTAACACCCGAAATGATGGCCGCAGAGGCCAGCCGCCGAGTACGTGCACCACAGAACCCCCTTAAAGCCCTTTCAAGCGTCTATAATCCTATACCTCCCCTCCTTTCTTCCATCTAACAACCCACCCAGAACTCCGCCGGCTCCGCCGGCTCAGCTACCAGCGCCAACACCAGCTCCGACTCCCCTACCACCCCCTCTCTCAATGAACGCCGCCGCTCGAGTACTAGTTCGGGTTCGCCCCCGGGCCTGTTCTCCTCGCTGAGCTCGCAGAAGCGCGAGTCTGCGGATACTAATATGGCGGCGCGGCGGGCGAGTTGGAATGAGCAGCGTGAGCAGGGCGGGTTCTTTTCAAAGTTGTGGGAGGGGTATACCCGCGGAGGGAAGTAGGGCGAGTACAGGACTGGACTGTACAAAGTATGATGGGGGCAAGTCATGTGTGGTTATGGGGATGGAGATGGAGGTACTATGTGGTAAGGACCAGATTGTAATTGGGGGTTTATCATGAACTTGTGTGTATTTTGTTTTGTGTTTGTGGTTTGCGTTAAGTTTCCTTGTATATGGTGTTTAGGAATACTTGTTTGATTGTTTCTTGAGAAAATATGATGAATATGGTTGTTGACTTGGTCTGCTCCAAGACGGTTGTGGTGGAGTTATGTAGAAGTAGTCCGCACTCTATCTCACTTTTTCAAGCATACAACACCACTCTTGGCTATCGTGGCTACTATGAAGGCGGTAGGAACTGGCGAGCTTCACGGTCGATAGTTTCTGTGAATCTATACATGACATGCGGAGTTTAATTCGATCAACGGATTGAGAGTGTTTACGAAGAAATAGGTCAGGATTGACCGATTGACGTAACAGAAGAGACATATTGCGTGCTAAAACACGGTATCCATATCAAGATGATGTGAGACCTAGGCAGAGACTTAAGAATCATTGATCTGTATCTCTCTTAAAGTTGGCTTGGGATGTGTGTCACCTATTCCCATTGATTGAGTAAAGGGAGAATGGGTGTGAGATGTGGCTGCATTATCCTAGATGAAGATAACTTCAACGTGCTGATTGCCATTCAGCTAGGAAGCTGGGTAGGCGTAGATTCAAGCAGGTTCTGGGAAGGACGACACCGTAACCTGGGTCAGGTTGAGAGACAATTGGTGTCAATCATCCGTTGTGACAACGCATGTCACTGCAGTAGCCCAGATGTTGTTTCTGACTGCTAGGACATGTCAAGGAATCCACTAAACAGTGGGCCCGACGAGAGCCATGAGTGATGGCAATGGCAACGACAATCTACGAAACGTACGACGGTTACGAGGTCTACGACTACGTGGAAGAAAGCGGCACCAGGTGTAGACAGGAACAGACAAAGATAGGCCAGATAGAGGTACTTTTATGTACTCTTCAGAATAACCTGGCAGGTCATCCTCAAGAGACAAAAGAGACCGACTCTTTGACGAGATCCTTGGACCAAGTCAAGCGAGTCATGGCACGGCATCAAAGACAGCAAAGTCCAGAGCCAGCCATTTCATTTTCAGCAATGGTTATGCGGAGAACAACACCTTTCGTGCAGCCTTCATTGTGAAAAGTGGGGGGAAAACGCAAAAAGTTTTGCAAGTTGGTAGTGAATTCATGTCTCTAACACGCCTAATCCTGGGTTGCCGTGAGAGAATAAAAAAAGAGTTTCAGAACACCATATCCGACGCAAAAGATCAGGAGCCCGGCCGGTTGTCTTCGACGGGGGGTCTGTCATTGGGCCGACTTTTGTTTCTTTTGGTTTCCGGACGGAGAAAAATTTTTGGCTCCCTTCGATGCAATCGTAAATCACAAGTTTCCCCGGCCGGCCTTCCCCGCTTCCTCAACATGTCATTTGCGACATTTACCGGATGATACCGTCGAAGCGGTTCTTGAACCACTTCATGGTCTCGGTCTGGTGGATCTTGTGGCTGGAGCCGATGGAGGCCTTCGCGCGGCGGCGCTTGGCAACACGCTCACCGGGGCGGGTCCTAATTGAGAGGGATTTTGTTAATGGTTGTTCTTCCTTCGAGGGTTTACCCGTAGGAAAGAAAGAGGGACACGAATTTTCGCCCCATTGTTGAGCACTCACATGCAGCAGAAGAAGTCCATGCCGTAGATACCAATGCCGGGGTCGTACTTGATACCCAGATCGATGTGCTCGGAGATACCGAAACCGAAGTTACCGGTCTCAGAGAAGTTGCGCTTGCGGAGCTCGTACTCCTTGACCTTGAGGCCACGCTCGAGAATCTCCTCGGCCTTGGGGCCACGGACGGTGACGTGGACGGCGATCTTCTCGTTACGGCGGATACCGAAGGTACGGACGGTGTAACGGGCCTTGGAGTAGACGGGAGTCTGACCGGAGAGCTGCTCGAGCACCTTGGCGGCACGGGTAAGTCTATCACCAGACTCGCCAACGGAGATGTTGAGCACGAGCTTCTGGATGCGCAGCTCGCGCATGGGGTTGGCGGTCTTGTCCTTGGCGTCCGACTGCATATTTCGTTAGAATTGGCGTTTGTGCGATGAGATAGAAGGAAGTGTTGTGGTTGTGGTGCTAACATACCATGGCGACTGGTGTGGCGTGGATATATGGGTTGGCGACGAGATGGAGAGAATCTTCGAAAAGCACAAAAGCGGTTTGTGTGGGCGGCGGTCACGGGAGCCGAGTCACGGGAATTGGGAAGCGAGAGGGCTCGATGGGGCTTGGCGCTTATATAAGAAAGTGTATTTTCTCCACCAGACATGATCTAATCACGTGTTTTGTGTGCTGAGTCATCTTATATCCAGAATTGAGCCTGGCATCGAAGAGCTAAGCTGGACCTCAAGGATCCCGCGTCTTGCTAGATCCCTACACCGTGAAGAGAGCATCCTTGCTGTCTTTCAACCTTTTTTTGGATCTTTCAAGTCGCATTCGTGCGCGCTCCCTTCTTGCCCACCATGGCCGCCAACAAGCAGGGCAAGATGGTAAGTCTCTCCTCGTGCCTCTGTGCAATTCCCCGACTCTGGGTGGTCAATGGCTGTCGCTAACGTCTGTTCTCTAGCAAAACCTCGTGAGTCCCAGCGGGAAGATACAAATCTCCCTATTAACCTGTCTAACACGTCTTCTAGATCAACTACCGGATGAGAGTTACCCTGAACGATGGTCGACAGATGACCGGCCAGATGCTGGCCTTTGATAAGGTATGTCGCACACCGCAAGCATTCGAGTTCATTAACTGACTTTTAACCTTCCATAGCACATGAACCTCGTTCTCGCCGACACAGAAGAGTTCCGTCGCACCAAGCGAAAGTCAAAGCCCGCCGCCGGCCCTTCAAACGCCCCACTGGTTGAAGCGGAGGAGAAGCGTACTCTTGGTCTCACCATCGTTCGCGGTACCCAGGTCGTCTCTTGCTCCGTCGATGGTCCCCCTCCTGCCGATCCCTCTGCGCGTCTCGGTACTGCTGGCCCTGGCGCTGCTGGTGCTGCTGCCACCCTTGCTGCCGGTCCTGGTATCAGCAAGCCCGCTGGTCGTGGCCTGCCCGTCGGACTCGGTGGCCCTGCTGCCGGCGTTGGTGGCCCGCCTCCTCCCGGTGCCTTTGGAGGCTTCCCTCCGGGTGGTTTCCCTGGTGCGCCGCCTCCTGGTTTCGCTGGACGTGGAGGACCCCCTGGTGGACCTCGTAAGTTTAACAATTGGCATTCCAAAATGTCTGGATATATACTAACTCTTCCTTTAGCTGGCTTCGCTCCTCCCCCCTGGTTTCGCTCCTCAAGGTGGTCCTCGTAAGTACTCCTTGTCATTTGAGATTATTCTCTTCCAAAAGCTAATATTTCTCTCCCCCAGCTGGCTCTTTCCAACCTCCTCCTGGCTTCCAGCCCCCAGGCCAAGGACGTGGCTACCCTCCTCCCGGCTTTGGAGGCCGATAAATGGATAAGATTATTTTGAGAAGGACTTTTGATGCTTCATAACTTTGGTGATCTGGTTTCCTGGGAGAAGGCGAAAGCGAGATGAACCGTGCGAGAACAGGCGAGATACGGTCTTCACTTCCAACGCGAGGGGCCATTTCGCGAACAGGCTAGATAGCCCGCTCACTGGGCAAGGCGTTGCGGCGCATGCGGATGAAGGTCGTTTCCGAGGATAGGAAAACAAAAGCCGAAAATCCACTTTCAGATTTGCATTTAGTACCCAAAATAATGCTAGCTCACTCCTACGACCCCCTTGTCGCAACATGCAATACATATTCAATTTCAGTTCGGGGCTTGCTCGCAGGATTTTTGCTTCTATTGGTGAGATCCTCCATAATCTTAAGATTGTCTGCTTCCTGGCATATATATCGAGAGTAAACATGAAAGATAGAAGGTCTGGGATCTACGGAGATTGGAATGGCACATCAACGGCCACTTCCGCCATCGGGAGTCGGCAACAGTGCGCAAAACAACCACACTCAGCTCAAAGCCAGGATAGATAGCAGAACCAACCCTACGAGTATTAATCTTCAAGAAGCTCATCTAAACTTAAATGGATCTCTGCAATTCCCTATCTACCCAACGGAGATAAGACCTTTTTCATACCTTTGTCAGATCACGTGACCTGCGGTCAACGCCGGTTGAATCGAGGCGGTAATTCCGCAAGCCGCAGACCCCAACCTCAACATCTCCGAGTCCTCAATTCCCCCCCCGTGTTTCTCTCTCCAGCAACGTCGTCATGGCTGCTGCTATCAAGGCTATCAATGCGAAGATCCGCTCCAACAAGGTGCTGGACTATGTCTGCTCAACCCGTACGTTCATACCCAACCCGTCAGCAACTTTCCCGCCGCGCTTCCCGGACCGAGATCGGCCTGCGGCAATGACTTGCTTATAAGCAACGAAGAAAGAGGAATGTTGGGAGGAAGCCACAATGAATTAGGGTGGAGGAATATATCGTGGAATTGAGGCTGAGATATACCCGATGACTGAATTCGCTGACAATGCTTCTTTGCAGACTTCTGGGGCCCCGTCTCCAACTTCGGTATCCCCATTGCTGCCGTGATGGACACCCAGAAGGACCCTGAAATGTACGTCTATCATGGCCCAATTGTGTCTTCATACCATGGATATTCCACATAGTCGACCCGCTCGTTAATCCGTACGCTGACTTCATCTGCTATACAGTATCTCCGGCCCCATGACCGGTGCCCTGGTCATCTACGCTGTCACCTTCATGCGCTACTCCCTCGCCGTCACCCCCAAGAACTACCTCCTCTTCGCCTGCCATTTGACCAACTTCGGTGCCCAGTCGACTCAGGCTTACCGCTACCTGTCATACTGGAAGTACGTTAGCCCCCATCACCCCGTGAATGCCTCGACTTGATCAACCCTCTCTGCTTTCCACCCGTGACTCAGCGCTAACCATTTCTTGTTCCGCTTTATAGCTGGGGTGGCCGGGAAGCTCAGCTGGCTGAGAAGGCTAAGCAGGGCGCTGCCGCCGCACAGGCATGAAAAGCTCTCCCTGGAGGCTGTTGTTGAACATTTAAACTCGTCTCTTTTGTACTTCGTTTCACAACGTTGCATCTCTATATCCCTATCATCTTCAATACTGTTTGGGTCCGGGGATTGGTCTGGATGATCTATCTGGAAAGAGGCAAAAGATATAGAGGGTAATGGTATGTAAGCGAAACCTGCAGGAAATGGGGAGATGATGGCGCGAGGGGAAGACGGAGATGTTGTTGGAGGGAGTGAGTCCTTCAAGGCTATAAATTCCTGGCGAGCTCATTCCAGTCACTGTACATAGACTCTACATCAAATCGAACTGCTTGTACTTCGAGTAGAATCGGGCAACGAACTTAGTAAATTTCATTTTGGTCTGAAATGACTCTAAAAAAAATCCCAGAAATGTTCAATTACAACCCAGCGAGAGTTCACGAAGGAATCTTCAAAGCTATGTATACAACACGGGTCAACGCCGGACCCGAAGACAGAAACGAAAGAAAGAGAAAAGGAAGGAATCCCGCCAAATTCAGGCAATTTATCAAAAGACGCATAAACATCGAGATCGAACTTCTCGAACTAACCATGCGTACAAGAAAAAACAAGAAGAAAATGACAGGCCAAAACACAATGCTATGCCACAATCTAGGACTGGAACAGCCCAGACAAGAAAGGAAAATGATTAACGGTCATGTCATCTGGAGTCTGCCGCAAGGAAGGCTACTTATTGCGGATCGCAGTATCCAGGGCTTTCGGGGACACTGGGTCCAACCCAATTTTGGAGAGTCAGTGCAGTAGTGTAAATGCAACAGATTACTCCGAGAGTCGCGAGAGTAATATCGGCAATAGCCTGGCGTCTGGATTGGGCGCATGCCCGGAGATGCAGGAGGGGCTGTAGAAGAACATTGATTAGCATTGGAATGAGGAGGATCCTAGAATCCACAACTTACAGGGTATACGTAAATCAGCGGAACACAAGCGAAGCTGCCGACCAGCGCCACAAATTTGTCCAGATCAGCGGCACCGCCCCAGGCGACAAAGGCGCAGACAACCACTAGGAAGAACCGGAAGGAGTTCTTCTTCCACTTGATGTAGGGATTGTACTTGCCACTACGAGTGAATAACTCGTTCTCCAAGATACGGATGGCGGGGAAGAGCTGGAGAGGTGTGCTAAGCAGGATGGCGAGCGAGTAAAGGAGCTGAACCACGTTGACAAACTTGTCATCCTGGGGCAAGTTGAGGAGAATGACAGTCTTGGTAGAAGATCCATAGGCTGCATAACTCAGAGCACCTGCAGACAGGAAGATCAAAGTGATAATGACCATGACACCGGCCAGAACACCAGGGAAGCGTCGCGGCTGCATCATCGACTCCTGGATAGGGATGATCAGACCAACACCCTCGTAGGTGAAGATGGCCGTGCCGATAAACATCGACCAAGTCGACGGGTTGAAAGCCTTGATATCGGAGACGCCACCATTGCCAATCAAGGTACGAGCATCGTAATAGTAGATGTACAGCAACCCCAGAAGGATGAAGGCGTCGGCAATGAGTGCAGTGAAGCCAAGCTTGCCAATATCACGAATCAGAGAGAGGGGGAGGAAGAAGACCAACTGCAGAAGCACCAGGTACTTAATGTCAATGAAGCTCTGGCACTTGCTCACAGCGAGTACAAATGCTTGGAGGTTCTGTGACACAAAGACAATGTAGGCCGACACGAAACCCAATTGACTCAGCACAATAGAGCCAAGGATAATGCGTCTCATGTGCTTTCCAAACAAGATCCCACCAATATCACCAAAAGAGCCCTCGATTCTCATGCGAGTGTTGACCAGCAGAATGAAGGCGTAATAACTCAAAATCGAAACTCCCAGAAGCACCATGCTGCTGAACAGCATTCCACCGTTCAAGAAAGCGCGGGGTAGGAACAGAATTCCCGTTCCCACAAAAGACTTGAGCAGGAGCATGACAGCACCAGTGGTGGTCGTATTTCCTGGAGGCGCACGCTGCTTGTGCTTCCGCTTCTTGCGACCAGCACCATCTCCTCGAAGCAGCGCTGCATCCTCGCCAGACTCTCTGCCTTCATCGCGCTCATCCCAGGTGTCAGATGAAAAGTACTCATCAGGTCCCAAAACCTCATCATCCTCCTCCAATTCCTCTCCAGCAAAGTGACCATAAAGTGTCAGGAATTCCAAGAAACTCGAGGTTGGAAGCTGAGGTTGTACGGATGCAGCGCCAGTGTTCGACCCACGCACACTTCCTCGGTGCGGGCTCCCCGCAGTTCTCCGCAGAAAGTCTCTCCGGAACCCACCTGGCACTTGAATTGTGTGGATATCTTCAGTCTCGGCCTCAGGGGCGGGTCGGCTGATACTGAAACTCTTGCTACGGGCAAATCGCGCGGAATCCGCATCCTCTGCCCATCGGTAGACCTGACGAGTGATATCACCACCCTGCAGCTGCAGACTGGAGAATTCATCATCGCCATGGCTTGTTCCAAGCTCCGAGCCGGTGTCTCGACTTTCTGAGACGTTTTGTGGGAGTACCAAATGTCTCCTTACTACTTCCGGGTCCTCATATGCACCCACTCCGTTTGAGTCCGGACCGTAGTTGTTGTTGGTGTCGAAGGAGCCGTATTGAGAGACCACGGGTCGACTGTCGAGTGTGGGGGGTATCGAAGGGGACCCCGCAATTCGCGAAGGAGTACCGAATCTCGGGGGCGAGCGACCGAGGCTTTCTTGCAATTGAGAAGCGATTATGGACTGGCCCGGCCCTGGCAGGGAGGCCATGTTGTCGACAGCCCGGAAGTTCTGTTCGGCATTGGAGGCGGCGGTACTGATGGGTCGGCCAGTAGGGATACCTTGTCGCGACGATAGCGAAGTCCCCAAGGATGCAGAAGGCACTGGCGAGGCCAGACGAGCTATCGAGGCCTGTCTACCGTCCGGGGCAGGAGACGAGGATCGAATCGATGAGGTTGAAATTGGCACTGACCGGGGCGGGATCAGTGACGAGCCCTCACCGTTATCTGCCATCGTAGGCGTGGTCCCGAATTCGGGGTATTCTGCGTTTAGGGAGGTGTCAGGACCAAGAGCATGGGATAGGAGATCCGTCACGATTGTCTTCGGGGTATATAGCCAGTGTTGCAGCTCCACGCAACTTTGACTGGGGGTGGGCAGGTTGTGGCTGAAACGGACGAAAGAGACGTGAGGAGGCCGCCTGATCGTCGTCAAAAGCGCCAAGTGCGCCAAGTGCGTCGCGGCGGGCGGCGCCAGTGCGTGGCCGCTTGGCCCTGCTTTTGCAGTGTTTTGCACTGTTTGTATTTTCCCACGTCATCTCCGCTTCTCGCTGGTTTCGATCAATTCTATTGGAGACGCGAGGTGACGCAGGTGGTGCACTTGCTTCGAGCGTGTCGATAGACTGGCAATTGCTTTTTTCTTCGTTTCTATTCGCACTAAGCTCTTCCTCTTCCCCTGCAGTCCTGCCTTGTGAAATACTACTACGATATAGCACTGTGATATTCTTATCAAGAGTCGGTGTGGTTGCCGCCCTCATGCGCTCTTGGTGGTAGCGGTCAACGGAGATCCCGCGATGTCTCGCCGACGCCCGAATTTCTCGACTCGCACCGCTCAAGAAGATGTCGCACGCCTTGACCCGAACGAGTCCGAAGATGTTGCCCCTGCAGAACGGGCTGGACTGTTACACTGGCCGCCAACCCTTTGGTCCCGTCACCAGGGGATGACCCCAACAGAGCCGTCAGAACACCACCGCCACTTGGTACCAACGAACCCGTTCCACGGGATATCTGAATGGTGGAACAAGAAGGCGGGAGATGGAGAAGGACAGGAGGATAGTGGAGCGGCAGGACTGCCCATATCTGCTGGACCTCTCCGAGACAACGGTGCAGATAGGAAGGACAGACTCGGACATTGGTCTCGTTCGTTTGAGGAGCCGAAGAAGCTCGGCACCTTCTCGGGCGTGTTCGTGCCGACGAGCTTGAATGTGCTGAGTATTCTGATGTTCCTTCGTTTTGGGTTCATTCTTGGCCAGGCTGGATTGGTGGGCATATTAGGTGATTCTTCGATGCGGAAAATGATCAGACGCTAGGCATGGCTAACCAATTGACGATAGGGCTGCTTGCGTTTTCATACCTGATTAATCTGGTAACCACGATGTCTCTCTCGGCGATTGCAACAAACGGTACCGTTCGAGGCGGTGGTGCGTACTACCTGATCTCTCGTTCCCTAGGGCCAGAGTTTGGTGGCTCGATCGGAGTGGTTTTCTACTTAGGACTCGTCTTCAACACCGGCATGAACGCAGTCGGTTTGGTAGACTGTTTCACTCAGAATTTTGGTACTTTGTCTGGCACACTAGGTCATTTTCTCCTAGAGGGCTTTTGGTGGCAGTATCTCTGGGGAACTGTGATTCTCGTTCTCTGTACGGCCATTTGCTTGGCAGGAAGCTCGATTTTTGCTAGAGCGAGCAACGGCCTTTTGGTTCTACTTCTTATTGCGACCTTCAGCATTCCATTATCTGCCATCTTCATGAAGCCGTTTAGTTCTCCCGTGGACCAAGTCCAGTTTACTGGCCTTAGTTGGCAGACTTTCAAGGAGAATCTCGCACCTCACTTGACGAAAGGGGCTGCTGGAAGCCAATTGAAAGGCCGAGAGAATTTCCAAGATCTTTTTGGTATTTTGTTTCCCGCCACGGGTGGTATCTTTGCGTAAGTGGGCACTATCGTTCAAATTTCCAAAGGGGATTACTAAATAGCCACTAACTCGTACTCAGAGGCGCGAGCATGTCTGGTGATTTGAAGAATCCTAGCAAATCCATCCCCAAGGGGACTCTCGCCGGTCTTGTCCTGACCTTTATATCTTACTTGCTGGTCATCTTGGCCATGGCGGCCTCTATTACTCGACAGTCATTCTATAACAACGTCAATGTTATTCAGATCGTAAGAGGCCCCTGCTAAACAGACTCAGAGAAGAAATTCCTAATGTGTCCATAGGTCAACTACTCTGATACTATCATCCTTGTTGGAGAATTTGCGACCTGTTTCTTCTCCGCACTGATGGGAGTGATTGGCTCTGCCAAGCTCCTTCAGGCCATCGCCCGCGATAGCCTGCTTCCAGGAGTCAACTTCTTCGGTCAAGGCACGAAGAAAAATGACGAGCCTATTTACGCTATTATCGTCACCTATATCTTTGCACAGCTCACAATGCTGTTCGACATCAATCAGATTGCCTCTTTTGTGACCATGACCTACTTGATGACATTCTTGGTCACCAACTTGGCCTGCTTCCTGCTGAAGATTGGATCGGCTCCTAATTTCCGACCCTCTTTCCACTACTTCAATTGGCAAACTGCAGCTGCAGGCACTCTAGTCAGCGGTATTAGCATGTTCTTTGTTGACGGGTTGTATGCAACGGGATGCGTTTGCATTCTCGTTATGCTCTTCCTGTTGATCCACTACTCGTCTCCTCCCAAAGCATGGGGCGACGTCAGTCAAAGCCTTATCTACCACCAAGTTCGCAAGTACCTGCTCCGTCTCAAGCAAGAGCACGTCAAGTTCTGGCGACCACAGATCTTGCTCTTTGTCAGTGACCTTGACCGCCAGTACAAGATGGTTTCGTTTTGCAACTCGCTCAAGAAAGGAGCCTTGTTCGTGTTGGGTCATGTTCTCGTAACGGATGACTTTTCAACGGCAGTTCCAGAAGCCCGTCGACAGCAGACCGTCTGGACAAAATTGGTCGAATACTCCAAGATTAAAGCCTTTGTCAATGTTGCCGTTTCTCCGGCCGCAGAATGGGGTGTGCGGAATATTGTTCTCAATTCCGGATTGGGAGGCATGCGACCGAACATCGTCGTCATTGATCAATACCGTGAGAATCAATCGCTGGTTGAGACTGTCTCCGTTGGCGGTAATCGCAGGGAATCCTCAAAGTCGAGACGTCGTTCATCCCTTTTTGGCTCTCAATACGAAGACGGAGCCGAGGATGCGCCACGTAAGGGAATGACTTGTCAAAGCTACCTGACCATTCTTGAGGACCTCTTGTTCAACCTTCGTATCAACGTCGCCGTCGCCAAAGGCTTTGAAGATCTCGAGCTACCCGATCCTCTCGGGCGTCATACGAAGAAATATATTGACCTGTGGCCAATTCAGATGTCCGCGGAAATTGGCGCGGACACTGAGAGCAAGCAAAATGTGCTGACAACCAATTTCGATACGTACACCTTGATTTTGCAACTGGGTTGCATTTTGAACACCGTTCCCTCGTGGAAGAAGACCTATAAACTGCGCGTTGCTGTGTTTGTCGAGTATGAAAGTGACGTTGACGACGAGAGAGGACGAGTGGAAGCGCTTCTCGAGAAGCTTCGCATCCAAGCTGAAGTCCTTGTCTTTTGGCTTGCATGTGGTGATGTCAAGGCTTATCGAATTATTGTCAATGGCGATACTTCACCTGAGATGGCTGTTGCCCAAGACACCGTCCATTCTGTATTAAAAGATGAGGATTGGTGGCAAGGACTCCTTCGAGCTCGCAACAATCCACAAAATTCGTCCGAGCAAGGCCAGGGGGCGACGAGATCCCTCGGTTTGATCGAATCGCGACCTGGCAAGGCCCTGCCGGTCAAGAGAGTGGCAACAGGCATTTGAACCAGCGAGTGACGGGCCTAAGAAAACTGATCCAGCGACGCCGAGGATCGGTATCCAGCTTCAGGACGCTGGGGAATGTGAACCTGGGCATGCAGACCCATCGATTGCTAGATGCCTTCGTTGACTACGACGGGAACAATCTGTCTAGTGAAAGCAGCGACGACAGCGACCTGGATCCATATATTAGCGATTCCGAGGTCGACGAAGCTGACGACGAACGTGAAGAGCATGAGGACGAGGAGGACACGGCCAGCAGTCCAAAAGAGAATGAGGCCACTCCCGGCCCATCACGGCTTGGTCTACCTGGTTGGAGTAAGAGCGACGACCGTAGCTCGACTGGCTCTGGAACAAGCCCGTCTACCCGCCCACCAGCACGATCGAGCGCCTCAGCCGGCCCGACACCAACAATCCACCAGCCCATCCCTTCCATCATCACCACTTGCGACGATCCTTCTCCAAAGAGCAAATCCCCCGCCGCCCGCCCACCCTTGAGCCGCTCCGCCTCAAGCAACCGCTTCAGCTCCTCCCCCATCCCCGAAGCAAAAGTCAACACCGACGAAGGAGCAGGCCCATCAATCATGTTCGCAGCCAACGCCTCCCCACCCCGATTCTCTCAAAAGCTCGAATCCATCTACGCCCGGCGCCAGTCTGCAGTGTCGACAACATCTCCCAGCGCCCAAACGAACCAACCCGCCTCGGGGTATCCGGGGTCTGCGTCAGTCCCGCTGTCGTTCAATGATCTGCCTAGTCGGGCACAGCATTTGATATTGAATGAGTTGATGGTACAGCATAGCAGCGAGACGGCGGTGGTTTTTACTACCTTGCCTTCTCCGGTTCATGGGACTTCGCAGAGTGAGCAGGATTGTGGGTCGTATTTGAGTGATTTGGAGGTGTTGTGGCAGGGGTTGCCGCCTTGTCTGTTGGTGCACAGCAATAGTATGACCGTAACGATGAACCTGTGAAAGGGATGAGATGATGATTGTGCATAGTTGTTTCATAGCGCTGATTTCGTTAGAGCGTATATGATTTTTAGATGCATTTTTTCAATTCTGTATTTCTCGATGAGATGTACCTGCCTAGGTGTGGTTACACAAACTCTCGAACTTACTTGAGTAGGTATTTGATGGACGTGGATGGGCACCTATGCAGCAGAAGAAATATATCTTCATCGAGCTTGCATCTACATATATTCATCGCTACCTATGTACCTGACCGTATCTGTTATACTAGGTAATTTCATCCACGGCATTAGAACTTGGCGCCCCGCCTACTAGGTCTACATCTAACGTCACTGGTGACGTTTCATAATCTTCAAGTCTTCTACTAATGCACTGCTTCTGCAAGTCAGCGCCGCCACGCGAAGATCGGCGGAGCGGGGGCGATGAACTATGGAGGACTTACTGGAGTTGTACTAGTCCTGGAGGAGGGTGCAGGTCCCTCTTACAGTTAGCCGAAGAGTCTGAGCGCCGAAAGTCAACACGAACTTAACTGCCGAGTATGTATACATTTTACCGTATAGTATCGTACCAGGTAGATATATGGGTATGTATTTACTTTTTGTAAAAAAGTGCATGCGTATAGCACCAACTAGCTATCGAATAGCCATTTGTGGTTCATAGCCCGCTAAATTCCGGTGTTAAGCGAACATGTCACACTAGACGACAGGCAGAACCCAAAACATCTGGCGACCAAAGCCGCTTGGAAATTCGAGAATCGTGAAAGAAAGACGGGGCTGATGACCAATTGGCATTCTGGAGACTGTGATTGGGTCGATTGGAGTGGTCCCGTACATAATTAATTAGCGTCCAGGCTGGTCGTGAAGCTGCAGCCCAGTCGAGTGTGGCTGAGCGTGTGCTCGACGCTACTCTGTAAATCGTAGCACTTCCTTCTCCTCCACTGAGATCCATGGCCCAGTCCTCTTGTTCTAGCCCAAACCATGTCCATGTCCATGTCCATATAGCGACTTTGTTATTGACCTCCAACCCCCCGCTTACGTTCCATTCCCACTCTCTCCCCCTCTTAATATTTCCTCCACCTCCACCTCCCCACCCCTGAATCTTCAATTCGGCCATGTCAGCCAGCACCGGCGCGCGTCGACTGAATGGCAGTGTGAGAGGTTCAAACAGTCACAATCAGAATCAACGGCGCCCAGTCGCCCATTTCGATATACAAAACGGGCTGCCAGACCGCTCCCGGGTGAATGGTACTAGCAACGGCATTGACCCAGACTCTCTTGACCATTCCTCCGACAGCAGCATCTCCTCCTCCTCCCACACTCAAAACGGCACGAACTCACGACCACCCAACATGTCTCGCAAGGCTTCCTCGCCAATGGCACCCGCCTTTATGGTGTCTGCGCCGGGCAAGGTCATTGTGTTTGGAGAACATGCCGTCGTGCACGGCAAGGCTGCCTTGGCCGCTGCCATCTCCCTCCGCTCCTACCTCCTCGTCACGACCCTCTCCAAATCCCAGCGCACTGTCACCTTGAATTTCCGCGACCTAGGACTCAGTCATACCTGGAACATTGACTCTCTGCCCTGGGACGTGTTCCAGCAGCCGTCCAAGAAGAAGTTCTACTACGACCTCGTCACCGAACTCGACCCCGAGCTGGTCGAGGCAATCCAACCCCACGTGGGTGTCGTCTCCAAGCACCTCCCTGAAGACCAGCGCAAAATCCATATCCGCTCCGCCTCGTCCTTCCTCTACCTCTTCCTCTCCCTGGGCTCCCCGCAAAGCCCAGGCGCCATCTACACCCTCCGCTCCACTATCCCAACGGGGGCCGGTCTGGGCAGCAGCGCCAGTGTCTGCGTCTGTGTGAGCGCCGCGCTCCTCCTTCAGATTCGCACTCTCTCAGGCCCGCACCCGGACCAGCCGAACGAGGAGGCCGAGACTCAGATTGAGCGCATCAATCGCTGGGCTTTTGTCGGCGAGCTGTGCATTCATGGAAACCCCAGTGGAGTGGACAACACCGTGTCCGCGGGCGGTAAGGCCTTGATCTTCAAGCGCGAAGACTACACCAAGCCGCCGACAGTGATCTCACTCCCTCGTTTCCCGGAATTGCCCCTTCTTCTGGTCGACACGCGCCAATCGCGCTCTACCCTGACCGAGGTCGCCAAGGTGGGCGAGCTGAAGAAGGCTCATCCCGTGGTGACTGAGTCCATTCTCGAGGCCATCGACCAAGTAACCGGCTCTGCACAGCGTCTTCTTCAGTCTCCCGATTTTGTGGGCGACTCGGAGGAGACCCTCGAGCACTTTGGCACATTGATCCGCATCAACCATGGTTTCCTCGTCTCCCTAGGCGTGTCGCACCCGCGCCTGGAACGTATCCGTGAACTCGTCGACTATGCCAATATCGGCTGGACCAAGTTGACTGGTGCCGGTGGTGGTGGCTGTGCAATTACTCTCCTCCGACCGGATGCCAAGCCTGAGGTTGTTCGCGATCTGGAGCAGAAGCTTCACACCGAGGGCTTTAACAAGTATGAGACTACCCTTGGCGGTGATGGTGTTGGTGTGCTTTGGCCTGCTGTGCTGCGCAATGGCTCCGATGAGGAGGGTGGCGTGGAGATTGATCAGCAGAAATTCGAGAATGCCGAGGGAACTGAGGGCATTGAGCAGCTCGTGGGTGTTGGATACCATGAGAAGCACGAGGGGTGGAAGTTCTGGAAGCGGGCTACGCAATGATGTGGTTACGATCGTGCGTGGCTACGCCCTTCCTCTACTTACATTCTCTTATGCCCGTCATTGGCCTTTGCATTCAAGTGCCTCGGTTTTAGTACCACACCCAATTCCTCTAGGACTATTATGGAGGATTGGAAACTTAATGAGTCCTTCCCCGCTTCTTCTACCATTCATGTTTCATTCTCTGTACACATTATCAACCCTATGCATTATACACCCCCTTTACATTGAGCCCTGTTCGAGAGTCGAGCGTTGTTGGACAACGCTCCGTCTACGTACGCGTGAGTGATAATGTCTCTATCGCCGTCTCTGGCAGTCTGCTTTTTGCACTTCTACTTCTACTTTCTACTTCTTTTGATTCCATGTTTCGCATTTCCGTCTCGGGTTCTCTTTGGCATGAGCATGTCTGGCGCAGGTGTGTCCGACGGATAGGTAGGGGGTGCTTGACATCCCATACAATAAATAATATGATTCTTTGTTGGTATGAATCAGAATCATCCTTGATATGAGCTGGTACAGCGTAATGCATGTTCGTAAATCGTATACACCCTATCAATATCAACACCATATTTACAACGGCCAAGACATGACCCGAACAGCCGAATTACCCTTCCCCATCTTGCCAAATGGGATGTCCGTATCACATCCCAAAGCCGTGTTGAGCAGACACTGCCCAGCCGCTAGCCTAAACACCCTATACCATTACCTATACAAAATCCTACCCCATCGTCGTCTCCCACCCCTTCTCAATCATAACATCAATCCAATACGTATCCGCCTGCCCCGCATCCATCCGCCTCCACACCTCCTTGACAAGCCTCACACAAACATTAATCGGCTTCGGCGGCAACACGTGCAAGAAAGACGTTAAACGGCCCAGGATGAAGCGCCGCGTGCGCGAGACTTCAATCGCTTCCATCGAGATACTCGGTGTTTCGGAGCCCGGTCCGTCAGCGTCGCCGGCGGGTAGGGGCTCTGATGTTGATTTTGGAAGACGGAGTTCGCTGCAGGAGGCGACGAGGAGGAATGGTTGGAGGCAGCGGGTGCGGGATTCGATGGGGATGGTTTTTAGGCGGGAGAGGGTTGTTACGGCGAATTCGGTGAGCCATTTATCGTGTAGATCTGGGTTGAAGTCTTCTGTGGATGTGGGATTGGACTGGGAATGAGAGGATGGGTAGGTATTTTGTGGAGGGGAGGACGGGGTGTATTGAGTGTTTGGTTGATTGGTGGTATTGCTTGATCCAGGATTGGAACTGGTTTCGGCCAATCCGGGGAACATGTTCATGCTGTCGAGGTCGATGGGGAAGAATGGGTCTCGAGCGGTTGAAGATGTCGATCCGGGGTACTCCCTTGTCTCTGGATGTGGGAGACGGTTACGTAGGAGATCTGGGAAGACGCGGTATAGCTGCATCAGTCCCGTGCAGCGGTATACCTCGGCCATAGTGAGAAGATGCCAAACGGGGGTTTCTTCATCGCCGGGACTGACGATCTCGGCTTCGGAGGGATGCGCCAGGCCTAGGAGTCTTTCTTCCAGTTCTTGCGCCTTTTTAATGGCCATCCGGGCGCGGGCGATTTCTTCCTGTGAGGTGAATTGTCGCGCGCGAATGCGTTTGCGCTCGCGGCGGACTAATCGGCCCACTTCGTGGACAGTGAATTGCGTGTCTCGCGCGATACCGGTCCATGGATGTGGGATTCGCTGGAGGACGAGTGCTTCGCCCATGGACGAGGCGCGCGAGTCATCCGAAAATACCATTGAGTCATTGTCCGTGACGAACGAGAGTAGCATCTCCCAGTATATAAGAGCCTCTTCGAAAAAGCGGTAGTTGTTGCTGACGCTCTTGGCGAAGCCAAAGTTTGGAGCATTCGACGATGAGGCGAGAGAGTTGACCTGCTTGCGGAGCAGATTGAAGAATGATATTCCCAGATCCTTGGGGTCATGCCAGCTAGCTGTCTGGCCCAGCATGAGTAATGCTAACAGAGCCTTGTCATCCATGACTGCCTCGCGAGTGATAATTTCAACAGCTTCGTCACGCATTTTCCGACCCATCGGGCCGAACTGTGGGAAGTCATTAACCAGCGTTGCTGCGGCCATGCTTTGCATTGTACGGCACATGGCTAGTGATGATCCCCAGAGGCGGGACACGGTCGTGCGGAACGGATTCATCTGGCTGTCATAACTGGAAAATAGGGCGGCGACCTCTTTGAAGTAGTACTCAATGAGTGTCCATGAGGGGTTGTTCAATGATCGAGATATAGTTGCAAAGTCACGCGAAGAGGATCGTTGTGCCTGCGATGACGGTGGGTAGCTGCGGACGATAGTAGAAGGCGAAAAGTCTCGATATACGCTGCAGTTGTTACCACCACTGCCGCCGTTCTCTTCGGCCTGTGGTGGTCCAATCAAGGACAGAAAACGGGATATATCAGCTGCAGTATCCCCCGATGATCCAAAGTCATATACCGAGTCGCGATGCTGCGAAAAGGCCGACACCGACGCCGTCATCGGTGAAGGCGGGCATAGATCCGTCAATTCAGGCAGTGACCCACTACCAGGAAGATCCCAGAGATGATCGCAAAGTCCATTTGGTGCATCAAGACCAAAACTTGATGGATCCAGGCCCTGTGATGCCCCGGCATTATTGTCATCTAATGGCAACGCATTATCTGTCTGCTGCGGTGATGGTCTAGGCGGTTTTACCGACGCCTCTGGACTCTCGACTCTGCCATCTGATAATGCGCCCGGACTGGGTTGTTCATGTTTGGTCACCCAGCGTAAGGACTGGACATACCCAGGACAGCGAACACCTAGACGGGTACACCGGTTACAATCAGGCTTCTCCTCTCCGCACTTGACCTATATTGCCCCGGCAGTTAGATACAGATCGGGGAAGCGAAGCGGAGTCGGACAGATCCGGGGCACAAGCACTGACCCGTTTACTTTTGCATCTGGCGCAGCCGTTGCGGGACTTTTTGACTCTTCGCATCGCGGATGGCTGGGGGATTGTGAAGAACAGGATCCGACATGGTGTGGATGGCACACAAAGTTGAGGGGAGGAAGAGTTGGGGTCGAGTGCGGGGAGACCAACTGGGTGGCTCTGAGCGCTTATCTCGAGTTGATAGGGAACCTTGGGAGTTGGCCGGATTGCTTTACCCTTTTGGGCCAAGCTGTGGCTTGACTGAGTTAACAACTACTCCGTACAAAAGCCATGATTGGTTATAGTTATACACAAAGAGGCACTTGTATCTGGTCGATGACTTGTTCATAGTATTTCTTGGAACCCGATAGATAGTCCAGCAAGGTTTCCAAGATGATTTGTATGACTCTAGGATAAAATTGGGCACAGAAATAGATCTACTCCATAAAGAACCGATAACTTCTAGTCTTTAATCCTTTGTAAAACTCAACTCAGTCAGTTAGATAGATGCAGAAACCAAGTCAATCCTTGGCTGTTCGAATGGAAATATAGTCTCTAGGAGACACGCATCTTGAGGCCTACGAGACAATTGATGAGCATGACAACCAAAAACTTCAAAAACTCTGATAGCTAGCTTCAATAAGTTTCGATAGATTTCAGTCATGAAAAGGACTGCATATAAAAATTGACGCTCATCCAGACTATCACGTCGGTATCGGCACATCCTCCTTGAGACCGAAATGCCGATGCTGACTCAGCCCTGGAGCCCTGGTGATGACCCAGGCCAGTGACGAATCTGGGGAAAGCTGATTCACAGAAAAACAATGGCTCACCTGGTGCGCGGGAACACGGTAAGCACTTACAAAGACTGACTTCCATCTCCAAATATTAATATCCCCAGTAGCTTCGGACAACGAGACTCAGCTCGCGTTATTTCGCAACTGCGAGGCTTAGCGCGCAGCCACAGCTCTCATCCCTGGCCGCGAACCGCGCCGCGCCTCTTACGTACCGATTCAAGGCGCAAGCTTACCGTACACCTCGATTATCTATTCGTGGCTTCCATTCGAGAGGGCCAGCCAGGATGAGCGACATTTCCGAGTTGAAGGAGACCTTGACTCCTGATCTCCTTGAGGAACTTCGCGAGTTTTGGTTCGAGCATATGGAAGCCGACGATGCACTGATCCTTCCTGGCCAGAGTGACATGCAGCGCTGGTTCACCCGAGATGAAACGTTTGACAAGATCTGCATGTGAGTGCATCACTTCTTCATCTGCTAGTTTATTGAATTCGCGATTGATAGTCATCCTTTCGATCAGTGCGCAATTTCAGCCGGCCTTGGACACTATCATTGAGTCTGGCGCATCTGCGACGGATATCCTGGATTCAATCGATACATCATCGCCTCTAAACTGGCTGAGTATCATCCTCCTCTTGGACCAAGTACCTCGAAACTGCCATCGAGGAGACGAGTCAAAGCTTGTATTTGGGCGCTTCGACCCACTCGCTGAAGAAGTTGCTCTCCGTGCAATTGACGCTGGCATCACGACCAAATCCTCCGAAGTGCGATACCGTCTAGCCTATCGATTCTGGTTCCACTTGCCATTGATGCACAGTGAAAACCTTGCCGTACACGAGCAAGCCCTCAAGCAGCACGAGGAGACGGCGAAGGATATGGGCCGGTTCCTCCTCAAGGACGTCTCGACTCTGAGTGAAGATGAGAAGAAATGCTATAGGATTCTGTCGAACAAACAGGATGCCCTTGGTGCATTGTTGACCAACTTACTTGATTTTGAGAAGAGGCATAAGGTGATTATTGAGCAGTTTGGGCGGTATCCTCACCGGAATCAAGCACTGGGTAGAGTGCCGACCGCGGAAGAGATTGAGTATTTGAAGAATGGTGGAGAGACATTTGGTTAATTAGGATTGGGTGGTCTTATGTGAATATCCATTGTACAATCATCTACCAGCTGCATATTAATCAATAATTGGAACCTTCTCCCGCAACTGTCTTTTGATCAACATAAGGCCTGTGATTTCTGAACATCGCTATTTGACGACCCAGACCATGTCAACTTTTTACCCTAAGCATGTTTTTGTTGCAAAATTCTCCAAGATGACGGTTCTGGGGCTTTGGAATGTGAATCAGATCATTTCTAGTTCCAGCAAGGGAGCACACGACATCCCTTGAACCAAACATTCCCGTCCTGCCCTACCACCGTTTCCATTATCCAAAAACGAGAATCGCTCACACAAGCGCTTTCAGTTTTTGTTGGGCCTGTGATGGACAACAATTGTCTTTTTCACGGTCTTCCATGCTCATGTCTTTCATCGGAAGACGTTCAGGGCTCAATATTAGTCAGGTACGACTTTGGTCTAATTATTTGGCCTCGCGTTGACCTCGAGAAAAAGATGAATTCTTTGCTATATTTTGGAATATAGTAAAACTAGATCAATCTACTGCTTATTGTCCACGGAACAATGTCTTCACTTTACGGCCTCTAGAGGATGAGGCCTTTCCACTGAAAGAATATGAGTCGAAAAAATGCGACAAAAATAGCTCGTCTGACTCCATTCCTTATCCGGCAGGGGAAAAGGGGTCTGACCACATCCCTGCCTAGGCTTTTCCAAGTTATCGGGCCATGCCGGTTTCACTGACGTTCGCTAGAGCTATGCGGATAATATTCATTCTCATAGTTGGAGCTGAAAAGTTCATTTGACTGAGCAAACAGCGAGTTCAATATAATGATGCAGACAGAATCGCATTCTCAAAATTGGTCCGATGTACCGAGTGTATTCGAGGACAGTACTGGATCCATATCCCCAGGTTATGTGCTGAATGTGTGGAGTCCCCAGACCAGAGTGGAGAGTAACCGGATGCAGAATATCAGAGTCATGCCTACCGCATTTGTTCATTCAAATAGAAAGATATAGTCATTCATTTCTCGGACATCTCTTCTAGTTCTTGTTTTACGTCTCCTTCACCTACTGGTACGTTTAGTGAATGGTCTGCTTCGCATATATCTCAGTCCATTCCTCCCCGTTACGGAGAGAAAGTGATCTCGTCTCCAAAAGATTCTCAATTGCGATATGAGCGCCCTGCCCCTGTTGAATACCTGTTGCCCATCATGATCGCCCACCGTCAACCTTTCGTACGGCCATTCTTGCTGGCCATATTGGTGGTATCGACATTAGCATCAAAGATCCTGCATTTATTTCAGCATGCGGGCTCGATACCAGCTAGACTCATGGCGGTCTACTTCCCAACTTTCTTCATACAGGAAGTTCTATTATTTGCAGCGACGTGGTTTTTCCTGCAGAAATTCACAGGTTTAAGATGCATTGTGGGATTAATAATCGTGCCAGCTACGGCGTAAGTTAAGACCTGGCATATCTACCATACTAGTCCAATGTTGACTCTTGCCGACAGATTCTTAACATTTTGCCTCTGCTCTTCTCAGCTAAGCTTCTACTTTGTGACTGGAAGTGAGGTCCGCTGGGATGCAGTCACGAGCGTGGGAACTGATGCCGAAGGAAGGAAGCTGATGCTCAGCGGGCTCAAGCCATTCCTGGGCAGTGCATGCATCCTCCTCATCATGTCATGGGTGTTTACAAGAGTATGCTCCGCAGTCTTTGATCAATGGCTATCTGCATTATTCGGTTTTCACTCCCATGGAGATATGCATGAGGAGGCTTCGATCGACGATCAGAAGACCGTTACTCGGAGGAAGCGTCCAGTTCGGCTATGGACTCTGATTGGTTTTGTTGGGACGCTTGTGCTTTTGCTGGTCCGTCCCAAAGTGCCATATAGCCACATGTCAGGCGCTATTCCATTTACTTTCCTCGAGGCATTGGTTTCGAGCTCCCCAGCAGTGAGTCAGCCGGTGGAAAACGCGTTTCCTTTGCCAGAACTCATTAGTGAAGGGCATTGGAAGGCTCCGGATGGATACTTTAAAGGCTGGTCGCCCTACTCTGATTCGGGTGCTACATCTCTGCCAGATTGGGCTTCTGGTCCATTGCCAGCAGGTTTTGAACGCTGGAGCCAAAAGAAGCAGCATGTCGGCGGCGCAGATACAAATGGAGAGACTGGAATTGAGATGAACACGACAGCCAAGAAGAACTACTACGATCCAGTCCACGATCCGTTAAGGATAACCAACCTCGATCGGAAACTGCTAGAGCCATTGGCCCAGGCTTTTAAGGATCACCATGTCCCCATTACTCACGTGGTGCTTGTGATGATGGAAAGCGCACGAAAAGACGTGTTTCCATTCAAGTCCGGCTCACACCTCCATCGTGAGATTCTCAACTCCTACAAGTCCCTAGACCCGGACATGATACACCAATTGAACGCCAACCTATCTCACCTGACACCCATCGCCGAAATACTGACCGGTGAGTCTGGAGGTTTCCCCAAGACCAGACGCGATACGGAATCTTCCCTTTGGAAAGACACTGCTGAGGCTGGCATGGGCGGCCTCAACATCAATGGCGTCTTAACTGGTGCGAGTCTCTCATTCAAAAGCGAGATTATGAACCACTGTGGAATATGGCCGTTGCCAGTGGATTGGATGGATGAGATCACGTCTGATATCTACCAACCGTGCATTATGCAGGTACTGGACTTGTTCAATCAATTCAAACAGCGCTCGGCCGCCGGACCGTCCAGGGACCATCTGGAGCGAAACTGGACCTCCATTTTCGTACAGGCTGTGACTGGAATCTTTGCCGACCAGAATATCCTGAATGATCATCTTGGTTTCGAAAAGAAAATCTATAGCGAAGATATTAGTCAGGAAGGAGCAAAGCATTATCATGATGATATGGAAGAGATCAACTATTTTGGGTCAGTCATTTACAATCGGCTCCAGTTCGGGCACTTGAGCTTGCTGGGTATACTAACTCTTAATAGCTACTCAGAGCGCGAGGTTTATCCATACATGGAAGATGCGATTGATGATGCGATCAAGAAAAATGAGAGATTATTCCTATCGCATTTCACAAGCACAACGCACCATCCGTGGGCCCTACCAAAGGGAGTTCGCAGCGAGCAATACTTCTCCGACGAGAATCTGATGGGGAAGCACGAGGATATGAACAGTTATCTGAATTCCGTTCGCTTCGTGGATGCCTGGCTAGGTGAAATGCTGGGTCTACTAGACAAAAAGGGCATATCGAATGAGACGCTGGTGGTCTTTGTTGGAGATCAGTAAGTCCGGCTATCCTAGAGCTCACTCGCGGCTCTCCAAGAGGCCGTGTATAACTAACAACAATTCCAGCGGCCAAGCCTTCCAAGAAGACTCGCCAGTGACAGGATGCTATGGAAACGGTCACATTAGCAACTTCCGCGTTCCTCTCGTCTTCAGACATCCACTGCTGCCCAAGATCCAAATCACAGCCAACGCAACATCGCTATCCATCATCCCGACGATTCTCGACTTGTTAGTGCAGACCAAATCGCTCAATGAGAATGACTCGGGAATTGCGTTGAACCTGATGAATGAATACGAGGGCCAATCGCTTATTCGCCCATACAAAGCCACGGACGACGGGCGACAAGCCTGGAATTTTAATATTATTTCCCCCGGAGGCGAGATGGTCAGCGTTGGGTCGGCCGCTGTACCGTATCGACTGATCTTACCGTTGACACAAGAGTTTGAATTTGTGTTTTCTAATCTAGATACGGATCCTGATGAGGTGAACCTTTTGCGGGGATGGTCAGTGGAGGACTTGGTATCGCAGGTCAGGAGTGTCTATGGAGATAAAGCCGGGCAGTGGGTGGCTGAAGCTGAGAAAGTGGGCAAGTGGTGGGTTGGGGAGACCAAGAGGCTGTATAACCATGCCGAGTGATCTATTGGAATCCAATCATGATGTATATTTCGTTGACTCTATCCATAATCGTGTAAAAGAAGAGAAGATGAATGTCAAGCGAGTCGATTGTTCTCCGTTTCTTTGTTTCCGCCTCAGGCCGCAAACTCGCCCCACCTTTCACCTCCCAGAGAAGGCGACGGACTTCAACAACTTCCCTGCTCGATAAAGTCTACAACTCACCTTCTTGCGTCGATTGAACGTGCCTAAAGGCAAATTGGGTTGAGGAACAACCCCATCAGTCTCGCCTTTTTGCAGTCAAGTCGCTACATCTCGTCGCAACTAGCATCTCCATCTCCCGAACGATACCCCCGCAGATTTGATATCGCGGACAATCAAACTCTCCAAGATGGCCGAGGGCTATGCCAATGACCCCGAGTGGGCTAACATCACTCCCATTGAGCTCGACGATGGCTCCGAGTCCGGTGCCATGCCGCTGGCCACCATCGCCTACCCAGACGAGTACCTCGAAGCAACATCTTACCTGCGGGCCGTGATGGCCGCGAATGAAATGTCCGAACGGGCACTGAAGTTGACCAAAGATGTGATTTCGATGAATCCCGCACATTACACCGTCTGGTAAGTGAAATCAACGCAATCATCTTCTTGAAAGCATATTCTTACATTCAATCAGGATCTACCGTGCCAAGATCCTCTTCGCCTTGGATAAGGACCTCACCGAGGAACTCAACTGGCTAAACGGAGTTTCTCTCAAATACCTCAAAAACTACCAGATCTGGTAATCAACCTACAAAGCCTCTCTCTCAAACAAGCGCAAAAACCTAACGTATCGTGCCAGGCACCACCGCCAAGTCCTAATCTCCTCACAAACACACTTCCCAACAATGCCCCCCAAAGAACCAGACTTCCTCATGGAAATGTTCGCCCAAGACTCCAAAAACTACCACGTCTGGACATACCGCCACTGGCTAGTCCGCCACTTCAAGCTCTGGGACTCACCCCGCGAACTCGAAGACGTCGAGGCTCTCATCAAAGCCGACGTCCGCAACAACTCCGCCTGGAACCACCGGTACATGCTCCGCTTCGGGCCCCGCGATGACGTGCCCGATGCGGGAATGGTGAACTCGGGAAATGCCGATATCAGCCCGGAGGAGAAGGGCCGGTTGCCCGTTGTGGATGAGGATTTGATTGATGCGGAGCTGAAGTATGCGCAGGAGCAGATTTTGCGGGCGCCGGAGAATCGGAGTCCGTGGTGGTATGCGCGTGGTGTTTTGCGGGCAGCGGGGAGAGGATTGGGAGAGTGGGAGGGGTTTGTGGGGATTTTTGTTGATGGGGGAGGTGGTTAAGAGTAGTCATGCGGTGGAGTGGTTGGCTGATGTTTATGGGGAGGGGGAGAAGGGGAAGGCTGTTGAGATGTTGACCTTGTTGAAGGAGAAGTATGATCCTATTCGGAAGAATTACTGGGATTATCGGATTCGACAGTTGGGAGAAGTTGTGTGATTCTGCTTTAAGGTGGAATGTGCTTTATTACTTATGGTGTTCAAGTCATATGTGAAATTTGAAAATGTTTCATATTAATTCTTCCATTCTTTTCTCTAGTAAGGACAAGCTACCCTGTATGCAAATGACAATTAAAAAAGAAATGCAAAATTCGTAACATGATCCAAAGACATCAGAGCCATAGTGCACAATACTCATGCGTGAGAAAGCAAGGGACAAAAAGAGGTATATAAGAGCCAGAAAACGAAACAATAAGAACCGAGAAAGGAAATCTTTATCAACATGACATGATGGTTTAAACCCAACCCTCCGACAACAGCCGTCTATACTCGCTGGCCATGTCGATCGTAACATTACTTCCGCCGCAGACGACGATGACAACCCTGCTCTGCTCGTTGAGGTCCGGCATCAACTGCTTGAGCTTGGAGTTCAGAACGGGGGAGGCCGACTTGGTGCAGTCGCCGACCTCCGGTTCCATCTCAGGATCGGTCTCGACATCATTATCCGTCGTAGACCATCGGTCATCCCCGTAGCCCTCATCCCGGTCGGGGACAGACTCGTTGGGACCCCTCTTCCGCTTCTTGATGCTTTGACCCCCGGCCACGGCGTTCGCCGATGCGGAGGCTTCGGCAGCGGCAGCGGCGGTATCGCCAATAGCCGCCTCGACGCAGACACCACAGGCCAGCTCGACGAGGAGTCGCTCGTCGTCTGCGAGACGGAGGACGCCTCGGGCAGCTTCAGCGTCCGTGAGGACGGCGCTGTGGACTTTGATGCCGGGTGGGGGAGCAACGGCGTACTGGAAGGTGGTTTCCGATACACGAATGGCACCAAGGGAGGTAGCCTGGGATGTGATCTTTGGGAGGGAGACGAGAGAGTTATTAGCGATGGCAGCAGCTAGTGAGTCCGTGCCGTCGGTTTCGATGGCGAGCAGGTGAATAGGGCTGGGTTCCGTGGCCACAGGGCGAGAGGAGTTGGTATCGGAAGTAGTGATGTCCATGTATGCGTGACCAGTGGCAGATGAACCTCCCTGGACGACCTGTTTCTGAGAGCGACGCTTCTCAAGGCCCATCACGATGCCGTTGAGTAGACCGCCGCCGCCAACGCTGCAGAGGACTGCATCCAGAGGGAGAGCCCGCCCGCGGTAAACTTCCTCTTCGTCAGAGTTGGCAGGAGCAGGGAGTTGCTTCTCCAGCTCGTCGATGATAGTGCTGTTTCCCTCCCAGATGGGTTGGTTATCGAACGGGTGCAGGGCAATCTTAGCCACGTCGTCGTCGTCACCGGAGCTAGTCTTCATGATGACGTCCTTCATGTATGAGCCAGCCTCGAAGAACGTTTCTCCGTGGCGGATAACGTCCGCAGCACCGGCTGCCCTGAGCTTCTCAATCATCAAGGGCTTGGTCGATAGGGGCACAACCACGGTGCAAGGGTATCCCAGGCTGCGGGCAGCACAGACAGCTGCCAAGCCGGCGTTTCCTCCTGATGAGGCATAGAAATGAACCCGGCGGTTGGCATATTCGGGTTTGCGGAGATGGGAAAGAATCTGGTTACCCATAGCACGGGACTTGAAAGAGCCGCTAGGCTGGACATTCTCCAGCTTAAGGAAAATGCGGCATCCAGCAGCACGAGAGAGAGCGGCCGACTCGACGAGAGGAGTCTCAATCCATGGCGTCTTGAAGTTTGGCTTGTAGTCTTCGGCGGAAGGAATGAAGCTTCCCATAGCGGCGGTGTTGAAGTCGATAAGGGAGGAGAAGGGAAAAAAAAGCCTTCAGTCGAAAGCGATCGATCGGATGGAAAGGAACTGTGTCAAGTCAAGTGTTAAGACGACGAGACAATTCCACCCAAAATAAGAATATGTTTTGGATGAATGAAGGCGTTACACGGTCAGCGGGTGGAGTATAAAATCCCAAAAATAGAGGGAGATGGCAATGAAATCCGTTGGATGGAAAAGACAGCAGAAATCAGAGAGAAAAATAAAATAAATCCTTTGCGTTTCCAGAAGACTCATTAGTATACAAATAATAGTGACTTGTTTTGATATACAAACGGAGAGCGAGCCACTTGGGTTTTCCGACGGGAAACGGGCGACTTTCCCGACCCGATCAGCCCGTCAGTTGGAGATAGGCCGCGCTTCCACGGTTCTGGCCCATTCTTTCCCGCCGATAACCTTGCGGATATCGCCAATCACGGCCTAGTCAGCCATTGTATACAGTGCGCCCCCAGCCGGGGTCACACTGGAAAACCTGGCAACTCACAGTCCGCCGTGTGGAGGGGGCGACCCGGGAAGTCTTCTCAATGGAGCTGTTACGCCTGGTCGGAGATGATGTAAAGCTTTATTCGAACGGGTCTTGCGGTGGGTCATGATTGGCCTTTGGTGCATTCTTCTTATCAAATCGAAAGCTCGGTGCCCACGGCCATTACTCCTCAGTGAGTAAAGGAGGGAAAAGCATGCCTTTCTTGATGCCTTCACCGTAATCTGGATCTGATCCGTAGACCGTGGCCGAAAATGCCCGTTTGGCAGGGTTGGAAGTATCTACGCGAAGAATGTCGAGAAGTTCTTGTGACTTGTCGGGCATGAACGGCTGAAGCAGAATCGCAGAGATGCGAAGCGATTCAGCCACGTTGTAAAGGACCCATTGGGGGTTGGCGCTTTTCCACGGCTCCGCCGCATGGAAGTATTTGTTAGTCTGAGGGGAGGCAAAGGAAAAAATCAAATAGGTTAGCCACTTCTCCGACGGTCGTGCGGGGATTGGAGAGGGTCCCAATGTTTCTTTTTTTGGCTTTCCCTACATACCTTCTCGATTATGCTCATAATTTCCTGCAGCGCGGCACGCGGATTGAGTCCGGTCATATGCTCGGCAACTTTCAGCGGTGTGGCAATCAGCATGGCCTGGTGCAACTCATCGGCGGTGGATGCAGCCGGAAGCTTATCAGACGTGGCATCTTGGATATACGAGTGCAACTTGCCCTTTGCACACCCAATTGTGCGATAGGCAAGGTTACCAATACCGCCTTGAAGCCATTTCTTATAATCGCGAATAATGAAGGAATTGTCATAGTCTGCATCATCTGACAGACCTCCTTGATAAGCGAGGAAGAATCGCATTCCATCCACACCGAATCGGTCGATGGCAAAAAACGGGTTGACCACATTACCAGTAGACTTGGACATCTTCTCGCGATTCATTGTCCAATGTCCGTGCACCAGAACGTTCCGAGGGAGAGGAAGGTCCAGGGCCATGAGGAAGGCTGGCCAATAGACGCAATGGAAGCTAAGGGGGGTGATGATCAGCTGCACGTTCGGGTTTCTCAGGTCTAGACAGGTCATAGCGTGGCGCTTACCGAACGATGTCCTTCCCGACAACGTGAACGTTGGCAGGCCAGATAGATGATTTTTCCTGCCCAGGAGGGAAAGGGTATCCTGCAAAGGTGAGGTAATTGACGAGTGCATCTAGCCATACATAGATGGTTTGGGTGTCGTCGCCGGGAACCGGAATACCCCATGTCAGTCGCTCAGCTGGTCGAGAAATCGAGAGGTCTGTCAACCCGGAAGAAACCGACTGGATGACAGCAGTTGCATACTTTGACGGCGTGATGAACGAATCCGGTCGGTTATACAACTCCAGCAGTCGATCCTGGAAAGCAGAAAGCCGGAAGTGATAGTTAACTTCAGACGACCATTCCACCTCTTTGCCAGTTTCCATCGAGACCTGCCAGGCTGGTGAGCCGCTTTGAATGATGTGAACAAGCCACTCGATAACTTACCATCCGCTTCCTGCCCGTTGTTGGGTCCAAAGAATTCTGTACTTGTGTCTGCGGATAGAATGTCTCGTCGCTGACTGAATACCATCCCTCATGCTTGGATGTATAGATGTAACCACGGTGATTCAACATTTCCTATGATCTCGTCAATTCTGTCCGAACCAGCCAACGGTCGGATCTGCCTACCCAGAAGTATTGAACGGCGTCACGGTGGGATGCATCGGTAGTTCGAATGAAGTGATCATTATTGAGGTTCGCAGCTTTGGCTAGAGACTATAACATGCAAAGCATTAGTGAGACATCTCTCCACGGCTTGGCGGGAAGGTATGCCTACCTCGAAGGTCCTGCAGTTCATATCGCAGAAGGCTTGTGTATCCATCCCAGCTGCCAGAGCAGCCTGCTGAATCTGCGAGGTACCGTCAGTAGACGGCCCAACAAAGGTGCATCCTATCTCTCTACCTTCATCCCGTGTTCATCGGTGCCGGTCAATAATTTAGCATCGTTGCCGAGTAGAACCTGCCATCGTTTGAGGATATCGGCGATGACCATGGTGTAGAAATGTCCGACATGGGGGGCTAGACATGTAGGAGGAAATTTTCAGAAAAAATCGATTCAATTTGTAGGCTGTTTTGAGAAACTCACCGGCATTGACGTAGAAAATCGGGGTCGTCACATAGAAGGGCTTCTTAGGAGCCTCCGGAGTTGTCGCGAGTCCGCGATGGAAGCGCCTAGGGACGCCACTCCTGCATGCTGAGCAAGTCCACGGTCGCCTTGCATTGATAAGCTGTGAAGCCCTCGAGAGGGAGCGAAAGGCACTTCGTGGGGTGGTCATTGTCTGGTTTGCGGAAGAAAGAAGTGAACGCGGAGGTCGTATGTTATTCCGCAATGTCCATTCGGAGTGGCCCAAGCTCCGCCCGGCGCATCTTTTTTCCTGCAGCCTCCACATTCGAGTAACTCGTTCACTCATCCACTCATTCACTACGAATCGCAACTCTTTCAGCTCATACTGCTCCAGATACATTGAGTTTGGACCCTTGGTTTGAGACAGAACTGCGTACCACAGTCAACCTCCTTGGACCATCATCGCGCCTTTTCAACATCTGTCTATTCGACTACACTGGTGCTTATCATAATGGCCACTGCAACTGATGATACCTTGACCAAGGTGTCTACCGAAGGTAAATCCTTACCTTGGACCTCATTATGAGAAAATTTGCTAATTATGTCCGTATGTAGCTGCCACCGAGCTGATCAACAGCTTCTACCCTGCGCTGAAGAACGACCGCAGCTCCATCGCCTCTTTCTACCTTCCTACACCCACGAGCATCCTCTTCAACGGCAACACGGTCGCCGATGGCGCCGCTGTCCAGGATATCTTTCTAAATCAGATGCCCGAAGCATTCTACGAAGTGCTGTCCTTTGACTGCCAGATCATCAACCGCGCATATCCGACCACAACCGCCACAGGGATCAAGCCAACTTCCGAGATGACCGTCAAGGACATGTCTGTCCTCGTCATGGCCAGTGGAAATGTGCGGTATGGAGAGAACCGCGACCAGCCCGCGCGCGGGTTCAGCGAGACCTTTGTGCTGGTTCCAAACCCGAGCTCGGATCGCAAGCGCCGGCGGGACTGGCTGATTCAGAGTCAGAATTTCCGTCTGGTTGTCTAATTTTACTGTCGGGTGAGGATACTGTGGGCAGGGTGAAAGCACCCAGACGTGGGTGAATATGATAATCATGAGCTGTTACGATATTACGAGGTATTGGAGCCTTCGTGCTCCGTCGACATGTACAAATAGATGAACATGACCATTCAAATTGGATAAAAAAAATGTCATTCAGAGATATTGCATAGGTCGTAACATAGGTAATGAGCCGGGGAATCAATTCGAAACGATCACAAGTCATCTTTACGTGAGAGATTGAAGACCACCTCTTCGGCACCATTAAGACTGCGAGGCTGAAGATTGCGTCTTGCGTGGTATGCGTAGATTGGCCTTGACTCTTTCGAGCAGTTCTTCGCGAGTCGCTTTATCGCTAGGTAGAAGACCCCTCTGCACAAGCTCGTTAGTCTGGGGATGAAAGGGTATAATATATATCCCAACAAGTATATCAGAGCAAAATGAGGTCCAACTTACTGCGCGCAGCCATCTTCTCATTTCATCTTCAGTCCACGTTTCGGGATCTAACAAGGTTAGCTACTAATTGACCACGACTTATCATATATGGCTTGTTTACCTCCTTTGGGATCAGCCTCTGCAGGAAACACGTCGCTTCCCCAGATTGACCAGGCTGCCACGGCGGTCACCATGCCCGCGAAGCCTGAATATTGGTCAGCTGTGCGTTGTAGGCGATATCAAATAAGCGTTTCACAAGCGCACCAAGGAACAGATTCTAGGGTTTGTTAGTGAATGTTCATAGGTTCAAACATGGCGCTGCGTACCTGGGACTTCAAGGCGCGATCTAGTGGAGTCGGCATCTTGACGTAAGTTGGGATGAGTTACAACACTTGGAAGTTGCGCTGTGGTTGACCAAGTAGAATCCCGAAGAAAAGATAAAGTATGATATTTGATCTTCGATAGCAGGAATAATGAGAACAATAAGATAATGACAATAGCAAGATTTTTGATGCGATCTGTCCAAGTAGGTTTGGACAGCTTGACCACTCACTCAACAGCTGCACCGCCACCGACGCCACTCGACGACAGGCAGCTCCCTTCCTTCCATGGCCCGAACTTTATCCAAATGGATGTCTATACTGGGTACACCTGGTAGTGCCTTCCAAGTAACTATCCCGAATTAAAGTAAATTCAACACTCTTTCTGTAAGAACACAAAGAAAAGTGTGTAGTCTGTAGTCTTCTATTCATCCCTAGATACGATCATCCAGTCTTTACATGCATTGTTATCCTAAGGACTCCGCGTCTCGACGCCTCCTCGAGCTGGACCCGCAGTGAATCATTTTATTTGAGCCCATTGCCGTTTTGATATGGAGGCTGTCACTGTTTTGGCTTCGTTTACGTTCATGCTCGCACTCGGCGTGGCTGTGGTCACTGGGTAAGGCTTCGTCTCCATTGAACTGCAACCAGACATGCTTGCTGATATAATGCAAATCCGTCCAGAATCACATTCTGGAGAAAGCACCGAATCCAATTCAAAATCACAGACAAAGACCGACCAATTCATGAGCGAGGACGAACTCGAGACCGTGACCTGGAAAGCGCCGAGCAAGATATCATACAAACCCCGGCGCCGTGCCTCCATCCGCGACTGGAAAACTTGCACAATGTGCGGCGGTGGCCAACATACCCTCTAGACAGGTCAAACATATCAGTTCAGCCACAAGTCAGCCCCATCGCCAACACCTTCACTCCCTTCACAGCAGCCACCATTCCCGAGGATCCGGTCGAACGCACTGCAACTCCCGCGACCGTCAGCCACTTTGTACCCGCCACGTATCCACGTGACTTACAGGGCTTTCCGAGGCAGAAACCCTAATCCGATAGATCCACACAACATTTGCTCAAGGACAGCGACCCTTTCTCTCTTATCGCACCTCATCAGCATCAAACCGTCACCATGCCTCGCGAAGTCTCCGATATCAAGCAGTTCATCGAGATCTGCCGCCGGAAGGATGCCTCCTGTACGTGCCGCCGATACTGATCCGATTGAAGGTCGATCGAAAAAAAAGCTTGGGGGAGGAATGGAACTCATTGTCTGGAACCTCGAAAAACTGACCCTTGAACCCGAATCTTAGCCGCCCGGATCAAGCGCAACCGCAAGAACCAGCAGACCAAGTTCAAGGTCCGCTGCGAGCGCTTCGTCTACACCCTCGCCCTGACCGACTCCGCTAAGGCCGACAAGCTGAAGCAGTCTCTCCCTCCTTGTACGTCACCTACACACCCCACACCCGTTTGGCCATTATCCGTGATACGATCAGGAGGATAGGTGCATTACGATGCACTGTGGACTACCTTGCAAAATGCCGGCACCAATTACGAATCCCTGCTAACCTACAATCTCTCGCTACAGCCCTGAAGGTCGTCGATGTTGCCAAGGGTGACAAGAAGAAGCTGTAAATGTCGTGACAATGAAATGAATGGAGGCTCAGAGTGCGGCGCGATTGGTTGTCGATGAAATGCTACAACAACAACAACTGTTGGAGGGACACATGGCATGGGCTTGATCTCTCTGCGGGCCGACACGGGGATGGCTCCGACGGCGCGGAGCTTTTCCGTGCTGAGGAGGGGGTTTTGTTTTCTTTCCAGACCTATCCTTGCGTCTGTACGCCGCTGTGATATTTTCCACCGGTCAGACGACTCGCATTTTCCGGACACTCACAAGAAAAAGGAAACGCTTTTGTCGGAGCTTTTCAGTCCCTTACGCTTCAATGAAAAAAACAGTTGAAATATCCTTACTGGGGTTGGAGTTGTTGTGGAAGCGAGTCTCGCCCTTGTTTATTATTCTGACATGAATGCTTTCTTATGATCGTACTACTCCTGGAAGTCATCCGTCATTAATCACCTTGTGTGGTTTCTCGTATTGCTCAATCTAAAAGAGTGGGATGGAAAGCTATATAGAATCGGTCACGCCTGGAAGAAGCCGGCGCAGGGGAGTTCAGTAAGGCCTCCCAGCCCTCAGTCTCCTTCTTAGTACATGCTCCTCGTAATCACGAATCACCGTCTTGGGATCGTCTTCAGTACTAAGGGAGTACAGAAAATCGACCGACCCTTCGACACATTTGACCATGCATTTGACGGAAACCCACAGGGCAACGCAGAACAAAGCAAAAACAGGCATAGGAAGACATATTTCGAAATATCTGCGGTAAATCGGTCGTTTATTGACGACGCTATCATAGACGAAGACCGTATATTCGAGCATAGTGCCCACGAGCCACATGAGGATCCAGCCGATGGCATAGAGAGGAACGGCTACATGCTCTGAGAATGTACCTAGAGTGGTGATTTTCTCAGGATTGGAGTTCGAGGCGTATTGGCGTTCCATTGTGGAGGTAGTGCTGATTGAATATTGTTGGTATGAGGGTTTTGGGGAGAAGTCAGTTTGAAGGCAGTATACCCAGGATAGAGAGTTCGAGAGCGGTGGTGAAATGATTTAATCGAGGAGATGAAAAGCCTCTTTTGTAGTTTACTTCAAAATATTCTAATCATGTTATAAACCCTGGTCTCTTGCCTCGATCTATTTTTTCTATCTCATCAATGAACTTTGTCACTTCAAATCCCTTTTCAATTTCTTTGATGCGAAAATATGCACTTCCTTGTACCAAGTCCTCGGTCTGAGGATTGGCGCTCGAGTGGACGAGGTTTCTTTGATACAATGGTTTTGTCTTTTTTTAGTACTCGACTACGATCTTTGTTACTTTCTTCGAGACACTTTGAATGTCATTGTGGACAGCCACGGAATGTCTCGGCCTTGAAATAGGATGTGCTAATAATGCTCAGCCATTGAACACGCCCCTTTGTTCGGCTTATAGTTAATAAAAGAATTTGATCAAGGTTATATTTGATAACAATGACTTTCAAGTCCTGGCAACTCTCACGAAAGCCCTTTGTCCATGGACTTCACACTTAGCTACATAACTCGGCTTGATGCCTGGGTTGAAGCCTCACTAAACACCATCCTCATCCTTTCCTACAAGTTACAAAAGATATCAGCTTTCCACCTCCCCTGTATCTTCCTAGATAACCCTTTCTCCGCCAATACCCAGCAATCTCATCCAAAATGGAGTGTACCTCCATGGACATCGACTCTCCAGGTGAGTACGACTTCAAATTCGACCCCATGCAGGATCAAAAGCCCGTTCGCTTTCCATACAACCATCCCGCCTGGACTGAGAATCGCGAATCCTCAAACCAAGCAAACAATACAGGTATGTTGAGCGCTTTGCCTCTTGACGTCTTTTGGACTATGCTCGACAAATCTCTTTTCGAACATGGTGATCTTACCCTGCAGCATGACGCATTCCACTCACTCTTCAGCCTCTCTCAGGTAGACCCTCGGTCAAACCAGTACGTTGAGGAGTATATTTCCCGCCGCCAGCCACAGCACTTCCTTCGTCGCGAACTGGGAGATATTGAGACTCTGCCCTACAACGAAGGTGACAACAATCAGAGCTGGTATCCAGGACAGCGGCACCACTTCCCTCCCAACGCCGCTGATGATTTCCTTGGACGAGTCATTCAAGCGGACTGCCCTTCCTGCTTTGCCTATCTTCTGAACTACTTTGAGCTGGATATCGGGAACTGCAACAAGTCTGGCTGGAGCTTTGCCTCTCTCGCTCTTATTAACCAGTCCGTCAAGATCCTGAAGTACATGCTCAACCATCCGGGCTCGTTCCACTCTTTGGCAATTCTTCTTCTCGGTCCCGCAAATATCAACTTCCCTCGGCCCACTCCCCTCGGTTTTCTCGGCCAATGCGGAGACCGAGAGTATCTAGATCAAATTTTGTATCTCGTGGGAGACCGTTTTGCTAACCTGCGACTTCCTAGTGTTGTTGACGGCGCTTTTACTGATGATGAGATCATTTGGCTATGCTCTTATATAAGCCCAAACCAGGCCCGGCGGCTTCAGGAGCTGGGCGTCCCCATTACAAACCGCCACGACCCGGAAACTAAATTAACTTCTTGGCATGGTGCCGTTGCGAACGGTAAGGATTTCTTGGAATACATGAAGCTAACTTCGCCCTTGAACCCCTATGAGATAGATGAGGAAGGACTCTCACCCTTGGGCTTGGCGGTATCCCAAGACAGAGTCCATGCGGTTAGGTGGTTCAAGAAGCACGGTCTAGCTAATGTTTCACAGGAATATGGCAAAATCACAGAGCTTACAATCGCGATGCAGCAGACCTCGGGGGAGAGCCTGTGTATTGTTCAGGAGCTTCTTCCAAGTGAACCTGGTAAGTATCTACCCCGAGTCTGCGCCGCTGAACTGATGCACCACATTGTCCTTGCCCTGCATACGAAGGACATCCAGATGCGAGGAACTTTGGGAGATGAAGACTACGAGGGCTGGCGACAAGTGAGTGAAATGATTGCAATTGAGAAGTGCAAGAATGTTTGGGCCTTGTCGGGTACGAAGGACCCGGCTCGTGATGGCTCTTATCGAGAATCGGCGAGCGAGCTGGAATTCACCAAGAAGCATTATAAATATGCACGGCAAATTGCTCAGTTGATTCGATTCAAGGACTTGGCAAAGTGGATATATTCTCGGTCTGAGAGACTTTAAGGGTATGTACTTTTTTGTTCTTTGTTGTGTTTACTGATTAACAATATCGAGATCCTTTTGTTTTACGTTTTTCATTAACAATACGAATTTCAAATTATCAATAAACTAGATTATGTCACCCCGTATATTAAATGCTGTAGACTTCTGATCGGCCGTTGAAACTAGAATACAAGTTTGAAACAACTACCGTCTCATTCCAAATCCCGAGAATCTGATACTTCATTGCATCCGGCTATTTGCAAGCAAAACTATCTCCATGATATACGTCATTGAGCAATGAAAGCTGCAGGAGTTACCCTGTAAATTTAATCAGACTATTAAACACCCCAGGATCCTAGGGTGACGCTGGATATTTGACATACAAATATCCTCGAATGATCTGTCGCACTAGCATAAACCCCGTTGATCATTGCTCTTCAGGCCACGGACCGGGCACATTATACTACAACTCCGCATTGCTTGGCACGTTGCACCTCTCTTAGCCATTATCTGATCGATCCGGCTGATCAACACGAATTGCCGGTCATTTTATACTATCGGCCCGTGGCCCCGGATTATCACTGCATACCACCACACACAGCCCCAGTCCATCAGCGCCTTTTCTCCGCATTTTGCCAACATTCATAGATTTTAGCCACTTGCAAGTTTCTCTATTCTTCCATTGTGTCGGGATCAGCCGTAGGGACGTGCTGAAGAAGTGGCTGTTTGTAGGTGGGCCAAGACCCACTGGCTGCAGAAGGGGTGAAACGAGGCCCATTTTATGAAGAGACTGGTCAAGACTCCGGGTAATGTCCGCGAGACTATTCCAGTATCAGAACGGAAGTTTTGCAGTCAATCAGGAGTTAGGGCTGGAGATGGGCAGTTCTAGACATCTGCCATGGCATATAAAGAGGCCCAGAATATTCCAGTAAAACCCTCCTTCTGAAGTCAAATCATCAGCCTGAAACCCTCAAAAAGGACTCCTTGCACAGAGCGGAATTATCATGGTTTTGTCAAAGATTGCTACTCTTTCTACCATCCTGGCCTCCGTCTCTCTGGTGGCAGGTCATGGTTATGTCTCTAGTATCGTGGCCAACAGCCAAAAGTATGTCTACCTCACCTTCAAGTTATCAGACACACCCTTACCAATAATTCAGCTACACCGGCTACATCGCTGATTCCTACCCCTACATGTCCGATCCCCCCGAGAGCGTCGGCTGGGCCACAACCGCCACCGATCTCGGCTTCGAAGACGGCGCAGAATACCAAGCCCCAAATATCATCTGCCATCGCAACGGCACCAACGCAGCCCTCTCAGCCACGGTCACCGCAGGCTCCAAGATCGATATCCAGTGGACACCATGGCCGGACTCACACCACGGCCCGGTCATCACATACCTAGCCTCGTGCAACGGCGACTGCAGCACAGTCGACAAGACTACACTCGAATTCTTCAAGATCGATGCGATCGGTTTGATCGATGATACCACTCCACCCGGTACTTGGGCTACTGATCAGCTCATTGCGGCTGGGAATCGATGGACTGTTACGATTCCTAGTAGCATTGCGTCGGGCGGGTATGTGATGCGGCATGAGATTATTGCGCTTCACTCGGCCAGTCAGCAGGATGGGGCGCAGAATTATCCTCAGTGCTTGAATTTGGATGTCACTGCCGGTGGTAGTGCGGCGCCTGAGGGGACGCTTGGTGAGGCGTTGTATACTGATACTGATCCGGGTATTCTGATCAACATCTATACTGCTCTGACCAGCTATACTATTCCCGGACCGGCGCTTTACAGCTCTTGAACCCTCTCACCAAGGACTATCAGGAATGAGCTGGCTGAATTCTGAAATGTACTTGCTTGTGGTTTATGATTCCTCTTTTTGTTATCTCAGTGAGCGAACTCTTGTCTTGTGTTTGTTAGGTCAAGAATCTGGATTTCTTCACCAATAAGCAGCCATATGTCGGACAGTATCTTATATCTCTAGTCTATTCTTTCCGCGTATAAAGTACCTCCCGATAATCATTCACACCAGCCCCTGTGAGCATCTCCTGAACAGACCCCATCTCCAACTCCGACCTCCTCAACTCAAACTCCCCAAAGAAATTCGGCTCAACCGAAACCTTCTTAAACCCAAGACTCTCAAACAGCGCCAAACTCCGAGAATTCGCCTGTCCAATCTTAACACTCAAACAAGAGAACCCCAGACTCGCCCGCGCAGCTCTCAACTTGCCCACTGTCTCTGCATGCATATCGGCATTCACAAATTCCTCAATGATAGCGGTTTGTCTTTCAACAATATACAGCAGGAAAGTGAGCAATGCGGCTTTGCCAAAGCCTCGTCTTTGATTCACTTTCTCGGCGATCATAAGCTCGATTTCTCCGACTATTTCGGGCGGTGCATCTCCATCTTCACCGTCGTCCACGCGAAGAAAGAGATTTATATCTCCGACCATGTTTTGGGAGGAATCACTCTCGGCAGATAGTTGGATAGATTGTTCGCTGGGCGAAGAGACTGGCCGGCAGACGATGAATGTGAGCTTATCGGCATCTTGGCGCCAGCTACACTGCATGGCATATTCCTCTTCGAGAGATAATGGTTCTGAGGCAGTTGCTTCTTGGATTTCCTGGCCACAAGGGTTAGATTGCTTTGCCTAGGCTTGTGATAGGTTGGTTTGATCGCGGCTGAGCATTGCCTACCTCGTCCTGCATCCACTCATGGTAGCGGGGAACGTGCCATGTCGAGTACGGGACTAAGAGAACTTTGGAAGTTGAGAGGGCTGTTTTATTTCATCAGAGACAGGTCATTTTAATTAGCTCGTACTGGGCATCATTTTTGGGACGTAGGCCTGGAGTATAGAAAGGACACTGGGATGAATAGCGCGTACCGGTTTCAGCATTGAGCAACATGATCGCGGTACCCTTTGCAAGGTGTACTCGGAGTTCTTGGGAGATCTTAAATCTCCGTCTTCGTGACCGGGGATATGATATTCCTTTTCTATTTAGGCACTTCGACTGTTTCGCGGAGAACTTGTCGGGACGAAAATCCACCTCGAGCCGATTCTTGCACTTGTGGGGCTTGGCAAAATTGTGAGCCGCCAGCGCCAGGGAATAATCTCATCAATGCCAAAGTAAATAGAAAAGCATACCCAACATTGGAGCTTCGGATATTTTGCAAAGAATGCAGAGATGATATCATGTCATTACAAAATATAACCTCTTGAATGCTATGTCTATTAATTTACTTTTTCTCCTCCTGGCCTGCAAAAGTACCAAACCGGATTACTTCAACCTCCAGGCTCTCAGTGTCCACCAAGACCAACTCCCCCGTTTCATTGAACTTGGGAATCGACAGTAATCGTACACGACCCGCGGTAGGTTCACCGGCAGAATCTGTCATTTCGGTATCACCATCCAGCCGGAAGGGAGCATCGGCCTCGATCACAGCAGTCTTGAAGGAAGGCTGGTTGCCCGTGAAAAAGATATGAGGAGATGATTCCAGAACGAACGGGTCAACTGTTTGGAAAGGATAGGACCCTAGAGGTGCTGTTAGCGTGTAATCGCCAATGGAAGGGAAGAAACAAAAACATACAGATTGTGTCAGGTGCCGTGGGGACACCGCACCGCCATCGAAGCATGGCCTCCATGATTCGTAGCCGAGCCTCGGAATCATCTCTTTCAGCCGTAGGGTCGACGTCGTCGGCTGGGAAGTCCAAGTATCGGAGAACATCATCCACGTTCTGGCCACTGCAACCCCAAAGTCGCCATCCTTCTACATCACCCTCCCAGGGATTTGACACGCTGTCGAACCATCCAACTTCCTGCTTGTTCTCATCAGATGGCGGAGGCGCGCAGTACGCACGGGCTTGCGGGAACATTGCCCGATGAATCCCTTGTTGAGGAAGAGACACGTTTGCGGGGTCCTTCTCACCGGCCATCAGAGTTACCGGGATGCTAGGCAGGATCTCTGCCAGGAAGTTGTCGAGTTGGGTAATGGGCGATGAGTTGTAGGCAGAGGCATCGTAGCCATATTTCTTGGGAGCCAGCTTCTTTTTAGCTGCATTGTCAGAACCCGCTGACGCTGCATCCGCGGTCACGCTAGCCCCAAGTGAGTTGCCTGCAATGATGAGTCGTGTGATTCGCGATGCATCCGCACTGCCATCAATGCTCGTATAGCCGAGAAGATAGTCTGTAAGAAGCTCCAAGGCAAGCGTATCGCTTGATGTACCGGTAATGCCTAGCCCACTCACAAAGGCGATCTTTCCCGATCCCTTTGATGCGTCTTTGCCGCTTTGCTTTGACTCCGCTGTTGTAGCCTCGTCTCGCTCCCATCGTTTGGGTTGAGGCGCTAGATCAGGGACCTTGATGTCGATAACCTCAAACTCTCCGTTCACGGTCTCAGTTCCCAGTGCAGCGATGATAACGCCCGTGGCCAACTGCGTAGATAACAGGAGATTGCCAGTTAATCGGATACGGCCCGATTCATCCTCCATCATGATCTGAGTCGCGGACGGGTCGGACGGGTCGGCATAGGTACGGCGGGGAGGAGGAGCAGACGTGAAAGTCTAGTACCAGTGTCAGAGGGATCTTGATCAATAGTCATGCAGCAATACATACCTCTTTTGTCAGATCCTCCAAAATGTTGGGCTTCAATGGCATGTCCATGTATACCGTGCCAGCCATCCAGCAGAGCTCGCCCTGTCGCACATCGAGCACTCGGTCCACGCGTCGCGCAGATTCTCCAGCAATCTAATCATAGCAACAGCATCGTCAGATGAGTTCGGCTTGTGCTATTGTATAATTCTCGCCTCCAACAAGGCATTCTTACTGTAATATCACCCCATGCATCTGTTGCAACTTTTTCGACCGTGGCCTTTAGCCTCGCAAGACGCAAAAAGTACATGTCGCCATATTGCTGCTGGTAGTGTCGGACACTACCCATGGGTAATGTAAAGGTCTGGAGAGGATTATAGGAGGAGGGTGTGCGATAAACGGGCTCATAGTCGTCGTTGCTATGCGAACGTAACAGTCAAAGGTCAGCGCGCGGAGCTCTCGCAAAACATGGGTAATCGAACAGAGCGGGGGTTGGTGGTAGATTCTGGAAGAAAATAGCATACCTGGGAGGCCGTAAGAAGCCATAGTCCTCAGCTGTGGCCATTTTGACCTGTAGCAGAGATGATTGGAGTTGGTTGGAAGGGTTTTGGTGATGCGGACAGAAGCACTTTGACGCGAGCCCCACGCGATTTGGCGCGTCTAATTACATTCCCCCTTCGGGACTGGCGCCTTACCGCCACCGTAGTCCACTCGACTTTGTTCGACACTGCAGCTGGTTTGATCCTAGAGAGTCTAATTGACATTATTTGGAGTAAACTGCTATGGGTGGTACTGGAAGACGCGTCAGCGATTAAATAGCTCAGGGCCAGCCATGGAAAGTAAGTAGGTGAGCTACATCTATTCAAAGAAATCATTATATATTCCGGATTGATACTATAGATCCTTCTGCGGGAAACAAGACTCCATGAAACTGCCCAAAGAACAACCAGCCTATCTCGAAAATAACTTGCCGGGTTCCAGCTTCGACTCGGCTAAGCGAGGGCATGTGCCAGAGCTAGAACATCAGCATCTAGGGCCAAAGAGTACAGCTTGCATGCACCTAAAGCTAAACAGATCTGATGGGCTGAATAGTGAATGCATATAGCCGAACTAGCGCTATGCACAAAAATATGCGCTCATGGTAAAGCACCCCGTATGGAAGCGGTGGGTGTCACCAAAGGGCACGGATAAGCCACGTTATGCCCCAATTCACACCTCGAGACTCGAAGAGGATGCCTCGGTCCGCCGGACTTTGCCAACAGCTTCCCCGCATTATTGGACCATCTCACGAGTATAGATACCCCAGATTCATCGCAAAGACCCATTACAGCAACACAGATCCAAAGAAAACAAAACATTCATTATCTCGAATATATACCGCTGAAGAATCACCCGTCACTCACATTTCTACACCTACACCTACACCCACCTATCCCAACATCGGCCCGCCACGATGTCTCTCCAAACACCGCTATGCAGCCTCCTTAAAATCCAACACCCCATCCTCCTCGCCGGCATGGCCCGCGCCTCCAGCGCCCCCCTCGCAGCAGCCGTCTCCAACGCCGGCGGTCTCGGCACCGTCGGCGGCCTTGGCTACACGCCGCAGCAGCTCTCCGAGATGCTCACCGAGCTCAAGGCCCTGCTAAAAGACCCCAACCTGCCCTTCGGCGTGGACCTGGCCCTGCCCCAGGTTGGCGGTAGCGCGCGAGCCACCAACCACGATTACACGCACGGCCAGCTCGACGAGCTGATCGAGGTGACCATCTCGCATGGTGCGAAGCTGTTCGTTTCCGCCGTGGGCGTGCCGCCGGAACGGACGGTGAAGAGGCTGCACGAGGCGGGCATTTTGGTGATGAATATGGTTGGAGCGCCGAAGCATGCAGAGAAGGCGTTCCAGCGCGGGGTGGATATTGTGTGCGCGCAGGGTGGAGAGGGTGGTGGTCATACTGGTGATATTCCTTTCTCGGTCTTGGTTCCTGCTGTGGTGGACGTGGCGCGGAAGTATCGCAGTCCGTTGACGGGACAGCCGGCGCTGGTGGTCGCTGCTGGTGGTGTCAATGATGGTCGCAGTCTGGCTGCGTCGCTGATGCTGGGTGCGGCGGGTGTCTGGGTTGGTACGCGGTTTGTTGCGTCCGAGGAGAGTGGTGCGAGTCGTCTGCATAAGGAGGCTGTTGTGGGCGCGCAGTATGGCGAGACTCGTCGGACGCTGGTTGTTTCTGGGCGGCCATTGCGCATGTTGCCTAATGACTATGTGAAGGAGTGGGAGAGTCGACCTGCTGATATTGCGGCGTTGACTGCTAAGGGTATCGTGCCTATAATGCATGATTTGGAGAACGATAAGGAAGTCGACGTGCCTTTCCTGATGGGTGATGTGTCGGCTAGTGTCAAGGAGATTAAGCCGGCTGGGGTGATTGTGAAGGAGATGGTGCAGCAGGCTGTGGATGTCCTGAAGACGGGCAATGCGTACATCACAGGGCATGGCCAGTCGAGTAAACTATAGATGGCGGGAGGGATCTTTACGGTTTACGTTATACAGATGGATATCCTTTGAATGTTAATATGGCATGTACTTGTACAGAAACAGCTGAAGAATCTAAATGCATCCAAGGTGATATTTGCTGCAATAAATGAGAAAATGCCCAAGTCCCACAGGAAGAGTATCGCTGTCCGCTTGGGTGGTGCCAAGCAACGGGCATATGCCCATGAGCACCAATCACTGTAAGGACTCTGCGGTTGCATCAAGTCTGATCACCCGGCGTGGCCGATGTGGCTCTGCATATGAAACGAGTTTCATCGGAAATCCTGAACTGCAAAGTAGAACTCGAGGGAGGCGGGATTCGATGTCACCGCAATCCAGACTTAGGAGGGGAAGACATAAACATGATGACGTCGAGTTCTCAAAAGCACAGGACTTCGATCAGTGGCATCCATTGAGAACGGCGCTCTTGGTAGCCCGAGCCTCCAGGAGATTGGGGGAGGGGGTGGCCCAAAAACGGGTCGTTCGGTTGGGCCGCCAGCGCGGGGGGATATCACGGTCATGATCGTGTCCGTCGAGATCTCCTTCATCGCTCAGATCATCTTCATCTTCGTAATCATCGTCGTACTCGCTCTCAGTGCCCTCGTCATCGTGGTCCAGGTGGTCGTCACCCTCGGCCAAGCCTTCGCCGCGGCCTTGGGCCTGCATGCGTCGGCACAAGGCTTCTAGGTGTTGACACTTGCGGCGCCACCGCTCAAGTTCCTCCTGGTTGCGAGTACGCTCCTCAGCCATTTCAAGAATGTTGCGGTTGGTCTGTTCGTGCTTCCGGTTGAGAGTGTGGTTTTCCTTCTCTAGGCGCTTGGTCTTCTTCGACATCTCCTCCATCTCTTTGCGGAATGTCAAGAAGAGTTCATTGCTGTTGTTTAGAGTGTCCTCAACCTACGTGGAGTCAGTTATGCAGCGCAAAAAAAGAGGCAAGACATGGTCCTGTACCTGCTTGAACTTCTCAACATAGATGTTCAGTTGACTACGGAGCTCCGCTTCGGTATGAGAGAAGGTAGAGACCTGCGCGCTCAGTGCACGACCCCGAGCAGTCTCGTTATCGGCGGTCCGACGTTGCTCCTCATACTTGGCCGTGAGACTCTGGATCTCTGCGTCCTTGCTGCGGAGGAGGGACTTGTAGTGAAGCTCGCGTGTATCGAATTGCTCACTGATGGTCTTCAGCTTAGCACGAAGCCTGATACAAGGTCAGCAAACACGTAGGCGCAGGTTGGCGTAGAATTAGTAATGAGTGGGAACCATACGCTTCGTCCAGATCAATATCCACTTTCTCGTTGCGGGGATTCCCCTTGGCAGCCATGACGTCCTGGATGTCGTAAAGGAGAGAGTCGAGCCGTTCGTTTACAATCAGGCGGGCCTTCTTTTCGGTGTCGTCAAGCTTCTTGTTCTCATCCTGCTGCGTGTCAGGTGACAAACGTTTGATGGGGTGCAGGCGGGACCGCCATACCTTCACTTTTTTATTTTCCTTCGTGAGCTCCCGACAAAGTTTCTCCAGCTTATCCTTCATGGTCACAGTTTTATTCAACTCTGATTTTCCTTTCTCTTGGTCTTTCTGTAGTTGATCCGCGCGCTTCTTGCTCTTTGAATAGTCTCGATCCAGCTTTTTCATATCCGCCAAAAGCTCAGTGTACTTCTTGTGCACGGTCTCTAGACGGGTCATTGGGGATTCGATGTTGTTGAGGAGTTGGTTCAGGTCTCGAGTGGCCTTCTTCACTTCGCGCTCTGTATAGTAGGTCTAGGTTAGCTTATATCCTATCCTTCCGGACTAGATATGGACCAGCGGTGTGCCTATAGAAGCCAAATGACAACCGGGCCCCGCATGCACTGAACATTCACGCACCAATCTCTTGCTCCTGGTCCTTCTCCCCAGCCGCATCTTGCTCAAGTTGGGAGATCTTGGCCGCTAGTAATTTAGACGTCTCGTTAGGATCGGCAACTTTCTTCCCCTTGTTCTTCTTCGCAATAGAGGTGGACGACATGATGGGGTATTCTCGGAGGAGGTCACCCGTCCCGCACGTCTAAGTCAAGTCTTTAAATGGGTATGCGGTGGTCCTGTGGGCAGCCAGAAGCCGAAAAATTGTGCAGAGCCGGGGTTTCGAAAGAGAGAAGGGTGCGTTCAATCGGATTGCGGGGAAAGCAAACGAGGCGTGACCCCCAGAGGCAAGGCGGGCTCGGTCGAGAGATCACCTCTGGGTCAACAGTGTGCGGATCGTAGCGCGACGTGAGGTGAGTGCAACTTATGGTCCCTTCTCACGGTACTCGCAGAACTCGTCGAGGGGGTCCTTAGTCATCGAACCAGCCGCACCAAGTAGACTGGCCAGCCACGGACTTGTTCTCCCTCGAAACGGATAGACGAAGATCGTAGTTCAGTGAGTACGGAGTAGTTGGGTCTGAACGAGGCAGAGTTCCACTGGCTTGTTAATTCCTTCTGTTGGTGTACCTCACAGCAGTCACGAGGGCGCCATTGAACTGGCCTGTGGATGACATAAGCTCCGGTGTTCTCGGTCCGATCTCTTAACGGTGTTTGCGATCCGGAAAACTTCCTGGCTTATTCAACACTCTTCACGAAAGCGGCATATTCCGTTCTTTGAAAATTTCTGTGGATATATTCATTTTGCTTGCAATGAACACTTATTGAGTGTGCGGAACATACCACCCTACTACCATGCTACGCTCATCTATGGGCCTGGGCAGAGCCCGGGTCCCGTCTTTGCGCCAACCGATCCCTGGCCGTTTCTCCAAACTGAACTCGGTGCTTTCACGGCCACTGGGGGCTACGAGGCTGGCATCTACAGTCACTGACCTTGAAAGCTTTCCTGCTGTTGGTGAGAAGCTTCATGGATTTACCGTTCGGGAGAAGAAACATGTCCCGGAGCTACATTTGACCGCAGTGCGGCTCACCCATGACAAAACCGATGCGGACTACCTACATGTGGCTCGGGATGACAAGAACAATGTCTTTGGTATTGGCTTCAAAACTAACCCTCCCGATGCGACGGGTGTACCGCATATTCTGGAGCACACCACCCTGTGTGGAAGTGAGAAGTATGCTCAACCCGGAACCCATAGCTTGGCCTATAGCTAATTGATCTTTTTTCTCTATAGGTATCCTATTCGCGACCCCTTCTTTAAGATGCTCCCACGCTCTCTCTCAAACTTCATGAATGCCTTCACCTCCTCCGATCACACCACATACCCTTTCGCGACGACCAACTCGCAAGACTTCCAAAATCTTCTGTCCGTATACCTAGACGCGACTCTTCACCCCCTGCTGAAGGCCGATGATTTCCGGCAAGAGGGCTGGCGGCTGGGCCCCGAGGATCCACGTGCTCTCCTGCCAGTGGAAGGACAGCCCGAGACAAAAGCCCAACTGGAAGACATTGTGTTCAAGGGCGTTGTCTACAATGAGATGAAGGGCCAGATTTCGGATTCCAACTACCTCTACTACATTCGATTCAAAGAGAGCATTATTCCAGCTCTCAACAACTCAGGTGGTGACCCGGAGTATATCACGGATCTTACCCACCAGCAGTTGGTGGAGTTCTCGAAGCGTAACTACCACCCGAGCAACTCCAAGATTTTGACTTATGGAGATATGCCTCTTACCCGTCACTTGGATCAGATTGGAGCTGTCTTGGACGGGTTCAACAAAGGTGAAACCAATACCGACGTGAAGCTGCCTCTCGATCTAAGCCAAGGCTTGAACATCACGGTACCCGGGCCTATCGACACCTTTGCGAGCGAGGACAAGCAACACAAGACATCCACATCCTGGTATATGGGAGACTCAACGGATACCGTTGAAACATTCTCCGTTGGAATCATCTCCTCTCTCTTCCTCGATGGCTATGGCTCGCCCATGTATCGAGCTCTGATTGAAAGTGGCCTGGGATCTTCCTTTACCCCCAACACTGGCTTGGATTCCTCTGGCAAGGTCCCGATATTTTCCATCGGTGTTACCGGTGTTAATGAAGTGGAGGCTCCCACTGTCAAGGATGTGATCCAGAAGACTTTCCGAGAGTCTGTCCAGGCTGGGTTCAGCGAAGAGAAGGTCCGTGGCTTCCTTCACCAGTTGGAGCTTTCTCTACGTCACAAGACCGCCAATTTCGGCATTGGTGTGATGGAAAAAACTATTTCCTCCTGGTTCAATGGTGCCAACCCAATGAAGGAGCTTGCATGGAACGACGTCATTGAGGAATTCAAGAGGAGATTTGAGAAGCCTGGCTATCTTGAATCTTTGGTGGAGAAGTACCTTCTCAATGATCAGTGTATGACTTTCACGATGGTTGGTACCCCGACCTTCAACAAGGAGCTTGATCAGAAGGAGGTTGTGCGCAAGGAAACGAAGCTCGCTCAGCTGATCGAGGAGCATGGCTCAGTCGAAAATGCTGTGGAAAATCTCAGTCAGGCAGAGCTGCAGCTGCTGAAAGTCCAAGAGGATGCTCACAAGGCCGACCTGAGTTGTCTTCCTACCTTGCGAGTCAAGGACATTTCTCGCGAGAAGGAGCGCAAGACCGTGCGCGAGTCGAAAATTGACGATACGGAAGTTGTCTGGCGTGAGGCTCCCACCAACGGGTTAACCTATTTCCAAGCCGTGAACGCTCTCCAGGATCTTCCAGATGACCTGCGACTTTTGATGCCGCTTTTCAATGACTGTGTCATGCGGCTGGGCACCGCAAACCGCTCGATGGAACAGTGGGAGGATCTTATCAAGCTGAAGAGCGGCGGCATCTCCACTTCGTCCTTCCTCGTATCTTCTCCGACTCAGCTCGATCAGTTCAAGGAAGGAATGCAGTTCTCCGGCTTTGCCTTGGACAACAACATTCCCGAGATGCTGGATATGCTCTCAACTCTGGTCACGGAGACTGACTTCTCAAACCCCGCCGCCCCTGCTATGATCCAGGAGCTCCTACGTCTGACCACGAACGGAGCTTTAGACTCTGTTGCTTCGACAGGTCACCGCTTCGCTGTGAACGCCGCAGCGGCTAATCTCTCCCGCAGCCTATGGATTCAGGAACAACAATCCGGTCTGGAGCAGCTGCAAGCTACTGCAAACCTCCTCCGCGACGCTGAAACCTCACCTGAGCGCCTTCAGGAATTGATTGATAAGCTACGTCTGATCCAGTCCTTTGCTATCTCGAGGTCGTCTAGCCTCCGTGTTCGCATGGTCTGCGAGCCTGAGAGTGCTGCTCGAAATGAGTCTGTCCTGCAGAAGTGGCTATCTGGATTGCCACAGGTCTCTTCGCCACGCGCATCTGCTGCACCATCATTCAAGTCCGTCGACAAGGCTTTCTATGACCTTCCCTACAAGGTCTACTACTCTGGTCAGGCTATGCAAACTGTGCCATTCACCGACCCTGCTAGCGCACCCCTCACCGTGCTCTCGCAGATGCTCACGCACAACTATCTCCACCCAGAAATTCGCGAGAAGGGTGGTGCTTACGGAGCGGGTGCTAGCAACGGCCCGCTCAAGGGTATCTTCACCTTCATGAGTTACCGAGATCCCAACCCTACAAACTCTTTGAAGGTCTTCCAAAATAGCGGTATCTTCGCTAGAGATCGTGCTTGGTCTGAGCGGGAGATCGAGGAGGCTAAGCTTGGCATCTTCCAGGGTCTGGATGCGCCCTTGAGCGTTGACGACGAGGGCGCTCGCTACTTCATGAGCGGTGTCACCCATGAGATGGATCAGCGCTGGAGAGAGCAAGTCTTGGATGTCACCGCCAAAGATGTGAATGAGGTCGCTGACCGCTTCCTCGTGAACGGCTCCCGCAAGACCACCTGTGTCCTCGGTGAGAAGAAGGACTGGGCCGACGCTGAATGGGAGGTGCGGAAGCTGTCTATGGGCCAGCAAGACGATGCTCCGGCTGCCTAGAAACTCGATTCATTTCCGAACTGTCGAAACGATGTATTCATCTGCCAAGGGAAGTGACTGACTCTATCCCCTGCTCATCATTCCCATGTACTTTTATTCACCCTTGCATTGTCCCAACTCTTTTGCATCTTCTTGTACATATATGTATACTAGATGGCCTGCATGAATTCTTGGTCATATTCTGCTCTTCCGTTCCCTTCTTTTACCTGATGCCTTCATACACCGCGCTATCAAGATCTATACGTGCTTTCGAGCACCAGAGCTTTCCTCACGTCTTCACTCAGTCGCTCCCATTGATTGAAAGATGTGGCATTCTATCACTTTGAGTGGTGGATGCATGCGCAAGAACAGTGAGAATGTGAACCCGTTCTGAGGTACACTTCTCATCCCCGTTTATCGGAACCGCCCTGGATACACTTTCAGCCTACGCAGGACGGACTAAAAACGTGAGAACATACGTAGAGTTCGAATTAGAGACTATAGAAACTCGTCAATTTCAGGAATTTTGATATGATTATTCATGCGGATCAAAGACTACCTAGACATTCTCCATATTTTCATCTCCGGATATACAACGAGGAGGTGTTACCAAAAAAAACCCCGTTAGTTTTGGATTTTTGGGTAACAATGCTGTGCCCAAATCGGGTTAGCGTCTTCCCCGGGATAAGCGGGTTGCTTTAAGCTCCACTCACGTGGTTGTCGAGAAGAAACCGTGGAGGCCCATTATTCGTCTTCGTCCTCGTCAGATGTAACCATCTCAGAACGCCATGATCAAGCGGGGCAGCGTGGCTTTGGGTCCCAAGCCGACCAAAGCATGTGGTAAGTCTCATAGAGAGGCCTTGTGATTATGGTACAGATCTAACTGGATCATCTGTAGTCAACTGTCGGAGACTTAAGGTAATCTACCAGTAGGCAAATTCCACGATATTAAGTAGCCGGTTGACTGACACTCCTCAGATGAAATGTGAGGTCTCAGGGCCTGCTCCATGCCGTCGCTGCCGACATCATCAGACGCCATGCATCTTCAAACCCCGGGCTAACGTATGTGCCGAGCAAACTTTACATAACTTATCCAATTGACTAACACCCGATAAGGCATCTGCGTTGCACGAATTGGTTGAAGAGGCTCAAAATGAGCTTCTCGCTTCTAGTTCATCGACATATGACCAACAGTCAATTCTTGACCGACTAGATCGAATTGAGGCCGCGCTGGGAATCAGCCAGGATGAGCCTCAGGCGGTCCCGGTCACCGAGAGTTTGGACTTGGATGAAGAGACAGATTCAGTGCCTTTGCAGGGCGTTTGGAAAGCAGTCGCTCACCTCAGGTCTATAACACGGCCTGCGCCGGATGACAATATATGGTCAAGACCCATTGTGAAACGCCTGTGGAGCTCGTAAGTTATAGCTGTTTACTACCATCTCAATAGTGCTGACATTCAAGAAGTTTCTTGAATAATCTGCCCCTTCTTCATTTTTTGAAAGACCGGGATGTATTTACTTCACCTACGCCATTGCTTTTAGCTTCCGTGCTCTATATCTCTGCCCTTCATCACGAGCAACCCGAGCTGGCAGCCATGGGATCAGGCTATTTTGCATCCACATGCAGTGCGATCGCCGAGCTGGTGACCCCCTGCTCAAAGCGAGATTCGATCGCTAACAGCGATTCCTTTCCCGACGGAGAGCTGATGGACTCTGTAAAAAGCAAGAAGGAAAAGGTCTTTCATAACATCCTAGGCTTGATCATGGCGAGTCTGAGCTCCGAAGCTTATATTGACGCAACTGGGTCATGGATCGCCATCGCATATCGTCTGTGGCTGGATCATTGCCCTTCAGATTTGGATTCTTCCATCTCAGACTGGCGGGGATTATTTTGCGGTCTTCAGGTTAACCTGACACATGCCCTTTGCATGAGATGGGCCTGCTAACAATGAAATAGGTGATTGATATCGAGCATGCATCCATGCACATGACACACCCCCTATTACCTCGCCAGCCACCCAAATCTAGTATCCAGCGCTTGGACACTCCCACTGGGAATGCCTTCCAAGGTCTCGCTGATATGATGCATTACGGCTTGAGCCATTTTGTCGGCAAAGGCTTGCCGACCATCTGGTGCTCAATAAATGCAGACTTCTCTGGCAATATCTCTGCTCCACATTCTTCCTTCTCAGACCATGATTCTGATGTCATTCGGCTTTGGGCACGCAAGCTGGATGATTGGCTGGTGCGGTATAATGGAACATCCCGTGAGTAATCGAGCTTGGCAATTATCGGCTTGAAACCATCTGATCAGTGATATTTGTCCAGAGCCCAGCCCGTCAGATCGACAAGGGATTCTCATCCTACTGCAATATCACCTGCACAAGCTGTTTGTTCTATCAATATACCACCCTGCTCGAGGATTCGATTTGAGCTCCGCAAAAATTTCCCCCGCTGAGAGGCATGAGCTTCTTGTTTCCGCAAGAACTGTGCTACGACTACGGCAGGATGATGCTAGCATTTGGTCCAATTGGGATCTGATTGTGAATTTAACCACCCCAGTTTAAAACCGCATTCTTTCTAACCCTGACCTACGCAGATGATAACTTGGGCTGCTATACTACTCCTGCGTGGCGTAGAAGATGGCATGACACACCAAGACGGTCCGTATAAACCAGAATGCCAGGCAAATCCGCACAATCTAACACCTCACACAGACCTCCATCTTATCCAAGCACACCTCTACAGCCTAGAACGGAGTCATCAGTCGGCAGCCAGTATCCACACTGTCCTATCACAGCGCCTCGAGTCAAGTATGCAGGCTATGCACACACCCCCAGACACCAGCTCAGCATTAGCATTCCCTGGACCGATGGTGGATGACTCATGGACGATTTTCGACCAAGAGATTATGTCCCTGGCTAACCCACCTTGGCTATTTCAAGATCCATTACCTTTCCCACAGGCGCAGAAGTCTTCAACTCAGACAGCCCCAGATGCCCAGACCGGCTTGTCTTATGATGCCAGTCTTTTGACCCACAGTGCCCAGCAATACCCGGCCAATAACCAATGGAGCAATGCAGAGCAATTGCATGGTGCATTGCCATCTACGTTGAATAGGATATTCGGAAATGAGGCGCCAAATCATGGAAATAGATTGATCTAATGCCATTCTACCTATTGGGAACTAGCATTGTTTCCATATCCACAAAACCGAGGCTGCTGAGGTCTTGAGCAAGGTCGTTCTCCAGCACTATCAGTCAGTGTCCAAATAATATATACCAACTTATCCTTTTCTTTGGGAGTTTCACAGAAAAGGGCGTTTTCGCCGTTTCACGTCCACAATCTACGAGATTCCTCCTTCCATCCGCAATTGCGGAGTACCGCTCAGACAAAGGTTGTAGGTCGAATTGAGCTGGAAATGCCGCCCGACCTATTGTTGGCAGCATCAAATGTGATTCTTGGTAGCTCTAAAAGTACTGCCCCTTGGCTCTCACTAATCTTGTAGAGCAGCTGCGATCAACCTCTTGTAACCGCGTACCGCCTCCTCCAGCTCTCCAACCGTAATCGCTTCATTATCACCATGCGCAACATGAATAGTGCCGGGTCCATAGAGATATCTGCGCACTTTTCGGGTACCCTCATCGTGTATATGCAGGGATGCAGCATCGGTGCCGTAGTTTACAGTAATAACATCAAACCCATCCACGTCCACATCGAAATACTGAGGCCCTGTACCCCCAGCTTTCGGTCCCCCAAAGTCTAGAAACACGTTTTCATCGGTACCAGTTAATTCATTGACAGCCCTCAGGAGGATCTCTCTCGTATCATCGGGTGTCCCCGCGGCAAGGCGAACGGAGACTGAAGCTTCAGCATACGCTGGAACGACGTTTCCAGCGACACCACCGTGGATTTGGCCGATGTTCAAGGTCGACTTGCCCAACGTATCACTGCGAAGAAGTCCACCGTCCTCGGGTAAGATATTTTCAAGATTATCAAGACGGGATAGAACAGGCAGGATGGCTGAAATTGCACTTTTCCCCAGCCAAGGGTATCCTGAATGGGCTGCTTTGCCCTTGGCGATCACCTTCAATCCCAGCGAGCCTTTGTGGCCGGCAACAAGGCTGAGCTCGGTAGGTTCTCCGAAAATGATCGAATGGAAGGTCGGTGGGGTAGGATTTAGGTCTGAGTCTGAGAAGTGCTTCATTCCCGCACCGAATTTCTCCTCACCAACGTCAAACAATAACCCGATCGAGGCATTGGGATTGTTACGTAGAGTCTCTATAGCAGCGAAGACTATACCCGCCACACTGGCCTTTGCATCGACCGTACCACGGCCCGCAATAACCAAGTCTGCCCGGTTGAACGAGGATCTCCCTCCGAAGGATGAAGTTGGAGCATGGAGAGAATAGGGAATAAAGGGCGGGACGGTGTCGATGTGGCTGGTCAGTAGCACATTGGGATATCGATTATCTCCAGTGTAGGCATAAATATTAAATCTTTCTTCGTTTGCACTGGAAGCAGGAATAACGATCTGCTTCTCCACCGTGAAGTTGTATGACGATAGAAAATCCAGGACGAATTCCCCGACTTTCTTTTCATCACCACTGATAGATGGGATCTCCACGATGTTTCTATGGAAAGACAGAAGGGGCGATGAAGCGATGATACTGTCGAGCTCGGACTGATGCACTGTTCCAGCCTGAAGTCTCCCGCCTAAAGGCTGTTGACTATCGGAGGCGAGAGCCGCTCTTGCTAGGGCAGTGATAGCCCAGAGGTAATTTGTCCTCATATTGCAGGTGTATTACAGAGCAGAGAGACTGAGCCTCCTGCGACTTGTGAAGCCTCGTTGAAAAGGATGTTGGAGCTTGACAGAATCCACAGAATTTATAGCAAAAGAAGCAAAAAACTGCAAGGGAGAATGGTGAGGGGAAGCTGAAGGTCGATCCGATAAGGACATCGCTCCCCGCAATGGCGTGTGCCGGCGTTCGATGCGGAATGCCGAGATTTTGACATGACTGTCCTAGGGAGATTTTTTAAGAAGAAAAGGGTTAGAAAGTGTAAGCCATTTACGTATCGTCCTTCTCTAGATACACCTGACCCCTTCATCATTCCTACTCCAACCACTCGTATCTCCTCAGCGACCCAGTCTCGCCCTTCACGGCCTTTTCTTCTCTCCAGCATGAATATCCACATCATCTAGTACAGCCTGATTTTGCTTAGCCGCTGCAGTCCTGATCCTCTTCAGCTTTCTTGTATCAACATCAACCCGCCAAGTAAACGCCCAAGTTATAACATTCATGACTATGGCCATTCCAATAAATCCCATGGCGATTCCAAACGAAGTGGTGTAATGCGGTGCGTATCGCGAATTGAACAGTTGAGACCCAACTGCTCCTCCGATTTGACCGTAGCTGTTCGCAAAGGCAATTGCGAATGCTGAGCCAGTCGCGCCCTCTGTAGTCTGGACTCGCCAAGGCCACATCATGGTGTACCTATCTCGATTAGCATTAATGTTTGACACTGGCAGGAAGATGTCCAATGTACTTACCATGCGGTTGAGAAACCACCGGCAATGATCGTGGCTGCGTAAACACCACCATTGCTAGGGAAAGCGTAGAGAACTCCATAACAGGCTTCAATCACAATCATAAAGAAGAGTGGAATTGCTGGTTGAGGGATACGTCCAGTGTCTGCAAAGATTCCGAAAGCGATCGTCAAAATCACTGCAAATACAGCAGAGGGGATATTCAGAAGCTGTGCTTGGCCAATTGAACTTCAAAAAACCATTAGAATAATATATCTTCAAACAGACAGAGATCGACTCACGTAAAGCCAAGATTGGCAATAACGGTCGGCTGGTAGAACGTAAGGCCAGTAGTGCCGATTGTGAAAAAGGCCCAGCATAGCAGGAAGAGCCAGATTCTCTTATTCTTCAAAGTTGTAATCAGCTCCTGCAAGTTGAAGTTTGCTTCTGCTGCTCGTGGAGAGTTGCTCGGAAGGCGTGCTTGGATGAATGCTTTTTCTCTCTCAGAAAGCCACGAAGCAGTCGACGGAACTAGATTGATATTAGTGGGAGTTGACAATAGCACATCATCTACGTACAATCGGGTAGAAAAAAGTACGTAAAAACTCCGAGAAAGACCGTGAAGATGCCTTCGGTCAATATCAACCTGTCCAATGGTATTAGCATCTTTGTTCATTATGTCCTAGAACGATTCATACATACCACTTCCAACCCGATAAGCCACCCGTGACAACACCGTTAAATGCAAATGCAAGTACTCCACTAATGACCGAGCTGAAGTTTCCCAGAAGAGTGACAAGTACTATTCGTGGCGCAATCTCATCCGGTCTATACCAGTAGCATATATGCACCAGCATACCTGGCCAGAGGCCAGCTTCGAAAAGGCCCAGGAAGAACCGAACAGCGTATAACCCTTGCTTATTTGTTACAGCGGCGTGGCAGCAAAGAACGATGCCCCAAGATACCTTCACATTTATTAATACGGGAGTTGACCTTTGTTAGATTAACCCACTCACCATGATTCGAGACTGCCATACGGACGGTCGCACACCTTTCAAGAGAAGGTTGGATGGAGCTTCGGCGAGAATATACGGTATCTAGAATAGTCAGCACCAGCCTACTTTTTCAAACAGATAGACTTACATAGTACATGGCAGTCACCAGATTATACTGGTTCGATGTCATCTTAAGCTCCTTCAGGATATTGCGAGGTGTGCCTTTATCCATCGTTAGGGCATAAGAGACCTTGTCCGCATAGATTAGTTTAAATAGCCAGATTCCGATACCGACGTGAACCTACATTTGTAAAATCGACGCTCTTGAGCATATACATCACAGCCAGCAGAGGGATAAGGTGCCAGTCAATCCGTCGTAGAAGCTTCTTCTCCTCAGCGCTACTCAACGTGGCCCTCGCACCCATAAGATTGGCATCGTACCCTGGAATGAGCTCTTCCCCGTACGAAGGAAGAATACCATTCTGGTCGCGATCGACGTAATGCACTTTGCCGTGTTGAGGAAGTGTTGACTCGAAACCAGACTCGCCCTTGGAGATGTCGGGTGAAGATGTCGCTGTGGGGAGTTTCTCTACTTTTTCGGCCATGTCGACCACGTTATTCTCTAGTCCGGCGCAGTAGGAGTCAACGTCTCAAGTGTTCCGTGAAGCAAGAGTAATTCCAATTTATTCGGGCTCGTCTGAAGGGAGTCCGCCAGACTATGCCAGAAATAACTTCCAGAAATGACAAATTTCCAGTGATTGCTTTGAAATTGCGATCTTAAATGGCGCGAGATAGACAGTGCATTCCTCAACGTGGCGTGCTTGGGGGACAGCATAGCGTATCTATGTACCCCTCAGTGTCAAATTAAATTAAATATGCCGAGATAACCTCCATAAAATAAATGATACTCGGAGGATTTCTTCGCGGGGGCAAAGATATTCAATCTCGAGAAGAAAGCACACCATTTGTCAAAAGTACAACAGCCGCACTGAACCAGAAAAAGGGACAATAGATAAGAGTACTTGCGCCTTCTTTCGATATGAAATACCTAGCATCACAGTCATACTACAACCTCCTCGACACAAACCGCATCTTGAAACTCTCCACATCAGGACGATACTTTGCAAAAACCCCTTCCACCCCCTCCCACACCTCCATCCAAGCCTCAACCTCCCACCGACTCCCCGTCTCACTCTCAACCTGTCTCCAAAGCCTCTTCCACGTCTCAACATCATGACAATACCTCTTCGATGCATTCTCCTCATCATCCGGGTCAATAGGATTCTTCCGTCCCACCTGGCGCCCAACAACCAAAGACCCCGGGCGCGGACGTAGCAACGCAATAACCTGTTTTACCGCGGTAACCTGCTGGTCCCAGGTAAACAGATGGAAGAAGGAGTTTGCATTGACGATATCAATTTTGCCGGTGAGTTGCTGCGCCAGTGCAGAGTTTGCATCGAAGATGTCTGCTTCGATAAACTGGGCTTTTAGAGTTGAGCGGTCCTTGAAGAGGTCGAAACCGGCCTCGTAGAAATCGGCACGGAGATCCGTGGCGTAGAGATTGGAGGATGGTACGCCGTCGAAGACCTAGATGTGATGTTAGCGGGTGGATAGGTTTGTATTTATGCTGGGGGGACAGAACGTACCAAGCGGCGCAGCACTTGGCCCAGTGCGCAGCCAACGTCTAGTAATTTCCCTCCAGACTTGAGACGCTCGAGGATCTCTGGTTAGATTGGTAATTCGGAGATAGTCATGTCTAGGAAACGGAATCCGCCGACGCAGGGGTATGGAAACTAAAGTACGTTAGCATCTTCTATAATTATAACTGTTAGAGCGCGGTAGTTCATGGCTAGGTACTTACTATCGCAAAAGCCCGATCTCGCTACAAATAATGGTGTGAATAAAGTCAGTATATGACCGCTTGAGAACCATATTGATGCACGGAACCACGAACCAGTTTGTTAACATGTTGCACGACCTCATCAGGTGGAATGTTGCTATAATTTTCGAGAATTTCCCTAGCCTTGGGCTGGACCTCTGTGAGTTCGGGCTCATACCAGGGGAGCTTATGCGGGTCATGGCTTTTGCTCAGGCTAGAGCCGGGATCAATTTCGGGTTCAGTCATTGTGGATGCCGATGGCGAGAGATGAAGTATTCAGGCGGATACTCATTCAAGAATAGAATGATGTTTCTGTAGGGCTGTTTACTTATAAGTCCTTTTTTCTCTCCTCTGGGGAAGAGGCGATGTATAAGAACGGGTCGTTTCAATCAGGCCTGTCAAGCCCCGCCTTGGATGGGTTCCTCGGAGCTAAGCTGAACTGAGCCGAGAGGTTTCGGAGAAGATCAATTTCGTCATGGAAAGCCCGAGGCCAATTTCCCATTCTTTCTTCTCCTTCTTGTTAAGGGAAAGCGCTCTGGATATCTCGGTGATGTGTTATACGTGGAGCTAGACGTCAAGTCGTTACATTTACGCCTCGGACGAGCCTAGTTTGAGCTAAACATCTCCATCACCTACGATCCTGGAACCCACGCGTCTGAGATAACATTGCAATCGATAAAAGTTTTGAAATCATCAAGGGTTCAAGGGGGTATAAGGTACATCAAAAGTGGAAGTCATTATATCGTACAAGCCAGCCGTGAGTCACAGACACGCCAAGAGCTTTTCGCAACTACAGCACAGCTGAGTTTAACGGGGGTGCTTCGCCATCAACTTCATGGTCGTTTTCAGTGCCGCTGTCGGCATTTAGTGAGCCAGGTCGAGGAGAAGCCTTAGCGGTACCAGGTGAGGTTGTTGGTAGAGAAGATGCCGATACCGGGAATGGTGGGAATGGTTCGATTTGGTCTCCAGAGTACCGGCGAACGGACGAATCGCTGGGTTGCCGGGTGAGCCTATTTGACGACTCCTCTCGTCCCTCTAATTGGGGACTGTTCGTTGAAGAGAGCTCAGTTTCTTGGTTTCCAGGCATAGCGGTTTTCAGGGACTGTAATAGTTGAGTTAGTCCACGACTCATTTGAAGGAGCTCATGTTTTCGGATTTTCGCACCATATCAGCACTACTAAGCTCCTGGTCACGCTTTAAAGCCAGTTCTTGTGCCGCGAGTCGCTTTTGCTGGACCGCGGATTCTTCTTCACGCGCCACTTGCTCCTCTTCCATTTTGAGATCCGCAATTGACGGCGTTTCGATGCTGTGAACAACATCCTGGTCCGCACTCATGGCTGTCTTGGTCGATGAGCGCTTCTTTTTCTTCCGCTTGGATTTCTTGGACGATGCATCGGCCAGACTTGACGTTCCCGATGCCGATCTGACCATCTCGGACTTTGTACCAGACTGATCATCCGATTCCAACCCCGTGTTTCGCCGTCCAAAGACCAGCGCAAATTCATCATCCAGCGGAACCGCATCTTCTTCCTCGTCACTTGGGAACAAATCGCCCCGGGAGCTCAGCGAATTCGACGTCCCTCGCGAGGACTGTGTGCCGCTCCGCCCCCTTCCATTATTCTGATAAGACACGTAGTCCCCATCATCTTCCGCAGCCTCCATCAATGGCTCATCCTCCTCCGTATGCCGGCGGTGACTGCCCGGGTGTTCTTGCAGATCAGCAACAGAGGGCCAATACTTGACGCCCTTGGCACCAAACCGCCAAGGAAAGCGCTCGAGAAATCCAATCAACGACGAGCTTGGTATAACCGTAGGATCAGCGCGGTTATCGGGGATATGCACCGTGCTCCGCCTTCTCGTCTGACGAGTCCCATAGCTCATCTTCCGCGGTCGCCGCGGCTGCTCTGCACCACCACCAACGCCACCACGGGCAAGCCCGCTACCCGCCAGTAACCGGTCAAGCTCACCAGTGCCCCATCCAAGCAAACTCTCCTCACCCTGTTCATCATCCCAATCATCGTAGAAGTCAAAGTTAGCCTCAGCACGACCGCGCCGACGGCGACGTAGCTGGTCCTCGCGGCTGGGCAGACATGGCGCCGTGCAGGCCTGCACACAGTTGCCAATGCTGGTCAGGCATGGGGTGAGGTAGTTCTGAGAGAAAGTGTATAGACCCTCTTGGGCGGACTCGTTGGCGGACTCTAAGTTATGCGAGATCTGATTGATCCGCTGACGGATCCGCGGGTCACGCGGTCGCATCATTTTGAGGCGCAAGCTATGGTAAAGCGTGTGGATGCGCGATTCGAATGATGCCCTGACTTCATCGGCGCGCCGTGGCCATCATTGGCGATACGAGAGGGGATAGGAAAGCTGGATGATTGCGAGGTGAAGGTACGTTGGCAGCGATGTCATCTCCCGTTAGTCAGCGGAGGCACGTGAGGCCACGGTGGGGGTGCTGGTCTGGGGTAAAAGCCAAAGTCCGGACCACCGCGGCAGCTCGAAAAAAAGGTGAAAATTGAAGTGTTAGAAGTGGAGATAGATCTTCTCTTTTACAGGAGAGGTGGGGATTAACATGGTATATTATATCCGATTTCTGAAGACACCTCGGTTTCAGCAGCAGAAAAAGTCCGTCTTCATCTCCGCCCTGATCTGCATCGCTACGGACTTGGGTGATGATTTCCTCGCCGAGGATGTGGACTTGACGGCGAGCTGGGTACAACATCCCTCACCCAAGATCCGATATCAGACAGCTCTACAATGGCAGGCTGGTTCCCGCCAAATACCTATCTTGCTGGGTCCCTTTTCGCCTAGTGATGTGGCCGGGCAAACGGCTGTGCTAAAAATTCATCTCCCCGATGTTGAGAAAGATATTTTGGGAGAACACACGACACCATTGGTGATATCGGGGTGCAGTGCACCCTTTGGACCACAATGGGAACCAGCCGAGCAATTTATCTGCCGGGATCTGAACATCGCAGACAATGTGCGACCCTTGAAAATTTGGGAAGAAACGGGCAACAGTATTGCCCGGCATATCTGGTAAGCTCATGCTTCTACTTTTCACTTCTCTCTCCATTCTATCCTCTTTATTTTCAGACAATCTGACCTTGAGCCTTTCCACTACAGGGATGCAGCTCTCGCAGCCATCATCTTCCTTGAGCAAGTCATTATGGGAGCGGAAAAGAGCATGCCTGCCCTTGGCCAGCTCTTGAACTCTGGCAAGTCGAGCCTTCAAGTCGTCGAGCTCGGCGCGGGCTGTGGTATCGTAGGCATCGCCCTCGCAACCATGCTCGCCAACTGCGAAGTGCTCCTCACCGATCTGCCCGAGGTCTCGGAGATCGTGACTCGTAACATCAACGAAGCCTCGCCAAAATCGTCGGCGTCGATCAAGTTCCAGACCCTCGACTGGGATGAACCGACTCCCAATCTTACCCGCGGGCCCATTGATTTGATTCTCGTGTCGGACTGTACGTATAATGCAGACAGTTTGCCTGCGTTAGTCTCCGTCCTCGATCGCTTGGTTCGCGGTTCGCCAGGCGCCATGGTGCTGGTGGCCTTGAAACGGCGGCACGAGAGCGAGGCCGTCTTTTTCGATCTGATGCGGGGTGCAGGGTTTACATCCCTGCAGACGAAGGTACCATTACCGGCACAGTGGGGGCAGGTTGATCAGATTGAGATGTATTGCTATCAGCAAGAGTACAGACTAGAAAAGGCCTAGCTGTCCGAGTATAACTCCGTACTCCGAATTGAGTACCATACCCGTGCCTGGTGGTCCGTGCTGCGGGTACATCATCGAGGCTGGTCTTTTTCTGCCCATTTTCTGGTTTCTGCCGGCTCCCTCCGGTTTGCCCGTTTTCAGCAGCTCCCCCCGCTGATCTTCGAGCTTCCCGCGGTATCCTGTCCAGTGTCCAGTCCGGAGTCTGTATCCGTGCATTTTGGCCCTACTGCATGACAGCATGTACTTCTATCTGTGGTGCTTGTTCGGGACTTGCAGGTTCGAGGCACACTGACCAACAGTTCCACCCTGTTCTTGACCACCGCAGACTTTCTATGAGTCAGTTTTCCTTGTGGTTCCCTCAATGGCAGCCAGAAGTCTGTGCGCCATTACCGGCCAACACGAGCACACGATCCAGGGCCAAGGACTGGGGAATTGCCACATCGCATGTTTTCGCATTCGAAAATAGCAATTCCGAGGGGCAAGGGTGATCCGCGGGCACGAATGCCCCTCCTGCAGCATGCATGATGCCTGGGAAGCCAACGAGGGGAAGAAGTGGCCAGCGCAGAATCGAAACTTTGAGGGACTGGGGGCTGGACCGAAGGAGAAGAGGACTGGAAATCGCTCATAGTTAGAATGACGCAGGCATGGCCAGAAAAAGGCAAGGCCAAAAGAAAATTTCTTAACCTTGTCGCACCAATTGACTCCGATAACCAACGGAATAATACGTGGACTATACACTTAGTTGCTACTACAGTAGTCAGCATGGCGTAGCTGCCCAGTTTCTGTGTGGAGCTGAGCGAAAACAGGAAGCTATCAAGGCTAGAGTCGGGTAATAATAATGTTCAGTCTGTACAGTACTCCATAGTGACCCTGTAAGTACAATACTTCACCTTTCCGGGGCAGTAACCAGAGGAACCAGAGGAATAAGTAACCAAAGGTCACTAATCGAAGGTTAGTTACCTTACCAGACCCGCTGTACCGCCCACTTTCCCAGCGAAGGCTGCTGCCGTAAGCATCGCCCACGATTGAGCCTTCACGGCTTTTCCCCTCCAGAGACCACTGCTCTTCCCTCTTCACCAACCACCTTCTCTTCAAATCCTCTGACCACCCTCTGTTTTTTTTGAGGGTGCAACCTTTGCGTCTAGGTGAGTAGCTGCCTCCGTTATATCCCTCGCACCACCACCACACCCACACGACCCTTCCTCTCGACGGTGGTTTCCGTACCCGTGCGTCATTTTTTTTTTTCATTACCACCAGTGGCCGCCGAGCCCTAAACACCGCCCCGAACACTCTCCAAAATTTAAAAATCTGACGCCCCCCTCGTCCTCCTCCCTCCCTCTTAACCGTCCAATTTTTTCTCTCATAATCACCAGTGGTCCCCCCTGGAACTTGGGTTTCACTGACCAGTTTTTCCGATCTCTCCAGACTTTCGCTCCTTCGTTAGCGAAAGAACCCCCCAGAAAACCCAACCCGTGCCTTTGGTTCCTACCACCAAAGGCAATCCCCCCCCACGTCACCACGGCTCCCGTAGCCTCAATCTTGCTCAGCCAAATTGTCTCCACTCGACGTCAACGCGACACTCTTAACAACATTCCACCACCTGCTGCAATCGCCCTCTGAGAGTCCGTCCGGTGCGCCTTTTTTCACCCCGTTGACGCCCCCTCAGAATATTCCCTCAACCTCTGAGCTGCCGCATAGGACTTCTCTGAAGGTTCTTCCTCTTAAGGAGGAAGGGTCTAAGAGGCTTAGTCCAGTCAACTACGGTTGCGACACTTTTCGTCCTCCCTAACGCAGTCGCAAACTTTTTTTGTGACTTTACTTGATTCTACCTTTTTTTTCAATCTCTTTTTTTCTACTTAAAAAAAAGATTTTTCCATTCGTGCTGAATCGCAGCTGCACGATTATGGCACCGACTGCGTGTGTTTCGCCTGCTGATGTATGCACTATCAAAAACGACTTGAATAGGCGTGACCATCTTGGTCAAGTCAGCAAGCATGGGGACGATCTGTTGCAATCGGGGTTGACTGCGAAGGAGTTGGTGTTGGATGTGTTGAAGAAGCGGGCTGCGGAGGTGGATACCGATCGGTGTGAACCCGGAGAGGAGGATGCGTTCTATGTGGCGGATATGGGAGAGGTGTACCGCCAGCACATGCGCTGGAAGATGAATCTGGGCCGAGTCAAGCCTTTCTACGGTAAGTCCCGCCAGCCATTGGAGATGTAATGTTGCCAAAGATCTCTTCTCTGATGATTCTACAGCTGTCAAGTGTAACCCGGACCCGGAGGTTCTGCGTCTCATGGCCCAGCTGGGCAATGGATTCGACTGTGCCTCCAAGTCGGAGATTGACCTCGCTCTGCAGACGGGCATTGATCCTAGCCGGATCATCTATGCCCAGCCCTGCAAGACCAAGTCTTACCTGCGCTATGCCTCGCAGGTCGGCGTCAAGCAAATGACCTTTGACAACGCCGACGAGCTGTACAAGATCAAGGCTCACTTCCCGGATGCCGAGCTCTACCTCCGCATCCTGACCGACGACTCAACCAGCCTGTGCCGGCTGAGCATGAAGTTCGGAGCCTCCCTGGACGTGGCCCAACAACTGCTCGAGCTTGCTCACCAACTCGAGCTCAAGGTTGTTGGCGTGAGCTTCCACGTCGGCTCTGGTGCCGAAGACCCGCGTGCTTTCCTCAAGGCTGTTCAAGACGCTCGTCTGGTGTTTGACCAAGCCGCTCAGATTGGTCATGAGCTGCACACCCTCGATGTCGGCGGCGGTTTCTGTCAGGACACCTTTGAGAAGTTCTCGAGCATCCTGAGCGATGCCTTGGAGACCTACTTCCCGCCGCACATCCGCATCATTGCCGAGCCCGGCCGTTACTACGTCGCCACCGCGTTCACGCTCGCGGCCAACGTCATTGCCCGCCGTGACGTCCCCGACCCGCTGGACCCTTCGCGTGATGCTTACATGCTGTATCTGAACGACGGCGTGTACGGCAACTTTTCCAACATCATCTTCGATCACCAGCACCCAGTTGCCAAGGTGCTGCTGTCCGCGGCTGATGACTCGCAGCCCGGCACGCCAAACTCTGCGGTGACCGAGACCAACTCGTACTCCATCTGGGGCCCCACCTGCGACGGCATCGATGTAATCACTCAGCGCATTGATCTGCCGGGGCTCCTGAACGCCGGAGACTGGCTGTATTTTGAGGAGATGGGCGCGTACACCAAGTGCAGTGCCACTCGCTTCAATGGCTTCTCCGATAACCACGAGGTGATCTACATTTCCAGTGAGACTGGTGCTTCGGCTCTGCTGAACTACTAGGTTTGCTTGTGGGAGATGTTTTGGTTGATGTGCTTTTCGTTTTGAAAATTGCTTTCTTTGTTCTTGCTTGGAATCATTTTGTCTCCGTCCCTTTGGTGGACGTGATAATATAGCTTGAAACTTTTGCTGCATTGACGTTATTAAGCTCTTTTACTTTGTCCTAGACATGTCATAGAATAGAGCATGCTTGCTTTTGGCCTCGAAATCTCTCCTTCGGAGTGGACATGTCATATCTAGACTTGTGTTCCTGCAACAGGTGCGATTGAAACGTTGTATCGTTTATATGCATGCATGTTTCATGGCTGTGGTCGTGTCTATCATCTAATCTAGCCATCGAATCTAAAAGTAGGTATCATCAAGAAATAAAGCCCTGTCCTGTCCCTGTCCTCTCCCGTCTCGAGAATCTATACATCACTCATGGGTATCCATCCAAACCAGTCACAGCTTGTAACCACCTCTAATCTCAAACCAATCGGTCCACAGTCAACTCAGTCTCTCCACCGGCAACCTGCACGAAACCACCAGCCTCCAGCTTCTTCTTCCACTTGCCCGACTCGTACCGGGCCAGAATGAGGGTCAATCGCGCGGCCACAGATTCATCCGCTGACTCCGCAACCACCGTTGACGGGGTACATGTCCATCGACCGAACGCCCAGTTGAGGATATAGTACCTCGTCTCCAAGGCATCACCCTTCCTCCTCGAGTCCATGTCATCCGAGGACTCGACGGGCGGCGTCGCAGCCGAGCAGCGAATAATACCCTTGATGCGGTACACTTCTTCCCTGGGCGTGGACTGCAGTAGACGCTCCAAGGCCTCGACATCCACCGTCTGACCGGGCGCACTCTTCAACTGGACGGACAAAACCTCGACCTCAGACTGATGATCATGTTTATGCGCATGTCCATTCTCATGGCCATGTCCATCTTCACCCTCGACCAACCCCTCCTCCTTCGCAAACAACGCCCCATCAATCCCCAACAAAATATCCTTATCCACAACCCCGCGATCCGACTTCACCCAAGCCGTATCAACCTCCAAATCACCCACCCGATCCAGACACTCATCAAACCTCCTCTCCCCAACCCCCTCCCACTTATTAAAAACAATCAAATCCGTATACCGCGCCTGCAACTTCGCCGTATAACTCGTATCCTCATACCCCGCCCAATTCTCCACATCAATCACGCTAATCACCCCATCCAGCACAAACCTGCCAGCACCCCCTTCATCATTCTGACTCTCCCTCGCCAACCGATTCACCTCCATCGCCAGCGTCGCCGGGAACGCACTCCCGGACGTCTCGATGACGATGCGATCCGGCGACACGCTCGTGCGCAGTTGCTCCAGCGCATCGCTGAGTTGACCGACCAGGTTGCAGCAGATGCAGCCGTTGAGGAGTTCGCGGACGCCAGAGATGGAGCTTGTCGAGGCGAGTTGGGAGTCGACGGCGACGTCGCCGAATTCGTTTTTCAGGAGGGCGAGTCGGTAGGTGCGTGGGAGTTGGGGGATTAGGTTGAGGAGGAGGGTGGTTTTGCCGGAGCCCAGGAAGCCGGTAACGATTGTGATTGGGATGGGCGCCATGTTTGGGAGGGTGTTCGGCCCGGTGTGGTGGTGGTGGTAGTAGTGGTGGTTTGAAATAATGGTAGTGCTGGTTTGAAAGAATGGAAGGATTGAAAGGGTTGAGAGGAATCCTGTAAAGAGAGTTGTTGTAGGGAAACAGGGGAATTTGGGAGAGTGGAACCTGCGGCGTTGGCGTTGATAACTTTTTTTTTTGGCGGTGGGGGTTGGTGGGGCTGGACTGGCCTGGTCCTTGGGCGAGGCACTGGCTGGTGATCATTGGTGAGTGAGAATTTCAAAGGCGTGGAATTTTCCTTAGTAGACGAGAAGATTAGATCCGAATCCTGTGAGAATTGTGAATGCGATTCAATAGTATTATTTCAGAACAATCATTAAAGGAGGACTTATGTTGATCCTAGCCTCTCTAAGACTGTAGTGTCAAGTCCGTTCGATCAGACCTCCCTCGATCATCCATCTCACACTTCTAAATACTCAACCATACGAAACTATAAGACGAAAGATTCGCCCATCCTTTCCTAGCAGTATATACACATCCTCAGACCATATACATTCATATCACCCCCATTGCCGTTCCACAACCAACCTCTTCCGTAAACCCTGATACTGGGCACACCCACGCCCGATGGGTCCAGCGACGTCATATCTTGGCACAGACTTGGCCCCATCCAAGCAGGAACACCCTCATTTCACTCAAGCGCAATGATCTTAGCCAAGTTGACCAGACACCCATAAATTTCTGCTGCCTGGCCCAGACAATTGGCGACTCTCCCCACACTGAAACATGTCATAAACCCTCCCAGCGCCGCTAACTCTCTCTCGGGCCTATTAAGTCCCTTCAGCCCTACGTAGGGTCAGCCCTATGGTGCCTGTCTTCTCTGTCTAACCTCTATTCCGTGATCTTAATTGATCCTGATCACGATCTCAAAAGTGACTGCTTCTATTCTCGTCTCTCACTCCCGAATCCGGCGCCATACTGCAGAATGGGCGATTCAAATAACTCGCTCCCCACAGATCCCTCAAGCGATTCCAATGGAGAGGGTGTTCTTGCTAGTGTCAGGCAGCAAATCAACTCGATGACGGGCGGAGCATCTGTCACAGATATCCAGCAAAATTTCACTACCGCCGCTGGCGGAAAGGCCGCTGTCTTGAAAGAGACTGTTGTCGAAAACGTCATGCCGGCAGCGGGTGAGGCGCTCCAGTCAGCTCAGCAAAGCCTCCAGACCCTTGCCAGCAAGGCTATTCCCGAGAGTGATTCTCAAGGGGAAAACGGTATGTTCATTCCGTCTAATTGACTTGTTATCTTCATGCCTGTGACTCACCAAGCCTCTGCAGATACAAAATCAGCACACCCGGATCACCGAATAATCGACCAAATGAGTGATGAACAGATCTGTGATTTCTTGAGAGATAAGCATAAAAGCACAGCGCTAACGCATTCGAAGCACCAAAACTGAGGCTTTCAGGGATGTGATCTGTCTTTTCATGTATATGTATTCCATGCGTTGGGTGAGCGGTCATGAGGCGGAAGGATTTATCAACCCGGGTTCCTGTATTTCGAAGATATTAGGACTTGGTTTGTGGGTGGTTGGTGTATATATTATGATCTTGTCATGATAAGTTATATACATCGGTTGAATTTCATTGATCAAAGGGTGGAATAGGTTATATACGGATCCCGGCTCGTAGGCTCGGGGCTAGGCGGTACCAGAGCTCGTTCTGGAGTTTATAGTAGTCCGCTCAGCACAATGTAAAGATTAAATGGATATATCGATTATTTATTGTTAACTACTGCTACGCCGGGAATGATAGAAAATACCACATTTTCTTCTTTAAGTTATTTGGAGATCGGGATAGTATGGTAGAGACAAATACAAACACATGGGATCGTCACTATACCACTCGCCAGATTCACTCAGTCCTACGTTCTGCATGTCAGGCCCATTCCTGTCATACTGCTCACTTGATATTCCTCATATCTGTGTATATTTACAGCAATGCCCTGAACCCCGGGTCCCGGCTGCGATCCAGCCCCAGGAAGTCAACCACTTGTCCCAAATGATCAATGCCCCAGAAGCCTTCAGTCTCGCCTGCCGTGTTTGTACACTCGAACCATGGGATACCAAAGGCTCCTTCCTTAAATGCACGGTCAGTGTTGGAGTTCAGCACTGCCTTCATCTCAGGCTGTGTGATCTGTGCACTATGTCAGGACGAGAAAGATGGTGAGACGTGACGATTCACAACTTACGGCAGAAATGACATCCTTGGTAGCCTCCTGTCCAAGGACACTCTCAAAAATCGGTGTAAAACCTTCCGGCTCACCAATCTTGGAGTTTGACTGGACCCAGAACGAATGGTACAGCGCCTCAATAACAGAGGGCAGCTTTGTGGGAGCCTGCTGCGAGACAACGCAGAGAGCCCGCTGAACTGTCAAAGTGCGCGGCGGGAAGCCCTCCGGTGTGTCATCACAGATAGGCACTGAGAAATATTTTGCCCATCTTCTGCGCTCCGTGTTTATCCATTGGCTCTTGTCTGTAGGCGGAGTCAGCGTCTGTCATCTCAGCTCAGCCACTTCACTTACTCTTGATACTGATGGGTGGTGTATTGTTGCATTGGTTGAACAAGCCACCCAGAAGAATAGGCACGTAGTTAACCTCACACTTGGCAAAAGTTGGCGAGTTCTAGAGTCGAGGGTTATCGTCAGGACTGCACAATATCAAGGACCTCGGCCAGTGATGAGGAGCAGCTTACCTTCAGGACATAGAAGGCAATGTATGCAAAAGGGCTGACGATGTCAAAATAGAGGGTGATCTTGGGAGATGCCATGATAGATTGTGTAGACTTGGAGATGGCTGTGCAGGTGAAAGTCAGTCGACGTTCCAAGGATCCAGGGTCCAGCGGGGATAGCCCGTATTTAAGCTTCAATTCTCCCCGCAAGTACACCCGCGGCCCACAGCCTCTAGGATGACTCAGCATGAATGAAACCGAGGCTCCGACGTTTAATTAAGCATATCTATAGTTTCGATTCTCATACCGGCGATATGCAGATTCAGGTTGCTTCCTTACGGTGACCAATACTCATATCATCTTTTGGCACCTGCCAGTCACTCATGTCGGTATGCGTAGATTCACCTTTAGATACCACTATCCTTCTGCCCATGTACCTTAGATTAGTCGAATTGCGAACGTGTATAAGCGCAAATAAGCACCATTTTGAGATACACGTAGCTCCAATTGCTTGCCCAAACAAATTACGTCCACGAAATCTCGTCACGAACGCGTTGTCGTCGCCTGCTGCCCTCAATAGCCGGAAAGTTCCATTTTCTCTCTCATCCTCAAGCTATAAATTGACCTCTTAGGACCAGCTTTCGTCTTCCCTTCTCCTCTCCTCTCCTCTCCTCCTCACCGTACCAGTGCTTCGATGATTGATGCTACACACCTTTGCTTTCTTTATTCGCTTTTGAACCAACACATGCTTGTTCAACTCTTACTTCACCTCCTCATCCTGCTCAGTATGCTCTCATTCGAGATCATGCCTCTAGAGCCCCTCGGTGCCGAGTTCCCACTGGGAGTCCTCGACCGAGTCCCTCTTGTCTCAACCGTCTCCTTCACTCATCTAACCGGTAACTCGACCCAGCTCACTCCTCCCAGCATGAACTCCCTCGTGAAGCAAGCCTCCAGCTACGGAGAGAACTTGCCCCGAGTTCCAGCCTCATCGTCTCGAACCCCCTTGGCTAGGGTGGCCTCGAGGATGTTCACCCCGGAGAGCAGCGTGTTGAAGGGACTGGCTGAGAGCTCCTCGGTTGAAACTTCCATCACCTCCACACCCTGTCCTGTCACGAAGTCCATCCTAAAACCCTCTACTCGTGGCATTTCCATCAAAAATACTACCACTTTGGCTCCGGTTGAGCAGACCAGACCTTCCACTGGCATGCCTGTGAGCTTCTCTGTTAAGGGTTCCACCAGCTCAGCCGTCCATCCTTCGATGAAGCATCTTGAGATGAAGGTTCATTCGAATCATCTCCGGTATTCCTCCATGACTACATCTCCTATGGTAAGTTCCAGGCTCAGGGACAATTATTACTACCATCTGACACTTGTTTAATAGCCTGCTGAACGCACTGGACCGAAAGAAAAGTCTGTAACATTCGAGGATTGCCCATGTGGGGAACAAGATTGCATCCTCCGACGTCCACGAATTACCACCGCTCCTACGGTAAGTATCAACTCATGAACAACTTGTGGCATTTACTGACACTAACTTGGCAGACCGATGGAAATGCCGAACGAAAAAGCAAGGCGATGGTCTTCGAGGGTTGGCCGTTTGAGCAGGACAATTCCACCCTTCAAACCCCACCAATGAACACCTCTCTCACGGTACGTTCGAACACATAGGCAATGACTGACCTTCACTGACACCAGCTTAGCAGTCATATGAGTGCTCTCCGAGAGATGCAAGGACTCTAGCATTTGAGAACTGTCCGTGTGGCGAAGATGACTGCATCCTGCTAAACGCAAAAATCACCAATCCTTCTCAGGCGAGATCCAATTACTGAACGGTCTTTGATGTTTATTGACGTTCGTCCAGCAACCTGATGAATATGCCGAGTCGGAGGAAGAGTCCACGGCATTCGAACGTTGCCCATGCGGGCAAGCCAACTGTATCCGCCCAAGACCCCAAACTGTCACTCCTCTTGATGTAAGTGTAAATCTATGAACAAACTATAATGCTTACCTGACATTCACTTAGCATAATAATGAGTATCCCGCGCAGAAAGGAAAGTCGGCGGCATTCGAACGTTGCCCGTGTGGGCAGGATGACTGCGCCATTCCAAGCTCATCCAAGACCGCTGCTCTGGTAAGTTCCAGTCTCTGAACATCATTTGACAGATTCTGACCTTATCCTAGCCTGATTCATCAAAGTCAGCAGTACCCGATCCAAGGAATACGCAAGATGATCCGAATCCGAATGGGAAACGACCAAGCGCGCAGGGTTGGTTCATGACTACCCTCAGCAACAAACCAGTCGGCTATGATTTCATCAAATCCTGTCGTGATATACGGGCCCAGCCCGATAACAAATATGCCGTTGAAGGATGGGCGATCCGAGAGGGATCACTTGTCATTGGAATTAGTCCCTCCCATGTTGTCCCCACCGGCGAGCAGTACTTGGATCAGCTTGAGTTGAAGGAGGGGAAGTTTTACATGGTTGAACACATCTACAGTGACATGTGGGCTTTCTGCGTGGAGTTTTCTACAATCAAGCCTCATCAGGGCCGCATCGCAGGTGCCCCTAATGAGGTAGTTGGACTTGGATTCGTTCCGCTGTGTGCGGTTACACTTGCAGCCAACTACAGCTCATTCCTCGAGCGCTGCCGGGAATATCAAAAGAACCCATACAAGATGCCACTCACTCCTACAAATGGCGGACGTATGCTACCTCCAGTCCGCATCCAAAGTCTGGCTGTTAGCCGGGAAATGGATTTGATGATCATGAAGGGTCAGAACGACTTCAACTCGAAAAAGGCCTTCAATATCTGTGAAAAATTCAGACCGATTGGCGAGGGAGAGCCTGAATATGAACCAAGTGACAGAATTGGCAAGATGAAGTCCTTCATCAAGGCCCCGCACCGGGCTTGGAAAAAGCTTACCTCCAAGAAGCTGCATATCAAGGGCAGCTGGGTTGGTCCGGACGCAGTTCCTCTGCGGCCTGAGCCCCGTCCTCGCAAGAAATTGATCAAAACGCTGCATCGATCCCTTGATATTACCGGAGGTGTCAAGCGGTTGTGTGACCGGATCCGTGGAACTTGAGCCGTTTCAGACTCTTTCATCGTGGCCACAAGTGTGGCGTTCAAAAATGTGTGATGTGGGAAATGTGTTTGGAATTGGGACACGGCAAATCGAATGTGACATGAGATATGAGATCAGACAAGATCATCAGAGCTTGAGTTACGATACTATTTTAGCTTAAAAGCTCAGTGGAATGCCTCTAAGCTGTTCCTCTCTTTTGTAGAAGGTTTAATTCTGTTAAGACAAGTCCTCGCATTATCCTGCGAAATAGAAGTTGTCAGTCCCTTGTCTAACTATCGTCCTCACTCCCACCAAACCAGGACTTCAGCAACATAACTAACCAAATGTGATTTCTTCATGAACCATCTTAGCTCTGGAAGTTCGATTAAACAATGACAACCTTAAGTTACTTTATGTCTCAAGTACACGTGTTAATTGAGTTGCATCAAAATGTGCTCATGATGAGTAACCCAACTATTCGCCATCCACCGTGCCAACCCATACAAGAGAAACCATTCCCAATTCTCAATACTCTTCCAAGTATTTCTCAGTGCAGTACATTATCATCAAAAGGCTCTACGGCAGGTACAAGACCAGAATCAAGAACCATGCCCTCTCGATCAACCAGCCCTTACCGGTCCGCAGAGAACCTCACCCCCATCCTCGATCTTCGCTCGGAGGACAAAAGTCGAGATCCAAATGAGAGACCGGATCACTCACAGGTTGCAAGCCGCGGCACACCCGCTCGCCATTCACGACGACAGCGATCGGAGTATCGATCCTGGGATCGGGCGAGTGATGTGCCCAGAACGGGGACGACGGGGTCCAAGTATCGATCGCGGTCGAGACATTGAACTTTGAGAATAGAGTGTCTCAGCATACTAGAGAGTACCCATACTTGTTGGCTGGTTTTTGTCATCTGGGAGTGATTTTCGGACTATGCAAGGTGTACATTAAGGTGTTTAGATCAAGGGATGTATGTACTTTAGTCTCTTAGTTTCTAGACGCTCTCTTGATCAACCGAAGTTGCATTTGCACTAAACGTTCATCCGTATGTCATGGCATATACATTCATCAGTTGGGAAAAGAGACATATGCTGCCACATCTTGCCCGATTATACATGTCGTACAGGTATAGCCTGGCTAAACACGCCATCTACAACCGTCACTCCTCAAATGCTCTTAGAACAGCAAGACCAGCAACAGAGAATGATGCAACCCGATTATGGCCTAGCAAATTCCAATTATTAGTAATGTGAACTTAGAGAGATAGGATTCAAGACAATTTTCAACGAGCTGACATACCTCCGTATCGAACACGCTCCCAGCGGACCTTCTTCACAACCTGGGATCCATCCTTGCCAGTAATCCTGTTCTCCCAGATCTCAATCTGAGAAGGACTGACGGTTTCTGACTTTTGATAAACTACCGCACCAGGGGCACCTTTGATATTTTCTCCCGTCGCAGCTGTCCAGACACGGCGGCCTTCACGCCACGGGATTTCAATGTCGTTCTGAGCATGTACTATTGTCAGGTCGAGGTCCTTGTGGACGTAGTCCAGTCCACTTGTATCAGAATTTGAGGAGTTGATGCCAGTCAATCGAGCCACTCGTGCTGTGGTATCCCAAGAGTCCACAATGTGACTCATGATCCAGTTCTGGAAACGAGGGTATCCGATGAGTGGAGAAAGCATGGGAGGGGTCAGTCCTTTGACACTGTAGGACTGGATGAGGCTGGGCAGATTGCTGAAGGATGCCAGCAGAATCACTCCAGCGAACGGCTCGGCATTCTTGATGGCCGGTTGGACTGCAATCGGGTCAGGGGACCCAAAGGCAAATCGCTCAGCTACCGCTGCAGTAACGGCTGTGCCTAGACTCTGGCCCATTATGACGATCCGTGAAGGAGGGATCTTGAGCGGGCCTGCAGTAAGGAAGTTGAGTAGGGAAACGCCATCAGTGATAACGCCCTCTTCAGTCGGGCTCCCGGTTGAGACACCGAATCCGCGATAGTCAATGGCAAAGACATGCACGGGATGCGACGGTGTTGATAGACCCAGCATTGTATTGTACGTGGCTGGTCGCTGGCCGGATCCAAGATGGGCAGCATTCCCATGGACTGCGACGTTTTGAGATTAGGTATAGTCTTCAGAATGAAAGGGTATCTGATCGAAGACATACAGCTCACCACGACCCGGGCATTGGGATCATTGGCTAATATCTTGAATGACAATGTATCCTTATAGTCTTCAGCTGGCCCCGATGGAGGGTTCTCCATTAACTCCTTTTCATGCTCATGGCAGAGGTGCAGAGGTATCAGGTGCCAGCCGTAGAGCGTTTCATTATCTGGCGTTACCAGATGAAATGGCTGAACTTGGGTCTCTAGTTTCGTCAGTAGTAAACCTTCAATAAATACCAAGGCCACATACTTAGGAAGCCAAATTGTTCAACTTGATTGACATCCTGCCAGTAAGCCGGGTTGACCTTGTTCGCATAAAGGAAGCTGTTCCAAGTTAGTTAGGACAATTACACCGCAGGACCAATATCTCATACAAGCGCTGGACTGTTGGAAATGTCAAGGACGTCACAAACAAGACATAAGCCAGACCACCGGCCACAAGTGTCCAGTAGGCCTTTCTAAAGATGGGTTGCAATTCGACCATCGTTGATTACAGTGTCATCCTTCGGCACGGAGGCGGAGAAGGGCGGAGGCGGCGTCAATGCGGTGATAAGCTGCCACTTATCGCGTCACGCTTTTCCCCCTTCCACCTCCCATCTCGACCTCCTCGTCAAACGCGACAAACTATCAGTCTTACTCGGAACTCGGTCACTCTCACGCGTGCATACGCCAGTCAGTCATGGCTGAGAAGCGCAAGCTCCCGGCACGCGCCGGTCGTGAGCCTGCGGCCAAGCGACGAGTCTCTGAAGCAGCAACGCCCTCTCAAAAGAAAAAGGCGTCAACTCCTCGTGTACCATCTCCAGCACCGCCCCCGCCTCCGCCTGAGCCAGTAGAGGCGCCATTGCCGATATCGATTAAAGATAGCGAGTCTGTGCCAGTCTTGCGCGAGCGACAACCCGCCACGCTATCGGACGAGGAATACCAGTCGTACGCGGAAAGGTTTGATCCCCAGAGTCCCCCGGATCGGCAAGTGTCGCTAACGAGTCATGATTCATTTCCTACAGTGCGGTTCTGCTTGCGGCCCTGGAGCGATCGAAGAAGAAGTGGCTCAGCGATGGTATCCTAGTTCGATACTACACGAAGCCGAAGAAGACGAAGCGTGAACAGATCGAGAAGAACAACCCGCCCAAAGATTCGATGACGAGAGTTGGTCCTTGCGACGTTACCATTGGACCTCACCTTTTCGATGCGATGATATATACCGTGAAAGATCCCAACGCGCCGCCAGCGATCCAATATGCTCCTCCGCAGAAACAGATGGTCCACTACGGCCACCCCAACAACTTCCAACAATACCAGCCGTATCCAGGTAATCAGAAAAGACCCCCCTACCCTCCTACGCCTCAGGGGCGCCCTCCACATGGATACCCAGGTACTCATGCACCACCCTCTCAACATCGTGGTCCGAACCAGGCGCAACCTCAACCGGGCCAGAGGCCACCACAACCAGCTGGACAGCCCGCAAAGCCCAGCCCTGATCCAGTCATCCAGATGCTTGCGACCAGAGCTGCCGCTGATCCAGAATTGAAAGCTCTTATGAGGGTGGTTGCTTCCAGTCAAGCATCACAAGAGCAGCTTCGTGCTTTCCAGGCTCATATCGACGAGCTAAATGCGATCATCAAGGCAAGGGAACAGGAACGCCTGAGAAATGCTGCTGCTGCATCTAAACAGTCGCCAGCAGCTTCCCAGCCAGCGACGCCTGCGCCGCCCGCGCCACAACCTAGACCAGCCTCCCCACAGGTCGTCATTGACCAAAGGCAAAGCTCGGTTACGAATACCCCGTCTCAAGGACAGGGTAGTACATCCCAGCCCGTGCCTCCGACGCAAACACTATCCAAAGAAACTCACCCCCAGCCCGTTTCAAACTCAAAGGCACCACCACCGCCAACAACAGCATCAACGAAAGCGCCTGTCACAGGGCCACCTCAGCCTGTACCTCAACCTCAGACCCCAGCGCCGTCTCAACCAACTTCATTACAAGCACCCAGCTCCAGCCAGACCTCTGCCACCACACCAGCAGTAAAGCAAGAGCCAGGGACACCGGGACCAACCATCCCGCAAGCGACCCGGTCGAGCTCGGCACAACCAGCAGTCTCAGCTCCATCCGCAACTCCTGGTCCTGTTAGCACTCCGACCCCCAACGCCGCATCCCAGGTGCAGAGTCCTGCAGTGCAACCGCCTCAGAGCGCCAACAATATCCAACAGCAGGTGCCACGGCCGGGCCCCCCTTATCCTCCATATCAGCAGCAAGCGTCGTATGGGACACAGCCTGCTGGCCATTCGCGTCCACCACAATACGGCTCTCCCACGCCCTATTATCGTCCCCAAGCGCCACCGGCGCGGACTACGCCCACGCCATTGAACTACAAGTCTGTCGTCTTCGAGTTTACCTCTCCATTGACGCCATACGGAAGTAGCACATCTGGCCACGCTGGTTCAGGTGATCGCTACCTGTTCCCCGAGCACTCGATCCTGGAATGGCTTCCGAACGAAAATACCATCCTCGCCTCGTTCCTTATCGTGAAGAAGGTAGACCCAAACACGCCATTCCCAATCGAAACTGCACCCGACGCCGGAACAGGACGCACAAAGGGCAAAGGTGCCTCAAAATCGAAAAAGGGAGCCAAGGCAGAGAAAGCCGCAGAGACGCCGGCACCTGCCGATGCCCCTCCAAAGCAAGAGCCTTCTGATAATAAAGCGGATGTCAAAGAAGGTCAATCAGAAACACCTAGCACGCCCAGTGGAAAACCTAGCAGCGACGCAAATCTGAAAGAGTACTGGCAGCCAGTCACCTTCCGCATTCACGCGGCAAATCCTCGGATCCTGGAACCTCTCACTCGTGTCGTCAAGCCGGCTGATGAAGTCCGCAAGTACATGAACGAAATCATGGACCGAGCTGAGCGTGCACCGGATGGTTTCCCTGCGTTCCGGCTTCCCTATGAAGATGCTCGCGAGGCTTTCGAGACGGAAAGTACGCCAGTGTCTACAGTGGCAACTGGTGCTTCTTCGCGTATTCGTCCCTCGAAGGCGGTGGTAAAGCCGCTTGAGGAAGAATCTGAGGTTGAGAAGGATGTGGTGGAGGTTGAAGAGGAAGAAGACTTGATGGATTTCTATGGTGCGCCGATGGGTATGCCGCCCTTGCGTGTTTGAGAGGATGATTCGCTGGGCTGCTCATTGTACACTATCTAGATAATTCCACTGTATACCGCATCTTCATTATGTATTACCATTCATCTCGTCCTGTTGCGCTGCTGTATGCGTAACTATTTGCAGATAGCAGATACCTTCGTTACGAACAAGATCTAGACCATCTATTTTACTCTTCATTTCGCCAAGAGACTAACAAGTAATCAAATGAGACTATCTCTTAAGTATCTGATTAACCACACCCAGTACCAAGACCCAGTACAATTCCCAAAGACAGAAACGAACAACCAATCAACAACTCAAGTGCTGCCGCCAGAATATTGACCATGATCACCAATAACTCCGGCCGTTTCCAACAACCACCTAGCACTCTCCTTCGCCGAATCCCCAGCCCCAGCCTTGAGATTAATATTCCGCCGTCTCTCCGCCTCACGAGCCTCAAAGTCCCACTTGGCCCTCTGCACTTCCACCGCACTCGCATGTGCATCTGAAGAAACCGCCAGCTCAGGATCCGGGACGACGCCCCAGATCTCAAGAGCATAGAGATCGAGGCGGGTCTTGACAGAGGCATCTTCCATTGACGCGGTTCCGGATGGGAGGAATACACCGTCATGACCGACAGGTTCGACGCGAAACTCGGCGGATTCAAGGTTCACGTCTATCGTTAGACTTGCGGCTCCGTGCGGGCTGGGGGGTGTGTGGTGGCTTCGTGAGGCTGGTGGGATTTGACAGCCGATTGCGATGCCTGTATGTGTTGAGAACCAAGATGCTGGGAGATTGGCTTGTGCTTGCACGGATGGAGAGGGGTTTCCGGTTAGGACTTGGTGTTCTGGGGAGAGCTGGAAGAGACAAGGGAGAGGGTCGGAGCTGGAAGATGAGCTGTGGGATGACGAGGACTTCCAGGATTGAGGGAGATAAGCGCCGATTGTAATAATCTCTTCGCTGTTTCCGTCTGGTGCACCTTGTAATATGAGTAGGTTGGCCGATTGCCAGGTGAGAACGTTGTGGGAGAAGGATGTCAACGAGGAGCCGTGAGCGGCGGTAGAGAAAACTGGATGGAGACGGACGCCACTCTTGAAGAGGTTCATAGAATGCGCTTTTGAGGGCAGGAAGAATGAGAGGTGGGAAAGGATTGTCGGGTTGAGAATCGTTGACTCGAAGCTCCCTGGGAGCAGTACAGGCTTTGCCAAGGCAGCTTCTTCGGCCTTTTCATCTGCACTGTCCTCGGGTGTAGCCTCGCTCGGTCGTCTTTGAGAAAGATTCAGGTTCTTGCTGAACAACATATGCTCAAACAATGCCGTCAGAGGATCAAATAGATAGGGCAAGGATGTCGAGACTGTACGGGCGAATGCTCTGTACGTTATTCCGCCATCACTTTCCTCGGGCCGGAATGCGGCAATGATACTGTCGGCCTCTTTCCGGATCGCCTCAATTCGTTCAGAACCAAGATCAGATGTGTACGTCTTGACCGGTTCAAGTGGCTTCAAGGGCGCAATGACGAGCAACAGCATAACCAATCGGCGGAAAGTATCAACCGAAATTCGCGTTTCATAGACTGTCCGGTCCACGCGGTGATCGTGCTTGAACACTTCAATCGCATCAAGAGACTCCAATGCCGCGAGGGCAAGGTCATCATCCTCATCCTCGTCATACTCGTCATTGGCAGGCTCGTCGATAGAGAATCCTGGCGCATGGGACTTGGCAGGACAGGGCTCAGGATCTTCTTCAGATCCCGATTGTTTGTCCGCGGTATCCGTCTCAAAGGGTTTCCCGACATTCTTCCTCCCAACATCAGCAAGGCTACCAAAGAGCAACTTGATGCGATCTTTCCGCCCTCGCCGGAGGACTTTGCCGTAGCGCTCAGTCAGTAGCACCACCACTTTGACCATAGCCTCGAATGTCAAAACGCTCGGTGCCAAGGTATTTTGGAATGGAAATGCACCAAGGTACGAAACCATGCGAAACAGCACAGGCCCAGCATCAAGCGGAGCCTCGTCCGCACCAGAGCAGCTGCCGTCCGGGACTCCCAGGAAGTCTGACAGTGTCTTCTCATTCCAGTAGCGGATGCCTCCTTGCTCTGCGGTTCGAGAAAAGAAGTTGTCTTTGAAATGTGTCAGTTCCAAGGGCGAGAAGCATTTTGTTGCGAATCGCTCCGCCAGCATGTAGCTCAGTTCCTCTATTCAAAAATTAGCTCGGAACTCATGCATTGAACCAGTGTTAAAATAACAATTCAGGATTTCTCTGCGTCCAGTGTCCCCAGCATCATCTCTGCTGGATGGGAAACTCTGGTATAGTACTGACCTGGCGACGCTCCACTATAATCAGTCGACTGGCCCGCACCCATTGCTGCAAGTGCGGGGAACAGCCCGCTGCTTCAATTCCGGTTCTAGTTTCCCAGGTGGTTGTCGAGAAACAGCGTACAAATACTCGCTCACGAGTGAGCACGCAGTAATAGCCGGAAAGTTCTTGATATAAGGAGTTGATGGAAAGATAGGAAGATGGAAAGCGATGGCGACGTAAGGTTGCAGGTGACGAACGTCAAATATGGCTGCCTGAGGTGTCAGGTTGGCGGCCTAGACCTTTTCCCCTTTGGCCAGGACCATGTCAGACCATCATTTATTGGTTTACGGGTCCTTTGGGACTTGGATTCATTTGTATGTTTTTTTATTCTCTTATTTTCATAGCAACATAAGGAGATTCGTTGTATGGATGCCCATGAACACTTTTGAGAGCCACTGATCAAAAGAAAAGCACCTCGGCTTACAGCATAACGATACCCACGCCGCCCATCTTCTTCTCATCAGGCAAGTTCTTGTCGTTAATACCTCCGGGAATAGCAGGCGTACGGTAATTGTACAGGTAGAAGTGAAGCTGGCCATCACCAGCACCAAACTTGAGCTGCTCAAGGAACATGGGGTTGTCGTGGGAGGTGAGCGCGTTGAAGACGTCAAAGTTGGCCTATCATGATGTGAGCAGGGGGGAGAGTTTTGATCAATTTCCAGCAGAGCATTCCGTACCTGACGGGCGCAAATAAGCGCATCGTTCATCAGCACCTGTAGGCGAGCCTTAAGTGCCTTCGCGTTGTCATTGAACGCGGTTTCGGATGCGTAGTAGTAGAGGTAAGCAGCCCGGACAACTCCGTGCTTGTCGTTATCGATGACAGTCGACTCCAGGTTGTAGAAGGAGACGAAATCGGTGATCTTCTTTGTTTCCGGATCCTCTACCACATATGCCCAAACGACCTGCTCCTTATCGACCTGTGGCTTGTATACCAGCCAGTGGTCAATCTCTTCGCGGGTGAAAGCCTGGTTCATGTCGAAACGGAGCAGATATCGCTCTAGAAGATCATGGACCGCATCAATGTCTTTGGACTCCATTGGCCGCAGGCCGGGAGTCGAGGTAGCCGAAGGCAGATGGTTCCTTGTAATCTGGCGGGCCTTTGTCGAGCCATGCGGGAGAGGCGAGAAACCAACCTCATACAGCTTCAGCCAGTCCAGTGCGCGATGGTAGTATCGGCAGGAGCTGACGGGAGTGGGCAGGATGACACCACCAGTATAGATAGCCTGGAAGATCCCGTTGACATAGCAGCGACGAGTAATCTCCTTGATGAGAACGGGGGCCAAACGCTTGGAGCGCAGCTTCTTGTGGATACAAAGGAAGTTAATTTCGGTCACCTTAATACGCTCTCCACGGACACGGATTTCCGTCGGGACACCGCAGATCGACGCGACCAATTTGCGAGACTTGGTCGCCCGGACACCGATGTGCCATTCCTTCTTCCAGCCAGGAGACATCAGGGCCCTGTTGTAGCATAACACATCTGAAGTCAGCAATTCGCATAACAGACCGCAGAAGTTATGTAGAAATATCGTACCAGTGCAAGAACGACTCCGAGTAAGCGAATCGGAACATGGCATTATCATCCTCCACGTAGTGGTTATTCAGCAGCTCGTAGAGCTCCCGCAGCTCGGTCTCGTTCGTCAAATCAAGCGTGCACCACTCAAATCCATCAAGCAACGGATCCGGCGTCTTCGAGACCTTCTCGGGGTCAATCATCTTGATCGGTCCTTGAGCAACGGGGGTCGGGTTCGCTTGATCATCAAATCGAGGAACGGGCTGTGTCTGCCAGAATTTGTAAGAGGCCATATCCTTCTGGTTCTTCCCATTGCCCAACGAAAGACCAGTCAGCAATTGCGAGATGTCGATATTCGCGAGGGTCTTTGCCGCCGTTTCCTGGTCCATGCTCGCGAGTTCGTGCTTCAGAGCCGGGTTCGCTTCAATAGCTGACTCCAGCAGCTTCGTGGGGATTTTCTTTGTAGCGCGGCTGGAGGAGGGAGCTGTATCATGATCCATTATTTCAGCAAAGGTTTCGGGAGGGCTGTAGGGCGGAGACTGGGTACCCTTGCTAGTGTCTGAGCCGGCATCAGCACCGGTTTGTTCAGATTCATCCTCATGACGCTTGGGGGCCTTGCCCTTATCCTTGGAGTCCGACATGGCCGCTGTTTAGGGAGATGTGGGGAGAGCTGGAAACGTGGTAAGTGGGAGAAGAGGAGGATTTCGTTGAGGCCCCACGTTGAGCGCATGAAACGCGGATCGGTGGGGTGCCGAGGGGTAACTGGCCTTGTCCCCGTCTTCAGGCGGATCGAGCTTGGCGTCGTGAAGTATCAAACGAGAAGGAACTCATATAAAGGATGGCTATAAACTCTGGTATTATCGACATGGATGTTTGCACTTGGCATATCTGTCCAGCTAGTCGCTGTATTTGACAGCTGTCTTGCTTACTTAGCTGCAGAACATGGATGGAATGCACCTCGGCATTCTAAGCTGAGTCCTACAGGAAACAGGTATACGCGAGCTTCTAAATAGAATATTTATTTTTTTCAACTGGTAAATGCATTGCATGGGAATCTCGAATTGTTGAAATCCACAAAAGAAAAACACCTCTATGGCCATCATCGTCTCGCTATGTCGTCAATTATATGTCAAGTGTTGATACAAGAACTAGAACGGGCAAGAAGCTCCAGGCTGCCCATCAATTTGAGCTCCCACTCATGTGAGCAGAGAATCAAGCAGAAATTAAGGATTTTCCGTGTATGGCTTTGTTTCGATCACATCGAGGAAGCCACCCACCAGATGGATACTGCCGGTGACAAAAGTCATGACGGGGGCCTCGTCACTCTGGACGACCTTGCGTTCCTGGGCAGCCAGATCTCGAGCGAAGTCAACAGCCTCTTCGATAGTTCCAAACACTTGAGTCTGAGCGTTAGGATCAATCTCATTCCAGGCAGCGGCAAGAGACTTCTGTACGCGGAGCAATTCAAGATCATCAGCATTTGTGTTCATACTGACCAAGTCAGGACGGAATCCAGCCTGCTTGTATGTGATGTTTGTGCAAAATAGGGCATGTGTGAAAGGTGTGCCGGACTCCAACGCAGCGGCAAGAGTCTCATGAAGAGCACGAGCCAGAGCTGTGCTGTCACGGGTCTGCTGATTGAAAATCAAGATTCGGGGCTTCTTCGCTGCAATGTCGCCGGATGAATCGGCATGGATTCGCGAGGCAAACCACTGGCCAGCCAAGCGGATGCTCTCCAGAGTATGTCCTCCATCAATATACCAGGCGACATTCTTCTCGAAACGGGTCTCACAGCGTCCACCCAAGCGAGTCTCCTCAAGTCCAGTCTTGAATTTGGCAGGGAGAGGCTCAGACATGACGTTCTCGGAAATGTTCGCCACGCCAGTCTTCCTCAAGAACTCCGCGGCCGTTGCGACTGCGACGGAGGCATTGGTATATTGGAAGTCACCTGCCAGTCCGAGATTCACTTGGCTGGACCCTGCGCGCAGATCAGGATGTTCAGAAACAACATCCAACTGAGTGTCCTTGGCAGCGGCACGCTCAGCCAGAACTTGCTCCGCGCTTGGAGGCTGCGGCGCTGTGAAAGCCTTAGCTCCAGACTTGATGATGCCACCCTTGTGCCATGCGATTTTCTCGATCGTGGTGCCCAGCATAGCTGTGTGGTCGATTCCAAGGCTAGTGATAGCAGTCACCTTGGGCTGCTCAATCACATTGGTACAATCGTATTCTCCTCCGATGCCGCACTCAATTACTGCTGCATCAACACCCTCACTCAAATATGTGTGGAATGCCATCAGCGTGAGGTAACGGAAATATTGCGGCTTTGTGCTCAGCGACGCAGGATCTTCGCCAGCAGCCTTGGCTGCATCATTCAGACGGTCCCATACTTCAAAAAAAGTACCGCGCAAATTGCTCTTCGGAAAGCGGGGCGTTATCAATCTTGATGCGCTCGCGGGCGAACCGGAGGTGGGGGGAGGTATAGAGTCCGACTTTGTGGAGATGAGGGGAGGATTGACCTGGCTCTGACTGAGTGTACTGGGAAAGAATGGTTGAAATGAATGCGGAAGTTGAGCCTTTGCCCTTCGTGCCCGCGACGTGGACCAGATTCAATCGATTGAGATCGGAGGGCTGAAGAAGAAAGTTCTCATTAGTACCATAGTGCCTCAATGGCTAAGAGTGTTGGACATGAGCATTTGCGAACCTTATATCCAATGCGACGAAGCCATTCAACCGTCTCTGGGAGTGAGCGCTTATTGAGATCCTCCCGTGAGGTCGATTTCTTAAGCTCCTCCACGATCGCAAAATTCGTTTGCAGGGAATTGAGTGCTGCAATTGCAGCCTAGACACAGATCATGTCAGTATTCAGCATTTATTATCTGGCACTGCACTGAGCTGCAGGACCATTGATGCGGGGCATCCCGACATACCTCATATGAGCGAGTCATAACAGGCGAGTGAGTCGAGACTCGCCGTTGCGGACCAGACCAGCGAAGAGATCTCCAGATCCCTCTCATGAACAAGTGATACCCTTGCCTGCGATTTCAGGTGAGCAGGTGGGGTGTTTCTCGAAAGGAAACCCCAGTAGCTCGAAGATTATTTGGTTCAGCTTCCGAGGCCTCTCCTCGGGAAACCGGTAGTCATGATGTCGGAAATGTCACGTGATCTATCTCGGCTTATCCATGTATGATAGGGACTCAGTCGGGGATGGGCACTTTCAAGTCACTTAAAGATAGCGAATCCCGGATAGAATGAGACGGGAGAAAGCACGGGTAAACCGGTAGCATTATTCTCTATACTACAAAGTTCGGAATGGACAGTCAATTAGCACGCTTAGGTGTGATTGCTACGCCAATCCCCGTATCGTCTACTTCATTGGGGCGCCAGACAAAGTAAAAAAAAAAAAAAACGGGTTGCCAGATTAGCAAGGTAAAACAACGACACCAACGTATAGAGTGGTGAGCTGTATGTGGAGAAAGAAAGACTCTATCAGGTCAAACAGAAAATAGGGGCATGGCGCCAATGAACAAATGATAAGAAAGGTACAAGACAACCCGTCCGAAGGGAAACCAATGATAGTAAATCATACCAGCCGTGAAGTGTACAAAAGACAGGGATTGTAGTGAGGAACCACGCAAAGGTGGGTAGGAGGAATGAGCGAATTTACTCAATCCTGGTCTTGCCCTCCTCGAGGAAGACAAGACGGGCATTGCTGACGCCACGTTGGTGTCGTCTTGAGGGAAGCCATTGGCCAATGATAGGGTCGGTGCGAGCCTTGATGAGAGCATCCTGATACCCCTCGGCGCCAGCGATAGGGGTGTTCAGTTTTGGCCAGTTCACCTAAAATTTCGTTAATCAAGCATTTGATAGTTGCAGGGAGAGAGGGTTTACGTACATAGAGCATGCCATGTCCATGGATAAAGCGGAAGGAGTAGGCGCCGACGACGATCCAGAAAATCATGAAAAGCCGAAGCGGCCAGATCGCTGCGTCCGGCAGTCGCCTCGTGAGCGTGGCAATCAAGACCATGAACAAGCTGGCTGCGAAGATATACGGAATGGCTTGGATCACGAGTGGCCGTCGATCCATGAACAACTGAATGTTGGCAAAGGATGTATCTGAGGGCAGGTAGGTTCCCAAAAACACATCAAATCCATCCTGTCGGGGTCCGTCCATGAAGTTGTTGCGAACATAACGGGTGATGGAGTTGTTCAGGTCTTGAAGAGCGCCAGCCCGGGTACGCTTGCCCGTCCGAGTGAAATCGGTCTTTAGGGCACCCGTGCCAGAGTAGGACTTGGAAACAACATCGGCATTGTCCGCCCAGATATTCCGGAACAAGTCCTCAAATTCACGATCATCGTTGGCATTCTCACCAGGACGCAGCACACCAGCGTCCATAAGCTGTCGAGTCACCGCCCAGCGGCCGAGCATGCTCTGGACAACGTTGGTACGATCGAGGCAGTCCATGCAATTGGTTCTTACCACGCTCGTTTGTGTCGACCGGATATCTAGCTGGCCACCAGATGCGCCAGGGCCCTCTACCCCACGGAAGTAGCCACCTTGGGTTAAGCCATCATTCAAGCGACTCATCAGGAGCTCAGCCCGGTGCCACTTGAGACCCTTGGTCTCGTTGTGGAAGTCGAAATAAATATAGTGCAGACGATCCATTTCTTTCTGCTTCAGTCCTGGTTCAACGATATGGAACTTTTCCGATGACTTATCATCTACTTCTCTTGTCTCCGTCGACGAAGAGACGAGAATGCGAACCAGCTGCTCATAGGCATTCTTCACGCGCTCCTCTCGGCCCTTTTGATTGACGAGGTTGACCAGGTAATTCTCTCCATATAGGCGAATCTGTTCCGTGAAATGCTTGCGCGCAGCTTCGACTGCGGTCTCTACTCCGCGAACCTGTAGCTTGGGCGTGTATTTGAGATTGTTGACTTCGGCCCAGAAGACTGGAACACTGCCTCGGGTCTGGACAAAGGAATACACCTGGAGATCTTGGCCCGTCTTGCCGTTTGTCATTGATTGGCCCGGTGCATAGCCAGAAAGACCTCCGGTAGAGTCATTCAAAATCACAATCTGCTCAGTTTCGTTGAAGTTTGAGACATGACCTTGCTCGTCAATGCCACGCGAGAAGTATCTCGTCCCCGCGCGGTGTCGGGATCGCCGTGTAATGAGAGCAAATGTGAAGGAAGTTCCCTTGACTCGAGCCGGGGTGATGCGCAGCATGCCAAACATCACTGGAAGGATGTAAGGGTCAGCACCCGGCTGGGGCCCGTAGTGGATGCCATTTGCGTTATTTTCTCCCAGGCTGAAATCGATCAGATCGGACTGAATGAAACGGTTCCAGAAGAAACGATTGTCGGCGCGTTTCCACATGGGAATATCGGATGGACTCTGTGATTGCCGCTGGAAACTGTTGGTGAGGTCCAGGGAGTAGGAGAAGTACATGGGGCCGGTGCGAAGCAGGTCCTTGATCAGGGCTAAATAGGTATCCTCATCTTTATCGTGGAGTGGGCGCTCGCGCATCGGAAGGAACTCGGTCGAGGCAACTTTGTAGACCATGTGGCCGCGGAGTCGTCCCATCGGCTGAGCTTTGGTAATGACGATGATGTACTTGTCTATTTGGGGAGGTTAGTGCAGCCCCCTATCCCAATCCCAGTGCAATCGCAATTTACCTAGCTTCAGCTTAACAATTCCCAAAATTCCGGCGATGCTTGAGATCCGCTTCGCGCCCGATAAAGGGCCATCATTTAGACGAAGGTCGCCCGTCGGCCGGTCTACCACAAGCGTTGGTGCCTGGGGCGATGAAGGCGAGGTGAAGGCATAGTGTGAAGGCGAAGCGTGTAAATTGACATCCCTAAAAGGGAGGATCTGAGGCGCCATGGCGGGCAGCCGAGACAAATGAGACGGAGGGTAGTAGTCTCGGACTTGGAATAATATGACCAGGGGCGAAGAGGTGGTGGGGGAAGGCTAAATCCGCAGAGGGAATGACATTAATTATCAGGAACACATGATCAGCCGCGGCGACAACATCAGCCCGGGCACGGGGCAGGCGCGGGCCACCTGGTCAGACTTGGGCCTCAGGCCCTAAACACGTTCCCTTGTTTGCCCTGGTCAAGCGTGCCTTAGTTTGCTTAACCGCCTGCGCTGCAGCGTACCGCCACACCGCCCCGCTGCTCATGTGGCTGGCCCTTCCGTCATCCACTCCGTAGGCTGCCTTGCTCTTCTCTTCTCCATCCACGACCAACGACGAGACCCGAGAGGAACAGCAGGGCCTTCGATCGCATATTGAACACCAACCTAGTCGACTACTCTGAGATATCCCTTCCCTTTCTATCGCCTTCCTTCACCCGACCGCATCTCCCCCTGACCACTGGCCATGGCCTCCCGACCTGCAGCAGGCGCCCGCCCGGGGGCGAAATTCGCCCAGTTCAAGCTTGTGTTGCTTGGTAGGTGTTCTCCATGGATGACTCGGAAGTCTAGCGGATGAATGCTAACGTATGTTGTCTTCGCTTTGTAGGAGAATCCGCAGTCGGAAAGGTTCGGCGTGCCACTTACATTACCTAGCTTTCTCTATCGGGCGCTAACATTTACGTTAATCTTTCAGAGTTCCCTGGTGTTGAGATTTGTTAAGGTGAGTCCACAGTGACCTTTTCTTATGCTCTGCCAGCTCCGGTCTCCGGCTGCAGGCAAGTGGTGCTAGATGGGAATGTAGCTGACTGGCCGGATTAGGACCAATTCGATGATTATCGGGAGTCGACAATCGGCGCCGCCTTTTTGACACAAACTATCTCCCTCGATGAGAGCACCACGGTCAAGTTTGAAATTTGGGATACTGCCGGTCAGGAGAGATACAAGTCGTTGGCTCCGATGTACTACAGGAATGCCAACTGCGCTGTCGTGGTCTATGACATCACCCAAGCCGTACGTTCGACCTGTTCAGCCTATTTGGATTGCATCGCTTTTGCTGACCATCGGCTCTGTTCGTCTCTATCTTTAGTCATCATTGGATAAGGCCAAGTCCTGGGTGAAGGAACTTCAGCGTCAAGCGAACGAGAACATTGTGATCGCCCTGGCTGGCAACAAGCTGGATCTTGTCACCGAAAGCCCAGATAAGCGTGTCATCCAGACCGCCGATGCCGAGGCCTACGCTCGCGAGGCTGGCCTTCTCTTTTTCGAAACCTCTGCCAAGTCCTCGACGAATGTGCGGGAACTGTTCACGGCCATCGCGAAGAAGCTGCCACTCGACCAGGCCGGCCCCCGGAACCTGCGGACAGCCCCACGACCCGGAGTTGACCTGCGACCCGAGGCCCCCGGCACCCAAGGTGCTGGTGCATGCAACTGTTAAAGCCCTTGAGAGCGATATACCTTCCTTCGCAGCTAGCTAATGCGATCCCCTTCTGCCCGTCCCCGGTGCTGATGACCGTCTCGTTAAACCTCACGATCGCGGTATCGAAATTACTTGATGGCTTCTCCCCCACTACCTTATTCCGACATGAGAGGTAAACTCTCATTACCTTGCCCTTTTACCCGTCTCGGTTGCCTTCTGGTTTTGATATTTTGCTTGCTCTGCGTTCCGGAGGCCTCCGCCTCGTCTGGCGCTGACAGAACAATCTCGACTTCATCCACGGACGCATCTGGAAGTTGGCTTTAGACATTCTTGGGCAGGACTTGCCACCGCCTGCTTCAATTTCCCTTTGTACTTCTGGTACCTTTTTCACCCGGCGTCCTGCATCTGCTCTTCTCCTTTGTCTATTGGGCTAAGTTTCTCATGTTACTATTTCCCGTTGTTCTCATCTTTCCCCCAGACCCCTTCTTAGTATGTTATGCCCAGATAATACATTTTCTTCAGACTGTACCTATTTTCAGCTTTTTCTAAGCCAATGACTGGTTGGAATAGTCTCTGTAGTCCTGTCTATAGATGTGAGTCCTGGATCGCTTGTCCAGGTTCTTGCTTGAAAGATGATTGATTTTTAATGCTCTTTGTGTTCATAGTCTTGAACAATAAAACATGTGTCTCTTGTTCATTACCTGATAATTCATTCGTACCATGGCACATTTACAAATAGGCCATGGATTCGCTCCATTTAGACGGGATTGTCCCGCTAATTTCATCGATTACTCCGTTTGTTGCATCTCCGATGTATGCCTGCACGAAATAAATTCCCCGGTAAGTTAAACAGGGCACTTCTCCAAAGTGCCCACGATCAGCCGAAATTATTGAGAGAATGGAATGGACTATACAAATGACACCCTTTCTCATAATATATTTTAGTGAATAGATACTCCCTGAGTACATCAAATCAACCCAGCTATATCACTTCTATGCCGAGTGCGGGATTGATGGGTGCAACGGGCTGACCGCCCGCAGGATCATCGGGGCGGATCGCGACTGAACATCGACACCCAGTTTTCCTACTCATTCAGGTTATCACATCCCTTCCCACCTCCCTGGCGATTGTGCGGCTCGTCATGCTGCGCTCTTCAATTGCTCCGGGTCGGCAGCTGCTGTCGTCTCCTGCTCGCCAACGGATCCCGTCGCAATGGCTGTCTAAAGCCGGTGCTAGCAGCCGGCTCCCGGCTCAGGTACGAGAACCCGTTACCCTGCTCATGTGCTCACCGAACATACGACTAATAGTCATCTTAACACAGCGGTTCTTCGCTGATTCCAAGCTGCCAACAAACGAGGCCTCGACTCCCGCTACCCCTTCCTCTCAATCGGTCGTTCCTCCACAGATTCCCACTAAGCCCACGGAGCAAGGTACCTCTAGCCACTATGACGCCAATGTTTAATCCACCTATGGGCTAACTCAATTTTCAGAAGCTGAGATCCCCCCGGTTGCGCCTCGCAAGACTGGTCGTTTCCGCCGATTCCTGCTCTACCTGATCCTGACTTCCGGTATTGCCTATGGCGGCGGCGTTTTCATGGCTCTGAAGTCCGACAACTTCCACGATTTCTTCACCGAGTACGTTCCGTACGGCGAGGAGTGTGTTCTGTACTTCGAGGAGCGCGACTTCTATCGCCGATTCCCCAATGCTTCGAGACACTCCAACCGCATCCAGGTTGCTCCCCGCGAGGAGGGCAAGCCGGTTACAATCCCTAGCAACAGCGGTCTCTCTTGGAAGGTTGCTAAGGAGGAGCCCGCCAGCGACCTCTCCAAGAGCGGTCCTCACAGCAGCGCCCAGGTTCATGATGCTCAGACCAAGACCGAGGCCGCCAAGCCCAAGGACCGCAACGATGCTGTCCTGAAGGCAAAGGAAGACAAGGTAGCCAAGTCGGCTAAGAAGGAAGAGAAGCCCGCTGCGAAGGAGGAGGAGCAGAAGCCCGTGTCTCTCGATGCGCCTCGCCAGCCCGCGGTTGCTGCCAGCACCATTGAGCTGCTGCAGACCAAGGAGGGCGACGAGCCCGTTGTGCAGCATCTGGTTAAGACCTTCAACGATATTGTCACCGTGATTAGCGCCGACGAGAACTCTAGCAAGTACTCTGCTCCTGTCGCAAAGGCCAAGGAGGAGCTTCTGAAGATCGGCGAGAAGATCGCAGCACTCAGGGATGAGGCCAAGCAGGCCGCCCAAGAAGAAATCAACAAGGCGCACGCTACTTTCGACGAGTCTGCTCGCGAGCTGATCCGTCGTTTCGAGGACATGCGCGCTACTGAGGTCGCCCAGTTCCGCGAGGAGTTCGAGGCTGAGCGTGAGAAGCTTGCCATGGCTTATCAGGAGAAGATCAAGGTTGAGCTTCAGCGTGCCCAGGACCTTGCTGAGCAGCGCTTGAAGAATGAGCTCGTGGAGCAGGCTATTGAGCTGAACCGGAAGTATATTCATGAGGTCAAGGATCTAGTTGAGCGTGAGCGCGAGGGCCGTCTCAGCAAGCTGAACGAGCTTACCGCCAACATCTCCGAGCTTGAGAGTCTGACTACTGGCTGGAGCAATGTCATTGATACCAACCTCAAGACCCAGCAGCTTCAGGTCGCTGTCGACGCTGTGCGCTCTGTTGTTGAGCGTTCAGAGACCGCCCGTCCTTTCGTCCGCGAGCTTGTTGCCGTCAAGGAGCTGGCTGCTGATGACCTTGTCGTTGATGCTGCCATCGCTTCCATCAACCCCACTGCTTACCAGCGCGGTATTCCTTCGCCCAGTCAGATCATTGAGCGCTTCCGCCGTGTCGCGGGTGAGGTCCGCAAGGCCAGCCTTCTGCCCGAGGATGCTGGTATTGCCAGCCACGCTGCTAGTCTGGTTTTGAGCAAGGTCATGTTCAAGAAGGACGGTCTTGCCGACGGAGATGACGTTGAGAGCATTCTCCTCCGCACTGAGAACCTTCTCGAGGAGGGCAACTTGGATGCTGCTGCACGTGAGATGAACACCCTCCAGGGTTGGGCCAAGATCCTGAGCAAGGACTGGCTGGGCGATGTTCGCCGGGTACTTGAGGTCAAGCAAGCTCTCGAGGTAAGCTTTTTCTCCCATTGTTGTATTTGGTATCTTGGAAAAGCTCATTGCTAACATTTTTCCTTCTTGCTAGGTTATTGAGACCGAGGCTCGTCTCCAGTGCTTGCGGGTGGAGTAAAATGAGCGTTCTTGATTCCAATTTATCCTGTATATCTTTCATGTCTACAGGAACTGTACCTTTAGTTGTACTTTTGCGTTAGACCCAAATGCTAGAACTTTTCCTTTGTGTTTTGATTTGGCCAAATTTCTACCAAGAAACTTATGATGTGCGCAGAATCACTTTCCACACGTATCTCTCGTACCCTGTTGTATCCAAATCCATCCCTTTTGATGGGCCCTGTGAGGTCATTGCATGTAGATATGCTTAGATAATCGTCCTGTTCGACGCGCAACCCCGACATTGTAGATCGGCAACGAATGACTTGTGCAGATATTTGAGTTACTCCCACCATTTATTTTCCTCCCTCGACCTCCGACTCGGCCCCTTGATCCTTGCTGCATTCATGGTCGCACAAATTTGACAAGCGATGCTCGTTGCCTTCCCCCAAGGCTAGCTCCTCGCCCTCCCATCGGCAAATCGATGTCGCAACGACGCAACACCCCGGCCGATCGAAATTCAATGCCCCCAACAGATGGAAATACCCACGATGTGTCGCAAGGAAGTCGTTCGCTCGCACAGCGTTCCGACGGGGGCTCGTCTCGGCGGCCAGCTGTCCCCATGAGCGATGGTCGACCGAGCGGCGAGCTCGAAGGTAGTACACTAGGGAGCAGCTCTCGCGAAGGCGATCGAAGGACACCGGGGCAGCGCAGGACACAAAGCTCAGGTGGATTTCTGTTAGACTCGTTGCCGCGCTCGACAAGCCTGAGAATCGGCTCGCATCGACATCGTCCTTCAGAGCCACCGATAGAGAAACGAAGTGCCCCCGACGGTGATATCGTGGTATCCAAGAAACGTTCGCGCTTTCCGTGGAGTCGCCATAAGAACCCGGCATCTGAATCATCTCCAGTGGCTTCTGAGTCAAGTCCAATAGCCGCTGAACAAGCCCTAGCGCCACCTCCAGAGCTACAACAAGCCAAAACACCGACCCGCACGAGCTCTGGAACACATGATGGACAACAGGCTGCTGCACCCGGTATGGATAGGGACTCTCTTCAGATTGTGAACCTGGCCTTGAATTTGAACGAGTCTCGGAGGAGGACTGCCTCTGGGCTTGTACCTGGTCCAAACGGGCGGAGACCTCTATCCGTGTCGCAACCTGTGGCTACACCCTTGGAGTTCCTCCCACCAGCTTCCACTGGGAAGAGTGTACAGCGGGACTCTTCGTACCGTGATTACACTCAGATCCATGGTGATGGCTCCCTGGAGGGAGCTCAATCTAGTGCCAAGTCCCCGGTGGTGGATTTCCTGCCATCAACTGTTGCGAACGACAACCGACTGTACGAGTTCTCTGAAAGGACCCTCGCCCGTGCAGATCGAGCTCGTCGCCACTTTGAGCTTTTCCAGGAGTATCTGCGACTTCTTCCCTCGCTACCCCCACTGCGAAAACCCCAAGCTACCGACGATTCTGATTCTTCGGATGTTCCACCTGCCATCGCACCAAAAAACCGGAGCTATAATCCTCTTCAGATGATCCGGAACCGAAAGATCAGGTACCGAGAGAAATGTCCTATTGACCCAGAAGCTGAGGGTTGGCATGACGTCGACAAGGTTCATGAATGGGTCAACTCTATCCAGAAACAATACAGCGACACGACACATGATGAGATGCAAATTATCAAGCTTCCATCGTTTCAGCAAGGTCAACATCATGCATCTCACGGGGATACGCAGGATATCGAGATGACCGCCTCGCCTCCTGCCAGCCTGAGACATGTCAGTCGTACTAATAGTGTCAAAACAACTCGTCCACGTCTGGACTGGACGAGCTCTCCAGCAGAACTTCTAGCTGACGTTGCGTGGCTCGAGGACAGTTCTAACAGAGCGAAGGTCGTTGATCGCGATGGTAATAAACTCTACCCTGACCTTACCGAATTGGTCTTTATGGACAGCAGCATGGAGTACGCTCAGCAGATACCACGTCTGTCCGTTGAGATGGCATATCCCAACCAGGATGAGCTTCTTTCGCGCAACATTTCTCTGTCTAGCGCTCGGCCAGCTCTGGAACCTGAATTTAAGAGTGTTGGTCCAGGTCGGCACAAACACCGATTCCAAAGGCATTCCCACGGCCCACGAAGTCACAGTGCTTCTAGTTCACGAAAGCGCTCACGATGGGACAAAGTTAAGATGCGCGCTGGAAGCGTCTCTAGCGAGTCTAGCCAAGAGAGACGCAAATCTTCAGACCGAAGCCGCCGAGCTTGGGGGCACTCGCGAAAAGAATCCTCCAATGTTGCCGAACCAGGGATTCTCCGCTCAAAATCCCCGGCTGCTGCTGTTGTCAAGGACACCAACAGATCTGAGATTTCCGACCTTCCACCACTCAGTACCAAGGCCAGTCAAGTCGGCCGACAAGCCTCTTTCTCCTCAACTGGCAGCTTGGACCAAAAGTTCCATCCAAGAATGTCATTGGAGGCAATGGATAGCACTGCGCCCAACTCTCCTGCTCACGCAGGCTATTTCCCTAGTATTGCAGTTAATTTGTCTCCGCCTTCAAGTCGGTCTCCATCACCAACCAAGAAGGGACCCCTTCACAAGATTGTTTCTCGTCACGAGCGGAGCAAGAGCAAGCAAGGTTCTCTAGACTCCCGTGAACACGAAGATGAGAGCTTGAGTGCAGCTGTATCCCAGCGTTCTTTGCCGTCTCAGGAGCATTCGGAGCGACCACCAAAGCTTCAACCCAGTCCACTTCCGGATACTGTATCCTCATCTTATTTTGATGACCAAGGAGTTGAAGGGTACAGGGGGCGCAAGGGGCAGTATTTGCCGGAGTCTAAGCTGCGGGGAATCTTCAAAGGGCCCGGTCGGATTGCCGAGATTGTTGGCAACGAGGTTTCCAAGGTTGGAGACATGATTCTGAAGAAGGATACAGCTCCTGATTCACGCAAGTCGTCATCCGCGACTACGGTTGCTTCGGGCGACAGTGATTCAGACGAAGATGAACGGCGAGCTGATAAACGATCTGGGCCTAAGGGGCTACTACGACGCTTGCCCACCCTTACAGACGAGCCTGGTCGCCTCATACGTCGAGAAACCGAGAAGATCACATCGTCTCGAAGCTATAAACCCTCTCTACCAAATTTCACATCCCCACTACGACAAGATGACAAAAGTGGAGGGTCAAGCGATGCCATTGAGCTTGGCAGTCCTCGTGAGCGCTCAGTCCCACGTCGGCGACTCGATGAACAAGAAGAGCCGAAGAGAACTGGTCTGTCTCGGAGTAAAACGCTCGACTTTGGCCCCGCTCTGCAATCAGCCCGTGGTCGCTTGAAATCATCAAATGTGATCAAAGATTTTTCTAATCCTTTCAGTCTAACTCAGCCCCCTGTTACTGGACTCGCTCGGGCTCGGGCATCGCCTGGGCCTCCTGGCAAAGGGACTACTGGCATGTCTGGTGCGAGTCGGGCCTGGAGCATTTCAGACCGCAGTCTTCACTCACTAAATGACTCCGGCGTTCCGGGCAAGACTGAGATCGAGCGTACTCGTACTCTTCTTCTCTCGTCCGGAATCAAAGCCCGCGAAATCACCCGCAGAGCCCACAGCTCGAGAGATCCCCCTCACTGGCTTGCGAATTCCATAGACAACGGTTCCTCCTCTCGAGTCACACGTATTGGAGAGTTTGATACTGCTGCACAGAACTTCCTGCGTCGGTTTGAAATGACTCAATATTCGTTCCAACAATCGATGCATCATTTCTCCACTACCACCTCGTCCCCTCTACGCTCGCAGCTAAGGGATCTGGAAACCCTTGTCAGCAAAACGCTTACAACCCGCGTTCGAGCCACTGCTGATAGCGCGGAGGATCTATGTGTTCAGCTTAACACCACCAGCACGCTCGCCGTGAAATCCCTCAGCGATGCTCTCGACAGAGGTGTTCGAAAGCGTCGCCGCCGACTGCGTTGGGTTCGACGCACAGGATTCGTCGTGCTGGAATGGGCTCTCGTCGGCATGCTTTGGTGGGTCTGGCTAATTGTCATGGCGTTCAAGGTTGTACGTGGAGTCACCCGTGGAGCTATCTCTGGCGCGCGGTGGATCTTCTGGCTCTAATCCCAACTACTCGAGGCTATCGAGAATGCCCCTCAGCGAAATACTTGTTCTAATCTCGTCTTATCTTTTACTTCTTCTGTTATTGGCCGGTGAACTCGCTATTTTCCTCATAGCACGCATATACCCTTTTTTCTCGGTGTTCTTGGCTCTTAATGTCCGTTTTTTGGATGTCCACATACATGTCTTAATGAAACCTTCTGTAACATACACCAACTGGAGATATTATCCGGTACATAATTCTAGAACTCCGAATTCCTTCTCTATGTACTTCAAACGGGCCAAAACTACTCTCGACTGAGGGTTGCAGGGCAATGTGTCATGAGGGGACCTATCGCTCTTCTTCTTTGCGATACGATACGTGCAACGAGTAAAACGCAACAATGAGTCCATGAGTACCTCTCCTTGCAAGCAGAGTCTTACAAACCATGTAGCAAAGTTTTTCTAGACTACAATGGACCACACCTCCAATTGGGACAGATATCACAGGGTATTGACGTTTGATCTATGAGAAGATACCTAGAAAGAGTTGGTGGTGCGAGGGTCTATGTATTCTTCAGTTGTATTGTTCAGACAGGAGAGTAGAAAAATAATATCCCAAATTTTAGAGTACATGTCCCGGCCAAAAAAAGACGCAAGATGATATAATGCCATGACGCAATAAAGTAGAATGAGCGCCTTGAGTCCACCACAACAGTACTGTGAACAAAATCTTGTCTTCTCTATAACAAAGATGATTTGCGCTGTTTTTGATGTGGAACAGAGCCCAGATCCTGCCTGGGCCGAGGAAGTCGAATGTGAGGAATATGGCGGTGGTTGTACAAGAGGTGAAAGGAAGATGGCCAGGTTAGGGATTTCAGGCAGGACCTGGGGTGAATGAGCAAGCCTATTTCTTGTTCCGGTCGGCCTGGGCCTTCTGGTACTTGGCAATGAGCTCCTTCCTGAAAGAGGAAAACCGAATTAGTATGAGGATGTTCTGTCAAAGTTTTACGATGGAGTGAAAACGTACTGGACCTGTGGGGGAGCCTTCTCGTAGTGACTGAACTCCATGGTGTATTCACCCTTACCCTGAGTGGCAGCGCGAAGGTTGGAGCTGAAACCGAACATGCCGTTCAAACTGCAGTCGGCGTAGATAGTGAACTCGTCAACGCCAGTCTCAGTGTCGTTGATGGTGGCGCCACGCTTGTTCAGCAGGGCAATCACGTCACCCTGGAACTCAGACGGGGCAGTAACCACAGTCTTCATCAAGGGTTCCAGGACAGCGGGGTTACTTTCAGTGAAAGCCTTGCGGAAGGCCTGTTGGGTAGCATTCTTGAAAGCCATTTCAGACGAATCAGTCATGTGAGTGGCACCGTCGTTGATGACCATGGAGGTGCCGAGCACCTTGTGGCCGATAAGGGGACCCTTCTCGCAAGAGAGGTTGAAACCCTTCTCACAAGCGTACAAGAACTTCTCAGAAATACTGCCACCAACAATTTGCTGCTCGAACTTGTTGTCCTCGAGAGCACCGGTAGGCTCCATCCAACCCATGACACGGGCATAGTCACCAGCACCACCAGTCTGCTTCTTGAGCAAGTGGTCGAAATCGACACGTCTGCCAATGGTCTCACGGTAGGCGACCTGGGGCTGACCGGTCTCACAGTCAACGCGGTACTCACGGCGCATACGCTCCACGTAAATATCGAGGTGCAGCTCACCCATGCCAGAGATGATGGTCTGCTCGCTCTCGCTGTCGAAAGTCACACGGAAGGTGGGGTCCTCGCGCTGGAAACGGGCCATAGCCTTGGAGAAGTTGGCGGCATCCTTGGTCTGCTTGGGCTTGATGGAAAGCGAGATGACAGGCTCGGGAACGAACATGGAAGACATGCTGTAACCAATCTGTCCGTCGGTGAAGGTATCACCGGAGGCACACTCAACACCGAACACGGCGCAAATCTCACCAGCACCGATTTCGCTAACTTCCTCCATCTCGTTGGAGTGCATACGCACAATACGGGGGATCTTAACCTTCTTGTTGTTGCGGGCGTTGAACACGTTGGAACCCTTGCGGAGAGTACCCTGGTACACGCGAATATAGGTCAGCTGTCCAAAGTTGCTCTCCTCCAACTTGAAGGCCAAGCCGACAAAGGGAAGCGAGTTGTAGGAGACAAGCTTCACAGAGGCCTCATTGCGCTTCTGGTCAAGGGCAAGATTCTCAACCTCCGAAGGGTTGGGCAGGAAGTCAACGACACCATCCAGCATCGGCTGAACGGACTTGTTGGCCAGGGCAGAGCCCATGAAGACAGGTGTGAACTTCAGACCAATGGTGGCGCGGCGAATAGCAGCGCGCAGCTGGTCTTCAGTAGGCTCAGCCTCGTCCAGGAAGATCTCAGCAATCTCATCGTCCACATCGGCAAGGGTCTCAATAAGCATAGCCCTCCGCTCCTGTGCGATCTCCTTGACCTTGTCGGGAATTTCATCGGTCTCAAAGATCTCTTCACCGCTCTCGCCCTTGTTGTAGAGAGCCTTCATGCGGATCAGATCGACAACACCCTCGAACTCGTCCTCGGCACCAATTGGAACCTGAACGGCGGCAGCGGGCATCTTGAGCTTGGTGTTGATCTGGTCAATGGCCTTGAATGGATTGGCACCCATACGATCCATCTTGTTGACGAAGGAGATACGGGGGACATTGTAACGGCGCATTTGACGATCGACGGTAATGGTCTGTGACTGAACACCGGATACGGCACACAGGATCATGACAGCCCCGTCCAGAACACGCAGAGCTCTCTCGACCTCGATGGTGAAATCAATGTGACCGGGGGTGTCAATCAAGTTGATGTGGTACTTCTGGTCAACGCCCTCCTTATCCTTCTTGACCCAGTCACAGAAGGTGGCGGCAGATTGAATAGTAATACCCTTCTCACGCTCCAGATCCATGGAGTCCATCTTGGCACCAACAGAATCACGTCCACGGACCTCATGGATAGCCTTGATTCGACCGGTGTAGAAGAGGACTCGTTCGGTACAGGTGGTCTTACCACTGTCGATATGGGCCTAAGTAAAGCGGAATCCGTTAGCACGATAATCATAGACCATATGAATCTCCATAGTGATATATACCGCAATACCAATGTTGCGAACTTTGTCCAGGCGGGCAGCCTCAATGGGGTCGAGGTTGTCGATAATTGCGGCCTGCGACAGACTGTCCGGGCTCGCCGCAGCGGCTTCGAGACTAATACACCCAAAGAATTAACATTTGACAGCGGAAACCCATTTTTATAATCAGACTCACACTGCAGAAGCACTAGCAGAGGCAGCATTGCGGCGCTGCTCCCATTGCCTCATGACCGACTGATAAGCCGGCGCGACACCGGAGGGCCGCAATGCGGCCGTGGATGCGCATCGCAGACGCAGGAAGCTCTGGGACTGGAAACGGGTAGTACTGGTCAAGCCAGACACCGCACGGTACGGCAACCGTGCAAGAGAAGGAGTCCTCATGGCGACGGTCAACTCACACCAAGATTGGTCGAATCAAGTTGAGTTGAATGCGCGTGTTTTTGCGGGAAAAAAAGTTCGGGGAAGCCAGGAACACATCACGTGATGATCGACCTCTCAGGAACGACGCATTACGAGTGGCCTTCCAATGTACATAGATGGCTTACGTTTAATAGTTATTGAATTCGTTTAGATTGTTATTCTCGCATGTTGCAATAGTATCAATAATCTGACATTCAATCTTCAGAAGTCGAGGATGTGGGTGGAGAGAAATTTGTATAGAGATTGTTCGAGTTGATTGAAACATAAAAGACCAGCAATTCTAGTCGTAAAGCTAATGTACAAGTATAAAGACCCAAGCGCCGCGATATCCCAAAGTATTTGTGGGCGAGAAACAAGTATGCAAGTGTATGCCACCAATTGAAGAGTCGAGACTAAATCCCACGTATCCGGCCTGGCCAGACAGATCATTCATAACCAGAGTATAAGGACATCAATCGATGTGATTTCCATGTCGAATTCAATCCAGATATCACGTATGCTGATTCCGTCCAGTCGGGCCGGGGTCGGAGGTATCCAAATCATGCATGCCGTCGAAACAAAAAGCAGAGAGGAGAGTTATTGGCTCTCGCTCTATTTTCCTTGTCGTTGCTTGTGCTTGGGGTTCTTCGAGCTGGAGTAACATTCGAATTAGCACATCGGACTCTCGTCGGTAACTCCACAGCTGCCAAGGTCCAGGACTCACCAAATAATATACACACGGTTCTTTCGGCGGACAGGCTAGAGCTTTGAGTCAGTATCCACGACCAGACTTCCATCCAGAAAACACAGCGAAAATCTCGCAGAGTGCCAAATTCATACCTTGCATCCATCACACAGCCTCTTGACCGAAGAGCGGGTCTTCATACCGCGAACCTGCTCAATCTGCCGAGTCGCACCAACAGTGACAGCAACGGCACTGTCGCTCCCGGAGGAAGTAGCCCGCAGCCTCGTCAGGCTATTCCGGATCATATGCGAAAAGGGACGAAGAGACATGGCGCCAGGAATCGATCGGCGAGACACGGAGGGGAGGAGCTGGCGGAGGGCGCTGGGCGCTCCGAGGACGGTGCGGAGGGAGAACATTTTGCGGCTGTGTCGAGAATGAGGGAGTGATGGTGATGAGGCGCAGTGCCTCGGTGATCCTGGGTTCTGGATCAAGCGATTGAGATGCCGAGTCGTCGTTGACGATGTGCTCCGCGGGTTCTCGCGATGGGAAGATTGTTGCCCGGAGCTTTTGTATTGCCGAGTCGCCGAGTCCGCATTGCAGGAGACCCACTACACTACGAAGCACACGGCAGATAGACAACGCGATGAGATACTACAAAGTCCAAAGCTCTTTTGAAATCATAGATTTAGGGTATTTTAGATTTTGAATTATAACATCTTGCAGAGCCGTCTGTCAAGCAGCTCAATGGGGATTTGCAAAATATGATGATTTATATTGATGTACAAAAGTTATGGTAAAGGTGGAACCGATTTCCCAGTAGTCTATTCCGAATTAGAGACCAAACGCCGAAAATTGAGGGGGAATGAAAGCACATCAGACAAGAGTTGCACTTTTAAACCGCTAAAATAGAAACAAAACAACATGCATCATCAACCGAAATCTCCTCTGGATATCCGCATTTAGAACAGGGGCGAGATGCAATACAAGCAGGCTCATTAAGAACGCAGGAAGGTCTGGTAGCTGGGCGAATCGGTGTGCTCGCTGAACGGATAGCCCAAGTCCTTGAGGAAGGACTCAAGATCATCCTTCTCAGCAGCTGGACACTGGATCGCCGCGAGAACCTTGCCCACGTCGCCGCCATAGTTGCGGTAGTGGAACAGGGAGATGTTCTGGTTGGGGCGGAGGGTGGTCAAGAACTTGGCCAGCGCACCCGGTCGTTCGGGGAACTCGAACATGAATAGACGCTCGTCAGTTACGTCCGAGCGGCCACCGACCATGAAACGCACGTGGCGCTTCGCGAGTTCATCGTCGCTCAGGTCCCGGGTGGTCATGCCGGCATTCTCCAACTCCTCCAAGATCTTAGCAAGGTCGTCACGGCCGGTCTGGGCAGACAGAGAGATGCCCATGAGAACATCGGCCGAGTCATCACCAGCATAGCGGTAGCTGAAAGCAGTTACGGCGTGGGGCAGGATGACTTCGACAAGCCTGGCGAATGCACCGGGCTTCTCGGGGATCTTGACGCTGAGGAGGGCTTCCTTCTTCTCACCGAGAGCTGCGCGCTCGGCAACAAAGCGGAGGCGATCAAAGTCCATGTTCGCGCCAGACGTAACGGCAACGAGCTCACGGCCGGTGTCGGGGCTGGGGTTCTTGGAGATGTATTTCTTCAGACCCGCGAGGCTAAGCGCGCCGGCGGGCTCAATGACGGAGCGGGTATCCTCAAAGACATCCTTGATGGCGGCGCAGATCTCATCGGTAGAGACCTGGATGATCTCATCAATGACCTCTCGGCTAACCCGCCAGGTCTCCTCTCCAACAGACTTCACAGCCGCACCATCGGCGAATAGACCGACCTCCTTGAGGAAGACACGCTCCCCTTCATCCAATGATTTAGCCATAGCATTAGCGTCGTGGGCCTCAACACCAATGATCTTGACCTGAGGCGCAATACGCTTAAGGTAGACACCAATACCAGCAATCAGACCACCCCCACCAACACCGCAGAAGACTGCCTCCAGCTTATCCAAGTTCGCCTGGCGCAACAGCTCCATACCGATAGTACCTTGACCGGCAATGACGTACGGGTCATCGAATGGTGGGATGTTGGTCAGACCATGCTGCTTCTCCAAGCGGTGGGCCTCGTCCTTGGCGGCATCAAAATCATTTCCGTGGAGAACCACACTGCCTCCGAGGCGGGCAACATTCAGGTGCTTGATGGCGGGGGTACCGGAAGGCATAACGATGGTAGCGGGAATTCTCAGCTTGCGAGCAGAATAAGCGACACCTTGTGCATGGTTGCCTGCAGAGCAAGCAATGACACCCTTCCACCGCTGCTCGGGGTTCAGATGAGCCATCTTGTTGTAGGCGCCGCGAAGTTTGAAGCTGAAGACGGGCAACAAGTCCTCTCGTTTGAGGAGGACTCGGCTCTCAAGCCGGTTGCTGAGGTTGACGGCATGGTGAAGAGGGCTCTCGTCGATAACATCATAGACTCGTGATGTTAGGATCAATCGCAGATACTGGATATCGCACGGCCGCGGGTTAGAACAATTCAATTGAGTTTGAAAAGTACAAGTCGTGGCTTACATCGGGGTATCCATTGGGGAGTAGGAAAGCGTTAGGAATGCCCCAGTTGGGAGGCACTCCGGGGATACGCTCAGCGCGCTCGGAGGGGGAGTTGGAGCGGCGGTATATTCAGTCAAAGCCAAGCCACTCATCTTGGGACTGACGGGCGACGTCGTCCCGTTCATGATGGGCTCTTCAGACATGGCGATTCTGACCGATGTAAATTCACCCGAAAAGGTGAAATCAAAAAAGTTCAATGGCTTGGGAGAGGGGTACGAAGGCCAATAGGAAATTCTTGCCCCTCTGACTCTTTTTTCTTGCGGAGGCGGGGACCGCGATCGGAGCCAGAGACTTATGTCATCAACTTGATACTGATAAGTTAAGTTAGTTAGTTAGTTAGTTAACTAACTATAGATCCATCTAATGCCAGATGCTAGCTTGATATAGATACATGGAAATAGACTCGATGTTACATGTTCAAGTCATATGCAATCAAATGTCATCATTCTTGTTCAATTGAGAGCTAGAGGATGTGATAACGTCTCAGAGAATGACAAGAAGATGCCATTTTGAGATCTTACATAAGCGAATGGCGGTCGGGAAGCCACTTGACTAGAAATGGCGTGCTTTTACTGTTCAGAGCCGGTTAACTAGTTAACTAACTGTTATTATTATTAAATTCAAATATCATAAAATCCATGGACAATTGACTAGATAGTAAAGAACTGCATCATGCCTCTCATTGATCCAATCCAGCCTAACCAGCGCGACAAGACCAGACACCAAGACAATTGTACGGCGCCTCGTAGTGTTACCGCCCATGCTTGCATCGATCGCTGTCAAGAAAAACTTCTTGGCGACCTCGCGACGTCATGCTCGACCAAGCAACTCTTACATGTCACCAACAATCATCAACCTCAACTTTAAATCGACACTAAAGAAATTGGGCAGCGTCGATAACTGAAGCATTCATCTCGGCCAGTGTATCTATACGTTCATGCCCCACGAAAACTAGCTCAGCCGAGTATTCCGATCGCGCGACCGACCTGCAATCCGACCACAATATCTCACGAGAGATCCTCCACGACCCCCTCATATCATGAATCGCGAGCCTGTTCCCTCGTCCTTTGAGGACAATCCGTATGTCACGCAATACCTGTGATCACTCGAGCAGCAATGGAAGCTAGATCGAAGGGCAACCGCGACCGAGATCGCTTGTGCGCTAACATTACTTCCTTCACGACAGCCAATTCAAGGAAGAGACTGGCGCCCAGAAATTTACCCGACGCCTGAAGGAAGAGCCTCTGATTCCACTCGGTGAGTCTCATCCCCAAATCATGTACAATTTCCCCCCATCAACATGCTAACCTCTTCTCTTCACCACTACAGGATGCGCCGCAACATGCTACGCCCTCTACCGCGCCTACCGATCCATGCGAGCCGGCGACTCCGCCGAAATGAATCGCATGTTCCGCGCCCGTATCTATGCCCAAGCCTTCACACTAGTCGCCCTCGTCGCCGGAGGAATGTACTTCAAGACAGAGCGCCAGCACCGCCGGGAGTTCGAGCAGGCGGTGGAAGAGCGCAAGGCACAGGAGAAGCGCGACGCATGGCTTCGGGAACTGGAAATCCGCGACAAGGAGGACCGCGAGTGGCGAGAGCGACATGCGGCCATTGAGGCGGCGGCGAAGGAGGCAGGGCAGAGGCCGTCGTCCAAGGAGCCGGATGCCGCTCGGTCAGCGATTGAGCCGGCGGATGAAAAGGCGATCGGGGTTTTGGATGCCGTGCGGGCTCTGCTGTCAAGGGAGAACTAAGTTCAGTACAGAGCACTACTGCCACTAAGTGTGTGTACTATGCTATACTTGGAGCCGATCATGGCACATGTAAAATAAAAGGAATAGCCCTGGAAGTGTATGATTTTGTATATGGGGTGCTCTCATCTCCACCATACATGACTCTGTGTCCCGATTCATCATTCTGAAATCATGATCGTATCATCCGATAGAATGATCAGAGATCGGGCGAGTCCGATATGACTTCATGGTGCATATCGCGATCCGGGTCTGCTCACGATACTCGTATTAAACCGGAAGGACAGTCTCGTGACATGAATATGTCGGGCAGATGAGGCCCACTTGTGAATCCTTCAACTAACTAATCAGGCAAAGCCAGCTCTAATACAGTACTCCGTATATAGTCCACCCCATCGAAACCGGGCATTGATGGGCGTAAAAGCTTTTTCCTTGTTGATCTTTTGACTTTTTTCCCCTTTCAGGGCCAGGCAGTCGCAGGCACGTATACTACTTCTCTCGTTGTCGGGGGCGGTCGAGATTCGGAGGAACCGATGGACGATCGCCCGTTCTGGCATCCTCTTTGGACGGCCTCGGTTCCTTTTCATGTGAGATCGACAAACCCAGCGTCACAGAGTCGGCAGAGTTTGCCAATCCGATGTAGCGCCAAAGTACAGCCCAAATTTCAGTCACGGGCAATTGAATCGTCAATATTGATTTGAGCTTTCTTTTTTGTGTTAGCGAGTACAGTAAAACCGTGATCAAAATGCATCCTGTTGGACTATACATGCCAAAATCCGGGGAGCGGGCACAGGAACCCAACCCCCAGGGCTTAACATCGGGCGTGCCAAGATGTGGTTCTTGCCCAAAGTACCAGGGGCTAAGGATTGCCTTTTCCATAGTTTAATCGCCCTAAAGCTTTTTCGATCAAGAGTCCCTGCCGGGATTCCGTGGTCCACCCTCACATCGGGTTGTTCCCGGAGGTCTAACTCGGCGCCTTCAGTCCTTGACTATTGACTAGTTCCTTCGAGTTAGTGCTTGCCCTGCAGGGTCTCCCCGACTCCGAGGCATATACGGTCCCCATGACGTCTCGCCACGAATCAGGAACGCCTCGGTCTGATATGCATTTGGATTAGAATTTTTCTCAACCTTCTGCTAGCTCTGAAATCTGCTCCCTCAGTATATAACCCAGTGGACACCCGGCGAGGCTGAAGTGGATCTTATTCTTTTCCTCACAGTTCAACATACGTACAGTCTGAAACCCGACCAGGAGAAAGTCTCTTTCACAAATTCGATCAATTACAGTATATTCCGGAGCTTCAAGATTACCAATTGTCCCATACACGCCCATCATGTTGCCTTGGGTCTATCCTATCCGCCTGGTTCAGGGCCTCTTCGCCTTTGCTACCATTGGCTTGACAGCCTACAGTTGGTGCCCCGTCAATTGACACGTGAAAGTCGCCAGTCACTCATACTAATCTCCTTAACACAGTCATTGCCTCTCTATACGATGACTGGTCGTTCTCGAATGTGATCTATTTCATGCTTTTCAATGGCTGCTGGACTATCGCTGTCGCAGTTCCCTACCTGGGTCTCGCCCCTCTGTGGCTGCCGCGCTTCTCCCATGAATTCGTGATTCCTGCTATGGAGTTTGTCACCATGGCCCTCTGGCTCAGTGGCTGGATCGCGCTGGCAGCTATGATTCCCAAGCCTGATGTCTGCAACTATGCCACCTGCCACGCTCTTCAGGCGACCATCGTCATTGCCGCAGTTGAGTGGTGAGTTATCCATGCACCGCGCGTAGGAAATTTCTGAGCTAGGAAACTCTAACATGAGGAATAGGGCACTCTTCGCGTTCACCAACGTGTACGCGTTCAGGGACGTTGCCAATTCCCGCCGCAACCACCACAACCATGAGCAGCAGCCGGCTGTCTCCGAGGTGACTGCCCCCGAGAGCGTCTAGATGGGACTACGACGACATCCGACCACAGACCGAGATAGTCATGTCTGCATCTATCATATCATATGCCAGACATGTATTGCATCGGCTGATTCAACAACTTAATGCTCAATAATACATAACAATAACGCATGGGCCTACACGAATCTACGAATCAACACGGGTGGATCTACGGGCGAACTTGATCATTGATCATCGGCGTGGTGTTATTTTTATAACGTGCTTTCTAGCCTATAAGATAGGCTTCCTTAGGATACCATATATCATTGTACCTTGATAATTCAATAATGATACTTTTAATGATGATTTATTTCGAGTTCCTACGTCAAGAGACCTCAAACTAATCGGTCATGTAAACATACCTGGCTTCTTCTGTACGATATCGAGCAGCGTTTACGTGTATCAACCTTGAACGAAACTCTGTCAAACATCAAATCAGCCCGTCAGAATGGTTCATTCATAGTTTGCAATAACCGCGCTCATATAACCGCGAAAAAGGAAAAAAAGGAAAGAAAAGTATTCAGGAAAAGACAGAACGCCCGGCTAAATTTTCAGATGCAAAAGACAGGCTCAAAGAGACTGATAAGTCGGTTCACCAGGAGAGAGAAAAAGAAAATAAGTCACCCATCACAAATGAGAATCAACCCAGGTCCATGCCATCAAATTGCCCATTCAACTGGAAGGACCCGCACTGGAAGGGCCCGCCCGCCTTCTCGTGGTACCCTAATACCTCCGCGTACATGATAGTCTTCCAGACATCGATCGGAAGATCTGCTTCAAGAAATGACCAGTCGAAGGACTGTGGTGCCGTAGGCTCGTCTTCAGGGTCATGATACGCGGCGAGATATTGGGATTCGAGTGCTTCGACGGCGGAACAGCGTTTTTCTGGATCGAATTGGAGTAACTTATCTAGTAAGTTGATTGCTGTAGGTGTGTAAGTCAGTAAACATTCAAATTGAGCAAAGGAATAAGGGCTGAATACCTTTTCTGTTAGCCTTAGGGATGACAGTCGCCAAAGATTTACGAGGTCGCTTCGGAAGGGATCTGATAAAAGTCAAAGTCTGCAGTGGATAAAAGTTAGTAATGGTTCACAATGCACAATTCAAAATCAGGGTCGGGTGCGGTTGGATCACTAACATTCTGACTCGTTATATTGGCAACGACATTATCCGGTGGATTTCCCAGCAACTGTGTGATGACACAGAACTGATCGATATGATTCTTCCCCATGAAAAGAGGTTGACCCGTCATCATCTCGGCGAAGATACACCCGGCACTCCATATATCGACTTTCTCATTGTATCGTCTCCATGTGAGCATGATCTCCGGTGCTCGGTAGTATCTTGTCGCCACATAACCTGTCATTTGTCGTTCTTGCACGCGAGCTAGTCCAAAGTCACAGATTTTGAGATCGCAATTTTCGTTGACTAGGATGTTGCTTGGTTTGAGGTCGCGATGAACGACACCGGCTGAATGTACGTATTTGAGGCCTCGCTAGAAACGACATTAGTGACAAGAATTGAATCTGGGGGTAGAGAGGCTATTTACCATTATCTGATATAAAAAGTATTGCGTAAATTGATTGTCGACTTTCTTCGTTTTTAAAAGGGTCTGGAGATCCGTCGCCATGAGATCGGTGACGAGATATCTTGCGAGCTATTAGCCCGATCCCTTCAAGATGGGTCATACGTACTTACATTTCTTCAGATGGGGAGATAAAAATATCGTTTAAGTGAATAACCTGCATCCTGGTCAATATGTTATTTGGGTAGTTATTGGGTGACGAACGTTATCATGCTGCAGTTGTTTCAATAATTTGACCTCGCGGTATATATGTTTGGCGATATTGGCTGTCTTGAATGGCGCATAGAGTTTCTTTATGGCAACGGTCGAGTGAGAAATTTGGTCTCTTGCGGAGCTTCAGATAGAGACAGTTAGCTTCAGGCAGGCATTTAATTGAGAAGGACATCATACCAGACAAGACCCGAGATGCCCATACCAACAGGCTCCAAATTTTGATATCTGCGACACAATTCTTAGAATACGGATCAAGCTATGGTCACAGAACTTGATCAAACCTTTCCGTGGTCTCAAACAGAGTACCCATTATGTCCTTCTGGGTGAATTGGGCCATCTCTTGCCCATGGATAGGTGTGTTACTCAATGACTTAGACATGGTGAATGTCGAGGACTTTCAGAGAAATAAATTATTCATCATATCATTATCATGGAGTACTTGTGGCTAGTGTTCACATTCGATGTAAGAGCTCTGAAGAACAGAGGAAGACTATGGGGTCATGGCGCTGTTATATCAAAAGATGCCCATGCAGAGATCTACAAGACCCATGTTTGACCTGTAGCCTGTGGCGTGTGGCAAAGCCTCTTTGTGACATCAGTGGCTGGTACATGAGGCCCGAACAAGAGCACAGTAACTTACTCCGTACAGAAGCTTTGCTAATAATACAGTGATGTTCCATAAGTTTTTAACACACTCTGTACCTCACCGCCATCACCGCCTACTATATTTGTGTACAAGGGATACGGCTTACTTTACTATCACCCCCTAAACGAAGAAATTTTGGACCTCATCAATTTGCTCGCAATCATCAACTCATAATTTTAACGGCCATAAAGAAATTAATTGGTGGGAGTTGATAAACTCAGCTCCATCACACGGGATTTGGCGGGCAGAATATTATATAATCCCGGAAATGTGGGGCTGTGTGTTAAAAATTTATGGAACATCACCGTCATAATATTCCTCGCAAGCTTCAGTTCTTCAACCTCGTTTGCTGATGAGCTGCGGCCCCACATGATCAGCGAAGACTTCCAGAGCCATTGGTCGGCTGTGTCTTCCAGACAATCGACGAGCTGCGTTCGCTCCACCGTTGCCGTTCAACCCATGTCCATGACAGCGCGGCTGTCGCTTTCGTTTGCGGAGGGTTTGGAAATCTAACGGTCGGGCCAAACCACCCGCAAGGTTGCTATTTTGATTGGAAGGCTCAGTGAGCCGGAATAGTTGAACGATGTCCGTGTCTCATGACCCTGTCTGTATCTCCGCGGGTTTAAGATGAGATGTTTGATTTGAGTTAGCCATGCGCGGAAGTTGAATCCTTTTCAAGGTACAGGGCACAGCACGCAAGAGCTACTGTAGCTTTTGGAATCATATGACGTCAATGCTGCCGTATTGGGTTTCATAATAGGCTACCGTATAAAAATCTCGCATTAAATACAATTTTGCCTTAATTCAAAAGAAAAGAACCTGGCTATAAGACCAGCAGTCAGACCAGCAGTCAGGTCGGAAGATCAATAAAACTATCAAACATAGATTCAGGACATCGCCCGTAACTAGCAACCCCTGCTGGAAGGGTGACCGACTGCTCAGGTGCCCCTGGTTCTTCTAATACCGATCCATCGGACCACGTACTCGTTGAAAAGGCCGGAGAGGGGCATTTAAGCTGCCCTGAGCTGCTTTCAAGGACGCTTTGCGTCATTTTGGCAAGCTGATTGTTGATACTTTGATGCTCGCATTTGGCGTGTTCAAAGATCATGTTTTTGAGGTACCACAGCTCGTCCTTCAATAGGCCCACCTCGGACAGCAAGGAAGCGTGTTTGGCTGTTTCCGTGTTCAACAATCTCTGCATCTTTGCGTGCTCCTTCTTCTTCTTCTTTCGGCATTTGTTGGCGGAAATGCGATTGCGCTCAAGATGCTTGGCTCTCTCCGGGCTGATATCCTCGGTCTGTTTTGTAGACTTCGTTGAAGACTTCGTTGAAGACCGCCGAGTCCGTTGAACTGGGGTTTCTGGCGTTTCTGACTGTTGGTTTGTAGCTGGCATATTGGAAAGCGGTTCCTCCAATGGCTTTCCTAGCAGGAAATCCCTCTCGCTTTGAGTTGGAGTGAAAGGTGATAGCCATGGGAATTGCGTTGTGCCCAATGTAGATAGTTGTAATGGTTGTAGCGTAGAGCAGTTGATTGAAGCATCCCGCGCAAGGCCCGAATTGGAAGGATAAAGTAGTGTTGCCATCCTTGATGGAGAATTAAGGGTAGATATATTCAGTGGAGATCGAAGCTATCGAACAGGAAGTTATTCAACAAGACGAGGAAAAATCCTGGACTTTTCACATTAATATACTTGGGAATTAACCTAAACAAACCAAACGAGAGATGACACGCGGATAGCGGAGACCACCATCTTGGTCTATGACGCTTATTGAGAGCCAAGCATGTTAAGGACGAGGCTGGCTTTGGTTGAGGAATAACCTGGTAAACTTAGGCCAGGGTTCTCGCCACCCCACCATCTACTTGGGACGGATGCCTCAGCCGTTTCCAAGGAACCGAAAACTAATTAGAATTTATGATGAAGGGATCGGAGCATCCCTTCGAACTCAGCCGCTCAAACCTTATTGGCGGGAGTTCTAAGCGGCATCTGGTCAAAAGTACATGTTTAGATTCGTTTGCCAAGAAATATTGTGATCAAGGAGAAATTGTAACGCGTTCCCAGACCAATGGCTCCATGCGATTTGCACCTACAAAGGTACCTGACACGATTTACAAAAGGACACCATGGCTGTTTAAGGTACGCGGGGAACCCGGTCGGGGATGGCGAGTACAAGGTGGCAAGCCAAATCCCATGCGGATATGGATCCCGCTGAGTACATGGATAGCTTGACAAGGCACGGGGCTAATTGCCCCAGTATTTAAAGCACATAGAAGCTATATCGATGGTCAGTTCTACAGGGGTCCAACCAAAAAAATCACCCCTCTATACGTCAGGCGGTCAGCCAGAACTTGCCACCTGCCCTTCCGCCTACCTCATACGATTTTGAGATCATCTGGTTGATCAGATAGTCTCTTAGTAATATAAAATCGGGGAGAAAAAACAGTGGGGCCTGTATAGAGCGTGATTATTTTTGTCGGGCCTCTGTATAGCAAGAATGGAGACTTGATTCGGATCGTATCACCGCACTGATATCATAGAGATCAAAGATCCATTAATTCTATCAGGGACTTCGAAGTGTTGCTTACCTACAGTAGGACGATGGTGATCTTCACTTACATGACTCCGCATTTCTAACCGGTGGGGAAATTCCTGAAAACAAAGAACAGAATAACGGGAAGTCGATACCTATCATATCCTAATGCAGCTCAGGGCCGAGTCAGAAGGATCCTGGATGGACTGGGATACTTGGCTAGTGCAGAACATTTGTGGATATCCTGAATATGTAGTGGTGTGTTTGACCATCGCGAACAAAGCAAATAACTCTAATAGGTTCGCAGATCCGTATGTTGAAATTGTAGAGATCAAGTTTTTGAATAACCCCTATAGTCCCATTTTCCTTCCTGCGATGTCTTGTCTGTTGAATGCCCAACCAGCTGATCTCGGGTCTCGGACATGTCCCCCTCAGCCTCGGGAATTTCTAATGCCCGACGGCACGCTGAGTCCGCCTTCCATTTATCCACACGTCGGGCTTTACTACCCCCCGAGGGTCAATATTTACACGATGGACCGCGATGAATACAGGTGAGCCCCAAAAAAACTCTGGGTCGCTATGGAACATTGCCAAAATCCGCAAAAGGGGCGAGTGAGAAAACTCCAAAACCCGATCATGAGTATATAAGGCCTCAACGTGGGCGTGTTTGAGTCGACAATCCCTGGACATCTTCATCTTTCATTAAATATTTCTAAACCAACCACACGCCAAGGTCCGATAGTCTCGGTGGATAATCTAATCTATCGCTCGAAGATTTCTTGAGAGAGTGAAAGCAGATATACATAATATGTCCAGCTCGAAGCCAGCGCCAATCGCTATTGTCGGCGGCGGTCCTTGTGGACTTACATTTGCGCGCCTTTTGGAATGCGCTGATATCGACTACGTCGTTTTTGAGCGTGATGCATCTTCAGTGCCAGAGCCGGGCTTCCAGGGTGGCACTTTAGATATCCACGGTCCGACAGGCCAGGAAGCATTACGACGCGCTGGTCTACATGACCATTTCGAGAAACTGGCACGACGTGATGCGACAAGTATGGTTGTCCAGAACTACAAGGGTGATTATTGCGTGAAATTTGGCGAAAAGCGCGATGCTCCTGAGATCGACCGTCTCCAGCTCCGGCAGATACTATTGGATTCCCTACCATCTCATCGAATTCGTTGGGGCAAGGCCCTGAGAGCCATTGAGCGCGACACACACCACGAGCAGAAGGGTGCCAAAGATATCAAGCTGCATTTTACAGATGGCTCGACAGAGACTGGATTCCGGCTCATTGTGGGTGCCGATGGCGCTTGGAGTAAAGTGCGGCAACTTGTAAGCAAAGCAAGATACGTGCAATGGGCCCTTCAAGCCAAATACTGATTTTCTTATAGATCACACCTGCAAACCCTGAGTATTCAGGAATTATGTTCATCGAGGGCCGACTATCACTCGACAACCCACGGTATCATGCTGCGAGCGAGATGATAGGAACCGGAAACTCACTCACCACGAGTGCTAACGCTATCCTGTGCGTACAGCAAATGTCCGATCGTTCCTACCGTGTCTATATGGGCATCAAGGGACCACAAGACCTGACTCGATCCGGTGGCGAGCTCGACGTGACCAACATCGACAAGACCCGTGCGGCGCTGCTTGCACCTACTGGATTCTATGGTGACTGGGCAGAACATCTCCGCGACTTTGTTGCCCATGCTGAGGGTCCCTGGCGCGTTTGGCCCTGGTGCAGACTCAAGCCAGAAGTTCTCCTTCCAAAGGCCGATGATGCTGGCTACGATGAGACCCAGAGTCAGGATTCCTGGAAACGCTCTCCGGGCGTTGCCCTGCTTGGAGATGCGGCGCACGCGGCCTCACCTAACGGCGAGGGTGTCAATCAAGCAATGTATGACGCGTTGCGATTGTTCGAAAGCATCTCTGCTGAGATAAGCGACAACCAGGATGTGGACTTCGATGAAACAACTGATGCGGAAGCGCTAGAGCGAGCTATCGCTACCTATGAGGCTGAGATGCTCCGTCGTGGACGTGACCATATCGAGGACGGCATGAATGTGGAGAAGATGTTCTTTGGCGAGAAAGCGGCCGAGAATCTCATTGAGAATTTCACGCAAGTGAAGCCGGAGGGAAGCAAGCCGCCGATGGGGCCTGGATCTATTATTGCCTCAGAAAATTAGGCGAGAATGCGTAAGATGTAATCAGGGTAAACGGTTAGCTTTGAGATCTCCCCTCACCATTTTGCCGCGTGAGGGTACAGTCATATAAATAGATATAGAACAATCTCATTGGTCACAGTATTTGTAAATCAGACCCAGTGTCATCATCATCGTTGACAAATAACCACGATAGCCATGAGTTTGATGATCGAAGGACCACGCGTATCCTGAAAATATATGCCCAGACTTAAAAGTAGCGCCCAGGGCATAAATCCGCCCTTTTCTTGCCTGCACAATTGTAATCTTGGCGCCGAAACACTCCAGGTACTCAATAGGAGGCGCAGCAATCCTTCATAAGGGACACAGGCGGGACAGCGCCCAAGTATCAAGATTACTTCCGCTAAATACAAATTCCGGCTGTGAATAGCTATAAAGCTCACTACTGTATCTCATGATAATTACAAATTCTGACTGCGAATAGCTACAAAGCTCACTACTGTATCTTAAGTTATTTCCCGATTTAGGCTGATGTTGTCTAGTCGGCTAGTGAGCTAGAATAGATCCTGCCCCCACAGATATCAGCCTCATAACACAGGGATAGTACAGATAGTACAAATCAACGACAATGGCCAGCTGTAAAATATTTATCCACCAGTTCATCCTTTTAGAATCGTTTACATTCTCGCAATCATATCGCCGAAGCGCGTTTGGACGCTCAACATCCAGCATCTGGTAGTCGCTCATCAGCCTATCACTTAGTGTGGTCCAAGCATAGACCGCACTATATTCACCCATACAAGAGGATCACACAACGCTCTAGGACAACAGCGGACTGGAGTGCCACATACACTCCTGGAGACCTTGGAAATTTCAAATCTGTCTATCAAATTCGGGCCGCATTCAGCTTTCTCCTAATCGTCACCTCCCTGGGAATTCTAGCTGCTGCGATCATAATTCGTAAACGTGGGACGAAAGCCGGCATCGTTCTCTTCAAGATACTCGTTATATCACTCATAAGCTATGCCATGTGAGTAATGAAAGTAATGAATACCTTCTTTCTACCATCACCCCCAGAAAATCATATATCTGCGCTCCATTGAAACAGTGCTCATGATGAAGTATTCTAGATCCAACCTTATGCCGGCCATCGTTTACAGCATTTACCTGGCCGACACGACGGTGAAATTAGCTATTCAACTTGCATTCATTATAGAAGAACTGACATACCTGTTCGCACTATGGACAATCCTCCTCCTCCTCTACCGGTTCATCAACCGCTTCCAAGAGTGGTCCACAGGTCGAGTGTCAATCGTCTTGATGCTTGTTCACGGAGTAATTTTTGGTCTTATGGGTGTTCTTTGCGTTGCGGAGCTCGCGTTATATATTGGCTCCACTGTGAAGACAGTTGATAGAAGCCAGAGGTGGATTCTATCTTGGCATTGGGTGCAAAGTGTTCGAGAAATCGCTCTCTGGGTCGTGTCTTTCGAGATTGCGATCTGGGCCTCGGTTGTGGAGGTTCGAGCATCGAAGGTTGACAGGATGGCAAGAGTACGTCGACACCGGGATACACTTTTTAAGTTGAGATCCAACTAACTACTTCTGTTCGTAATAGCCATCCACTCTCTCCTTCTTGCTAGCGAGTATCGGCTTCTTCGCCATGAACATGATGTGGGCGATGGTCACCATTCGGTGGGACATCGTCGCCTACCATGGGCATTCCAGCATTTATCCGCGAGGGATCTATTACTTTGAGACTGTTTTCGTGTTCATTTGCATCGTGCTCACTTACACCGGGATCCTGACGTGCTGCACCCGTCTAGCCGGTCTCAAGGACTCCGATATCTTTCAAACAGGTACGCCCACCGACTATCCTGTGATGACATACGAGCATCCATACACAAAACCTTCGGCGATAGAGTCAAGACTGATGATCACAGAAGCAGACCCATCTCGGGAGTTCTGGGAAGCTGGATCGCGGCTGATTCACGAGGGCGATGCGAGGTTCAAGATTCTCCCGCGAAAGCCGCAAGCAGCTCAAGCATACTGAGATCGCGTGCTACATCTAGAAGAAATGAGTGATGATTTTATGCCCCGGATTTGATTGAGGAGGTGCAGTTTATTATGATAGTATACAGTAGTCTAACATGGATCTTAAGCGTTTGCAATGAACAAGAATCATCCAGTGATCTGCTCGTCGATGTATCGCCTCATAGTCTCGAATTCAGCTTTCCCTGTCTTCAGATTGTAAGCGTCAAACCGATATAAGATTCTTGAAGGGCAACATACCGAGATCAGATAGCGTATGTGAGACTGTCAAGGCCTGAATTAGCAATGTCGTTAACCCCGAAATCTACAGGGTAGGGCTACTTACCAAATCTGTCACTTCACGGTTCCGCTCAAACTCGTGTCGAGCATATGAGCGTAACTCATCTCGTGTAGGAGAAGGTGGAGCTTCTAATTGTAGAATGAAAATGAGATAAGCGGTTTTGAGTGACAGGGGTACTACGTCGAGGGTCATCATACTGTGCAATGCCCTCACAATATCACGCCAGAGTGACAAAACCCTTTGTCTTTGGATGAACTGTACCTATTATTAGTCTCAAGGTTCACTTGCTCGAGCACCAAAATCCACTTACATGGTCTAGACTGATCGCTGGCTTCTTCAATTTTGAAGGCTGAGTGCGAGAAATAGCCGCCAGGAGGCTCAGTGATTGACGCATGGTGGTAATTTCATGTCATTTCAGAAGATGAGTGAGACTATTAACCCTTCGAGGGCTAGATGTACGTCTCAATGTATGTGCAAAGCGTGTAGGTCAATGAAGGCGGTCGAGTCTGAGGGTCTCTCACGCGCAATATTCCTTGGATCACGTGATCGAGCTCAAAATTAGGTGGCAAAGAGAGAAGGAGAGTTTAAGCATCAACTACAGTGATCTTTTCAGAAAGTATTCAAGTTGGTAGGAAATTTTGATAAAGGTAAAAAGATGTTCGTTAAATTTTTGTATCTCAGTCCATGGCCGCTGGATATATCCAAAACTTCCAAGTCCAATCCATCTCCATTCTACTTAGCCCATCACCAGAGGAAGAAGCTTATGCCTGCAGAGGCTCCCCCATACCGCCAAAAGTGACGCTCTTAATGGTCATAAACTCATCAATACCATACTTGCTGCCCTCGCGACCGAAACCACTCTGCTTGACACCACCGAACGGCGAGGCAACATCACTAATCAGTCCAGTGTTGACACCAACCATGCCAACCTCCAGTGTTTCGGCAATGCGGAAGATGCGGCGCACGTTGCCGCTGAAGAAGTAACCGGCCAGACCAACCTCGGCCTTGTTAGCAAGCTCAATGACCTCATCCTCCGTCTCGAAAGGGAAGAGACCCGCCACGGGACCAAAGGTTTCCTCGGACGCGATAAGCATATCCTTGCTCATGCCAGTCAGCACAGTAGGCTCGTAGAAGTTAGGACCCAGAGCGGACGCCTTCTGGCCACCAATGACGACCTTGGCACCCTTGGAGGTTGCGTCCTGGACGTGCTCGTGGGCCTTGGCAGCGGCACGTTCGTGGATGACGGGGCCATGGGTGATGCCCTCCCCGAAGCCAGCTCCAAGCTTAAAGTCCTTGACCTTGGCGACGAAGCGCTTGGCAAACTCATCGTAGATACCCTTCTGCACGTAGATCCGGTTCGCGCAGACACAGGTCTGGCCGGAGCTACGGAACTTGGAGGTAATGGCACCGGTTACGGCAGCATCGAGGTCCTCGACGTCGTCGAAGACGATGAAGGGCGCGTTACCGCCGAGCTCCCAGGATACCTTCTTGATAGTGGAGGAAGACTGCTTCATGAGCAGACGGCCGACGTTCGTCGAGCCAGTGAAGGAGACCTTGCGCACCTCCGGATGGGTAGTAATAAGCTCACCCACGGCGGGAGTGTTTTTAGAGGCAGTGACAATGTTAACAACACCCTTAGGGATACCCGCCCGGTGGGCGAGCTCAGCCAGAGCATTCGCAGTGAAGGGAGTCTCGCAAGGAGACTTGGCAACGACGGTGCAACCAGCCGCCAAAGCCGGGCCGATCTTACGGGTGATCATCGCAGCGGGGAAGTTCCACGGGGTAATTAGACCGCAAACACCAACCGGCTGCTTAAGGGTGATCACCCGGTTACCCGGCACCGTGGCTGGAATAGTGTCGCCGTACGTACGAGGCGCCTCCTCGCTGAACCACTCAAAGAAGCTGGCCGCATAGTTCACCTCGCCCTTTGCGTCGGCTAAGGGCTTGCCATTCTCCCAGGTGATCAACTTGGCCAAGTCCTCTGCATTATCCATCATGAGTTGGTACCACCGGCGCAGCATGCGTGCACGCTCACGGGCCAGGGTTGTGCGGAATGAAGGGAAAGCCTCCGAGGCAGCCTGGATGGCCTTCTCAACGTCGGCGGTATCGAGCTCCGGGCAAGTTCCAATGAGTTCGCCAGTGGCGGGGTCTGCAAATGAAAATATGAGATCAGCATCCGAATATAGCGCCGATAGTCCTTTCTTGTATTCAGTCCTTACCGTGAACCTCGAAGGTCTGTCCCGACTGGGCACCAACCCACTCGCCATTGATATAACACTTATCAATGAAGAGGGACTTATCTTTCAACTGTACCAAATTGTCAGAGCCAACACTCAATATCTCTAACACCTCCGACCAACAAGTAACGCACCTCAGGCCGATTGGGTCCCATGGTGTATAGTCTCTTCGCAGCAGGCGCGGACGGAATGGCAAAAGGGTATCGCGGACGGGGTCGCAGCAATTGGCGGGCGACAGGACGGACGATGCGGTCCATTATGAAGGGATCCGAGGGCTGCGGGGGAATGAGGGACAGGGCTAAAAGTACAAGGCGAAAAGAAGCCGCGGGAACAGATCGGTCAGATGTGCGGGGAGGGAGTGGGATTTGGAGAAGGCTTTAAAAGGTGCTCGGTCGTTTGCGGAGGGACGGTCTTGTCCGTTGCTGGGAGCTGTGGCGCTGGACGGTGATTGCTCTTTGGGCCCGAGAAGCACCGAGGACGGGGTTCGCGCCGATGTGTCGAGAGGTGAAAATGGGCTGGAGCTCAGAAGGGAAGTTGGATGCTAAGCGGGGGCAAAGTGCGGATTATTTGAGAAGGAGGTTGATTGATAGTTGATGTCATTCCTGAGGGGAACTGGTTTCTTCCCCTTTGCTGATGCTCGACTCGGCAAGGAAATTTCAAGAGTCTTTTTCTTTTCTTCAATCTCTATGCCCTTTGGTCTCATTTATATGTCTTTTGGAGATTATTAATTGAGTCGATGGCAAGTATGGCCTTGAACTGTGCTGGGGAGCTCTCCACTTTATGGTAATGTAAATTCATAAATTACCACGACCGGTAAACCGGGCAAATAGAGAGCTTTTATTGATACCGCCTCGGCACTTTGGACGAATGATATACGATATACTGTCTCGCCGTCCCGGATAGTGTAACGGTAATACCAGAATCTTCTCCAACAAATTGCTTAGTATGGGGGGAACTATACAGCCAACTTTGGGAAGGACCAGCCGAAGTGGATTGGGTGAATATTCACAACTGACTTGGAGAAAAGGAACCATCTACAATAATCTCCCAAGTATTGAGCCTTTAATAGAGAATATAACAAGTCGGTATCATACTATGTACAAAAAATCTAGCTAGTCAATCTCAATCAGTTCGACACCTCCAGGCGTACTCTGAGACCGAGATCGCTCGCCTTCCACAGGTGTATACCCTGGATGCACCCGCTTCATATGCAAATTAAGATTCCATGTCCGTGAGAATCCCTTTGTATGCCGCGAGCATCGTTTAATCGGGCAGATAAGATCAGCTTTACGATGTTCACCCTTGCCTTTAGGCGCTTGTTGTGCTTGTGACGCTTGAGGGGGTGCGGATTGGGTCCCGGAACCAGTCTGGCTCTCAGGAACAGCGACAGGAACAAGACCGGGGCTTTGAATCACGACAGCGATGGTCGAAGATGACGGGAGGGCAGCTGAAGTTGAGCGATGTCGCCGTGGTTGTGATTGCGACCGTGATTGCACCCTCGGCTGTGATTTGCGTTTACGCGGAGAAAGAGCTGGTCCTGGACCTGGTGGTGAGCTCGCCCGTTCTGGTTCAGGTAGAATCTCTGCGTCGGATTCGCTCTCGCAGTACTGCCATTGCCAGCCAGACCGAGACGATTCCTCTAGCCGAGAGACTTTCTTGAATCGGCCTTCGTGGAACGTCCGGAATGTCATGTCTTCTCCAAAGAGGTCGGCACATCGCTTTGAAGCACGCATTACCGCTGCATTTGGAAGATCCGTCATTGCAGCAATGCCCATGACCTCGCTCCAGTCGCGAAGCCCAAGCTTGTATCTCATCGTGGAAAGTTCACCACTGCCTCTAGAGGTTCGAGACCTCCCACGAGATCGTGACGTACTCCGCACAATTCCGTTCTGAGTGCTGGCTGCAGTTGAGGATCGAACGCTTTTAGACCGATGGCTTGAATTTTGCGAATGAGTCGAGAGCCGACGGGCCCGCTTACGGCCACGCGACCGGCTTCTGCCTCCGCTCACCTGTCTAGATCGTGAGCGGGATGTCTCAGAGTAGCCTGTATCGTCGGACTCGCTACCGGAGTCGGCGTCGTGAAAGCGACTCTTCACAGAATGATGTAACCCCATCAAAAGGCGGTCGACCTGGGCGATTATGTTTCGAGATAGTGGACGTAGTTGCTGTCTCGATACACCGTCATCGGCCTGGACGACCGGTTGAAGCGGCACTGCATCTGGCTTGGGATCTTCACCCTTCTCATCCTCGGAATCTTTCATGTCTTCATCTTTCATATTGTCCGGGGTACCGTCCCTCCTCACACGATTGACCCTCACCTCTTCCAAATCCGATTCCCGTGCCATGAAGGTCTGCTTAGCATGTTTCATCATAGTTGCAATGATAGACTCTTCCAGTTCCGCGCTTGGTCGCAAATCAGGTGGCATTCGTAGTGTGCCAGGTCCATCAAGCTGGCGGTGGATTATCTCATCGGGACGCGGTACATTGGCAGCAGGCCTCGGCCATGCGACCCAGCGTCTAGGTGGAAAAATTCGTTCTTGTCCATCAGGCTCTTGGGGATCCTGAGACGTGCCTCGAGTGTGATCACGTTTATTGCGGATAGTATAAGCATTATATAGATGAGCAGCAAGGTCTCTAGCCCGATTAGCAACTATTGCTTCGTAGGCTCCCCGTTCGTCTGCGATAAGTCGCCTGTACGTGGAAGGATATCCATTCCAGCGATTTGGGCGCTCCACGCCCGTTGGCAGATCAAGGCCACGGTCAAGTACATATGTCGTGGCCGCTGGTTCAGGTCGTGTCCGTATCTCCAAGGGCGAAGATGGGAGAATCGGCTGTTTGCCCTTCCAGCGAGGGCCGGTCTCTGCTTCCGGCCTTCTCTCGACGGCATCTTCACCTTTGCTTCCATCACTTCCTCGAAAGCTGTCTCCATCAGAGCCATAATAGGCGTCTAACGGCCTCTCGCGCATGATCACGTCAAAGTCATCCTCTTCGCCCTCAAATCCACCCATATCCATGGAGTCAGAGACATTTCTTTGCTCGGGAATGACATCGAGTCCGCTCGGTCCACCAAATAGAGATCCTCTAGTTCTCCGGATAGGCTCCGGCAGAGAAGACGGTGGTGGATCAGCATCGCTGCTAGGACCTCCAAATATTGAATTATATGGCTGCGCTGATTGTGGTGGATAGAACTGAGATGACGATGGTTGCTGGTTATCTGAGAACGAGGACATGCCTCGGAGACTTGAGTGGTTGAAGTGTGATACACAAGGGTCGAAGCCTGTTCATATCACGTTGATGTTGTTCTCCGATTCAGATGTAGCGTTCTTAGACATCTGAGGTGATCAAGCATCACGCTATATCGCTCTTTCAGTTGTAAAGTGAGGACCTAATCATTTGTGTCTGAGTTTGGTGAGGACTTGAGGCACGAGGGCATCCAAATTTTGACCGAGTGGACCACCATCATGATGTCACGTGGTATTGAATTTCTTGTGGAATGACAAGAGATCAGCCAACCTGTGCTATGACATTGAATGTCCACAAATTCAATCAGTTCAAATTTAGTGACTACGATGAAGAGTAATTTGTGATGAAACGATTAAATTCGATGACATAAATTTTTAGACATGCATATACAGGGGGCTATCCCATCCGCAAACGCCAGGAAAAATAAAGACCTCTTCACAGTTTTGACATGGCCTGGCTCAGCTCTATTTTTGGCCACCCTTCTCACCCTTCTCGAGCTTGCGTCGCTTCGACCGGAGCTTGGCAGCCTCGTCTGACGTCTTCTTGTTCGAGTACATCATCTTCTCCAGCAGCTTACGCTTCTTGCGACTCATCATCATCTTCTGTCGCTCGAGCTCCTCGTCCTCCTGGCGCTTCTTAGCAGCCAATTTCTTAGACTTGCCAGCCTTCTTCTTGGCAGACTCGTCAGCGGCACCGGCGGAAGAGTAGGGCAGACCCGCAGCCTCGGCCTCGAGCTCGCGCTGGTGCTGGTTGCGGGCAGCCTCGTCGTCATCGTCAGACTCGGAGGCGGCTGCCTCCTCGACGCCGGGGAATTCCTCCTCTTCGTCTTCCTCCTCGCTCTCACTTTCGTCGTCGTCGGTTCCAGCGACATCCATACCGCCATCAACGGACTCGTCCTCGGACTCCTCGGCAGAGGCGGCAGGCTTCTCGGTGGCGGGCTCATCCTCCATCTCCTCGTCGCTGTCCTCGTCGCCATCCTCGGCCAGCTCAGCCTCACCCTCCTCTTCCTGTTCAGCCAGGCTGGCGCGCGGGTCGTAACCACCGCGAGAAGGCTTGACCCACGGGCTCAGGTGGGGCGGGAGAGTGGCACCAGGGCCGTAAAGATCGGCGCGAAGCAACTTGCCATCGTTGACGCAGTCCCACACCCACTGGGGCTGAACGTATGTGCGTCCGGGAATCCGAGTGCCAGCCTTGACCTTGGGGGTAGCACCCTCCGCGGCGGCAGGAATGGCCGGCAGAGAACCCTCGGGAAGCTGAGGACGATCAACGATCTGGTGAGTGATGCGCGGGTCGGTCTCATCATGAGTGAAAGCACCGTCACCAAGCACGGCATCCCAGCCAATACGCTTGCAACCGAAAGCACGCAGAATAAACTCGAGAGGAGCCTTGGGGGCCTCACGGGAGATGTAAAAAGTGAAGGGGGCGAAGAGAGCACCGGCCTCGTTGCCGCTCATGTCAGGCTGGGGTAGAGTGTCGGCTTCGGGGGCGGCAGGCTCGAAACGGTCGATGGCATCGCTTGACTCCTCGGTGGTGTCTGCCATTGGCTCATCCATGGTCTGGTCCAGGCCTGCAGACTTGATGACCTTGTCCACCTTGGCTTGGACCTCCTTCGAAGCCTCCTTGTTAGAACTGTCGATCACCTTGGGCTTGCCGGACTCAATCGCCTTGTTCTCAGTCACATTGCGGCCCTCGAGGGTGAAAGCAGCCAGCTCAGCACCGTTCTCGTCACTCCGGGTGTCGAACTTCGGGGGATATCTCAATCCGATCGAGGAGTACAGACGGAAGTTGACGAAACCCAACAGGGTGGTGTAGAAATCGACGAAGGTAGCCATGATACGGTAGTCAACGTCGCCATTAACACGCTGAACGAACCGGTAGGGCACCAACCACATGATATCCTGACCCTGAATGGTGGCCTGGTAGTAGATACCCTTGATCGAGAGGAAGGACTTGCGGAGCGCGTTGGTGGTGATCAAGTAGTGCTGGAATTCGTGGCAGAGGCGTTGGCAGAGCGCAATCGTCTTGTGGGGGACATGGTCGGTAGAAGGGAGGGTGGCAAACAGGAAGAGCAAAGACAGAGCATCGTCAAGGTCGCGAAGGGCGTCGGTGAAGGTCGGGTAGCGCTCCTTGATGACATGGTCAAGGGTGAGCTTGGGAGCGTGGTTCTTCTCGAGGCGCGCAGCGTCGCTGACTTCACCACGACCCAGGGAACGAGCGATCTTCTTGGCAAGAGCCTTCTGGTCACGGAACTTGTTGAGCAGAGGCTCGTGGAGCAGGTACTGGATGTCCTTGGTGTAGTAGAAGGTGGTGTTCGGGGTGGAGGTCCTGGAGGCCTTCTTCTTGTTCCGGGGCTCACGAGGGTAGATGCCTATCAATCGCGCATGTAATTAGGATTGGAGAACATTCCAGACTTCTGAATAGATGGTCTTACCCTTGAAAATGCAGAGGCGACGGAAATCGGGCAGAGAAATCTGAAGCTTTCGCACGGCCTGGGTACGGGTGATGTAGTTTTTGGCCTGGCCAGAGGTACCTGATAAAAGGACTGTTAGCGGTATTCAATCAATCCAGCGATTGCCAAAGCATACCCTTCTTCTTAATTTTCGCCATGGTGAAATCTGTTGCAGTCCTATAACCGGCAAGCCAAACAGTCTTGCTGATAAGAAGAAGAAAATTTCTCGATAACTTTTTTTTTTGACAAGGCCGGGTGGCCCGTGCACGACAGGTGTCCGTGGTTCCTCCGCCTTTCGTTCCTCGGCGGCTTTAAGGGACAGCTGGAACAACAGAACAACAGACCAACAGCCTGCCAGCAGCTCTCTTCCAACCCGCCTCTCTGTCATGGCGGTGGACCGACGGAAGGTAGCTGTCTTCGGTGCGGCCTTTGTGCTGCGACTGCTTCTTATTTGTCTCTTCCCATCATTGCCCGACCTGCTTACTGGCCGAGTCGAGGTGTCCACCCCGGTCAATAGCTTCAAGCGACGTATGCGATAAGGAACAAGTCCAATGGCGTTGCAATCCAACGAGCTAACATCCTGGAATAGTCCAAGAAGGCCTGTACCTCTATACACGCAATGCATCGCCATACGACGGCGGTGTCTTCCACCAGGTGGGCAAATCGATACCTTCCAAAAACCACATCCTCAATTAACCACTGGCCGATCTAGGCACCGCTCCTGCTCCCTCTGTTCTCCTTACTGCCCGACGTCAAGCGCAATCCGGTCCCAACAGCCATCTTCTATTTCCTTGTCGATTTAGTGAATGCACATGCGCTGGCGACCATCTCCGAGTCGGGCCAGTCGGTCCAAAGTCGACTCCACTCTGCCATGCGGAAGAATATTCGGTGGGACGGGACTTCAGTGGCAGCATGGTATGGCGCATTTGAATATTCTACACGTCTGGGCGTATTGCTTATTGTCTATCCAGGTTCTTGTTCAATCCCTTCACGATCGCAACGTGCTTGGCGCGATCAACAAGCGTGTTCACCACCTCGGGAATTTTGTTCGCTGTCTCGAATGCAGTCAGTGGTAACAGCCTGAACGCAATGCTTGCTCTCGGCTTTGCGTCATATCTCTCCCTCTATCCCGCTTTGTTGTTTGTCCCGCTAGCCCTGCTCTGCTACGATCAACGAGCCCAAAAGTCCGCCCAGGCGCCCTCTACTGCTCTCTCCATCTTGCAACACGGCTCCATTTTGTCTGCTAGTATTGCTGGGCTACTTGGACTTTCAGTCCTCATCACTGGAAACTTCTGGGAGTTCATGTCTGCCACCTACGGCTTCCACCTGCTGGTCCCAGACCTGACCCCCAATGTGGGCCTGTGGTGGTACTTCTTCATCGAGATGTTCGACTCCTTCCGTGAGTTCTTCCTCGGGGTGTTCTGGCTTCACCTGGCTAGCTATGTTGGAGGACTCACGGTGAGGCTGCGGCGACAGCCCCTGTTCATTATCACCTCGCTCCTGGGCGTCTTTGCCGTATTCAAGCCCTACCCCAGTATCTCGGATGCTTCGCTATACTTTGCACTGCTGCCATTGTATCGGCATCTTTTCCCCTGTGAGTACTCAAGTATCACACATGACCTATCCTTGAGCCCAACTAATCCTCAAACTAGTGATGCGGTACACTTTCTTTGCCATTTCAGCTCTCTTATACTCCAGTTTGCTAGGCCCCGCCTTCTATCACCTCTGGATCTACGCTGGATCCGGAAATGCGAACTTCTTTTACGCCATCACCCTTGTGTGGAGTCTAGGGCTCTCTATCCTCTTGGCAGATAGTATCTTCGCTGCGCTCAGAGACGAGTGGGAGCAAGATCACCCTGAACGCAAGGGCGAGGAAGTAAAACAAGTGTAATGTATATTGATGATAGCGTTTTCATCGCTGCATGTGTTTCCCTTTTTCTAGAAACAAACGAAAAGAAATAATAAAGATTCTCAATCCTTCAATCTCTTCGACAAAATCAAATAATCAAACTCCTTAATCGTCCCATTCCGCAACCTTCGCGGTTGCGGCGAGTACTCATCCACCTCATAACCACCCTTCTCATAAAACCTCCTAGCCGTCGCATTGGATTTGAAAACCGTCAACATCGCCTTCTCCAACCCGACGAGCCGGCCAATCTCCTCCATCCGCGTCATCAGCAGCACGCCGAGCCCCCGACCCCGGGCCCTCGGCGATAAATGGATCTCGTAGCAATAAGCCACCTCTTTCCCATCCTCATAGGTAACCATAAACGACAAGAATCCTAGCACATTGGGATTATCCTCTAATCCCGATGGCGAGCTCGGCTTGTCGGATCCGGTGGGATTCTCGCTTTGGGACGCATCCGATACTTGTTCCGCGACGCCCCGCAGAATCAGGTACTTCATGTCGGGGAGTTTCATTTCTTTGCGCTTCTTGGGGCGGGACCAGCCTGCGCCTGAAGCGGCGTAGTCTGAGCCGGAGGTGAACTCGACAAGATCGAGACATGCGTCCAGATCTGCGCGGGAGATGGTTGCGGCGGAATACACGTCCAGATGGGTTCCAGCCGCGAGAGAGGTCTTCTTGTCGAGAGCCGGATTTTCGGCATCTTGATGAGTCGCCGTGATGAGCGGAGACACGTAGCGTGATGTAAATTCTTCAATGGTGAGTGCGTTGGTGCGCTCAACCAGCGGCTGGTCTACGCGGATATGGCATTAGCAACGCGTCGGGGTGACAGATCGGGTTAACGGGTACATCGGATATCAAAAATTCATCTCATCAAGAGATACTGTGATGTTTGATGCCCATCCGAACCTATTGGTTGGGGAGCAGAGCTATTTACTTACTTTTGGTAGCTGCCGGGACGCGTCGGATGCGGGTTTCCAGGGACCGACGTGCCGTTTTGGCCTTGGTTACTCGGCCCTCTTTCGTTGCTGGCATGACGGAAGAGAAAAGGCAATAATCGACTCAGTTCCGGTAGTAGTTTCTGTTGAATCTGACAAAGTCGCTTTTGTGCATCAGCGGGAAGTATGAAGGAGATATGTGCGGGTCAGGTTAGAGTTTGGTGCACTCCAGTTTCCGTGTTCCGGGTGTCTCTATACGTGGTATCCTTGGCTATAGTTACCTAGACGCCACAAATGTTACGCAGGTGTCAATTGCTTCTTTGGAATCTATTGAGATTCCTGCTCGGTATCAAGCTTCCAAGTTTGGATTTGAATCTTTTCTTTCATGATCAACAGGCACTGCGCGTAGCTATAGTTATATATACGTGGGATTTGAGTCATTGCTTCTAGAACAACGTCATTGTACCGTATCGCTTCCAAAATTGAGCAGATTGGCGCCATGGGTAGAATTTCGATCAATGGAGATTACCCGATCAACCTTCTCTTACCTATGAGCTCCCACGCAGCTTCGCACATGTTCCTCAGCACGTCGCTCGGCTTCAGCGGCTCCTAACTCGCCAAAGACATCAACACCCCAGTGGAAGGGGTAATGGTACCGCTCGTTGCGGTCCAGCTTGTTGAAGGCCTCAAACTCGGCGTCTGGGATAACGAAATCCGAGATAAAAGAGTCAGTCAAAGCGCCTTGGCCAATAAAAGAATACATTGATTGTCTTGACTTACCCTGGAAGTTGCTCTCAATCCGCGAAGGAGTAATACTCTTAGGCAGAACTGCAGAGCCCCGCTGCACTGCCCATGACATTAGTAGGATGGCAGGGTCTTTGTTCAGCTTCTGAGAGATTTCCACCACGGTCGAGTCATCAACAACACTTTAATTCCAAGAAGATTAGCACAGAATTATGGCCAATTTGAGGGAGTATTTACATACCGTGGCAGGTTGTAAATGTTGTTTCCAAGCGGGCTGTAAGCCACGGGCAAGATATTCTTTTGACAGACAATGCGCTAGAGATACATCTCAAGCGACGGATTACAGAAAGATCATCATACATTCTTCTTCAAGGAGTTAAACAGACGAGGCTGCAACAGGTACGGGTGGGCCTTGATTTGGCTCACCCAAGTTCCGTGACCAATAGCGGGGATCTCGTAGCCCGAGTTCAATTTTGAATGTGCGTCCAAGAGACATGTTGACCAGCCTGAGTAATTGGGATTGGATTGAACAAGTATAAGAAAGCTGGGAATATGTGACAGAAGGTCGGCACGAACGGAGGCAAGGCCAATTTATGCCCCTCGGTCGCTGCCACTTTATCCTTCCCCCTCATCGCTAGTCATAGATCGCATTGCGCAAGAACTGGACTGCCACGCAGTTCGCTGATCTCGTGCTTGTCAGGGATCCCCGGTAGCTATGGTTCTAGTGGATATTTAGAACGATGAGCGATATTAGCTTTGGGTGGCATAATTGCCGGGCCGACAGAGCCAGGAACGGAACTTAGATTAGAGTTGTTGCATGCCAGGGGATAATTCCACAATTTTAAATGTGCGATACAGTTATAGAGCGGGGGAATGTACCACAAGCAACGTATTGTCATTGAATAAGGTTGTTCTATTCATGAACTAAGCTTGTTAGTTGCTCCCGACTCGCTCGCTGGAGCTTCCAGGTACATTGGGGTTCCCTACGTTTGAAAGCCAGACAACTAACTCATCTTATCAGTCACCAGCTGAAGAACATACCATGAGATGATGTCCGAAGATCAAAAAGAGGATTCGAAATACATTTCAAAGTATTTCGTGAAACAGAAAGTCTGGCATATCTTGTTGGGCCTTTTCTCGTATCTCTTGAGTCAGACCTTTCAACGCCACTTACGGAATGTGGTTTGAATGATTGGACGTCTTTATTTACCGCACCAACTAATCATTTCGAGACACTCACTCGAGCAAAGGCTTGATCAGGATAATTGAAATTCTCCTCTCTCGGCCTTTGATAATTAGCAGTGCCTGGACTTTGACGATATACCCTCCATAAAAAGTACTGGTTGGTTCCCGCGCCCCGAAAGCAGGCACAAATCATTTACCCATTTTACGTAGCCTTAATAGCCTCCAATTTACCCGCCGCAAAATCATATCTGTCTATTTGTCAGCCCGCTATATTAACGTAGTTCCCGCCCTTTCCGAACACCTCATCTAAAATCGCGTCTTCCTACCTACATACCTACTTCAACCACCTACTATGACACCAATTCGCCCTGAATCTCGGCAAAAATTAGCCAATCAAGAGGGCAAGATCTTATTAGCCCTTGATGATTTTTAAAATGGCCGAATCAAATCTCTACGCGCAGCAGCAAAGCTATATAACATACCGCTTACTACCCTACACGATCTCGTACACGGCCAACCTGCACGCGTTGATTCTCGCGCACCAGGCTATAAACTGACCCAATTGGAAGAGGATTCGCTTGTTGATTGGATAGTCTCTATGGATATACGTGGAGCAGCGCCTAGGCCGGTTACTGTGCGAGAAATGGCCAATATTCTACTAGCTACACGCGGTAGCTACCCTCCGCCTACTGTTGGCAAGAATTGGCCATCAACCTTTATAAATCGACGCGAAGAGATTCGATCACGCTTCTCTAGGCGATACGACTACCAGCGCGCACTAAATGAAGACCTAAAATCGCTATGAGAGTAGTTTATTACCGTACAACGTGTTATCGATGAGAACGGTATACAAGCGGAGGATATCTACAACTTTGACGAGACCGGATTTGCAATAGGTCTTATATCTACGCAGAAGGTAGTTACGCGAGCTGAATACTACGGTCGGCGATCGATACTACAGCTAGGAAATCGCGAATGGGTCACTGCTATCGAAGCAATTTGCGCAGATGGCTATTCGCCACCGCCCTGTGTAGTTTTTAAAGCTAAAGTAGCTATTGCTGGCTGGTTTGATAATCTACTACACGATTGGCGATTTGAAGTATCGAATGATGGCTAGACTACCGATGAAATTGGCCTACGCTGGCTAGAAAAGCTATTTATCCCATCAACGAATTCGCGTGTACGTGGTCGATTTCGGCTACTAATTCTTGATAGCCATAGTAGCCACCTTACGCCCCAATTCGACCGATTATGTGCAGAAAACGATATTATACCTCTTTGTATGCCTGCGTATTCGTCACATCTACTACAACCACTAGATGTTGGCTGTTTTGCAGTGCTAAAGCGCGCGTACGGTCGCTTCGTAAGCGATCTTGCGCGTAGAGGATATAATTATATCGATAAATTCAATTCCTAGAAGACTACCAACGCGCGCGGCAGGAAGCCTACCAATCAAGCACTATTCAAAATAGCTTCGCAGCTAGTGGCCTAGTGCTAATCGATGCAGAAAGAGTACTCTCGAAGCTTAATATCTCTCTACGAACTCCGTCACCACCAAACAGCCAGCCAAGCAGCCAGCCAAGCAGCCCATCTAGCCAATTTACACCAAAAACGCCCAGAACTATCGTTCAGCTACAAAAGCAATCTTCAATGCTGATAGATCTACTACACCAGCGGTCACAAAGTCCTCCGAGCCCAATCAAAACCATGCTAGATCAGATTATCAAAGGCACTGCACTATCGCTACACAATGCTGCATTACTCGCGCAAGATAATGCGAATCTACGCGCAGCCAATGGGAAGATCGTCAAGATGCGCAATCGGCCGCATAAGCAGATACCATGCGAAGAGGGTTTGACCGTTGAAGAGGGCCTACAGCTAGTTTCGCAGCTAGATTTACCACTCGAAGCGCCTGTGGTAGAATCGCATCCGCAGGGCGATTTGCCTATTGAAAGCAAGGACAAGGCCTTTGACGGCCTGGTCTACCAGGATGCACCAATGCCGAAAGTCGGTGAGAGCGAGGTGCTGGTGAAGCTTCAAGCTGCGTCGCTGAACTAGCGTGATTTAATTATTCCAAAGGTACAGCATCTACTCAATTATGAAACGGGACCAGGCTCTCAAACACCGCTGTTCTGACATCAAATCGCCGTTTGATATAGGGCAAATACCCGTTCCCGTGTAACTTCCCCGTCGTTCCCGCTTCCGACGGGGCCGGCGAGGTTGTTGAAGTCGGTTCAAAGGTCACCGAGTTTAAGAAAGGCGATCAGGTGGCAACTCTTTTCAATCAGGGACATCAGTATGGCGACATTGATATTCCGGCGACATATACCGGGTTGGGTGGTATGATTGACGGAGCTCTGCGTGAATATGGAGTATTCAACGAGAAGGGGCTTGTGAAGGCTGCTAAAAATCTCACCCCTCTCGAGAATAGCACACTTACGTGTGCTGCTCTGACGAGTTGGAATGCTCTATATGGACTGAAGCCTCTGAAGCCCGGCCAGACTGTTCTGGTCCAAGGAACCGGTGGTGTCAGCATGTTCGGCTTGCAGGTAGGTGCTTGAAATTTGATGAATATCATGAATATCATCAATTCCTTATGCTGACAACTTTTTGTCTGATAGTTTGCGAAAGCCGCTGGTGCCACTGTGATCGCAACGACTTCCTCCGACGAGAAGGGCGAGAAACTCAAGAAGCTCGGTGCTGACCATGTCATCAACTACAAGACCGACCCGAACTGGGGCGAGGCCGCTCGCAAGTTGACCCCGGATTGCGCGGGCGTGGATCATATCATTGAGGTTGGGGGACCCGGAACCATGCGCCAGAGCTTCAACTGTATTAAGTTCGAGGGTGTCATCAGCGTGATTGGCTTCCTGGGTGGCGTCAAGGCTGAGGGCCAACCCACACTCTTGGACACACTGAGCAACATTTGCACCGTCCGTGGTGTGTATGTGGGGAGCAAGGCCCTCATGTGCGACATGATCCGCGCAATTGAGGCCAACGATATCCACCCGGTTTTGGATGAGAAGGTCTTCACTCTTGAGCAGGCCCGGGAGGCCTATGAGTATATGGTGAGTAGGACCGATGCCATTTCATCTATGTTGTATATTGACCGAATTCCACAGTGGGCACAAAAGCATTTTGGAAAGTTGACTGTCAAGATTCACTAAGCCACAATTGAACTCGTCTCAATTCCCCTTTAGACACAGGGACTGGCTAGATGGGGCGATGTACAAAGTCTGTATAATGAAGTCTCTCGAGGTAGTGACTGAGAATTCTGAAAGCAAATTCGAGATTGTTCTGTAGCTTCAGTAGGTGTTCAGTATGAGGAGTTGAGAGGGTCAGATCGGTGAGCGTTGGTTGAATATGAATGGCGAAGGTTGAGGAGCCTTCCCCGCCTTCTCCATCATCATAGCCACCCACTCACTCACCGACAAGCTACACGCATGCCTCCTAACTACAGCTTTTGCCGCCAAACAGTTATATCTCACGGGCATTAACTAGCTTCGAACCTATTCGAGCTAGCTGTACTGCTTTGTATGCTTCGTTTTCACTGTTGTCTCTGAACAAGATCTACCCCTCTCGGTTCAGATGCAGGCTGGCACTAGAAATACAGCCTCCACCCTGCCCATGCTCGGACAAGACGAGCATCATAAGATACGCCAGGCAACGTTTATACGGCCAGCACAAATGTGTTTATTTGCTCGAGTGACGTGCTACCCACCTTTGGGACAAGTCACAAACCTGCAGAGGCAGAAAGCATCGAAGTCCGAAGAAGATGATACGGTATGTGCAAGAGGAATTGCTCTTCATGCGTGTAAAAGATCTGAAGGCGCGGCGTTATCAAATAGTATGCTCATTATTATGTTAGGTTCGATTTACAGTCGTTATTGAATCCAGCACGTCTCTGCCAACGGAATCATGGGAAGCGCAGATCTGGCATAACATCACCGGATCAGAATGGACCGCTCTTCCCCTTCAAAGATGCAATCCGTCTGTTGCACCACTATTGAATGGAAAAGATGACGAATATAATTACCATCGCTATGTATTTTCGGAAGGAATTCGTCTACCGTCGTCCGGCGGCCATACAAAGTTCACGGCGCGCTTTCGAACTAGCCCAGATACCGAATGGCAGTGGGTCAACCAACAACAATCAGTCAGTGATGGAGAGCTTGTTTTTGGCCATAGGAACGGAACTTCTGAAAACCCGTTATTGGATGAGAGAATCTCAGCCGATGCAAAAGCAGAGCTTGCCAAATATATCGACAACCTGTCACCCGAAGTGCAAATTGAATCCCTACGTACAGAGGCGCCGGGATCTGTGCTATGGGCAATTCGTGGAGATGTGGACCCAGCAGAGGGTGGAGCTTCTGGAATCAAACGAACCGCCCTTGGTACGCCATCATTGATGATGAAGTATTTCTCGTTGGTACGAATCTGGAGTCCATGGCTGGGTCCTCGGCATGGCAAGGACTTGTTTAGATTGACAGAGGATGCGATTCTATGCTCTTTCCTTCGAAAAGATGGCACCCATCTTGTACTTCTGGCCATCTCCGGAATCAACGATGTCCTGACTGTTTTCCAATCGGGGGATAATGGAGAAGTAGTGATACAGGCCAGAAGCGACAATACCGAGATCACCGGGTTTCATGTGCTGGCCGCGGTCGCAGAGAACTTTGAGGTCGCTATGTCGGCCGTTATGTACGAGTCGAGAAAGGTCGTCAGGCCATATGGGTCTTTATCGACTGAGTCTGTGGAGCAGCCGCCTCTATCACCACCAGGAGACGACGTGGTGGTCTTGGAGAAAGACCCCGAGATCCAGTGGCTTGCTGACTGGTTCGACGGCTTGACATATTGCACTTGGAATGGTCTTGGCCAGGACCTGAACGAGGAAAAGATTATACACGCACTCAATGCATTAAAAGAGCATGGAATCCATGTCGTCAACCTGATCATCGATGACAATTGGCAGAGTCTCGACAATGAAGGTGAATCCCAGTTCAAGCGACGCTGGAAGCAGTTTGAAGCGAATCCCAAGGCGTTCCCGCGAGGCCTCAAGCAAACTGTGGAGACCATCCGTCGATCGCACCCAAATATTGGACATATCGCAGTCTGGCACGCTTTACTGGGATATTGGGGAGGCATCTGCCCCGACGGAGATCTGGCGCAGCGATACAAGACGAAGAAGGTGAAGATAAGAGATCTTGCAACTGGAGGTCCCATTGCGCACGACATCACGGATGGCAAGATTCTAGCCATCGACCCTGATGATGTACAGCGATTCTATGATGAATTCTATGGGTACCTTAAATCGCTAGGCGTTGACTCTGTGAAAGCCGATGCCCAGTTCTTCATTGATCTCCTCGAAGAGCCAGAAGATCGTAAGAGGTTCATGACATCTTATCAAGATGGCTGGTCACTCGCGACATTGAAACACTTCAGCAGCCGGGCCATTTCGTGCATGTCATTGATTCCACAAATGATCTTCCATTCGCAATTGCCAGCGAACAAGCCGTCGATTATACTGCGGAATTCAGATGACTTCTTCCCTGAGATCCAGTCATCTCACCCTTGGCATGTGTTCTGCAATGCGCATAATGCACTCCTCACTCGATATCTAAACGTTTTACCAGACTGGGATATGTTCCAAACTAGTCATCCTTATGCATCTTTCCATGCTGCAGCTCGCTGCGTCTCGGGTGGACCTGTTTACATCACGGATGAGCCTGGAAAGCATGATCTCAAAGTCATTGACCAGATGACGGCACCCACCGTCCAAGGTACCACTGTCATATTGCGTCCAAGTGTCATTGGCCGCGCCATCGACGTATACCATGACTACAATGAGGGGCATATTCTGCGGGTAGGAAGCTATACAGGTTGGGCTAAGACTGGAAGCGGTATTTTGGGTCTTTTCAACATCCACTCTGCCGAGGCATCATGCATTGTCTCTTTGACAGATTTCCCAGGAATCCACGATGACTCCGACAGCGAATATGTGATCCGTGCCCATACCAGTGGCAGAGTCACAAATCGTTTGAAACCTTTGACTCAAAATGCTTTGGTGTCCTTGATTCTGGAGCAGAGAGGATGGGAGATCCTTACAGCGTATCCAACTCGATCCTTCGCACTGAAGAGAAGCCACGGTAGCAGTGGCTCCGACGAAGCACTCACCCACGTAGCCATCTTCGGTCTCATTGGAAAGATGACTGGAGCTGCTGCGGTGGTGTCTTCAGACACCTCTGTTGTCGAGAACGGGCGTTTGCGTTGTGATGTCCATTTGAAGGCACTCGGCACGCTTGGAATCTATATTTCCGATCTACCAAACCGCAGCATCTTGGATGATTTCATGGTCATGATACTTGGGCAGGCAGTGCCGCAGAAGACCGTTTGGAAGGAAGGCGGAGAGAATTCCTGTGTGTTGGCCATTGACGTTCTCGCCGCGTGGAAGGCCATGAAGCTTGACAGCGGATGGAGTAACGAAGCTTTTGTCCAGATTTTTGTGGCGTAGAGCATTTTTGAAGACTAGGTAGAGCATCAATTCGAATATAAATCAACATTTTGACATTCTCAAAATCTCGACTAGAATAGTTGATGGGTTGTTGAAGATGAACTGGTGCTGATTACGTAGTCAGGACAGGGACCCGCGTCAACAATAATCCGGTCCTTATCGAAATAATCTCGGAGCTGCTGCGGACAACCTGAAATCACATTGCAGTTCATTGCGAGCCTCGTCGCGCTTAATTGCTTCTACAAGCCGGTCCAATGTGGCCACGGACGGCATCGCTCTCCCGAGCGACTTGTCGCAATCCTCGTCTCCCTCCGAGAGCGCCATGCGGAGCTCGTAGCATTGGTGGTGCCGCGCAGACAAATCCGCTCCGATCCCAAACTCGTCCGTCACCTCTATCCTCACACCAATTCGCCCTGACACAACAAAGGAGATGGATCACACAGAAATACCTTCAGCGTATGCAGGAAGGAAGGGAGGAATGGGCTCGACATGCTGAAGAGATCAAGGCAGGGAAGCGGAAGGACTTCGCGGCCCACCTTGAGGAGCGTGGTTTGATTCATGATGTTGTCGGGTACGGATGCTATTCTCTTGAGCTTTCTCCTGTCGGAATTGGTGTGCTGTGATGTGAGACTGACATTTTTTCTTGCCTTACAGAGAGCGCGACCTACTACATAAAGTGTTCACCGAAAAGAGAGCTGGTATCTACGTCGGAATCGACCCCACGGCACCTTCGATGCACATCGGACATATGCTACCTTTCATGGTTTTGGCTTGGGGATATGTCTGGGGACTACCGGTGACTTTCTTGGTTAGTCTACGCGACCTGTGTACTATGGAAGGACTCAGGACTGATCATCATAAAGCTGGGTGGTGCCACATCTCGAGTGGGTGACCCAACAGGGCGGCTGAAGGGACGTGAGCAAGTCCATTCCTCGATCCGCAAAGCCAATATGGCCAGCATGCACATGCAGTTGAAGAAACTGGGGTCAAGCATTGAGCAGTACGGCCGACGACACGGCTATGAGAGGAAACCTATTTGGAAGCGCGCGCTGCTCAACAATAATACTTGGTGGAACTCGATGCCTTTCATTCAGGTTCTACGAGATTTAGGAGCGTACATGAGACTTGGACCCATGCTGGGGCGGGACACGTAAGTTTGCATGGTTGTTTCTGGACATTGAGTAATTGTCTGACCGGATTGAGCAGTGTCAAGAATCGACTGAGCCAGGGTGACGGCATGTCCTTCGCTGAATTCTCCTATCCTCTTCTCCAGGCATGGGATTGGTGGACCATGTTCCAAAAGGGAACCCAGGTGCAAGTTGGAGGATCCGACCAATATGGCAATATCTTGTTTGGAATGGAGGCCGTGAAGGCGATCAGCCGCAACACTGCTGACGAACAGCTCCGCAACCCTTTGGATTCTGAGCTGGACCGGCCTATTGGATTTACTACACCCCTTTTGACTGCGCCATCTGGAGAGAAATTTGGAAAGTCTGCGGGTAATGCTATCTGGCTCGACAAGGACATGACTTCCACTTTTGAGCTTTACCAGGTGAGTCGGAATTGTCATACTTGTCATTTGCTCCATGACTAATGATTACAAGTTTTTTGTTCGCACTCCCGATGACACCGTGGAGAAATACCTCAAGCTGTTTACATTTATCCCTCTGCCTGAAATTGCCTCCATTTTGGAAGAGCAGAATCAGGACCCTTCCAAGCGCGTGGCTCAGCACAAACTAGCCTATGAATTTGTCGAGCTGGTTCACGGCAAAGAGGAAGCCGATGCCGTCTCGCTTCAGCACCGCCAACTGTTCCGACCCCGGTCCTCAACCGGCGAGCCCTCTCCCATGCCTCGGACCACAAGCCCCCCAGCCAGCCACGCCCAATCTTCTACCTCTGGGTTTGTGACCCCCCAGTCTGGAAACCAGTACGCATCTCAGACCAACTTCGCCAACATGCCCAATGCCCGTGTCACCCTTCCCAAATCCTTGGTTTACAACCAATCCTTTAATAAGATCCTTTGGTCTGCTGGCCTAGTCGCCTCCAAGAGTGAGGGTCACCGTGTCATTGTGAACAATGGTGCCTACGTGGGCAGCCGTCCAGGTGACAGTGGCCCTATGTCGGACGATCTTGCGTTTACTCCTATTCGCCCTTGGCCTGCCGAGAAGACCCAGGAGTACATCATTGGTGATAACCTTCTGATGCTCAAGCTTGGCAAGTGGAAGTTCAAGATGATTGAGATCATTAGCGACGAGGACTTCTGCGCCAAGGGGCTGACTGCACCTGGATGGGAGGAGGCCTCGGAATCGACTGAGTCGAAGCCGTGATTCTGATGGTGCTTTGTAAAGATGATGGATGATATCTCTACTTGTATTTTTAAACTTGGTGTAGCATTACCTATTGTACTATATGCATCTTGAGCCTCTTAAATTCTGTTCCAGTTTTATTTTTGACTTTACTCAAACAATGAGCTAGCAAAACAGCCAAATCGACCTGTCGAGTATGAACGTGGAGACGCCAAGACTTTTGCTGGGAACCACTCTACGCGTCGACGCGATCCGCGCTTTATCTCCTATCGTCTCCTGTCTCAGCCAACCTCTCCCCTGTCATCCGATCTCCCAGTCACACCTCGAGATCTACCGTGATGTACTGAGTATCCATACTATATTTGCACTTCAATTGATATTCAGAGTATACCGGTATCGAGGATAATCGACAATGGCCAAGGGTTCCGCCTCATCGCCGACTGCGACCCCACCAGCAGCTCTGAAGCGGACAACGTCGAGCACGCAGAACATGAAGAACCAAAAGTCAATTCTGGGATTCTTCCAGAAATCGTCACCGGCGACTCCGTCGAATGATAAACCTCGCGAACCCGCGTCGTCCCCAGCCCAGCGAGCCGGCGAGCAACGTGCGACCAACACCGTGAAACCTACGCCGAAGAGGAATTTCTCCAGCTTTGCTCAGGACTTGACCCCCGTGCCGAGTAGTGACCTTCCCATCCCCGAGGAAGATGAAGAAAATGGAGACAAGGTAAAAGTGCGTCTTATTCCCATTCTTTTCCCAACCTCTTGCCCGCTGACGTTTCTACTCCTTCACAGTCAGGACGCGACGAAATCGAGGACATCGCAATGTCTCCTTCACGACGAGTATGTCAACTCCATAAATAATTTTCCTATCAATCCTTGAAACTTATATTTTGTCTTTTAGGCCAAGAAGAAGCAAGTCAGCTACAAGGAGAGTGATTCCGAGGGTGAGGATGACGACGAGGTTATCTTCCGCCCCAGTCGCAAAAGCAATGCCAATGGACGCGCCGCCAAGCGCAGGAAGACTTCCCCCGAGAGTGAGGACGAGTTTAAGGAGGCAGAGGAAGCCGGATACTCGGATGATGGCAAGTCATCACCCCTCGCGAGGTTCGAAACACTGCTGACCGAGTACAGAAATGGACGACTTCATTGTGGCTGATGACTCTGATGAAGAAGTCGCTGCACCGAAGAAACGAAAGCGACCAGCTACCACACCGTCGCGAAAGAACTCGAACCGGGCCGCCTCTTCACCACCTCCCCCTCCAACCGACGAAGACCTCGACTTGGATATCCCCGAGGGCTCAGCTGGCACTGCAATGAAGTGGAAGTTCGACCCGGAAAGCACTGAACCTCGGAAGGAACGTGTGGTGCAAGCGACTACAAAGGCACCTGCTAGCGCAAAGAAAGAGAAGGCCCACACCAGAGAGCCTGAAGAGCGATACCCGTGGCTTGCAAACATCAAGGATATCGACGGCAACCCTCCAGGCCACCCTGACCATGACCCGCGCACCATCTATATCCCACCACTGGCCTGGTCGAAGTTCTCACCTTTCGAGAAGCAATACTGGGAGATCAAGCAGAAGTTCTGGGATACCGTGGTCTTTTTCAAGAAAGGCAAATTCTACGAGCTCTACGAGAACGATGCTACAATTGGTCACCAATTGTTTGACCTCAAGCTCACCGACAGAGTCAATATGCGCATGGTTGGTGTCCCCGAAATGAGTCTGTCTCACTGGGCAAATCAATTCGTTGCCAAGGGCTTCAAGATTGCTCGTGTTGACCAATCTGAGTCCGCTCTCGGCAAGGAAATGCGCGAGCGAGACGCCAAGAAAGGCGGAAAGGAAGATAAAATCATCAAGCGTGAACTCGCGTGTGTTCTCACTGCTGGCACTCTGGTGGAAGGGTCAATGTTACAGGATGATATGTCGACGTACTGTGTTGCCATCAAGGAAGCTATCGTGGACGACCGACCTGCGTTTGGTCTCGCCTTCGTTGATACGGCTACTGGCCAATTCTTCGTGTCGGAATTTGTTGACGACGTGGATATGACAAAGTTCGAGACCTTTGTTGCACAAACTCGCCCTCAGGAAATGCTGCTTGAGAAAGGATGTGTCTCGCAAAAGGCCATGCGCATTCTCAAAAACAACACAGGGCTTACCACTATCTGGAACTATCTCAAGCCGGCTAAAGAGTTTTGGGAAGCGGATATCACTGTGAAGGAACTTGATGCTAGCGAGTATTTCGTCTCTGAGGACGATGATAATGTTAAGGCCTGGCCCGAGGTCCTTCGTCAGGCACGGGAGAAAGAGTTGCTCATGTCTGCCTTTGGCGCTCTCACTCAGTATCTGCGAGTTCTGAAGATCGAGCGGGACCTGATAACCATCGGCAACTTCACGTGGTACGACCCTATCAAGAAAGCCTCTAGCCTGGTTCTGGACGGTCAGACCCTGATCAACATGGAAATCTTCGCAAACTCTTTTGATGGCGGTCAAGATGGCACTCTCTTCCAGCTGTTGAACCGGTGCATTACGCCCTTTGGAAAGCGAACTTTCAAGCAATGGGTCTGTCACCCATTGATGGACGCTAAGCGGATCAACGCTAGGCTGGATGCCGTTGATGCCTTGAATGCCGACCCGAGCACCCGTGACCAGTTCTCTTCGCAGTTGACCAAGATGCCTGATCTGGAACGGCTGATCTCTCGTGTTCATGCGGGTGTCTGCAAGGCCCAGGATTTCGTTCGGGTTCTTGAGGGGTTCGAACAAATTGAATATACTATGGGTCTTCTTAAGGACAGTGGCGCTGGTGAGGGTATCATCGGACAGCTGATTGAGGGGATGCCCGATCTGTCCCCGCTGCTTTCATACTGGAAGACTGCGTTTGATCGGTCCAAGGCCAAAGACAATGGGATCCTGGTCCCAGAGACCGGCGTCGAAGCCGATTTTGACAATTCCCAAGACACCATTGAACAGCTGCACAAGGAACTTGACAGCCTTCTAAAGAAGGCTCGCCGGGACCTAGGCTCCACTGCAATCTGCTACCGTGACAACGGAAAGGAGATTTATCAACTTGAGGTGCCTGTCAAGGTCAAAAACATTCCCAAGAACTGGGATCAGATGTCTGCCACGAAGCAGGTGAAGCGTTACTACTTCCCCGAACTACGCAGCCTGATCCGGAAATTGCAAGAAGCCCAGGAAACCCACGGCCAAATCGTGAAAGAAGTTGCTGGCAGATTCCATGCTCGATTCGATGAGCATTATGGTACATGGCTCGCTGCGGTTCGGGTTGTGTCGCAGCTGGATTGTCTGATAAGTCTAGCCAAGGCATCTGCTTCACTGGGCCAGCCCAGCTGCCGGCCAGTCTTTGTGGAAGATGAGCGGAGTGTTCTCGAATTTGAAGAACTACGGCATCCCTGTCTTCTTTCGTCTGTGGAAGACTTTATCCCTAACGATGTCCAGCTTGGTGGCAAGCATGCAAATATTGATTTGCTTACAGGTGCCAACGCTGCTGGAAAGTCCACCCTTCTGCGAATGGTATGTATCACGTCCATATTTCTCTACCCCATGACTATCTCTGACCATTTTTCAGACGTGTGTTGCTGTCATCATGGCCCAAATTGGCTGCTATCTTCCTTGCAAGTCTGCCCGTCTGACTCCCATCGACCGAATCATGTCCCGGTTGGGAGCCAATGACAACATCTTTGCCGCGCAATCAACATTCTTCGTTGAGCTATCCGAGACGAAGAAGATTCTGTCCGAAGCTACCCCGCGTTCCCTCGTCATCCTAGACGAACTTGGTCGTGGTACCAGTTCATATGACGGCGTTGCCGTCGCGCAAGCCGTCTTGCACCATATCGCCACTCATATTGGTGCAATGGGCTTCTTTGCTACACACTACCACTCTCTGGCTGCGGAGTTTGAGAATCACCCAGAAATTGCCCCCAAGCGTATGGCCATTCATGTCGACGATGCCGAGCGCCGTGTTACCTTCCTCTACAAATTAGAGAGCGGCGTTGCAGAGGGCAGTTTCGGTATGCACTGTGCGTCCATGTGTGGTATCTCGAACAAGGTCATCGAACGTGCGGAGGTTGCGGCTCAGCAGTGGGAGCACACCAGTCGGCTCAAGGAGAGTCTTGAGCGTCAGAAGGGCGGTGGCTTCATCGGCCTGGGATGGTGGAGTGACGTCGCATGGGCACTGCGCGAGTCCACTGCGGAAGATGATGAGGAAGCCGGTGGCGTCACGGATCGGGGCCTGGAGGTCTTGCTTAAGGCTATTGAAGCTCTGTAGTGATATACTAGGTTGGTATACCTAGGTGCGATTTGTTGATTTTGTGTGTGACAGTTCCGACTACCAGTCATGTGTTACTTTATTTATCTTATATCTCGGGTTAAGAGGCGTTCTTGAACTGTCTCTCTAAGTCTAATGTGGGAAGTGCTACTCCTGGATTTGTCTATCATTAAAAATGCTTTTCTTTGTTAGCCTAGGAAACATTTCTCATTGTCAATGTATTCCTACGGGTCAATTGGACCTCCCATTATCGTTATAGGGTTCCTGATATATTGAACCTCAACATCAAAGTAATCTTGACTTCATGATTGCCATTTTGAGGCTCATTTGTCGTTGAGCCTTCTTCTCAACGGTATTAATCGTGACCTTGAAAGTGATCTATTGTCAACCAGATAGAGGACCTGTAACCGTACCTAGCTATAAAAAGCAGACTCGTGCGTGTAGCCAATCTTTCCTCTTAGCATGCTGAAGAGGCTATGTATGCTGAGCTTGGGGCATAGGGTCCTAGAGGTCTCTCTATTCAGCAAGCGCAGAGTTCCTGATTTTACAGCATACAATTCTTGAAGACATGATGACGATGCTAGCGGCTTCTATTTCGTATTTCATTTAGAATGGGAAATATCACCCTAACTCGGCCTAGGAAGGATGTTTTCCTCTTGCCTACACTAGAACCTACATGTCTCCTATAGTAATCTTCTATGGCGGTCTTTGGATTTAACAAGGCTATTGTAATTCTGTAAAGTGTTACAGTTCCTTGCAGTCTAAGTTGTACCCACGTATCACCTGCCTGCAATGCATCTTTAGCCTTGTCGATTCCGAGCTCGTTAGGGGCAACCCACTAAATTTTAAAAGATCTCTCTGATAGTGGTGTCTCTCATATTGTGTTTGCTCCCTTGTTAGTGATGAAGATAAATTAGTAGATAAAGAAGGTCAAGATAATAGATAAGCTGTACTACAGATGACATATTGAACCTCTATATCATCAACAGAATCAAAGCTATCTATACCTATTGTCTTAACACACTAAGATCAGTTTCTGGAGGTAAAGTGACGCCATATTATCTCACTAGCCATTCTTAATCTCCAGAAGAGGCTAGTCCTACCTATACACCCGTTCACTCACGATATACCTCGATGGTTAGATATAACCTCACGGACTGTCCCGGTAAGTTGAATATCAATCTTCCTCCTTTTTCCTCGTTATCGATCTTCTATCCGCTTCTGTTTCCACTAGGCAATACTCGGCCATCGCCGCCTACTTATTTTTGTATCTAATGTCTCACCTATATAAGCTGCCATCACACATCGACAAACTTCCTCTTCTCCCAATCACAACTTCTTCCCTACATCAACCTCCAACACAGCACGCACTCCACAACGATACACGCTTCTGTCAACCATAACTTCTTCCTTATATCCATTTACCAAACAACACACACTCTTCACTCACTCACATTTTCTTCCCTACACCTATCTCCGCAACATACTTATTGACAAACTCCCTCTTTCCTCCCTCTATCTCACAACACAACACACCTTCTACACCAACACCCACTCGACAACCACACACTCTCTCTAACCTCACTCTACAATTCGAATCGACCTACAACATCCTGCACCATGCCTTCCTCCAAGTCCTCCCCTTCCGCTCGCCAAGCCGGGCATACACTTGGCCTGACCCCCAGTGAGGTCCGCCTCCTGCTGCTGGCCCACCTCTGCATGGACGAGGCGACTGGCAAGGTACGTACTCCTGATGGCTCAACCAATACCCAATCCTACTGTGATCTTTTAGGAAAGGCTTAACTAACTTCACCGATTTTTCAATCCATTACAGGTCCAGGCCGAGAAGCTTGCAGTCCGTGCCAGCCTTACCGTCTCCTCGGCCCGAACTATGTATCGGGCCGCGCGTGCGAAGCTGGCGCGGCTGAATCCCGAGCCGGAAGCCAGCGCTGGCAGCCCAGATGATGCCGGCGCATCTAGCGATGGAACCCCTGCTCGTCCCCGCCGTGGTCGTCCTCGCAAGTCCGAGGTGTCCAATGCAGCCGCCACTACTGAGCCACAGGCCAGTGAGGACTAGGCTAAGGTGGACGGGCTTGTGGTTATCACAGATAAGGATGAGACTTAAGCGCTGTTGATAGGCTAGAAGGATTTAAGGCGTTTGTTACCGTTTCTTCTTTTTCATTGGTGGCTTTCGAGGTGGTCTGCATAGCTGCTAACAGATCCCAATATTTATGCATGCTTAGTAGCATCCTTCCAGTGCTGGCTTCTTGACTTTCTGTTTTTCCTTTCTTTTTGCGATTTCTTTTGTACAGGAATAGCATACCCTCCGATTTCGGTCGATGTTCATATGACATCAATACAAGATATCCCACAGGGGGGTTTCCATATAACTTTGTCGGACTGCTGGCTTCCATTATTTTGATTCATTGTGTTCAGACATTCGTCAGTAGATAGGAAGGTTGCTATTATACATTCGGTAAAGATATCAACAACACAATCATTTCATCGTCGCTGCGCTACTTGGCTTTGTATCCTTTTATAGATATCCGGCCAAAGCTCAGGATAAAACGCTGTGGATTGCCTCCCCGGTTGACTCTGATCAGCCGCAAAAAACTGTGTCGTAGGTCTACCCATCCACCAAGACCGGGGTGCAGGATTCACATTCCGGAAAGTGACAGGCCGGAACGGACTTTTATCAGGCATGATATCTCCCAGACGGACGGCGGTCTGTCGGGGAATTGCATTGAACCTTGTTGTCGTAAGGATCAATGTAGCTGTGGGTGGTAGTTCTTTCGCGTAGTGCATAGCCGTCTCGCGGGATTTCCTTGCGAATGCGGGGAGTGCGAGGTGAATGAAGCTAACGTAGGGTGCAGAGGTATAGGCGACGAAGAGCATTGGCAGTGCGCCACCTGTAATCACTATTGAGGGGAGGATGTTAATAAAGAAAGTCTTTCTCGAGGTTGATTCGGAAGATCGACATACCCAATGGTGTAATGTACCATGCGTTCTCAGCATTGTAACAAGACGGTGCGATGATCAAGCAAGCTCCGCCAAAGAGAAGAATTGTAGTCACCCGCAATATGCCTAGGAACATGGACCGGCCAGTTCCACCATAGTAGACCAATATGCGCTCCGGGGGTCCTATGGTTCAATTAGTATATGATTGTGCAAGCGAGCAGGGCTCCAATACCTCTCCGAGTGCTTAATTTAGCGGCAGCGCCTGCAGGGGAGGAAGTTCGTGTCGTCGCAGCACTCAAATCTTTCGGTGCGGGCGGAGCTGATTCATGGCGACGAGATGGCCGGGGGACCTGCGATTTGAACCGGGTCCATACTCGAGCTCGAACAGCTCTTTGGACAGACTTTGGAAGCGCGGTGCGCAATTGTGGGTGGAAAAGGATTCGCATGATTGTCGCAAATGTCGGCGATGCGCTCAGAGGTTTCGAGCTTGTCCGAAGATCGCGCCAAATCGCCGGCCGTGACCGCCTTGGGGAACCGCTTTGTTTCACGACAGGGACCGCTTTCTTTGACGATTACACTTATTCCTGAGGTCATACTCGGGCATGCCTAGCTGGCCTGGGTGTCAAGTGGATCATTAATGCGACTTGCAGAGTCATGAGCCGATAGTCACTCGCTACGACGCCATGTCTACGGCTTACTGCGACCTCCGCGGCCTTCGTGGCCACTTGCTCTATCTATGTCTCGGCTTACTACTGCTTGTGATCCCCGGAGAGGCTTACGAGAAACTTTCAGACGACACCCTGAAAGCACTTCCACGACCGAGTCAGGATTTCGACATTCACAGCGGTGCGCTATTCTCGCCGATCCTACAACCTCGCGTCCCTGGCACCGCTGGCCATACGGCGGTCCTCGAGCACTTTGCGGACTTCTTCAGGACAACATTGCCTGAATGGGAGATTGAATTCCAAAATTCCACCTCGAAAACCCCGGTGTCACACGGAAAGGATGTTCCTTTCATCAACTTTATCGCATACCGCGATCCACCAGAGGCTCCAAAGGGAGATGTTGGCCGATTGACATTGGTTGCCCATTATGATAGTAAATTGGAGCCGGAAGGGTTCATCGGAGCTATCGACAGTGCTGCGCCATGCGCGATGATCATGCACGCTATGCGCAGCATTGACTCTGCCTTGGAGAAGAAATGGGCGGCAATGAAAGATCAAGGCATGGATTTTGTGGAGGAACACCATGGAATCCAGGTCCTCTTCCTTGATGGAGAAGAGGCATTCAAGGAATGGTCCACTGAAGACTCATTATACGGTGCTCGCGCGCTCGCTGAAAACTGGGACACTCAGATGAACCCGGCTATGTCCACATTCAAGACGCCACTATCCTCGATATCCCTATTCGTTCTATTGGATCTTCTTGGTGCAAAGAATCCTAATATTCAATCATATTACCCCACAACTCACTGGGCGTATCAAGGCCTTGGTTCGCTCGAAAAACGTCTCCGAAGTCTTGGAAAATTGAAGTCCACGTCGACTGACCCGTGGTTTATTGATACACCAAAGGACTCACACCAAGTCATGGCATTCGGCGGGATCCAGGATGACCACCTACCCTTCCTGGCGAGAGGAGTGGAGATCCTTCATCTCATTGACTTTGCGCCCTTCAAGGGCTTCCCGTCAGTGTGGCATACAGTCGATGACGATGCCGAGCACCTGGATATGGATACAGTGAAAGACTGGAGCGTTTTAATGACTGCATTCGCTGCGGAGTGGATGGAGCTAGAAGGATTCCTTGATCACAAGGACAATGTGCGGCGTGAAGCGGGCCTGGATGAGTCGGAGGAGGAGGCTATCCGGCTGAACAAGAAGACCGAGTTGTAAGCTACTCCGCTCATATTTGTTTCCACTTGGTTTGTCTATACGATTTACTTGCACATATTGTATTCTATATACTCAATCCACTTTCAAGATCCCCCCACTCCTCGTGTTTATTCTGAATACATGGACCTGTCTCCAGCGTTGTGGACCCATGCTGATCTAGCTTTGCAAAACAGTGTATAAATTAGTCGTCAATTTCATACCGGACACAGCGCCATTGGGTGGCTTTCTATCATATATTTACAATGCATCCCTCTATGTGTTACAAATCCGTATCTCCCGCAATCCATCTAGAACAAATTCCCCAACATGTATCCGGTCATTGTCGCCAGTCCCCAGGTTGGCTGCAGGACCGAGCGCAGAATTCCCGGACCGGGACAGACTCCTTGGAGACCCCAAGCAATACCAAAGGCGACCGAACCAGCCACGAAGCGCCAGTCGATATCAGCCACGGTGGCCGTGGGCAGCCGCCATTTCTCAGCCAGCGTAGGCTTTGCGGGTTCATGCTCTTTCTCCGACGTCTGACCCGGCTTATGAGTCAAGAAAGTAATCAAGGACGGACCAATTCCGAACAGAATGATCAGGGCCAATGACGGATCCCAGCGAGAGGAGTCACTCAAGATGGCGAAGAAGCGCAGAACCTTGGCGGAGTCGGCCATACCGGAGATCAGCAGACCGAGACCAAACTCGAGTCCGGCAAGATAAGCAAAGAGAGTCCTGTGTTCCTTTGATCGTTGCAGCGCTTTCGGAACGATGATGAAGTTCGTGATGGTTGATAGAAACAGCGAACCAGCCATGAAGACCATCTCCGGTGACGATGGGTACACTGGCGTGTAGCAGGGGAGATCACCACAAGAGGGAATATTGGAGCCTCCCGAGACGACATTCGCTGTGATCAGGGCGGTCGTGAAGAAGAGGGCTGTTGAGATCAACGAGCGTGGCGAGAGGCGGGAAAGACCACAGAGCATATGGCCCGAAGTGCAGCCGCGGCCGTTCTAAAAGAGACAACGAGGTACTAGTCAGCTTTTCCTTCCATGTTCAAGTGTTTATTATACTGGATAGCAGCGTCCTACCTTTGTTCCCCAGCCTAGTAGGATGCCCACACCCACTGTTGCCACGGCGGAGGCCAAGGTCTGTGGAGCGGCAGGGTAGTTTGGGATCAACGACGGCGCCAGGAAGTACACTGGCAACACGCTGGAGATTATACCCGCGATAATTGGGACATTGTCTTGGGTTGGATTGAAGACTGATCCGGATAGGAGTGATGAGATGCCGAAGACTGCTCCGTTATGGACGAGTAGCCCAGACGAGCCCTGGAAGAGCAATAAAGCGCCGAGAGAGGTGTGTATGGGGGTGAACATTGTCTTGATGGGTGACGTTGAACTCTCGTGGCCGAATAAAGTTTATTCGACGGTTGATTGAACGATTGATGACGCACGCCGCGCAATTACAAAAGGGGGTGTTGCTTTGGCGAGATGTGTAGTTGATATACAGACCCAAGTGTCAACGGAGTATGATTGCCAAGAAGCCGATTAGTCCGAGAGCCCGCGCAAGGGTTCTCTTCGCGGATTGAGCAAATAGACTTTGCGTATTCGCAATTTCCTGAACAGAATTAAAAAGATTGCCGCATTCGGGGACCACATCCGCACGGGTTTGGTCCCCGAGCCCGATGCCTTTATACTCCCCGAAGGATGAGAAGTGGAGATTCTGGTAGGAAGGAGTTATTGGCGTAGAACAGATAACACGAGTCAAACAAAGGACAGTAAGGTTGATCAGTTGCAATCTCAATCTAATAAGCAGGAAGGCTTGTTTGTGATTCTTGTTATACTCCGTCAGGCGCCATGCGTGGTTGTGTTTCTGGCCAAGCCCCAGCGGAAGTCCGGGGAACTATACGAGCGAGACGAGTCCGCAGTACTTATCCAGACTCCGTATCCAGGGACCATGGACGATGCTCACAACAGTCAACAGTTAATTGACCCCAGTATCATCGCTAGTCCGTTAATTTGAGATCACCAATTTCCTGCTGGCCGGCACGTCTAAAATGGATTCTGAGGAGTTGTCGCATTCCTCGCGACTTCCGTTGTTGTGGCTGCCACCCTTCCTTCTACCTCACCTCAACTCTTCGCGTTCAGAGAAGCCTTCTCCCCGGAGAAACTAATCTGAATGCCATCAACGCCCTCGCGGCTACGGGGCGCGTGCTGAAGATGGGACAAGGTCAAAGTATCCCCGGTCACGACTGCCTACTCGCAGCAGTCGGTTACAACTCGAATCTCGTGGCTTTCCAAGGCGACGCCTTCTTTCACTTCCGGGCGCCACCGGTTTACAACCTAGACCATCCAGTGACTCCAATTGCGGTCACTTTTCCAGAGAACTCGGAGCAGATCGCCAGCATCGTTCAATGTGCCGCAAACAATGGTTACAAAGTCCAGCCGCGTAGTGGCGGTCATAGCTACGGCAACTACGGTATGTGATCCGTCACTGGCGAGTTCAACCAAGGCAATCTCACATCATCTGATCCATCATCATATACCAGGTCTGGGAGGAATTGATGGCGAAGTGGTCGTCGACTTGAAGAATCTTCAGGATTTCTCAATTGATCCCATTACGCAGATCGCCACCGTAGGTTCGGGGACCTTGCTTGGAGATCTTCACTCGCGACTTTACAACGCCGGTCACAGAGCTGTGGCACACGGCGCATGTCTCAATGTTGGCACGGGTGGCCACTTTACGATTGGCGGGCTTGGTACAATGTCACGACAATGGGGGATGGCTCTCGACCATATCAGAGAAGCTGAAGTGGTGCTTGCAAATGGAACCATCATCAATGCAGCACCCTCCCAGAATGCAGATGTTCTGTTCGCCATTAAGGGTGCCGCTGCGAGTTTTGGTATCGTCACCAAATTCAAGCTTCAGACTCATCCAGCACCCACACAAGCCGTGCAGTATTCATACACCCTCAACACAGGGACCACCGCAGAGAGAGCTCAGCTTTTCAAGGACTGGCAGCGGTTCATCTTTACCAAGAACCTTACCCGCCGAGTCTCGAGTGAGCTCGTTGTGTTCGAGTCCGGGATCCTGCTTTCGGGAACGTTCTTTGGGTCACGCGATGAGTGGAAGACCTTGGAAAGAGAGATGAACTTCCCGGCTGCGGATAAAGGAAGCATCATTGTGCTGACGGATTGGCTGGGTATGATTGCGAGTCAAGCCGAAGACCTCATCTTTCAGGTTGTCGGGGGTATCCCCTGTGCGTTCTATGCAAAGTCCATGTCTTTCACGGATACAATCCCGGACGGAAACATAGATTCCCTCTTTAAGTACCTCGACTCGACCACCAAGGGTACACCGGCCTGGTTCATCATCTTCGATCTGGAAGCAGGTGCCACTAACGACGTGCCCATGAATGCCACGGCTTACGCGCATCGCGAGACAATCATGTGGATGCAGTCCTACGCGGTCAGCCTCCTGGGGCCCGTCTCACAGACCACTAAGGGATTTCTGAATGAGATCAGCAATGTGGTCTCTGCCTCTCGTCCAGGTGCCTTCTACGGCGCGTATCCCGGCTATGTCGATCCCTTGCTCGAAAATGCCCAGCAAGCCTATTGGGGGTCGAATCTTCCGAGATTGCAGAACATCAAGGTTCAGATTGACCCGAATGATATTTTCCACAATCCACAAAGCGTTCAGATCCTCCCAGATCATCTTTGAGATGCATTGATAGAGAGGGTGTTTTGGGGCGACGATATGGTGGCACGCAAACGAATGACGTCAGCCGGCTTTTGCATCAATATTTGGCATTTTTTGGAGTTTTGCGCGTTTGCGGCCAATTTCTTAGTATTTGATACCCCACGGCATGAATAAAGAAAGGTGATTGATTCCTCAGAAATATGATTAGCACAACAAAGATATATTTTCTGCCCTTGCAGCTTCATAGTTAAGGTTATGTAACTAGCCTGGTAGCGCTTGAATGAGTAAGCTGCATCTCTCTCCCGACAAGACCTATCACCCCGTAGATTATAGTCATTGTTGGTTTGTTCCACCAGATACTTTATGAATATCTTCCAGTTTCACCACTTTGATTAAGCTTATTCCCTGGTATCATATCTTCTTCCACCATTGAATCTCCAGATGGACTCGGACTCTGTTCGAAATGAAACGTTCCTGGAGCACGGACAACGAGGCAGAGGAGCTTGCCTTCAACGCACACCCAGCAAGACGACTAACACCACCGCTTGTCTCGAGCTTAAAGACATCAGTCTCCCCACCACCAACGAGGAAAACTATCTCCAAAAAACACTCTCATGAGCTGGCCTCTATTGAAGCAGGAGAAGTCGAAGTCACAGATCACCTTGAGGTCATTTCAACCAAACTCAGCCAACACATTCGACCTCGGGATATCTCGCAACCAACACCACGCTTGACGATCCCTGAATACGTTGATTTGTATCGGCATAATAGCCATCCCACGGGTCGCCACTTTGTCATCCATCAGCATGACCATCCCATCGCCGGACCGCACTATGATCTTCGACTTCAATTCTCCGAAACGAGTTCTGTGTCGTGGTCTATTATGTATGGCCTGCCTGGGGATCCGAATAGTGAGAAGTTGAACAGGAATGCAACCGAGACTCGGGTTCATTGTCTTTGGGTATGATGGTCGCCTCGTCCTCTGGATATATATGGGGGAAATTTATAAATGCTGATGTGGAGGTAGAATCATCTTATGGAGACTGCGTCATCCAGGACCGGGAGCTTGATTATTTGGGATACTGGAGAGTATGAAGTTTTGCCTTATATGAAAGATGTTTCGTGCCCACAGACCGATGAGTCGAGATCGGATTCTTCTGATGCGGAAGATTCACATCGAGAATCGATCTCAGATAGTGCGAAACTACAAGAGGCTTTTAAAAATGTGAGTTCAGACAACAACTATATGCGCTCGCGTTGATATCAAGTTCGCTAATATGGGGATTTATAGCGCAAAATCCGACTTCGCCTTCATGGTACCCGTCTACCGACGGGGTATACCCTACTCTTGCGCATGGACAAGACAACAGACTATGCGCGTCCAGCACAAAAAGGCCCAAAACGCAGGAGGCGTGCTTTACAATCAACTACAAAACCACCCCCGCCACCACCGTCTACCTCCAGTTCAGGCTCCCCATCACCCCCGCCACCAGACAAATTACAAAACCAAGAAATTACCGATGACCAGCAACTACCAGCGCAAGAGTCCAAATCCGAATCCGATCATGCAAATCATTCCGACAATGATACCGATTATCAGATCCGGAAAAATAATGCATACCCCGGATCTACGAACACGATCGGCTCCATTCACCAACGGAGATGGTATCTCAGCCTGGATCGCGAGAGTTCTGGATTTGAACCTAGAAGAGTGTCTACTGGAGATGGGGGGTTGAAAAGAATCTGGGTTCGATGCAGTGATGGCTCGGCTGGAGGGGTGAGGGGATTCGAACCGTTTTATGTGCGTGGACCTGGTGTTGAGCGGAGTGTTGTTACTGGTCGTTTGGGGGAGGAGGTTCTTGCGGATGAAGGGGTGCAAGGGTTTGTGGCGAGGAAAGGGTGGAGGGCTGTTTTGCGGTAGAGTTATGGTTATTTGCAATTTGTGTTATCTGATGATAGGTAGATCATGATTTTGCGTCTGTAGGTAACGGGTCAACGTTCACAGGGATGAACGAAGACAGTCATCCCTGTAGTCCGCCGTAACTAGATGACTAGTTATTAGACACGCGAGATAAGCAGAAAACGACCCAAATAAACGAGGGCCTTCAGCCCCAGCTTTGGCCCCCGCAGATTATCATGGAATATAGTTAGTTATTCTTGAGAAGCATGACTCACTATTATTACTGGATGCTAACTAACTAACTAATATTAGCCAGAGCCCACACGTAAGCTCAAGTAGTCCTGTCAGCATGACCTGAAGCAGGTCGGTGGCCTGCCAAACAAGGCCGACCGAACAAACTACAACCATTCCCACAATGATAACCTCAGGATATTCCTCTATCATGATTTCCACTCTCGATTCTTCAATAGCTCCTCCCGAGTTCTTCACCTCCACTCTTCCACACCGATCCTCTGCATTGTACCTCGATCGAGCTCCACCCAGCCACAGTTGCCTCGCAAGCTTCACGACAGATATGTACAAATATGCACACTATGGTTCCACACCACCCCCACTCAAGTACTAGACCAGGCCTAGCCTCCCAAGCATGGGCGCGCCACTCGAGTCTTGAACACGGCTTTCCCGCCATTCCCCTCCTCACGGACTCGCCCAAAACGGTTCCCGCCTATCGGGGCCCCGACTGGGTTAAGATGCGACAGTATGCAGCCCACTGGACCCCGTGAGTCATCATCACTCATTTTGCCTGCCAATGGCGACTGTCTCCGGAGGACTACTTCGTAGGTACTGCTCTCTACACCGATCATTCGACTGCCGTTCGACTTCCTAGACCGCCGGGTGGCTGGACGCCGCGCGCGATTGCCCCTAGCAAAGGGAGAAATGTGCTGGGAGCTGCATTGACGCAGTATCGTTTATGGATTGGAGCTATAATCATGTGTCACCGAATATTGGGGAACCAAACTCGAGTACCTCTCATCGAATTTTCAAGATCTGGCAAAATACGAGCCCTGCAAAATCGGGGGGTTGACTCACGATTTCGCCATAGCAAATCAGCAAATCAACAAATCAGCTTTTATCATCAACTGCGAGTAGCAGCTTGCGAACCAGGGGGGGAGGGGCGAAACGCCTTTCCCCGCTCTGCGCGTGTGGATGTGACCTTGCGCTTTGCACTTAACTTGTTCAGAAGTAAATGTCGATGACCAGGACCCGCTCCAGAGGACTTGACTTAACGCCTCCATTATTCTGGGACTCGAAGGATGACTGACCACCGAGGACCGTGATAAGGTGGGAAGCACGTACTACCTATTATTATATATTATAATTATTATTATTATGCTCGAATGATCCACCCCCTTCTGTTCCTCTTCCTTTCTTCTGTTTTTCGCTCTCTTCTCATCCCCTCTCGTACGCGGTGACATGAGGAATGCCTCTTAACGTGCAGGTTGCGTCTCTAGTGGCCGGGGTCGTCGCTGTGTTCCTAGCGGGCCTGGATAGTATCCCTGCTGTCAAAAGTATCACCGATCGGATCGCACGTAGATCCTCGCTCCAGGATGAGACCAGTTTCGCCAAAACCGCCTATCGCGATGAGGACGGGGAGGCTTCGCCGGAATCGCTGAAGGTATTTTCAGATCGGTGGCAACGAGTCGCGATTGCGGTTTTCTCCGGCAGTGGATTCGTCGTTACGCTCGCTTTGGCCGTTCTCACCACGTTAAACTATGAGACCGACTATTTGATTCTGGCCTGGCTTCAACTGGGGATTTGGGTATGTGCAAGAGACTGTGCTGAGATCTCTTCAATCTCGGTAAAATTTGATTGACTGGGAATCACTTTTTAGGCCTTCCTTTCTGTTCAAGCTATTGCGTTCTTCACCGAACCTCGCCCAACGAGTCGATTCGTGCTGGGTCAATTTGCTTTCGGTGGCAGTTTGACTGCCCTTGCCGTTACTGGTATTCAGATCCGACTGGCATGGGACTCTCAAAATGTCATGCTTCGCGAGCAGCCATGGATCACTCTGGTCGCAGCCCAGCTTGCCACTGCGCTTCTGCGTGCACTATTCACCATTCTTCTGCCACGCCGGCCTGACGTCTTCTTCGAAGGTAAAATCGTTGACCGGGAGCTTACAGTATCGGCCTTTGGCCGTTATACGTTTTCCTGGGCTGGAAACATTCTCGGCTATGCTGTCAAGCACCGGACGCTCGCACTTAGCGACCTCCCAAAGCTCCGGTCGGCAAAGCGTGCAGAAAGCCTTCGCGCGCATTTTGAACATGCCAAAGGATCGCGCAAGATTTGGAAGGCTCTCGTCTACGCGCACTGGGATTCGCTGCTGTTTCAACTTTTCCTGACCATGGTTATCAGCATCCTGAGCTTCGGACCTCAGATGGCTCTCTATAACATCCTTAGTTCACTGGAGACTCGTGGAACAGACTTATTCAATCCGCTTCAAATGGCACTTTGGGTTCTTGCACTTGGTGGCTTAATGTTGCTTCATTCGACTTTCGAGGCGTGGCTGTTCTGGGCTGTCTGCTCTAAGCTCTTTGTCCCGATATATGCAGAACTGTCAGCTGTCGTTTTTGCCAAGTCTATGCGCCGCAAAGACGCCAAGAATACGAAAAAGTCCAAAAACAAGGACGAGCAAAAGGAACCCGCCAAAGCGGTGCTTAAGGAACAGGATGGTGATGAGGAGGAAGACGACGAAGCTTCGCTCAAAAAGAGCCGACAAAGCATTATTAACCTTGCAGCAGTGGATGCGAGACGTATCTCGGATTTTACTTCTTACGCTTACCTGATTCCATTTGCCAGTCTGAAAGTGATTATCGGCTGCAGCTTTTTGGTCAAAATCCTTGGGTGGCGGAGTGCTCTGGCTGGAATTGCCGTGTCACTGCTCGTCACCCCGCTAAACATATTCGCAGCGAAGAAATATACCGGCTCACAAGATAAGCTCATGAAGCTTCGAGACCAGAAAATGGCTATCGTCACAGAGGTCCTTCAAGGAATTCGTCAAATCAAGTTTTCCGCCTTGGAAGCGGAATGGCAAAAGAAGATTGGCCAAGCTCGAGACGCAGAGCTGGGAGCCTTGTGGATCTCGTTCCTTTATGATATCGTTCTTTTGGGTATCTGGATCCTTGGGCCCATCGGCCTTTCTGCTATCTCCCTCGCTGTTTATGCGTTGCTCAATGGCGGGCTAACTGCCTCTGTTGCATTCACTGCAATGGCCGTCTTTGGTGCCTTGGAGATGTCTCTAGCTATTTTGCCCGAGATCATTTCCAACGGCCTGGAGGCCAAGGTCAGCGCGGACCGTATTGATGTGTACATGGACTCAGCGGAGAAGATTGTCAACACCGTGGATTCTGACAGCATTTCCTTCGAAGATGTCTCTGTGGGTTGGCCGGTAGACAAGGCAGAAGACGAAGAGGAGGATGAAGATCGTTTCCTCCTGCGGGAGCTGAATCTCGCTCTCCCTAAGAAGGGCCTCAGTGTAATTTCCGGACGGACTGGTTCTGGAAAAAGTCTGCTTCTCGCGTCCATTCTGGGTGAATGTGATGTCATCCAGGGAACCATCAGAGTTCCTGTTCCACCTCCTATCAAAGAACGCTTCGACCACCTGGCCACCAGCGCGAATTGGATTATCGACTCGGCTATTGCATATGTTGCGCAAATTCCATGGATTGAGAATGCTACCATCAAAGATAATATCCTATTTGGCTTGCCTTACAATGAGGAGCGTTATCAGAAGACCCTCTTCGCATGCGCCTTGCAGAAGGATCTGGAGATGATGCCTGATGGTGAACTAACGGATATCGGCGCAAACGGCGTCAACCTGAGTGGTGGCCAGCGGTGGCGAGTATCATTTGCTCGTGCATTGTACTCGAGGGCGGGCATACTCGTGATGGATGATATCTTTAGTGCCTTGGATGCCCACACTGGCCGCCACGTTTTTGAGCATGCTCTAACAGGCGAGCTTGGCCAGGGCCGGACTCGAGTCCTTGTTACTCACCACGTTGCACTGTGTCTCCCGAAGACCGATTATTCCGTGCTTCTAGAAAACGGATGCGTCAAGTACGCGGGAACCGTCGAGGATCTCCGAAAGGAAAACCACTTGAATGATATTCTCCAGGAAGAGAGTGAAGCGACGGAGGTAGATCAAAATGCACCAACCGAGGAGGAGGCAGCCCTTAACCCTGAGGAGACCACTCTCCAGAAAGTCATCTCAAACACATCCCGTCGGCGACCAAGTCACTCACAGAATGAGACTACAGCGAAGGCTGCACCACCTAAGAAGTTCATCGAGGACGAGCAGCGAGAAGTTGGCTCTGTCCGGCTCTCGGTTTACGCGAGTTACTTTTCGATGGGTGGTCATATCGTTCTCTGGCTGATCACGATACTTGTGTATTTAAGTTATTCCAGCCTGATGATCGGACGGGTAAGTCTGGAACCAACTCCACTCGAGAATTATTCTCTAACGGTTTACGATAGTCTTGGTGGATCAATGTCTGGACCAGGTCATCGTCCAGCACTCAGGTCCATCCAGAACAATTTTCTGCCCTGCTGCAACATAGCATGTCTACGCAGTCAGCTGAAGAGGAAGATAATCTGCAGTGGTGCCTTGGCATTTATGTCGGAATCTCCGTTCTCGCTTGCATGATCGGCACGGCCCGTTTCTATTTCATCCTCTCAGCAAGCGTCCGCGCCTCTAGAAATCTATTCAACCGCCTCACATATGCCATCCTACGTGCACCACTGCGGTGGTTGGATACAGTTCCCCTTGGGCGTATCCTCAACCGATTTACATCCGATTTCCACATGATCGACTCTCGTATCGGCTATGAGATGGGCTTTTTCTGCTCCCAGGTATTGGAAGTGTGCGGTATCTTGGTTGCCGGAGTGCTCGTCTCTCCTTTAGTACTGGTTCTAGCGGGAATCCTGTTTGTGATTTGCATGAAGCTTTCCATGACCTACTTGGCAGGTGCACGAGAAATCAAGCGCTTGGAGAGTACTGCGAAGAGTCCCGTGTTCGAACAATTCGGATCCAGCCTGGCTGGTTTGGTCACGATTCGCGCTTTCAGTAAGAGTGAAACTTTTATCGAGGTCATCTACAGCAAGATCAATGCTCATGCCCAAGCATGGTGGACGATGTGGCTTTTCAACAGATGGCTTGGTATTCGTATGAATCTTGTTGGCGCGGTGTTCTCGACTATGACGGCTGCTCTGGTGGTTTCTCTGCCTGGAATTTCGGCTTCGCTTGCTGGATTTGCGCTCAGCTTTGCGCTTCAGTGTAATACTGCGATTGCTTTTACTCTTCGACAGTATGCTAACATCGAACTCAACATGAATGCTACCGAGCGTGTCATTGAGTATTCGAAGATCGAGCTTGAGAACCAGGGAGGCGTTGATGCACCCGCTGCTTGGCCCACAGAGGGTCGTTTGGAGGTCAATGACCTTGTGGTTGGATACGCACCAGACCTGCCGCCAGTTCTCAAGGGACTCACCTTCACAGTTGAGAAGAACCAGCGTGTTGGTGTGGTCGGTCGTACTGGCGCGGGCAAGTCGTCATTGACTCTGGCTCTCTTCCGATTCCTGGAAGCCCGCCAGGGTCAGATTCTCATCGATGGCCTTGATGTATCAAAGATCACGCTCCACGATCTCCGGAGTCGTCTTGCCATCATTCCGCAAGATCCTGTCCTCTTCTCTGGTACCGTCCGGTCCAACCTCGATCCCTTCGACGAGTACAATAACACCGAGCTGAAGGACGCGTTGGCCCGCGTGCACCTAATCTCCAGCCCCGTCGAGGACGATGAGGCAACCCTGACCTCCCAAGCTGCGACGCCGCCGCAGTCTACTGTTAATGGTGCAACCACGCCTGATACAGCGACCGCACAGCAGGCTAACACAAACGTATTCACGTCCCTGTCCGCTCCCATCTCAGAGGGCGGTCTCAATCTCTCCCAGGGGCAACGGCAGCTCCTTTGTCTCGCCCGTGCCATCGTCTCTCGGCCCAAGCTCATGGTGTTGGACGAGGCCACTTCTGCAGTGGACATGGAGACCGACGCGTTGATCCAGCAGTCCATCCGCGCGGAATTCGGTCGTAACGCGACAACACTGCTCGTTATTGCCCATCGTCTCAGCACTATTGCTGACTTTGATCGTATCCTGGTTATGGATGCAGGCAAGGCGGTCGAATTTGGACCTCCAAAGGATCTGATGGGGATTGAGAATGGCGTGTTCAAAAATTTGGTGGACAACAGCGGCGAGAAGGCTGTTTTGGAGAAAATGATTTTCGGTGAGCAGTAAAAGCTTGGATTTTCTTCGTTTTCTTTTGCGAGTTCATATATTTTCTTGTTCAAATTGTATAGAAAGCATACAAAGTGTGATTATATCGCGAGACGCGGGAAAGCTACTGGGGAGGAACTAAAGATTGCGTGGGACGTTGGGTTACATTGGGAATGACATAAATTGAATCGAGTATCGGAAACGAGATCATTTTCTAAGTATAGAACTATGTTCATAGAGAAAGAGAGAGGTGCGTGTCATCACGGTATGGAGAGTCTGCAGACCGGCCCAGTCCCATTCCACGACCCAACTCCCATCCTCGGATTATCACAAAGCCCACGGTCCAGCCAGTGGGAAACTCCTTCAAGTTGAAAATGGGTCAGAGATGCCTTCATCGCGTCCGTAATTTAACAAGGTTGGTGTGCCGAACGCATAGTTCATTCTCCCTCCATCCCGAGTCAAGCAGCCCTTAAGCCCCCAAAAGAGGGAGAGCCACAAGTCTCAGGGAGGAGAGATTAATCATAAAGAACACACTAGGCTTTCATCATCTGGGAGAGCAGTCAGTAAACCAGATCTTGGGGGGAGAAATGCCGCAGCAGAGCAGGTAGACTCACAAGTATAAAACTTGGAAGGATGAAGAAGAGAAGAAAAAAGTGCGGAAAGATTCGCGCTATTAAAAGGCCCGCGCTAGTCTCGTTTGGGTGGGCGGAACCCGCTACTTTTTTGGGGTCGAGCGAGCGGCCCAGCTTGGAGAGTTCCTTGCCAATCATGATACGCACTCCGGGCGTGCAATTGCCTTTACGGCTTCGATCGAGTTTTCTGAGCTCCAGATTGTTATCTGCGAGGCCATGGCAGCAACAGGTCCCAGTGGGCAGGCGGTTTCATCACCCTGCATGCCTCCGTGAGCAAGATGCTCCCGCCGAGCTCCCCAGCTTCCTGGAGGCATACAAGAAAGCCGGTAAGTGGCTTGAGAACAGTGAGCTGATAAATAGGCGAATCTAATTGCTAATATAGCTTGTTTTCTTCTCTAGTGGAATTCCCTCCTGCCACCCATGACTTCGAAACCTTCCTCTCACAGGCCGAGCCCAACACCGAAGTCGTTTTACATGGCTACCTCGGCCAGCGCGCAGATCTCTCGAAGAAGCTGTCCTTCGTGCGTCTCACCGATCCGACCATGAAGCACAGCCTGCAAGTAGTCGGCTTCGCCAAGAATGACGCATTTGAAAAGCTCAAGTCTATCAATGCCAACAGCCCCGTCGCTGTGCGAGGAACAGTTCAACAAAAGAAAAAGAAGGCCTCTGAGGGTGAGAGTAAACCAGAGGACGCCTGGGAGTTGGCATTGGAGGATATTCATTTGCTCAATGACTTTCCCAAGGATATCATCATGACGCCGGAGACGGTATTTGCGCCGGAGCAGCGATACCTCCAACTTCGGTCCGATGCCGAGCTCCGTGAAGCGCTGCGGTTCCGCGCGGCGGTTCGGAATGCCTGCAAGAAGGAGCTGGAAGAGAAGAATCAGCCGGCATTTGTTGAGATTGAGACTCCTCTGCTGTTCAAGTCGACGCCTGAGGGTGCGCGTGAATTCTTGGTGCCGACTCGTCGGCCGGGGCTGGCGTATGCTTTGCCCCAGAGCCCGCAGCAGTACAAGCAGATCCTCATGGCCAGTGGCTTGCCCCGTTATTATCAATTTGCGCGTTGCTTCCGGGACGAAGATCTTCGTGCGGACAGGCAGCCGGAGTTTACCCAGCTGGACCTGGAAATGTCCTTTGCTACTGGCGACGATGTGATGCGCACCGTAGAGGGAGTCATCCGTCGACTGTGGTCTACTTTGATGAAAGACCCGGCGCCCGAAGGCCCCTTCCGTCGTGTCCCATACCAGGAAGTTATGGCGAAGTACGGCTCTGACAAGCCTGACACGAGATACGGCATGGAAATCATGCGGCTGGACCATCTACTGCCCGTTGATCTGGTTATGAAGATTTCACCGCTCACGGATCCTATTGTTGAGGCTTTCAAACTTGAGAACGCCAATAATGACCCGGCAGAGACGCTCAAGTTCATTACAGAGTTCCTCGATTCGCCTGCTGGTGCTCCATTCAATAGTAACCCCGATGGCGGCCCTGGTGTCTTCGTGTTTAACGGGAAGCAGCCACTTTCTGGTCTGCAGCCCTTTGGTTTCGAGGCTGCCGAGCAGGTTGAAGAGCTTCTCGACCCGGATCACGGCGACCTGATTATCCTTCAAGCTCGCCCTCATGCCCCTTTTGCAGGAGGGTCGACCCCAATTGGTGATCTCCGTCGGGCCTTACACTCCCATGCCGTCTCCACTGGCTTCAAGGACGCGCCATCTGGCTTCGATTTCATGTGGGTTGTCGACTTCCCACTCTTCTCCCCATCCTCCGAGTCGGAACCCGGCCAGGGCGGCGCTGCAGGCATCTCCTCCACCCACCACCCGTTCACAGCACCCAAGACCGCTGCCGACGTCGAACTGCTCCTCACCGACCCTACCAAAGCTGTGGCGGATCACTACGATCTCGTCGTGAACGGCGTCGAGCTCGGTGGCGGTAGTCGCCGTATCCATGACGCTGCGGTGCAGGAGTTTATCTTCCGCAACATCCTCAAAATGCCAGCTGAACGCCTCGCAGACTTTTCACATCTCCTCGATGCTCTTCGCGCAGGCTGTCCACCACATGCAGGTCTAGCACTAGGCTTTGATCGACTAGTTGCCGTCATGCTGGGCAAGGAGTCTGTGCGGGATGTCATTGCTTTCCCGAAGACTGGCAAGGGTGGTGATGATGCTATGGTGCGTGCGCCAAGTCCTATGACCGAAGCATCGTTAGAAACGTATCATTTGCAGCTGAGGAAGGGAGAGTAGTGTTCAAATGGTGGAAAATATGTACTGTACTATATAACTTGTGTATAAATAGAATAAGATACCCAGTCCCCAATCTCCTTTCAATACATGCAAGTGATGAACAGAGATATGTACTCTATGATGATTATACTCAGTCGCACCCTGAGTTTTGATGAAAGAGAAATCAGATTATGAATACGAGAAGGGCTTCTGCTTTGCTGGTACTTATTGCGGAATTCAACTAATCGATCTCGCAGCTTAGGGCCCATGCAGTGCTGAATACTTTTTGCCCAGGCTTGTCGTGCAACATGTCAATCCACAGGAACCGTTTCAGATGATCGCGCATGTCCTCCCACTCGGAAATTCGGCAGCGCTTCATTTGGTCTCGCAACAAAGGCATAAGCCAAGAGTTATCAGTCGGGGTGAACACTGAGATCGCCCCAACGGTAAGCAACCATAAACCCGTCAGCGCCGGAATTGTCGAGAACTCGATGGTTTGCAGACATTCCCCATACTTCTGAGGGAAGCTTATCTGTGGAGGCTTCATATTCTTATAAAGAAGGAATGTATGTGATGAAAAGGCGAGCAGACCAAGGCGGATAGCTTCATTTGGAGAATTTGGATCAAAGTCTTTCATGCCAAGCAGACGGTACATGACTGAAGCCATGGCATTTAGCAAGATTTCTTTTGGGAGACGGCGATTCCGTTTTGTTGCGGAGTTTATTGTTGAGCAAAATTCTCTCATCACATCACAAGTATGTCGGAGATCTGCATCGATATTCCACTCGGGGATCAAGGATTCAGTGTCAGGTATATCCGGCGATTCAGCGGTACCAGAAACCAGTTCATAAGGGATCATGGGTTCTGAAGATGGATCTTTGAAGAAGAATGGCTCTGTGTTATTAAACAAGGCAATCCCTAGGTCGCACCTTGAGAAATGTTAGATTCATACGAGCAACGACCATATATGGGTGATGTTGTGGGATCTTACTTCAATATTTCCATGATAAGCTTTGTGTTATAGCTGAACCCACCTAAACCGCCTCTCAGATCGACAATCTTACGCAAACCCTCCATGTGATGCTTTGCAGTATCATAATCGCTAGAAAGATGAGCATGCATTGCTAAGGACAAGATGACAAGGACTGTGGAATCAGAGAACTTGATCTGTTCTCCTTCGTTGGAGAGTCTCTCTCGAAGTTGTTTCAATGCTTCTGAATGATGCACAATACCTCGTTGAGCCATCTCTGCAGTCTCTCTAGGCGATGCTTTGTTGAAGAAAGCCTGGCATGAGAAAGCCACAGCGTGCAGGTATGTGGCATCATAAGTCATCAGGTCAAAGTAAAATGTGTCGACCTTGTCTTTTCGATGAAACTCGATGCAAGGCTCCAATGGGTACATGACTTTCTTTGCCATCAAGGAGACTGTAATTCAGTTTTGGTCAGAATCGAGGTACATGCGCAGAGATGGCCAGTAACTTGCATTTTAGAATATCTCGCATCAACTGTGGTGCCACGGGAGCAGCGAATCGAGTGAAAGATAGTTCGTCGCCGACTTTATTAGGTATTGCAGGATAGTTCATCTTGACCACTAGATCAGGAGATTCCGCTAGCCCTCTCTGGAATTTTATATGAGGTTCAATTGTCGAGGCAGGTCGGACATTCCGGGCTTTGCCGCGGTTTTTCCCAAGCATGACATATTTTCTGATCTGTTTCCTCTTATTTGCCTCGGGCTTGTTCAGGCCATCTATGAACAAGAGAGGTTTCCCCGCCACTTCGCGATATGTTAGCCTGGGAGGGCCATATACTCGTAAACTCGCTAAGATAATTCGTAAGGCGCTACATTTCAAGCCGAGACTTACCGGATCCAATAGTCCCAGGCATTTTTCTCGGCTTTCCGGCTCATTAGAGGTATGAGTGGTGTCAAGATTGATTTGTATGAGCTACCATTATGGTGATTAGTAGAGAGTATTGGTGATCCCCAAGATTTTAGGAGGTTCGCCGCATGAGCGAGCCGTTCCTCCGCTAAGTCCGAACCCGAAGCCTTCTCCCAGCTTTGGTTCGAAGCCGGGGCTAATGCAACAGATTGACTTCCTATTATGGTAAAGCGCATGAAAGTATCACATAACTGGCTTATCTCCAGATCTAAGTGGGTCCGTTCACGAATCTCCATCCAAGCCTCAGCCAAGGCGACATCATGGACTTCGGTTAAAATTGGCCGAGACTGCGATTTTCTTGGAGATGAAGAGATAATTTTGTTCTGCGATATAGTGGACCTGAGTATTTGTTATTTCTATTGGCTGACCTAGAATATCTCTTACCTCAGGTAGTTTCTTAACTCCGTTATAGACGTCACGTCCTAGCGAAGCAAAGATATATAATCGCGAACCATGCCCACTGCTGTTCATGTGAAAGATCACACACGTTCCTCCCAGATACCTGGCTTCTCGTTCAAGATTTGACTGGACTCCGGGTTTAAGTCGATATCCCACTCTTACAATGCCTTCATCTAAAGAGTTGCCGCCTTCAACGGCTCCCTTCTTCCCCAATCAGTTCATTAAGAATCAATTCTGTTCCAAGCCTCAGTATCCTCCCAAAGACACCGATCTGTCCGGCAAGGTTGCTATTGTTACAGGCTCAAATACTGGGTTGGGGTTTGAATGCGCGAGACAGCTTCTCTCCTTCAAAATTTCTCGATTGATTCTTGCCGTCCGCACTGCATCCAAAGGTGAAGATGCGGCGATCAAGCTGCGAAAACAGTATCCCAATGCCATAATAGAAGTATGGCTGTTGGATATGAGCTCATACGAGTCCGTCCAAGCCTTTGCAACAAGGGCCGAGAAAGAGCTTTCTCGACTGGATATTGCCATCTTGAATGCCGGCATCACTGGGTCGAAATTCAAGATCGTTCCCAGCACTGGGCATGAGGAGGCCTTGCAGGTCAATTACTTGTCAACGATTCTCCTCGCCATCCTCCTGCTCCCAGTTCTGAAAGCAAAGTCACCGGCTGGCGTACCTGGACGATTGACAATTGTCACGAGCATGCTCTCAATTACAGCGAAGTTCGCCAACAAGAACGCCAACCCACTATTGCCTTCGTTCGATGACCAGAAAAACTTCGATTTCATGGACAATTATCCAAAGACGAAATTATTGGGACAACTGTTCCTCTGGAAGTTGACGGACCTGGTTTCAAGTGATGACGTTATCGTCAACATGGTGGAGCCTGGCTATACTAAAGGCACCGAGCTCCAGCGAGACGCGCCTGTTGCCGTGAAAGCGACTCTGTATCTGCTGCAAGCTGTGTCAGCAAGAGATGTCAAGCTAGCTGTGTCGACGTATCTTGACGCTGCTATTATCAAGGGAAAGGACTCACACGGAGGCATTCTGATGAATTGGGAGATAGCGCCGTAAGCCTCTTGAAATCTTTTCACCCCTTTTAGGGCTATTACTAATTTTAGAAACCAGGTATGCTCCTTTTGAGTACACAAAAGAGGGGCGAGAGGTTATGGGGCGACTTTGGGAGGAGACCATCAAGGAGCTTGGCCCAATGGGTGTGAGTGAAGTTCTAAAGTCACTGTGAGAATGTCGACATGGGATGCAGCGCGTCAGAAAACGAAGGTGTCATGGTGCATTGTCCGTTTGATTGGTTTTAAGTTGGCTATTAATTACATGAATATCTCATCAAGGCATCCACCAAGAAGCAAGGGCGATTATTACAAAGATTTTCTCATCAAGGCATCCACCAAGAAGCAAGGGCGATTATTACAAAGATTTTGACCAAGAGAGCACCGGTAAGCCTGTAAATGAGTAAGCCTTTCGTTGTTTACCTCCAGTGATAGGGCCACTCACCAGTTACTCTTTCCCTCCTGAACGACATATCCCAAAATCACCATCGAGATAAACAATGTAGTGATGGTGAATGCATCAAATTGCAGTGTCATATCATCTATACCCATGCACCAAGCAACTAGTACGGTAAGCGGGACTACCATCAAGGCATTCTGCATGCAGCGGCCCAGACTCAACGCTATAGCGAGATCCATGTTATCATGAAGGGCACATTTAATTGCGCCCGTATCGAGGGAGATGATAGGTAGAATGACCAGACCCACAAACGAGGACGAGACAGATCTCTCCGTTAGACTCTGTACACTGTCCGTCGCAAACTCCGTGTTGATAGCGACAAGAGCGGTTGCTGCTAAGATGGTTATGATGGCGACAGGAACCGTGAGTCTTGGCTCCGAATCTGCCACATCCTCATCATCCGTGGGTAGTGGAGGAGAGATTCTCTCTATGTTTCCTGAGGTCCTCGAGTCCCCTTGTGCTCGATTGAGGCCGCGAAGATTTCTCTCTTTCCTGCGATCCTGACTCATGCTATTCTGATACAATACCTCAACTGGCTTGTGAGTTTTCAGATCGTACAAAAGCCATAGACCATAGGAAATCATAATGACAACAGCCGTGCCACGTGATTGGGCCAGAATGCCTGCTTGGTCTATATTGGAAAGATAATGAGAAGCGGTTGGAACGACCAGGGACAAAATTGCCAGAAATAAAAGCATGGTGATAGTCTGTGTCAGGTTTTTGTCATACTCTTGGTCACGGTACCTAATACCGCCAATGAGAAAGCTTAGTCCCGTCAACAATATGAGGTTCGTCAATATAGTTCCGAGCAGGGAAACACGGAGCACGTCGAACTGTCCGTTATTCAACAATAAGACGGATTGGATCAGCTGGACGGCATTTCTGGTCTAATTAGCACTGGCTTCACTGAAACACTGCCGGCATGGACTAGTACACACCCAAAAGTACAGCTTATCAAACCCATCAGGACTGAGCTTTCTTCCAGATGGGCTTCCAACTCGTCGATCGCTAATCCTAGAATCCTGGAGGATGGAACGATTGCAACGAAGTTGACAAAGAACACGGCAATACGTGATGTAGGCATGTAGTTGATCACAATTCCCGCTGGAGCAGTGAGAAGAAGCAAGTTCAAGTAATCGTCCAGGAACAGATACGCAATTTGGCACGACAGCGACAGGCCCTCGGATGTCTTGAATCATAACTGGTGAGCACTCACCTCACTTAATAAAATATCGTGAACATACCAGACTAAGCCTATTGAAAATAAGCCCCAGACCATCTATGAGTGCCCGAATGACACTTCCTAACCCTCTTCGCCTGCGCCTGGCCGAGGTGATTGCATGGTCCAGCTGCAGATCCTCGGGAGCGATTTGAAGGGCTGCTGTGGGTCGAAATTTAGATGACGACTGCTCGGAGGTATGTGAAGGTGTATGCGCAAGTTCAGGTCGCTCCACGATAATCTCTGGCGCAGGAGAAGGTCGCTCCACGAAAAACTCTGGCGCAGGAGGAGGTCGCTGTGACTGTATCTCGTACGACCTGGCGGGCACCTCATAAATTCGGTCCACATTCTGGATTGGTTCCTCCAGATGGTAGGAAGAGTCCGGTCTCATGGAACTCCTGTGCGTAGCCTTGAACCGATTGTACCGAGACGACATTTGGCCATGCTGGCCGTTCCATGCCAGGTCTCTCGCCCGGCGGCGAACATTGTCTGGACCATATCAACTCAGAAAATTGTAAACAAGGTACCGGCAACGCGTGAGATCCACATACGCATGTTTGACCCACAAACTCAGTAGTTTTCGGGTTGAATAGGATGAATGAAAGATTCGAAGACAGACAAGAACACGAGGTCTGAGGACAGAGCCTTGTGAAAAGCTTATGGAGCTGAGCCGTCTCGTGCGCCCGGCAACCATCAGCTGCTCCCTGACGATCGCTGATCTGCTCTCATCATTAACCCCACAGGGATTAGTCTTGACCCCTCCCACTTGGACGCCACATATAGCCATGCTTATGTTGCGGTTAGCCTATTTGGTTCGGCAAAAATGTCTCTTCGTTATCGGTGCACTTGGAGAAGGGTGTGGCTGTGCTAGTGTATACATTGGGCACTAGTCACTGCCTATAGCGCGGGGCTCCAAGCCGTATCGGACTCGCTTAAGCCAAGTGAGGCTCTGTCAACCGTTTGCAAACAAAATCTCCTCGCCGTTCAGGTAGAAACTCACTCTTTTATGAGCGATGGACCCTGTCTCCTTGTCCCTGGGCATCGCGGGCATCCTGCCTCTCGTCGCCACTGCAATCAGTACCTGTAAAGAGTACATTGACAACGTCAGATCGGCGAGGAAGTCCATTGCGACCTTAATAACTGAACTTGAAGCTCTTCAAGCCAACGTGACTAATCTTCACGAACTGCTAAAAAGCGATTCATTGAATGATAATGCTCTTCGATTCCACAACAGTTCCGTTCTTCTGACCTGTTCCGCGGCTTGTGAGGCCAAGCTGAAGGCCCTCTGCAAGCAGCTGGGCCAGGAAGGGAAGGGGACAAGGAGCCGCCTATGGTGGCCTTTCAGCGAGAAGGATTATCAGAAGACGATTCAGGAACTACGCAATTTTAGCAACTGGATGCAATTTGCCTTGTCGGTCGATGGCTGCCGGTTATTATCGCAGACGTCGGACGATGTTTTAAAATTGATGGAAGAACAGCTGGAACAATTCAAGACCGTTCAAGGACTTGAAGCAAGCACGCTTCGCATTCTTGACGTTGTTACAGATCAAAAGCGCACAATACAGAATAACATCGAGCGAGAGAGGAGAAAGAGCATTTTGAATTGGATATCCACTTCGAGGCACTATCAAAAACACAGGCTCATTCAAGCGTCGAGAGCACAAAATACTGGGACTTGGATTCTCCAAAGAGAAGAATTTGTTCAATGGCGAACAAAAAGATCGCCCTCGAATGTTCTTGTCTGTCATGGCATTCAAGGCTCGGGAAAGACGAATCTTGCGTAAGACCTCCTCGATACCTGCTCTCGGAGCCCCGGCTGATGGTTTAGCTCGATTATCATCGATGAACTTCTTGAGACAAACTCTAGCGAGACTTCACCAGTCGCGTACTTCTATTTCGATCATCAAGATCAATCTTCTCAAAGTACATCTGCAGTTTTATGCAGTATCCTGAGGCAGCTCCTAGAGCAGATGACACGAATCCCAAGTTCCGTCGCTGAAGTATATGAGAAGAACGGCCACAAAGAGTCAATACCACTTAACGAGTGCGAGCGACTACTAATAGACCTTGCTTTGGACATGAGATCAGTATATCTAGTGTTTGACGGACTTGATGAATCGGGACATCGAAGGCCTTTTCTTCAGAGCATACTGAATGTGGCTCGAAGTGACCACGTCCGTTTGCTGGTTACCAGTCGACCGCACATTCCCGATCTTGTAAACCTGTTTCAACAACATCCGAATCTTATGATCGAGGCTCATGAGGAAGATCTCAAAACTTATCTTTACCAGGAGCTCGAGCAAGGAGAAATATACAATATCGCGGATCAAGAATTTGTGAATAAATTGGTTTTGAAACTGACCAAGGGTGCAGAGGGAATGTATGCTTTCTCTTCTTCCTCCCAGTTACGCTATGGCTACCCGCCTGATTCAAGACCGAGAATTTACTAACATAGGCTATCTACTTATGATAGGTTTCTTCTCCCAGTCCTGCGACTCCGTATCATTCTCAAAGAGCCTACCCTAGGCGAGATGGAGGACAGACTAGCAGATCTTTCCCATAGTCTCAACGACGCATTCGCAGATACCATATCCCGTATCCAACGACTCCCCGAAAGCCGCAGCCGACTCGGAATGGATGCGCTGAAATGGTTGACGCATACAACAGAGGCAATGAGGGAAGAGGAACTTAGCGATGCCTTGGCTGTTCACAAAAAGCAGAGCGCAGTCAACGTAAAGTATCGTCCAACTACAAAGACCATTCTCGAATGCTGCCAGGGCCTTGCGACCGTCGATGCAGACGGCTGTGTACGACTTGCCCATTATGCCATTCAGGAGTACTTAACAGAGAACTCGGAAGATCTCTTCCCACGAGCCGAAGCAACACTTGCCGTGACTTGTCTTCGCTACCTTGTCTTTGAGACCTTCCAGGACGGGCCTTGGACAACCGAGACTGAAATTGAGTCGAAGATGGCGACATACCCTTTCCTCGACTGGGCTGCCAGGTACTGGGGACAATTCACGCGGCGAACAGAAACTGATGCCGAGGTGTGGTCTGCCCTGCTGAATTTCTTCTCCTCCCCCGTTGCCCCGGCAGTGACAAACCAGGTGCGACAGTTGTCGATGGGTTTGATCGAGGGTTATTGGAGAGCGAGCGAGTGCAAGAGCTTCACAGCTCTTCATCATGCGTCGCGAGAGGGGCTTGAGCGGGCAGTGGATTGGCTCTTAGAAAGAGACACATTCAGCGTCAATGAGCGGACGCGAATGGGTGCTACGCCCGTGATCATGGCCGCCGCCGACGGGCATCTACAGACGACTCGAAACTTGCTGGCCTACGGCGCTGACCCACTCCTGGAGAACTGGTACGGTAACGCGCTACAATGTGCCATCGAGGCGAATTGCGTTGCCACGGTACGCGAGCTGGTCCGCTGGGGAATGGATCCCAACGCCCCCGGGAAAGACGGGCGCGGTTATCTGAAGTATGCACTGGATACCGACTCAGCCGGCGCCTTTGCTGCCCTCGTCGAGCTGGGGGCTGATATTGAGTCGCAGTGTAAGGGCGACCCTCATGGTCATCTCTTCTTCACTGCGGCATCGTGGGGCTGCACCGAGGTTGTTGCGCTGATGCTGGACCGAGGGTGGGCCGAAATTGAGATGAGAAATCCCGGCGGGCTCACAGCACTGCACTGTGCCGTTGCGGCCAGCAAAATGACGACGACAAGGAGACTGCTTGATGCTGGGGCCAATGTCGATGCGATGGATCTGAAGAGGCGTACTGCGCTGGAGTATGCACAAGCCAAGGGTAACAAGGCTATGGCGAGGCTGTTGCTGGCCGCAGGAGCCACGCCCCGGGGTGAGAATCGTGTGTCCGGGAGGGCGACGAGGGCGACTCGATGGATTTAACACATTGACGATGTGTCTAGCCAACCCTAAGGGAAGGAGATATGAAAGGAAGAAAAGCATACAGTTGAAGAGCTTCGTGGGACGGGGACGGGTGAATATAAAGATTCCTGGTGAGATAAACCGTAGATGGCTTCGTATGGACAGTGTTATACACGATAAATGAGAAACAAAAACAAAAGAACGCCGTTTCAACCGCTGTATAAAACAAGATCAGAAGAGAAAAGAGACGAGGCGAGTAAGTGGAGAGACCGAGACGCTAGGCCAACTTGGACAGTGCAAACCGTCGGAAAGTCTTCTCTCAGCCACCTCCATCATCTTATGCAGTTGACAAGACACTGGCCCGTTTTGATGGAGGGGATGCCTTCTCTTCGTTAACGAGGGTAGAGTCATCTTCGGCATCTTCCCCATCTTCATAATACAAGTATTCGTCCTCATCTTCCTCTGGCTGTCCAAAGATGTTGCGCCAGACGCCATCCCAGAGACCCTTCTTGGTGACGAGACCACCCACGAGAAGAATAGGGAGTTGCCAGATACTAGCCCAGAAGAGGCCTCGGGCAGAACCCTGGGCTCCCTGATGTTGCCAGAATCGATATGCCTCACGAACGAGCCAGCCGTTGGCGACGGTACTTCCAACCAAGAAGCCGTTCCCAACTACGCCGACCCACCAGAGGCCGATGGACATGGGGAACATGAGCACGGAGTAGCGCAGGGCAACACGGGCATTCTGAGCCGGATTCACCCAGCACAGCATCCTGTATCCAGCAGCCTTGTACTCATCGCGGATGAGATGCGACAGAGCATTAAAATGGGGGAATTGCCAGGCAAAGAGAATGCCGGCCAATAGCCACCCACCGATGCTGTCCTCGCTGAAGAGCATGTCCCGCCAAGTATCATGACCAGTCGTTGCCGTCTGTCCTGCAGCCGCAACCCATCCCATCAAGGGTGGAATACCACCCACCACAGCACCAACCCAAGTGTTGATCACACTGACCCGTTTGAGTGGGGTATAGATGAATCCATATAGGATTATGTTCGCCGCAGAAAGCGCCGTAGTTGTCGGGTTAGTACCAATGTACAAAAATCCGAGACCGGCCGCCGCAGTGCCAATAGCAAATAGCAGCGCCCCACGACGCGAAACCAGCCCCCGGACCAACGGGCGATTGCGCGTGCGCGACATCAACGCATCGTATTTGGGCTCAAGCATCATGTTAATTGTGTTTGCACTGCAACATGAAAGGAACGTGCCCGCTGTCAAGTATATGAAAGTGAGGGTGGAGGTCGAAAGGGTTGGGAGTGGGGTCATGGCCGGGTCAAGCGCGAGTAATGAGGAGATTGGATACATGCCATAGGCAGATGTGGTAGTAAGGAGGATTAGGAAGGATAGTCGGGGTTTCGTAAGAGCAAGGTATGCGGCTAGCTTGCGGCGGATGGAGGTGATGGGGAGAGAGGACGAGAAATTGGACAATTGGGCGGAGGCATCGAGTGGCATGGCAGGCTCGGCTGAGCCATTCTGTGCTGCTTGTTCCTTTAAACGCTTCCTCCTTCGATGTGGTAGTTCACTCTGACTGGAATCTGGACCAATTGGCCCGGATGATGCTGGTTCGGACGAATCGGGAGTGTTGGCTGATGTATCCTTGGCGGTCTTTGATGAGCGAGGAGACGACGCATTATCGGAATTCGTTGAGGCAAATGAAGAGATGAATCCTCCTTTCAAACCCGTAGCATCATATAGACGATTGGCCGAGAAATAGGTCTTGTGAAAGGCGGAGTTGGCCTGGTTAGCTGCAATGCCCATTCGCCGATGCGAAGAGGACCAGAAGCCCCGGGTCGCGGATGGCGTGTGTGGTCGCGATCGAACCAGACATCGTGAACAAAGAAGCACCTCCTGAGACGGCCCTGGCCTCAAGATGGCGGACCGTAGTGGGAGCATGGCGCGTCGAGTGGAGGTCCTCGAGGCAGGAAGGAAAGGAAGAAAAGTGGAAGAACGAACAATTTCCCCGGCGGGTGCACGGACCAAGTGCCGCAATTTAGCTTGCGGAATGTCAACACCAACCCATTGCAGCTTCTCCCTCCTCGTTCTTTGAACACACCTACATACACACATACCATCATGGATGTTCTACAGAAGACCGTTGTGGATCCCCTCCAGCCACTCTTGAAGCCCATCGTCGAGGCACTCCCTCAGCCTGTCCACGATGCGATCATCTCGTTGATTACTGCACCATGCCACGCCGCCCTCCTTCTCGACCTTAGCTTGGTGGAAGATCCGGCCTGCACATCCCTGGCTATCTCAAAAGCTCTCGGTATTGCCATCGTTGGCGCTAGCGCTGTGGTCAAGGTCCCACAGATCCTGAAACTCATCAACTCGCGCTCATCCGCTGGTGTCTCCTTTGTGTCTTACGCCCTCGAAACCGCTAGTCTGCTCATCACCCTGTCTTACAGCGTGCGGAACGAGTTCCCCTTCAGCACCTTCGGCGAGAGCGCTCTTATCGCCATCCAGGATGTTGCGATTGGCATTCTTGTCTTGACCTTTGCCGGCCGGTCCGCCGCGGCCGCAGCTTTCGTTGCTGTCGTGGCAGCTTCCGTGTACGCGCTGCTCTTTGACCGTAATCTCATTGATGGAAACACCATGGCCTATTTGCAGACTGGTGCTGGAGCTCTGGGTGTTGCCAGCAAGCTGCCTCAGATCTACGCTATTTGGAGCGAGGGAGGTACTGGCCAGCTCAGTGCTTTCGCGGTATGTTCGCAGCTTACATCGTCTTACAAGGGGTCATGAACTAACTTGCGCGCTTTCTCTGTCTAGGTCTTCAACTACCTTTTCGGTTCTCTCTCCCGCATCTTCACCACTCTTCAAGAAGTCGAGGACAAGCTCATCCTCTATGGTTTCATCGCCGGGTTTACCCTCAACCTGATCCTCGCTGCACAGATGGTGTACTACTGGAACAGCCCCGCACCCAAGAAGAAGGCGCCCCGCGCAAAGATCGCAGAGAAGCCAGTCTCAGCCGAAAGCTCTGGCGCATCGCCCAAACCGGGCTCCAAGACTCCCACCACACGACGTCGGGGTTAGAGAATTCTTGTGCTTTAGATTGACCATGCTTCTTTCTTTTCAAATTGGCTATAAAACTCCTAATAATGCATTTTGGAATCCATTTTGGAATCCATGCAGTTGGCTCGTGGAAGCCGCGTCCGACCCCGTCTGTCCCATGCTCTTCCGTTTCAGTAGCTTGAACCCCAGTAAATCACCCTAAACGCCATGCCAAAATCGAAAAAAAAAAAAAGATATAATGCGATCACGGCATGTGTCCCGTTGTCATATATCGAAGAATCTTATCCAGTGGTACAACTGGCTCGACGGCACGAGCGTGATGCGGCGCAATGTCAAACTCGATGCCACCACTGGACTTGCGATGGACACCAACAACTTCCATCTCGTCCTCACCTTCATCTTCGTCACCTTCATCCTCATCCTCGCTCGCATCGTCATCCTCCAGCTGTCTCCGTAAGCCCGTAACGACGTTCTGTATCCCCGCCTCGCGCTCTTCTAGTGTATAATGGCCGCCCCAATTCCGCTGCCGAGCTTCCTGGTTTGCCTCGACGGGTGCCCATTCCCAAAGCTCTTTCAGCTCCGGCTCAGTGAGCTGTTTCGTAGAGGTGTTCACGGCGGCGCTTGGATTCGGTATCGTGCGCGAGAAGTCGAGAGCAGACGGGGAAGATTCGGTGCCGGCAATACGACCGCGCGCGACCCAGTCCTCTACTCGAGGATCGAGTTTGGTGCGCATGAGTTGTTGGAGCATGTTTTCTTGCGTGCGGCCGGGGTATTCGGGACCGGGATATGCGACAATTGAGGAAAGGAGGTCGCGGTGATCGGAGAGGTGTTCAGTGACGCTGATGAGATTGTTTGATATGATGCTCGCCTGGGATTGAAGTGAAGACCTAACTTGGAGTGTTAGCTTGGGGTATATGCGGAGGGGCTTCGGGCTTCGGGGAAGCTGCGCACCATGGCGGTAGGGGATCGCCCTGTTCTAGACTGGATACCAGAGAGCCCAGAGAGCGAGTCAATTGAACGAGGCGCTGTCGCGATTGCTCGAGTACCTTGTACTCTTCTGATGTGAGGGGGGCCATGACGAGGGGTGTTGAGCGATGTGATGTTGTTGAAGACGAAGGAACACGAGGAGGCCGAGAGCTCGACCGGGCGATAAGAAAACGGCGGGCCAAGCTTCGACCTCACACTGTAACTTCGGCCACCACCCTCCTCGGTAGGCAACCACGGGTCTCTTTTGGTAGTCTGAGGGTTTGTACCTTACTTTGATGTCACGTCCGAAATTATTGTTCATTGTTCTTCGTTCTTATAAATATGTCAATAGGAAACTACGGAGCGTTTCACGAAGCATTTTGAGGCAAATAGATGCAAATGTCACCATGAGACCCAGTTAAACGTGTGGAGAAGACTGCTTCGAATCCTTTTAACCAGGCAACATGATCTACCATTTCATGAGAGTAGCCTTGAGTATCCGCCTCTTTGAAGATTGTTTTTCACGCGACAAATCTAACGGTACGAGTTGTAATTACTTTCCTCGAGAGGTTGAGTAATTTTTCCCTCGACAGCGAGAAACAGCTTCTTGGCGAGTTCCAGAAGAAAGCTCGCAGGAAGGGTCTCGCGATTTTTCCATTCATCCAGCAACCTTTTATTTCCATCACGCACCCACATGTCCACGAGTAGGCGACGAATCGGCGAGTCCTGCGTAGTGTTGTTGTATGTGTAGAGGATCACCAGGTCATACAGAACCCGCCGCATTCGACCTTCGGTTTCCTCCGCGCCCATCTCAAAGATGGCATTAATGAAAGAACTCAGGCCTTGACTAGAGAGAGGTAAGCCCCTTCCTCGAAGGTGACCTCACTAGGAATTTTGCAGGTGTAGAGCCATTGCGCATAGGCATTGAACATTTTCACTTCCTCCTTGGGCATTTCCACTAGTCGCTGAGTAGATTCCTTCTATGGACCTGTCAGAGCTGTGTTGAAGAATGTAGATCATTTCCGGAGTAGATCTTCGTGAATGTTGAAAGTGCCTTGGCCATCCTCGACGACCACCTAGTTTCGATCCTGATACTTGAACATTTGGGCTGAACCACCGCAACCAAGCCCAACCCTCTGTAAGGCATTGCCTCGTTCCACATTGTTCGTCCATCTCAGTTTTCCCCGACTGTCTAGTGAGGCTGATTGGCAGCAAACTTCTGGGGTCAATCTGCGAACCAAAAAAAAAAGTTTTACAGATCTTGAGAATAGATGATTTTTTACATGCAAATGTTGAAAAAGCAAAGAAGACCCCCGCTTTAGCTCTATTGCTGCATCTGACCAAAAAGGCTTAGAACTTGCATCAGCAGCCAGTCTCTGCATGCCACGATAGATAGCTCAACACAGCATGGGGGACACATTTAGGCAATATTTCACCAGTCCCTAGTACAGTAAAAACGGTGATCTTCGCGAGGTGTGAACACTGGAATCCATGCTGAACCTGGACGTAACTTGGCCATGTGACAGGCAACTGTGAGGCAGAGATGCGTGAGTCTAAGACCCCTGCATCGACGAGTCAGTTCCTTTGGTGGGTTCGCGTACTGAAGAGGTGCAATCGCCGCTGCCGTCGCCCCTGGTGGACAAAGTCAAGTGAAGGTTCATGCCCCTGCCCTCCCTTAACCTACCCTGTCCATAAGATCATACTAGCGACAAGCATGATATCAAGAAAAGGGCCACAAGAAGATGCTTAGCTAGTAACTCTAAAATGGGATAGACGTGAACTCTATAATAGACTTTCGGGTATAAACATTTCGCCTTGTTATAAGCCGAAAGTATATGAGGCAGTCGGGAAAATACTACTTCAGAGATACCGCCGGTGATATATACCCTTATCAGAAGCCGCTAGTAATGGATATCCAAACTTGGTTTAACTGATTCCCAGTCATCGCGCTAGCCTGAGTGTTACATTGGCTTGCTTGGTACGCTAATGGCCAATCATTTACCGCCCAGAAAAATGGCGATGGCATCTGCGTGCATTAGCGGAGGCTGGAGTTGCACGTTTGGCGATTGCAAAGGGAGAGAGATCACACGGGCGCAAGTCCCCGCTTAACTGTGGATCTTAGCTCGGGTACCCTTTCGTATACAGATGGTATTCCAATGTAATCCGACTCAAGTGGAAATTGCTGGCTGCTTTGCAGAAATCGAAGGTTGTCAACAAGAATGTAATTCTCGCCTGAGCGAGTTGAGCGGGCCACCTCAAAACATCATAGTAAACGCGATGTTTCAGGTCAATATGAAGTTGTGAAATATTGTATTTAGTATAGTGTTTGGGGTGGCCCGCTCAACCGAGTGGCTCGCTTAGGCGGGAATTACGATAATGAGAGCTACTGAAACAGTGAGCTGTTGTAGCCGTAGGCGCTACGTGAACACCATGAAGATGTTGTCTGTAATTGGAAACGAACATAGTACTTGGTATGAAGACCAGTAATGAGTCCAAGGTACAGGAACAAAAGATATCACTAGAAGCAATCAAAAAGAAAGAACCGAGAGCTATTCAGTAGCGAGGGCATTGATGTCCAAGGGTTTGCCAAATCCATAATATCAATAGGTCATGTCCCAAATTAATCGGACCAAGGATCATAATCCTCCGGCCATCCAAGTTCCTCCGCAAGATCGGACCATCGGATATCGTCAGAATAATCGTCATGTTTAGCACCATATTCCCAAGCTCGAATAGACTGGGAGGCGGGCTCGTTGCTCTTGAATCTACCCTTGCGATTCCTGTTTAGGCGTTTTCTGAGTCCACACTCGTCCTCCCGGCGACGAGCATTTTCTGCCCACAATTTCAGTTCCTCTGGGTTTCTGATACACCAGATGGCGATGTCCCGTGCTGCATATGCGTCTTCTAAAGCGCTATGTCCACAATTGCCGTTCTGTATCTCCAAGCTCAAAAAATCCTTCGCGAGGCTCTTCAAACTCCACAAACGAGGTAACGGCGTGGTGGAGATAATGGAAGGGAAGACGGTCTCGGCAGTCAGAATGGCGGTGTCAACAATCTTCGCATGGCATATGCCTAGGACTTCAAGATCATAATTGAGAGACTGGCCAACCAATATAGTCGAGTCGTCCATAAACTCCCATAATTTATCGCGCGCCTCTCGCCAGCCACTGAATGCTGCACCAGAGCAGATGGCACTGGACATGATATCCTTTGTTATTCCACTGAACTTAGACCTCCAGTCAATTACTTCCTCTGATGGTACAACGTAGCGACTTATAAGTATTTGGCCGGTCAAAAAGTCAATAGCGCTGAGAAAAGCGAGTTCTTGGCGGCCATCTCGCACTCCGACCATCTCACAGTCAATAGCGATAGCCTGACAAGAACCCCCTGCTTGTCGATCTAAATGAGGTGTCTCTCGAAATTCATAGGTCTGAATAGAACCCTTAGATGAGCGCTTTTTATTTCTTGTGGAACCAGGCCCTAAAATGTATTTTTCGGTCTGAAGACGGTTCCATGAATGGCACCTAGAACGCAGATATCTCAAAATGAGACTCTGCTCTAGGGGATCTAGAACGGTCGAGCAACCTGAGACTCCAATTTTCACTCCTAGTAAGGTTTCTGTGGCATTGAATGTAAGCTTCGGATAGGCCAGTGATCAGATTTTGGACTAAGTACCTGGGACAGGGCTCTCTTCGAAAGCAATTGGTGGCACAGAAGCTAGGGAACTAGATGAACCATGATCATCGGGAACCTTTATTCCATGTCCAAAAGGTTTCAACCCCTCCTCGGGAGAATTTGTTTGGATATCTCTTGGGGGAGATTTGGTGGTGATATTTGTTGAGTAATATTCGAGGTGTTCGCTGACGCGCACTTAGACATTTGATAGTGTTGTATAATTCCCAGCTCATTCTTGAAGACTCTTTGACATACGCGACAACGCAAAGGGTGAGATTCCCGAGTAAAGTGATTTTTGACGCCAGTCAAACTCTTGAAGTTCTTTCTCTCGCATCCAGGACAGGAAAAGCGAGCCGAAGCTACCATATTTACAACTGAAAATTGTGTCGGTTTCCAAGTTTCCTATGGCTTTCAGACAAAAGACTCTGGTTGAAAAGCAAATTTGGGGCCCCTAGCCCTTCTTATTCTTCTGCCCAAATCCCTATTGGTTTTCAAGGCATACACGTAGCTCTTCTTGTGCATTACGTCGCGGGGGGCTATTGGTAGTATGGGTATTTGAAAGCCACGCGCGTGCGACAAGCCACTTCACCAGAGACTTTCGGGCCGCTGCGAGACGAAATTTAGTTCGTGGCGACGGTAGCGTTCGAAAATTAGATTACTGGCCAGTCAAAGCAATGTTTCTGATGGTATGTGTATAGTTTTAGGGCTTGTAGCCCAATGCTGTTCATTTCCGGGCTGAGCTGCCAAAATAATACCGTGGTCAACCTGACAGGAAGGAAGTCGCCTAGCATAATAAGAGGTCTCGGCTCTTTTTGTCCAGAGACGAGAGATCGACAAACTGTAGTAGATGATGGATAGGCGGAGGTTAAGAAGTAGCTACTTTTAGAATCTTAAAAAGGCTTTGTTGAGGAGCGGCAGAGGTACAAGAAAGTCGGCCAGTTCAGCTGAATCTAGTGAAAGATAGCGCAAGAAAAGTGTCTTGGCAAGCATCCGTAGGAAACAGTATCCGCGCAAAGCGGTATAGGAAGCCGGAGGGCCTAAGGGCACGGATGTCGTGGATTATTAGAGTACTGATACACCTAATGTGTGTGCGAGCTTAGGGCAAATGCACGCAGAATCAAAAACAGTAAGTTTGGCTCGAATGATTATACGTCGGTAGATCAGTAGACTCGGCCATACTGCAGCACTTGATCCCACCAGGCGTGGTATCCACCAATCATCGGCGCGCAACGCTGCCGACCCTGCCGTTGCGGCCCGTGCCTTGTGGATGATTGTTCGGTGGCACCATGATGACAACCACCACACAGCAGGGCGCCAGACATACAGGAGTACGACTAGTACCAATTACGGGGCGCCTGTAACCGCAGGGTTTCAAATGCAAAGGATAACTGCAGGCGAGACACTCAGCAGACCCGAATAATGGATATTCGCTCACGAGCTGCAAGTGTTTTATGAAAAGGTGATAGTGGATGCATGTTCCGACGCTGTTCTAGGATGTCTATTCGGAACTAGGCAATTGAAGAATAATTTCTATTTAAGAAGCTCGGTAACTTCCCAAGCTTGATCCTCGTCAGAACAGGCCAGACTTGTGACATAGTGACTTACTTCACGGTATATGAGGTAAAGGAGGAGGGCATGTTTGCAGGTACAAAAATGGGTGTAGTTGCTTTTGGGAGGAAGAGGGTCACAGAAAGGCTTTGTTTGAGGAACGGTGAGGTGTAAGTTTGAGATTCAAAGCCAGCACCTGGGTTGGATGGGAGTGTTTGCCACATCCCACTAACAAACAGAGCTACAAAAGAGTTATGGTGGATGGATTATTCAAGATTGAGTCTTTCATCCTCTTGCATCGGTAGACTTGAGAGATGTTCTTGCGCCTTCATGGTAGCAACCTAGCCATGGGTCGTGGACTAGAATGACTTCCATGACCCGCAGTGTGGAAGGGTTATTTCCAGGAAAAGCTGTATTGAGAATACGATTCGCTATGTACTAATATAGTATCGTTAGTGAACTCCTAGCGGAATATTGACAAACACTTTGAAGGTACTAGTGTTAATTAGATAGTAGTAGAGAAATAGCTACTAGCGTAGGCCTATCTATTCCGTCGTGGTAAGAAGATCCGGCTTTAGATATCGATTAACTATATAGAGGATAGTAGACCTCTTCCTTCTAGAACGGGCAAGAGATGAAAGTCATCGGTAACTATATGGATACTCTATAATAGATTTAATATATCCTCTAATTAATATCACTGTCCTCCCGGTAGGATTATCTTAGTAATCGATATATCCTCCTGCTAATAACGCTATACCTACCAGGCCTAGCTATACTAAATCAATTATAGTTGGCGGCCTGCTCGATATCGCCGTGGAGGAATATACTAAATAGCAGTAATCGCGGGTGAGCAACGAGACTTTTAGGGAGAACATTAACAAAGCACGTAGTGTGACTCTCGAAAATTGTCTCGACCTTATACAGATTTATAAGGATCAAGACCCAGGTTTCTTTATCAAGCACGGCGTGAAAGTAGGTGCCGCCCGGCGGTTCGTTCGTGACGTCGGCCTTTAGGTGAAACGACGCAAAGAATCGACTTACGACGACAATATTCCTTTAGTCTAGATATTTTATGTACTGTGATTAGAGAACAGCCTACACTGGCATACTGTATTTATCCTTTTGTATGGGTTCGGAATGAACTATAATTTCGGCGATCATACTGCCATAACAAAACAGGTAAGCCCACTCCAAAGACCTTTCCCAACATGCTGGATTTCCATGGAGAACGCTTGCTTTGAAAACATGTTTAGCATTAGAGCAGTAGGCGAGATTTCAGTCCCAGTCCGACCTCCATATCCTTCAGGCAGCATATTGAAGCAAATTAAAATCACTATATTTATCATTAAAAACACCGGCTTTGAATTCGACTTCATGAAAGCGTCACATAGCTCCAAAGATCCTTCTCTCTTCAAAACCTCTGATAGATTGACCATATTTACCCGCCTCAATCTTCTCCAAAGGATGAACAGGGTTACTAAGCAACGGATGATCGTTTGTCTCACCCATTTTGTGACCGAGCTCTGCTGCCGGGCGCGTTTCAATGGCTGTGTGTTTGGAGAACATAGGGTCTTGCTGTTGGGCTCCGGACTGGTGCTCCGGGTCAGGAGACTGGCGGCCACCTTTAGGTGCGGACATGGTGTACGGAAAATCAGGAAAGAGATCCACGTCAATTACAATGGCGCCAGTGGGCCAATTTGGTGCTGTGAAACATATTAGGTATACGTAAATAATAATGACGTTCCTTTTGATAGGATATGCTCATAAATTGACCTTATTCCGAGAATGCTCGTATAGAGATTGAAATATGGATACTGGTCTGTTAGAAATTTTTGGTTTGAGCACCAAACCCAGTGTACTTTTCTTTCCCTTATATTTTCAGGAATTCAACAAAGTTTAGAAAATGACGTAGCTGAAGGAGGAGATACTAGCCTGATCGAAAATGACGCGTTCACATGGTTTGTGGCGACGTGTTATATGATGGTTGAAAATGACGTCATCTATATATCTCGTATGGGAATTGATACTGTACGGCCACCGCAGCGTTAGCGAAAAGTTGGGGTGTCCTTAGCAATTCCCTTAAAAGGGATTCTCAAATACAGTGTTAACCATTTCATGTGATTAGGGTTTGAAAGAACTTCTCTTGGTTGTCTGACATAAAATACGATAGCGGTCGCCACTATACTGTATACTGGGGACAATCTACTTGAGAGAGTCTTCATTCTTTATCTAAATATATCACGATTTCCTCATACTGTAACTCATCAGGAAAACTCGTTCTGAGTCAACCGGTGAAATTGATCTCGAATCCTGCTGTAGCTATGCTACATCTCTATAGTCACGCTGGCGTGCCGGAAATAGCCCTCTACGCTTTTCCCCTCGCGCCGACGATATCAACACACCATTCGAGGAAGGTATTAAATCCTTGGTCTGGATTGCCTTCGTAGGACTGCTAATTTCGCCGAATAAAGGCTTTTAACTTAGCAAAGAACTCCTTAATAGGATTTAAGTCTAGTGAATATAGAGGTAAGTATACTAACTTTACCCCGGCTCACAAGTATATCTATTCTATTCGGTCTAAGTGATAAAATAATATATTATCTATAACTAATATAGACTTTAGCTCTAGCTACTTCCTATAATAGAGCAGAAGCTACTAAATAAAATCCTTAAAGACGGAGGCATCGGTTAAGCCCTAGAACACTCGAGATAGAATAATACTATCTTAGGTATAGGCAGGTAGTATCTAATATCGCTGATCACGATAGAATTTAGACACTTAAACTAGCGCTATACCTAGTAGGGACTAACCCGTTCGCCTGAAGTCTATCCTTTTATTATGGCTAGACTTATCTATATAGATAAGGTAGTAAGACTAGAAGTCTGAGATATAATGAAAGTATTCGTTACGGAGCTCTAGGTTACGCTCTCGGGCACTAACGCGGGTAGTCTTTTTTAACTAGCCTTCGGACCTAAGGGCACCACTGATGCTCGATTTCGTCGCGAGAAGAGCGAATTCGTCCTATAGAAAAACCGCTATCTAGTCGAGGTATAAGGTAGGTTTTTCGAGCAGGTACTCGCACAACGCCTCGAGTATGACTAGTGTGATGTTACGGGGTCGTCCGTCTTTATTAGGGGATGCTTTAACGCCACTAAATATCTATATATTAGAAGAGGTTCTTCGGATAGTACTCCTGTTGTAGCTAGCAGCCTCTGCTATCTCCGATCCAGATAGTTCCCCACTGTGGATCATATCATAGATAAGCTTATGCTTAGGAGCTAGGTTTAGAGCTATCTTTAGTTCGACCACTTGCGATTGATTGTTAAGATACGCCTTCCGAGGAAGGCTATTTTGGAGGAGGGATATAGAGGTATAGATGAATTGAATTTACAAGCGAATACATGCTTGTAATTACTGTGTAATCTATATAAGAAGCAATACATGTTAAATTGACGGATTATTCATACCGATCAGTTTGACTATCAAAACCCCCCTTCTGTGTTTTGAATATTAAATTCAAGTAAATCTGAAGTTTGACAATATCCACATGGCCCTTCGGGACCAGTCTGTACTCGGTGACATCGCTCAGGATGAGATCCAAACCCCTTCGCCACAGAAGCACTCCGGGAATAGAACAATATACATTTCAAGGAACGATTGCGGCCTTGATGCAAATAATATTGGAAGGCTGGTAATCACTGACTTTGGTCTGTCTGTTGACGGGAGCAAATCTCCTTATAAACACACTATTCAACCGAATGGTTTCCGAGCCCCGAGGTTATTTTCGGAGCAGGCTGGGATTATAGTGTTGATATATGGAATTTAGGGGCATTGGTAAGGTCCAATCAATCCAGTTTCTGCCTAAGCTAACACTCTGAACGGATCTGGGAACTCTCGTGCGGGTTGGCCTTTTTTATTATCCCAAATCATCATCGGACTCGCCCTTCATCGCAGAGAATCATTTAGCGGCCATGATTTCCTTGATTGGCCCTCCTCCACAAGATGTTTTGAAGCGAGGAAATTACTGTTCGCGATATTTCAATGACGAGGGTGCTTCCTCACTGATAGATTTGCAGGAGATATCTTGCTGATTGCTAATTAGGTCAATTCAAACTTCACGATCTCATCACGCGACCAGGAGGGCTTGAAAATAAGCTTAACGTCACCGAAGGAGACGAGAAGAGGATGTTTATTGGTTTCATCTCAAAAATGCTTCGTTGGCGGCCAGAAGACAGAGCAACTGCAGAGGATCTCTTTTCTGACCCTTGGCTACAACTGTAGCTCTGCGTCTGTGTTCGCGTTAAATAGGAGGCTGTTTTTACGTACGAAATTTCAACGGCCTCTCAGAAGCAGGGAGAGGAGCAAAGTGAAAGGTGGAGTGGGGTCTACAAGTACAAGAGGTCAGGACGCATCCCAAGCTTCATAAGAAGTTACTCCTAATATAAAACAAGATCCGTCGAGTCCGCGAGGGTCTCCTTCTAGAAATCACAGAGGAGGACTGTTCTGACTAAATCAATATTCTTTCTAATGTTATTTTACCTAAACTTGATAAAGCACCTTTCGCTATTACTTTAGCGGTATATCACCACAGCACACACTTACAGGTATACAGCATGATGTTATAGGGTAAGTAAGAATTTTTCACGGGTCGTAGTTAGGGCGCTAACTGCTAAAGTATTATCGATTATGGATTTTTGTTAAGGGTTCCTTTCTAACAGGTAGCCTACTTTCCATAATTTCACTACCTCTAGAGCCTTGATATAGCCCCAAGTCTTACTCTCTTAAAAGTCTGGGAGGCGTATATCGTCTCCGTTCGATGCCAGAAATTACTAGCAGTGGTATCGATAAGGATTTAAATACTATCGTCTGAAATACTGACTTTATTACAGCTTTCTGGAATCGATTATAAGTAAAGGTACGCATCGACGACTGGCACGTAACGGGTAGAGGGTTTTATTGTGTGGATAAGGTAGTAATGATAAATACAACGAGAACGGAAGTAGACGTTTCTAGTCTAGTTAATATTATCTTTTCACATACTGCTTCACTGGCATAATGATGATGGTGGCCTTTCACGTCCGCGAACGGGGTACATAAGCCATGTTTTTAGTCTTAGCTCCAGGGAGTATATCCTTAGCGACGCTTTCTCAATACTATCATTCTAGAGGTCTAATTTCAAATTCCATGCCAGACTAATAGAACTTTCTCAAGAGTCTAGATGAGGAGCCCTGAAATTCATATAAGCAAATGGTATTTCCATACCCCCTGCCAAACTTCTGAATATCATCATCTATTAAGCTCGCTGCCTTGGAAGCCTCCGAAGCCTCGATAATTTATACCTCATACTATGAGCAAGTATACGATAGCACCGACAAAATGATAATACTAATCCAGTAAGTAGTAAGTACTATGTCCCCATCCAACCCGCCCCCAAAAATAAACTCCCTCTCCACAAGTCATACTCCAGCCTGAACCCTTAGACCCCCTCCGATCCTTCCTTGGCAGTGCTTACTGAAACGGGACAGCCCGCAGACACAGCCAATAACATGGCTGCTCCAGACCCGGAGACCCTTATCCCGCTAGTCATGAGAGCCGATTCTGCAGGTTATTTTCGGATGGATAATCACAGGGATCTATTCTTGGATTTGTATTTGGCTACTGTACGGGTTAGAGTGAGAGTGAGGGGGAGGGGGAGCAGGTTGGGATAAATAGTTTCGGGCTGCCGCCCTCCGTTTTTGAGGGACTTGGTTTGTTTTCTGCTTTCTTTGATCTTGGTCCCTACTACGAGCCCTGTTGGAAGAGATGCTTGGTAGATTTGAGTAAGTTTGTTTCTCTTTCGCTGAAGAACATAAGGAGTGAAGCATGTGGTATCAAAACGTGGAGGGAATATAACAGCAGTCCGCTCGACGAAAACCAGAAAACGCCGTCAGATGTGGTGGGTGGGTAAGTATACACCCTCGAAGAACCCTATCCCAGTCCATTCCGTTCAATCATAACATTAGGGGGAAGGCATGGTATCAATCCAGTATGTGCTGCCATAACACTCACTGACCAAACAACGAACAGAACACTTTTCACTCTCTATCCGGAGCAAAAGGCCACAGCTCTCCGTTAAAAAGGCTGTTTTTTATCTGGATAAAAGTCACCGTGCCACATATGCGGCGACACATACGGCGCTGGCGGCGGCGGCGACTGCACGATATGATCCGAATACGGGTCTTTCCGATCCGGATCGAAGCTGTGCGCGCCCATTTGCGGGGTGGCATGGTAATTAGACGGTGATGTCTCCGTGAGCTCGTACGAATACCCAGTCTTGGAATAATCATGTGCGTACCCAACCGCATGACTTTGTCCATCGCTTTCGGTGAAGCCGAAGCCGGACCCATATCCGGGGTCATGCACGCCGTATCCAGCGGCGTGCATCTGATGTGGAGAGCCCCAGCCGCCTTGCGCCTGCTGGGGCGTGCTGATGGAGGTATCGTTCCAGCGAGCGTACAGGTGGTCCTGGTAGCGGCCGCGACCAACACTCTTGCGCCGCCAGCGGATGAAGAAGAAGCAGCAGGCGCCTAGACTGCAGACGATGATTATGAAGCCCACGATGGGCACGGCAATAACAACGCCCAGATTCACGCCTGAGCCGCCGGAAGGAGTGGAAGTGGCAAGCGACATACTCGAGGGGAGGAGGGTTTCGGTGAAGATGCGTGAGGGGGCGATGTCGAAGGCAAGGCCGACACCGGTTTTGTAGTGGCAGTTATACCGGACGGATTCGAGGACTGGAGATTTCCAAGGGGGTTAGTCGGGGCTTCTTTCTCTGTCAACACTGCGGGAATTGGATATACGCACAGTTCGCAATGTACACCTGCGGATTCGTCTGCTGGTAGGTCAGGTTGTAGCAGAACTCGCAATCGTTGATGACATTATCGGCAAAACCAGTTGTCGAACACCAGTCATTGAAATTATTCGCACCGGGATCGAGAAGGTCGACTTCCACGGCGCTCTGGACGCTACTACAGGTGACAGTGCATGGGGTGGAGATATTCGCCGCGCTCTCCGGGTATCCGAAAACACAGGAAGAGACTGCATAGCGCAGGTTATCTGCGATCAACCTTGGTTAGCAGACTAGGTCAACTTCAAAAAGACCATTTTTCCTGCGATCGACTCACAGAGACCCCAGTTAACATCCGTCTCGCCACTCAATCGATCTACATAGGAACTCTCCAACTGACAGCTGACGCAGTCTTCGAAGGTCTTTCCCTTGGAATCGCCGTAGCTATTGTCTAAACAAACAATCTCCGAGGCTGTCGTGTTCGTGGATACTTTATTGCAGACACTGGCACAGGGCGATCCCCCCGTCGTCCTTAGTCCTAGGGCAACTGGTACAGGACTGGTGACGAGTGCAGTAAGCAGGGCAATCACCAGCTTCCTGGGAGATCGCGGGCCATGGACCCACGACCCAGGCATGTTGATTATGGATGAGACGTGGGCAGGCGCACACTCGACAGGCTTCCTTCACCCCGCGACGGACAAGACAATGGTGAAATGGTGAGGGGCGGAAGGAGGAATGAGGCCTAGCGCCGGGAAGATAGCGATCAGGCTCTCATGGAAATAGAAAAAGCGAGGTTCAACGCAAGTTTCGGATAGAACGACGCAGAAGAAAGTCCAGTTGCAGAGGGAAGGCTTCTGTTTTCAGTGTCTGGTAGCTCCTCCCAGCGGCCCTGACCGGGTGGGTGGGATGCTCGAGATGGGAAGTGGTACCGACCAGAAAGAAAAGTGCAGGAACCGTAGTCGCTGGCAGCTCAGCACTTTAGCTGTCTTGGGGCGGGGAGGAGAGAGGGGGATAGGAAATGTCACAACGGTGCCTGTCGAATCAAGTACCGAGGAGCCAGGGTGGTGAGCGTGGGCGCTTCGAGCTGGTCACCGAGAGGCTTGGGGATGAGCCACTAGCAGGGAAGCAATGGTTGGCGGAGGATGCAGCATCGCTCATCCTGGCTCGCAGAGTGGATCTTGGCGAGACGTGACGAGTGTGATGAGAGGTCCAGGGTGATTGGTGATGGGCGGTTGTGACTGTGACTGGTGCTGCATAATCTGCACGGACCGGGCGGGTGTTTGCTGGTCACTCCATAAGTCTTGCTCTGCTGGTTCCCCCAGTGGGATTGGTGCCTGCTAGGCTCTTTTGGAGGCGGATGTCGGACACTGTGACGGGAATTTGCAGGGATGACAGAGGTAAAGTACCTATCACGGCTCGTAGGACTGGAGGTTCGAGTTCTTGTACAAAGAACTCTGTACTCCGTATAGTTCGTAGAGTGGAGTGTCCACAACGTAAAGTGGAGACCAGCAAGAAGCGCCAACGCTGTCTTACCACGGAACCTTCAGATCGGGCTTTTTGAAGGAAGAAAAACATTGACTATAGGAACAGGCACTGGATGCAAGGAACTAACACCGAATGATTGGGAAAATACAGTGCCATCCAAAGAAGCCATAGACACTCAAGGCCTTCCAGACAATAAACTCAAAAATCAAACTACAAAATTCACAAGACTGCCTCCCACATACTAGTATAAACAGTCTCTAGGCCGCCAATGAAATAAGAAAAAAGAAGTATAAAAGTACGCAACGAAAGGGCCCATCCATCACCCATAAAGTTCATCGTAGGACGGAACCATCTGCTGCCGAGCCGCGGACTCGGACTCCCGGTGCCTTGGGCGGGGAGCAGATCGTTTCTCGTATGCAGGATACCCATTGTTGAATGCAAAGCGTGGTGTATCAGGTGGAAGAGATGGTGCCGACACCGACGAGGCAGCGGTATAGCTGGTCCGTCGAGAGCTCGCTGTTCCCGCGACAGACGAGGTTGGCTCGGTAGATGAGCTCTGTTGGCTGAGACGGCGCATACGTTGGGTAATAGACAGCGGGGGTGATTTGGATGCGCGATCGAAATAAGGATCTTGGTCTTCTCGCGGTGAAATTTGCGGCCGGTCTCCTGTCAGGGGGCTGTGGAAGACCAGTCCTCCACCTGGGTCTCCCAGGGTATCGCGTCCTTCTTCTTCCTCGTCGTCGTCTTCGTCGCATGAGTCATCCGGAGATGAATCCCCAATTGTCCTGTTCATCTCGTGTGTAGTTCCATCAATACGAAGCCCTTCAACAGGTGGCATTTGGCTTTTATCAGTCCGATGCCGTATATTCTCGTTGAAGTATCCCTTAGGGATCGCCGAGGCTGCATGGGCATGGTCCTCTCGAGCACTGAAGCTTTGATAGCCCGAGTCGCTCGGGGTTCTGGGGTTCTGGAATGGTGTCGTCTCCACGGGCACATAGTGTCGCGTCTCTTGCGTTTCTATATTGCGAGGGGACTTCGCCGAGGTATTTGTAACGAAGCCGGACGGTTGGCCCCGCTGGTTCCAGGACCCTTGGTTTGGGTAGCTGATAGATGGATCGCCCCAGCGGGTGTCTAGTTCGGACGAAAGCCTTTGCTTCCTTCTGAGTCTCTTCATGAGTCTCGCCATGGCCTTGAATGGGTTGATCATCGAGAGGATGCCCAGGAATGCAGAGCTCTTCAGCGACTTCGTGCTAACTTTGGAGTCCAAGGTGAAAAGTTCACACGGAGGACAGGCCACTCCCTAGTCCGGCGCTCATCTCAAGGCCAGTCAAATTCCCGAGGGCTCTCGAAGTCTCACCTCAAAGATCGCAGGCTCAAACCGGTACCAAGAGGGGGAAATATATACAAACAGAACCGGGTTGAACGAGGTCGCGCACGCACGAGTTGTCGTTATATCAATAAGAACCAAGACTGTTAAGAGAGACTATGCCCCCGCCCCATGTTTGTACATTCATCAAGAACGGGAAAAGATCTTCTGGAGGAGATTCACTTGGTGTTGGAAATGTGAAAGCAATTCTCCAAAGATGAGGCAGACTCGAGTTGGGGGCCCGACACACTGGGTCAACCCCTCCGGCGGTGGCCCCGGGGGCGCCACTTGGGATGAAGACGATGCGAGTTCCGCACAGTCAACAGCGCTTCAGCAAGCAGCAAAGCAACAACCAACGAACCAGCCGTAAGCGCGAAAACTTGATCGGGCGACCAGGTTGGATTGGAGAGGGATCCTTCGAGGACTGCAGGTGTTGGTACGCGGTTGCACACGAAGAGGGGTAAACCCTCATTAGTTCGATTAACTCGAGGCGTGAAAATCGTATGGAAAATGGAAAAGGAAATTCGGGGGGGGGGGGGGGGGGGGGGAAGGGACATGCAGCAAATCCCCGTTACGACCTCCTGGTCCTTTTTTTTCCCTGGGATCGTGTGAACATGGCAGGGAGGTCAGTTGCAACTTTTGCGGCGCAGGACTTGCAGGTCGACTTGACAGTGTTGATAGCGAGTCAGGCATAGGCTGTACATGATATCAATGCACCATCATCCGCCGTCATCTTGGCATGGCGCTTGTTCTGGGATCTGCACCTGCACACGACCGGGGCCGGAAGACCTGGATGGGGAAGTCGGACAGAGGAATGTAGACTAGAGGGTACGGATATACCGGTAGATCGATGAGAAAGAGATTGGCCGTTCTTTCGTCAACCCCCTGTCTGCTGGGGGATGTTGGTGCAACCACAATCTGATGAGCCCTGTCGACAGGGAGGCTCCCCCGCCTGACCCATCCTTCCGTGATGAGGTTCTCTCTCGCTTCTGGTACGAGCAGACAGGAAAAGCCACTAAGAGCAGCAGGGATCAGAAAGAGGGGGTGCATGAGGGCTCCATCGTCAAAGTTGACAAAGACGGTACACTGTTTCACTATGACGCATTCCAATCCCTGCATCGGAGTGGATTTCGAGCCCGCGAGTGGAGATCATGATGGGGTTGGGGCACCGCGTGTGTAGCGAGGCCAGCGAGTACACAGTTCGTGTTGCCAACGGGGGATAGCTTCAAGTAGATCTTGAAGATAGGACGTTTTACCTTGAGAGAGGGGCCAACCAGTCAAAAAGCCTTGGGGCTTGATGTTGGACCGTGGTTCGGAATCCAACAAGGTTGATCGTCCCGTTGACCCTCGTGGCGGGAGTACATCATGCTCCGAGCTTATCTGTCAGGCGCGTGCAGGACCTCGTACTATACAGAGTACTGCACTGTGGTACTGTAGACCACAGCAGAGAGAAAGTGGGGCAAGGCACTCGGCGAGGATTTCAGCCACCAAAATCCACCGCTGCACGATGTTCTGGTCAGCGGGAGGTGTTGGAGAGCCCGTTGGCTGCGCAAGATCGACGGCGCGGGGAATAATCAATGCACAGGCCACAGGCGCCTGTTTGGGAGTCTCGATCATCTTCCGTTGGCTTTAGTAGGCTCCACTACGATGGACTCGGTGAATTAACATGCAAATGTCTCAGAAAACATATCAAATCTTTACGGCCGTTCATCGGAGTTCTGTCTGACCGAACAAGCGCGGAAATCGTTCGGAGATCGAGTGACAGTATACACTAAATCTTAGCAAGTATACAGGTTACATCGCGTTCACTCTACCCTGCGCCTACGGGGGAAGACCGCGGAGCTTTCAAATCCTTTCTTAATTATCACTGGTTCTTATTAAATCAAGAGGACTTGAGTCCTATCCAACTAGTTAATTAAGTCAATATCCCCAAGAAAACTCCATGCGCCTTGCTGTTCATCACATTCATGAATCGGAGGCCTTTTAACAGCCATCCTCGATCCTGATCCATTCACAAGGATCAATAAGAGAAAAAAAACGAAAAAAAAAAAAAAAAAAGGAGAAATTGATCATCGCAATTATCAATAATTCCACCCCTCTCCTCTGTGTTTTCTTTTTTCTCTTTCCTCCATCCTCTTTAGCTGAAATTGGTAATCAGCCGTGAAAGCACCGGTTTAGGCCGTCGAGGCCCCCGATTGCCCTGTCCATCACCCGCAGGAATGGGTTCAGAAACACTCCGTTCCCTCCCATCCCCCGATCCAGACGAGCGGTGTTCGGCCGAGGCACCGGAGGAAAATGGCATGATAGACTGCGTTCGAGCGTGCGCGGCCATTCTCCGCTGCGGCATTGGTGGTGCGGAGGACAAGTCCGGAGCGGCTGCCGGGGGCGGCTGGCCGTAGATCGACAAGGGCCGCGCATCATTATAGTGCACCTCGTTCAGGCGGGAGGGTTGGGCCCTGGCATTAGGGTAGTGGAAGGCGAGTCGATCGGCCGTGGGGGTCAGGGATGGTTGGATGGTTTGGTACTTTGATGGGTCGTAGGCTGGTAGGGCCGGGTATCGGGGCACATCGAAGGATGCTCGTGGGAGTTGCTGCTGCGGGTTCTGATGGTGATATTGGTATGCTTGCTGGTGGCTATATTGACCGTATTGACCGGACTGGTGGGGATAGTAGTAGCCACCATAGGCATGATGCTGGCCCGAGTGGGCCTGGCGACGGTGGTCCGGAGCAAAAGAGGATAACGGCCGGGGATACGCCGAGCGGGGCCCATTGAGCGGTTCGTAGAAGTCGGACCTGTACGCTGGAGGCACTTGAGGTGGCGCTAGTTGCTCAGCTTGCTGCGCCTGTTGCTTTCGCTTCGCTCTCTCCTTACGAGAGAAGAGGTGTAAAAGACCGCCCGTCACTGTGGGGTTGGGTTGCGATGGTTAGCGTGCGTGATTCACCCGTTTAAAGTACCTCGTCTTTGTTGCCCCCGGTTGCACCCCTGGTCGCTAGCTGGATAATTTGTGGCCGAACCTACTGGCAAGGATTTGAGATGCTCGCCACCAACACACCAATTAGAGTCCTTCTGGAAGAGACGTTGGTCGGTAGATCGTGTGATGAGAGATGGAAATTCACTCATATCCCGGTCCCTTGGCGAGACGAAGCGACTCAAAATCGATGAAAAAATCGATAAACAATAAAACCCGTCCGAAAAATGCGAAGCTAGTGATCAGCAATGCAGATGACAGTCACAGTCAGCTACCGGGGGGTTTGGATTGCGAGGAGGAGTCAAGCCAATCCAAATCTCAGCGCGCAACAAATTAACACGAAATCACTCGAATCCCCATGCCCGCCAGACTTCGAGTTGGGCCCCGATATAGTTGGCCAAGAAGGTCGAACCATGAACCCCTCACACGGAGACGAAAAGCAGAATATCAGATTGCAGTGCATCTTTAATCCTTATAAGCCAGGCATAAGCCTGCAAGGCTCTCTCGGTAGAGCCGCCTCTCAAGCGCGAAGCTTTGCTTCTGACACAAGGACCCTGTTTCAGGTGAGATATTTTGAGAGTCCACGAACCCCGCCCAAAACGGGGTAAAGATAGCAAAGTTCGCCCAAAAGTTAGCCAAAATTAAGGAGGTAAAGATAGTATCAATTCAATCTAATTAATGGACTATAGATAGATCCAGAATGCCTCAACGGGCCCATAATGCACCATAATTAGCTCACAATTCCTCCTAATGCGGTGCCAGCTCATCGCGCGCAGTTGGGTACATTACGCTAACACGGTTAGCTCTTAGCCCCTGGGCCAGACCCCGTTGGAAAGAAGAGGAGAAAAGAAAAGAAAGCGCCCGAGCTGCAGCGGGTCAGATCACATCCATGCGCCTCGCAGAACCAACACTCCGACCTCACTGTGAGTGGCTGACTCTAAGCGCCTTCGAGGAACGGGCCAATCAAGTACTTTTGTAGAAACCAACAACAAAGCCAACACCAACTGCTGGAGTGTTCACTCTTTGTCGAAAGCACTGGCTGTTATTATTTAGGCTTGAATGAAGAAGGGATCGGCAATTAACGCTTGCTTATGCCTGTACTTGACTGTTATCGGCAGGAGACTACGAAGTATAGGTGGACTACAGGCGATGATCCTCTAGTATACTGTAGTGCAATATAGTATACCATGTACTATAGTACTTACTTTACAACTAGCTAATCCCGGAGAGGAAATTCTTGGATCTTAATTCATTCAAAGTATCTTCATACCCCACTATCTAGTACACCCAACCCATCTACAACACTCCAACACGCCAGAAACAAAACATGAACTAGACCAAGATAACACTCTCTAGCACCTCAAATCTGCTAACCAGCCCAAACCCCTTCCATAACCCTGGCCCAGTGGCTATACGGTCAATTCAGACCGTCCCCCCTCCTACTCAGCATACGCGCGGTAAACCGCCAACCCCTTCTCCGTCCCAAAATCCAACGCAACCCCCTGTCCAACAAAAAACACAAACCCCTCCTTCAACTCCAGCGTCCGACTCCCAGGAACTTTCATCGACCCGCACCCTTTGGTAACAATCAACAGACTCGGGCCCAAAATCGCCTTATGCGTCTCCGTCTCGCCCGCCCCCAGCGTCGTAACAAGCACCGCGAACTCACTAATCGGCGGCGCATACACATCCGTGCGGCCCTGCATCCCCTTATCACTCTTGCGTCGGGGTAATAATGCCCCCTGCGCATCGTGCGGGACAAACGTCAGCGCTTGCCCAAAGAGCTCGACGCTATCGCGCATCGCGGCGGGACAGAACCCGGTGTTGATTACGTTGTCCGAGCGGGCCATGCACTCGACTATGTCGCCTTCGAGGTAGGCGTGGATACTATCTGCGGGCACGAAGACGGAGTCTCCCGGGCCGAGGGTGAGATAGTTCATTAACAGGGCGGCGACGAGGTTGCCGTTGTCCGTGTCGGTGTATTGTTTGCTCAGGCGGTCCAGCAGACCCGGGATATAGGGCTCTGCGCCGAATTGAGACTGCGGTAGACTTTGGAGCTCTTTGATTGTGGTGGCGACTTCATTGGGAGGGGCGCTGAGGAGAGCCATGCATATTTTTCGGAGGGTTTCGTCGTCGAAGGTTGTTGACTTGTTGGGGACGAATTGCTCTAGCGGTTTGAGGGTGAAGAGGGCTTGGATGTCTTTGAGTGGCTTCCAGCCGGCGAAGAGCTCGAATTTGGAGAGGGCGACTGCGATTTCGGGCTTGTGGTTGGTGTCGCCGTATTTCTTGGGGTCTTCTGTGTGTAGTTTCTCGGCGAGCTTCAAGTCGGGATGGATTTGGAGAGGTAGTGCTTTGCAGAAGGAGAGGATCTAGAAATGCCGTGTTAAATTTGAGATGTTCTTTCGAAAGTCCTATGTTCTTCTTACCTTGGGCAAGAATGGGATCTCAGGTCCCCATCGGTCCAGGACTGACTTGCCCACCAGCTGGGGGTTCTTCTTGATGTAATCCCCCAGCTGTTCGCCCGTGGACAAGAGATACGATGGATTCGACGGGTAAGTGCCCATCCACATCTAGTCATATTCATTAGGCCACTCAATCTGTTGTAGGGATTTGAGTAGCGAAGACTTACCTCAGAGTAGTGTTTGGACTCGTCGATTCCATCACTCCCAGGCGATTTCGACCATAATTGAGCGACAATCGACTCCTTTCCCTTCTTCCCCCAGTCGTCATTCTGTATCAAGGTGATCAGTATGTACGAATGTCTATTTTCCATAGGGAGCATCGGACATACCTTGACGCCGCACCGCAATTGGACTACCGCGTCTGCCATGGTCGATGTGTATCAATCTATAACAGCGAAGAGACTGTAATGTATAGTGGCTGATGATGAAAATAGGGGAAGAGAATTTTGATTTTGAACGATCTATGTTGCAGAATACAAAGAAAAGAGAATAAATTGCAGATGTCTCTCTTCCCTAGACCTTGTCAATGCGTCATGGTGAGCAAGCCCGGGTTGGACGTTTCCTACGCAGAGGCGGTGGGCACAAGAAAATGGCTCAATCTTGACAAATCTATCAGCAAAAAATGGAGTTACAGCCCACCAATTGCATTTTGCACAAGGGAGGCGGCCTCGGTGTTGTGGTGCCGGAAGATCAAGGCTAGTCCAGAGAACATGTCCTGGGCGCTTTAAATCAGATTGACGTCATCGGCCAAACACGTTCGACGTTTTGCAGGCTTGTTGGGAGAGGAAGGATCGGCATTGCAACTCATATCTTATTCTCATCTATGATCCAAGTTCAAGATTCATTTCAGGGAAAGAAAATAATATTGATTGCATTCTGTGGTAACTAAGAGATGAATCGAAACCACCCATGACCCGGACGCCCTGTAATGCCAAATATAAACTCCACACCATGATCATATAGCCGCTAACCAGTCACTCTCGCGACTATCAAAAATAAATCATAAATTGTTGAAATCGATTGTCCGTTACTCATAAATGTCTTCCGGATTAGGCACCATCGCCAAAGTCATGGGCTTCAAAGACAACGACCTCCTTCGATCGGCCGCAACAAACGGCGAAGTCCGGCGTCTCGGGGGTAAACCAAAGCTCTGTCTAGACCCAGACCCAGACCCGGAGCTGTCAGAACTACCGGCAATACTGGATCGCACACTTTGGTGGTCATCCTCTGGGTAGTAACTTTGTCGCGAGCTGAACCTTGTTTGCTCGCGGCCGCGTTCTCGTTCATAACTTTCGAGAGAGTCGGAGATGGAGTCTCGCCGTGTATGTGAGCCCCTGAAGGACGTTGCTGATTGGCTTCGTGGGCTTCGAGGAGAGGGGATGTCCTCGAGGTATCGCCCATTTGTAGGGATGTAGCGATAGCGATGGGTGGAACGTTCTGACTTTTCTGATATCTCGGCTGTGTAGTCTTGGTGAATGGGTTTGTAGGCAAACTCTGGCCTCTGATGCTCTGCGTTGTGGCATGCTCGTTCCACTGATGATTCACCTCTGAGGTGTTTTGGACGAGAAGCGAGGCGTACCGATAGCCTGTTGGATCGCAGCCCTCCTAGAGACAGCGAGTTTCGTCGTGATATAGACATGACGGAAGCTCTATCCGTGGAAGTACTTTTGTTATCTTCGTTGGCGTCCCCGCTCCTAAGAACGCTCTCTCTAGAAGCAATGCTGCCTGACGTGTTATGGATTCGATCTGACGGCGAGCAATCCGGTACGAACCCCGGCCCGTATGACTGTCTCTCTAGGGGTGGTCGATGGGGGTTATCATATTGATTCCATGACCCATCTGTAGGCACCGAAATATCCACGTCCCCCCATCGAGAATGCAGGATTTTGGGGGATTCTGGGCGGCGCAACATGGCCAGAGGTTTATTGACAATGCCCGCCATGCTGACTATAGAATCCCCAATGGTGTGCGAGACTGCGGGTGGGGCCGACAGCTGACATTCGAGTGTAGCGGGGGATTAATCGAGGAGGCAAAGAGTATCGACCGAGCTAGAAGTGCTAGAGGTGCGAATGTGTCTCTTCAAGTAATGCGGCACAGCCCCCGGACTGAGCTGACGCAGACTAGCACCTCCAAGAACCACCAAGGCTGAGGAAGAACAGAGAGAGCCCGGGTTTTTTTTCACGTCAAGGAATCTGCCGATGGCTTGCATGTAGGGCACAAGACCATCCAACAGAAACGAGAAAGGCCAGCTCGGATTGGACAAGGCCAGGATCGAGGCGAACAAGGGTCTGGAGGGTGGGTGGAGGGGTGGGAGCCAATGGCCGGGGCTGCCCCGAGACAGTTCAGCTGTCGAATCAAGAGAAAAACGAGGCACGAGAAGACCACACAATCCCAGGCTGAAATTCCTCTCCCAGTACCAGCCAAAGCCGAACAATGGCAGGCTACCAGGTCAGCGAAGGATTCGTGTGGGCTTCATGACAACGGGAGGCGCCCAGATATAAAGCTTGATCGCCAGACCGTGCATTTTTTAGTCCTTCCGACGTGCATGACGTGAAGCATCAGGAGAGCTGCACGAGCTGCGGGAGGAGCAGGACCAATGCGGGCGTGTGGTGGATGAAGCCAATGGACGGAGTGCATTGGCGCTGGGTCGCTGCAGAAGTGCGGAGAGATCAGCGGACAGACCCGACGACAAGAATAATTAGCACGCGTTGGCAGCTGGGAAGGTAACAAAGAGAGGGGCCTTAAAATAGAAGTCAATTAGTGGCAATTTACTCATCCTGGTCAGTGTCACCCTGCTTCGGAGTTCACCTGTCAACCTTAATACAGCCTAATTAGGGGGATATTTTTAGCAAATTGATCCCAGTTGGGGACTAAAGTCTGCATTCTTTCGCTGCATAATTAGTCCCATTAGTCCTCGCTGTAGTACTACTGCAGGGTAGCGCGCGCGATAGCTTGAAGAACGTTCCCGCCTAGTTCTCTGTACAATGGCAATGTCAATGGGTTGCAAATCCGCGGAAGACCGGCTATTTTAGAAACCTTCCGAATAACAGTTGAGGAGGAAGTGGAGACGCTTTATTGTCAATCAAAGTTATAATGAGTGTATATTGACATGGAGAAATTATGTTCTAAAGTCGAGCAAATTGAAGTAGTACAAATAATTGAACCTGCGGGCGCTGGTCGGCAGCTCTTGAGCCCTAAAAAGAGTATCCCTAAAAAGAGTATTCCAGCCCTCCATAGCCATATCCCAGTTGATCGTACATAAATCCAAACACAGAGAAGAGTCTGGTAGCTGGGACTGATTCAAATTCCAATTTACATCCCAGGTTCACATCTAACGGGCGTAGACACGTCTCTGCATGGCCACTGGTAGTCGATACAGCCCTGATAAAGGACTCATAATGACCATTCTTTAAACACGAGCAGTTGGGACAGGGCCTGCCGGAGCAGAGCCAGAGGGAGGTGGGCCCGAGGGAGCAGGTCCCGATGGAACAGGGCCACTGGGCTCGGGGAAAGGAGGCAGACCACGCTCGTTAAAAGAATCCCCCGATGGAGGGAACCCAACAGGAACACCAGAGGCATTGGGGAAGCTACCACTAGGCTGAGAGAAGCCCGTATGAGTAACAGAAGGGGCTGGACCAGAAGTCATAAGGCCAGAGGGAGCCAGGCCGCTAGGCTGAGCAAACTGACGCTTGCCGATTTCACCAAAGCCACCAAACCCGGGGAGTCCAGAGGGAAGACTGGTAGGGAAACCAGAGGGAATAGAGAAAGGCAGGCCAGTAGGGATTCCAAAGTCCTGGCGGCGCTCGAAGCCACTGAAGGCACCAGAGGGTTCTGGGAAAGCCGAGAGTGTGCCGGAGGGGGAGGGCTGCTGGGAAATCCGAAACCGCCTGAGGGCTCGGGGAAAGATCCAAACTGACGCTTATCGAAGTCGCTGGCGCTGGGTGGTGGGGGAGGAGGACCCGAAGGCGTGGGTTGGTCGGATGGTTGAGGGCCAATATGATGAGGGCCGTGGGGTAGGGCGAGGGCGCAGCCCATCAAACCCATGGCAGTGAGGCCGGTGAACTTCATTGTCTGTTGTTTATAGATGATAAGGAAGGTCGTATCGAATTGAATGGCGTGGCAGGAAGGAATGGACGGTGTTCAAATTGGCGAACACTTTCGATTGAGGGATGTTGGGCCCTTGAAAAATGTAGGATATCAAGGAAGACTGGAGACTGGACGATACGACGGTTTGAGGATGTCTTTATAGGGCTACTCAGAGCTCGAGAGCGCACCAGCCATCTGGCTTCAGACTGCTGGGTCCATTACTCCTCGGCTCTTCCGTGATCGGGCAGTCACCTTAAGAAATCAGCGCTGTCCAGGCTGGGCCACATCCATGGAGCGGAACAAGCTTGAAGGTGGATGTTGTCGATCCCAGCCCAGTCTGAGGAACTTGATGGGTCCTCAAACCCAGACCCATCAGGGGATACCCTAGGGCCGCTAGGTACAGGGACGTTTCCAGGCACTTTCGGCAATTCACAACCAGGGCTGAAACATTTTCCACTATTGAGTGAAATATGTGGTGGCTACTGGTCAAGTAACTAGTGGGTGGAACCGGGGAGGTTGAAAGTAAAGTGGCTCTGCAGGGACACAACGGGGTAAGTATCGACATTCGCTTGGATAACTTGAACGAGGTAGCGTATCCAGACAATAGCGCGACGATCTTGTTCCGTGTACAGTGGCGTTCCATAAGTTTGCAACACCCGGGAAAGTTCAAACCCATCTCATCAGCTATACTTTAAAGGGCATGTTGAATAAAACTGCCGGGAATATCTAGATAGAGGATTCAAAAGACATTCAGAAAGATCTAAAAAAGTCAAGTCGAAGCATATTTAGATGGTTTTTTTCCTTGGTCTCTGGTTTCAGACTTTTGAATTACCACTGTATACAGGGTTCCACAAGTATGAAACCCCAGAAATCCCTCCAAAATCATCTGTATCAGTCGCAAATTGAGCGATAAACTAGAAGATAGTTTCAGAGTTATTTAAAATGACGCTTTAAATTGCATTTCAAACAGATCTTTCGAAAGAAGGAAGGCAGACATGGCTGGTTAGACCCTCTCTCCGTCCTCTGGGTGCAGAATTTTTTGAACTCCGAATTATATCAGACTGCCGGGGTGGTCTGATCATATCAGGATGCTCAACGAGTCCAAATAACCGTCGCAGCTCCGCAAAGTGGATCAACGGGCTGGATCAAGCGCCAGAAAGGAGAGCTAGACTGGGAACTAGGGCCGTGAAGCTTAATTTCGGAACATGAAAGTCCCCTGCCCTCAGGTTGAGGGTCACTATAGACATATTCTTGGCACAATTAACAGGGCTTTGTCGGCATATCCGAGAAGTGTTGACAAGATTTGACGATGGTCTGGGGCAGTTTGCACATCCTAGTCGCCGAATACCCAGGATTCTTGTCATCATCTGGCCCTACCACCCCGGCCACATGGTGGATATCAAGCGTGGCTGAGACAGGGCATGTATCAGAGTGGCAGCCATTATGGGTTGGGGGCTAGTCCCCTTGGACTGATTCTCTTTCTCGCCCTGATTCTTGTCCCTTGCAGTTTGGAAACGGGGTCGATGGACGATCTCTACTGATTGATAACCGACTGTCCAATGGCCAGCAATCGATCGGCAAGTGGGCCAGCTCGGCTGGAATTTGGATTCGGAGTCTTGAACGGTTTCTCATCTGGAATAACAATCCCGAGCCATGTTTTTATGACGGCAAAGCATGATGCAGACCCTTCTCATGTCGTGAGCCGCGATAGAGATGTCTGTTTTGCAAATCTTGCGAGCATGATCTTCATGTCGCGGGATATCGCTAGATTTGAGACACCGCTGTCCAGACCAGATGGAACACTGGTGGCACCAAGCTGTGTTTCAAGATGAGAGATAGCCGGGCAAGTCCAGGCCTACTACCACTTCTCTTCAGCTGCAGAGTTCTTGGAAGTTGGAACAGTTGAAGCGAGTCTACCGTGTCGTCGTCAGCCTTGGGTTGTTTGCGGTTTAGTGTGGGCGGGACCTGGTCGTCTAAACTGCATCAAGGTGCCTTTAGCCTGTCTGGTGGAGCCGTGACTTCAGGGATCGACGGTCTAACCATCTGTTGAAAGAGCGGAAGTGAGCACGGCTAGGATTGAATGAATCCCTGCCGTGGCGAGTGACGGAGAGCGAAGGAGCAAAGTGAAGTTTAGCTGAGGGCTGATTGCTGATCGCTCGTCCTAGTCTGCTGGCTTCCATTCTCAAGACGGACCTTAGTAGTCATGACCTCAACAAGAACGAGGATGGATGCAAAGTCCCGGTCCTCAACATTGGCGATTTAAATGCATGTCGCATGTCTCGGGCCTGTGCCTTCCTTTGCAACTAACCTTACCGGACCACAATTCATGTTTTCTGTTAAAACAGTCTCTCCGCTTGCTAAAAGAATCTTAAGGATCTAGCACCAAGCCCATTAAGCCCAACATGCCAAGAGCGGAGATTCGCTCTCCGTATTCTTAGCTGAAAGCGTTAGATAGCGCCGATCAAAAGGAGAACTCAAAACCACGCGTAGTACTCCAAAGGTCTATGAGTAGATAGTGTTGCTAGCGATATTGTGTCTTGACACCACCGTAATGTATAATGCAAATGTGTCGGGTTCGCCTCCACGCCAGGTCCATCCCTGCTATATACACTTGAAACCGCCACACACCTGTCATAGAGTGATGGCAGGCCAGAAAGATAGACTCTATCTTGTACCCCATATCAAGCCCAAAAAACACAAGGTTAAAAGGATGTCCCGAAAGGTACGACGCCAAGCCGGTCTAGACAAAGGAGAATCCCGAACGATGGTGAAGATCAAGTTCCAATTTCAAAGACAGTGTAGTGGGTAGAGTATACGGGGTAGGGCGATATGAACAGAAATTGAGGGGATTCAAGAATAAAGAGTAAATGGGTATTCTAAGAGTTGGGGATCTTGTCCCGGGGATTGACTTCCCCGTCCGAGAGTGGCCAGCGTTGAACCAGGAGGAGCGAAGGTCTCCCCGACTATTGCGATGACGGAAATCTGGTTGAAAATTCTGTACTGCTCGAGTGCGGTCATGAACGCGCTTTGCGCGTGAACGAGTCAGGAGAGGTCGGGTGTACCGTCGGCGTCATACTCAGCAGATGACGAGACGAAGGCGACAAAGCCATGGAGATCTCTCGAGCCGAAGCAGCATAGACCTGTTTTGGCGAGCCTCTATGGCCTGAGCCGGACCGTTGCCGCCTTCCAGACGAGAATGAAGATCGCCGAGATCGGACGGGACTATGCAGGCCATGACTTAACTCTTCTCCGTGCGAAGAGATATCCCACGAACCTCGGGGATGGGAAGGCCGAGATTGGATGGAGTAGGATAGACCGCAATCCTCGTCATCATCACTGTCTGATTCTATTGAGAAGAACCCCGTGCCGACGGTGATGGTTGATCGACGGCGGTGGGCCTTGGGCCGGGTTGGCACGGAGATGAAATCATTTGATGAGGTGAAGGAGGGGTTTTCCAGGGAAATGGTACTGCGTGCTTTTCGCAGTCCCTGCGCAGTGTTACTGCGTGAGAGGGCTTTCGTGCGCCTTCCTTCCAGCTCGTGACTGAGTGAACCGCGTCTGCGATGCCGGATACGCCCTCGTCCCATACCGCTTTCTATAGACTCTGTAGAATGATGAACACCGTTCATGTGCAGCTCCAATTGGCCAGGACTAAAAGCGACCCGGGCGCGCATCTGTTGAACGGCACGGTCGAGTGCCAATTCGATGGCACAGGCATTCCTGATCCGGCTTAATCGGGGCCATGTCGCGCGTTCTCCACTCAAACAAGCCTGTAGCATGAATTCAGTGGTTGGATTCTCAAGGATTCGTGGGAAGTTCGATGAAATCAATTCCGGGTAGATGTTGATGTCGCCGCTATATTTCTGATTCATGATTGAAGCCGCTTTGGTCATGGAAGTGGGAAAGACCCCGAGTTCTGAGAGGACGGTCATTCTGTAGAGTACCTCGTCCTTTGCAAGGTGGGTCATCGTATTCATCCAGCGAGGAATGAAGGATGAGCTCTGCTCGGCGTGATTGGTTGGACCATCTTCTTTGGGTAAGAAGGGCACAACGTGTGGGTTGACTTGTGAAACGATGAAGTGATTGACGTTGAACATTTCGGATAGTCGTGTCATGGGCAGATCACCGTCCACCGAGCCATCAATATACTGTTTGTGGAGGTCATTCCAAGGAGTTGGCTCTCCTGTCAATGGGTCTTTGGCCATCAGAGTGAAGGGCCGGAACACCAATGGGACAGAGCATGACACCGCCCTGAGATACATTAGACAAGATGGAACCGGGAAAGAAAGAAGATAGGTACTCACACTGCCGACCAGATCAACACGTTGGGGGCAGAGATGTAGTTGAGCAGTCGAGGTAGCTCATACATGCCGGCGCTCGACACGCAAATATTCAAAATCCTGCGGGTTCGGTTATATGCCTCTTGGAACGTCATGTCCCCCAGCCATGCCCGCATCGTATTTGCCAAATGATTTATGTCAAGGAAGGATCCAAACTTCAAAAACCGCGCCGTCTTCTGAAAAATATTCTCTTCCTGTCCATGCTCATTGAAGACTGCAAAGTCCCCATGCACATATGTATCCAACAAGGCTGGCAGCTCATCATCAGTGCGAGTGCAAAATACCGCACACACAATACTGCCTGCCGAGGCCCCAGAGATGATTCGCGGGATGAGCTTCGATTCATACAGGGCCTTGAGAACGCCAACGTGGTTCATGCCAAACGTGGCACCTCCTGAAAACAGAAGCGCACTTCGGCCAAATGCCTGTCGCGCTGCCAGCAACTGATCCAAAATGTACTTGAGCTCCAGCCCATCGCACCGGTTATGTACCGACAAATCCACCAAGGTGTCGATGGTCTCGAGCGCGGTCGTCATATACCGATCGATCAGGTCCTTTGTTCCAGTATGTGAGTGACGGTACAGGGAAGCGTTGCTCATCTTCCCCAGGTCGCGACTGAGGGCCGTCCGGACGAGAAACAGCATGCGACTCACGTCGCAGCTGATCCGCGCCTCCTCCAGCTGTCGTAACCGCTCCTGGACCACCTCCGGGTAGTACTCCGAGCATTCGACGGTACGCTTCCATGTTATATTGTCCTCCAACACGTCCAGTTCATTGGCGCATGTACACCACTCCTCGTACGACACGGCCTGCAGCCCAAGTCGCGATCAGCCGGGTCACTCTGCAGATGCGACTGCCCGCCCGGGACACAGCCAGCCGCCCTTGGTTTTGTACTCACATTCTTGATCTTCAAGTATAACACTTGTTTCCGATCCTCGATCTCTGCTTTCTGTCTCCGCTGTTCCGCGGAGAGCCCGTCGCGATAGGTGTGCAGGGTCTCCCCGGCCCAATTCCATGAATCCTTCACGATCGACGACACGGCCGGGATGGAGATGGCCTTGCGCAAGGAGCGTCGCGGGGATGATGGAAGGGCGACCAGGCTATCCGAATCACGTTTATGACATTGTGAATGGGCTATTGTGGAGTCGCCCAACATCGACATCGCAGGCCTGTGCATCGGGAGCAAGCCATCCAGCCGGGGTCAGTGGCCCACTTGGAGAACAGGGGGCGATCGCTTCGATAACCTTAAGTTGCGAAGGCAGGGAGGGTGTCGAGGACGACTGTGAACAGGAGAAGAGTAAGAATGAGAATGAGGAGAATGAAACCGAACAGAACCCTGGATGTAGCGACGGAGCAAGTTCTGGCGGTCTGAAGGAGGGCAAACGTCACGAGGGCCAATCGAACTCCGCCCGATGACCCCCCCCTAACCCCCAACTTTTTCCCCGGCCCGACGATGACTTGGGACTAATAACTTTCGGTTTTGAATTATGATGACACACTCTAATTTTCTTACTGTAACCCCCTTTTTTTGGTTGCTCAGCTCACCCGCTGCATGGCCCGCATGTATGTCTGCATGGATCCTCGATCTATATTGATCTGGCTGATTTCCTGCAGATTGCCGTGACTTTGACCCCCCACCCCCCAAACCTTCCCTGATGACCTCACTCCACCGCGATCATCTGGACGGGGGATCGGACTCTTGGTCTTGGAGCCTGACAGCGACTCACATGTGTCTGCATGTGAGACACAGTTGCTATGCGCCACGCTCAAAGTGGCTCAAAAGCTCAACAACGGTGGGATGTGGGATGTGCAGCGATATCGGTCAATACATACGTAGAGCAGCTGTGTACAGTACCATAATATACAAAGTGTCATCATCATCATTGGTGGATTCCATGAGTACATTAATACCGTACTATCTACAGTACTACAGTATAGTCGCGTCCTTTTTGCCACAAGAAAGAAAAAAAAAAAGGACTTCCATTCATACATACCACGCTCCTTAAATCCTCAAGATCGAAGCCATTCTTGGATAGCCCGTCTCGCCCGCATCTCCACACCATTCTCGCGCCAAAAATGCCCCGCACCCTCGATCTCGCAGCCCTGGAACTGACTCTGCGGCATGCGGCCCATCTCGACTGACCACCGCTGCAGTTTACGGGCAGCTGTAAAAGTGTCCTGATCCCCAAATAGCGCCAGCGTCCGGTGCGCACTCAGCTGGTCGGCTGGTTGGCCAGCGGGTCGGGCCTGAGCTGACGTTTTGCCCCCCACGTTTACTGATAGGGCGGAGAATGCAGTCAGAAGCTGGCTCACGGGTGGGAGTAATGGTGACACGAGGAGGTAGGAGATTGTAGTCGTCGCGCGGGGCGCAGGTTGGTCAGCCTGGTTGTTCTGACTCTCTTTTGCTGGGGGCAGATGCCGCGTAGACTGCGTAGCGATCTTCTGCGCTGCTCTGCCAATCTCATAGATTGGTGTCATTGGGGGCGCTGTTGCGTTGCAGAACAGGTCAAGCATGACATCAAGTGTCGGGACATGCGAGGCGATGAGCGATCCAAATGAATATCCACCGATCACCAGGTGGACGGCTTCGCTGGAGGGGACGTTCTCTCTGGCCACGAGCACAGAATGCAAAGCTTGTAGATAGTTCAGCATGAATCCATACAAGGAGGCATAGTCCCCTAGCTCAGGCTTCCCAGTCCAGCTGGTCCGTCCTTCAGAACCCCCGGCCCCTCTGTAATCATAGTTAGTCACCTTGGAAATCTGGAAGCTGAGCGAGGTTGCTGTACCGAAAATTGAATGTCCCCACGATGTGCCCTGCCTGTAGAAGCTCGCCACCGACAAACCCCACGATGGGATCATCATAGCATCCACCAAGTGGTGCGTAAGGGTGGGCGATAATAGCTCCGCGAATGGGTGGGTGCGTTGACGATTCTATATTTTGGAACTGGGCCGGGAGATACAGTCGACATTCCAGCTTGCAGCCATCATGAACCGAGGGAAGGTGGAAAGAGAATGTTGGGGTGGGAAGGTCCATAGTTTCGACAGATACCTTCAGGCTGATCGAAACCGGTCAATCCTTGATGGCTCGTTCATGAAGAAAGCCGGACGGAAGTTAATGTTGGTTGGGATGGTCAGAAGAGAGGCTTTCCCGCCCGTGGCCCAAATGCCTGGCAACCCGACTACACAACGGAATTACTGAGACAATCATCTACGTACGGAGCCACAATGAATAGCTTAGGTGTTAAATGGTGGAGGGTATCATTCATTCATTATACATTTCAGCGCTTGATGCATATAATTCTATCTCATGCAAATCAGAGCCAGGCTGGGTCTGGCTCATCGTCATCGGACCTTGACGCGGTATCTGGATGCTGAGCAGGCCCATCCTTCAATAAATCCGTGGGAGGCTCAGAGTCATCACTATCGGATAAGTTCTGATGCGTATCTGTAGGTTCCTCTGAACCTTGTTCCTCCGATGACGGTGATTGGGAGGCCGGCGCATCGTCCTGTACCGGGAGCCCAAAGGCTGGAAGAAGCATTCCGCGTGCTTCGCGGAGCGCCTCGAGCTCTGCAGCAATGCAGCAAACCAGCAACTTCCAGTCTTTCTTTTCGGCAAGCTCCAAATGTGTCTCCAACCGCTGAACGGTCTTGTCCAAGTCCTCCGAGACATTTGCCGCGACTTCTTCCATCGTCTCTGACAGCTCTGTGTTATTTGAATCGGTCGCAGAGGACTGAATCTCGATATAATGCCGCATGTTGGCCCGGAGACGCTTCTCGAAGCCAGACACGTCGGCTATGGCTTGTTTCCAAACCCCACCTCCTTCTTCGAGTGCCAGAACCTCCGCGTCCACTTCGTGCTGTCTCTTATGTAGACGATCCCGCTCTGACTTCCAATGTTCCTCTGCCATATCGAGGGTACGTCGTTTGGGGTTTAGGGAGTAGAATGAAGACTCGCTTGATCGTTGTGACAGCGGCTGAACTGGGGGATCACGGAGATATGTCTGAATATCGGACTGAAGGAGGGATAGTGACTCGTTGAAGGAGGATAGCTTTGCTTCGACAGAGTTCTCGATATGTGATATCTTGCTGATCAGATTCCGGTGTTTGGCCTTCATCTCGTATAGCTTGGTTTCCAGCTCGCAAATGTCAGTCTCAAGGCCGCGAGCCTCTTCTTGTAGTTGTTTAGCTTGTTGATTCTCTTGGTCATTGTGTATGGATGATATGGCCTCTTCTAGACCATTTCTTCTCGAATTGAACCCTTGAATTTCGCGAAGCGCATTATCGCGTTCGTCCGTTTGGGACAATAGAATGTCCCGTTCCTCCTCTCGCAGCTTTAGCAGGTCATAGATGGACAGAAATATACCCTGCCGTGCGGCGCGAAGCCCAATCTTCTTATGCGGAGGTTGTCGCGCAGGCGTGGTCGCTGGAGACCGAGCTCGACCAGTTGCCGAGGACGCCGGCGTATAGCTACCGGCGGATGTATCTCCAGGCTGAGATTGCGCGAGACCTGCTAATAGAGCCTCGCTTTGAGCATCAATCAATGTCTGAAGGTTGCGCTGAATGTATTTGGTCTGGCGCTCAACTTGCAGCAGGGGATCGTGGTGGTACATCGAAGTTGCAGCTGGTACAGGTGGTAGCCGCTTGTCTCGAAACGGGAGAAGTGTTGACATGGCGGTTGAACGGAGAGAACCAAGCTTCAGACGGAGAATTAGCAGTATCGCTGAAACTCTGGCTGGTGTTACTGGGTGTCGAGCACCTATTTAATAGGCCATCGACGTCGCCCGAATTGCAAGTCTCAAATGTCCGCCGGACCTTACCACCTGACACCCAACGCTCTCGGACCGCATGGGCGTCATTTGCTCACGTGACCAGAACAGTCAGCTCCTCCGTTGACGTTGACTCGCGCCTTCAAAGCTTCTGTTGACTGCTCCCAGCTTCCATTTCCACGTCCACTTCGTCTCATCTAGTTCATCTCTTTTAATTCGTTTTTGTTTCAAATTGTCGTCATCCGATACAGGGTGACCCATTCCATTTTCCACCATCGCTGCTCTGGGGCTCGTTCGCAGCTCTCCCCGAGCTCCCTGCCGTCCACGTTGCTTCATCACCTCAACAACAGCGACATCCTTTGAGCCCGAGCTCTTCTTAGTCAATCTTGACGTCGGACGTTCCCTTTCATAAAGATGGTCGGAGTTGTTTCGGCCGCCGGTTTGGTCGGCTTTCTCTCGGAGCCTGACCCAGAGCTCAAGGTCTTTGCCTTGAAGTCATTAGACTCACAGATTGATCTGCTCTGGACAGAGGTTGTGAATGCCGTTCCGGAAATGTAAGTAGCATGATCCTACGAGCTTGTTGGGACGCGCCGTCGATTCTATTGCGCTTGACCGTTCCATGGCAGACCAATCAGTTCCACAAGATCAGGCTGACCATCTCCATCCAGTGAGGCTCTCTACGAAGATGAATCGTTCCCAGAGCGCGAACTGGCAGCCCTAGTCGCTTCGAAGGTATATTATCACTTGCAGGAATATAACGAGAGCATGGTGCTGGCTCTGGGCGCGGGGAAGCTGTTCAAGCTCGACAGTGGCGGCGAGTACGAGGAGACCATTATCGGTAAGTTGTCTCGTATCATCCACAGGCCTTGTGGTCAACCTGCTAACAATTGGGTGCGTTTCCACAGCGAAATGCGTCGATTCCTTCATCTCTCTATCCGCCGCCCAGCGACGCAGCTCCGGTGATCAATCCGCCAACCTGAACAACTCCTTCCCTGCATCCGGTGATGGCGCTACGAGTACATCTGCAAGCTTGACCTCCCCAATTACACCCTTCTCAAAGTCTGCCCTGCCATCAAAGTCCCTGCTCTCACGTCAGGAAGTTCCTGGCCTTGATGCGGCACACCCCGGTGGCGATGACTCCAGTGTTCAGCATGAGGAGACATCCCTCGTCCTGAAGCGTGGTGTTCAGAGACAATTGCAGGCCGTGATCGAGCGACTTTTCGAGGAGTGCTTCCGTCAAAAGCGTTATCGTCAAGTCATTGGTATTTCTATCGAGGCAAAGAGCCTGGAGGTGCTTCGCATGGCCATTCTCCGAGCTAGCGATGATGAGAAGCAGCAGCAGCAAGGCGAGTTCCGCCGCAGTGAGGAACTCATGGAGTATGTCCTGGATATCTGCATGGGAATTGTTCAGGAACGGGCTTTCCGCAATGAGGTTCGTTTAGCCTTCCGGTCTTATGCAAATTAGTGCTGGCTCTAACATAGTATTGTCAAACAGATCTTGAAACTCATCCTCGACCTCCTCAATGAGATCCCTGCCCCCGACTACTTCTCGATCGCGAAATGCGTTGTCTACCTTAATGAGCACTCTATGGCCTCCAACATTCTCCGACAGCTGGTCGAGAAGGGCGACTCGCGGTCTCTCGCAGTTGCCTACCAGATCTCTTTCGACCTTTACGATAACAGCACTCAAGAGTTCCTCCAAAAGGTTCGCCAGGAGATTGCTGAATTGGTGCCTGAAGCCGAGGCCGAAAAGCTGCAGGATGAGAACGAGGAGCCCAAGGAGTCTGACCGACTGCTTGACGACCAATCGAGCTCATCCCGGCCATCGGGAGAGCAGAGCAAGCTTTCGGATGAGGCAACCTCTGCTTTCAAGAATATTCTCAAGATTCTCGATGGTCTCAAGACGATCGAACTGAACTTAGAATTCCTCTACCAGAATACTAGGACAGATATGGCCATTCTGGACAAGGTTCGCGACAGTCTGGAGGCTCGTAACTCAATCTTCCACACGGCTGTCACAATCTCAAATGCTTTCATGCACGCCGGAACGACTCGTGACAAGTTCTTCCGTGACAACTTGGAGTGGCTCGGCAAGGCTGTGAACTGGTCCAAGTTCACGGCTACGGCTGCTCTGGGCGTGATCCATCGTGGCAACCTGAACCAGGGTCAGACTCTCCTGGAGCCCTACCTCCCCAAGGATCAGATTGCTGGTGTTGGGGGCAGCTCAAACTCAGTTTACAGCCAGGGCGGTTCTCTGTACGCCTACGGTCTCATCTATGCCAACCACGGCGGCATGGCTGTCGACATCATCCGTGATTACTTCAAGAAGGCCACGGAAGAAGTTGTTCAGCACGGTGGTGCTCTGGGCCTGGGTGTTGCGGGTATGGCTACTGGTGATGAAGGCATTTACGAAGACCTTCGTAATGTCCTTTACACCGACTCTGCTCTCAATGGTGAGGCTGTTGGTCTCGCCATGGGTCTGGTCATGCTGGGAACCGGCAACATGAAGGTCTTGGAGGATATGATTCAGTACGCACACGATACCCAACACGAGAAGATCGTCCGCGGTCTGGCTATGGGTATGGCTCTGATCATGTACGGACGTCAGGAGGCTGCTGATGAGCTCATCAATGGTCTCCTCGGCGACCCCGACCCCACTCTCCGCTACGGTGGTATCATGACAATTGCCCTGGCCTACTGCGGCAGCGGTAGCAACAAGGCCGTTCGCAAGCTCCTCCACGTTGCTGTCAGCGATGTAAACGATGATGTGCGCCGTGTTGCTGTTCTGAGCTTGGGTTTCATTCTGTTCAGAAAGCATCAGAGCGTGCCCCGCATGGTGGAGCTGCTGTCAGAGTCCTACAACCCTCATGTTCGGTATGGTGCGGCTATGGCGCTGGGTATCTCCTGCGCTGGAACTGGATTGGACGAGGCAATCGATCTTCTCGAGCCGATGCTCAAGGACTCTACCGACTTTGTGCGCCAGGGTGCTCTGATTGCCCTCTCCATGGTTCTTGTCCAGCAAAACGAGGCCATGAACCCTCGCGTCACCAGTCTTCGCAAGGCTATGCTGAAGATGGTTGGTGATCGCCATGAAGATGCCATGGCCAAGTTTGGTTGCGCTGTTGCCCTGGGTATCATCGATGCTGGTGGCCGCAACTGCACCATCAGCCTGCAGACCCAGACCGGCAACCTGAACATGCCCGGCATTGTTGGTGCCGCTGTCTTCGTCCAGTACTGGTACTGGTTCCCTCTTTCCCACTTCTTGTCTCTGAGCTTTGCCCCCACGGCTGTGATCGGTGTGGACCAGAAGCTGGAGGCTCCAAAGTTCAAGTTCCACAGCAACACTCGCCCCAGCCTCTTTGACTACCCTCCCGAGCAGCAGGTGAAGGCCGAGGAGGCTCCCGAGAAGATTAAGACTGCTGTGCTTTCCACCACCGCCCAGGCCAAGCGTCGTGCCCAGCGTCGGGAAAAGCAAGCCCGCCGGGAAAGCATGGATATTGACCAGACACCGACTACACCCAAGGTATCGGACCAGCTTCCAGAGAAGATGGATGTTGAGGAAGGAGCAGCCGAGGAAGAGGAAGCCAAGGACGCTGAGAAGGTCGCCGCGGAGGGCCAGAAGAAGAAGGCCGAGCGGGAGAAGGTTGGGTACGAGTTGGACAATTTGTCAAGAGTTCTGCCAGCCCAGCTCAAGTACCTTACTTTCCCGGACCCGCGGTACGAGCCTGTCAAGAGGGTATGTTTCCATAACTCCTTTCATCTGTTTGAAATATTTACTAACCTTTTCTCACAGCCCACCGGTGGTGTTGTTGTTGTTCTCGACAACCAGCCCGATGAGCCTCGGGAAACCATTGAACTCGAGGCAAGCCGTAAGAAGCCTCAAGCCCCCGCACCAGCGGGCGAAACTCTTCAGGACCGACTTCAGGCTGCCATTGGCGCGGCCGCCCTGCAGACTCCTCAACGGGCCGCTGCCCGTGCCGCCCTATCTGATTACACCTCCCTGGGCGGAGCTGCCGCCGCTGCCGGTGTTTTGACTGCCGTGGATGAAGATGAGGAGGGAGTGGAAGATGCCCCCGTTCCGGACGAGTTCACGTATGAGACGGATGCGGAGGAGGAGTAGAGGGGGTCTGCAGCGTAAACTAGTTTGACGCTGGATGTATTACTAGAACCATCAGGCTCTATCGACCTGATATCTTGGGAAGTGCGGAGTTCCGCCTTGTGATATGAAGCATTTGTCTACATTTTTATACAGTGTCCTCATTTCGTAGCTTGTAGACATCAATGTAACCGTGCACTGCGCCGAGACGTGCCTTGCCACAGCCGCCAGCATCATTGCTCGCCAAGCCTGGGAGCATGAAACCTCGTATTTGGCCCACATCCTCATTGTCTTGATGGATTCTCTAGCCCTGAATCCCGTCGCCAAGATGCCAAGGACCGAATTCTCTTCAAGTGCCAGCGGGGAAGCCGTTCAAGTGAGCGACACTACGACAGTCGCTGCGGACTAGGCACAGAGAAATGCCAACCGAAAGCTGCTGGCGTCTTGGCGAGTAGCTGGGCATGCCTAGGAGTTCCCGCAGGGAAGATCTACAATACTGGGGATATTTCCCCAGCCCCTGTGCCTCGAGTTGACACAACTCGTAGTCACTAGGCAAGTCCCCGCCATTTGCATCTACCATGCAGCTTTCTTCTCTCCTCGTCGGCGCCCTTTTCGCCTTAGGCCTCCAGGCCGCCCCGGTGACAGACGATGCCGGACAAAGCGATGTCATCGATAGAAAGAAGATCTTTGACCGGTCAGGCCAGCTGTGTCGAGTCCTTAGTGAGCATGTCAACTGTCGCTACGGACCCGGCACAAACTACGATGTCAAAGTGGGACTGTCTTCGTCCTGGACACGCGGGTATTACTTTACCTGTGTGAAATCCGGGGAATGTGTTACGTTGAATGGCGCTGTGAACTGGTAAGTATTGGCTTGATCTGCTGGCTCACTCGAGTGCTTATTCTTTTTTAATTCTTCAGTGGCTGGGATTACTTTGAAGAGGATAGATGCTATGTGAATGGACATTATACTGATAGCTCCTGTACTCTGGGTATGTCTTTGCTCTGATTGGCTTTTTTTGCGGGTGTGTTGTGTTGCTGGTGCTGATTCTTGTGATAGCTAAGCTTGGGCGTTGTTAAGGGAGAATTCCGCAGATCTGGAGGCTAGCAAGGAGAGAGCTTTCGGCAAATAGTAAGCTACAGTGGACTTGGAATAGTTGTTCCTCGAGACGGATAGCCTCAGTCCTTTTCAGCAATGAAACCTCAATCTCGGTGGTGATACCCTGACAGCCAAGACATAGATGATAAAGTACTCGTCTTGAACAATGGTTATGCGTGTAGTACTAGACCACGAAGACAGCATGGAGTCAAAGATTGGGTTGATAAATTGGTAGTTAAACAAAACCTCAAGACTCTCTGAGCTTATGATAGCAAAACTATTCTGAGGTAGAAGAAGATTTCGGACTGACAGTATGCCCCCCTCCCGGTCTCTATTCAGCTACTTCATCTCCCGTAAATCATGCTTCAAGATTTCAAATACCAGAATAACATTGGATGTGGCAAGAATAGCATTCAATGCTGGATCTAAGGCGAGATTGTATGTGTCTCTGAACAGAAACCGCGGTCCATCGTCCCAGTATCTCACAAACGCTCGCGATCTATTCCTCCCACTCCTCGGGCACCATTTCCATCCCCTTGAGGTTGTACTGTACACTACCCCGACTGCCCAAACTGGACTCTGGCTAGTCGTCAAAGTCCTCCAACGTCTTTCTCCAAACCATATGTCCAACTGTATGTTCTCGGTCATGTGCAATGCAAGTTTGTGGAATTCGCTCGCGAATCTTGACGTCGGGTATCGCTGTGGAGAGGATCAGTTGAGCTGGAGCGCCCCGAATGTCCTGAAATAACGGTAGAACAGCGCGGTGGAGTATTCAAGCTGGCTTTCCATGCGGTTCAGAACCTCCATGACCCCCTCATCCAACTGTTCATGAGGAAGGCCCTCAAGGTAAGGATTGATGAGGAGTATGCCATCAAACAGTTGGAAGATCTGCGCCACATTAACTTGGTAGAACGAACGGGGTTGATCGGCAAAGACACGAATAGTGATGTGAGAGGCGTGGTCTCTGAAAAGCGTAGTGAAGCTTCGCACATGTGAGGTCAGTCCGTCCCAGCCGTTGAGCACGACCATCATCTGGGTGTTCGTATCTTCCAGGTCTATGGTGCGCTGGGCGAAGAAGCGAATGGTTGCACATGTTTCTGGTAACTCGAGGAAGGAGGGCCAGGCGAAGGTGTGGAACTCCCAGAGGCCCGTGATGGGCCCGTAGGCCTGTTCATAGCACGCTTTGGTGTATTCGAGACTGACGTTTAGATCGGCCTCGCTCTCTCTTCTCTGGCTGTTCAATATGTTCCTGTCGATGGAGCTTCGGGCAACGAAGATGACGTGGTCGTAGGTGGTTGCCATGTTGATTCGGGAGGTGGCTTTGGTGCAGTGAACGGGTCTGTGGGAATCACGAGATGAGCTTTAAGTAGGATGGATGGATGGCGGAGGTTGGAGGGAGTCTGTGGCCTGGGAGATTGGAGACTTCCTCACCTAGAGTCAGGAAGGGTCCTGAATGCTCAAATCCTTGCGAGCGGCAGTGGAGGAGACTAGTGAGCAAGACAGATGTATCAGAATGATAATGGAAGACACCAGATCAACATAGCAAAGTCACGAGAGATTGTCCGGGCGTAGGTTAAGACCGGCAATCAAAGGAGTGTGAAAGGCTGGGTTCATTCAAGAGATATCACGGAGGAAAAGCTACCGAGCTGGTTCATTATTTCCAAATCAACGAGACTTGAGTTTCTGGTATTGATACTACGATATGCTTAATGACCAATCCTAGTGCTGGCTGGATCCTGGGGTAGATCGTGGGTGGGGCGCGGGCCGAGCCTTGTGGCCGCATGGCAACCTGCAGGGGAGCCGCATTGTTATCCAGCCCGATCAATGTACAATGTTGGAGGTTTTGAAACCGCTGGTTATAGGGTCAATGGCGTTGTTGTTCATTGATACTTTGTTGTGAACTTGACATACTGTTTCTTAGTAAACAAACCATTCTCTGTGTGGAGCATCATTCTGGTGTGGTGGTGGAGGCCGAGCTTCCCGTTTAGGCAATCACGGCCATCGTTCTGTCATCCACAATCATATGTCCCCCTCCAGCGCTGAAGTTGCGTAAATTGCCAGTTTAGGAAGGCACCAGATATATTCGGCCCTCCCCAGGCAGCTAGACACAAACAACGCCCCGATTGGGAAATGGACACCAGGGCTTCCCCCCCCCCCCCCCCCCTTTCCCTAATGGGTATAAATATCTCTTCCTCCCTCAGACTTCTCTTTTTTTCTTCTCTCTTCAACTCTCCTCCCTCCTCCTCCTCCTCCTCTTCCTCCTCTTCCTCCTGTCCCTTCTCCATCTTGGATTCTCAACCTTCCAACTCCTGGACCCTCTATCCAACACCTGGTCAACCTCCAACCTCCACCCCCCACTTGACCTCCATCTGTCTTCAGGACATCTTCATGTCTTTGTCTCTCTTGTCCTTGACCAAGGCCTGCCATCCACGTTCAGCTTGACCTTGTCCTACTTATGACATGTCAACATCCATCATGGCTTACCACTACCTTGACACATTGACCTTCAATCACTGTCAACACCTTGGTCCATCACCATGTCATGTCAACACCTTGACACGTCCACATGCCCCTCCTTCCTTTGACTTTGACCTTCTGTCTTCATGGTAAGTCAACATACCTGTCCACCCTCATCATGTTTTGACTTATGACCTTTCATCTTAGACATGTCCATACCTTGACATGTTTGTTTGACCTTACCCTTGGTCATCCACCTTCATGGTCATCCACCTTTATGGTCTACCAACTCCTTCCACTTCACAACATGTCAACATTTGAACCTACCTTCATGGTCACTCACCTTCATACCATTGACCACCCACCGACATCGTGACCACCAGGACTTTCCTGGCTTTATTGGACCACTTCCCTTTTAAGGTTCGACTTGGTTTCTTCTTGAACAGGCGTCACGTAGCTGGTACTACCCAGTTTGCGTGCCAGGACAAATTCAAGTCGAAATTAACTCTACCTTCTACCTGGACCTTGACACATTGACCTTCAATCACTGTCATTGTCCTTCAACCTCCTCCAGCTCGCACTTGCCTCTTTCTTGGACAGGCGTCACGTAGCTGGTACTATCCAGTTTGCGTGTCAGGACAAATTCAAGATTGAGTTGAGTCGGCCTTCTCTTTCAACCACTGTCGTTTCCTCTCTTCTTTCGTTGCCACCTCACCACCGGTCTGGTTTGCACCCTTCTTGGACAGGCATCACGTAGCTGGGGCCATCCGGTTTGCGTGCCAGGACAAATCCAAGTTGGGGCTTTCCATTCCGATCAACCACGTCAATGCCTCGCTGCCGCCCATCGAATCGTCGTCGCTGCTTTCCGTCTTATCGTTCTTCGACCCACGGCTTCACTCAATCCTTTTCTGAACAGGCGTCGCGTAGCTGGTACCACCTAGTTTGCGTGTCAGGACAAATTCAGAAAAGGATTGTTTCATTCCGTATCCGTTCCACCGTTTCAATACCTCCTCGCGCACCGCCTCCGTCCATCGAACCGTCATCGCTTCTTCTCGTCGTATCGTTCTTCAACCTTCGGTTTGGCTTAGTCCTTTTTTGAAAAGGCGTCACGTAGCTGGTACCACCCAGTTTGCGTGTCAGGACAAATTCAAAACTGGACTTTGCCATTCCGATCAACCTATCTCTGCCCACCGCTTCCGTCCATCGAACCGTTCATCGTCGCCTCCCACCTTCGCGATCCCATGGCCTGGCTTGATCCTTTTTTGAACAGGCGTCATGTAACTGGTACCATCCAGTTTGCATGTCAGGACAAATTCAAAGAGGACTTCGGTCATATCTTCCACTTGCAAGGCACATTGATCTTCAATCACTGTCATCTCTCGTACCTACAGGGCCGTCTCGACTCTTCTTTTCACCACCTTCTCCAAGACACGAATAACTTCACTTGCCCTCGCCACCTTCTGACGAATCTATCTGACGAATCGATCCTGGCTCATGGGATCCCCTTTCAATCTCCTCTTTACATGAGGCTTCCTAGATGCTAACATGACCTCAATCAATCCATCTTCAAACTTTCTTGTATTCTGTAAATCTTGTAAATTGCTTCCAACGTGGAACCGGTGTCTTTATTCTCTACAATTCCATCGGCTAGTATATTTCATTGAACAGAACTGGCCATACTTTTTGTCGTAGATGCTGGCCCTGATGGTCCCGTTCCCAAACTTCTTGCGCCCTAACCGCTGTTCAGTCCTTTCCTCCTACATTAGTCCGTCTCTCTCCTTGTTGATTTCGTTGACAGAAAAACCTCGTTAAGGTTTTCGTACGCATCTTTACAGCATATATTATTGATCATGAATTCTAGAACTCATGCTTCTGCGGGTTAATCCAGTAACGCACCGTCCGATAGGATGCTCACGTTATCTAAATGTCACGTGATATATATGATCTTGTTGCCTGAAGAAGACGGGCCAAGAATCCACACCTGTAGTAATCCATTAGAAAGACGGCTTCGTTGTTTTTGCTGCCCATGCAGTGGGTGTCTGTTTGGAGGATCTAAACCAAGTTATGGGCCACGACATACACCGCGAATGAGGTTGGGGTAGTTTCTACTTCGGTATCTCTCCGCAATATTTGTTCCTGAGTGCCTGAATATCATCTATTTCTTGACGCACGGTACTTCTGCTTCTCAGAAGAGCCGATGGAATAGGCTTATTCCAGTTTCCAGTCAAATCATTATTATTGCATCCAGGCTGATTACCCCGTTGAATTGGCCATATCCACGAATCGCAAATGCGCCGATGGCTCCCACATTTTCACATGTTCACATGCGCGGCTTAGCTAAGCAGGACGCCTCGGCATTTTTTTACTGCGATGACGCAGTGGGAGCCAATCACCGGCCACATGGACGGCGATGACCGACCAGATCAGCGAATGTAGCGACCGAGGAAAGCAGCTGAAGACCCAAAAATCACGTTGAACTGCACGAGGTGGATTCTCCGAGGCATCCAAAACTGGAGTCGCATCGTTGCGGTCACGGAATTTGCTGGATCTGGCACTACTCTCCGAGCCTATATATCGCGTGCGCTCCATCTACCCCGGAGTTGACTCTATTTTTTTTTTTCCCCACGAATCTCCCTCCTGGACCCTATCAGATTCCCTTGGTCTCTGTCCTATATACCCACGATCAAATCTTTCTCTTTCCTCTACCCTCCATCCCTCAACCCGCACACATCACCATGTCAAAGACCTTCAGCAAGGACGACGTGGCGTCGCATAGCAAGGGCGACAGCCTGTGGATTGTGATTGACGAGGATGTCTACGATGTCACCAAGTTCCAAGATGAGCATCCTGGTAAGTTTTCTCTTTGATAAGAGCTCCTCAAGAAGGTCATGCGACGGGGCCTAGCGCGGGGTCCACCTTGGAGTATCACATGTGCTGACCAGAATGTGTACAATAGGTGGAAAGAAGAGTATGTCATAGCGCAAGCTCGAAAAGTCGCTGAGCATTCGAAAAAAATTAACATGTGAACAGTTCTCCAGCGAGTTGCCGGAAAGGATGCCTCCAAGCAGTTCTGGAAGTACCACAACGAGGGAATCCTGAAGAAGTACAAAGCTCAGCTGCAGATCGGCTCGTTGAACACAAAGAAGGTTGCAGAGCCCACGCAGGCTCCCGCTCCTGTGGCCAAGAAGGCCGCCCCAGCAGCACCCGCTGCCCCTGCCGACTACAAGCCCCCAGCGACTGCCGAGCCTCAAGATCCCTATGGTGATCTGATTCCGTTCGCCGACCCCTCGTGGTACCAGGGTGTAAGTTCTGTTCACTCAATAATTTTCGGCGGTTTAATTGGAGCGCTAATGGGTTGCTTCTTTTTGGCGATAGTACTCCTCCCCTTACTTCAACGACTCTCACGCCGCTCTCCGTGAGGAAATCCGGGAATGGGTCGACACCGAGATTGAGCCCTATGTTACCGAGTGGGATGAGGGCAAGAAGGTCCCGGACAGCATCTACAAGCAGATGGGTGAGCGCGGCTACCTGGCTGGTCTGCTCGGTGTCAAGTATCCCGAGAAGCACACCCCGTACCGTGTCAAGTCTGTGGCACCGGAGCGTTGGGACCTGTTCCACGAGATGCTGTTAACCGACGAGCTGTCGCGTGCTGGTAGCGGTGGTCTGGTCTGGAACCTGATCGGTGGCTACGGCATTGGTTGCCCGCCCTTGGTCAAGTTTGGTAAGAAGGAGCTGGTTGACCGCATCCTGCCTGGGATTCTCGCCGGTGACAAGCGTATTTGCTTGGCTATCACTGAGCCTGATGCGGGCAGTGATGTCGCTAACCTCGGCTGCGAGGCTAAGCTCTCCGAGGATGGCAAGCACTACATTGTCAACGGTGAGAAGAAGTGGATCACCAACGGTATTTGGGCTGATTACTTCACTACTGCTGTCCGCACTGGCAAGCCCGGCATGGAGGGCCTCAGCGTTCTGCTGATCGAGCGCGAGGCTGGCGGTGTCAGCACCCGTCGCATGGATTGCCAGGGTGTCTGGAGCAGTGGCACCACCTACGTGACTTTCGAGGACGTCAAGGTCCCCGTCGAGAACCTGATTGGCAAGGAGAACCAGGGTTTCAAGGGTGAGTCGAAACGCGTGAATACACCAGACAATATAAACAAATCGCTAACTCTCTCGCAGTCATCATGACCAACTTCAACCACGAGCGTATCGGCATTGTCATCCAGTGCGTCCGCTTCGCCCGTGTCTGTTACGAGGAGTCCGTGAAGTATGCCCACAAGCGCCGCACCTTCGGCAAGAAGCTGATCGACCACCCCGTCATCCGCATGAAGCTGGCCCACATGGCCCGCCAGATCGAGGCCACTTACAACTGGCTGGAGAACATCATCTTCCAGTGCCAGTGCATGGAGGAGACCGAGGCCATGCTCAAGCTCGGCGGTGCCATCGCCGGCCTCAAGGCCCAGTCTACCCAGACCTTTGAGTTCTGCGCCCGCGAGGCCAGTCAGATCTTCGGTGGTCTCAGCTACAGCCGCGGCGGCCAGGGTGGTAAGATTGAGCGCCTGTACCGTGATGTCCGTGCCTACGCTATCCCCGGTGGAAGCGAGGAGATCATGCTGGATCTGAGCATGCGCCAGAGCTTGCGTGTGCACCAGATGTTTGGCATGAAGCTTTAAATGCAGCCGTTGCTTTTGCCTTTGCACTAGAGATTGGCCGTGATATATCTTGTCTTTCTTCCGTCCGTTGGTGGACGTTCTTTTTTTATGCCCCTCTGCTTTGGATACCAGGTTCTACTTTTCTTGGCTAGATATCGCGTCCGGTGTGACGCATTTTTTCTTCTTGAGTTATGATTTTGTCTTGTACCACTATCTACTGCCATACATATTGGCGTTTCGATTCTACCATGATCTCAGAATATAAGGTTGTTCAAGATACTTGTCTAGATGGACACCAAGATTCGGAGTAGATAAATAAGAATGGGATTTTTCCATCTATTTCACGTCAATGTTTACTCCGAGTATTAGCCACCGAAGTTGCAAGCAGGCTGTCGAGAGTCTCAATGGGATTTGTGACCATGCTCGAGGTCTGAGGAGATCTATGTGAAGTAGTGTTCATACAATGTCCATTAAGGTAATGAGTTGGCAAGCATTGCTGAACTCATATTTTGAAACGCCGAAACTGAAGACTGGATGGGTCTCTCACTTGGATGTGGATGTCCTACTAGGCAGAGCGAGGTTGCCTGTGAAGGTAAACAGATCTGGTAGGGAGAGGCGCACAGACCAACTGCGCAACCTCCCGCCCCAAGTTCGCCGCGAACCGATGGCCAGCTCCTCGATTTCTCCCAATCCCGCATCTTGCTGATACAGCCTCTCAGGGTATAAGAATCCTTGTCTCCCTGCGTGCTGTGTCTTAAATCTTTTCTTCTTCATACTTTCCTTTCACATATCCAGGGTTGCGCCCGTGCTCCCAGTAGGCGGTCGCCTGGTGACAGCCCGCAAAGCCCGCGGACTGCATTGAATCTAACCCAAGCGCGGTGGCTGTTCTGCCTCCCCTTTTACCTCGTCTGGCAGCCTTTCATCCAGTTCAGCTGAAAGCCGGCATCTGACATCGCCGTTCGTGGGCCCCTCAATCCCCTACCGCCCGCGTCTTTGTCTCCCAAGCTACGACTCGCTGGACGGCTTGGGTACGCCAGACCCTTCCTATCTCTCACTGTTGCGTGCGCGCACCGTCTTTTACTCGTACTGACCTGTCCGAATGACCATTACAGATTAGAGACGCATTGATTCAGCGACTGAAATCATATCGCTCATACGACACAAGTCACCCTTCACTCGGAAAGTCTAGACATACCCCGACAGAATGTCAAACTTCCTCAACCAGGACTTTGGATCGGACGAGGAGGACGATGACTTCAATCCCGTCGCTGCGGAGGAGTCTGACGTCGAGGATGCCAAGGTCAGTAGCAGGCAGTACGGAATGGTAGTGAGAGACGTCACTAACACAGCTACAATGAACAGCCACAGAAGAGACGCGCGAGTCCTGAGGATGCCGCGGATGATGTGAAATACGATCGCGATGATGCTGAAGACAACGACGCCAAGGAGGACATCGATGATGACGCTGATGGAGGCGCCGGAGATAATGACGAGAATGGAGATGAAGACGAGGAGGATGAGGACGACGAGGACGATGAGCAAGCAGTGGTTTGTACCTCCCAGCTGGCTTAAATCAGCTGAAGCACTAGCATTAACGCATGATCATTCTTTTCTAGGAACGTCCTCGCAAGCGCCGGCGAGGCGGTGTACACTCTTTCTTCGAAGAAGAGGCCGGTGTCGACGAAGAAGAAGACGAAGCCGAGGACGAGGAGGATGAGCTCGCCGAATTCGGTACCGAAATGCATCCCGACGATCTCGATGCCCTGCCTGCCGGCGCCGAGACCGATGACCGCCGTCACCGACAGCTGGACCGTCAGCGTGAGCTAGACGCCACAATGGATGCAGAGAAGCAGGCACAGATGCTCAAAGAGCGCTATGGACGAAACCGTGCCGCTGCGACAGATGCTCTGGTGATTCCCAAACGACTGCTCCTCCCCAGTGTGGAAGATCCCAGCATTTGGGGCTGCCGCTGCAAGCCTGGTAAGGAGAAGGAGGTCGTCTACTCTATCCAGAAGCGCATGGAGGAACGACCCGCCAATTCGCGTAACCCAATCCGACTCATCTCCGCATTCGAGCGTGGAAACATCATGCAGGGTTGGTTCTACTGCGAGGCGCGCAGACAGGCCGATGTCACCGATGCCCTGGAAGGCATAGCATTCTACTATCCGTCTCAGAAAATGACTCTGGTTCCCGTCAAGGAGATGCCTGATCTGCTACGCGTGCAGAAATCCGAGGAGTTGATGCCTGGTGGTTGGGTCCGCATCAAGCGCGGCACGTACCAGGGTGATCTTGCCCAAATTGAAGAAGTCGAGACCAACGGTTTGAACGTCACCGTTCGGCTGGTCCCCCGCCTGGACTATGGTATGAATGACGATAACGCTGCTATGCTCGGCCCCGATGGCAAGCGCAAGCGCGCCACTGTGAACAAAGTCAGACCCCCGCAACGCCCATTCAGTGAGGCAGAGGCCAAGAAGAAGCATGCCAAGTACCTTTCCGCTACATCTGGACTGGGTGGCAAGTCATGGAGCTACCTCAACGAGACCTATATCGATGGGTTCCTCATCAAGGACATGCGTGTCCAGCACTTGATCACTAAGAATGTCAACCCCCGGTTGGAGGAAGTGACCATGTTTGCGCGAGGAGGCGAGGACGGAACTGCGAACTTGGACTTGGCCTCTCTTGCCGAGACATTGAAGAACTCGACTGCCGAGGATTCCTACCAACCCGGCGACCCTGTCGAAGTGTACCGTGGTGAACAACAGGGCTTGATCGGTCGAACTGTTTCGACCCGTGGTGATATTGTGTCACTTCAAGTCACTGAGGGAGATCTGGCTGGCCAGACCATCGACGCTCCTATCCGTACTCTTCGCAAGCGTTTCCGCGAGGGTGATCACGTTAAGGTTATTGGAGGCAGTCGGTATCAGAATGAACTCGGTATGGTCGTTCAAGTCAAGGACGACACTGTTACCCTGCTCAGCGATATGAGCATGCAGGAGATCACAGTATTCAGCAAGGATCTCCGCCTTTCTGCTGAGATGGCTGCTGATGGCCAACTTGGCATTTACGATGTTCACGATCTCGTTCAGCTTGAGTAAGTACATCCTAAGCTTTTATTTCTCTAAATTGTACTAACCCGGTGTAGTGCTGCGACCGTCGCGTGTGTGATCAAGGTTGACCGTGAATCTCTGCGTGTCGTGGACCAGAATGGTTCCCTTCGAAATGTTCTGCCAACCCAGATTGCCAACAAGCTTGCCCCTCGTCGTGATGCTGTCGCAACTGACCGCAATGGAGCAGAAATTCGCAATGGCGACACTGTCCGTGAGGTTTATGGAGAGCAGCGAAGCGGAGTTATTACTCACATCTACCGCTCTTTCCTCTTCTTGCACAACAAAGCTCAGACCGAGAATGCAGGTATCTCTGTGGTGCGAACAACTAATGTTGTTACCGTGTCTGCCAGGGGTGGTCGTCATACTGGTCCTGACTTGACCAAGATGAACCCTGCCATGGCAATGCAGGCCCCGGGTGGTGGTAATCCCAACATGCCGCCCCCTCGCCGTGGTGGCCGCGATCGCCTGATCGGAAAGACTGTGGCTGTTCGCAAGGGTCGCTACAAGGGTCTGGTCGGTATCGTCCGGAATGCAGATGATGAGTACGCTCAGGTTGAACTTTACACCACCAACAAGCCAGTTCTATTACAGCGGGAGATCCTCGTCCCCAAAGAGTATGTCACTCCAATCCATCATTCCTTCTTCAAATCACTAACTTGTTCTACAGCCCGATCTCTAAGCAAACGTTGGATATTGGCGGTGGCAGACCAGGCTCGCGTGTCCCGTCTTATTCGGGCTCTGGGGCCCAAGGAGGTGGTTGGCAGGGCGGCCGCACTCCCATGGCTGCGGCAGATTCCTCGAGAACTCCGGCCTGGGGCGGTTCATCTTCACGGAGTAAGTCAAACACCTCGTGCACCTTGTGTTTTGCTCGTATATCCCGGATTATTCGTCTAACAAAGATCTGTAGCTCCTGCCTGGGGAGGCCTGAGCGGCTCTCGTACTCCTGCTTGGAAGAACGACGGATCGCGTACCTCGAACCCATATGCTGAAGGAAACCGTACAGCCTATGGCGGCCTGGGCAACCGTACTCCGGCCTGGAACTCTGGATCCCGCACCCCGCATGATTCTGGCTCTGGCTACGATGCCTTCGCTTCTGGATCGCGCACTCCGGCATGGGGCGCCGCAGGTGCTGGCAACCGTACCCCTGCCTGGGGTGGCTTGCCCAATAGCCGAGACCAGCGCGACTTCGACGACGCCCCGACACCAGGTGGCAACTACTCTGCTCCCACTCCCGGCGCTTACGGTGCTCCTACTCCTGGTGCTTCTGCACCAACACCTGGTGCATGGGCCGAAAGTGCTTCCACGCCCGGCGGAGCTTTCAGTGCTCCAACCCCTGGGGGATTGCCTAAGCGTGGAGGCTACGATGCCCCGACCCCTGCAGCCTTTGACGCACCAACCCCTGCGATGGGTGGCATCGCTGCCACCCCCGGTGCAGGCTATGGCGACGACGATGGAGGTCCCCGCTACGACGAGGGCACCCCAAGCCCTTGAATGTTTCCTCATCCCTTTCCAGTTTTATACCGTACCCGACACACTGAAAAAAGCTCGTCGACTCAACACAGCATGGATTTAGATATTGGATGGGCGTGGGATTGACTTCACATATGTACTCTATTTCAAAACTCGAATGTAATTCTTCAGAACAGCCGCAAATGACAATTCATTTGGGAGAATCCTGGTCCGAATACTCACGGAATAGTTGATTGTGTAGGCCTGCCTATGATGACTCGTCCAGATTGTGATTGTTCTGTCCTTGACCGTCTGCTCCCATTGGCCGTATCTTACATCATTTCCTCCCTCACATGCTCACCCTAGAGTACAGACTGAAATACTAGTTAATCGCTGTCGCTTAGCTACTCGGCCGAAGTCGCCCATCTGGCGCTAGTCGCAATTTCTTGGTTAATGCAATTTCCAGCGCCGAATTTCCGGACTCGGGACCGGCCGCCCGAAGCCCCCAGTTCGGCTAAACATTACAAATGCCGAGCTTAGATCCGGTCACTAATCCCCCCAATTTTACAAAATGTCATCCTGAGTGCGTGGTCAGAGGAGGGCTGGAAAGCCTGGGAATGACCGATTTATACGATGTGGCGCTTCTGGTCTCGCGACGCTGTTGAGAGTCGCGACGAGAAAAACGATGCTACTGCCCTTGACCCCGATTACATGGTTAAATGGGATATTGATGACCCGTTGAACCCGCAAAATTGGGCTGTTTCATATAAGTGGTGGGTGACTTTTCAGTTGGGTATGCTTGCTTTGGGTGGTAGTCTTGGTTCAAGCATTATCACGCCGGCCGACAACATTATCGCCGGTTATGTCGGTATTAGTAGCGAGGTGGCCGTCTTGGATGTCTCATTGTATCTGTGAGTGATTGCTCAGACGTCTTTTGTTTGGCTTGGGACTAGCTAACGTCTGCGCAAGCGTTGGCTTCATCTTTGGGCCTATCATCTGGGCGCCAGTTTCCGAGATCTGGGGTCGCAGAGTCAGCATTCTCCCACCAGTCTTTTGTCAAGCACTTCTTGCCATTGGCACGGCGAGAAGCACGAACGCGGCTGCGGTGTATTGTACACGCTTCTTCACTGGTTTCTTCGGTTCTGCCCCCATCAGTAATGTTATCGCCGCATTGGGTGATATCTGGAGTCGAGAGACGCGAGGCGTTGCTGTGAGCTTGTACGCGGTGGCTGTGAATGGTGGTCCAGCACTGGGTCCCATCATTGGCGCCGCCATCATCCTAAACCCTCGTCTTGACTGGCGCTGGTGCAGTTATATCTTGGCCATCTGGGTATTTGTCACCTTCCTCATGGCCTACTTCTTTCTACCCGAGGTATATCCGCCGGTCCTGTTGAAAAGAAAGGCACAGGGTCTTCGCAAAGAGTCGAATGATCCACGATACTTTCATCCGCATGAGCATATCCAACTTGACGTCCACTCCATCGTGACTAAACAGCTCTCCCGCCCAATGAAGATGCTCTTCACGGAACCTATCGTAACCTGCGTTGCGATATATGCTGCCTTCGTCTATGGTGTCCTGTACATTACGTTGGAAGTTTTTCCGATTGTGTTCCAGGAAATTCGTGGCTGGAATCCTCTCGTCGGCTCTTTGCCCTTCCTGGCACTATTGATTGGTGTCATATCCTCAGTGGGCGTCAACATTTGGAATCAATTCCGCTATAACCGGATCGCCAAAGCCGCCAACGGGAAGGCTGTCCCTGAAGCTCGTTTGCCGCCGATGGCCTTTGGGGCGGTATTCTTCGTTATTGGTGCATTCTGGTTTGCTTGGACGGCTGAGCCTCCTCATCACTGGATTCTGCCTTGCCTTGCGGCATTGTTTATCGGAGTTGGTTTCAACTGCATTTTTCAACAGTGTCTGAATTTTCTGGTTGATGTTTATGGAATTTATGCTGCTAGCTCTACCGCTGCGGTGACTTTTCTTCGAAGCATTATGGCGGCCGGTCTTCCTTTGGCGGCGAAGCCAATGATAAATGCCCTGGGCGTTGGTCCGGGTGTTTCTATTATCGGTGCTGTTGCTGCTGTTCTGCTGCCGATTCCGTTCTTGTTTATGAAATATGGGCCACGGATACGAAGGTTGTCAAAACTTGTGCCGGAGAATGTTAACTGAGGGAATGGGGTAACTCACAAATCGAGTTCGGTCAAAGAGGATCAGTTGAGATTTATTGACGGACAAGAGGGATACTGTACACAAACCTCCGAGAGGCCCTTGACAGGCCGGACTAATAAATATTCAGAGTTACACTGGGGAGTCGTCATTGAGGGCCTGCTTGCGGAACCATCTGTGTAGATTAGCCTAGAAAGAAATAAGCAAGCTTTCGTTTTCACAATGCACATAGATTTCTCCTGTTCACATTTTCATTCCTAGGTAAATAGAGCCTGTTATCTAGCCAGCTGGTGTCTTCATACCCATTGTGATGACTCTTGATTGGCTGAAGGACCACCAGCTGATTACTAACAAATGGCCTCAGGTTTCCGAGAGTCTTATCCGGTCCCAAGAGCTGCACGACAACGCTGTCCTATGAACCCACTGAACCCAATGCTCTCCAAGGTGATCTTTCGGAAATATCTCCAGACGAGGCTATTAGCTCATCGTGTTCCATAAATTTGGCGAGAGGTGGTTGGGTAATTAAATGTAATCCAACGTGCGAACCGATCGTCGTGTCATTTTCCGGGCTACTCAGCGGGAAACTAGCCTCGGAAATGTATCCGGAGAATGGCCACCCCCGGGACGTGGGATGGAATATCGCGGGGTATTTGTCTCCTGTATGATATAAAGACATCTTGACGCCTCGAGAAGGATGAGTGGCCAATCTAGTAATATCAATATGGCGACTATCACAGAAACAACCACGGGCGTGGGCGTTCAATCGTCGCAAAACCAAGATATCGCGACTCGCCTGCTGAATGGTACTTTCCACGCGAGCCACCCTCCATTCGAACAATTCGCGACCATTGATGGGCTGCTCAAGTCGCATGCGGCTCAGCCTGATGAATCCAAGGTCCCACTGATCTGCTATCCGATCCGGGGTGCTGCTGACTTTGAAGAACACACGGCTGGTGATATCGACCGCTATACGGATGTCGTTGCTCGATATTATATGGAGCGAGGTCTCCCGCCTGCCGTAAGAGCCCCGATAGTCCATGACCCAAAATTAGAGGACTGATCAAGGATAGGATCCGAGTCTTGAAGAGGCACCGGTGGTTGCGATCCTCGTTGGCTCCAGCTTCGAGGTTATTCTGACCATGTTTGCTTTGAATCGTCTCGGATATGCCGTACTCTTCCTATCAACACGCCTCACAGCCCCAGCATATGTACGCTTGCTTCAAATGACAAGCTGTACACATCTAGTTATCGCCAAACAGTTTGAACAGACGGTGCAAGATATCTGCGCAGAGCGACCTGGCTGCAGCAGTTTCCCTGTCCTGCAGCGGGGGGACTGGTTCAATCGTCAACCTAGCTCACCGCGTTTCGCACGATCTAACGTCGATCCAGCTCGAGAGGGCAAGAAGATTGCTTGGATCCTGCACTCTTCTGGAAGTACTGGCCATCCCAAGCCAATCTTCCTCACCAATCTCCAGACCCTGGCCAACTGGCGCAAGAGCTTTGGCTTCCGTTTCTTCACTGCCAGCCCTCTGTTCCATTCATTTGCTCTCATGGAGTTGGGTCGGGCATTTTATACGCGAGCAACGACATATTTCGGCAATCACTCTCTGCCAACTACATATCAGAACCTCTACGATGCTCTCCAGGTGGCACAGCCTGAGCAATTCAGCGCTGTCCCGTATGTCATCAAACTTCTGGCAGAGAAGCCCGAGGGCATCAAAGTGCTAGCCAAACCTCAGATCGTGCTTTTCGGAGGGTCGAGCTGCCCAGATGATTTGGGTGATCGTCTCGTTGCGCAGGGCGTCAATTTGGTTGCAAACTACGGCGCCACAGAGACCGGTCAAATCATGACCTCCTTCCGGCCTCCAGGCGATAACGAGTGGCAATATATGAGACTTCATCGGCCAGTGGCTGATTTTACCCTGATGGACGAGATCTCGCCCGGAGTTTTCGAGTGCGTTGCACTGGATGGCTTACCCAGTAAAGGACCCTCGAACTCCAAACCACCCTTTAGCGAAAAGAACCCAGAGAACAGCTTCCGGACGGCCGATTTGTTCACTCGGCATCCTGATCCCAAGAAGAGCAACTATTATAAATACCTGTCTCGACTGGATGACCGAATCACTCTTGTGAACGGCGAGAAAGTGCTTCCAATTCCAATTGAAGGTCGGATTCGAGAGGAGCCTCTCGTGCGAGAGTGCGTCGTTTTCGGCTTCCAACGTACTGTGCCTGGAGCCTTGATCTTCCGTGCAGCGGACAAGGCAACGGATCTGAAAGATGAAGAGTTCTTGGAAGCCATTTGGCCCGCTGTGGAGGCCGCAAATTCCAGGGCAGAAACTTTCTCTCGTATCCCCAAGGAATTGATCGTGGTGAAAGGTGCCGATGTGCCGTACGCTGGGACAGACAAGGGAACCTTTATCCGAGCTCAGGTCTACCAGCAATTTGCCGAAGATATCGAGACGGCCTATGTCAACTTTGGTGGAAATGGTAAGAAGGGCGAGCTTGCCTTGAGTGTGCCGGAACTGGAGGATTGGTTGCTGGCACGCTTCCGTGACGATCTCGATGTCCCATTGTCAAGCGCCGATTCCGATATTTTCTCTGCTGGTGTCGACAGCTTACAGACAACACAGATCTGGAGGTACATTGTGCGTGACCTGGATCTTGGAGAGAGCGGTAATGAATTGAGTCAAAACATTGTTTTCGAGAAGGGCACAGTCAGTGCTCTCGCAAATCATCTCTACCAGATGCGAACTGGACAGGAATTCGAGGCCGAAGATGAAGTTCAGATTATGCAGGAAATGATCGAGAAGTACTCACACTTCACTCGACACTACCCAACTATCTCGCAGCAGCCCGACAAGGAGGTTGTGATTGTCACCGGTGGCACGGGCAACCTGGGGGCCTTCATCGTCGCGGAAGTCCTCAAGCGGCCCAACGTCTCCGAAGTTTGGGCCCTCGTTCGAGCTCCTGGACAAGCAGCAGCGGGTGCTCGTCTCTCGAAAGCACTGGCTGACCGCAAAATTACTCTCACGGATGACGAGGCCGCCAAACTTCGGGCTGTTCCTAGCGACATGTCGCAGGCCAACCTGGGCTTGGATGGGTATGTCCTCGAACACTTACTTTCATCATTGACGTGCGTGATTCACAGTGCCTGGGCTGTCAACTTCAATCTCGGCGTGCGATCCTTCGAGCAGCAACACATCCGGGGAACATACAATCTCATCAACTTCTGTCTTCGCTCTAAGTTACCAACCCCTGCACAGTTCTTCTTCTGCTCAAGTGTCAGCACAGCCAGCGGTACCCCCAAGCCCGCATCAATTCGCGAAACTGCAATTGAAAACCTAAATCACGCACAGAACACGGGCTATGGTCGCTCAAAGCTGGTCACTGAACATATCACCCGAAATGCCATGCGACAGACTGATATGCAGGCTCGAGTTCTGAGAATCGGACAACTCGGTGGCGACACTGTGAGCGCTCAGTGGAATGAAACCGAAGCTGTTGCGCTCATGTTCCGCAGTGCATTGACGACTGGTGCCCTTCCTGAACTCCCGGAGAACCCGGCCTGGTTGCCCGTTGACCAATGTGCGCAAGCCGTTGCAGACCTCGCTATGAAGGGAACCGGGGCAAACCTGGAGGTGGATTTGGTGTATCACTTGGTCAACCCGAAGTCCTTCAGCTGGAAGGATGACTTGCTCCCTGCGCTGAAACAGGGCTCGGCTCTGCCGGAGTTTGAGGTTGTTTTGCCACAGGAGTGGCTTCAGCGATTGGCGTCTAGCGAGCAGGATCCAGAGAAGAACCCGAGTATCAAGCTCATTGACTTCTGGCGTAGCAAGTATGGGGGGCTTGGCCAGACACGAGTGGATGACTCGACTCCACAACAGAAAGCGCCAGGCCTTGACTTTGAGACTGATCGCACTGTTCAAGATTGTCCGTCCCTGGGTCTTCTCAAGGATCCCGTTGCCGAGGGCTTGATAAACAGATACATTGAGTCCTGGATGCAGCGATGGACGAAGTAAATTTTGTACATACATTTAGCTTTCAATTGAGAACGTTGATTTAAATCTATATATATCTCTCGCTTTCCGTATAACATACATGCCTCGAGCTAAGCTCGAATTGCCTTCTCAATAAGTTCAGCAGCCGCAAGACACTTCTCATCTTGAAAGCGGGGCGTAATAATTTGAATAGCACAAGGTGCTTCGTCTACTTCATCCGGGTAATCTGGCATCATGTCAGCAATTTACAAATCAGGAAGTATGCGGTTGGAATCACTCACAATCAGGCTGCACATCGTCACCCGTCTTCATCTCCTCTGGATCCAACTCTTTGGATGCCTTTCCAAACGGAATAATGCAAGCAGGATACTGAAACTTAGGTTAGTTTTTGCTAAACCAAGCAAGCTCAAAATGAACAGCACACTCACATCAAGCAAGTTCCACATCACTGTATACGGCGGCCAGCCATAAGTATCATACCCTACTGCTGTATTCTGTGAACCCGGAGCCAAAATCACGTCCAACTTCTTCTCCACCCACTCCTGACGCCAGGCATCAGATACCCTCCCCCTTGCTACATGCAGCTCATTCACCTTGTGAAGAGGATCCTGCTCCTGCTCCACCGGCCAAGGGCCCGAGAACATCGGCGAAGCAAACTTAGCCACCGAGGCGACCAGTGGCTCGCCGCTGGGGCCGATATTATCCACATGAGGACCGTAGGTGAAATACTGAAAGGTCAATCGTGAGGCATAAGCCACTGACAGATCCTCCTTGGTATCATTCTCAATACGGACGATTCGGTGTCCTGCCTTGGTCAAGGCCTCGACTGCACGATCCAAAGCACGTTTCACAGGAGGATGCAGAGGGAAATATTTGTCTTCAGACAACACGCCGATGGTGAGACTCCCATTACGGTCGTTGCCAACCGTCGGGGTCTTGTTCCACGGCACGGCAGCGGCTGTATGATCATATTCCCAGGAATTACCTGTTCCGACAACGGTGTCCATGAATAGCTTCAGATCTGTCAGGCTGTGGCCAAGTGGGCCAGCAGAAGGGATGAGTCCAGGCAAGCCTTCCATCGCGCCAGAGAATTGGCCACCGAAGGGAACTCGAGCAGTGGTTGGCTTGAATCCGTAGACACCGCAGCATAGAGATGGGATACGAATTGAACCTGCGATGTCGGTACCCACACCAAGGATTGAGCCTCGGAATGCTACTAGGGCGCCTTCGCCCCCGCTTGATCCGCCCGCAGTCAAGGAGGTGTTGTGCGGGTTGAGGGTGCGACCGAAGATGTTGTTTTCGGAGTCTCCGGTCTGATTGAGAAGGAGTTAGTTCTGATATCAATTCTCTCTGCGTCATCAAATCGGGTCTGCTCTTTGGCATTCTTACCATCATGGTCTGGGGAATATTGGTCTTGACATAAAGCACGGCTCCGAGTTCGAGGAGCATTGTCACCAGTGCGGAGTTGGTTGTCGCCGGGGCATTGTTCAAGCAGGCCACGTATCCCACAGTCGACTGGATGCCCTCTACACAGAAGCTATCCTTGAGACTGATGGGCAGTCCATGGAGAGGACCAATTGGCTTTCCTTCTCGTTGAAGATATTCATCGAGGAAGCGGGCTCGGTCCAGAGCTTCTGAAAAGAAGGTCTCTGTGAGACATGAAGTCTATAACGGAAGACAATGCGTGTTAGATAACACAATAATCAAACGAGTATAGAACATGCATCAATGACTGTACTTACCACCTGCTGTGCAATAGCTGCACGCTTCGAAAAGGCCGTCGTGACAACCAGCGAGCTAACCTGGCCCGAGGCCAACTTATCCAAGAGCTCTGCTGCGGTGTAGTTCTCCGTAACATCAAGCTCGAGGTCTGACAAGATGCCACTGCGACGCGGGAGATCATACTCGAGCAGATGAGTGGGCACTGCTTTCAGAACTTCCTCGCTCAGCTTCCACTCACGGGGGATTTTATCCTGGCATTCGTGGCGCTTGCGAGTGACCAATTCCTGCCAGTCGGCAGGTTGAGAAGTCTGAGGAGCTTCGGTCGCCATCAGAGAGAATCTTCTTTCGCGAGTCGTGGATGTTATTTCTCCTCCGGTTCCACGGCCGTGTTTATGTACCGTCAAACCTGCGTGATCTCAGTTTCCCCTCGTATGTCCAGTATACTCGGCATTTCCTTATCCCCCCCACATTTCCCACCGGACCCCGCGGACGCGTCCAAGCGACGCCTTTTGCTCGTTGACTTCGGCGCTGTTGATTCGTTGGATGCGACGATGCGTCCGCCTCCCTAATCGGGAATAGCTTCCTTAGCTGAGGACCTAACGACAGGCAACGAATTCTCATTGGTATCTATCGGCTCATACTCTTTTTCTATCTGCCGGAAACAATACATACAGTGTTCATCATAGTCCCTTATGCTATTCATGCCTTGGCAACTACATTTTCCGGCTTGATGCCCGGGAAGTTCGTGAGATGGTACGCATCGATCCAGATCTTCTCGCCTTCGCAGACCATCACGCCGAGGCAGACCAGTCCATTCAACCAATTGTACGGGCCCAGTCCCGCCTCCAGACGCAGATGCGAAAAGAATTCCACATCGTCTTGCGTGACGACGGCTTTGGGGGCCTGTGTCCAGTCTTGTTCAACTTGCTTTGCGTACTCTGTTCCTGGACCGGGACGATACAGCCCGTGGGCGCGGATGTATAGGTAGTGACCGTCTGATGTGCGCGCTGTATACCGCGCATCGAGCTTCATTGACTAGAGAAGCGCTGTTAGCAATCGCGAACTTGCTCGCATGATGTATTTGAAGGTCATACGTGGGTTCCCTTGATCACCGTGGCCCAGTCAGCTCCTCCTAGTGGCAGGACAGTTGCTTCAATGCCAGGACCCTTGATGCTTCCGCGCACAATATTCGCGACGCTGCGGATGATCCCCGCGTCGTGGGGAGTACCCACGTTGATTTCCTCCTTGGCGATATGGCATTCTAGTCTGTACAGCCAGGACAAGGCGGGTTGCCGCATAGATGGACTGCCAGGGAACACTTCGTTTCCGGGCGATGGAGCGGGCGACATGGTGGAGACTGCGAATCGAAATGGCGGTGGTAAGTTTTGTTAACTATAATTGAATAATAAAATCGAGTTCAAGTATTGAGTTATCGCAGGAATTCGTGGGCTTTATCGACCCCCAGATTCCCAAGTATCTCCAAGATGGACGCTGGGTATTCTCAGTTCGGTGAGCTGCTTCTCGTGGAACCCAATTGCCTTCCCCGCAGTGGAGCATTTTCTAAACGGGGAGGTTGACCCCCAACCTTATCAGGGTTTGTGATGGACTAAGACATGATAAAGCGACTTGAACGAGGTAGTATGATCGATTATTTTTGGACTAAAGAGGTAGGTACAACAGGATGCATCCGATTAGCGAACAATCGCCTCGGCGATTCATTATGGTGGCCTATTTGAGCTGATAGCTTCTCCAACTATGTGCTTCTCTCTCTTCAACACGCTTCTATTTTTCTATCTTCTCCTCTGAAGAAACCAAACTATTTGAATACTTTCTGATTTAAACCGTCAAAATGTCTGTTGTACTTTCGATGGTAAACAGTGCCGCGGTCTCGCCCACTGAGCGACAACGTGCTCTAGATCGAATTCATTCCGATCCAGGTATCCCTAGTGATACCACAACCTCTTCTTTCTGGCTGCAAAATCCACACCCGGACTTTGATCAGGCCTCCTCAAAACCTCTTCCCACCGACGCCAATGTCGTAATCATTGGCTCCGGGATCACAGGTGCATCTATCGCACGTACTTTGCTCCAAAACCGCGCCAAGTCAACATCTACTTCCTCCCATCCGGCCGTGGTCATGCTAGAGGCTCGTGATATTTGCAGTGGAGCCACAGGCCGTAATGGCGGCCACATCCTCGAGACAGCTGACGAGTATGCCGAAATTGTGGATGCCTTTGGAGAGGAATCGGCGCGCAAGCTCCTCCTCTTCCGACTGGCGCATCTGCGTGAGATGTTGAGTGTTGCGGAGGAGTTAGGCCTCACGGAGGTGACACAGGCACGGAAAGTGCAATTTTTGAGCGCTTACTTTGGAGACGAGCCATGGAAAGCTGCGGTAGAGAGACTACGTCGGTTTAAGGAGGGCATGCCCGAGGAATCGGCAGAGTGGGCTTCGTATGAGGGCAGCTCGATTCCAGAGGTTCGTGGCAGATACAAGATGGAGAGATCACAATGCTAATCTTATTATCAAAGGAATTCAATCTATCGCGTGCTACAGGTGTAGTTACTGGCCCAGCTGGAGCTCTCTGGCCATACAAGTTCGTCACGGGCGTTCTCTCTCGTCTTCTCTCTGATTATCCAGAGAAATTCCACGTCGCAGACCACACTGTCGTAAAGGCCATTCATTCCAGTAATGATTCAATCAAGCCTTACGAGATCGAGACATCCCGTGGAACAATAACTGCTAAGCACGTTATTCACTGCACAAACGCACACGTTGGCCATCTCGTCCCCGGTCTCCGAGGCCGTATCTTCCCCGTACGCGGGCAAATGTCCGCCCAAACACCCGGAGATAAATTCCCTCTCCAAGCTGCAAAACACTCATGGCTCTTCAACTATGACCGTGGCTTCGATTACCTCACCCAGTTACCCACCGGCCAGATGATGTTCGGTGGCGGCTTCGCAAACGGTGAAGGAAGCGGCGTGGGTGATCTAGGTATCTCCAAAGACGATGAGATGAGCGTCTACCTCGATATTCATCTATCCGGCGCGTTGAGCGCGGTCTTCGGCCATAAGTCATGGGGCTCGGTGCACGGTGACCCTATTCAAGCTATGTGGACTGGTAATATGGCATTTAGCACAGATGGATTCCCCTGGGTGGGACGTCTACCCAGCTCTGCGACAGGTCGGACTGAGCCTGTCGGCGGCAATATGGGCTCGGAGTGGGTGTGTGCTGCATTTGGAGGCGAGGGTATGGTTCAGGCTTGGCTTTGTGGAAAAGCGCTGAGCACGATGATTCTCAAGCATGATGATGAGCTTGTATCTAGTGCGGATCCGGATTTGAATTGGTTCCCAGAGCAGTTGCTTGTTTCGGAGGAACGGGTTGCTGTGGCCGAAATGCCGAAGACTGTGTCTGAAACTGGACGTCAGTCCCATCTGTGAAAGGATGGGTTGAGTAGTTCTGTGCTTGGGGCCATTCGCATTATATCAGATGAATGATCATAATCCTATGAGTACTTTAGCGCAATAGAGGAAAATTCTTCGACGGGGAAGTGTTTCGGAGACTAACAAACTTTGTAGATTCCAAGATAAAATCTATGTGTTGTACTGAAGATAGAGTCGAGTCGGTGATAAATTCGCAGGAACTATCATCCTGCGCTGTGGGATTGGAATAACTACAATAAGTTTGTCATTTAATTGCGTATGTTTCTTCCTACCTCTTTGATAAATGTACTGATGAAAAATCTCTTTGATACTTATCACCATATTACAACAGCACGTTCGATCCGCCTGAATAATAAGCTTAACATACATGGTCCAACTATGTTCCAAGCCCCGAAACTCGCGCAGGATATCCATTTCTTCGTTTACTTGATAGCCATGCAAAGCCACTACCCACCATGGGTGTGACCCTGCTGTTCCACAAGGCGATAGTATCGTGCCGCCAGGCCACGACGAGACTTCTTACCGTAGAACACCATTGGAATGATGAGTAGCGAAATACCCAGACTGATAAATCCACATGCAATGAACATGTTCCGGAGACCGTCGCGCTGGATCCATGGGCTAATGGCAAATGGAATACCGATGCTAATGGCGTTGCGGAGGAACGCAATTCCAGTAAAAGCATCGCCAGTGATCTGTCGGAAGCGAAAGGTTAGAGCACTGTGTCAATTCAATGGGCGACAAAAATCAAAGTGGCTTACATCACGGTAACTATCAATGACCAGGGTCAGAGTGGCATCGCCAATACTACCCAGGCCGAATCCGAAAAAGGCTCCGCCAATGCTGGGGTAAATCCAGTGCATGCCCTAGATACAATGCATTAGTCTTTACGCTCTCGAGTCACCTTATGCGGAGTGGTCTTGAAGGCATTCAGCTTCAGAGCCAGGTGTAAGCTTACCTGTGAGATTGTGATTCCGAACATCATCAAGCCTGCAGCCATAAAAAGGGCCGGGAGATGCAGAATATACAAACGCATCTCAGGCTCATAGAAACCTTTATTTCTCCGAGAGAAGTAAAGAATAGAGCGGTCTCCAAGCAGTCCACCGTAAAGGGCACCGATGAGATTTCCAACGAATGGGCCAAGGCTCATGAACCCAATTTGCTCGGGCGTGAAGTTGTAGGGAGGCAGTGGGAAGACAAGGGACAGCACATTCGCAGAGATGGTCAGCCAAACCACACCAGAGGCATACTGGAGTCCAGTGAAGAAGACAGTTGGGAATTTGAACAACACGTAAAATGGCCGGTAAAAGTAGGGCCAGATGGGCTCGGGAGTGGGAGTCCACAGAGCGAACCGCTTTCGCCATGAGTTAATAGGGATACTGAGGTCCAATTCATGATGAAGGCTGCTTGGTTCAATTGGAAGTGCGGCTTTAGTGTCTGACTGCACGCCAGATTTGTGATCTGGGTCGGTGGGAATGGAGAGATCCTCTTCATTGTCTGGACCATCTCTGGATTGCCCGTTCAGGACTGGGACATATTTAGTTTCTTCATAACAGAAGAGAAACAAGAGGAAGAAGATTGCGTTGAAGATCCCCATTGTTTGATAAGACCAACGCCAGCCTTGTCTCGTCGCCTGGGCTCCTGCTGCCATGGGGGTCAAGAAACTCTACACGAGTTGTTAGCAAGACTTCGCGTCAGCGGAGTAAACCACGTACCCCAATCATGACCATGGTCATGTACAGACCGTTCATACTCCCACGGTGATGCACAAAGAATAAATCGGAAATCTGTAATCCAGAGTCAATACTCGACGCGTGAAAATCACGGGAGATGTTCATACAGTGATCTCCGCAATAGTCTCGTTGGTTGCACCAGCCAAGCCCTGTAGCAGATTCGTAACGTAAAGCTCCGCGAGACTTTCAAGTCTGGCAGTCCAGAATGAGGTGGCTAGCATTATAGCAGTGGACACAATATATACTGGTCGCCGGCCGAACTTCTTAGCCAGAGGAATGAATAGCACGCAGCCGGTCGCTAAGCCAACAAAGTTGACCGACATGGCCTGATTGAGTTGCGAATAAGAGACGTTTAGATCTATAACCATTTGTTGCCAGAAGATCGACTGGATCGAGAGTCTGTCACATATGAGTGTTGTGAGCGTGGCCCGAAAGATTATTTGTGGGCATGGCTTACGCTGTAAAGACCACGACTGTCATTCCCAATACAATAGTGAAGTTCACAGCCTTGCGAGTCGTGTTCCAATTCTACAATACACAATTGTTAGTTTCAGATCCATTACGGTAACAATATCATGAAAGACCGACCAAAGGCTCATTGGGATCATTGGTAGGCACTGGGTCAAGCATGACAGCTCGCTGGCCATGAATCTCCGATCCATCCTCTGTGGAGCCAAGTCAGTGGATATTCACACACTCAGGACCTTTAAGCCTTACCGTGAATCAGACGGAATGTTCCAGGGGGAAGTAGTCCGCCTCCTTCAAAGGACGATCCATCAATATTGACACGAGTAGCAGCCATTGTTCCACAGAATTGAACGAGATCAACTTGGATGTGCAATGGAATACAACGGCGATGTGAAGGGATATTTAATTATCTTCCCCAGATTTCAGACTCCGCTCAGATTGGTCCACATGACGGGCGTTGATATCTCTATGCGCCACCGTGACAAGAAAACGACGCACTAACAATCCTGATAAGGCAGTCAATCGAGCGAGCATGAAGATGGCAGTTCATGTCGGCTTTGAAAGTGCGGAGAGAGTTCAGTCTCGATCCAAGTGGGTGTTCCGACGCCACTTCATTTTAGGGCCGCGAAGGGTCTGCCTGCCTAATACGGCATAGATCCTCCCAAGATAAGAGGCGCTTGGCATGGGACTTACTGTTAACCTGCGAGGTTCTCCATTTAGGCCCAATAGTGGCGTCTCGCAATCGTTAAGCGATTTTAGGCTGGTGGGGACCTGTCTTCATGTGGAAGGTGGACACTCTTATGCTCTTTAGGCCCCTGCGTTTCGGATGATCGCCAAGTGGAGGATGCCGACACGATAGAGAAACTCGGCGGCCTTCATAGTTCCACTTTGACTAATTTCCACTGGAGACGCTTTTGGCGAATGCAGACTTACAATAGTTTCTCCTTTTGCCCACGACTATAGAAACGATGGCGCTCAGTGCTATCTCCTACCTATCATCTCTCGAGTATTGCAGCAGCTCTTCTCCAAAATCATGTCCAAACAAAAGCTCACGGTCAATCTATTGCCCGTTCGTAACGGTGTGCAGTACTTCATGGGAAACTTCTTTTCAGAGAAAATCTTTACTGACACTTAAAAAATGTAGATCGATCGATATCAGGCGTTGCGCGAACAGTCAACGCAGCCTTCACGTCCGATCCTCTGATAAAATGGCTTCGACCGAGTGCGACACCATGGGGCTACCAAGATGCAACGACACAAAAATGGCAATCCAGAAGGGTACAAAATGTGATGTCCGAGGGCATTGTTCTACAGTCAGCCAGCGTCGGTCAAATGGCACACGAATACCCTCTGCAGAACAAGGCGACAGAGCCTTTGGATGGCATCGTCACACCTGAGAAGACAGCTCAGGCATCAATTGCCCGGGATCAAGAGCTTCAGGTCAATCAGAATGGCGATGCTGGTGCGGTTGTATTCTTGTTCCCTCCAAATGGACATCTTCCGTGGTCGCTCTCCTCGATGTGGCTTGCTTGTAAATTGTGGTTCCTGGAACTATTTAACCCGGTCCAAGACAATTCTAGCAAGGACGAGGTAAGAAACAATAATATCTGTGATAGAAAGATTCGTTACTGATTCAATCGTCTGAGCAGCGAGTGGAGATATTCATGGCGAGACACAATTTCGGCAAAAAGGCCCTCCGGGCACGGTACCCCAAGCTGTGGTATCTTGAAGTGGTTGCCGTACATCCATCGCTACAGTCACGCGGACTAGGAGGAGGTGTCATGAGAGCTATCCTAGAGCAAGTCAAGGGACAACCGATCTTCCTGGAATGTACCCGAGAGGATAATATTGGCTTTTACGAAGGGTTCGGTTTTAAGACTGTAGAAGAGGTGGAGCTTATAGATGCTCCAGTGCACGGCAATGAGGATGGCAGATTCAAGTATTGGGTGATGATTCGAGAGGCAGATAGTACATAGGGAGATCTGAACGATGTAGTGTGGAGCGATACAATATAATAGAATCTGAAAACTCCCTGCCATAGAGATGAACCGTTGATAGAACATGAACACATAACAACATAGAGCATACATAAAGCGTTTCATGACTCCTTACAAAAGACCCATTTCAATGTCTTTCGCTCGGGCCAGGTCGTTTATATCAAGCGTAGAATCGCCACGACGCCACACTTCCTCCAGAAACTCTAGAAGAATTTCATCTTGACGTGACCCTAAAGAACATTTCCGAATAGCCTGCTGCCACTGAGGATTCTGACGCATGACCCCCGCCTCAAGCCCGGCAACAACTATCGGGAAAAGAACTGAGTTTTTGATAAAAGGATCCTCGTTTGGGCGCTCCAAGCATCCCAAGCGAAGAGCATCCAGGTTGGCCAGAACGCGAGCTACGAGAAGACTCGAGTCTACCGGGCATGAATTCGGCTGTCGCCATTTTGACAAGCTCCGAGGGTTACCTGAGACTGGTTTCTTGAGGCGTTCACACTGGCGGATGGTCAAGATCCCCGCTAGTCGGTATGCTTCCCAAAGATAACATTGCAAGAAATTCCCCGCTTCTCCGGGCCAATCCCAGAAACTTTGCTCTGTGCTATCTAGATCAATCCCAGCCAGTAGATCCAAGAGAGAGCGCGGTAGTCCAGTTACTGGCTCGATGCCGTGCCTCGGTCTTGTCGGGCGGCAGAAGCGACGCCAAATACCGATTGAGGGAGCTTGACGCCCTACGGCGAGACAAGGAATGTCCATGACTCCCATAACTTCGAGGAGGTAAGCTCGAAATGGATTTGGTGTCGAAGTACTTTGCGGATCATCTGGAGTGTGACTTTGCAAGATGTTATGCATGCCTTCTAAGTGCATTGTCCACGGCATTCCGTGCATCAACTGCACAAGTGGGGAATATGGGTCAGCGCCCTAAGCCAGAATTATACATGGAAATGGGGAGTTTGGGGACACTCACACCAATACTACATAGGAGAAGCCCCGCAGTCAGTGTTCCATCGGAGAGCGTCGTAGACCGAGCTAATTCGGACCGAAATTCCCGTAGCGATGTGTCAAAGTATTCGAAGAATTGAGGTGTGTCAGTGGCAGATAGAGAGAGTTGGAATGTAAGACAGATATTGTACAAGGCGCTGGACTCCTGACACAATTCCGGAAGTCTAGGCTGCAGCATGCTCTCAGGCGCTGTAGTTGAATGTAAAATGTTGATTCCATTTGTCAGGACTTGCAGATTCGCATGTTCAGTACACCGTGAGACGATATCGTTGCATTTCGTTTCAGAACTCACATTCATTGAAAAGAGTCTCATCTTGCTCCGATCTGTCAGTCTTGGGGGAACAATTCTCGTCCAATTGAGTGACAATTTCGTGAAAATCTAGCATGACTCGTTAATTCTGTACCAATTCTCCGACTTATCATCAACTAACGGGCATCTCTCTGTGCCTGGGCTTGAGCCTGGAGCTTTTTCCTCTCTCTGCTCAAATCCCTCCGTCTCCCCTTTGGCCTCGGCGGAACATTCTCTTCCAGTGGCTTATCTGCGCCGGTAAATCGACCGCGCGAAGCAATGCCGCTGCCCCAACGCAGTCGTACCTCGTAGCCCTCACAGTCTACTCCACGCTGTGCACAATTTTGACAAGTTGGGCGAGCATTATCGCAACGTCGCCGACGGCGCTTGCAAGTCCAACATCCCTGATAGCTGCGGGTCGACATGCCGAATAGAGGGAGAAATTAATTGAGCACGAGGCACGGGCGGGTGAAACGGGCCAGGCATTATAAGAAATGCGGGGGAAGTGGGACTACCAGTGGGCAGCACTGATAACCGACAGATATCGGGTCGGACTGCCGGATTGGGAAAACAAGCTCCATGAGTTAAACTATACTCAACCTATAATTGACTATAGAGCCCCCGCATGGACATGCCCATCATAGAAACAGTTTCAAATCCTTGCAAATGATATAGTCTTGTGGTAGACTTGTTGTTCGTGGCCTTATCTCCCAATGTCTTTCCAAACGCCCATCTCCAAATGCAGGACCACTATTCCAGGGTTAGGCACACTGGATGGTTTGCAGTATGCCAATGGTGTCCAACAATTCTGCGGCATTCCTTATGCACATCTACCAAAGCGCTGGACTCGATCAACTTTGAAAACTTCTTGGAATAACGACCATCACGATGGAACAAAGTTAGGGTACATGCTTCCCCCAGCCGATCGAACATGAGCCCCCACTCACATCTTTCAGTAATGATTGCCCGATGCCAGGGCTGGTTGATGGCGACAACTCGAGCGACCTTGTTCCTGTCCCGCCAGCTGCACATTTACCCTGGCCTCCGGCTGTAGATGAGCTATCCGGCTTGGTCATGAACATCGTTATTCCGCGTGCTTTCGACAATACTCAAAAATATCTCCCTGTCTTTGTCTACGTACATGGCGGATCTTTGCTATACGGCGGTGCAAATCTTCCAATATTTGATGCGGTCAATCTAGTGTCGCGCAGTTTGGAAATTGGTCTTCCCATCATATGCGTCAACTTCAATTACCGAATAGGCATCGGCGGGTTTCTAGCGGGCGAGGCTGTTGCACGAGAGCTCAAGCAGGACGGCTATGCGGGAAGTGGCAACTTTGGCTTCACAGATCAAAAGGTCGCTTTTGACTGGGTGCAAAACTATATCGGGCACCTTGGAGGTGATGCTGAAAAGGTGACTGCAGTTGGCGAGTCGGCCGGCGGTATTTCCATCAGTAATCAGCTCCAAGCAGCGCAGCCCGCCGTCTTTCACCGTGCTGTCTGCATGTCTGGACTGTCTACAGCAATCCCGCCTTGGACTATTCACCAGCATGATATCTTTTTTGCCGCTGTGTGTCGGCATTTCAAGATCGATCCTACGGCTCCCGATGTACTGGATCACCTGCGAGCTATACCTCAGCAAGAACTTGCGGATGCAACGCCCGAGATTCAAGGCGTTCCTGCAGGAACTGGAAACCCTTGTCTTGACGGCTGGTTCTATCTTCCCGAAGCAGATCCGCGGGGTGTCACCGCTCCACCTGCCTGGCTCAAGGGATTTATGTTTGGTGATGTCTACCACGAAGGAATCATTTTCCATGTAAATCTGCTAGAAGGTGATTATCATTCAATTCGGCGCGTCATTCAGGTTCATGTTGAGGATGAGTCTTTGACTGATCAGATTCTGGAGGCGTATGAAATCGCTGACGACCTGCCACACTCAGAACTTCTCGAGCGAGTGGAGCACATGTGTGGTGATTTCATCTTCAAAATTCCGAACTATGCCCTGGCAAAGCAGTGTGCAAAAAATGCGGCGCAGAATGAAAGAGCTGTATATTTATATCATTTCGACCAGCGGTCTCGTCTTCCCAACACGCTGGAGGGGACGGCATATCATGCGCATGAGTTGTTGTACCTGTTTGGGAATTTGGAAGAAGAGATGAATGCAGATGAAAGTCAAATGGCACGGGAGTTTTCCGCTGCGTGGATTAAGTTTGCAAACTGGCTTGAGCTTTGGAGGGCAAGCAATTCGTCATCATGGATGGTATGGGGACAGAATAGTAAGGTTGAGTTGAAAACTGAGACTGAGGATGAAGACGCTCGGAACTATACTCGGATGAACATGATTCTCCAATTGGATGAAGGAAAAACATGGCAGAAAGGGCTGGCTGCGATTGATTCACTGGTCAACAGAAGGTGGAAGTTATGGTGAAGGAATAGTCTGGTAGAACTTTCGAATTGATGCGTCTACCTTCAGACACGCAAAATGCAGTCAGTTCATAACATTTTGCTCGAGGAAGAATTTATCAGGCCAAGCACCCGGCATGGGAAATTCAACGACTCTATTTCTCTCGTGCTTGCGCCTTTTTGCAATCTTCTTGGCCTGTTTTCTCTCAAATCTTGCATGATTGAATGTGCATTTGTGGATTTCACACCAAATCTCCCGAAACGTCCGCTTGCCTGCCGGTCCAAGACAAGGTCGATGCAGTTTGTCTCCAGTCTGACAGAGGGTATGTGTACTCCCATTGAACGGCCACAGATCCAAATAATTTCCGAAAGAATCGCAGGTGCAAAAGGTCAAATGTTGGCAGTGTATCTCCTTGCTGAGCTCCCTGGCTCTATATAATAATGTCTTTTCTCTGGCAGACGGTCTCCAACTACTGTGTTCATATGGTGAGATCCAGCCGCCCCTGAGGCGGTCGCAATCATCACCGAGGAGTATTATCAAATCCGCACAGAAGCTGAATTCTTCCAAAACTAAAGCAGCTGGACTTTCGGGGTCCACCCATCGCAGAACTTTTGGAATCAGGCAGCCCATATCGTCGAATTCAAGCGCAATAGTACGGAGGTGAATGCATGTATACATCTCCTTCGGGATAAAGTGCTGCGAGAGACTTGGTCCGGCAGCTACAAGTGTGGGCTGGGTATCAATCGCAAAGGGTTCGAGCTTAGAGAGGCGGGTTTCTTGCAGGACATAGTTTCGAACATCGATTTCACAGAAGTCAAGAAAACTTAACCACTCAGATATTAACTTTTGGTACGCAATCTGCATGGGTGAACATGCCACAAGAGTCTGAAGTAGCGTTCGCGCGTGCGGGTCTCGGTAGTGTAAGTCTGCGCCAGCAATGACAAGCTTTCTTGCGAGTTCACGGTGCATTTTCTGCCACCCACTGTCGCCTGGTTTATTCCATGACCTCATTAAAACTGACAGTGCCGACCCGAGGTAGAAATCGGATGGCATGGAGGTGATTTGCACGCCCGTGAAAGCTAGCCAGTCAAGGATATCGAAGATTTTAGGATAATGGAGACACTGGCGTGATAAAAATAGCTTGTCGATTGGCTGCTCTGCATATTCGACTTTGGAGCAGACCACCTTGAAAGTATGGAAAAAGCTGTCGATCTGATGCTGCCTGACATTAGGCATAATGAAACGGCTAGTGAATCGGCATTTAGGTATTAGTAGGTTCCTCATTAGAATTACATTTATCTGGCGCGCTTACATCATTTCCAACATATCTGATATGTTTATCTGGCATCCTTCATGTATGAGAAACATCAGAATGTCCTTGCCGTCGTTTGCGGAAGTGATCCAAGCATGTAAAAGTGCATCCTACCGATATATCAGTACCAGGTCAATGTACTTTATACTGTCAACTCACAGAGAACAAAAATTCACTAAATATTGAGATGTCCCGGTTACGAAGAAGACCTTGAACACCCTCCAGATCATCATTGCGGGCGTATTTATATAGTCTCAAATTCATATCCCTCGACATATGTGAAACGGTCTTAAGGCTGATGCTTGGGCCCGACATTCCTGAACAAGAGATCATGACCCGAATAGACTTGGACAGGAACGAAGGATAGAGACAATACGTTGTCTTTGTGGTTGTCGACCGGTACTGCGAGCCCTGATAGTCTCTGCAAGTTGTATCCTTGGATTTGGCAATTCCAATGCGGCAGATGAAAAAGTTGTGTCCAGACCGGTGATACTCTTGCGTGCGTGTGAACGTGCTCCGAGATAAAGCGGCTGCAACTCCATATCGCTTGGATAAGTGTGAAGCACTGTTTATTTTAAGCGATGATCCAGAAGTAGCCGCTGGTGCTTGATTACGGGCGGATGGCAGCGCGTCCAACTTCTGTACAAAGAGAAGCGTGTTTCGAGTTTGTGAAGCCCTAGAAGTTGTTATCAGCTCCTTGCCCATACCCTAGAATACATGCACTACCTACAGCGAATGCGTCGTGAGCGAAATATCCAGTATCTGGATAGCCTGACCAAGCTGCCGCTCCAGCTCCAGCACATCCTCCTTCTTCCAGGCCGACTTGAACGAAGCCCATTTCCGACTGACCACACTCCGACCATTCTCGGTTTCTTTAAATCGATCAACAATACACTCAATCCTCCGGACCTTTTTCTGACAATTCAGTAAAGATGTGTGAATATCGTCCGCCAAGATATGCTTATCGCCGTACAGACTGCGCTGGTATTCGAGGGCGTTCCGGACACACGATGCGATCGCGTAGATTTGATCGAGGAGGCTTTCGAGACGTTGGATTTCGGCTGGTGCGTCTGAGACGGTTTCGAGGAATTTTATTAGAGTGCACGCCCCTGCACCGAGCTGGGCGGCCAGCGAAATAACCGCCATCACACTTGCACCGGCGCCCAGCCCGTCCATGATGCTTCACAGTCAACAAAGTCAGGAGTGCGGTGATACAGTACCAGTGATGCGATGAGAAAACATCATGGCCAGGGAGCAGAAGCGCCCGGGCGTGGTGTCTGCCTCATGATGGCTGTGTTGGCACTCCAAGCCTCACTAACATCGAAGCGCTACTGCACGAGGGGGCGATTAATGTGCAACCCTGATTGGCAGGGTACACCAGGGATGGGACGAGTGCGGCTGAGGCTGAGCGTAAGTTTACCGCCTATTAATTTAACAGGTAGAGAAGATTCTCTTCGATTGAATTATTAGACAAACCCATATCTCATAAACAAATAGACCAATATCTCAGTTATGTACAAGAGGGTCCAATCAACCAGTCAATCCGAATCGGGCCCCCGAAACGAATCCGCAAGTGCGGTAGAGGCGTATGATACAGCCCAAGAAACCAAAAACCCAACTGTTCGGTACACAAAGGTAGAAAGAAAAAAAGACGTAGCCTAGACATGGCCAAGATGCAAACCCGTAACACCATGCCAGGGTAAGTTTTCGGAAGATGGAATCATGACAATCAACAATGGAGGGTAAGAGGGGAATGATAGCAGTGACGCCAAACGTATCAATGGCAGATGAACAAAAAGAGACATATGTATAAGCTTCAAGATCGTGCAAAAATAGCCAAAGGCGATGAGGAAAACACCAGGAAGATCTATGCCTCCCGGTATCCCCAAATGCGCCTTTGCTCGTTTACCCACCACTTCCCAACCTGCTCCGCGTCTTCGAGCCACTCAGCAGCCGCCTCGCCATGCTTGGACAGAACATCATCAACGAGTTTTTTCATTGTCCATGACTTGCGGAGATGCAGCTCTCCAGGATCTTGGTTCAAGTCGCTGAAGACGTACTCGAAGCCCTCCTTAAGAGGCAGAACAAGTCGGTAGGGTGATCCAGCAGCGGTGATTGAGACCATGGAGCCGCCAGCATTGACGATGCCAAAATTCCAGTTATACCGGGTGCGGTGGCCCTCCTTTGGCTGGGTCTTGTGTCCCTTTGGCTGGGTCTTGTGTCGGGAGCGAGCGTCGATCTCGTTGGAGGTTTCGCTCGGTGTGTCGTGGCCCTCTTTGATGTAAGGGACGAAAGGACGGATGAGAGATTGGCCTTGATAGTCGGGCAGCAGGGATGAGGCCATCTCGGAGTCGCGAGCGTCCAGGGAGTGCGACTGGACGAGAAGGTCGAGGATGGTTGGGATGATAGAGATGGAGGTTGCGTTGGCGTCGATGTTGATACGAGGCATGTGCGGGTGTCTGAAGACGAGTGGGACACGGTAGTTGCTGATATGTCCGTTTTCATAGGTACCGGTCATATCCTTGTTATCCTCGCCGAAAGCCTGACCATGGTCGCCAACGACGACAACCAACGTCGAGTTGGCGATACCGGCTTCGTCGAGCATGGTCATAATATCGCCAAGCCAGTTGTCCACGAAACGGGCTGAGTTCAAGTAGTTGTTCATCAGATTGTGGTTGATGCTGCCCTGGCTGCCCATGTAATGCTCGATCGCAAAATCGTCGGGGGTATTCCAGGGATGGTGGGTGGTGCTGGTGACGTGGGAGAGGAACATGCGAGTCTTGTTGTTGGCGGCTTCTTCAAAGAGATCACGGACATAAGGCTTGAGCTCGGTCTCGGCGAAACCGAAGTAATTGATCTCCTGTCCTTTGGCCCGATATTTGGATTTCCGCGAGGTCAGGGTGCTCTTGACAACCTTGTGCTTGAACCCCATATTCTCGTTCAAGACATCCTGACGATCGTAGTCGTCGGTAATGGACTGCATGAAGACGGATTTCCAAGGGTTCTTCAGAGCCTCGGATGCGGCATCATCACGCTCCAGGATCTCTGAGGATGGACTCGGGTTCTTGACCGTATTAAAGAGTTCGAAGAGTTGAGGTAAACACGGCTGGTAGATTTCAAGGCCAGTCTCTTCCAGAAGATCCACGGGGAGTGGGAACACACCACAGTGACTTCCCAGGATACTCTTGAAGGTCAAAGAGCTACCAGTGAGCGCTCCACGAACGTTCAATCCCCCCATCCCGTCCTTCGCCGAATCCTGCCAGTTCGCACCACTCAAATCAACCTTGTTGCCCTTGCTATCGGTAGCGTACTCGCCCGTCAACATCTGTGAAACGGGAGTCATTGTAACCAGACGATCAATCGCCTCCTCTCGATCCTCCTTGGCATGCGACTCGAGCAAAGCATCGAACATAGGAGTCCCTTGCTGCATAGGGAAGAGCTCCTTGCGCCCACTTTCGAGGGTCAACAGGATGACATGGTCAATCTCCACAGAGTGCGCATCGAAAGCAGCCTTCAACGGTCCGTATATGTCGCCTCCAAGATTGGAGATCTTGAGCGGGTCAGTTCTTGGGTTGTAAAAGCCCGGTTCGTTGTCGTTGCACAAGTACCACGAATGGTTATCCTTCTCGGCGCGCTCGTCGGGGGTGTGTTCGTAACGACTGAATCCGGGAGGCGGATTCTGTGGAAGCCAGGAGGGACGCGACCAGCTATTGGCCATGAATCCGGTCTTTACATCTGTCCAAAGAGGAAACTTCATCGGAGCTTGGCGACATCCTTCGGTGGTACTCGATTTCTTCGTAAACGCATCCAACAAGGTCAACGGTAACGCGCCCGACAGGTGATCGTACGGGACCGATGGTCGAGTCAGCTCTAGGAACAATAAAGACGAACAGATGGAGACGGTTATGGCGATACGGCGCACGGTTCGAAGATCTAGTGTCGTCATCCAAGATTTGTTGGGGACGCCGAGTAACGTATATCGCGCTCTGTAGCTTCCGCTGAACAAATCCCGGATCGCCTGCAACCCGAGACCAGTCCAGTGGTAAATTTTCGCATGAACTAGCCAGGCGACCAGGCCAAGAACCGTCGCAGCGGCGGAGACAGTCGAGATGCCACTGAGCAAGATCTTCATGGCGGCGGGATCGCTGAGGAAACTATTGCTGGCGGCCCAGGCGACCTCTGCGCCGGTCTGCATGAAGAATCCGAATTGGATAGATGACGCGCCCCATACGATTAGGCTAGAATTTTCAACAGCTCAGTCAGTATACACCTCCATCCAATTGCGACAATCCCGATTATCTCAATCTTTCACCCGAATGGAGCGCACGTACGAAAGCAACCCTCCCAAGCATGTCGTTACCCATTGCAACTTAGTCTCCGGCCATGGCGAATATAATAGTACCCGCACAAAGACAATAACGAGCAGGTCTGGGATAATAAGAGTGGGCGCGTAAAGGACGAAATAGAGGAACGGAAGAGAGTGGATATGTAGAGCGATGTGCAAGGCCTTGGAGGCGAGACCGCCGACGACCAAGGCCGCGAACAGAAACGGCGGGAGCGGGGGAAGATAGGCGAAGAGCTTCATGGCGAGATCATAGCATGGTTTGTCGTTGCAAGAGGTGAGTGAATCAAGAAACAGAAAAACAAAAAAAAGGTGAGGATGGAGGTAGGAGAGGGATGTCGTGGAATGAAAGGCTGGCGGAGGAGGACTGGAATGGGGACAAAGCACCCCGGAATGTGTCGAGTCTGTGCAGCGCGAAAAAGAGTGTGTGAGAGAAAGAAGTATCCGAGGTAATGAGCACAGCTAGAGAAAAGCAAGAAGCAAAAGTAGTTGAAAAGCAACGGGTCCTTGGGAGAAGAAGGGACGAAGGAAAGGGAAAGGGATATGGATATTGACCCTTTGGGAAGGAAGAGAGAGACGGTTCAAGGAGCACACAGGACAGGACAGGACAAGAAATTGATAATCACGATTCACGAATACTGGAGTCCAGTAGTACTTCTAAATCCATCGAATCATCGCATCAAATCCGGTGTAAATAATAGTAATTCATACAATGTACTAAATCGATGAACTAAAAAAGAAACCTACGATGTGGGCTCCAATGGGGAATCGAGGCACGCGACAAAAAACCTTGGGATCGAACGGCCGCAGGGACGAAGGACCCTCCGGAAATACTCCCAGCCCAACCCTCCACGGGCCCCTCCCAACCCACTCTGTCCGACCCTTTTCAACCTTGTCCAAGACATTGGAACCTCTAAGCCTCCCTTCTGATCGGGTTGCTCCGGCCATCCGTGCTACCCAAGTGGATCCCCCAGATTTGTGCCTCGTTTTGCTCGGATGCCACGGAACATCGCTCCCAGAGATCCCCTTGTCGCCGTACACGACAAGTTGGCCAGGGCTATGCATTGGCGACGGATCTTTCAGATCCCACTCGAGACCCTACCTACCTGTGACAAAGCCTCTGAGAGCAGGGCTTTCGACGTTGCACAGAATAATACTCCGTACGCAGATCAGAACTTGAGGCACTCTCCACTGGGTGGACCCTGCAGCGCGCCTTTGCTGGTTGCCTGAGTCCACCACGTCTGATTCGTCGGGCTGAGACATCAGTGTGTCTTCATCACCTCATCAGTGGAACACGCGCTGCCGCCTGGCTCCAATAATCCACCTCCTATCACGAGTATTCCCTTGTTTTCCAATCTTACAGCCCCTATCGGCCTCATCCTTCGGGACCCGCTAAGGAGGACTTGCGGCTGTGACAAGGACAATGAGCCTTCTCAAGGTCCTTCAACGGTCGGTGCTCCATCTGACAAGCTCTCGCCAAGGCTGAAAGAGGCCTTGATGCACGCGATAATGGTCCGAATTCGCTCATGCCTCGTGTTGGTGATCGTCCCAGTTACAGCAATTTCACACTCTGAGACCTCGGGGATCAAACACTTGGCGATCCGACGCCATCGAGATCCAATGGCCTTCAACCGGGCGATGTGACTCTGCGTCGTGTACTGTACAGTCGGGATTCATTTTGCTCCCGAGGCACCGTTCCAAACAACCCCACGAGCTTGGCGCTGTCCGTCTGACGTTGTACTTCTGTACTCGTTGACCTGTCCAGCCGCATCCTGATACCTTAAACAGGTTATTTACCACCGTCATCCTTTGAGCCCGTTGCATTATGGCCCCCTATTCTTTGCATTTCCTGCTTGGGTGGTTTTGTCTCCGATCACAGATCGTCGGTTGTCCTTCTCTTTGGCGTGATCAGCCTTGGAACAAACACCATCTGATCAGCCTTTTGGACTCAGACGATCCTGCCCAAACGGCGAAAAGACAGATCCAATCGAGTCCCAGATGATCGCGAGTTGGACGTAGAATATTGATACATAATTTCATACGGGAATCTCCGTACACAACATATCAACGGGGAAAACGTGGGACCCAGAATCTAGTGCGAGAACCGGATTCAGGTCAACAGTTAAATTTAGTATGTATTCCCCTGGCCATGGACCCCTATTCGCCAAAAGTGGTCTGGTCTGGTACGTCAGATCCAGTGGCGACGGCTAGCCATTAAATAGCCCAGTTAGAAGGGGGTCCAAGTTTCCTTCCGAGCTGGCTTCCGAGGGATTCTAGCGGATGTGTGGGTGAGCTAGCGTGCTCAATTTCCTATAGTGGGCTAGCCTTGAACTTTCTTTGGAGCCTAGCTAGATCCTTTGCGCCACATTTAGTCATGAGTGCGCTAAAGGTCTCAACCTCTCGAGAGCTGAGTAGCGCCAAGGATAATAGCACTGTACAGTGCGATACGGAGTACTCCGTACTTCGTATAAATAATTCCTCCTGCTTCCTTCAAAGGATGAAGTGGCTTGGCATTGTTGGCTCGGTTAAAGCTTCCAGGGTTCCCCGCGTCAAGTTTAAAGTTGTATAACCTCAAATTGTCCTGGACCTGAATTCTATCTCATACTTTGCAGGCCATTTCAAAGGTGGACTTCTTTTTCAACTGCGGTGATATCAATTCTAAGTATTCCTCCTTGATGTCCCAGTATCCATTGTTTCGCCCCTATAGTCCGACGAAGCCCTAGCCCCCAAATGTCTACCTAGTGCCGTCAAGTTGCTAAACCAGTGCCGAATATGCCACCTAGTAGAGTAGAGAAGCTGAGCAACGAACAAGACTGCTATACACAGAGCATATGCTTCGGTAGTTGACAAATTAGAAAGCTAGTAACCAAAAATTTGACCTTGTCGAGGTCATTTTCCCTAGTTGTACTATGTGGATGGCGACCTCCCCGGGCTGAATATAATTACAACTAGAATATCGGGACCTGTGAAATTGACGCCGAAAACTTCCATGTCAATGAAAATGGAGTGTTTAATTGCACGAGGAATAACGTCTGTGCCCCTATGAACTGTGGCAACCACAAAGTGTTTTAGAACTCAAAGCCATACACGGAGCAGGGAGGCAAGGTTATCCCACTGGTAGATGCCGCCGAAGAAGAGTCTTAATTTCTTAATTTTGTATTCCCTAGACCACCCCCTCCCCCTTAGCATGCTAAGTTGCCTCTTGGGCCATGATCCCCCCTCAGCATTCTTTGCGCTATATCTGCAGAAGTAGAAATTGAGCACATGCTACGCTACACCACACCGAACCCCCAGTAACTTGATTTTATATAGGATATGACGCGATCGTTCCTCGTTATTTTTCTGAATGGCTCTTAATAGCCTTTCGAATAGGCATACTCTAAAACTTCTAGGTAGCAAAGTCTCGTCCAGTACTGATCTAACACGAGAATATAAATCTATATATGAAAGATAAACCCCGAAGATATCTATCTATATAGTGCTCGGATCGTTCATCTTTGAACTTAAGAAGCCGCTCCACACCGTACAGCAATATCCCAATCGTCTTATGCGACTCCAGTTACTCTTTTGTTATCCCTTTAAATCCTTGCGTAGCAAGACTAGCCAGAGCCCGATCATAAAACGTTGTCTCTAATTCCTATCGGTCTTCCGTGTCTTGCCAACCTGGGTTATAAAACCGAAAAGGCTATTCATAAAATGAAAATTCGACCTAACCAGGAGGTAAAGAACACTATCCCAATCTAATATAGCTTAAACCCGGCCCGTACAGTCGTCGATAAGGTAATTAAATAGGGCGGGATCCTAATAGACAAGGATCACGGGGAGGGTAGCGATATTGTGTAGGTTTAGTAGGAGCTTGTTAATATAAGCAGAAATTTTGTTTCTAAGGGTTATATATCGGAAAATGTAATTGTTGACCTTATGACGGATTCTCTCCAGGGTAGAAGTGAGGTCGGATAGAGGAGTGTCAAATATAGCAGTATTCGCTCTAGCTCCTCGAGTAACGAAGTCTGCAAGGTTTATCGCAGTCGCTATCTTCTTCTCAAGCGGCACTTGAAAGTCCTCAGAAGACATCAAGACACTGATATAAGGTGTCCCTTCTACAAAAGACGATGTACACATAAATAGCTCTTCGTATATGCCCTAGTATATTACCAGTCGTACAATAGGTCTATAAATACGGCTAGCTTTAGAAACTCCGAGAAGGTCTTGCTTGTCGCATCGGAACTGGACGGTAATACGATAATTTGCGTCCGTGGAATATGTATGTAATATGACAGTATAGCTCAAGCTTCCCTGGAATAGGCTTGGTTGAACATCTACCTTGCCGGTAGTGTTTGAAGAAGGATTGGCGCAATATAGTGCAAGGCGAAATGGTGACACGATTCCTGGGAGAGGTTTGGCAGTGGTTCGAAGAATTGGGCCACGACGAGGCTCTGGCAATCGTCCATTGTAAGAGCCTACTAGGGATGGTATTTACCCATTCTGTCTAACACGAAGCGATGAGTCTGAGTTTGCTGTAGATGCTGCTACCTTGTTCCTATTTAAAGACAGGAACAACATATTGCCCTAAGGGACATCCTGGCAGACAGAGCGAGTAGGAACGATACGTATGTATGGATTAGGTTGAGTCAATTCATTCGGAATGGCTCCAACGCCGGGTGATTAGGTGGTTTAAAAGGATTGAGCTTTCAAGCATAAAGATAGGCACGGGGGTCGTCCTTCCGTTGGCTGAGCCAGCTTGCCTGAGTTCAGAGCCTCAATCCTCATTATTCCTTCCCCGTACCTTCAAGCCAGGACAGCCGGGGCCGTAGGGTATTGCTTTGGTCGACTCACTTATCTAACACCCCACTTCAGTCGTTCATGGGCCGCCCAGGAGCTCCTCAGTCATTGTGGATAGATGCCGCTCCCCATGCGTAGCTTGGGTAGTAGACTAGCCAGCGGACAGTGCGTGGTACTCCACCCAATCACTTCCTGGCATTTCCTTTTCTGGGATTCGAAGACCATCAGCCTATTCTCACCCCCTGTCCTGACCTGACAGGACTCGGATTAAATATGACGTTTTTATTTGACTGGTGCTTGGCGCTGTAGCCCGGGAGGAATCAACCGCCCAACCTCCGATGTTCTCTCGGGAATGTGTTGTTGGGATTGATGCAGTTCTTACACAGAAAATTTACAGCAAGTGAGAGGCTGGATTAAGCTGGCCACGTATCAAGGGCTTACTTCTCAGCTCGCCACATGCGAAACATTTCGGAGGTTTGCGGCCTTCAGGCAGCCATGCATCAAGCGCTTTTGAAATGCTCTGGGCAACCAATTGCTGAGGGGTCCATCTCTTTGCGAAAAGTGTTTGTGGGGAAACAAGCGTCGTGGTGAATAAGATACGCATATGTAAGGACGTTCTAGAAACTCTCTTCTTCCAGGACTTGAACAACTATCTCTCATTCGCGTGGGACGCCAAAACATGGCGGAAATCTTGATAAATCCTGCAGACCTTCGGGGCTGGAACAAATGATCAGAGATGCACGTCAGCAGGTGAAACTTGCAGCCAACGAGTATGAGCCATTGCGCGAGAAGAAAATCGAGGCCATCATCCAGATGCTAGCAGAATGGGCTAGGATGACGACAAAAGCAAGAGTGGGACAATGCACCGATTCAGAGCAAGAGCAGCGGCAGGCAAAATAACAAGACGAGTCGCTCATATCACGCCGGATCATAACCCGGATCTGACGCACGAATATGAGAATGTACGCACAGCCTTCATCTTTTCCAGGGTTCGGGCGGAGATAATAAGAATTATCGATGAGGCCATCCAGTCAGCTCGAGAGACGATGGTTGCCATCTCTACTACTATCACAGAGGATAGTACTACAAGTAGAGATAGCCTTACCCGCGCGCCTGCAACAGCGCTGGATGGGCTTGGGAAACACCTTGTTGACCGGTCCTAGTGGACAGGAAGATCCGAGGACCTTGAAGAAGCCATCCAGGTGCTTCGTAGCCCGGTGCTAGCTCTGACTATCGATGGAGACAAGGACCCTGTTGGTCGTCTCGCCCGCCGGCTGGAAGACCTGTCTGTACAGCTGTTGCGCCTTTATAAACGGAAAGGGCGGGCCGGGGACCTTGACCAAGCCATTATAAAATCCAGGAGGGCATTGGCTCTTACGAGAGTGATGACCCTACCCGTATTGACCGGTTGGTCAACTTGGCTGAACAGCTCGCAATACGGAATATACGGACCGGAAGAAGAGATGATCTGAACTCGCGCGTGAACTCGCGCGTGAACTCGCGCGTGTTGTGCTCACGACCATGCCACAGAAACGTGCAGAACTTTCCGGCTGGATGGCCGGCTTGGGTAGAGTTTTTGCTTGTTGGGCTAGCCGGGATGATGAGGGTGATGATGAGGGTGATGATGAGCTTGACGAACTGAACCAGGCAATCACGATGCTAGGAGACGCCATCAGTCTCACGAGTGGCCATGATCCACGCCTCCCTTCACGATTAACCGACCTAGCAACGTATCTTACCCTCCGGTTCATCTCATCGAGCGACCTGAAAGACATTGATGAAGCCATAACCGCCGCACGCGACGCCGTGAACCTGATACCTGACGATAATCCGGACCTTGCAATCTCTCTTACTGTCCTTGCAAAAGCTCTATATAAGCGGTATATAAAGACGAGTGTAAACCGCGATCTCAACGACGCACACACCAAAGTGATAATGGCGACCGAGATTGCGCCGGAGGACCTCCCAGAACTAGCCGACATGTGGATCCTCCGTGGAAAGATTGAAAGCTCATATGAGGCTCAGAGGGAAGGTGAAGACAGCAGCGGAACCGGATCCGCTGACGCCTACCTAGCTGCATTCCGCTGTAATCAGCCAGGCCTCTTGATCGTATACGCGCGGTCCGCAAAGCGATTGAAGATCAATGGCAGTGGAGGACCTATCGCAACAGCCGCGAGGCGGTAGAAGCTGCGGTGGAACTTCTGTCAACAGTGTGTAGCCGTTATGCTACTCGACATGAGCAGTTAACGGCTGTGAGGAACACATCGGGCTTTGCCGCGGATGTATGCTCCATTCTTCTCGAAGAGTCAGAGTCACATTCAATCGATTCGAAGCCTGAACAGTCTCTAGAATGCTTGGAGCAAGGACGAGGCCTGATTATCGGCTACGTCACTGAAAGTCGTACGGAGATTTCGAACTTAAGACAGAAATATCGAAGGAAAGCACAGGAGCTTGAGCAGCTTCAGCATGCGGCATCCTTGCGTTTCCATACGACAATGGACGTGCTGTCACAGCAGAGATTACTGTTCGAGCGCGATGAGGCAGCGTCACAGATTGAGCCCTTTCTGGCGGGTATTCGGTCGCTCCCTGGCTATGAGCGGTTTCTCCTACCCCCTTCCCTGCAGACCTTGAGGGATACAGCCTCCGAGGGTCCGATCGTGATTGTGAATGTGACGGATATCAGCAGTGCCGCTCTCATTGGCCGGCCTTCTCCTTGGCCAGTGAAACATATTGAGCTGCCCGACTTGGACACTTTTGATATTGAAAGTTTCCAACCATTCTCTCTAACGGGGCCCGGATCGAGGTATATTGGGGCGGAAGAATTCGAATCCACAGGCAGTGACTTCCTCATATTCCTTGAGAGACTGTGGTTTGACTGGTTTGACTGCGTCTCCCCGATTCTCGAGGAATTGCAGTTTTCCCCGCCTAAGCGTGACGGTGGCGACCTTCCGCGTATCTGGTGGATGGGTACCGGGATGGCCAGTTCTCTCCCGTTCCATGCAGCCGGTTGCCACACACCGGAGTCCGTGGAGAATGCCTATAGTTGCGTTGTTTTCTCCTACACCCCGTCTCTGAAGACACTGCGATATATTAGGGAAAGGGGGAATCGAAAGCCAGAACGCCGGACGACGTTACTCGTTACGATGTCCACCACTCCACGAGCCAATGATCTACCAGGAGTAGCCACCGAAGCAGACGCGATTCAGGAGACCATGCACCCAGTAAAGATACTGAGCCAGCCAGACTCAGCCACCGTCATGGGCGCCCTGAATGAATACAGTATTGCCCATTTGCATGCCACGGGTGCTCGGATACCATTAACCTCGCCGAGAGCTACCTCGTCCTCCAAGGACGGGACGATCTCGTCCCGGATAAGCTCACCCTCCAGAGCATCAGCGAAGCTGATTTAAGTCAGGTATGGCTCGCATACCTATCCGCCTGCTCAACTGCGGAGCACAGGGTGCCTGATCTAGCCGATGAGGCTCTTCACCTTGCGAGTTGGTTCCAAACTGCCGGGTTCAAACATACAGTCGCGGCAATGTGATGATGAGATTTGTGCTAACGTAGCAAGGGTCTTCTACCACGAGCTTATGGAAAGTGGGATCATCGATGAAAATAGAGCCGTTGCTGTGGCTTTGCATAAGGCGATCAAACAAGTCCGGTTGGAGCACTTAGACCAACCATATCTATGGGCGCAGTATGTTCATTTCGGGGCAACATCACGGTTGGCGCTGACGATACCGAGCGACGGAGAGAATCGAGGATCAATATCGGTTCAGTGCCCGAGGCAGAGGGCGCTTCGGAAGGCTCATGCACAGTGCGAGTCATCGCAAACGCCGCAAAGTAGGAAGTAGCAGTAAACTTGGCAGTATTACGGTAATACAGGCGAATGGAGGGGAATAGTAGTCTTGTTATGGATAGTCACTTGCCATCCTCCTACCATTCCTCAAACAGAAACCCTCGAAACAATCCCATCCTTCCCCAACCGATCCATAACCCCCTCCTTCATCCTTAACAACCTCTCAATCTCCCGGCTCGGCATCTTCTGCTGATCACGCATAGCCAGCGCCTGCGAGATAGTAAATGCGTCCAGGAATTGCCTCCCAGCACCGTGACCGACGTCCTCGAGCTCTTTCTGTGCGGCTTGACTGATTCTCGTGCGGGCTTTCACGGTGAGTAATGCTGGGTTCGAGGCTGATGGGAAGACGGTCTGCATGGAGCCGTGGTTGACGGTGCTGGAGTTGGATAAGGTTGGGAAGGGGTTGACAGGGCCGATGTGGCGGAGGGAGGCGGCGAAGTCGGGATCTCGGCCGTCGAGGTCAATTGCTAAATAAAAGGGAATCTTAGCGGGAGGTAATGAGGGCGATGTGTGGACGCTGTGCTGGTTTTGTTTTGTGATTTCTCTTCACACTTGCGCTCCAACAGGGAAGGTATGGTAGATGAAAGGATGCATACCACTTGACCTAGTACTTGAAGGCTGTTCTTTAGAGTGATATTTGGGTCCCTGCGAGGGGCCTGGGGCCTGGCTCGGTGATGGCGCAGACGTAGGAGGAGCAGGATGTGGCGTTTGCGATGCTTTCGAAGCTGAGGGGGTACCCTTGGCGGGACAGCGGCCTGTTTGGGATATTGTCGACGTGTAGCTGCACCAGCAGCAGACTTGACTGGTTTGGATGCAGCCGAACCCATGGTGGTTTGTGTGGAGTTGTGATTGTGGTTGAAAATCGGAAGGAGCGATGTGATGAAGCTTTGGTGATTTTGCAGCAGAGATCGGGGAGAAACGCGGAGGTCCGCCTTGGCATTTGCGGTTGCAGGGTAGCCACTCAAGTGACGTCAAAATATAATCAACGAGAGGGATATTGTCCGCATCTAGAATTAATTTGATCATATCATCAAGCTTCGTGCTTCGAGCTGTCTTGCAATTGACGTACATATGAGTATATGAAAGGTTCTGTCCGACAACCCTGTTGGTATCATCTATATGCATCGTTGTATGAAGGTGGGTCCCACTCAAGGACTCCAAGAGCATTGAGCTACGTGGCAAAGTACGTAGTCGAGATTTATTTACATACTTCTAAGCACTCATTGAAAAGAAAAGAAATATATATGCACAGCAGCTAGTTCTTCGCATATGCCGGTTTGATTGAAACAGAACGGATATCATCACAGCTACGACACAGCTCCCTTGGAGCTCAAGTGGCCACCTTTTCGAAAGACATAGAGGTCGGCCAAGTGCAAGCATATAACACTATAGCATGTCTCGAGACGCTTATCGGAGGCCAGCCAGGCGACGACCCTGCACCTCGCCCAATGCGCGGCTACCACTCACGAATGCGACCGCGCCGACTACAGCCGCGGCCGGCAGGAGCTGGAACAAGTTCCAAGAAGTGTAGTAGAGGAAGAACAGGCCCTCGAACGAGATCAAGGATCCAATGAAGATGGCGTGAGGGAGAGGAGCGGACTTGAACGCGGTGGGGAGGTGGCAGAGGTTGGCGCCGAGGAAGAGCCACTAATAGAGAAAGAGCGTTGTTTAGCTAGGTAGATGACAATCATAGCTATGATCAACTTACCAGACTAGCAAGAACGGGAAGAGTAGCGCCAACAGCGACTACAAAGGCAAGAGTGATGATGATCGGGGGGTTGGACGGGGAGTCCTTGAAGATGTGGTGGATCTCAGGCAGCTTTCCGTAACGCGTGGTCTCTGCGGTCGGAACGGGGGCGTTAGGGTCACGGTTGATAGCGAGTTTGAAAACGGAGCTATCATAGGCCTCGGAGCTGCCGAAAGATCCAATGACAATACGGGCATCGACTGGTTCGGAGAGGGAGAGGAATTGGACTGGCAGCTCCTTCTGGGTCTAGATAGATGTGGAGTTAGCTTGTGGTTTGATTCCAGAGCTCAATTCTCGAGCCGCATACCAGTTCAACTCTGGATTTTCCATTTTCCTTGACGGTAAAAGGATAGGAGACGTCCAGACCACTCTGGGTATCCTTCAGGAGGAGGAATGCCTGGTGTGGCCTCTTCGCGGAGCTGCCTTCCTGAGCAGTCAAGATGACGCGCAATGTATCGGCGTCGGCGAATACGACTGGTTTGGACAAGGGCTTGGACGCAGTGAACCTAATTGCGATTGTAGATTAGCTCCAGTATCCTCCGCAGCAATGTTTCGATAATTCCAATGGGTTTCTTACTGTTCCTTGAATCCGCCTTTGATGCCAGCGCCCTTAGGTTGAACTGCCACGGTGGCATCAGCAAAGCCCCAAGCTGATGCGGCCGCAGCCGGCAGGGCAGCTGAAGCCAGCAGACAAAAGGGAAGAGTGGCCTGCCACAGATGCATTGTGAAAAATAAGGGAGCAAAAACAAAGTGAGTGTCCAGACAAGAAGGAAAGGGATTCAGGTGGATGGTGTTTCTGGAGTTGCAGAATAAGGCGGAAAGGGCTGATTGAGGCCGATAAGCGCCAATCAACCGTAGCCCTAATTTCTTTTCTGCCCCGACCTCACGTCCCCTCAAGTTGGTGTCGCCCTCTCGGCCTGATCTTCCTTGGAAGAACTGCTGCAATCGAGTCAAAATAGTTCTCGATCCATAAAGAATCACCGTTGCTGGATGGATGAGCCTTAACTCGTGAGTACTCACTGCGTATGGCCTAAAACGAGGCCCTAAACCCCCAACACTCCGCGCTTTCTGCCTTTCCCCGGCATTGGAAGAACTTCTGACGTCGATTCCCCACGATCGTTGCCTCTTCTTCTATTGATCTATGCTTGCCTTGAGCACGATTCAGCTTACGCCTGTTTCTCCCTTGCTGCCTGATCTTTCATTGTTTACTCTGTCTCTCACTGCCTCATCGCTTCTGTTGCCTTCCCTCCCATTGCCGTCATTCACAGATCAACTGATTCTCGAATCGCCGACTCACCAGGTCACCATCCATCATGCCTCCCAAAAAGGGATTCCGCAAGTCGATGCCTGCACAAGTCAACAATGACGCTTCTCTGCTGGTGCCTTCAAGGCGTTCCCCCAGAGTCCCCGCCTCGGAGAAAGCTTTAAATTCATCGACTCGCTCCTCCAAGACTCTTGATCTTCCTTCCTCCCCCACACCTGACAACTCTTTCAACATTCGTTTCTACACTCCAAAGACCCCTTCCAACAAATCTCACTCGAGGAACACCTCTCCTGACGTGCCCTTGACACGTCGAAGCACCTTCCAAGCTCGCCCCTCTCGTCTCTCATCTGTTTACACCCCAGCCGTTGAGAGTCCCACCTCCAACCACAGCGGCCGCCGTACTCGTCGCACCGCTGCACTTGAAACTCCTCAAACCTCTTTCTCAGACCACGATATGTCTGACACCCTCGGCTCCACTGGCTGGACCTACGGCCAGTACATGGGCGGTCTCGGCTTGGACGGAACGATGGATTCCCGTCCCTCTCCCAGCATCTCATCCATGGGGACCCGGGCCTCAACTCGCCTTCGCAAGCCCACGGCCAAGGCTCTCGAGGCAATGCAATCTCAGCAGAAGCCTCGACGTCTTCACAAAGACGGCTCAGCCCAGGTTCCAGGAACCGTCGCTGATTCCTCGGCCGGTGCCTCCTCCTCTGGCCCCGACCCCGCTCCCATTCCTTCCCCTGCCCCTGCCCCTGCCCCCCCGACGCTTCCCCAAGATCACCTTCAAGAACGTTTTCAAGCCTACCACTGAGCCTGCGTCTACGAGTGCGTCCACTTCCACGTCCATGTCCGCCCCAAAGATGGGTGCCAAGACTGGACCCAAGCTGGCTGCAAAGTCGGCTGCCAAACCGGCACCTCGGACGAGCACTCGCACAGGCAAGAAAGGCCAAAACGCCTTGAAGGCCTCTCTCCACCGCATCCAGATCACCGTCGGCCGGGCGGGCCAGAAGCTCTTTGAGCTGGCCACAGTCGCCCTGAGCTCTGAGTTTGTCGCTCCGTCCGATCCTGAACAGTTTGTTCAGGATCTACGAGCAGCTCAGCAAACGGATGCCGTGGAGGAGGAAGATGCCGAGAGCATCTCCCCGGACACCAATCCCGAGCGCAAAGTCATGCTCACCTTCAAGTTTTCCGCCGTGCCGTCTGTGGACCAGGAAGACTGGGTTCACACGGGTCGTGTCAACAATCACGGCGAAGAGGTGGTGCTGACGCCTCCGGGATACAGCCTCGATCGTGCCCCCCACAACTATGGGGACGAGGCTTTACCCTCCCCTCCCGTCCGAACTCTACCGGACGATCAGGCGACGGCCAACTTTGGCCTCGGCTATCCGCCTCTCCTCGGTGACCGAAACGTCCCGTTCGGTGTACAGTCCCAGTTCGAACCAGAGGACGTCACCGAGGAGAAGGCCCAGGTACAGGCACGCAAGAAGAAAGCTGCCGCACCCGCTAAGCCCGCTCAGAAGGGGGGCAGAAAGCGTCGCCTGCCTGGAGCCGACATCGCCGAGATTCCTGCAACCTCGTCTGCTCCCGCCGCTCCGGAAAATAGTGAGCGTGCGCAGAAGCGGCGTCGCGGGGAGACTGTCTCCCAGCCTGCATCGAGTAAGCAGGCACCGCGCAAGACGCTCGCTCCGCGGTCGGCCAAGGCCGAGCCTAAGACGAAGGCGCCGTCTCCTTCTCCCGTGGAGGAGGAAGCACCATCACAGAAGGTGCAGCGCCTTCGGATTACGGTGAAGCCTCCGACCTCGGCGGAGATGCAGGAGGAGGATAGGGTGGTGTTCGGGGATGACGAGGCCGACACCCCGGCTCGACCTGCGGCTAGACACAGCCGCCAGCAACCAGCCGACCTCTATACTGAGGTCGAATCGACCCAGATGCCCGCTACATCCAAGGGCAAGAAGAGAGCAGCAGCCCTTATCTCCGACGATGAGGTGACCGAAAGGTCAACGTTGCCCACCAAGCGGGCACGGGCTGCTGACTCTCAGGTCGGTACTGCCGTCGCTGCCGCTCCGCGAGGCCGTGGCCACGCTATTAGCCGTGGTCGTGGTATCGATCGGGGTGGAGGTCGAGGCCGAGGTGCCTCTAGCTCTCGGGGGAAAGCCCCAGGTCGGGGAGGGAAGCGTGGTAGAGGGTCAGGATGAAGAACCTCCTCCCCCCGTTTCTGCTCCTTTTGTCTCTTTTTCCCCTCCTTCCGTCTCTTCTTTTTCTTTCTCTTCTTGTTCTTTTTTTTTTTTTATGTCTATGGTGATTTGTTTTTGTGCTGTTTTCATGCGAGACATGAATTCAGCATGACATGATTATGAAGGCGTTCTGGGTGGGTGGTGAGAGGAACATGGCATTGTTTTTTTTTTTTGTTTTTTTGCAGCCAAAAAAAATGGCATGAGAGCATAGCGAGGAGTTCTGTTGTTTTCTTTATTTCTGCATGCCATGGATTTTCTTTGCTCGAGTCTTCTTTTTCCCCCAGCGTTTGCATTAGGGTGTAGTAGCGCCTTGTATGATTCCACATCTGATATTAGAGCATATTTGCTTAATTTGGGACATAAGAACATGAAAAACACATTGTTAATACTCAATTTATTCAAAACCACGACTAAATATGTTCAACAGCAAACTTGAAATATTGTCCTTTGCCAATGGAAGTAACAACAGCAATTAGGCCGACCAAACCCAGTATCCGGACAGGTGTATAAAACTCTGCCTGAGGCACCAACTCCACTCCACCCCCCGTGCACCTCTCCCCAGAAGCAGTCCTTTCCCACGACAAACCAAGTAACCCAACCCCTCCTCCACCACATCCAATACACCAAACCCCTCAATAACACCATGCCCCCAAAAGCCCCATCAAATCTGCGCCCCGTACAAAAGCCAGGCGTCAATCCTATCCGCCCACCTCCCAGGCCAGCACCACGTCCAACCAATCCGGCGGATATCCGGAAGACGAAGGAGTATAAGGTTGCTGCGCGGCGGTAAGTACTAACTCTCGACTTGTGTTCGTTTTTGGCAACGAGTTATGGAATGGACTAGGTTGAATGGATATAAGCTTGTCATATGTGATATGTGTTTGCTTTGTCTGTTACGAGCTACAGCTTTGAGTTATTGTTGCTAGGATTCTGGACGGGAGTTTGTGCTGATAGGTGTTTTTCTGGGTAGATGGTTGTCTACTATCGTGGCGTTGCCGATTGTGATGTACACGTCTTGGATTTTGTATGAACGGGGTAAGTGGTGTTCCTTCCACTGGATGTGTCTTTGTCTATTTGTTCGGCTTGGATCTGACATTTTCGGGGTTTTAGTGTATGGGAATAAGAGTCCGAGGAGGCTGATGCCTCAACGACCGACTCAACAGGACTCGTCTTCTTCTGGTTCTTCCTCTCCTTCTTCCTCGTAAAAGGAGGGTTTTCTTTCGACTTTTCAAAATGTATCTTCATCCTCTGTACAATACTAGCCGCATTATCCTTCTCACAGCTGCATTCCACGTAGCCAGAATTCATTTCCTAGATCTGCCCAGGCTTGGCGTAAACCAGGAACTGAATCGATTGCAACTCTTGCCTGAAACTACATGCTATCATGTTATACGGAAAAAGAAGGAGAAAATCAACCCTCAAAAGGAATTATGCCCATTTTTACCACTCCTCCCTTACTGGCGGAGTAAACAAGTCAGAATATAAACGGATCCTCACCTCGCCAGCCTGCGGGGGTGAGGCATGAAGAAAAGAAAAGAAAAGACTATGCATGGGACCAACAATTCATATCCAATTAAATAGAATCCACCAAAGCATCGATGTCATGATAGGAAAAATATCAACGTAGGGAAAGACAGACCAAATGCATCATAATCCAAGATCCAACTCGCTATATCAACCGATATCAACATCAACATCAACATCAACATCGTGGATAACCGGTTAGCCCGCGACCCCCTGCAGAGGCAGATGGTGATCTGATCCCGCCGACGGAGGCACAGAGGTCGTGCCACTGCCACCACTAGGCGGCTTCGCACTGCGCTCGCGTATCCTCCTCCCCTCCATTAACCCGCGCAACCCACGCTTCTGCAGTCCAATGACGCTGCTCAAATCGCCCGTCCAGATTTCACGCTGCGGGCGGAGCTCAGCGTCCGTGTCACGACGGTGGTGGGCGCGAGACGCGGACCGGCTCTCGCTGTCACTAACGAATTCCGAGTCGGACTGGCTGAAGCTAGCGCTGGATGCGGACGTTGCCGTGCTGGGGTTGCTGGTGGAGTCGCGGCGGCCGCGCTGGTGACTGCGTGGCTGTGACAGGTTTGTGTCGATGCGTAGCGCGGGGAGACCGCGCGTGGGATTGGTTAGGTCGTTGGCGCTGCCGGAGGCTGACGGGGCGGTCATGCCGCCGTGCTCGGTATCGGAGGAGTCGGAGGCGAGGAGCACGCTCTGTTGGGAATTTGTTCCAGCCTCTGACATGCCGGGGATTGTGCCGTTGCCGGTGCTTTGGGCTCCGTTCAGGGCTTCTAGCGTGCCGCCTAGGCCGCCGGTGAACCCGGTGCCACGACCACCGCCTGCAGCCATGGCGGCGGCGTTGAAGACTGCTGCGGCGTTGCGTCCGTCAAGGACTTGGTGCAGACGTTCAACGGTCGCTTCCAGTAGTCCGTCTATCTGGTATGGGCGCGCGAGTTGGAGGAGGGAGCAGAGGATCTGAGGTGTGCACAGGGAGGATCCTGGGGGAGGGAGAGTTGAGGTATAGAGGTACTGGACGAGTACTTGGACGGTGAGGATGGTGTGGGGGAGGTAGAGCACGCGCGGCCGTGAGGTCGGCGCGAGGCCATGGGCAGAGGGAGCCTCCAAGTTCTCGAGGAGCGCTTTGGAAGGAACCGCAGGGTTAACCAAGGTCGTCGCATTGGAATAGGTGCTATTATGCCCAACCGACGGAGTAATGGTGATGCTTGAGTTTCGGCTTGGGTGCATTAGAGCCGGACGAAGCGTTGCAGCGTCCGCAACTCCACCATCGGACGATTCGCGGAGAAGCTGGATGAAGTATGGACCCCAGCGGCGAGCAAGGACACGGGAGTTGACAGGGATCCGTTCTCCACCCACGGCCTGCAGCTCCATGTCCGACATTTCGTGCAATGACAGGGCCAGCTTGCCTAGTTCATCTGACGTTGCGGATAGAGGCCGGCCACCGGTCGTCAATTGGGACAGTTTCTGTTGTAAAGATGCAGGAACCGAGGGAGAACTGTATGATTTGTATCCCGACGTGGAAGCGGTCCGTGATGGATTATTGTATAGCCCAAAGGCCTCAAGCTCGACCAGACAAATGTGTGAGAAGTTAATCCGTCGATGGTTGTAGTCATCGACGAGACTTCGCTTCCGATGTCCAAGAATGACAAAGGCACTGCGGCGCGGCCAGAGAATACCGCGATTCCAGCTACCATGGCCAAAGACTGCCCCACCAGCGTCAATACGCCCCCAAGTCAGAGTCTTAAGATCCAGAGCCCAGAGTGCATATTCTTGCTTCGAGGATGTCAGGTAGGTGCCGCTAACCACAAAGTGGCCATTAATGATGCCGCCATTAGGGAAGCGCAGCCCAGGGGGAGACGCTTGGCTCTGCATCGGTCGCTCAACAAGGCGCCCGTCCGGCAGACGCACCTGCAGCTCCAGTTTAACATCCAGGAAGTTGTAATTGGAATAGATCAGCATAGGGCAGCCTGTCGACTCGGTTTCCTCGATCGGCTCGTGAGTCTCGCGGTCGGGCGCGGCTGAGCCTACCTCGGAGACGTCCATCTCCACCAGGGGCGCAACCACGCTGCGATATGCGCCACAGCTGCGTCCCAGGGGACTGGTGTTGGTCCACTTGAGACTGCGGAGATTGAACACACTGACCTGCTCGATATAATGGTTGGAACTGTCTTGGCCACCGACAACTACCATTTCCGCACCGCCAAACCCATCGATATCGACTCCAATGGAGCCTTGGTGCGGCGTGGTGGACTCTGGGTTGTGATGGATCGCCGACAACGGCGCACTGGCCGAGGTAAACGAGGCACTGGAAGGGAGGATCGTAGCGCAGTGTGCATATCGTCCTTGTGGCGACTCGTGAGCTGCGACACGGGTCCATGTCCGCGAGGGGACGTCGAAGATATGAATGTCCGACATGACCACCACCTCCGACTGGGATTCCGGCGTGGATGCAGCAGGATTCGATGGATCCTTGGGTGTGCTCGGCGCGGGCGACATGCCTCCATAGCAAACCAACTTGTTATCACCCAGCGCACATACACTATGGAAATACCGCGGTGGAGGAATATCCCCGGTCGGCTCAATCTTGGTCCAGTGTCGCCGAATGAGATCCAGTTCATACAGATCGGAAGTCAGTTGCGGGCGACTGCGTGAAAGAATCCGTCCTCCAAAAACGTATAGCTTGTCCCCCAAGATAGTTGTGGTCGCACCCACCAGGGGGTGAGGCTCCTTGCCGGTTGTCCGGCGCACATTGCACACCAGGCCAGAGAGGTTGATCGGGCCTGACGAAGACTGTTGTTGGAAGGACGGGGAGGCGCCTTGCGCGGAGGGCTCCTGGACCGCGTCCAAGTATCCCAGACTAGACTGGCTTCTGGACATCATCGTGGGTGAATTGGGCTGGTTCTTCACCTGGCTCAGAGGATTGCGATCACAGACGGGTAGTTTCTCGCTCCGTCAGCCCCCTTTTTTTTGGTCTTTTCGGTCAGTCCGCCCCGTTGTATATCGGAGTCAGACGACACGAATATGACGAGCGACCCTGTCGTCGGCGGGCTCGCAAGTGTGTAACGATCGAACAGTCGCTGACGGTGATGGTAGGTCCTGCTGCGGGCTCGAAGCCACAGCTCTGTGGGGTTTGGAAAGGGAGGTCGTGTGGGTTGATTCCCCGCCGCTTCGGAGCCCGCGGTTTCGAGGGCGCACAGGGAGGCCGAGAGTCCGCAAAGTCAAGTCGACGCAAGGAGGCCAGGGACGAGGTTGGAGAGGAAAAGTGTCAACTGTCATCCCGTCACCGTTGGATCGGCACAAAAAAAAAGGCGGTCTCAAGTCTCTTTTCCCGGACAGGCTTGGGGGCGGATACGACCGTGCGCGGTCTATACACGTTTGGGCAACGTAGCCGAAGAAATAGATTGAGATGGCACTCCTCGGGGGGATTAGCTGATGGAAGCAGTCAGAAGTCGTCTAAGTTGGTCTATGGTCTACATTGTGATATTGTTATCTTGTTCTTTAATTGTTCTAGAAACTGCACCGGTATCGAATCCTTGTTCAGGACAGCCAATGGAGTTGTGCAGCGGACTGGAGGTCCCGTGCCTCGTGTCTGCGCGGGTCCACCAGCCTGTTTACAGGGCCATTGACACTGGACTGGGGAAGAACATGCCAGGTTCATGATAATGAACTGTACTCTACAAGTCAATCTGGTCAGAACTTGTGCAGCAAATGCTCAATTCCTGTTAGAATACGGTCTAGCGTCAAGTTAGTCAACAACAAGCTCCCTTTCACCCTCCATAAACAGGCTCAATCTACAACACAGACACGCAGCAAGGAGGGACCCCAAGGTGGCGGAGAAGTCATTTCAGATTTGGTATCAACTCGGCTATTCCGGCAAATTAAGAAAAGCTAGCATCCAGAAAAAGCATTTTGGGAAAGATCATCTTGCTCATTTCACATCATCGTCAAGAAACACGCAGGGAAACACCCCATTTAGGCGGCGTTGGGGTCCTTGGTGAAACGGAGGTAGGGCTTGACCTCACGGATCTCACCGAACTTGGCCTTGGCATCGGCGGTCGAGACGGGGGAGGAATGACAACGTCATCACCGGGGATCCAGTTGATGGGGGTGGTGACACCGTGCTTCTGGGTGGTCAGGAGAGCATCGACGACACGGAGGACCTCGGCGGTGTTACGGCCAGTGGAGGCGGGGTAGGTGAGGGTGAGACGGATCTTCTTGGCGGGGTCGATGATGAAGACGGAGCGGATGGTCAGAGCCATACCCTTGGAGTCGACGTTGGTGGTGTCCTGGTAGTCGACCATGTCGTACAGGTAGGCGACCTTGCGCTCGGGGTCGGAAATGATGGGGAACTTCAGCTGGGAGCCAGAGATCTCATCGATGTCCTTGATCCAGCGGTGGTGGGACTCGACGTTGTTGGCGCTCAGACCGATGAGCTTGACACCGCGAGCAGTGAACTCGGGCTCGAGCTTGGCGAAGGCACCGAGCTCGGTGGTGCAGATGGGGGTGAAGTCATCGGGGTGGGAGAAGAGGATGGTCCACTTGTCACCGATGAAGTCGTGGAAGTTGATGGGACCGTTGGAGGTCTCGGCATCGAAGTTAGGGGCAGTAGAGCCCAGACGGAGACTGGTAATGGGAGCATTGGTCAGCTTCTGGCAGGGGGAAGAGAAAAGGGTTGTAGTATAGATAGAGGGGTAACATACGGAGCACGCTCAGCAGCCATTGTGAAGGATGTAGAGGGGGTTGGGGATGGGAGGATAGATCAGTAGAGGAAGAGAGAGAGAGAGAGAGAGAGAGAGATTGATAGTGATGAGGAAGAGAAAGGAAGACGGGACTGAGGGCGGTTCAAATAGTTCTGTTCCCCTCTCACCTGGTCTGGATGGATGTAGCCATGTACACTTCCCTCATCAGTGAATCAACTTACCTCATCCGGCAACGTTCTATCACGCAATACTTCACCGCCCGCGGGCAGAACTATGGTGATTGGTCTATCCCCGAGGAAAGTGGGCTGTTTAGTGTTCCTGGGCCGATTGGGTCCAGTTCAGCTGGTTCAGAAGGGGCAAGAAGGAGGGGCAAAATAGGGTACTTACATACTCAATGCGTGTTCGGAGGATCGATTCCAAGTCTCTAGAGTGCTTACGGTGGGTTACTTTGGGGCGTTGGGGTGTTCTGTTGCCATTGTTTTGGGCCTGTTTGGGCTTGACCCCTCCATCGATTCCCTCCAACTTCCCAAGCCACCGACATGAACTTCTGTTTCTGTGTCGGTTCTATGCCCAGTTAATCCTTGCTGACACGAAGACTCTCCGCCATCGGTAAGAATGAGAATTTCTAGCTTTGCAAGTGCTGTCTCGGTTGAGTATATCGGCCGAGCGGTACATACTTGTCACGTCCTGAGTCGAGGACAAGTTTATTCCCCCACTCGGAGCCAATGGAGACTCGTTGCGATGGCGCAATGATATACACCATCTTGCTCTAACATGGATGATCTCTCAGTAACGTGTCGATCCTCCGGTGGGAGTAGACAGCATGTCCTAAGGATCAGACCCAATGGCATTCCCCCCAAACGTCAGGTGCAATTTCCTGGCTTTCCAGTGTAGTATATCTGCCTTGCATCAGATTAGTTACTCGATCATGCTGACTGCTGACCTGATGCCGGGGACCCACAGAGTGGGGCAGATTTCGACGACCTTCTTCGATGGTTCGACAGGAGCCCCTGTTTATGTAGAACCTTAGAGCCGCTGCGGGATCACGACTAAGCCGGAGATTCGGTATTATTTGCGAGAAATCATGGTGGTGGCCAAAAGTTCCCGATGAGTAAGATCCTCCCATTCCATGCAAGGCAAATACATGCTGGGCAACTTTCTCACTGCTCAGGTAAGATGGATGGAGTCCTCCAAACTTCTAAGCAATCAATCATATTAGCGGGGTTGGAACATGACATGGATGGTCAAAGCTCAAGGCTCCGAGCTTGACCTTACAGTAGTACATGGAATCATCCTTGTCGGACTACAGTATGATAGTCAGTTAGGGACATATGCAATCCTAGCCATATATGTACTTACACAATAGTCCTCACATGACTCGGGGCTGTTGGTGGTGTTGAAAATGCCTTGCCAACCAAAGATTTCATAGAGCCACCTTGGGGGTGTTTGGATCTCGATACTGTGACATTTCGTATAAGATCTTCTCTCTTCGCTTATCATATGTACCAACAAGGGTTCGGGCTAAATGCAAAAAAATTTGAATTTCCATAGTTCAATCCTGGTTCCTTGTGTCAACGGTGTGACTCGAGCCACAACTTGCTGGAGAGGATCTTCGGGTACCTCTCGAGCTATAGAAGGTCTTTAACACTGTGTCCAAACGTCTCTGGGTAACCTTAGGGCTGAAGAAATCTGTCCCGGGCATTAGGGGAATGTTTCTTTGACCTGTATATTTCTACAGCTCTATTTCCTTGGGACAGCCCGTACTGCTGTCAACTTTCAATGATGCTATTTTGGGTAGACATACCATGAAGACGAGTTGTTTCATCCAGGTCTATGTAGTCACTAAAAGTATCAGGTATGAAGCGAGTAGCTGCTATGAGTTTACCGCGGGCACTGAGGTCAAAATAAAGCTCGAGGGTCATCCAAATATATTTCATCTCAATATTTCATCGCAAATTTCCATTTCAGAGCACAAGGACTGCATAAGTATAGATGTAACAAAAGTCTGTACTGTACAATAGCTGAAAAAGCGCACTCTCCTCATTTTCAACGACTACAACATCCGAGAAGTTCCATATGCTAATTTGGACTTCTTTCCCTAGATCCTGCAATCAAGCTCGTGTCACGTGGAGCATCCTTGGACCCACCGTCGCGTCCAGTTCAAGCCCGGCAAGCAACAGCTCCCTCAAGAAATTCCAACCTCTCATCTCGCCTGGTTTCTCATCGGAAAAAGCAACTGAAAGGAACTGCAAGAGCAACCTGATCGGGTTAGCTCAAAAGTGGTGGTCTTGACCGTACCGCGCGACCTGTTATCTGTTTACCTTTTCTAGCCGCGCCGGTCGCCCATCATCTCAATTTAATGCCACCAAAGCGCAAGTCTGAGGTGACCACGATGGCAGGCGAAAGCATCAACTCACCCTCCAAGCGTGTCCGTAACGACGCCCCCAATATCCTGGCTTCAGGCACGGGGGCCTCCTCGGTGAGCGCATCATGCAGGGGCTTGATCGTCACGATCCAACCCGCTCATCAATCCACCCCAGATCCACCGACGTTTCTAACTCGATTGTTCTCAAACAGATCGCTGATAGCCCTCAGACTGGAGAGAAGAGAAAGCGGGGTCGCCCACGCAAAACCCCTGAGGAATCGACACCGAAGGCCTCCGACGAACCTAAGCGCGGACGAGGACGTCCCCGGAAAGTTCTCTCCGAGGCAGATCTTGCGGCGGCAGCTGCAGCATCGTCAGCTGTGAAGAGAGGGCGTGGACGCCCCCGCAAGGAGCCTGGTATGTGACGCCCTGGTAACTGACTACGATAAGTTTCCTAACCGCTGATATTTATCACCTCTAGGCACCGCGACAGCTACCCCGTCTACTACACCGAAAAAGAAGGATGGCCGTGGCCGTCCTCGCAAGGAACCTGGTATGTTACAACCTTCAACCGGCCCAAGAAATGTTGCTAACAATCTTGCCTCATTCCAGGCACTACGACAGCTACCCCGTCTACAGCACCCAAGAAGAAGGATGGTCGTGGGCGTCCACGAAAGGTGCCTGGTAAGTAATAATCCTCGACCAACATACATGTCCAGCTGCTGACCAGTAGTTGTCTAATTTTGCGATAGCCTCTGCACCGACGACCCCGGGAGTGACCCCAAAGAAGAAGGACGGCCGCGGACGACCGCGCAAGAGCTTACCTGCCAATGGCACTGCAAGTGTCGTGGAGCCCAAAGCAGAGGACAAGGTTGCCGAGGAGAAGCCCGTCACCGAACCTATCACCGAATTCACCACCGAAAGCGCACCTTTGATAGACACCGGCCGTTCATACTGGTTGATGAAGGCAGAGCCAGAGTCACGCATGGAGAAGGGGGTGGATGTCAAATTCTCCATCGATGATCTGGCTGCTGCAAAGGAGCCTGAGCCCTGGGATGGTATGCTTGGCCTGATCTCTGAGTTTGGTTACCGCGCAAATGCTGACTGTTAGCCGTAGGAGTTCGCAATCCCGTTGGTAAGGTTGACTCTGAATGACTCGTCTGCGATGCGGTCCACGTGGCTAACTGAACTAGCGCGGAACATCATGAAGGAGATGAAGCTGGGAGACTATGCATTCTTCTATCACTCCAATTGCAAGGTCCCCGGAGTGGTTGGCGTGATGGAAATTGTGAAAGAGCACTCGACGGATGGTTCGATAGCCTGTCCTTCCTTCTGTTCCCGCCGACCCAGGTTGCTAACCTTTGCCCTTCCTTCTTTGTCTCACAGAATCTGCCTTTGATCCCAAGCACCCTTACTATGATCCCAAGTCCAGTCGCGATGCCCCCAAGTGGGTGGCGGTACACGTCGAGTTCCGCCGCAAGTTCGACAAGCAGGTCACGCTGCATGACCTCAAGGCTCATGCCCAACCTGGCAAGGGCCTCGAGAACCTCCAAACCCTCAAACAATCACGGCTCAGTGTATCCTCAGTGACGCCAGCACAATGGAAGTACATCCTCGAACTGGCCGGCGAGGATCCTCAGGCGAATTCCTAGGCATCCTAATGAGGTTGAAAATAACGAGACAACTGCCATTCGACAGGATCTATTGGCGTTATCTGAAAATTTCTTTTGCCTTCTCATGGAAGAGGGGGCGTTGCGGGTGAATTTTAAAGGCATCAACCCCCAATTCGGTTACTACTCTGGCCTGGCCGATTCTCTTTCCTTTTCCGTCGTAGTGTAGGCGTAGGGCGCAACCGCCATCATTGCTCGTCCCCTCGCCGATCCGCCGTGACGTGCAGAAGATATGCACTGACTTTCTCCATCGGTGCGGATGCGTCTGGGGAGCCAGCCTGAATTGCTCCATAAAGTCCCGGCGGTCATTTTGTGGAGTTGTTGAAGACTTCGGGATAATTGACCAGGAGGGGTTAGGAGAGGTCCAACCCTGGCGGCGGGTGCAACCAACCACTGGATGGCGGGGCCTCCAACAGCAGACGAATGGAGCAGGTTGGCCCCCGGCAGCTTTCTCTGGCTCTCGTTGGCTGTCGAGCTCATTTGGTTACCCGCGAAGAGTAAGTGCACCCGAATAATTCTGGAGGCCAGACCCCAAAAGAGCAGTGGACGGTGGATCCCTCGATTATCAAGTATTATCGCTATCGTTATCGTGGAGCGGAGGCGAAAGCTTTCCTTAAAGTCGACTTGCCCTCCGCCCCCCCCCCCATCTCTTGGGGATGCTTGCATTGTTCACTCTTCGGCCATTGCGCTGTCTGTCTATCCCTTCTCCATCTTCTCCTGTCAGTCGCTTGTCGAGTGAGATTTTCTTGTCGTCTCGTCGGTTTCACCACTCCGCCATCATGTCCGACATCTCCGTGCAATTGACTGCTCCCAACGGGCGCTCCTACACCCAGCCCATTGGCCTCTTCATTAACAACGAATTTGTGCCGTCCAAGTCTGGCGAGAAGATCACCTCTATCAATCCTTCGTATGTTCTTGATCTAGCCCATCCCTGGCCTCCCGAGGCCGCTGTCCACACGTGAGACTGGATGCTGACCCCGCTGCCAGTAACGAAGCCGAAATTACCTCGGTATATGCTGCCGGCGAGGAGGATGTGAATGCTGCCGTTGCGGCTGCCCGCAAGGCCCTCAAGGATCCTTCCTGGAAGCAGCTGCCGGCTACTGACCGTGGTCGACTGATGCTGAAGTTCGCCGATCTGATCGAGCAGCACAAGGAGACCCTGGCCACTATTGAGACTTGGGACAACGGTCAGTGACAATTCCAGTGAAAAGACGGCGCAGAAGGCAGACGGGACCTATGACTGACTGACTTTGATATAGGCAAGCCGTACCAGGTCTCGCTCAACGATGACCTCGGTGAGGTCATCGGCGTCCTCCGCTACTATGCCGGCTGGGCCGACAAGGTCATGGGCCAGACTATTGGCACCACCCCCCAGAAGTTCGCTTATACTCTGCGCCAGCCCATTGGTGTTGTTGGTCAGATCATCCCCTGGAACTTCCCTCTGGCCATGGCCGCCTGGAAGCTTGGACCTGCTCTCGCCTGCGGTAACACTATCGTCATGAAGGCTGCTGAGCAGACTCCTCTGAGCATTCTCTACCTGGCCTCTCTGATCAAGGAGGCTGGTTTCCCTCCTGGTGTTATCAACATCATAAACGGCCACGGCCGCGTGGCCGGTGCTGCTCTGGTGCAGCACCCCGACGTCGACAAGGTTGCCTTCACTGGCTCCACCGCCACTGGCCGCGAGATCATGAAGATGGCTGCTGGTACCTTGAAGAACATCACCCTCGAGACTGGCGGCAAGTCTCCCCTGTTGGTGTTTGAGGACGCCGACCTCGAGCAGGCTGCTAAGTGGGCCCACATTGGTATCATGTACAACCAGGGCCAGGTTTGCACCTCCACTTCGCGTATCCTCGTCCACGAATCCGTCCGTGAAAAGTTCGTCGAGCTCTTCAAGGAGGTCACCAAGACCACCAGCAAGGTCGGCGACCCCTTCGAGGACGAGACCTTCCAGGGCCCGCAGGTCACCAAGGCCCAATATGAGCGTGTGCTCTCGTATATCGAGGCCGGTAAGTCCGAGGGCGCGACTCTGGCTGCCGGTGGCGAGCCGTGCAAGAACGTCGGCAGCGGCCGTGGTTTCTTCATTGCCCCTACTATCTTCACCAATGTCAAGGACAGCATGCGCATCTACCGCGAGGAGGTGTTCGGTCCCTTCGTCGTTATCGCTAGCTTCACCACCGAGGAGGAGGCCGTCACCCGCGCCAACGACACCACCTACGGCCTGGGTGCTGCCCTGTTCACTCGCGACATCGAGCGTGCCCACCGCGTCGCCTCGGAGATCGAGGCCGGTATGGTCTGGATCAACAGCAGCAACGACAGCGACTTCCGGGTGCCGTTCGGTGGTGTCAAGCAGAGCGGTATTGGCCGTGAGCTGGGCGAGGCTGGCCTCGACGCTTACTCGCAGGTCAAGGCCGTCCACGTTAACATGGGTAGCCGTCTGTAAAGAATTGAACTGGAGATATGGGAGAGATATTATGTATCTGTCGATGTAGGAGCTTGAGCTTGACCAGGAGCTTGTGTTTTCTTTCTGCTTGTAACTAGTTAGACAAATTTTTATGTTTTGATGACCCAACCAAATATCCACTCATCCATCTCTTCCTTTGAACATATTAGATTTTAGCTGATGGAGTTTGTTGCCGGCCGTTGCCAGCTTGCTCGGACATGTTAACCAGTAAGACTGCTCGAGACGACCAGCATCAACGGAAATTGAAGTGAACATGGGATATACCCCCGTATTGGGTACTCCAGTCACTCTCCCCCATCATATGGCCTAGTGGTCTCCCATCTGGGATTGACCTTTTGGTGTGCCCTGAGAATGGGCAAGCATATGTGATGGTTACAGGCCTCCAGTGTCGAGTATAACTCCACGGATGGTCGGGCACATCCCTAGGCGGGGAGAGTGGGCGGGTGGGCATGCGAGCTGGTGACAGCACCTCCTCGCGGATAAAGATCTTTTTTGTTTTTATTTTTGAAAAACATCATTCACCTCTAGTATCCTAATATTCAAGTTAGTTCTAACTCTAAAAAGAGTATTTTTGAAGGGATTAGGAGAATATAGCGTAGTGCTGTTTATTAGCCTAACGCCGCGTTCGTGATGTACTTCGGCATCGTGGGATATCGATGGAGCATCATCGTGAAGTATATAAGGGATGAGAAAGTCGGGGGGTTCAATTCATGGCTGAGAAGGGTTTTATTTTGGATTGTTTGATGTCTGATATATGGCCAGATATGCGATAGCATGGTCTCGTAGGAACTGTATCTAATGACACGAACTTGTCGGCGTGCCTCGGTCTATAAAATTCAAGAATGTTGCCACTAACAGTCCTCGACAGCTTATTCCCACGCTATGCGAGACACATTCGCTATACATATACCTTTGAATCTCCTCTTGCTCGATTGATGCCCAAGTGGAGACTTGGCGGCAGCATCATGAACGCTGCCGCAGTCGCTGGGAACACATCATGGTGTTAGCGTTCATGAATGGTCCTAGCGAAAGCCTTTCGCACACTAAAACCTGCGGTTTGACGTCGGCATGTATTACTTCAGTCTGTATGTAGCCATGTAAGTGTGCACGTACAAGCATGTCGTTACGCATATATCGTATCGAACCCACGTCTTGGCTCTCAAGACACTGCAAGGCTAGACATGAAATGTTCAGCCATGAACCCATATCTAGATTATTTCAAATCAAATAGGCACGAGTTCATGTACTTCGGGGACGACACAGCGCCCCGTATAGGTGGGCGAGATGTACTAACCTTACCAGGCAGGACCCAGGACCCGGGACACAGGATGCCGAGTTTCTAGGTTGGTTTGTTACGTGCTTCTCCATGCATGCAACCAAGCCTTACCTTTTTTTATTTTTATTTTATTTTTATTTTTGAAAAAGCCAACGGAGCAAACAGGACAGCAATGAGATGCATTGCGTTGGAATTGTCCCGCGGCTATGCTGTCCTGCGCACGTCTTGATTGGTGTCTCTGTCTCTGTGTTGGAGGAATGCGAGGAAATTAAGCCTCGGGGCTACTCCGCATACGTGTTCCAGGTGTTGAGTTTGGCTTGGGAGACTGGCTGGTATTCCAAGTCATGATTGAATAGGAGTCCAAGGGCTGTCGGGTGTGGTTATGCAGTGCGCGGCTTATATCCGGACTCGGTCGTGTATGTCTTTTCGTTTTTGTTTTCTTGTTAGATGTGCTTTTCCTTGAGCCGCTGATGGGGTGTACGTATATTAGAGTTTGCGGGGATAATCTGCGAGTGTCTTTTCTATATTACCCGTCTCTATATACATGGTTGTTAGTGACTGCCTGTTGGGGGGATACGACAACAGGATGGATATACTTTGTAATATGACGTCTGCCCCAAGGTTAGGCCCGGACCGCATTCCCCTCATTGTGGCCCTGACTTCTTGGTTCTGGCTGACGGCTGTCAACGTGAGACATGGCACCTGCAGGACGGAGTTTCATGCGGTGTCAGTGCTAATGGTGGTGTTGGTGCTGGGGCCTCTGGTGGAAATTCTCGGGCTGTGACTAGGAGCTCGTGCGGGACGAACTGTTGGTTCTCTATGTCCGCACACAGGACATTTATTACGGAGTCCAGAAAAGCAAGTTATGGCCCAGCTCGAAGACCCCGTTAGCGATATACTCTCGTATCGAGGATTTCCATCTACTGAATGTATTATTCTTCGGAGGTACGGTCTTCACGAACCTAAATCGAGATGCATCTTTGACTTTCCGACCCCGGTTTTTTTTCTTATTTTTCTGCTCTTCTAAATGTAGTGAATGGCGCCTTCTATTGGATGGCTGGTTGTGCTTTCATGCCCAATCCTCAATTTCGATTCTATGGTTGGCGTTAGGTTAGGCATGAAATTCGGGGCCATTGGGTTGGAGGAGGGGCAGTGGGTAGGTTTTTAGCGCCCGGCCAAGTACCAGCACACACGTACATGAATCTCTTGCAGATTGCATGCAGATGCGGTCATGTGGGCACTTGGACTGGTTTGGGAAGAGTATGATGCGTGGATGAGAGAAAATGCTCGAGACGGATATGGAGTATAATTTGGATGTATATGTTGGGGGAGCTCAACGGTCGAGATGAAGGTTACAATGTACCTTTAAGACCTACTGAAATGAATAGACTATACGCTGTGTAACTCCGTAATGAATAGGAAAAATCTCCAGCATATTGGAAATTATCCTTCGCAAGAGAAATTTGCACTGTACTACCGAGGACCCAACCCCTGTAGTGCCAAGTGGAATGTGAAACAGTGACCATGTGCCTGTGTGATGAGCTTGCCTTACCCTGCACACTATTTTATACGAGGATTCTCATTTGCAGAGCTTCTATTAGCCCAGCCAGTCAGAATATTAGAATCTTAGAGTACAATTCTTGGGCTATGAAAATCTAGTAATCCCGAGGATGAGAGTAGTCCGAATGTGCTGGAATTGTGGGGGGGGGGGCAGAAGCCGTTCATCTTTGTCCCACCGCTTCTTCTGCCTTCCACTGGTCTGTTCCTACAAAATGATTTACCGGACGAACACTTTATCCCTTCTCAATAGTATAGATAGATCTGCCTTGATAGTTAGTGACTACTCAAGACTTTTTGTAGACAGAATAGCTCCCACGATTAGTGCTGCCAGCAACATTTTGACTGGAAGAATCTTGGGTCTTGCTATCTAGCTACAGTACTATTGCTAGTATAGTACGGAGTATACCATCTCCGAACTTGAACTTCTCAACTTTCAGGATCGTGGTTCACAGTCTCCGAACAGGGGTTCTCTGACGGTGGCTTGAAGGCATCACCTCCCTTAGCGTAGTGGCAATCTGATGGATTACCAACGTCTTCCATCTTCCCATCTTTGCATCTTTCCCTTTTCGCTCTCCGCATGCTCCGATCCCGCCTGCTCCTAACCGAATTCGACTTAGTTCTTCCTCTTCCCCCCCATTCCCCGGCCTCCCCCATTCTCCCGAAATCCCAAAGTTCAAACCCTCCAAGAGTCCAAATAGCGGTGTCCATCGTCATCCTATCCCATTCTCAATCCCTCTCTGACCTCCTCACTCCCCCCGCCCTCCTGTCCCTCAATTCCGACACATTAGCACGGTAGCACTTCGCTCTTTTTGCTCGATTCTCCTTGGCCCCAAGTTGCACTCGGGATCGACATGTCCGAAATTCAAAGATGGACGGTCAATGAGGTGGGTTCATGATTTTCGTGTCCTTTCTGCAGTCTTCCGGGATATTCCCTTGTTTCTTTATTTTTTATTTTCAATTCTTTTTCTTGATTTCTCTCGTTCATGATTTGCTGGTACCTCTTGTCTTTTTTTTTTTTTTTGCATTTTGTGCGTCCCGCATTTTTCTCGTTTTTATTCGATTTGTCGGTCAAGCTGGCTATGACCCTGTTGTTGGCCCCCAACCTTCAGAGAAACAACGACAAGGGTACAAGAAAAAGCAAAAAAAAAAAAAAAAAAAGAGGAAAACACAATTTCTATCGATTGTCCAATCATAGAATTTACAGCTCCAGCAAAAAATTAGAAACAGACAACACTCAATTTCTGCCATGCCAACAATTGCTAATTGCCCTAGCCCTATCTCGACATAGCGGGAACGCTGCTCGAGGGTCCTTTCCACGATGCCGCCACCAACGAGTTCCGCTTCGTCGACATCTGGGACCACAAACTTTATCGGCTCGATCTAGCCAAAGGCCCTGACTCGTTGAGGGTCATCGACACGGACGCGGCAATCGGGTAGGTTCTGCTTGATATGCAGTGTCTCTTTACCTTTATCTCTCTGCTCATTCGAAGATAAAAGTGGCACAATCTTGTACTACATTCATTTATTGACTATGGAAACTTTAGCGTCACCGCCAACATCGCGGACGAGGCCGAGAAGGATCAGCTGATTGTCGGGGCCCAGCATGGATTTGCCCGGCTGGACCAGACCACTGGGAAACTCTCCTACATCGCCCAGCCCTGGGAGAAGGATGCGTCCAAGCAAAAGTTGTAAGTTTTCGCCTGGTGATTTGCATCGCTGATGGGGCCCCATTCAGGGCTGGACCTGGTGCTGGACAGCGGAGGTTCCTGCTCGAGACTTCAATTGGTGGCTCCGATTCCATTACTGTAGCCCCAATATATCGACCGGCAGGAGACCAACGCCAGAGACCCAGCGCCCCACAAATTCCAGCACCAGCTTCACGGCCCTTTTCCCGTCCACCCGCTCACAAACATGCCCGTCATAGAATGCGCTTCAACGACGGCGCCGTCGACAGCCACGGCCGCTTCTGGGCTGGCACCATGAACGACCCCAAGGTCCAGTCGCCCCAGCCCGAGGGCATCCTCTTCCGTCTCGACCCTGATCTCACGCTGCACGAGATGCTGGCCCCAGTAACTATTCCCAACGGAATGGGCTGGAACGCCGCCGACGACACCATGTACTGGACCGACTCGCCGACTGGCAAGATCTTCGCCTTTGACTTTGACGCCGCCACCGGGGCTATCAGCAACCGCCGCGTCTTCATTGATCTTGGCGAGCCGCTCGAACCAGATGGCTTTGCTATTGATGTCGAAGGCTGCCTGTGGAGTGCCATCTATGGTGGCGGTAAGGTGCTGCGGATTTCGCCAGAGGGCCGTGTTATCGGTCAGATTGATCTGCCTACGAGGAACCCGACGTGTCCGGCATTCGTGGGTACGGAGTTGTTCATTACTTCGGCCAAGGATGATCGCGATGATGAGAAGTTCCCGCAGTCGGTGCGGTATGGAGGGCGGCTGTTTAGAGTCGACGTTGGCGTTCGGGGACAGCCGAAGAATGACTTTCGGTTTCAGAAGTGAAGGGAGGCTGTGATTGTTACGGTGTGAATAGAGATGGGCCTTGAAAGATCACTGTTTAGTCGGCGGCTGTTGCAGGCTTGCAGCAGTTTGTGATGATCGAGTCCATTATGCGTAAATACATCCATACATACATAGATCGACTGGGAGGAGTTCATATGTACCTAAACCGATCGACTGTGCAGGTCTTCCCCTACTACTGTAGTAGCTCTCAAAAACAGCAGAGTTGATAGATCCGCGACCTTCCTCAAAACCGAGCGGGATTCGTCGATCACAGAACGGCCGACCAAAAAAAAAAAAGGTTGACGGACCGGCTCGCTGACAAGCCCGTAGCCCAAATTCAAGTCCAACCTCTCTGCATGCCGCAAGGGGCGGAAAAGATCGCCAGGGTACGGTGTCCTTGACAGTGGGCTAGATGGGGCTTCGAGTAACCCGAGGTACGGAGAGAGCGACACGTCGAGTACAGAGATCTACTGCATGGAGTACTTTAATATTCCTCCAGGAAACCCGACGGTGATGCCGTTATCAGCAGATCTAACTATTATGCAGACAATCCCGCTGGACCCAGGGGCGGACTGGGAAACAAAGCCTCGCAGAATTGCCCTGTCGGTATAGGCAAGTATGCGCTGTAGCTGTTCACCTGTACCCTGGACATGTACCCTGTATGTGCTGTGCGTGCCGTTTTGCAGTGCGTTGCATCCAGGTCAGTCCAGTTCGCAATGCGGCCGATCGCCTGCAACTGCTTAGTACGAAATGCAGGCACAGTGGCACTGGACGTGTTTTCGTGTGCTTAAGGGACGAAGCAAAATACAGCGCTCGGTATTTGCGTGTTTTTCTCAGAATAAACACCAACGTATGTAGGTTTAGCGTATCCCCAGTATGGATGTATTTCGGGGGCAATTCGGTGAAAAAGGGATTTGTCGGGCCCGGGGTGCACCATTCATTTGGTACTTTTGCTCTTTGCCAGAGGAGACGTGACCTGTGCACGCCGTACTTGATATACGCTATCAATCTGTGGCCTTCTGTATGGAGCACATACTCCCACATACATACTATAACCTACAGTATAATGATCTATCTGCTGCTTGCCATGACTCGCAGCATCATGATATGAGCCCTCGAAAAAGAATTCCGCAGGCTAGACCTCAACGATCGGGAAATACAAGGGGGTGTTCTGTGCTCTGTTGGTTTTGCTTTTGTCTGGTCGGTCGCGGTTGCAGCGGACACGAGATAATGGGTTGATCGTATGCATTGTGACTGGATGGCTTCAGGACTTCCGTTTAGTAGATCGCTCCAGGAAGGGGGTCAAGGGAAGGGGAAAAAACCTTGAGAGACGAGGTGCATCATCGAGGGGAAAAAGCAAGTATATTTAAACCTGGACGAAGGGTCCACTGGTCTCTAATTTTGTCAGTGTGAAGCTAAGTGCTAGATGAAACTTCTCCTATCTGTCAAGCACTCGTTAGAAGGATACAATAGTTAAGTGGACAAGTTATGTACGGTAGCAATCTGATCTTCTAATCTGATTTTTGCTTCTCTACCCCGTAGTTTTAAGCAGTTACCAGTGACTGGTACCTCCGAAAGCTCAACCTTGGTACAAGGTACCCACGTACCACATACCTGGGACCTAACACTGGATCCTGGTCTGAGTCTGTTTCGCGACTCCACCCCCTGACCCACGCCGTGCATCATTCGCAAAAACAAAAAAGGGAGCTATGACTATGACACGCATTGCACGAACCGGGGTCTCGGAGACTCGATAGTCACCTGCCTAGGCCAGATTGCATGCCCAATAGCACACTCTACGCGACCCGGGATTCTGGGAACGGTGGTTTGAGATGTAAGCCACCACGGCGGCTGGAGAAAGACAGACCGCGCCAGACCGTTCGATGCGATTTTTTTCTCTTCTTAATTTCGGGACTCGGCACTGCAGTGAAGGATTCAAGGATCTGCTGACTCATTAGCAAGCCAGGCTAACCTAACGCCATAGCGAATAGGATCCACAACGAAGCAATGTGATAAAATAAGCCATGGTGAACAAGATGATGCTGAGAAATTCTAAGTTTTGTTTGCTTTTTCTGCCTGATTATCTTTTCTTCTTTGGAAGGTGCCGCTGCACGCTGCCTGCCTGCATGTCTCGCACCCCAGACTAATTCAGATAGTCCAATCGGACTGATGTGACTGGGGAAAATGCGAGAGGCTGCAGACCAGTCAGAGTCGCTGGATCTATCAGACTGCAATTGTCACCTGGCAGCACAAGGTCATTCGTCGCATTCCCTAAATAGTGGCTAGCGATTGCTCGACTTGCCAAAGCCAATTCTGAAACCCAAACTATGCCCTTCATGAGAGCTCTAGCTCATCCTTGCACTGACAAAATTATACAATTCTTCGAACAAACTATGTGTTCTCTATGATCTGTACGTACGTAGTTCGTACTCACTGCTGACGAGCTTGGAACTCTAAGCCCAGCTTCCTATATCTGAAACCATTTCTAATATTCAGAAAAGAGTCTATATACCTCGCTCTTATTCATCTAGTTTTCAAGGCCGTCACCCTTTCCCCAAGTAGTATTAGTAGCAGGATGTAGTACTGGTTTATTGCCCCCCCTACCATATCTAGTCCTTCAAGCTGTCAGACCGCAGATCTCGCGTGGCACACCGATGATTGTGGCTCGATCGGGTGAGAAACCATGGGATCGCGACTCCACCCCGGACGACAGCAGTCCCGTGAAACTAAATTAGACTAGCCTTTACAAGCTAGAATGATTAGAGCAGGGCCCAAATCCTTCATGGCAAAGCAGGTCTAGCAATGTCAAATGAACTTGGTTGCCTGTTACTTGAAGCAGTCGGCTTAGCTGTGCCAAGCTTCCCCCCTCGTGGAGGCTGTCGCATTCGCTCCCACTGTACGGAGTACCTATTCGGGTAGCTCTGTTCTCGAACGCATATAATTGAATACATACTACTTACTCTCGTGGTAATACTGGCATCCACTTTTCACCTGCAGTCGCCTTTGCGCTAGTTTGTATCATCGTTTATCATTCAACCCGGTCACGCGGAAGCTCTCTTCCGCGCTAACGGGGTCGCATTGTGGATACCGTTGCTAGGCAGAGATGGAGATGGCCAGAGACTGACTTACTTGGTTGTTACCAGTTGAATGGGGAAGGCGAGCTACCCACTTTTCTTTTCTTCTTTTGTTTTTCTTCTTCTCCTGCTGGGTTATGCATACACGCTATGCAAGACTAGAGAAGCCTCCAGGAAGTTCTTCGTTGGAATCTTGTGGCCACGGTCGGGTTGATAGATTGTCAAGTTGCTATGCCGACTATCCTTACTACTTACAGTAATGAGCTCATACTGTAGCTAGCCTGATCCCGTCCTGTTCGTCCATGATTTGCTAAGACTGGACGGAGTAAAACTAGCATTTTGCTGCAAGCTTGGTACTTTTTGAGTTTGCTAAAGCACCCGTAGTTGCTCTGTAGGTCATCATGACACGCGCTCGGTTACTGTCCAGAGTCAATGGCCATTGTTTTGTACCTAATAATCCGTACATAGTACAGAGTACGGAGTACTTTTTTGGCAAGCAGCCGGCATCCACCTTAGCCTCGATAGGCTCTTGACTTGCCCTTAAACCGAATAGTGACGTAGGGAACGGGGGTAAAGCTGCCCGGGCACGGTTTGCGAGATTGACCCCAACCTCTCGAGTATGTATAATTGACCAGCACCCCACTATAAATCTAACAGAGTATTTCTCCACCTGCATCCGGACGGCTAGCGCTTGTCTCGCCAACCGAGATGATCATTCAGCATCGCGTAAGAGAAGAGAGGCAACCAGCCCTGTGCTCGGGCTTTGGCGACTCCTAGTTTCGTTTAGATTAGTTCTTTTCCTGTGCAGTACTATTCTATACTTTTGCCTCCATCTGCCTTGTTTGAATCCTTCTGGCTCCAGCGCTGAGCTCAGCGGAGCAGAAGCAGCGAAGGAACGGTCAAGGGGGATTTCCAATAGCGTTTGGCCGCTGGGACCTCCAAGTGGAGGTTCCCCCACCGAGTTAACTAATCCCTAACGGCCACCAACGGCCCCCCCCCTTTTACCGGAACGCCGGTGATGCATGCACATCATTCAGACCAGACCACGGACTCGTTAAGGTTTGACCAGTGCCCTTTGTTTACCAACAGGCTTGTGCCTATCAGGAAAGTCTGCTTTTCTTTTTTTTTTGTTTTTGTTTTTTTTTTTTTTTTTTTTCTATTTCATATTTTCTTTTGCTCTCCCCCTATTCTCTTGATCTTTCTTTTTGAGGCTGGGACGGTACTTATGCCAGTGCACAATTCTTGACATGCAGGTCTAGCTTGATATTTCCATTTCTTCTTTGGATTTGGCCTGTGCAGCGAACGTGTCGCCTAGCCTTTGATTTTTACTCGGGGGTTGCTCTCCTAATGCCATGTGGGCCGACCCTGACTAAAATGCCAAATTTATGGTTTTTAATTATAATTTTCTCTTCCTCCCCCCCCCCCTCTTTCATCCTTCAAGACTAGTCTTCCCCCAAGCGCCAGTCTCGCGGAAGATGACAGGCCCGGCCGAGTCACGGACACTCTCTCGGGCTTAGGGGTGGTTCTCATTGCCCCCCATGAGTGAACACTAGGCCCTGTAAAGTATGGATCAGAGGGTATGCCAGCCTAGAGTCATAGACATTGAATTATTGTCGTTCCTCCACTGTCATCGGTGTTTTGCGTCACGGATCGAACGAATGGGCCCCCTAAATTCAACCATAGAGTTGCCAAGAGAGCCACATCATCTATCAGTACTGTATCCATGGGAACAGTCGACGCCAACCTCCGGAGCCCCAGGAGAGCTCCGGGCAAGCAACAGTTGTCCTCTTATGTCCCTTTCTTCTGATCACTTAAATCGCCCTGAATTTTTTGCTCTTTCCGCTGAATCCACGCCTATGATGGACAGCACAAAAGGGGGAAAAAAAGAAAACCAACAACTATCAGTATGAACAGCGCAAGGGGAGATGGAGAAAAAAAGAACAGAAAGGAATAGTCATCATGACAACTCAAGACCAATAAGCCACCCACAGCTCCATTCTCGTTCGTTCTTGTTGGGCCACGAACATCGCCACTATCCACCGTTCATCATCATCAGAGGAGATAGCGGTAAATAGCCAGTCTGACTGGGGTCCCCAAAAGAAAGCACCCGAAAAATATAGATAATTAGTTCAAAAACCCAGGAGCCTGACAACCTTCTGTAGCAGACTCCACCCGTCCCTTGTCCATGTCCGCGGTGACGGCGCCCTATACACTTGCAGTAGGCCCTCCCCACCCATTCTAACCGCCAGTGATTGGTTCTTTGCATGCCTACGATCGTTGGTTGGTTCCCCGGGGAGCTAATAAATGTGGATAATAGTGGATGAAGAGAGGGCCGAGAAGGCATGGCAGTGGAGACTGGATCATTTGTCCCATCACACAACTCGAGACCGCCAATCTTCTGCCCCCAGGCTCCCGGTCCAGGCGCCTGGCGCTAGGTCTCGTCTGGGTTGGTCTGCTCTGGCCACGAGGTTGGGCATTGGGGCGTTGGACTAGAGAGAGTCAATCCCTTTCGCCCCAGCGAGGCTGAGGCGGGCACGGCGCCAATTCAGCAATGGAGATAATAATATCACAGTTGAAAAAAAAGGTAGTTATTGCTGCGTTTCTGCTGTATGCTGGTGATTGGGTATAAAGGGAATCGAAGAGTGATGTTGTACCTCTTGTTCGAACAGAGCATACGTTCTAGCATCCAAGACATGCTTCTGGAGCTGAAGCGTATGCGAACTGTCCTCGATTGTGAGGATAAAACGTCACGAGTATGTACGAGTGCTTGAGGGAGGCGGAGTATAGGAGCGTCCAAAGTACGAAGTATACCGCAGACTAAGTGAACTAGGAGAAGAGGTGAGGCCTGTCCCTGCCCAATGCCTGACACTAATCCGACAGTTTGGGTCGGACAGAAACAAAAAAGAAAAAAAAAAAGGTGATGAATCAATGGGCGCCCCTCCCACAAACTGAAGCAGACCGAAGTTAGTACACTTTCGGGATACGCTCTCTCTCGCTCTCTGCCTTCTTCTCCTTCCCACTTCTCACCGCTGAATCTCAACGGCTATTTATTTGATTTTATTATTGAATTTATTTCGAATCATTACCTCATTACGGAGTCCTCAGGTCCTACTATTAACATACAATTTTCTTGTTCTCCTCTTTTTTTCCCTCTCCTTCTTCCACTCGTACCTTGTACACTACTATACCTCCTCCATCCAGGTCCTAATTATTCAGCCATTGTCTCTTATTAGACCTATATTTCCTGCATTTTTTTTTTTTTTTTCAAATACGTTCTATATCTCATCTTCTCTATACACCTCCTTCTTTAGCTTGGACCCCCTCACTTGGATGGGGCCTCGGATCGCTTCCGCTGATGTGCATGCACATGGGTTGATCTGATCGCACTTGCAATTAGCACTTTCTTTTCGAACCCCCGTTCTCATCGGGTCTAGAGACACTGTGATAAGCTGGGGATCTTTCATCCTGTGAATCTCGCCTCATCTCGACTTCTCTTCTCTATACTTCCCTATCCCTCAGCCTTGAGTCCCGACGCCAGTGCCGTTCAGGTCTGAGCACTGCATACTTCTTCCCCTATACCTATATACAAACGAAGCCTCACAAAAGAGAAGACCTTCCAACTCAAAAGAAAAGGGAAAGAGGAAGTAAAAGCAAAACCAGAAGAATACGAATTCTCGCCTTTTCCCCAGGCCACTCTCTCTTTCTCTCTCTCTCTCTATCCTTCCCCCGGTTCGGCCTACTACTTCACCGTGGCGACTCTTGGCCTCAGCGTGTTAACCGCGCCTTATTCGAGGCCGCTACATTTGCCAAAGCTGTCGCATTCACCAGACGACTCTCGGTATCCGGCCTTCTCCCTCTCTCATACCTACGGTGGGACCCCCAGTGATACCGAGAGAGGGGGGACTTGGTCATGCCCTAATCCCACGCCCGCCCAAGCACTTCCGTCTATGTCGCAGGAGACTCTGCATACTGGTCCATTGTCCGACGATGTGACTCACTCTTCATCTGATGAACGCAATCTTATTGACGACGTAACGCCCGGGAACCGTGTATCAGCTCACCGGCCGCCGCTGCGCGCGCGGCCGCAGTCATGGCATCCATACGGCCCAGTCGAACCACCATTGGAACCTTCGATGGCACGACCCATCGGTGTTCATTCTATCTTGAACCATCCCGCACAAGGCACGGCCGATTTGGGGGGCAATATGAAATTGAGTCGGCCAGGACTATCATCTTCCCCTAGACCCCGACAGGGTTCTTCGCCAGCACCTCGTTCGGGGTATCCGCTTGTACAACAGCCATTATCTCCGAGATCTCTCCCACGGTCTCTTATGAACCCCGGATCACCTTCTGCACGGTTTGTTGGTAGTAGTGGAAGGACATCAGGCCAGTCGAGCGTGTCTCATTCTCCGCGGGTACCTCATGAACCACCTCTGGGTCCGCGCCAACAACCTCCCGTCAGCTCACCTCTCCCGTTGGACGCTACACTCCGTCCGATTGCATCACTACCAGGCACGCAGCCTCCGACGTCTGCATCCCTACACTCAACACCGAGCATCCACTCGCGGCGCACCAGCGCTGGCCCAGGGCCACTGACGAATTCAAATTCTCTGGAAGCAAGCCCGTCTACACCGCACTCTACATTTAGCCAATTCGGCCGTGGTTCCCCTGCCGTTACGAATGTGTCTATCCCGCCCAGCGCGGTGGGATACGGAGCACCGGCACCCTACATGACCGTCGAGTCGTTGAATCGTGGTATTCCAGTCACAGCTGGCCCACGCAGCGTCCCCGAGGACATGGCCGGGGCTACAGGGATGATACCGTGCGTTCTGGACCTTAAATCCGGTTCATCAACACAAGCAGAGAAACGTAAAGCCAACAGTGATGCCTCACGGCGCTTCCGCAACCGCAAGCGCAACGAAATGCAGCTCGAGCAGCGACTTAATGCCCAACAGGAAGAGATCCAGCGCAATACAGAGACCATCCGGCGGCAGAGTGAGGAAATACATTTCCTGGCTCTGCAGAGGGATCATTACCGGTCCGAGCGTAATTTCTTCCGTGATACGCTCGATCGCTCGGGGACTGCGATTTATTCGTCGCCGAGACCGCCTTCTCCACGGCCTGCGCAGTCAAGTCTAGTCCCGGTGTTGGATACCCCTACTTCAGGGCCTGGACACAGTGCTGCGGCCGGGACAGGACAGAGTGCGGCGAGCCGGGTGTTGGATTCGGCGAGGCCACAGGCTAGTTGGTCGGGAACTGGTAGCCCAACCTCGTACTCGCCTGCACCCTCCGCAGGACGAAGTGTGCCTCCGCACCAGGGACCGCAGCCGCTAGCTGGTGTTTCTCTGCCGCCTTTTCAAGGGTCGTGGTCGCGAGCATGATATCTGAAATGAGAACGGCGGACGAAGCTTTTCCTTCTTCACCTGTCTTTCATATGTTCGATTTGCTATGTGCATTTCCTTATGTGCTCTATTAATACTTCCCCCATTTCCTATCATGGGCAAGCAGTCACTGGCATGACTGTAACCCATCTGCTCCAGCATTAGAAACATCCTTACCCGACCTATTTCCCTTACCTGGACGCCTTGAACCTCTAGCCTGGGTGTATCATCATACTGTATCTCATTGGTATTGGGGGTCTTGGTATGGATATCTTGTTCAGTGCTATCGACATCTATTGCTCCCTTTTTTTTCTAGCCTGATTCATCCTGGAGTTTTGTCTGATTTGCATTTCATTTGATATACAAAAAGCCGTCTTTGATACGTTCCGACTTTCTAGGGAAAGAAAGAACCATACAACATCCTGTCTTGCATTTGCCTACTTGTTTGGTGTCTGAATTGCACAGCGGTGATACCTCCATTGGCGATATGAGTTGAATATTCCTGTCTCATCTTTCTCTGATCTTTTTATCTTTACTTGGTGTCATTTCCCTAGAATCTGGGCCTTGCGGGCATCCCCTTCACTATTTACTTACTGGCCTGATAATATGATCTGGAATATAGAGCTGATTCCTGCAAGACACTTTACCGAATTTCTCCATTATTATTCGCGTATGGAGTGGCGCTGTATGAGCATCTGAGAGGTTTCTACACTTGGACATTGCTAGGGCAACCATCTCATCAATAATGCACTTAGGTATAGACTACGCTGAAGATAGCTATTACTCCATTATTCCTGTATGAAGTACTGATCTACAGTTCCCGATTCCCCGGGTGACCGTTGACAGGTAAAATGGATATATCAAGACCGGTCCACCCTTTCCGAATCAGCATTAACCCACTCCCGATAACATGGATGATTCTTCAACGCACCTGCGCTAGTGTCGCTTAGTTTGCCTTGATCTTTGGCATCACTCTCCTGCGAGGTACCTTTGTTCCAGAGTACAGGGGTTTGAGATTTGTATTCTTGTACGGACTGATTACCTGTCTACTGCATCCTCTAGAGGTACCGAATGAATTTTTGTGATAGAGTGGGGAGCCGCCCCCGTGACACCCCTTGCGCAATGGACGTTACATACAGTCGGCTACGTCAATCCGGCCTGAATTTGACAGATTTGACAGCTCTTGCGGATGATTAGTCTAGGAGTTGGGAGCACCGTATATGCATGCTGTATTGTTTCGGCCAATTTGTAGCGGGCCGTAGGGCAGATGGTTGAAATTTAGGAAGACGGTTGAGTGGGGTTGCCGGTGTCCAAAGTGTGAATATGGATGATCTACAGCTAGGGTTCGGACATGTGCATCCTCATAGGTGTCAGGGACAGGGTTGATCTGTCCATTCCGTGAGTGTTTTGCATTAGCCCTTAGCCACGAATCCACGATAAAGTGTAGTCGGGGAGATGAAGGAGGGTTCCGGTTCTAGCATGATCGAGGGCTTCACTAGTTATCCTACCAAGTGGTGTTCTATCGAGAAAGTAGATATTCCTCCGTGTTGAATGTGTTCATGAGTGGGTATAGTCCACGATCCAAGTCCCAGAAAGGCAATCGGCGTCGGAGATAAACAGATCTCAGGAACCAGGCAGCTCGAGTACCCGAAGGTACATAGAATCTCATATACAAGTGTGTCATGATCGATGTACTTTCGGGTCGTCATCCATTGTCCACTCTAAACACGCCCCACGTGCCGAAAGGCGGAGGACAGCCAATCAGGGCACCGGACGGACTCACGGGGCATGAAGAATGTCGCTGTGCGAGCCTCAACTTTCAGGCCAAGACAGACTAAATCGCAACGACAACGCGGCCCATCACCACTGCAGGAGTCGTGATCCTCACTTGTATAACCTCTTGTGCTCCCCTCGCTTTCTCTTTTCTCCTTCCCCCCGCGATGCCCTCTCCTGGACTTGTGAAACCTCCCCGGACACGTGGAGCCCAATCAACAGCTGAAGCTGGCCAAGTCTGATTTGAAATGGCGGGGTACAAGAACAACGATCGACATGAAGAGGAGAGCCTCTTGGGTAAGCACCGTGATAGACGGAGCTCGGCCAAGTCGTCTCCTGCAGTGAAATCGCGCCGTTGGACGATTGCGAGCCTTTTCGCGCTCCTGGCCCTGGTTTCCGTGGCTGCGGTACACATGGTGAATGGGTATGAACCCTCGCGTGAGGTAACTCTGGTGGAACGAGCACGTCCTGACTTGCTGGTGGTGAGCGCGTCGTCTAGCCAAACCAATAAGAATGCCCATCGTTCGCGGGCGTGCAACAGTGTCAAGGGCGGTTACCAATGCTTTTCGGGTATCTCGCACCGCTGGGGCCAATACTCGCCTTACTTCTCTCTGGCAGATGCCGGCGTGTCCAACACCGTACCCGAAAAATGCGACGTCACCTTTGTACAGGTCCTGTCTCGCCATGGCGCGCGGTACCCAACCGCATCGAAAAGCAAGAAGTACAAGGCCCTGATCAAGGCTATCCAAGCCAATGCCACCGCATTCCAAGGCAAGGCCGCCTTCCTAAAGTCGTACAATTACACGCTGGGCAGCGATGACCTGACCACCTTTGGTGAACGCCAAATGGTCAGCTCCGGCATCAAGTTTTACCAGAGCTATAAAAAAGCCTTGACGCGGGACCATGTGCCTTTCATCCGTTCGTCCGACTCCTCGCGCGTCGTCGAGTCCGGCCGCTTTTTCATCCAGGGCTTCCAACAGTCCAAATTACAAGACCGCGCTGCAGACCACACCCAAGCAAACGCCACGATCAACGTGGTCATCTCCGAAGACACCGGCGCCAACAACACCCTCAACCACAACACCTGCCCAGCGTTCGAAGCCAGCACGCTCGGCGACGATGTCTCGGAGAACTACACCTCCATCATCGCACCCTCCATGGCCCAACGCATCCAGTCCAATCTACCAGGCGTCACCCTCACCAACGACGAGGTCATCTACCTCATGGACATGTGCGCCTACGACACAATCGCCACCACCCCAGACGCCAGCCAAGTCTCCTCCTTCTGCGCCCTCTTCACCGAAGCCGAATGGTCGCAATACAACTACCTCCAATCCCTGGGTAAATACTACGGCTACGGCGCAGGCAACCCCCTCGGTCCCACCCAGGGTGTCGGCTTCGTCAACGAGCTAATCGCCCGCATGATGCACTCCCCGTGCAAGACGATACAACAACAAATCACACCATCGATGCCCCCGGCGCAGCCTCGTTCCCCGTTAACCGCACCCTGTACGCGGACTTTACTCACGACAACGGCATGATCCCGATATTCTTCGCCATGGGCTTGTACAACGGTACCGCCCCGCTGCCGCAGGATCATATCCAGTCCGAGGCGCAGGCGGACGGGTACTCTGCCGCGTGGACGGTGCCGTTCGCGGCGCGAGCGTACATCGAGATGATGCAGTGCTCGTGCTCGGCTGAGCCGCTCGTTCGGGTCCTGGTCAATGACCGTGTTGTCCCGCTGCATGGGTGTAATGCCGATAAGCTGGGCCGGTGCCGGCGCAGTGATTTCGTGCGTGCGCTGAGTTTTGCACGGAGTGGTGGGGACTGGGCGAGCTGCTATACTTCGTAGAGAAGATGTAATGGATGGCAAGGGGGTTGAGATGGAGAAACTCGGATTCTTGCTTTCTTCTTGTATGTTTTAGATTCGCGGGTTGAGTAACCCTGCTTTTCATTGCGGATGTCTTTTTTCGGGCATGTTTAGCACATATCGTTACTCTGCACTCTGGATCTCAGATTCTGAGAGTCCATATGGTTTAAGTTCTATCGAGATACCAAATAAAGTTAGGGAGGGTCCTCTATATGGGCAGGCATCAGTCTCAAAGTGGCCATTACAATAGGTTGACCATGACTCTAAACGTATGTAGAAGATAGAAAAGAGTATAATTCAGACGCATACATCACACAGCATTCAAAACGCGTTTCTTCATGAGTATTCGATTTTCGGACAGCCGCTAGCTCCTGGTATGACAGTCCTAACTAGGCTGGAGAACGCACAACACTCCAAAATGACCTCGGATGTTCTTGATTTCTCCATGTGATATTTGCTATGTACCTCATGTTATAAATTCAGCCTTATTTCCTACCTACACTCTCACACCCACATCCACTTCCACATCTCTCCATCGTGCAAGGCTATACAATCGTCCAATCACCCAGTCCATGTAAATGCAACAGCAACAACCACAGCCACAGCAAGCAACAGCACTATCAAGAACCACAATGCGAATTCCCGTTCTCCACAGTCCCCCGCAACCCAGACAAAACCCACGCCTCCCAAAGATGCACCTGGTCCCGATATACACGGATCCCATCATCACCCAATTCCTCGACACCCAAGCCCCGAACCTTCTCCCATGATCGCCGTCTGTCTCCCGGTACCAGCGCACGATGATGCCCGTTCGTCCCGAACGTAGCAAGCAAGGGTGCCTCCGGCGGTGACGTCCCCGTAGCCACGGAGACGGAAGATGATATCGGGCCCGTGGGGTGCGGATCGAAGATCTCCACGCCGCTGTCAATAGCCAGCGCGTCAAAGTTGGCGGCGTAGTCGATCTCGCGCAAGTCTAGTCGTGCCAGGCGTTCCATTTCCGCGCGCAGCATGCAGAGCACGTCGCGCCAGCGGCCGCCGTCTCGGAGGTAGATGGCGTAGAGGCGGAATTCGCGCAGTTGATGGCGGTGCCGGCGTGCGAGCGTGATGATTTCGTCTGCGCCGAGACGCCAGCCTTGTAGGCTCAGCGTGCGAAGGGTTTTCCAGCGGATGCCGTGGAAGATTGTCTCGAGGTCGAGGTTGAGGGGGGTTTTAGTGGGGAAGCCGATGTGGATGGCGACTAGGTTTTTGGCTTCGGTGAAGAAGCGGTGGAAGACGGGGGAGAGGTCGGACATGGTTGTGGTGATGTCGATGTGGGCGTGGAAGTTGATGTCCAGGCTGGTGAGGCGGCTGCCCATTGCGGCGAGGGTGGTTGAGGGGGCTTTGAGGAGTTGGAGGGTTGCTTCGGGGCTAATTTGGGGCCCGATGAAGCGGATTGAGGTGCGTTGGGAATCGAGTAGGGCGATACCCAGGTTTGTGACGGCCCGTGAGCATGCAGATCCCCAGTCGAAATGGGCGTCTGACGAAATGTGGCCGATGGTTTGGTCGCGAATGAAATCAAGGAGTTCCTCGTCAGCTTCGTCTTGTAACCGGAGAAGCTTCATTTCTTGGAGTGCCGAAAATGCCGCGACTGCAGCACGCAGCTGCGTTAGGTCATGGTTGGTGTTGACCAGGGTGGTTTGTTCGCGCAGTCGGCGGCTATGCAATTGCGCCAGTCCGGGGGCTTCGGTGCCGAGTGTGCGAAGGACCGGTGCCCAGTCTAGATAATTGGGTGTGTTAGCTTTTCTCGTTGACTCTGTATATCTGATTTGTGGACAGGTGTGAGAATTATTGGGTACCGCTGCCTTGATAGAAGGGTCGCACGAGATATGTCACCGTTTTCACGTAGCAGGCCAGCTGCATCTTGAGCAGATCGTCGAGACGGCGAAAGCCATTCTCGGAGAACCGTAGGTTGAACCGCGAGAACTTGCGTGGGGTACCGATGCGCATGAATCGTCTACAGACGAGTCGAAAGCGATCTAGCTCTGATGCCTCGCCATAGGCGCTCGGCTGTTGGTCATTGTATTCCCCCGAGCAGTGGCCGTTGTGGCCGTTCTTCCTGGCATTACCATTGAGAATGCGAAGTCCAGGCTCCTCCAGCAGGAAGGACAAAATCTCGCTCAGCAGCTCGTCGGCAAGGTCTTGAATGTGACGGGGTTGGGGCATGATTGGCGCGCGCTGCAGCCGACAACTCGGCTGCTTGGACGAGTAACAGCAACATGGAAATGCGAAAGAGCGAGCTGACGGGCACAGGCGCTCGCTGGCAACCTGGGGTCTTACAAGACCGCCGCGCAGGAGGTCAGGAAGAGAAAGACAGAGGACACTGTAAATTTCGGGGCGCACGATGGGTGGGATTGGCGCTGATTATACGACACGACGAGGAAAGCGAAGAAAAGCGCATGAGCAGCAGGAAGACAAGACAAGATCAAGAAGAAAAAAATCAAGCTAACATTTAGAAGAAGAAAAAAACAAAATCTAACAGCCAAAGATCCAGTCGCAAATCATGACCATCGAAAAAAATCGAAAAACCCCGACTGGCAGTCGAGAGCCGAAGCTGGGAGGGAAAAAAAAGCAAACTGTCGAAGCTCGAGTGGACTCGTCGCAAGTTGCAACGCGAGGCCTTGTCTCACCATGGCCGCAAGGCGAGAGTTCTCGACCTCAGAATGCCTCACTGCGACCGGGATGATCCTCAAGACCCTAGTTTAGCGCGCTTTGGCGCTCACCCGGTCGGGGCTTTTGCATCACGATCTTGACAGTTCCATTGGCGACGAGAGACTCGTTGCAAATCACATGATTGAACGGGGCTGCGGCCAGCCAGCGCAGTCGGCGCGAACCTGCAGCAGGAGGACGCGAAGCAGCGAGTTGGTTGGATAGGGTTAAGGAGAGTAGAAGGGTGGAAGGGAAGGGGGGTTGGTGGTGTGTGTGGATGATTGCAGACGGAGGAGAGGCGAGTGGTTGGTTGGATGGCAGTGGTCGGGAGGGGGAAGTGCCGGTTGATTCGAGATGGTTGAGTGGTTGCAAGGCGTCGATGAAGAACAGGCCAATGCAGGCCCCCGCTCCTCTTGTCACATCTTCTGCAGAATGTGACGAGCACCCGCGTTGGTGGACACGGCAGAGAACATTGGGATTGGAGGGGAAATTGGCCGAAATCGAAACGGCGTGGAAGGAGGAGAAAAAAGAAAACAGAAGTCCAACGAACTAATCAGTTGGTGCTGATGGGTTGGTTAATATGTTGGTGATAATGTCTGACTGACGAACCGCCAGGTCTACACTATAGGCCATCGCAAGTCGATACAGTACATACCATGCATCCAAGTCAGTCTAGCAAGGACAACTAGTCACCGATCGGGGTCCTTTCGGATATCCTAGAGGATACTCGTCGAGAGGCACGCCAAGGCAAAACACAATATGTACAATTCGAACAGAAACAACTCCTGCAACATGCTAATTTCATTTCGCCGCAGAGCAAGCCCATCTTCTCCTCTCCTACCCTCTTGTTACACCTTGGCCAGGTTCATCCGCCGTCGTCGAATGTCCGTGCTGCTGATTTTTGACTCAAAGTTATTGCCGTCCGCAATGTCCGCGGCCTCACCGGTCTGCAGGACATCCACCTCGAAAATAGCCAGGCTCTTCCATCCTTTCTTGGCCCGCTCATCATTCACCGCGGCTCCTCCAGAGGCAGTCTCCTTGGAAACGACCAATGCAGTGAGGCTTTCCTCCGTGATCGTCGGACCATAGGGATCCCAAATCTCCACAAACTTGAAGGTCAGATTGGGTTGGATTTTCATCACCACAAAGTTGCCATTGGGACCGGGTGCAGTGGTGCGCTCGGTGCGGGGAGTGTTGTTGGGAGAGAAATCCATAATGGCACGGAGGAACGCGGCGGTGTTCTGGAAGCGGGCGTCCCAGCTCTCGAGGAACTCGGCATGTTTCTTGTTTGTCAAGAGGGCATCTCCCGTGACACCAACATTCAGTAATCTCTCTTGGCTCTGGTCTGTGGCGCTGGGTGGCTCGAGTGTGAGCGCAAGCGCAGTGAGGAGAAGCTTGTGGCCCAAGTGAAGATGGTCGAAGGTGCCGCCAACAATGACGGAGTAGTGGGGCTGGAGAGCGATGCTTTCAAGACCCTCTGAAAGTAACGGGGACACCGGCACAGTCCAGTTGGAGATGTTTGGAATGGCATGCCCATTGATCTCAGCATGGGCGTTCTTTGTCTCGCTTGTGCGAGTGAAATCCCGGAACAGCTTGCTGCCAGCCTCGTTGTTCAGGTAGAACACATGGTTCCACCGTCGGCCCGAGGTCACGAGAGAATGCAAGTCGACAATAGGTCCGAAGCTCAGGCCAGACGAGGCAGACGGAGTGGAAGAAGAGGCCCCAGTAAATACTACTCGGGCATCAATGCCACCGGGAGAGTCCAGTTCGATATTGTGAGCGGCAGCGACGGCTCCGATGAGTGTATAGATGCTAGTTAGATACTGCTGCAGTGGAGCAAAGACCTTGGCCTGTGGCCTCGCGGATGGCGAGAGCAGACCGGGTATTTGCAATACAATATCGAGAGTAGCGATAGAGTTGGATCCATTGAGAGCTTTGACCAACTTCACCAAGACATCGGCGAAAGGTGTTCCGAATACATCCTTCACTGGTCTGAACGAGAAGGATGGCGGCGGGGGAAGCAGCAAAAGAGCCACGGATGATGTAGGGAGATCAGATGCCATGAAACAGAGGGATGGCCCGGGCCGGAAAATAGGAAAGAGGAAAGAAAATGGGGAGCCCGAGCTTGGTTAATTGAGGATTGAGGTGTTGAATGTCCCAGGAATTTCCCGATCGTGGGAATTGCAGGATCAAGGGAGCTTTGAAGGTCCTCCGAAAATGTATGGAACTGGTTCACTCGGAACTTGGGGAAAGGGAAGTGTCCCCCCACTTCAGCACGTACTTAGTCAGCCAGTCGTCCTGGCCACCCCATCTAAAATCGCGTCTTCCTACCTACATACCAACTTCAATCACCTACCATGCCACCAATTCGCTCTGAATCTTCGCAGAAATTAGCCAATCAAGAGGGTAAGATTCTATTGGCCCTTGATGATCTTCAAAATGGCCGTGTTAAATCTATTCGCGCAGCGGCTAGCCTATACGCAATACCGAAGTCAACACTGCATGCGCGCGCCGATGGGCGAATCTCACGCGTTGCTAAGCGCCCAAATCGCCATGAATTGACCGAATTAGAAGAGGATTCGCTTGTTGATTGGATTATCTCGATGGATACGCGTGGAGCAGCGCCTAGGCCGGCTACTATAGGAGAGATGGCGAATATCCTACTAGCTGCACGCGGTAGCTACCCTCCGCCTACCGTTGGCAAGAATTGGCCATCGACCTTTATAAATCGACGCGAAGAGATTCGATCACGCTTCTCCAGTCGTTATGACTACCAGCGCGCACTAAACGAAGACCCAAAATCACTACGAGAGTGGTTTACGACGGTACAGCGCGTTATCAACGAGAACGGTATACAAGCGGAGGATATCTATAACTTTGATGAGACAGGGTTTGCAATGGGCTTTATATCTTCGCAGAAAGTAGTCACTAGGGCTGATTACTACGGTCGGAGATCGATTCTACAGCCAGGAAATCGCGAATGGGTCACTGTTATCGAAGCTATCTGCGCAGATGGCTATTCGCTACCGCCATGCGTGATCTTTAAGGCTAAAGTTGCTATTGCGGGTTGGTTTGATAACCTACCAAAAGATTGGCGATTTGAGCTCTCGAATAACGGCCGGACTACCGATGAGATTGGCCTACGCTGGCTACAAAAGCTATTTATCCCATCAACGAATTCGCGCGTACGCGGCCGGTTTCGGCTATTGATTCTTGACAACCATGGTAGCTACCTTACGCCCCAATTCGACCGAATCTGCGCAGAAAACGATATTATTCCTCTTTGTATGCCTGCGCATTCATCACATCTACTACAGCCACTAGATGTTGGCTGCTTCGCAGTGCTTAAGCGCGCGTACGGTCGCTTCGTAAGCGATCTTGCGCGCCGAGGATATAACCATATCGATAAATTCGATTTCCTAGAAGTCTACCAACGCGCGCGGCAGGAAGCCTACCAATCAAGCACTATTCAAAATAGCTTCGCAGCTAGTGGCCTAGTGCCAATCGATGCAGAAAGAGTGCTCTCGAAGCTTGATATCTCTCTACGAACTCCGTCACTACCAAGCAGCCGGCCAAGCAGCAGATCTAGCCAATTCACACCAAAAACGTCCAGAACTATCGTTCAGCTACATAAGCAATCTTCAATGCTAATGGATCTACTACACCGGCGGTCAAAGAGCCCTCCGAGCCCAATCAAAACCATGCTTGATCAGATTATCGAGGGCACTGCACTATCGCTACACTACGCTGCAGTACTCGCGCAAGATAATGCGAATCTACGCGCAGCCAATGAGAAGATCGTCAAGAAGCGCAATCGGTCGCATAAGCAGATACCCTGCGAAGAGGATTTGACCGTTGAAGAGGGCCTACAGCTAGCTGCGCAGCTAAATTTGCCAGCTGAAGCACCTGCGGTAGAATCGCATACGCAGGGCGAATTGCCTATTCAGGCAGATAGACCGGCTACTAGGGCTCCGCCTAGGTGTAGTGGGTGTAGGGAGATTGGCCACAGGATCAATTCATGTAAAAATCGCTATATTTAGTTGAATTAATGGGCGTTGGGTTGAGATAATCGATTTTTAATTTTTCTAAGGGTGGCAGGTGTCCCGGTCATGCGGGAATTACGTTAACTTAACGTAGGTTAACTAACTAGTTCCCGGCTACCCTGGCCACCTCAAAACACCATACTAAATTCGATATGACGGAGTTAAACAGCTTGAGTGGATCAGGTAAGATTTTAGTAAGGCTTACCATAGTTGGTGGCTGAGGGTTACCATGTTTTAGGTTTAGCTTCGGCCGGAAAAGTAAAGATGCTTCAAGGGGCATGTCTCTCACGATATGAATTACGCAAGCTAATCAGCTAGACTAGAACGAATGATTAAGATTTGTTGCGGTCTTGAATTTCCCGGTGACGAAATAAGTGGTGATTCGCTTATGATTCAGCAGGACTTGCATCGATCGCTAGATAGCCTGCACTACCATTGAATCCGTTGTGCTTTCGAAAAAAAATTTATAAATTGGGGGGTGACAACATGCTATTCATTGAATTATGAATTCTTAATAAGGGCCCATGAAATGTAACAAATATTCTCTTTTACTATTCCGAATTTCAGAAATAACTTTTATGGCGGATTAGACCGATCCAACTGCTAGCACATAGCCACCGTCGACAACGACGGTCTGCCCATTTAAATACTGATTTGAAGCAGTGAAAAGCACAGCCCCAGCCATATCCTGATCTTTTCCGGGGCGACCAGCTGGAATCTTGCTTTCATACTTCTCCTTGGGAAGCGAGCTCTTTTGCGTATCATCACTCTCCTTAGCGGTCATTTCCGATGGGAATACTCCAGGAGCAATGTTGTTCACTCGAATCTTGACACCCGAGTCGGCGATTTCATGTGCGAGCATCTTTGTGAGGTGGACAGCAGCAGCCTTGCTTGCATTGTAGGCAAAGTGATGCTGCGATGCTTTTATGAGGCCAGAAATGGAAGAGATATTGATCACCGTGCTGGACCATCCATATGTATCGTCGGTGGCCTTACTGAGCAAAGGTAGGAAGGCAGTGGTGACGAAGAACAATTGCATCACATTGGTTCGCATGACATCTTCCCAGTCACTGACTTTGCTTGTGTTGTGGAATAACTCCTGTTGGAGCTCTTCAGGATCCTCCTTGTCAGTATTTTGCTTGGCGGAGCTAATACCGGCGTTGTTGATTAGGATATCCAACTTGGACTCCTTAGACGAGATCTCATTGACTAGCTTCTGAATTGACTCCTTGGAAGTAACATCGGCGGAAATCGCAATAATTTCGCCGGGAATATCCTTTGAGTACAGTTCCACAACACGATCGAGCTTCTCTTTCGTGCGACCGGTGATGTAGACTTTTGCACCATTGACTGCGAGAGCTTGAGTGGCCATCAAGCCAATGCCCGAGCCGCCGCCAGTGATGAGGGCAACTGTTCAATCGTGAGTAAGGTCCATGGAAAATTCCGAATTCCGAAGAGGTCTTTGCATGGCACGTACCCTTGCCCTTCATGCCGAAGAGATTCTCAAGCGTGAAGCTTGCATTGTTGTTTTGGGAAGACATTTTAGTATGTGTCAAATTTGAACTCAGCTAAAAGTTTTAGGCTTGAGAGTCAGCGAAAATGGTGGAAAGTGCCTGAGAGATGTTTTATATCAACCTTCGGTGGAACTGTAAACTGTTTGCCAAGGATTTTTAGCTCCGCCCCACCATAACCGCTGCTGCGTCTTGAACCCTGACTTCATCATGACAGTAGTCAGCCTGGAAAACGATACCTGATCATGTTTTCAATTTGATCTGTTCTTAACCTGCTGAATGGGACACATTCAGGTTTTTGCAAGTGTAGTACCTCATGGACCTTTATACTTCATTATTTTCAACGAGCGAGATTACGTGGGGGAAAAAATCTAGACACAAAACATGAGCAGGTCTAGACAGTCGAGCAAGCAAAGAGGTCGGAGCAGGTCAGAGCTCCCCACCTTACGGTCATAAATGACATCATAGCACTCGCATGACAGCCCATACGAGATACACTTGCTCCAAGAAGCTGAAATAAAGCTGAAACCGAGGCTTGGTCTACAATTATCGATAGAAATGATCTAGGCGCCGTGACAACTCCATCCTTTAGCTTGGAAATCAAGAGGGCGCTGTCATCGTTCGAGGAATCTTTGGCGACACGCGATCAAAGAAACGGGAATTTGTCAAGAATCGAACATCGGATGTTGTCTCAAGGGAATTCTGAGGATTTGAAGTATTGTACAATATAATACTGCCTCATTTCTGTTTTCTAGAATTCACAATGGAAAAGTTCCTGAGATTCGATTGCAGACGACGTCATAGTGAAGTCAATCAAGCAACCAGCTTCTATATACAATCAACAGCGCCAAGAAGTAGTGACTGTACACTTATGCAATGTCCAGATACTTACAACCATAAAAATCTGCGTCAAAGGCCACTTGGATAGTTTGAAACGGAAACTTGCCCGAGAAGGGTTCGAACCTCTTGAGAGAACATGATTACTCAAGCTGCTACTTTCACGATGTTACACAGTATTTGAATTGATCCAGCTTTTTTAGGTTGATCAACCTAGGCGAGAAAAAACGGAATGATATCAGACAAACAGGGTAGTCACAATGGCCCGGTACAAGTGCCATAGATCCACAGTGATGAGCAGAACTAAATTCTGCCTGCATCTGCCTCAAGAAGGTAGTTTTCGCGCATCTTTCACAAATTCACGAACACCATATACTTGAGTACCTCATCCAGTTTTTGAAGATTCTGCTTCATCGACAATTTTGAGGGAAATGTCTCGTGGCATGACACCAAGAATCAAATTCTCCAGGGCTTCCTCGCCCGAGCCAAAGGAGTCAAGCGTGTCCGCCACTGTAAAAATTTCCCCAGATTCGGAGATAGCGAGGTCCCACTGCCGAGCCAACTCTCCAATAGGGGTGAGGATCTCGCCAATATCCTCACTCCAGACAGCACATCTATCATCCTCGCCCCCGATAAGCAGTGGGTTGAACTCGATCCTCTCGCGGGCACGGGTGATGCCCGGGCCGTTATATGGGAACACAAGGCCGGAGAATTCGGAGAGGAAGCGCTCTGCCGTCTCGCTCATGGTAAAGCCCCACTGCTCCAGTTGGTGTCGCATGTCACTTGTACCGACCTTGCGTCTGGGTGTCCAACCCGCTTCTCGGAGAGCGTGCTCTGTCTCGGCCGTGTACTCGGCCATAAGTGATCGTATCCTTCGGTATTACGCGAATTCAGCAACTAGCAGTTCGCATAAATAGCCGCGGAAACTGCCAACGTATGCTGTTGCAGTGCGGGATTTTCTGCGAATTTATGAGACACTGGAGATGTGGATGAACAATATTGAAGGAAACAAAGACAACGAGGACTGAAGGCGCGGATCGCGGGGTGAGTCAATGAGGATGCCTCGTATTTCTGCCTGGCGCGTCTTCCGTCGCGCTCAGACTTGGTATTGCTATTGGTCAGTAGGTCTGTCTTTATCTACCTCGCAGGAAATATATCCTGATGTGATTCCTGCTGAAAGGATTCTGTTTCATGATGGACGAAGCGGATACTTGGATAACGTGCGAAGGTGGTTCTCACATTACACCCTCCTAGAACTGAACAAATATCCAGGACAATCGATAATTTGAGGAAGTCCTCTTCATATTCGCCCAAGCTAACTCAATGTTTACTACTCTCTTCCACGCTCTGGATCGCCTCCTCGAAAGAGTCACGATACGTCTCTTGCGGCGCCAGCCCATGGTCTGCTCCTTCGACCTCAATTAGCCGCACTGCAACCTTCACTCGTTGTAGTGCGGCCGCCAGCGCCCTCGAATCTGTCACTGGCGCCACTGTGTCAGCGGTGCCGTGCACAATGACCGTGGGGGGATACGAGGGATCAATCAAATCTAGCACGGCCTCTGTGCCGGTGGCTATTCTCATCGAGTCACTTATCCGAGGACCGATATGGCCTGAAGGTCAATAATTGTGTACAAGCCAAAGAAGCGCACACAGATATACAACATACCTTCTTTCAACAACCAGAGGAACAGTGATGCCCTACTACAAGGGTCCCTGATGTTGCCTTCGTCGGTGGAGATCTGGGGGCGCCCGGGTTGTAGATAGTGGGCGACGTTCTCTTCCTGTAACTGGCGGGCAGGAATGCCTCCCAACAAAGCTGAATTGTCGCGGCGTCGGCAATACCACTCTCCCTCGGTCTGGGACATACCCCAAAGCGACAAAAAGGAGCATACTGAGACTTTCCTCCACACAGATAGGGCGAGAATGGACACCAGGGACCCTGCACTTGACCCGCCGATGACGATACGTCCTAGATCAATACCCACCGCAGATTCCACTAGCCAAGACTCAAGTTGGCGCATATCCTCCAAAATATCTGTGATGCCGGCTTCCGGCAGCAGACGGTAGTCCGGGACCACGACTGCCCAGCCACGATCAAGTAGTAGTTTCACTGGCAGCGGCGGGAATCGGGCGCGCCGCGATCCACTGACAAGGCCACCGCCGTGGAAGAAGACGAGGACCGGTCGAGGCCTCGAGGTGTCAGGAGCCGTGGAGGTGACAAGATCGAGCTCAACAGGAGGAGAAACGGGATGGTAAATGTACGAGGTACGATTCATCTTGGTATGCTATCTGAGCTTTGGGAAGAATTAGGAGAGAAGGATAGAAACATACTGGCGCTTGGTGAGTATTAACATCAACAACCTGGATTGTGAGTCAATTCGCTGATCAGGCTTAATGGAACGCCTGATGATAAAAGGGCATATTCCGTGATTCAACTGGTCAATAACAAGCCTTTTTGGCAGCCACGTTGCTTCCATGCTGTCGTGTAAAGTGGGGAAGTAAAATACACTCAAAACTGTTTAGTTCTACTTAGTGTCGTAATTTCTATATTCGTACTAGGGGATTCTAGACACCTCCGAGAATCGGGAGTTTTAACCGCCCTTTCCCTACTCATGTACGGAGTAAGCAAGGACACTCTAACAGGTCCTGGCACAGTCCGCTCTTTGCACTGACCCTCTCGCACCGGGGCTCAGATACAGCGTTATTGGTTCACCGTGGTCTGGCTGAAACCTGTGGTCTCTTGACATCTGCATACATCATCGAATCCTAGCCCAGAATTGGCCAAATCAACGGCAAGGCTGAATTGAAATGTCGCCTTGGGCCATCAATATCCTCTTGGTATGTTCTCTGAAAAACATCGGAGATATATCTAGACAGGGTTTCTCGAAATCGGCTTGACCAGTATACACTGAGACCTTCTATCTCGGCCCCACTGCCAAGGCCTTAGTGCAGATCTTTCATTGAAAAGACCACACTTAGTTGAGGACGATTGTAAAATATATCTCATGTATTGTATCTCCTGGTATACGATTGCAGCCTTCACTTTGACTCCTGAACGAAAAACCTTGAGGGTCACTGTCCTGTACAAGTCGCCGCTTACAACGGCCCTCAGCTTATTTTGGCCTGCTCAATGGATGATCTGCGCTAAGGTCTTGGCAGTAGGGCCGAGAAAGAGTGTATACTCTGGCAAGCCGATTTCGAGAACCCCTGTAAAGCGACGGACGCATCCATTCTTTCTCTTTGCTCAACAAACAAACGTTGTGAAAGCTGTTAAGTTACCGAGATGACTCAACAAACCCAGGGGAGCCTGTCTGATGAATTTCCATCTATCATTGAGACTTTTTCCCTGGATTTTCTCGACTTTTTCGACTGATCTGGCTGTTTATTGGAATCGACCCGCTTTATTCATCCTACCTTTTTCCACTGATCGTCCTACCGGCTGTTGTGACCTTTACACTCCGTGGGCTCTGAGAACCTTGGAGCCAGTTATTTCATTCTTCATCTCATCTGCGGAAATTAGATACCGAGACACCTTTGCCTAGCTATAGAATGGATCTCCAACATAGTGATTAACCCTAGTGACTACTTTCTACGAAGATTTAAGGCCCATTACAAAGCCTATCTCATCAAAGTTGCAAATATCCTCTGCTTGGATACCGTTCTCGTTAATCACGCTTGATACGGTAGTAACCCACGCTCGCAGGGTCTTTCGGTGTTCTTTTAATGCGCGCTAGTAGTCGTATTGCCTAGAAAAGCGCGATTGAAGCTCATCACCCCGTTGAACAAAGGTTCAGGGCCAATTCTTGCCGACGGTAGGTGGAGGATTAACTATCGCGTGCAGTCACTAGGATATTAGCTACCTCTCTTACAGTAGCCGGCCTAGGCGCTGCTCCACGCAAATTGCCTTCTAATTGGGTCAGTTTATAGCTAATTAGGCGGCTATCAACGGGTAAGATTCCGCCTGTAGCGCGTGCATGTAGTGGAGTAAGCGGGATTGTATATAGGCTAGCTGCTGCGCGTATAGATTTGACACAGCCATTTTTTATATCATCAAGGGCTACTAAGATCTTGGCCTCTTGATTGGCCATTTTTGCGACGATTTAGAGCGAATTGGTGGCGTGGTAGGTAGTTAAAATAGGTAGGTGTGTAGGAAGACGCGATTTGGAAGGGAGTGTTCGAATCGGCCGGGAATTACGTTAACCTAGCTAGGTACCTAACTTATTAGTTAGTTAATTAGTTATGTTTGTTAGTTAATTGCATAAAATTGCGTAGTCATCCCATTTTATATAACTAACGTAATTCCCACCCGTCCCCGTCCAAAATCGCGTCTTTCTACCTACACACCAGTAACCACATCGACAAACACGATTCTTAGTGGACTACCAACACGCGCGGCTAGAAGCCTTCTAATCAGCTAATCCAACTATACAAAACAGCTTCGCAGCTAGTGACCCAGTGCCAATCGACGCAGGAAGAGTGCTCTCGAAGCTTAATATCTCTCTACGAACTCCGTCACCACCAAGCAGCCGGCCAAGCAGCCGATCTAGCTAATTCACATCAAAAATGCCCTAAACCGTTACCTAGCTACTAAAGCAAGTGGATCTTCTTCCATCAGAATTGTTAAGACAAATATGTCGTCATATAGGAATATTACTCAGTCTTTGCTTGTCATTGACCCGCATACTCAAGACTCCTAGCTCCAACACAACCGTTTCAGTTCGCGCCAGAACCTATGGTCGTTCAAAGTTCTATGCAGCAGCCACGCCGCTGATCTATGAAGACCTAGTGTGATGTTCTGGAACCGTCTCGGCGCTGGCCGAGGATACCCCAGGACGTCCATTTCTTAAACTCGCCTGGAGACTGTCCTTGGTCTATGTCGTGCAATCCACAATACCAGCCGCACAGGAACAATACGCGTGGAGGATAGTGCCCTGGGTAAAGGATCTGGTACATAGTAGAGAACCAGCGACGAGGGATACCATTTTGGAGCCTCATTTGATAGATTGTACCTCATCCCACGTAGAGACGATCTCCGTTATTGGCGAAGGCTTTACTGGGAACGGGACTGGGAGCCTATAGTCACTCTCCTCTCGCATCTGGAGCAACTGAAGCAGCTCTATTTGATCATGTAGAATGAAGTCTCCGTGTCCGTCCGAGAAGCTATCTCCTAGTATCATCCAAATTGTCAGCTGAACATTTGGTGCCGACAGGTTGTCCGGTACAGTGCACCGGGGTTGGAAGCCAAAAGGCAGGAGAGTACGAGTACTAGAAAGATTTGGCCTAAATACGAGTTCGATTTTAATGTGCTACGCCTCTCCGGTCTACATACCCTCGCGGTTGATCTGCTCTATGGGGATGATCGTGCAATGGGCCGTCAGGATCTGGATGAGATGCTCCCGTTTCTATTCATGGCCCCGAATTTGAAACATCTTATTATTCAAGGGACAACAACGGATCACTTGGAAACCGAATTCCCATTTACCACTCTCAAGAAAGAATGGCATGATCTGCGTGCCGTTGCTGCCCCTAAACCACTATCTTCATTGCAGTCAATTTCCATTCTCATCAACCCAGAATTTAATATTTTGCCAAAGTCAGCAAATATTGTGGATCTTTCTCGACATCGCTCTTGGCAAATTGGAAGCATTTACGATCCAGCCGATGTGGCTGAGGTAGCCGTGCTATTTCCCAACTTAGAGCGCCTCTTCATCGATCCCCACCCCATTAGATGGCGAAATGTGGATACTACCGCTGAGAATGATCATTGTATCGCTGCAATTAGAGCGTTTCCAGCGCTCAAATACCTTCATATTAGCTTTCTCCGGAATGTCTCAAGTCTGGAAAGGATATTAGAGCCTCATGGACCGTCGCCAAGGGGACTCATCCTACAACCATCGACCCAAGCCCAACTTGTCCCGGTAAAGGGCAACAGTGCAAGTATGCCGAGTTGGATGCTTCTGAGATCCGTCGTATGGCGCAGACTTGTCCAAACCTGGAAGAACTCCGTCTCCCGATCAGGAGACCAAGAGGCAGTGGAGCAGAATACGAGATGTACATGGCTCTTGGTGAATTTGTCAACCTTCGTAGCCTGCTTCTGGATCTTCATTTCGACCCCCGGCGGATACCAGTGAGTGCAGTTGTGGAGACAGAAGAATCCGTTCTTTAGAAGGCCTTTGTCAATGCCGCGATGGACGAGAAATTTGCTTCGGGGCCCTGGAATCTCATCTCATCCGGTAGTAGACAAATTGGCTGCCGTTTGAGCAACATGCGCTTGGTAGCGTTTAGGCATGAATTCTTTGCGGATGGCGAGTAATATGTTCAGGGTTACTTGTCACGGTCATTCTTGGTGACAAGAGATTATAACCCGCTCAACGCTAGGTCTCCAACTGTGAATGAAGTCTGGAGATATGGCGAAACGTGCATTTCCCGGGCATAGAAGAATCCTATATGACTGAGCAACTTGCGAATATTCTTCGCAGCATCTGGCCATCGGGGCCTGGAGTGGATCATCTGCATGGGTGTCAGGTTGGACTAGCTATTCTTCGGCGATAGACGAATGATAGTTAAGTCTTCGTCGGAAACTGTATTCGCTGTGAACAGAATTGTTGTTAGTGTTCCATCATGTCTTTGAAACGATTGGTACCGTAGTACAGTAGATATTTTGGATCGTTGCGCTCCACTTGACCTGTTTCGATGGTGATCGGCCCTGACCTCCAGCCTGGGGTTGGCTGAGTCAGCGCGGGACCAGCTGCCCTCAGACTTGTGAAGCTGCGCCTGCGTCGAACCACCCCCGGCTGGACTTGAATCGCTCTCCTCGTCTATCCAATAGCGCAGAGCTCAATCGAAGCTCGTCCGCTTTTCAATTCGGAGCCCCTCTCCCACTCGTTGTCCTCATCCTTAGGGGGAGCGGAGCTTACGGAGAGACCCTTCCCGACCCTTCTCCTCCCCTAGACCAGTAAGCCCCGGTTGGCACCTCCGCACCATGTCGAATCCCGTACAGTCCTTTGACTCTCATCGACGGTCGACCGTATTCGGGCGCCAGCCAGAGGAGTTGCATATTCCTTCAACGGGACTGATCAATCCCAACCTTGCCTCTCGCCAGCAGTCAGTCCACGATTACCCCACGACGCCCGACGTGGGCGCTTCCACCCAAGTCCCCGCGATCAACGTCCACTCCAGCGCATCCTCCATGCAGTATGCGCCCAGTGGGAGCGCTGGTGGACACAGCAGCGCTACTCTGCCTGGGTCGCTGACGCCTGGAGGTCAGCATCGTCCGCCTGCTGTTTCGGTCAACACAGCTCCGTCCGTGATTCCCACCGTGCCGCAGTCGACACCACAACAGTCCAGCCATCGCACAAGTATGATCAACTCCCACGGCCATTCACAGTCCAGCCCCGCTGGCTTTGATCAATCCCCTATGTACAAACACCACGGGGCATCGGAAGCGTCCAAGTATCCTACATCTCCGGGCGCTGGGTACCCGCCACACACCCCGCAGGGTTCCAAGTACTCCCCGCTGGGGCTCGCGGACATTCGGCCCCCAGGTGACCATATTCTGGGTGAATCGCTGATGAGCCCGGGGTCGCTCCCTTACAATGGAGAGACTCAGATTCCTACAAACAGTAATTACGTGGCACCATGGCCTATATATGCCGTCGATTGGTGTAAATGGCCCATTTCGGGATCCTCGAGCTCGTTTGGGGGCAAGTTGGCCCTTGGGAGCTATCTAGAAGACAATCACAATTATGTTCGGATCATCTGGCCCGCTTCCACGTGAGTTCTACTAACTGTTTCTTCCAGATTCAAATCATCGACACACATTGGACGCAACCGGACCCGGATACCCCAGACGCCGCAGCAGGGGAGATTAAGCTGGACTATGTCAGGACCGCTGAGGCGACACACTCTTATCCCGTTACCCGCATTCTCTGGGAACCTCCATCCTCCCAGAAGCAGTCTACTGACTTACTCGCGACGTCGGGCGATCACCTGCGGCTGTGGTCACTTCCGAATTCTCAACCCTTGCAAAGCTCCAACTCGATCACCCGACCTTCCAGCCAAAGAGATGCTCCCCCTGCGAAGCTCTCTCCATTGGCACTTTTATCCAACTCTAAATCTCCCGAGCATACTGCCCCTATCACCTCGCTTGACTGGAACACCATCTCCCCGAGTCTTATCATCACATCTAGCATTGACACAACTTGCACTATCTGGGACATTCCGACCTTGACCGCTAAGACTCAACTTATTGCTCACGACAAGGAAGTCTATGATGTTCGCTTTTGTGCGAACAGCGTGGATGTCTTTGTCAGCTGCGGTGCTGATGGAAGTGTGCGCATGTTTGACTTGCGAAGTCTGGAGCATAGCACTATCATCTACGAGCCGACAGAAAAGACTGAGAAACGTAAGTTCTCCGTATAATGTTATGGTAATGATAAACGGGAATGGATGTTCACACTCCCTATAGCAGTGATGAGTCCTGGTAACTCCAGCCCATCCGGGCCATCGCAATCGGGCATGTGGCCTCCGCCACTGTTGAGAATCGCCGGTATGATGCCCTACCCTATCTTTTATATCTATTGAGAGCCGTTCATTAACCTTGCTACAGCCTCTCCTCACGACGCCCACCTCCTGGCCACATTCTCCCAGGACTCCAACGTCGTTCGTGTGCTTGACGTGCGGCAACCTGGACAAGCCCTCCTCGAGCTCAAGGGCCACTCCGCCTCCCTAAACTGTGTCGAATGGTCACCGAACCGACGCGGCGTCCTCGCCTCTGGAGGTGACGACAGCCTCGTTCTGATTTGGGACCTCATTAACCAACATAATGCCGCGCCTTTGTCCACACCTCAAGCTCCCGGCACTCCAGCGCAGGCCACGACCTCCGAGCGCGGTCCTGCTGCTGCATGGCAGTGTGACTACGAAGTCTCAAATATCAGCTGGTCCCCACAAGGCGGACCCAACCACGCCGGCCAACCTCGTGAATGGCTCGGCGTCTGCGGTGGACGAGGGATATGGGGTGTCTCATTATAAGGATATGGATGAAGGACCTAAAAAAAGAAAGCATAGGCGGGTGGGGGACATGTCTTTTTTTGCATTTTGTTCTTCTCATGCTATTTCCTTTCTTTGACTCAGGCTTTATCTTGCAAGCGAGGATCCCACGTTTACCCCCAATCCCTGCATCCCGATTTGACTGCATTAGATGGTTTGAATTGCCCCCGATCGCCCATCATCAACCTTGCTCCCATTTTCATCCCGTCTTCCATATTCCCCGTTTGCTAGGTGGGTGTATTTGATTATTTTGGCCCCCAGCTCTCTAGCATATTGTGCATCAGGCTGCGTGATAGCCGAATCGAGTTCGGCTACATAGCACCCCCCATTCGATTTGTTTTGCGGGGGTTACTCGACCAAGGGTTCGGTTCGTCGATGAGGCGGAGCGGTTGATGGTTGCATTTTGATCTACTTTTGATTTTGGCACGAGTGAATGAATGAACGATACTACACATCGCAATTTTGGAAGTGGTACTCCCTCTGATTTTAGACCGTCAAGTGTATTGGTCCTATCCGATCTCATTTTGAGGTGTTTCAAATGGATTAGAGAATATGCTATGCTATTGTAGGCCGTAATCCAATCCTGACTTCTCTATTTGCAAGTCTATTGGTGTCTATAGTTACATGGGCTGATCCAGAGTTCGAGATGTACCAGCCAAAGAGAGAAATTCGCGGAAACTCGTCCAGCGAGTTGGTATCAAAAGAAAAAGGAAGGGAAGGAGGGGGGGGGGAAGCTAATAAGTAGAGCAGTATGTACTCCAGCAATAATTATTGTCCCCGTAAGAAGGGAGTTGTGTAGCCAATGGCTTCGAACTCACTGGTTCCGCGGGGTTTGTGACCTTGGCGTTGTCAAGCTCGGCGTCCCAGTCGCTGGTGAACCCTTTGCGATAACCCGACTTTCAATCCAGCGGGCGAATTTCACACTGGGCACGTCGACGGCGCGCCAGAAGACGTCGCCCGCCCAGATAGAGATGGGCAGACAAATCAACCATCCAATGAAAAATCCAAGGCAGTACTGAGAATTGGTCTCCTTGCCCGTCATGGCCCAGATAGTAGGCATGATCGAGTAGCCGAGCGAGTGTAGAATGGGACCGTGGACGATATAAAACGCGAACGAGATATTGCCCAGATACTGCGACAATGGATTGGTGAATACTTTCTGGATGTCGGGGGAGTGATTGATGCTCAAGACGATCAGGGTTGCGCCGATGGTTTGTGGGAATCGGTGTGGCTCGGGATATGTGCTTGGGGTGATTTTCCAGAGCCACATGTACCCCGGCGTCCACTTGAATCCGAGATTCGGAGTTGACCCGATGTACAGACCCAGCACGAAGACGGCGATCCATAAGCGCCTTCGGGAGACAGTAGTTATGATCTTTCCACCGGGACGGAGGCGGATGTGTCTTTTATCGTCCCTGACTGAAGCAGAGTTCGCGGGCCGCTCCCACGTTCCGTTGATGAGGTCAATTTCGGCCATTAACATGCCGCACAGGAATAGGACGACATCCCATCGACCATAGCGCATGCAGAACCAAATCAAACTGGCCACGAGAGGCATTCGGACGATCGACACCAGACGTGAGGTGGCCAAGGTCGTAATGAACAGGACGAGCGAACACCGGAACTCTAAAGGAATGGTCCATAGGTGCGGGTTGTAGTTGTTGTAGAAGAGACCCCAGTCGAATGGGTTCAGCAGATGGGCGACGGTGTAGTAAAAGTCCCAGAATTGCTTAGTGAAGGACCCGTAAATGGGCGGGTGCTGTTCATTCGTGCCGACAATGGTATGGCCCTCCTTAATGACGCCCCACGAGTAATTGTACAAGCCAAGTCGGACAGCCACAAAGACGCAAGCAAGACCAACGATGGAAGGGATGTAGAGGCGCAGTGCTCTTCGAAAGGTTGACGAGGCCAGTACAGTAAAGGTTTCCTCGAATGATCGGGATCGGATGGTTTTCAAGGGCTTGTAGGAGAGCACATAGCCCGAGATGACAAAAAAGATGGCCACCATGATGTGGCCCGAGATTAACATGTGCAAGAAAGGTAACTGGTGTATTCCAAAATTCTCGCCTGCGAATCCCCACCCGACCGCCACCTTCCAGGTGTATGTGAAGAGGAAGTGGAAGTTGAAGACTAGCAGACAGGCCCAGCCGCGCAGCCCATCAAGCGCCGCGATGGCATGCAACTTGGTCGGTTGGGGTGCACCACCACCAACATATCGTTGTAGAAAGCTTGGGGTCAATGCAACCGTCAATCTATGCCCTAAATCTTCGGTAAAGGCCAGCCAATCTTCCTGCGACACCTTCGGTGCCAGCCCATTGGAGTTCGCGAGAATATTGGACGGATGGAATTGGGAGAAGCCGTTCCAGCGGGAGGTGTCGGTGAAGTGAGCGGTTGCGCGAGAGCCGCCTTCGAGGTCAGTGAGTGGGATATCTGAAGCCGACGTCGAGGCTCGATCTTGTGGTGGTGGAGCCATAGTGTGGAAGGTCGAGGGGTTCGGAGGAAGACGTGCGGCGGAAGCCTAGCACGGAAAGGTCGTTAAATGGAGTTGCGCATTGAAATTGGAGACAAATAGGAGGTGTGTGTTGGATTGAATGAGCTTGACTCCCGGCTATGAGCTAGCGATAGACACGTCGGGAGTTGTTAAAGGTGGGTGTATGAGGTCGTGGTGATCAGATCAAAGGAGCCAGAACGCGGTCGAAAATGCCCCGAAGCCCGGTTTAATACGTCAGCGGGATGGCGTTCCTTAGTCCAGGGTCTCTCTTTCTTGGCGGCCCAATGCCAAACAGAATGGCAGGCTGGCAACAATGATGTATAGGCGAAGAGACGTGAGGCCTGGATAGTTGAAAGAGTCAAGAAGCGGGAGGAGGAAAGGAGACAAGAGGATACCGGCTGATGCCATGCCATTTGCGGCCAACCCTGCGCCGTATGCGGCCGGTGGACTTGGCCTGGTTCAGCTAAATACCTCGGAACTGTGGGTCAAGCCAAATTTTGTGAGAGTCAAGACAATCTAATCTCATTTTTAGATCATTTCCAAATTTATTCGTTCCAATGCCAATGGGTGTCCGATTCAGATTACTGTACGATGTCCCTGGTATACTCCGTCGGTGACGCGTCAAACAGCGGGACGATCAGTCGAGGCGCAAGAAGCGCATGATGCGCCTCATGGCCATACGAGATTGCCCAGTCTCACTATAACCGCTTATCTATAGTTGACCATTGGATTCATATACTTGCCAAACATCCTCGTTGCTAGACCCTCATCCTGGTGTCGACAGGTATACGACAAGTCACGGGACTTCATACTCATCGCTGAGTCAGGTTGTCACGTGACTGCATCGCAAATTCCACTTGGCCTTTCGAGAATCTCAACTTCTGGATGCTTCATGCGTCGTGCTTGGGAAAATCACTTATAAATTAGCTGGACAAATCCTTCAAACCTATTCAACTGGCATGGAAAATTCCCGTTCTGTGTGCGTCAGAACGTGTGTGAAATGATAAACCCCGATGCGTAGCAAATAGCTCTGCAAGCTTGCACTAGCTCTCCCTTTCGGGATTGAGCTTCGATAGTGGCGAGCATCCAGGGTGGAATAGATCTGATCTAGCTTGCAGCGTCTCTTATCTGATGTGATAATGTCAACATTTACATCCATCCATGTAAACTCCTGTAAATATCATCCATGTTCCCTCTGTAATTCGTAATCGTGGCCTTTTTGCTAGCCCCCTTCCCCGAAGCGGCGATGATCCTCCCAAGCTCCCCGATTCGCGCCATCCCGAGAACTTCTCCTTCCTTCAGTGTCCTTCAGTCATTGTCCACTTCTCCGTCCGCATCGCGACCCCTCCACGGTCTGGATGTCGCGATCGCCAGTTGCCGTGTCTTTCTCGATAATATTCTAGGCGCTCGCGCTGGTGATCGGGGTGGTCCCGACCCGAGAAAAAAAAGGGTGGGCAAGCTGTCGCCATGGATTTGCGCACGATCATGAATACCGACGGCGGCGCTGCCTCCAAGGCCCCGCAAGCCAGTCAATCGTCTGGCGCGCCGTCGGATCCATCTCGTCAGCAGCAGCCCCAGCAGCAGCAGCAGTACGCAGAATACTCGAGTCGTCCGTCGCAGCCCTTGCAACACGCCCAACACCCTCAGCACGCCTCGCCCGGGCGATCCTCGTCCTTCGGCCCGGCCCAGTCGCCTTACCAGCAGTTCCCCCCAGGACCACCGCCGCCATTGAATACGGCAGTGCAGTCACATCCAAGCCAAAGCCCTCAGCAAGTGTCGACTCCATACGGTTCCGGGGCGCGTGATCCATACGGCACGTCAGCCTACAGTTCGCATGCCCAAGCCTCCGCCGGCCCCTTGGCCTCGCCGTACACGCCGCAGCAGCCCATGAGTGCAGGTCCTCAACACCCTGAGCCGCAGTCCTATTTTGCGCAACAACGGTCAAACTCGCTGCAATCTGTGATGACGAACCCGCTTGGCGCGGGTGAAACCTTCCGCCCTGGAGATAGTCCCCCGTCCGCCTCACAACCGCTTCCCTCACATCAGTTCTCTCCATCCACACATCGTTCAGTTCCAGGGACTCCTTTGGGACCTCCTCCCGCCTTCTTCTCTCATCAATCGCCTTCCTCCACGCGTCCACGGTCATCCGGTCGCGCCTCTCCCCGCCACAATCCGTCTAGTCCCTACGCCGTGCATGGCACGAAGCAGACACAATCTCCCTCAGCTTCACGACAGATATCGCCCTCCTCTCGTCACTCCGAGTCGGCCCCTCACTTCCCTTCCGCCAGTGTAAAACAGGAGCCCCCCGAGATTCCGAGTCCCCAGATTGCCTCGCGACAAAATAGCACGGCAACTGCGTCTGATACCGCGGGTGCAGCTCCTCTCCGTTCCTCTGAGGACCGAAAGTGGAACGAGAGTCCCACAGCGGCATTTCCATCCGGCCCAGGGTCAGATTCACGCGCCTCGCCTGTTGCCACTACACATCCACAGATTACCAGCTCCCCCTCGGCCTCAAGAAGCGGTTCGCATCCGCTGAAAATGGAGATAGATCAAGAACCGACGGACCGTACCGAGAGTCAACAGCCCAAACTCAAGAGGAGACGGTATAATGAACCTCCAATCTATGCTCAAAGATCAGTTCGAACCAAAGGCAGATGCCCCATAATTCCCAACCCGCAGTCGCCGATTCCAAAACATGCACGACGTACTGGCCAGGATCCGTGGGCCTCGCGCAGGCACTCTCTAGCGTCGACTGCTGGGTCTGCAACAACGACGACAACACGCACTACTCGGACACCTGGGCCAGCGGTACCACCGCCCAGGACAAACGGCCCTCCTCCTCCTCCTGCTGCCGCTGCTGCTGCTGCTGTTGCTGCTGTTGCTGCAGCTCCTCGTGTGGAAGAACAAGGCTCACTTGGTCCCTGGGAGCCTTCAATCACTGGATTTATCCCATTTGAGGAAATTACGAAGCAGCTGTGTGATTTCCTCTTCCAGCATGTGGTGGTGAGGACCGACGTTGCCGCCGGCGCGGCGGGTTCGGCTGCTGCAGGACAAGGTGCCATCATTGAAGTTGAAGCCAAGCTGGGTCATCTCATGGATATGGATCGCAGAGAGAGGCTGGTCTTGCCCGTTCTCACGGAGAGCGTCATCAATCGAGAGTCCCGGTTGCGTACCTCATTTGAGAGTAGCATGACTGTGGTACGTAGACACTCGGAATTATTCAAGTTGGGGACGAGGACTAACGGTGAAAATTCAAGGAGCAACATCGGGCCATGAACAACTTTCTCAATGAGCAAGTCAAAGCGTCCATGGTCAACGATTCATCTCGGATCCCAATCTCGTACGCGCATAAAAAGGAGCGCGATACATTCTACGAGGTCTCACCCCAGGAACTACCGCCCGTGATCCGGCAAAATCTCAACCCTCGCCACAAACCCAAAGTCCGTGTAACCACCGATGTAAAGACTGGGGAAGTCATTGCCAAGATCGTCAAATGTCGTGTTGCGGACATCGACGTCTACAGTCCCCGCACAAACGTGGATTGGCGTGTCTCTGTTAACCTCGAAATGGAGTACGACGGCGATATCACCCACCTACCCGCGGTGGACGCCTCCAAAGGCGGCCGCGGGGAGCGCAACAAAGACCGCATGAGCTACCGACACTTGGCCTACCAAATCGACCTGACACAAGTGGCCACGGTCGAGGTGAGTTTTTCCCCCGCATCTGACCCTTTTCCGGGGTACCTGTGTAACTAGAGATCAACCTTCTGACTGTTGTGGACAGGCGCCGACGAAAAATGATTTCGAGCACGAGCTGGAAGTTGAAGTCTCTGCTGCGGAAATCCGACGTCAGGGCAATCTTGCCATGGCAGGCGATCCGTCAAACCAGTATGAGGAATTGGTGAAGGGCTTTGTGGATAATATTCGTATACTGGCACGGGCCGTGCCGCCTTGACGAATTTTCTTATAATGGTCTCTTGATATTCCTTTTTGTCTCTTTTACTTTTCTCTTCTGTATTATGTATTTTTGAAGCTGGCATTCGGGGTTATATAACCCTTGAGTTTTTCTTTTCTTTTCTTTTTCTCTACTTTTCTCTTCGGTCTCCTTGTCTTGCAGATATGGTTCATTCGCATTTGGCTCTTGGGGTATTGGGTAAAGATGCCCGTGGCAATAGACAGGGTTTTTCAGAGAGGGTTTCCTTTTGTTTGTTTGGGAATTTATACCGCTTGGATTCGGATGGTCTGGTAAGACCAGGCTCACAGTTGTGAGACGTGATCTATTGAGAAGTTCTTGATTTCTGATCTTCCGTAGGTCATATCCAAGATAGTTCTGTACTGATACTCATACACTGTGTACAATTGACAAGGCTCCGAGTTCATATTCTTACAGACAGATTTACCGTCCGGGAGGCGCGGATGAAACTTGGATGTCATAAGTGATGGGCGATTGATCAACGACCTGAACCTCATGGAGAGGATCCCTAGTGGTTAGAATAAGGTTGTCTGACATCAGATTGAGAGGTAGGGTATGTAGATTAAGACGGTAGCATGTGTCAGATAAACTGGAATACGAAACCTGGGAGGCGGTTTTAGTAGAGAATCTCCGGTTAGATGGTCTTCTTCTTCTTCTTCTTCTTTATCTTCTTAGAACGATCAGATCAGAAAGTGTGAATTTTTGAAGCGCCAAGTAACATACAACCAGCGGCTAGAAAACGACAATAAAAAAAAGGGGGAATACATAGGTCATCAGGTCGCGGCTCCCAGTAACATCATGAAAAGCCCGCATGAAAACATCAAAAGAAGGGGCCGAATGCACCTTTCCTACGCCAACGCAAACAGTGCCACACCAGTCGCCACAACAGCCGACAACACAGTCGGCATCAAAATCCCCGCCCGACTCGACTTGACACCCAACAACGCCGTGGGCTCAAACTCATTTGGCGTGGTGGAATTGACGGTGCCGTTCCAGCAGTAATTCGAGAAACACTGGGTACAGATACTGGGGAGGGTAGTGTTGGTGCGCTCAAAGGAGCGGGCGAGAATGGCACAGCCCACGCAGGCAGTCCAGTTCCCGTCGCGGGTGCTGTTGGCCATGGTGGCGACCTCGTAGCCGTTGAGGATGATGTCGTCGCGCTGGGTGTCGTTGTACGAGAGGGTGAAGGTGGAGACGTTGGACAGGGCCGAGTATGGGAAGTTGGGGACGTAGACGACTAGCGGGGCTGGGCCGGTGAGGTTGGAACTGTTGCAGCCGAAGAAGGTGGGCCGTGTGTTGAGGCCAAGGTTGACGAAGGTGTTTTGGTCTGGGATGGCGGGGAACGCGGTGCCGTTGCCGATGCCGGTGCTGTTTAGGCTACGCTCGTAGGTGGCGACTAGGGCTGTGCCGTTGGGCCAGCTGAAGGTTGTGTCGGCGGAGGAGTCAACGGCGAAGATCACGTCGACGTGGCGCACGGGTTGGATGAGGGGGTGTAGAGGGACGTTTTGTAGATCTTCGCCGCCGTCGACGACGTCGAGCTCGGTTTGCGAGGCATAGGGGGAAGAATGGTTGTTGTAGTGGTAGAACGGGTTGGGATCGTAGGATGCGATGTCGTCGTCGGCTTTGTCCAGCTTGTTTAGGATGTCCGTGAAGATGTTCTTCGCGAAAGTCGGGAGCGAGGTGGTGTTGAGTTGAAGTAGGAACTGGTTGAATAGAGTGGACGAGGTTCCAATGATGAAGCCGGCACTGTCAAAGCCGCCGATACAGCTCTCGTTGCTGGGGAGGGAGCCGCCCACGAATCTGGACCCGAGGAATTGGAGAGGAGCGAAGCCATAGATGGTCGGGTCAAAGGTTCCAAACTCCCAGGGATTGAACTCGTACACGGTGGAGTTACTGCCTACCACCTTTTCGCCGGGATTACGGCCGTCTGCTACGACGAGAGGCATGGGGTAGTTGCCGTCGATGAAATCCTTGGTCTGGGCGATGGATGACCAGGTGTAGTCAATACCTCCATTGCTGGCGTTAAACATTTGATAGGAGAGAGCTCGGCCCCTGCGGTAACACACTGTTAGTTGATAACGACTTGTTGATAATGCAGATTGACGAAAAAGGTAAGATGTACCAGATATCGGTGATGGAGGTATCAAAGCCAGCATTCTTCTTGTCCTCGACAGCCGTTGCCAGGTCCTTGTAGTAACTGGCCGAGTCGAGGATTTGAACACCACCGGTATCCGGGCCCTTGAGGATGGAGTTCCCAAACTGCCACACGGCACCAGCCGTATGGGTCTGCAGCGACGAGATGGTGGTGAAGTTGTTGATGTAGATCGACCCCAGCAGCCAGCTACCACCACTCAGCCCGGAGACATAAGTAGCCGACTGAAGCAATCCACCCAGGTGACCACTGGCAGTTGCATTATTCGTACGGCTATCAAATGCCTTGATAGCACCAGCACCGTTCATCAGCGCGCGGTAACCACCACCGGACACGGCAATACCGATGTTCGGCAGATTCGAGGGACTACTCGCGTGGGTCTCCAGGTATGAAGTCACATCGAAGTCGCCGACCTGGACATGGCCGAAAAAGTCCTTCATGGCCGACAGACTCTTATTGCGACGAGTCTCCAGCCATGCGGTCTCATTGGGGGACAGACTGGCGGCGCTGCGTACCGTCGGGCGACTGGCTGGGCAGCTCACACTGGTCGGGGTATATCCATCGGGGGCATTGGGCAACGCTCGACCCAGCAAAGCCAGCGAGAACTCGTCCGGGTCGATAGCACCGGGGGCAGCGATGGCACCTATTTTCCATGGATCATGGCTTTTTGTTAGCCAAACGGGGCTTGTGATCGCACAAGCTGGCAATGGTGTACGGGACCTTGCAGGACCCCGAAGGAGGTCCGCGAGCCCGCAGGGTTCCGATTGCGAGCAGCAATCATCACGTACCGGACAGGGCCAGCGCAACGCCGGAGATCAGCGCAGCAACTTTCATGATGGTGGGCAACTTTTCCTCTTCTCTCACCAGGGTCCAGTGTGAACTGACAGGGAGCTTCACGATCCGAGGGTGACTGCGGCAGCGCAGCGAAGGGGGTGGCTGGATTGTATTTATGCAGGCCGGGCAGGCCGGAACCGTACGATCAGAACCCAAGCTTATTCTTATTATTAGTTGGGAGCTCCTGCAGCTGCTCAGTAATCTTCATCTTGGCCAAGTTGGTCCAAAATGGCCAATTTAGTCGATCGTGCCCAGGGATCCGCAAATCAATCATGGCGCAGCAAAGTGGAGAGGGGCTAGTAGTAACTCGTGATGTCAACACAGAATCCAGCGAACCTTTCCGCGGGCCGAACGGAGCGGTGTATGGCTTATGCTTCTGCATATTCGTCTTTCACTCGATCGCTGTGGCGGACAAGGATCTGATCAATCCTATTATGATTACTATTCTTATTTTGGATTCTGTCCCTGGCTCCCTACAGGGCTGAGCTGAGTCGTAGCCTGCGCCACTCTCTCGTACCCTCCAGCTGGGGTCCTCTAGGTCGGACTTCGATGCTTGTTGAACAGCGCTAGTTAGTTCCAGGATATCCTCAATACATAATAGTACATGATCCTGGCCCCACAGAAACTCATTCCTAGCACTGAATCCCAATATTATTCACAAGAGCAAGGAAAACAGACACAATCGGGTGTACAGTACTGGACTGGTTGTTCTTCAGATTACCTCCTATGGGGGCCAAAATCACCAATGCGAAGAAATACCCGAAACAAGTTAAAAGGTATCCCTCCCGCCGGCATCCGAAGTGAAACGCCTCCTTCCAGGCCCCATTGTTGCGACCTAACAAGGGAGTTAGGGACTAGGCAGCGGGATATCCCTCGCAGAACAGGATCCACGGCTCTTCAGCTGGAGCCTGTAGGAGTGGGCTTACGTGAACTGTGGAGATTATTAGGGGCCCACTCTGGAAGAGGATTGGAAGAGGATGGGGTTATGCACGGATTACCGAGACTCCGTGTTATACTTCCGTTGTACAGAGTACGGAGTACTTCTTCTATAACTAGTTAAGGTATGGTTCGGATTGCTGACATTGTAACGTAGTATGGAGCTACGCGTGTGGTGAGCAATTCTTAGGTTTAAATCTTCTCGCATATGCTGCGAAATTCTCTTCCAGTAGTACGAAGCTTACGCGATGCATGATACGGGGAAAGGGGGTGAATTTGATTAAATGATATCGATACTTGACAGAATGGAGGAAAGAACCACCAAATAAAGGATGCATTTTTTGATCTCCAGTGAAAAATCCCCAGTGAGAATGAAAGACAAAGAGGGGTATCCATGCTCATCGTTCACTCGTTCCAGAGCGTCGTTCCAAGTGTCGAAGTTCACTCGCTACTCATCTCCTGGTCAATCGGGGGCCCAGTCGCAGAGAGCTTTGTGGAGATCAAGCAGCTTTGGGGATCAGGAATAGAGCATTTCTGAATCCTGGCCTCGTGTCCGGAGCCATCGTGTCGAAACTGTGCTGCCCCCCGCGAGAGCAAATACATATCGGAGAAGCTCTGTTGACATGACCAATTCCGTACGTTCTAGGTGAGAACGGCAGGAGATTCTATATCCCCTTGAATTGCGGCTTATCCTCGAACAGTAGTCTTGTGTAGTGGGGAAATCCGGTATGGTACACTGCGTATACCCAGCATGTTTCGCACAAGAAGCCCATCGCATTTGCGATAACTTGAGTATAATCGTGCAACTCCGGCATTCGGGTCGCACAGCACAGCCTCTCCTGCTGTGGAATGCTGTGAAGGATCCACATGAACAGGCAGGACCCCCGAATGAGCACTTGTTCTAGTAGACCCTATATATACATTCCCTCGTCTTGACGGCCAATCACGCCCCCAAGTGCAGTCGGATATATGGCGGGGTACGTATCCACACTCGAAGGACGGTTCTGGGCTCTGGATAATCTATACACGCAAGGAAACCAAGTCAGTACAGTTGCGCGCCTAAGCTTGAAAGGCAAGTAATAGGCGACATATACTTACTGCCCTCTCATGTCGGTTGTAAGGTGCCAAGCGGTAGGGAACAACAGGTAGTCCATGGCCGATCGACTTCAGAAGTTCACGAAACGTCACTCGGACGACGTTGAATCAAAACAGTGGAGTGAGGCCCTGCCAGGAACCTAATGATGACAATACTAAGGGACAGTCTCCGGTGTGGACCCGGATTTATTAGCACCACCAATTTCCCGAACGAGTCGATTCGTATGACCCTCGCAAAGCGTGTATTACCGACCCAACTGTTCCCAATTGCGCCTCGTTTGCATTCATTAGGAAGGTCAAGATTCCGAAAGAGACTACCACAGGAACCTGTTAGCGCCAACATTAAGTATGGAGCGTCCTCCACCAAGTCTCTAACCTTTGCCCAGAAGTCATCGGGGACACTCACCCACGAACAAGTTTTGAAGCTTTGGAAGCCAGAGAACCCGGAGTAGCCAAAGGGCGTGAATTGTGCTGCAAACTGTGCAACCCAACGTTCCACCGGGAGTTGATAGAGTTGTTGAAGAAGTTGAGAGACAACAAAATCGACGACTGGAATATATCTATCTATCCCGTGACCCTAAGGCAAGGTCAGATGTCTCCTCATCATCCCTCGTCCTTGGATTCTCAGAGCCCAAGGCCTCCGATGGGTCCATGTATAGTTCCCAGACGCCGATAGAGCTTAGAGAAAGCAGTGCATTCAAGATGTGCATCCGACATTTACTCCGACACGAAAATGAGAGTGAGAGATTGGAGCGGCCGCAACGAGTACGTATAGAGTCGCCATAGAGGGGAAATAGAAAAATCGTGAAAGGGCACGAAAGCCGATTTCGACTAGAAATTTGTCAGTGACTGCACAGTAGTGCCTCTGAAATGAAAATGAATGACATACCACGGTTTGCATAATTATAAAATAGCAATAGGTGATCCTATAGGGCATCCGCAACAGGAGATGTTACAAGCCAAGCAAAATCAAGCAAAAGCCTTCATTCGGTGCTATCTGACGAAGGAATCAAGTCTGGGGAAGGAATGGAAGAAGAAGAAGAAGAAGATGTGTAGTGGCGGATCCTTTACACCCCATCTTTCCTGAGGCATTCTTCCAGGAAACTTCCCTTTTCGGACACGCATGAGGCTCCAAGCAACATCGCGCTCGCAGGTGGCTGCCTCATTCCTTAGGCATCCAATTGCTGCCTCGTTCCTTAGGCAGGCGTCCGATCGTCAACATCCGTCACAGGAGACACTGTTACGTCGACATCGTACCTCGAGGGATTTATCTGATGTGGGTCACCAACGCCGGAGCCATTTTCAAGGCGTTTCTGCCCAGACAGGTCCCTCATCACGATTCGCTGAGAGGAATCACAGAACCAGATTTCACGCTCTCTGATTGGGGTGGAATTGAAAGCAAGGCCCTAGCTTGAGAGCAGATTGTCATCGAGTGTGTGCGTTGTCATTAGGTACTCGGCCATGTAGTCGGTTTCCTTCGGCCTTCCACAGTCAATATGTGTCGGGGCTATTAGAATGTGGCAGTTTCGAGCCTGTAATTGCCAGCTTTCGTAGCATTGGAAGGCGAAATGTGTAGGAGATGAGAAATTCTCAGCGTTCAGGGTCCTTATACATCGGCAAGAGAGCGACGACGAGGTATAGGTGGCGGGGACCTGGGCTTCGCCGTTGAAGGCATGGATGTGATTCACTCGCCGGGAGATCAGGGGAGTGACGAGAAATGCGCTGCTCATGCAGTATCACAAGGAATATACCGCGTCCTCGAATGTTATGCGGGTGAGTTGCTTGTTTTCGCCACGAGCGGGACCCAGAAGTGAGGTGCCCAGCAGTGAAGTGAGTGAAAGATAGATATGCCAGTAGTGTAGTAGGCCCGGAGATGATCGAGGCAGTGAGTTCAAGGGCAGCATGACTGAATCCTGGCCGTCCAAAGCAGGCTAGTTGGGTCGGGACAGGGGCAACGAAGAAATTCTGACAATTCACTGATAAAGCTCGTGATTGAAGTTGTAGCGAAGCGCTCTGAGGGGTCTGTACGGTAATGTCAGTGACTGTGCAAGAGGCTCAAATATTCGGATATCGAACTAACTACATCATGTGTCCATGATGAGAAGTAGCGAGAGCCAGTTGTAAACAGAATGCAAACTTCTTTGACATCGACGCTTTGTGGCAGCCACTATAGATTGCAGCGAATGATCTCTAGGCGGAGGATACACAGACCCGAACAAGTCGACGAGTTCATTCCACGTTGGAGCTGCAGGTTACCTGACGGGTGACAGGTCGTCAATAGAGATGCTGATCACCAAGGATACCTCTGTCCTTGCCAACGAGCACTTCGCTTTAATTTCGTGGGCGACTTCCCCGGGGCTTGAAGGTCTTGTGGTATATATAGAGTTCCGTCGAGAACAAGTTTCTCTTTCCTTCCATTATAGAAGGAGAGAGTTGAGAGATGGACGAAGTATGGACGAAGTTTGACCAGGAAGACGGAGTTGGAGGCTTTATGTAGATGCTAGAGAGCAAGTCAATTGCAGGAGATTTCCTTCAATTTGAATGCGACCAGCCGTGAGGAGAGCAAGGATGGCCGCTGTAAGAATTAAGGTGGTTGCATTTAAGAGAGCTTGTTTGGTTGTACTTGGCGATACTGGGAACTTCCGTCTAGCCAGATTCGCAGGCAAACTTGATGTGTCTCCAATGAACAAGCTTGGCTGGCTCCACTTGTATGGCCGGTTTACGTGGAAATACTCCACTACGCAGTACAAGACTACACAGAACTAGAAAAGACATGAGGTAAGAATATTCATGTAGATGATATTAAAATCAAATCATTAAAGCATCCCGTCGTATCGGAACATCAGCATGGATATCATGATTTGGACGTCTGGAAAAACAGACTCCAGCATAAACCCCAGAACTCAAAAAAAAAAAAAAAAAAAAAAGGGAAAATATGAAAAAAAAGATACATATGGTCTCATGAGAAACCCAAGCTAATGCATCTCAACTTTAACCCCGGACGGGACCGACCTCAGCAGCCTCGATGAGACCAAGGGTGCTCTTCTCATCAGCCTCAACCCGACCCTCGGGCAAGTTGTTCAGCTCATCTTCCTCCTTGTCCAGGCTCCAGAACTGAATGATGAACAGCAGACCACCGACACCAGAGAGCACCGCGAAGACACCGTAGTTCCAAATAAGCAGAGGATCGCTGGAGAGCGGGTTCAGGGCCTCGGCAATGGCGGCGGAGATGGCGTTGGTGAAAAGGGAGATGGCCTGGATCAGGGAACGCATGTTGCGAGGGGCCTTGGAGTAGGCGTACTCGAGGGAGGTGATGGAGGCGAAAATCTCGGACAGAGCGATGAGCACGTAGGCACCGGTCTGGGCCCAAACGTTGATCGGGGCCGGGATGATGCTGCCGTCGTCGGTGGCACAGCTGTTGGCGTTGTAGCCACAGGGCGAGTCACGGTAGATGTAGTACTGGATCACGGCGGACCAGACCATGGCTAGGGCGGCAAGCAGGAAACCAACGGTGACCTTCCTGATAGCGGTGAAGCGGATGCCCATCTTGCGCAAACCGGGGTACAGCAAGGCATCACAGATGGGGATGAAGATGATCAGGGCGATGGGGTCCAGGTTGTTGACGACGTCGTTGGGGACGCCGTTGAGAGTCATGGTACTGGCCTGAGCAGTCAAGTTGTTGGTCAGTTGACCGTAGGCCAGCCAGTACAGAGGGTAGTAGCAGAAGACAGCGCAGGCGGCGAAACCACGGCGGACCTCGTCAACCCAGGCATCGTCAAAGGTCATCCAGGCGGGGCGAGAGCCGGGTGCGATGTTGGAGGGCTTGGCGGCTTCCCAGAGGGTACCGTCGTGAGTGCGCTTCCAGAACTTGACGGGGTTCCAGTGCCAGCGGTCACGCAGAGCAAACATGAAGACACGCACAGCCTTGGAGACCACAGAACCCTGAGGAGGAGACTGGCGATAACGCTTGCGGCCCCACCACATGACGAAGGGAGTAGTCAGGAACATGATGGTGGGCAGGAGGTAGGCCAGCCAGAAACCGACGTACTTCTCGGCGTAGGCCATGCCAATCTGACCGATCAGAGCACCGAGGTTGATGAACAGGTAGAAGTAGTGGTAGATACGACTCTGAGTGATGGTCGGGTCGATGATGACACGTTCACCAGAGGGTAGAGTGCGAACCTTGAGATTCACTGCGGGAATCTGCTCGACGACCAGGGCGGAAATGTTGGGCTTGAAGCCACCGGTACCAAGACCCATAATGATGACACCAAGCATGAAGACAGCAAAGCAGGCGGTGGTGTTGGTGATGACGGGAGGAATGGCGGAGATGACCAGAATGATGTGACCCACGATGGTAATGGCAATAGACCAACAGATGGTCTTGTATCTTCCCCAGTGCTCATCGGCAAGGTAGGCACTGAACAGAGGAATCAGGTAGACCCAGAAGGTGTTGAAGGTGTTGATTCCGTTGGCGGCCTCCACACCCTTGCCCAGGGCACCCGAGACACCTTGGGAGCTACCACCACCGGCACCAGTGTTGTGGATGGAGCCAGGGGGGCCATTGACCTGGGGCAGCGAATGGTTCACAAAGTTGGAGTCTGGTGAGAGATGAGATTTGATGTCAGCAGGAGTTCATATAATTCAGATTGTAGATCTCGGGAGAAACATACACAAGACCTGAGTTCCGTAGTAAGAGAAACGCTCGCACAGCTCGACAAAGGCGACGGTGTAGACAGCCCATGGGATCGGGGCTGAGACTCGGCGCAGCGCATTCGGGCCGTGCAGCTCATCGTCGGTAGGATCCTCGTCACCGATTTGAAGGTTATACGAGGCCGAGACGAGACTCTTCTCGGGACGACCAGGGTCAGCGAGCTTCTCATCAACAACTGTGGTCACAGCGCGATCAGACTCCTGGATGTCCGAGGAGCTGGTACGGGTGGTAGTCGCCATGGTGAGGGCCTGCGAGGGGAGAAGCAGGGGCCGGGTGTAGGCGAAAGAGAGGGGGGTAAAGTGGGAGAACGTGGAGGAAAAGGAGAAAGGAAGGGAAGGTGAGAGCGCAGACGAGGCAATCTTATAGTCGTCTCCAGTGACAAGCTCCAACCCGTTCTACGGCAGACACAACCGAGCCGAGACGCTCTCACCAGATGGTCCCGGAAAATTAGTCTACATTTTGTTTTACGTTTATCAAGGAAACAAATCAGAGAAAGTAAGAGAAATAGAGAAATCGAAAATAATATCCAGAATCCCAAGATCCAACAGGACCATATTTTCTATTTTTTTTTTTGGGCTTTTTACCCCAGACTTATCACGCCATTGACCGTCCACGGCGACACGCGCTAGACCCAACCGGGCAAGACATCCGTGGCCATCGGCAGATAAGACTTTATGCTCGACAAATCAGGATCCTCGTCACGTCAATCAAGATTTCCACCAGACCATGTCCAGGCCGCACTAGACCATCTCCAGCAGGCGCTGGTGGATGCAACCCGTCCCGCGCCATGTAACTCTTGTGCGCGACATCCACTCTGTCGAAGGCGAAAAACTAACCACCGACTAAGCTTAACCTAAACTTGCCGTCGTGGACGGAGCACTCCTCGCAGGGGCCTCGGCTACAGTCTGTCCAGACAGGGGGGCGGATATAGTGGCAACCCGGGACACGAAGGGTATAGATTTCTCCGGGGTCGCGAAATGGACGGAAAGAACAAGATCGGAGGAAGCACGAAAACGGGACGGGGCGCTAGTATTAGGCTAACGGTGAGAAAGACGGTGTCAGATTGAAGCTATCAGATGAAATCAGAGGAGATACAGGACTGACTGGACTCTCACGAAGAGAGAACTGTGAAGTCCGACGGAGAGGCCGGACACACAGACCGCTGCCAAGCCTTGCACAGACTTGGAAGTTGCTTAAGCGTTGCTTGGCTTTGCTTATCAGGTGTAAGGCGGATATCTTTCGTCTTACGGCCATAACAGAGCACACTACATAGAAACCCAGTGCTGTACTTTTTTTGTTTGCTTGCGTTGAGTGACTCGGAATACTTTCAAGTCGGTTCGGTTTTGATCCTGGCTGTTGTTGGTTCCTGAAGGAAAAATTTCTTGGCGGCGTGACCCCTTTTTGGTTTGCGGGCCGCCACAAACCTCGTGGCCTCTGCCGTGGGCTTATGGTTTGGTTTAGGTTTACTTTAGCTATGGCTGAGAGTGGAGGCCGTGGTTGATGATACGTACCTTCCTAATTGGGGTGTTGACATCCGTCTTGATAGTTTATTCTCCAACGAAGCTTGGATCTGGTTGATTCCACTGCACGTCTCCAATTGGGCCTGGATTGGTTCCCCGCTAAACTAAGTTGGAACTAACTCCGGCTACCATACTGCACTTGGTGTTCACCAGGAACCTGTCTTCGGGCTGTCTCAGCCGAATGAATCGCCTCGATAACAACCTCGCCCAGACCCAATCTCACTCCTGCGACTAACATCTGACAGCGCCTCCGGTGGCTGATCCAACCCATCCATTCACAGCCTACCGCGTACAGATTATACCTTATGAACCGAATCAGCGTAAAAAACTCTCGCTCCCACCCGACGATAAACGAGTCCAGCCGGAGAATTCCAGCGGAATCAAGCACTTCGAGAACTCTCGATATCCATGCCAAGAAGCGGACTCCACCCCTCCCCATCTCCAGTTCCCCGTCTCTTGTCTCCAGTTTCCGATTCTCGGCTGGAATTCCACGTGCTGTCGCCCATCCCCGTGTCCTGAAACTCTTTGTGGCGCCTCTCTTATCCAGCAAGTACTCGCGCGGGCCTCGAATAGTAATCCCCTCAATGCCTTCGGAATGAAGTTGCCCTCGTCGGATTGGTCGGTCCGTAATATATCACTTAGGTCGTGACTTTGGGCCCTATGCCTGGGGGATGGACTCTGTGGGTAACGGAAGTTGCATGATAGGTTGTGCTTTGTGCTGCGGATTAGGTATGGGGTGCGGTGACAATGGTTGGACGGACAGAAGTACGCGATAGAACTGGTGAGCCTTGCTATCGTCGCATGCATAATGGCAATCCAGAGATTACACTGATAAGCTTGTAATACTTGCTATTGAATATTTTTACTCTAGGGTAGTCTACGATAGGAAAGTATAGATGGTGTCCTCCAGAGGGCAAAAGTAGTAAGGTGAAGATTTTCTTCCACGAGTCTTGGAAGTTGTGGCGACTATACCCGACAACCGATCCAGCCACAGAAGTATGAACTATCAGTTACCAACCACAGCGCCTTCTACCAGAGGAAGCGTTGCCTATCTGCAGTCTTACTCTTTTACCCTGTGTCTTACACCAGTTATCATCAGCATATTAACTAGGCAATTGTTGCAAAACCGGATGGCCGTGTTTATCACTTTGAGTGGGTACCTCGAATACGCCGAGTGGCCGGCACGGTGGCACATCAGAAATGGTCTGGTGTGAGATCTTCTAATTACGGAGTCGGGCGAAAACCAGGGGAGACAAACCAATATTGTGTATCTACAATGCGGCTATCGTTAGACATCCGCCAACCGTTCCACCACTCATGACAGTACAGTCATGCTATGTGTCAAACCGTCGTACCTGTATCCTAGCACCGTAGGACCCTGTCCTAGCGTTAAATTCATCCGCCAGACCAAAATAGGACCTCGCACAATGTACAATTCCCCATTCAAGGCATTTCTCCCCCGTACTCGGTCGCACTCAACAAGCACGAACAGCCCAAGTAGGAAGTATCTTCAAACATAGAGAAAAGCCTCAACACAATCGCCTCCAACCACGGAACCTAGCTATACCCCGTACTTCCCTCATTCCACCCTCTCGGCGTCTCGAGTCGTTAGTACCAGATCAGGCATGCCGCGCCCGAGGCCAACCAGAGCCAGACCCAGACCCAGACCCAGAACCAGAACCAGAACCAGAACTAGAACCATATCATGACTTCACCAGCCAACCCCCGCAACACCTATAACTTGTCAATTGTCACCCAACAACCTAAACCCCGAACAGCCACCACCACCACCACCACCGTCAAAACGAAAAAGAGACTTTGAAGTTTCCCGCTTTCCGCCTGTAGCCGCACTAAACCCAAAACCATATGCCAACGACCTTCCTAAGTAGTCCTCCGACCTGTCGCAAACCATAAGTTAACCGACAACTGCAGTACAGTTTATAACGGGGGTGGAGTCGACCCACAAGTTAATAATAATTGCCGGATGATCAAAAAAGAATCATATCCAAACATGCATGTACAATTGCCCCTCCCCCACACCCAAAATTACCTCGAGACATTCCTCTACATAATCCGCGAAGGACCGAGCGAGGAGACCCGCCCGTGATTGGCGAGCGTGTCTGGGGTTGGGGTTCTCTAGACCTAGGGGCGGGGAAGGGTGGGAGTAGTGGGAGTCTGTGGCCCATCATTTTATTATTCGGGGATAGATGGGGCGAATGGAGTGGGTGGAGATTGTCCTGGGTATGCGCCGATGCGGGGGGGGGGTGTTTGGTTCGCAGGAATCATGCATCATGGACTTGCTGTGGGTAAGTCACGGGGAGGGTGAGTTGGCTTGGCGTGGTTTACAGAGGGTTGAGAGGTTGGGGAAAAGTATGTTTATGAGTTGGGAGATTGGGAGCAGTAGTACGGAAGGCATACTACAGTATGGGTTCTTGATAGCGGAAAGAGGATCCACGCGAGCATGGGGGTCGTCGGGTAGTACAACAAAGCGACTAGGTAGTGATAGGCATGGGAGGTAGAATTATTCGTCTGTCTGTGTGGCAGGTGTGTAGGGAGCGCGCGAATCATTCTCGCCCAGCGACAAGCGGAGCCCACATACTACGGCACTTACTCACGCGACATCTTTGGCGTTGAAAACTGGCTGAAACATCCCTGCATGATTCCCCCTATTATTACGCGATAATTTGCTAATAGATACTTGTCCGATCCCCCAGATTTTCAGTCTGTGTGGAGCCGATCTGTCAAAAGTGGGCGTGTGGGTCAGGTCACATCTGGAATCTGGAAGCGGAGGGTACATTAAGCCATTCACTCGAGCGATCGATATAAGTCTAATCAACGATCATGAGAAAATGAAGAACATGAGACCAAAAAAAAAATCAAACTAGAATTAAAAAAAAGAGAACAGTGGTTTTAAAAAGCGACACGCTATCGCTGTAAAAATCCAAAAAATGACCAGCTCGACAATATCAACCAATTCAACACCATGCAAATGAGAACCCGGAAGGGAATGCCAGCTCACTGACTGGTTCCACGTCCTAGGATCCAGGGAAATAATTCCAATTCGTCAACACATCTTTCCCTTCTACCTTAGCCGCATTTTTTACCACGCGGCATGGCCACCGTCCATGCGCAGATCACTACCAGTCATGAAACTGCTTGCATCGCTGAGCAAGAACACCGCCGCACCGCGGTACTCCTCGGGACGGGACAGACGGCCCAGCATGTTCTCCTTGGGCCACTGGTCGCGGCGCTCGGGGAACTCGACGAACAGCTTCTCGACCATCTGCGTGACGATGTAGCCCGGGGAAATGGTGTTGACGCGGATGTTGTACTGGCCCCACTCGGCGGCCAGATTCCGGCCCAGCTGGATGACAGCGGCTTTGCTGGCGTTGTAGGCGGGGCAGATGAGACCCTGCGAGAGGAGGTGGTTAGACTGGGATGGATCATGGAGCGGGTGAAAGGTGAGGGAGTGCAGTAGCGGGTTTAGGCGAAATTGCGGGGAAGGATGTAGAGACCATGCCCAACGAGAGGATAAAAGGGGGTTGACACTTGGCAAAAACAGGGAAAATTTCAAGGTTGGGGGTAAAAATGGTAAAAGTATGCGCCCGCAAGGTCCGCTGAGTGAGACGAAAAGGATAAATGGAGAATGGGGAGGGGGAAAACTTGGTAAAGGAAGGGAGGGGGGTGATGGGGAACATACCCGATTGGCAACTGTACCGCTCATACTGGCGATCATGGCAATGCTGCCTCCGTTGCCAAAGCGAATCATCTGCTTGGCCACGGCCTGTGCGGTCATGAACACTCCCGTCACGTTGACCTCGAACATGGTGTTGCTGTCCTTGGCCGAGTACTCCAAAGCTGGAGTCTCCTGCTGGATACCCGCCGCGGCGACCAGACCGTCCATACGGCCCTCGGTGTTAGCAATGGCCTCAACCACGCTGTTCAGCAACTCGGTGTCTCGCACATCGATGCGCCGGTAGTGCAGTTCCGTGCCGAGCTCCTTGGCCTTTTGCTGGATTTGGGCAAACTCGGGGGCCTATGTGAGGAGAGGGTTTTGTTAGTGACGGGTGGCTTGGTATTATCTAAGATTGGTCACGTAGATCATACCGGTTCCTCAAGACGATCCAGGGCATACACCTTGGCACCGGCTTCCAGCAGGGCCTCTGACTGAGTCAGACCCAGGCCTCGACCAGCTCCCGAGACACAGACGACCTTGCCAGCGAGACTGAACTCGGGCATGCGCGACTTTTGGCCCATCGTGACAGGCTGCGCAGTGTTGGGAGCAGTGGGAACTTCGGTGGTCTCAATGGCGACGGACATTATAATGGTGATGGATGATGGTGACTATAATATCGGTGGGAGAAAGTCGAGCGTAGAAGCAGGGAGTATTATAAATGATCAAGGCCGGTAATAATGACAGAGATCGAAAGGGTAGTCGTCAGGCGATTAATGTATTGAGTTCACGAGAAGAATATAATTGACACAGTCAATGAAGGAAACCAGGGACCAGAGCAGGGAGCTCCTTTATATAAGAGCGAAACTCCATTGGAACGGGGCTCACGATGCCGTGGCCTCCGGCATCTGTCCTACCTTGAGAGGTAAGCACAAAAAAAAAAGGACCGGGAATCGACTCGAAGCAGGGAGACTGGATGGAACGGTCCCCGTCGAATATTGGTCTCGTGAACACGCAAAATCTGGCCAGCAGGCCTAAACAGGAAATTCTCAGTCGTGGACCATCGTGGACGATGGAGTCTGGACCCTCCCTCCCGCCGGAAGAATGGCGGTTGACGCAGCAGCTTAAACGGGCGTGGCGACAACGGGAGTGCTATTTACGGTGCTTCCATGTTAGCTCCTGTAGCTGGATCCAAACAAGTACAAACAAGCACAATATACCAAGGACACCTTGATTTCCTGGCTATGCACCTTGACTCAATGATGTATCGATGATCGAGTTGAGGTCAGAGATACGATAGATTTGGGCCATCTTGCAAATATCCTGGTCGCGATGACATTTTGGCCTTGGAAGTGTTGTTGTTGCCACAGGTTATGACATTGGACACGAAAGCAGTTCGCGGGGGGGGCCAAAAGTACGGACGCACTGAAGATCGGATGCCCGTTTTGGGCAAGCCGATCGGCTTCCCCACTCGCCCGTTCCAGGTGACCTGCTTGTTCTTCCGGGGAAGCCTGATACGACGATGATATGATAACCATGTAGGATGTACTACTCCCAACTCCCCTCGCAGGTCGTAGAATCTTCGAATGGTCATGAGGACTGCTTGAGTTGCGAATGATCGACTGCCTTTCACCCCGTGGCGATGGTTCCTGTCTCGACGGTACTGGGGAAAAGTCAATGGCACATTCTCGAGATTTTCTTGTCGCCTTGCAGATTTTTTTTTTCTTTACTACTGTACTTTATCCAGCCATCGTTAATCTTTGAACTTTGAACACTGCCACGAGTATGTATACATTCATTATAGCTGCGAGACATGTCAAAGGGTTCAAGTATACAGTCCCAATTGGTCGTTGCGCTTGCGAGCAATGTACCAGCTTCTCCATCCAACTCGAATATACGAACAACCCCGAATCTCCAATCCTCACCGACAGCACTCCATCCTCCAAAAATAAACTTGCAGATACATTTATTATTGGATTCAAACGTCCATGTGACCAACAGAATCTGCCGTGTCCATCTTTACTTTTACTGTCTGGCGGCCAGCTCCCGGTCCCGAATTGTTTAGAATCAAACTTACCCGTTCGGGCAAATCCGAGGCCAGCCCAGTTCCACTTTTGTTCTCGTGAGCACCTCGTCCAGTCTCCTAAGCCTCCCAGCTCCCTACTCCCTAGGCACTAACGAGCTAATTCGCAATAAACATCGCGCACCCTGGTCTTCTAGAATTTTTCGCCGTCTGGCCTGTGGCTGTGTACCTATGAGTCTGGCCCCGTTCGCCTAGGGCCCTGCATTTACTGTATAGTATGTACATGCTTGCGCGGGGCAGGTTTACCGTTCACAGACCGCTGATGAAGCCTGGTTCAAGATAGATCTGAGATCGGTGGTCTGTGCCCTTTGTATGGCGGGTGTTTTTTTTTTTTTTCGAAGGCCCTGACCTCCTTGTGTTTTGTGTCTTGTTTTCCCCTTCTCTGAGGTACGATGTTCTTGCTCTGCCGAGTCCTATTCGGCCCGTGCCCCGCTCGACGCTATGGCCAATGGGCCCTTGTCTGCGGCATCAAAAAGAGTTTGCCTGATCTGATAGATTTAGAAAAGGTGGTCTTCGCGGTCTTTGCCGTTGGTCCAGTATCGCTGAGAATCCCGAATAGCATGCATGACAATTGCCGCGTGTCGATCGTTGACACGGAAGAAATGCCGATTATCCAGACCTCGCTGACTGTCGTCTGTGCAGCTCAACTCTAGATATTCTTGTCGTATGCCCATCTGCTATAGGTAGACTGCAAACAACCCTCAATTGATTGTGTGCTGTATCCTTTGTGCTATTGTTTTGTATATTAATAAGGCCTCTTCCATGGTTTTTTATTCTTCTTCTCCTTCATAATGCGCCCCCACGATTCCGATGTTATGCCCTCCCGGATAACCCGATCTGAATACGCCACTAGGTATCGCTGATGTGGCCTGTGCTCCCCAGTTCAGATATGAAAGCCCCATTCATCCTGGAGAACCAACATTTAGGGCCGTAAAGCTGCTAAAGCTTTACCATAAGTAGGAGCCCCTGATGACAGTGCAAAAGACGTCCGCAGAGTATCAAGTACATTTCTATGCAACAAGCATAGGCTAAGCATGCCCCCCCCCCCCCCCCCCCTCGTATTCTATGGACGGTTGAATCGCGCTTCTTGTCACAGATCCGCGTCGTTTGCAGAAGCTAGCCCCGACTTATCAATGCCCATAGATATCAGCACCCAGAATTGGTCAACAGACCCATGGCTGTATCGCTCTCTATTGTTCCTCATTATTCTGAGTTAGACGGTCCACATCCATGTGGGGTTCTGGATGTACGGTAGATAATCGTCGCGGGTGGTTCTACATAGGTAGTAGCCTGTAGTTTAATCGAGTTTGTTCGATATATATCCGCGAACCTTGCATGATAGACGCGACCTTGAGACTTGCATCATTCTTTGAAATACATAATACCGAGCCTATAATATATAAAATGAAGAGCACATGCTCATTCATATAGTTAGAAAAATCATTTGTCTGTCAGGGTCTTGTAGATTTGGCGTGGTGGTCCCATCCATGTTATGACCTGATCCCAGTGCTGATCATACACAACACGTGACCGTTACCATGGAAACTGCGCGGGTCCGCTCGAGTTCGCCCAAACACAACGCTCCACCCGCATGAGCATTTTGACCTGCAATCTAATGCAATCCACACGATATTGAACGGCAGCCGCGACCGAGACTTTACTTTGACGCGCTCATATCCGCCATGAGTGTATCGCAGCGCCAACGACAATAGAACCTACGACAAAAGCAATAACATCACACGCGACAACAACAACAACAGCAACGCCGCCCTTTCGCTCGCCGCCATGGCACGAGCAGCTGTCCTTCCTCCGTCCCCTGCCAAGCGGGGGACGCGTACGGCACCTCGATCAACCGTGACCAAGACCACTGCCAGCTCCCAAGCCAAAGCCGTAAACGAACCGAAGAGGAGAGGCGTGACCAAGACGACGACGGCCAGGAAAAACATGATGGCGAATGTCGACATTGATTCGGATGATACCGAGGATGAGCTTGGCATGATGATGAAGGAGACTGAAGAGAAGCCTGTACGACCACGTGGGAGGACCCCAGCGAGTTCGGCGACCAAGGCCTCAACGGCGTCAGCAACGAGAACAACCACCGCCTCCCGTGGCAAGAAAGTGACACCCGCGCCAGCTTTGCCAGAGTCCCCCGCCGATAGTGATGGAAGTGATGGAGGCGAAAACGAGGCCTCTAATCCAGAGCCAGTAAAGAAACGGGTCGGCAGGCCGAGGAAGAACGAGACATCTACTGCGGCCAAAACCGAAACAGGACCAAAGCCCCGAGGGCGGCCAAAGGGATCAACAACATCAAAGACTACTGCCACTCGTAAGAATACTCGAACCGTGCCGGAACCCGAGGCCGTGGCTGAAAATGCCCTCACCAAACATATTCGCATTGCTACTAAATCTACGACCATGCGATCGAATATTCTACGTGGCCCTGCCAAGAAGAAAACAGTGACCTTCCAAGAACAAGCCGACTCGGAATCTGACGAACTGGAAGGACTGACTGCGTCTGTTGCTGAGCAGAAGAAAGCCTCTGCAAGGACTACCAGTAAAGCTGGTCTGGGAGCGACACCGATGCGCAAGACTACAGGAAATGCAGCGCGAGGCCGAAAGCCTGCTGCAGCCAAAAAGAGCGCAACCAAACCTCTGTCTCCTAAGAAGGACAAACAGGTCTCCAAGTCGCTTTCAGCATACGTCAGCTCTGATGGCGAAGAGGACGAATTGAGTTCGGCCAAGTACGATATCAAGAGTCCCGTCAAATTGGTCGTTCACTCGCCAGCCAAGGCTGGCACGGAGATTACAGGATTGAGCTCGCCTGTGCGCAGGATCAATTTCACTCCCAAGAAGGCGTCCACTCTAATTGACGAGAATGGTGACCCTAAACCCGCTACACCTAAAAATGGATCATCGGCTACCGGGTTGAGCTCGCCCGTCAGGAAGATCAACTTCACACCCAACCGCAGCTTCAACGCCGTTGCTGACGGAGGCCATCTGGCTTTACCCCCCGGCAAGTCTATTGACTTTACTGAGTCGGTATTCATGTCAAGTCCTGCTCGACGACCAGAAGCTTCTCCATTCCAATTCTCTCTTCGCGATACACCGAATCGTGGCCTACTGTTCCGGGAAGACGCCCTTTCAACTGCTGACCCGAACCTAGCCCAAGGTCCAGCATCGCCGCTCAAGATGTCCCCAAAGAAAGCTAACTTGGGTGCTTCTTTCTCCCAGTCACCAACCAAGGCGGCAACTCCGTTTTCAGCCAAGACATCTCTAATCCAAAGCCCGCCAAAGAGAATCCCGTCGCCTTTCAAGGGTTCCCTTTTCTCTTCTAAGAGCTCGACCAGTGCCGCGCCTACTCTGGATTGTGATGGCGCTACAACTGTCCTTCCAATCCCTCAAGCAGAGCAGGACACCTTTTCTGCCTCAGGCTCCGAACATCAAGGATTTGCTGTGGATGACGATATCGAGATGATCGAGGAGGTAGCCCGTGATATTTTTGGTATTGAATTGCAATGCTATGGCAGAAGCTCGTCTATATCGCCCTCGCCACAGGAGCCCCCTGCAGTCGAAGAACCTCTGGAGCTTGAGCCGGCCGAGGACGCTTTCGATGAGCCTGAAGCCGCCGAGAGCTGTGTCGAGGATATCGATATCGAGGCAAAGCTCCAAGAGCTACGAGAAGAGATCCGCCGTGAGCCAGAGGACTTTGGGACAATTTGCTTCAATACCATGGAAGAACTCCAAAAGCCGTTCCAAAACCTACCTGAAGAAGAAACCGTACAGCACGATTTCATTTTGGATGATATTGAGGATGGCATGGAGACGGATTTGGAGGAAGAAGATGCTGCGGAGCCAAGTGCTGATGCGGAAGTTCACTCTGAAAGGCTGGAGCAAGTGGACACTCCGGATGACGAACCCGAGCAGCATTTCCCTTCACCATCGGAACCAACACTTGGACTAGAGGCTCTCGAAGGCGCGCAGTCCCACACGCCTCCACCAGAAAGCCTCGAAGAGTACCTCGACCTCGCCCGGGAGGCACACGAAGACATCGAAGAAACTGGAGTGGAAGAGGTTGAGACCGAATTTGATCATCCGCAGAATGATCAATCCGTCTTGGCAGAGGAGGAAGTTACTGTTGAAGTCTCATCACCGCCCGAAACTCCCCGCAGTGCGCACCAGGCCAAGGTGACTGACAGCCTCCAACGGTCAGCGCAATCGATCCCTCCGCTGGCTCCTACTCCTCCTGGCCGTGCTATGAGCGCTGCGTCTCCATACCAGCAAGATAGTGCCAAATCGAAGGAATGGTTGTTTGATATCAATACGGAGCCACGCATCCCTGCTGAGGATAGCTTCTTGGACACCACCCTGACCGAGATCCCTTCCCCCACTGGCCACGCCATTTGCGACACTCCAAACTTTGCTGGAAAGCGAAAGTCGCTTATCAATGTCGACATCGGGTTTACGCCTTTGGCACGGAAGTTTGATGGTTGGGAAGCCAATACTCCCTCTGAAGTCAAGCCAATGCGACAGCGTCGCCGAGGCGTTTTCTCGCTGGTTGGGCCTCTGGAGAAACCGGCGGAGCATGCTACACCAGTGCAGGATGATGTGTCTTACCCTGATCTTTCGCGCACTCCAGTTGCAGACAGTCAGTCTGCGTCTGCCGAACTGCCTCTTCAGGATAAGAGCGACGATGCCTATACACCCCCTCAATCTCCTCACACACCCGAATCTGCTGTGACACAACAGCAGCAACCTATGGTTTACTCACCAATCCGGCTCGATATTTTTGAAGACCCTGAGCTTTCCGATTCCGATGTATTGGAGTCGCAAAAGCAGCCTAACGTGGAGATGGTGGCCTCGGAATCGACTGACGCTCAGGATGAAGGTTCCCTGTCTGACCACGATGACAAAGAGAATTGCCATTCTCCTGTCATTCTACCTGTCACCCCGGTCAGAAGAGGAATTGATCACCATCGAACGGTACACACTGTGTCCAAGGTGCCTTTGAAGGGCGAAGGCGAGGTCTCTCCTCTAAAGCTGCCCCGCAAACGAGGGCATTCCCTTGAAAGCAGGTCTCCGATTCGCGCATCGCCACGCATGCGCAAGCCGGTCATGTTTCTCAGCAACGAGACTGTCCCGACCATTTCCCCGCACAAAGCTTCGCGAACCTCGAGAAGCCCTAGCCCGAAGCGTCGCTGTAGCACTCCCTGGCGTTCCATGGGGATACAACCTGACATTCAAGTACCTCAATCTCCGTCTGTGGCTTCCACCGCCGGCAGAACTCCTCGCAGGAAGAGCCTCATCAGCCAGCAAACGCTTCGTGGTGCTGTCGTGTATGTGGATGTTCACACAACCGAAGGTGAAGATGCATCTGGAATCTTTGTTGAGCTTTTGCAGCAAATGGGCGCTCGTTGTTTCAGATCGTGGTCATGGAATCCTCGCTCTAGCATGTCTCCAGTTGACGGCGTTGATCCCAAAGAATCTAAAGTTGGAATCACACACGTCGTGTACAAGGATGGTGGCCTTCGTACCCTGGAGAAGGTTAAGCATGCTGGTGGCTTGGTGAAATGTGTCGGAGTTGGTTGGGTCCTTGAGTAAGTCCCTGGCACATCTGGGCAATGTGTGAACAAGACTAATATATGATTTTAGCTGCGAGAGAGAGAACAAGTGGCTTGACGAGACTCCGTACATGGTCGACAGCTCTATCATTCCCCGTGGCGGTGCTAAACGTCGCAAGAGCATGGAGCCACGCGCCTTGAGCAATGTGAACGGCACTTTGGTGCGCATCGCTGAACCATCTACCCCCTCTGCCAGCGGACGCCGCTGCGGTGCTGACTGGGGTGCGGTGGAGGGATTCCGGAAGATCACTCCCCCAACTCCGCTTGCCGGAGTTTCATCAACGCCCGTTCAGCAATCCGATCGCTATCATGTTCCAGCCACCCCGGGCTACAACTTTGACAACCTTACTGCGATTGGCATGTCTCCCGCCACTCCCTATTTCCTCTCCAATCGCGCCAAGTTGGTACAGAAATCTTGCCCACCGAAGCAGAGCAACCGCGGTTTGTTCGAAGGCACAGATAGACCTATTTTCAGTCTTGAGGAGGACGACGAGGTAGAGTCCAGGCGTCAACAGCGGGCCCGTATGGAAGATGCGCGACGCAAGAGTCTTTTCTACAAGCCTTCTGTTGAAAGTCCGCTTGGAAAGTGATTTTCACCCATGTGATACCCTTTGTAAATACTTTCTTTTCTGCCCACTGTACATATGGGGATCTTTTTTTGAGTTTCATTTGGTTTAGCGGCGTTTTCATCATTGGCAATGTCCAGGAACTGCTTTCTGCATTCATCATGAATACAAGTGTATTATTCTCGAATAGTTCTCGTAACAGGGTTGGCTACTATGGATGAAAGTTGGGATCTTAAGTTCTTGGATTGCTCTCAAGATTAAGATCTACCAGGTACGGAGACACGTATCGCGCAACGCAACCTTGTATGAGTATGAGCCAACCTCGCACCCACGCTATTCGTGAGGTGCGCTAACCACAAGCAACATAAAGCAAAGAAAAGAAGAACGAATTGGCATCCACGCTAGTCGTGAAGTGCGCTAAATGATAACCGGAAACCGTGAACGCCGAAATGTGTCAACCCCTGTAGTTCCAAAAAGTCCTCCTATGTCCCGAAACAGCGCATATGAATGCACTCGGAGCTTTACTGGAATTCTGATCCAGAGGACGAGTCGTCCTCGTCGTCGGGCGCCTCACCTAGCTGATGAGGTGGGCGGAAGTTGCGCGGGTTCATTGCAAGGAACCCAGAGAGGTCCGCGATCGCTGGCTTTCTGAGCATTGGGTTGATTGCCAGAAATCGGAACTGAAAATTGACCAACAGATAATTGGTCAGGGCAACAGCACGCCACTTCGAGGGTCGAGTTGCGATGGCCGCAAGTCCTCGATCGCACTCGCGGGATACCTCCTCGAAATGGTGAACCAAAATACCCAAAATTGTGTCCTGTGTCACAATGGACGCCGCGAATTCGTGTGACCAGCCGCGGTCAATACAGTAGGACATGATGGCCACTGCGGCTGTTGCAACGGCTCGCAGTAGAATGTCACAGCGGCCAGTGATGACCGTAGTCGACTCCCGCAGAAATGCGTGGAAATCTGAACCGTATAAACCGGGAAGACATTCCCAGATGCCAGTTCGGGCAGCTACCGGCATTCCCATTTTGGACGCAACAATGGCGTAGATATCGGCGGTTGGCTGCTGAGGATCAGCCATGTCGGGCGGTGTTGTATTTGATGCCTGTAGAAGCGGCTGCCTGGTTTCCTCGGGCTCCGAGTCAGTAAAGAGAGCAATAGAGGGGAAGGCTCAGCAGGTGAGGCTTCTTGGCTGGAATTGTGGAAGGTGAAGGATGAAGTAAGAGCTGAGGCGTAATGGAAGAGATGAGAGGGGGAGTAAGTGATGAAGGGTAAAATAAGAGATTAGAGGTAAAGGAGGAGGAGACTGGGGTTCGATCACTTACAGGATGTCTGTTGCTGCGGTCAAGGATAAGAGTTGTGAAGGATGTAAAAGAGAAGAAAAGTTCAGAGGGTGAGGATGAAGAAAAATGCGTGGAGTCTCCCTTGCAAGTCGAATGGTAAAAGTATCTGGTATGATAACAACGACGGTATCACCGTGATGCTACGAGTGAGAGACCTTAGAAAAGGTGATTTTTATGGTATAAACTTCGAAAAATATTCGGAAGATATACGCAGACTGACGTCCCCTACAGCCGTGCTCCCATTTTGAGATATAAAATTAGATGAGCACCCCTGTAGGCTCATAGTCCGACCCTATTATAAACCGAAATTTGGGAGAGCTTAATAGCATCAGCGCCGTTAGTCTAGTGGTTATGATTTCGTGGGATGATGACCTTTCGGTTAGGATCCATATCCATATACGGCCATCCTCAACTCGCAATGATATTGCGGGTGAAGCGCGCATTGTTGGAGTAATCCGCAGTACCGGGCATTTCTGGCGCGTAATTGACCTTGCGAGGCGACGCAACAAGGTGATAATCTGTGCCCTCTGCCCAGAGCAAAGGAATCGCTACTCGCCCAATTGTGATTGTGTGAAAGGTTTGCGTGCGCTCCGTGTGTGTGATGTATGGGAAAGCCTGCGCGAGGACCTCTCCTGTCGAGAGGGTGCTGTTGCAGTCAGGCATGAGGATATCGAATCAACATGGTAGTATTCAACGAAGCAACTAAATCTAGAGAGAAGAGAAGAAGAAGAAGTTCCATCTGCTGGGAGATCGCCCTTTTTATGCACGTTCGGAAACTCCCATCTAGCAAGTTCCATCAAACACCCATACACTCATTGACCAGTTGCCTTGCTATCCCTCCTGCTCGTCACAGGTGCGCTCACAACTCTCAGGGATCCAGCGCACGGCAAAAGCCTCAATCGGAACGCCATTTCCGCGCGGCAGTCGCAGGCTTCGTAGAATTACAGCCGAGTCGAAAACGTGCTTGTTACGTTTACAATCTCCGCGCTTGTACGCAGCCATGATCGCATAGGCTGTGGTGTCGTCCACAGCCACATCTCGTGATGACTCGACCTCGACCTTGCCCGTTTGGCTGTGCATGCGCTCGTCTTCCTTTGCCCTGCAGGTTTGCTGATTGCAGGCCCAGGCCTTTGTTTCTTTCTTCTTGTAGGCCTATTTAGGCCTTTCCCTTTTTCTTTTCCTTCTTCGTCCTCTTGCTCTCCTAGATAGACCAATCTGACTTCGTTCTCTCCTGCTTCCTGTGTGCTTGGTGTCTATGACACCATCATCTCGTATGCCAAGGCGTATGATCAGGGAAGGGTCCGGCGAAGCGCGATTCTCGTCATCGACTGTAGCCTGTGCGAGTAGGGTTTCTGCCACCAGGTTACGCTGACAGCGCGCGAGGAGAGTCTCAAGCAAGCCGTGGATCTGATTATCCGGCTTCGTGAGGTCCAGAATCAGGCCCACGGTGTTACGAGTCAAGCGAGAAGAGGACGAAAGTCTCAATTCGGTACTGTCTGCCAAAGAATCAAGTCTAGAGAGGAGAGAAGGAAAGGAGAAGGAGATACGTAGTAGGAAGTAAGCCTTCATACCCCCCCTGTGACGAGCAGGAGGGATAGCAAGGCAAAACTGGTCAATGAGTGTTTGGGTGTTTGATGGAGCTTGCCAGATGGGGGTTTCGGAACGTGCATGAAAAGGGCGATCTCCTAGCAGATGGAACTTCTTCTTCTTTTATTCTCTCTAGATTTAGTTGCTTCGTTGAATGCTACTATGTTGATTCGATATCCTCATGCCTGAGTGTAACAATGTAGAGTGAAAGATAATGCGAAGGAGGATGAGAAGGATCATGCGAAGGATTATGAGAAGAATGATAAGAAGCGCAAGATGAAGTGAGAGATCATCATAAAGTGAGGATGAACATGAAGTAAGAGGTAGTTGGGTTTTGATCTTATAGAATTTATGCAAGTTACTTACCCAATAAGGTATATGATCTTAGGCAGGTGCAGAAGATTTGGGATGTAAAGAGGGAAGAAAAGATATGATGATGAGAACGAATAAACATGAGTTTTCTCTCACTTACAAGTAGGATGGCAAAAGTATACAGTATGATAATATATATAGTATAATTGCGACGCTACGAATGAGAGACCCCTAAAAAGGCGGTTTAGAAGGCATAAGTCCAAAGTATGTATATGACCATATAAGTGCCTGAATTCTCAGGAACTAAGGCACTACTAAGGCAATTCACTGTCTTTTGGCAAACTTTTATGGCTTCTCGATTTCTGTCATACTGCCGTTCCTGCCCTACCACTTTAGTCTCTACAGTCTACCATCTAGTTTACATACAAAGCCTGTGATTTTCAAGCAGTTGAAGTTGTATTCGTTTTACTCCAGATTCATGCCGAATCTTCTGTGTTCTCTACTCTCCCTGGTCGGTCAGTACCATCCATCCTCAGCGTTAGAACTCTCTGATGGGTATAACTTCTGTACACTATTTATGCTATACAGGACTAATCCTCACGTAAGGTACCAACATGGGCATAGCTTTATGGCAACGATCTGAGAATGGATTTTTACCAATTCATTATCGCTCGCCCGAAGTTACGGCAATAATTGAGTAACTAATTAAACTAATGTAACTAAGCACCTTTATGCCATCATGAATCAAGATGTACCATGACTTCTTGAAATTAGCGCCGTTGATCTAGTGGTTATGATTTTCGCTTCCCAGTATTTCCAGACAGCGGGAAACCCGGGTTCGAACCCCGGACGGCGCATAAGACTCTGTTTTTTTGGTTGGCTTTGATTTAGCTCTTTGGGGATGGCTATTTGGGATTGCTAAATGCACTAATTCCAGTCCAGTTGTAGTCCTGACCTTCTCAGTCTCTAATTCATTCTCATCACTGGAAAATTCGACCCTCAAAACAGTGGATTTTGCTATTCGCACGACGGCTTTTCACGGTTTTACAAGTGCTAACGGGACCTAGTTTAGCGCCAGTAATTTTAGACCCATACGCCAGTTACTATAGTTTCACCAAAGATAGCCATGGTACAGTAGAGTATTCGGATTAAAAGACTCGATGCCAAACTACTCTGCTCAAGGGAGATACCTAATTTAGCGGTCTGAACTACATATTGCAGCTTATGCCAGGGGTTAGAAAACTAGATCATTGTCAACCGTCTCGTTTAATGCTGATTTTTTACTTAATTCAGACTACTCGACAGGAGAGCTCCTAGGTAAATCCTTAATATCCTCGTTTTTATTAAGCATGTTTCGTCCAGTTCAGTAGCAAACTTACGCATTTAGAATACCAAAATGAGATGTGTGTACGGTGTTTTCGGGTCCGCTAAACTAAACTAGGTTAGCCGTCTTGAAAAGTAGACAACTGGACGTGCAAATAGTGAAATCCAATACAACAATAGCAAAATCTCTCGAAGATACTATGTGCGGTTAAGTCGGCACTCCACTCGCCATAAACGGGCTAACCCGCCGAGTGTGGGGGTTCGGCGATGGTGTCAGAAGCCGAGAATTTTTGCCTTCGCTTTGTTTTTCTCTCCTCACTTCGTTGCAAATATTTGTCCGTTCTACCATACTACATGTGTAGAGCTTGCTCAGACTGAGGATCAACAGTCAATACGACCCACGCCGTATACTCAACTGCCGTTAGACTTCGGGTCGCGTGCCACCCGATCTTGGCTTTATGGGGTCCTCTCCGCACGAACCTGCGGGCCAACCCCAACCAGAAGCAACAGACGTCATTCAACTACCTTCGCATGACAGCCTGGACTTTCCCAACACAGACTCATCAAGTGAAAGTGACGATGATAGTGTAGATACTGCCATCTATGAGGGGAGCAATGCACGGCGATCACTCCGCCCTCCGCCGCTACTCATAAACCACCGGCGCTTCCCGTCAGCAGATGAAGATGATAGCGATCACGATCACGATAGCGTTCTCGCCTCACACGAGGACTCTCAAGAAGAGAAACCAGTGACATGGAGCTCTTTGCCAAAGAAAGGGCAGCTGGCTATCCTGACCTTTGCCCGATTATCGGAGCCACTCACTCAAACCTCATTACAGGCCTACTTATTCTATCAGCTCAAATCTTTCGACCCATCATTACCAGACTCGGCGATCTCAGCACAGGCCGGTATTATGCAGGGTAGCTTTACTGCTGCCCAGTTCCTAACTGCGGTCTGGTGGGGACGGCTGGCTGATGCGGAATGGATGGGCCGCAAGAGAGTGCTTCTGATCGGTCTTCTGGGGACGTGTATCTCTTGTTTGGGATTTGGATTCTCCCGATCCTTTACAGCGGCTATTACCTTCCGGACGCTCGGTGGAGTGCTCAATAGCAATGTCGGCGTGATGAGAACTTTAATTGCAGAAATCATTGCTGAGAAGAAGTATGTGACACCCGTCGGCACTAGTAGGTGCAGAGCTCCTGGTGCTAACTCTGCCCAGGTACCAATCAAGAGCCTTCTTGCTACTGCCCATGTGTTTTAACATTGGTGTGATTATTGGCCCTATCTTAGGAGGCTCACTGGCCGATCCTGTCAATAGTTTCCCATGGTTATTCGGTCCCGGCTCTACCTTGGGTGGTAAAGATGGCGTCTGGTGGATGCAGCACTGGCCGTATGCTCTGCCGAATGTGCTGAGTGCGATTTTCATTTTCATGTCGTTACTCACAGTGTTTCTTGGCCTGGATGAAGTAAGTCCTGCATAATAACAGCAAACTCGCCAGGAGCACAAATCTAATCAGTAACTAGACACACGAAGTCGCACGTTATCGCAGCGACTGGGGCCGCAGACTGGGAAAGAGAATTGTGCGAGTCTTCACTCGACGGCCTCAACACTATCACCGCCTTCAGGCCGAGGATGCCGACTCCGTATACCTCGATGGCAGCGTGGGCACATGGTCCGTTCCATCGAGCCCAGCCCGCTCACGCACTCATCCCCAATCTCGCCCTCACAAACGACCCGGCTTCCGTCAAATTTGGACCAAAAATATCATGCTCACATTGCTGGCACATTTCCTGCTAGCTTTCCACACGAGTGCTTTCAACGCCATGACCTTTGTATTCCTTCCCACACCCCGTGCCCCTGAAGGTTCCCGCAATGGCTTCTTCCATTTTGGCGGCGGGCTAGGTCTGCCCTCAGCACGCGTCGGCCTAGCCACAGCCATCATCGGGTTCATCGGTCTCCCTCTGCAAATATTCCTTTATCCGCGCATCCAATCTAAACTAGGAACTCTTACTTCCTTCCGCGTGTTCCTCCCATTCTCACCTATTTCCTACCTCCTCATGCCATTTCTCGTCGTTCTACCACGTCTTGTGTGGGTCGTGTGGCCCGCCTTTACCATTGTGGTGTCCTTGCAAGTCATTTCGCGCACCTTTGTGCTCCCCGCGGCCATCATTCTCGTGAATAATTGTGTGACTGACCCTTCTATTTTGGGTACGGTTCATGGTGTTGCGCAGAGTATTTCCAGTGCGGCTCGTACTTTGGGTCCTTTCCTTGGGGGCTGGGGTCTTGGTGTTGGCCTTGCTAATAATATGGTTGGTGGTGTATGGTGGTGTTTGGCTATTGAAGCTTTCCTCGGGTGGTTTGTACTATGGACTATTTCTGAGGGAAAGGGTATAGAGCGCCCAAAAGAAGGAAATGACGAAGAAGAGGACTGAGATGAGAATCAGAATACTCTTTAGTATTGTGGTTTACAATGAAAAATATACAAGAGTTGCGAGTGATGCACTTGGACACAATCTACTCGGTCTATTACGCCGTACTTCCACCGAATGGCCGGCGAAGGCATCCGGGCGGATGCGTATATTTGCCTGGGTGTGGGTGGGGGCGTAGCTGGGAGACCTTCAACCCAAACCAGTATTGTACTATTAGCTTACGAGTAATCAGAGCTTTCTTCAACTCTCATTGCAACTCGAAAATTCTAGGCCCGGCTGAATTATCACCCATTGGTTAGATTCGTCCGGGGCTAGACATGAGCTAGTGAGCAAAATGGTCTGCATTTACCCCACACGACGATACTCTCGGTACAAAAGACTCGGTAGCGATCCGCGCAAAGTTATGGCCTCGCTTAGTTGTGAGGAAACTACAAGATACGCTTGAACTAAGAAAGTTAGATAGGTAGAAATGGTTCCATCTGCGCTTTGTGAAGTTCACTCTCCGAGAGGAGGCGCCGAGAGCGGGGAATTACCGGAGATTGACGTGGACTCGGTGATGCTTGCTAGCAATAGCACCGAGCACTATAAAAGGGTGGATATCGGTGCCACATGATGTGCGTATGCACTCGCGCAAGGTCTCCTTTTGCAGGTAAGCGATCGATTTCTCAATTCCGAATAGAAATTGTCGTGGGTCAAGATGCGCCTCACTCCCTTGACAAGTGTCGCTAGCGTCCTTTGGACTGGATATTTGACACTTGCGAGCCCAACATCAAAGAGTGCAGATTTGGCATCCTATATACTGAAAGAGGGCCAACGATCTGTTCTGGGAATCACCGAGAACCTTGGTGGTAAAGGCAGCAAGGCACCGGGTACTGCTGCGGGCTTGTTCATTGCTAGCCCCAACACGGCGAATCCGGACTGTAAGTCACAGCCAGCCAGCATTTCTCATCTGAACATCTCTGACCTTTATTGTCAGACTATTACACCTGGACTCGTGATTCAGCACTCACCATCAAATGCTTGATCGACCTGTTTGAAAGTTCTGGTTGGGGTTATCCTATCACTCACCAAGAATTGGAAGCCGATATTCGGAACTATATCTCTGCACAGGCAGTGCTACAAAATGTATCCAATCCATCCGGAACTCTGAAGGATGGCTCTGGACTTGGTGAACCCAAGTTTGAGATTGATCTGAACCCATTCACCGGTTCCTGGGGCCGACCTCAGCGGGATGGTCCCGCCCTGCGAGCGACCGCCATGATCACATACGCCGACTGGTTGATTTCCCACGGCCAAGGATCTGAAGCATCAGAAATCATGTGGCCCATCATTTCAAATGACTTGGCGTATGTTGGCCAGTACTGGAACAATACCGGCTTTGACCTCTGGGAAGAGGTAGATGGATCATCCTTCTTTACCTTGGCTGTTCAACACCGTGCATTGGTCCAGGGAGCAAATCTTGCAAAGAAGCTCGGCAAGTCGTGCCCTGCCTGTGCATCCCAGGCACCTCAAATTCTTTGCTTCCTACAGAGCTTCTGGAATGGAAAGTACATCACAGCCAACATTAATCTTGAGACCAGTCGTTCAGGTATCGATCTGAATACGGTCTTGGGAAGCATCCACACCTTTGATCCGGAGGCTGCATGCGATGATTCGACCTTCCAGCCTTGCTCAGCTAGAGCCCTTGCAAACCACAAGGTCTATGTTGACTCCTTCCGTTCAATCTATAAGATCAATGCGGGCATTGCAAAGGGCTCAGCCGCCAATGTTGGTCGCTACCCAGAGGATGTGTACCAGGGGGGAATCCATGGCAAGTTTATCAAAATTCTCATCGGCCACAAATGCCAGTTCCAGTACACTAACACATGCTCGTTCTATGTAGGTATCTCGCCACTCTTGCGGCGGCTGAAATGCTGTACGATGCCTTGTACCAATGGAACAAAATTGGCAAACTCGACGTCACTGAAACGTCGCTAGCGTTCTTCGGAGATTTCGATGCCTCCGTGAGAAAAGGCTCCTACTCGGCGCATAGCCAGACCTTCAAGACTCTCACTTCAGCTATTCGAACCTATGCGGACGGTTTCTTGACTCTCGTCCAAGAGTACACTCCGTCCAATGGATCCTTAGCCGAGCAATATAACCGAAACACCAGCGTTCCTCTATCAGCCAATGATTTGACCTGGTCTTATGCGTCATTCGTCACAGCTGTCCAGCGTCGTGCCTCCAATGTACCAGCCTCGTGGGGCGAGAAATCTGCAAATGTCGTCCCCACTACATGCTCCGCATCGCCTGTCACTGGAACTTATTCGGCCGTCGCTTCTGCATTCCCGACAAGCACTAGCTGTGTTCCCGCGACAAACGTCGTACCGATCACATTCTACTTGATCGAGAACACTTTCTATGGAGAAAATGTGTACATGACCGGTAATATCAGTGCACTTGGCAACTGGAACACGGACAACGGTTTCCCGCTCACGGCAAACCTGTACACTGAGACGGATAATTTGTGGTTTGGCAGCGTCGAGTTCATTTCGGCGGGGACTCCGTTTGAATACAAGTATTACAAGTTTGAGCCGAATGGCACGGTTATTTGGGAAAGTGGTGAGAACAGGGTGTACGTTGCTCCTACCGGTTGTCCGATTCAACCGAACCAGCACGATGTGTGGCGGTCTTGATTAATTATTCACTTATGAGAGCCATTTATGGTCATATTTGGTCACGCACGAAGATCGACGATTCTGATCATTAACGGATAAAACAGATCATGAGTTGCGTAGCCGCTGTATACAAAATTGTTGGCTTAGCTTCAACAAAGACTTAGTGATTCATTCCCTGTTTTATAGTGCCTTTCTACTTTGAATCTTTGACTTCCAAATCTAGCAATCATTCGAAACTACGTAAACCCCCTTAGACTATGTCATCTCGATCCTCATATTCTCCTTTGCATCGACATTAATGGCAGCCCTCAAATCACAACTCATGATGAGACCAGATTCAGCCCGAATAAACCACCCTGACCCGATTTAGGTGTTCATTAGCCTGTGGTCTACACCGCGAATTGCCCTATTCACAACTTTTAGAGGGTATTCTACAAATCCACCATTATCACCAGGCAGATCTCAACTATCACTACACTAAGTTAGTTATTTGTAAGGCAGGGGACCTAGCCTGCTGTAGATACTAATAGGCCACAGGATTTCCGTACATACTAGTGCTGAAGGAATCAATTAAACGTGTCAATTGAAGAAATACCCTGGGGATCACTGTTAAGAGCGTCTCTAGACTCAGATACTAGTTTCAGCATGTGAAAACGTAGGTATTCCAAGTCAACACGGTTTACTAGACACAAACATACAAAGGAATGGGTAGTTGCTGAATCAGCCAGCTTTTTAGTGGTAAAATACCATCTTTCAGCTCGACAGAAACTCCTGGGACCGCACTGTGCTATCACTAGAGCCAGACGCCAGCAGCCTGCCGTTGGGCGAGAAGGCTAGTGAGTAAATGGGATCTAAATGGCCTCGGAGAATCTGGTGTAGCGCACCCGTCGCCGTGTCCCAAAAGTGAATTGTGTTATCAGTGGAGGCAGACGCCAGCATCGGGAAGCCAGACTCCAGCATTCGGCTGTCGGGCGAGAAGGCTACCGAATAAGGTGAACCTGTATGGAGAGTCTGGCGTAGCTTGCCCGTTGCCGTGTCCCAAAGGCACACTTTGCTATCATAGGAGCCGGACGCCAGCATCCGGCCATCGGGTGAGAAGGCCACCGACTTCTCAACATCTGAATGGCCCTTGAGAGTCTGGTGTAGCGCGCCCGTCACACGGTCCCAGAGCCGCGCTTTTGTTGCATGGTCCCAGAGCCGCACTTTGCTATCAGCGGAGCCAGACGCCAACATTCGGCCATCGGGCGAGAAGGCCACCGACATAACACAATTCGAATGGCCTTTGAGAGTTTGGTGTAACGCACCCGTCACAGGATCATAAAGACGCACTGTGTTATCATCGGAGCCACAAGCTAGCAGGTGAGAAGGCTGCCTAGTAAGTTGAATCCGAAGAGAGAGTCCGGTGTACCGCGCCTGTCATAGGGTCCCAAAGCCGCACTGTGCCATCATCGCAGCAACATGCTAGTAGCCAGCCATCGGGGGAGAAGGCTACTGAGTTAATTGGACGTGAGTGCTTGAGAGTCCGGTGTAGCGTGCCGGTCGCAGGGTCCCAAAGTCGCACCGTTCCATCGTAGGAGCCAGACGCCAGCATGCGGCCGTTGGGCGAAGAATTCAACGACTCAAAATCAAGTGAATGGCTCTTGAGGACTTGTAATTCTGTGCTCCATCTTCCCTTAACTGGTGGTAAGTTCAGGTCGAAAGTGTCTGCGACAGCCTTCGGCGCTTCCGAGGAAGGGTTTGTAGTCCATGAAGCATAATCTTCAGTCAACATTGAAACTGAAGAGGGAATCTGTGGGTCTCCATTGATATCTGTTGTCGATTTGGGGGAGCAGGGGGGTATCAATGGTTGTAACCACGCGTTAGAGATAGCAGATCCAGCAGTCAGTCGATCGTTAGGATCAGTGTGCATGAGTGAAAGCACAAAGTCGATGCCTGTCTGACTGACCCCAGCAGCGGTAAGCATAGTGACTGGGAAATGCTGCTGGGTCTTGTAAGTTTTTAGCAGTCCGAGGTCCATAAACGTAGGTTTCTTCGTCAGCATCTCAAATACAATCTCGCCAAGAGCCCAAATATCAGGTGCGTACGCACTGCCTCGAGCAACGAATCCCCAAACCTCAGGGGCAAAATATCTCGGGCTGCCCTTTACCGTCGATTGCCCATAGGCTTCTTCAATACGTTTTGTTATACCAAAGTCTGCGATCTTAATCCACCAGTTATTTGGAGGGTGTGATTTGATAAGAATATTCTAGGTACCCCCTTTAGTAATCCTTGCTCTCCTATAGCTAGAAAATGAACCTACATTTGGGTTTTAAGTCTCGGTGAGCAAACCCATTTTCATGCATCATATTTAGACCTTCGAGAATCTGGTACGAAATTTCTTTCGTCTCCGCCTTTGATAGTGGCGGTACTGGCGGCGTCCGATAGAGATACGTGAAAAGGTCGCCAAGCTGAAGGTATTCCATTGCTATAAAAAGCTGACCGGGTGCTTCGTACCATCCGAATGATTTGACGAAGCATCGCTCATACTAGTTCAATCAGTATATCTCGTGATGAATTCTTCTTTTAGAGACTAACTCGAGAATGAGAGAACTTCACAGTAGCCTCCAACTCACGATTGTAGTCGATCGACTCGTGCCGCGTATCTATGTCAATCTGCTTGACTGCTCAGACTGCCCCATCTTGAGCTATGGCGCCTGGTCTTCCACCCTTGGTGAGTTTCTCCAGCCAGACGCTACCAAATCCACCACCTCCTATCTTTCTCTGTCGCTGCTAGTGCTCCGATCTGGTCACGAGGCGCTGTCCAGAAATTGGGTCTGACTCCTGGAATTTGTGAACTGTTTCCACGCTATAGTCCGGGAGAAAATACGTTTCTAGCTTGGAATCGCTAATGAGATCCGAGATACGGGCCATTTTGGACGTTCCAGTAAGCAGTCCATGAGCAGGTAGTGGTGGGCGTTTATCCCCGCTGCGCCTGAAAGAAGCTAGGACAAGCACTAGTGCACGTCACCTGATCTAATCGTTGTGCCCAAAGGACCAACACCTAGCACAGATCACCATGACTCCAAGACTCATTCGTCATACTTGATTGATTAGCTGCAGGAGATGTTGATTCTATGCTAAGCTAAATAACAACGAAGTGGTATGGAAAATTTAGCCGATGGATTTCATCTCAATTCGTGTAGCCGTCGTTCAGTCGTAAAGTCCTGCCGCGTTTGTGAGCAATGAAAGGAAGAGCTGCTCGTGGCCAATGAGTCTTCAGTATCATCAACAAAGATATATCCGTCAATCATTCGAGCTGGCTGACATCCCATGTCATTGATCAGTGGGATCAAATCCGAATTGAGGGGATGATAAAGGCCCTCATGGCGTGTGTCACATTTCCCTCATGAGCCCTGAGAAGATCTGTTGCCTTAGTCTTAGGCAAATCCAGCTGGTCGGCCTATTTGATAGAAGAGTTAAAAAGAAAATTCTTGTAATGACGAAACGCAGAGCTCAAGGATCGTGTTCTCATACCAGAAGGGTAACATCAGCCGCATTGATCTTAACAACCTTCTTCTTCACCTCCACCTCTTTCTTCTGAGACTCCGCCGCCTTCTTCTTGCCAGTATCATGACCTGCAGCAACTTCCAAGCGGCTCATAGCCCTGCTCAAAGCTTCTTGATCTGCACTGGATGGCCCTTTTGAGGAAGCTGCATCACCGGCTAAACCCTCTGTATTCAGCGAGTTGAGAGCGGCAGCGGCCTTGCGGTCTTCAGCGTTTGCGGGGAGAGGCTGGTCCACCGCATCCGGGTTAGCAGTAGCGGATGGAATGGAATCCGACATGGTAATCTCTTGTTTGGGTCAACGGTCACCGGTGAATAGCTTCTCTGTGTCTCAGCGGTGCTGAGGTGGTTGGAGAAAGTACATCACAACGTCACTGATAAGCGCCTCGGATAACGGATTATGTAAACATTTACGCCTTAGACTGCTGCCTCAGGCTACTAAATGACTCATCCGAGGCTTCCGCGAATAAGCGACAACAGAGCTGATTTTGTTTGGCTTTTTTTGGTGACTGTGCAGGCTTTTGTTCTTTGTTGACTTCAAAGTCAAGGGAAACGATATTTGGTCTCTACAAGTTTACGACATCAGCCTGTTCAATTGAATAGAGCCATTATCAGAGGATTCTCTGCCTGCGCCATCTGCCACTTGTCGTCCCACTTTCCCGCTCGCGGGGGCGTAATCCACTATGGCCAACTGGAGTCCAAGTTGTATGTATCACTTTCACACGAGCTGTCATCGTTTGAAAGCGATTCCAGGCCAAATGCTTATATTCTGATTCTAGCGTGGACCACCAAGCCCATCAAGCAGGATGTGATCTACGAAGATGTGCAGGGCGTAAAAGACGCTCTAGGCCAGCTGCAAAATCTGCCTCCACTAGTGACGGTGCGAGAGGTATATCAATCCCAACAAAAGTTTTCTTGCCGTCCAGCCTCTGACACTATCTCAGATCAATAACCTCAAGAACAACTTGAAAAATGTGGCCTTGGGCAAGGCTTTTGTCCTACAAGGCGGTACGCGCTGAGTTGCTAAGCTTACGATGCACTGTGCCCATGACTAACGTCTGCCAATAGGTGACTGCGCGGAGCTATTCGATTACTGTAATCAAGGCATGATTGAGGCTAAGCTCAAGCTCTTGCTGCAGATGAGTTTGATCCTAATTTGGGGTAAGGAAATTTATCAATGCTCCGTTGAAGATTGTACAAGTTATTGATCGCGTATAGGTGCCAACAAGCCCGTTATTCGTATCGCACGTATTGCTGGACAGTTTGCCAAGTAGGTCTTCCGTCTTACTTGCACTTATTTGAGCAACCCTAACGTCCACTTTTCAGGCCACGGTCCAGCCCGACTGAGGTCGTCAATGGAGTCGAGATGCCCTCATTCCGGGGCGACAATATCAATGGCTTCGCCGCCACTGCCGAATCCAGAAAGCCAGACCCATCACGTCTGGTATCTGCTTACTTCCACTCAGCCGCAACACTCAACTACATGCGCGCCTCTCTCTCCTCGGGTCTCGCAGATCTGCACTCCCCCATGGACTGGGGCCTGGGCCATGTCATTGAACCCTCAATCAAGGATCAGTATTCGAAGATCGTCAACTCTGTCCAAGATGCCCTGCGATTCATGCGCACGGTAGGAATCGACAAAGATCGCGGCGTTGAGACCGCTGATATCTACACTAGTCACGAGGGTCTCTCGCTAGAGTACGAGTCAACTCTGACCCAGCAGCTGAAGCAGCCCATTCATCCTAGCTCTGGTACGACAGCCTCTGCGCCCAGCTGGTATGCTACATCCGCACATTTCCTCTGGATTGGAGACCGTACGCGGCAACTTGACGGTGCCCACGTTGAATTTTTCCGGGGCATTTCCAACCCAATCGGTATCAAGATCGGTCCTACCATGGCTGCAGAGGAGCTCGTGCGCTTGTTGGATGTCGTGAACCCAACTAAGGAAATCGGCAAGGTCACTTTGATCTCACGCTACGGCGCGTCAAAGATTGCCCAGTTCCTACCCGGTCATATTGCGGCCGTGCAGAGCTCGGGTCATATCCCCGTTTGGCAGTGCGACCCCATGCACGGCAACGGCCGAGCCACCCCCTCAGGTGTGAAGACACGCCACTTCACCGATATTCTCTCGGAGCTCAAGCAGGCGCTGGAGATCCACCGCCAAGCTGGATCATTCCTGGGTGGTATGCATCTCGAGTTGACTGGTGAAGCTGTGACGGAGTGTGTCGGTGGTGCAGCTGGTCTAACTGAAGATGGTCTCGGGGAGCGGTATACCACTTTCTGTGACCCCAGACTCAATGAGAAGCAAGCCCTTGAGCTTGCTTTCCTCGTGGCTGGATTCTACCGCGAGGAATCCAAGGCATGAGGTAAAAACGGTGAACAAACGAATTGGATGATTTTCGGTCTTTTTTGGTTATCCGTGAGAAGAAAAGAGAATTCAGAGCTGAGAGAAGCTAAGGATCTGCTTAGACGACACATTTCAACCTAGTGTAATGACAAAATGAAGGTTTCCGGGAATAAATCATTTATAGGTGATCTGAGAATGTGGTAATGAGTAAGAACTAGGATTGTAGGGAGTGAAACGAAAGAGTCGGTTGCATTGATCATACTTTGGGCAGGTCAAAGAGGAAGTGTTTGTAATCCACGCTGTATAGGGATACGAACGTCGAGGAGGCGATCAATCAATGCTGTGCGGAGGCATGGGCGGCGAATTATACCAGAGACTAAAACAAAATGTGCGACACCGGACGATTGAATATTGCCAAGCTTAAATGTGTTCATGATCCTGGAGCCCACACCAAGTACGTGATTTTGTCACAAGATTCCACTACTAATATCGTAGCAGCGTTATGGATGGCTATTATGTCTAGAGATAACGTTGAGATTGCTATTCGCTTCACGGCGGATGACCCCTCTACGACATATAGGAAGATGCTCTGCCGGTCAGCACGCGCACACACAGTGCAGTGCGTAAACCAGATTGGAGAGAAGACTATATTATATTTATTAATATCAAAAATATGAATTTATTATATATGATTAACAATTTAACTATGTTAAATTGTTAATTAGGGAAATCATAATCACTAGATCAACGGCGCTAATTGTATTAATTTGTGGCGAACTTTGTTCTATGATAGGGTCATTCTGTGAAACTCCATGGACGCTCCCGCTGCTCGGAAATCTGATGCCTGAACTTGGAGGCATACATGCCTTTTCGGTACTAGCATGTCACGTGGTTGCTGAGTCAGAGAACACCACAAGGTTCTTTGCCATTTGGGTGTCTACCGTCTACCATTCTAGTATATACACTATTTTCAACCGTTGCAATTACATGTTTTTGGGAAACCAGATTGGAGAGAAGATGTGGAGATGTGTTGATTGTTGATGAAACTGAAATCTAATGAGAGTTTAGAAGACCTCGTAAAATAGGTAGGTCCACATGAATAATAGCCTGAATCGTACTGTACTTATTTAAGTTAGTTAACCCCTTGAGGATCGGCACTGACTCTATTGATTTCTGTCAAACTTTAGGTTATAATCTGGAGGTGCAGGCCGATGCCTCTGCGGGTACGGCTTCGGTAATGAACGTATCGACTCCTGTCTGGAATATTAGTATACTACACGGTGTCGACTGGTGGGCATGGTGCATGTACTTGAGGTTTTACTATTGGCTCTTCTGCTTGTTTTGGCTCCACGACGTTCATCACCTGCTTTTTGACAGCTTTAGATGAAATCATGGTTCGTGTTGTTTTCACCCGATCGAGAAGTATGTCTTAGTTTAACTGTATTACACAGCATAACTTTAAGAGACACAATGAATATTTCTTATTCACTTCGTTCTATTCGAGCTAACTATCTGAAATGATACAAGTACCAGTGCACCCCAGCGAGGTATCAAACATTAGAGGTCTCACGAGTTAACCAAAGAAAAGAGATATAAAGTAATTGTAGAAAAACCTTCCAAACACCGGTAGAAAAAAAAAACCTATACTCCAAAACCCAGAGCCGGCAATGCTTCATATCACTTTGTGAACGTGGTCCTGGCGGGACGAGCTTTTCGATTGATCCGTCTCGAACACTGTAATGGAATCCTGACTATTCCCTTTTTGATCTTCGAGATCGAGGTCGTGATTGGGTTTCTTATTCCAGTCTTCCAGCGCAACAGCGTCAATTCTATGGATTTCTTCCATATCGTCGTTCGAAGCGTGCGTAATAGCCTCCTGGCTGGAGCGGTATGTATCCCCAGGTCCCCCAGTATGACCGTTCTGACCCGCATGGCGGAAGCCCGGTCGCATGAACTTCAATGGGCAAGGAAGTGACACGGATGGTCGAGATCGAGAGCCTTCAGCGTAACTACTGCCGTCTTTATTCTGATTGTTGGGGTTTCGGGCTCTGTTGCCACGGTTGCTGTTGTACGAGAAGGCCTTGAGGCCGAACAGCTTCCGCAATAGAGGCCACCAGCACATCAAGTTGGCGACATAGATGGCGGTGCTTGCTTCACGGATGTACCAAATTTGATACGTGGTTGTGAGCGGAGAGGCAAAATTGAAGTATTTGTTGAGGATAGCGGCAATGATGGTAAACAGGCCCAGACTCATGACACCCATTAGCAAAACCTTTCGGCGTCGCTTGAGCTGCGCTTTGACGAGGAGTGGAATCGGAACGGCAAACATCATGGCATCCGATGAGATGTTGAAAACTGCTTGCGTGATTGAGTAGCGTTGGTAGGTCGCACATTGCATGTTTTGCACCGGCATAGCCCAATATTGCTTGAAGGGCCGACAGTACACTCCATAGTACGTGACCATGATAACGACGAAGCCGAGTGCTACATACACACAGAGTATTTTGATGTATAGATTGGAACGGAGGTTTTGCGTGATTCTCCAGTAGAGAATCAGCATACACGCCTTGACGCCCCATGTTGAGACCAACATGCACTGTTCCAAGCCAATGACGATCTTACTTCCGTAGATGCGGTCGCTGACTTGCTGCGGGTCTGATAGCACCTCATCGTAATCTTTCGGGTCCATGAGATTCGTTGCATATCGTGCGGATATTTGTATGAGAATAAGTAGGGTGGTATATATCATCTGTCCAGTGGGTACTGATTAGCCAAAAGTTGCGCTTCTTGTACGTTGGTGCAACAAGGCTTTGAGCTTACAAAAGTAGCAGTCATCACATAATCGTCCCCTATAAAGTGAAACTCTCGGTCAGTGATCGAGCTCTGGAACGTTAAATCGAGTCGAAATTCCGTACAGAATAAGCGTTTGATTGATCCGCCCGCAATTGTTCGCGATATCCTTGTGAATCATCAGCGATGTCTCATGAGGTTTGGCGTGACAGAAAACATACATTCGTCCAACATATAGTATAACCCCTATACTCCAGAAAACGATAGCTTCTACCAAAAGCTGATGCGGAGATGGTGAAGTATCTCCCATCCTGGCGGCAGGAGGGAGAATCACTCCCTAGGTCAACTTGACTGGAGGTCCGTGGAGAGAAGAGGAGAGTCTGCCATAGGTGACCCAGGATGCGTAAAGAGTCAAAAGAAGTCAGAATTCAACGCTGGAAAGGAGCATCCTTTCAGAGGCCATGGCCGAACGATGCCATCGGCTATCCGGTGCTTTTGTTCTTCAAACTGGACCGGGCCGGACATGAATAAAGACGATCATTTTATCGCAGTCGGTGAGTGTGAATAAACTCAAAGCTATCGGGGGGTCAGCAAAGCGCTAAACGAGGGCAGGACTTGAGGTGTCATGCATAATAACCTGCGAAATGTCAGTGCTGGGCTGGAAAAGTGCTGGGTAACAAGCAAGGAGGAATGGTGGTTCGGACGCAAGGGAGACAGGACCAGAGTTTGTTGACCCAGATCGATAGCAGTTGCCTTTGGAATGCAGATCATGATGGGTCTTTGGACTCGATTCATCCCTACCTTTGCAGCCCGGAATCCTCCGTATATCCCAAGGTCTTGGGGTCGAGTGACTCGAGTCCCAGGAAATGCAGAGATCAGAAAGTTACCAAGGGAATTTGCTTTTGCTTCTCGAGCTCTTTATTCTTGGTGCGACATGAGAAAGCATGTTCGGTATCCATTCTAGGATCTCATACGCGAGCCCGACCTTAAGTTTGGTGTAACTCTTGATCAACTTACGTATCCTATCGCTCTCAACTTAGGCTCTCACCCTAGCGCCCAGCTATAATCGGGGCCGAGTGCTCCCGCCTGCACGATGGCAATAGCTCGATGATCTGCAAGCCCTCGAGCAAAAAGCAATCTTCAGGACCATTGGGTGACAGGTCAGATTCCGCTGTGGGTGCGTAAGGCCTACGGTGACGCCTGCGAGGGATTTGATTGGGGCATACGAATCGTTGATCTGCAAGGTGATCCAAGGCCAAGTTCCAATAGGTCCTGTTTGGTCCACTAGTAAATTTGATGATGCGATCTACGTGTTTCCAATTTCGCTTTGACGCGATATCCGACCGAGCGATAGGGTTCATCGCGAGGAACGCAGATTCTGACATTATAATTAGATGCCAGTAGGCTCGGATTCCTAACTTTTGGACAGATCCATGAATTGAACGCTTTGGCGGGAGCTTACTGTAGTTGGTATGTTTTATTTCATTCGATCCCAGTTGAAATCTGGTCTGCTCCTGCCCCAAAAGCGACTATCCCGATTACGGTACAGCTGCGTGCCTGGCTGAGTATGCTAAGGTTCTTGACAGCCATTTTTCATGTACCGTTATTTAAAGCTTGCTGTAACTCTCCCTGTTTGAAAACTTTGAGATTAGGTTCGTATAGAGCTTTTCTCTCCTCTCTCAAGCGGAAGGGATTTCCAGCACTTTTCAGACAACTCCACCCAATCTTCCTTAGAAAATGTATCGACCACTGCCATAATTGGTTCATGAGAGTAGTCGGGCTCTCCCAGCACAAAGGTGCATCCCAACTTGACAATGAACAAGATTCGAGTATAATGAGCGAGAGAGCTTTTCTCATCTCAAGAAGAATTACAAACTAAAAAGGGATAATAGGTAGCCGTTTTGAGGAAAATAGAAAGATAGTCTGTTCTGCACGCAAAAATTCCGTATCTCTACAGCTGAATTTCTGTACAACAGATTTTCGCTTCTGCCTAATACTACCTGCGTCTGAGCGTGGTCACAGCCAAATCCCTGAAATCAAGACATGCTCTAGAAACGAGGACTTGATCGGATTCTCTGATAGTCAACCATGGATGGCATTGAGTCACCCGTATATCACTCCAGGGAACAAAGGCTAACAAAAATCATTAGACGTAGTTCGTTGGCCGCCATCCTTGTAAATAGCGAGCATTCTATACCGGAACCGAGCAAAAGGCACAAATCATGGGTAACTCCACGAAGTCCTTGATCCCACCCAAGAGGGCAATATTAGCTCATCAGGTCAAGCTACTCTGCATTCGCGGGGATCGTTCCCCTGACAACCTCATGCTCCAGCGGCTACTACTTTCTCTCGCCATTGCGGAAGAGCCCCCGAAGTCAGCTGAACGTATGAGATAACTAGTCAGCTTGAATCAGCCCTTGAATCAGCCCCTCGCATACGATGTGACTTGTATTCCAAGAGCGACTCTCGAGCACTCTCAAGAGAAGGTATACACCTGCCAATGATTATTCTCTTTTGCTCGGTTAAACAATCTCTGGCAGCTAGCATGGAACATCATGGGGCTGACATGAAACTATGGGCATGGTGTTTGAGTTGATACTTATTCAGAGGAATGATCAGAAAGGCAAATATCTATATAGCACCGTCACAGTCTAAGGGAAATATCATGCGAAGGTATTGACGAGAAGAATGCTATTCCACCGACGTAAACTTCGGGGCAATTACGCAGCAGGATAAGCTGACGAGCACCTGGTTATAGTCGGTGCATCGCTGTTAAAGGTATACAAAGTGCAGAACAACGAGAATAAGAATATGCCCCGTGCAATTCATACCAACGAGGCTGAACAGCAAGGAGACATCTTCACTCCTTGATGAACTGGTACTGTTGAGGTCCGTTCAGGGTAGGGGGAAAATTTTCTACATCTAAATATCAATTTTTCCTATTGAGTGTGGGCATGTAGATATGAAAAGGCTTCAGAGTCACAAGAAAAAACATCACGGATAACATCTGCCGTGGTTGGACATAGGTCGATTCGAGTACTTGACACGCCACCAACGCTAACCCCTAAGTTTCAAGGGTCATGTCCAGTTCAAGTCAGTATACGAGTGAGATGCCTCACTATAGATGAGTTCCCTGGCCACAGCGGCTACTGTAGATCTACGATATCACTATCAACAGCATCTATCGGCCAAATGGAAATGATGTCAAGGAAACAGTCGCGTCACGAACCATGCCCGATATCGACGAAAATTAGACGTCTATCCTCACTAGTGACTAGTGAATGAATCCTTTATTGGTGAGGCCTACCTGCTTGGTACAGACTCAGGAAAACATCTTCTAGGCGGCGGTCCATAGCGTTGACCTAGCAATCTATAATTTCATGTTCACTAGCATGGCCGTTGTCCTACTTCCTACTTGAGTATCTATACACCTAGCTTCGCTATTTGATCAGACCCCTTTGTATGTAAATCGTAATCAAAGCGAACCTGTGCAAGCTTGGGTTGATCTCATTCGTTTCCTAGCCCCGAAGGGGATAATTTGGCATGACCCCAAGCACTCATCCTATAGTTTCTAGTATAATGAGCGTTAGTCCGAGGATTTTCAACCGCTTGTTCATCGTAAGGGACTATAGAGGTGTGAGGTGTAAGATTACCATTCATGATTCCTTTAAGCAAAACGTTTGGAATGAGAAGAGTCAGGAGTTCACCACTGCCACGTTGAAGTATACAGTTAATAAGCTGGGGCTAGACCGCTTGCTCTTCGGCCAGAATGGTCAATATGAAAAAGGTTGAGAATGAAAATAGCTGGTGCAATGGGGATGCCAAAGCTGGAATTCAGGATACTGTTGTCGGAGTTTTGAATATCGTTACATCGGTCGGAACAATGCAGAGAAGCTTCTGGGACCGGATCATTCCATGACTTGGAGGCTCCGCTGTGTTCTGAGCATTCCAGATGGAAGAGAAGGGTTTCTAGACTTGATGGTAAAAGAAGGGGTGGAGTTCCTTTCCTGTTTGAATAATGTCCTTCTTAGCCTGGGAACTCTACAGATTTCGATTTTCATCAAACCAAACAACGCGCTTAATGACTCTGCGAATACCATGGACCTACAATATCACTTCGTCTCAAGTCCCCAATGGCCTATTGGCCATTTAGAAATGGACCGTTAAGCCGGAGCTCTCCGGGACAGTGTCCTGTCAAAGTATTTCTTTTTCTCAGCCCACCAATGGAGGCCATCCTTCCTCGCTGACAACATCAGATCTCACCTCACGCATTAATCTATTAACACCTACGGCACTCACACGCCCTAGGAAAGACGATCGCACACACGCGAGGCCATGTGGAGCACCCCAGGAGCCGGTCGTTGGGCCTGCGTCACGCCAATTAGATGTCATGCAGGAGTTCACCAGGAATGCTGGAAGGGAGGTGGCAGTGTGTCACTGTCACAGCAAGGTCAGCCAAACCCTCCGTGGGTTGCCGAAACTGGAACTCTCCAGGATCCGAGCTCGCAAGGGAAATGCCTTGTTTTACTCTGAACTCATAACCCCACATAGTAATTCGTCGGAATCCCAGTCAAGGTTCCTGGGAGGGGGGTCCCTAGCGGATCGTCGCCTGATCGACGCCTAAGGCGCCAGCCCTAATGTCAGTCGCAGACTCGCGGTCCACTCCATCAAAGAAAAAACTAGCCCCCTTGCGTGGATTGCGATGCATCGAACACCACCTGCTACGCCTAATTATGACAATTTAGGAAGGTAATTAGAGAGGCTCGCTGTCTAGCCATGTTGGCAAAATAAACTTACAGCGATTCGATCTACCGCGTCGCGTAATCCAGACAGGGCGTAATTGTACTTTAGTATTTACTTTGGTGGGTGCAGGAGTCCAAGCCTGTCACAGCGCCTATTGCCAATAGCGACGCCTTAGCTTGGACCAGGATTGACCGACTGTCCCTGACTCCCTCTCAGAAATCCAAAAGACATGTCATTTCCACATGAACATTTTTTTCTTTGTTCTCGTAGAATTCCTCCGCAGTTTTTTTCCCCCCTTCGTAACATTTTGTGCACCACACGTGGCTGCCAGATGGGCATCGTACCCTCCTCGCATGAAGCATTCCGGGGGACTCGCAAGTTGCAACTCGGATTGGCCGTGTCTGCTCGGGGAAAAAAACAGATGGGTCAGTTCGCTTGCGCGGGGTGACATCCTTTGAATTTTTTGACTGGTCTTTGGCTTTGATCATTTGTTTTTATTCCTGCTGGTCCCCCTTCGTATGCAGCAGCCCGGTCACCTTTTGGTATCTCGCTATTCCAGACGGGACATCATGGCCATGTCTGTACCCCAGACTCCATCTCAGGATGGGGTGACACCATTAAAGACCAAAGGTGAAATAGATGAAGTACGACTAGAAGCTGCTCTCGGCCATAAGCAGGAATTGAAGCGGAATTTTGGTCTGTGGAGCTTGACAAGTCTGGGCATCGTGATCGCAAAGTACGTATTGGATTGGCATCTTCGCAGCTCGATCTACAAGACTAACCCTGATCTAGCTCTTGGGCTTCCGCGGGCGGAACAATCGTTGCTGCACTTCAAAATGGTGGTCCAATGGCAGTCATATACGGCTTGATTCTCGTTAGCATCTTCTACACTGCCATCTCAGCATCCCTGGCCGAATTATCCTCCTCCATGCCTTCAGCGGGAGGGGTATACTATTGGTCCTCGGTATTGAGTCGAAGTCGAGGACGTGGAGTAGGGTTTTTCACGGGATATCTCAATGCCTGTGCATGGCTTCTATCTGCTGCCTCGATGAGCTCTATGCTAGGAAACGAAGCGGTGGCCATGTACTTGCTTAAACATACTAGTATGGACTGGCATGCCTGGCAGGTTTTTGTCGTCTTCCAGATCGTCAATTGGTCCTGCTGTGCCATTGTATGCTTCGGTAACCGACTGATTCCACTGCTTAATCGGATCGCCTTGACATTATCTATGGTCGGGCTCGTGGTGACAGTCATCGTGCTGGCGGTGATGCCCAAGAAACATGCAAGCAATGCTTCGGTATGGACGGAATACCACAATATGACGGGTGGCTGGTCGGATGGGGTATGCTTCATGACTGGATTATTGAACGCAGCCTTCGCAGTTGGGACTCCCGATTGTATCAGCCATCTCTCCGAAGAAGGTATCCTTGATAGCTTTATCCGCTTGAGCCCATGATGCTAACAGTCAACCTATAGTACCAAAGCCAGAAGTTAGAGTGCCACAAGGCATCATGCTCCAAATGCTCACAGCATTCACCACCTCCTTCGTCTACCTAATCGCCCTCTTCTATTCTATCCAAGACCTGGACGCCGTCTACGCCAGCAACATCGGCTTCTTCCCAACCGCCGAGATCTACCGACAAGCGACAGGATCCAATGCAGGTGCCATTGGGCTCATAGCTGTTCTTTTCCTCGCCACATTCCCCACGCTCATTGGCACCTTTGTTACGGGTGGTCGTATGTGGTGGAGTCTTGCCCGGGACAATGCAACGCCCTTCTCTAGTTACTTCGCCCAAATCCATCCTACCCTGAACTGCCCCGTTCGTGCAACGGTAGCCATGAGTGCCATGGTCACTTGTCTAGGATGCATCTACGTGGGTAGCACAACAGCCTTTCAAGCTCTGATATCCTCCTTCATCGTGCTGAGCTCGTTGTCCTATTTCGGTGCTATTTTCCCCCACGTTCTCTCCGCTCGAAGAAACATGGTCCCAGGCCCATTTTACATGGGACAGAAACTCGGTATGGCAGTGAATATCACGGCGTTGCTGTATATCCTGGTTACCGTCGTCTTCTTCTGCTTCCCGCTCGTGCTGCCTGTGACTGTGCAGAACATGAACTATACGAGTGTGATTACTGTGGGCCTGATGGCTCTCACGGCCATGTGGTGGATCTTCCGGGGGAGACGCGAATACCAAGGCCCACAGTATAGCTTTGAAGCTGCGGAGAGGTTGAGTGCGTTTCAGGCTGGGAAGGAGGGCCGTCGGTCCTTTATTGATGTTGCGACTCCGAAGCCGACTTCTTTTCTTGATGATCATATTCATGTGAGACGATGAAATGAAAAGTACTGATTGTGATGATGAAAATGGTTGTACGATGCGAGGTTTCTTGTATTTTGATTTTGACTTTGTCGATTGGGGGTGTTGTATCTAGCTTTCCTTTTTGATTCGTATATATTGGATTGATTCAAACCGCCATGGCGTATTATCGCTATCCTTGACCACGATAGCGTTTAGACCAATGTAAACGTCGAACTACTTTTGTTTTTAATTTGATGGATACCAACCGAATGATCTTTACGAGCCATCAGAACAAGGGAATTGTAGCGTACTGCGTTGAATGGAAATCTATTCATTTTAAAACTCATCAAACACCTTTAAGTCATAACATTTCATGCGTAGTGGTCCCCGCCAGGCAGGTCCATATTAATTCTTTGCGCTGATCAGAGGCGAGACTTGATACTTTGGCCACCCTCCCACGAGTCACCAGCCTCCAGTGTCTGCCAAGCAGAAACAGAGCCAGCCTCAACGCAGATCATGTTCTTGTATGCCTCATCAGGGCCAAAGTCGGACAAACCCTTGGCCTTCTCAATCCAGGGGTTCCAAACAACGACGTCGGTGAGCGCTTCCCGGGTGATCGAGAAGAGAGGCTGATCGTCCGAGGCGGAAGAGACGACGATCGGCGTGGCGGGGTCTAGACCCTGGTAGACGCGGTCGGTTTCTTCGGTGATGGCCAGTGCAGGGGAGGATTCAGTGTGGGTGCTTGCATTGCGGACCTTGTCGATGTAGGTCTTGGACTCGAGATTCTTGACGCGGACGTTGGCAATATCCTGTGCTTGTTAGATCCGAGCCAGCTGATGCGGTACGAAAGGGAAGAAACCATACCTCCACGGCCAGGTAGGTGTGCATCAGGACCTGGAATTCAAAGTTCTCCTTGCCCTCATTGGTGACCTGGAGCGAGGTGCGGAGCGCATCCTTGGTCAAGGTGACGCTGTACACCAGCCCAAACTCGTGCGGCCACGCCTTGCGGAACTCCTCGCTCAACATGGCGTGCGATAGGCCGAAATCCAACTTGACGGCGACATCTCCCTTGCCAGCCTCCGAGGAGGACTTTCCGAGGAACTCCCAGGTGGAATTGCGAGCAAAGCCATGCTGGGGAAGGGACGAGGTGGCGTGATTCTTAGGAGGGGGGCCAAAGACCTGCCAGATACAAAGCTTCGGATTAGCGTCCGTCTGCCTAGACAGGGAGGGAGCATGACAAAAGGAGCAATCAAATACCGGGAATACGAGCGGAATTCCACCGCGGATCGGCTTGGAGCCATCCAGATGGGCTGTCTTGCTCATAAACAGCTGTTCCTGACCGTTCGACTTCCACGAGGTGACCGTTGCACCGTACAGGTACACCGTGACGGACTCGCCAGAGGGCAAGCTGGCCTCGATGATGCCATCCTGGACAGACACAGAAGGCTGCGGGAACGAGGCACCCACGCCGATTGCAGAGGGTTTGTTGGAGCGGTCCATTGTGGAGGGGGAAAGGTGAGTTGTGTTTTGGAGAAGATCCGACGGCAAGGACGAGAGAGTGAGGAGTTGCTGTTGCTTCGAGGTCATGGCGGGGGATCGGAGCCTGCCCCACTTGCATCTTTCAACTACCGTTGACAACAGTCATTCCTCCCCAAAACATGTCAATTCCTACTAATCAAGTGCAGATCTCACCATCTCAATATATACACCCTGTTTATCCATGCTGCAACAAAGCAGACGTGTTGCCCTCAAAACTGACCTCCTCAATGCGCCGGATCTCGTCTTCGGTCAATCGCCAGCCCAGCGCCTGCATGTCCTCCTCCGCCTGTTCAGCATCGCGCACTCCCACCAGAGGCACAACGCCTTTGTTAATCGAGTAATTCAGCGCGACCGCCGAAACAGAGACCCGATGCTGTTCCGCAATGCCCTTCAGCACATTGATCGTCGGCTCCAGCATATGCATCGGATAGCTACTGAACCGCCGAGTGCTCTTGGGCTCGTTGAATCGGGAATACTTGCTCGTCAATCGACCCTCACCCAGCGACGCAAAGCCCTGGAAGCAAATGCCGCGCTCTCTGCACTCACGGATCATCCCACTGACCTCTGGCACACGGCGAATGACCGAGAACTCGCACTGCGACACCGCCAGTGGTACGTTGTTCTTCGCCAATTCCTCGGCCATCTTGATCATCTCCCCCGTGTTGTAGTTGGCAACTCCGACAGCGCGCGTCATGCCCTCCTCCACACATTCGGCTAATCCCTCTGCAACAGTTGAAATCGAACTTCCATGGATGGGCCCATGCACCAGGTAAATATCCACATAATCCAGTCCCACTCGATGAAGCGACTCCTTCAGTCTAGCCTTCGGCCCACGCGACTGCATCAAGGTGTTGCTCAAGCCACCCGAGAACCACTTAGTCTGCACAACGAACGCATCCCGAGGCATCCCCTTGAACAAAGTCCCACAGATCCGCTCGCTTTCGCCATTGCCGTAGGACTGCGCCGTGTCCACGAAGGTCAACCCAACGGACTTCAGCTTCTCCCAGGCAGCATGGATCCTAGGCAGGTCAACCGTAGGATCGTAGTTGAATGTCGGCTTGTCGCCCCAGGCCCAAGTTCCAATGCTCAGGTAGGGGATCAACACGTCCTTGCCGCCGTATCCGCGCACGGCAAGACGGCTCCGCGAGTTGGGAACCACATTTTCGGGGAGCATGTGGGCTGGATCGCTCAGGTTGGGATCGACGGACTTGGGATGCACCGGGTAGATGCCCTCCGTTGCTGACATGCCGGAGGCCAGGCCGACTTGCATCATATATTGGGTTCCCATGGTGGAGTAGTCCTAGTTTGGGACAGATGATCCTTGTTGGTTGGTCGTCTTAACGAAGGCGATTGGGAGTGTGATGTGAACCCTCGTATTGACATCAGGGAGGATTATATACTAATGGATAGGATGCTCTTATATAGATTGTGAAGGCATGTGGTGGCACTCTGCGTCATCCAACATCATCATGTTCACGAAGGTCGCCTTGAACCAGAATATATAGAATGTGGAGATTTTCGAAGGATTTTTGAACTACAGTCCGTGTGGCTGATGGTTTAACGGCATTGCCTCTGTCGGCGTTGTGGCAACCAGACCCATGGCTCTGAGCTCGGGGAAGCTGGTCCCTTTCAACGCCACCAGCTTTGAAGTATATGGGGGCAGTCACTCTGTACTGTACATTGTTGGGGTAGAAACAGTGATACATCACCAATTGACTCGATTGAACAGCTTACAAGCCGGCACTGGGCTGTAGAAAACACCGTGACCAAAAGGGATTAAAGCATGTAATTAACTCGGCGTCCCGAAAGAACAAGAAGGATGAGAAAAAAAACACGAAGACATATGCAGTGGCCGCTATGTATTTTATGTAATGTGAGATGCACACGGGGAATAGAGACATGGAGGGAGCCAATACAGGAAAACAGACGCATACAATCACATAAAAGCAAGTAAACCCTGTAAACGCCATCGCTATGCAGAATTGCTGTGTCGCCGAGACGCCTCATGCGCTTCAACGCGGATATTGAAAAGGAGGTCGTCGACCTCGCGAAGGGCATTTGGCCCCAATTTTGCGGACTTGATTTCGGCTAGGAGTTTTGTCAGAGATCGAGAGATGCCTGCCTCGCTAAAGTCTGGCTCAAGGTTGGGAGGGACAGGTTCCGTCTGGATTTCGGCGGTGGCAACGTCTAAGACTAGACCCGCCACGGTTGCCGATGGCTGGTCTGGAACCATGTCCACATCCATGTTTTGTTGTATGTTGCTGCCATCAGGCACGGGTGCGGTGGACGGGACCACATCGGTCATTTGAGAGTCGGTTGCCTCCTCTGTGGAGACGAGGGGAATGTGCGACTCGACTGGTCCGTGAAGAGCAACACTTTCTGGGCCGCGGCCCTGAACATCGTTCGAGGAGGGGACCAGCTCGGGCTCCACGGTTGCTGCTTCCACTTCGGATTGTTGTTCTTGAGGAGCACGAGGCTGTGTTTCTGCTTCTTTGCGGGATGGCCGTGACTTGCGAGAGCGGGAGCTGCGGGAAGATTTGGAACGCGTCGAGCTCTGTTCTTCCACAGGAGCAGCAGGCTGATCCTCGAGTCGCAATGATTTGCGCGATCTCTTGTTTGGTCGCTGAGAAGGCTCTGGATCATTGGTCGGGTCTTCTTGGATAGTTTCCGGAACCTGAGTGTTGGGAAGCGAGTCAGCGATGACAAGCTCGTCCTCTTTCTTTTGCGAACTCCGAGTCGATCTTCGCGTAATTGTAGGCGACAGATTGGAAGAAGAGACATCCTGGGAAGGTTGAGAGATTGTTGCACCTTGAGACTGGGCAGCGTGCGTCTCATCAACTTCGGTGATGCCGAGGTCCTTTGTGGTTGAGAGACGAGTCGATCGCCGTCTATCCTGAGAAGTAGATTGAACGTTGTCTTCTTCGCGCTTTCTCTTCTTTGTGGCTGGCTGTGAGAGCTCAGCGACAGGGGCGGATTGCAAGTGACCATTGCCAATCATGTCAACAGCTAACTCCAGATCCTGCTCGAGCTGAGATGCGATTTGCGACTCCACATCCTCGCTTGACGAGTCAACAAAGTACTCCACGGCGACCGGAGTGGACGGCACTTGAGGAGTGCCAGTTGCTGACTTCGACGACCCCTTTCTCTTTCGTTTTTTAGACGATGATTTTGACTTTGCACTGTGGGGAGCTGACAACTTATCCGTCGTCTTCGCGGGAGTATCTGACTGCGTAGTCAAAGCAGGAACAGCATCGACATTCGGATCGTTTTCAGTGCTTTGGGTCAGCGCTGATCGAGTGCGACGACTGGGAGGCCGTTCGTCCACCTGAGGCGTGAGTGCCTTTTTCTTGGCCTCATCAGCAACACTCGATTGAAGCAGCTTCCTTCGTCTAGCCCGTCGAGAAGAGCTAGACATCTTCTTAGGGCTGGGGCTTCGGGAAGTGAACTCGGGGGGCGAAGAAGGTAGATCTGCCGCATCGTCCATGGTGATGTCCTCAAACTTCCCTCCCGGAGCCTCCAAATTCGTGGCGGGGGTCAAATCCCTAGTTGCTGGGGTAGGAGATGATCCTATGAATCCTTCCTCGTTTTCAGTCGGCGCCAAGGTGGGAGTCAAGGGAATGCCAGACTGAGCGTGGAGTCGGCGTAGGTGAACAGGTGTATCGAAGCCCAGTTTACCAGGGGTGTTCGCTGGCGAGGAGGATCTAATAGATTCGATCATTCGGAACATTTCGTGTCGACTCTTCTGGAAGGCGGCTGGCACTTCAGGCGCTGCTGCCTCGGCGTTCGTGGGCAGTTGAGGTTCACCAAGCTCTGTAGGGTCAGGAAGAGCCGGGGTATTCGTGCCTATGATGGGTGATGAGTTGAAGGCGATGTTGCTATTTTCAATGGATTTCGTAGGATTTGACCGGTTCACTCGCTGGTTGGGTAGCTTGGGCGAGCTCGACGTCACCGACTTGGCCTCCTATGAATACATGCTTAATACTTGAGACTAAACGCTTGAGAAGAGAGGAACGTACCTGCACTGCAGTTTGCGGCAACTGAACCAGGGCAGAAAGCCTGGCGGTCGCAGTTGACAATGCTTGACCCATTGGAGTGGAGGCAATAAGAGTATCCGAGGCTGTCTTGGTCGACTTCCAGAAATCGACGAATCTCTTGGCCCTCGAGATGTGAGGCGATTCTAAACCAGCACAGATGACAGTGGCGAATTTTTGTAAAGACGGCAACTCGTCAACAACAGCGGTTTGCAAAATGTTGAGAACGGCAGAAGAAAGCGAGCGGCACTATTCAAAAAGGTTAGTAGCTGACTGGAGATACTGATACAAGGTAACGTACTGCAGTAATAGCACGACTATCCACCCCACGAGTGACATCAACTTTGCATTCAGTGTCTTGGATCCACAGTGCCAGTGGTGCCTGGAGAGTTTCGAGCGCCTGAGAGCGGAAGGACGGCGTGCCAGAGCCCAGAAAAGAAGTCAAGGATTCGATGAAGGCCGAAAGATGAGTTGTGTGTGAGGCATCAATGCTGTGGTAGCCTAAATCCAAGCTTCGCCCAATAGTCTTCAGGAGCGTATGAGGGAATCCTGGTGGTGCGACTTGCTGAGAGACTGGGTTGTCGATTCCCAGACCGGCCTCCGGCGCAAATGGGATAGAAAGACAATGGCCAAGAAGTGCGTTTGTAGGAAGATACGTGTCATGAACCGAGATCGAAGACAGACTCTCAGCAATGGGTTCTACAACTAGACCGGTCAGGACCCGATCCCCTTTCTCCGTTCTCACCACTCGCACATATGCGTCAAGTAGTCGCGACCACTCTTGGGATGTACCCGGGAAGGACACGCCAGCAGCAAGGATCTTAGTGATAATCTCGTAGTCCCGAGACACAGAGCCGTCGCGTTCTCGTGCAGACTCAAGAGGGAACGATTGCAATGCATCTGCTGCTGCCCGTGCTGCTCCTTCCCAAACAGCTTCCAAAAGATGGGGCAGACTGGAGGAAGACCTCATTTCCGTAAAACTCAACTCGGAACACTGGTGTAGAAGTTCGAGACGAGATCCCCGGGATATTCTTCCATTACAGGATGCTGTGATCAATCCATCGACGAGTTTAGTGAATGAGGGGGTTGGCGAGGATATCACGGAACCCTTGCTGATTGTGCGTAGAAGATGTAAAATAGGGCTATCTAGATTGGAGCCTGAAGCTGAAGGGCGATGTGTTGGGGTATTAGACGTCTGGAAAGCTCCATCCCCAATCTTCAGCATGAGCTTTTCGGTGAATGGCACCCCTCCAAGAGAGAGAATCATGGTCGTCGACAAGAACTGAAATCTTTCGAAGAAAGACTCCTCACCTTGCTCTCCAGTGGCATTCAAGGAAGACGGTCCTGTAGCCCAGAGACGATGTAGCAAACTGAGAACACTAGCCACAGCCTGCATAGATTCTCCCGAGGGGGTGATTTCTTTGTTTGAGGCAAGCGAAAGGGCACTCGCCATACCATTCCAGGCGAGGGCGATATTCGACTTTTCGATTTGTTCTTGATTCCAGACCGAAGATTTCAAAAGGGACTCGAAAACTCCCAAGACCGAAGAGATTTTTGAACGAACCCATCGGGGTTCGACCGATGGGAGTTCCTCGACCTCCATCTTGGCATTGTCGGTGATTCGAGTCTCGGTCCAGATCTTTGCTTGTGGGCACCATAGCAAGTTCGCCAATACAAGCGCTGCGCTATCGCTCAGGGCTGGGAAAGCAGAGAAAGTTGATGCGGCCGGCGCTGCGACGTATTCCTCCCAAATAGTATCGACATGGTGATAAGGAAGCGATGGACGAAAGGCGTAATAAAGCAAGTGGTTATAGCTGCTCAGTGCAAGTTGAGACGGCGGTGACGCTGCTCGGTCGGACCTCTTTCGCTCAAATTGCGAGAACACTGGCTTGCCTAGCATTTTGAGAATTGACCGACTGGTGGATTCGTTGGGGCTCATGGCATAGATAAACCGGTTCCAGCCTGCAATGGCCTGAGCTTTGATAGCAGGCTCGCTGCAGTTGAAACACTTCTGAAGAACAAGCACCCATTCTCTGAAGTGTTCCCACTGGTCGAGACTCCATTTCTTGCTTCGCAATAGGAGAACCACAATACTCCAAATCTGCGGCACATGCATGCCTGTCTCAATATTTCCCACCATTCGTGACATTCGCTCTCGAACCTCTGTTACTAGCTTTCGATCGCCCTCCAATGGTCGGTCAAACAGTACCCGAAGATTGTTCGACAGCGCAGGGGTCGGTCCCGCAGCGACGGAGATTTGGAATCCGAGAGAGATGGCTCTTGTCCGGGTATCTTTGTGGGAGTGAAGCAAACCGAAAACGAGGTGTTCTATCCATAATGATGATTGAGAGAGGAAGGTTGACTTGGATTGGGAGAGGAGTCGCTGATAGATGCTCAATCGATGGTAGGAGATGGCTTTGCCCGTGACATGCTTAGTGAGATCTTGTAGCGCTGTAAGAAGGCGAGTGACTCGAGTGGTCGTCATGATCTTCGGGCTGAAATTCTGTGTAGAGAGAATCGACAAGTAGTGCGTCAGGACGGACTTGGCACCCTTGGTCTCTTGGAGAGAGGTGATCGCGTGATCCACCAGAAACACTTTGAAATCATCCGAGAGCTGCGTTGAAATTTCCGGTTGCCATATAAATGCAGCGGTGAGTTTCAATGCTTGATTCGCCAGACTCGTATCCAAAGGTGTCCCGTTGACCAGGTCGCGAGTCACATCGCGTTGGATAAAATCCGTAATCAAGCCGAGCTTCTCCCCAATTTCCTTACCGCCCACCAATCCATCATATGTCCGCAATGCTCCGAAGAAGTTGATGTATGCGTCGAGGCGCGAAGAGACGGACTCTCCAGCCAACTGCTGAACCACCGACTCTAGCAGCATGTCGAATGATTCGGTTGTGTATTTATTGACATTTGGGGACCACACTGGAATCGGGGAGCTTGTCTCCTTGAGAATCGATTTGTATGGTCTGACTTCGCTGCCTAGGGGCTCTCATATGCTGGGTTCGTCGTCGTCTTCGCGTCATTGGGTTTGCTGGCCGATTGGGATTTGGGTGACCCGATGACGGTATACAGCCATGGCGAGAAGTTCACTCGTTTGGAACCGTGACTTGAAGGCGGCGCCCTGGAAGCATCCGCCGTCTGCGACGAAGCTCCCGGGGTCTGGAGGATATGCGGAGATTGAGCGTCGTGCTGATCGATTCGGAAACCTGGCCTGGGAGGAGTTGGTGGGCGAGCAGGGAGAGGGCCGAGGAGCTCTACCATGGTTTAGAGAAAAGATGAAAATGGAAAACAAATGAGGGCAAGGACCATTTCGGGGGGTCGAGTGCACAGAAACGAGTCCTCCCAAAAGAGTCCTGAATTGATGGTAGTAGAATCCTGAAAGCGTTGAGGCCAGGGCCAGTGAAAATAAACGGGCAACGAGACGAGCAACGCGCCTGTCGCGAATCGCGTAAAGTGGCCGCGTGAGGCCCGAATTCTCAGGCGAAAAGGCATCCCGGTAGGCATCCAGGCACCCAGGCACCCAGGCACGCGAAGGAGCGGTTCACCTCCTTCCTTCTGCAATTGATGACCCGCCAAACCCCGATCGATCGGGGCTTTCTGGACTGAGCATGATTTTTGAATTTAGATGTCCCAACTCCAGAGTCTTTCTAACTCTGTCTATTCTTACATCCATCCGTAAATGCTACGCTTGTAGACCAATCTTGAAATTCAGCGGTGTGGCTTCCGAGGCGCCGCAAGACTGTCGGGAACAACTTTCCAATCACGCTTGCGACGGAGGATTTCAAGGGTTGCAGGACTCCATATGCAGATTAGCAAGGATGTTTCCTGACGTAGAGACAACAAAGCGACCGGCCTTCCGATGACTGCCGACTCCAGCCAGCTTTTTTCTGGGGATGGCAGCGGGCCTAAACAAGCAGCTCAGGTGGGGTGTTCTGCTTCATGACGGAGTTGCTCCTTTCCCCGCGTTGCTTCTTCTTCCTTCTTCCTCTGTCACTCGCGAGCGCAACATCCCGCCTGCTTGTTCTGTAATGATATGATCAAGCTATAGCAACGCTGGGCAAGACGCGCACTCAATCGCCTCCAATTCTCAAATCGCCCGGTGGCCTGTTCTTCTTCGGAGCTGGGGGAAGTTTCACCTCGGGCAACCGCAGAAAAGAATGAGTTCCAACCAGCTGCAGGGAGCAGGTATGTCTTTGCAGATAACCGCCTGCGCAAGTATATAATCGAATTAATACCCTCGACTAACGGATTATGACAGCCAAGCTGGAACAGGTTACCCAGCTGTTGGGAACGCTCAAAAAGGACCTGCAAGAGAAGCAGCTTACTCCAGCTCGTGAGTTCCAAGATGAGAGACTGAGAGACTCGCTAGATAATTGAGCTAACGCGCAAGTTACTCTATTATAGAAAAAGTTCAGACCCTTTTACAACTGCGCCAGCATGGCACGAACCCCGTCGACGCCGGACCAATCTATTGCAACGATGTACGATTAACATTCACGATCGCCGTTTCCACTTACCATATACGGGGCTCTGACAGGTGTCATAGGGTATCGGACTATTGGCTCGGTATGGAATTGAAGGAGAGACGGCTGATGTTCGGCGTGCGGCCTTGCGCTGCGTGGCCAATGCTCTCCTTCTTGATTCCAGCATGCGCCAGGTCTTCGCGGACACGGGATACGGAGGCAAACTAGCAGAGAGATTAAAGGTGCGGATTTCGCTCTCAATTACGAGTACCTGGGATTTATCGCTGACTGGCCCTTCAAATCTCCAGACTGATAACTCTGAAGACGAGATGGTCACTAGTCGGATCTTGTTCCTTTCGACCTACGACAGCAACTTGGACTTTGAGGTCCTGATCAACAAGAACTCCCTTGGAGACAACGTGAATTATGTGCGTGTTCTAACCGCTCACTCCTGCGCCTTTAGACTGATGAGAACAGCAACTATCCCGACACGCGAAACAATTCCCCAAGTCTGGCCGACCTCCATTGACGCAGATGGACGAACTGGCGCTTATCGATACCCTAAAGCTCATTTTCAACGTTTCAAAGTTGTATCCCGACCTTGCTGTCAACTTCTCGCCTTCGATACCTCACATTTTGAAGATCATCAGCAGGATGGAAATCCCGACCAAGCCGCTCGATGGTTTGATCAGCTACCTAATTAACTCTTTGTCCGTGCTGGACCTGGAGGGGAAGAAAGAGAAACACTTCGAGAGCAACCCTCTGTTCCCGAAGTTCAACCAGAACTGCAATGTTGACAAGTTGATCAATATCCTTGACCAAGCGGTGTCACTCTACCGCCCGGAGGAGCTGGAAGAGAAAGCAGTCCCCCTCTTACACTCTCTCATCGTCGTCCATGAAATCGCTCCTGATGGCCCGCGAAAGTATATGCAATGGCTCCTGCTGCCTGAAGACAGTGAGCGCAGCTTGCCAATTGGACGCTCCGATACTCTTGCTTCAAAATTGTTGCAGCTTTCTACCAGCCCCTATCCAAACCTGAAAACTGGTATCTCCGAACTGATGTTCGTTCTTTCTGGCAAGGATGCTGAAAATCTCACACGGCGTATCGGCTATGGATTTGCTGCTGGCTTCTTAGCTTCTCGTGGCATGGAGATTCCACAGAATGCAGGCGAAGCCTTCGCGACTAACAATGCTGATGGTCTGGACTCGGAAGTCAACCCAATCACTGGGCAGCGTTGGGCTGCCGAGCCGAAGGATACAGGTCCCCCCATGACTGACGAGGAGAAAGAAAGAGAAGCAGAAAGACTTTTTGTCTTGTTTGAGAGGTTAGTTTCCCTGCAGTTCAGAGTGGCGAAACTGATTTACTGATCTCTTTGCATTGCAGGGCTCGAGCAAATGGTCTGATCACAATGGAGAATCCCGTGGCCCAGGCAGTTCGAGAGGGACGATTTGAGGAACTTCCGGATGATGCCGATAGTGATTAGAGACACTTGGCCGCACCAGTGTTTCATGGACTCGGTAATGTGCGAGCATTTGAAATTCGGCTGTCATCTAGCATGCATTTGTCTATACCCATACTCAAGGTGCTACGCACCTATTGGCAAACATTTTAGTCGCTTATACCAAGGTCTATACCACTCGATAATGACCAAGTACTTCTACAAAATGTTTTCGTCCGAAAGTAAAATTTTCTTTTTTTTTTCCGAGAAGTTACTCGAAGCCGAGAGAAGTATAGAGTAATCACTTGGAGCTTCCAGTACAGGCGGCCCAATGACGTACCGTGGGCGGACACAGCTTTCGGGCGGCAGTACTCCTCTCCGCCCGCCGAAAAAAATATTCGCGGGGCACAGCACGCGCTCCCCACCTTTCTTGACTATATATCCCCGATATTTTCTCTTCTCGCTGTGATCTTTCGAAAGCGTTGAAGTTACCGCCAGATAATCAAGATGTCTAAGCCATTTGATCCCGAGCAGGCTGAGAACCTGCAGGATGTACGTTACCGAACGCTTCCCCCTGCCCGGAGACCAAGTCATCGTTAACAATTCCTGCAGATGGAGAAGCAGTTCGCAGTCAAAGGTTAGTCGGAGATCGTGCAGTGTTATCGCAATTCTTTCTGGGACAACTCTAGAATTCACCCGATTGATGCTGACTTACAAATTTTCACAGCTGTTGAACACCTCATGACATACTGGGCGATCCTCGAGAAGGTGAAGGGGTCGCAGCTGCGCCTCACCAAGATGGACGACGAGATCTACGATTCCTTCAAGACCGAATTCCCCGATTTCGATCTCGCTGCGACCATCAACGAGGACGACATGAAGAGCAAGGCTGGCAAAGAGAAGTGGCGCAACTGGATCAACAAGTTCGACAAGAAGATAGACGATTTCAACTTTGGCACCATCATTCGCACTCGTGCCGATGCCGAGTATGACCAGGATACCACTGTGTTTGGTGAGTTGTAGCGGACACAAGAGCGGCTCTGTTGAGAAGGGGCCATATTAGCTGACGGTGGGACTAGGTGTTCGCATGCAATTCTACGCCATTGAGATTGCTCGGTAAGAACTTCTTCGAGTCCGCATTTGAAAACTAAGACTGACTCATCTAGCAACCGTGCTGGTCTGAACGACTGGATCTACGAGCGCTCCCAGAAGGCTAGCTCCTGAGCGCGCATACGATTGTTTTCTACTGTGCTTGGCTTGAACCCAAGTCCCGCTCCACAACCGGGCTGCTAGACCGACGGCATGTACCTGCCCTGTGGTCTTTCTGAGAGATACATCTTCAACTTTGTAACGATTCAGACGGAAGTGCTCCGCTGGGTCGTGTCGAGACCGATAAGAGAGGATATGAGTAGTGATGGACGAATGATTACGATTTTGATACAACGCTTGTCATTTAGAGGTGGAAATCGGCCATGATCTCTGGATTGGAGGCCTTCATGTGAATCAAAACTATATCCGGAATCAAATGACATTTCATGATGATTAAATATCTTGGTTTGTCCTCCTGAGTCGGTCTCGTAGGTGGCGGGCCCGCTGGCGGGTCTTTCATGCCTGGGAGGCTGGGTGGTGGCACTTTGGGCTCGGTCAATCTAAAACGATCAAAATTCCAGAAAAGGGCGAAGTATGTCTTAACAAACCAATCTTATAATGCCAAAGGCACCCAATCCGCAAAGGCCAAAAATGCGTGGACGCTGCCTGGCTCCCTGCACGTGACAGCGACAACAATGAATCGACCTGGATTGTTGTCATCGCAGTCCCCACCTTTCGATTTGACAATCTTTCCGCATTAGGAAGTTTTTGATATTGTTCTTCCTGAACAATGAATTGCTGGCTTATACTACGGGATTTTCATGTATCCACGATCGAAGACCACTTTCGTATACCCACTCTGCTACCATGGTCTCAATCTTCAAACCTATCGTTCCTTTTCTCCTCTCATCCGCATTCCTGGTGTGATATCGAGAAGCAATGGGTCTCAAGTCTAACGTCCCAAAACACGATGGTGCTTCCCTTCAGAAAGATAGTACAGCTGGGCTGGCACCCGGTTGGAAGTCCCTCTTCAGTTTTACAACCCGAAGACACCTGCCGACCCTTCTCATCGGAGTCGTCCTTGCCTTGCTTGCTGGATGCGTGACACCAGTCTTGGCCATCTTCCTAGGAAACGCCTTCGATGCGTTTACATCCTTCGGAGCGGGTCAAATTGCTATCAATGGGCTTCGCAGCAAGGTCGTTGCTAGCTGCTTTGGCATGCTCGGACTAGGGGCGGCTGGCTGGTTTCTCAATAGTGCATACTTTGCAGTATTTGTCGCATTTGGAGAGCTACAGGCTTCGAATATCCGGAGCAAGGTCTTTACTGAACTGATTCAACGTGATGTCGAATGGTTCGAGGCCCAGCAAGAAGGTTCGGGGGCTTTCCTATCTGCAGTCCAGGCGTGAGTTATCCTCTAGACTCGTCAGAGATGTGTCTAATGTACTATTCAGTCACATCCATGAACTTCAAATGGCAACATCCCAACCTCTGGGGCTGCTTCTGCAGTATCTCTGTCGTTCATTGGCATCTCTGGGGTTAGGATTCTATACTTCCTGGAGTCTATCGTTGGTAACATTGGCTGGAATTCCAATATTCTCGTCCATCATTGTCTTCCTGTCCATACGAATGAAGCCCAGCATCAAAGACCAACAGGAAGAACTTACACAGGCTTCAAAAGTTGCAAGCAATGCCATCAATTCTATCGACGGAGTCAAATGTTTCAATGGCCAAAGAATTGAATCTTGGAGCTTCTCCAGTCGGATCGAGAAGGCCGCTATCCACTACCTCCGGCAAGCCAGACTCAATTCTTTGCAGATTTCCTTCGTTAGGTGGATGATGTTTGGCATGTTCGTCCAAGGTTTTTGGTACGGCAGCTCCCTTGCACGAGCCGGAAAGATCACGTCTGGTGAAGTTCTAAGAACTTTTTGGGCGTGCTTAACTGCAGCCCAGTCTATTGAGCAAGTACTGCCACAGATGATCGTGTTGGAGAAAGGAAAAGTTGCCAGTGCCATGCTCAAGTCAATCGTGGACCTGAAAACACAGGAGAGGGTTGTCAGTGAGACCAAAGGAACATTGTGTCCTGAACACTGTGAGGGCGATATCGAGGTGAACAATGTACGTATATGATTTCGAGGCTCTTCTCATTGCGATAAAGCGCACTAACACTTTCGTCAGGTTTCCTTCTCATACCCGTCCCAGCCGGATCGTGTCGTTTTGAAACCGTCGACATTCTTCTTCCCGGCCGGAGAGACGACCTTTGTCATTGGCAAGAGTGGCTCTGGAAAAACCACGCTTGGTCAGCTGTTAATGCGATTCTATCCACCTACGTCAGGCGAGATATTAATTGACGCGAACCCCATTGACGCACTCAATGTTAACTGGGTTAGAAACAACATCACGCTAGTAGAACAACGCAGCGTGCTGTTCAATGACTCCATATTGAGGAACATCGCCTTCGGTCGTCACGATTATGACATAGTGTCAATAGAAGACGTTCAAAACTCTATCGACGTGGCAATGCTGAGAAGCGTTCTCGAGAGTTTACCGGAGGGCCTTGATACATGCGTTGGCCCTGGTGGAAATCTTCTGAGCGGTGGCCAGAAACAACGGGTTGCGATCGCCAGAGCCAGGTTGCGCGACACGCCCATTTTGATCTTGGATGAACCCACCAGTGCTCTTGATACTGTAAACCGAGTGGCCATGATGAAGGCGATCCGCGAGTGGCGTAGTGGAAAGACAACCATCATCATCACTCACGATATGTCCCACATCACTGAGCAAGACTTTGTCTATATTCTCGAAAATGGCACGATCGTACAGAGTGGGTACAGAGAAACTGTGGAGAAACAATCTGGGAGTGAAATGTACTTTCGCATCCCGGCAGATGAAAGCCAGAAAGATGACAATTTGCGAAAAGAATCTGGGGAGAGGGGCGATTATGGCCTTTCTTGGGAAGAGTCATCCAGTCAAAGATTGCGAATTAGGCCTTCTACGGCTCTGACGGCACGCCATAATCCCAGAGAAATATTGGCTCAAAATCATGCACGCTCCAGTTCACGGTCAGGTACCCGAAACTCAGCCGCGAGGAGAGATGATGCTTTCTCCGTCGACGACACTATGCTGAACATATCATACGATCTCAGCAAACGTGGTTCTTTACTGGGTATTCCCAGAAGGGAGATGTCACCGGTACGGCCGGCCTCTTACTACTCAAGACCAATTGAAGAATTTGAGATGGTCCAAATCGACCGCAATTTCCTAGATGGCCACTCAACTCGTACGTTGTCATACGAGTCCGCTCCCAATCTCGAATCAAAACGCCCAAGAGTTATTCAAAAAAGCAAAGTCTCCAAGTCGCGGAAGAAACCAAACAAAAAGAGCATGACTTCACTATCTCACATCATGGGCACCATTGTGCCTACACTGACCCCAAAACAACGTGTCATTTTGTTTCTAGGAGTCGCCTCGGCCCTGGCTCACGCCAGTGCGACACCAATATTTTCCTATTGTCTATCACAACTGTTTAGCACATTCTACGCCGGCACCAACAGCGCCAGGTTAACAATGACATGGTCATTGGCTGTACTCGGAGTCTCTATTGGAGACGGTCTGGCTTCTTTCTTCATGCATTACTTTCTAGAATATTGTGGCGAAGCATGGATGGACACACTTCGGAAAAAGGCATTCGAGCGAGTACTCGACCAACCTCGAGCCTGGTTTGAGCAAGACGGAAACAGCTCTTTCAGGCTCACGGCCTATCTGGATCAGAATGGCGAGGACATGCGAAACTTACTTGGCCGCTTTGCTGGATTCGTGATCGTTGCTGCCTCCATCACAGTGATGGCAATTATCTGGAGTTTGATTGTATGCTGGAAGTTGACTCTGGTGGCTCTGGCTTGTGGGCCTCTCATTTACGCGATTACTCGGGGGTTTGAAGGCGTCAATGGTATTTGGGAGCATCGGTGCAGCGAAGCCAGTGCGGTTGCCACGGATATCTTTACGGAAACCTTTGCGGAGATTCGCACCGTGAGGACTCTGACACTGGAGAGTTACTTTCATAACAAGCAGGCTGACGCCATCTCGAAATGCTTGGCCGTGGGTTTGAAACGGGCTGGCTACACGGGTCTGCTTTTCGGCATGCTGGAGTCGACATTCATGTTTGCGAGTGGTAAGTGTTCTCACTGTAATCGTTCATCCCATGACGACTAACCTTCGCAGCATTGATCTTCTATTATGGTGCCGTGCTCGTAGCATCCGAGTTTACAGTCAATGATGTGATTATGGTGTTTTCACTGTTGCTTTTCAGCATTGGATATGCAGCTCAGATCTTATCGTGGAGTGAGTCCCGAACTCACCCAAGTGCAGACAGAATTCCTGCTAAAGTTCTATTCCAGTTCCTCAAATCAACACCTCTCGCGAGGTCGCAACCCAGCTTCTTAGGCTTGTCAATCTTCCCGAAACGGACTCGTATGAACACCAGGGCGATATTAAGCTCTCCAAGCTCACTCCCATTCAACTTTCCAATCTGAACTTCAGATATCCCTCCAGACCTGATACCACTGTCTTGAAGAATGTGTCAGTCACAATCGGCCAGAACTCTTGCACCGCGATCGTTGGCCGCTCCGGCTCGGGCAAGTCAACCATCGCCTCGTTGCTACTGGCACTTTATGAAGCGCCCATGTCCAAAGATGGCCGAGCTACGGTGAAACTCGGCGGAGAAGATATATCGCGCTTACACATTCCAACACTAAGATCCCACATATCCATTGTGTCACAGCAGCCGATTATTTTCCCCGGAACAATCTACGCCAACATCAGCTACGGACTCGCTGACCGAGCATCCGTCCACAACGTGCGTGTCGCGGCGGAAGCAGCCGGCATTGACGAGTTCATCCTATCCCTTCCAAACGGATACTTCACAGTCATCGGCGATGGTGGCATTGGATTGTCGGGCGGCCAGAAGCAGCGATTGGTCATTGCGCGTGCTCTGGTTCGTGAGCCTCAAATCCTCATCCTAGACGAGGCCACGTCCAGTCTTGATCCCTCGGGAGCGGAGATTGTCCGTCAGACAGTGCAGAAGCTTGTAGCTACCCGGAATGACCTCACAGTGATTATCATCACCCATGCGAAGGAGATGATTGAAATTGCAGATCATGTGGTTGTTCTCGATCAAGGGGCTGTCGTGGAGGATGGGTCCTATCGAGATCTCGCGCAGCGAGTGGGTGGGAGATTATATGGGTTGATGAATGACCCTGAGCAAGCGTAGTACCCCTCCAGCATGGCTTTTGTCTCTCGTCGATCAAGATCGGATCTACCCCTTTATATCTTTCTCGCGGTGCTACCTACAATACTTTACTTTAGCAAATGCCAATCTCCATGTCATTGTCCCACGACCCTTAAAAGGCAACTCAATTTTGAGACTGATCCTGTAACCATTCAACAGAACTTCAGGGCCCGCGAGCGAAATCGGCAGTGATCTCCGACTTGCCTTCTTTCATCCAAGCTCCATTCACCCCCCAAGCCTTGTCGGTGTACTTTTCCTAATCAACACAAAGCACGGAAGTCCTCGAGGAGGCCCATGCATTCCCTTTTTCCTTAATATAGTTACTGGTGTTTATCCCTATCCAACCATTATCACGGGTTCATCCACTAGTTTCAGACCCAATGGCCATAAAATGGAAATAGATTGGGCCACGCAAGTCTTGGGGGCCGAAGACTTCCCGTAAGGCTGGCCGGTGCCAAGACGTGCTCTTCGCGCCTTCGGAGGGGCGGGGACGAACCTGCCAGTTAAGACGGAGGAACAATATTTGATTCTCGGGCATAAGTACCGTGTCTCAGCCCTGCCAAGAGACGAAACAAGACCGTTCGTTGCAATTTGTTCCTTTCTCGTCTTCTTTCATCTTTTTGCCTTAGTGGACTGCTCTCTTTGCCCGATTGACCGACCATTGGACTCCATGGCAAAGCCTACCATCGTCTTCGCCCCTGGCGCCTGGTACCCACCAACTGTCTTCGATGGGATCTCCAAGACGTTGCATGAACATGGGTACAACTGTCATACTATCGCTTTCCCATCTATCCAACAAGCCACCGCAGTTCAAGACCTGCAGCCAGATATCGCGGCAGTGCGAACTGTGGTCGAGCAAGAGGCTGATGCTGGCCGAGAAGTGATCATCGTTTCTCATAGTTGGTCCGGGCTCCCCGTGAACAGCGCCCTGGATGGACTGGAGCGCATCGACCGTGAAGCCGCAGGGCAGAAAGGGGGTGTGGTCAAGCTGGTGTTCATCTCGGCTTTTATCCCGCAAGTCGGCGAGAGCCTAATCAGCGCATTTGGTGGGACCCCGCCGCCGTGGTATGTGCGAGATGTAAGTGGACGCTGCCCTTCTTATTGATCAACAAATGCATAGGCATGTTATGAGATTGATCGATTGACATACTTTTCAGGAGGAAAATGGCACGGTGACAGCTAGTGACCCATTCGCATTATTCTTCCACGATGCACCCGATGGCCGAGAATGGGCCAGCACGCTTCGACCACACGCCTGGATCACCAAGAACTCACCCGCCACCAGCGCTGCATACATGAAGATCCCATCTTCGTATCTACTCTGTGTGGACGACTTTGCTATTCCCCTTGCTGTGCAGCAGTTGATGGTGGATCGGGCCCAGCGACAGGGTGCTAGCATTGAAACGGAGAAGATTAATGCGGGCCACTCACCGTGGCTTGCTCTCCCGGATCAGGTGGTGGCTTATATTCGCAAGCAGGCGGGTGAACAGGCTTAGAGGCATGCTCGAGTGCATAAGAGCTATGTACTGCATTATCGGAGCTGGAATGTATTTCAACAATCGTATTCACATGGATATCCCTCGCTGTACCAAAGATTCACTGACAACAAAAGATAAAAAGTCAGGTATAAACAAATCAATGGCCTATCTACATCGCTGGCGTAAAGCTATGTTCCAAAGTGCAAAATACCAAAATAAAAGCATCCAAAGAAGCCGCAAGCTTCATATGTGGGTAGCACTCTTCATGTCATTTACTTGTTGCAAGACAACGTCTTCATCACTTTCTTCAAGCCAGCAAACCGGCTCTTCTTCTGATTACCCTGGGCTGGGGTAGTACTCCCCTGATTGGCAGATCTGTTGGTCGAATTGCTTGAAGAGCCACCAACAGTAACCGTCAACAACTGAGGGTTCGGATCATACACACTACCAGACTGATCGGCGCCATTAGTCGGCGCCACATCATCGTACGGGAACGCATAGCCGCGGTTGTCCAGAGTTGTGGCATGGCAGATTCTGGAGTAGTGGTTTGTCACGGCATTCTGGTAGTAATTTGACACTGTCTCGCCGTTCGGTTGATTGGTGTCGATCAACAGGGTGGAGCGGTTGAATGCCGCCGCCAATCGGGCAGTGATGGCGTCTTTGGTGGCAACACCAGAGACCGCAAAGGCACCGGAGCTGTTGCTCCAGATATCTGCCGTGGATGGCTTGTCGTAGGAAATGCTTCCGGTGGAGAAAGCAAGCTTACCGTTCGAGACTTTGGCTGTGACATCGCCGGCGCTGCCTTGGGTATTGACAGTCAAAGTGGTATCGGTATATTTGGACCAAACCTGATCAACGTAGGAATCATAGTATGTCTTGAACAGGGAGTTATCCAAGGTAATACCCGTGTTGGGGGACACAGCTCGGAGATTGTTCCCATTCGTCGTGACAATAAGCTTGTCCCATCCAGCACTGTCCTTTGAGTTTTGCGTCTTGAGTGCCGTGCAGATTGTGGCGAGCCCATCCGAGGGTAGACCCTGGACGCTCTTCGAAGTACCCGAGGTATTGGTGAGCGTCAGGGCAATAGGCAGCGACACGAAATCAACAAAGGTAATGTTCACATAGAGTTGCGACGAGTTCCACGTAAACTCGCAAAAGTCCCAGTAAAGATTATAGTTGGCGTCCGATGGGTTGGATGATGAGGGCTCTACGAGTGCGGGGCCCGGGTTCAAATAGAACGTGAGCTTCGCATCGCGCACAAACCACAGTCGACCTCCCGCGATATGTGGGATGGTCACGGTCTTGGTACTGCCCGATGCACCGAGTGGGATTGCACAGTCTTGCGCAAGGGCTGTCAGTGTAGCCGATGGCGAGGTAGGGTAGTATGCCGTCTTGCCGTCCGCTTGTAGCAGAAAAAGGGCATTGTTGTTGTCGATTGCTTGGCCGGTGATGTAGGCATAGACCGTGTCTGAACCGGTTTGGTTCTTCAACGCGAAGTTCAAGGTGGACATTGTACGCGCCAATGTAGATGAGAGAGAATCTGAGTTCAGGGGCAGCTGCCAGCAGCACTTTGCCTGGTTAAAAGTAGTATGGACCTTGAGAGATCACAACACAGAGGGACAATCTGATAGGAGGAGACCAAGGCCCACTAAGAACGGGACGAAAAGCCACAGTGTTATAGAGAGATCTGGGTTGGTGCAAACACGATCTCAGCCAGCCAACATACTCCATAATATAGTATCTTCAGAGCAGCCAGTGTTGCTTCTGGACGATCTTCTTCTCCCCCGTGAAGTGCAGAAGGGCATGCTGACAGGATCCTGTGATTCAACGCCGTGATGACCTCGCGTAGTCCCCCTGGCCGAGGACTAGCCACGACGATTGGACCAGACATGCTTTCATCCTTTCGCAAATGTCGATCTTTGCTTGGACGAGGCTACACTCCAGCATCCGAGAGGCGTTCCGGCTGCAAGCGAGCCCGGTCGGCGCCACTGCGCGATCATGCCGAGTGCGCAGATGATCTCGTTCCCGCGTGTCGATCCATGACCGCATTCTTGTTTTTGCGGGGCTGGCTTCTCCACGAGGAAATATTGGCCACCACATCATGCACGAAATGCCGAGTCTGGGGTTGTTGGGTGATGGCTGTCAACTGCGTGGGAAGCGTGATGGTCGGATCCTTCTTGGCTTTGTCCGCTCAGCTCTTCTGTCGATATGATCGGCCAGTAGGAAGGCGCCCGAACGGTCTTAAGGTTGTTTCTCTTCACACCCTCAGGAACAAGATTCTGACGTTGTAACATCATAGCGTCATATCGTTGAAATGCGTGTCTAGCTGGAATTCGGTTACAATTCTCCCTTTCCTTTGCTTCGCTTCTCGTTCGTCTCTCCCAGGGAGCCTTAGGATCAGGCAAATCCACCTTGGGAAACCGACCATCTTAGAAAATGGAAAAACATTCCTGGCCTCGACCATCTACCGAAACGTCTGCCTCTCCATAATCCGAATCACTGATCAGTCGCTGGGTTGTGCAGTTCTATAGGATCGGCACGGAGACCATTCAACTCCGCTGGTTCGTACAACCTATAGACATATATCCGGTGTTGATCGCGCCTGGATATTACCTTGCCCACCAATCGTGTGTTCTCGTGCTACAGCTTGGACTTGGGGTCGTACGAGAGCGATGGCGGGTCGAGAAGCGGCTCCTCTGAAAGCAAGAAGCCGCCTCTGAAAAGAAGGCTTTTTGCAGGTCCCTGTCTTCTAGAATAGCTGGAAGTAGCGATTTTCCATTGTGCGAGAATGTCTCGTCAATGCCACATAGCTGGAAGATGGTCGGGGTCGGGACCAGATTGACCATCTCGGCCATGCTATCGCGAACAAGACCGGGAGGAATGCCACCACCACCGACGATTCGGGGCTCTTGGACCATAGTTTCTGATAAACCACTGGGCCATTTTTCGATGAGCTGGACGCAATAGTGTGAACAACCTCGGCGGTTACAATATTCGCTAACGGAGCAAATCCAAAAAACCTTCATTACAGGCCAGCCTTACCTGTCGAGATGTCACCAAGGATCAGGCAACCTAACATCTGTATAAACGCACTGGGAAGAAGAAGCGTTTGTCAAGACTGGCAATCATGAAGAGGCCATTGGAAGCATGGAGAATTGGGCACCGAGTTCCAAATACATGGTCATCGGATTACTTCAAAAACCTAGCTTGCTAATCAATACAATCGCTTCCCCTCTGGGACTGTTTTCGTCCATTAGGTGATAACTACTGACTACAGTACTAACTTGTGGAATAGTCTGTTAAATTGGTAAGAGAGATCAGCCAGCACTATCCACGGGTATTGCGGGTTACGCTTACAAACCGACCAACTAACTTACTCCGTGCTGAGCGTCCCATGGAACAGCTTCACCCAGATTGGTATAGTGCAGTCTAGGCGTAACCCGCGACCTCAAAATCGAACAGGTCACCTTCTGCTTTCCGGAGATGGTTACCAGTGCGAATCGAACAGTATGATGGCTATTGGTGGTCTCTATATTTCTAGTGCTCAACGAAGCGGGTGTACGAAGTAATGGAATCGGTGAGTTTCTGGGCAAAACGCGTCCTGATTTGCGCGGGTGGTATATCCGGGAGCACTCTCCCTGGTAGGATCTCTTGAGACTGGAATCAATGTGCTCATTGCAGATTAACGTTGAAGGACACTGTATCTGAATTAAGGCTAGAGTATGCCGCCCAGTCGATGGAATACTAAATGACCGTGTCATCGTAGCTAGTGATTCTAACGGTTTTCAGATCTAGATAGATCGGTCCAGACTTTGCTCGGATGTCATACTATTGAGAGACAATGGCGTTGTCAAACAATCCCTTCCCGTTACTCAATCAAATTACTGGACAAATTTTCACAGATAGCAAGGCTCAAACTATCCTGGCCCCCGTTGAACTCGGTTCATTGTTTCCCTGATAGGTCTCTCTAGAAGTCTGAAAGTCTCGACGTGATCTGGCCAGTCAACGACGTACGGGGCGTTAGTTGGGCCCGCGGGCCGCAGCATCCGCACCAACCTGCGAGTTCGAGTCTACCGCAGAACCCCGCCAGTGGACTAAGCAAGGAAACAGCCACAGAAATAGATGCTCTTGACGGTGTCAGAAGGTCACTTTCCACAGGATTCGCTTAACTTGAGCTGATGGATGAATAATGAACAGTCGCATCAAGACAAACACCCAGGGAACCGAAATACCGCTCGTCCCGCGTGGAAATCGGCATCTTCTGGCTGATTAATGGAGGAATGGCCACACTCCATTCGCGATGGAGCATTTTCCCCTCGCGCGCATACGAAGATTTGTTTCCAATGGATGGAGTAGTCGTTCAAATATTTAAAGGGCCTTGTCCGTCCTCCGAATAGACCCTATCCTCAACAAGCGGAAGTCCAGATCAAACCCACTTGCGAGTCAATTACGAGCGAATTCAATTAATTTCCCATCTCCAAGTTTTCGCCATCTGCAGAATTCCATCAAACATGGCCCACCTGGTTATCGTTGTCGGTGCCACTGGAACCCAAGGGGGCTCCGTGGTCAACAGCCTCCTCCAGGACTCCACCTACCGTGTCCGCGCCATCACCCGCAACCCCGATAGTGATGCCGGCAAGGCCTTGAAGGCCAAGGGCGCCGAAGTAGTCGGCGCCAATCTCAACGACGAAGAGAGTCTGGTCAATGCCTTCGCAGGTGCCTATGCCATCTTTGCGGTGACCAATTTCTTCGAACCGGCCATGAGTGTCGGTATCGACCAGGCGAGAAAGATCGAATATCAACAGGCCGTGAACATGGTCAAGGCAGCCAAGAAAACACCTACCCTGCAGCATTATCTCTGGAGTACCCTGCCTAACAGCAATGCCCTGTCCAAGGGCAGGTTCAACGTTCATTTCTTCGATGTCAAGTCCTCCGTCGACGATTATATTCGCCAGGATAAAGAGTTCCTAGCCAAGACCACCTTCCTGTACTTGACGTTCTTCTCGAAGAATATGTTCTATCCGGTGTATATCCCGATGTACCTGGTAAGTGCCAAACTATCCCCCACAGACCCACCATTATCAAATATAGATCTTGTGAGGAAGACCACCAGCTAACCAAATCCCCCTACGAATTCCAGAAACCCGCCAATAAATACGTGCAGCTGCTTCCTTTGGACAGCACCACACCCGTGCAGTCCATCGGCGACGCCGGCGTCAACACGGGCATCTTCGTCCGCTCCGTTTTGAAGAACAAGCCCGCCGGCGGCACCTACGTGCTCTGCGTTGTTGAGAGCTTCACCTTCCAGTCGTACCTGGACCTGTGGGGCGAAGCTACCGGTTTTGCAAAGGAGAAGGGCTCGGCCACTGTGGTAACCATCTCTTATGACGATTACCGCTCGCTATGGCCTGGATTTGGCGACTTGATGGGTGAGATGAATGCGTTTTGGTCCTCCGCCCGCGATCGCAGCTGGGAAACTCCGCTGGGAACCATGCCCGTCGATGCACGAGACATCATGTCTGCTGAGGATAAGGAGGCGCTGCAGTCGACTGCGACGTCCTTCCAGTTGGATGTGGCCGAGTATAAAAAAGCTATTCACTAGTGGGCTACTCTTGGGTAAGGTGGAGACTAATGAGTGTAAACAGATTGTTGTACAGTATTGACATAGAAAGAGAATTTGATTTCAATTGTATACTATTCAAACAAGTCGAGGAAGTAGAATAGTAGAATATTTCGTGTAGAAGACTAGAGCTGAAATGGGACGGCATGACGAGGTAGATGAAATCAAGTAGGTAAGCCTGACCTGCTATATGTCAACCCCTAGCCTTCTTTTTTGACACCTCTGGCTTTATCTAGATAGCACTATAGATGTCATGAAAGTAGGTAGAATGGACATGGGCATACAACTGCCCAAATTGTTGATATCGCCAGCCATCTAGTGGATGTGGATGTGCCGTGGGAGTGTTGATTGGCTGGAGGTGTATGGTTGGTGATGGCTACTCTCCAATGCTTAGATACACTTGTAGATCCCACAATTGTCTGTAGGAATGGGTTTAACTATCACTTTCTGTCCGTATTATTCACTCACTCCCTGCGACTTAACTGTCGCAGCTAATGCCCCTCCTCTACGCCCCGGCGATAACCCTCCAATGTAAGGGTGGAGGGCGCTTGTGTCACCAAAGTACTCCGTACATACGCAAAGAGGCGCTCCTTGCTGTCTCCAGCTGCACCACTCCGAGAAAAAGGGCTCTTCCGGTCTCGTGCAATAATCGACACTTGCACGAACGCCCAGACCTCGGGCTTAGTTTGCCGAAACCGTCCTACTTGGGAAAATGGTCAACGATTTAACTCTCTGGTTCATATCCACCACGCAGATCTCCGGTATTGACAACTATGGGTAACCATGAACCGCGACAAGTTCGAACCCGATCGCAGACCTTGTCACAGATTCGGCTAACGAGCCCAGCAGCTCCGAATCGTTCAATAGCCCCTTTGGCCTGACGCTGTGCTGGCCAGGGACTGGTGCACAGACCTACTGCACGCCTCAAACAAGATCGATGGGCTGCTGAGTCGTAGGGCGCCAGCATTGGCTCTCGTAAGCACCTATCGTGGGCTGTGACAGTTGGCGCTGTCACGTCGAGCCTATAAGAATAATCCGCCAGCTGCTCCACTCGGTGCGTCGCTGGCCAGTTGGGCCACGCAATCCTGTCTGGTTCTCGCTGACTACAGTACTAAAGTATTATTGTTCCCACTTGCTGCGCTGCTCCGCTTTGTGTTCATCGCCTCGCTGTGGATAAGAATAAGCAGGCATCGCCGCCGAGCTGCTGTCTCGCCTGGTCCACTCGTGCTTAGAATTATTGCTTCTTCAGATTGTATTAACTTATTACTCCCTGCTGGTCCCCACCGTTTATTACTCTCGTCTCTCGTCTCTCGCTTCTTACTTTTACTCTTTCGCATCATTCCTCGACCTCGAAATCCTGGGGGCTTCTCTTCCATGCATTGGACAGATCTCTAGGGCCCGCTGCCCGCATCGCACCATGTACATTCCACAGAAACGCGATCTCAGCCACAAGAATAGTGTCTTCATCATTGTATGCTTATCTTCTCCTTCCTAGCGGATTTGATCACCACAGTTTGTGCGGTCGCATCGTCTCTGATCTCTTCTCTTCTCCTGCGCTTCAGAGTACTAACCCAACGTTGCCTGTCTTCTAGTGCGCCTCGGTCATTGTCTTCGTTGTCGCCGTCTGCTTTTGTGTCTATTTCGGCGCCCGATGGCTTCGGCAGCGCTACTACGAGCCCAAGTACATTCCGGGGCAGACCTTGAAGCAGAAATGGAAGCAATGGTGTCCTGGAACCTCCTCTTATGGGCAGGTCCCGAGCCAAGGTTGTCAAAACAATGACACCTCCTATCAGGGTGCCAGCCCCGAGATGGCGGTCGCGAACAATCGCAATGGCAATGCGGGTCCGCATCGTGAAACGTCCGTCCGGTCGATCATGACATTACCACCTTACTCGGTGAGCCCGAAACCAACTGAACAAATTATCGCCCGCGAGGGTGAACGCGCCGGCATGGATCGGGTCGTGGAATTCCCGGAGACGGTCGAGGAACAAGAAACACGCCGTGAAGATCAAATGGAAGCGCTCTATCAACTGCGGGTCCAGCGGCGGCAGGAACTCGACGACCGCGAGGCTCGCCGTCGCGAACGCCGGGAGGCCCGGGAAAGAGGTGATTCAATTCGTCTGGAGCAGTTGAATCAAGAATCTCGCGCCCGGACCCGCCAGCGCCGCGAGGCCGCCGAAAGCAACCCTTCGATCAGCGCGGCGGCAATCATCGCTGAACACCAGTCCCGCGAAAGGGAACGGCGCATCTCCAGTGTCAGTTACGCTGATATCGGTCACGTTCGACATGATGGATCACGGGTTCGACGTGATTCATACGCCTCGGATTCCGATCGCAACCCACTTCTCCAGAGTCTTGCTATGCCTGCGTCATCATCGTCGTCGTTGATGGATGCCCCCAGCACCAACTCACGCGTTGTGTCTTTCGCTTCCACGCTATCCACCGAGGCAGACTCACTGCTCCTCCACCCGACATCAACTCGCGCGTCGTCGATTCGCCCAGTCTCCCCTGGCACACGAAGAAGGAGATCTGGGTATCCTTAACACCCTCCCGCCACCCGATTACGATCACCATGATTGGCGTGACAGGGATCAAGTCGAAACAAGGCCGACAGGCGATAGTTAGAATTGTTTTTGAATCGTTTTTCCAAGTTAGCAGCGTATTCCTGGGCAAATCTGCCGTTTGATCAATACCCCCCATTGTGATAGATTCCGCGTTCAAAACTGCGTTGTACATTAATGTTACCATGATATTTACATTTTTACGACTTCTACCTGTACTGAGTAGCAATTGCAAAGGATCTCAATCTATTTATTTGGCAAGGTAATCTCGGAGTTCAGACCACAATCCTAGATATATGATGGGAACAATGTTTTAGGGTCAACAGAAATTTTAAGATACAATACACGCAAGTTGACGACCAAGTCGACGACTATCAAGAACGCTCACTCGGCGTCCAATGGGCAAACCGGCGGCTGATCATTAACTTGAATACCACCACGCTTCTTCTCAAGTGTGTCATGATAGGGAAGTTTCCAACCTCCTTCAGACTCGGGCGCAGAAAGCCAAAGTCGCATCAGGTGTCGTCGCCGGGCGGGCTGGCCATCCTCGTCGACCGCGCCGGGAGGATGGTCAGTATAGGCCGTTCGCGCGTGAAAGACGTGCGAGTTGCTGAGGAACTGAATGTCCCCGGGTGCCAAAATCATGTGCAGAGCAAGTTCACCACAGGTTTTCTCGAAGATCTCCATCGCGTACTTCTGCTTGTCTGAGAGAGCGGGGATTTTGGCGTTTGGGCCTGAGTTGAATCGCGATAGAGAAGTGACGTTCATCGGGTCGAATCTCGCATAGACCCGAGGGTTGTCGCCGGCGCGCTCATTCTCGAGGTAAAAGATGCTGCCACGAATCCAGGGATCTTGTCCGTCCGAGACCTCGCCTTTGCGATCGAAATACCAATTCGGCTCGACCAGGGTTTCGACAACGTCGGGGTGTCTCTCTTGAAGCACGTTGAATAGATGGTGTGTGGAGACAATGTCGGATTCACCCCCAGAAAGGGATTTGGCGATGCACAAAAGTCCCACGATGTCAGAACCATCCGTGTGGAAGTATTGGCTGTTGGAGAGTCAGTATCATATAGATGATGATTAGTATGCGTCTATGTTGGAACATACCGAGCATTGGTGCGGTAAATGCGAACCCTATCAGTCTTGGTAGGATCCTCTCCAAGATCCTTGACATGGCCTAGAACGTGTCCACGGCCGTTCTGGCTGGTGAAGTATCCCAAATAGGTTCCAAGACCCATGTAGGCAGTGGCACATTTACGAAGATCCCACTCACGGACCGGAATGCCCTTGAATAGGAAAAAGCCTTTGCCATCGATCAAATCCTTTCGCAAGGCTTCGAGCCGATTCGAAAGCTTGGGAAGGGGGAAGTTTGCCTGCAAGCCTTCTTAGCAACTTCATCTCTCTCATTTCTGTTATGCAAAACTGACCTTGGAGATACCCGTCAGAGGCAAGTCTTTCTGGATGAAGTCGTCCGTGACGGCTTCCAGCTCTTTAATTTCCTCATCGGTGAATGTATGAGTCCAAAGCTCTGGCTTTTCGCGATAGTCCTCGGCCTTCCAGACAGTAGGCCCGCCATGGACCTTTGGAAAGTCACTGTATGGACGAACTCGTGAATACACGGGTGGGTGTTGTCCCGATGTTTTCAGTCCATCAGGAAAAACCGAGAGATTAATAGTGGTTGAGGTAGTTGAGGAAGTTTCCGTCTCTACCACTGTTGATGCCATGATAACGTCCGCTCAGAATATCGATTTATTTCATGTGAACCGAAGCTCAATTCTGCGCTCGATATCTTTTTGAAAGTTCAAGGACCATGCAACACGTTCTTCCAACTAATATATGAACGTTCTCGACAGTTGAAGTCATGCTTGTATATTCCCCGCATCGGTCGGTCGGTCGGATCGATCGGCAACTGCCTTGAGTTCAGAATGGTACAGCCCAGCTTGTGTCCTGGGATCACAAACCACGAAGCGCAACTACGGTCGGCTCGTCGGCTAATCGGTCAGAACCCCGATACTGCCACTGATCACGCAAGATGGTGTGATCGTCCAGTGCCTGAAAGGACCACATCAGCGACAGAAAAAATTTGTGTAGTCTGAAACTTGCAACATACTTGGTTCCCTCTGGATATTCTTGGATTATGTAAAATCTCGTGGCTGGAAACTATACATACGCCGAGATGGTGCCCGAGAAAAACATGATCACCTAGAGCCTTTGTTTTCTCCACTTCAAACTACGCACCCAGACATCACCTAAATTATAGAGTCGATAAAGTAGGTATATCCTTCTCTATGTTCATATGTTATAAGCTTCTCTAATTAATTACAAAGTTCCATAGATAATTACCGTACTTCCCTGTAATGGTTCACTTCCACAGCAAGAGTAAATTTCACAAGAAAAAAGGGACAACGTCGCACCCGGAAACGTTCATTACTTTGACTTGTGATGATTCCAACTCAGCTACTCAAGCGTGGAGCACTGTAGATGCGGGAGAGCCGTCTGCGGCAGCTGCCTCTATATCTCCTTTCGATGCCGGTCGAGTTGGGGGGACTGTCTTCTTGCTCAAGCCACTGATAGGGAGGGTGTTCAGGTCAAGCAGATACATGTACCAGTAGAACGTTCCTAGTCATTGTTTAGTAAGTTAATGGGGTTTCTCGGCGTATCACAAATCAGTTACTCACCGCAGAAGAGGCCACCACCAAGGATGTTTCCAATCAAGGTAGGGATAATACCCTTCCAGATATACAGGCCAACGCTGATTCCAGGAGCATCGAGCCAAATTCCCAGGGGGATGAATGTCATATTGGCAACAACGTGGTCGAATCCGAGAGAGACGAAAGCAAAGATAGGCCACCAGATACCAATGATTTTGGATGCCAGATCACGTCCTTGCAAACCGAAGAAGCATCCGAGACAAACTAGCCAATTGCAACCAATTCCACGAAGGAAGATCATGTGAAAGTCTGGTGTTACTTGCTTCTTTGTGGCAAAACTGATCACGGCAGACTTGAAGGGGTCCTTAGAGAAGACCTCGCCGTCTATTCACTTGAGGTCAGTTACATTCTGGGATAGGAGGGTTGGAGGTGCACGAACATCCAAAGATAATTGCAACCATGAATAGGGAGCCAGCCAAGTTTCCCAAAAAGGTCACGACCCAGTGCACAAGCATTTTCCACCACGGTAGTCGGCGTTGCAATGCTGCAACGGTGGTGAACTAATCACTTGTTAATTGCTTTATCGCCGAAGTTTTGATGTCGACCAGATAATCAACCTACCATGAAGGAGCCCGTGCAAAGATCGGCACCGGTTAGAATGATCATGCACAGCCCGTAAGGGAAGACCAAGGCACTGATGGTGCGGATCAAGCCCGCAGCGTTCTCTTGGAACCAAGGGGAGGCATTGGTGCTCAGAGCGGTTCCACATGCGAAAGAGAGCAAGCATCCAGCAGAAATAGAACTAAAGAATACCTTGTCCAATCGCATGTTACCTTTGTGCACACCTGTGTTGGCCACAGCCTCAATCACCTCCAAGGGTGAGAATGAGTCGAAGGTCATTGTGGGCGGATTGATCTCTTTCACCAGCAATAGTGAGATGAAAGTACAGGATTTTTCTGGTCGAGGGATATAATTGTTTTCAAAGGAGAACCTTTTGACTTAAGAATAGCTTGAAAGAGAAACAGACATCAACTATAGAATTTACTTGGCATATATAACCATTGCTAGACTCGAGAGCATCATGCCTTCACGCGATATATTCCGTGTCCCTTCAGGGACCAATGCCTTTTTAATAAGACTCATGATTGGTTTCTGATAAGGCAGCCGTAGCAGATCCTTTCAACCCCATCATTCATTCGTGATGGGGAAAACATAGAGAATAAACTCGCGTTCGTGATGAAGTTGCATAAGGGTTGCTCGCATCCATAGTTGACCCGGGGGACCAACAGATGAGCGGCAACTTATCATCCTTGGCAAAGATAACAGCCAGCACTAAAATTTTGGGCGATGCATCTCCGCGGACCAGTGTGTTTGGAATGCATTTATTGGAAATCCCTAGCAAGTCCATTGCTTTTGTTGGCGTAGATTAGATTCATCTTTTACGGGGCATCCTTATAAAAAGGAAGGATACCTATCAATTGACCATTAGATAGTTACATGGAAACCCATGCATTGTTTACCATTGATGGACTACCTAAATTCGAGTTCTCCGTAATATATTTAGCTTAGTTCAATCAGATTTCATTGTCTCATCTGAATCGCCATTCCTACCACTGCCGCGGGTATTAGGTAAAAGTATCGGTTGATTTCATTCCTTTTATAAAGCTTGGTGAAATTCAAGTGATCGCCATCATACCGGGGTCGAAGCGATGATCATTGCCGTGCGATATTGTCTATCTCAAGCTCAGGCCAATATGAATGGGATATGTTATCTGTAGAAATAGACTAGTGAGAAACATAAACGAGAGATGAATGTTCAAGATCGGACCCAATGGCCTGGCTCTGGGTCGATCGTGGAGCTGCGGGTTTGTTACTTTGTATTTACGTAGCGAACTAGTGGAGGTCCTGCCAGGGTCAATAATGCGTTGTGGATGGTCATCTTCTTATCTTTGTAATGCCATCCACCATCATTTGATTGCAAATCACGGCAACTAGTGCCACACAGACGCCCACAAGCCGGAGGCTTGAAGCCCCCCGTACCCCATACATGGAGCTGGCTAGCATGTGTAGAAGGGCCTGTGGGTCGATCGGCAGAGGAGCAGAATGGCTCGGACCGCGAGGGAAAGCCAGTGAGATGGGATGACTTTGGAAGTTCATGACACTGAACGCTGAATCACACATCCAAATGATGTCTGTTTGGTTTCTGGTATCCCCAAGCCTTGAACTGGTGATTCTGATTTCCAGGGTTGTGAAATTGAGAGGCGAGTGAGGAATAATGACGTCACACCCACGACACAAAATCGCCAGTAGATCAGGAACGACGACTCTTAAAATGATATTTCAGTGGCACAATTTGGTCGGTAAGACAATTTATTCCATATCTCAAAATGGTGAAGGACAAGGATACCGTGATCAGGTAGGTACTCTTTGCTGAATGCCCTACTAGCAGATAAGGTTGTGGCTGACTCCAAGCGAGCGAGTTCAATGAGCTTGTCAATATGACCCCGAATGAGCTCCGCGATTGGCTCAAAGAGGAGCAATCGCAGTCGTCGGGGTGGATCGGCGAATCTGGCGAGACTATCGGTCACGAGAGGTAAATGGGCAACCTCGGCGATTCCATTGGAGCCAGAAATTCAATTTGAAGCATTCAAACTGACCAAGAACAACAATACAGTGGTCGCAAGATAGTGGAGATTTTGGAACACAATCCAAGTCGTAAGCCTTCTGGTTATGATGATTCTGAAATCGATCATATGCGAAAGGTTGTGTCCTACTGCAAGCGACATCTCGCCCAGGAAGAGATTGCTAAACGGAACCCGAATAGCAAGAGCTATCGCTCTCTCAAGAATTGGGGACATGATGCTCTGAAGCAGTAAACTAGGTGGGATCGATGAAGAAGTGAATGATCCTGTATAATTATAGCACGCCTATGACAATGTCCAGTATCTATTTCATAGTCAATTGACCGAGAATTCAAGGTAATTATCCATTCTCCAGAACACTATCTGGCCCGACCACCTATGCGTCCTCCATCCGTCGAATCATATCTTACGTACTTTAGTAAAGACTAGGACAGAATAATTTAGCAAGCAATCAAGACCTCTGTTCCTAAGCCATCGGTGGATGCAACCATCAGTGCACACTTAAAGCAGCACTTGCCCCCTTCACGCCTCCATATCACTGCATTAGTCCCCGTATGGCAGCACCACGCACGCGCAAATACCTCACTGGCAGGTCCTCCCGTAGCGTTCACAACCAGAATAGTCGTATCGGCAGCGGCATCGCCTTTTTTGGAGATACGCGGGAGCTCCTCGATTCCTTTCGCGGCAAATGTGTAACGGTCTGCCGCACGTGGATCTATCTTGTGAACGCCGCGACATGGTGGGGTGGCAATGAAGGCACTGTTGGTGTAGAGTGTGAATGTAACAAAGGTACCACTGCGTCCAAGGCGGAAGTCAATGCGTGCCGTATAATGAGCAGCATCTTTGGCACTTAAATCAGCTTTCGGCGCTTTGGATAGACGAATAGTCTGAACTGCGACCGTATCAAGGGATGGTTCAGGGGCCGTTGGTAACATCCACTCTCCGCTATGACCCTGCCCATCCGTGCTCGACCAGGTTGTTTCTGCTGTATCTCCGATGCCAGAGTCCAGTTCCAGTGGAGGGAAGGGAGGTTGTCGAGTCGACAAAGAAACAGTGAGGCCAAGGCGGCATTCCGGAAGGGAAGGTGAAGGACATGGCCCAATCCAACCACCTAAACGACGAACCTTGCAATGACCTGTTTGCTGCTCCCGAGACAGTGGCGCGAGGACCTTGCCTAGTACAGAACGGGTATGCCAGTATGAGGCTTCTGGATATACAATGCCATAGTTTCCTTCGCGAACCTTGACGGTCTCGGTGGGCATGTGGGCTCGCAACGTCGGCGAGAGCTTGTACAGAGCACCAACGAGAATGAGCGGGAAGTGAGCACCTGGGAATACTAGCCCACCCATCCAGTCGTGAATTCGCACGTCAACACTTATTTCGTGGGGTTGTGCCCCAAGTAGATGGTTCGCTGCCTCACGGACCTCGTCCGCATAAGGCCACTGCATGTCATCGACAAATTTGATAATTCCATTCATCTGCCGTTGAAGCACAGACTTAGGCACCCCATAACCCCCAGTAGGTTTAATCTCCATGTTTCGTGCCCACAGATCAGCTGCTATCATGTCATAGATAACCCTGGAGGTGATCCCTCCGTACCAGCTTTGATTGGCTAGCTGAATGCGCAGTGTCAACTCCCGCGCGACAAGCATTTGTCGCATAAAGTCTGCAAATCCAAACCGCGAATTCGGATCAATCTTCTCGTAGAATGCGAGAAGAGCAATACTACCATTCACCTGGAAGCTGGGTAATATTGAGCTGCTCAGGGCCCCGAGCAGGTCGGTAATTTGATGCCGCAGCTTGAATGCCTCTTCTGGATCGAGCCATGTGTACCTGCAGTATCATTAGCGCGGCAGTTCTTTAAATTCTCAGAAATTGTATGTCCCTTAGACGTACTCGCTAGGGCCGATCAGCTCCCGCACCTGCTCGTACCCCTTCCTGTCTGTAAAGTTGTCTCCAAGTCCCTCCTCAACCAGTGTCTTCCACCTCTTGTCAATAAAGTCTGTGTGAAGCTGCTTTGAGGTGACTCGCTGCCAGCTAGGAGGATTTTCTCTCTTCTCCAGCTCTGGTAACCTTTTCCAGAAAGTGGCCTCCCTAGCAAATCCAGTCAAGGAGACTGATCCAGGAGACCACCCGGCGTACTCTCTGTCGCCCACGACTTCCATCTCCAGCAGATTCGATGACACACCTATTAGAGAGTCCGATACATACTGTAGGTCTTTGAGATTGTTAGTGGCGTAGATTGCGACAGGAAAAGAAATCACACATCATACCGAATATTGTATCCGAAACTGGCTGAACTTCTGCTAGTTCTGGAGTCTCGCCTAGTCCAACAAGCCATGAAAAGCATGATATGCTATTAGGCTTATGGTAGGCTTTGTGTATCACTAATGCCCCGGTGTCATCATAAAGATCGCCTGCAGAGGTTGTACACACAGGAGGAGAGTCGAGAGAACCGGCGACGGTGCCAGCAATTAGATCTTGAACTACAGACTTCGACCCTAATAGTGAAGACTGTGTAGGTGGATTATTTAATTCTTCAGCTGCCAAATTTTTGGGCAGAGCTGTGACCTGCACAACCTTTGGTGTTGGCTTCACGACGCCCTGTGGACCCCTCGTTGACAGCATCTCAAGTCTCAAACTCGCCGTCTCGGCGATGAGATCTGTCACCTCGTCAGCAGCAGTGACAAGATTTTGTAGTTGATCCACATCATTGCTCCGCATAATGGCAGTGCGCATCTGCACTCGCGTCTTATCTCGGATCGCTGGGAGTAGGGAATCTAGCGAGTCATTGATGGCTTTCAGCTCCGCAACAAGGCCTCGGAATTTGCGTTCGTCCGTAATAGCCCATCTGGCTTTTTTCAAGGTTGATGTCTTCTCCTGGACATTCGATGTACGTTGTTGGAATCTTGTGTAGGTTTTCTTAAAGGTAGTGAGAAGCATCTGCCGTGTTGGTGCTTCGGTCAAGAACGGCGTTGATTGCTTTTCTTGGCCGTCATTTTGTTCAACCAGGCCATATCGACTCCGGAGTTGCTCAATATCTTTAAAATAATGTGAAAAGCAAGCCAAAAGTCCTGCCACAGCTGGCCGCAAAGGAGCTCCTCGAAGGGACTCGTCGAGAATATCGAGGCCATTAGCGGTATCATCTTCGGGTCTGTTCGGGTCGATATCTGTCAGGCCTGCAGATTCTCCCCAGACCATGAGTCGCAGGCGTTCAACCTCTATTTTCGTCTGGAGAATTTCGCGATTGACGCTGTATCTTGCAGCCGCCGAGAGTGTGTCGAGCGTCTCGATGCAGGTATTAAAGAGGGCTGCCAACCCGACGACCCCAATTGCCGTACTTGCGATCTCCATTTGCGGTGCTTCTTCTTATGATTAGTTCGCGCGAGGAGTCTTAGTGCTGTCATTCCAGGTCAGGTCGAAGAAGAGGGCAGTGAAACGACTATGCCAGATGTTACGGGCACAGCCTCATGCCAAGCCGCTTGTGTACAAGGTGGAGGGACTGTCCTCGCAAGGCGCAAATGTATACGAGGTTGCGGGGTCACCACCAAGTTACGGGTCTGCTATTCCAAGTTGGAGGCTCAGCGTGTAAATATCGGACGGACAGCTTGGCTAACTTGCTAGTACTTTAGACTGTAGAGATAAACTCATCTTACTCAGAATCACGACATTGACCAGATAACGCAGCCTATGACAAGACCGCCCTGACTGGCAGCCTTAACTGCACATGCAAAGCATGCCCCTTGTCCCCTCACGAGGATGGCATGTTGTCCGTTTTGAGCGCACCATGCCCGCGCGACTAGCTCACATTCTCCCTTCCCAGTGGCATCAATGATGAGCACCCTCTTGTCAGTGTGAACATAGTCCGGAAGTTGACTCGTTCTCAATATGTGTTGCATCTTGGGAAGATCTTGCTGACGGACAGCATGAGGTCCATCTATACATGCTGGCGCCGCAACAAATACGGGGTTGCTATAGAGGGTGAAGTGAACTGGGCGGTCATTGATAATAATCTCCAGAATAGCCCTTCGTTCTGGCTCTCCATCATCATCCTCATTGTCCGTCTGGATTGTGCCTTGTGCAGGTGATGAGCTGCCTTGCAAGGCTGAACCCTGCTTTTGGAAGCGCACAGCGCGAAACTCGACGCGATCTGATGATTCAGACGGCCCGATAGGTACTGCCCATTTTGAACGGTCGCCCATGCCACGAATCCAATCTGCCGCACTTGAACCATCTTCGCGGCCATGGAACGGAGCGAACCGACCCTCATTCGCAGATTGATCACTGGCCATAAAGCGATTGAAGGCCACATCTCTTGCGTGGACACGCCACCAACCCTCCTTGATCGCCCCATCTCGGACATCCACCGGAGCCGGGCATGGCCCAACCCAGCCATTGGCCGCTCTGACCCCCTGCATCCCGCCCAAAACACGGCCCAACACCGTTTTGGCCCGCCAGTATGATCGGTCTTTAAGTACTAGCCCCGAAGTGTAATATGCAGCCGCTCCCAGGCGCTGCAAACTTGGTGTGGCTGCGACTACCGCAGCCATGATCGCAAAAATGAAGGCATTCCCTGGGAGCATGAGGCCATATAGCCAGTCCCAGAGATGAGTGCTGCTATTCATACCCGACCTGATACTGGCGTATGCTTCTTCTGTAAAGACGCGCATCTCCCCAAGAGCTGGCCACGCCATCAATTCGGCAAAACGAACAAGTCCTTCAACTTGTCGTTCATGGACAAGGCTATGGAGTTCGACATAGTTGGGTTTCCCTTTCGGGTCGGGCATCTTGACATGGACACCGTCAAGCCAGCGTTCTGAAGCGTGTATAGCGGCGACAATTCGACGACTCACGTTGCCAAAAGCAATATCAGAGAGTCGCTGCATGCGCATGCGTAGTTCGTGAGCTAGTATCACCTCCAGAAGGAAGCTATAAAGGCTATCGGATGTGCTGAGGGCGATGGTAGCCAGTGAGGCGCCGTCAAGCACGTCCGGGAAGTCTCTGCGGCGATTGAGAACGCTTAACAACTCTATGACTTGGTCCTGCAGGCTGGACCCCATGCGGGCGGGACCGATAAGCTGTTCGAGATTGTTACGCTCGTCGGCTTTCCAATACCGGTCGCCTTGAAGCTGTGTGCGACGCACGCGGTCGAGTAGCTTCTCAAATGGAACTTCCGGCAAGGCCCCCAAGGTGTTATAGAATTGCTCGGTTGCGGGGTTGTTATCATGTATCCACGTATTGAAATCGGCGATATAGCCATTCACACTTCGTGTACCAGGGAGCTTCCCTTCGTATAGACGATGGCACTGAGCAGTGTGAGCGGGGATATTTTTTTGAATTCTTTGAATCGACCCTTTTGGTTACATACCTCTATATCCTGTCGGCTGAAGTCGGCCTGGTCATGTCTTTCCCGGTCGGACATGTACATTAATGCTGATTAGAAGATTTAGAGACATGCAAGATAGTAAGAAGGTAGGTTCGTGACTTACACCATGCCAAGTAAGAATGTTTGACGTATTGAGCTTCTTTATGTCTCTCAACCATATAGTCATTGCTATCCATACCATAAAATGAGTACTCAGCGAAACAATCCCCTCCCTTGACTGCACCAAGACTGAATTGCAGCCCTCCTCGGAGCTCAACTCGCTTGCTCATGGAGGCCTCAAGCTTGCCCAGTTGTCTGGTGAGGCGGTTGACATCAATCTCAACAATACTATCATCAGTCTCCACAGTTTGGTTCTCGGCGACGCTCTGGGAGTACTGAGACAGTTGGGTAATGCGGACACTCGCTGCTTCCACAAGTGATTCTCCTCCATCCAAGTCAGAGACAGCCTGTTCGACGATCTGGAGACCGTTCAGGTCTGTTGACGCCTTGATCTCATCTGCCATGATCTGACGTGAATCTGCATCTATTTCTGGAAAGAGTAAAGCCAGGCTATCATTGAAGCCGCGAAGATCTTCAACAAAGCGCTCGAACCGCTTCTTGTCTTTGATAGCCCATTTCACCGCTGCGACCATGGACGAGCTTCGTTGAATCTGCGAAGCAGATACTTGCAGACGAACATAGGTTTTGCGAAATGTCGTAGACAATACGTTATTCTCATCGCTGGTGGCAATCGACCCAGTCGTTTTCGTCGCTTGTAAACCATACCTCCTCGTAAGGGAGCCACTATCCTCGAACAGCCGTCGCATACAACTCAGGATATCAGAAACAGCTCTGACCATCCGCGGCTCAACGAGCCGAGGGTCTACGCTGTCATTCTGGTTGGGCTTTTCCCCCTGGCCTGGAACCAGTCTAGTCAAGCCCACGGCATCTCCCCATAGCGCGAGACGAACTCGTTCAATGCCAACTTTTGTAGATAGAATTTCATAGTCCATTCCGAGATTCCGACCATTTTCAAACGTCTCGAAGAGTTCGAGACATGTCTTGAATAAAGTGGCAAGAGAGATAGCTCCGATCGAAACTCCAAGTACATCCATGGTCGATGCAGGTAGAATAGATGATCATGTCGAAGCATTCGATGAGAATTAATGCTGCACAAAAGCGTTATTCGTCTGAGCCGCAGCCAAGTCCCGCCCCTCATTTCCAAGTTCGTATTCCCACTCGCGGGCTGTTCAACTAGTCTGGAATCGGATGCGCACAGGCTCGGCATCTCAGGAAAATCCGCCCAATGAGCCAAGTGTGCACAGCCACCTCGGAATTGATGGACACTGGAGGGCGAGCTTATTATCACGAGTGGGCATGGCTTGTGAAGTGACGCGTCTTACAAAAAGGCCCTCCTCCACTTGAAGTCATATCTTGTGGGATTCACTAGGCCTTTAGCAGACCAAAGCCTTGTATAGCAAACTCTCGCAGTCAAAATGCCCATTCCCATGCAGGTATCTCTTCCACTGGCTCTGCACTTAAGCAGTCCCCAAACGTACAATATAATGACCGATGAGCGTTGGAAGCCCGGTGAGGTACGTAGACCTTCTTGAAACAGCTCAATGCAGGGAATAGGTTCATATTGTTGACCTGCGCTTAGAAATTGCAACGCTTCTCTCTCAACGACTTTGCCTTCATTGAACAACAGTCTGGTCGCGCTCAAGCGACACTTCTATTCGCAGCGATCTTGCGCGATATTTTCAATCATCCAGACTGGTCGCAGTTGTATGCTTTCTTCAGCAAGCGATTTCCCCAGGGACAGAAACCGGACGATGCCAGCGTACGGACTCTGGACCCGCCCAAAGAACAATCCGCCTGGAAACAGCCCACCGTGGTCGAGTTTATGACTGACCCCAGCTCTGTCGGGCTGCCCAAGGATTTGGTCACCCTGCTTGCCAATGCCGGTCGCACCTCGCGCGCGGGCCTGATGGGTCCTGACCCGCAGCCTTGCGCAATCGGCCCTGCCATCAGTGTAGCCTGCGGCGCGGCGGCCTACATGGACCTCACTTATGCGGGCCGGCCACCGGGGCATTATGACGAGATGACCTACATAAACGGTGAACTGTATGGCTGGAAGAAGGACAAGTTCGACGTCATGGCAAGCGCTATCTCAACGACCAAGAAGGGTGGAAGGGATCGATACTGGGCTGAGTGGGCAAATCTATGGTCTGTCATCGCCGCATGGGTATACGAGTATGACAGCACGGCGCTTCAATTGGGTCATCTGAGCTCTCATAGCTTCAAATATCGGCTGAGTCGGGAGGAAGAGCACTCATTCGATCGTTTCGGCAAGATCCCGCGAAATTTTCTCAAGACGGATGCCATCGCTGCCGCTGATGCAATTCACGATGTCTTCGCCCAGCTGGCTAAAGAACCGCGGCGTTACCAAGGAGTTGAATGGGATTTTCTGGAGCTAGCGGTGCCACTGGAGGTAAGAGAGGCTTTTTACGCTCGATTTGGCCATAAGGGCACCGATCACGATGAGAACCGTGCTCTGCTGGTACAGAGAATTCCCGGACCAGGGCGGGATTCTCTTGCGTACGGGGACTCGTTGGCATACGAGGAGGTCAGCCCAATGGCTCTCAAGCGCTGTCCGGAGACTTTCTTTGGAGCTAGCTGGGAAACATGGCTCTTGTCAATTGAGGGAGGAGATGTAGTCGTCGTGGAGACGCTATTCCAGGCAAGTCTGTCCTCCCTTGAACGGCCTACGTTCAGGTTGACTAACGTGTTTGCAGGCCCTTTGGGCGGTGATGTTGTTGTCTCAGCTTCCTCTGAATATCAAGATCATCGGGAGGGGTGATCGGTTTCCGAAATATCGGGATCCTGAGGACGTGTATATATGAAAATGGACAAGCAGCAGGTCTCGGATAGGGTGGCTTATCAAATTCTAGATCGAATTCACATATTTGAACTTAGGACTATCCCCATCAATTACCGTCGGGTAATCCTTTGGATGTCCGTTTGCCCTTGAAGTGGCCTTGCGGGCGTTGACGGCAAGCATAGAGTTTGGGTTATTGGTTTATTGGTGTTGCGATAGCGCCTCGTCGGACAGGCCATGGGGGTCATTTGCCGACAAAGCCTCCGAAGCTCAAGACCTCAGGCAACTTTCGTGCACGGGGTTTCTTGTCCTGTCTCCTTTGGCGTGGGGGCGTACATGGGAGAGCTTATCAAGGGAAGCTATGTAAACTTTAGGGGCGCGAGACGCCATCCTGGTCGCTTGCTTATGATATTCGAGAATCGATGACGACGGTAGGATGGGGGTGACTGGAGTGGAACCTGCCAAGGCTATGGAAGCCGGTTATTCGCTTTGATTGAGGACTCCAGGTTTCATAGCAGACCCTATGATTCCAGGATACCCCGTATGCGTTTGGACATAAATACGGGGGACGGAGAGTGGATCACGGGATCGATTCCGGGGTCTGAAGGGTCCCGGCTGGCCGCGGCAGGACAGTCACGGGAAGCGGTGAACGAGAGATTCGCCGCCCGACCGAGGCCTACAGCACTTTGCCTTCCCCCAAACAGGCCGGAGAAGACTCGGGGTAAACCCAGTGTCTCGTGGTATCGGCCTCAGTTGCCCCCCAGTGGCACCCCACATCTTCTCGTGGGACTCCTCGGAGTCGGTAAGTTCACGACGGCCAAAGCAAAAGCCTGCCAAGTGCATTCGCCTTCCCCCTCGGGTTGGTCCAGCCTCTCCGTCCGTGCTTGGCTCCGGGAATGACTGCCAATGATAACCTCGGCCTCCGGCGCCACCGAAGCGATCATCAGCCTCGCCTTCTTTCTTGGCCATAGGCAGAAGCGGAGACGTGGGGGGAACGCGGGGAAAAGACACCCCCCACCGGTGAGAGATTTCATTATCATGGGCTAATCATGCGTGGGGGTGGCCAATACTGATAAATATCCCCCTTGGGCCGAGAGCTCGGTCGGATTTCAACTGCCTCCATCTGAACAACATCATCGCCATGGCCAAACCAGTCGCTATTCATTACGAAGACCCTCAAGTGGCCAAGGCGGACTCGGGCCTCGAAGTTGAGATCCCACATGTCCCACTGACGGAGGAGGACAACAAGCGCATCTGCCGCAAAACCGACCGTACAATCCTGGTCGTACTGATTTGGGTCTACTTCCTACAAATCCTCGACAAATCGGTCCTTGGTTATGGTGCGACCTTCGGGTTACGGACGGACACGAACTTGACCGGCAACGAGTACTCCCTGGTCGGTTCCATCGCGCCAATCGCCCAGCTGGCATGGCAGCCATTCTCCTCGTATTTGATTGTGAAGGTGCCGCACAAAATTCTGATGCCGACCCTATGCTTGGGATGGGGCATTGCTCAGGCATGCATGGCCGCTTGTCACAACTTCCAGGAATTGATGGCAGCTCGCTTCTTCCTTGGCTTGTTCGAGGCAGGATGCTTGCCCTTGTTTGGAGTCATTACAAGTCAGTGGTACCGTCGCGCCGAGCAGCCCTTGCGCATTGCTGCTTGGTATGGTACGAATGGAATTGCGACCATTGTGGCGGCTGCTCTGTCATACGGTCTCGCACACATCAAGTCTGATCTCTTGAAATCATGGCAAATGTAAGTTGATCTAGACAATCGCCGGGATGCAGTCTTTTATCTGACATGTCGGACAGCATTTTCCTCTTCGTCGGACTGGTGACTATTGTATCAGCTCCCTTTGTGTATTGGCGTCTTGACAACGACGTGACCACCGCTCGTTTCCTCAACGAAGAAGAGAAGGCACAGGCAATGGAGCGGCTCCGAGCCAATCAGACTGGTACAGGAAACACGGAGTTCAAATTTAGCCATGTGTTGGAGGCCGCACTTGAGCCAAAGACCTATCTGTGGATCGGCATGGCCATGCTCCTCAATATCGGTGCTAGTGTCACCAACACGTTCGGGCCGTTGATCATTGGCGGTCTGGGCTACGACAAGTACACCACTAGTCTCCTGACTATGCCCTTTGGTGCTCTGCAGACAATCATGATTCTGCTCGCTAGTTACCTGGCTCAGACCGCCCGCCTGAAGGGTGCTATTCTCGCTCTGTTCATGCTTCCCGTTGTCGCTGGTCTGGCTATTTTGTACGCGGTTCCTCGAAACAATTCCGCACAAGGCGCCTTGCTTGCTGGATACTATCTACTGGCCTTCCTGTTCGGTGGTAACCCTCTGGTCGTGACCTGGATTGTTGGTAACACGGCGGGAAGTACCAAGAAGTCGGTCGCCATGAGTCTTTACAACGCCGCCTCCTCTGCCGGCAACATCGTGGGACCTCTCCTCTTCACCTCCAAAGATGCACCCGAATATCATCCCGGCCTGCGTGCCTGTCTCTCCATCTTCAGCGTCATGGCTGCCATTGTGCTTCTTCAATGGCTCAACCTGTGGTTCCTCAACAAGCAACAAGCCCGCCGCCGTGTGCGCAATGGCAAGAGCGCCCAGATCATTGATCACTCTATGCAGGCCCACTTCCACGGCATTGAGGAGACTCCTGAAGAGTCCGAGACTGGGCAGCATGTTGCTCATGCAGGTGCAAATGTGGCCGACGATCTGACTGATCGACAGAATGACGAATTTGTATATATTTACTGAGGGGATTGCGATGTATCTATATTTTTCATGAATAACATCAACGAATCAAATGTACCTCCTCATTATCCATGTCCTACGATCCCACGCGCAGAGTAATCACTAGCACATTGGATCATAACCGAGTTCGAACTTCGACTTGGGCTGAGCTAAAATTGCATGAGGTCGAGAAGAGAGTTGGAAGGATCACTGACATGGATATGTCGAGGATACGCACTACGGCTAGCTATATTTATTTTCTACACCTTGAAACTTGAATCATGTGAGAGTCCATATCAATGGTCCCATTGGCAATATGTCTCTCTGGTCAGGAAACTATTGTACGCCAACGCGATCTCGATCCCGTCGAGGTCCTTCTTCGCGTGGATGCACGCTTCCGTGTTGCACTGCACAAATTCAGGGACAGACAGCGTGTTAGATTATCCAGACTCCTTCCAGTTCTGGACTGAAATGATGGAGCGTTAATGTTCCAGATCTTGATTCCATTATATAACCCTAGCCAACAAATGCACAATGAGCCTTGTTCCACATGCAGTTGCTTCGCGTCAAGCGCGTGGTCTCAGGCGGGCCGTTGACGCCTGAGGCAGAACATTGTCCCCACAGGTACCAGTTCAATTGGTAACTCGACAACGTTGTCCTCCTCTCGTCTATCTTCACCTCCTTGGTCCTCCGTAGTGCATAATTGCATGTCGTACAATCTTACCCGACTCATCAGCCATGATCGCTGCTCATCGCACTTGCCCCTGGGCTGGAACTAGATATAGGGCAACTTTACAGAAATACGCGAGGCTGCATTGGAGTTACATCTATCCGCTTGCATGGCTTGAATGCCAAGTGTCCACTGATATACCTCCAGATATTGTACGAACATGACTCGTGTAGCTACGTCCCTTCGGACTCGGAGTCGGAGTCGGCGATCGTTGGGATCTTGACCGATCCAGGCACTAAATCCATCACCCAAGACGCCCCTGTAGCCTCATGGCGAGAATCTGAGGCTGCAGTCAGAATTGAGGATGCATAGATTCTCGTGGATCATGCAGGGGCAGATCAGTCTAGTTCTCAACCTTTGATTCGCCCATTATTCTAAGTGCCTCGCACGAATGGCCGGGATGTGATTCTGCTTTATGAGATAGTTGGACCAACTCCCATATACATATCAGAATCAAAATCCAGTTAATCTCGCTATGAATTGAAGCTTCGGCCCATTGGTATGCACCCTCCATTAGAGAGAACCCCCAGGTGAGCGCACACAGAACAATTCTACCTCGGCATACCAGAGTCAACAATTCAAGATCCTCGTCGCAAACAAACCAAGTCACACACACTGGTCACACCGGACCGTTGAGCGTTGTTCAAACCTAAACCATTCAATGCACAGTCCTTGTCAGGCTCTCCCTGAGCCTATCGCTATCGTGGGGAGTGCCTGCCGCTTCCCTGGCGATGCGACGTCTCCCGGAAAGCTCTGGGAACTGCTCAAAGAGCCTCGAGATGTCCTTACTGAGATTCCCGAGAGCCGCTTCAACTCAAAAGCCTTTTATCATCCGGATGGTGGCCACCATGGTACCACCAATGTGCGCCATTCATATGTCTTGTCCCATGACCACCGGTTGTTCGACGCGCAGTTCTTTGGAACCAAGCCTATTGAGGCCAACTCGATCGATCCTCAGCAGCGCCTGTTACTGGAAACTGTATGAATGCTTGGAATCCGCGGGTATGCCTATGGAGAAGTTGCAAGGGTCCAACACCGGCGTGTATGTTGGGCTGATGACCAACGACTATGCGGATCTGCTAGGGAGGGATGTCCAGAATCTCCCAACTTACTTTGCGTCAGGGACAGCAAGAAGTATTCTTTCCAATCGCGTGTCCTACTTCTTTAACTGGCATGGTCCGTCCATGACTATTGACACAGCCTGCTCATCTAGCCTCATCGCACTTCATCAGGCCGTGTTGAGCTTACGCAACGGTGAAAGTAACGTGGCCGTGGCAGCGGGAACGAACCTTTTACTGGGGCCAGAGCAGTATATCGCCGAGAGCAAGCTCAAGATGCTCTCGCCTACCGGTCGCTCTCGGATGTGGGATAGGGATGCAGATGGATATGCTCGAGGCGACGGGATAGCTGCCGTTGTCCTCAAAACTCTGAGTGCCGCGTTGGCCGACGGCGATCATATCGAATGCATTGTCCGGGAAACCGGTATCAATCAAGATGGCCGTACAAAGGGTATTACCATGCCCAACCCCGTTGCCCAGGCAGATCTTATCCGGGAAACATACGCGAAAGCGGGACTTGACTTGTCTAAATCTGGTGATCGGCCGCAATACTTCGAGGCTCATGGGACAGGTAAGGAGTCTCGTCTCCTTCCCGATACTTGAACTACTTATTTGAATCAAGCTAAAAACAATAGGAACGCCCGCGGGAGACCCAGTCGAAGCCCAAGCCATCAGCACGGCATTCTACGGTCCTAAAGCCAACTACCGCCGCACAGATGCTGATGAGCCACCGCTGTACGTCGGGTCAATCAAAACAGTCATTGGGCATACTGAAGGCACTGCTGGACTAGCCGCAGTGTTAAAGGCATCTCTCGCACTACAGCATTCTATAATTCCCCCAAACCTACTTTTGAATGAACTCAATCCAGCTGTGCGCCCGTTCTATGATAATTTGCAAATACTGAACGCGGCCAGAGAATGGCCACAAGTCCCAGCAGAGACGCCGCGTCGTGCCAGTGTGAATAGCTTTGGCTTTGGTGGCGCTAATGCCCATGCGATCTTGGAGTCCTTTGAGCAGAATGCAGTGGGTGAAGGCGCGGCTGTACCATGTGCTTCTATTCTCACACCTTTCAATTTCTCTGCAAACTCGGAAAGGTCTCTCCGTGCGAGCCTCGAGGCCTATTCTGAGTATTTGAAAGCGCACCCCCACGTGGATCTCCGCAGTTTGTCATGGACCCTGAACTGTCGCAGGTCCACGCTGCCCTTCAGACTGTCGCTGGCAGCCTCAAATGCATCCGACCTTGTGACCAGCCTAGACAATGCCGTACTGTCACCGTCAGATATCCTCGTAGCCAGCCAAACGTCTACCATCAAGCAGCCGAAATTGCTCGCGATCTTCACAGGACAGGGTGCACAGTGGGCTCGAATGGGAGCTGAGCTGCTCCTAAGCTCACCTCTGGCTGCCACCTGTATTGCTGACCTTGACGATGCTCTCAACATGCTTCCTGAACAAGATCGTCCTTCATGGTCTCTGAGAGACGAGATACTGAAAGACACACAGTCCTCCCGTATTGGCGAGGCTTTGTTCTCACAAACTATCAGCACTGCTATCCAGATCATGCTCGTTGAATTGTTGCGAGCTGCTGGTATTCAATTTACCGCCGTTGTTGGCCACTCGTCAGGTGAGATTGCGGCTGCACATGCGGCTGGTTACATCTCCGCCGACGATGCCATCAGAATTGCATACTACCGCGGTTGGTCTCTACAGGACGCTCGTGACTGCAATGGAGTCAAAGGCGCCATGATGGCTGTGGGGACATCGTTCGAAGATGCCCAAGAGCTTTGTGACATGCCGTCGTTAGAAGGCCGAATTTGTGTCGCAGCCAGCAATTCCTCTGCTAGTGTCACAATTTCGGGCGACGCCGATGCTATCGATGAAGCCAAGGACATTTTTGAGGACGAGAATAAATTCACCCGTTTGCTTAAGGTTGATAAAGCGTATCACTCTCATCACATGCTTCCTTGTGCCGCTCCATACATTGTTGCCATGCAGAGATGTGCCATTAGCATCCAAGCTCGCTCTGACAACAGTACTGCGTGGATTTCCAGCGTGTACGGCAAGAATATCGACGACGTCAATGATAGCCTTACGGACACTTACTGGAGCAACAACATGATCAACCCTGTCATGTTCTCGCAAGCCGTCAGCCATGCTGTCGCTGCATTCGGCCCCTTTGATATGGCTCTTGAGATTGGACCTCACCCCGCATTGAAGGGTCCGGCACTGCAGACCATACAAGAAGTTTCCGGGGTGTTGTTGCCATACACAGGCATTCTATCTCGCGGTAAAAGTGACAAAAAGTCTTTTGCATCTTCTTTTGGCGCTCTGTGGACTCACCTTGGAGAGCATGCCGTTGATTTTGCAGAATTCGAGAGAAAGGTATCCGGTGATGATCGACAGCCAAAGTTGCTTAAAGGACTACCATCCTACTCGTGGGACCATGACCGTGTCTATTGGCACGAGTCCCGCATATCATCCACGTTGCGAGTTGGAAATGAAGATTTCCATCCTCTGCTGGGAATGAAATGTCCAGATGGCACTGACAAGGAGCTTCGGTGGCGCAACTATCTTCACCCCCGCGAAATTCCCTGGCTCTCTCATCACCAGGTCCAGGGCCAGATTGTCTTCCCTGCTGCAGGGTACATATCCGCTGCAACTGAGTGCTTGGTTCAACAATATGGGCTGGGGTCTATTCAACTCATCGACTTTCAGGATATCATCATTGGGCAGGCTTTGGTCCTCGAGGAAAATTCCGGTGTTGAGGTTCTTTTTACTCTGACTATCACTGAAAAGGAGACTGGGTCTTTCAGAGCATCGTACAAGTGCTACTCCGCCGGAAGCAACGGAGCTTCGTCTATGTCGTTGCACGCATCTGCGCAGATCCATATTCTCCTTGGAAATCCTGACCCCGAATCCCTTCCCTTTCGCTTGGATATTCCGGATAACTTTTTGCATACTGAAGAGGACCGGTTCTATAACTTTGTGTCTGAGCTTGGATTTGGCTACACGGGCCCCTTCCGCGCGCTCACTGGATTGACCCGGAAGATGGATGAAGCCACTGGCCGAATCATTGTACCCCCTGTCGATCAGTCTGATCAATCTTTGGTGATCCATCCGGGTCCCTTGGATGCTGCTATTCAATCGATCATGCTTGCCTATTCTTTCCCTGGAGATGGGTGTTTACGTAGTCTTTACCTCCCGACAAAGATTGATCGGCTCCGCATCAACCCCTTTGGTTGCGTGGATATGGCAGGCCCGGGCATGATCGTTCCTTTTTACGCATGCGTTACTGATGCCCGGTTTGCAGAGCTATCTGGCGACGTTGACATATACTCTTCCAATGGAAAGCACACAGTGGTCCAACTTCAGGGGCTTCACACCACCCCTCTCACCCCACTCTCCTCTTCAACAGATGTTCCAATGTTTACTGAAATGACCTGGGCCGCAGAGCAGCCGGCGGGATGCGATCGAAATGGTGGTCAAGATTGGTTCAATGAAGATTGTGCCCACTCAGTAGACTTGGAACGCATTGCGCACTTCTATCTCAAGAACCTACATATGTCGATATCCCACAAAGAACGGCAACAGATCCAGTGGCATCATTATCATCTGCTTGCATACGCCGGTCACTGTACTGCACTTGTCAAGTCCGGTGATCACCCAATTGCAAAGCAAGAATGGGCAGATGACACCAAAGAAAGCATCTCGGATATACTCTCAAGGTACCTCATTACCTAATTGAGATCATTCAAGTGCACAGCACTAATCAGCTTTAGATTTACCGGCAACATTGACGGCAAGATCTTGCGCTCTGTCGGAGAATATCTTCCAGCTGTTGTTCGTGGGGAGGCCAACATTCTGGACATTCTAATGCGGGAGAATATGTTGAGCCAATTCTATGCTGAAACACTTGGAATGAAATCCTACTTGAACGAAATGGGTCGAATTGCTGGTCAAATTGGAAACAGATACCCTCACATCAACATTCTAGAGATCGGTTTGTCGCTGCCCAGTCCCTGAGGATATCACCGTCTGATAATAAATACAGGTGCCGGCGCTGGCGAGGCAACCGAAACTATTCTACGCGAACTCGACGGAGCCTTTGCGTCATATACATACACAGATTTCATGGACAGTTGGCTCGATAGCGCCCAAGATAGGTTTCACCAGTATCAGTCTAAATTGGCATTCAAAGTTCTGGACATCGAAAGGGATGTCGTCGAACAAGGATACGCAGAGGAGTCATATGACCTGGTCATTGCATCCCTCGCCTTGTATGCCACTGAGAACCTTCAACGCACACTTTCTAACATCCGCCGCCTACTGAAACCAGGTGGATATCTGATCATTCTTGAAATAACCGATCCAAGCGTGATGCGGCTCGGTGTCGTTCTCGGAGGTCTTCCCGGTTGGTGGCAGGGCCATCAAGAAGGGCGTACGTTGTCACCTTGTGTGTCTCCCGACAAGTGGAATGGCATGATGAAGGATGCCGGTTTCTCTGGTATAGATGCCTCAGTGCAGCATGACACAAAGCGGCTGGTTCCTTTTTCAGTCATGTTGACGCAGGCTGTTGATCATCGTATGAAATTCTTGCGTGACCCTATGGCGATGGGTCATCAGAGGCTGGATGTTGAATCGTTAACACTCATTGGTGGAAAGACTTCGCTCACCTCTACCATGCTGTCACACATCAAGAATGCCGTTCGGAGGCATTTTCAGACGATTAGGTGTTATCCTGAGCTCGCGGATATCGGGGCCCAAGAACTTCCATTCATGGGAACTGTGCTCAGCTTGGCAGATCTGGATACACCTGCATTGTTGACCATGAGTTCTGAAACGTTGAAGGGCTTCCAGGCACTCTTCAGGCAGAGCAAGAATGTCCTCTGGGTGGGGTACGGCGCTCAAGGCGAAAACCCAGCGGGTAACTTGTTCCGAGGTGTTCAACGGACTATTGCAATGGAAATGCACCACCTGCGAATACAATCTCTGAATTTTGCGTCTCTCGCCGACGTAGACGCTGGATTGGTTGGAGAAAGGCTCCTCCAGATTGTGGCCACCGACATCTGGGGAAAACGCGACCAGCTAAGGGGAATACTGTGGTATACGGAACCTGAATTGTCGTTCCAGGGTGGGAAGATGTTCATTCCCAGGCTTCGCATGAGCTCTCGGCGAAATGACAGATATAATTCAGCCAAGCGACTCATTGTCGACGCGATTAATCGCAAGTCCTCGTCAGTGGCAATTTCGCGGACCGAGAGTTATCAAGTTCTGGAGACAGAGACGCCGAAAGTCCCTTCTTCTTTCACCGATCATGTCGAGATTCAAATAACGCATTGTCTACTCCGCTCTGTCATGGTCACCGAGAGAGACCATCTCTTCCTGGTTGCTGGAAAAGGACCAGACGATAATGGCTACGTTGTCACCCTGGCAGAGAATCTGACATCCCGTGTTCATGTGCCGGCGTCGTGGATTATAACATCTGAAGATTCACAGGATCAAGCCGTCAAATGTTTACTCGGTATTTACATCAATTTACTAGCTCATTCCCTGGTCGAGAAAATAGTTCCGGGGGAGACATTGGCTATTCTGGAGCCAGACTTTTCCATCGCTGGTGCTATGACACACCATGGCCATCAAAGAGGCATTCGACTTATCTACTTCACAACAAAAGACACCCTCTGCTCTTATCCTTGGGTCAGTATACATCGCCACTCAACACGCCGAGAGTTGTCCAACAAGATTCCGCGCAACATCTCTCGGCTATTCAATGTTGGCGGAGACAATGAAGTGTTGTGCTTATTGAAGAGCCTGTTGCCATCCAGCTGCTCCTTCGAAACTGAACAGAGCCTGACACGCAACAACTCACAAATATCCGCTCTCGCAAGTGTGGATCAATTGGCCTCTCGGTTTAAGATGATTTTTTCTAGAGCAGACCAAGACTATGTGCCTGTAAATTTCAACAGGCTCCCGCAGTTGAGTCTAAGGGATCTGATTGAGACACACGGATTCATTCCACAGTCTTTGATTACCTGGGATCACTCAAATCTCCCGGCTCAGGTCAGGCCTGCCACCCAAGTGGTCAGGTTCGCCAAGAACAAAACATACTGGTTGGTGGGTTTGACGGGGGGTCTCGGTCTCTCTCTATGTCAATGGATGGCCAGGCAAGGCGCACGATACATTGCGATTTCTAGTCGAAGCCCCAAGGTGGATGAGAAATGGATACACCAAATGGCTGCCAGTGGCTGCACTGTCAGGATCTTCGCGAAGTAGGTCTCTTTCCATCCCATACATGTACAGTGACTGCAATTACGTACTTACAAATACAGTGATATCACCAATCGTACCTCTGTCTACAACATTCACCGTCAGATCATTGAATCGATGCCTCCTATTGGCGGTGTTGCGCAAGGAGCCATGGTTCTGCAGGATACAATGTTCCTGGATCTTGATATCACACGATTCAATTCTGTCCTTCAGCCAAAGGTTCAGGGCAGCATTCTGCTGGATGAACTATTCTCGGAAGACTCCTTGGACTTTATGGTTTTCTTTTCGTCCATGGCTTCGTTGACGGGAAACCCTGGTCAGGCAGCTTACAACGCTGCAAATATGTTCATGGCCAGCTTAGCAGCTCAGCGTCGAAAGCGTGGCTTAGCTGCCCATGCTATCAACATTGGGGCCATTGTGGGTAACGGCTATGTGACCAGAGAGTTGAACATGGGACAGCAATCATATCTCTACAAAGTCGGTCACACGTGGATGTCAGAACAAGATTTCCAGGAGATATTCGCCGAGGGGGTTCTTTCGTGCTTGAAGCGAAATGACACTGCCGATATATGCAGCGCTCTCCGCATTGATGATGATGATTCCAAAGACTGGATAACCAACCCCATTTTCCAACACCTTGTGTTCAAATCAAATACTCTGATTGAAGGTGAGAAAAAAGGGAGAACCAGCGTCATGATCAAAGCTCGATTGCTCGAAGCGACCTCGAACAGTGAAGTGATGGAAGCTTTGCAAGGTAAATAGAAATAAGTCTTTCAAAAAAAGGACCCCAGATTACTGACTAAAATCTAGATGGCTTCTCTATTAAACTTCAATCGGCCCTTCAACTAGATCCGAGCAAAGCCACTCTTGACATGAGTCCAGATGAACTTGGTGTTGACTCACTGAATGCCGTTGACTTCCGCTCGTACTTCCTAAAGGAACTCAGTGTAGACGTACCTGTTCTGAAGATTTTCAATGCTGGTTCCATCCGAGACTTGCTTGTCTTTGTTGCAGGCTGTCTCCCATCTTCCTTCATCCCGAACGTGAAAGAGAATAGCCTGGACAACTCTCCGGAGTCGCGGCCCTCCAGCCAGCAAACATCCCTCGGTCCCCCATCAACTCTTCAAAGCCCCTTGAGTGACCCTGATACACAGAGAAGCGATGAAGTTAAGACATTCCATTTGGAATACATGCCATCTGTCCATCACCCGAGCAGCACCTCGTCGGCATCGATCAAGGCAGGCGACTCTAGTTCCGACCAGGACGAAGACAGCTCCTCTCTGACGTCGCTTGAAAATGATGCCATGGCGAGCGAGAAGCAAACTGTTCAACGAATCGCTCCAATGTCATTTGGACAATCGCGCTTCTGGTTCCTCAAGTCTTTTGTCCAAGACCAGACCGCATTTAATGTCACTCCAACCTTTGAGCTAACCGGTAGAATCGACGTTGAGAGTTTCTCGAAGGCAGTTGAACTTGTTGCCCAGCGCCACGAGGCCTTGCGGACATTCTTCTTCACGGATGAAAACAAACGCCACATGCAAGGGGTCTGGGAAAAGTCTTCGTTACGTTTAGAGCACGTCTATATTGCGGAGAAGATCGAAGTTGATCTGGCGACGAGTCGAATGAAAGCGCACGTCTTCAACATCGCAGAGGGCGAGCTAATGCGCATACAGCTCCTCAGCTTGACCCCCGATCATCATTGGTTGTTGTTTGGCTTCCATCATATCAATATGGACGGGGTCAGCTTTGAAAATCTGTGGTTGGAACTGGAAGAGTCGTACGAAGGCATTGCCAAGTCGCATCATTCGCTACAATACCTGGACTTCACAAGAAGGCAACTGCGCGAGTATGAAGAAGGCTTCTGGACGGATGACCTCGAGTATTGGAGAAGCCAGTTTTCGATACTTCCACATCCCATTCCATTACTTCCATTTTCTCTTCTGCCAGCGCGCCCAACAGGTTCGAGCTATGCCTCCCGTCGCACACATATCCGTCTGGGCGTGGAACTTTCAAATGAAGTTGAAAACTGCTGTCGAATGTTCAAAGTCACCCCGTTCCATTTCCATCTTACCATGTGGCAAATTCTTCTCCATCGTCATCTGAGTGTTGACAGTCTGTGCATCGGCCTTGTGGACAGCAATCGTACGGATGCGGACATCTTGCAAAGTGTTGGCATGTTCCTAAACCTCCTCCCAATGCAGTTCTCGCTGGACTCGTCTCAATCATTCGGGGAGGCTCTCAAAGCGACAAAGCGTGCATCGCAAGAAGCCTTTGCGCATTCTCGTGTCCCATTCGATGTCATTCTGTCAGAGTTGAATGTCCCCCGATCGGCATCGTATAGTCCGCTTTTCCAGGCCTTATACAACTACCGTCCACGGACCGAAGTATCTCGCCACTTCTGCGGTTGTGAGGCGGAAGGAACACTGCTTACAACGGGAGAGACGTCTCACGATCTCTATTTGGACGTGATCAATCTCGGAAACGGAGATACACTTGTCCACCTCCTCGTCCAGAAAGATCTGTATAGTCTCGAGCACGCTGAGATTCTTCTTCGCAGCTATGAAAATCTTGTCCAAGCTTTCACTCGAAACCCCGCTACCAAGGTTTCATGGCCACCCCTATTCTCGGAGGCAGAAATTGAACAAGGCATACAAGCTGGCAAAGGTAAGTTCTGGCCTTTAGTGATAAATGCAACTGCACTATTCTAACAATCAGAAGGGCCGGAAGTACAAAACCGATGGTCATCAACTTTGGTTCATCGCATAGAGGATATGATGGACCTGTATCCTGCCCACGTCGCGATGAGGGAACCCAATGGAAGTCAGCTCACTTACTCACAACTGCGAGAACGAGTCGCTGCGATCGCCAACGAGCTTCTCGATCAAGGAACTACACCGGGCACCTGCGTTGGTGTATTTCAGTCGCCCGGTATTGATTGGATTTGCTCCCTGCTAGCCATCTGGCGCATTGGCGCTGTATACCTTCCGCTCGACAAGAAAGTTGGAATAGAGAGATTGTCGCTGATGGTTACTGATTCCAACCCTCTTGTCGTTTTGACGGACTCGACAACTACGAGCGACTTTGCTTTCCTTCGCAGCTCGGCTGAAGCGCTCAACATCAGTAATACTACACAACCATCCGGAAGTATAGCCCCGATTTTGACAACGCCCGATCAGACTGCTATCATCATATACACCAGTGGCTCAACTGGTGTTCCCAAGGGAATTTCTTTGAGTCATTCGTCGCACTTGCACCATATACAAGCATGCAGTCAAGCTTGGAGCTTCCCGCTGGGGACGGAAACAGTGCTTCATCAATCGTCTTATGCATGGGACATGTCGATGTATCAGATTTTGCTCTCTCTTTGCAACGCTGCCACCCTCATAATTGCCCCGAACTCTGCGCGTGGTGATCCCGTTGCCATGACAGATCTCATTGTCTCTGAAAAGGTTACCACGGTACTTGCAACACCTACGGAATATCTTGCATGGCTCCGACACAGCCCAGCCTCCTTGAGGCAATCTTCACTCGCTCTCGCAGTTTCCGGAGGGGAACCCGTGACAATCGGTCTTGCAAAAGGATTCCAATCCCTTGGAAAATCGGAGCTGAAGCTTTTCAATGTCTATGGTCCCGCAGAAGTAACGCTCGCTTGCAGTACGGGAGAGGTGCCATATACTCAACTCAACTCAGACTCAATGGACCTTTGCCTTGGCGTGACGACACTCCCAAACTATTCCGTCTACATCGTTGACGAGAACATGCAACCGCTTCCACTTGGCATCCCTGGAGAGGTAGTTATTGGAGGAGCTGGCGTTGCAGAGGGATATCTTGACCCTGTTCTGACAAAGGCTAGCTTCTTACCAGATCGATACGCAAGCCCCTTCTTCAAGAGCCAAGGATGGACGAAAGTTCATCGCACAGGAGATCGGGGATGGCTTACACAAGATGGGCGTCTGGTACTGTTAGGACGAATCAGCGGTGACAATCAAATAAAACTTGGGGGTATTCGCATCAATGTTGAAGAGATCGAGTCCACCATTGTCCAAAGCTCTGAAGGGTTTATTTCACAGGCCATCGTATCGGTTCGTTCTGTATCTGGAGACCACGATGGTGGATCATTCCTCGTTGCATTTGTCATCCTCGCCGATGCAGAGGCCCCTGAAACTGCGTCTCGACTATTAAGAGAGATACTTGCCAACCTGCCACTCCCTCACTATATGCGACCTGCCTTGATTGTTCCAATCTCTGCGTTCCCACAGAATACCTCCGGCAAAGTCGACCGATTCGCCGTTGGCAAAATCCCCACTTCGCAGCCGGTTCCTCAAATAATTGACGATGGGGCTATAACGCCAATGGAGCAATCTATTCGAACTTTGTGGCAAGATGTAATTCCGCAGGATATAGTGGGGTTACACGCCATCCACTCGAAATCTGACTTCTTCCACGTTGGTGGAAGCTCGCTCTCCTTAGTTGACTTTCAAGCTCGCGTCAAAGCCCAATTCGGTGTTTCTGTGCCATTGTATCAGCTGTTCGAAGCGAGCACGCTACAAGGCATGGCCTCCCGCATTCAAAACATGTCCTCCGAGCAATCCCCTTCGCCAGTGAATTGGGATGAAGAGATTGAATGTCTTCTGGCCGAACTTCCAACCATTCCGGATTTTGAAGCGCCGAGGACGCCGTCCGGTACTGGGGTTGTAGTCCTCACTGGGGCAACTGGCTTCATCGGCAAAGAGCTTCTACATCAGCTCGTGGGAGATGATAGAGTCCAGGTCATCTATTGTCTGGCTGTCAGAAAGCCACTCGTCCAACTACCCGCCATTTTCGCCAACCCCAAGGTTCACGTGTATCACGGAAACCTCGGGTCACCTCAACTAGGCTTGTCTGACGGTGATGCATCCTCAATATTCCAATCCGCTGATATCGTGATTCACAATGGGGCAGATGTCTCCTTCATGAAGAGCTATCAGTCCCTCAAACTGACCAATGTAGCCTCGACGGTGGAACTTGTCAAACTTGCCTTGCCGCGGCGTGTTCCCTTCCACTTTATCTCATCCGCAAGTGTCACCCGTTTTGCATCTACTGAATCATTTGGAGAAGTTTCTGTGGCTTCATTCTCCCCTCCTGCTGTCCCTCAGGATGGGTATGCAACGGCGAAGTGGGTGAGCGAGGTATACCTGGAGCGTGTCTGTCAATCATTATGCCTGCCCGTGTGGATTCACCGCCCATCGAGCGTGACAGGTCCTGATGCGCCTGAGCTGGATCTCACGAGCAACGTTCTCCGCTACTGTCAAACAACCAGGAAAATCCCAACCTCGGGAGCGTGGAATGGTGTCTTCGATTTTATCTCTGTGGGGTCGGCAGCGGCTCAAATTATAGATGCTGTGCATCTATCTGGTTCTGGGGCTGCTATAGATGGAGGAACTAGGTTTGTATATGAGTCTGGTGAGATTCAAGTAGGGCAACACGAAGTGCAATCGATGATGGAAGCGGATGCTGGTCAGGGATTCGAAACGGTTCCTTTGGCGGAGTGGGTTGACACTGCTGAGGCAGCGGGTATGAGTGCTCTCCTGGGAGTGTATTTACGTCAAGCTGCGGAGGGTCAGATTCTTCTTCCCAGGCTCGTGAAGGACAGTGGACAGGATGCCAGGAATGAGGCTAGATAGGATTGACATTAGAGTGTATCCATATAGGGATCATAGAAAGGAAGCACGAAGTCAAGACAACACATCCTGAGTACGTGTATATCAATTCGTAAAATAGTTACAGTGCAGGCAATATACCAATGTCACGCAAGACTTGTAAGAACGACTGCGGTAAATATGAGTATGAGATTCCATTCTATACTATGCAGGAAATCACAAATAATCGCTTCAAAGTCATAAACATCACTATTTACAGTCCCAACCAGAATCTGGTCTTACCAACCTCAAACTCACCCTGCAGCTCCTCCGAGCCAGTACCAGTGACAGAAACCTGGTAACGGCCCTTCTCAGAAATCCACTGCTCCCGCTGCTCATCCCACCAGCTAGTCGCAATCTTCTTCTCGACCACAAGCTCGACAGTCTTAGACTCGCCAGGTTGCAGGAAGACCTTCTTGAAAGCCTTCAGCTCACGCAGGGCCCGGTTAACATCCGTCTTGGGAGGAACAACCCAGAGCTGCACAATCTCAGCGCCGGCAATGGAGCCAGTGTTGGTGACGGTCACAGTGGTGGTGATAGGCTCTCCAGAGTCGGCGTACTTGGCCTGCTCGGGCACGGTGCTGATTTGCAGGTCTGATCGGGTGAAGGTCGTGTATGAGAGACCGTGGCCGAAGGGGAAAGCAGGTGCCACATCGCTCTTCTCGAAGAAACGGTAGCCGACGTAGATGTCCTCGCCGTAGAGGACGCGGCCACGCTCGGAGCGGAAGTTGACGTAGGAGGGTTGTCTTGCAGACGGCGGGGGAATGTGATGGGGAGCTTGGCAGATGGGTTAACGTCGCCGTAGAGAACGTCGGCAATACCGTTTCCGCACTCGTTGCCACCGAACCAGGCCTGCACCAGGGCGCGGGCTTGGTTGGCCCAGGGCATGGTGACGGGTGTGCCAGATTGGATCACGACAACGGCGTTGGGGTTCACGGCGAGCACGCGGCTGATCAGGTCGTCACTGCCTGGGGGCAGATCCATATCATCACGGTCGTAGCCCTCGGTCTCCCACTCGCTAGTCAGACCAGCGAAGATGATGACCTGCTCGGCCTGCTTGGCTTGCTCGACGGCCTTCGAGATGAGCTCGTCCTGGCTGACGCGGCGGGTGGCGCCGAATCGGAAGCCACCTGGGCCGAAGGCGACGATGCCACGTGTATCAAGATCTGAAGTAGGAGCAGTGCCGAACTCGAAGACAATCTTGTAGGTCTGGCCAGCCTTCAGCTCCTTCACGCCGAGCTCTTCGATAGTGGCAGTGCCGAAGAAGGAAGATCCCTGCTTCTGGTTCTTGGTGTTGTCGACAACCACCTCGCCATCCACGAGAAGACGGCCAGTGCCGACGACAGTCACGCCAAAGTCATACAGACCATCCTCGTCGGGCGTGTAGTAGCCTTCCATGTCAACGTAGTAGGTCAAGGACTTGATCTTGGGGTTGACATAGTCCATCAGGAAGCCCAGAGAGTTAACGAGGTGGAGTTCATCGACGACAGTACGATCTTGACCAGCACTCGGTGGCTCGTTGTACACCTTGAAGGAGAAACCAGTCTTTCCATCGGCAGTCTTCATAAGAGGGCCCAAAAGAGGCAGCTCCTTGTGTGAGTAGACACCCTGGACATACTTAACCTCACCCTTGCTCTTCGCAGCGACTCCATCAAACGGACTGACGGTGTAGTATGGAGCCAGAGAGGCGGAGCCACCACCACAGTATGAGGCAATCTTAGCGTTCGGTCCAATAACGAGGACGGAGCCATCCTTCTTCAGAGGAAGAGCACCGCCCTCATTCTTCAGGAGAACAACTGACTCGGCGGCTGCTCGGCGCATCAAAGCTTGATCTTCAGGGCGGTTGAGAGCCTTTTCCTCGGCTCCTTCAGGGATACCCAGAGGGTCGACCCGGTTGACCAAGTTCAGCACATTGCGCACACGCTCGTCGAGCTTGAACTGTGGAATCTTGTTCGACGAAACAGCGTGAGCAAGAGCCTCACCTCTCCAGCGGGTCTTTCCAGGCATCTCAATATCAAGTCCGGCGTGGATGGCATCCGATGTAGTGTAAGTACCGAACCTACACAGACGGTCAGAACGAAACTCTTGAGCAGGTACTGATTGTACTTCAAGTTTGACATGTTGAACTTACCAGTCACTCATGATCAGACCATCCCATCCCCACTCCTTGCGGAGAATATCGTCAATAATAGCCTTATTCTCACTGACATGCGTGCCGTTGACCTTATTATAAGCAGTCATAATACACGCCGACTGGCAAATGCGCATAGCCAGCTGGAAGGGAAGCAGATAAATCTCACGTAGGGCACGCTGCGTCACAATACTGTTAACAGCCATACGCTCGTGCTCCTGGTCATTGCAGACAAAGTGCTTCAGCGTCGCGGCAACGCCCTTTTCTTGCATGCCCTTAACCATATGTCCCGCCAAAGTACCAGACAGCACACCATCCTCCGAAAAAGACTCGAAGCCACGTCCTCCAAGAGGTGAACGCTGGATATTGATGGTGGGTCCCAAGATGACATGTGTTCCCTTCGCAATCGCCTCTTCGCCCATCAATGAGCCAACCTGGGCCAGCAGCTCGGTGTCCCAAGTGGCACCCAGGGCGGTCGCGCAGGGGAAACACGCGGCGGGAATGCCGTTGAAGAAGCGGGTGCCACGAACACCATTGGGCCCATCGGACATGCGCAGTGAAGGAATGTTCAGACGGGGAACGGATACCGTGTGCCAGAAGTCACGTCCTAGCGCAAAGGATCAGCCTTGATCTGAACGGCGGGGTGTACAGCACCGAACAGGTGATCGCCATTGCGGGCAGACACGGAGGGGCGTTGCTTGGGGACTTACCAGCTGTGAGAGCCACCTTCTCGCCGAGAGTCAGCTCTTCAATCGTCTTTTCAACGTCGATTGGTGCCATTTTGTCGCAAATATGGCTGTACTATAGAATAAAGATACCCTGAAGGCGCAAAGCAGGCAACACTTTCTTGCGACCGGACCAACGCAGTATAAATGCTTGCTGTAGGTACCGCAGGATTCAGAAACCGAAATAGTAAGCTTATTCGAGTCCGTTCAATCTTGGACAAGCAACACGTATTTCTCAGCCGCGAAAAAGGTGTACATCGATTGTCCAGCGGGGGGACTCGTCGCAATACTTATACCAGAGCACTTTTCCAAGATTGTGGAACCGACCACCCCGCTTCGATTTGAGATGGCCAGCAGCAACGTGTACCAAACAAAGAGGGGATCTTGAGCTCACAGTCCTCTCTCACAAAGGAAATCGAGGGGTCTTAGTGGAGAGTCGTGCCCACTAGACAGCTCAAACAGGCACGGAGAAGCACCCGCCGAAGCGCCCGAAGTTTAGCCGGCGGCGGCACTCGCGGAGTCTCGGACACGCGGGAATTCGGTCCGTCCAGCCGACTTGGGAAATTGGAACCACCAGGTTCGAGGGTAGTGAAGCTTGGGGTGATAGACGCGTTCAGGACGTGTTTGTGCGTTATTAACCCCTCAATGATATTCGGACTTGATTGTGGGGTTGATGGCTGAACCTACCTAGCAGCCAGGGAAATCCATGATGGTCGCATAAAATATATCGTCCAGTCTAGTGACGGTGTCTGTCGACACCGAAGGGTAAGCATGAAGGATCTCGGTAGAGTTTCCGGATCAAACATGCTGCCCACTTTAATTTTTTACAAGTACTCCGTACAAAGGAGCTGCTAGCGCAAACCGAACTTCAGGGTAGATGAAAATCCTTATTCTTCATTGTCGTGCAATCCAGCAACCAAACCCGTGAGCAGCTGACCAGCCCAGCCACAACGCCACCGGCAGTTCCAACAGATATTTGGATGTGAATCTCTGTCAGCATGCCTCGGTCAGGTAATTCAACTTCTTGTACAGTGCTGTAGAATTCTTCGTTCTTAGACTAGATAGCCGATTATGAAAACCATGTTTGTTGCGGATGAAAGACCGTACGTCATCGGGCATCCCGATTGGGACCGGGAATAACATAATCCGAGGCCGAATTTCTTATCGTGTCTGGGGATTGCTGGTCTGGTAGGAATAGTCTGTGAATAATATCGAAGACATCTGCTCTGCACAGCATGGCATCACGACGACTGCAGGGATTTCAATCCCTTCTTCGGGGCAAGTCTCATCTCTTGCGGCCTCAGCAACGCCGCTGGGCCCAAGTCCATGATGTACGCTTCCTGGCCTCCCATCATGACCCAAAGCATGTCTTGGACAAATACCGGAGTAAGTTGGACGAGAAGGCCAAAGAGTAAGTCAATCAATGAGTCACTGGCCCCCAAGGGCCATTTGAGCCGCGCTGACGTGGCAATTATAGAGAGGGTCATGGCTCTATCGACTCCTTGAAGGAGGCCTACAGCGACAAAATCAAGGACCTGCGCCGCAAAGCAGCCACCGCGGCCACCCCCGAACCAGATGCGCCTACACCACAGCCCAAATCGACCTCCTTCCAAAACACCCCTCCAGCCTTCCACCCTCCGCCCCCTCCTCAGACCCCATCAGCCACCGAGAAAGCCGCCCGAGAAGTTTCCGGCAGTGGCAGCCCCATCAAGTCGCTGAGCACCTACCTCGAGGTCGAGAAGATTCGCGACCTGCCCGCAAAGGAGATTGAAGCCCTCTGGCGCCTCCGGTTCGCAAACAGCTCAACCTCTATCTGTGCCGCTATCCCGCTAGACACATACCTGCGCATCGCTGAAGCCGCCCGCCAAAACCCCCAGTTCATTCTCCCCCTCCCGCGCCAAGCAGCTGAGGAAGACATGCAAACGCCGGATGGGACAGCAGCACAAACTGCCGCGGAAATCCACTTCTTGCAATGGGCTTTCCACCCGCCCGCAGATGACTTCATCCCGACCTCCGAGGACACAGTCAACAACCACACTTCGACCGTGATCTTCACCAATCTCGGCGCGTTCAAGATGCATGGCTCCTTCGCGCAACCGCATACTACTGTAACGCATCACTTGGATTTGGCGGATGACAAAGGTCTGGTCCTCATGCATGGCCAGGTCATGCCGGATCGGGGCGTTTCAACCGCCGAGGCGACGTGGCTGGTTAGTTCCGTGCAGCGCTTCTACGATTTTGGTGGACAGGCAAGTGGCCGCAAGGGCGAGTTGGTGCGGATGTTCACGCGGGGCGATGTGGAGAACTTCAAGGTGGAGGAGTTGATGGAGGAGACGGAGAGAGTTCACTAGACGGTCTGATGTCCAGTTTGAGGATAGTCAAGAAAGATTCATTGTAGTATATAGAGCACGCTTGTTGCTGATGACCTGTATCATAGAAAACACTTGGGTTTGCATTTTGAAACACTTTGAGCCTTCTACATCTGAACCGGGACTCTGAAGGGGGGATCTAGCTAGCCCTGGGCGTCGTTACCCAAGGACTAGTGGTATTTCTCTTCAGAGTCTCTTACGGTCTAAGCCCAGCGCCATCCCGCACCCGCATTAGTGGCCGAGACTAGACAAGGGCTGCTCTCAAACTCGCAGGTGGGCCTGGTGGTTTCGAGACAAATGCTACATCCCAATGCGGGGCTGATAAGCTTCTTCTGGTGCCAACTTTTATTTCTCGCTCTGTCTCTGGCAGGAAAAGCCCGTTATAGGTCAATTTAAGTTGCCATTGAGAGAGTTGTTGAGTGAGCCCGGTAGGATATGGCCAGTTGCTTCGTTCATTACAAGATTCAGTAGAGTCAACAACATTACTACGGTGCATGATGGATGCCACGCTGGCTGCTAAACGGGGCAGGCCATTACCCACTCACGATGTGTGATTCACGACGACGACCTCATGGCGGGGCTAATGATCAACAATCACAACAATAATTTGGAGCAAGTGACTCCAAAACCAAATTGATCAATTCAATATTCTATTCTGTAGGAATTTTTCAGCCAGGACGTGCCAGCCAGGTCATAGCATGGGGCATCGAGCCCAGCATCCCTCAGGTTGCCTCCGGACTCAGCCCTTGGACTTTATTGTGGCGAAAATAGTTCACCGTGTCTTTGAACATCGCAAATGAGAATTGGGCATGGTATATGCCGCCATCGAGCCCCTTGAGAAGCAATATCGCTCCTCCCGACTCATCTTGAAAGTCGAGCAGGAACCCCTTCGCAATGGGGTAGAAAGTTGGTACATGGAGTCCCAATGCCAAAAAGCAGTGCATCGCCATGATCCCAGCTGTGGGATCTGGATTAGACTCTTCACAGAGCATGATCTTGATAAACTTCAATGCCTCGAATTTGACCAGCTCGCCGGCTTCTTTCACGGCTTGTCGAACATCGCGATGGTGTGGCGCCACGACGGTTAGCTCCTTCAGCGCAACCAGGAGATACTGCACTGGCAGGGGCTCTTGAAGACAAGCTGCCCAGCTTGGTTGGGGGACTGTTGGAAAATGCGCTAGGATGGACCTTGCTGCGGATGAAGTAGAGCGTCCAAGCACTCGGCGAAATAACTGTTTGACTTGCTCGTCGACCAGAACGGCCATGCATGGGGAGTCGGCGGGCGTGTTCCAGACGATGATCTTGGGGGAATGCCTGGTGGCATCAGCGGTCCATGAAGATGTTGGGGAGCTCTGGAAGAAACAGTGTTAATGATATGGATCCATGACACATTCTCCTTCTGGATCAACGGTTGTGATGGCAAGGCTGGATGGCGCTTACCTGGTCTGAGAGCGGGCTGGATGTGTATCCGTCTGCCATTCGATGGACGAGAAACTGTGACAGGCTTGATCGGAGTGTTTTCTAGACAAATTATTGTCGCAATCAAGGCTCTTCGAGCTCAGAGAGAAATCGACTGTGTTCTCACATGCCGTTCACCGCAATGTGTCGACGGTCTGCACAGTACCTCGCCAGAAGGTAAACACTATGAATTACAAAATGTTGACAAAATCAACTTTGATAAGAGAACTCAAAAAGACGCCCGAGGCAGATAGTTTCACCTGCATCCATTGCTTGTTGCTCAGAATGTTGGGCCGGTCATTGACAATCTCTCGGAGATCGGGGTAATTACCGGGCTTGACCCCGACGAGAGCTACCCCGTGACCGGAGGAGCTGCAGAAACCGGCGCCTAATTGGAAGTAAGTGCTGCCACATGGTATAGGAATGTTTCCGAAGCTTCTTCCGGTAACTTTGCCCACCCCCCCGGGATCTCATGGAGCAAGGCCCGGAGGCAGCAACGCGTTCCGCCAGATGGAAACATCCACCACAGATTCAATTGGCAAAATCTAGGTTACCGACACTGGAAGCAAACACGCACATTTTGGGAGCGGGGAGGATGCGGGGCATAACTGAAGAATAATAAATGTAAAGAACATAAATGATAGTCATGTGCAACTGCAGTCCTCTTCTGATGATCGAAAAGAAGCAACTACAGAAAATACGGTGCGAATATGAAACCATCGACTTTAATACAATGTGTCTTTGTAATGGTGACTGGAGCGATGGCCGAGCCTGTCAAACCAGTTAATAGTAAGCCAACTCGGATCACTTTCAATCCCCAGACATTATTAACATCCAATTCAAACAGCATTGGAGCCATTCAAGTATTCCACGTTTCCTTTGGGCTCCATTAAAGCTACCGGCTGGCTTCAGGACCAGCTCGTCCTAGAAGCCAATGGACTTGCTGGCCATTTGTTTGAGTTTTATCGCTATGTCGCAAACTCAACCTGGGTCGGGGGAACGTATGAATACAGCGAACTACATGAATCTGCGCCTTATTGGTTCAATTACATTGTTCCTCTGGCATTCACTCTGGATGACCCACGTTTGAAAAACCAGGCCCAACAGTTTTTGGACTATGCCATTGATCATCAAGCGGCCGACGGCTGGTTGGGACCGGAGACCACACGGCAGACACGGGGAATATGGGCTCGGAGTCTGCTGTATTTCGCTTTAATGGTGAACATTCCGTTTGGAATCGAAGAAACCCATACTGCTTGTAGCATGATATAGCTAATACCTAGAGAGGACAGCAATATGCCGAAGCCGATTCAGCCCAGACAGATCGCATCGTCACTGCAATGCACAAGTTTACCATTCTAGCAAATTCCATGCTGAAGAACAATTTCACTGGTCTTATCCAGCAAAAGTCTGAGGAAGACGACTTTGACCCCTTCGGATTCGGACTCTCTCGAACACACGAGCTCCCTTTGGCGCTACAGTGGCTCTACGAGAATCATCCTCGAAACAACTCAGAGGTGATCTGGGAGACAATGAATCTGATGTTTGCTGGTGGACGACAGGGAGGCCGTGACTGGACAACTTTCTTTGTTGAGGGGGTTTTCCCTACCTTGGGAACACCGTATATCAAGACCAGTGGTTTTACTCATGGTGTGAATCTGGCCGAAGGTATGGTCCATAAACATCGAAGTCACGTATTTCTAGCCACTGACTGATGTGTGAAGGACTTCGCTATCCGACTGTCCTGTATAGAATGAACCACAATGACTCGTTGCTGGAGCAGACGATGAATGCTGTCAACTGGACCTATCTTTACCAATCAACAAGAGCGGGGAGCATCACTGCGGATGAACATCTCGGTGGCTTGAGCCCACAAAGAGGGTAAGACTGCTCCGCCGTCAGATGCAGGTGAATATTGAGCTCATATATGATAGATCGGAAACCTGTATGGCAGTGGAAATGATGTTCTCTATGAGCTACCTCTTCCGATTCCACGGTGTCAACCGCTTCGCAGACAATGCCGAGCGCGCTGCCTTCAATGCTTTCCCAGCGGCACTAACTCCTGACTGTAAGTCATATTCGTCTCTCCCGTCACGTCAACTATTGACATTTAGCAGGGTGGGCACACCAATACGTTCAACAGACAAACCAGCCCTGGTCTCGGAACTTGACGGCAAAGCCATACTTCAACGTCGTCTCCTACGGGAACACTTTCGGTCTAGAGCCTAACTTCCCTTGCTGCACTGTGAATCATGGCCAGGGATATCCTAAATATGTGGCTTCCTCGTACGTGCGCGAGAAGGAAGACCATATTATCCATGCCCTGCTAGGACCTGCTACTTTGCACACCAGCGTCAATGGTAAGAATGTCATCATATCGTGCAAGACTAACTATCCTTTCTCTGGAAAGTTGGTCTACTCGATCATCTCAGCCACGGACATGGAATTCTCAGTTCGAATCCCTGCGTGGACGAACAGTACAAAACAAAACTCCTACTCTCTCAATGGGGCAAAGCCAAAGCCTCTCACGCAAGATTCCGCAGGACTACAAACCATCGCCATTAAGAAGGGTGAGACCGATCTGGAAATCAACCTCGAGATGTCAGTTCAAATCACCGAGCCGCGCAACGGATCGGTAGCAGTACACTACGGACCATTACTCTACGCCCTGGACATCGAATTCGCCAACGCATCGTATCACAGCCCCCTCAACTGGACAGATCGTACACCACTTCCAAGTGATCAGATCACGCCAGAAACACACGACTGGGTTTTAGATCCGACGTCGGAATGGCGCTACGCCATCGATCCTGCGACCGTGACCGTTGAGCAGCTGCATCATCCGGATAAAGACCTCCCAAACCCGATCTGGACGCGCAGCGCGGTACCAGTGGCCCTTTGGGTAGATGGGTGGTTGATTAATGGGAACGAGCAGACTGGGACTGCGGCTGTTCCACCGCAGAATCCTGTTGTTACTGGTGAGCCGACGAAAATCCGGCTGATTCCGTATGGCGCTGCTAAGTTGCGTATTGCGGACTTTCCTGTTGCTCAAAGAGTAGCGTAAGAAAAGGTCTCAGCCCGAGGCTCGTTTGGATTGGACTTTGATGGGCATTTTTCATTAGCAATGTTTGAACATTCCGTCCGTGGTCGTTCCTGAGACTACACTCGTCTCTCACTGCCTCCTGCACCACGACTTCCCTCCATAGTACAATGGACCATCAGCAGACATCCGACTGTGACTTCTTATCTTTCCTATTAATCTCAACGTCCTATAGCGTAAACGCAGCGGCAATTGGAGTCCCCATGAGAGAAGAAACGAAACCGCATCTCAAAGTCCCTTCCCCCAGGGCATGAAGTCGAAAGGCTGGGGCGAAATGGTTCCCTGGTCACCCTCCCGCCATCCAAACTCTCCAATTTACACTTTACACTCCCGACCACGACAAGTATTATGATTAGCCCGAGTTTGCCACCGGCCCCCACGCTGTTCTCAGTCTGAAACTCTGTTTTTAAACATTCGCCGGCCCGTTGTCTTGTCGCCTCCCCCGGATGACGGGAGCCGGTCGGCTTACCTTGCGTTGTCTGCGAAGCCGATGTGATTCCATGGGTGTCTAGATCATTGAGTCTGCCGTCTACGGTGAACGGGCAGCCCCGGTGAGTGATCTGGGTCCCCCAAACCAATAAGTTAAGGATTGGACTTCTGGCTTGGAGGAATTTACATGTTTGAGACTGGTGGGCTCCTTGCTCCGTGCAGTGTTTTCATGGGACAATCCTTGGTGGTACAACAGCGCCACAGTTGTGGCCAGGAACCAAGGGGGGCCATGCTTAAATGAGACTCGTGAGATGAGATGAGATGAGGCTCCGGGGCGTGGCGCGACTTAAAAAAGGATAGCCCATCTGTTGCGGCTACGGTTGTGGCCGGGTCGCTGGGATATGCTTTACTGTAGATCTCCATGGGGAGACGACAGAGGTATATCCGGGGCCTTTCTCATTATTGATGTCCAGGAAACAGGGAAAACATTGATCAGGCCACCCATCGCATATGGTACTGTTATATTGACACGAGGCTATTCCCACGGATGCAAGAGTGAAACAAAACCGCCGGGCGCACACGGAGTCTGGCCGAGGCTGGGCGAGCACGGATCAACGAGGACTCCGTACATTCGCAAGGAGTTATTCGTGTGCTGTTCAGCTGTTCGTAGCCGGTCGGTCTGCACGACCAGTCGTAACACACTTAATTCTGGAGCAACCGGCACGGATGGTCGGACCTATACGTGGCGAAAGGGGGTACACTCGAATTGTATAGTAAGTGAAACGGGCACGCTTCTGCGATACTTTCCTGTCACGCTATCAACCTGTTCTAATCAACCACCACGGGGTGTCTGATAAGACAACCAGACTAAACTTCGCCCTAGTTGGGAGTTATCGTGAGTGGCCCGTCTAAAGGTCTAAAGTGGATATGTACAATCATTACTTGCCCGTTTGATGTTAGGGGGTCCGCTCTTGGAATGTTGATGTCGTATGTCGTAGGATGTCGTAAGTGGTGGTGCAACCCAGTAGTAACCCACAACGCACCACACTTCGTAATGACCCAGACTACTACTGTCTAACAGTGCCCGACCATACCATGAGGGATTTAGGGGTGTGCTTGGGGACTTTCCCCGCACTCAAAAAAGTGGGTTTACCAATTTGAAAGCGGTTCGATTGCGGGGAGGCGAGGACGAAGTGGGATCGGCTGTGTGAATCTGGGGATGGACCCCGACGAGAGACCCCACGTAGTGTTATGGGTGGCTTCATGCCAAGGGGGAGGAGACGTTATCCCAAAAGAATAACAACGGAAATCGATAGAAGATGCGATATGCCAGACAGAAAGCACTATCAGATGGAGAGGCTCTTTCTGATAAGCATGAAACCAAGCACTAAGATAAAGAGTTAGTCCCCTTTTTTATCTTGCGTATCGACTCGGTGGCTGGCGGGTGGGCGTTGCGCCGATCGCGGTAAGCCGTTCCGGTCGCTCTTGGACTTTTCATTTGCCTTTGCCCCCCCCCTGGGAGAACTCAAAAAGACGTGAGAGGCTTGGAGCCAAGATAACAACAGGAAAAGGACCCTGGCAACCGGGGCTAGCCGCGCAGGGGGTGAAATGGTTTAAAAGTAACCTGGACGCCCTGCCATCATAGCCGATTTCAATTGACTAGCAAAGATTGAGTTTGCATTCAATTCCTTCCATTTCTTTTTGCTCTTTCAGTTTCTGTCTGTATTTCATGTCACATTATGTCTGAAAAAACAAAAGGCGACTTTCTGGCTCCAGAGCCCACGCAGATTGGTGATATTATCGAAGGGGCTCACGATGCCGTCTTTGGTGAGATCACCGAGGATGGTCCTAACTATCGCGCTGTACGTTGCACACACTCTCCTATACTAATATATCCGCCCTTGAATTGCTCGTTAACCATCATTGTTGGGCTCTGTAGGTAGGATGGAAGGGAACCGCTGTCCTCATGATGAAAACCCAAATCGGTCTTGGTGTCCTATCTATCCCTGTCGCCTTTGATGCTCTTGGCGTCGTGCCTGGTGTGATCTGCTTGATTGTCATCGCGGGTATTACGACGTGGTCCGACTACATTATTGGTACTTTCAAGCTGCGGCATCGCGAAGTCTATGGCATTGACGACGTGGGTGAGCTATTGATGGGCCGACCAGGTCGTATTCTGCTGGGTGTTGCATTCTGTCTTTGTGAGTTGGCTTTTCAATTTCTTGCTAGTGCTTGCTTGTCTTCTAACATAACTATCCCAGGGTGGATCTTTGTCGCTGGCTCTGGCATGCTAGGAATTTCTATCGGCCTTAACGCAGTCTCTTCTCATGCGACGTGTACTGCAGTCTACGTTGCCGTCGCTGCCATTGTCGCCTTCCTATTCGCTAGTATTCAAACTCTCGGTCGCATCTCATGGCTGGCTTGGGTTGGTCTCTTCTGCATCCTGACTTCTAGTAAGTGATCTATCAATGCGGCCCCAGCACCTGATCTAGGTATTCTAACCTTCCTTCAAGTCTTAATCGTCACTGTCGCTGTCGGAATTCAGGATCGCCCCTCTGCCGCCCCGAAAGATGCCGTTTGGGTCCCGGACTATAAAATTGTCGGTAACTCGTCGTTCAGCGATGCTATTTCTGCCATCTCAACAATCATCTTCGCGTATGCCGGCACACCTGCTTTCTTCTCTATCGCATCTGAGATGCGCGACCCAACTCACTATAACCGGGCCTTGATACTCTGCCAGTCGGTCGTAACCTGCTTCTATCTCGCTATTGGCATCGTCATCTACTACTTCTGCGGGTCATATGTCTCCTCCCCTGCTCTCGGCTCGGCCGGTCCAGTCGTGAAGAAGGTCAGCTATGGCTTTGCGTTGCCCGGTTTGATTGTTAGCACATTGCTGTTTGTCCATGTAAGTTCTCGCTTTACACCCCTAAGAAACAACTTTATCACATCTGGGACATCTAATACTAACATCTGATAAGATCACTGGAAAGTACATCTTCGTCCGCATTCTCAAGGGCTCCCGCCATTTGACTGCCAACACCGTCAAGCACTGGGTCATCTGGCTCAGCTGCACCTTCGGCGTCACCGTAATCGCCTACATCATCGCCAGCGCGATTCCCGTCTTCGGTGATCTCGTCTCGCTAGTTGGTGCCCTGCTCGGCACCCCGATGTGCTTCCAGCCCATGGGTGGCATGTGGCTGTACGATAACTGGAGCAAGGGCAAGGATCATCGCACTATGAGGTGGAACCTGATGGTCTGCTGGTCTATTTTTGTTATCGTGGCTGGCTTCTTTTTGATGATTGCAGGCACGTATGGGTCTGTTGTGAGTATCATTAACAGTTACAAGGAGTCTGGGGGTTCGGCTGCCTGGTCTTGCGCCAACAATTCATAGACTATATTCATGATGACATTAGAATTCTAGTTAAGACTTGACGTTCTGAAATGTCTAAATCTTCCTTAGGAACCGTGTGCATGCACTTTTAGAGTTATTTAAATGGAGTAGGATCAGATTTTCACTTCAATTACCGTTGGTCCACCATGACCAACGACTTCACCGTTATTTTATCCCTGAAGATTTTGATTGACCCTCTGATGCCGACGTTGGTCTTGAGACAAGCTCCTACTCTTCATCCTCTTCATCTTCTTCTTGCTCTTCTTGCTGTTCACTTCGAATGCCGAGGCTGTTTTATCAACACCAGTCCTCGGAAATACTAGGGACACAACAGCTTTTACTACTGACACAAAGGGGACCATGGCGCCGTCACCGCGCCGACGTTCCCACAGGAGAATAATGATGAAAGTCACGTCCGCTCCGATAAAGAGGCCAATGACCGCAGAGCTATCCCACGGGTGCTGATTTCCACCCCATTTCAATGCCAGGAAGAACATGATCGCCGCAGGAGCGGTCAAGACGAAGCCCGGGAGATCGAGGGAATTCACCGCTGTGCGGAAGACCTCGCTGACGGGGGTCTTGTATTGGGACTCGGGAATGGTCACGAACAGGAGAAGACCCGCAACCACTGCTCCTAAGGGGAGATTGATATCAAAGCCTGCCGGAATCTGGGTTAGCGGATAATGCATCTTCTTATGGACAGAGGATAGACCTGGACCAACGCCACGACACGTACTGTGTGAAGGCGCCGCCGATGAGCGGGCCACACGCAATACCAATCTGTCCCAAGCCAACGTTCACGCCCATGACGGTTGGCTGCCCATGGGAGGGAAGGATGGCCGCAATGATCGTCAGAGCGCCGTTCATCAGGACGGATGATCCGGGACCGGCGATGGCACGACCGACGATGAGAATGTTGGATGACTGTGCGGCACCACAGAGCGCTGAGCTTAGCTCAAAGACGGCAAAGAAGGCGAGGAAAGACCACTGCGGTCTGGTTTGCTCCTTTGACCACGGTGGAAACTTTTCAAACAGAAGACTACTACCTTCGTACTGAAGTAGGTGTAGATTTTGCCGCTGGGAGGCTGGACGGCCGAGCTGGCTAGCTGATACGCTCCGCCATACCTAAGGTAAGGTGGTCAGACACAGCTCATGACCGGGACCGTAAATGTGAATAAAGGTTACCAGCCAATATCGAGCAGCGAGTCGAACTGAGAGGTGATGGCGGGAATCGCCACAGGGATGATGGAACCGTCGAGCATGAAGGAAGTAGACCAGTGTGCATTAGCCTGCAAAAACAATATCCCATGCTGATGACTCCTGTCATTCCCAAGGCAGCGCTTGCCTTGATGGTCATCTTGCATACCAACCATGCACATGCCCTACTTCTGAACCCCGAGGCGCAGAGAGCCAGGTTTTCCCTTCATTGGTGAGAACACTTCACTCAAGTCTATTACCGAAGCTGTAAATGTAGCTGGGCCGACGTTCGGAGGGGTACTGAACTAAGTGGCATTCCAGCCTACTGAATCAGTACTGGAATATGGAATACCTCATGCGGATCCAGTCAGACCAGAAGAACCTCACCAAGCACGCGAGTGTCCACTGGCACGAGCTTTCGCACCAAACATCTCATCCAATAGAAAATATAATACCTGCAGTCCAGGAGATGAAGAGCAGTGCGCTATGGTTGGCGGAGAAGAGTTCTCTGTACGGGCAGGTTGGGGAATTCACCGAGCATGTTGAGTACGACTAGCTTGACTACCTTCTGTAGAACCAGCAACGAGTCATTTTTGCCAGTTTTGAACAGCTTGCTTAGTTGAAAGCTCGCTTGCTGCCCTCCCAAATTGGTCAAGTGGGCTAGATGGTAATGGTTTTTTCTTATCTCTGCTTGAAAATAGTTCATTTCCGAAAATTGATATTCCGTGGCCTGGGTGATTCAGAACTCTCAACCACTTATTGCTGACTGACAAGCACGTTATCAGCTACCCAGGTAAGGATCAATGAGGCTATATGTGACACTCACTGATCTAGACCTCGGGACATTTAGATTGTTCTTTCATGCAGCTTTCCATTCTCAGCGTTATCACTTTCTGAAGGGCCCTCTGAGGAATGCTGACTGAATATATCGTTCGTTTCAGTCCACCCTGACTCACCATTTATTCCCTTCCAAGGTTGCGTCTATTCGCGCCAGCATAGATGAATCATCCACCCCTACTGGATCCAGGCTCCAAGACAACAAGCGTCAAGTATCTCTTTTGTAGATCACGTTTGATAGCTCCCTAATCAGTCGCCAAGCTTAGCTCCAGCCCCTCAGCTATCTTCCGCTCTCACATACTAGGTTTTGAGCTTCAATCATGCTCACAACATTCGGAGACGGTGATACAAAGAAGGGCAAGAGGCAGAGGGTCTCTTGCTCTTATATTTTCAAGTGGATAGCAAATCATCGGGGTTTTGGTCATCGATCACGAAACAATTGCGGGACTATGACATCCATCTGGCTCCTTTGGGAGTCGGCGCCTACATTGGACCGGAGGGAGAAAACGGGGGTTCGCTTCATCCTCTCTTTTCTGCTACTCAAGTGCCTTCCACTGACACTTCACCTCTCCCACTTCCAACCTCTCCCACTTCCAACCTCTTCCACTTTCAACCTCTTCCACTTCCAACCTCTTCCACTCTACTCTCGTGCTTTCAAATGGAGCTCGGGACCTGGCGATCGCAGGGTCTTCTGAAGTGACTTGGTACACACAGCTGTTCTCAAATACCACATGGCCCTGAAGTGGGCTGGTCCACATTCGCTCCTCAGGGTTGGCTACCTTGCCATGGATGCTTTAAACACTTCGCAACAGTCCGGTACGCTAACTGTCCCTTTACCTCTGTTTAATGTATGTGAAGCCGGACGGGTATTCGACACGCTGACATTCTAATAGGCATCACGAATCTCGGGCTGGAAGACCGAACGGCGATGCTCCGATAATTTTCCGCGTGCATCATGATGTACTTTGCAACAATGCTCTGCTGCCGCGGGGACGTTCCGCTACGTGGCCCGTCCTTCGCATCGCATTTCAAACACTTGCTCGACGACAATTCGCCGTAGCCACGGCCGGTGTGCGAGGTGATATCAAGTACTAGAATTTCACGCTCTTCCTCATGGCTACCCTTAGAGGAAAAACCGCTGTTCACCTTCTACCCAACGGAAGCGCAACTGTTGACCATCTCGAAATCATCCCCGCCAAACTCGGCCGGCGCTGCTACACACTGAAGGATGATGCTGTCTTTTTCGAGGATCAGTTGGTGAGGTCCGTCACAGACAATTTCTTGCCAGCTTGTCGACTGTCCAGTCAGAGATCGGTAAGCCTGAGTGAGAGCTGCAATTCTGAGGAGCAATATGGTCATGTTCGATCCAAACAAGAAGTCAGCTAATGCTGAGCATCATCAGTCACTGTTTGCTTTCTTCACCGACCGCGCAAATACAGCAGTCTCAGAGGGAACGTGGGAAGAATCACTTGCCTCGATGATGAAGTGTCAATATACTCTGAGGAGCATGTGGTCTTGTTCGATCCAAACAAAAAGTCAGCCAAGGCTGAGCCTCAAACCAGATTCTCTCTTCATCGGCCAGCGCCTCCAATCGTAACAAGGAAATCACTTGCCTCGATGATGAAGTGCAATATACTCTGAGGAGCACTGTGATCCAGTTCAATGCGAGAAACAAGCCAATCAAGGCCGAGTGTCATGCCCGAAGTCGTCCATACTGGCCTGGAATTTCTGTCATGCAAGTCAAACGCCTGTGATCACTCCACCTCTTCTCCTGGCTCTTCACAAGCGAGATGGAAGGATCAAAGTCCCAAAATGATGGGAGTCGACGAAACAATGTGATTGTGATGAGTACAGAATGGAGAAAGTTGACAGATGGAGGCGAGAACGCCTGCCACATTCTGGTTCGTTATAACTTGGGAAGGAAGTATGGAATCATTACGCTGTTGTCCTCGTCTGCCCTTGCTCCGCTACGGTTTGTATCCTTCTTCAATTGACCGAATTCAAACAGGAAGGACAGCTGCGTTGTGCTCATGCCTGGACCGAACCCTCGGAACCTCGCAGGGTACTACCTGTCTTTCAAGAGTGCTGCTCCAAATCAGTAAGAGCTCGAAAAGGCTACAGTGCTATTATTTTGCAAGCAAGGAAATATGAACTCCAAGGCTATCGGAGACCACTATAGTCGTGGCGATGATTTCTATCTTACGTATATCGATAAGCGATATAGATTCTACTCGCACGGGTTATTCAAATACCCGGATGAAAGTATCGAGGAGGTATCGGAGCATAAACTCGAGAGCATGTTCAGCAGCTTGGAACTCAAGCCTGGACAGAGGCTGCTAGATATCGGTGGCGGTTGGGGAGGTGTTACTCAGTACTGCGGTGCTCGTGGTGTGATGTCACATCTTTGATTCTGGCGGCGGACTCTGCTCGCTTCATCCAGCGTTTGATCAGCGACAAGAACCTCTCGGGTGAGGTCTTCTTGCAAGACTTCCTGAATTACAAGCCAGAAAAACAGTTTGATCATGTTGTTATCCACGGGGTCACCGAGCGTTTCCCAGACTACCAAGGATTTGCTTAAACCAGGAGGTCGGGTTTATCTCGATGTGTCGGCTGCTGTCACCAAGTTTGCTGTTAGCTCATGGGCGAGACAGTATATCTGGTCGGGGACGCACTCATTCATAACTGTCCAAGATGTCATGGCCGAGTTTTTGTATCATGGATTTGAGGTTATCGAAGTTGTTCACGAGACGAAAGACTATGAGCTTACCATGTTGGAATGGACTAAGAGATTAGATGCTGCCAAGGATGAAGTCATTGCAGGCTGGGGCGAAGAAACGTATCGCGTATTTCGGCTCGTCCTGTGGGGGTGGGACCCATGTATTTAAGGCGAATACTCTGCAGGCTTACCACCTTGTGGCCGAGAAGACAGTTTCTCCAGGACCACGCCCATCAACCTACAGTCGAATTGTCGAGTTCCTGGGGGCTCTTTATTGATTTGTCGAATTAGGATGTCAGTCCGATCTTTACCATTGATGGACTAGTCTAGCCATTTAACCCGCGGATCAATATTTTGGGAAGGGACAAAAGATGGCTAGGACATACATATCATGCTGATTACCGCTACCGAATTGTAGATCCTATAGATAGGAAGAGCGCAATGAGATCTTAATTAAAGTTACGGGACTAAATCTCAAATACTCAAATTGATCGTCCATCTATCTTCCCTGTTTTCCACACAGAGTACCTGACCTGTAAGAATTTCTTCGTAGCCTGGCCCCCACACTCCCAATTGAGACACAGGGTCCGTGTCTCCAAAGTCGAGTGGTGATTGGAGGGCGAGGGACGGATCGATGGACGAAACTACTGTACAACATGCACCTGTTCGTTCGCGCCCATTGGCTGCCGCTAGTGCTTATACGAGGCTCGGCGTAAGCTATGTTTTGAAATCAGGGGTGCCTTAATGCAAGGCCACAGTCCAAGCTCTGGACCCCTAAATTTCGCTGAATCTGGAGGTTCCTCATCTTGATGATCATTTCTGCATTTCTTCCTTCGTCCCCACCCACGCTCGTCTTCACTCTCGTAGCCCTACGCCTTTGATATCATTCTCTCGCTCGTTTCTCAGTCGACTTTTTATATTCCACCATGTTGTTCAAGTCTCTTGCCCTAGTCGCTGGCGCCACCATCGCAGCCGCTGACAGCACCGTCACCCTTTTCCTGCCGGGATTTGACGCGCCGTCAATTGACGCGAAGATCGTCGGTTCGGTACGGTCATTGAGATCTGAATATCCAGAATATCACTGACATACGTATAGAGCAGCGCAATGACTACCTATCTGCTGAACTGCCCGCCCAAAATAGACACTCAGAGCTGTTATATCCCAGATGGTGGGTACACGTACACCGCAGGCTTATCCAAGGTTATTTATGCCCTGACCATGGACTCGGACTCCGAGTAAGTGCACTTCGATTGTGCTTCCTTTCCCATCCTTTTGGGCATCATGTCTCTAATCTTGACGGCAGAACAATTCTCGAAAGTTGTAACTTGGAAGGAACCACATCCGCCACCTGCTGGGGAACGATGATCTATGGCAACGTAACCTCAACTGAAAGTACTGCGATCGATGTCGCAACCATTCCTTATGGAGGATTTCAAGCCGTCCATGTCACCGCCACTGAAACTGGGAGGGTCGCTGCTTCGACTGGTGTATCCGCTTCAGCTCCTACGGCTACCGTGACTAATACCTCAACGGGGTCCAGCACTGGGACTACGTCGCAGAGCACAAACACTGCTACTTCTGCGGCGGCCGCTGCGAGCACGACTGCTTCGCACTCTACTAACGCCGCTGGGCCTGTGATGACTGGAAATGCTCTTTGGGTTGCTGGTGGTGCTGCCGCTGCTTTGGCTCTGGTGGCTGTTTAATCAAGATAGCTCTCAATGTGTGGTCATGTTTCCCTAGACGCCCTATATCTAGTTAATTGAAGACTTGTATTTATCAGCAAGCCATATCAGTCTCGAAGACATCAAAGTACTCATGAAGGTAACGTATTGAGTAATCGTAGTGATCCATATTAAAGACCAGCAAAAATCCATACACATTCACATTCACTCATAAACATACGAATTCTTACCATCCATGCAATACTCCGGCGTCGATGGAAGCTGAAACACAATAGCAAACCAGTGATTCTTGAACTTCACACCCGGGGAATGCGTGTTGAGATATTGTAAATTCCGATACACGAATCAATGAAGCTGAAAGAACAAGATCCAAGAACAAGATACTCTCAGATCCAATCCTTCGATTTTGTAAATATGTCATCCGTGAACAAGCCAGTTGCTGACCGAGCCAACGGAACGGAGACGGCGATCCGCAATTTGCGGCTTGATCAGTCGCTCGGAAAGAGTTCCGCTTCCGAGCTTCTTCCCCTCGCGACCGTCGATGACTTTTCGGCCACTTGAGATCGGTAAGATACCTTTTTCCTTCTCTCATATTTATACACAGGATCGAGCCACTCCTCCAAGTTCTCGCATTCATCACTTCTTCAGCGGCATTGACCGACAATTGCGCTCCTACCGGCCCTTAGTCTGACTGGCTGCGCATTTCTTCTCCCCGCACGCTGCCGAATCGCCTGCAGCTTCCCCCGCCGGCATACATTTCATACAATCTACTCCAAAGAATGGATCGCGAACAATTTCGGGCTGCGGCCCATTCGGCCATTGACGATAGTACGTGGCCCTACCGATCCTCCCCTAACTTCTCAAGCTAACCGGATCCCTCTGCAGTCGTCAATTACTTCGACTCCGTCCCGGAGCGCCGAGTCCTCCCCGCGGTCGACCCCGGCTACCTACGCCCATTGATCCCGGAGAACCCTCCGACCGAGCCAGAAGACTGGGCACAGATCCAAGAAGATGTCGATACCAAAATCAAGCCCGGTCTCACCCATTGGCAGTCGCCCAACTTCATGGCGTACTACCCGGCCAGCGTGACGTATCCCAGTATCCTGGGTGAGATGTACTCGGCGACTTTTACAGCCCCGGCCTTCAACTGGTTGTGCTCGCCTGCGTGTACTGAGATGGAGACTATTGTGATGGATTGGGTTGCTAAGGCATTGGGTCTGCCGGAGTGCTTCTTGAGTACGTCGAAGAATCTCGGCGGTGGAGTTATTCAGAACAGTGCCAGTGATGCTATCGCAACAATGCTGGTTGCTGCCCGGGAGAGGCGGGTGCGCGAGATGGTCCTCGCAGAGGGTTTAAAAGAGGGCACGACCGAATACGAGGAGCGGAAAATGGATCTGCAGCCGAGGCTGGTCGCTATTGCGAGTGATCAGACGCACAGCAGTGCTGCGAAGGGTGCGTTGATTGCGGGTACGCGGTTCCGGACCGTGTCTACACGATTGGAGGAGAATATGGAGATGACGGGCTCGCGGCTGCGGGAGGTGCTTGAGCAGTGCGACAAGGATGGATTGACGCCGTACCATCTGACTATGACTTTCGGTACTACCAATACTTGCAGTGTGGATCGGTTTGCTGAGATCAAGGCCGTTCTGCAGGAGAAGCCTGCGTGGCAGCGTATCTGGGTGCACGTGGATGCTGCGTATGCCGGAGCTGCTCTGGTGGCCGATGAGTGGCAGTACATTGCCAAGGATTTTGCGGAAGGTGTGGATAGTTTCAACATGAACATGCACAAGTGGTTGCTGGTCAACTTTGATGCAAGGTTGGTTTTAATTGCTTTTCACTGTCAATTTGGCTCATTTCTAACACTATCTAGCGTTCTTTTCGTCCGCAATCGTCTCGACTTGACTAATGCCCTCGACATTACCCCGACATACCTGCGCAACCCGTACTCTGACATGGGCACCGTGATCGACTATCGCAACTGGTCAATCTCGCTGGGCCGTCGCTTCCGTGCCCTGAAGATCTGGTTCGTCATGCGTAGCTACGGCCTGAACGGCATGAAGGCACACATTCGCAAGACCATCGGGCTGGGAAATACATTCGCCGACCTCGTCCGTGGCCGGTCAGATCTTTTCGAGATCGTCACCCAGCCGGCCTTTGCCTTGACAGTGTTCCGCATTAAGAACCCGCAGGTGGCCAATGGCAATGCCAATAGTGTGGCCATTGTGCAGAAGGACGAAGTGGCAGATGGTATTACGAAGAAGGTGTACGAGCTGATTAATGCGCGTGGAGAGATTTTCATTACTTCTACGGTCATCGATGGGATCTATGTCATTCGCGTGGTGAGTGCCAATCCCATGGCCGAGGAGAAGTTTGTGCGTAATGCGTTTGAGATTGTGGTCCGGACGACTGAGGAGGTGCTGCAAGAGAAGAAATAGACCATGGGAGCGATTTAGAATATGCCTTGATTGTACATATATACCGGATATAGTCTGTCAACTGTTGGCTATCTCTTTCCATCCAAGTACTCACCGTCGTGAGGCCATCAGGTATCCACGCCTGGGAATTGCTTCATAAAAATTCGACAGAACACTCCGTTATTCATGCCGGCTTGATTGAAATAGCATGAGATGGACAACGCAAACTAGAAGAAGAAGATTTATCCTGTGGATACAAGTGAATCATCAATGATGATGACACTATATTGCGGAAGAATTATAGCTGGAAGCTCCCTCGAGGACGATAGAGGTTGAGTAGCTGAAGGTTTTCTCACTTCAGTATTTAGTCTCCTGATTGGCCCCTCATACTAATGTAGGAATGGGTTGACTAACAATAAGAATCTTTAGTGGACTGGTAGCCAGTCCGCCTTTTATGGCGTTCGAGGCTTGCGGATCTACCGGTTGTGGAGATCGTAACCTTCCCTTAATTTGCCCATTCCGTCGTGTACTCCAAAACCCAGGGTTATGCATGGAAATAAGTCCATTGTAATCATCCGCAAATGAACCGTGCGAGAATATGGTGCTAGTAAGCCAGCGCTCCGCTCTGATAGCTATCTATAGAGGGAGCTTTCTCTCCTCCTTCCACAGGATTGAATACATAGAGGACTTAGTACCGAGCAATTGCAAACAGACAGATCTTCAAGACTTCAATTTTGGTTTCTTACAAGTTTCTCGGAAACCTTGCCAGATATCAAAATCTACCATCATTCTTTCGCTAGCAGCTTATGCGGTTGTCAATGCATCCCTTGCTCCTGACTTGGAGGCACGCGATAAGATCCAATGCCAAAACAATCAAAAGGCAGTCTGTCAGGTTGGCGGTGTGAGCATCTTCACCATATTATCCAACCTTGATGCTCTGAACTGTCTCAGTTTGTTGGGTGGAACCCAAGTCTGCGTTGCTCGTTGAGGGTCTAATGTGAGGGTTCAGTAACTCCGTATGGACTTGACAGGGATTATCTGACATCCATGAATTAGTCTCGAAACGTTGGCCATCTGTAAAGTGCTTGGTTTGGCTTGCGCGGATCAAAAAATGTAATTCCTTCTGGTCCGAAATTTTAATTCAAATGCAAAATCCTCAGAGACCTCGAGTCTCTTCTCATACTTTCTCCGACTATACCTTCCTGTGAGATTGACAACATAGTAGAGGCCGTCTTGCCTGTCGCCCCTGGATAAAATCCTTGCGAAGGGACTCGGTTTCAAGGACTCAAGATACAACTTATGTTTCTTCCAGGACTCTCTCGTCATAGGAAGAATCTGGTGTTATTTCCGTACCCCGGAAAGTTCCAGCTACCTTGACTGGTTATAAGTCCCTGCTGATATTTAATCAATATGCGGAAGACTGATAGCCCTCATTCAAGCTACGGCAGATATAATCTTGAGTACGTGGGGAGGCGCGTAGACGGACTATACCTAGGTGAGTTCAGATGCACCACCATAGCTATGAACTAAAAGGTTTACACGACTTCTGGAGTTGAACTGTTTGTCTAATGCTCAAGTGATGATCTTAATATCCAAATCGGTTTACCAGGGGCTGTTCGTCTACTTCGGCAACACGACAAGAGTCCGAAGCTGCCGAAGCCAGTGGGTCTCCGGAGTCGGCCATAAAGCCGACTCGGCCACGGTGGATTCGGCTCGGCCAGCTTTCCCCGCGCTTTAAAAAGATTGGAGATGTCCGTTCTTCAGCTTGGCAGTTGGCAGTTGTACGTGGTCGCGTGCTATTCAGCGATTGACTCAATTTACTTTGACTTCATGATCATCTCGCGCACAATGCGACCGCAATTCCTCTCGCGAACGCGTCAATTGAACGCCCCCCGCACTTTCAGCACCTCCGCCCGTTTCTTCTCCGCAGACCCGCCTACCGCTTCCATCGCAGCTTCATTCCTCTCTCGCTTCCAAACCTCAGGGCCCCAAACACGGACCCAGATCCTCGACGCAAACCAGTTACAACTTCTCACACTCACGCTTAACCGCCCTTCCTTGTTCCCCGGCTCGCCCTCGCTGTCTAACACACCAAATGCGCCCCCACTCGACACCCCCGTGCCTCCGGGCTACCACCTGGTGTACTTCACGCCTGCCTTCTTAGAAGCTGAGCTCGGCGCTGATGGAACCGATGCATCGTATAACCCCGAGTCACCGTTTACGAGACGGATGTGGGCCGGTGGTGAGGTCCTTTGGCCTCGGGGCGCAGATGGGAAACCGAATCCCCTACGTGTGGGACAGCAAGTTCGTGAGACGACGCGTGTGCTCAGTGCCGAGCCGAAGGTTGTTAAAAAGACGGGCGAGGATATGATTGTTGTTGGCGTGGAGAAGGAATTTTCCAATGAGCACGGCGTGTCCATTATCGACCGGAGGTCAGGAATTTACTTAACTGGCGCCATTGGACTGCACTAATAGTGACATAGGAATTGGGTATTCCGCAAAGCACTGCCAACGCCGTCAATCTCGACGCCTGCAAGTACCGCACCCCCTTCGACATCGCATCTCACAGAAGCCTCTGCCTCGACAATCTCCACCGAGGCCAACACACATACAAAGACCTTCGTCCAATCCCCCGTCACCCTCTTCCGTTTCTCTGCCTTGACATTCAACCCACACAAGATCCACTACTCTCTGCCCTGGGCGCGGGACGTAGAGGGACACAAGGATATCGTCGTTCATGGACCGTTGAACTTGATTTCGATCTTGGATTTGTGGCGGGATGTCCAGGGCAAAGGTGCTAGTGATTATACTTCAGTGATTCCGCGAAGCATTTCGTATCGGGCGACTAGTCCGTTGTATGCGGGTGATGAGTATAAGATTGTTCTGCGGGAGGATGGGGATATCTCGAAGGTGCAGATTCTCGGACCTGGAGGAGTCGTCGCTATGAAGGCGGAGATTCAGAGCTGAAGCGTGTAAAATTGAGTTTATATAGGCCGGATACCGAATGTACCAATCTTCACACTGATATGTGGTTCTGACGGCCCATCTTTCCTCTACCTCACAAACGCACTGAATGTTAATAGGCTAACATGCCAATCGTATAATTGCCCTTCCGAGCCCTCTTTTGTCTTTCCTTTTCAATCAAACCAGAGAGTGTCAATATGACCATGGCGGTAAAATCTTGTCCCAAATCGTCTCTCAGAAGCAAATGACCACCATCTTTGGTACCCGGTGCAGCCCCTGAATATGCAGCATATACCACATCATTGTCCATATCACAAAGTTCCAGATTTTGGAACACACGATTGCCCGATAGCGACGGGGGTTGCTCAGTAGCTTTCCATAGAAAATACTTTTCTTCCAATATGGCAGCCTTGTCGCCTGCTTCAGGTTCCCTTGGAACGGACCAGCGATAATAATCATGATGCTTGATCCATACCATGCGCGATGAGCCTCCCCCATGGAGACTGATCTGCATCTCCGATGTGCGGAACTTGTTGAAACGGCAGCGGCCTAGTACGTGTTCGTCCTTTTTTGAGCCAGTGTATAACGTGATCTCGGTGGTGTCGCTGAATAGACCGGTAATGTCGATGGAATACAACGGGTGGTGATCTTTGCTTCTGGCTGAAATTTCCATGTTAATGCGTAGAGGCCCAACGCGAGTAAAAATGAGCTCATTTGGGCGATATTTTGCTTTTGGGATAGAGTAGGAAGAGGTGCAACTGCCGGAGATATTGTTTTGGTTGTCTTGTTGGATATTCATTTCGTGCAGTGCAGATGTATTGCGAATAGGCAACAATATGATAAGATATGGACTCAAGGGACCACCGGGATTGTGTGCGAGGTTGTTCTAAGATATAAATCAAATCAGAGATATAGTGACGATGAAAAATGCCAATTTAATATTCTCACCCCCAGATTTGTTTATTATCACGTCTGCCAGCAGTGCCCGCACCGCCACAATGGGGGCCGAGCCGAAGGAGTCCGCTCTGGCTTGTTGACGTCATATCTCTTATTAGACATCCTTGGAATACGAGGTACCCGGTATAAAAGGTCTTTTAAACGACGATCAACAGCATAGATCCTGGAAACAGCTCAATTTGAGCATTCATTTCACTGGGTGTTGTACCGAGGCCCCAGTGAGTCGCATGATTATATACGCCTAGAACTAGGGAGAAACCACGGAGAAATTTCCCGAAGAGAATATTCGTAAGTCCTTTCCAAGATATAAGCCGGCCTGAATCCGAGAATGCCGACTGCGTAACTGAATTCATAGTCCAGGTCGAAGAGTTCATTCTGTGGTAGATGCAGTAAACGGGCGTGATCACTTAAGAGAGGATGGGTTATACCCTTGTAATAGGTATTCCAGTCACTCTCTCCCCTCCTATGGCAAGACCCCGAGATAGTAGAGATTAGGTCAATTGATTGATTGATTGATTTATTCGTAGACCGTTCCGACCGCCCTATTTTAGCAGCTGTGCAGCGTTGGACTATAAGTACGAGTGTCCCCGCCCTCGCTTCCAGAAAATAAGTCGTTCCTGATACGAATAACTTCTGCATAATGAACGAACTTGAGTATAAGAGAGCCAAGGAAAGTTGGTGTTATGATATTGTGAGACGACCTTATATACACGTGCGTTGTATATGGTTATGATCATATGTCGGTACCGTAAGATTTTGTCCTTGTGACTCTGCAATGGTTACCTGTAGTCAGACTTGACCAGGAATTACATATCCCAATCAGCTTATTGGATGAGAGGTAATTGTAACGAAAATAGGACGAGATACAGAAGCCTTTCGGCATCAAGTGGTGTCATAAGGGTTTCATGCCTGCTTAGACAATTGAGTGATAAAGTAGTCTAATACGGGCCAGGATGTTGTCATCGGCAACTTTTTCCAACCGTTTTCCAATAGCAGCTGACCAATCTCCATATGACCGTCCGATACAGCAGCATACATTACATTATCCCATTGGCCTCCTTGTGCATTAACATCGGCACCACTCTCAAGCAACAGCCGCACAATCTGTTTATGGCCGGCAGACGAAGCCGCTTGGAGCGCATTACCGTGGTAGCCACCTTGCGCGTTAACATCAGCGCCTTTCTGTAACAACAGCTGCACAATCTGTTGATGACTTTCAGAAGAAGCAGCCTGGAGTGCATTGCCATAATGGCCACCTTGTGTGTTGACATCAGCTCCTTTCTCCAACAGGCGTTGTATAACTGCACAAAGGCCTTTCGATGAAGCAAGCTGGAGAGGATTGCCGTAGTGACCACCTGAGGTGTTGACATCAGCACCGTTCTCTACCAACAGGTATACAACTCCGATATGCCCTTTCGACAAGGCAGCATATAGTGCATTTCCGTAAATTCCCCCTTGGGCATTAACATCAGCACCATTCTGCAACAGCAGCTGTACAATCTGCTCGTGGCCTTCCATCGAAGCAGCATAAAGTGCATTGCCACGACTGCCGCTCCGGACATTGATCTCGGGGCCTCTGCTCAATATCCGATGCCAAACGCTGTTTTTAACACCCTCGGCAGTGATGTCGACTCCATTCTCCAACATGTGCCGTACTAAGCTTTCCCGGCTACCCGATGTTGTGACATATAGTGCGTTTCCGTAAAACCCGCCCTGCGCATTGATATCGGCGCCTTTCTCTAATAAAAGCCGCACAGTCTTCTCATGGCCATTCAATGACGCGGCATATAATGCATTGCCGTATGATCCACCTTGCGCGTTGACATCGGCGCCTTTTTCTAGTAGTAGCTGTACACTCCGCTCACAGCCTTTGGATGAAGCAACCTGGAGCGCATCACCGTCAGCAACACTGTATAATTTTGCTATAGCAGCCTCTTCAGGCGGGTTGGAAAGTGGTGTGATGGTGGCCATAGGCGATGGATAATAAGCAAGGTCAAAAGGAGGAGCCGCAAAGGAGGCTGTGATGGGATAGCCTCCGCTGATTTAGACACGTGAGGCAAAATAGCGCTAAACCCAAAATAAAACATCTTAGAGCGTGCTTACTCAGTACCTGTAGGCCGCCGGCCGAGAGCGTGCCTCCGCCTCCTTCGCTGCTCCACCCAGGGATAACACTTGGCCAATGCTACGAGAGCTATTTTAGCAGCCTCGTCGCCGTTAGTATGGTTAATAAACATTAAACAAGACAAATACAACAGGTTAAAAATTGTGTTTGAGCGGGCTTGCTAAATAGTTTCCCGCTTAGCCTAAACCTAAATAAATAAGCGACAGGCAACAATAGCGCCTCTACTTAAAGGGGGCTTCGGACCCCGTTTCACCCCATTTTTGAACAAGATCTTTCCTCTCATAGTATTGATTCCAGGTCAAACTCCAACAATTCTTCCTCTTCGAAATAGCCTACTAGCTACTTGTGGAAATGTTTGATTTTCTCTCCACCAAGCACGAGCCCAACAAGAGTTCTTCTAGAAATAGTTGCGACGCTTCGTCAAATCTGAAGAAAGTCCCAACAACCCCCGACAAAATCGATACCGAGAAGAAGAACCTGGAAGCTAAGATATTATCCCTTTATCGCATAGCCTGGCTTGGCATCTATCAAGTCCATGACGAACACGGCCGAGATCATGCCACTAGATTAGCCGAGCTCTTTATCGGCGCAGGGATGTCTTCGTATGTGGACAAGTCCGAAGAAGAATTCAACAATCGTCACGGAAACAACCCGAGAACATATACCGGGGCAGAAAGCCGTGTCTTAAACCCTCTATTCATGGCTCTGCGGAAGAACGGGCTGAAGAACTTAAAATTGTTCGAGGGAGTATCCGTCACGTCGCTAGAGGCAGTGATTGAACTGCTAGAAGCATACGTGAAAGAGGCGACAGCAGTCAATGGCTTGTACCATTTACTCCGCGAACTCCAGGTGGGGCTTCGCACTCCAACGGAAGATGATGAACAGGCTGTTCTTGAGCAGTTCATCCCTGTCGCAAATCAGTTTGCGAAACGGCTGCTGCATCTTGATGCCAGATTGAAGGTTCTGGTTTCGGACATGGAGGATGAGTTTTGGAATGAGTATGGGGCAGTCCAGGGCCGGGAGGGGTGGTTTGTGCACTATGCGCTCTTCCCGTCGTTTACGGGACGTGGTAAGAAGAGCCTGATGTCTTCCATGAAAGCTTGATGGAATGGTATGAGGTGAGTGAGCGTGTGCTTATTGCGATCTTGAGTGCTCGTTTGAACCGAGTCTAGCTAGTAGGTATGACATGAAGACAGATAAAGGCGCAAATATCAGCTTTGGTTCTTGGATAGGAAGTAAAGTCCATGTGTTTAAAGACAAATCAATTTGATAGACATACATCTTCAGGATAGCTAAGGTTAATGATGGATATTAGAATGTCTCTCGTGGATGTGTTGTGCAGCAGAGGTTTGAGAGCAGACTTTATATCCAAGGTCAACGGGAATACTTTGAGAATCAGACGCATCTTCGCCTTCTATAAGGCGAGACATTTTCCACGCTCGTATGGTTGAACACCTACGGCAATTGAGAGGACGCTCTCTTTTTTATATCTTCCACCAGTCCATTACTGCCGTACTGTAACGGAGTTCACCTTTAAATACATATATTCTAGATATCTTTTTTTTCAACATCGGATATACGCAGGCAAATCTTGTCCCTCGCATATTGGAAAAATACCCTATGGCTCACGATTACTATACCTACGCGATTCGCACTGCCCGTATTTTGATATGCAAGTGCGTAGGGTATCTGGGTTGGGTAACCAAGGACAGGCTGTCAAGTTGGGTTAGCGTCAAGTGGTCTGTGCACTAAATAAACCAGCTCTTGCATATTCGCCGTGTAATGATTGCTCGGCTAGAAATCATAAATATACTTTTACTAGGGGATATCGATAACGATCTCGAAGGTTCTGGATCGGTTGCCCGAAGGGTAGGTTGTATAGTACACGTATCACAATGGGCCTTCCGCTTAGAAACCAAAATTGGTAGCGCAAGACGTGCAGTAACGGGAACGACCAAGATAGGCAGGGTGTTCTGATATAACAATGATACAGTGCGATACTATATATATTGGCTCCTGGGTCATATCCGCTGATCGCGGATATAGTGGTCTTTTGGCTTACGTGGGATATCAGGTGACCCAGGCTGATATCTTAACACAGGGCTACCTATACTCGTATCGGATAGACATGGTGCATATAGTATAGCACGGCCCGTCATAGTAGCTTAGACACCACAACGGTGGCAGAAGGAAGTAGTAGTTATAGGCATTATGTCAATAATGTAGAAGCAAGGATGAAAATAGGAGTAAAACCAAAGCCAGGAGCGGACATAACAGCGGTCATATAGCCGCTAAAGTATGAGGTATAACCGCGGATCTATATATATAGATAGTGAGTAGCATAATAACGTAATAAGTAGACATAAGAAATAAATAATCATAGTATATTAAAGAAGCGGTCAGTTTACCGCGGAGATTAAAATATATACCCGCGCGTTCGCCTTGAAACACGGGTCGGGCAATAATCCATAAAGAGATCAGCGCAAGGAAGCAGAGATTTCTACCACGCCGAGGAGTCAATAGAGGTAAACCTACATTCCTATCACTACCCGAAGACCGAGCTACACCGTCTATCATTCAATATACCATGAAGTTCACCAAGATACAACGTATCGAATTCCTTCTTGAAGAGATCCAGGAGATCGTTCAGTCAATGAAAGCGGAGAAGGGCGACTATGTACCGCATCGGCATACAACACCCGAGGCCATCCGAACGTCGAACATGATCCCCCTGTCAGAGGCTAGTAGCGGGACTTACAGTGGAGCCCAACAAAGCACTGGTACGAACAGCCAGGCAGGAAGCAGCGTTATAGCAGAGAAAGACATTCGCGAACTCTGTGTCCGGTGTTTTAATACATGGGAAGCGAGTATTAAAGCCGGTCAATTTGATATCCCGGACTGTGAATGGGATGAAGGCCGAAATCTGAAAAAATGCCGGTACTGCTCTAGCCGTAGAAGCGAATGTGTCAAGGTAAGTCGATTACTATGTATAGCAGCGATAGTATACTAAATGTTTACAGATCCCTACGTCTCTACGTAAAGGGGTTATTCGTCGAAAGGCTGAACTACACCGGGAAACATTAGACGGCGATATTGAAGAGATTAGACGGAACCAGAAGAGGTTCACCGAGATATACTTTACTACGCATGGTAAAGTTAAGGGAACGCTCTCAAGTGAGGAGCGGCAACGACGACGACAGCGAGCCGCATTGCAACGTGAGGAACAGAGGAAGAAGGACATCCGAAGGCATTCCGAATGTATATAAACTGAATAAGGATATAAATGGAAGTTAAAAAATAGAGAGGAGCAAAAGTAAAATTTTATTTTCTAAGTAATCTAGGTGACGGTAAAACTGCCGCCGAGGGGTGTGATCGGCTACAGAGTGAGTTGGTCACCCCGCCGCCCTAAACAGCTCACGGAGCGAACATAAACAGCTCCCTGAGCAACCTGATCACTCACCCTAATACTCAGGCTGATCGGCCTATTTGATCTTATTTTAACTCTCCGTTGTATTAGGTCCTCCGACGCTAACCGTACTGCTTACTGCCTGCTTCTGGTGTTCCTAGAAGTGAAGGCCAGGATATAACGTACTGATATCTTACTATGGTAGCTTCTCTCGCTTTTCCTACGAGCTATTGGTTGACTTAACCTTTCTTTCAACTTGTGTGAGAATTTTGGCGGCTCACCATCTATACGCTATATTATTCACTCTTTCTGTTATGATATTTTCCACCATGAGGCTATTCCCACTTTTAGGCCTTAGGCTCAAGGCCGCCACGGAAGAGTATGGAGGGGCGTAGGTAGCTGTGTATAGGAGTTTCTTTTAATATATAGTACTGTACGTTACATATTTTTTCTAAGTGGGGAAAAATGATAATTTACGACTTGGCTAAATATAGGTTAGGGCGTGTTAGATGCTTGCTTGGGAAACAATTCGCGTGTGTACATAGGGGAATCTATTTTCGACTCCGACTATATAATGGTATCGGGGGAACCTTGTAACTGGGCTCTATATCTATGGCCAATCAAGTCTATGTGAAGCTAGGTTAAGTAAATATTGACCTTAGAAGTGAGGGAGGCAAGCAGGAGAGAATTCAAAAATGATGGCGCACAGCTTGAACACCAATTTCATGTCCCGTTATTATTTAGAAATACCTCTCATTACATAACCTGCAGTAGGTATTCCAGTGCCAGTCTCCGACAGAAACTGCATATTATTTATACTAGGATTGCATACGATTAGAGAAACGGTCAAGAAGCTTTCCCCGCCATCAACGCGAGGCTGGAATTCCTCACCCATTAATGATTCCGTCCGACTTCGGCCTTTCCCCGTAAGGGTGTATAGAATTGGCATCATTTTGTTTTGTCTCCCGACATTTCTCACACTCTCCGCAAGGATGCCGGAACATCTGTTCGCGTGGTCGTAAACCTGGACAATTGAGCTCATAACAGGAGAGGTTCCCCCCGGGAGTTTTCCAAGGCTGGCCATTGGCGTCTTTGCAATTTTCGTAAATATAGGTGAGAAGCACAATGTTGCTGATAGTTGATGCCTTCTTCTCGTTAGGACTAGACTATTTTTCACTGATAGAAATACTGACAGTTCAAAGACGCTCGTTCAATCGGTGTATAGTTTTGAGCATTGATCATAGTGATGATCATTTCATGATAACTCGATTAATTAATATCTAAAAAAATCTCTAGTCTGGCTTCATGGTATTTATAAGTATACAACTTTCGAGATGGAATATTTACCCGCCGGAAACTATAGAGCGATAGCCAGAACTAATGGAATTTGTCATACTTGCTTGGGCTCCAGTCGCTTTTATGGATAGATATGAGGGAACAGGCTACATAATCATTAGGTCTCTCGCAATGCTTCCTATTCCAACATTCACTGACGTGTGTTTTACTTCGGTTCGGAGACTATCATCGCGTTATTGTGGAAGATTTCACCAGTTATCACTATTCTGGGAGGCTTCCTACCATCTATGTTTGACTAGTTTGTTTAGATTAGCCTAGTTAGATCTCTTCTCCCCATCTCCAACTTAGCTTCTTGCATCTCTCGCCACTACCTTTCCAACCCCTACGTATCCATGTAGTCTCTCTTCTCTCTTCAACAATCTACACTTTGAGTGAGCAGTCGGCCGCACGTAACACAGGAGCGGTACCTGCGAAGGGTACCCTTGCAGATCAGAGAATACAAATTGAGTTCTTGAATAACAGCTAGCAACATCTCATTTCAGACAATAAACACCCTAGGCATCAGTGTTTCTATGTCGCCATCTCCAAGAAAATTGAGCTAGGGCCTGTGAAAGTGCCTTGCGTTGCTCTAGCACGCCTCCTTTATCTGCAAGGTCAACCTCATTAAGATATTTCATCGCTTGACGTAAGATATACATTGTAAAGGGGGATGGCGGTCAAAAATTTGCTTGGTTACCCATGTGCCACGAAAGGTAGCAATATCAACAGAGATGAGAGAAAGACTGCGAAGTGCAGCCTGTGACTGACACCCCTGGGCAAAGGATTCATTAGGTCTATTCTTCGACCACCAATCCAGTGCGAACCTGTGGAGGGTGAATAAAGCCCTTTGGATTATTAGCAAGAACACAATGTAAAAACACAAGTAGGAAGGAAATGGCACAATTTGTCAAATTACGTACCTGAGCGTGACCGCAATAGCGCCGCATTCTCTAGGCCTGGTGCCTTGAAAGGAAACTAACTGTGAATGCAAGAACTCTTGGAGCTCGTTGTCAAGGGCCGCTACTTCGCTGCACAGGACATCCTTGCCCTCGTTTCGAACAATCTGGAGGACTTTATCAAGTAAAATGGCCGCTTGACCCTCCTGACCAAAACATCCAGGAGCGGAATCCTTGGATAAACTATCTGTCGGCGATGGTAGGATTATGGAACATGGAACGAGGTTCAGCCCGAGAGCATTCGCTGGCAGGCGCGATCCACTGGGTGGAATAGTGGATGTGAGCGGTTGGTCAGGCGAGTCAGTTTCACAGACGTATAGCCTTCTCCGTGTTAAAAATGAACAATTAGCTTTTGAGAACGACAGAGTCAATTCCGTACCTCTCTAGAAGCACAATAATCCACCATACATTGTTTTCCTCTTCAGCCCGCAGGCAGTCTTTTGTATCTGACATTGGTGGCGGCGCCGTTTTGGGCTTGTGAAGACCCCCTGCAATCGCCATGCGTGCACATACCGATATGGTCATTAGTGCCGTATCCACGAAGCATCGCATATACTCAAATATGGATATGAGGAGCCCAGCTTGGATTAGGCGTGTTGATGCCGGAATCTCCGTTTGAACTCGAGCAAAGAGTGTTTTGGTTGACACATACAACATGTGAAAATGATCCTTTTCTTCCGGTAGCTCCGGTGGGCGATATGTAATCAAATGCATAGAGAGAAGGAGAAGAGAGAAATCAGCCCGAAGGCGGATTTGTGGGTGAAGGAGATCATCTTGGAAGAGAGGTCTCGAAACAAACGGAATCAAATAATTGATGTTCTCATAAAAATTGACAGAAATCTCATCGGCGAATCTTCCGGTTGTCTGGATAAGTCTGTGTATTTGATCATACACAAATTCATCTAATACATACGAATCATCCGGCTCAGATGTTACCGTGCTTGGGAAGAAGGGTTCGTCATGGGATGTCGGCGGTTTGTCAGACATTCGACCATATTGCCCCGGACGGACACAAGCCGCATCATCATCACTAGCAAGCGATGCCAAGACATGCTCAGATGGCAAGCTAGTGGGCTTCGGCTGCATGACTAGGGGACTCTCCGCCGATTCGGGGCGGGGCGTATCTGGAAATGCATGATATTCGCAACGCAAACTCCGCCTATCCACTATTTAGTCCATGACGGGAAGAGAGCGGAATTTGTCACGTAATCAATAGACACTGTATTACTAACTGGGAGCAATAGCCACATTGTGGTCGGGCTCGGTCACAACGCTTTTTGCGATGACGACAGATCACGCAGGCCAACGCCGGACGCTGTCGGGTCGCTCGAGTCGAGTCCGGTGCTTTCATGATGTAGAAATGAGTCAAGTCGATGATTTATTTGACAGACAGGATGGGGAGGTAACGGCAAGTAGTTCAATCAACAAGGTTGTCGAAGGGTGGGGAATCAGACGGGACCGCTTGAGAATGGGCGGCCGGCAGACAGGGTGGACTTCTTACTTTATATTGTATCTCAAGGCATTGGATAGAGTCGGCCACGAAATTCCGACCAGAGCCAATCACGCCAAAATTCCGTGCCTTAGTAATTGCCACAGTTTCGGGTTGACCTGCTTATCTCCGACCCGACGCCCCACCGTCCCCGTCGTGTAGGTAAACCGCAATCAGGCTCGGAAATTTCGATATGCTGGTCTTATGTGGAAATATCAGGTCAGGTCTTTATAAAATGAAGCCAATAATCCCTGTATAACCGTCACCCTGTAATTGTCACACCACAGGGGAAAATTGTCAGCACTATGACAGAAAAGCAGGACACTGAAGCGGCTTTCCCTGGCCCCAACTCCGATCAGGGGACGAAGGACATTTCTCCCGAAGAAGGCCTGCGCGGTTGGCTTTGTGTTGTAGGAGGGTTCTTTGCGCTCTTTGCCAGTTTTGGTTTTCTTAATGTGTAAGGACACTGGAACCCAGCACATGGTCCAGCTTCGCTAACGAGTACGTCCATAGCATCGGTCTTTTTCAAAGCACGTATCAAGCGACTACCCTGCGAGATTATAGCCCTTCGACTATTTCATGGATCTTCGCCATGCAACTGGCATTGATGTGGGGACCCGGTCCTTTCTTTGGCCGCCTTGTCGATAATTTTGGCCCAGGAGTGGTCCTGTACCCCTGCAGTACACTCTGTGTGTTTGCGTTATGCATGACTAGTCTGGCAACAGAATATTATCAGATCTTCCTGGCGCAGGGCCTGGCGTTTGGTATTGGAGCGGGCGGTGTCTTTACCACAGCGTTGGTATGCGTGGGGCAATGGTTCATTCGACGGCGAGGGCTAGCAATTGGCATAGTCACGTCTGGGAGCAGTTTGGGTATGATATGGGATCTTACATAATTCTCATTTCGCATCCTTCTTGCTGACTTTGGAAAATCAATAGGGGGGTCATCTTTCCGGTCTTCTTCATCAAGATAAGGGCTCATGTCGGCTTCTACGGGGCTGTCCGATATACAGCTCTCTTTGTCGGCATTCTACTCATTTCGTCTTGCCTTCTCATTCGAAGTCGTCTTCCTCGAAAAGCATGGGACCCTAAGTTGACATGGTTCAATTTCGGCCTTCTCAAGGATAAACAGTTTGCTTTGTACATGGCCGGGTCTTGGTTGGTCATGTGGGGCCTCTGGGCTCCTTTCGACTTCCTGCCCAGTATGGCCCAGAGTATCGGATTTTCACCTGATATGGCAATCTATCTTATCTCATGCATCAAGTAAGTTCTATCTACTGCCTTGACTCTCTGGCTGATGTTAACGGATTGGAAGTGCTTCCTCTATTCCTGGTCGTATTCTCCCCGGCTATCTGGGGGATCGTTTCGGATTATATAATGCATTCACGGCAGTTTCCTTGGGATCAGGACTCGCGATTCTCACCCTGTGGGCCCCATTTAACTACCACCACTCACATGCAGCTCTCATTGTCTTTGCCCTAGTCTACGGCTTTATGAGCGGCTCATGCGTGAGTCTCCTCATGCCATGCGCGGCAAAGGCAGGCAAGATTGAGACCCTGGGGCAGCGTTTTGGAACATACCAAATTATCATGTCCAGCTCGTAAGTCAATTATTTAGAACTTCGAAATAAACCAGAGCATCCCACGGCTAATCGTTTCTAGTCCACTGACCGGTCTACCAATTATGGGCGCGATTCTCGCCAGGCAAGACGGAGAGAGCTATATTGGCCTCCAGATGTTTGGGTTTTCTGCCTTGACTTTGGGGGCAATCCTCGTTGCTATATCTACGTGGATCTTACGCCAGAGAAACGAGACTTGGAAGGTTTAGGAGCAGGCAGACCGGCGATGATCTGCTGCTGAGAGTCGAGTACGCGTGTGAATTGCTGATTACCGAGACTGTATAGAAGAGCTGCTAAAGCTGACTCGATAACTAGGCGCATGAATGGACCAAATGAATGAATGATATCTATCTGTTGATAAATTTTGCAATTTTTGAAGAAATTTGTTTTTCGAACACTCGGACAAAGGATCTCTGAGCACCTCTAGTAATATCAATTGTAATAATGCTATTTAGCAAAGACACTCAAATCCAGAACTGTGAAGCCACTGAGATGTTGTGGTCAGTCATCAATATTGCTAACAATATTTCGACATTCTTATATTTTTGACGCTCATCATCACCCCTACCCCATAGAATGGTGGGCATCTTAATCCATAATGCCCTAAAAAGTCAGTGCCACCTTGATTTTCTGGCGACCCTATTGGCTCGACTCAGCTCCACTTCTTTATAACCACGCACCTGCCGTCACTCGCCACCCGCTGTGGAGCCCCCCCCCCCCGGCCGGGGATGAAATAGCAGCAGTATTGGTGGATACCCTCAGAACGGAAATACTGTAGCTATAACGTAATTCACGGTCACCCTGGCCACCTCAAAACACCATACTAAATGCCATTTTTCAAGTCTCAATATATCAACAACAAGAAGATATTTCTACTTGATTCTCGGTAGAGTATAAATTTTTAGCATTATAAACATTATAGAATAAGCAAGATATTCAGAATACTATTAATTACTGCTATTACCAAAAATACGTTCCGATCGAGCGATGTAGATATATATATCTACATAATCATATCCTAAAATATTTCTCGATCTAGTAAAAATATCTAGTATAGTATATTAGACGCTAATATATCGTTACACTATATAGTCAGCCTTAAGTGTTGGGATATAAAGGCAAGAAATTTTGTATTTAGTATGGTGTTTTGAGGTGGCCAGGGTGACCGGGTGGTCAGGGTGACCGTGAATTACGTTACCCACCAAGATTAGTCATGTTTATGCCCACAGAAAATGCCAGATAGGGGCTTTATAGCAATTCAGACTCATTGTGATTTCTATTGGTGCATCTACATGGCGTACTCATCTGTGTCCCGACAGTTAACTAACTTAACTATAGCCTCGAATAATAGTCTTATTAAGCAGAGAAGAACAGACGAGAACATGCGCGTGCCAGGCTGCAACCTCTAAACAGAGAACATATATCATAGAATCACAAGTAGGGAATCATGGCAGGCGGAGCGGGGCTGTGTTATGAGAGGCAGTACAAGTCGTTGTATTTGTGACTCGGCGCCTCGCAATGATCCAGCCAATAGCAGGAGTGGCAATACGAGATATTAAGCACGTGGAGATTGCCAAGGTGACGAGAATAATTCATGAATTTTCCTTGAAATCCTTAAGAGAAGTGATTTCAGAAAATATCTCTCCCGATTTGTTATCACCCAAAGTGCAGCTAAAAGGCGGCTGATTCAACATGGAACAACAACCATCTCACCCACTCGCGGCCGCTGCTGCAGAAGGCAAAATCGCTAAAGTAACGGAGCTTCTCAAGGCTAATCAGCAACATCGAAAGTGCCTACAAGATCTTGCTCTACAATATGCCGCAGAAGGCGGGCACGAAAAACTAGTGAAAATACTTCTCAAAGGAGGCGCAACCATTGATATTGAGATAGATACACTCCGAGCTTCACTACACGTGGGACACACCATTCCAGCCTGGTGTCCACCGACGGCTGTGCATCTTGCAGCAAAAAAAGGACATCATGGAATAGTAAAGATACTTCTCGAACATCAACGACGAATTCCACTCTTCCCGTTACTTCTAAGAGAGGGGCGTTGGATGTCCGCGCTTCATGAATCGGTTGCCGAAAACGACATCGCAATGACCAAACTGATGCTTAAGAATGGGGTCACAGTTCACTATCCCGACAAGTGTGCTGACTGTCTATCCAAAGACTATGGGAGACTTTCAGGGTCGTGCGGAAATTGTGGGCGTTGCCAAGGTCGGACGGCACTTCATGTTGCCGCTGAGCACGGTTATGAAGAGATGGTGAGGCTGCTGATCCGTCACGGGGCAACATACAAGTCGCAAGCCATATTTGGAACTACCCCGTTACACCTCGCGGCACAAGGAGGGCACGATGGTGTCGTGCTCGCTTTGTTGCAACATGGATGGAAACCTGGCAAGATCAGCTATGGCACCAGCCCAGGCCTACTTGCGGCGCAGAACGGGCACAAGACGACTGTTGACATTTTAGGCAGACATGGAGGAATAGCTGCTATTAGAAGTGTAGAGTGGGAAATTTACCCACTCATAAAGACTGGAGATGCACAGGCACTTGAAATATTGCTGCCACATGCCAATAACATCATTGATAGGCATACTTTGCAGCATATGTTTGAGAATGCGGCAACCAGTGGCGAGTCGAGCACACTTCTCGTCTTGCTAAAGTACGCAGTTACTCAGAACCGCTTGAGTTGGGTTGACTACTTTCGCGTCTTTTACTTTGCCGTTGAATGGTGCGAGTTGAACATAGTCGAGGAGCTTGTCGATAATTGTCCGTGGACGCAGCAAGAGCGAGACAAGCATATTCCAGTTCTGCTTTTTCAAGCTGGATGTAGTGGGCACTTTGATTCAGCCCTGATATTACTCTCATGGAGCGGTGGATCACAGCTACGCTCTGACTACCTTAGGAATGTCCTCTTCGGTGCCATAAAATGCGGACATCTCTCGCTCATTGATAAATTATTAATGGAAGGGGTCGATTTGCACGAAGGGCTACCAAGAATGACGAATCTCAACATTGACGGTTGTGCTCACCTCACCCTCCATACAGCTGCTATGAACATCCAGAAGTCTGTCAGCTTCTACTCGATAAGGGATTTCCCGTGGATGAATGCGACCGCTATAGGAAGACCGCCCTCCACTATGCCGTGCAGCGGGCCACGCTTGAGACCATTAATCTCCTTCTTGACCGTGGAGCAAAAATTGATGGCCTGGACGAGCTAGGCCAAACACCATTACATTCTGCAGCACGTATGGCATACCGTGGTAGTGGGATCAAGCTCCTCCTCAGCCACGGAGTCAATGTTGATATGAAGGATTCGCAAGGTCGGACTCCGCTACATTTGGCAGGGATAGAGGGAAATGATGACATTTACAAGCTGCTGTTAGATAATGGGGCCAATCCAGAAGCAAAAGATTGTACTGGATGGACTGCGAGTCAACGTCTTGCCAAGGCCCAGGCACGTCGATTGGAATCGAACTAGCCTAATGCACATTGAGCATTGATGCTAGTCCGTCGTCAGCTGTGGCCAGTAAAATCACCGAGCTAAGCCTGTTTACCGGTGGAAGAAATCCCATGAAGAGGAAAAGGTCATCTACATGCCACAATCCAATGACCTGACTTCGAGTTTAACTTTCGCGTCATTATTGTCCCTCTTTTCGGTGACGCCATTGGAAGCAATCCAACGAAGATAGTTTAGGAACACTTAAACCCATAAAACTAGCGCGAGAGGAAAAGTGTCGGAGCAAGCAAATACCGTATTGTCTTGTCGCGCGTACGGCCCTAAAGAGGGGGGCTATCCATGAAGTTTACGATGTGAGTATTTGATAAAACAGAGGCGGCACCTAAATATGTGTTAGAACTACCTAAGCTAGATAGGGTTAGTTGCTAGCTGAATAATATGAGGATGTCTCGACAAAAGACGTTAATCGGCAGCTCCTGGTTGCGCTGGCCAGAAAGAACCAAGAAAGAGTCACGTGACAATGCAACAAACATGTCCTCCATCCCTGTTGCTTCTTGCTTCTCTTCTTTCGAAATACATAAATACGCCTTGCCACAATAATACAAACTTCGTATTTTTCCGTTGCATTGAAACTTCTCGTACATGATTTCCTCTGTGTTGCGACACAAATCATGCAAACTCGAATGTGCCTTAATGATGTGGCAACAGGCCGAAGAAACATCTGATAAATTGGCTAGTTCAATTTCTCGAAGTTGACATCTTGCGACCGATTGCAGAATTCGTCCTCGTATACAGCAGAGGCATAGCCGCTGAATTTGCCATACCCAGGAAATGTTCTTATAATATCTCGTTACGGTTGAAGTACCGAAATGGTGCGACGGTTATACGACTGTCGCAGCCCCGTGCCGTGTTTTTTCTAGAGGAAAAAGTCGTCAATGAGGTTTCTGTGATGCGATTTCTCGCGGATCAGACGTAGATACCTGTCCTTTTCATTATCCACTCGGGTACGAAGAAAGAGAGCCCCTCCAACTTAGCCCATTTATCATAATGGATTATATCGAACACAAAACGAAAACATACGACGCCCTTAATACACCGGTATGTCCGTCGGAGGAACGTGGAATTCTAGACCTGGATATCACTGAAGACAGGCTAGAGATGCTCTATAGGCAAATGGCGGATATTATACTTTGGCTTTCTACGCCCTCTTTGCATTCTATTGGATCTCTGAGCTGGATCGGTGAATTTACCTGGAAAGTAGCGCGTCGACCTTCGTCAATGAACATGGATGAACTTGTACGACTGGGAGATTTACCTCGATCGAAACTCCCTAAGGTACATACTACATTCAATATAACCTCCTCTTATCTCGAAGCCCTTGCGGATCTCAATATAGAGTATCTAATATATCTAAGGAACGATGCGGTGGAGTCTGTAGATGACTGTCGGAGGAAATTTGTGGCACGCAAGCTTTTCCGTAAGCTCGCCAAGGACAAGCGCCTCACAAACCCATCACTAGAGAAAGGGCCTTTTATAATCTGGTGTGGTGATCTACGCCCGGCTAATGTACTACTCGATGAGAGTTTGCAAATTTCCGGCGTGGTGGATTGGGAGTTTATATACGCAGCACCTGCTGAATTTTAGTATACGCCCCCTTGGTGGCTGCTTATTGAGAAACCTGAGTACCGGTCAAAGGGTATTGGGGACTGGACAAGTGTTTGGATATCGTCTCAAGGCATTCCTTAAGGTCATGAAAGACTGCGAAGATAAAGCGATTCAACAGGGCCGTCCGAAAGAGGACCAGCGGCTGTCTGGTCCTGTGGCCAAAATATGGGAGAATGGGGATTTCTGGATAATGTATGAAGTGCTGCACAGCTTCGCCTTTGATACAATCTACCGACAGAAGATCGACCCACGCTTTTTCGGGCCTACTGAGAACCCCGAGGGAGCATGGAAAGAGAGACTCAACCTGCTGGAATAGAAGGAAAAATATGAGATGGGAGAACTGGTGGCTCGAAAGCTGGAAGAGATGAAAACCAGGGCTCTAGCATGGGACCTGGATGAATATACTCTAGCCTTTCGCCAGCAATTGAAGAGACATAGAAGGGGCCGATGAAGACAAAGTGGAAAAAGATGAAGCAAACACCACCCGCAAGGACAAGAACAACGAGGTGGAGAATAGGAGCAACGGGCGCGAACCCCAGGGTTCTCCGGGACACATACAATAAGCTGGCCGCCACCCAATTGTCGAGCTAGTTGTAATTATACTGTAGTCAAATCCAGTCCGTATGAGAAAAAATGAAATTCGAGCCAAAATTAATTCTCTTTAATACGGCGTACCTTGCCATAATCGTTATACGGGGTTCAGTTTAGGGGGCCTGCCGTGACATGAGAATGACTTCTCACGTCAATGAGAGCCAGTGCCATATGCCAGGGTATGCTGTCACAGTTCGACGTAGCGTATCTGGGTTCGAGATCATGGATCATTAACGTCCATTGCATTTTATAGTTTTACCCTCATTCAAGTAAAGTGAGATTTGCGTCGTATATCAGGCAGTGAGTCGAACGTCGCGATGAGGAACCCCCGATGCGACGTATCTGTCTGCCAACTGGTGGCCGAAGGTGACGCATTGTCGCGTTGGTCTTTCTGATGCGTATGGAGTAAGGAGTATTCAAATATGATGCCTGGCCTGTTTGACTATGGTCTCTCGTCCATTAGATTGTGAACTCGCCCACTTAAAAAGACGAGCAGTACACGGAAAAAGCTATTTCATTTCACTTCGACCGTCAAGGTCGTTTCTACATAATTTCGATCCCGTAGGGTGGAGGGCGTTTGAACCGACGGGTATTCGTGTTGGTGTGGATCCTAACCTAGAAATCTCGATCTCGGATCCATACCTCCAATTATTAAGCGGAGGTTTTGATTCCGAGAAATACAGGTTGCTCTTGCTGGCGGTCTCCGTGGGAGCGAGGACCTGGTTTGCGATGCGGCTTTGAGATATCACTTCCGAAAGGGAGATTGCAACCATGCGTCTAGCTTCGTCGATCTAGGCTCATTGGCTTACCAAGAGGCCCTCGGTGTATAGTTCCGATTCCGAGGTCTTGACTGTCTTCAGTTCAAACTACTCAGATAGAAAAAACCGATTAGTGGGCAGAGATTTTGTTTTATGACTAGTGTTGATATGCCTGATCTCAGCTAGATTCAGAGGGCTGAGTAGAATTCATCAAAGCGTGAGTGCTTGCGTACGAGTTGATTTTGGTGTATCGATCCGCCAAATGCTTGCATCCGCTTAGTTATGAGAATAACAGGTAAGTTTATCCGCTTCCATTTCCCCCGCATCTGAGTGTTCTCCATTCCCCCCCCAAATGAATGTCGACCGGTCGGGATGTGGACCACCACCTCAACAGGCAGTTCCCCATGGGTTCAGCGCCCACATCCTAACCAGATTAGCGTGCCGGAAAAGCCGCTCGCCTACTGCTAGACACGCTTGTCGAAATTGTGGGGACTCGACTTGATTCTAAATACAAATACCCTACGCCCAAGACTGGCAATGACTCTCTTCAATACCTAACCGGAATCGCTCAGTACCGCCGCGCACCACCCCATCCACCATGCAAATCATTTGGCGAGAATCCGCAGACACCGCCACGTACGAGGATGCCCGTGTTGGTCGTGTTTTCAATCATCGCCGTCCTGAGCGCTTTCCGTTGGCAGTAGTGAAAGCGACTTGCCAGGAAGACATTGTCGCTGCCGTCAAATTGGCTGCGGAGAAAGGCTGCCGTGTCGCTGTTCGATCCGGAGGACATTCGTGGGCAGCATGGAGTGTGCGCGATAACTCAATCCTGATCGACCTGGGCAACTACAAGACCATGGAGGTTGACGCGGTCAACAAAGTTGCTCGAGCTTCGCCGAGTATGACGGGCAGGGAACTGAACTCTGTTTTGGTCAAGGACCACCAGCTTATGTTTCCGGGTGGCCATTGTCCAGACGTCGGCCTGGGAGGCTTTTTGCTCCAGGGTGGAATGGGATGGAATTGTCGTGTAAGGACCTGAAGCTCTATGCCGATACGCGGTGGTTGAAGTGCTAACATGTACTTTAAGAATTGGGGCTGGGCATGCGAGAGAGTTCAAGCCGTTGATGTCGTAACAGCCAAGGGAGAATTACTTCACTGCAACTCCGAGCAGAACCAAGAGCTTTACTGGGCAGCCCGAGGAGCCGGACCTGGTATGATTTATCCAAGGGATTAAAAAGTATGTCCGTGACTTCGACTAACGATGGTAATTCCAGGTTTCCCCGGTGTTGTTACGAAGTTCCACCTTCGGTTGAACCCATACCCAAAGATCGGCTTCCGCTCCTCTGGCTATGTCTATCCAATTGAAATGTATCGGGAAGCTCTCAGCTGGGTCATCTCCATTTCACCAGGTTTTGACAACGATACTGAAATTGCTGCAATCTCTCACTATCCAGATGGTGGCGACGAGATGCGATTATTCATACTCTTCGTTACCATGAAGGACGAGGCTCATGAAGCGGAGCAGGCTCTTCGCGCCGCCCAGGAAAGTCGACCTGCGGGCTGCGTGTCGGAGTGGTTCTGCAAGGAAGACAGTCTTGAAGAGCAGTATAACAATCAAGCAAACGCCAATCCCGAAAAGCATCGCTATTGTGCGGATAATGCGTACATTGACAATGACGCCGATGTGCCCGCTGTTCTAGAAGAGGCCTTTACAACACTGCCGCACAAGAAGTCCTTTGCACTGTGGTTTGCCATGAACCCCTGCAGTCGGAGAAAGCTTCCTGATATGGCTTTAAGCATGCAATCTGACCATTATTTTGCTCTCTATACCGTTTGGGAAGATGAGCACGACGACCCTCGCTGCCAGGCTTGGGTCAAGAACGTGATGAAGGGAGTGGAGACGCACTCAGTTGGCGCCTACCTGGGAGATTCGGACTTCCAGGTGCGCAAGACCAAATTTTGGGCTGACGACAATGCCCGGCGTCTAATGGAGATTCGCCGCAAATGGGATCCTCAAGGTAGACTTTGCGGCTATCTAGACGAAGGTGACTTGTCTGGCATTCGTGGACTGGATAACGCGCACCAGTGGAAGATCTGACGATGTTGAAACGATTTACGAATTAATGCATGTGACCCTGTCTAGACATGAGAAGGAATTGATACAATGGGCCTGTACAATATTTATACAAGAGCGAGGAACTAAAAAAATAGTGATACTATTGGGCTTTTCGCATACGTTGTAGCAATTGGATCTTCGGTTCCCATCATCCACTCACTTGAGCTAATGTCATTTGAGTTTGGTAACAATGTGAAGTGAGACTGCCACAGGCCTGCGATCTGCAACTGGTACAAGTTGGTGACACGCCTCATAATCATGCTCTGTAGTTCATGTCTAGTGTGGCCGATCGGACTGGAGACTTCATTCTTCATCTGCGGGGAACACCGCATCATGTCTTTTCAGCGTGGGTTGGCGTTGACCAAACGGAGAAATCGCAGCCAGAATAGTGGCGTGAGAATACACCGTCCAATAGAGGGTTGATTTCCATATGCTATGCGCGCAAAGGCCATCTCCTTGTTCGAAGGCTTCGAAATCCACGTTACTCCTGGGATGAACTGCGCGGGCCAGACTCTGTTGACAGTCTGTATTCATATCAGTGCATGAGCCAGGGAAGAGGGGGTTCCAGAGATACACTCACATCTGAGAAAGGCTCATCCTCCGCATACCAAGAATCAGTTGAGTACCCATGTAGCTCAGTCCCGAGGTAGTTTCCTCCATTATCTTGGTTATCTTGGAACATCCGACAGTCCATTTCCAAATTTCTTTCTTTGGCAAATTGGATGATATCCCCTATGCCGTGGAGCTTGCGAGAAACATAGAGCAGTTTCCAGTATTTCTCCAAATCGGAGTCCACGGGGAGGATAAGTGGAATTTGAGCAAATTTGGGTTCAAACTCTTTGCCATCACGCAAAAAGCGGCGCATGTCGTCTCCCGCCTCGCTCTCGATATATCAATCACACTCCTTCTCCTTCAGCACTGGGAGAACGTGAAAGTCTACGCCGAGCGACTGGAAAACAGAGTATACGGCCAAGTCTGCACCTTTGAGCCCCTTTGGAAGTAACTCCTGGTCTTGTGAGGATGCATGCGGTATGCATGAGCACAGTGAACACCGAGAATACCACCTACGAATATCAGCATCATCATTGTGAAGCAAAGGAACTTTGTAATTGAACCAAGATATTACGTACCTTCTTTCATGAATCCAGGTTCAGCCAGTAAATCCCTCAAGCGCTCGTAAAGGGGCAGTGCTTTGGGGTCAAGATTCACATTTCGAGGAACTGATCCACACCCAGAATCTGTAACATAAAGATTGTATGTCAAGGTAATACGATGGGCCTCTGTAACGTCGCTGATTTCATGCTCGCAATCGCTATAGAATGCAGCCACTTGTATTTTGGAATTGCTATGAGCACTCCAATCGAAGACGACGGAATTCCCTGATGTTGTACAATCAGTTTTCCACCTTTGAATGCGGACGGTAGACAAACAACAAGCGATCCAATATAGTTTTCAGATCTCGGGGTGTCAGCATGCTTTCGAAAGAGCCCATCTGGCCTGGAATACACCTAATAAGCAACAGTATCAGCGTCAATGCACAGATTTTGGCCGTAGGATTCTCACATTGAGCCTGTAATATTGGACCTGTGATTTACTGGATCGGGTTAGTTTTGCCGTTCCCGGCCTAGCGCCCCAATACGCTGTCACCCAACCTCCCCATCCATCGCCCCGACATAGGATTGGGGCTATCTAAGTACCCCATAGTGCACGGTCAATCATATTGCCAGGTCAGGTTTTTTAGCTGGCATGACTACACGATCCATTTAGGCCAAAAGGCACCTCCATACAGTAATCGGCTTAATGTTGCTTGATTATTTCGACTACAGTAATTGACTATTCATCATTAGAAATTTCTCATCGGTAGACGGACTCTATTCGTCTCGCTGGAAGAGGTTTGCCAACCCCGGGTAAAAGAGGGAAGATTCTACCGGCAAAAGTGAGTTCTATCATTAACAAGGTAGAGTTCAATTTTGAAGTTTCAGAAATAGAAATTGCCATTTTTAGCATCTTCGCTAATTCGTGTCAATGTCGTTAAGGTATAAAGAGACCGTTCTCATCTCTCGCCCTTTTTCCTCAACCATTTGATTACCATTGGACTTGACTAGCAATTTGTATTTAAAATGATCCAGCAACTGCCAAAGACTGCTATAACCCTCGAGTTCCCTTTGCGACACGATGGAAACCTTAATGTCTCTACAGGCGGTCATCTTGTCTTTTAGGCGCAGTTACTCCAAACAACAGCGACCGATCCACTGCTCTCGCAGGTAGAGCCATCAGCGACGGTGGGCGGCAATCGAAAGAACGGGGAAAGGACTGTTCCTATAAGGAGTACTCTTAAAGAACATGAACGCAAAAAATCATCTCGACAGAGAAGGAGGTCAACTCGAATTTTGTCCGAGGCCGACGAACTTGTGATTAAGCTGAGGGAAGAAAGAGGAATGAAGTGGAAAGAAATCGGAAAATATTTCCCCACACGATCGGTCGGCTCATTTCAAGGGCGATATTACAGCCCGCGACGAAGGCTGGCGTGACAAATGAATTTAATTGTGGTACGAAGTTTTGCTTGTTTGGTTTTTAGTCTCCTAAGGGTAATGACGTCACCGGCGATGGGCCTGGCTTGCTGGAGACTCAAGATTAGTAGTGCATGGAGGGTCAATTTTGGACTTCGAGTTACCCTGTAGAGTACTGTATACTGGTCTTAGAGCCGCACAGAAACGGTCCTAGAATATCACGCCCCAGCAGCTCTAGGACTATCTTACCGGATTGGATGTGTCATTATGGTGCTCACAATATCGCATACAGTCGGAGTCGAAAACAGATTCCCCTTCCTACACTCACGGATTATTTCCTGAACCCTTCCTTGAAACGCACTAATCTGTGTTTGGTTACTCTATGAATCATCCCTGCATAGTCGTATCGTATCGAATGCTGTCGCTAAATAGTCAATTTGTAAGATACTGTAAGACTCCACAGAATCGTTTAGAGTGTTCCTGGCAAAGGTACCAGTGGACGACGCGATCTGGCAAGATCGCCGACCATCCATTCTTCTGCACAAAGGCAGCCTTCGTACACTTGTTTTACTGTATAACAAAAAGGCTGCTCTGGTCCTATAGAGAATAACCGTGATATGTTGAATATGTTGAGAGGGCTGTCACAAAGTGGCGCGGTAAATACAGTCGATGGCGAACCGTACTTTATATCCTCAAAATAATCAGATTCTTTCATAAAATGGCAATTTTGGCGACTCTAGAAGACTCTCGATTCCTTTTATTTACTACCAAGCGAGCAGCAACTAATACGCGACGAGAAAGTATGCCAATCGTCATTATTAGTCCTTGTCACACTTGTCCCGTGTTTAAGATGACTGCGAGATACGTTGCCGCGTTCGAGTAAATAGCGCGTTAATAGAAGGTATACAGGTACAAATAAAACCAATCGTAATCTCAGCATTACTGTTTCGATATCCATCTTAGACAGGTCGGAATAGCTGTCGCGAATGGAGGGACGGACATACCCAGCAAAGTCAAGTCTTGTAGCAAAGGTCGTCTTGTCAGTGGATTGCCCAGACGTGAATAACAGAATTATTCGGTAGATATTCGTTACTGTAGCTATCCCGCCGGCCCCAAGGATAGCCACGACTTTGACCTTTTGAGCTATTGATAAACGGAGTGGCCATGTTAAAATGATGGGTAGGATAATGATTGCCCCGTCAGTAATCAGGCTGACGAAGGAGTCGACAATGAAGAGAGCGCGGATATTGACGCATTTACCGCTGTTCGGTATCCAGTAAGCTGACACTGGAGTACATAGAAATATCCGGACAAATAGGACCGCAGCGTAATAGGCCAGGATAAATATAAGTAAACCAAGGATAAAACGTGCCATTTTCTCCCGTATGGCAAAGATTCGAAGCAGTATAACAATAAGCAATACCTTGATGGAGACAACCGAGAGTGCATAGAAAATATAGGCAATATATTGGGTCTAGAAATTCGATTAGTTATTGAAGTCATTGCTAAGGTGTTGGCTTACCTTTCTGGCCAACTGAAGTTGTGAGGCATCAAGCTCCCACATATGATGAGCACCTCCGAAAAATACGTCTAATAGGTAAGAGAAAATGTAAAAGTTAGCTACTCTGGCTAGAAGGAATCACAAGTTAAGGAATATGACACACATAAAATTTCTATGATAAAGAGGGCACAGGTTAATAGCTGGAATGATTATTAGCAATTCCGAATTCACACTATATGTGAAGAATGAATACCCATGAGAGGCTACACAGTACTTTAGAAGATTATCAGCAATGGGTAGAATTATTTTTAACAGGGGTTTATAGTGGTCTCACAGTCTTCCCAATTAAATGATTTCCAGACACGATACCTCGCATAAAGACGTAAAGCTAGAGCGATCGTGACCAGAGTAATACACAGTCCGTCAACTATGTAGCTGATAGTGGAGAGAGAATTCGTTGAATCTACTTGTCTTGCAAAGATCGTAGAAGTATAAAGTGAAGGTGATAACCTTGTGATCATAATGTCTCTATTCGGAGACAAAATTTGTGACCAATCTCCCTCGGTTGATACGCCGTGAATATTGAACTTATACGTGACGAGGAAGGAAATGAGTTGTTAGTACTAGTTCAGTGGGGTTGTGCGTATTTTATGGTACGCTCAGCCCTCATATTTCCATGATGTAATAGCGTGCAATAGGACAGGATGAAACCCTGGAACGCTTGTGGTCTTGTGGTTTATTCCAAAAAAAAAAAAAAAAAAAAGGAATTATACCTAATGAGGGATGGCAGATAATAGAGTTGGCAACATCGACCTAACTCGCTGCTTAGGGTCACCTCTTAAGGCTGAGTGAGTATCGGTCACAAAAGCTACAGTAATCATCGGTCGCCGCTTTTCGCTCACTAACCATAACTAGTCTGGTGCTTAGCTGAGTAATCTGATCCACTGACTGATCCTTATCTGAGGGCCTGATTCGCCCACTGAGCACAAACTAGCTGAGTAATCTGATCCACTGACTGATCCCTATCTGAGGGCCTGATTCGCTCACTGAGCACAAACTGAGTGTGGGATGAGCAGCCCACGGAACTCACCATGATGAAATGCAACACCCCTAGTCCCATCCACGTACAACCCCCGGTCCCTCTCTAGATTAACCCCATTTTCCAAAAATATACTTTTTATACGAAGTGACGATAAGAGTGCTATGTATCTCGCTAATAAACACACGCAGCAGACAACTGCTACTGTATGAGCAATCGATATATCTAGTCCTAGACAAACCCATGCAGCTCATGATGGGCTTTGAGCCTGGATTCAAACCGATGGAGCTTTGGGCTTTGGGCACTGGGTCTAAACCTGTGCCATGGGTTTGTGCACGTGATTTATCCGTAGTATATTTCTTAGTTCATGCGGGAGCGGCCCACTTCCCTTTCCTCCTTGAGATTGATGTAAACAGTTCGTGGCCTAGCTAGATTGAATCAAGTCGGCTACAGCATTTCATATACTTCAGTCTTCCGATATTCTATCATTAAATGCCTTCGGAAGCATCCGAAAGTCTCCTTAGAGCACACGATTACCCCTGACCTTCTACGTAGGCTTAGGACCACGACGAAGAACCCTAGGTAGGCACGGAAGCTCCGACCTACCCCAAGAAGAATAGACTACGGAGTCTATACGGATACGATCGCTAATGATAGGCGATAACAGGATGCCTGATCAAGCACGAGTAACTATGCTGACCGGAGAAACAAACTAACAGTTCCGTTCTGAGTAGATTCCGCAACCCTATTCGGCGACAACAGTGAATATGAAGTACAATATGCTGGTCATGGGCGGGTTCGCTATCGCCATGAGTTTGGCGTGGATCTTTGAAGGTCGCAAGCTTTTCTCGCCACCCGTTAAGGATGAGGCAGTTTTTGTCGCTGGGTCTGGGGTCCTGGATGGTTTTAATGTCGATGAAGGTGAGGGGAAAATGCAGAGTTTTTCAAAGGGCCAGGCCAAGTCTCATATCACCCCTTTGTCAGACAGGCCTTAAGATGAGTCTGTATTCGATCTTGCGTTGGGTGTTTCTACTGGCTTCCTAGATGAATTGTATATTTAAAGCTAATTTTTTTAGTCTTCAAGGAATAATGAATTGCTCCAATATCAGAATGAATTCTTTGAATTAGCAATAGTCTCTTAGCCGAAACACATATATGTACATAACATAGACAGAAATGCAATCATCTCATGAGAAACACAACGTTCATCTAAAGTCCCAGGCGTTAATCATACGGCTGTCGATTCAGCAGAGTTCTTCGAGTAGGTTTAATTCCAAATCTGAGAGCCTAGTAAGAATTAAAGTTAGGCTAGCCGCGGCTAGCTTGTCTCATTACAGTAGGGCTAAGCAGCACTAGTTTGAAAATTCTCCACGAGCTCAAGCCAATGAATAATGGCAATAGTCACTAACTAACAGAGCTCTTGCGAGGGGAGGAGCGATCGAAGGTACGAAATAAATGGTAATTTATGAAAGGGACCTCGGTTAAGGGAGAGAACGGGAGCGATGATGGGAACTGAAGTTTCCTTTCAGGCTAAACATAGCTGAATTACAATTTGATAGAGCGGGAGTCTAGGGCACGCTGCTATTCTCATTGTGAATTATCGGGTGCTGGATAATGCTGGTCATTCTTGAGATTAGGTGGATGTTCTGCCACATACTTCCAGGAAACGTACAGTGCGCGAGTCAAAGAAATTCCTTCAGAGATCCTGTTTTATCCCCAAGCAGTGGTCCTTAATATATTTGGGACTTCACCATTTTGGGGTACTAGATTTTCACATTCAGGCCCTCCCATCTGCGCACTCCAAGTCTGGGCCAGAATGAGGCCAGTAGTGGGACAAGTCAAAAACTGGGAGGTTAAACGGGAAGGCCAATTCTGCAAGCATGAGCGCACATGTCAAATACCAAGCCAGCATTGCCACAACAAACAAGAGTCCCCCAGAAACCTAGAGAGGGAGCATTAGCTTCCAGAGAGAAAAGTAGAGATCAAATGTACATACGTGTTTCAGATGCAAAGCAGAGGGAAAGTCTCCCAAGCTAGCCTTCCAGTAGGATGCAGAGAGGGTGAAGAGACCCGCTGTAGCATCGGCGAAGAGAGCTGCCAGCACTGCATTTGTTCGGAGTGACATGATGAGGAAAGTAAACACGGCAAACCCCAAGACAGAAATGTATAGCGCTATGCCTGCGTTATAGTCAGGTGTCAGTGTGCCCTCGACGGCGCTACCAGCTGGGGAATATGACGATGCAATGTTGGCAGTGGGCAGTTGAAGAATGCCAAGAGAGGACCAAAATACACCGAAAAACCCGCAGAGCATCATGTTGAAAAAATTGCCGAGTATCCATTCAAAAATCGTCGAGAGGAAAAGGAGCACGGGTCCAGTGAAGAAGAATATCCCTCTTGGATAGGATTAGCAAGCCACTTGGAGCCTGGGATCGATTTGCTCGAAGACTTACACAACGCTTGCCAAGGACGAAGATCCGCCCCAGCCCATCAACACTGTTGAAAATGTCCCAACCGAGAGGGTAAACCTGGTATATCTCAGTGGAAAGGCCACCAGTTATAATCAGAAGAAACGCTTACCCCATGAGTCCCAAGGCAAGAGAGTTGCTAGGCTTGCTGTATTTGCCGTCGTATGATTGTGATTGTGAATCCTGGAGTAATACTCAGTCAGCATCTTCCACCGAAGTTTCCACAGACTGAAATGAACCGAGCATACCATCTTTTGAAGTGAATGGCTAGCTAGGGGAATAATCAAGGGTGGTATTTCGCATGGGTTCCTCTTATTCAACTTAACTCAGAGAAAGCACAGGGAATTTATAGATGTGAATTATGCCCACACGCCCGACTCGGCCTCTCGGCCCCTCGGCGGCTTGGCCGCTCGGTATCTGGATGCTCCTCTGTATCTCGGCGTTCGGGGATCAGCCCTTAGGAGTAATCCTGCTGGATTCTCGGCGCTCGGGACTTAATCGCCGTGACTTTCAGTGGGTATATTCCATGATTGAAAGGTATTCCATGATTTAAATTAACGCTACTGCCGGGTCTTCCGACTGCAACGATTGCCACAGCCCAAGATATAAGAGTTGGTCCTCCCAAGCTATGAAGCACACCTCAACACTCACCATCATCCTCACATTAAAAACCTAAGTCTTTGGAGAATCGACACCACTCGAACATCAAAACCAGCCTACCATCAATTCCAACACCTATGCTTTCTTTGTTCTCCGGCACCCACTCCCCAAACTCCAGTCGCGGTTTCCCTGGTGGAAGTTCAACCGAGGAAACTATGCCGTCGGAGAAGATTGAACAATCTTCACCTGCCCAGCGGCCCCTGTCTCAGCGCCGCAAGCGGATCGTTGTTGCTATGACCGGAGCAACTGGGGCCATCCTAGGAATAAAAGCACTGATTGCCTTGCGCAAGTTAAATGTGGAGACGCACCTCGTGATGAGCAAATGGGCCGAGGCAACCATCAAGTACGAGACTGACTATCACCCGTCGAATGTAAAAGCACTTGCCGACTATTTCCACTCGATCAACGATATGGCAGCTCCCATCTCAAGCGGCTCCTTCAAAGCTGATGGAATGATCGTTGTTCCGTGCAGCATGAAGACCCTTGCAGCAATCCATAGCGGGTTCTGCGATGATCTGATCGCTCGCACCGCCGATGTTATGCTTAAAGAGCGACGACGCCTGGTCTTGGTCGCTCGGGAAACCCCGTTAAGCGATATTCATCTGCGCAACATGTTGGAAGTATCCCGCGCGGGCGCCATCATCTTCCCTCCTGTTCCGGCTTACTATATCCGGGCAGCGTCCGTGGATGAATTGGTCGACCAGAGCGTAGGACGCATGCTAGACCTTTTCGATTTGGACACTGAGGACTTTGCGAGGTGGGAGGGTTGGTAGCATGCAGAGCGTTGAGGTCTCATGCAGAGCGTTGAGGTCTCATGCAGAAGCAATCGGCTTGGTCTATACGGATGTCTTGCATTATCATCGGCGTTATCGATTAAATAGATTAGATACCACATCAAGAAATTGCATTTATGCTCGGGAATAGGCTACTTCGCTCACTAAACTGGAGGAGTGATAGAGTGATAAATCATTTAGACTCTTCGCGTTGTGGCAACTCTGGGAGTGACGTAACATTCTTCAGGAAGAGATGCAAAAACTCACGGGGTACAGGCATTGGTGTGTGTTAGCATACTACCATGTGAAGCATCTTCGACTAGTTCGAGGTTGAACGTTTTGGCAAAGGGGTATATTTTGACTTCCAACCGGTAAAATATTAGAACTAATACGTATTTCATATTTCTCGCATACTATGCCAAGTGCGTACAACTCTCATCCCCTCTTGAACTTTACTGGTATGCTTTTCTCCGAGCGCTGATGGGCATACTGGGGCAATATCCTCTAATGGCTCCCTCGCCTCGGAAGTCCCCCTCACAAAACTACACAATCTTTGATTATACTCCCCATGCGGTCGCTCTGCAGCTCCACCGGCTTCCTCCGCAAAGGTAGAGGAATTTCCCGCGCTGCACACGATTCGCCCAGGGCCACAGTTGTTATCGTTCATTCCAGAACCCGCACATAGAATTTCCCTTGATTTTCGGGCAACGGACTGCAACGAGCACCCTCTACGATAGAGTGTGCGACCACAATTGGTCATCGAGCACGGTTAGCTAGTACGCGGCTCTCGGTGCCCATCAGCAAGTCGCGGCTGCAGGGGCGTAACAGCGTGAAGCCGTACACCATGATCCCAGAATTGAGACATTTAGGAAAAATAAACGCTATTAAGATCATTCTTGCTATGAGGAACGATGATATCGTTCTATGACCTTGCTTAGTATCCATGAGGGGGCGACCAATAGCCAGAAAGCACGTATCTGGATAGCTAAGCGAAGGAAGGACATTCTCATCAACTTGAGCGTTGCTCGTCAACATGATTCTTGTGAATCTCAATATTTTCCAGTACAGACAAAGTCGGCGTTCCCTTCCAGGGCAAGTTCCTCATTCTAGTCTGTTAGAAAGCAATCATACCAGTCGTTTTTCGATAGATACCGGGTTATTTAGTACACATTCAATATCCATATGCTTCTGATAATTTTAGCGCATCTTGAAGTCGGTGAATTGAACGTGGACGAAGAGAATCATCGTCGTAAAGGTCCTGGTAGATGGGCCCCTCTCCAATGGCCGGTGCGATTCCGTCGCGCAGCTCGTTCGTGAAGGAGACACCATGCTGGATATCATAGAATGGCATATTGATGGGCGTTAAGAATTGCTAGATTTTATGTGAAGCGTGTCCTTGGATGGCAATGAGTCCTGCCATTTAGACCACGCCTCAAGCACGGAATTTGGGTAGCTGGACAAGGAAATAATAATTGCGGTGCATTCTCTCGGAAATTCAGAAAAATACAGATAGTACAGCTAATAATAACACCGAGCACTGCCGTTGAGCACTAACATTGATCCCCGGAGATCCCTGGTCGGCCTCTTGAATCCTTGCTAGAAGGTCGGAAAGGATAATTCCCGTATTCACCAAACCCATGATATACGACAAGAGGGGGTTTAGGATGGGAGTGCCGCTTGTTGTCAGCCCCGGAGGTAAGTCAGAGGCTAGTCCAGCTTGCTAAATCCCCGCTTCTCCCAGCAGGCCAAAATCTTGTCTTGCAGACATTTTGGATAACCTTGGCGAAAGCTCGTGTTGACCCAGTCTCTGCCCGTGGTATATTCGACAGGGAATAACGCATCACAGACTATCTTGCCGCCTTTAGTAGGGTTGCCGTTCCCATGCGCCATATAAGGAATAAGTGCGAAGCCTTTGACATCTTCGTAGGGATACTCGTCCAACCCGGGTCGGCACCGTGTGGAGAATGCCCACATGATGTCTGCATCATCATGAACGTCGATGTCCTCGCCGACCAGAAGGAGGCGGTGGAATGGCACTCCGGCCTTGGACTTGAACACGACATTAGCGACAAGCTCGGCCAACTCCTTCGGAGTGATCTTCATGGCCCGAAGTCGGGTTCCATCAACTTGAAGCGCGACCCAAGTGCACTGAGAGATGAGCGGCGAGCTAGCTTGCAGAATTGGTAAGTCGGCAGCCCGGCAGAGCTTCAAGACTTCAGCTGCCGAGAGTAGACCTCCCAAGGATTGCTGTTGCAAATCGGTCAGCTAAAGCCACTAGAGCAACGGGACATCTATCTTTAATTGTCACCAGGGTTAGGCTCACCGTTTCGTCTGTTAGTCTGCCCGTGGCCGAAAGGGGAAGAATGGCATTGTTGCGGTAGGTAATCTTGTTGACCTTGAACACTGGCATCATGCGGGAGTCTCCAGGAAAGTTGACTCCATGCATCTCACTGTAAGGACCCTCAGGGACCTGTTCGGTGATTGAGATGGTGCCTTCAAAGACAATCTCTGCATTGGCTGGGACATAGAGGTTGTTTGTGTCGCATTTGACCAGCTTCAGAGGTTCCCCACTCAAGGCGCCGACATAGGCAGCTTCGCTGACACCGTCTGGAATGGGCATGGCTGCCACCATGGCGGCTGCTGGGGGGACACCAAACGCGAACGCCCATGGCGCGTCCTGGCCGATCTCCCGCCACTTGTTGACGATCTGCCAGTTGTGCTGGGGCGGGTAGCACGCACCAGTCATGGTGCGCTTACCCACGATCATGGCTCGGTTGATGGACCAGTTGACCCATTGGCCATCGGGCGCTGCGAGAACGTTTACCCCGTAGGTGCCAATATACTTGCCGCCATCGGTCTCGTGCACCATGGGAGCTGGGATGGCCGTTAAGTCGATATCGTCACCTTCGATGCTGTTCTCCTTGACAGGGCCCGACTCGACTGTAACAGGATCAATCAGCTCCTGCGACCCGACGGAGAGCAACTTCTCCATGATGGCACTGGCGCTAGAGTCGGGGGGCAGGGCCAGGTGTCGCGCGATGCGCCCGAAGCGTTGCGTTTTGGACTGGCGTAGCGAAGCAGGAGCTCCAAGGATGCGGAAAAAGCCATTCTTGGCCCCAAGGACGTTATTGAACAGCGGGGCCTTGTCATTAGTCTCACAGACGAGACGAGTAATTGCTGCCGCCTCGAGGTTCGGGTCGACGTGGTCGTTCACTTCCACCAGATCGTTGTCGTCCCGGAGAGAGTCCACAAAGGTGCGGAAGCTCAAGTGCGGAGGCTCTGGGTCTCTATCTCTCGTGGGAGCCATTGTTGGTGAAGTAGAGTCAGATCCGTCGCTCTGGTGGGCACTAGGGCAGAGACGATTGCTGAGCAAATAGATTTGTTGACTGGTTTTTGCGCGTTAAGCTAGGCTGATTCCCAATAGAATAGATGGACGGACTTGGATGAACTTCAGCTCTTGTTCTTGTTGTTGTTTGGCGTGTCCGCAACCATCCTTAAATAGTCGCAACTGGACTACGACGATGGGCATCATCGTTCTACACGGCCCGATACCCGTCTAGCCCCGACGCTCCGAGCCCCGAGCCCCGAGCGCCGATGGCCGATCGATCAAGATCTCGGCGATATTTCCACTCATGAGACATTTCTCGGTCCCATACTCACATACGGCTGGGTGGATATTCACTATTCGTAAGAACCCGACCCCCCCCCCCCCCCCCCCAAGACTCCGAGATTAAGTGAAGCCCCGAGGAAAGTGATTTGTTGCACGGGAGGGCGGGCGCGGTTGTATGTCGTGTTTCGCGATCATTCCTGGGTACGATTCTGATATCTGATGGATCTAGTCCCTGTTTGACTTTGATTTGGCAAACGGTTCGCTGTCAATTTCGCAGGACTCGGTTCTACTCACCGGACAATGCCAATCATCAGATAATCATGCCGGCTAGAAGAAGCACGAATGAAAAAGCAACGAATGACATATTATCAACTATTGATGAGGACTTCAACTATAACTCTCACATTTCCCAGGCGTTCGGTATGTTGAGCAGAAGCACTTTGGCTCAACTCTTCGGTGTCCAGCTTCGCGTCGCATTATTCGCTATAGATGTCTCCATTCTCCTTTACAGTCCGTCTCCTCATTCTCGGCTTTTCTCTCGTCGATTTCAGGACGGTAACCGATGAGATCAGAGGGGTAGAAGCAGAGTTAGATCAGTGGGCCACAGCTTCCGTGGCTTCTGTTTTCACAACTATATCAGATCAGATACGCTACGATTTCCGTCCGCCGTGAAATCATATGAGCAGTTCATTTTGATACATTATCAGTATGTCTTGGATATACCCACACCCCTTAAAAGTTACTAATGTGCTTGATAAGTATTATCTGTCTTACCTTGTCCCAGCCATGAGATGCTTATTCTGGAAACTTGCAAGCGTTACTCAGACAAGAACCATTATATTCCCCGGATTTTCGGAACCAATTATACGCTGAAGCCTGAAGGAGTTAAGTACGTTACGAAAATGCTGGTTAGAGTGATGCATCTCCCAATCGGAATGTAAATCTAAAGGATAGCAACGCTCTTGCTAGGACTAGCTAAATTTCCTTTCACAAACTATCGTTTATTGCCTTGCCTCTCATTTTAAAATCTCTCCACAGTCATCTGGTTGAGACAAATTCTCAACGCCTAGCAAGGATGACTCGCAAGCAACGTATTCAGCAATATACCAGAGTAAGTATTGGGTCACGGCCTGGTGCGAAAAAGTCCTAGTCGACCCACTTGTATATTTATGCTTGTCTAGACTTCTCGACTGGACATTGTCGCATATCCAATTTCCACAGGAAGATGAAACATGTACGCTTTAGGTGAGATTGGGAATCGATATTCAGCTATACCGTCGGATTTCTCAATTGAGGTATCGGATGAGACGACGTTTCCCACAATGCCACATACTAATCATCCCGTTCGTTATGCGCGCAAAATGTCACGAAACGCCTCCGCCGGGGAAGGTCACGAAGAACAACACTTAAAGTAAATAATGCCTAGCATTGTCAATGTTGATGAGGAGATCAGGAGTTGTATGGATGTTTCCTCGGATGATGAGATGATAGAAATTATAAGTACACTGGGGTTGCCAGAGTCCTTCACCGTGAACGATTGGGATGGTTCTTTGTTTTGTTCCTTCTGCAGCCACGGTAAACGCCTTGTGGCATAGACGAATCAGCACTAGATGTGATCTGCCAAATCCAAAAAATTCTTCTCTGTAATTTGTTGCATTTTAACTTCAAAAGAACAACTATACATCAGAGGAAATGACCATTATACTAATATAGACATGCGTATCTCTTTATCATATAAATTGACAGGAGATGGACCGCAAGAACACCAACCCCATTTGGGCTTGTATATTTCCATGCCCTTCGACCCACACCGCTTAACGGGAATGAAGCAGGAAACGGTGTGGGTGGACCGAAGAGCATGGACATAGCCCAGGATACTTTTGAGCCGGAAAATTGTTCACTGCCGAAAAGAGCGCCGCTAGGTGGCAGAGTTAATAGAATTAATTCTCTATTAGAATCTTTCCGAGTATAAACTAGTGCTTCGGAACTTGCTAAAAATAACTACTTTCTGAATATTAATCATATCAATATTGCAGCGCTATTTGGCCAATAGGGAACAGATCTATCTCACTGGAATAGTCATTTATTTCTAAGAATTAAGCTGTAAATGCAATATCGAACAGGCACCAGAGACATGAAGCTTAGGTGTAGTCTGACATAGCGCATATAGGTTTGAGGGCGGCGTTCGTAAACATACTGACAGAGACAATATGTTTTATTATAAAAATTCTTTAAACGCAGATGTATCATAGAATAGCGCTATATTAGTCGTTAGCACAGATTTCAGTATCTCTCATCGTCGGTGCTCACTATTCATAATTTCGTCAACGTATGCGACGGGTGACAGATCAGAGGATATCCAAGGAAACTGGTAACCCTCATCTGGAGCGCTATTTGCAGTATCAGCAACTTCTTTACCAGGATTTCCTAAGCCGCGGGAGCTCTGCTCACCTTTGACCAAGTGTGGCAGATATTTGATCCGGCATCGAACAGAAACCTGTGGATAAGGTATTATCCGATATTTGGGCTCCTGTCGGACCTTGTTGTTCAGGCATGTGAGACGCCGGGTTAGGAGAGGTTCCTGTTGTTGACCATGAGGTGTTGCAAAGGGTTTCCAGCAAATTCATAAGCGCCCGGACGTGTCTACTGGACAGCCAATGGGTCCTATGGCAATGGTGCTCGAGATTTGCGTCTAAATCGGCATCACGTTGACTGGTTTCCAAGAGAACTTTGAGTACGCTCCCCTGAAGGTCCCGAAATTTTGAATCATTCCTTGTCTCCTCCCAGATGCTGAGTAGCAAGATTGACGTAAGAGCAGAGTGAATCATCGACCAGTTCCGATGCGGAACGATACTCAACGCCTGAAAATCAAGGAATGCCTTCAATATATCCTGAAGGCCCTTTTTCGCTCGCGTGACGAGGAACTGGTGGACGTCGCTATGGGACATCGGGGTAGACTTTTTGATAGCAGGTCGACATAGGAAACAGATAGCAAACGAGATATTAATCTCCAGCGCAAGGTGTTCAAGAAGCTCTTGTAAGTTGCAGCACGAATCACGGTTTTGCAGATATGGTTGCGCATGTGAGCTACAATCGTCTATAGTTTGCAGGAGACGTACAGAACGCTCCATGTCTGGTTTGCTTTCCGTCACTTCGAAGCAAATATATGCTACGGAGCACATTACTTCGACGTAGGAAAGAGTAGACCTGGAAGCGTTGCTGTGGCATAAGCTTTGCACTTGAACGTTCGAAACGCTGGCCGGCCGACCATGGCATACGCTCAGAAAGCAGTCCTGCCAGACAACGGCAGCCCTGAATGGGTGGCCAAGCGTGAGTTACATGAAGCGTTGTTCCAACGTGTGCGTGTGTCTTTTCGCATCCACGAGAGTTGGGTGGACATACCATAAAGCTCTTCTGTTTGCGCTATCTAGTCCAGATTGGCCACCACCATTCTCGGTGTGTAGCCCAAGCGCCTGCGACAGTCTGACAGTCGTCCCTAATAGAATCCAGGCGCCATCGGATTGCCCAATATTCTGAAGCGTATTTCCTAATATCAATAGTGTCTGTACTGCGTTGAGAGATGGGCGCAACATGTAGTTAGCCAGTTGCAGGACTTGAAATGCTCGTCTCACTTGGTAAAGTGTCAGTATTCCAAAATTCTTGATTGAAAGGAGTCCCATACTCAGTTGGACTTACCAAAATCTCGAGATGTCTCGCATCGTTGGGTGACGGGCAGGGTCGAGAAATGGGAACCACAGGAAAGGGTAGCCAGAAGGAGAGCAACGAACGTAATGCCTTCATCACTGACCCATGGTTCTGAAAGATGTGATTTGTCCTGTAGCTCCCCAGCCGCCCTGCTTTTGATGTATTTACACATACGGAGTTCAAAGCAGTTGATGTCGACGAGGAACGGCATGAACGGATATGCGGTATGCCGGTAAGAAGGGAAGAACCTATGATAAAGCCCAGTAAGTTGCACTGTTCATTTAGAAGCAGTATTAGAACATCATGATGAAACTCTTCACCCATCATCCTATTTGGAATGTAAAATATGAAAGGAGCAGAAATAAGGAGTGAACAGATCTATTACCTATGAATCTCTTCATTCTGGGGTGAGAGGCTCAGTAAGCTCTCCCATCGCTGCTGTAATGTCGGGAGAGTAAACAGAGGATCGCTGCTAAAGGAATTTTGTAGGCCAAAAAACACGCGGGCATCTCGAATCCTTGAGGATGACGGCAGGTCATTGGCGTGTTGTCGTAGCATGGCAACGATAGAGTTGTCCCCTTCGTATGTGAGCTCTGCTGGCATAGTTACTTCGTCAACCGGACAGGTGCCATTTGCAAAGTTGGATGGGCTCCCTGCGTTAGATTCGCCAGCTGAAGGGTCGAGGGATGGACGAAGCAAGGTGGAAGAGGACAAAATTCTCCTATCTGTGCTCGAGCCTACGGCCTCTTGGGGGCTATTTTGTCGGGAGATAGCGGATTCAGTCACTGGTGTAGCTTGCAGAGGATTATCAACTTCAAGCCTAGATCGTCTATCATGACGCTTGGTCGCTGCAGTCAGGCCGAAGGAGTAGGAACAGATTTCGGGGTGGCCCCGCCTCTCACATGTGCTGCACGGTTGGCCATGATTGCAACGGACCTTGCGCCTGTGGCAAGGATAGCAAGCCTTCTCCTGTGGCTTACGCTTCCGGCGCAGGGTTTGTTCGATCTCATCTCGGTCCATAAATGCTGTACGTGTAAAACGCGAATGCAACTAGGGATTCGTCCAGGCGACGTCATGGAATCTTTGGCAATCTTGTTCCGAAGTAAACCCACCCAGATGTGCACGTGACTAAACACCTATCGGCGCTCGGGGCTGGGGATCTCTCGGCAAAACGGCATTGACCTCGTAGAACGATGCTGACGCTATCGTCGCAGTCGCGACCAGATACGATTATTTAAGGACGATAATGAGCACATTCAATGATGACAAGAGTTGCAGTTGATTCAAGTCCGAGAGGCCCGGATTCAACCTAATCCCGGGCTATTTTGAGAGCAGAAAGTAGCTTTCAAGGGAACGTGTTTTCGGTCCAACTCGAAGTGAGCAGATATGCGTCTGAAATCGTTCTCCTGGACTATAAGAATAGCGGGCCATTAATTCTCTCAACATATGATGATCTGCTCAATAACCTTTCCCCTTCTTCCTCCATCCTGCTGCTTTATCTATCCGTGCTAATTTGCTGGATTTATAAGTTAGCTATTTTTCTCTTTCCTTTAAAAGTTCAAGTTACTGGCATGGGGCTCGTGCTTCAACAACAAGAAGGTCAGCTTGATGATCTCGGCCTTCGAAGCATTTCAAATTACCCACCGTTCCCTGACTTTCTTCCGCCAAACGGAGAATCGGTCCCAGCTCACAAATTTCACCTGCCCGGGATGTCGGCCTGAGATGGAGGATACACGGTGTATCAACCATAGAATCGATTAGCAGACAAGATAGGCCTCGTCTGGATACCATCGTGTCTGAGCCTTTGCCCTCCAATGTGACGAATATGGCGGATGCGAGATTTGAACCTGCGACCATGGTGAGTTTTGTTGGAATTTTCCGTTCTGAGAAGTTCATGGAAATGGGAAGGCGCGAGCTTCCGAAATAGGAAGGGGCCTGGGGCAGGTAAACAAAAAGGCCCTGTTCGCACCCTCGTAGTTTTCTTCTTCTTCTTCTTCTTCTTCTTCTTCTCCAGACTTAGTTGTTTTCGTTAGACGCACCGAATCGAAGCATTCAGCTCTTTTTGCCTGGCTCGTGACATTCAACTAAGTCTCTTCTTCTTTATCTCTTTCCAGTTGACTGGCTGAGCGAGGAAACGCGTACACACGCGATCTACTGCTACCCGGTAACTCCCTCCTTTTAAACCGAACCGAAGAACCCCGAATCTCTGTAGAAAATGGCTGAGAAGGTGACCGAACGAAGTCGCTCGAGACGAGAGAAGAGCGCACGCAGAACCTCGCTGGTATTCGGAGCCCAGCAGGATGATACCGCGGTTGAGATAAACACCGTTGACTAACTGATCGCCTGGATTAAGGCCGAACCAGAGACTGCCTGGCGTTTACTGCAGAGGCGTCAAGGCCAGATTGATGAGCTACGGATTACTCAAGAGCAGAAGGATTTGGAGCATACGGGCGAGACTATGCGCCTACGTGAGCAGCTAGCTGCTTTGGAAGACCGAATGGCCCCTGCCGGACCTGACATGGAGGAGGAATACGCTCGCTTGCGTACGGAACTCGACGATACCCGCAAGGAGATAGCTACCCTACGTGGTGAACGTGACAGCCTAATGACCGTGATGCGCCTGATGGGCCTATCCGTTGCCAACCCGAACCAGATGACCGATGATCGAGGATCCCCTGCACCATCCCAGACCGGAAGCAAGAGGTCGACAAAGATGCCCGACCCCCCGATGTTTAGTGACGGCAAGAATGTGAAGTTCAAGGACTGGAAGACCGAGATGAAGCGAAAGCTTCTACTGAACGAAGACTATTATCCGACTGCCGCCCATCAGCTCGCGTATGTGAACAGCCGATGTGAAGGAAAGGCTCTAAGACACATCAAACCTCGGATGCAGGAAGATGCAACCGCTACCTATCAGACCGTCCAGGACGTCTTTGACCACTTGCAAAGTGTGTTCCACGATCCGAATCATCAGCAGGTAGCTCGTGATGAGTACCTCACTCTCAAGATGGACCCAAAGCAGGATTTCGGTGACTTCCTTGCAGAATTTACTTACCTGGCAGAGGAATCCGACCAGCCAGCAGATCTCCGCAAGCGTGACCTTTACCGCAAGTTGCCAGCTCTGCTCCAAAACCAGGTGATGATTGATGCAGGCCAAAGCTCTGTTTCCCTTGACGAATTCGTACAGAAGTGTCAGATCGCTTCCCGTTTGATTTCCCAGCAGATCGCGAACCGTGCCGAGAACCGCAACAAGAACAACCGAACTGGAGGAAACGCTTCTAACCATCCAAACGCGAACTCGAACTCCCAGGACCGGAAGCCCACGAACCACCTCGACGACAAGGAGAAAGCTGCTTTGCTGAAAGAGGGCCGTTGCTTCGTCTGCCGTGAACAGGGTCATATCTCTCGTAACTGTCCAACCAAGAACCAGACTACGAACGCCGCCGCAACCTCCAACCAGGAAAGCAAGACAAAGGGCAGTAAGAAACAGGGAGGGGACAGACAGGATGTGATGGAATGATTCAGTGTAGATCAGTGGGAATGGGAGAAGGAGGGAGGTGGCATTGCCGGAAGAAAGTGTCTTGTAAAGAGACCTTTCATCAAGAGGAAGGGGCACCTGCCGTTGGTGGGCAACGGTCATGATCCCGTCACATGAGCAGCCTTCCAAGGGCGCATACTACACCCATCATCGCCATTGAACTTATGAAAATACATCAGACTACTTTTAGGGAAACAAGAATTGCTAAAGCAAACGCAATATCTTCCTAACTCATTTGACAAAGAATCTTGAGTAAGTCACCCGTCACACCCATTGCCGTGACATCTCCGCCTGCGCCAGCACCTCGAATAGTCAGAGGCATCTCGCCATATCTCTTCGTGTAGAAGCTGATGATATTATCACTTCCCTTCAATGCAGCAATAGCATGCGTAGGATCAAACATCTCCATCCCGACTTTGACGTTTCTCGTGCCCATCTCGATGCTCCCAACGTACCGTAGAACCTTTCCCGCTTTCTTGGCGAGATACTTCTTATTTTCCATACGGTCATCAAACTCATGCAACCTAGAGAGAAACTCAAAGCGAGTGGCACAATTGTTCAACTCTTCGGGGATCAGACTTTGAACTGGAAACGACGCTGGAGACTCGATCGGGAGACCAGCCAAGCGACCCAAGATAGTCAGCTTTCGAGCAACATCGAGGCCATTGAGATCATCTCGAGGGTCTGGCTCGGTGTATCCAAGCTCCTTTGCCTTTTTCACAGTCTCTGACCACTTTCCAGCTTGGCCAGTTGTTGGGGAGAATTGGTTAAAAAGGAAGGACATTGTCCCGCTGAAGACACCCTCTATACGAGTGACTTCGTCTCCAGTCTGAACCAGTTCTTTCAGTGTGGAGATAACAGGCATCCCAGCCCCAACGGAAGACTCATGATACACCATAGAGCCCCCTGATTGAGCCGCGCTGAAGATGTCTTGCCAAAGTTCGTAGCTTCCAGAGAAGGCCTTCTTGTTTGGTGTGATGATGCTTACTCCTCGTCTCAAGAATTCGGGGTAGGCTTCTGCGATAGCACCAGAGCTGGTATTATCCACCAATATGACCTTATGTGGCGCACCAGCCAGATATTCAATTGTTTCCGCAACAGAAGGTAATGCATATCCCTTTGCCTCCAATGTCGGTAGAGCGGTTTCAATATTAATGTCGGCGTAGTCTTGACTATAAAGCGCCCCATCGATTGTCGCAATGTAGCAAAGGCTGAGTCGCGTCGATTTCTGGTTTTTCGCAAGCCATGCTAACTGCGAAAGGAAGCATGAACCAACCCCACCGGCCCCTGTCGCGATATTGTCATTAATTCACTTGTTCGGTGCAGCCTTGAGTTATTGAATTAATCCTCTTACCAATTACGGCAATATTAATCTGTCTCGGCGGTGCCATATTGACTCGTAAAAATTCCAATGGATGGTGCTACTCATTGCGCAGGACTTCAACCCCTTTAATAGAGGTAATTGGAGGCACGAGGTTTTGCTCGAGCAAAATCCAACGACAGACTACGAAGGAAGTCTGTCATTGTTCGGTTGGTGAGCACTCAGGTAATCGATCGATTACATGTCTCCACTCCACCGACCCCGGTCATCCTGGCTCGGTAGGCAACACTCGGTGACCATAATCGTTCAATTATGTAAAGTTATTTCTCAACTCATTGACTGTATCATATTTACATTGGATATTGAAACACGAGTTAAAGTATCTCAAAACATAATCGTTGAATTAAGTAACATAATCCTTGTTAGTGGTGGAACATCCCGATTCCTAATTTGAACCTTATCCCATACTAACTTACTGGGCATGTGTGACCGATTGGATGTTAATGAGGAACAGATAAGCGTAAACTTCTCTTGGTATATAAACTTGTTCGTAGTTTAAGACAAATTTTAGATCAACAGACTTGAGCATTCTACTGAGAATTCGCAGCAAACTTCATTGAGGAGAAAAAATCATGACGAAGTGTGCTCTGAAGGTACTTCCCCCGTATTTTCAAATACACAAGTCTTGAAATGCTGACAGCTTTACAGCTTAATGATCCGTCACTCCTCCATGAAGCATCTTTGCTGAATGGAGAATGGGTTCAAGCCAGTTCAGGCAAAACATTTGATGTTGAGGGTGAGTCTTCGGCGCTGGCAAACAAGATCAACAAAAATAAACATACTGATCTATTTCGCGAACCGAAGATCCTGGCTCAAGCCAAATTTTTGCCGCCTGTCCTACAAACGAGGTCGCTGATGTGGACAAATACGTAGTGTCTTCTCAGAAGGCGTTTGAGAGTTATCGCCATGTGAATCCAAGAGTACGAGCAAAGATTCTCCTGAAATGGCACGACCTCATTACAGCCGCCCGGGAGGATATCGCCAAAATCATGGTTTACGAGACCGGCAAGCCTATGGCAGAGGCATTGGGCGAGGTAGACTACGCTCTTGGCTTCGCTTGGTGGTTTGCTGGAGAAGCAGAGCGAATTCGAGGCTCTGTCGCCCAGCCCTCTGTCTCGGACCGTCGGACGTTCGTCATTAAACAGCCTATCGGTGTCAGTGTGGCCCTTGTTCCTTGGAATTTTCCGGTCGCGATGATCATTCGCAAAGTCGCCGCCGCGCTCGCTGCTGGCTGTTCAATGGTTGTCAAGCCATCACCTGAGACTCCTCTGAGCGTGAATGCCCTTGGCGACCTTGCCCTTCGAGCTGGACTTCCTGCTGGTGTCCTCAATATCATCTCCACCGATAATGAAAACACTCCATCTGTCAGTGAAAGGCTTTGCAAGCATCCGCTTGTTCGAAAGGTGACCTTTACTGGGAGCACCCGTGTAGGCAGTATCGTGGCCAAACACTGCAGCGAGGGTCTCAAGAAGGTCACGATGGAGCTCGGGGGCAATTGTCCATTCATTGTCTTTGATGATGGTGACCTTGAACAAGCAGTGGCTGCTTTAATGATCCTAAAGTGGCGGACTGCTGGCCAAGCATGCACACACGCAAACCGCGTATACGTTCAAAACGGTGTCTACGACAAGTTCGCGCAGATGATGTTGGAAGCAACGCAAAAGATCAAGGTGGGACACGGATCTGATCCAAGCACCACAATGGGCCCTCTCACGACCAGTCGTGGTGTTGAGAAGCTGGAGCGCCATGTCGCAGACGCTGTCAAACATGGCGGCAAGGTTCTCTGCGGTGGAAAGAAGCCCGCTGGATTGAGTGGTTACTTCTTTGAGCCTACCATCATTTCCGGCATGACTTCAGAAATGCTCAGCACCAGGGAAGAGATCTTCGGCCCTCTCTTGGGACTGTATCGGTTCGAGACAGAGGAAGAGGCTGTGAGAATGGCCAACGATACTTCTATGGGCCTGGCCTCTTACTTTTTCACAAGTAATGTGGATCGAACTTGGAGGTTGCTGGAAAGCCTTGAGGCTGGTATGATTGGCATGAACACCGGTAAGAATCCCTTTGAATCGCGGTGACTACTAGTGTCAATATGATCTCCGCGGGCGCTAATAATCTTGAGCAGGTAACTCGTCTGCAGCAGAGTCGCCTTTTGGAGGAATCAAAGAGTCAGGTTATGGAAAGGAGGCTGGCAAGGATGTCGCTATCGAAGAGTACTTGGTTTCAAAAACGGGGACTTTAACTGTTACCAGCTTAGTCTAAGTTCAAAGGTATCGAACGGGGTATGGCAACCTCCGTGAAACCTAAAACACCGATCAGCGCTTGCACGATGTGAGCAACGGAGATATATGTAGCGCTGGGCACGGATTATTGTTCTGATTGAACCAATTTCTACCTAACTCTCTGTGTCACCACAAATTTTAGCCTTGGCTGTTAACAAAATCCCTTTAGCAATCTCCCCATAATGTCCTCGAAAAATTCTCAAATTCAATTTTCTGCGAAATACTAGTCGACCTGCTCGTCATTACCGAAGGCTCACATTCCCGATCATTTATTCCCGAACCCCGTTATTTCCGAATCGTCGGAAATAGATAGTAGAAACAGGCTGATCAACTGCCCTTGTTTTTGGTTCTCCGATAAGACTATACTAAGTCTAGTTAAAAATACGGCGTTAAGCTTCGGTGTATTCCACCATTCGCCAATTGGCCCGAGAATTGATGCGTAAACACCAACCTTCTCTCCCTTCGGCTCCACTGATCCCGCATGGATGGGCGTGCCCAGGGTGAGATCATGAGAGTTGATAAATTCAACATGGCCCAACAGCGTATCATACCCAAATCTCCACTCACTGAAATCACTGTTTACATCTCCCAGTTACCAAGGATGGTCCCCGCAAAGAGAACGTTCTCAACCGATGCAGCTAAACCACGAAGGAATGAAGATGTTGATAAAAGGTGCGTAATTGACTCATAACCCATATTACCAAAATATTAAGAAAGAATTAGGAGGCTACGTAACCGCTTGGCCCAACGTGCGTTCCGTAGAAGACAGGCAGATCGTATGAGAGAGCTTCTAGATCGGGCGGATTCAAGCGACAAGCCCTACGATGAAGTAATCCGCTCGTTACAAGAAGAGAATAGTTCGCTACGAAAGAGTCTCATCGAGGTCCAAACAAAAGTAGCTCGACTGATAGCGACAATGCAGAATTTGTCTGGAACAGTCACCAAAGCTCTTGACGACTCGGACTTAGGTGAAGCTGCACATGATTCAAACGAGTTGATTGACGATTGCATATCACCGAACGTCAGACGCGATCTGCCAATCTCGAAGATCGATAGTGCTCCAGACGATCTAGACTTTCTGAATGTTGGAAAAATCAATAGTGTTTTCGAAGATATAGCAACCGACACAGACTCTGCTTCACTCGCGGTGATGCGCGAATCAAGCCCCAGTGCAAGCCTTGAGACCACCTTCAACTTATTAGCTCAACAGATCCCCAGCATTTGGTCTTTCGAGTATCAAATGGGCCTTGATTCATATAATAGCGCCCTTACAAGCAGCGAAGAGTCCAGTTTGACACTGGGAAAGGCATGGACGGAGTCGAATTCCCCATTTTCAGATCATATCCATGTTCTTCAACGCCTCATGAAAAGCAAAATACATCTCAAGATGAGATTAGCCGGCCAGACTAGCAATTTGTGAGTGTCTTGTAATAATTTAATGACCCGAGAATGAAAAACGAAAACATCAAACGCTAATGAAAAAGGCAGATTCTATCAAGAGGTCCTGATGGTACTCGCCCTCTTCAACAGTATGACCCGGCCAGACGTCATGCGATGGTACGCAAAGACACGATTCTATCACATTGTCAACCTCACGGCCTGGCAAATCATGCCCTGTACACGGACATTCAACGCTATCCATCCGCAATACAAGCCAACCTCCCTACAACTGCAAACTGCCTACCCCAAAGTCATAGACTGGATACCATTTCCATCAATTCGCGATCGCCTAATCCAGTTACACGCGGCGAATCCAAAGATCGATCAAATATTCTGCGACACTGTTAGCAGCTACGTTGTCGAGACCTGGATGTCGGATCTCATCGAGGGAGCTCCAATGACAAAGGCCTATGTTCGCGTTACCGACCTTATACCGAATATTGATTCCTCCATGACAACTGACGCAGAGACCTTCCCACTTGGTGTCAGTCTCCCAGCCCCTGATGTAGCCACGCTCTTCTCGTCTTCAGAGTACTGCCGAGCGGTGTTTGATCACTTGAAAATGGACCGTGATGTGTCCAATTACAAACTCGACCCGGCTTTCTTTGCGAACTACCCAGAACTGTATGATCACGGTTCTGATATTGCTGCTGAGGGGATTCCGCTTCGACCTGAAGTTCAGACACGGTTGACTTGGCCAAAGCCTCTTGAGTCTCAGACATTTCAGACATACCGATACTTTATTGACTTTGCTTACGATTGGCCACTATGTGTGCCAGGTGTAGCAGGTTGAGATTTCTGGGGCGCGCCTTAAATTGTGATTGAGGTCTCTTTTGTGTCAGCCAACCAGCAATATTTGCCATTGTGAGAATCTATGAACTGTGAAATTTCGATGAGCTTCAAATTATACATTGGCCCATTTGAAGCACTTGTAGCAACAGTCCTCGACCCTGATCTTTTGCCTCGGCTCGCCTAAGTCGCTCTCATCGACAGACTGCGCATTCTGGCCGATTTTCCATCCTCGCAGTGCCAACATACACGCAGCAGCAGCAATGTACATGAATCCGGTAAACAGTTGCGTACCGAGATAACTTCTCGTCCCCGAGAAAATTTCCAACGCAATCGGTTCACTGAAGGTGCATGGTATAGCGATGACCAGCCAGATCAGGTTCAGACCACAAGGCACATTCTCCAGTCCGACAACTTCCGCCACGAGGGGTGCTATCGTGGCCCAGAAGTTTCCGGCGACAAGACCTTCGACAATGGCGAAGAAAATCAATACGCCGTAGTTCTTTGTGTTGGTCCAGATCACCAAGGGTAATACACCAGCAAGGAAGGTCATTGAGCCGGCCATGTTGATGCGTCCCGTCTTATCGCTGAAATACCCGATCAAGGGGCGCCCTATCGCTTGCCCGATGTTGAAGAGTGCGCTGGCAACAGAGGCTTGCGAGGAATTGAGGCCAATCGAGTTTGCGAAATTGGCCAGACTGAAGATCAGGATGAAGTAGCCCAACATGCTGAAAATACTGAATCCGAGCAAGAGTGTATATTCCCACCTTTTGAAAAAGGTAGCATCGAATGGTACTTGCTTTGACCCAGTAGCGCGATTGCGGTCTTTAATGAGAAGTGTACAGCTCGTGTTCACGACGAAGGCGATACTCCCCAGAATTCGATAGGTGAGTCTGAGTCCGAGATTGCGTATCATGGCCGCGGCTGCAAGAGAATAGATTGCACCACCCAGGCCTGCACCGGCCAGTGAGATCCCGCTTGCTAGTGATCGTTTGGTAGTGAACCACTGCGGGACCACAGCTGCCACGGGGATAAAGATGAGGCCCAAGCCCATACCAAAGACCAGTCCTTGTGTCAAGAACAGATGCCATATTTGTGATGCCCAACTCGCACACAATAGACTTGCAGTCTCAAGGACTACACCACACATCATGGTAGCCCGAATTCCAATCTTGCCAACTGCGAGAGTTGCCACGGGCGAGATGAGCATCAGACATGTGAGACTCAATGATCCGACCAATGCATATTGAAGAGAAGTGGCGCCGGGAAAGATATTGTTGTTTAAGTAATAGGCCAGGAAGACCGCATAGGCCGAGTTGAAGCCCCAGGAATGCGCGTTGATGGTCGCAGCGGCAACGGTGCACACCCACCCATATCCTCCATCCGGAGGAGCAGAATCGATGGATGAATCTGGTAATTGAGAGTTGGGTTCAAGGGCTTCACTGGTTTCATTCTGGGTGGATTGTATATCATGTTCAGGTTTGTCATGCATGAGTAGAATTGCGAGTGGCAATGATCTCGGAGATTTTGTATAGACTTCCAGTGCCTTTTTGACCAAAACGAGGTGCCGACTTTGAGGAGACAGAAAAAAGTATTTCAAGTATTTTCAAGAGATATACTCCCCAAAAATTTTCGCAACCCGTCCACGCTACATCGTAAGTGGGGAATCGAAAGCAAATTTGAGTATTCGGCGTTTGATTCTCATGGCTCGGGTCTTGCATCCAAAATCTCGAGTGCTGAACCTGTAAAAGAGCTGTGGGGCCCGGCGTTTGGTGGGAGATGCCAACTTCGGCATTTGTTGGTTGAAGATGCCGGCTGCCGAACCATAACTGGAAGCGGCAAGAGATTTCTTGTCTTTCGTATGGAAAATTCCCACCGGAGATGACTATCTGCATGTAACCTGTAGTTATTGCATTTAATGACGGTGATTGGCAATAACTGGCGATTGAAAGTAAAAAGAAAAGATCACAGAAAATCTAGTGATGGCCCTCATCGGGATGGTGATAATCCATCGCGGGAAGAAAAGCCATTCAAGAAATGCGATTGGGTATCTCAAATATACACAAACAGATCTACCGACTCACTCACCGAAGGGGTAGTTAAACTTGAGCAGGCCATTCAAACCACCTACCCAACCTTCGTGAGCTTCACCACCCATGCGTCTCCGCATGACACTTGGCACTCCACCCTGCCATTCATTCTCGCCATGCCTCATCTCCTCGTTCCACACGCGAGCCTCCATACCAACGGCCATGCCTTGGCCGAGGTTGACACCGTCCAGGCTGACTTCTAGTTCTCGACCACGGTTCTTCTCACTGAGTCGCATGGTGATCGGTGTGCTGAAAGGGAGAACGAGAGGTCGGAAGCTGAGACTTCTCGCGCAGATCGGAGTTAGGAGCACGGAGGGGACTAGGGGATGCACGATACTCCCGCCGCTGCTGAGGCTGTATGCTGTACTCCCTGTCGGGGTCGAGATGATAATTCCATCCACCACGGCCTCGGTCAAATATCGGCCACCCACGAAGATGTCCACGATCGCCAGATGAGGTTCTTTACCGCGATGGATGAGCAGCTCGTTCATCACGTACACACCCTGGCCATGGTCTGTCTTGCCCCGGACTGGAGTGGTTTCTTGGCCGTCAGCCGTGAAAAGACCGACTTTCAAACGGTTACGCATGAGGATCGGAGCCCCACGAGTTGCACCCATTGACTGCCCGCGTATAGATGACCACCCTGTAGGACCCAACGATGACTCGGGAGTCTCCAACCCAGTAGCTTTGTCCGATACCGGTGGATGAGTCTCGAGAACAGGCGTACGATCTCCGGCGCCAGCGCCAGACATGTAAACTTCTCGAAAGGCTCGCTTGAACTCGGAGAACTTCCACTCGCTCAAGAAACCCAGGGTGCCCATGCTAAAGGACAGAACTGGGGGGACATTTGGGCAGGTAGCGAACAGGGACGATGCATGCAAGATCGTACCATCCCCACCCAAAGTGACTGCCAGATCCACCTTGTCGTGGAATGCCGTTGGTTTATCCTCCAAGCAGGCTGTGTAGACTGGGTAGGAGAGTGACTCGTGGACTTCGGCGGCAGTCTTGGATTCGAGGATGACGGCGATGGAGGGGTATGTCGTTGTGATATGACTGCAATAAGAGGTGGCCGTTAAAGATGCACATTTTCATAAAAAGGGAAAGATCACGTACTTGACAAATTCAATCAGCGAGTCCGTAACTGCTGGAGCGCAGTCTTTCCGCACCAGCAGGACATTCCGCGGTGGTGCCGGCCATTGTAGAGTCAGAAGCTCGCCTCGGTTTTCTGATCCACAGATTAGAACTTAGTTAAGGTATATATTTCTCCACACCGAAGATACAAACCTCGGTATTTTGGAATTAGGCGCTGCGGTAAAGCACTGACGTCGCGAATTTCCCGACGCGGTGCGGAGGACGAGAAGCAGCGCCGCAGGAACTGCCCCGGAATCCGGTGAGAGGAGGCGCACTGCATGGTTGATATGGTGAATTCAGGTCATGGACGAAAGAATCCTATTTCTTCGGCCACATATTCAGTAGATCAGGGGGCCCCAAGAAACACAAAACTACTATCGCCGTGAAAAGTAAGAACGATTCATGAAAATGCGCCGCATCCTCCGATCGCGCGGTGACGCATCTCCGGCAGAATACTGACCGCCCAGGCAAGCTCTCATCGGCTGACGGGCCGATTCTCCAATGAAACTCAATTGTAAACTTCTCAATTCCTGGACTTGTGTAGGATTTGCTATCAAAGAAAGGGCTGTGTTGCTCATGAGAGCCGCAGTCCTTGGACGGCGAATGCTGTACCTCACAATGACAGGCTCGCAATCCAATTTTCCAGGGACACTCATGTTTGTCCTCCGCAGATCGGCCCGGATGATGTGGGTCGTACCTGAAGTTGAGCCACGACTAGTACTTTAAGGTTTCTTTGGAACTGAACCTTTAAGATCCAGATTCGAATCAAGTATGGCCTCAAACTATATGAATGCTCCATTTAGCAGATTCTCCAGAATTTTCGAACTTATCCATACTTCTCATCGGTTCGCCCCGAGGCAACAGCTGTGCTCGCCTTTTCCATACAGCCGCCTGGTCCGAAATGTGATCTTTACCGACGACAGCAAACAACGTATATCGACAGCAGTTGTCATATTAATAATCTACATGTCAATGATGTCAGTAGTAGGATGGACACAACTTCTTTAAGCACGGCCAGTCCTCATGATGGAGTCGAAGGAAAATTCAACAGAGTAGAGGCGGAGAGGAAGATGCCAATGGGAAGAGAACATTGATCTGTAGACAGTGTAATTGGCAAATTGAATAGAATGGTAACTGGTAAGAAGAAGAACCCACTGATATCCCCTAATAGCTATCCATCCCTGATGGAGACCGGGCTCGACGTAGTCCTACTCTGACTTTTTTATAGATCAGCATAGCATCCAAGTATCCATAAATCGTACCTACCTAGGCCAGACGTCTATATGATATCGAAAAAAAAATTCATGGACAAAAAGCACCGTTATTCACATCAATAAACTCTGACCTGGTTCTGTTAATCACCTCTAAATATTCCGGGGGTGCTCTTGAGAACTCGCTGTATGGACGGAATCTTCCCAGGCTGTCATGCGAATGCTGCTAGTGAGGGCATTTGATAGTCCCTTCTCCACTGGAATCTGTCTTCTCACTTCAATATCACCATCACTTGATGGGCCTGAGGCAACGTTAGAGAGAAGGTCTTGCTCACTGAGACGAGGCATCTCGACTTGCCCACTTCTCCGGCTCGTCTGTAGATCTCCTTTCCCCTCTCCTTCCTTTCCCTCCTCCTTTTCCTTTTCCTTCTTTTCGTGCTTCTTCTTTCTCTTCTCCTCCTCCTCCTCCCTTCTTCATCCTCCCCAACTCTACTCTGCCTTCATTCTCCAGCCCCTTTCGACTTCTTGTCTATCATTCCACCTCTCCATCCTGCTAAGCTTCGCCCCAGTATCTCCTTCTTGGCCACTGTGTCAAATTTCCTGCCCGTCAGCCGTTTTCAAATCTCACTTTCTCTGAACATGTCATCTCGGCACAATTCTTCTCGCAGCCCACAGGTGGCATGGGACACATACCACCGACAGGTATTGTGCTGCCTTTACAGGTTCTTTGATTGCAGTCACGATCAGCTCTCGGTCATCTTCTCAACCATTTTCCGGAGCCACCTGGTGCATTGTGGGTTTGGAAGTTCCGATGTCCCATACAGCACCTTGAATGCCCAGTGGTCCTGGCTCAGGGCACAGCGACGTCCTGTCTGGCACCATGTCCATGTCGCCACTGAGTTTCGTACGGACGGAGAATGGAAAGAGATTATCCATCGCATTCGCCTCACGGCGTTTGACTTGGCGATTCTCCTCCGTGAGAAGCGCATCGACACAATTGTCATCCCCGATGGCGATTTTGATGTCAATCGAAACCCGTGCGAGTATCTCACCTCCGTCTTGCTGACAAGCCCTGCTCGGCCGCAAACATCTGACAATGCTGATACCTCTGTGGATGCATATGTTGATTCTCCGATGGCCTCAGTCGATACCTCTTCCCCTCGTACTCCACCATCTACAACGACATACCTTCCCGAGACACCTATCACTGATATCACCCAGCCTGATCTCGAAAGCTACATGCAATATCCGGTGTTTCGGGACGACACACCTTCTAGGCCTACCACTCAACCACCGGTATTGACCCGTTCCCCTTATGCGGCATCGCTCTCAGTCCATAACTCGACTGATGACCTCGAGCCTTTAGTCACTGCTCATGGAAAGATCTGCTTCTGGTGCGAACGAGAAGGCCTCCACTCGAGCGGCGATACATCCAAGGAGGCCATGATCGGCGTTGATGAAAACCTAGACATTCACACCCAGTCATCGAATGATCTATCGTCGCTAGAACATCCGGTACTTGACATTGGACATATGCCTTCTCCCGATGCCCAAAGTCTTGTCTTGCCTCAGCCCGACAACCATATCGGCTTACCAGGGCTATGTGGTGTAGGTGATGTCCCACCACCTCCCCCACTTCTCTATCGTTGGTTCAACGACAACTCACAAGGCACCAATACGGGGACTCTCCTTGTCGCGGGATGGTTTACTACCACCTATCCCGACGTCATTTCCCCAGCGGAATTATCAGAAAGAGAGTTTCTTCATGTCTTCGCAGCTCACGTAACCAGAATACGCGTTCCGACGCCTTTCATTTCGGCTTTTGCGCGACCATTGACCCCAGTTCACCGAGCCCTTAGAAATAGGGAGAGTGCAAAAATCTCGATTATTGATCCGCGCAAGCTGCTGACTCCTGTGTTCAATGCACGGCCGTTGGCACAAATCACCGGCACGACTGTTGCTCGGTGGAAGGGGTACGGTGAATTTGTGATCTGGGGATGTGTACCCAGCGAAGCAATTGTCTGCACCTTTGACATTGCCACTCTGGAAGATGTTACCTCGTGGCATGCTAGAATACGGGATTTCCTTCAACTTTCTCTGATAGAGACGCAAGAGACATGTCATCGCGGTGTGCGACGAGACTTGCGAACCAACTTGAACGACATCAGCTACGATGGAAGTCAAGATATGCTTATGCGACTGGCTCATCTGCTCGGGGTGCCAGAGGAGTATGAGGAGGCCTTTGCCACGGACATACATCAAGCGTGGACACTGGATCTTGGCGAGACCTGGCGAGACCCGGAGATTCTACATGATTCTGCAAGCTCGCCAGTACCCGCGGTGTCACTTGAGCTTTACCCCCTTCCCAATCGACCGAGAGACTCGCGCGGCACCAATCTGAGTCGTCAATTTCCTATATGCCGCCTAAGAGTGACGGTGGATCCTGCTCCGAAGAAACCTCAGAGGAGGAGGATGATATGTCCCAATCTCCAGAAGCTCCCTGCCCGCGACGAGACACGCCTAGCCCTGAGTATTCAGTGGCTAATGATACAGATGACTCGATCGAAGAGTTCCATCGTGCTGGTCGTCGCTCTGGGCCCGCAGAAGTCGAGATGGCAGAGGTCGCCATACCGACGCCACCAAGCACGAGTCGGTACTTTGGTCGCGCAGCCAATGCCTATCCCCGGGTACAGCCAATCAACTTTGGTGCATTAAACCTGTCAACCGCATTGAACGATGAAGAATTTCTCTCTGAAAATGAGTGGCCTTGCGACATTGAGACCATTGCGGGTAAAGAAACACCGACAAAGTCTCGGTATTTCAAAAGAACCAGCAATGATGGGGGCAATGAGAAGTCGACCGGGCATCGCTAGACTCTTCGGAAGCGGAATTCTATTATGCTAAGCACTCATGAGGTGGTGGAGTTGCGAGCAAACAATTGTCAATGTTTTCGACGATCAAACCCTTCCTTGGTTTTGCTTTCCATGTAGGTGAAAGAATCATGCAAAGTGAAATGCAAGTTTGACAGTTATTATGAGTGTAATATGTGTCTTTCACTACTGTTCATGTTGTAGACAATCTGCAAGGACTTGATAACAAGAATTTCCGGCTAATATTGTGAAGTACTTTACGGGTGACATTGATCTTTGGTATCCTGCGACTATCGGAAACCAATTCCCAAGGCCAGTCTCAGGAGCACTCCAATACCAGACAGTCTCGATTAACAGCAGTATCGTAAGCTATTTAGGAGCCATAGGCCATAGGACTGAAGAATAAAAAAAGATTGTTTGACGGTGTTCTCACACAAGTATCTTGGTTGCTCTGCTATGTTGTCTTTTAAAAACAAGAAGTTCCAAGTCATATTCTTGGGTGCTTTCTAATTTCCTATCCATTTACCTCTGAGCTACAATGCTACGCTCCGCATATGGTGGAAAGCATTGATGAATTGGGTACACCGTATCCCTGCCCGTTGAACACGTCAAGAAATTTAGAAGATGACCATTTGTGTTTTTCTAGCTATCTTTATGTTATGTCCTTTTACTGGCTTCTCGAACTCTGGTCAGTGGTATTTTGCAAGTCTGGATGCCTATACAGGGAGTTTTATACATTGAATGCTTGCCAAATGAGGAAAGCCTTATCACAAATCCCCGGCCCGCAGTGTTTGTTCAGTTTGCAGCCGACGATCATCACCAACTTTCCCCGACACCTCCCCTCAACTCGGGGATAGCATCAACTTTCTACGAAAACACAACCAAGTTGCGATCAGAATTCAAGTCGCCCTGAGAACCCAATCCGACTTTCCCCTAAGAATCATCCATCATGTCTCGCGCCGGAATGTGGGCCAAAGCCATCGGAGGGTAAGTGCTACGATACTGCCCTGCCAGAGTCAACCCAGCTAATATCTCGACTTCTCCAGCGGTATTCTCTTCTGCGTCGGTGGTCCAGCTCTCGTCCAATACATCCGCCCCTCAGATGAAGAGCTCGTCAAGCGTTATAATCCAGACCTGCAGAAGCGCAGCGCAGAGCAGGGCGACCGCAAGGCGCAAGAGTTTGATGACTATGTCATGAAATTGAAAGAGTGGTCTAAGTCGGATAAATCTAGTATGTTGGAAGCAGACCGCTAGATACAAGTGTGAATGTGTGGCTAATTCGGCGCTTTGTGTTTTAGTTTGGTTCGCCGCACAGGAAGAGCAGGATCGGAAGCACGCGCAGCTCGAGGCGCAGCGGGCTCAGGCTAAGGAGGAGTCGAGGATACAACGGGAGGAGATGCGGAAGGAGATGCTGGGTGAGAAATGAGCAATTAAAAGTTTCCACAATGCTCTCCGCCATATTCCGAAACTTTTTACGCCTCCTTCCTGGCCTGTCCTCGACATTGCTCGGTTGTCTTGATCGCCATTTTGGCGATCTTCCATCGCCCCCTCCGAATCAACCTGACCTCTTGAGCTTCATTTCTGTTGAAGAAAATTACTCTGGCGCCTTGAAGCAGCGCTGTATGACTATAAAAGCGTGTACGATATCCCTGTCGGTGGAAATCTCTCGCAGAGCGAAATATTGATCTACGAGGCCATTTGTATTATTTATTGACCAGCACCTCTCTTTTGAATATGATATCAAAATTACCACTCTTCAAGAAAACATGACATTTCCATTTGGAGTCCAGCATATACATATTCCTTATGTCCCTATGCCGGATTTACTCAGGCTCCTGGTGCTGCCATTTCTCCCGCAAAGCCTTGACATCCACACCACAGGCCTCGGCCTTTTTAACAATAGCTCGAGCTTTGTGAGCAACAGGTACATCGATCATCTTACCGTCCAACGTCCACGCACCTCGTCCCGCGGCAGCAGCCTTGTCATCCGCGATGACAACGCGCATCGCCCAGGTCGTCTCTGCCGGGTCAGGCCCGAAGATCTCATTCGCCACCTTCACCTGCGAGGGGTGAATGCATTGTTTCCCATTAAATCCCAGTCGGCGTCCGTTGTGGCATTCCTCCTGCAACACCGCTGGTGGAGATCCATCTGCCTTGTCGGACTTGTACGCCGTGCAGACTAGATCAATCGTAGACGGGAGATTCGCTGCCCGCGCAGCGGTTGCAATTGCCGAGCGCGCGAACAGGAACTCCGTCAATGACGGTGTGCGCGTGATACTGAGGTCCAGCGCGAAGTCTTCGGCAGCGAAAATCAATCCTTGGAGGAGGGGTGAGGCGGCACAGATCTCGGAGAGATTTGTCAGGGATTTGGCGGACTCGACGAGGGCGAGGAGTGAGATTGGTGGTCTCTTTTCGGGGGATGGCAGCTGAGACAAAGTATGGCTAATGACATCCGTGACGAAGGTCAGGTCCGAGGCTGAATTGACCTTGGGAATGACAATAGTAGTCAGGTTTGGTGATTGTAGCTAGATTGGTTGGTTGGTAGGGTCAGTTTCTCGTGTCTCTTCTATGTGGGATTGTATGCATCAAGCGACTCACCACCTCCGTCAGATCCCCCAGCGCCAGTCCACTGTCCACCGAGTTAATGCGCACCGCGCGCTCGCGAATGTTCTCCGGCGTGGGCTGATCAATCGCTCTCCGCACCAGCGACCGAGCCTCCGCCTTCATGTGCGGCGTGACGCTGTCTTCGAGATCATAGGTGAGACAATCCGCAGTCAGCGAGCGGGACTTGTCGAGGAATCGCTGTGAAGAGCCGGGAACTATTCATGGCCAACATGGTTGTTTGTTAGTATTCGCTGAGCAGCCGAGGAGCTCCGCATGGAAAATGCGGGGAAGACGCGGTACGCGGGTGGAAGTGCATTCTGCTTACCGTATAGCAGAGACCGGCGGAGGGTGTTGCGAGCTGCCATGGTGCTATATCCTGGGATGTACTCTCCAGGCAACTGTTCACAAATTGGACGGTGGGCGTGGTTGGGAGGGTGGCCGAAGGACACTTGAGTGGTGAGGACGTGAGGAGAAGCTCCGTTACCGAGACGTGGGCTGGCGGGCTCTGCTTTTACCCGCACGAATGGAAGTATGCCAAAACCAAGACCACCTCGGAATGGAGGTAATATGTATCAACGAGGTATTTCAGAAATAAGATAGGTTACAGTCTGTATATCTTTCTCTTTGTCGTGATCAATGGTTTTACTCTCATCTTATTTTCGTTCGGGTACTCATCTCCTGGAAGTCGCCTTTATGCAACGGGCCGCAAGTCCCCATACTCGGCGCGGGTCTCTCCACGCCGAACTCAACCCGTTCCAAGAGCCCAGCTATGACAATCAACAAAGGTTATAATGTCGGTAATACTCGCCGAACCAGGAGTGAGTTAGGCATCTATGACAGACAATCATTTGTTAAAACAATTAGATGTTTCCAGGGCTAGTGCAAGTTCCTGCCATGCCTCTCAGATATACAATTGTACACCAAGGAGCCGGCGCGAGTACATCAAGCCCACTCAACCCAGTATACCTTGCCTCTCTTACCTGCCCAACGCGCTAGACTGCAATTTCCCAGGTGATTGATAAATCCTCGTCAAAGATTTCAAATTCCAACTTCAATCTTGGAGTAACACCTGGCAAAAGGTAGCACGTAGTTAAGTCACAAACAAGTGGAATCTATTCAAAAGCGTAAAAGACACCTCTTGTTGGGGGAAATATTATCAAAGAAAAGGAAATCATTCATTCAAACACTATTCTATCAAGTTTCCCTTCATTCAACGGTATCACTCCATTCTTTGAGCACTGGACACATCGGGCACACCCCGACCCTCAGTAATCTTAGCATCGATAATCTCGTCGATAGGAATCTCACTCAAACGAGACACGACGTGGTTCAAAGTCGGCAAAGCATCCCATCCTAGAGCATTAATCTCAATCTTCGCATTCTTCGTCCGGCGAAGGCGCGTCACCTTGGACGGAACAACCTTGGACTCCTGCGCATGTGGAACGAAGACGGGATACTCTGCCTCAGCTTCACCCTTCGCAGCCCGACCAACCTTGGGAATGTATCGGTACACGAGAATACCATCATCATCTTCACCACCGATAGTACCCTTATCCGCCGCCGGATCTTCGTCCTCTAGATCCTCCAGTTCAAAGTGTCCCCACACAGCACCCTGCCAACTCGTCTGGTACCGGTACGACTGATTGCGCTCATGAATGTCAATCGCAGAGTAGAGTTTCGGCATACCGAGTTCCTCGCGACCAGAAACGATCGGGTCAGCTAGACTCTCGAAGAGGATGGGCATGTATGTGCCCTTGAGTACCTCGCCGTTCTCCTTCTTATATTGCACGCCGTGGATGTAGAGTCCAATATGGCGGTATCCACCACCGCCCAGCCAGTCCATTCCGTTCAAAGTGGTCTGGGAGAAACTGGCGCGGGCGACGCTGCCAGGGGAAATGAAGCTGTACCGGTCCGAGGGGAAGAGGTTCTGCAGCAGGGTACGGCTGGTCTTGAATTTGATCGAAGCTGTCTGGAAGGTGGACTCGAGGGATTTCAGGGCACGGTCATTGCCCATGAAATCTTGGCGAGGGCCTGGCATGGGCCCGAAAACGATGGGTTGGCGCCAGTACATGTGAGGGTTCTGGGACCACTGGTGCTGACGGAGGACTTGGGCGGAGTGGTCGAACTCGTCGTGGCCGTAGATATACACGACCATACCAAATGCTATATGAATAGTTAGCACATTATTTCGCCTTGTAGTGACTCTCGGTGTTGGTAAGCGGCGTACCCTTCTCAGGAGCCAAGAGCTGCGCAGACTCGCGAGTCATCTCTTGGATTTTTGTAGCGCGTCCGTGGCGGGCCTTCTGGTAGACCTTCAGTCTCTCTGGAACCTCCTCGGGTGAAATGCCTCGCGGCAACATGACCGACAACGAGACACCATCTTCAATAGCCATGGCACCACCAGAAGCACGGTATGGTAGGAAAGGATGAACGGCGTCACCCAGTACTGCCAGACGATCATTCACCCACGTTGGCAGAGTAGGCATATCGAGCAACGGCCACAACTTCAGCGTCTGGGGGTCAGCCTTCGCGAGCAACTTTAGCACCTGCGGATTAAAATCCTTGAAAACTTCGAGCAGAGTCTCCTTTCCAATCTGTTGGTTATAGGAATCACCAGCTGCGTCGATAGTCGTCATCGAGTCGGGGTGAATGCAGACAAAGTTCAGCAGCTCATTGTTCGCGCAGGGGTAGATGACCACGCGACGGTCGGAAGAGTCCCACATGTCAACTGCACCAAAGTCCTGGGCAATGCTGTTCGTCTCGGGGTCATCCAGGGCCTGTTGACGGGTGATGAGGAAGCGGAACGCATTCTTGCCCGAGCTGGCGGGCTTGATGTCTTGCGTGAGCTTGGTACGAGTGAGGGAGTGCACGCCATCGGCACCGATCAGGACGTCACTCTTGATGACATCGCCATTCTCCAGAGTCACGGTCGCATTGTGCGGGTCGACGTCGACGACCTTGCTGGCAGTGTGTAGGACTGCAGGCTCTCCCTTGCCCGGTGCTTGAGCAGCTGTCTTGAGTCCTTCGTGGAAGTGGGCTCGGTGCACGAGCAGCCAGTTCTAAGGATCTAAGTCAACTAACATGCACAGTTCGAAGGCTTATCAGCAATACTAACGTGTCGCCACATGCCTCCATGCTGTTTTACTTCAGTGATATGGACGGGCTCTCCCGCTGGGGTATACTCTCGCAACTGGAGACCTCATGTTAGTCCAGGCACCTCCACACTTGAATACCACGTTGGAGTCGAAATTACCAATTCACACTCGACAGCGCCAAACTTGGTCGCATCGATTCCAAGTCTTTGCAAAACTCCATTGGCATTTGGAGACAAATGAATGGCAGCACCAATTTCGTTTGCGAATCGGGATCGCTCAAACAGCTGCGTAATGGTCGGTCAGCATACACAATGCTGATCTATATCTGACTGTACTCAAGCCTTGAGGCAGTCATGAAACTCACCTCCACACGATGACCCTGTTGGCGCAAAGCAATAGCTGCAGTCAATCCACCGATACCCGCACCGACGATCAAGACCCGGAGGCCTGCAGTGGCGGCGGCATCACCGTTGAGTTCTTTAATCGCCATGTTGCGTGCACTTTGGGGGTATAGCAACTGAATCCGAAAATCAACGTCCCGCAGCCTCCGCGCGTCCGGGGATAAATATTTATGGCCATCATCTTCGCCGTGGCCTCCATGAGCCCCTCTCCTATTGCGTCCCTCATCGGGTTACTTGGGGCCGTGTTGGTCACTCGCCTGGTTGAGGCCTCGGATGTCCATTTCGGCTCCACTTCGGAGAGAGCCACACGCGGCCGCGGGCGGGGGAACGAATGTATATGAATTGTTGCTGCTAGCCAGGGCATGATCGGTGATGCCAAAGCATCTTGTCTTTGTTCTTCTTTTTTTTGCTTTGAATACATTCGATCAATTGATCTTGCAAAATGCCCAACGAAATCAAAGATATTACCACCCGGGACGAGACATCTTTCCCCTACATCTACGAACAGAATGTTTCCATCTCCTTGAAGGACCAATCAGGCCTGGTGCGATGCAATGTTTATCGCCCCAAGACTTCGGACAAGGTTCCAGTCCTGGTGACTTACGGACCTTATGGCAAGGACATTCCTTACAAGGACTTCCACCCTAAGAGCTTCAGCGAGGTCAACTCTGACCAACGATCTGAGCATTCTGCTTGGGAGACTCCCGATCCCAAGTACTGGACTAGCCAGGGCTATGCAGTGGTGCGCGCAGACGAGCGCGGCACAGGCCAGTCGGTTGGCAAGCTCGATACCATGTCGCGGGGCACCAGCGAAGCTTTCTTCGATGTGGTCGAGTGGGCTGCTGAGCAACCCTGGTCATCTGGCAAGGTTGGTTTGCTGGGAATCAGTTACTTTGCAGGCAGTCAATGGCGTGTCGCTGCTCGGCAGCCGAAGGGTCTGGCTTGCATGATCCCCTGGGAGGGCATGTCGGACTACTACCGCGACCGCTGCCGCCACGGTGGTATTCTTTCCAATGCATTCATCAAGTTTTGGTGGGATCGCCAGGTTGTGAGCAATCAGTACGGTCTCGGTGGTCGTGCCGCGCGCAACTGGGGACCCGATACTATCGAGGGAGACTTGTCAGAGGAAGAGTTGGTGCAGAACCGCCAAGATCAGACTATCGACAATGTAGAGAACAAGTTCCGCGATGACCTCTACTACGCCTCTAAGGAGTACAGTCTGTCTGATATCCAAGTACCACTTCTGTCCGTAGCTAACTGGGGTGGTATTCTGCTTCACCTTCGTGGAAATGTGGAAGGATGGACTCATGCTGGCTCCGAGCTCAAGTACCTCCGCTTCATAACTGGTCGTCACGATCTACCCTTCTACTACGCCGAGGAGGTTGAGCTTCAGCGCAGCTTCCTGGATGCATTCCTGAAGGGTGAAGACCGAGAGGGTTGGTCAACTGGAAAGGCTCCCAAGGTCGATATGGTGCTTCGCAAGGGCGATGTTGGCTTCAACAATGCTGAAGCCGAGAAGGGTTTCCCTCGTCGCATTGAGCATGAGTGGCCCATTGCTCGCACTCAATACACCAAGTTCTACCTGACATCCCAGCGTGAGCTGATCACGCATGCACCCACTGAACGCACCAGCAAGCTCTCCTACCAGGCTCTAGGCACAATGGAGAACCCGCAACTGGTGCAATTTGTCACTCCGGCCTTTGAGAAGGAGACGGAAATTACTGGACACATCGTCGCTCATCTGAATGTCTCCATAAGCGCAATTCCTGGCTCTCCTACTCCACAGGATCTAGATCTCTTCCTCACCCTCCGCTACATCTCCCCCGAAGGCAAGGAAGTCTTCTACACCGGTACCGCTGGTGACCCTGTTCCCCTGTGCAAGGGCTGGCTGCGTGCCAGCATGCGCAAGGTCGATGAGCAGAGCTCTCGCAACAGACCCTGGCTACCTCACCGTAACTACTACTCTACGGATGTTCAGCCCGTTCTGCCTGGTGAGGTGTACCCGGTTGATGTGGAGGTCTGGCCCACCAACGTGGTGGTTGAGAAGGGCGGAAAGATTATTCTGGAGGTTTCCAGTGGTGATACTCAAGGTTGCGGAATATTCCAACATAATTCTCCTGTTGACCGGTAAGTTGCTTGTTCTCTATTAATTTGGTATCGCAGTACTAACAGATTCTATAGATCTGTGGAGCGCTTCCAGGGCCAGAATCACATTCACTTTGGCCTCGGTGACAACTACGTGACTCTGCCAATTATCCCTTGAAATCTTAGTCGATAGGCGGAAATGATTGCAAATGAATGACATATAGACTCAATGAAGATATTCCGTACTGTTCACTTGGATTCTCTGATTTACCTAAGATCTAAAAAAAAGTAGTTCAATGATCAGCCACACGATATTCGGGCTTCTGCCCGAACTATACCCGAGCTTTATTTCCCCCAAAGTGGCTTGCATCAACGCACACGGCGCCAATATGCCAAACCATAAAAAGCACAAATAGACCCTGCCCTGCATGTCACTAGTTACCGATCCGAACAGCCGAGCTCATTAAGTTATTATCTCCGAAGCCCCGAAGTCCGCACGGCCATTACCCCACAGCCGATGTGGTCGAAAGTGGTCCCGAAAAGGGATGCTCCGCACGAAAGATATAGATCAGGTACCTACAAACAAGGGTAGCATCTCCCGCTTCCAAAAAACAACCTATCATTCACTTTTTTCTCTCTTCCATTATTGAAAAACATCAGACCGCCATGTCCGCAAAGACCCCCAAGAACCTCCGCCCACTCAACCGGTACATCACCACGCACAATGCCGACGGACAAGCCATCTTCTCCAACGCTCTGTCCGAGGACATGCCCATCCAGCACATGAAAGACGGCGCAGACTTTAGTCTCGCATATACCTCCGACCACTTCCCTGCGCAGCTCAACAATGACACCGATCTGACCGAGTACACCGGCTACCTAGCCAGTCCTCCCGGCATCACGATCTCCAGCGGCAATGTCTGCCGTATTGTTGATATCCAACCCGGCGCGTTGAGTCCCATGCACCGCACTGTCTCGCTAGATTATGGCGTTGTGCTGGAGGGGGAGGTTGAGCTTGTTCTGGATTCTGGGGAGACGAGACTGCTGAAGAGGGGGGATGTTGCGATTCAGCGTGGGACTAATCATGCCTGGCGGAACGTGACTCCTGATGCTGTTGACCCTGTTACAAAGGAGGTTACTCCGCAGTGGGCGCGCATGTTGTATGTTCTTTCTCCCGCTGAGCCTATGCAGATTGGGGGGAAGAGTTTGGATGAGGTTGTGGATGGTATTGGTGTTCGCCCTAGCACTTAGATTGGGATTTAAATGCATAGATGAGAGCTTTCTGAAATCAATTTCAACGATAGTTTCAGACCAAGATTTGAAATTCAATTTAGCGTTACTACAAGCGTCATGTTGCTTAGGTGCTAGTACTCGTCTCGAAGTCTCCAGTTCAACATGAATAATTACAAGTTTCAAAAACAGACTATAAACGCTACGTTCAGGCAACATAGGAAATCTTGAATAGATACACAAGTAACAACAATAAGAACCTAACCACGCATCCTGACATACGCCCAAGTATAATAGCCCAGCGTCGACACAGTTGCCACAAGCGATATCAACGTAAGACTAACCCCTGTGATAATTCCTTGCTCGAAGAAGCCAATCTTGAACCCAGGTCGCTGCTTAGTCGAAGGCAGAGGTGCCAATGCCTCGCGCCATAGTGCATCAGACCGGACGCTGTTCTTGCTATCAAGAATAGTTTGCGTGGCGTAAGCAGTGGCACAGGGTTTAATGAGTTGGGGTTGGGGCTTCTGGAATTGCGATGCTGCATAGCGGGTGTGTGGACTGTAAGGCGTGTTTCGGGGGAGGGCAGGGCCAACTGGGGAAAGAGGGTCAGTATAGAATCCTTAGAGAGAAACTTGAAACTTCATCGATACGTACTCAGCATGTGACTGGGAACATGGTTCACCCAGGAGATATCAGCGTCTATGAACTGGGTAAGGTACTTGGCTGAAGCAGGTGCGGCAAATGCATAAACAGCCGCGAGATTTTCATTGCTTGTTGAGTTAGCAAGGTCTGTTGACAAAGGGAGGGAAACTGAGAAACATACAAGTTGATGTCGATAGCATCATCCAAGCTAGTGACGGGGTGCACCAGCAACACTTTCTCTTCAATCTTCGTCTTCAGCAGAGGAGAGTTGCTACACAAGTTAGCACGAACCAAAGTTATCCAAGGGAGAGCAACATTTACTTACCGATCCTGCACCTCGACCACACCCCAGTTGCTACCCGATACCAAGACTCGGGCAGTCCTGTCTTTGTGAATAGAGTCGAGCACGCCCGTTCGTCGCGGCGTCGAGGTAACCTGTCTAGCTTCACCGTTCTCTCCAGCGAGGTATTTGGAAGCATGCTGAATGACAGCCTCGACAAATGGCTTCATCGTAAACTCATTCACCAGCACAACATCCGGACAGTAAGGTGACCGTCCACCGAGCGCGAAACGAGCCGCAACCAGAGATTGGGCAGCTTCAGCAGTATTGCCAGTGCGATCAACGATCGCGATACTTCTTGAAGTTGCTGGGGAGATCAGGCCATTGGAATCATCTGCGCCCGTCTGCACCACCATCAGAGTCTTGCTGAGGAATGAACTGTCGGGTCGTTGACTCGTGATGGTGAATGTGTCGTGATCCAGGGCTTCGGGAAGGATCTGACGCAGGAGAGCAGGCAAGGACATTGTCGTTTGGGGAAGCTGTATATTTTCAATGTGAGTTTTTATTCATTCATTCATTATAAGCAAGTAAGCTTACCTCCAAAACAATGCAATTGCCCGCCGCCAAAGCTGCTGTTAATGCAGAGATAACGGAGAAGAACAGAGTATGTGTGGATGGCACAATATACACAATACCAGCACCCTGCACATTGTCTGCATTGTCCTTTCCATTCGCAATACGATTCTCTACCTCCAAGTCCCTCTTCAAGCTCAGAGATGTATAGTGTGTTCGCAGCTCTTGCAGCGCCAGGACGACTTCTGCGCGGATCTCCTGCTGCGTATGTCCCGAGTCTGCTCGAATCGCATCCTGAATCTCAGCAACATGCTCGACAAGCACGGACTGCAAACGATGAAATTGCGTTTGACGGTACCGCGTGTTCTGAGTGCGGCCGTCGATATTAGCGGCGACAATGCGGGCGAGATCCATTATGGACGAGTCAACGACGATAGTATAGAGAAGGAACAAAAAAAAAAATTCGAGACAGAAAAAAATCGCCAGACCCCTTGAAGAAGTACGCGCGCCCACTTTCTTACAGCATCACCTCAGCACACTTTTGCGCTCGGAGCTATCATTGCCAGCTCGTTCCTCCGAGGCTTCGTCCAAGACCGTCGGGATGTGGGGGAGGAATGCGGGCGCCCGTCGACCCCCAGTTTGGCCGTTAGCTAGTGCCAACTATTTCCCCCATTTTACGCCGTATTACATGATGCGGTAGAAATGGTCGGGGCCTAGTGATTATTATTATCTCCGAGGCGGATATGAGAGTGCGCAACTCACTAGATGCGTGGGTGTCGACGTTCATCACTCCTCTGTCCAGAATCTGTACTCGCGCAATCATGTCCGTCACAGCTACTACCACCACAACGCGCTCGTTATCCGTGCTCGCCGACTATGAGGTTCATCATAGTGGATCTGAGCAGAATGGCTCTTCTGCTGCGCCGGTAAATCCAGAACAACCGGCTGACTGGCCTACTCATCATCGTCGTATGCCGACGTATCGTCCTGCCAATCCTCGACTCGACCAAGCGGATCGCCCCGCGGGGAATGGGCATCCTGCAGAGTACGCTTTCATTCAGATTATGTTGCACGGTGTATGGTTAAACGCGGTATGTACTTTAAACACTTGGGAAGGAATAGTCATGAACTAACGGTTGGCAGTCTGTCTCCCGACTGTGGCGGTTTACTGGCGGAAGGATCCACGACAAGATCTTCCATTACGAAGTCGGCGGGGAATGGTAGTTGGTCGACGATGCATGGAATGGGGTTGATTTTGTTACTTGCTGTATTCTCGAAATTTTGTTCAACTTCATATCACTTCAATTGATTTCTTGTCCGGTTATAATGACAGCATATCCTAGAGACCGCCTGAGACTTAGTTCGTCTCATCGCTACTCCCCGACCCAACTGTATTGACTATAAATCATAGAATCAATCATAGTATGACATTCACAGCTGCATCCTGCGGAACTTCTGCAGCCTCGACATCCCAAACCGTGCGAGTAGCAACGTCCCCATCACACAACCTGCCACAAGGGATGGGAAAGCATAAGGGCTATCTTCCAGGTAATTGACAACATTCATACCATATAACCCAGCAACGAATGTCGACACCGCAAAGCCGAGCATACAGATCTCCAGTTGCGCCTCAAAGACCATAATCTGATTGCGTCGGACATCGAGAATGGACAGGATAGCATCTTGTGTGCGATGCACTTCACTCAATAATGCCCCCGCTGACTCTACAATCGCATCGTGACTCTTATAATATGCCTCGAGGAGGTACTCAACTTCTTGGTGGTCTTCGATAGCATGTGGCCTGCCAGCTTGTTGGTCAGTGAGGTACATGGCAGCGAGATCTTCGTCATTGCTTAGCAATTCTTGCACCGCAGTGCGCATTTGCCGAGCGCGCTGTTCAATATTCACAAGCTTCTTGCCGTTTTCTAGGAGTGTTCGGGGACCGGTTGATGCAATGTCTTCGCTTTGTAGATCTTTGAGACTGTGCTCGATCTCCCTGCGTACTAGCGAGTGCTCTGCTTCCAGGTGTGCGGTAACAGATGCCAACGCTGCCTCGAAGACACGAATTTCATAAGGTAGTGAAATTGGGAATCCAGAACGGTGATTGCCACACAATTTACTTTGTAGATCGGTCACAAAGATCTCCTCGAGGAACGCGTGGGGTTCGGTGTCCTTCGAACCACATCGGATCAGGAGTACTCGGTCCGATTGGACCAGAAGTCTTAAAGAGAACAGACTGATGAAAATGGTCGATGGTCGGATGACGAAGTGAGGAATGCCTTCCGACACTGCATCTACAGTGCGTAGGTCCCGACCATCGACTTTGTACTCGCGGGCAATATTCGCTTTGGTCAAGCGGGTCTCGGGCGTCTCGATGGTTCCTTTGGCATTGAAGAGTGTGCAAGTCAACTCGGTGGTCCCATTCATACGTCCATGTGAGAGTGTAAGTGAAAGATTCAAGATATCTTGTGGGGTGGGCTTCATGTGAATCCGTCGGCTTTGATTGATATTGAAGGCTTGCCTCGGAATGTTTGGACATCCCACTGGAGTTGTGAAAGGGATTATCCACCTTGGAAACACATTGCTGGTCTGTATGCTACATGGCCGAGAATAGTGAGAGAGGCCTTGTTCCAATCGAATGCCTCGTGGGCGGCATTCCAGGAATGCGCACGATAATGTCTTTATGAAACGTGGTCGCATGATGGAACTGTGATGGACAATTGCGTTTCTCGCTGAAGAATGCCCCCAATACCTTGCTCTGTTGCTAAGTCCACAGACGTCCGATGCAATGACATGAATCGTTCGAGCGTGGCTCGTTTCCTAGTTTCTTGATCGTGGATTCGTGGGGAAAAGCATCATGATTCAAGCGTCATCGCGATCGGCATCATGCGCACGGACCACCCGCATGTTTAGCCAGAGCGATCCAGAGTATCCCGGTTGTTGGGCCAATCTCAACTGGCGCCATCTTCAACTTTGTTCTCCAACATTCCACAAGATCAAGGAAAGCATGGCCTCCGATCCAGGTCACTCTCGTGGTGTCCTGAACCACTTGATCATTGTCTGTTGTCATGCCATCTATATCGGGGGTCCAGCACATGGAGCCACGGAAAATGAATGGTGAGCTCAAGTTCAGCATACAAAACTGATCTTAGCCTCACTACGTTCTATCAACTGACTTTCACGGATTGGTCAACAGGATGATTGAACACTTCCAGCGAGGAGAGACGCCAACGTTCATCAAACATGCCCAGGCTGGACTACAAGTGCTTGCAAAAGACCCTCAGGCGTTGCTCGTCTTCTCAGGGTAAGTGGTCTGCGAGTCTGGCCAAAGAGAAGCTTCTCTGGCTCATACATTCTATACAGCGGTCCAACCAAGAAGCCTCGAACAGACCTTAGCGAAGGACAATCATACCAAGTTAGGATCAACTCTCATCTGTGTCATAACTATGAATAGCAGACTAATAAAAGACTGCAGAACCTAGTCCGGGAGAATGCTTATTTTCAACAAGAGCTCAAGATCGCTACAATTGATCCATCGCGAATCATTACAGAATGTAACGCAACAGACTCCTATCAGAATGTGCTCTTCTCGCTACTTCGCTTTCGAGCTCATGCGAGTGTCTACCCCAAACGAATCACTGTCGTGACACACGCGTTCAAACGCGATCGATTTATGGACTGTCACTTTCCTGCTATCGGTTTGCTGCCTCGCTTACGTACTGAGATGCACAGGCATGCCCAAATGGTGTCCGTGATTGGGATAGATCCGCCCGAGGAGGTTACTCCCTTGGACAGTCTGATCTTAGGCGAGGCGCTACGGGGAATTGGGGTATGGAAAGGTGATCCGTACGGGGTCGGATCAGTCTTGGCCAACAAACGGATCGATCGGGGGTGGATACCAGAAACGATGCAAGAAATATGCGGTGACGGGGTCTTTGAACCCATCGTCGAGCAATTGATGAAGTGGCAAGGAGGCTCGTGGAACGAATGGTTTCCGATGATGGCCAAATTACCATGGTACTATGGAAATTCGCCATGATACCGATCACCAATCGATCAAGTGAAAAAATGCATCATTCAGAAGATACCACATCTAGCAAGTTAGAAACAATCAAATGACCGAACACAACCCACCCAAACGCCTATGCAGTTATATCCCTCGTATCGGGTCATAAAACGTCATCCAGTACCACCCATCTAGTCCGCCAACCGATAGCTGACAAGTGTGCCAACTCGGTGGTTGTTGGTGCTGAAGCTTCGCAGCTGCACCTTCTCGGCGTTCTTGATCTCCTTGGCATCACTGTCGCCCCATTCCACAGGCACGTCCGAGTCAGCATCGGCGTAGACGAGGACGTTGAAGGTGCAATCTCCATCGAGAACGGGGAGGAAGGTGACGGAGGCGGTAATCTGGCGGAAAATGGCCTGGATCTCTTCCTGAATTTCCTTTTCGGTTTTCTCAACTGGCTCGGGAGCTGGGGTGTTGTTGTCTCTGTTCGTTCAAGCCGCTGATGTTAGCTCAGAACTGGGACGGGAGGCCAGGGATTTAGGCCCTGAAAGCAAAATAGAAAGATTGGGTTTACCCAGGAGCGGCATTTTCATTATCACCAGCCTTGCGTGAGCCCTGGCTCTTGGAGTTCTTGCCGAAGATGTCCACGTCAAACTGCCAGCGCTCCACATGCTCCCCGGTCTCCTTGTCGGTGATGACGACCACAAGTTTCGAAATTTTGCCCCCGGCCATCCACTTGTTCAGCTGCGACATGATCTTTTTGATGTATGCCTTGACCTGGTCATCCGCCGACACTAATGCAAGGTTAGAGGGGAACGTCAAGCAAGCGGTATGCGATAGCTAATCGTCGGAACTCGTAGGAGCGAGAGGGACAAACCGAGCATGTTGAGGCCATATTTCTTGACACTTTGATAAATTAGCACACCAATGCCGAATCTCACACTTCTGGATCCTGACTTACGTTGTGAAGTCTTCGGGAGGGTAGACACCACGCTGAAAGCTGGATGAAATTTTGTGGTCAGCTCCTGTCCGTCCGGGGTGGCAAACATCACTCACAGAATTGAGTTAATCGAGTACTCAAACTGAATGGTCATCAGTCAGTGGTCATTCTATTGCCATGGCAGGAACGGAGCAGAAAGACTCACAAATTCAGATACTAGCTTGGCCGATCCTGCTGTCTTGTTAGCTTCATGGCCACAATGACGAGCCTCTGAGGGGATACCAACCTCGGATCGACAGCTTGTGGACCTTGGACTTGTCCTTTGTTTCAGCCATGGCGAGCAATTGGAAGCACTGAACAAGGCAGAGCGGTAGCAATGAGAGAATCAAGAACATTCGTTGTTTACATGGTCCCCGCGGTGATCAAACTCACCGCCCGGCAATTCTTTTTTCTCCGCAAAGCACCCTCCGCCAAAAGTCTCGATCCTCAATTCGCTCTTTTTGTTGACTCTGATCAGCACAAGGAGACAGGGCAATCCCTATCTTCTTCCATGCTATTGCAGGATTCCAGATGCGAGGATGTCTGCAGTTAGCCCGATGGCTGAGCGCGGCGCCGAATGGTCGATCCGCGAGTCTCGCCTCGGCTGGCTTCTCGTCCCAGTATAACTCCCTTCGGTCCTTTACAAATTCGGCCGTTTGGAGTGCTAGGGCAAAGGCGTCTCCAAGTTCCCCCGACACGGACCTTGAACGACGGATCGCAGCCATCCCAATTGAACGATATCGCAACTTCTGCATTGTTGCCCACGTCGATCATGGAAAAAGCACCCTCTCCGATCGGTTGCTGGAGCTCACGGGTACTATCCAACCCGGTATGAACAAACAGGTACTCGACAAGCTAGATGTCGAGCGAGAGCGAGGAATTACAGTCAAGGCGCAGACCTGTACAATGATTTACAACCACAAGGACGAGGACTACCTTTTGCATTTGGTGGATACCCCGGGCCATGTGGATTTCCGTGCAGAGGTGTCGCGCAGTTATGCTAGCTGTGGAGGAGCCTTGCTTCTGGTCGATGCTAGCCAGGGCGTTCAGGCGCAGACCGTTGCGAATTTCTACCTGGCCTTTGCCCAGGGCCTTGAATTGATTCCGGTCATCAACAAGGTGGACTTGCCCTCGGCCGATCCGGAGCGGGCTCTGGAACAGATGAAAAGCTCGTTCGAGCTGGATACAGAGAATGCAGTCAAGGTTTCAGCAAAGACTGGATTGAATGTTGCGGAAATACTGCCAAGGGTTGTCGAGAAGATTCCAGCGTATGTTTAAACTGTTCTATTGCGCGAGAAGTTGCATTATTCTGACCCTTTTCCCAGCCCCGTTGGAGATATCTCGAAGCCCCTTCGCATGCTTCTCGTGGACTCTTGGTACGACTCATACAAGGGTGTTATTCTTCTAGTGCGCGTGTTTGATGGCGAGGTTCGTCCGGGCCAGCAACTAGTCTCCTTCGTCACCGGACTCAAATACTATGTGGGTGAGGTTGGCATCATGTATCCAACCGAGACACCCCAGACAGTTCTCCGAGCGGGTCAAGTCGGGTATATCTACTTCAATCCCGGCATGAAGCGCAGTCAGGAGGCCAAAATTGGCGACACTTTCACTCGAGTCGGGTCCGAGAAGTTTGTCGAGCCACTCCCTGGATTCGAAGAGCCCAAGTCCATGGTCTTTGTGGCGGTCTACCCTATGAACGCCGATCATTTTGAGCATTTGGAGGACAGCATCAACCAACTCATTCTGAATGATCGAAGTATCACAGTTCAAAAAGAGTCCTCGGACGCGCTTGGAGCTGGTTTCCGAATGGGCTTTTTGGGCACTCTCCATTGCTCTGTATTCGAGGACCGGTTGCGACAGGAACATGGTGCCAGTATCATTATCACTCCTCCTTCGGTTCCCGTTAAGGTGGTGTGGAAGGACGGCACCGAAGAAATCATCACCAACCCCGCCAAGTTCCCCGATGATGACAGCGTTCGTCTGAAGGTCGCTGAGGTGCAGGAGCCGTACGTGTTGGCCACCATCACCTTCCCAGACGAGTATCTCGGAAAGGTCATCGAGCTATGCGAGGCCAACCGAGGCGAACAACAGAGTATCGAGTACTTCACATCAAGCCAAGTCATTCTCAAGTATGAGCTGCCACTGGCTCACCTGGTTGATGACTTCTTCGGCAAACTCAAAGGCAACACCAAAGGCTACGCTAGTCTGGACTATGAAGAGTCTGCCTGGCGAGCCGGTAACATCGTCAAGCTCCAGCTTCTCGTTAACAAGGTCCCAGTTGACGCTGTCTCCCGCCTCATGCACATGAGTCAAGTGAACTGGCAAGGGAGACAGTGGGTCACCAAGTTCAAGGAGCATGTTGACAGACAACTTTTTGAGGTTGTCATTCAGGCGGCTGTTGGCAAGAAGATTGTGGCTCGTGAGACGATCAAGCCTTATCGCAAGGATGTTCTGGCGAAACTTCATGCTAGCGATGTCAGTCGTCGGCGCAAGCTGTTAGAGAAGCAGAAGGAAGGTCGGAAGAGGCTTCGTGCCGTTGGAAATGTGGTGATTGAGCATAAGGCATTCCAGGCCTTCTTGGCGAAATGATTGTACTATAGATGTATTTATATTGATGTATACCCCCAAATGTGCTACTGTTTTTCAAGGTTCCTGATACGCCATTCTACCACACTAGTTCGCCTGGTCGCATGCAAGCAGGGATCTCGACCAAAGAGCGCCCAGCTTTCCATCCAGATCTAAATGCGACGCCCTACTCGACCCTGGGTAGGAAAAGAACCACTTGTTCCAGTGTCAAGGGTCATAATCTTTTCACGATGTATAAAAGGTCTATGTACAAATATCTGACCGTTTTGTGCATGGTCCTCAGCCTGAGTACCAGATCATCGCATCCTCGTAACCAGCTGCGATGCATCGAAAAGTGTGAATATACATATTTCACTCTTCCAGCAAAAGCTTCACCTTGGACTCTCAATCACAGCTTCGCCCACAGCCGAGCAGGAGTCTTCTCGGGCCGACCATACTGGCCCTTCACCCCCAGATCAACAACAATGCCCTCACCAAAAGCAGCCTCCTGGCAATCCTCGTCATCGACACCATTAACATGCTGCACCACGACGAAATCAACTCGTCGCGGGCCCAGAACCACCATTGGCGCATGCCACGTACCAACCCCATACGTAACGGCCTGCCCACCGCGCGCAATGAAAGCCTTCACGTTGCGCAGATCAGGGGGATCGCGAATCGTAATCGTTTCACCGGCCGCGTTCTTTGCAGTTGCTACCTCGCCCTTGAGCGTCGGCGCAACAACAACCAGAAAGACGGGCTCTTCTTCACCATCGCCGACCTTGGAATGGCTGGACAGATCGGTGGGGATAAAGCTCTGGTTGGTGAAAGGGTGACGTTCGAGGATGCGAACATCGAAGACTTCGTTATCGGGTTGTTGTCTTGCACTGATCGTGCGCAGTTTGCGAGGGAAGCAGCAGAACATGGTCATTCGTGCGGAGGCGGGTTTCCCGCTTGGGCAGCCATTGGTGTACCGGTCGATGAGGGGAGAGATGGGGCTATATTTCAGGGCGGAATTTTGGTTTGCTAGGACTGGTGTTGGGTCATGTGGAGGTAGCGAGGATGGTTGAGGAGCGACGCTGATTTCGCGAGGTAGAGGCGAGCAGATTGCTGTGCCAAATGGCGCGAAGTTGGCAGGTGTGAGAGGTTCGGGGACGAGGGTGATAGTGGGATTGGAGGTGAGGATGGGCGCCATGTTGATGATTGTCGGAGCTTCAGCTAGCTTCGATCACAGCTTATGTCGTTATTAGTTATTTTTGGCTGATTGTCGAAAGAAACAAAGAGAGTCCGAAGAAAAAGGACCTGGCCGGCAGGTTATAGGAAACTCCGCCATTCTGAGGGAAGCGGAGACTCGTCGGCGCTCGCCGGGCCTCGGGGTACGATAAGATAAGAGATAAGATAAGCGGCCGGGGCCGAAGAGAGTCACATGACTGGCATCGAAATATAGAGTATGAGCTTAGAAGAACTTCATGGATCGATGGAGGGAATTTCCAAGTAGACAGATGAGCCATACACAAATTTTCTAAGCATTTCATCTTGCCAAGTGCTCCTTTCCTTATCTAGGAGGTTCACGTTGATTTCATCCAAGATTGCCGACCAGCAGAATCGACTAATTTACTAGCAAGCTCTTGCCCCAACAAATTTGCATTAAGATCATCGATATTTCGAATGTTAGCCTCGAGAGTATTCTGAACACTCCGAGTATCCAACAAGACAGCAGTCTCCTTCGCAGTGCGACCCTTCGGGCATTCGTTCAAGTGTTCGAGGGCAAGGGCGAAGAGACTATGGGGATCCCAAAGTAGAAGCGGTGATTGATTCCAAGTTGATCAAACTAGAGAGTCTAGATTCCCTGCGTGATGCAAATATTCCTAGGAGATGCGTAAAATTTTGTCGCGTTGACCATCCATGAGGACATCGCTCTAGCTTGCTGTGATTATATATTTACGACTCCCCAGGACCCAGCAGAATACTTGACTTGATCTCCTCTCACGACTTGATGGAAGTCATGAATCACCTACCTTACCCGAGAAGATTAGCAAATTGTTAGATACCTTTCGCCATTTCAATCCCAAGAAAGCAATTCATCCATGTTCGGCCTCGGCCTGCTACCCCAGACGTCGTCGAATCGGAGTGAAGTCCGGGGCGGCGACCGTGTTGCCGAACCCATCGCGGCCCGAGGGTCTCTGCCACGGAAACAGGCTAAAGATAGTATTGACTAGTATCGAAGCAGAGAAAATGGGGGTTTGACGCATCGCCAAAAGAAAAGATCCATCAAAAGAGCTGCAACATGGATGTATGTAGCGAGCGAATCTAACCCAATCGGGCTAGTAGAGAGCTGAACGAGTCAAGGATACATGAAGTGGGGCTTTTTACTTCACCTCCTTCGAACAATCCATCGTCTCCGAATGGGGACACGCGGTACGGAGCGCCTCGGGTCCAATAAGACAGCTGGGGATGACTGTAAGCAAATCGAGTCTATTTTGAGTTTATCCAATGAAGCTAACCCAAAGCCAGATGTCTCAGATCGACCTGCCCAATGAAATCTTTTTCATGATCGCGCAGCATCTGCTAACCCCTGCCAGCATTTCCGCGTTGATGAGAACCGATCGTCGGCGGTATCACCTTCTTCGTGATTACCTCTATGATCAGATAATTGGCAACGAGAAGAACGAGACGATCAACTGGGCCGCCAAGCATGGCTTTGAAAACATCGTGCGGGCGATGCTACGACGAGGAGGCGATATTCTGGTTGACAAACCCTCGTACCTAGATGAGACCTCGGAGCCCATTTCCAGGCAATGGCTCTACATAGCCATTGAAAATGCTGCGGAAAGTGGACATACAAAAATAGTGAAGCTATTACTTGAACGTCAGCCCAGTGCACTGAATATGCGTTCAGGTTACGATACTACCCCTCTTCGCAGAGCAGCAGGCAGCGGCCATGCAGAGACTGTCAAGTTTTTGTTGGAACATTCTGCCAACATCCCATCGACTGCGATCAGTGGGCTTGGCTTTGGCCCTCCTCGCGCCTTTGACTTCAGTGGTGTCCTGAGTGAAGCGCTGCAACAGGGACAGGAGGAGATTGTGCACGTCTTGCTGGAGGATGCTCGCGTGCACCTAGATGACCAGAGTCTACCCGCGGCTGCTTGGGGTGGAAACGAGAACATTGTTGACCTCTGTCTGCGTGAAGCCCCTCGATGGACACCCCAAAGCGGGTATCATTCACCATTGGGAGCTGCCGCGCTGCGGGGGCATGAAGCCGTTGTTAAGATGATGTTGAGTGTGGATGGTGTTGATCCAAACATGAGGGACAATTCAATGCGAACTCCTCTCTCCGTTGCCGTGCAATCCGGGCACTATAACATTGCAAAGATTCTTCTTGCCACAACCGGTGTTGAGTTTGACGCCAAGGAAAATTCTGGCGAGACTCCCCTCTGCCGTGCTGCCGAAAATGGTGACATAGCATTGGTCAAGGATATACTAGCCACCGGTGCGGTCGAAGTTGACAGCAAGGACTCTTCTGGTTTCACTCCTTTGTGTTCCGCCGCGGCATCGGGCCACGAGAAGACTGTAAGCCTGCTCATCACAGCGGGGGCGAACCCCGATCACCGAACCCTGGACCGGGGGACTCCATTGACATATGCCGCATTCTTTGGGGCAGCCAAAGTGGTCAAAGTCCTGCTGGAAACTGGAAGAGTAGATCCGAACGCGGGCGACTACTGCGGGAGAACACCATTAATACAGGCGGCTCGGTCGGGCAGATTTTTGGGTAGATCTGACGACTTTGTCCGTACTCGGGCATATGAGGAAGAAACGGAGAAGATCATCGTTCCTCTACTAAAAGGAGAGACTATAGCAGTCCCAATCATGAATGATGAGACGTTCGAACAAGATGCAATGCAGGATACTTCGACTCGACAGGCGTCGTCGGTGATGGAACAGTTGCTCGCCCTAGAAGAAGTTGACCCTAATGTGCGGGACAGTTCAGGTCGGACTGCTCTATCTCACGCTGCAGAAATGCATGAGGTAGCAGCTGTGCGAATCTTGACGGAAGATAAGCGAGTGGACGTGAATATTGTCGATCATGATGGTTGGACTCCAATGACCTGGATTAAAAAGAAGGTGAAGCCATATCCTTGGTAATACGATTTCGAGGCATGTGTCGGATTTCGATGAGCTTAAGGAGCTCCAATACTATATGCTAGTGATGAAACTTTTCATGAAGCTAATTTCACCTTCATTCCAGTACTGTAGGAAGTAGCCACTGGACTGCACTTTTCCCTGATGTATATTTATACTTCGGAGTGCCCAAGCCGATCTCCGATCTGGGGTCGGTGCAAACACACCAAACCCTCCCCGCTTGGAGGCCGCCGAGGTACATTTGGCCGAGGTTCTCCGGCTGTTGCTCACTCGAGCTTCACATTACCCCTTCGGCGCCCTTTCCTTGCCGTATATATGTGTCAATGAACTTCATTTGATTTGAAACCCCCATTCCATATCGCCCCTTTAGTCCCCACGCAGCAATCATGGCGGGAGAAGTACGCCAACCGATAGACCTGCCCTCCTTGGAGCGCTACCTTAACCAGAATGTGCCCGTGGTCACGACCCCGCTGGATTTGAAACAAGTGAGATTCCCAAGAGAAATGGCAAAGAGGGGGTTACCAGGTGCTGACTTTTGGCTCTGCAATAGTTCGGCTTCGGTCAATCCAACCCAACATACCAAATCACCACCGCCGATGGACGTAAGCTCGTCCTGCGCAAGAAGCCTCCCGGCAAGCTGCTCTCGAAGACCGCCCACCGAGTAGACCGAGAATACCAGGTCATCCGGGCGCTGGGAAATACAGATGTGCCTGTGCCAGAAGCACTCTGCCTCTGCGAAGACAGCAGCGTGATCGGTACCCCGTTCTACATTATGGAGTTCTTGGACGGTCGGCACTTTACCGATCCTGCAATGCCCGGAGTTAGCCCGGCAGAGAGGAATGCCCTGTAGGTTTGACCATCCCGGAACTATGCAGGACCTATTTACTTACTCGGACGATAGATGGAAATCTGCCGTGGAGACGTTAGCCAAATTTCATGCGGTTGTTCCCAAATCAGTCGGCCTCGAGAAATTCGGCAAGCCGTCTGGATTCTACGACCGACAAATCGCGACCTTCACAACTGTCTCCAAGGCCCAATCCCAGGTCCTGGATAAAGATACCAAGGAACCCGTTGGTGAACTGCCTTACTTTAAGGATATGGTGCAATTCTTCGGCCAGAAGTCGACCCAGCCACGCGATCGCGGCACGTTGGTGCATGGCGACTACAAGATCGACAATATGATCTTCCACAAGACTGAACCACGAGTGATTGGCATCTTGGACTGGGAAATGGCTACGGTGGGACACCCGTTGTCCGACTTTTGTAACTTGACCAGCCCCTATATCATGGATGGTGCCGATCACACCAAGGAAGAATTCCAGGCCGGGCGTATCCCCGGCCTTCCTTCGCGCGAGGATTGCGTTCGCTGGTACTCGGCTGTCTCGGGATATAACCCGGCGGAGGATATCCTATGGGGAGACGCGTTCTTTGCGTTCCGAGGGTCTGTGATTATGCAGGGTATTGCGGCGCGATACGCTGCTCGGCAGGCTAGCAGCGCCCGGGCTGGTGATTATGCGAAGCGGGCCAAGCCATTTGCCTTGGAGGCTTGGGGGCGAGTGAAGAAGGTGCAGGAGTTTTCCAAGCAGAAGGGTAAACTATAACCGAAAGGAAGATCCTGTACATATGCTTGTACATATTCAAGTCATTTTGATTATCAACCATGTGGTTAGAAGCCCATGAAACAATCCATCTTTCCTCCCAGCCTAAATATCCGTGAGGGGTATGAGCTTGTCTCCACATGTGGAGAACAATTCCTAGTCCTGTACTGTAGGCCGTAGCCACGGACCAATTTAGCCATGTTTCGTTGCCTATTTGTAAACTCGGGGGGTCTCTATGTGTAGTACTATAAGTGGAAGGATCCAGCCTTTTGGTTCATCAATGTATGTGGAATTACTACTGTTTTCCAGAACGAATTATAAACAGATCAGCCTATAATGGTGTAGAAAGGAAAGGAAATATGAAACTTTCTCTGTATGAAGCGTATCAATGCACAATATACAGTGAGCTCACAACTATCATTACTTTAGTAGTTTTCCTCAACGTAATCATTATTAGTTGCAAATACTATGTACCTCGATGTCTCCCTCAATCACCTTGTATCGTATCTGCGGTGGTGATTCTCTGGCCCAGGGAAAATCAAAACCCCACGGGGCTGAGTCAGCGAGTCCCACGCTCCGGTGAGCGAGCGGCAGTTCGTTCCTGCGGTGAATCACGTGAATTTCTCCAGGCAGTTGCTTCCGGGGAAAGCACCGAATCTTGCCGACACCGGCACCCGCAAAGGAACTTCCATCTCCAGCTCTATTCTTCTCTCTCCATTCTCCATCCTCCTCTAACCTTCCCCTCTCTTTTTTTTCTTTGTTGCCGTTAAGTCTCTTTGGTAAGTGATCAATTTTGCAATGTTTTGGTTCAGCGCTCCCAATCCATTCTATCAACAACGCTGACTCCACTCTCCCAGGTCCGCCGGTCGCCCATCATGTCTGACAAGCCGCAACAACCCCTCCCCTTCGTCTACCAGTTCGCCGCTGGTGCGGTGGCTGGTGTCTCTGAGGTATGTCCTTTTATGTTTACAGACATCCTTCGACTTTATATGTCGGCTTGATCACGTCGCGTGACCCCCTCAGCAAGACATCCAGTAACTAACATCTCTCTCCCCGCACGCACAGATCCTGATGATGTACGCTTCCATTGCCCACCCATTGCCGACCGCGCAGCTCAAATCCGCTTGCAAACCAAGCGCATACCCTCGTATAATTTCAGAAGTGGTTGATATTAACAATGCGACTTTGATAGGTACCCATTGGACGTTGTCAAGACTCGAGTGTATGCCTGAATCCCCATCGAATGCTTCATCCGGCCCTGACCCGGTTCCGATTGATGTCAGCTAACACAATATTCATCCATACAGGCAGCTGCAGACTGGAACCGCCGCCGCTGGTGGTGAGCACTACAATGGCATGTTCGACTGCTTCCGCAAGATTATCAAGCAAGAAGGGTGAGTCCTCTTGTCTCTCTCTCTCCCGCCGCATTCGCCTCCCGAAGGTCACGGGCCTTACCATCTCTATAGTTTCTCCCGTCTGTACCGTGGTATCTCTGCGCCTATCTTGATGGAGGCTCCCAAGCGTGCGACCAAGTTCGCTGCCAACGACAGCTGGGGCACTTTCTACCGCGGCCTCTTCGGTGTGGAGAAGCAGACCCAGAGCTTGGCGGTTCTGACCGGTGCGACTGCTGGTGCGACCGAGGCTTTCGTCGTGGTTCCCTTTGAGCTGGTCAAGATTCGTCTGCAAGATAAGGCTTCCGCTGGCAAGTACAATGGCATGCTGGATGTGGTGAAGAAGATTGTTCAGCAGGAGGGCCCGCTCGCCATGTACAACGGTCTGGAGTCCACTCTCTGGCGTCACATCCTGTGGAACGCCGGTTACTTCGGTTGTATCTTCCAGGTTCGCTCTCAGCTGCCCAAGCCCGAGCCCGGCAACAAGAGCCAGCAGACCCGCAATGATTTGATCGCCGGTACCATTGGTGGTATTGCCGGTACCATCCTCAACACCCCCATGGATGTCGTCAAGTCCCGTATTCAGAACACCACCAAGGTCCCTGGCCAGACCCCCAAGTACAACTGGGCCTGGCCTGCCGTGGGCACCGTCATGAAGGAGGAGGGCTTTGGAGCCCTGTACAAGGGCTTCATTCCTAAGGTGCTCCGTCTAGGCCCTGGTGGTGGTATCCTTCTGGTCGTGTTCACCGGTATGATGGACTTCTTCCGCACGATTCACTACAAGGAATAAAGTTGTGTGGTCTTCCCTGGTCCTCACCCTGCAAAAATGATACCATTGTTTCTGTATGAAGTCGATGTCGAGGTTTTTTCGAGCGAAATCCACCACTTTCAAAATTCAAACTTGACCCCTGATGACCCATCCGGAGCCTAGCCTGGGCCATCCCGTGTGGATCTGTACTATGACTCCGATATACTGTGTCGCTGCGAGAGGTTTCTCGTGGGCTAGAGTCTGCATTGTTTTTCAGCTTTGTTACTTTCCGCGTTCTGTTGTCCGCCTTTGGTCGTCTGTATCAAGAAACTAAGTAGAGGTTGGGCCTAAATGCATATAGAGAATATAGTGTTGACAAGGTCTCAATCAGCATAGTGCATGTTACTACAGTACCGGTTCGTGGATTGTAAAGTGAGACGTACGAGTTTAAGATGTTTACGATTAAGAGCTAACTGGGTATATTTGAAGTATTGTTAGGTAAGGAGGGATCTGCAAAAATGAGCCCCCTGCTGGAAGTTTTGGGAATCCAACTACACTAATTCTCGGTCAATAAAATAAGCCAACGGTTGATGACCAACTCACGAAGCTACGAATAAAGCAGTCTGATAAAGGTTGGTGATATACAAACCATAGCCACCCCACCCCATTCCGGCTATTCTCCGTGCGGGGCAGGCATGGATAGTGGCGGGTATGCCCGCTTGTTCCTGGGTAACATATCCAGCGTCGAGAAAGGGTGAAGTGGAAGTGGAGATGAAAGGGATAAGATGGGATAAGGATATGTCAGGTTTGTGACCAGTTCAGACTGGTAGAGAGTGTTTGTGGTAATTACTGAATTCTGAGTGTTGATGACCTATAGATAGTTATTGTTATACTTTTGCAAGGATCCCTATTCTCAAAGTCCAGTTGTATAAGCTCAATAATGTAAGTTGGTATTGAACCGACTTGTTTATAATGCCTTTCAGATAGCGGGCGTCTTTGTTTACGATCTAGCTCTTAGAGCACTAATAACTCTTGTCTGTCATGAATACGTACCAAATAGTGCTACAAAACTTCTTACACGTGATCATTGACGAAATGGGACTGAGTAATGGGACCAGCAGCTTTCAGACAGCATATGCACCTGACTCGCATAAGTTGATCAATACTCATCTAGCTATCCTAAACGAAGTGATGCTATCGCGATACTGGGTTGGACTGATGTGGTGCAAAGTCATAATATCATGCCTTGATTTGATTTCTCACCCTGGTGAAGTCTCGGGTTGTATCTTCCACTAGATAACTAACAAGGCGAGGGTCACCCTTAGCTCTTCAACTAGACCTAAAGAACTAATCGTGCTCGAAGAGGAGTTCCTCTGATAGTAGTTCACGTGTCCGAGATGCTGTCCTTCGCACGGGTTCTGTGCAGTGCGGAATGTGTCCGCGTGCGGAAACTCGGGCAGGGGTCTGGGGGCGAAATGTGGGGGAACCAACACGAACAACTCGACTGGACGATCGTGTCCAGCACCAATCAGTTACAACAACTTGGTTTAGTCGAAAAGGAGTACGGAAATCCAGCGCTCCAGGCGCATCCTTTATATCCCTGAGCCTGGTGGCCAACTGCCTCTGTTTCGGGGGTTTATCGTCAAGGGCATATTCACATCGACACCATGGCTATCGCAACTGCGGTCGCCTCGCTACAGGGTAGGGTCATCCAATACCCATGGCATTCCCTCGGAGTCGCCGCTATCCTGGTCCCCTTGCTCTATGTCATTCTCAACGAGTTCATTCGGTCTTCGGCCCGAGTCAAGGGTCTGAAGGGCCCGACCGGCCTTCCACTGATTGGAAATTTGGCCCAAATCCGGGTCAACGCGGCGGAGCAGTATCGCGCGTGGTCGAAGAAGTTTGGTGCCGTGTATCAGATTCAGTTGGGGAATATCCCGGTCGTCGTGGTCAACTCGGCTGCGTCTGCCAAGGTGTTGTTTGGTCAGAATGCGCAGGCTTTGAGCTCGAGACCCGAATTTTATACTTTCCACAAGGTGAGCAGAGAAAGAATATGCTATCCTGTTCCTAACGTCCTTTTCTATGCTAAACCGGCCCATTGCCTTAGATTGTCTCCAATACCGCTGGTACCACCATCGGCACCTCTCCATATAGCGACTCGCTGAAGCGACGCCGAAAGGGTGCCGCCTCGGCTCTTAATCGCCCTTCGGTCGAAAGTTACGTCTCTCATCTGGACGTCGAGTCCAAGGCCTTTGTAGAAGAACTCTACCGCTACGGTAATGGTGGCAAAACCCCCGTCGACCCAATGCCAATGATTCAACGGCTGAGTCTGAGTCTGGCCTTGACGCTGAACTGGGGCGTGCGAGTCGCCTCCCAGGAAGAAAATCTCTTCGATGAAATCACCGAGGTCGAAGAGGAAATTAGCAAGTTCCGAAGCACCACCGGTAACTTGCAGGACTACATTCCTCTATTGCGGTTGAACCCGTTCAGTACCAATTCGACCAAGGCTGCGGAGATGCGGGCGCGCCGGGATAAATACCTAGGAGCTTTGAACAAGGATTTGGAAGATCGGATGGAAAAGGGAATTCATAAGCCGTGTATCCAGGCGAATGTTATTCTGGATAAAGAGGCTAAGTTGAATACGGAGGAGCTCACGTCTATCAGCTTGACAATGCTTTCTGGTGGTCTCGATACTGTCACCACCCTGGTGGCTTGGAGTATTGGCCTTCTTTCAACCCGTCCGGACGTGCAGGAGAAAGCTGCCAAGGCTATTCAGGAGATGTACGGAAAGAATGAGCCAATGTGTTCGGCCGATGATGATCAGAAGTGTGCCTATGTCGCTGCCCTGGTCAGGGAGTGTCTTCGGTGAGTATTTTCCTTTATGTTCAAAACACCACATACCCGAGCTAACAGACCAAAGTTACTTCACCGTGCTTCGCCTGGCTCTTCCTCGCACTTCTATCCGGGATATTACCTACGAAGGCGTCGTCATTCCAAAGGGAACAGTGTTTTTCCTGAATGCCTGGGCATGCAACATGGGTAAGTCTTCTCACCTCAACACCACATATACACATTCCCCCTCCAACAATCTCCAACTAACAAATCCACAGACCCAGACGTATGGACCGACCCCGAAGTCTTCCGACCAGAGCGCTGGTTCGAACAACCCGACGCACCACTCTTCACCTACGGTCTGGGATACCGCATGTGCGCCGGCTCGCTCCTGGCAAACCGTGAACTATACCTGGTCTTCATGCGCACGCTCAATAGCTTCCGCATCGAGCCGCATGATGATACGGATTGGCATCCCGTGCGAGGTAACTCGGACCCGACGAGTTTGGTAGCCATTCCGCAGAAGTACAAGGTGCGATTTGTTCCTAAAGATGCTGCTGCTTTGAAAAAGCTTGTCTCGCAGGCTTGAATGGGATTTTGCGGGGATATAGGTACATGAGATCGAAAGTTATGGGGCTGGTGATGAAGGACCTCACCTCAGGTCCTGGAGCATACAATGCACTTGCATGTCAATTGACGTATGCACAACTTGCAACATGAAATGCCACGCAAGATAGAGCATGGTCCAAAGCAGATGTCTCTGGTCGGAGTTTTCAGATAACCGACGTTTGGGGTCGAAGAATGGCCGATTCGGCACATATTTGGAGGCGAAAACTCCAAAACTTTCATATTGCTATTGATACTGCCGAATTTGAAGAAATTTCACCATTAAATAGATCCAGATATTTAGAAACGTAATTTTGGCGGCACAGGCCACCGCGTCCGAGTTTTACTTATTGTTGCAGGTGGCCTGCCGCATCAATGTAAGGTAGAGGAAAAGGATGACAGGCGGCAGTATCTGTTGAAAGACGTAATAGGAGGCAGCGATAATATTGATTGCGTTAGGTACAGGAAGAGAGAAAGTCTGTCTATTCACAGGGAAAAGTGCAGGGAATGACCACACCATGTAACAGCTACAACTCCAAAAAATAGATACAGGGGAGGTATCGTGGTCGTACATCATTAAGGATTCGAGACAGGACGAATCAGACCGAGCTCAACAAATAGTACAGTAAGGAACAAGGGGAAATTGTAAAGCATATGTAGGATTGGTTGTAGGGAATATCACACCGCTCAAGCAGAGACAATATCCGCAAGGTCTGGGTGTCCAGGTGGAGACGCACCATTGATATGATCAGGACTGCGACCAGGAAGCCAGGCATCATGCAAAGGCAGAATCAGGCTCGGGTTGACATACTTCTTCAGCCGCAGGCCAAGCTCTTGGCCGCCAATCCGGATGGGAAGCGCGTCCCGATCCATGCCTGATGATGGCGAGAAACTGGAAGAAGGGGACGGGGAGACATCGCCACCCCCGGGCTGGTCACGATTGATGCTCTTGAGAGCGATGAACTTCATTAGTGGTTCGTAGGTTCGTGCGAACCAGTAGGAGAACCACACAGTGAAGCCCAGGAGAGGGACGAGAAGTAACGAGCGAGTAATGGCACCACGCAAGGCGAGGACTCCGATCATGGCCAGGTGATACACAACCAGTCCGACGAACAGCCGGTTACAGATCATTGGCCACGCCCGGCCGGTTGAGTGTTGCTGGTGGTCCAGTGCATACAATAGCTGATACTTGTAGATGAACTGGCCAATCGAGAAGTAGACCAAGCCGAATAAGCAGATCAGCCACGAACTGGGGAAGACGCTGTAGACGATACAAATGATCAATGCCAAGATGGTCTGTGGAATCGAGAAGCCATAGCTGAACTTTGGTGGAGTAGAAAGCTCGGCATATTCGCGGGGGGTCTGGGCTCTGAAGAACTGCAAGGGGTATAATGCAACGCTGCCAAATTCCAACAGTCGGAAGGGGAACAGACCCAATCCTTGAAGAACCAGGAGGTTGATATAGAATTTTGTGAAGCCCTCCAGGGAGGTGGCAAGGGCGAAGGCAATAGTGGTGGCATCTTTGAAAGCATCACGCAGGCGCTCCCAGAAACTGTAGAATCCAGTCGCAGTACCGAAGACGGTGAAAAGGAGGAACAGGTTAAAGAAAGAGAAGAAAAAGTTCTTCGAGATGACAGAAAGCTCAATATCACCACGAGACATCATGCCTTGATTCTTTGAGAGCCCTGTATAATTAATTAGCATGTCGTAATTTGTTAATGAAACAACGTGACCAGCAGGGCGCTCTTACACTCATAGAGATATGGGACTGCGACCGTCAGGAGGGAGAAGGCCAAAGTCGGTAGACCAGTCGAAACCAAGGATTTCAAGATGGGGTGCATGGCCAATGTCTCCGCTAGAGACGGTATAATCTTGTGCAGTGTATCCAGTTCCAGCAGAGTCGCGATTGGAAGCAGAAGAACCGACCAAAAGATAGTGAGAAACCCGATGGCGAGCGTGATAAGCCAAGACTGGGTCATCCGCCGACTACGAGAGAGGTAGGTATTTTTCCAAACAACGTCTGCTGGCGCCGGAGCAAGCCGAGCGAACATCTGCATAGGATGCGGGTCAAGAGTGGCCTGAACAAGCATTTGAGAGGCCGCAATTGACTCCATGGTCACAAAAGCAATCTCCGTTGGGGGATACTCCTTCTCGCGGGCAGATGTGATTTGCTCGTCGATCTTCCGCAACTTCTCCTCAAAGTAGTCGATTGCATCAATCATGCGGAAACGCAGTTTAAATGGACCGTACCATATACGGACCTTTGGTCGCTCGTGCAGATACCCAGAAACATGGTCCTGGTCAACTCCGTCTAGCAACTGAGATGTTTCGTCATCCTCCTCCAGGTGTAACCGGGCCCGGGTATATTGAGGTTGATGGGTCAGGGGTAAGGTATTTCCATCTTTTCGTGGCCGTTTGTATCCAAGGTGTTTAGTCCACGCGCGTTCCAAGGCCCGAAGAATTTCCATGCGTTCATCAATCAGACGGTCTAGCTCGCCCCATTTTCGGCACAAGGTGACAGACTCCACCTTGCCCACGCGCAGTCCCTCCACAAAGTCCTTGATCATGTCCTCACTGGTCAAATCCTGGGGGATACCTGACAGGCGAACTGTGCGGTCGGTGGTAGTGGTTTGGTTTCCAAGATAGGTTTGCCGGGTGCGGATGATCTTATTCGTTTCCTGGAGGAGCAGGTAGATGGCCAAGCCGCTGAAGAGATAGGGGAACAGGACATAGATCCAGATGTATCCAGGGTCGGTCACAAGCTTGTCCTTGTCCTTGGCTTTGCCTAGTATGCCGATCGCGTTCATGGACTTATTGCTTGGTGGTTCGATATCGTCCCAGTCTGGAACCCCGGACTTGCCGGTGTACTTGTAATGGAGCGGGAGGATTATGGTGACAGCGAAGGCGAATATGGCTAGCAGTAGCCGGATCGCAAATTTGAAGAACGAGAGAAACTATACGCCCGCAAAGGTTCGGTTAGTAGAAGACTCCTAGGGGGGCGATTGGCAGCAGCGATTCTCTTCCTACTCACCACGTATGCGTCTAGGCCCGCGGAGTGCAAGACTTCCTCTTCCGTGATCCGATAGAGCACCGGTATCCATCCAAAGAAGCTGTCGGGAAGCTCTGGCAGCGCCGAAGCGGCGCAACGTTGTCGCCTCCTAGCAGCATATAGATCTGCCCATTTCGGTCGCAGCACCTGGAGAAATTACGGTTAGAAAGAGACGACCTGTAATCCAATATGATTCCAACACCTACACAGAACGACACAAATGCGCCCAGTCCTAGCACGAAACTAATCACGAATTGGGTGTACAAGTCCCGAGACTCCTTTGTCTGGTCTCCCCAACGGCGTCCCGGGTCATCATCCTCGGGGTCGCTGGCAAGGACGGTAAACAAGGCGGTTGCCGCCGATGCCGTAAGTGACATTGTCGCGGAATCAAAGTGTCCCTTTGCACCTGGTGTGCGTTGGGTGAGTGAATTGGTTTGTTTGCGGGGCGTTGGAGCTACCGGTCCATGGGGTGCGTTGAGCGCAGAAATTCGAGGAAGGAGGCAGCGACGACGGTAATCGGATAGACAGAGATGCAAAGTCTCGCTAATTATGGATGATGTAGGCGAGTCGTATTTCGTCCGAAGCACTGGGTTGGGCGAGAAAGGAGCTCCGAAGGCTTGCTTTTGTTTTTGTCATGCGATGACGACGGCGGTGAAGGTTGGTCATCATTATGCATGCACAAGCCGAATCGGGTAGTCGATGCCAATTATGCATGTTATGCATGCATGGGTTCTCCCCGAGAACTAGATTGACAAGGCTCGTCACGGAAGGTAGGAATATACAGGTAGTATTCACTAAGTCTATTGGAGTATACTGAACTAAGAAGTGTGCGCAGCAGGTGGTTTGGAGACCCCAGTGCTGGCTTGGCCAGCATCGAGGCCCTTTAGGAAAGCCACAGAGCCTCGATCTTCTTTGAGATCCAGAATCACGCAGGTCGGTCAATATCCTGACTTGGCCAAAAGCAAGTACATATTCTGAATTCTTTACCCCGGTTATCTGCCGGGCGTAAATCATCGACTTGCACCGAGTGTCTCTGGGATTCCCTGTCGGGGTTGAACGGTACTTCCAGGCCGTCACTTTGTGCTTAGCTCTTCATCCAAGGACAGGATGTGCTGGCAAATCCGACCAGCTTCAATTAAGACGTCTGTGAGTCATCGAGCCTTCACTCTCTTCCAGGACCTATCTGCGCTCATCATGATTGAAAGTTCATAGAGTAGCCGCCAGTTTTCGGGTCTTGGACGAAGTTAAAGTTATCTGTTGACAGGCCAAACGGCCTCAAGATCCCATTGCCCAGCTAAGTTCATTCAGATGTCAACATCAAGTCAATATGAGGATCAAACGGGGCTCCACTTACATCTTTCATCTTCGACATCATCTCCCCAATTTCCTTATCCTTTGCCTCGTTGACTCGGGCAGGAAGCTCGCGTAGCGCCTTCTGTACAATGCGCTTCTCGTCGGGTGGAAGCGTTTCCATTGAATTCAGAACTTGATAATCCTCGATTGCGCCTTGCAGGTTGGCCCAGCCGCCAAGATTCGATTTTGCCTTGGCACGTCGCATGAGAGATTTGGCTCGGATACGGAGCACATTTGTACGCTGCGTGTCCAACTCTTTCAAGTGTGCCAGTTGTTTCTCCTCTGCATCTGCATCATCTGCTGATAATTCGACAACCGCCCCGGTTTCCTGTGCACTGGTGGTTGTGGCATTCGATTGCGTTCCGTTGCCTTGCTCGTTATTCGGGGCATTCGTCGGGATGATCTTTTCCAGGCGATCGAGAGATGTGGTCGCAGCGTCAATTGCGGCTTTCCAGTCTTCAAGTTTCAAGTAACAAGCAGCGATATTGCTCCGCAGCACGGCAACGTCGTAATCAAGGTAGTTGGGGCAAGAAGAGAGAGCGCGGTCATAGGAAGAGATGGCCTGGTCGTAACATGCGGAGCTAAAAAGCTGATTTGCCTCTTGTTTGATGTCCTGAGATTCTTTCAACAATCGCTAAAGTCATTGCCATCAAAATTAGTGCCTGTAGTTTCAAGCTGCTAGACCGTTATTCCATGTCAACTTACAGCTTCCTCCTCGACGGGGAATCGGGCATCGTGAAACTCTTCGTCGTCACTATCTGCTCCGCCAGCTGGAGAGACTGTGTTCTTTGGAGGTTTCTGATCAGATCCTGGGCTCTCGCGGCTAGTCCCAGCCATCTTGAACGAGAGGGTGAGCCGGCCAGAGCTCAGTTTCGTGGTGCATGACGCCGGTCTGCGCGGGGCTGGGTGGATAAGGAAGTCTACAAACCAATCGGCACGTGATTGGGAAAGGCGTGAGAGAGCTTGAACTAGAGCTACGCAATTCTCCAATTTGTGTCACTAGATCCTACTATTGATGCCTAGTACTATTTCCACTCGTCATGGGAACAATTCCAAGAAGTACTCTGATCGGACCTCATCCTGGAAAATTAGGCAGAAAAGGTGGCAGGACTATATAGTTCGCGCAAGGCCACCAAAGATTCCAAGGAATGGAGGTGAACTCGAGAAGCCGTAATTGTGAGTCAGAGGGCCAAAAGTTCGCAATGGTTGCTATTCTGCTATTCCCATGCCTGAGACATGATAAGAGCCGTGGTACAAACAACCGCCAACTGGTTAGCGACATCTTCACCTGCATGAGCCTGTTCACCATTCCACAGGTAATGACCAATGGTCTGCGTCCATTAATGCTTGGGTCGGAGACGCCGACCCGGTCGATCCTCAGCCTGCTTGGCGTCGCATTTGGCAGGGTCGTACAGAGATGCCAGGGCCAATAGCAGTGATCCATCACTAGAACGGATGCGCAGGGATGGGCACAGCTCCATCAGCCCCAAGTCAGCCCCATTGAAGAATGTAGTTTCGATCAAGCTTCATAAATGAGCTATAACGATGGGGCTGGGTTTTAGGCAGAGCTGTAGCCTCTATTGACCTTAATATTCTTCCTTCAAAATTATTATTAGAGGATAATGTCAGCCAAGCCGGACGACCAACCAGTCATTGCTAATGCCCCACGATCGCAGACTAAAGCAAAAGCTAAGAATGATCGACAGAAGCCGCCCGTGGACTTCCTCTGGATCAATGCTCAGGAGGAGAACCCTCGAGACCGGCAGGCCTCCCGGGAGAAGCAAGCGTTCATAAGGGCACGGCATCACCGCTTGAAGAAAGAATCTCAAATGCGAAACTTGCAAATGTCGATGCAGCTCCAGCAAGCTGAGAGCGACATCCTGCAATCTGAAAGGACCCGCGACCATATCTCCAATGATTCAAGTATTCGGATGTCCAACGATGACCGTGGCTTGATCACCCAGTCTCCAGTCTTGTACCAGTCTCTCGAGACCTGCATTTCCATGGCCTTTCCATACCTCTCTCGCCCTACTAACCAGAGTATGACCCTTTATCTGCAGCACTGTAAGTAGATACTGACCTTTGACGAGACCGTTACCAGAAGCGGTGTCAGAACAAGCATCTAATCAAAATTGCTATAGATCAAGCTCATGCCACAAAATTATGCTTCCCTTTGGGGGACAGCCAGATCACATTTCGATATTTACGCATGGCACTCAACCATCCAGCTCTAGTACAGATCTTGCTTTCTACGAGTGCATTTCACCGGGCTACGGTGCACTATGTCAGCGGAGCACCGCCTCAAATGATCCAAAGCTCAGCGCAAGATGCCATCCGTTTGCGATCTGAGACAATCAAATCCCTGCAGGGAATTCTGATCAAGCCGTACGAGTTTTACTCCGAGGCCACGCTAAGAGTCATCGCTCATATCATGTGTGTTGAGGTAATAAAGCCCAGTAAAAATATGCTTTTGTAGGGTACAGGGGGCATACTAGCATTTTAGTGCAGATCATGCTGACTTGATGGGCATTATTAGGCAGCCGAGGCTAATATACAGGCAGTGCGAGCCCATGAAAAAGCGATCAAGAAAATCATCGACGCCTTGGGGGGATTGAATAACTTGGGATACGATGCGATTTCCATATTATATGTGTGAGTCGCCTAGCACGCGTGTCTAAAAACACTCGTCTTCAATTGGGTCCGTCTAATCTGATTATCAGCTGCGACCTCATGAGAGGACTGATCAATGATACACCAGTTCAGCTCAACAAATCCTGGAAATGGGAATTCAAAGTTCATAGAGAATGTTCTTTTCTGCGAGAAGACTGTGAAACAATGACGTCCTCATTCGTTGGACGCCGCTTTTTCAACTCCCCCTGGTCTTCGGATCTGCATCCAGAGCTCATCTGCACCCTGTGCTCAATACAGAAGCTGGTATCATTATACGAGAACGTCAGCTGCTCATCGTGGAAACAGACACGCATGGACAATGATGGTCTCCTTCTTTTGAATCACGAATTGTTGTCTTTGGCACACGACCGCTCGCTTCCTGCCTTTCAAGATACCCTCCGGCTGGCAGTCCTGATCTATACGGTGATTCGAATAAGGGGATTCGGAGGGATGCCCTGTGCGAATATCTTTGTTAGTAATCTTCGCAAAAGCCTGGAAAGAAGCTTTGCTTCTCTCAAAGGTACTGCTCCGGATCTACTGCTTTGGATATTGTTTATCGGTAGTCTGGGCTCAAGAAGTCGAAACTGCCAAGATTGGTTCCTGCTCAGACTTCAAGAAGCTGCAAAGGAACTGTCACTTGAGAAATGGGACCATGCGGTGCGGGTTTTACAGGAGTACTTCTTCGTCTACCGACCATCTGACGGTCCAGTGAAGGAGTTGTGGGACTCGGCATTCCGACAAAAAACTTTGGAAGTCTTGGAAGGATAAAATTGATGACCACCTCCAGACATGGAGGCCTTCTATGCTTGTAGTTGACAATTTTTGTTGCTCGAAACCTACAAACCAGCTGCTTGCAGAGTCTTCGAGTTCAAAAAGAATACGCAAAAACTACACTGGCGGGCCATGTTGTTGCAGACGTACTTTTTTTTTTTACTTGATCTCATAATATACACAGACTCAGTGCTTGGGTTTTTCCTTCGCCGTATATTAAGGAAACTGTTTCTTGCTGAGCTCACAGGATCTAGCCTGGTTTTAATCAGTTAATCAAACTAACATGTCGAGAGAAAAAGCTGACAGCACTTTCTGTATGAACAACCCCCATCTTCAGTAGAAACCCTCTCGGTGAATTTGACTCGGCTGTACGCCAGCCACCTGTAAAGCATTTACCACCGAGTCTCCAAACCCATTAGGTCCACAGATGAAAACGTCCTTGTCCTTGGAAACAGTTGCCCAGTATGTGGGCCCCACACGCTCTTGATGAACAGTGACTACTGTGCTGGAGCTGCCAATAGTCTCCACGTCGAACTTGCAGTCATTTGTAAATATCTCGAGCTTCACTTTGATCGCCAAGGACATCTTCTCAAGTGCCGGCTTGATCATTCGAAGCATGACCTCCGGCTCCCTCGTTGCCAGAACAAGCAATATATTGCCTTCGGCTGCTGAACCACGCTCCTGTAGCGCACGGAGCATGGCTAGGAACGGCGTTATTCCGATTCCACCAGCCGCCCATATGACATTGGGTTTGTCAGGGCTTAAGGAAAAGTCGCCTGTGACGCCCACGACGCCTGCCCACACCCGACTGTTGAATTTGACGGGCTTCCCGAGTTGACCCGACGATTGTCTTCTCAGCATGTCAAACAAAGGGCCTGTTACTGCACCACCGGGCATTTTGCGCATCGTCAGTTCAAACCATGTCACATTCTGTCCTTCATGCGCACTCGATACCGTCCATGTACGAACCCGATCATCATTGATTGATTCTGGGGACGAGTCTGCCATGTGCCGGTACGAAGGGGGTCCTAACCAGTCCATGAAATCAAGCACAATGGCCTGCCCGGGGCGTATATTGATCCCACGTTCTCCAGGCTGAGTAGTGACTTTGAACTTGAACATGGCCAGATTAAGAGACAATTGTACACCCTCCTCAAGGTACGCCATGCGCCCTTCGCTGCCAATTATTTCTGATTCCGTTTCTTCCACCAAGTATTTGATTTTAGGGCTGTATGGGCTGCGTTCAACAGATGTCCCCTGTTGCTGCCGCACGGGAAGTGCATCACGAACCAAAGTATAGCCTGTCACTTGGATAGTCGTAAGACTCGCATGTCTGGCCATAAGTCGGAGTGCAGCTGGGCCAACATGATTCTTAGCAATCCCTGTTAGATAGAGGACGTCTCCAGTTGTGAAGGAAACAATTGCCAGTCCTGCTAGTCCACTGGATTCAATATTCCCCAGACTTGACACGAAGCGATTTCCTGAATAGTCTGGAATAACCACAGTGCGGCCATCAGATGGGCGAACGCGAATGAAGCCCGGCAAACCGCTCCGGGCATTCATACCCGCATGGGAGGGATACTCATTGGCCGTTTCCTTTTCAGATCGGTATATAGATGCTATGAAGGCCGTGTCCGCCTGTAGAATGAAGTCAAGCACCTCATCTGGAAGTCTTTCTTCAGGTGCAAGATCTCGGTTTTGAAACGCAACAGTAGGTTGCGTCTGTGGATTGGGGACAAATTTCCGGATATTGATGTACTTGGGGCAGTTCCTATTATGAGTTAGCGGATATCGATTATTTTGAAGAGATTAAATCTTTATTCATGTCCAGAACTTACCCAAGGGCCTCTGTGATAGCCAAGTCAATCTGATAATCCGATTCTGTCACTTGTTGCACATCATGTATGCGCCCAGCGAACTTGTTGCGTCGTCGCGTTGAAAACTCGATACCCAAGCCGGCAGTGAGAAACCTCTCAGAGGTGGCATCCTCTCGCTCTTTTAGATTCATCCAAGTGCGGATAGTATCAAGGAGGGGATCGCCGTCCCAAAGTCGAGCGAGGACTGAGAGTGTTTGCGCATCTGGACTTTTGATGAAGCCTATTGCCCCGTTCGATCCCGAGACTACGGATGCCCAAGGACGGCCAGCCTCATCGATGGTCGTAAGAGGAACAAAGGGAAGGTTCGATGTGTGGAATATCCGGTGTTGTTCAGCCATGTAACTTCCGATAATTGACCAGTGGTCCCTGATGGCATCAGCATATCCAAGCTTGCGCTGGATTGCTCGCTCTCCAGGGTGCCAGTCATGTAGTGCTGATATGATTACGGACATCGGATCTGTCTTTCTGCTCTTGCGGGGAATAATGACAGGAAAGGTTCACGATAGGAGCAGGTTATAGATGGTCATCAGCCCTTTGTATGTCTTCAATTCCTGTGGCGACAGTTTCATCCTGGTGCGGGAGAATGGCACGAATCTTTAGTGGCGATCCATATTTGTTGTTGGGATTGTGCCATCGCCACGCTCGGAGGGTAGACGGGTACGCTCGAAACTCAAAGTCTTAGGAATCATCTCGGTCCCGTTCTGGAAGCTGACGCTGACAAATACAACCATTTGGGTCAGCAGGGATTTCTGGTCTTTCCTGTTCGGTCTTAGGAATCATTTCTATCGAGCTGCTTTAACTTGTAATTACCGTATATGGCTCACGCAATCCCGTTTGTAACTCAAAACTGGAAGTGGCCTGGGGATCATTGGTCTATGACTCTACCACAGGGTAATTAGCTCCTAGCCGCCTTGGACAAAGAGAATCATTACTCTGTCGACGTGTTTTTGAGGACATAGTTTTCACTCTTTACAATGATCATAATCGCAATTCCTTGAAGAATTGGGTACTTCAGGTCATTAGTCCCCCACTCGATGGTCAGTCAAGTGTATACGCACCAATGATGCACGAATAGTTACACCCGGAGTGACATCATGCCGATTTATAATAATCTCCCCGCAATACCCGCGGAACTCCCACGAGAGAGCGAAACAAAAAGAGGAGTTTTACTGACTCGAAAAAATCATTTTTATCTTCAACGGTTGCACAATCTCAGCTCACCCTTAACGCAGATTTCCCCTCGCGGCTCCCAGATCCTTTCCATTTGTATTGATCGCCGCAACCTTGGGCCTTGGCAAGCCTGATACGAGCTGTAGAAGATTGAAAAAAGCTGAAAATACCAGTTATCATGACTTCGACTCCCCCGCGAGCTGTCTATCATTATTTTGATATTGGCCCCGTGGGCCGTGGTGAAGTTATTAAGTGAGTCTTCATCTCACTATCCTATCATCTACCAGGCTCATAGCAATAACACTCATTGGGGCGATTTTTTTTGCTAATCCATCAAGGCTTTTCATGAAAGATGCTGGCATTGAATTCAAACAGGTTCTTTATCCGTACGACCATACTTGGCCCAAGATCAGCCAGGTTCTACAGCAACAAGGTACAACCAGGACGGGTCAATTACCTGCCGTCGAGTACCAGGGCATGATTCTCATACAGGTCTGCTGCACGACCATAGTAGCGGCGTATGTCTACAAAGTGCTAACTCTACTCTTAGCACATTCCTATTCTGCGTTATCTCGCTCGAGACCTTGGTCGATATGACGGAGAGACCAACGCTGAGAAATACCTAGTTGATGCCGTGTCTGATATCTACATCGATTGGAGAGTAAGAAGCTATGACCCTACCTTTCGGCTGTTTATGTTAATTTACCGGCAGTACCGTTGCGGAGCGAATTTTATCAAAAAGGATGATACATACAAAGATGAATTTGTCCCCCAATACTACAATACTTTGGGCCAGTACTACAACGACCACGAGGGCCCGTACCTCCTGGGCGATAAAGTCACATATGCCGACTTTGCGGTTTATCAATCCATTGATGGTGATGAGAGAACAGGTACACTTCCGGTACGGATCTCTCATGAAACTTGCTCCTCTGTCTTATATACTTAACATTATTCTGTTTGCTCTCTAGTTCACCCTCCCGGATTCGCTTATCAGGTTCAGAGAGGCCTTCGAGCAGCGGCCGAACATTACTAGCTATCTCAAAGACCGAAATCCCGCACTTTAAGTCCGTCGTAGGCAAGGTGAACCAAGCTACAAAAGATAGCTCTGAGCGGTAAGGGCTTTGTCTTATCAGATCACGTATCCTCCGGTTGGCGCAAGCTCGTACGCCTCCATCTCCACAATAGTGTCTTATGCTGCCTCTGCTTGGAGTTTGTCAGAGGGTGTGATATGACACATTTGTTCACCCTCGAGAACCTTAAGTACGAAAATGGCAATTCATAACAATGTAAATTGACATCCTATATGGTGTACCTTTGAGAGAAGAATATTTCCATCAATTCAGTCTTTCGGCATGCTGGAACTTCCACCATGCCTCCACAACATCATTGTAACCCAACTTTCCCAGATGCTGGGCGACTTTACGCCGCCAGTCCCTTCTTGAATCATCATCATCCCCCTGACTCAGATTCATGCCTGCCGAAAGTCGAAATTTTGTTCTGATCCATTCGATGGGTACATAACCAGCAATCTCCCAATCGATGATACCCAGTGAGCCCGTGGAGACATCGACAAGAATGTTCGTAGGCCCAAGATCGCAATGATAGAAGACCAGTGTAGAGATATCCATAGAAATCTCTGTACAATTATTCATAAGTTGCTGCGGAGAAAGTGCATCTGCCGTCTTGCTGTTGAATTTAGCAAGATAACGCTCCGACAGCTGGCGTCCGTCTATTCCACTAATGATACCACCCCTCCAGGATGCTAAGCAACTGCATATATCAGCTATCTTGCCGATGTAATACTGGCGCAGAGTCTCGTCTAGACTAGGCCAAGCCTCGTCAAGAAGCTGGCCGGGAACCCTGGAGGTGATGATGTAGTATCGCGAGCCGGTCTCAAAATGATAGAGTGCACTGGGGAATTCAAAGCCCTGGGGTTGTTGGTCCTTGAGAAATTGCAGAGTAACATGCTCTCTGGTCACATCGGGATAGTCCATACGATGCGCCTTGATGAAGGCTTCACCTGCCCTCCAAACTGCCGCCTGGTTGTCGACTGCATGCACCCTTGTGATAGAAGATGAGTCCTCCGCGAGAGGCTTTGAGTCCGGAAGAGGGTTGCGTGCAATGGAAAGGGCGAAGTGACCCCCATCACTGTCGCTCCAGCAGGTTTGGTTAGTTTGAATCTTGTCCGGGAGGGGCGACGGTGAACGCGTAAGAAGAAGTGTATTTGCGATCAGCCAGGAGCTTGGATCAACTCCTCGTATCGAATCATTCAGGTGTGGCTGAGACAAGCTGATTGATGACATTTTGAATGATTTTGACGTCCAAGGAAATGATTAAACGTAGATAGCAAGTGCTTGCAGCATGTTATTTACAGGAGTGAGTCTCCATAAGCGGTGAGCAGGCAGGACTGCGCTGCCAAATCAATTCCAATTGCAGGGGTAGCGTCACATTATCAATGAAATCTATGTAAGAACAAACACCCAGCGCCACCAACACCGTACACGTAGAGAAAATCCACCCGAAACAAAAACATAAACCATCAAAACCATTGTAGCATGTAGATATTCCTTCTTGATCCCAGAATGAAATCTAGACAGACGTATAAAAGCTTATTTAAGCAGTCACTCATGTCCGGGCCATAAAGAGCGCAGCAGCTCCAAATCCTGTGCCACTGCTGGACTATTCCGCGCAGAATCTTCCAAAAATCGCATCATCTCATCATTCCAACGTTCCCAGCCACTAGGCAACGTTTCTCGTACCCGCGCACTCGGCGAATGAGCAATGCAATAGAAGAGGAGGATCTGTCCGAAGAACCTGTCATAGAGTATCATTAGCTCAACCATCACCCTGGACATTCTTACAGGCGTATGAGAAGGCGACTTACTGCGAGCAAAATGCAAACTTGATAGGAATGCAGCTCTTCATCTTTCTGAAGATTCCCTGCGTCACGGGCCAATCCATCGCATTCTGGAGTCCACTTTTGATTTGCTCCAGATCGTCATCTGTCAACAAGTGCGGGATGCGGAGTGCTTTGTATAGATATGGTCGGCCAATATGAAACTTAGCGATCATATACCGCCCACGAAGCATGGCGTCGGTGACTGCCACTGCAGGTGATAATGGGCGATTTGGATCTGCCGGGTGTGGATTGACGTGATTTGGCGATGCCGCTGAGGCGGGCGAGAGATGGACTGATGAAATGTCACCTGGTCCGGGGGTAGAGTAGCATGGCTGGAGTTGTGCATCGGTGAACTGGATAGCCGATGGGAGGTTGTTACGCCACTGTTCAAGCTGGTGGTGAAGTTCGGCATTGACTGCTGGGAGAGGTATTGTGCCCGAGTCGGCTGTATTCGCAGAGGTTAGATGATATGCGTTTTTATAGGGACGGAGGAATCATACAGTAGAAGTAGAGGGAATGCCGGATACGAGTTAGAATAATGCGATGTGCCACTTGTGCTAGGAAGTGATACTGGAAGTATGAGTCGTCGACGAGCGTGGACGAGGGATATCGGGTTGACGTATAGCCAGTCGTTTCGAAGGCGATGAATTTGGGGATTGGGACTTGCTCCTCCAGACGGGAGAGTCCGCTTGGAGGAAGATGTAGTTCTTGGACGAGGATTGTCTCGTTCATGAGGCAGTTCCAGTACACGCGGGACTTCATGTCTCCTTCCCATTCATCGAAGCTTACATCGTGGCTAGATGAAAGTCAGTAGATGGAAAAACACATTTTTTTCAAGGCGACATATACTGACTTGGTCAACATGGAGAGGCAGCAAGTTGCCGCACGATGAATCATCGCCCAAGCATCCATCGGACGAGGGATCTGGCTGTAGTAGACACTGTTTCTGGTGAGTATGGCCAAAATCCAAAGTCATGCCCATGGCAGCGCGACTTACGAAGAAAGCAAAAAGAATTGGCAACTCTGGATGTCATTGTTACACATCAAAAAGCCAATACGACGACGGGCTTCGTTGAAGAAACGTAAGCCAGGCTGTTCTTCGTATACCACGTTCATCCATTCTGGTGGCTCAAAGCGATGGCTCTGCATTCCCGGTAGAGGGTAATTCCCCTCCTGATAGGCAAGCACTCCCAGACAGCCAAGCGCCATCACGTTCAGTACCAGACAGCTTTCCATGGTGTATCCGAAGCCACTCTCAATGGCGGCGCCGAGGGTAAAAGAGAAAAAGAAGGTCTTATCCATGATCGGGGTAAATGGGCTGAACACGGCAAAAAAAGCATCAGCTAGGCCTTTGATCATGGCCAATGGCAACACTTCCAGCCAGTGTTCCCCCGAGTGTAGCGGGAACGGGCTTGTGAACATGGGCAGGGGAGGTCGCGTCGATTCCAGCTCGATCACGTAGTTCTTACCCAGTAGCTCGTATGCCGAGAGTAACTGGTCAGGAAGGATTTGGCGTGCACCCGGCCATAGAATGACTCCATGTTGACTGAAGGAAATGGAGATACGTCCCGAAGCGTCGGGAGTGGCCTGGTTTTGCTCCCAATCAAAGTCATCCCCGTCCCGGGCGGCTGGTGTGAAGCCGGGAGTCGCCGTGGAGGGCCTGATAGATGGATGCCGGCCCACATCGCGATGAGCAGGCGATGGATGGACTTCTTGCGAGCGATCATTTGCGTGGCGCAGTTGCCCCTCGAGCGACTGAAGATCACTGAGAATGGACGAGGGGATATTCTCCAGCTTCGTCTCCAGCCGATGGAGAGTACTCATGATCATCGTCAGGGATTGATCGCGTCTGAGCTCCTGATCAGCAATTGCTACACATAGGACCAATCCATTGAATACGCCGAGACTCACTTTGATGATTTTCGTTCATTATAGACACAGTCCAGGCCCAGGGACTTGCATAGCCCACACTTCGGTCGGGACTCGTCGCATCGTGTCTTCTTCAAGCGACACGTCTCGCACGCCTAGCCTACCCATTAGCGCATGGTCCACGCCTACATCTATACACTCATCCACACTCAGGTCGTGCGGAACTCCGCAATGACATACCACCGTGGCAATGAAATTCCGGGGCTTCTTGGACTGACCCGCGGGTGGAGTCGGGTCGTGTTCCTGCTCGTCGGGCGAAAGCAGCTCATGAAGGGGCAGCAGGCCATTGTGCTCGGCCTCGGATGGCTGGCTGCCCCTGGACTCATCGAAAGAGCGCTTGCTCATGGTGCATCCTGGAGTCTGGCAGGCAGGCCCCCGGGGTTTGATGACTCGAAACTTCGAAACTTCAAACCTCCTTGGGATTTGGTCCCTTTTTTTTTCTGATCGCGGGTGGGGCCGCAGAGTCCCCGCCAATTGGAGGCCGCGCTGGTGTGATGAATCGAGGAGTCGACGATAAAGAAGACTGTAGCAGGCTCAAAGGAAGGAATTAGAATGCTATTGAATATAGGAAGAGAGGTTCGAGATCATTGGCAACGTCAGTTGAAGTATTGTAGTGATAGACCCTTGACCAATTGGACTGGCATGTACAGACCACAGTGATTCACCTGCTTATAACCCAATTGTGCCATGCTTCAGCTTCAGAGATGTAGACAACGTTTTAGACCTTGAAGAAGATGCAGAAACCAATACGAACAGATCGAAAAACGTCAAAAAGACAAAATAATACACATTGCTATGTCCAAACGCCAAATCTCGCTAATAAAACATCATAGCCTCAAACCGGGCTTCAGGAGTATATGTCCAGTCATCAATGCATCAACAACCACGTCTCAAACGGCATCCCTCGTGGAGTCACTTTCCCATCGCGACCAGTCGCAAATAGCACAGGCTCAAAGTCCAACACCGAGGCATACTGCCTCACAAGATATCTCCAATAACAAGACTCAGCCGCAGGCGTCAGATACCGATCCCGGAACGTGCGCACCGCATTCTCAGCAATGCGCTGTGCAACCTGCGGGTTATCAATCAAAAAGTCCACTTTCCTCGGTAAATCCGAAAAGTCTGCTTCCACCTGGACGTAGTTGGCGTCCGGGCCGGACGCGATCAGCGCGGCATGGTGCGCTTCCCGCCAGGTGAGTGGGTGCGATATCACCACGGATCGACAGTTGAGAAGATACTTGCCGCGACCGGAGAAACTGCGGCCCTCGGTGTGGGCAAGGAACATGTAGCGGCAGTGGTCTTCGATTGGGAGGAGATTGAAGCGGATGTCGTTCTCGTCGTCCCAGTCGATTACTCGCACGCTGGCCCAGCTCCGGCCTTGGGCGGACTTGAGCAGTTTGCTGCGGATGCCGGGGTTTGTGGCCAGACTGCCGCGCCAGACGAGCTGTTTCTTTTTATCCTGGAACTGTAGGCCTGGCGAGTATGTTCCATCGGTCGCGGTTTCGCCGTCGTCGATTGCGGCGATGCGTCGCCGGACTTCGTGATAAGGTCCGATCGGGACTTCGGGCCAAGCCCAGTATCCAAAGTCTGGCATCAACCAGACCGAGTCGTCTGCATCGCGCTTGGAATAGGCCCACACTGGGCCCCGGCCTGTGGGATCATTGGCAAAGTCCTCTGTGGTGAAGATGAATTCGATGCTCGGGAGAAGATGCCGCTCGGGGAAGGCCATCAAGGCTCGATGGAGGGAGTTGAGTGTCGCGCGTCCTCGTGAGGCCGTGACGGGCATTGGAGCATATTCGACAATGCAGAGCTAAATTGCCATTGGATGTTAGGATAGATCCTTGCGGTTGGTTTCAACTTGAAGTACTCCAGCCAGCTGGAACGTACCTGGCCCTTGTCGATAACCGCGCGAACCATGCCATCCTCCACCTCTCTCGAGTCCAGATCCTTGTAAGTTATTTGTGCCTCTTGCTTCAAAGAAACGGACTTGTCAACTTCCACAAAGAGCTTGGGAAAGGCAATCCGGCACTGCTCGTCAGACAGTCCATGGTTCAATGCATCGCGCTCGGCGATAAATTCCCAGCTGCTGTTGGACAGAGTCGGGGATGTATCCTGCGCGCAGTGTGCTTGAGATGATGATCCCGGGCGATTTGTCTTTAGAATGTATCGTGATGCTGCATTGCGAGAGGAGCTCGTGCCGAAGATCAGGAATGTAAAGGTGAGGATCGAGACGAGGGCGCCCGTGGCCAGGAAGCGGAACGAGGGTCTTTGGGCGAACATGCTGGACAGACTGGCATGTGCAGCCCCTGTCAGAGTAGAGACGTGACCAGATCAGATTTCAATATCCAAATTTCAAAGCATCAGACATCACTTGTCTGTCTCGTTTGATTGTGAATCCTCTCTGTCTGATGTCAGTTGCACCGCTTGGTGTCATCATCTGAGCTGGCGATTGTTTCCAGGGCAACGCGGTGGAGGGACTTGGCCACCCACCACCTTTCCAGCAGCCATTTCGACGAGAAGGGTCAAGATTAGAGTAGCGACGAGACGTGCTAATTGCGAATGGTAGCGTTCATTCTGTCTGATCTACAAGGTATTCAACAAGAAACGGTTGAATGTGGTTGAACTATTTGGCAGACGATAGCACGTCGCGGGGAAAACTACTCCAAATGGACGAGTCCTTACAGTACAATCACCCGCTTGATGGCTAGAAGGATCGGGTTTATATTTACTGGTTCCACCTCTCCCATGGGATATGCCATAGAGGAATCAGTTCCAATCTAAGCAGAAGAAGTAACAGACATGAAAGATTATATACTTGATCCCACCCATTTTCCGAGGCTCTAGATAGTCTGTATAGGATGAAGGTACTGTAGTCCGCACTCTGGTCTGTGCGATAGAAAGGCGCTTGACGTTAGACCAATCTTCAATCGATTGAAGGTTAAATAAGTGTAAGTGGGCATACTTCCTGAGTAAGGGTATGGAACATGGTTGAAACATTAGGCTCTTCTTGAAAATTGGCGGAGACACTAGGTGCACGGGTCAAGAAGAGATCTGAACTATAACAGCCAAATCCATACAAGAGCAATTTCGACTCTCATCATTATAATTTAAAGCATACTCTAGGTCAAAGCGTTTAGAGGGGCATGTAGCAGCCGCATAAATCCGGAGCTTGGAATTGTACGGGCTCGCTACAATGCGAGTGTGTGGAGATGGACGCCTCGCGGGGTAATTACCCCGACGGGCTGGAGAGTTTGGGCTATGCGTATGAATGCCTCATGGGTAGTTCTGGATAATAGGAGCGACCAAGATTCAGATCGATAGTCGTACTCTTCCTAACCGAAGCAAAATCCTCCCCATGGCCGAAGTATATGGGCCTCAACTGAATAACATCTGCATTCCGACTCATTGAAGGATAAAATAGAAGGAAATAGCATGTTATCCAAGAAAAGCATCAGTCTATTGGATTTCCAGGTGTATCTCATCAAAGGGTCATCAATAATCAAGAGAAAAACAGGAAGAAGAAGAAGAGTAAAAAATAAGGAGCACCAATTCAGCGACGCCTCTCTATGCCTCAGTCACTCCCAAATTCCGCCGCCAAATTTTCACCGGCATCTCCCTCAGAATCAAATTCATCGTTTCCAACCGCTTCAACTCCCAGCCCGGATGCGCCAACGCAAAGTCATATCGATGCACCATAGACGCAATCGCTTTGGTCTGCTCTAGGTAGGAAATATTACGACCAATGCAGGACCGGGCACCGGCCGAAAAGGCAATCAGATAGGGCTGCAGCGCCTTGCCTTCTTCCCCGAGCCACCGTTCGGGAATGTACTGGTCGGCATTGGGGAAGACACCTTCGTCACGGTGTGCGACTAGTGCCGACATGCTGACAGAGGTGTTACCGGCGACCCACTCACCCAGAATGTTCGTGCCTTCGGGGGGCGTTTCACGAGGGAGACCGTGAGAGGTGGGCGGGAAGATACGAAGAGACTCGTCGAGACAGGCGCGGAGATAGGGGAGATGCTTGACCTTGTCGTAGTCCGCCACGACGTCCTCTTCGTCGAGGACGGCGTCGACTTCCTCGCGCAGTTTGGACAGGCATCGTGGGTTGCGGAGAAGTTGGTACATGACATTCGTTATGGCGATGGCTGTCGTCACGCTGCCGGCGTTCATCATGATGTTACACTCGGCAATCACCTCGCCCCATTCTAGGTTGTTCGGGTTGCCATTCTTGTCTTCCATCAGCGCCTGGAAGAAGTCATCCAGTTTCTCACCGGCCTCGTATCGCTGGAGTCGCTCGCTGCCTCGGCGCCACATGATGTTGTCCCAGTTGGTTGCCGATGTGGCCATGCGGCCGAAGAAGGGAATCACGTTGACCAGCTTGTCGAGCACGGGGTACCATTCATAGTTCCACAGGATGAGAGATTGCTTGCGGGCCGTGGGGTACAGAGCTTCACGGAGACTGGTCGTGTAAGTGGTGCCGTCCCTCCGCTGAGCCACGACCATGTCATTCCCGTTATCCAGGAAGCCCAGTTTCTCGGAAAGTCCAATATCAGCAATGGCGTCTAGAGTGAAGAAATTGGTCCAGGCACGGAGGTCCAGAGTCAGGTCCTTGGGATCGGGTGCCACTTTATCCGAGGCGACGTCCTCCTTGGGGGCAAGAGTGCAGACTTCATCGAAATGCTTAAACATGCGCTGGACCTTGTCGGTGACCTTGTACTCCCAGCTCTCCAAGTTCTTCAGTGCGTAGGCCGAGGAGAGAACCTTGCGCTTTCTGGCATGGTCGGGCTTATCGACGACGTCCGCTAGATTGAAGTGCGTTCCCGCCGTGACGGCGTAGGATGCATCTTTAGTACACTTGGTGTTGTGACCATATATGTCCTTGATGGCTCGCACATCACCATATGAAAGCATATTAGGCCCTGTGCGAATCACCGGGTGTTTCTTGTGCAATTGGGTGAGTTCCATAGATCGGAACCCTCGGGAGGCCATGAACATGAAAGGGAGGGCCGAGATCCCCGAGAATGGAGAGAGATTAGGGTATTTGCGAAGGCCTGCATTGGGGGTCAGCCATTGTACGTTTCCATTCCGAATGGTATATTGCATGTGTATTGGGATAACAAACCTTTAGAATCACGGAGATATTCATAGTATGGGTATGCCAAAAAGTAGACGAAAGAGATGAAGACCAGCCCCGCCGCATACGGGGCCACGGCGAGAAGGGACAACATCTTGCCAGATTTATATGTGTGTCGATATGAAAATTGACAAGTAAGAAAAAGGAAGTAGAAAAGGTCCGTCAGATGTAGACTTGACAAAGTCACTCCTGCGGATTCAGTCGCTTAGAATGGAGGCTGTACTCGGTGAGAATAGAATAGGTGATGAATCGAATGAATGAGAAATCCCGACCCGATCATAGTATAAATATCATTTCGAGATGAGATCAGAGCACCGTCGTGTCTCTTTCCCCATGTTTCATTGTGAAGGGGAGCAATTTGCCCCGCGTTCAGTAGAAACCCGCAAGGCACAAGGGTCGACGAGAATTACCCTGCCTAACTCAGGATCGATGGCCGAGGGGCTATCTCCATTGTCTGACTGGAGAGAAGCAACATCCAATGACTGGTCGGATCTGCGATCTTGGGCCATAGTCCAGCGTGGGTGTGGGGCTGCGCAGAAGTTCGAGAGTGACGGGGAATATTTCCCTCGTGGAATTAGGAAATCCTGCCCGACGGCCATTGGGGGACTTGGACTGGGCACTTACCCACTGCAGATGGGGGGGGTTGGGGAGAGCTTGATTGAAGTCAAGCTATCTCGTTAACTAACTAGATGTTTCCATTATTAGTCGGTCTCCTGGTACATTTTTTGCCATCTCCTGCCGCTGTCGTCCACATTTGAGTGTGATATCCATTCTAACGGCACACACTGAAGTATGGGAATGTCCCCATCTTTCACCATATACGGATTTCAATTTGGACAAAACTGATATCATATAAACTATCTGCAAAGACTGCCGGAAACTCCTTCAATGAACTCTTGTGAAGCAGATAAAAGTCAAAGCGAATCTAATTGACTTTCGGGCTACCATTGTACGCACTGTACATGCGCAACTTTGAACTCGAGATCATCATCGCTGCACTGCGCGGTGTTCTAACTTGCAATGATTACCATTCACTCAATGCTATCGCGAAGGACTCTATTATTTCCCTGAATACAGAGCAAATTGGTTCTGATGCGTGGAGCCAGAGCAACTGCGTTCTGGGCCTGCATAGGAATTTTATCTTGCCCTTGCTATGCAGTGAGCATTTCTGTGACTATCTTTATCAGCACTTCTCACCTTAGAGAAACACGATATGGCAACAATATTGTCCCTGAAGATTATTTGGTCGGACTGTTGGTTTGCTGGTTGAAGCTCGTTTATGCCCGCGATCTTATCGGTGCCCCTCTTACCATACCGTACCGATTACCCGCACTCACCCGCACTCACCCACAGCTTTCCCCTCCCAAAGCCATTTGTAACAATGAAAAATTACCGTCATTCGCTCGGAGACAGCCGATCACCGCGCAGATTCGGCTGACACGAAAAGGCCTGGCTGGCTGATCTTACGCTCTCTATACCACCCTGTTCGGACGAGACATCATTTTCTCGCGCCAGGTGATCCTACTGTCGTCTTTACCAACGTCAAATCCAGCAGGAACATCCTTAGTGTCCTGGGAATTTCTGTGGACACTCTATCGTCGTGCTGGGACTGCCTGTTCGGGTAGCTCGTTATCGGAACCTCCTCAGGGGGAATCATATATTAATCGACCCAGCTGCCGCCTCGATGGATGCTTGATTTTTGAGGCTTTGGTGAAGTTGATCCGTTGATGGGTGTTCATATCCTACAAGACATCATGGCACAAGCATACGCATACACCCTCTATCGAGGCACATTCATTCAAACGCCTCGTCTGCCAGACTCTACCCCTCGCCCCAGGACAGAGCTCGTGCGCAATCGCGGTGCGCTATGGGTGTCTTCAGCAGATGGTCGAATCAAAGGCTTTGACTGGCAGGCTCGCGATGATGCCTCTTTCAAGGAACTAATGACTCGCCACGGATGGGTTGACGTGGATGCCTCCGAAACTAATGGCTATGATGGTAACGAGATCAAGGTGAAGATTGTGCTTGCCAGCGAGGAAAGGAATGAATTCTTCTTCCCAGGTTTTATCGGTATGTCCTTCTCTTTCATCCTCCATCACGAGCAAGTACATGTCTGACTGTGAAGAAGACACACATATCCATGCTCCACAATTCCCAAATGTCGGCCTATTCGGCTCCTCGACTTTGCTTGATTGGCTGGAGACTTATACGTTTCCCGTTGAGTCGGGCTTTGGCGCCCAGGCTGACCAGCCTAACGGGACGGACAAGCTTCCAAAGGATGCACCCCCGTCTGCTCTGCGGATCTACGACCAAGTCGTCGCACGCACCCTGTCGCACGGAACGACGTGTGCATCGTACTTTGCAACGGTCCATGTCCCAGCTACGAATGCACTCGCCGCCCTGTGCCACTCGCGCGGTCAGCGCGCCTTCATTGGAAGAGTATGCATGGATAGCCCCGACTTCTGTCCGTCGTATTATAAGGACCTATCAGCCGATGACTCGGTGAGCGCGACAAGATCGACGATTGAGTATATCCACACCCTCGATCCAAAGGGTACTCTGGTCAAGCCAATCGTTACTCCACGCTTCGCGCCGACTTGCACACGGCCTGCACTGGAAGGACTCGGGAAGTTGGCGGCGGAGTTCAGCCCACCACTACACATTCAGACCCATATCTCCGAGAATATGAACGAGGTCGCGCTCGTGAAGGAGCTATTCCCTGAATCGGAGAGCTATGCAGATGTCTATGACAGGTATAACCTTCTCACCAAGCGGACGATCCTGGCACATGCCGTGCATCTCACCCCCGAAGAGCGCAGCTTGGTCCGTCAGCGGGACGCGAAGATATCGCATTGTCCGGCCTCGAACTCAGCTCTTGGATCGGGAATTGCTCCCGTTCGCGCCTTCCTCGATGAAGGGATTACCGTTGGTTTGGGCACGGACGTGAGTGGTGGCTATAGTCCTAGTATCCTCGAAGCTGCGCGCCAAGCTTGTCTTGTGTCGCGATTACTCGGTCATACTACTTCGTTCTGCAAGACGGAAGGCAAGCATGCACACGAGAATGGCCACGCTGATAAGCCCACCATCGGCCGTGAGAAATTGAGCATCGAAGAGAGTTTATACCTCGCGACTCGCGGCGGCGCCGCAGTTGTGGATATGGCAGATGATCTTGGCGGATTCGACGAGGGGATGATCTGGGATGCACAGCTCATCGAGCTCGGTGGCGTCCCTGATCTGAGCAAGAATCCTCTTGAAACAGCATCAAATGGGGCTTCCAGTCTAGTAAAGGCCGGTTCTGTCGGTAACGTCGATCTCTTTGGAACGGAGACGTGGGAGGAGAAGATCCACAAGTGGGTGTGGAGTGGTGATGATCGGAACGTCAAGGCTGTTTGGGTTGCTGGACGGCTGGCCCATTCGAGGTCCTAGGGATCTTTGATGAATATTTTTTGTTTGTTTGATTGTGTACTCTTAGCGGATGGTTGTACCCTCTTGGGCACCCCTTAATGACTGGGGATTATAGATTTGGAGAGCATAAAGAGACATGTGAATAATGTATTTGTTTTTTATATATCCAATGGCTAATCAAGTTGTTTAAATCGGCTCTACGGCCCGCTGTTTGCATTGGGGGTTTGGGCTCTGCGTGATTGGGGGCCAGGTCAGTAAAGGAGAGTCAAGATGCTTTCCAGAGCGTCACACAGAGCTGAAACAAGCCGCTTGATTCAATGCGAAAATTCATTCGTGATGAGTGTAAACGAGGCTTGGTCGTCAGATTTGGCCCCAAAGGTCTGTTTTAGGTCAAAATGATGGTTGGATGGTTGACGTCAGCACTAGTAACGAACCCGACCTAGACATTACTCCTGTTGAATATTCTAGTGCGTGCATCATTTATGCCTCCCCCTCAATACAAAGTCAAGGCCAAGATAGATAGAAATGGCATCCGCATCAGACAAATCCCAGCAGGGTGATGGCTTGCTGATAATCAACGCGGGCCTCTTCCGCACGGGAACAAAGTCATTGGCCCGCGCATACCAAATTCTCGGCTTCAAAACGCACCACGGCCTCCTCGAAAAGGTCACAGACACCCCATGGGTACAGTTAGAACAAGCCGCCGAAGCAACATGGCCGTTTACACCCAGTGCACGCCCTCGAGCACCCTTCGCCCGCGCCGATTGGGACGAGCTGTGGGGCAACAAGTACGACGCCGTCACTGACCTAGCATCCCCATTCGCACTGGAACTCATCCGAGCATATCCCAATGCGAAGGTCGTGGTGGTCCAGCGCGACTTTGACCGGTGGTGGCCAAATTTTCAGCGCGAGGTCCTAAATCGCGTCATGATGCAGCCTATGGCGGCTATTAATGGGTTTGTTGGACTGCATTTGATGGGTATCCCGGCTGTGCAGGCGATGCGCAAGATCCACTTTGGTTTCTTCGGTGCACAGAATCGTAAGGAGATTCTATCGAGGGCGAGAGGGGTGTATGAGGCGTACTATCGCAATGTGCGAGTTGCCGTTCCGCCAGAACAGATGCTCGAGTACCATATGGGAGATGGTTGGGGTCCACTGTGTGCGTTTTTGAATGTGGAAGTGCCCGATGTGCCATTTCCGAGGGAAAATGAAGCCAGTGATCATGCCGAAGAGGTGGAGGCTCGAAAGAGGTTGATTTGGACGGCCGGCATCAAAGTTGCGGTGCCAGTGCTACTTGGATTGGGGGCCATGTGGGTGGCTTTTGCATTTAGTCACTCAGCTTGAGGTTGACTTGGAACCCTGTTGAATTACGGGCCACGATCATGCATAATGGAGATACCAGAATGGTGTGCATAGTAACGTTTATTGGAGTTTGGGCAAAAGCTGATGGCGACGGCTGTATGCATCTGCACGTGTAGTCATGAAACCATGGTATTTACCTCTTGAGTGTCCTGAAACATATGCCATGTCTAGTGTGGCACCGGGAAATGTTTCTCTGGCATATGTCTGTAAGAACTGAACCAAAAATAAGATGAAGGTGAGCCTCGCGCTGTGACCATATCCCTTTACTATCTATCCTCAGGCGGGTGTGCCGAACGCTCGTATGATCTTTGTCTTCAATTCGGGCAGGCTGGGTTCGCTTCCCCTTGCAAGTCTCTTGAGGCGATTTTGCTATCTATTGCACCTTGTATACAATATAGACAAATGTTAGCTTAATTTGCACTCCCAAGAAAGCCGATGCCGACATACAACACATCATCTTGTACATAAGCTAGTTTCCTGGACACTAAGCACTACCCCTAGACTCAAACAAGAACCTCTCCTCCTCACCAAGCCAGCGGAATTTGATACTTCCTCCAAGATTCCAGAGTATCAGCTTCTTCGAATTTGTCAATCCCACCAGCGACTCCGTCTGCGTTTACTTCCCAATCACCCGCCTCCACTCTCTCCGCCCAGTTCAGAAGGACTTTATGAAGTTGTACTTCATGCCTCTCTAAAAAGCCACTGTGTGAACCCGGTTGGTAAAGCTCATGCGCGGTGTCTTTCGGAGTCTTGTCCCATGGATTATCTTCATGTAGCTGCTCGCCGTTGCTATACCGCGCGTAATGACGAGCGCCAATGTTGAAGGGCAGAAGCAGTCTACAGGAATTTCCGAAGGTAGTAGGTGACCCAACGCCAGTTGGAGAAATATATAAGCCTATAGGCACTCCCTGAAGACTATCCTCTGGATCCGGATAGTATACCGGCTTGTAGCTCAAAGAGATCGATTGATCTCCTCGAAATAAAAGGCACGGTACACTGTGACCGTATCCGTGACCAGGTGGCTGTTTCCACGGCTGAGTTATGAACTCCGCGGATGACTGTAATTTGATTCCCGGAGCGATGTAACGGAATCGCAAAGTCCGAGGAGGTATCTCCGAGAGGAAAATGCGGATAAAAGTACTAGCTGGGATTGTAGCTTCATCAAGGATAGCATGTGAGTATGGTAGCTGGATATCTAGAGCTCTTGTGGATGCTAGATATTCTGTCGCTCTTGGTTGAGCAAGTCGCTGCTCAATTGCATCAAGCAGCCGAGTCAACGCCTGGGTTGCTTTTATAACATCTCGGTGAGTATATTGATGATACCGCCATGGAAAGAATCGAGGTGTGATATCTTCTTCGTCCGCCTCGTCTGTGGACGCTTGCACTTTTTCTTCCTCGATCATCTCGAGATATGCCTGAAGAATATCCTGCAGGGGTTTCCATGCCCAAGGTTGATTAAACATGTGATATATATCATATTGGTGGGCAACGTAAGCTGCTAGTTCTGTTTTTTGATCGAACCTAGCGTCCGAGTCAGTAAATGCGTCGTACTGACTAAGACTGAGAACGAGTACTGACACTATACCAACATCCTCCTCATCATACGCCCCCGTTGCACGGTAGAGATAGATGAATCTATCAGCCCGAGGTGTTCCGGGCAAGAGGGAATGCAGCTGGTGGCTGACTTGTAACGACTTCAAGAAACAGAAAAGGGAAATTTTCGGATCCGGAGTCGTCATTTTAGCAAGGCGGAGGAAGCAAATGAGATTTGGGTTCAGTCTCGAAGCAATATCGAATGGGACTGGAGACGATTCTTCCCACCACGTTGTGGATGGCATTAATGCTGGATCGCGTCCAGCGCCGACCCATGCATGATGCAGAATCTTATTGTGGAGCTGGGCCGATAGCTGGGGATCAAATGTCAACTCTAGCATATTAGTGTCGCGGGAGGTTATTCAAAGCGCGTAGATTTCAAAAGCCTCCCGACTGGCAGGACAACATCAGGCAGTGTGGACAGGGGACGATATTGAGAGAAGAAGAGAATATTTCAAGCAAACTTTCAGAAGATATGTGTGTGTGAAGCTAACCTTGGTATTTTTAGCTGTAACTTTAACGAAAGGACGCTCGTATTTAGCAAAATGGTTGGCTGTTTAGATATTTTTGGTCTAACCCAATCTGTCCTCCTGTCTTCCTATTCTAGCCACACTATCCTCCAGTGGGTAGAACTGACATCATTGTTGATTGGTTGATGTGCAGGTTCTCGGGAATGAACGAACGATCCTGTTTTTTTTTCCCTTTTGATGTTCGACAGCCAACTCACTTCTTTGCAGAAGACATGTCGATTGATCGCAGAAGTGTCCAAGTTCGGAGTATCTACAAGTCACGTGCCTGACTCCCCGAGTTGCCCGCCAAAAGGAAAGCGGGAAACTTCGCCGAACCTCCGCCGCCGACCTTCTGACGATAAGGCCGACTCTACCTCGACTCATGCTCCTTTGATCATGCCTTGAGGGTTTTCACCCATTGTACAGCCGGAGGAATGATTGAGTTAGGACTGAGCCGCGTCGCGCGTCTCCTCCAGCAAACCCCGTTGACATGGAAAGCTATTCACATCGCCGGTACCAACGGTAAAGGTTCCATCAGTGCTTACCTCTCCCATTTGCTCTCTACGAGCGGTGTCCAATGTGGCCGCTTCACCTCGCCTCATCTGATTGATCGGTGGGATTGCATTACGATCGGCGAACGGGTCGTCCAGGAATCGCTTTTCCGGCAGATCGAGTCCCAGGTCAAACAGCGAGACCAGAAGCTAGGCATTGGTGCCTCGGAGTTTGAACTCTTGACCGCTACCGCTTTTGAAATCTTCAATCATGAACAGGTCGAGGTGGGCGTGGTGGAGGTGGGTATGGGTGGTCGCCTCGATGCGACTAATATCTTGAGTGATGTTTTGGTCTCGGTCATTGCGAAGATCGGGATGGATCACCAGGCGTTCCTAGGATCAACGATTGAGGAGATTGCCCGGGAGAAAGGTGGAATTCTCAAACCTGGTGTGCCCTGTGTGATTGACAACACCAACGAGACTGCCGTCATCGAGACCTTGTCAACCCGTATCCAAGAGCTCGGCATTGACGCAATCTTCGTCTCGCCGGACAAAGTTGACGAGCAACTCCCGCCTCTCGCCCAGCTTTTCCGAACATCGGATCTTGAGCCTCACCAAAAGGAGAACATGTGCTGCGCCGTATCTGCCCTGCGTCTCGCACTGTCCAAGATTCGACCTCAGGTGGATACCTTTTCACTCCTGCCCCATCTTTCAGACGTCAAGTGGCCCGGCCGCTTGGAGAACATCAACCTCCAGCCTCTCATCGAACGTACCGAGCCTGTCCTCCTGGATGGTGCCCATAATCCACAGTCTGCCGCAGTTCTCGGCCGATACATTGACCGCAAGCTCCGCCCAACCTCGCAAAATGTCACATGGGTCATTGCTGCGTCCAGTGGGAAGGATCTGGCTGGAGTCTTCTGCTCCATCATTCGGCCGGGCGACAATGTTGCGACGGCAGAATTTGGCCCTGTTGATGGCATGCCCTGGGTGACACCCACCAATGCTACCGAGCTTGCCTCAACCGTGCGATCCATCTCGGAAATTGGACAAGTGGAGAGCTTTGAAGGAGATTTACCCCCTGCGATTCAATGGGCTAGCAAGGTTGCCCAGGGAGGTCCCATCGTTATTGCTGGTAGTTTGTATCTTGTTTCGGATGTTCATCGTCTCTTGCGCGATGCACGTCAATGATACCCTTTCTGTGCTTTGATTTAGACTCCCTATTATTTTACAAACATCGTTTGATCCCATTATTCAACTGGCAGAACCGACACCGAATCCCAGAAGCTCCGGCAATAATCAACTCCCATTGTGCGAGCGGGCCATTTCTCCTGAGGACTACCTGCAAGGCACGGAAGACTTGAACCCTTGAATCTATATACAATCCGAAGGGTTTTACCGCCGAATATCTAACGCTCAGGGTCTACACTGGCGAAGCCCGGATAGTTTCTTTACCATGGAGGAATTCACTCAGGGTTGTCATGTCACAAACTCGTTGGGGTGAGATATTCGGTGGTAAAACCTTTTGGATTGTATATAGATTCAAGATATTCCCGTGCCTTGTAGGCAGACCCTTCAAAAGATCTGTATACTACTGAAATTGAAGAATTGTTACCAAAAACCAAAATCTCATGTTCCCGAATACTGTAGATCGGTTGCCCTGGGTGGCTTCCACCCAACCCCCACCCCCAACACTCACTCACTGTATTGGTGAGTGGAGTTGTATCAAGTTTATTGTGAGAAGAAAACGTCGCCGTACCGCCGGAACTGCGATCAGCTTTAGCTTCCAAAGAATATCGGAAGTGCCAGAGTTTAACTGTGTAAAAATGTATTATTTTGAGAATACTAATACTCAATAAAATTGCAAATCCTCCGAGCGCCGTTAATGCAGTCATTGCGCAAATATGCCACCAGCCATGATCCTAAAATGTACAGAATGAATAAAGAATATTTGTGAAAAGCGCCCGGGTATCTAGCCATCGACCGAAAGAGCACCAGAAAGGATATAAATAGGAAAAAGTTGAAGGTGAGGGCGGGGGGAATGGGATTAGAGGGAATAGGGTCGGATGAAGATGTGAGGGGAATTGGGCGAAGTCGGAAGATTAGGCCCGGAAATCGTACATGCGGACATGATAGTCGTCACCGCCAGTGATGAATCGACTGTCACTGAGCCCGATGCAGTTGACGGCGGCGGAATGGCCTTCGTAGGTATCTTGGCATGTTGGGATGCGAGGATCCCAGATCTTGACCATGCGGTCCATACCGCCCGAGGCAATGCGCAGGGTATCGGCTGACAATGCCCAAATACCTTCCAGATGCCCGAAGAAGGTGCGCAGGCATCGGCCGGTGTTGGTTTCCCAGAGACGGATGGTCGCGTCGACGCCACTGGTCATGATGTATCGCGGAGGCTCCAGGCGGTCCTGGTCTTGATCGAAGGAAGCACCGAATGAAGAAGGAGGCGCGGAGAGGGACTTGTGTTCGAGAAGTGGGGAGAGAATATTGACGGCATCACCGTTCTGGGAGGACGTGCTGACGTGGTCGTTTTCGCATTCGGCGAGATGGCTCTCCAGTTCAATCTCACGCGGCAGGGGAATAACCTGTTGGACTGCACCGATGTGATTGTGGAAGACGCGAATGCAAGTCTTGGTGTCGAGATCCCACAGTCGTGCCGCCCCGTCGTCGCACGCAGTGAGAACGGTACGGGAGGGAGTGTCGATCTTGACGGCATTGACACCCTCGGGATGAGGCAGGACGAAAGTCGACTTGTCCTTGAAGTTCCAGATCTTGACCGTTCGATCGACCGAAGCAGACGCGAGGAGGGTCGCATCAAAGTGGAGGGCGATGACCGCCTCGGAGTGTCCATTGTATGTGGAGAGGCATTCACCAGTCCGCCAATTCCACACTCGGATGGTGCGATCCAGACTTCCCGTGATCAGTTTCGTGTCGTCAAACTGTAGGCAGCGCACACCAGCAGTGTGTCCGCGGAGCTCGCGCAACTCCTCTCCAGTTTCCATATCCCAGATCTTGACAGTCGCGTCGTAAGAGCCAGTCATGAGGATATTATCCTCAAACTGCAGGCACATCACACTGTCGGTGTGTCCTCGGAAGACCTTGACGGAGCAACGTCGGTGCTTCCAGTTCATGCCAACCACAAAGCGATCCCGGTAGACGTCCTTCCATGGGCGATACCGTGTCTTGAAGTAATCGTCATCCGGCTCGGGCTTGTACGCTGGCGACATACAGTGACGTTTGATCATAGCACAACTTTGCTCGTCCACGTCAATCTTGCGCTTCCCACTAGTGGGAAGTTCCACGACAGAGCAGGTGCCATTAGGCGCACCGTCCGCAATATTGTTCGAGGGCTGATTGCCCCAGTTGGTCGCGCGCAGCTCGATTTCGCGCTTAGATTCCCGCAGCCGTTTTCTATCCAGCAACGGCAATCCCCAACCACACTTGTTGCATTTCCGACGAATATGTTGTTCGCACATCCGATGCCACACCACGTCGTCATCGGCAAGGGCCCTCCATCGATGGGAGACTTGCGCAGCACGGCAGAGGGAGGCAGTGTCGAGGTAGCGAAGGATTTTGAAAGAGAGCTCGGGGGGAGAGCGGTGAGGAAGTCGATACGGATGAGTTCGCGGACACTAGCCGAGATGAAGGACAGCTGGGGGAAGCAGCACTGAGACAGGATGCCTTGCAGCATCAGCTTGCGCTGCTTAGCAGGGGCGGCGGAGAAGAGAGACCAGACATGAGCAATGCCCTGCTGGTCATCTTGGGGGAGGGTTTCCAGTTCCTAGATGTTCGAGTTAGCGATGAAGACAGCGGTGCCATTCGGGATACATACTCGTTGTAGCTGGTGCATGGACTGCTCATCCGCCTGGCGTGAGCACTTGGAATCTGGCTGGTGGCGATAGCAGTAACCTGCGTTAACCGTACGCGGCACCGAGGTTGTACCATCTTCCGCTCGCCTGGGCGCATATTGCCGTGGATGATATTTTGCGAGAAATGGAGCCACGTTCTGCTTCGCCAGTTCCGTCAGGGTATCGCTAGCACCGCCGGCCAACGGCCGGTTGGCATCGGCCTTCGTTCCGTCTTCTCCTGTGTGAGTCGTCGAGTCCATCTCGGCCGGGGAGACCTTAGTAGTGGGGTCCATGGTGAAGAGACAAAATCCGATCGTCTGCGGAGAGGATCTTTTCGCGAGAATCCCGTCTATTCGGCGGGCGAGTCGTAGGGCTGGCGGGACGGTTTTCGGATGTTCGTTGCAAGTCGCTGGAAGGAGTTGGGTTGATTGCGCAGAGATGAAAGGTGACTTCTCGATTTCAGGGGGATAAGTACATCCACCAAGGTGCCAGTTTGGGGCACAACGAGTCACCGAGGGGGAAGTCGAGGGTGACGAGGACCCTGGCGGATAGCGCGAGCGCCGAAGATAAGGATTTGCCAGCGATCGCAGATGATTCCGATGGTCGGGGAGGTGTGAGAAAAAAAAAAATTCAAGAGGGAAGGGGTCGGCAATTTGAAAGATGCAGTTCAAATAGTCGGTGACCCAGTCTCAAGGGCGATTGCACAATCCCGGCCGAGTTGTTAGGTGCTGGGTGGTGCAGCCAAGTGGATGAGTCCGATGAGAGACAAATGTCGAGGATCACGCAACGGGGGGCGATGTCCAAGGCGGTGAGTCCTGGACCAGCCGGCGATTGGCTCATGGCAAGCCCTACCAGGCCCCGTGATCTGGCCCAGGCGGGGATTAGCTAAGGTGGATCCACGTGATGGCGCCATCTCCGCAGGGAATCACCTCAACCAAGAACGATGGATCATGGAGCAGCAGTTGAGGAGGAGGAATGATGGAGTGATCAGACACACTCACTTGCTGTGTGTGGACTAGCCTGGGGATGACTAAAGAGAGCTGATGTCGCCATGGCCTTGGCTGGTGAGAGCTTACCAGACCGCCGCTTGATTCCGGAGCTGGCATCCAGACCAAGATCTCACATCATCGAGTCTAGAATCTCACATCATCGCAGCTCCTGTCGGAGATTGTGTTCTCTGTGGCCATTTGAAAGGATAATTTCTACTTTGGGTTGTGATCCGCTAGTTGTGCATGTGTGCATGACTATTGTGTTATCTGGCTTGGTATATTTGTGAGAAGTATGATATAGTTGAGGCTTTTATTTAGCAACTAATATTAAACACACTCAGTATCAGATGAAAATATCATTTCCACCTCCGTGACTGAACCCCCAGCCTTCTCCTCTCCTATATACTTCACCAAGTTGCTCCATGCCTCTTCTATGATGCTGAAGTACATCACCTAGCGCCAACCCTGGGACTGACTACACTAATTCATAGCTTCCTTTTTAACCTCCTTACATCTTTCGCGATGAAAATTAACTCGAATATTAAAGAATAAGAGCAAATATTATATTTATACAAAATAGAAATGAAAAAGATCTTTATCCGCGAGGAGGTGCTGCCACCACCTCGCATGCCCACCCGCCCACTCTCCCCGCCTAGGGATGTGCCCGAGCATCCGTGGAGTCGTGCTCAACACTAGAGGCCTGTACCCATTCCTATATGTTTGCCCATTTCCAGGGCACACCCAAAGGTCATTCCTGATGGGCGACCACTAGGCCATATGAGGGGGAGAGTGACTGGAATACTTATACTGGGATTATATCCCATGATTTTCCAAAAGCCAAAACAGTACATTCTTTAGATTCTCGATTCAGGAACAGTGTTTCTTCAAGAGTCACCTGACTGGACACTCACCTGGGCGTCGTCATCCTTCTCAATCAACACGTGATGATAAGCTCCTAATATGCGTACTCCCCATCGAGGCCTTTAGGCCCCGTCGCTTCCACCGTCGACCCTGCAAATGGCGATCAAAAGCTCCGCATTCCCCTATCGCCGGGGATCCAATGCCTCGGAGAAAGACTTCTTCGATATCCCCGATGAATCATGTCTATCGGTGGTCAAGCGAGAGCTCCGTCGAGTCCGCACCTGGGTCGTCCTCCTGGTATTCTTCGCACTGATTAAATGGATGCGCCGGGCTGGTCCTCCCCCGCCGCCACTCCCGCATATCCGTTACGATGAGGTGGATTGGTCGCGCTACGCGTATTCCCAATATGCGACCAGTGAGACCTATCTATGCAATTGTGTGATGGTGTTTGAGGCTTTACATCGGCTTGGCTCGCGCGCGGATCGCCTGCTGTTTTACCCGAAGGAGTGGGATTTGGTGATTGATGGTGATTCGGATCGGATCAGCCAGTTGCTGGTGCTGGCAAAGGAGGAGTATAATGTGCAAATGGTGCCGGTCGCCATTGAGGGGATCAAGGCTGAGACCGGAGGTGAAGCAGGTGAGTTGGCCTGTTAAGACCGAGACCGTTGGAACGATATTTCAACAACCAGCGCCGACATGGTAACTAACATTGGCTTCCTTCTTATTAGAATTCTCTGAATCATCCTGGGACACCAGTACCGCCAAACTCTACGCCTTTGGCGTGGTCCAATATGATCGGGTTATCCATCTCGACTCTGACATGATGCTATTCCAGCCCATGGACGAACTCTTCTTCCTCCCCAGCACCCCCATCGCCATGCCCCGGGCATACTGGCTCTTGCCCGAGACCCGAACCCTCTCCTCCCTTATCGCAGTCATCGAACCCTCGTACCGCGAATTCACCAAGCTAAAAGAAGCAATCAAGCCTGCGATCTTCGGTCAAATCGATCTCAATCTCACCAACAGTCGCTACGACATGGAGATTCTTAACAATAATTACGGGGACAGTGCCCTCGTCCTTCCTCACAGACAATATGGTCTGGTTTCGGGGGAGTTCCGCACAAAGGATCATCGCGCCTACTTGGGAAATGACCATGAGCAGTGGAATCCTGAAAGTGTCATTGCGGAGGCTAAATTTGTACATTTTTCGGATTGGCCGCTGCCTAAAGCCTTGGGTGATGTGGACCCAAGACCAACTGGCCACGCTGCAGCCGGCATGCGACGAGAATCCCGGGACGCCGGAGGAGAGTGGTTGCCGTGATCGCGAGATTTGGAAAAAGATTTATGATGAGTTCCGGCGCAAGCGCAAGGTATGTCACGCTCGAAGTGGATGATCGTGGTGCTGGGGACTGACTTGACTGCAGGATATTTGTAAGCTGCTGAGCTTCCCAGCACCCGTTTGATTTCTGAGAATTGCTGTCTTTTCTTCCACTCGGCATGATATTGCGGGTTTTCGGAAGCTGTATAGTATAAACGTGCGGAGATGCATAGGGTTATTGAGCGTCTGGGCGTTATTGGAGATACTTTTCGTCATGAGACGCGAATCAATAGAATTGTATAGTCATTACAATCCGGTTATTCTGTAATCATCTCTCATGGATCTATATTCAATGGTATCATCAAAGAGAGAAAAAAAGACATGACCATGTCGTTGGCCTATACCTCGACAGCCCACCGCAAGTATCAAATCCAGCTCCCTCTTACTAGAGAAGACTGTATCCTGCGAGCAACTTGCGCCATTCCAGACGTATTCAAATCCGCCTCGACGAGAATCGCAATCGACAGAATCAACGTAACTAGAAATATCTATACACTCGTCAGCCCACACCTCCATCCAAACAAACACGACACTCCAATACTCACCGCACCAAACAAGAGCCCCACAGCATTCAACTCCCACCCTCCAGCATGAACCTTGCCCACCGAAATCGCACCCTGCTGTCGCCAAAATCGATACGCGCCGATGAGCGCAACCAGGATAGCGACGCAGTGACACGTCACCGCGAGCGGTTTGCCCGCTATGTAAAATTTGAGGCGATCGCCGGGTTGTTGGAGGCGGAAGAGTTGGGAGATTAGGACGCCTTGCATGGCGATTACTACTGAAGTGCGGATGTAGGCGAGGAGGGTTCTTTCCAGCGCTGTATAGCAAAGAGGAGAGGAGTATGTTAGTATCGGGCTTGTCGAGGTGGGGGAATGTATTATACGATATTTCATTCCCCTACAGAACAGGATACAGATAGTTGATCGTATCTCGTATCTCGTATCTGCAAAAGACGAGGATGGAACTGGACAAACGTACCAAAATGATCGCGGTTACTTCGCTGCGGCACCGTCAGGGCAACATGCCGCGTCCAGAATCGAGCAATCCTGCTCGAGCGCAATACGCCTTTTCCTTTGCGTGTGCTTCGCACGCTCGTCGTCGAACGCGCTACCGATGTCCTTCGCGTAGTGACTCGGTACTCCTCCCCCGACGAGGCAGAGGGCGACGAGTACCCCAGTTGCTCCTCGTCTTCGCGAGTCTGCAGTTCCCGCAGTTCAACAGATTCCCGTCTATCCGGGGGTTCTGCGCGTGGAGGGCATGGTTCTCGGGTATCTCTCATGGTTGCGCTGCCTGGTGGGGATGGATTCTGATGGGTTTGGTGGGGAGATACGGACATTGCGTTGCATTGCGCTGCGCTTGCGCTCGGGGATTGGCGGGGTTGACTGTGGTCAAAGCAGGATTGGATTTGGGTTAGTGGCCGCTTCGGGGCCCGGTTTCGATGTTCATCATGATTGAAGAGATGTGGTGGTTGTTGGTCGTTGTGATATGAGAGCTTAGGGACTTGGGTTTGATGATGAGCCCCGCATGGCTGGGGCTTGTCAGAAAAGCTTGGATGATTGAGGTGTGGATGTGGATATCGAAGTACGAATTATGAAGTATCCAGAAGTCACGAGTCTAGAGCCCGAAGGTTCAATTAAGCTTAAGTTCATCCGGTGATGAAATGCAAAAAGAAAAGTACAAACTTTAGAGTACACAACAAAGACAGTGTATGCCTGCCTCATACAACCAACTGGTATCGTCGGCAATCGAGCCATCCACATTGGATCAATGGGTCCCATCAAGGCCCCCACTTTGTGCGAATGGCATCATTTCAGGTTGAAATGGTGGAAGAGGTCACCACTCGCCACGATCGTGATTCTCCACTACGAGGCAGCCATCCTGCCAGGGACGGCCATTCACCGGTCGCTTCGAGGGTTGAAATTTGCATGCTGCTCACGTTGCCACCGACGGATGTAAATGTAGGTATCTTTGTATTGTATAGATCATCTATATGCATTATATCGCTGAATCGGTACTGTGCAATGCATCTTACCACGGGCATCGCACTCTATCAAGATCAATATGTAAAAAGTATAAGCAATGAGCAATCAGCAAGATCAGAGCCGTAGTCCCATCATAAAACAACACCTCTGCATCTCTCTCTCTCTCTCTCCTTCTACTTCCCTCTATTTTGCAGGCGCAGCCTTCCAGAAGAGCCACCCAATCGCCGCCACAAACTTCATCCCAGCAGCCATCCACAACGCCGATTGCATCCCACCGCTGCTGCGACTCAACCAGCCACCCACAATCGCACCAACCAACAAGAAGACCACACCGCCGATCCGGCGATTGCGCTTCACGTTGGTCGTGGGCTTATCGGTGATCTTCGGATCCGAGGCAATATCAAAGTAGACACTGGTCAAGACCACGGTCGGGATTTCATTATACCCGAGCGAGCGACTGCAGGTCATTGCACCCGCGGACTGGAAGGCCAAGAGTCCGATCGGGATCAGTTCCAGGAAGAGCGGGCCCCCATCGAGCGACTGGTCGGTCGAGGTGTGGGGGATGAGATCGGCCTGGATCAGGGCCACGGCGATGATGATGAGGATGGTTTGGATGAGGAAGGAGACGAAGAGGGTGCCACGGCGCAGGGCGCCGACGCGACGCATGACGGTAGAGAAGATCATGGCGCCGGAGAAGAAGGAGGCGATGGAGATGAGGGATTTGAGCCACCCCCATGGTTTGCTGGCGGGTTGGTTTGAGGCGCCCAGGCCGAGGAAAATGGTGTTTCCTGTAGTCAAAGAAGGCCGGGTTAGGATTTGTTGTGTTGTGTTTTGTGTAACTACTTGGAATGGAATTGAGTCATACCGGTTTGCATGCCCAGGAAGCAGGACCAGGCATTGTATGCGCTGCTATCGCAAAGACCCGTCAGGAAGCAGAGGAGCAGACACACCAGGTCTGCATAGGTCGGGTCGAGGGTTTGCTTCCATCGTCGCAGGAGGGTGGACTCCTTGGACTCTTTCAGGGATTGCGTCGTTGGACTGGCCTCGAGATCGGGCGCGGCCGGCGATGGTTGAGTGGTTTTCTCCATGGCCGGATCTCTTCCGAGGATGCGACGTCACCACAACCGAGAATTAGAGTGGACGAAGAGGGAAGAGGGACTTGGTAGAAGTTGCGACAGCGATTGGGAAGAGGAGGTTAGAAATATAAAGAGGGAAGAGACTGGTTTCGCGGACCGAAGGAGGAATGGAAATGACTCCAAAATGTCTGGGCAAACTACGACTTTTTGGGGGTCTGACCCGATCAAGTCGGCGGGCGCGGCCGATCTCCGAGAATGTTTTTCTTTTTTTTTTTTTCTCTTTTCTTTTCAATGCCGATAGGTAGCTTACCTTCTCGAGAATCCTTAGACTTCGTAGGGCTGAACTGTTGAGAAAGTAATTGGTTACCCCCTAGACAGTGCTACAGTAAGTAAATATGCACCAGTCATTAAATCTGAGCTCCTGGGACGATAGGTGCCTGTATTATTCAACTTGTCGATGGTCAATCAATATCTACTCAGCATTGAACTTGTTCATAATGAATTCTATCTTATTGGAGCAAAAAAAAGAGGAATCTGTTGCGAGGAAGCGCTCTCCACTTTCGACGTCTGCCTTGGATTCTACAGTGTCACCGAAATACTGGTTTATAATAAGCGACGTTGCCATTCTTTGAGAAATATACAGGAGCACTCATGGAGATTTCTTCCATCCTCAATCCATCCCAGTTATAAACAAGCTGTTCATAATCGTTTCAAATCAGGATAGCAGCCCCCATCAAAATAGTGCTCAAAAAGATCGAACCTCCGATGGAAGGGGAAGAAGTTACACCGCCACTCGTCGAAAAAGAACTGGTCGGTGAAGCCGTAGGCTTTGCACTGCTACTGGAAGACGTCTGTGCCGTAGCCGTGGTATTTCTTCCATCCAGCATGGCGCTGACCTGAGCCCATAACTTGCAGACGGAGAAGTCAATCTGGCCAGGCGTACTTGAATTCCCGAAGATCATTCCAGGGGTATTCGAGCCCGTGGATGTAATTTGGAATGTCGGCCATTGAATAGCCTCGGTCGACGGGTTGCCATCCTCGGCCATTGCTGTCCATAAGCTGATCATCTCATTGCTCAAATCCCACTCAGCTTGTGAACCACTGCAGGTGTAGTGCTCGTTAGGATAGCTGAAATTCAAATTGCCGAAGACGAATGGGATTTCAGCAGTATGAGCGGCGCCCATGACTGACAAATCGTCTGCAATTGGAACAAGTGTATCCAGCCACGCACAGGTGGAATTGTGAGTGAACTCATAGGCCCATACCGGGTTACCATTGCGTGCGGTATGCATCGCACTCTGATATGTTGGGCATTTGAAATGTGCGTCTGTGAGGACTTGTGCAATAGCCTCCAATACACCAGATCCGGCCGTCAACCCGAGTTTCTTGACGGCAGATTCAAAGAGAGATAATGGGTAATATTTCTCGATCATTTGAGCTGCAGGGCCAAAGTCTCCTTGAAGAAAAGCCTTGTAATCAGCCGCTGTGAGGTTTGCGATGAGCTTCGCTGACGGATACTTCGTGATGGCATCCAAATTGCCCTCTTGTTGATCTTGTAATTTTGACGTGTTAGCTTTCAGTCTATGATTCGACATAAGGTGGAAGGTGTGCCTACTGTATCCAAAGACTGCCGGGACTTGTGCCCCACGATACAGAGGATTCTCTTTGACGACGGTGCCATCCACAATTGGGCAGAATTCGGGCGTCTGGCTGTTGGAAATTCCAATTCCACTGAGTCCCCCGATCCCGGAATTCATATAGGCATTGGAATAAAATGCCATCTGAAGGTCGGCAGAGGAAACGGATTGGAGACAGGATTTCTATAGCAAGGTCAGTCCAGTATACCGATGTAACGAACAATGTCCACTCACGTCGTTTAGACCGCATTTAAGCTGCTTCGCAAACGAAGCACCCAGCTTTTGGGCAGACGAATTCTGTGTCAATTGAGGTAAAGCAATCGATTCAATTATGGCGCTCTTGAAGAGAGATGGTGCCGCAGGAAGAGTCGCAATAGTGTATACGTCTGTAGCACCAGCTGATTGTCCGAAAGCGAGCACTTTTTCCTACATTGCCAAACCATAATTTAGTTCAGAACTTCGAAGCAAGTTGAAAAACCACTTACAGGGTCACCGCCAAAGGCGGAAATGCTTTTCTGAACCCATTCGAATCCAAGAATCAGATCTTGAATTCCCTGATTACCATAAATTCCAGCACTGTTAAGTGCTAAGAAACCGAGGGGCCCGAGTCTGTAGTTCAGTGATACAACCACTGCGCCTTTCTCGGCCAGGTTGCAGCCGTCATACAGAGAGTATTCAATGCCGCCTTCTGTGTCGGATCCGCCAAAAATCCAAACCTTGACAGGGAGTTTTGAGTCTTTAGTCGCGCTAGATGGAGCCCAAATGTCCAAGTAAAGGCTTTAGGAATACAAATGCATTAACAAAATAGTCGTTTGTCAGGCTTAAGGGGTTGACTTACCAGTCTTCAGATTTGGTTCCAGATGGCACAGTCCCATTTCCAAATTGAATACAAGTTGGAGCAGAAATGGTTGAATTGAGTACTCCGTTTGAGTATTTTTTGTTGTAGGCCTTGGGAGGTTCGAATCGCAAGTCCCCAACTGGAGGTTCTGCAAATGGAACGCCCTTGTAGTAGACCGCACCTTGCCCACCGCTGCACTTTCCACCCTTGAGAGTGCCAGCATCAATGGTAACGGAAGGCGAGGCTAGAGCCGTGGCTACAACGGCCGACAAAGAAATTGGGAAAAGCACCCTCATTCTTATTGATGTTTGAAGTGTCTTGGAAGTTGAGATGAAGGAGCATCGGCGGTGCTCGCACTCCGGCTTTTAAAGAAAATATTCAAGTGTTAACGGTCGCTCAGCACTTCATGATATCGTGTTGATCCTTCTATGTACACATTTAGACTATATCCACCTTTTGGCCCCGGTTGTCCTTCTTGTTTTATTGAGATCATGGCCCTCTTCTCATTGGCTGCACATCGTAGTTACCTAAAAGAGACTAGCCCTCACAGCCTTCTCGGCTTCAGCCCCTGGTTCCAAACCAGATCGGGTATAGATCAACTTGTTAAGATGCATATCTACCTCAGCCCCGAACAGGGGAACACCTACAGTAACAGTTCTCGTACGGATCACCAATGGGTCCACATGGAACCAATTAGCGTTGCGGCCCAACACCCAGTATGGCATGTAAGTTGTGAGTTGAGTTGTTTGTAACCCGCTAATTTCATCGGGTGATATGCAAGCTATTTTGAAACGAGCTTCGGAGACACCCCCAGCCGTCCACTTCTACTGTCCAAACTCGAGCTTTGCGCAAGTTCGGAAGCATGCCTAGATTCGCTGGGCTGGTCAACAGTCGCGTCTATGAGGCTCCGAAGCCGTGATATATTCAAGATTAGATTCAAGCGGAGTTCGACACTACTCCGATCCTGCACAAAGAGAGTAAGGCCATTCAGCTCAAGCCTCGGTATTAGTTAGGTTAGCATCTTCTCCTGTTCGAGTAGCAACTACTTCACCAGCTACAGGCAGTGTTGTCCAAGCGGGTGGTGGATGAAGAAAGTTTTACACTCTCCCTACGCCACACAAGGTATAACGAGAAGAGATTTGGACAGTAGAATTTGGAAATGTTTCCCGGATTGCAAATATTAACAGTTCCCCAGCTGAAAGCAAAATTCAAACTTGACTATAGGAGACATCGCTAGAAAAATAGTTCACATCATCGTATGGCAACATCAAACCGGCTCAGAAGTTGACTTCGGGTATTCACAAACATCTGTCCAATAACTTTCCCTTACGTGCTCACGCCTCATCAGGCTTTGGCTCCTCCCATTCTGGAGTAGGCTTCACAAAGTCTGACTGTAGGATAGCCGATACGCCAAATATCATAGCGATAACCATAGAGATGATCTCTTCCAATACAGACATACACAAATAGACGGTGAGGCTGGTGTGATCGTTCTCAGCCAATGAAGCCATCGAGAACTTCGGGTTATTGGTGTAGTCGCCGAGGGCCGAATAGATCAGCCGAACCAACAGGAAGGGAGCAGACAAGGCAATACCAAGGAACAGTTTCTTCTGATACCTCAGCATTGCGAAGGAGTATGTGTAGAAAAGCCAAGCGGTAAGGAGGATAACCAGCACGTATACAGTGAGGAAGAGACCCATGGCTGCTTTGGGTAGCGTCCCTGGGGTGTAACCATGCGTTGTATCGGCGGTGCTGATTCCGACTATACCAAGGACTAGGCCGATGATAGCCATAAGGGTTACCAATACGAGGGGACGAGGAGGAATCTTCTTCTCCAAATCACTAGATAGTATCTGTTAGCCACGCTCATCATATTCGACGAGCTTCCCCGTCCGCCGGTCATCAACTCACATTAGTCTCAGCACTCCAACATAAGCCAGCAACAGAGGGGCAATGCCAATCAGCTGGCACACGAATATGGCAATTCGAACATTTTTCGTATCATCATTGATGGAAATTAATGTCGCAATACTGCCAGCAAGCCGAATGAGAGAGAGGGTAAAGGGATATCGCCAGATCTTCGAGCCCACTCTCCAGCCTGTCCGTTTCCAGATGAAAAGGGAAGCGACGAGAATGAAAGGAAAGACGATGAGCTGAAGGATAGCTATTCCATCCTGATATGTCACGGCCCCCATAGTGGTCTTACTTTGATAGGGAGTAGTAGATCCAAAAAGTTGTGAAACAGGTTTGAAGAAGAAGAATGGTTGGAGATGAATGAGAAATTTTGGTCGTCGTGTGTTCCTCCGAACGGCGGACAAATGAGCCTTTTTATGTGCTCGTTCAGACACAACCAGACGTTTTGTTATGTGTACTGGATTTCCAATTTAAGGTCACCAACCTTTTCGATAATTTTGACATCTCCAAATCCGTGTGCTGATTGGTTCTGCATCTGAGATACTGAAAGCAGACTAGCGTGTGTATGGCCACTCCTTCAGCCTTAAGTGGGCTGTAGCTATTGCTAGCTCCTTCTGGGATACCCCTCTTGGTAAAGGAGTGCAGATCTTCGGATCTTCTCTGCTTAGTCGTCATCACGCAGCTTCGGCTTGGGGGCCGTGGGGGCCATTTGGGCCACGAATTTCTTCAGTTCCACGGTGGCGGCCCCCAGGTCGCTAACAGCGTGAACGCTCGTGTGTGTGGAAGAACCACTCGAAGAAGCCGTGTGCACTAGCAAGGAGCTTGTTTCCCAGGGGAATCGAGGTCTCTTCAGCTCGCCACAGCTCCGCCGTGAGCGACTGGTCGTCATTTACTAGGACCCCTTTGCATTTCATGAGTCTCGTCATTAGCTTTGCGACAACCTTGTCGACGGAGCCATCAATATGAGAACACTCAATGCACTTCGCGCAAGAACATCCAAAAATTGCGAGAATTGCCGGCTCGTGAAGCGACGCGTGGGTCTTTCCTTGCCACTCCATAGTCCAGACACGTTAGCACTAACCTTACATGGCGACACAGTGTGATAAGCAGGTTCCCCAATGTGGTCAATGCATTCGCGCACACGAACCTTGCCGTGGATACCGCGATGAATGGGATTTAATCTTCCGCGATCAGACAAGCCACACAATCAACCGGTCCCGCAAGACATTGGAATGTAATGGGGCCTCGTTCGAGGTCACCCCTTCGACTCCACCTACCCGAGGTCTGGATCCTAGTCTCGAGGAAATAGGCGTGAATTATTTCCTGCAGGAGTTCGTTGCGGGTGGTCGCTGTCCCTCGCGTGGATATCTGAACTATATCCCAACGGTCTATTCGGCTGATGCCGAGCACCTGACCCTTGCCACTAGTATGGCGGCCGTGGGTCTTGTGGCATTGGCAACTCGCCAGCCAGAGCTTACCATCCGGGCGCACGCCAAATACTCAGAGGCGATCCGCCTTGTGAACAATGCGTTGGCGTCCTCCGTCGAGTCGGTCAAGGATAGTACCTTGATGTCTGTGATATCGTTAGGGGTCTTTGAGCATGTCTCAAACTTTGAGTCGTGGGTTCGACATGTCAAAGGAGCTGCCGCGCTGGTGGTTGCCCGGGGTAAATCCCAATTCGCTCGTAGGCCTGCCATCCTGATGTTCAATCAGGTACGCGCAGATATGGCAGCTGCCTGTGTCCAATGCATACAGCCGTTTCCAGACGACTTGCGTGAGCTTCAGGAAGAGGCAACCAAGTATACAACCGGTTCTGATGCATTTTGGTTACTCGGAGTGCTTGCCACTCGTTGTGCAACTCTGTTCGCTGCTGTCACAAAGAAGAATACTGACAGGACTTCACTTATACCCATGTCCTGGTCTGACTTCCTAGAAGAAGCGATCGCGCTCCAGAGTGATTTCCAACATGCTCTAAGTACCCTTGCTATGCAAGAACCGTACATAACCGCCGGACAATCCGGTGGGAATGCAACTTCCGTGTCCTTTAATGGTCAATATGACCTGTACAAGTCATCTTGGGCAATAAGACTTTGGAACAACTCGCGAATGGTTGAAATCATCGTTAGCGAGATTATATGCTGGCTCATAAACAAGATCCTAACCGAGGAACCGGCTTATCCCGCTGAGTCTCGTCTGAAGCTTGAATCAAAGCTCCAGTACTCACTGAATATCATGTCAAGACGAGCAGAGGAAATACTGGCGAGCATTCCGCAGGGCCTAGGGCTTGTATTAGCATCTGGTTCCCATATGCCCCAACAACCAATCGTGTCAGGCTGTTATATGCTGATCTGGAGTCTATATACAGTCGGCAAATGTCCTACTATCAGTGGTCAAGATCGCCAATGGGTCATCAAGCAACTCAAGGATATTAGTGAGAGTGGAAATATCGCGATGGCGTTGCAGCTTGCGGAGGATCTCGTTAGCACGGAAAGTATACGTTGAGAGTTTATCCCTCTAGAGAGTCCCTGCAGAGATCAATTTTACAGGGCATTAGTCATTTCACCGTAATATAATTAGATGGTGGATGTTTCTGTGATAGTCAACTAGCTCTCTATCAACGAACCTAGTCCTCTATCTATGGTTCTATGGTCTTCCCAGTCGATTATATACACATGGGGGTAACACAGCGCCTCACAATTACTTCCTCAAAAACGTCAACGCCGCCAGACACAAAGCATCTACACCCACCTTCATCGTAGGCTGAATCGCAGGCGCAAACCTCGCCGAATGGTTGCTCGGAATCTCTTCACTGGAATTCTCGTCTCCGTGCACCCTATCCCAAAGCTCAGGATCAATCCCCCCAAACAACCAAAAGCAACATGGAAGATCTCTGCACCGGCCCAGGTTCGAAAAGTCCTCGCTGACATTCGTCCGAGGTGTATCGCCATCAAATTGTTCTTCGAAATGCTGTCCAAATGACACGGCCAGTGCGTCCGCGACGTTATGGTCGTTGTCCGTGGGCGGGAACCGGCGTGTGGGCGTGAAGATGGGCGGTTTGGGGGACCCGCTAGCTTGACATTCGGCCTCAACGATGCGCTGAATCGCGGATAAGATCTTTTGTCGAGTTTCCAGCTTGACGGTTCGAAAGTCGAGTCCAATCTCGGCCCGGTCGGCGATGATATTCTCGGCCTGCCCGACTTGCAGGCTGCCCACCGTCACGACGGCCAGATCGCTGGGGTCGACTTCTCGACTCACAATGCCTTGCAGTCGAAGGACGATGTGCGCTGCCAGTACGGCCGGATCAACCGTTTGATGAGGTAGAGAGCCGTGGCCGCCACGCCCAAAGACGGTGATTTTCATACTATCCGCCGCGGCCATGATTGTCCCCGGTCGGGATCCGATGCTACCAGCACGCATGCGCATAACGTGCTGGCCAAAGACATAATCCGGTACGGGGATCTTGGAATACAGCCCATCGTCCACCATGGCCTGGGCACCACCGCCTCGTTCTTCGTTCGGCTGGAAGAGCACGATGAGCGTGCCGCTCCAGGCGTGCTGCGTTTTGGCCAGAGTTTCGGCCGCAGCCAGGAGACAGGTCATATGCATATCGTGTCCACAGGCATGCATCACCGGCTTCTCGATTCCATCGGCGTCGCGCATAGTAACCGAGCTTGCATAGGGGAGTCCGGTGAGTTCCTGGACGGGGAGGGCGTCCATGTCCGCGCGCAGCAGGATGGTTGCTCCTGGGCCATTGCGGAGAACTCCTGCGAGGCCGTAGCCGCCGATGTGGGTGTGGATTTCATAGGCGTTGAGCTGGGCCAGATGGGCGGCGACTTTTTCAGAGGTGGATTTCTCTTGGAGGGAGAGTTCCGGGTGGGCGTGGAAGTATTTGTAGAGATCCTCGTATGGGGTTAAGTCGAAGGAATTTTGTTCGAGGATCTTTGGTATGCCATGAGACATCTTGAACTTGTTGAAATATGGAAGGAATAATGCATAAACCGCAATAATCTCAGTACAATGGTTCAATTCTTCATGCAACCAGGAGTGTCGTGAGTCAGACTGTTCGCAATGAGGGGAAGCCTTCTCCAAGTCGAGGTGGGCGAGGAGACCCCAACTGGCGAGGACTTTGATAGGCCTGGCAACCAGCTTAGTCTCCACTGGACATCCACTTGCCGACTACGTATTGCTTCGATATGCCTGTATTAAAAGTATATGGTTTAAGCCTGGAAGAGAAAAAAGAATCAACCATCTTGGGTAGGTCGACTTGATCTCGGATTGAAACGGAAGTTGGGGCAATCACCATGTCAGTAGTATATGCGCCTATATACACCGGATTTTGTCCGCCCGGTGGGGCTTCCCTGTCTGGGCTGCCGCCGCTTTTATGAGGGCGATCAGGCTCAGGCTCACTGAGTAAATGTCAGCACGGGCTCATGCTCAGTGATCTTGCAGTCATGTGATCGAGCAGTGACCAATTATGGGTGCTCAGTGATGGCTCAGTGATCACTCAGCCGCTGCTGACTCACCAGCACTCATTGTCCTGTCAGCGAGCCGTACTCCGTACTCCTTCCCTTCTAGCCCATGTCAGACTATACCCAAAAAGAAATGCCCCACAGGGTTATCTATTCTGTGAAAACTAGCGCGTAAAGGTCCTGCGAGGTCCTCCTATTCTGGAGGTCTCCTTTAGTTAGAAAACTAAGCGACTTACTGTAAAATTATCAGCCTAGGTCGCCTGATTCCATACGTAGGCCAAAAAGATCACTATATCTGCGATCAGCGGATATGACCTAGGAGCCAACACATATAGTAGCGCAAGCTTATTCTTATATCGTAACAATTCTATCTCCCTTTGTAGAGGGCATGCCATGCCCTAAACAGTTAGCCATCCGTAACTACTAGCTCCCTGTGCAGAACCACCAAATCTGTTTGGAGAACTATACGAGGTTTTAGGAGGACCATGCTGCATTTTCTGAAGACCTTAGCACGATTAATGTAACTTATCGTTGAGACAAGAATCGGGAAAGACGAATTGTCTTCTTCAAGGCCCTTATCAGTAAATAAGGTATTTCAATTTTCCCTTATTCAAAGCTAAGGGTCAGCTATTGACTGGAATACAGAAGCACCCAGCTACCGAAGATGACCCCGAAGGCGATAACACGAGCTCTGCCGAACTGGAAGGTCCGGATTGGCTGATGAGTGAAATCGAAGTGGAGGCTTGACTTGGAGTACATGGCAAGCCACTTTCTGACAGAGGAGCTCTAGATTGGCTGGTGATAGGTATCGTCGCAGAGGTTTGTTGTGTAACAGGAACTGTGGTTGCGCACTGCGAAGGCCTAGTGCCCGTAACACTGGACTTGCTACCCACGTTAAAATCATGTCTAGGGCGCAAGTGCTGGTGGTGCCTTGCTGATTAAAGAAAGAAACAGTGCCATCTTTGGTGACGTTGCCCTATACTAATTGCCGTCCGTCTACTGTGCCACATATATCAAGCTTCAGCGTGTCGTTATTGACCTGAGTACCATTTAGAGTGAAGCCAGGCAAATTCTCAGTCCTTGACCATCATAACACAGAGCATAATCAAACCTACTTGAACAATTTCTCCCATCGAGACGAGTGAAAGGAGCCGAATAACCTGTGCACCTATAATTACTCTCAGACCACACCATGCATTGGTCGTGGTTGTTAATAATAAACTTTCGAGAATTTTGGAGTCTATACGCCTACTACATCTGAATGGGACATATGGTTAAAAATGAATGGGATGCATGCTCTCCGGGGAAGTGGGGCTATACTTGAGAAACAAACCCTAAATAGGATGCAATGCATCCCACCCCCCCCTATGGGATAGGTCATGGTTCGCTATATAGACTTTCGTTGCTCCCACACATAGTTGCAGAAGAAGAGCGCCGATTGGGTTTCGTAAGAGACTCGAACGCAGTCCCCAGCTTGCGCAACACGCTGCTGCTCTTCAACGTCCAACATGTGCTGAATGTTGACGAGAGTTGGATCCACATACTGTATGCAGGCGATGCAAACATCGGATTGGTAAATTGTCCTTTTTTCAACTACATCTCACATTTGATTCACTGCAGAAGGCCTGGTGTTTTTCTGGGTATCCGTCTGGGCTCGACTTGATAGGAAAGGCTTGAGTGTGTGGTGTCTCACTGATCTCCACCTTCTGCATATCAACATTGCTGCGGGCCGTACTGTTATTGGACACCAGGAATTCCTTTAAGCCACCCTCATACAGCTATGTTTCTTATTCCGAGTGTGACTGGCTCCACAGAGTGTTTCTTGACGGTATAAAGTTCCTAGAGATTCAAGAGGCGCAATATATGCTGCCTCTGCCCTGTAATTGGCGATTTTGGGTAATGATTATACCTTGCTTAAGACGCTATCATAATGTCACTCAATGGATAACCTACGTAATAGCATGAATTTACTGTATATCATTCGTTGAACCTTACGAGTGTTACATAACTAGGCACCGGCCGCGACAAAACAGGCAGAAATAGCGGGGTGAACGTACGTTACACAACGAAAGGCTATATGATGCATGATGCGAATTTTGAACCCGGAGGTACAGTCCATTTGCCACCGGACCAATGAGAATATCCTTTCGAACACCTTGTGCGAGATGATCACCAGATATTTTTATCTACAACATCCACTTACTTTTAACAAACTTTATCCCTTGCATACACTGGCGGCTCCTGCTCGGGATCTGTGAGGCCATACGGTAAGTGAATCTGGCGATCGGTAATCGGCTGATCCAGACAGGTGTCGGACACTTATCATTCAACGCTTTTAGCAATGCACTGGAATCTGCCAGGTCGAGCTTCAGTATAGTATAGCGGCGACAGATATCACATAGATAATGAATGTACTGCCCAAAGTCTCTCACTCATCTCCTTGCTCATCGGAGGTCCAGTGATTTTTAAATAATAGCATCGGAAATACTCCCAATCTGCCTCAAGAGCATTCGCCTTAGAGAATCTGCAAAGGCGACGACCTTCTGGATTGCGCTTCAACTTGAGGCACCAATTTAGAAACCGATGTATATCGTTGGATGTGGCCTGGTGAAGAGCTTCAGATGCTCTGCTCCATTTTGCGGGAGCAAATTGCTCATATCATTTGACTTTGCAGTCTCTATTGAAAAGTGTCAGCGCAAGTGGAGAGTTACTCACAGCTTCCTCTCATTCGTTGTTCCTACGGCCCTCGTTCCCTATGTTTTTGTATGTATTATTGGGTATATGAAGCAACTTGGACCAGCTTACTCTGAGTATCGCGGCCTCAAGTATGGGAAGGAAAGGTGGGACCGGAGTAGACTTGGCCTAATTTTTTTTGTAGAGTAGACATGAATATTTTCTAGGGGCCATACGAAGCTGAAAATTTTGGAAGTCCTAAGTTAGATATTAATATCCTTACTCAATAATTTTGAAGTTAAGCGTGAAAGTTTTGGGAGCGTGAGAGTTGGATGAAAATGGTATGATTTTGTTGATGGGTCCAGTCGCCAAACCTATTAGCCGCAAAGTCTGTTGTACGACAATTCGAATATTCCAGGACTTACCTCAGGCTCCATCCCTTATTCTAACTAATCTAGCAGGAGTTTTGGGCAATTAGTACAGTAAGAGCTCTAGAACTAGGCCACTGTAGGCTCCATCCGAGCACGGACACTCCCATCGTACGAATTGGGCTTGATCTTGGTTCCGGAAGAGCCCGTTCTTGGCCATATATGTCATGGTCTTTTCTTTCATGAAGTCATTGCCAGCTGACATGGGGTCATTGGGAAAATCGCTGCCACCTGCAGGACGATCTGCGATGAACCAGGAAGGACTCCCTACCTCGAATCTCCCCTCCCCTACGTTATGTGCCTCTTTTTCATGTTACACAAAGACGTGTTGGCCTTGTATTTGACTCCAAATCATTCTGAATCATTCTGGCCAGAACGTGGAGGACAGGGATGGAAGACACTGAGATAAATCGAATGTGTCAGGATGGATCCATGAGGCCTTCTCAAGAAATACTCTTGCCACAACTTGACTTGGTTCTTTCTTCCTTACCTGATTGACAGACATTCTACTATGCACAGTAGACGCTCTTACAATTAGTTGTTACGGTGTAACAATAATATTGAGCTACTACATGTGTTGGTCCTGGTCATGTCAATTTCTGACGGTTGTCATAATGGTTTCTTTGGCTAAAGCGTCGATCGGGTGACACAGGCATGACCTCGTGACAGCGACCATGACCTCGAGTAAGTATAAAGGACCGAGACGCAAATTTCTTCGTCGAGAAAGGACCAAAAAGAGTCATCGCGCGTCAATTCATAGAGAATACCGGAAAGTGGTTAGGAATGTGAAGAGAGCGATGTCTGTTTATGAAATACTCTGAACTACAGAGGTGGTCATTGAACTATCACGGTGTTTTGGGATTTGAAACATTGACTATTACATAGAGTGGCTCCAGAGTGCTATGGCAGAATTCACAGTGTATCGGTTTTTGTATTTATGCACTTGCTGTTGAGTTGAATCTTCCTAAGCGGCCGCTCTTAAGCCCGCACTTCCTAGACATTAAACGTGGGAGATGCCCACCTTGAAACAGAAAGTTGAGTTATTCGTAGCAACACATTCACCACGGTCAACCATCTGAGCTTAAGGGACGTCTCGAACGGTCCTTGATCAATTAGTCCTCATAATATTAGATGCCCAATTTTATTAAGACAGTCCGTATAACTATTCATCGATAGCATAACTTGGGTAAAATTTTCAGAAAAGCTAAAAGCATAAACAAGTGGTAACGCCTCTGCCCGCCACAAAGTTACGACCAAAGAAAAATGTTCGAATTGCCAAATGGCAAGAATTAACGACGGCCAATAGATCATTCTTGTCATTCTGAACATAACGCGGAAAACAGTGTTCTTAGCATCACCCTCGTGGCTTTATTCATCCGAGGCTTGATATCTCTTTGGTCATACAGAACATGGCCAGTATAGCGCTCATGTTTCTCCTGGTAGATATAAACCGGCTGACCTTTTTTTGAGTTGTTCTTCTGTTGCAAACAATGCTGTGGCGTTTGCCTTTGAGGTTGGTATGGCTCGTGTGCGAAGGGTTTCTGCAATGGTAAGTTTCTTGAAATAAAACCCTCATATTATTGACATTTTTGCTTCCTTAAGGATGGCGACGGTGAAATGCGGTAGGTCAGGTTTCTCTGTAGCGGCTTCAATGAGGGTCAGGGCACGGTCTGTCTCGAAACTCTGGTCACCACCTACACTCATTGTTTCTCAAACCCTAATGGCAGAATTACTAGTCAATATTCGGGATGGTTTCCGAAGATCTTTCCGTGCAGTATCAATAGAGCGTTACATACTTTAATTGTAACACGTCGCTATGTCTCGTAACTAACATTACCGGTCCAAGGCAACTGAGATAGCCTGCGGAACACCCGCTAAGCACCTGATTTGGCTTCATTTTTCTAGCCAAGTATTTCCTTTTCGTACAACATCAAAAGCCAACTGAATCGGACCCGCGGGTTTTGGTAAGGTCCTCATCGACTATCTCTTGTAAATATCTGACTTAATTCCACTTCTGATAATAAGTTCTGGGCCCAGTCTTATGGTGATATGATTGGTCCAGCTACTGCGTTTGCCCAAGCTTATTTTCGCTACATGTGACATTTGTGCTAATGAACACATTCTTGGTTGGCCAGATGCGGGGTATTTGACGAGTGGTAAGCCACCGTACGAGAGGCAATTGCCGAGCAGCAGCATTACCCAATCTCATTTTCACTGAATGGTACATTTGAGCTCATGAACACATTTTTGATTGGATTCCAGAATTTGGCGAGTTGTAAGCCATCGTAGTAGCAACACATGCACATGACTTCAGATAGTCAATATAAATACTCTAAATTTGTCCAGTGTTTCTATTCCACTGTCTCATTTTACTTTCGCGACATATTGGGGACCTATCCTATACTGCTAACGCTAGATGATCTATAAAACCGGCATATCTAATGGCCCAACTCGTGCTCACCTTTCTCTTCCTAACTTTCTTGGGTATGTCTGCGTCCGTAATGCCATGAGCTCACGCTAATATCGCCTTCACATAGCGACTACAAGCTTGGCTCAGGGGAACAATGTCTGCATCAACTGGTGTAGACAGAATTTACCGAACTCAGCCAGCTCGTGTATATCGTTTGCGGCACACCGAACGGGACCGTGTTATATCTGTGGACCTCGCAAGACCAGTGCGACCGAACAGCTATGCTCTGGCTCTTGTAGTCAAACCAATACTGACAGTAACAATTGCGGGAGTTGTGGCAACGTTGTAAGTGGGACCGTTGCTGGTGTCAAGATAATTAATGCTCACGCCTCTATAGTGCCCTGCTGGATCGACCTGCTCGTCAGGCGCTTGTATATGCACGAATTCTGGTCTAGCTCCGTGTAATGGCACTTGCCCTGATCTAAACTCGGACAGCCACAATTGCGGTAGTTGTGGCAACGTTGTAAGTGGGACAGTTGCTGCTGGTGTCAAGATAATTAATGCTCACGCCTCTATAGTGCCCTGCTGGATCGACCTGCTCGTCAGGCGCCTGCGTACTATGCTTTGAGGCGCAGGCAACATTTGACGTAGGATCACTTCCGTTTGGTGTTGCAGTGGGCGACTTTAACGGAGATGGCCATCTCGATATCGTGGCTGCAAATGTGGGCGGCAGTTCAATAAGTGTCTTACTTGGGACTGGAGATGGTAGCTTTCAGGCGCAGGCGATATTCGACGTTCAGGGCGCGCCTTTTGGTGTTGCAGTGGGCGACTTCAACGGAGATGGCCATCTCGATATCGTGACTGCGAATGACGGCGGCTTCCATGCAGTCAGCGTCTTCCTTGGGACTGGAGATGGTAGCTTCGGGCCGCAGGCTACCTTTGACGTGGGCTCCGACCCAGTGGGTGTTACAGTGGGCGACTTCAACGGAGATGGACATCTTGATATCGTAACTGCGAATCAGAACAGCAATACAGTCAGCATTTTGCTCGGAGTTGGAGATGGTAGCTTCCTGGCGCAGGCTACCTTTGACGTGGGGACCAGCCCAGATGATGTTGCGGTGGGCGACTTTAACGGAGACGGCCATCTCGACATCGTGGCTGGGAATGAGGGCAGCAATACCGTGAGCGTCTTGCTCGGAGTTGGAGATGGTAGCTTCCACGCCCAGGCTACTATTGAAGTTGGACCTAATCCGTTTGGGGTTGCAGTGGGCGACTTTAACGGAGATGGCCATCTCGATATCGTAGCTGCAAATGTGGGCGGCGGTTCTGTCAGCGTCTTACTCGGGACTGGAGATGGTAGTTTCCATGCGCAGGCCACATTCAATGTGGGGAGCGGGCCGTTTGGTGTTACAGTGGGCGACTTCAACGGAGATGGCCATCTCGATATCGCGGCCGCGAATAATGGCGGCGGTTCTGTGAGCGTCTTACTCGGGACTGGAGATGGTAGCTTCCAAGCGCAGGCCACATTCAACGTGGGGACAAATCCAGCGTTTGTTGCAGTGGGCGACTTCAACGGAGATGGTCATCTCGATATCGTGACCGCGAATGAGGGAAGTGACACAGTGAGCGTCTTGATCTGGAAACCTTGCGGCGCTTAGAACAGGTATCGCTCAGTCAATATTGTAGGAATCGGAGAACCGCTACCTACTCATGTGACTCACGTGACCATCAGCAATCAGATAATGAGAAGGTAGCGGTTGACACCAAGGGCAACCGCGAGAAGCGCTTATGTATGGAAATATGTATGTGTAAGGCCTTGGCAGTGTTTATGCAGGTGTCGAATGTTACTTTTGGTGGTGGGGCAAGGGAGTTCCTAATTAGGACTAGTAGGTCGTGCAATGAACTTTTTTGACGTGCCATTAACTAGATCCAAAATATACTAGGCTGCTGACTATCGTGACATGCTGCCACAATTTCAGAACTCCGATTCTGAATATATCCTTAATTGCGCAGAAAAGTCCGAACAAAGTCGTGATGGAAATGGAATAGTATTATTTCATCCACCTCAAAAAAGGGTTGTGCTCTTTGCATTGTCGATTATCATATGTTGCAAGTGAAGTCGTGTACGCACTGGGCATTGGCTTCGTGTGATTGTCCTCTGTTGAGTACCGTGTACACAGGTGAACAGTGTTTTATTCTCCTAAAGCCAAACTTGATTGATTGGTGGCTGTCGATGTCTTCGAAGTTTAGTTGGAAAAACACCCCTGGACCCTACACGCCGGCACTCGGCGGTCGATAGTTTTCTCTTTCTTCTCCTCTCTAGTCTTGATACTTTCGTTAAATGGCACAAGTTGATCCCTGATCTCTTTCTGGCTGTAACACCGTCTAGGAAATACACACTATCGTCTTTGCTTTCGTAGTTCTCCCAAACCTAGCCAATAAATTAGGAAAAACGGAGAATGCTCCTAGGAGCGTCTAATCTAAGATAAGGCGAATTGTCAAATTAAACAGTGTCTACTACGTACCTCCCCCCAGTAAAGGGTAAGATCGCTAAGTCAGTGGCAAAATCATAACGCCAACGCTTTGTTGTTAGGATAGAAAATGAAAACCTGAAAGGAAAAAATCATACAGGGGTCGAGCTAGCGTATCGCGTTTTATTGAGCTTGCTTACTTAGGTCACTTCTCTGGGTGGTCTTAGTGATCAAATCAGGATGCTCCGATCAGGCTCAGTGAGTGCATTTAGGTTGATTACATAATGATCACTGAGCAGCTCAGACCGATCAGGGGCGTGCTCAATTCTACTCAGTGAGCAAAAGCGACGAGGGGGTGAGCACTAGAACGGAAGGAGATTGCCAAGCGTTGCCGGACAAAATCCGGTCTATATGTACGTACGCGGATGTATATATAGTAGTAGTATGCTGCATATCGCTTTCGAGCGAGGGGTCAGCGTAAATGACATCAACCAACCAACCAACCGACTGTAGGCAAGGCTCGTCACAAGCTATTAATAGTTTATAAGCATAAACGTTCTCCTAGTGCCCATAGTGAATGTTAAGGAAATTGCCACTACCATGACTGGGTACATTCGGATATTACGCAGGAGGACGATTCTCCACTGTTTTGTATCAGATATAGTAGTTCCAGTGAAGGGTATAAAAGTACTCTTCCATTCAGGGGTTATTCCAATTCCTAATCTCCAATTTCATCTCATTCAGGCTGCGTACTAGGCGTACGTCCTTGCATCCAGTATCTCCTCTCCTCAACAGTGAGAACGTTACATCAGTGAACAAATTTTGTCACTTAAATTTTATGGAAGTTGCGTTTACTTTAATTGGAAAATGTTGGAGCTAGAAATAACAATACAACTACATATTCCGACGCAATATCCAGCCCTGGTATGCCCTCGACGGATATCTCCTCTCAGTGACATCTCCTAATTCTTGGAGCGTCTCGTTTTCCGAAATCTGTACATCGATATTTTGAAAATCATAGATGTTAGCGTTGTCCTCCGGGATAAGACGATCTCGCAGTGCAAAGAAAAGCTGATATAGCTGAGAAACCCGTCCTCTTGTCCCATTAATTGCCCTATAAAGATTCAAAAATATTGACCCGAAGGGCGCATAGTCAAGTATGTGGCCATAAACGTCCCCGTCACCCATACGTCGGGGAGTCCTACCTGGAGCCCTAATCTTCCCGCTAACTCGCGCGATATGCTGGTCAATGTCCCGTATAATCTGGTCATGTCCAGGGGGATTGTGCTCGCAAATTGCTATGAGCATCCATCGCAAAGCAAAATTTGAAAGAACCTTGTTCGGCTCAATAACTTTGCTAGCGAATTTCCACCTCACAAGGAGTTCTTCTAACCTGCCGCCACCGAATTCTCTCAGAAATCTGAACCGCTGCCGACCAAGGTCGTAATGCACCCCAGGGAGCCACTCTTGTTTGGTAACACCAAGCTTATCCCAAGTGCCAATGTGCATCTCCTCGTTCCGGCTCACCAGACAGGGTTGGAACGCATATAGCCTGTCGTGAAGGGATACAGCATGGTAAACATTCTCGACCGCGGTGGAAATGTTTTGATCATAAAACGCTGTCCAATCTAGACCAACACCCCCGGAAAAGTTTGGCAATCCCAGGCTGCCGACTGTATCAAAGAGGCCCATAAATTTTATGGGCGATGTCAACTGGGGCTGTCGGGTCGTCCGGGTTTTCATCGCCGACGAGGGGCCAGCTTTTGGTCCTCCTAAACTGTTCTGACTGGGGCGAGTGTGGTTTATCGATACGATAGGGTGAGCGGTAAATCTGATAGACTTGTTTGCATAGCATATCGGTTGCCTGCTCGTCGATATCACCATTTGAGTGTCTCACTGGTTTGATGATTCCACAGTTGTTGATCATCCCAGCTACACTTCTCGCTAGGTATGCACCCCGGGAGAGGCCGAACATCCAGATCTCGTGGTCGGGGTACGTGTAGTTCCAGACGGTGAACTTGTAGGCTGCAATGCACTGAGCGGCGATGTCTTGTGCAGTGATGCCATCAAAGATATAACTGGGACATTAGCGATCATTTTAGCAAGGTATTGTCATCGCAGGGGAGGGAATAATGATAGTATTATGGGCACGTACTCCAAAAATGTGCTCCCGAGGCCGACGCCGTGAATGTAGCAAGCTCTACCAGGAATAATATCCTGGTCAGTGTCGTTAGGATCTTCGATGCCGATCAGTCGAGCAAGCTTGTAAATATTGGTTTTAGTGTTTGCTTCGCGACCACACCAAGTGCCATCGCAGAGAAGGATTAAAGGCTTTATGGGCTGCTCAGCAGAAGCTGGACGTGCGAGTGTTCGTGATGGACACGAATCCGAAGATCTAGACATTGTACCAATCGTTAGCACGGTTGTATTGAGGCTTTGGTGTTGATTTGGGAAGCCCTCAATAATATGAGAATTAAATAGGAGAATTAAACATAAGAATCAGTCACAAATTAGATTAGTTTTACGAGTTGAATATATACTAGTGGTTCTAGAAGAAGGCCAATGTTACCTTTAAGGCTCGGGTGGCTAATATCCTAAAGCGTTCTTACAATCCATTGACAGCAAGATGGATCAGAATATACTCCATTTTCCGCTGTTTTCGCATTGGGCCCACAAAGAAAAAATGTGGCTTTTCTGGACGACATTGTGACCGCGAGAGAATGACAACTAGATTCTGCAAGAGAGATCTTATTCGGCTTGTAATCTTGAATTTTCTCGTCTGAGAAGTTGGAAACTGCAAGAGCAACAGGCCTAAACTGAGCGTCAAACTTAAACTGCACGACTCGAGCAATGCTCAAGCCCACAACTTCCCTACTGGCGTCATGAACTCAAGCGGCTTTGTTCCTAAATTTGGAGTTTCCGAATGCGTTCATTTGGAAATTATCTTTTCTCCTACCCGTAAAAACACTGCCAAGCATCACGGCTCCACACCAATTTACGGATTTAGCGGGGTCGGTGAAGTCATTGACGTCGATCATCCGAGGGAATAGTTAACTGTCGGAACAGCAGGATGGGTGGATCCCCAGGGAAAAGGAAATACTAAAACACCCGCCTAGCTTAGTCATGTTTTTGCCCATACAGATTGTTAGCAAAGGGGCATCGTAGCAATTCAGACTTGTTGATATCCGATTGGTGCGCGGTATGATTTACTAAGCAGTATTCGCGACTGTTATGAGCCCGATTCGCCAGTAAGAAGGCTATATTCGTCAAATCAAGCTATACGCAAGGTGTATCCGCGGTAGCGACCCGGCCAGACGTCTCCTTCTTACCCCTGACCTTCCTATCGATCGAATTGACTGCTAAAGAAGAACGCGATCAATATGGATTCAGCAGTAGTCTCCGCCCTAAAAGGCGAGAAACTGAAAGATCCACCGCAGTGGAGGAATTGGTTCGCACGAATCAAGATATATGCACGCCAGAAGAGGGTATGGGACCTAGTCAACCCTCAGCTCGAAGAAGACTATCTTGAACAACCGATTCGCCAACCAAGAAGGCCGCAATACCCCGAAGACGGCAGCGAGTCGACGAAACGAGAATGGAGAGATCGCATGGACATATACAAGCTTGACCATGCTGAATGGGAGCAACAGAGCAAGAGCCTAGACGCTGTGAACGAATGGATCATCGCCAATTTGGATCCTATCCACCATACCTCTATGCTCAACTACCAAACCCCGTACGAACGGCTTGTGTATCTCCATACTCGATTTGGTCGATCAACAGCGGCGGAAGAAGATATACGTGCGCAGTGGAAGAGGGTGTCAGCATTACCACCGAAGAAAGGTGCTGATATCGACCAGTGGATCAACGAATGGGATTCACTAAGAGAACAGGCGGTTAGCCTAGATCTGCCAGAGATCAAGAGCGCCAATAAGGATTTCCTCCGTGCAGTGAAAGAGATACTCCCAGTATGGTGGCAGCTGAAATTTGAAGCGATCGTTTTGCATCAGGAAGAATGGGATACGCGCGATTTGATCGAGAACTTCCGAGGAACCTATCGCGAGCTACACCCGCAGAGATCGAGCGCAGTTAGTACGATCTCAAAAGCATCATTTTCAACACTACAGGGCTTTGAGGAAGCTAGATCAGAGCCTCAGCAGCCGCAGTCACAGCCGCAAGCACAGCAACCACCACGAGAGAGGTCCTTACCTCCGATTCCTAGGCGCTGGTGCCCCTGTGGTAACAAAAGCCATAAGCCCTGGGACTGCTGGACGATCAACAGAGAGGCTTTTCCTGATAAACCTCTCTTGAAATGGAAGGCTAAGCGAGTGGAAGATCGTCTTGCAAAGGATGAAGCGTGGAAAGCCTGGATAGAGAAATCTGTCAAGGAACATAATGAGAAGAACGGAATCAACACGAAAACGGCCAATATCACTCAACTATATGGCTCCTACTTCACCACAGGCTTTCCAATCGAACAGGTGTATCAAAGCGTGAAGACCACAGGAGACGCTGATGATGATATTCGAAAACGTTGGTTTCTCGATACTGCTTCATCGGTGCACGTTTGCAACCAAAAAGATCTCTTTACCACCTTCACACCGGAGAAGGCAGGCCTAAAGACAGGCGATTCAATTACCGCTGTGGAAGGGACTGGAAGCGCGATAATGACTGGTGTAGGACCTGACGGGTCTACCAGATCGATTCGCCTGAGCAACGTCGTCTATTCGCCAAAGTTCCATGCTAATTTGATGTCATATGCTGCGTTGAAGGAGAAAGGTATACGATGGGATGAGGATACCGAATGCATCAAGGATTCTAGTGATAAACCAATCATTAGCGTACGTCTCATGAAACCGCTGAAGATATGGGCATTCGATCAACCAGGAGATCGTCAATACTCGCCAGAAACCACTGCTCACGCACATGCAGTACGAAGATCAGAGAAACCGCTCGTTTCAGAAGCCTCAGCAGATCGATGGCACCGGAGACTTGCTCATGTATCTGCTCGTGTGATGAAGAAGACTACCGAAATGGTAGATGGTGTCAAAATCAACGAAGACCTGCCAGAATCGTTAGCAGATGAAGAGTTTTCAACAGAAGGAGAACTATGCCAGGTCTGCAATCTCTCAAGTGCACCGAAGCAGATCTCACGACGACCAATTGGCCAACCCTTTGGTAAATACGGCCGAATCCACTTCGATCTGGTCCAATTTCCACCTGGATATAACAGACACCAATGGATGACGCATTTCTATGTTGAAGGGATTCGATTCCACTGGTTATACACTCATGAACACAAATGGGAGTGTAGAGAGGGTATAAGGCAATTCATTGCTCTTGTCAAGAACTGGTGGAACCTACCGATCAAAGCATTCCACTATGACAACGAGAGATCTGCGGGACCAGAGATCGAACACTTCCTAAGCAATATCGGCATCGTGGTATCGCATAGTATCCCCTACCACCCTGAGCAAAACGGCTCAGCGGAGCGATCAGGAGGAGTTATTCTGACGATGACGAGGCATCTGCAGATCGAGAGTAAGCTACCGAAGCAACTCTGGCCAGAGATAGTCAGTACTGCAGTATGGATTTTAAACAGGATTCCTACCTACCTAAAAGATGAGAACCAGTGGATCGTGCCGTGGGATGAAGCACGACGAGATTTCGGCGGCGAAAGGATGAAGAAGGCTAATCTAGCCAACCTGCGCGTGTATGGCTCTCTGTCGTACTGCCGTATTCGCAATATCCCACGTATCCAAAAGACCTCTCCCCGTGCAGAAATTGGTTTCCTCGTCGGCTACGTCGCATCGAATGTGTGGAAGATCTGGTTCCCGGCAAGAGAGAAGATAGAAGTCGTGAGAGATGCACACTTCGACGAATCAAGGAAATGGAAGGCTGATATGCAGTATTGGGAAGAGAGAACCCTTCCTGCACCTGAACCGACGATTTTGACCGAGGAAGAACAGATGGAAGTGCTTCGCGAAGATATCGGTATCCCTACCAATACGTCAGTCAATCGAAACACCCAGGAAGATCTCCAGGAAGGCCAGCAGGAAGGCCAGCAGGAAGGCCAGCAGGAAGCTATCCTGCTAGAAGAGGAAGATCATACGCACCAGGAAGCTCAAGATCAGAGAGATTGCGATATACCTCAGGGGGTGATCGCACCGATTACCCCGGAACCTGATAGAGACGGCCACCTACAGGTAGACCAGGAGCCTCCGAATGATAACTTGCTAGGCGCATTTCCGACAGAAGGGCCGCCTGAATTACCACCGAGCCCACCAGAAGAGCGAGTTACCACTGAAATTAGCCCTACCGCTGCTCAGGGGGTGGACCAGCAGACCATACTTGAACCTCAAGAGCGAGATATCTGCGATGATGAAGACCAGCCGATAGAACTAAACCCTCCGCACGAAGCCGAAGAAGAGGATACGCTATCCGATAGCGAGCAGCAGCTACACACAGAGCTTCACACGCGAAGGAACGACGGAATCGACGCCGCGAATATCATCGAGGGAAGTAGAAGAAGAAGACTAAGAACCGACCCTGACTACCAAGCGTACGCAACGATCTTACCGGCTATTGAAGACGATCCACCAGAGCTACTGCGCACATTCGCCGCAGCCCTATACACAGAGAAGCCGATACAGCGCCACAGAGACGATCTGCCCCCTGCGATGGCCGAAGGCTTCCTGGCCGCCTGCGCAAAGGAAATACGCTCTCTCCAGGAGAAATCAACGTTTACCGTGATAAAGCGACCGAATGATGTGTCGAAACAGATCCTACCACTCCGATGGGTATTCGCATACAAATTCGACCAAGACGGCTATCTGCAGAAGCTTAAGGCACGTATCTGCGTACGAGGAGACCTTGAAACGATAACTCCTGAGGATAAAAGAGCTGTGACACTGGCAGCACGAGCAGCGAGGGTAATCTTTGCCCTCGTCGCAGCGTTTAACCTCGATCTACGCCAGCGGGATGCAGTCACCGCGTTCTTGAACAGCAAGCTGCCTATAGAGACCTATACGAAGATGCCTGAAGGATTTGAACAACCGGGGATGTGCTGGAAACTTGACCGAGCGCTTTATGGCCTACGCATTTCACCGAAACTCTGGCAACAGGAAGCATCAACCGTTCTCACGAAGCTTGGCCTAGTAGCTGTTCCTGAAGACCCATGCGTCTTCGTCACACACGGCATCATCGTCTTCTTCTACGTCGACGATATCCTCATCGCGAACTACCCATCACCGCCAATACGAAAGAAAGCTCGCCAGCTTGAGAAGGATCTAGAGGCACACTGGGAGCTTACGGACCATGGAGAAGCAGAGTGGTTCTTAAACATTCGAATTATACGCGATCGGAAACAGCAGAAGCTCTGGCTCTGCCAGGACGCCTACATCAGCAGTATGGCTGCTAAATACCACTTGACCGATCGCCCGCCTGTCTATACACCTCTCCCTGTGGAAGAAATGAAGCCATTCGATGGCACAGCAACACCAGCTGAGATCAAGATATACCAGGGAAAGGTAGGTTCAGTGCAATATCCAACCACGATCACCAGGCCAGATGCAGCGAAAGCAGCCGCAAAATTATCACAGTTCCTTCGAAACCCTGGCCCACAACACCAGCGAGCGGTTGACAGGGTGATCTGCTACCTGTACACCACACGATATCTGGCACTGCAATTTGGAGACAAAGGAGACATGGAATCAATCGAACTGGCAAGTGACGCATCCTTCGCTGATAATCAAGATCGACGAAGCTCCGCAGGGTATATCTGCCAGGTTTATGGAGGTCCAGTTGATTGGAAGGCTACGAAGCAGCCTACTGTCACCACATCCACCACTGAAGCTGAGCTACTTGGTTTGTCAGACGCTGCACGCTCGCTGCAGTGGTGGAAGCGATTCCTCGACCGAATCTCGTTCAAACCAAGCCATACGATCACCCTGCGATGCGATAACCAACAGACCGTCACGTTGTTGACCTCCGAGCACGCCAAAATCGATACGAAGCTTCGTCACGTCGATATTCATGGACACTGGTTGAGACAAGAGATCAGCACAGGCAGGATTGATGTCAAATGGGTTCCAACTGCCAAGATGGTAGCAGATGGCCTCACGAAGATCCTACCGCGCCAGAAGCACGAGGATTTCGTCAAATTGATGCGCATGGAGGATATACAGCACCTAATCGAGGTGTAGAGAAGGAAGAAGAAGAGAGAGGGCCTGCTGCAGGAGATCAGCGCTCATCTCGATTGAATTCAACACTAGCGAAGATATTCAACACTCGCTAATCGCTGAGGGGGTGTGTCGGAACAGCAGGATGGGTGGATCCCCAGGGAAAAGGAAATACTAAAACACCCGCCTAGCTTAGTCATGTTTTTGCCCATACAAATTGTTAGCAAAGGGGCATCGTAGCAATTCAGACTTGTTGATATCCGATTGGTGCGCGGTATGATTTACTAAGCAGTATTCGCGACTTTAACTCGATGCTAACTTAGGCCGCTCTTTCGTCATCCAATTCCGGTCCGAACTTAACCTTAATGCACGGAAAGTTTATTTACTATTGGTAACTTGACACATTCATGACGATTTCAGCAAAGACAAAGAGCGTTATCATCAAAAGCTTACGGATCGTAGACCTGGGGATACCCGCGGGCGACCCTATACCGGTGACCGTCAGGTGGACAAACAGGACAAACATAGGAAGAAGAGACACGTTGTTTAACTATATTAAGAATGAGTCATTAGTTTTATTCGTGTAGTTTGAGTTAGTTTCGCAATATTTTGGTGTTGGCGGGTGGGGAAGGGTCCAAGATCTCCTCAGCCATTGGACCTTCCTGATGTCTACATACATGAGGAGCTAAAATTTACCACATGACTGATGCAGAACGGCTGTGACGCAGCCCTGCTACTAATGGTTGAACGTTGATAGAATGAGACGATAATATTCGGTCGATAAATTTAACTGTAAAATGAGCGACAAAGAATGGATAATTCTAGGCCAAGTCGACGAAATCCAGACTTTCTTTAGGGCCGGTTGGTTTAAAAATAATATACGCCACTGGTAACTATTGGTGAGAAGAGAATTTGATGTAATTGTGTAGCTTGAAATTCCTTTAAGTGTGTTTACGACCGTGGGAATCTACGAGCCTGTCCACCTCAAGCTAGTTTGTTACCGGGTTTATCTCACCGTCGATCATTTTCTCAGTTTCTCCTAATGTCCAATCAAAGTTAGCTGATCTAGAGACACTAGATCAATATTGCGATTTTCGCTATCGTTTAATGTCCGATGGTGAATGATACCGGTTGCATCCAAAGCGTCAAAACGGCGAAAACGGTCCTTTGCTTTCCGTCAACCTTTCATCATCACCAGTATCCTTGTGACCTAGACCTTACCTATGAGTTGATATCAGCCTTAGGCCCAAAACCCAAAAGAGCAAATTAATTACTCTAGTAGAGATGCCATTCTATTGATTTTTATTTTATACCTATCTATTTCCTTTTTAAAAATCATCCTATTTATGGAGATTTTTTGGGTCTTGTATCGGGGTCTGTGTGTCGGACTCAAACTTGCGACTTGGCGAACTCTATGTTTCTTCTCATCTTCTAGACTCTCATAGACCTTGGACTTATGTAGAACTACCGTCGTCATTCGGAGATAGAGGACGGTCGGCGGAGGGTTGGGAAAGGCTTCCTGCCTGCCCCGGGTTCTGGAAGCTGAGGATTCATTCTAATTCGTAGAATCACTCGTGTACAGTAGTATCCTCGCGGTCTTCATCAGTTGGTGGCTCTAGGCTGTCCTTAGCCCGTATCTCCGTTAGCTGTCTGATTCCTTCCGTGATCCTAGTGATAAGAGAGTGTCAGCCTTGGCTTCACAAGCGAAAGCAGGACTGTAGGGTTGCTCACAACGATCGTAACCTGTATTTGCCTTGGCGACATCTGGATACTAGGGAGCATTGTCCTGACATACGAGACAGCCTCTAACACTACCCCTGACTGTGCGTAGTGAGCGTTGAGCTTGTCGATATTGCCGACCGTCCCATTTGACGAGACGATGTCGACTTAGTTAGCGCGAGCAATTAGCCCTGCTCCGATCAACCATTGCGGACGCTGACACTGGAGAATAGCCAAAGGTGGGTATGACCAGCCTCGTGCAACATATGCATGCTGGACCCTACGGTGGTAATCAACTCCCCGAGAGATCGTTGCCACGGCTCTAGACGGAAGGGTCGAATGATCTCTGTCAGCCAAGCATCCTTCCATAGCTCCGTCTCCGTTGTGGTATGGACGTAATTGTAATCCGCTGAAGGTGCTTGATAAAGCAGTCAAACTGTGCGCCGAGTTCCTGCAGAGTTGTCATTCTGGTCGGGTTTGTATTTATCTCATGATTGAAACTGCCAACCTGAATGATTTAAATTGTGGCCTTATTGTACTCTTTAACAGGGATCGTAATACTTATAGAGACAATCTTACACTCTGCGACATCAAAAAAAGAGGAAAGGGAATGGAAAGGAAACAAAGTAAATAACAGCATAGACACAAATTCATGATAACATGTTAGAGATACCGCTTCAAAATATCCCTAGCGAAAACTGGGGTGGCTAGTACTAGCGTTTTACAACCCAGGGAGGTTCACTGTTTTAGAGATAATTTTCTCTGCATGTACGGCTAACGTGCTTAAAATTAGCGGCAGCCAATAAAACTCAGCTTTGGGACACTTACGGTGGGAAATACAAGGTGACCGGCAGATCAGTCCCCGACATACAGGTCACTGGTTGTGTGGGAGGGTCTCCCGGACACCAGATTAGAGACCCACATCCATTGGGCGCAACGGAGACACATGTGGGGAAGCCATTGCCGATGGGTTTTATAACATAATTAAATGTGCCTCGATCACCAGAAACATAACTGACTTCTACCTGCTCGTTAAATTTCACGTCCGCCACTGGTGCACCGGGAATATTAAGTTGTTGTCCTGGTGCCACGTCGTATTGAGACCCTTGTGGCTCTTCATCCACGTGGACGTTGAACGCCGCGCAATTGGACACAACAACGGTGCCGGCATTGGCGGGGTGGACCGGGGGGAGAGATAAGTTCCCCAGTAGGGAGTCGGGTTGCCTAAACACGGCAGCACGAGTGCACCGAGAGAGAGCCCGGAATACTTCATGTTGGCAGTTGCCTGAATGAATGAATATGAGCAATAATATACTTGTCAGTATAGGTAGGATAATCTTCAGAGATTAAAGAAGTACGTGTCTCATAGATAGCAGGTATTTATATCCTTGAATCCAAGTACGTAGGAATAGAATTGTATAAATGGTGATAAATAATGACCTCAATGAACCGTACTCATGATGTAAAACTTGTAGTTGGTCTTATTCCCACTTTGCCTATATGGACTTCAATGCATGCATGACATGACTGCCGCATCTAGGCTAGCGAAGTGGCAAACAAATCAGAGTTACTGGAGATCCTTAAAGTTTAGGAGTAGAGACTAGATATTTAGGGAAAAGTTTGAGTGATTTTCATCCGAAACCGTGGAAGAAGAGAAGTAGTTTGTTGAGAGCAGAATTAATTACCTGCAGTGGACATAAAAGTATGATTCTGCGTATAGTATAGGCTACTGGTTCCGGCAGAAACCTAAAGGTTAAAGGATTTCATTCTAACTTTCATATAATGTTTTTATTAATACAAACTGCCTTGAGTATAATACTGAGCTACTTTCAGCATCAAAAAGCAATATATTATATGCAAATTTTAATCCATTTAAAGGATTGTTTTAGCACGATACAACATAATATCATGTAATTTAGATATCCTAGTGCGTAAATATATATCTCTCTACCGTTACTCATAATATTTTTCCGAGCCGCACTAGTAGGTTAGAGATACTATTTAGACTATAATACTAATATCTTACTTAGAAAATTCATAGTTGTTAAGACATAGCGTGGTCTCTGTGGCCCACTCGCTCGTGAATAACGTTAAGTTGTGGTGTCCTTAGCAAAGTGTGGTGCCACTAGCAATTCCCTGCAAACACAGGTTGAAGGCCCATCTCAAAATACGACGTCGCAAACAGCATGCGAAATTCATTGTCCGATCATCGAAACTAGTTGTTACCGGCCTGGACTCATTCTTGAAGACGATTTCTTGGCCCCTTGTCCGAAACGGATATGCTATGGTTGTTGAATGTTTTGTCTGATCTTTACAAAGTGACTTCGGAAGGCGACGGTAGGTACCGTTTACCAACCGGATTACGTTCAATTGGGAAATTCCTCGGGGGGAAATTGAGTGTCGTGCCGCAATGGAATTTTTGTTAAGGCCCTTAAGCTAAGCAGGTTAGTTTGGCCCGTCCCTTTCTGCGGGATGGGTTGGTAGGGCGAAAAATCACTATGGTGTATGGGCGATCACTAGCGGGTCCCCCCAGTTGTAGTGTTTTCCGTTCCCAGCAAACTCACATCAGATCAATCCCGCCGAAATTAGAACTTTAAATAAGAGGTTGAGCCAACCGTGGTTCGCAATCACCCAATGCACCTTCACTCCTAACATTTAGGTTCGGGTCACCCCGACTCAGCCGAGCGGATCGTTTAGACGCCGAACAAGAGCAATGTTTTAGACCAGCTCGAGCCATGGGACAGACACTTCTGATCTACGATTTGTGATAAATCACATGATAACCTAAAAAATATTTCATCCAGTAGTTTTTACGCCGGAAACGGCAGAATATTCAGTAGTCCTGGATGTAATTGCAAGTTTTCCTGAATCTAGACGGTTCGATAGACTTGTCACCTACTAAGTAGCATTGATTGTCTAGGTCTTCTAATGCTAACAAATATTAACCCATAGCATTTAGTTTTAGGTTGCTTTCACAACTTCCCATAATTTATTTCGGTTTTGACTTTACCTCAATTGGATACCAGCTATAAATCTATTTCTGCAATGTATTGTGTTTGGTCATACTCCTTCCTTATTTGTACCGCCCAGTTCATTTTGTCGGATCACAGGATATCCGTACGCATTCGTACTGAGGGAACCAATTGAGGTGATTTATTGAAGAACTAAGATCGAGTTTCTGACTACCATATAGGGATCGAGTACATGCTGAATAATCATGTTCCGAAGGGTGCTAACTAGCGGTATTTGACCAGTCCCTCAGTTCGACACATTTTAAGCATATTGAGACTGCTAACAAATCCGGACACGTCGGTTATTAGAGATTCAAGCTCTTTCAGTAATGTCATTATTACGTAGGATGGATAAGTTACGAAATGTAATCACTCCGCGCGAAACCTAGGTTATTTCGTATGGGTCGTCATAACCTGAGTCTTTCTATAAACTTAAGCACCGAGCTACATATCCGCTAGTCATGAAGAGCCAAGCTACAACAACAGGGAATTCGCTGTTCAGGGTGAGTCGGCGATCGGCGGCAAGAGCCTTATTCAGCATGTGCTTCAAAAGGAAGGTAAGGATGCCGAGGTCGATGAAGTGGGAGCCGACAATGTGCAGAACGCCTTGATGTATCTCCTCTCCTGATGATCAAAGTTCCCAAGTCCATAAGGAGGGCTTTAGGATAACTTTCACACGTTTGCACACTAAACCACTCAGTAGGTCTGGTCGACAAAGAATCTAGATGCCGATTGTAGATGACTCTATGGTATCAGTAATAGTACTGAGTGCTGATATCAATATACATTAAGTGGCAATATACTAATACTGCCCCAAGATACCGACTTAAACCACTAATATAAAACAGGCTCGAAATCTCCATAATAGTGACCAACAATTTTCACCTTAAATTCTATTATTAATTCTGCCTTTCTTACCTTCCCACCTTTCATACTTCCTAATATCTACGCTCATATCATTCCCGTTTCGCCATCTCATAATGAACCTTCTACTTCCCCTCCTAAGTTTTATTTACTCCTTCCAGCCAGTTGCTTGCTGGGGAGATCTAGGGCACCGCACTGTCGCCTACCTTGCCCAGAAATACCTTAGCAATGAGGCAGCACAGCTCGTAGATGTTCTCCTGCCTAGTAGTAACGGGGAGGATATCTCAGATGCGGCAGTTTGGGCTGACGCAATAAGACCCCACTTTCCATTTACCAGGCCATGGCATTTCATTGGTATATTGCAGCAATCACTCCACTACCAATACTAAAAACTAATCGCAATAGACGCCTTGGATCATCCACCCGAGTCCTGTCAAGTGTCCTTTACGTCGGATTGTGGTAGTGCTGGATGCATAGCATCCGCTATTCAAAACATGGTAAATATTGAACCAACCGCTACTCAAATGTAGGTCCGTAGAGCTAACTAGGTCACAGACAAATCGGATTAACGATGATAAGCTAGATAAGGATGAACAAACCGAAGCTCTTAAGTTTCTCATTCATTTTCTCGGTGACATACACCAGCCGTTGCATGTGGAAGCATTGGATCGCGGAGGTAACGAGATCCATGTATGCTTCGACGGTCGGTGTGGCAGAGACGAGAACCTCCACGGTATCTGGGATACAGACATTCCTCATAAAATTAACGGCCTAAAGCATAATCTAAAACATAATGAGGAAAAAGAGCCGGCTGCACAATGGGCAGCAACCCTCTTTCAGACAAACAGGTTCAGGCCTCGTCATGCAGAGTGTTCAGACATTCAGAATCCTTTGGAATGTGCTATGCTGTGGGCAAGGGAGACGAACAGACTGAATTGTGATTACGTCTTGAAAAATGGCGTCAACTGGCTCGAAGACAATGATCTTGGTGGTGCTTACTACGTTGGTTCTGCCCCTATTGTGAACGAACAGATCTACAAAGCCGGAGTCCGCTTGGCCACATGGCTAAACGCTCTGGCAGCACAAAGGTCATCAATGGGTAAGCTTGTTAAACAAGGCGGAAAAGGGAGAGCTTGTTTTGAGCTCTGAATCTCAGTTACATCGAGTCTGCAGAATTACCTGTGAAACCAATCTTTGCTCCATCCAGCCTTTTCTCTGTTCCGGAGCGAAAAAGGATGGAGAGAGGGATGGGAAAACAGACGGAGGATGTGATGGCCAGGGAAAAGTGCTTTTGGTTACAGTATTTAACAAAGTTCGATTCTCTATTTTACCTTCTGAAAAGGATTTCATGAATTTCAGTTTACCTTTACTCGAAATTTTACGAATGGCGGCAAATACCACGGTTTCATCGATTTGATTTCTCAAATTGCTGATTACCCATGCAAAGTCTGTCATAAGATTATATTACTTCGTTGCCTCCGGATCATTAGGGGCAGCATTTAGCTCAGTGTCCTCGCTAAGCACTTGAGTTATCTCATCGTAAGGGGCTGGTGCGACCCAAATAAGATCAAAACGTGAGTCTGGGTATTGAAGCTTGCCAGACCAGCCACTTCTCTCCGCAAATCCTTTTATGCCAATAGCTTTTGCGATATCGGAGAGGTTATGATGTTCCCAGCAAATAAGGACATTTCCGGTTCCTTTATAGAGTTTCGCTGCCTTAGCGACTCCTGCAGCATCGTCTCGGTGAATATCTGAGTTGACTTTCACACCCAAGTCTTGGGCCAAAAATTGCACAGTTTCATACGGCCGTTCCTCAGAACCGTCTAGATACTTTCGTTAGCTTGACATAACCACAGAAGATTCGATTCGCAAAAGGCGGGTGATATGTAGCGGATAGAGACCGTCGCAAAAAGAGAACCGAAGGTGGAAGGAGTAGCTCAAACTTTTCTTAGGATGTTCGGCAATGATACACCCAATATTATATCCACTTTTCTTTCCGAAAACTTCGCGAAGGCGCTGCGCTCTTGCTTCTCCCTGGGCAGAGAGATCAGGAGGCCCATTACAAGGCTTTTCGCCATGTCTAATCATGTAGATAATTGGTGCAGTCTGCATAAGGATCCAAGGCCGTCAGGAAGACTCCTCAAGATACATATATAAGGGAGTGAACTTACCATCATAAGCAGACTTTCCGATCAAAGTTGACTGGCAAAAGGAGATGTGCCCAGCAAAAAAACGATTACTCGTGGGGACGGGAGTTCTTAACAGATTACTCTATATTAAAGGGATGGATGTATGATATATCTGGAGGTAAAAGTAGCATGAGTATCGGCTATTGCCCAAGTCTAAACAACATGTCCTCTGCGATGAGCCTTCTACTGTTCTAAAGTTTAATGTTATACTGCCCCGCTTTCGGAAATGGGTTACGGGAACTTACTGGTCTGGACGAGTCGCCGCGCCCAATAATAATATCGTGTACTAAAGTGTCAAATTAATCCAGCTATGGTGTAATGGTGACACCTTTATTAAATATTTAGAATCAAGGATTAGGAATGAAGTAACTTGGACTAGACCCATGTTTACTCGACCAATGACGTGCCTCTGTGCGTTATAGTATTGAGTAATGGGGTGCTTTGCTGGCAGTGGGAATTAGATCTAGACCCTACCTCAGCAAAATTAACTCAAATTTCACGCAAGGTTAATATACCCTCTATATATCTACCCATACAAAAAATTCATTGCTGCGCCCAGATATATCTAGCGTGGTTCTATGCCGAGCGATGTAAATTATACTGGTATAGGATGATCCAACTTGTTTGTTATCTTGACAGACACTTCCTGTCGGTATAGCTCCACATTTGATACCGTAGCATCCAGACCATCTAGAAGCCCTGAATTTCGAATTGAAAAAAATAATAGATCAGGAGCCTTGATCATGGGCATTGATCATCCGTACAGTGAGATCATTTATCGGTGAGGTCATGAAGTTCAGGTGAATTATACCTGGTAGCAACTGAGATATAATATCTGTGGCAAAGAGTATTCATGTCCGGGAAATTAGACCACTTAGACCGAAACTTCCTTCGCCGGGGCTGAATACGTCTTAATTCGCAAATTGGTACTCAAGGTAATGCGATTTTGGAATTCAGTTGCCATATATTCACTTGGTTCGGCCGACCATGGTTCGCGTTGACACAATGAGCATATATGGCTAACATTTAACGTCCGGTCACCCGACCAGGATAATCTAGCCCGCCGAATCACAAGTGTGCCTAGGAGAACATCGGCCTTTGATATAACCAATTAAGAACAAAGAAATAATGCATCCATCAGTTACTTTGTCGCAAACAGCAAAATATCTTATAGGAAGTCGTGACGCAACTTCAAGCTTCCTGTATCTAGACTATTAGGATTTACGTATAGTGTATGATCGTGTAATGTGAAAGTTTTAATCTCGCCAGTTAATTGTACGATATAGGTGATCACATAATATACAGTGGGATCCATTGCCTATTCCGTATTTCATCTTTTAAATAATGAAATATTACTATCATACTAGCACCACCGTCTGTCTATTTACAGTATCTAATAACTATTTTCGCATTGTCATCGGCAGTTAATTACCGTGGAAAGAAGGCATTTAGAGCCGAGGACAGTATATTCATGGGCTCCATGTACGTAGCATATAAGCCTGCCCAGAGCCTAGGTATCCATTAGCAAATAGATATAACATGTTAGTAAGTGTATACTATGGCTGACCCACCCCAAGAGAGATCTCTTGAAGAATCTCCAAATTATGAGCATTATCAGCTTTTCGAGGCAGCAACCGCTGGCATCGGCGAAAAGCTTAAATCTCAGAAGCGATCCCAAAGAGCTCAGTACGAACTATTCAACATAGTATTTGACTTGCTTACAATTACGCAAGTCCTCATAGGGGCTGCTATCACTGCTCTCGGCCCATTAGGGGGTCAGCATATGCTGCAAATCACAATTCTCGGGGCATTCAACACAGCAATTGCTGGGCTACTGGCACTACTCAAAGGTAGAGGTCTTCCGCAGCGGCTGAGGAGGAATATGTCCGAGCTAGCAAAAGTGCTCGATCACATCGAAAATCAGGCAATCCTATTACAATACGGCAGCAAGAAAACTTCACGAGATGAGATCGATGCCCTTATCCAATCCGTTTTTTACCGATACGCCACTGCGCAAGACATCATTGAAAGAAACCAGCCAGATACATACACAGACGCAGACTTATCCCAAACCCATGCGAGAGCTACTGAGGTGGAAGTTTCTCCAAGTCAACCGGCCGACAATAATGTTATAAATGGAACTCGGCGTACAGCGGATGAAGAAATGGGAATGGGTGAAGCCCCCATAGTGTGATTATAAAGACAGTGTGAGAGGCATGATTCCGCTCGTACCACGCAATACTCATGTTCTTATTAGGAGAGTTTATAACTACTCAACAGGGCTAATCGGCCGGCATGGGCATCATGGCAAATTTTCATGGACGATGTTAGGATATACAGGCCAGGGTATATTATCCTGGCCGTCGCGCCTATAGTTCCATACGACGAATATCTTCTAACTAGATTTTGGCTACGTTCTCTTTAGCTGAGCGATCTACTCGCCAGCGGAAGTAGTCATTGATAAAGGCCGATACGCCACCACGAAAGCTGACCGGTTAGTTGACTAGGTCGGAGTTGAAGAATATGAACAGAATAGGTGAGAGGGGCAAGCCCTACGCTAATCCCCCGTTGACTAGCAGGGCGACCTCGGTACAGAAGTCATCAGATCCTATACTAGCAAAGCGGTCCCTTATAAAGCTCGCAATCCGCTCTAGCGACGGCTAGGATTCCCTTTGCTCGGAGGCGGGCGTTAATGTTAATTTTATTGACTCCGTTAAAGGCTCGGTTCAGATCGAACGCGATAAGTGCTACTACTGCATATTTATACTAAGCTTAATGGCGTTAGAAAGGACTAGCAGGGCTTGTTCAGCGGTCCTGCCCGGTTGCCCTCTAAATTATGTGTTGGGTAGTAAGCCGTGCTTCTCGGGGAGGTACGATACTCAAGAAGTTTACCGAGTGTGTTAAGGAGTGAGATCGGGTAATAGGACCTAGGGATCGAGTAGTCCGGCTTCCTAGGTTCCGTAACATCACAATCTTTGCTACCCGCTATCGTCTCGGGTAGTTCCCTAGATCGATTGATGCTACAAAAATTCTAGTGATAAGCTTTCCTAGATATTCTATAAGCGTTTTCACATAAGCGTCGGTATACCGTCTTCGCCAGGTGCCGTAGAGCTTTTGGCTGCCTTAAGAGATCACTAGATTTCTAGTTCCGTGATTAACGACTAGGGTAGCTCTGACGGGGTCTAGACTAGTAGATCTTCGTTAGGTTAGTCTATCTCAGGGAGAGGAACGGCTATGTCCCTGGAGCCTACAAGAAGGAAGACGCTGTTCGAAACAAGGACAGAAAACTTCCAAGGACCAAAAAATTACACCAAAAAAACAGAGTGATTCTCGCGGTATGCAATCTTGGGTAATTTTCTGGCCCGCCTGCCAGAGCACGCACTTGCTCAACAGTATGTATTGTCCCTCGTGTACTCGTGATGTGTCGTGCAAAGTTTTGGGTGACACCCCAGTACCATCAATACACGCGCCCCAATAAAGCCCCCAGACGACTCTGCCGATGCAGCCCTTGGTGCATGTCATGGAGGTCATTTGACTTTAAATTCATGTTCACTGCATAGACCGCATATTGATAGTTAATGCTGTTGCCAAGGAGCGTTACTTGCGATATCCGTGCCTACTGCCCACCCAAACCGCTTCCCGCTTTGGGTGCGCCCGCAATCCTGACCTTTCTGGTTTCCTGACCTTTTTCCTACCAGTAGTCTTCTACTAGCCAATTCAACCACCAACCATGCCTAAATCTATCAATTTTGATGAATCTTGCATAGCCGAGGCCTGAAAAGTGGTCTTATCCCAAAAAAAGCCGAATTTTACCAAGATTGCACATGAATTCGGCGTGGATCGCAAGACCCTGACCAGACGCGTCGAAATGGCTAAATCGCCTGCTACACCTACTAAATCGCTGAAAAATATCCTGGAGCCACATCAGGAGAAAGCCTTGATCAACTGGATAGTCCAGATGCATAACTGGAACCTCCCACCTACCCCTGCGGTAGTAGGCGCATGGGCAAATCGCGTACTGGCGCGATCGGGCCAGCCGGATAGGCAGGTTGGTAAAAATTGGCCGTACGCCTTTAAAAAGCGTCTACCAAAAAACCTTGGCCTAGGCCCTGTGAAGCAAAAGACCAAGGAACTAAGGCGAATCCAAGCGGAGGATGCAGGGCTTCTTCAGCACTGGTACGACCTACTAGAACGTGTTCTCCATAACGTCCCTGCTCGGCTAGTATACAACTTTGATGAATGCGGGTTTCAACCTGGTCAAGGGCGATCGCGAAACGTTACTGGGGCTAAATCATCTTGCCCTAACCTGCCAGAAACAGAGAGAGGCGAAAATATCACTGCACTAGAGTGTATTGCTGCGGACGGCTGGCAAATGGATCCTCCCTCTATATTCAAAGGAACTGGCCAAAATCTTATGGAGGCCTGGTTCTACCTTAGCGAAAATCTCTCACCAGACACGATGACGGCTATCTCTCCAAATGGCTGGATTTCTGATAACTTAGCCCTAGCCTGGCCAGGCTATTTTATCCAATCAACCGCTCATCGTGTAAATCGGGGCAAAAAGCGCGTTCTTATATTCGACGGCCATGGGGCGCATCTTACACTCGAATTTCTTCAAACCTGCGAGGATAATCATATTATCCCATTCGCATTTCTACCGCATTCAACACATCATTGCCAGCCGCTTGACGGAAAGCCCTTTCTGAATTATAAGCAGCAATTTCGGTTGATAAATAATGAGCTGGCTTTCTGGGGCGGCCAGCCGTATGGGAAATCGGATTTCCTAGCGATTATCGGTCCAATTCGCCGCAAGGCCTTCTCGCAGCGAATTATCCGCGATTCCTTTAGAGAGCGTGGGATCTATCCTGTTGATGGTAGTAAGATTGTGACAGATCTGAATAATCAAATAGAAATCCCTGATCTATATGCCCCAGATCTTCGCTCATGGGGGTCGCATACACCATCGCCACCACCTAATCTCTCGTCTTCTGTTGAAAATAGCCCTCCGAAATCTATTGAAGCACTACAAAAGAACCAGGCGAAGATTACTAAACACCTCGAGGGCCTATCAAATAAGATGCAGCGAAATCTATTGAGGTTGATGGCGCACCAGCGGGAGATAGCGGAGGAACTTTCGATGACGCGGGATACAATTCAGCGTATGAGGGCCGCGCAAACTCCAGTACGTCGAAAATACACCAAGCGACAGGTAAAACCACTTAGCCAAACCGGTATATTGACTACACGCGATGCGAATCGATCGATTAAGACCAGGAAGGAGGAGGATTTAGCCAAGGAGGAAAGGAAGCTAGCCAGGCAGTTCAAGAAATTGTATGGCTACGAACCCACACAGCGGTCGGAGGAATCTATTCAGCGGGCAATTGCAAACGAGGAAGCGGCTAGGCAGGCAGGAGAGCTTTTTTTTATTGATAATTAGCTAGTTGGGTGGTAAATTTGACGATTTCTATACTAAAAGGTCAGGAAACCGGAAAGGTCAGGAATGTGGGCGCACCCAAAGCGGGAAGTGCTTTGGGTGCGCGAAGGCACGGATACGCGGGAACGCGGGAATCGATGGTTTGTGGAGGCTGTGGTGCTCGTTCAAAGCACGCAAAAATTAGCTTCGTTGGAACGAACGGGTCGGGCTTGTCCATTAGCCGCGTCTCATGTGATTTCTCCAATGAGTTGGAATTGATTTCCGACTTTGAGAGGAACAACGTAGGAATTAATGGAAAGCCAGGCGGACGAGTCCAACAATGATGAGCACGTCATCCTATCTAGTGAGATTCTCCTTTGTCCCTCCTGCTCTACTCGAATTCACCCTTGTTCCCGTGGCTTTCAGCAAGACTTCTTCGAGATACACGGGGCATTCAGAGAAGAGGGGGGCCATGAAATGGATGCGATTGGGCTGAGCGGGTAATTTACGATCGGCATTGGTTTCTCCACCTGCATTGTTCGTCTTTCTGATAACCCCAATCTTGACATCTCTCGCCTGTCCCCTTCGCAACCCCTCTTGACCTGCCAGCACCGTCTTCTCTCTTCCTTTGTGGGCCTCATGGTTAATAAATTCCGGTCCATGTTGGGCGGATAATGTGGCGATTTACTTGTAGAGCTTGAGGAACTGGCTTCATATTGCCCGGAATTAATGAGGAGGAAAAGGTTTCACGGCGCCAACTCCGCGCTCGACTGTAACTTCTACCTGGACAATTTGTGTCTAGTACCACCCGTGACTCATGAGAATCTGGCCAGTTGGCCTTGGTGGCAGTCGTCGTGTGCAACCAATCCCCCCGTCATATTCTGATTTCTACTTATAGTATCTATCTCCGCAACGTGGGGCTCGCTCCATGATTGATGCTTTGAAACGGGCCCTAACGACTATGGTGAGACACCGTTGGCCAACAGGGGCCGTCGCTTTGGCGCTGTTGGTGATGAAGTTTGCAGCTTTTATGGTAGAATCTCTAATAGACATCTCAAGATGCGAATTCAGTAATTAGCCTGGAGATGTGGGCCTGGAGAGGGGAAAACCAGGCCATAGGTCTCGTGTCGGCCACGCTCCAATATACTTTGTACTGAATAAGAAATATTTTCTCCAGTGCAGCCCTGTCGCATACATCTTCCGGGAAGCTTTCGCACTTGCTCAATATTCTGATCTGTGAATAGGGTGCTTCCGAAGATGGGCTAACCCTTTGGAATATCACTCTCAAGCCAGAAGCTTAAATAAATACCGGTCTTAATCGCAAGTAAAGCGCATTCAATTGTATGATGCTATCGATTTACTGCGTATTCGAAACATGGCTAACAGGAAGAAAACCCGTACCGACTTCAGACCACAGTATGTTCGCCGACTGATCACGCTAACTCGAGCACAGGTGAAATTACCCCAAACGCCCCGCCCCACAAGGCAGAAAACCAGGACAACCAGTCAGACTGCCTGCAGCCACGGGGTGACGTGCAGGGATCTACCCGTCCAGCGCGTGCGCGAAACGTGCGCCATGCAGCCCGAACCGAATTATGAATCCTCTGAAGGCGAAAGCATTCCAATTGACAAACTTGAGAGCGGGAATGCAGCCCCAGGAGTCTCGCGGCCTCATGTATGTTGCCGATTTCCACAGCTTTCCTTCGCCTGCCTCGTCGAGAAACTGTCTCCAATGCGATGTCTTGGCCTTCTCGATTGTCTGCGTCCACGCTCGCCGCTTCTGGCGCATGTCTTCGAAGAGCGATATGGTGTGAGGGTCATCTCGTCCCGCCTCGGCACAGCTCTCTTGCCATTTGCGTCGTGCACGGTTTACTTCTTTTTGCTGAGATTTTAGATCGGGGGTGAACCACCGCTTAGCATACGGAGACGGTCGCATGTTCGGAGTGTGACAGTCAACCGCTTTCGCGGTTTCCTCTATCAGCTTTTCCACCGTGGCATCTAGTGCCTCGATCGTGTTCGGGGTCTCCCAGGGTCTCATGAGTCTCCACACCTCCCCTCTAATCTTTCCCCAGTCGGCTCGGTTATAGGCTTTTCTTGCCATAGCGGGTGGGTTACGCTGTGTTCGGAGGTTCTATTCTGAATAGGTTGCTCGGTGGTCGGAGCTATAGTTGTCGTGGTAGAGATGGCATTTAGTGAGTAGGTCGGGTCTGTCGGTCACGGTTTGGTCGATGGTGGAGTTTCTCCCTGGGTGGCTAAGCGACCAGAAGGTCGCGGTACCCCAGGGTAGACAGCTTTGAAGGCCGTTGATGTGAAAGAAGTCGATTAGCTCGCCGGCGTCCTCGACGAATCGAGGTTGAATGTGGTTGCCGCCCCACGCTGGGTGGTGGCGGTTGAAATCTCCAGAGATAATAAGGCAGGCGCTCCTGCTGTCTTCTTGGAAGGTGTTTCGTATCGTGTCTTGAATTGCTGATAAAACCGTTGCCGCCGATGCTTCCTCGGGCGTGTGCATCGGCACAGGTGGAATGTAGACCGAGAAGATCAAGATTTGGGTGTCGGCGGTCCAAATCTTGACTGCCGTCAGATCTGGGTGGTTGCACGGTACCTGCCGGTGAGAGGACGTTGAAAGTTTCCGGTTGACGTAGATGAGACTTCGAAATCGGACTGAGTCGCTCTCTACCGTCGGCCGGTAGAGCCGCTATGCACTGTGGTTCACGTGTGTTCGGTATGCGCTGATAGATGGTTCCTGGATAAGGAGCACGTCTAGGTCTTGGGTCTGGTGATCGTTGATGAGGGCCTCTATGCCCGCCCTCGATTTCATGATGTTTAATTGAAGGATTTGGAGGTTGTGTCTCAACATTGTGAAAGGGGCGTGTTGGCAGGCTTCGAGCACAGGGAGTCCCCGGTGGCATGTTCATCGCCGCAGTCCAGGCAGTGGGCTCTAATACCCGCTGGGCACCGTGATCGTTTATGTTGGCCGCCGCAGTGGCCGCCCCGGGGATCTTCTTTGCACGACCATGCTAGGTGGCCGAACCCTTGGCAACGGAAGCACCGCTTCTTTTTGATTTCGCACTTCTCCACCCTTCCGATATACCGCTGGTCGATCAGGAGGCCGTTGTCAAGCATCCATTGTGCCGCCTCCGCTGAGTCGAACCATATGCCCATTGAGGCAAATGTCCCCAGTATCTTGTCCTTTTTCTTCAGCCAGGCGATATCCTCGATTCGGAAACCGCGTTCCTGGATGTCGTTTTCGTCTGTGATCTTCTTAATCGCCGCTATTTTATCTCTTCCGAGATCCAAGTCTTGTGTTGGGATATGGTGCACGGCGACTCCGAAGCGCGGTTTCAGCAGAAAGGTAAGCACGAAGCCGAAGAAGGCAGATGAGAAAACAAATGAGAGCAATTCTTGGCAGGAAAGAGGACGAACCAGCGTCGAGATCTGCAAAGATCTGCAAAGATTTTGGCAGTGGGAGTCCAGCAAAATTTCGCGGGCAGGTCGCGCAGGGTAGTATACCCTTTCACTACGTTCCTTCGTTTCAGGGCAAGGCTGATTGATTGAAGAAAGAACGAATATCATGGGGCAGGTTGAAATACCCCATGGATGGATAGGTACACGGTGTTACGACAGCCGTAATGCCCAGAATACCAAATTACTATACAAAACACAAAGGAAAGTGGGTCACTCGGTATAACCTCTGTCTAGTGGTAAGTTACCACCATATGACTCGACATCATCTTACTTTGATTCTAGGCTGGCCGGGTATAGATTCAACGGCCACCTTTTACGGACCTTCCCTTCGTGTGTTCCGCCATGGATCCTGGTGAAGACGTAATCTCCTTCGTGAATGGCATTGCCATGCTTATCAGCAATATAAGGGACCATCTTGTTCGAATGTACCGAGTGACTTTGAAAGTTGTGAGATTTGAGGAGTCGAAAGCATATAGAATTTTTAATTTTGCCCTCGAGTAAAAAGACCCCGTCCTTGGTTGTTGATGTGTAGCTAGAGACTGGTGGGGATCAGCGTGTAATATCCCTTCTACCATAGGTAAATTCCCATTCCGACATCACTTATTACCCTCTTCCTTTGTTACATTTTCTGACGTCTGCATGGCCTTTGTATTTTGGTTTCCCTTTCCCCACAAGTAGAGAACCCCTCCAACCCCAGCGGCAAGAGCCCCCCATACCCTGAAAACAAAAGAGCCACCTTAGTATTTCCAACGCCAAATGACACGTTATGTAGACAAACAGGCGGCGAAAACTCACCAGAGTGGCGTCGGACTGCTATCTGTGCGCTCATTGGGCGAGGACGAGAAAGTTCTCCTGTGATCATTCCGTAAGGCTCGGAGTTTTGTAACGGTTGAGTTGCACTGTTTTGCGCCCACTACACGAGTCATATAGTGGCGGATGAAATACATCTCAATGGGTAATAATTGATAAATGCGATTTAGTAACAGTGCCTTGTCTGGCTCAGACGCTGGGGGGCTCCAAGCTCTATATGTATGGGATGAGGTTAAACCATGACATCATGTTAGCTCCATTACGATTTTCGAGGGTCTTCATCAAGTCCTGCGTTTTGGGACTGGTAAAATGTCAAGTGGATAATAAACCCTGGTTATACTACCAAAACTATAGTTTGGTCAGTACTGCAGGAATTGTTTCGAGGATGACTATCCTGGTTTTCGGTCCTCATGGTGCAACAGATCCATATGATCTAGAGCAGAATGACTTGTTATGATATCATCACTTTTAATTAACCTGCAATTTGATAGGTTGAAAGGAGACCACTATCCGAAGACCTGCGGTCGGGCACCTCTTTATGTTCTTCCCCGTTGCGCAGCCGACCACCTCAGGCTCTCTTCAACCCGACCAAGGCAACTAAGCAGTCCTCTCGTCCCGCAGTCGTTTGCCTGTGCAGAGCGGACGGATCTGTTGCTGCAGTTGGATTCGAGATAGCCTCATCCAGTCTAGGTGACGACTCATTGCGATCGGTCTTCGGGATTGTGTTATGTGTGCTGTCTCTCCAGGTGTTACATCACCGCCCATCTCTACCCTTCTGTGTGTTAGATTTTCAGACCAATGCACCCATCAAATTGGTGATTCACCGATCGTTTCCTTTCTCCTGATCAGCTTGCCCATCATGTTATTTCGACTTATCACCATATATTGAACCATGTAGCCTCCGCGTATGCCTTATCTTACATCTATAGCCCCAGGGATTTGCTCCGTCCAATATTAGCAGACGAATAGTCAAGTGACTCCGCCCCAAGTGTATTTTTGAAAAAGCGAAGTGGGAGTAAAATTTTATGTCGTGGCATCATATCCGTACGCAATTCTTTGAGGATTCCGGTCTGAGGAATGCAATTGGAAGATTAGGAGCGGAACCTTCAGAAGCGGCTGATGTGAGAATAATGACATCATGACGCTTGAGTAGATTTATATATGCATGACTTTCTGCCCTGCAAAATTGACTCTTTCTACTTAGCAATCACTATCAAGTATCACCATAACCATGACACCACCAACATCAGATACCCCCTCCTACTGTACTGCCGACTTCTCTTTGATCCCGGTAAGCCTATCGTTGCACCCGCTTTGCTCCGCAGGCAGGGAGGCCATCCATGTACCGATTCCTAATGAATTTACGTGAATACCTCAAGATTGGATCTTCGACGTCATCATTCGCTCATGAAATTGCCGGTGTCCAACAGCTTGTCCGAGAATCGGGTTTGAAGTCTGAGATGCATCCTACTGGTACACTTGTTGGTAAATATCCCACGATTGTCTTTCGGTCTGCCTTGAACTCGGCGATGCGTTGAAGCGATACGTTGACGGCAAATTCCATAATGGGTAAACACTAATTACTTTTCTTAGAAGGGCCATGGGACCTTGTTGTCCAACTGATCGGTACTGCTCATACTCTAGTGCATCATAGCGGTATACCGAGAATTCAGACTGATGTTCGAATAATGACAAGGTATGGTCTAATAAAAGGTTCGCTGTGTCGGACAGATCATTTTCTGATGATTTTTACAACACAGAACCGATAAAGTGGAGTCGGTCGAAGAAGGCATGGAGGAGGTTGAAAAGATTCTTTCCGCTGAAGTGTAGATCGTGCGATGGTCACATATATTGATGCCTTATAGGGCCTGCTGCCGCAGGCATCTAGTTGATATTTAGGTCTCCTCTCGCTCTCTCGCCATCTCTCCTTCTTTCTTCCCTGTCGAGGATAGTGGAGCAGTTACTTACAGTTGCCTCCTATTGGTTTCTTCTGTACCCCACCCCTCCCTGTCTTTTGTATGTGTCGAGGATAGTGGGGTAGTAAAATACACCCGAAATAGTTTAGTTTCATTTTTGTCTTGATTTCTTTATTTGTAGGAGGGGATTCTCTACACTCCGAGAATCAGTGGTTTTCAACCGCCCTTTCCCTATCAGTTAAGCGAGGACACCATAACGTGTCCTCGCAGCATCCGCGCTTCTCTTCTTTTCTTCAACTCAATCTAATTCATCTCATCCTTTTGGATTGGTTCCCTTTGGTAGACTAGCCCTATCTTTGCGTACAATGCCGTACTGTATCAGCTTGCTGTCACAGTATGTGATCATGGGGTTCCGAGACAACACTCACAAAGTCACTCTCGAGTATCCCATGGGTCTTCCAAGACAAGGAGGAATTGTTTCCATCCACATATCAACTATGAACCAACTCTGCAGATGGGTATTTAACATAACCCTCTGCCTGCCATTCTTTTGATCTCAATCAATCAATTCTATCTGTCAATTCTACCGATTTGTTTCCCTTCCACATGAGAGCCAGCAGTGCAACCATTCCGAAGGGTTTTCAGCTTTCTCCCAAGTTGCGGAGAATTTCAGGTTGTCAGTTCAAAGCATCTCTTCTCAAGAAAAGAATGCTCGATTGGCATTGGCTGGCCTATGTTCGTCCCACAATTTGCACATCGACTCTAGCCGTGCAGGGAGCGCCGAATAAGAAATTTCGGTTACCTTGATGAATAGAAATCTGAATTATCGTCACAATGAGGGAGTTGTCTATATGGCAGTTGATGAAAAGTGTTCCATAAGCCTGGAATGCGAGGTAGTTCTACAAATATTATACCCTTCAACTGGGAATATGTGTCTTCGAGCTTCGCAGTAGGATAGACCTCTGATCAAAAAGAGTTTGCTTCAAAAGGTACCATATGAGATTACACGTCCCTGACCGGTTTCTGGTAAATGTTTCTACTTATGATCCCACCCCTCCGCGGCAATCCGCAAATGGTATAAGACCTCAGTTCCCTCATTTGGGTCTGTTCCGTTTAGGATCGTGCCAATCAATACGCCATATGTATAGTAACTTTGGAGCTGACAATTTCGGGATAGCGTTGTCTGGGACATAGTACCTACCCCACCTATCTTCATGTCCGTGGACGGAAGTACTGTGTTCTAAACATAATGAACGGTGACTGTACAGCTAAATTCGAAACTGCCTTCCATGTTTTTCACAGAGAAACCATGTCAACCCTAACGCCAAGGCGATGGTGAAACCTCCGAGTCCCGATTCAGCTAGCTTGCAGATCACTAGTACTGGTCAGGAGAGAACCGTAAATTATTTGACGAGACCAAAACGCCACCGTCCTTGAATCATGCGCGTTTCATTTAATTAACCAACACCAGCAAGCCCATCTCCCGTTCGGAGACGTGAGATCAGTGGATGTTCATTGGCGATGATGTCACATGATAGCGGGGCTAAGAATATGTTCCTTACCTAGCTCAGCATCGTCCTCTAAGCAAGATACCGAATACTTTTACATGGCATCTTGACTATGGCCTCGGTATCATACGGTGACGCGAATTCGGGATTGCAGGTGGGAGTCAATCAAGGGTCGATATACGTGTCACAAGGTGGATCTAGGACCTGCGAACATAATCCTGGTGAGTCGTGCGAACTAATCGTGGACTTTATTTCTAGAGCGATCGGAACCCCGCCCTGAACCTCTATCGACGGTACCGTTCCCGCGCGACCCAGACTTTGTTGGCCGCAATGAAACCCTTGGCCAAATTCATGAGAAAGCATCGATAGCAGGATCTAGACTCGCTCTTGTTGGTCTTGGCGGCATTGGGTTAGAGCAACACGGTCTAAGGACAGCCTCTCGGATGCTGACTATATAGTAGGAAAACGCAGCTTGCCATTGAATACTGCCACCAGGTCCGACAGCGAACCGCCGACACATGGATTTTCTGGGTACATGCAAGTAACGCGGCCCGCTGCGAGCAAAGTCTCCGAGACCTCGCCGATCGAGTCAAGATTCCAGGGAGCCAGGACCGCAACGCTAATATATCTCAAGTCGTCGGCCACTGGTTACAGGACGGAAAAATCGGGAAATGGATTCTTGTCCTGGATAACGTCGACGATGACGAGCTTCTTCGCAAGCCATTAGCGGTCGGCACCGATAGCCAGATAAATATGCACACGAATACGTCCAGACTTAGTGAATTTCATAGAAATCTTAAGAAGGCTAAAACATACAGAATCTCTATACGAAGTTTCACTACCCTGCTAATAACGTTGCCTGGAGAATATTGAAGTTAGCCAACATATAGATCCTTTAGGACCGTATTTGCTAAATTAAAACAATTATTGCGTGTTTGATAATCACACTTCCTATAAGTTCCTACAAGTCTGTCGACAAATAGTTATGCTATACTACTATATTCGAAATCAGAACCCCCCGCGTCCGCTCAGGAAGCAATTCTCTAACGCTACCCTAAACCGCGCTATTCTATATTCGGATTAGCTATAGATCGTGGCTTATAAATAATATAGTTACCGTTCGTAGTTATTTTGAAAATAGTACCTACCTTATACCTATCTTTATGCCCGTGGACTGAAGTACTATATTTTAAACACTAATAAACGATGACTATACTATTTTTAAGCCACGATCTGCAGCTAACCTAAATATTCACTACCGAGTCTTTAGATAGGGTTAGAGAATTATTTTCTGAGTAGACGAAGGGAAATCTAATATCGAATATGGCAGTACGGATTGATTTAATTATCCTAGGAGTTACCGTATCTAAAACCCGATAGCTAAGACTTACTAGAATCGTTTAAAACGACTAACTCGAGATAAGGGACAAAAATATTATCTGTTTTATGTTGCTATATAGTCATTCCTAAATTTCCGAGGCTAGTTAATATTATCGAATTTCGCCGACCTTACCCTCGTTATTAACGCTTCAGATTACCTATTTTCGTTTTAGCAACAGAAGTCTTTAATCTAGTCTCTCTAAGCAGCCCTGTTCCTTTTTGGAACGGCACACAAAAACTTACTTTTTAGGATAAAGCTTTCGCAGTCTCCTATTATAGAAGAATGCTACAGATACTCGGGGAGGATATCTTTCCACTTGACTAGAACATAGGTCGGCCGCGTAAGAGGCTCCCTAGATTGAGATCCATGACTCGACGATTTAGAATATGGTGCGACCATAGCAACGACTTTCCCGATGTTATTGAAGTTGTATTGGTATTGAGCCACGCTGCTCTTTAATGGTATGTCTAGTATTGTTTCCTTGCTGCCCGAGACTTCAGGAAGATTCTCAAGCTCGGAAAGACCCCATTTTTTTGCCTTGCCAATCTCGTAATGACCCGATTGGCCAATTTGGTAGATCCTTCGCTGGTGATTCTTTATTGGGTTGCTGTTGTACAGTGCCGCCCGTTATTGCATTCTATATGGGAAACATTGAGATACTGTTTCATACCCTAGTCACATGATATGCTAAACCCAATATGGACACTTCGTACTGAAAAAAACCATCGAGGAATTCTTTGCCGAGCTGAAGGCCTATATCAAGAAAGCTTGGTCAGCATACGAAGACAATCCTGGCCAAGGGTTTCATGCCTTCCTTCGGCGGTGCGTATATGAGGTTGGTGCAAGACAGGACAGTGCCGAAGGCCGTTTCCGGTATAACAATAGAGAAGATATGATTGCTGTAGTACTTAAGAGCGTCGCGTCTGTGCAATGCCCGTTTCGCGTTTTAACATAGTGCCAGTTCGGTTTGTTGGTGTTTGTGGCTGTTCAATTAGGAATACTTTGTATTGGGTGGGAGACCCTATCTCCTTTTGTCGTTCTGATGGTTGATTTTGTTAAGACACTGCGTTTATCGTAGTTAGAGCCAGTCTCCCCACAGGTATCAACAGAGCACCAGGGGATTTGAAGGTCTCTTGGAAGTGGAGATCTTCAATGCAGTTTTCACAAAACCTGGTGGCCCGACGAGAGTACAAGCAGGTGTTGGCTCAAGTGAATTTTTATATGGACCGGCACAATGCCCGGCACGGTTTATCCTCTCAGACGTTGAGCTTGTCCCGTCCAACGTCTTGATAGGAATGGTCGTTTAGCCGTGGCTCAGTCCAATGGAGAAGCGGGGGTGTTGGAAAACTTTCGATGTGATTAGGATTATGGTACCTCGGAATGCTAGCGGCAGAAGATAATTACAGGGCACTGAGTTAGACTAGCCGCTGATCATCTGGCTCCCCAGACTGGGTATCAATTTGGCACTAAACTACTTCGGGACCCCGACACCGTTTTTTTGCATCAAAATCAGAATTTTCAGCGCTGCACCAATAATTCTCGCCATTGACCCGTGACAGACTTTCAAAATTGCGCAGTCCCTTAAAAATTATCGCACTGCTAGCACGTGTTTCATCATAGTTACCCTCCTCGCATCTCTCCTTATCGCCCAAGACACCCCATCACAAATGAAAGCAGGATGGCCACCTTGATCCGCGTTCCTGTGACACTTTCTGAAGACAAAGTACCGACTAAAGAGAACGCCAGGGACATTATCGGCGCATTCCTGACGGAAGAATGGCTATTTGTGGATCCAGAGACCTTGACCGTGTCATACCATGCATCGTTTGCCAACGCCCACTGTCCTGTGGAGCGCCCGAAACCTGCTGCTGGCACACCTACTGAGCCCTTGAAGGTGTTTATCAAATTTCATAATGACACCGGGGGAAGCCTCGAAATCTTCAAGCCTCTGGCACCAACGAAGCATGAGGAAGCACTTCTCTGCCACGAGTACGGTCGAACCGGACTGGGAGCCAAAGTTTATGGATTCTTTAAGACACAGGACGGCACAATCGGGAGAATCGATGAGTTCCTGGATGCACGTAACATGGAACCGGAGGATGTTGAGGATCCGGTCATCCGAGCAGATGTTGCTAAAGGACTGGCAATGTTCCATGTCTTGAAAACGTCACTGGAGAAAAAGGCAGTGGAATCATACTATGAAGCTGTCATAAATGGACTCAAGAACTACCACAAGATGGACAAGTTAAAGGCGCTTGGGAAAGAAGGAGGGGTCGCTATCGACAAACTAGTTGACTACGACTTTGGAAGGCGGCTGAGAAATGTGGTGGACAAGCTGGAATCCATTGGAGGAAAGACGGGATGGTGTATTCATGACATCCAATTCATGAACGTGATGGTGAAAAATGATCCGAAGGAAGGGGAGAGTAAAGTCACCCTGATTGACTTTGAGTTCGTGATGCAGAACTACCGAGCATTTGACATCGGTGGGCACTTCATGCAAAAGATGTTCAAATGGTTTGATGAGGAGAGCAGGATAGCAGATTGCAGGAAATATACAGAGGAGGAGAAGAGGCACTTCTGTGACGAGTATGCCATCCAGTGGAACAAACTGACAGGTGATTCAGATACCGGGAATCAGGTGTTCCTGGAATCCGAATACGGATATTTGTTGGCCATCACTTTTGACATCCATAACATGCTTTGCTTCATGAGTGAACAAGATGACAAGGATCCATTGAACCTGCTCGGACTAAACAAGCTGTTCGATGAATTTGTGGATCAGTATGCCAAACTAAATTTAGAAGATTCATGATCAAACGAATGCATGTCAACGCAACCACCACTGAGGCATCTCTTCGAGAGCTTTAACGGATCCATTATTGTCACCAGCCGCAAGAGAGGGGTAGCGCTGAACGTCGCCGGTTACAAGAATATTATCGAAGTGCAACCAATGAATCAAGCCGAAGGGCTAGATCTACTGCAGAAGAAGCTAAGCACACCGACAGAGCACGATAGTACGGTGCAGCTGGCTCGGGAGCTTGAATTTATGCCACTCGCAATCGTCTAAGCTGCCGGCTATATCACACACCGATCACCGCGTTGTTCAGTAGTGCAATACCTCGAAAAATTCCAAAAAGGTGACCGAGAGGCAGTACGAGTACTAAATGACGAGGCCGGTCTTCTTTACCGAGACTGGGAGGCAAAGAACTCTATTCTGCTTACATGGCAAATATCATTTGATTATATTCGCGGCAAATGGCTATCTGCAACTGACCTGCTCTCTCTAATGAGCTTTTTCAACTGGCAGGGAATCACCGAGGATGTTCTTCGAGTTCGGCAAGATCAGAAAAGAGGCAAGGATTTGACTCTGGAGCAGCTAGAGGACAGTTCAAGCGAACAGGACACGGATAATGAGTCTAATAATGACCCTGACGGCGATTTTGAAAAAAATATTACTATCCTCTGCGACTTTTCATTGATAGCGATCGGAGAAGACAGCACATCTTTCACAATGCACCGACTAGTGCAGCTAACCGTACGCACCTGGCTCAAAGCCCATGGTCAGCTCGAACAGTGGAAGGGGCTATTCATCGAAAATCTATATTCTAAATTTCCGACCGCTGAGTATGAGAATTGGGAAAGATACCGGTCGCTCTTTCCACACATGAAAGTAGCGGTATCACAACGGCCAGAATCCCCAGTCTCGGTACAGCAATGGGCTACGCTACTTTATAGAGGCGCGTGGTATGCGCAAGAAAGCGGGTATATCACAGAATCGATGGAAATGGCATATAGGTCGAGAAAGTATAGATTAAAAGTGTTCGGTGCCGAGAATGAGGAGGCGCTCGAGAGCACTGCGATGTTAGCAGGAGCATATCAGTTGGTGGGTCGGTGGGAAGAAGCCGAGCAGCTCTTTGTGCAGGTCATGGAGACTCGCAAGTCGAAGCTCGGCGCGGACCATCCTGACACGCTGACGAGCATGGCCAACCTAGCGTCGACATTCTGGTACCAGGGCCGGTGGGAGGAGGCCGAGCAGCTCTTTATGCAGGTCATGGAGACTCGCAAGGCAAAGCTCGGAGCGGACCATCCCTCTACGCTGACAAGCATGGGCAACCTAGCATCGACGTTATGGAACCAGGGCCGGTGGGAGGAGGCCGAGCAGCTCGAGGTGCAGGTCATGGAGACTCGCAAGGCGAAGCTCGGCGCGGACCATCCTGACACGCTGACGAGCATGGCCAACCTAGCTTTCACCTTGGAATCTACCGGCCGTCGTTCTGAGGCGATCGATTTGCTTAGAATCTGCGTTGCAAAGCAGCAACGAATATTAGGTCCTGCTCATCCTGACACTGTGTCTAATTCTGATACTCTGCTCGCCTGGGAGACTGGGGATGTGGCTATCAAGGCATGATCAATTTCCCTCTCTCTTTATCTTTTAATGGGAAATGGGGAGGCTTCACCGTATTTGAGTATAATTTCATTTGATTCACCGCTATTCGGTTCCATTCAACAACCAGTGCGTTTCCCACCCCTTGTTTTCAGAACGTGTAACTTACAGCTCGTGTAATAATGTCTCGAAAGAACCTGTACTTCGTAAGTTTCGCGAAACAACCCCTGTGTTTCCACTAACTGTATTTCGCATAGAGTGTTTCGATTCGAGGCTTCAGAAATAATTCCTCTGTGTAAATCATGGAAGGCAATTTCGAATTTAGCTGTATTTGCGGACAAACCACGATCGTATAGACTAGCGCATTTAATGATAGGGCTGGAGAATCATTTTCTGAGGGAATACTGAGGAATCTGATTTCAATATGGCAGTATGCTATAGCCTCAGCTATATGATGTATATCAATACCAAGATTAAGGGAAGCATAAAGGGAGGAGGGTGTCATTTCCAACCCATCAAAGGGTATTTCACTCTGACATCAAAAATGTTCCATTTTCGGGCGAGCTCAATGGCGGTCTCGCCATTCGAATCTTGGGTACTAATATTACCATTCCTCCTTGATCATACAGCCAACCAACTAGCCGAGCCCATTTGCACATTCCTGACCTTCTGTAATCGAAAGCAATTGCTTCCACGGCTAACTGGCCGAGGCAGTCTTGATCGGCCCCCTCATAATTATTCCAGCAGTCCTTTTCCAGCAGAAGCTGAGCAACCAGAGTGTTGAATTTTTCCACTTGATCAACAACGCAACCAAGTTCAGGGATCTCATTCCCCAGTTTTTGACCATCTCCAAGCAGCCAAATGAAGAATGTTCCAATTTTCTAACTCTTGCCTTCCAAGATGCACCCAGAAGATCCACGTGTCGGCGGATTGCCGTCGAACCTGGTGGCAGTATTCAATGGCAAGTTGCGTTTATCTAATATCTAGTTAGCATCCGAGGCGCTGCCCTTAGACCGTGTTCTTCTAACCCAACGCCGCCAAGACCAACAAGAACGAGTCTAGATCCCGCTATCGAGGCTTTCTCATGAATTTGGTCGATAAGTTCATTGCGGCCAACAAAGTCTGGGTCGCGCGGGAACGGTACCGTCGATAGAGGGTCAGGGCGGGGTTCTGTTTCTCTGTGGCAAACATGGAAGGCAATTTCGAATTTAGCTGTACAACACGAAGACAATTCAAGCAATCCACAACCTCAATACAAAATTCGCCAAGGCTGTCAGAGTGCACCTGCGCCGGTACTTGAACGACCAGGCTGGGCTTGACTCCTTCTGTGCATCCCATACAGTGAAAGTCGAAAACAGTGTCCCCTCCAGACATACACGCGTTGTTTCCCGGGTCGTACCCGATACTACGCTAATCCTGATACAGTATAGACATAGACGTTATTCATTTCATAAGAATAGACTTTTTCATTACCAGGACGATCACACTACGTATGATATTGTTTATTACACGAAACCCTGATACATTCCTACCTTCATGGCCCTCCACTCTCTTTGTCCCCGGCACCCATCCTTTTGCAGCATCACTATCAACAATTCCTATAATTTACGCCCAATATGGCACCGGGACTATCTCCATAAAAAGTTACAGCTCATTCATGATATGATGCGGAACCAGGATATAGTAATCCAGCACACTTCTGGATCGACACAACCACCGCATTGAAGATTGGCCGGGTATGCCGCTGGAGAAGATGGTTGTTGGGTTGAAGCTTGTGAATTCCTTTACGGGGAATCCGATTTTGGATGTTGCTGTCTCTACTAAGAAGGGGAACCGAAGCGTTTCGGTTGGAGGTCCACGGATTCGAGGGGATGAATTTAATGTGAGCGTCCAGTTGAAGAATTCGTATACAGTACTATAAGATTCTACAAAGTGTGAGGATGGATTTGGAACGAGTGACTAGATTAAATTTGGTGACTGCAAATATCCAAGAACGTTCGACGACCCTACGATGTTGAACCGTTGGGCTACAGTGAGAGACCTAAAAATATGAAACAATTGAACATTTCAAGCCAAGCCAATAACCCAGCGGACGATATATTGAATATGTCACAATAAAAAGAAAGAAATCAATATAAAAAATAAAAACAATTGCATATACCAGTTATTGATATTTGGCTAGCACGGAGATCTGGCCGGCTCTTTTGCGATGGGAAGCCAGGGTACCAAGGGGCTTCCTGTCGTAAAAGGTCTGGAGAGATCTCCGTGCTAGATATATGCCGATGACTGGGACGCATAGGAGTATTCAGATACTATTCCAACAATACTAACCACCAGATGCCATCATAAAGAGGCTTTCCAGACCTTCTCGAGAGGGATGCATGGTACCAAAGGCGTCCCCCTCATCAAGGTCTGAAAAACCTCTTTACCAGGGCATGTGCCAGCAACTATCGCTGCAAGGGTATACAAACAACCCCCGGGAATGCGACCTAAAGAAACAATTAGCATTTACAAATGAATACAGTACACCCTGGGAACAGGGCGTAGCATTTCCCGTACCTACCTGAGGATATTTACTCGAGCGTCGGCATGACACGCAGATGAATAATGAGGAGACGTATGACCATAATATCCTTATTACTGTCGAGGTAGACAGCGCCAATAATGGCTTCGATGGTAGTTGCCATCAGCCGCCTAGGGACAACGCCCTGGGCCGAAGGGTTCAGATGGATGTAGACATCCAAGCCCAGGGAAAAGCCTCCCCCAGGTTTTCATTCGTGGCCCGAGTATTCTGTGCATTCGTCATGTCACCTTTGATCTCGTTAACACTCAGACAAGGAATGAAAAAAGAATTAAATATTGAAGGCCCTCACGAATGGAGGCTTCGTCTTCATAACCAAACTCATAAAGAACGAGCCTCAGGGCGGCATCCCCGATCAGCGCAAGCCGCTTATTGCCCTGGCTGGCCATGGTGGCCCCGGCAGCTTCCAGGGCCTTCACAAGAAGAGATTTATCATGAAACGCATAGTTGATAATGACTTCCACGGCGCGGATGCGTTCGGCTGTCGTAAATGGGGACATGATGGTGGATCGGTGGTAGATCAGGACCTGAAAAGAGGAGGATAAAAGATGAAAGAGGGCTGAAAAAAAGATGGGACTAGAAGGAAGTGAATGCTGGCTGGGGAAACAAAAGGTTGGTGCTGGACCCCCTCTCTCTTTATGGTACATATCTTTGGCCTCGCTTTTCCAATTCAGCCTCACACTGTGATTTCAGCTGCATGGGATAACCACGTCGACATGCAGCGCCACACATCCTTGTAAATCGATAGGCCGAGAGATCTCAAAAATTTTGCAAAGCGCGTCCATGCAGCTACGCAAACGATGCTGGAATTCACGTTACACCCGATCGAAGCTTTGGAGATCTACGTCAGCTTGCCTGGGTACTGGCTGTCAGCAGACGCCTAGAGCGAATCGAAACGGCAGTAGCAAGCGGGATGCATGGGCACCCAAAGAAAAACCTTGCTTAGCCTACGGCGTTAGTTCTCTACCCATACGAGACAATACAGGGGCTATTTTTATACGGTTATTTACAACGGTATTAGAATACCGCCAAGCACGGAGCCAGGGGCAGCCTAACTATAATACGTATAGTACGATGCAAGATAAAGTTCCAGAACAAATTAAAGAGAAAGAAGCGAGTGAAGCTAATTTCGAGCAGCCCTGTACTGTATATCGAGGTTGCACAAAGTTGCGGATTTCGAGCGGCCCTGTAAGAGATATCACAGACTCGGTGTGGTACAGCGTGAAGCGACAAATAAGCGTGAGCGACGCGAGAAACAAAAATGGCGGGACGGGCCGAGACGCGAACCCCTGAGCCGCCCGACCGCGACGAACACGAAGATTCACCTCCACGATTGGTGAGGCCGAGACGCACCACAAGACAACCGAACAACTACGCTCGAGAGCAAGAGATCCACACCAAGCAGAGAAATACGCGCACCCAGCTGAGGAAGAAACGCCAAGGCAAACCGGTAGCCCAACATGACGCGTTATCTTCGGACGACTCCTCGACGGAGAGCGAGGACCTGAACGCTACCAATCTCTTGAAAGAGCTCGTTAAACTTAGGAAGGAGATTAGACGACGCGATGATGTGCATCAGAAAGAACTGCAGAAAATCAAAGAAGAATTCAGTGCCGCCCTTGCAGAAGTTCGACTGGAGCTACAGACCCTGACAGATGGACTTCCGACACCGCAAGCCCTCTCCGAGCTATGCTCCCAGAACGGCCATAATAAGGTCCTTCGCGAAATTCACTCTCTGCGCATGGCAATCAGCCCGTCAGACCCCGCCTCAGGATCCCCGTCCTATGCAGATGTCGCCCGTACTCCCCCAACGGGTTATCCGAGCAACATACGGGTCCTCTTATCGTCGAACACGACACCGACCACTCTCACTGACACGTTATACTGCACGATAGATACCTCGAAGATGGTAGACAACGGAAATGAAAGGATGTCCGCAGGCTCTATCCGCGCGGCGGTTGAAACAGAAATTCGGACGATAGAAAACTACATATATTGGCGCTATCGCGCCGTCACGGTAGATCCAAAGAACACAAACCGGATCAGAATTGCCTGCCGGGATAAAGCCGAATACCGGCTGCTCAAAGAAGTAGCGGAGGCCAAAATTAGGGCGGGAGCCCGGGTGCTTCGTGACGAACTTTACCCGATCAAAGTTGACAGTATAAACAAGACCGTAGTTCTAGACGAGAAGGGTGAGATTCGAGCCGAAGCCACAGCGGTGTTTAGCGAGGAGAATAAGACCACCGTTGCCAAGATCGCATGGCTTAGCAGAAAGAAAAACGCAAAGGCCTATAGTTCTATGGTTGTTTACCTAACTAAGAGCACTAACGCGCGGAGGCTCCTAGCCGACGGGTTCTTTTATGCTAGAGGAGAATCCGGCGTGACTAGCGCCTTTGAATACCGACCCCGACCGACGCAATGTTATAACTACCAGGAGATTGGACATAAGGCATTCTAGTGCAAGAACGCCCAGAAGTGTGCAAGATGTGCCGCGGAGAGCCACTGCTATAGTAGCTGCGACTAAACAGTTCCAAAGTACATTCCGTGCGGAGGCCCGCATGAATCATACAGCAAAAACTGTCGGAAGCTCTATCTATCACGTCATGAATAAAACTCTCCGAATAATCTAACTAAATGTGAGGAAGCAGGGCACAGTACACGAGAGCTTAATGAATGATAAAGATACTCAGAATGCGGTAGCGTTAGCGATTCAGGAAGCCTAAGCGAGGAGGATTCAAGGCCGGCTCTTGACCACCTCGATAGGACATCATAAATAGACAAAGATAGTTCCCTCTACCTGGAGGGGAAGGCAGGTAGGCAATTCGAAGTATGCTCTAGGTGAACAAAGCGGTGGAGGCGGAGCAAGTGCCGATAGAGTCCCCCGATCTCACGGCAGCGGTCATTAGGCTTCCCGAGCGACTGATTTTCATAGTATCAGTTTACGTTGAAGGAGGCAATGCCTCAGCTCTAGACGACGCATACAATCACTTACGCAACGCGATCACAAAGGTACGGCGAGACACGGGCGCGGTGGTGGAGGTTTTGATCGTGGGAGACTTTAACCGACATAATCAACTCTAGGGAGGAGACAATGTGTCTTTGGAGAGACAAGGCGAAGCGGATCTAATCATCGACCTCATGAATGAATTTGCTCTCAGCAATCTACTCAAACGAGGCACAAAGACATAGCACGGCGGAGGGCAGAGTGGCGACTGCGAGTCGACTATCGACCTCGTCCTGGCCTCGGAAAACCTAACAGACGCCATGGTCAAGTGTGCTATACTCGGGATAGAGCACGGTTCGGATCACTGCGCTATTAAGACCGTATTCGATGCCCTATAGTCGCCCCTAAAGCATCAGGAACGACTCCGGCTGAAAAACGCTCTATAGAGAGAGATCAATACCAGAATTGCGAACATCCTGGCCGCCACTCCATTGGAGGGCACGGTATAGTAGAAAACCGATCGACTTATATCGGCTGTCTCAGCAGCGGTGCATGCCATAACACCGAAGGCCAAACCGTCACTACACGCAAAGCGATAGTAGACAGACGACTTGACACAGCTCCGTTAAATATACACATATTAGAGAAATCACGCCCGCTCCGAGCGACGGGCGGGGCGAAAGGTACCACGCCTGGAAGAGGCTGCCGAGGCTGCAGCGAAACAATATCACGATGCTATCTAGCAACAAAAGAAAAGGCACTGGAATAAATTCCTTGTAGACAACGATAATATATAGAAAGCCGCTAAATACCTAAAGTCGGGAGATGACGTAGCGTTTGGGAAGGTCCCGTAGCTCCTGAGAGCAGATGGAACGACCACCACTGATCACAAGGAGCAAGCAGAAGAATTACTGACTATATTCTTCCCGTCTCTGCCGGATATTATTAACGATGAAGGGACGAGATCACGATAGAGGAGGTAGAGCAGCAACTGTTGGCGGCGAAGTCTTGGAAAGCGCCTGGTGAAGACGGCCTGCCGGTAATAGTCTGGAAGATGACGTGGCCCACGGTCAAGCATAGGGTTCTTGATCTATTCTAAGCCTCGCTGGACGGAGGCACGTTACCAAGGTAGTAGAGATACGCGAAGATTATACCGCTCGAAAAGCCGAATAAAGAAAATTACAGTATTGCCAAAGCATAGAGACCAATTTCACTCCTCGCAACGCTAGGCAAGATACTGGAATTAGTAGTTGCAGAAAGAATCTCACACGCGGTGGAGACGTACGGCTTGCTCCCGACTAGCTACTTCGGAGCCCGAAAGCAGCGGTCCGCGGAGCAAGCACTCGTGCTTCTTCAAGAGCAAATCTATACGGCTTAGCGCGGCCGACGGGTATTGAGCTTGATCAGCTTCGATGTCAAAGGAGCCTATAATAGAGTGTGCAAAGAACGATTACCTCAGAGGATAAAAGCGCGAGGTATACCGGAGGATCTGCTCCGGTGGGTTGAGGCGTTCTGCTTGGAACGAACAGCGACCATTCAAATCAATAGGCAATTATCTAAGGTCCAAAGCCTGCCCAAGGCTGGACTGCCACAGGGCTCGCCGCTATCCCCGATCCTATTCCTCTTCTTCAACGCAGACCTCGTTCAACGACAGATCGACAGCCAGGGAGGAGCAATCGCGTTCGTGGACGATTTTACCGCATAGGTGACCGGATCAACTGCGCAGAGTAATCAGGAAGGTATTGAAGCAATTATCAATAAAGCACTCGACTAGGAGAAAATGAGCGGAACGACCTTTAAGGCAGACAAAACAGCCATCATACACTTCGCTCCCAAGGTTCACAAAACGGACCAGGGTCCTTTCACTATCAAGGGATAGACCGTTGTACCTAGAGACTATATCAAGATCTTGGGCGTTCTCATAGACACGAGACTCAAGTACAAGGAACATATCGCGAGGGCAGCGTCTAAAGGCCTAGAGGCAGCGATAGAGCTTCGGCGACTTCGCGGCCTAACGCCAGTAACCGCACGGCAGCTATTCACATCGACGGTGGCCCCGGTAGTAGACTACGCCTCTAGCGTCTAGATGCACGCTTGCAAGGATAAGGCCAGCGGACCGATCAATCGAGTCTAAAGGGTGGGAGCGCAAGCAATTGTAGGGATATTCCTCATAGTTGCGACCAGCATTGCGGAGGCAGAGGCTCACATTGCCGCTATACAAAACCGTTTTTGGAGACGGGCAGTGAAAATGTGGACGGACATTCACACCCTGCCAAACACCTATCCGCTCCGCCGGAGTACAGCATGGATCAAGAAATTTAGGAGATACCACCGTTTACCGCTATACCAGGTAGCGGACGCGCTGAAAAGCATTGAGATAGAGATACTGGAAACTATCAATCCGTTTACATTAGCACTATGGGAGACACGCATGCAGACCGATGTTGAAGCAATGCCGGACTCACAGTCAGTACCGGGCGGATTAATACAAGTCGCGGTCAGCAGCTCGGCACGGAACGGGCTCGTAGGATTTAGGGTAGCGATCGAGAAACAGCTACCTCGGTATCGAAAACTGAAACTAAAGACCTTTTTCGTGACACTAGGCGCAAGATCAGAGCAAAATCTATTCTCCGCGGAGCTAGCAGCAATAGCACATACATTGAACATGCTAATGGGACTGAAAGATTACAGGATCATACTGCTCACGAGCAACAAAGCGGCGGCTCTCACGATAAGGAACCCTCGACAACAGTCAGGCCAGGAGTTCGTCTGCCAAATATACCAGTTAATGAGAAGACTACAGAGAAACGGAAACCACATCAATATTCTTTGGGTCCCTACCAGCAAAGACAATAAACTGCTAGGTCTGGCTAAAGAGCAGGCCAGAACCGCGACCCAGAAGGATGCTGCCCTACAAGAATCGGTCCCCAGGATGAAGTCGACAACACTGAATATCGCTCGGTCCCAAGCAGTTGCCAGCAATGACTTGCCAGAGAACGTAGGGAGACATTCCAAACGAGTGGATGCAGCACTTCCAGGGAAACACACGCTACAGTTGTATGATCGATTATCGTGGAAAGAAGCGAGCGTGCTGGCCCAACTCCGGACTGGCATGGCCAGACTCAATGGCTATCTCTATCGGATCAACGTTGCAGAGACGGATCAGTGTGCATGTGGACAAGCAAGAGAGACCGTGGAACACTTCCTCTTTGATATAAATATTACTGCAAGGAAACAGCAAGTCTTCAAGCCTGCCGGCCCCGGTTGTGGCCATGCCGTCCGTCATATAGTGGCGTTGTTCTGATGTGCATCACGGCATCTAACGCAGTTTGCTCGAGTTGTTGTTGGACCGGGAGTAGATGAGATTCGACGTCTACTGCTGCACTGGCCGTGTAAGGCTACTAGGTTCCCAGGAGCAATGTCCTTGGGTGGAACTGCTTAGCCCAAAAGTGATGGTGATTGCCCAGAAAGAGATTCTGATACGGGCGCTCAAAGGTGAGAAAAGTAGACTTTGCCCTTGCACTCTGAACAATTCTACTCTAGCGGACGATTACTCAGTGCAAGATATTCAGTTTCCGAGACTAGTACTTCTGCAGGATGCCCAGAAGATTGTGGAGCCAGTAGACGAAGGATTTCCAGGAGCATGTAGTCTAACCGGCCCTTACGGAGTTAGAAGACCTCCTTATCAACACCCCAATCCGGGCGCATTTCAAAGAGGGCCCCAGAACAATCCTTGAAGCCGGCGGTGGTCTGGGGAACGCGTGCAGTTTCATCTCAATACTGACCTAATGGGCAACTACGACCAACGCACTTATCTATCCCAGAAGGTATCTCCCGCGGAATCACTAGAGTATCCGATGATCACAATCACGACCACCACATAAATACTTAGTTATGATGATATTTCTAATCTCAAGATTTGATTCCTCACCGGCAGCAGTAATCTTGGATCAATCGGTTTAATAAAAGCCAAAAATTGTAAGAACTAGAAGGCGCCTTCGAACAGAGGTTAAACACTTGTTAGCAAGGCAATAGTTCTCATTTCTATTAGGCTTTGATAATTCAGGTGAAGTTTATACAAAATTCAAGGCTTGTTGTAGGAAAAGTGCTACCGGAGGCAGATGTTATTGCCAGGAAGCTAATCAAAGATCAACTGGTGTATTCAACGAAAGTATCGAAACTGGGGAAAGAAGAAAGAAGGAAACTATTTACTGGGCGATATTGATATATCTCACGATAAGCGCGGTCGCCGCTCATCGCGTTTGCCACGTTTGTTGCCATCTTTCTTCCACAAACTCCCAAGTCCAATTCCGCATCCGCCAATCGCATCGTCACAGCAGACGGGTTGCTTGCATGCGAAAGTGGCAGCAGCTCCACCTTCAAGAAGGTCATACTTGGATGCTTATAGAGAATCTGTACCATGTTGTGGTTTATGGGTAGGCCGAAGGCGAGATTAGGGTGAGCAAAGAGACGAAGCGTCGAAATATGATGGGAACGCACACGACGGATCAGTAGGCTCTCCATATAGCTCTGTAACAGGCTGCGGTGCGGTCGGGATGCCCTGATTTTGGAAATTCTGAAGCTTCTCGTTTGGTTCTGGCATAAATAGATGGGAGCTCACTAATATAGGTGAGTTGCACCCTGTTGTATTAAGGCTGGTCGTGGTAGGCGGTTCTGTCTCCACGCACTGGCGCTTCCGCCTTATAACTTGTTCCGACATCCATGATGATGCGCCAGAGTCAATAACGGGGTGTATTGGAAAGCCTTGGCTAAGATACGAATTCTGATTATGGGAGGGTGGCCAAGGGTTGCCCGGGGACAAGTTCGGGGGTAGATTGCAAGTCGTAAAGGCAGGTTGGGGTGCGTTAATTCCCCGGATAGGGCGTATGGCCGTGTTTTCCGTGGGTTGTATCTGTTTGTGGCCGGATATCTCTTCAATTGTGGTCCTTTTTCTGCTGCCTCCCCCTTGACTGACAGGGGTCTCCAATGCGACGGGAAGGTTCGCTGCCACAATTGACACCATGGTGTTCACGTCTATAGCAACTAAGCTTTATGTCTGTATGCAGTATTACGGGCATATATACCGTTGGTCCCCTCTAGAAACTTCTCTTCCTCTTCCCTAACCTGGTAGATCTCATCGAGTATTTCTAATCGGTTGGCTGGGGAGATTTGGCGACGGATAGACTGGTCGGCTTCTTTGAGTCTGCGGGCGGTAATTCCATGGCTGGTCTGGAGCTGGCAAAGAATGTGGACTAGGAGCCTAATGCGTTCTTTTGTTTCAATCAGCGGTCTTTCAGAAAGTAAATAAAAGTAATGCTCCCTTACCGGCCTTTAGGAGATGATCAGGCTCGCGGTGATTCACTCCAGACGGCCACCATGGTGGCTTGGTCCCATCGGGCTCTAACTGTTGAGTCCTACCTGCAACAATCTTCCGTCCATTATAGGGGTAGTGAACTTGCTTGCGTGGCTCAACAAGCTTGACGTAAGCCTTTGCCAGGACTCGACAATTTATCTGCTGTAGATTTTGGAAGGCCTTCTCATAGTACTGACGAAGGAAGTATTTATCTCTAATCGAGATTAATGTTTTCTGCTGGCTATTCATATTGAGTTTCTGGCTCCAGGCCTTCGGCCTAGGTTGTTGTTTGGTAACTTGCCTAGACCAGCGATGCCGGATCTCTTGCTGGGCAGCTTGATGCTGTGGCCACACTGCTGGCTGGATTAAATTCACTGGCGGCACAGGGACACTATGGTATCCTTCAGCTCTCAGGACCTCCGCGGTATTAGGAGCACGGTTTAAGTGTGGGTTGATACGGATCTGTCCACTGGGTGGCATTCTGGTTGATGCTAGTGTTATGGTTCCCTGCTTGGCTATTTAAGATTAACCCCCTGGACTGGATTTGACGGAGTATGTAAGACTTACCTAGGGAATGTGATACTACAGCCTCATTTGACCACACCACAGCTCGCAGAAAGGCATCTGTGACCCCTAGGGACAGAATTGTCTCGCGGCTATTAGCGATGGACTTGGAAGCTTCGTGGCGCAGGTTGCCGGCCCAGTCTATGTAGATGAGGGCAAAATGTGGATAATCCAGCTTATCCTGCTCGTTCTGCATCCGCATCGTTGGGGACGCCTATATATAGTTAGTGTTTCTCTTTCTCTTCTAAATCTCTCGGCTAGGGCACAGAGGAACAATACCATAAAGACAGGCTCACCGACTAAGTTCTGAACTCCAGTTTTGCCGCCTTATTGTCCGGGCTGCAGGTTCTCCAGCAATAGAGAGGAAGAGGATAAAAACGGGTTATAGCCAAGGGGAATGTCCGATGGATTGAGGAGTACACAACAGCATTAAGTGGGCAGGAGGAAAATGTGGTCGCTACCAGTGTCCCGCTGAGAGGAAGGCACGCCTGGGATTTGGGAATTTATAGACGATCTCCTCAATCTCCAGCCGCCCACATTTTGGTGTGCCATATAGGTAGACAAGTAGATAGTGTGGAGAAACGCAACTCCAAGGCAGGAGGGCTACGTAAGAGGTAGGAAGGAAAAAGTACGGACAGCCGCCCAGTGATACAGTTATGATCCTCCCTAAAGCGTGGGCCGCTAGGCCCACGCTCTGTATTGAAACCGTTTCCCTACGATTTTCCTGAACATTATCCTATCGTAACTATGTCTTACTGCGAGAGTTCTGCATAACGGATAGACCTTCTCTCTACAGCGCTAAGATTTCACGAGGTCGATGGCTGTCAGTGTGATTCTGCCCTCCGTACAAGCCGTGTGTTTCTGTTTGCTACAAGATCGGCTTGGAGCGTGCAGGGCAACTGGAATCCTTTGGTACTTTTATGTGTAATGAGCTAATCATACAAAGTATACCGAAGGAGGGATATAGCGCTATAGGAAACAGGAGAACGCTATAGGCACTGGTAACGATCCTTATTGGAAGCTGACCACTAGCCTATCGGTAAATTAGATGGTAGTTCGAGATAGCTACAGGAACCAAATGCTGTTCTATCCCTGAAGCAAGGTTCACCGGAGCAGATAACGACTATGTCCTATGTCAGGCCTTGGAATGCAGATCAGTGCCAGCTGTCTGTACCAGAAGCAGGGACCATCTGTCTCATATGCACTGTCTAGTTTCCTATGATCTTCTGATTGCTGCTTTTAGCTCTGTGCATTCGTATACAGGTCAGGCGCCCAGACTATCCCAGCGTAGTTTAACTGCGAACCATCCAGGTTAGGGTTTGACATTAAGGATGTCAATCCACTACGTAGGCTCTGTTCTCAGACCAGGGGTTCTCGCAATTGGGATAGATCCACACGAGGCTTGAGCAGTCGCAGCGTAGAAAGCGCTGGACTGCTTCAGCCGGACGGACCAAGTTCAGTCGAAACTTGACGGAATTGGGAATTGAACAATTTGACATTAGCGAGATCCGGGGTCCTGGGTCCTAGCCATCGTGTTGAGAACTGAACTACGCGTCTTATTGCTTTCCTCACCTGTAACTTGATAATGAGTGAATATGAATGTTGAGCTGCCGTTGCACTTGCTGAGGATCAGTTAATTGATCCACTGGCGTGCTGCACGGGCCAAATCTGGGACTCGGCAACCCGCCGAGAGTAACCTTGGAGAAACTCAACGCCATCAATGACTAACATGGCGATCGATCTGTAGTTCGTCCTGTACTTACCCTCTAAGCTCCCCACAAAAACCACAGGCCGTAGAATACCGCCGAGGTTTTTCCGCAACGGGTTTGCGCGGCAAACTCAATAGTCGTTTCAGAGCCTCTTAATTATTCATCGCTTAACCGTTGCACTAATGGTCTCAGATGACCCAGTGTGCTGGAATACCTTTAGTTAGTCGCTGTCGTTGGATTTTTCGGAGTCCCTGTTGCACCGAACGAGAGCTACCTGGTCAATCCTATACCATAAGAGAGAACTCTGATCAAAGTTCACCTACTAGGGTTCTCTAGGCTGCAAGTTATTCAGCCGTTCAGCCTCACTTAGGAAGTGTCTAAGGGTATTAGTTACCCTAGTCCAAGGCAACTAATGTACGCTTGGGCCTAAGCGGAAATCCATCGTCGTTCTGAAGCTCTGTAACTGGCTGAAGGGGCTGCTGTCATTCCACCTTAGTACTACCACTTTTGACAGCCCAGGTCCGTAGTCCGTTTGCGCAAGGAAAGGATCTCCCACCTGCGTTCCTGGAAACCGAGAAAAACGGCATCTTTCTAAAGTGACCTGGTAGCGTCAGGGGCGTCAGGGTGAAGCTTCTCGCTCGTTGTGCGCTCCCTTGGCAAGCTGCGCGTTGCATGTTCCAGATAACATCCGGTTAAGACCGACCCACCTCCTCTCTGTTTTAGTCTTTTAGTCTTTTTTTGGATATCATATAATCGCGGCATGAGAGCCTTGCCCAGGATTACGCTTCGTTTCTTTCGATCTGTCGCCCTGTTTTATCGTCCAGCTCGCTGTTACATACGTTTTCCCTTGTATCTTTCTAGGGCTATTCCAGATCGCATCGCAAGTCGATAGGCACCAATTAGCCCTTAATGCTCACAATGTCTTATGTAATAACAGCTTCGTTCGGAATTCGAAATCGCCATTAGCTGCCCAGATTATGGACAGACACATGGATTCTACCGTTGTTCGGAGAGGCTGCTAGTTTTCCCCGGCGGGGTTACGAAGGTACTGTAGATTACGTGTATTATTTTATGTCTTTGAACAATGCTGCGATGTCGTGATCTTCTACTAGGAAGAAGAACCGAACTTGACTGGTAAATGATATTACCAAGCTATGCTTCTTTCTCTTTTTCTTTCTCCTTTCTCTTTTCTTTTTGCTTTCTCCGATCTGACAAATACCTAGATCGGGACCGTAGCTCTTCATCCATCTCCAGTTTTTTCCTTTACGATTAACCCCTACCGTAATCCACGGGTGAGCTATTCCACGGGCGATCTGATCACCCCAAAACACCATAGTAAATGCGATTTCTCCGGTCGCTATGTATCAGCAACGAGAAGTTAGTTCAGCATGGTTTTTGGTAGGATGGTCTTTCTTAGCTTAAGAAATAGCATAACTTAACTGAGATATAGAGTAAATGGTTATTTACTTGTGTTACCAAAAAATACGTCCCTATCGAGTTATGCAGTATATATATCCACATTGAAACGCCTCAAAATACTTAGTATGACATATTTAGCACTAGAATATCCTGAGAAGATATACCAAGCCTCGACTATTGAAATATGAAGGTATAAAATCGCATTTACTATAGTGTTTTGGGGTGATCAGTTCACCCGTGGATTACGTTAGTCTACTCACACTGTGGGAAGCCTTCCAATCCTTGCTCGCCGCGGCGGACCAACAATTCATCAAGTTCCTGCATTGCAGCGAGCAATCATAGGGACTAAATTCTGCGTAAAGCGAACGAAGTGAGTGACAGGCAGTATTAGGGTCACTTGCTCCGCAGTGGGCCCAGCAAGAGGCGCGTAGTACGTCATGCTACGGCTGAGAAACTGTGAGAGTGCGATTAGGTCTCACCTATGGGAAGGAGGTTTTTCAGTCCTAATCCCTCAGTTTTGTGGGATTTTCATAAAACTTGCCTTTTTAGGCCTAGTAATGTACATAATTTTGAACTTTTCTCTGTCTTGGCAGGAAAGATTTTACTAGGAATTTCTTGGCGGGAATTGGTGAGGTCTGAGTTTACCGCAGCTGTCCGCCGTAATATTCCCACCCACTGCAGCAAGGTTGGCAGAAAAGATTAATACCGCATACGCACAGAAATTCTTGTTATCATTGTGGTCTCGGGACTTGCACCGTTCGTCGATTGCCGGCGTCTCTCACTTTCTTCTCCCCGACGACCTCTAGCTATTCTGCTTTTAAGTTGACTCGGTATCTCGATCTCACCTACGAAACAAATGATGTCCCCTCGATCCAACGCCACCGAGAACCACCCCACCTACTCATCACCCATCGGGCCTATGTCCCTACTTCAATCAGAAAGGCTCCGTCGCATTAGCCCAATCGGGCTAAGCTATGGTCCATTTTGGGATAAGGGACCATCGTGCTATTCGTCCTTTAGCAGGTAGTGGGTAGGATGGTTAGACGGTTGCTTCCAGACCAAAATATACTCGGCATGCTTGCTTTTCTCGGCCTCGAGCCCCGGATCATTTCTCCCTTGCCCGCCATGTGGAGCCGCTGTCTGCCACGCCGTTAGCCCCGGACAACCTCCGGGTGGGACGGGATCAACGCTAGATCCTGGTACTGTGTAGCTGCATATTTGGTGCGACAGATCGCCACCTTTATGATACTTGATGAGCGGAATGGGCAAGAGATAAAAGAGGGGGTGAGGAGAGGGGGGTGAGGAGAGGGGGAGAGATGGGGCTGAGCGAGTGAGGTGGAGTGTTTATCGGACTTAGGGCGCAGAGGGAGACCGGGGCATCTTCCCATTGGACCGGTCATAATGGGACTAACTGTTAATCCCATTGAGCGAGTCAAATATAATACTCCCTTGGAACTTCCAGTGGGAATTGGGAATTTCTATGGGACTGAAAAGTTACAAACATCAGACAATGCGCAAATTTATGGCTATCCGAATCTTATATAAAATTTAGTCTTGGTGGGAGTAATGGGAATTTCAACTGGGCGGGACTAGGTACCTTTGGATTTTTATGGGAGAAAGGGAATGGGAAATGGGACCAAAATATTTAGTCCTATGGCGGTTGCAGCGGTCTACGCACTGGTAGGGCTCAATACCCAAGTAACCGAGGGTCTAGGTCCTAGGGTCTTTAACGATAATTAGCTTGATTAGCGTCAAAAATCGCAGGCCGACTTTGTTAAGCTTAAGTTGGGTAATGCTCCGTTGTGGGCCTTAGGGTTCCCAAAAAGCGGTCCCTTGGCCAAACCGCACCCCGGAATATGCGGCGTTACAGCCTGGGCCCAATTCTCCTGTAGGTGGTGGTGAGTCTACGCGAAAATACTTTCTTCATAATAGTTAATAGTCCCGTGTCCTTGATTTGGGAATTACGGCTGTTATGGCTGGCTGATGCAAAAAATTCGCATCAGTGCCTTCTGTCCAAAGTCGCGGAAATTCATGGGCAAGGTCTTTGAGAACGCCGAAATGGTTGCTGTTCAACAAGGATGAATGGCGAGTCAGTGGCACATGGCTAGGGCTAGGACCCACGACTGTCCACGAAATGATCGGCTACACTCCGTGTTCCTGCAAGCGCGACGTAGTCCTGAACAATGTCCATTTTCGCAAGAAGTGGAACCTCGTGTTTTACAGCAAAGTCATAAAGGTGGACGCCCAGCACTAGCTAACGCCCACCCACACCACAACCGTTGAAATTGACCATTTCCAGTCGGAATGCAATACAGTAATTATTTACGTAATGATATTGCACCCGACATAGTCGATTTGTGACTTAAATACTCCTTTTTATATGAACCTCCAAGTTTATGGGCGTCATAGTCATCCCTTAGTAGAGGACTAGCCGTCTATTGAAAATCCGATCTAGGGAATTGGTCATTCAGAATAGGGAGTGTCGGCCGCACTACATCCCTACACTCTATCACTTCAATAACATCAGAATCGGCACGTGCCTCGACAGTTGCCTGAGACCAAGACGAGCCTGCTAGCAAAATCCGAAGACGAAACCGTCCGACTTTATGAATAGCGATGCCCTTGAAAACACCCATACGTTGGTCGGGATCATTCATATGACTTTCCAAAGAAGATGTCAAGGAGCCATGAAGGCCGTCCACATATTTGTGATCTCGAGAATCCCTTAAAGAAATATTAAGTGCAAAGGATGTATCATGGCGCATTTTCTCTGGGCTAGAAAATGACACTTTGATAAATATGGTAATAGGCTCTCCTAACCAAATCCGTGACGGAGGACCACTAATGATAGAAATATTAGGATTGCAAGAGAGGCTTCTTGGCGCTTCTTCCGCGAGTTTGGCCATGGCGTTTCCACTTGACGTGTTAAAAGGGAGATGTATCACAAATGTTTGAATTGTCATGGTCAAAAGTCATTCTACCACTTTATATATTTCTATCACTAGTACGGTGGGGCATTCGAAGATTGTGAATGATTCGACGGTAAGAACCTAGGTCTTAAGGCGTCCAATAACTCACACTTTGTGATCAGCAAATCCGCGTACTGAAGGTAATATTTGTGCCTTTTGCTCAGGTACAAGGCAACCAGCTTAGTATGCTTCCAGCATTGGATGTATCGAGTAATTTGGTAAAAAGGCGACTACCGTGATGATTAGCGCCAGAACTTCGGGGTTTCATTTTCCATATTGATCTTGTCTAGGGCTCTGCGTACCGCAAAAGACACCACTATGGCTACAAGGAGGGGTTTACAGGCTCTCTTTACGCGGTTTATGCATTGTCCAGTCCCTATTGTTGCCCTTCTGTTTAGGTAAAGTCGTGCCGTAGGACACCATCTCTGCGGAACCTTAACCGCAGCAGTATCATCCGGCCGAGATGATTTCTCTTTTGAGCTAAATTTCAGGCGTTCTCCGAGATTATTGTCCTATCCGAGCCTATTGCTTATGACAGAATGTTAACGAGAGATAGTACCCGCCCTGACTAGACACATAAAACCAGGCTCTCTCCCTACCATGTAGCCATGAGCTACATCAGCAGCGTGGCAGATCTAACCTGAGCTTTCACTACTCTAAGTTTTAGTAGCGCTTGCGTGGAAAAGCCTCCCAGGAACATTTTGTCTAACTCAAAAATGGCTGTCGATCACTTAGAGTTTGAATAGTGTCGTAGAACCGTAAGAATGTAACACTAAAGCTCTAGTAGAGGTGTTTGATTGGTCCGTAATACGATCAATATCCGAGCGCCCTTCCTGTGAGCAATGTTGGCGTTCTTGTTAAAGTTGGACGCCGATGAGATAGGACGGCCGAGACGTCATAATCAATAGTTTACCCGTATCGCTGTTACCGGTTAAAAAAGGAGAGCCACAAACGTGAAGCGAAGGACACGGATTGGGTTTGAAAGCCATTAGCTTGATGTAAGGGAAACAGATACCTTAGTGCTTATTACCTCCACGCAGGTCGAGATACGAGGCGTGGCTAGACCGTATTTATCTTCTAATAATAAATGTCGAATCTCAGAATGGCCGTACACACTAGTACTAGAAAGCTCTCACAGAACTGAATGTATTGGAACTGTCTGAAGACAAGATTGAGCGTAAACAGCATGTTGGCCTAGCGCTAATTGAATCGATATCGCTACAGCCCTTCACAGAGAAGGCAACATGGGAACAGACAAGTGATGGCAATAACAGATATGAATGGGTACTCGGTGAAATATACTAAGACAAACCTTGTAAACCAGGTAAGACGAGAGACCTATGAAGACTAGCCCACAAGAAAGAGCGAAAGCAAATACGAGACGTGTCGGAATGCAGCAGGATAAGTGGAGACCAGAAGGAGGGGATTTTGATACTCCGAAGCCTTAATATTAGTCATCGGCTAGAAGACTCTAACAATGTAGACCTATTGTGATTTGTATGGTTGAACCATTTGTCCCACTTTGGTCGTTTCCGTTAAGACGAAAAAGTACGTACTCTAGAATCCAGCCAACGACTAATGAAAGGGAGACTTGGCGTGAGAGTTAGCTGTGTGTTTCGCTATGTTGTTTGGAGCGTTAGAAATCAGCGCCACGCAGGCCTGCGGTTAGTAATCCCCTTTTATTCCGTTCCTCCGTTTCGCGGCATGATGCTGTGTGCATCTTACAAGCAATACGTCTAACAGGAGGAGATAGTCGACTTGCCCCTAGCTGCTATTACCATACTATGGAGTTCCAGTTTCGAGATGAAAATAGGACAAAAAATGGATGCAAACTGGACTGCCTTTGCTTATGTCCGTGACTAGGTGGATAGAAGCACTCCAAATGCGACCATGGCAAAAGTCATAAAAATAGTGGGCGTTTAGTCGGTGTCCTATCTCGGAAAACTCAGTGTTTGCCCTAGGAGAATCGCACTGATATGGTCCAATTTTTAGGGTCAATTGCCAGCTGTTTGTACACGAACCGCCGTCTTCCCCAGATCAGAGATTACGAGACTTATGCCTCTAGTCTGATCTGGTGGATATAATACACCGATTCTCCACGAACAACGGATCTGGTTTCTAAAAATGAGAGTGCTGCCCGTGACCAAGCAGCTGAACTCCAGATTATGTCTGAGTCTCTCTACCATTTATGTCAATTGACGCTGCACTCCAGCTTAGTTCCAGCACTGTCTACATTTCCCAACAACTCACAAATTCCCTGTGATCTTATGCAAAGCAGCGCTAAAGCCATCGTTGACGATGCTAATACCTTCACCGACATACTGCATCAATACTTGCATCTTAACTCGGATTTATCGAAAGTGGCACCCCTCGTCGGTTACACGGCGTCAATAGCCGCGCTCTTGAACGCATCATGTCTTCTATGTTGGTTGAAGGCCTGGTCTGCCTTGTGACGCGGGGAAACTGTGTCGAGATAGATCGATTAGTTTTGAGCGATCTGATTGGCGTGAGACTGAGGGGTATGAAAGCAGGCACCGCAGCACCAGCACTTTTCCCTTCTCTATTCTCTACAAGCTTAGTATTCGCTGCGGAATGCACTCTTTTCTCAAAGACTAGGCTCTTGTCACACGCCTCATTATTTTTCAGGTTATTTCCTAGCCAGATCTTCTTCCTTGGACCGTCGATCGCAATTTTTATAGTAATGTTTGATAGATTTGTCTCCACTAGGTTATTTGAACCAGATAGCCAACTTGGAGCCTCATGCCATCAAGAAGGACTATGGGCATCAGTAGACCTCGAATGGAATCCCCGTAGAGTGTGGAATGCTCCATCTTTACACATTCTCTATACGAAGGACCGTATCAAGCTATCTGGCTTTCCGCATCAACCGCTTCTTTCCCCATGTGATGCAGTCAGATTCTCGAATCAATATTTTTGCAGCTAATATCCGTTCTTGAGGCCCCGGCGAGGTTAAGGTCATAATGAATTTGCTGGGGGTTCAAGTGCCCAATTACTCGTATGATGCATGAAAGGCAATATTTACACGTTAAATGTATTCTCAGAACGCTTCACAGTACGCTTCTCAGTACATTTTGACCCAGATCAAGAGGGACCGCAAGTTTTCTGACTATAGCGGTCGTCATTCTTACGGATTGAACACGTCTGAGATCTCGTCACATATAATTTCCAGTAAGAAGAGTCAGCACTGCAGAATTCAGTGCTCACAAACTCCTGTCAAACATGGCAGATCCCTTTGTATCGAAGGATGATGCTTCCAGCGTGTATAGCCGGTCGCCTGAATCGCCAAAATTGTCCTCGTTGGAGGAAGTGCCACCTCCTTTCAGATTCAGCCTTCCTGAGATCAACACGCTTGATCACCAACTTGCAATATCTTCCGGAACAAGTATGGCCTTGGAAACTACGCGATCTAGGCTGCAGCGGTCCAAAAGCAAGCACAGAATGTCATTACAGTACATGCAGAGAAGTGCAAAACCAGCTTCACCATTCTGCACTTATCTCTTTGGTTCTAGGCCCACCGCTAAGACTCTAGCCTGAAAAATGGGTGCTGTTTAGTGGGGTGTGTTACAGGCCAGACAAAGAGATGAGGTTCAATTCGGTGCCATTCAACGAAGAAACTAAATCTAGAGAGAAGAAGAGGAAAGGTTCTATCTGCTGGGACAAGATCCCTTTTGTTTACATGCGAAAGGAATCTCCCGCCAAACGATCCTTGACCAGTTGATTGACCGATCCTCCAGTTCATCCTGAATCGTCACAGGGTGTGAGGTGTACCTTTTTTTTCCGCCAGCCTGGAACCTTCCAAATCTAGTCGCGGACTCAGCCTTGTTACCGAGGCAACCAGAACGTAACTAACATACTGTATGGGATCTAGAACCTCTTGGAAATTGTGGCAGATTCTACTAGCACTAGATGGCGATAAATTGACTCTCTCCCAAGCCCTTCTTTTGCAAAGAGACTACTGAATAGAGTAAGGAATGAAAATGGAAATCATGGACGCCTATTAACTATAGACGAAATGGTAGAAATGAAACCCGCCCTGATGAGTGTCCTAGGACAAGTAAATCCCCATGAATTGCAGAACAGCTTGGCCGAAAGTCAGTCGGCCGAAAGTCAGGAGGAAGCCATAATACATTCTTGCCGCTCACGTTTATCCACTGTCCTTGCTGAACGAAGATCGCCAGATTTCTATAGATCAAATTAGAAGCATGATGTACATACCTCGACGGAACATCGAAGGTGCCTTGGTCGGTGATTAGATATGAACCATCTTGAGTGAATTCGATTTCGAAGACAGCTCCCTGAGTGTTCAAGGTCTCTTGCAGGCCGCCCGTCGCTGTATCCCAGAGCCGCACAGTCCTATCACTGGAGCCGGACGCCAGGAGCCGGCCGTCGGGTGAGAAGGCCACCGAGTTAACCGAGCCTGAGTGGCCTTCGAGAATCAGCTGCAGGTCGCCCTAGGCCGTGTCCTAGAGGCGCACGGTTGTATCACTAGAGCCGGACGCTAGCAGCTGGCCGTTAGGCGAGAATGCTACCGACTAAATTGTGCCCGAATGGCCCTCGAGAGTCTGCTGTAGGCTGCCCTTCGCCGTGTCCTAGAGCCATACTGTCTCATCGCTAGAGCCGGACGCCAGGAGCCGGCCGTCGGGTGAGAAGGCTACTGACCAAGCCGAGTCCAAGTGGCCCTTGAGAGTCTGCTGCAGGCTGCCCGTCGCCGCGTCCCAGAGCCGCACGATACCATCGTCAGAGCCGGACACCAGTAGCCGGCCGTCGGGCGAGAAGGCTACCGAGTAAATAATTTGTGAGTGACTCTCCAGAGTTTATAGCTCTGCACTCCATCCTTCTTTAACTTGTGGAAACTGGCATATCCAACTAGGAAGGTCTGCCTTGAACTCTGTACGAACTATCGACGTTCGAGGTGCAAATACTAATCCTGCACAATAGATCTAAAGTGGTGCTTCCTCGCTTATCTGGCGATTTTTCAGAATAAAGCGCTTTGCATCAGATAGAAAATCAGACAGTGCGGAATTGCTATCGCCCTATATTTGTTAGCAATGGTCACAAATAGCTATGTCCTATATTACTCACTGATATATATCTATAAAGGAGATCAAGCAGACCGACCACGTCCGATAAGAAACCCAGGAGACTCATCACCTCTACCCAGTACAGAAAATGCTTCTAGAGGAATAGCCGCATATCTTCTATCTAGGAGGATACGGCTTGACTCTTTTCGATATGGTATATCCAGTAGCGACAAGAGTATTGTAGCTCAGGTGGTAGATATTAGCGGATATATTAAGCGTCGATGTCTATCTTACTTGTTTGCTTTCTTCCCTAATATATGCCTTGCTTTCATTTAGACTTCATTTAATTGTCTTCCCCCTCACTAGCAAGCTACTTTCACAAAAAAACCCCTGTTAGTTATCTTTCTCGGAACATGTACTCGAAACCGAACGTACCACGTCATTCTGCCAGTATTAGAGCATGCGGCTTAAGTCATATGGGTTATCCAACACTTGTGCATCGGAGTCGAGGTATCCATTGAATAACTTCCACTCCGACTTGTCATCTGGACCTTCGCTCTCATTCGGGGCCAGAGTAGTAATAAGGTCGTAATACTCATATCGATCCATGCCATCAGGAATTTTGGCCTGATAAGCAGCGGATCCGGCTTGGCGTAGCAGAGACTCAAAATCTGCGGGAAGTTTCTCTTTGCTCTCGTCATACAAGCCGTCGCGCTTCTCAGCCCACTTCCCATGGGTGACTTTCCACTCTAGCACAAGTCGTTTTACTCCGCCAGGCACGAGATAGTTACCGTCCAAAATTCCTCCAACGTTCACGCCTCGGAACCTTCCAAGTGTTCCTTGTTAGATGTTCAAGGCGGTCAAGGAAATCTAATCGAGAGAAATCAGCGATTTTCTCGAAGCAGACTATATGGTATAATGCTAAAGGAAAGCAGCGTTAGAAGTTCCGTGAACTTAGCTGAGGATAAGGGTTTGCGTACATGTATTAGGTCTTCCCCAGGACCCCTGGTCCATTCACGGATGTATAGCGAGGCGCAGGTCACTCGGTTGGATCATTCGATCACAATTCGGAAGTCGGCATTTTGCACCGCTTGTTGCGCGTAGAATGCGCGAGAGACTCGATGAAAAATAATGACGGAACGGTATGTGCCACACGAGATGGGTGTCGACTTAGTGTGGTTTCGAGGCCTAGATGTCGAATGAGGCGCTTTTTCTCCAGTGATACGGCATCGTCTCGCCCAGGATGGGCCAGTGCTTCTTCACTTGAGGATAATTGATTTATCGCGAGCACATCAAGCTCAACGTCTTCTATATCCTCGTGAGATTTTAAACGAGCCACGAGGTGTTCGGGGAATTCAGCACTGTAAACACCATAGTGAATCAGTCCTTTGATATGTATGCGTTACTCTGAAAACTTTGCACTTACCAAAAGCTATTGAAACTCTCAAATTCCTCTAGAATGTCCCCTCCGTTTCCGCTGACAAATTCTGATCCTGCAAAAAAGATAGTTAGTTGGTAATTTTTAGAGTCTGCTCGATTGGAAGACGTACTACTGATTAACGTTTTCAGGCGGAATGCCTTCGTAGCATTCAACCTATTGGTAAATCAAATAGAGTAAATGAATGAGCTGAAAAGACACCGTTACAAAGGTACACAGCTAGTTACAAGATACCTAGGCATGTGGTTAATGTCAACGTAGAACTTGTGTCTGCTTGGGAAGGGTGCATGTCTCAAAGGTGGAGTAAGTGGAGATAGTGCAACCCTTAAATAGCCTACGGTAGAATAGGTTTCGCTGCGGCCCGCCCCTAGGTCAGACTTCAGCCACAGTTAGGGTCTGCAGGGGAGTCTTTGACAAACGAATAGGAGGCCACTGCGGTAGTGACTCACATCACTCTCGATCGTGGCCCACTTCAGAAGGCAATGAGCCAATAGAGTGTCTCCTCACTCCGGTCCAGGTCCGCAGGTTGTCTTGTCTGAGCATGCAGCACCGAATAACTAACGAGAAGGCCACTGTGGTCGGTAGTGTATCACTACTGTGGTGATCCACTTCAGCAAGCACAGCCGACCAGTGAAATCACTCCTCACTGTGAGCCGGCTTGTGAAGGAATATCTTCTTGTCATAATGCCAAACTTATATTTTTTAGGTTTTAATACTAGTGGAGTATCAATACCTCCGGTATAGTATCGACCTCGGTGGTGTGTGGCGTTTGTATCAAAACTAATCGTTCGACTTCCATATTATCATTCAACTTACGACTCACCTTTCGTACTTGTTTCGTTTCAGAGCCACAGCGTGCGACAGCGCGCGTCACCAGTTATCTAGCCAAAGATAGTTTAGCGCAATCGGAGCGGGGCGCTGGGAAAGAAAGTGAGTGCGTCTGAGGGTAATCTGTTTTCGAAATCCTCTATAGGACAGCGGTGGAGGAGGCACCATTTGCGGACATTGTGCGTGTCGAGCAAGGGAAGATTACCCGCAGAACCGCTTGTTACAGTCGATTTCGAAAACAGGTTACCCTTTAGACACACCGACTTTGTTTCTCGGCCCGTATCCGAGTATACGCTAGTCTGTATAAGGAAAGGCTGTCAACAATCGTTTCCTACAGTGGCGCCGCAAAAGTCTGTGACTCCCTGGCTGACCGCCTTTTTCTGCCGTGGATTTTGCCACACAGAAACATCCAAAAATCATATTCAATAGCTAATATGAAGGTCTAGGCACTGGCAAAGCTCTTCTGCTAAGTTTAGGGTAATCGACAGTCAAGGTATTGCATACAACGCGATACACGTCTACGCGTTTAGGAGGCTGAGTAGGCTATAGTAGGAAGGCGGTGTTACTGGCGGTCAAGCGGGGGGTCACAGACTTTTGCGGCGCCACTGTAAGAATAGACCTCTTAAAAAACTAGAACGATGAAATAACGTAAAATACTGTATATTACACGTATTGTCTATACACTGCGACCTTGTTGCTCCTTTTTTCCACTCTCATTCCCACCCTAGCATCTATCCTTCCGGAAAGCGCTCTCATCTCCAAAATTGCTAGATTTATATGCACTCTATGGCACCGAGACTACCCTTCTCAAGGTTACGCTTTATTCGTGATATGATACAAGCCCAGTCACTAACCAGGTCTCAAATAGCCGAACCAGCTGAATGCAGTGAACAAACGATCAAAAATATTCGTAGGAACCTGGACCTGTTCGGAAGCGTCCATGCCCCTAAAAATCGTATCGGTTGGAGACGAAGCGTGACACCACTGATGCTAGAAGCGCTTTGCGATCATCTTCTCGAAAAGCCTGGGCTATACCTCGACGAGATAGCTATATTTCTATTAGATGAATTCTAGATGCTTGCAACAACCTCTAGTATTAGAAGAGCCCTCTGTCCAAAGGCTAGTCTAGAAAAAATTCTAAACAAAAGGCTAAAAAGCAGAGCGTGGAATTACGAGAGACATATCTTTCATAAGTTCTCCGACCACCTTGTTTATGTTAATAAATCTGGATATGATAAGCGGATTAGGTTCCGACGGAGAGGCTAGTCACCACTCGGTGTAGCACCAAAACAAGTAGCACAGTTCCACCGCGACGGGAGGTATCAAATTCTACCTACATACTCTCAAGATAGTATCGTGCTCTCTCGCGTCTTTCGTGGCTCAACGGATGCTTCCGTGTTTAAGGACTTCATCGATGAGCTGCTTCACCATTGTGGAAGATGGCCGGAGCCCAAGTCTGTCCTGGTCATGGATAATGCGTCATTCCACCACTCCGAGAGAATTTCACAGATGTGTGCCGATGCGGGAGTAAAACTGGTCTATTTGCCTCCATACTCGCCCGACCTGAATCCAATTGAAGAGTTTTTTTCAGAGCTGGAAGGATTCATAAGACGTAAGTAGAGCTACTACGCAGAAGATCCTGCTCAGGGATTCAAGTCCTTTCTAGAATGGTGTATTGATCAGGTTGGTGCGAGAGAAAACGTGCCAGGGGCCATTTTCGGCACTCGGGCCTCAGTGTTAAAGATTTACATGATTGACATAACCCTGACTGTACGTACGGTATAGTCCTAAGGAATCTGCGATAATAAATGTAAATGATGTCGTACACGGTCGTTTCGATAGGCTCTCGTGTTGGGGGATCACTCATACTGCCTTAACGCTTGCCGAGATTCGCCTCAAGGCCTAACGGTATAGACTTCCAGAATTTGAACCTAAACTCATATGTGAGCGATAGAGGCTCCATCTCCGCGCTCGTATCCGGATGCTTGTCCCCGAGAACTTCTCGTCGCAGCTCCAGCACCTTTATCTCTATTTCCTTGGCCTCTCTATATCGCTGTTGAGAAAAGTATGAAGACGCAAGATTGCCCATCGCCCGGATCGTATCTGGGTGTTTCTCTCCGAGAACCTCTCGTCGTAGCTCCAGCACCTTTACTCGGAGCTCCTCGGCCTCTTTGTCCCGGCCAAGCGAGGAGTATGAGGCCATAAGACTGCCTATCGCCCAGATAGTATCTGGGTGCTTTTCGCGATGAATCTCTCGTAGCATCTCCAGTACCTTGACCTGGATCTCCTCAGCCGCATTATACAAACCCTGTGCGAAGAGAACAGCTGTAAGTTCGGCTGTAGCAGCGGCGGTATCTGGATGATTTTTGCCAACTACCTCGCGCCTTCGTTCGAGGACCTAAGTTGCTGTTTCTGAGGCTTCCTTGTAAAGTCCTTGCTCCCGATACGTCCGAGCCAGTGAGCCGAGGGAAGGAAGAGTGTCAGGGTGTTTCCAGGCCCGTGTTTCCGATCGTAAATGTAGTGATCATTTATCCACAGACTCCTTTTCTCCTCAAATTCCTCGACCATGAAGATACTCGGACACGCGGGCAAGAAGTGAAGCTACGTCGACTTCCTTTCCGCAAAACTTGGCCCAGTCAACCACGCTCACCGCGTGTGACAAAATCTTCTCACATCGCTCCATATTGTGCCTGTCATAGCGCTTTTTTTATAGTCGGGGAAAAGACCCAAGATGATGCTGAAGACAGCAGCGGCAAAGTATCTATCATCCCCAGCTGTCCCTAAGTAAGCCTCGTGGAGGCCATGCCGCGTCGCCTCCTGGACTAGTTTGTGCATCTCAAACGCCCGCTCGGCTCCCGCCTTGCGGTAGCTGATGAATGAGAAATCCAAGGGTCTACGAACAATTCCGCAGTCTGTTCCATGTGGGGAGATGCACACTTACTGTCTTGTCCACCAAACGCAGCGGCTGCCAAAACGACTTCCTTTGGGATATTCAGATTGTCAAGATATGCAAGGATACACAAGGCTTCATGAGCGCTTTTGCTCTCTTCCTAAAGATTTTTGATGGAAATTGCCAACGTCTGGAGCAGGCTGTTTGACACACCGGCGCGTCGATGCCGGTCAAACTCTGTTTCGCTGAAGAGCCACCACCTTTCCCTCTCTGACAACAACAACTTCAACTGATATGCTGTTATAGGTGTCGATGGTCTTCGCATGTACGCTCATGCTTGCGAGATAAGCAATAGGAGAAAATACAACTGCCGAACAAGGCTCTCGGCCTCCTTGCAATCTTCTGCGTGGATCGTTCGGCCTTGAGTCGACTATAATAGAGCACTGGCTTCTTGGACTGTCATTTGTGGCACGTGAAGTCCTCGACGTCCTCCTACAAGAGTGCCTACTCCTCGCTCTTCGCGACTCGTCCATAACACTGTGCCTCCGGGTCCTCGTGGCACGTAGTCGAGCAGATTCGAAGACTAGCCATCAGAGATGTTTGGCCCAAAAAGCGTCAAGTCGTCTGTGTTATTAAGAATCAGGACCCAGTGAGTCTGTACTTCAATGCGGCCACGGACCGCTCCAAGTAGCTCTTTGCCGCCAAGCTCCTCAGTCAGGCCAAGTCTCTTCGCAATCACCTGGTGTCTTGCGTCCTCATACTTCTCTCAGAGCGATACAGAGAAGCCGAATATGCGTTGGCAAGCGCGAAATGGAGTGGATCAAAAATTACGCCGTTGCAAAACCACCGAGTGACGCAACGTTGGTGTCACTGGCCCAAAACAGTCCAGAAGCGCATCTGCAGCTGCTAGAGAAGTATGTCAGGGTGGCCCCTTTCCTTATGGACATTGCACCCATCCTCACTCGCCCTACATTGTGGCATGGAGACCTTCACTCCTCTAACTCATTTGCGGATGAGGGTCATATAACATCCGTCATTGATTGGCAAGGGTCGTGGGCGGGCCCACTCTACCCTTCAAGCTCAGCCATCCCCGCTTGTGGACTAGTTCGGGACGCTGGGTTCTAGATTCTCCTGCCACTAATGATACGGCGTCATCCCAGGAGGGGCTTGGTCTAGCCAATGTCAGCTTAGCGTAATCTAAGTGAGGCACTGGGAAAAAAAGCCTGTGTCTGGGGGTGGAAAACTGTTTTCGAAATCCACTGTAGTGTCCGACCAATCCCCATGGCGGACACGATTTGCGTGTGGAATAAGGCGTTGCTGAAGCTCGAGTAAATTCTGACACCTGAACTATGGACAGTGTTCCCAGCGGATACTGTACCAGTGCTAGTTCATAGAGTTGGATTAAATCCACACTTTTTCTTTGCTGGCAAGGTGAATACACCGGTCTTGCACCACTTGGTATATATCGTAGCCTCCGTCTTTGCCCTTAGTCTCAAGCAGAGAGAACCCGACGAGGGTCTTGACACCAAATTTGACAGCGATTCTGCTTGATATTGACTTTTTGAGCCAAATTGGGACATTCAAGCTATGAGAGCTGCTTTTTATTAGTTGGTCCCAAATCTCTCAATTATCGGCGCGAGCAAGGAGCAATAGCAACGACGCTGCGTTCGGGTCCCGCCTCTGGATTTCCTGATATGAGATTATCCATGTTTGTAGCATATTACCTCCCTGGTACTGGGGTTCAGGATACTCAGTGATAGAGCATAGCATGTGCGGCACATTTGCCAAAATTTTTAGCATACCGACTTCCCACGGCACTAGGCCTTAGGCACACAAACATACCAAGAAACCATGTGAAACCCATGTGTTTCACATAGCTAATTACTAGGTTTTTATAGCATATTACTAAGGTAAAATTCTGTTTTATAGCAGTATATAGCTATTTTAGACCTATATATAGAAATCATAAGACAAACCTAATCTTAAGAATCGAGATAAATGACAGACATGGGTACAAGTAGGTACATCTAAATGTATATAATATAGGCATAGGCCTAAGTACCGATAAGTACTCGCTATCTCGTGAGACTCGTGTTAAACACATTGGCTATCGAGAAAATCCCATGTGCCCAAGTCCGAGTCACATCGCACGTCAATGTTGGTTTAGATATCACATGAGAGAACGATAGGCAATGTGAGGCTCAGGCAAACCCAATAAAAATGCTCCTTATAACAGACCCTCATTACAGTAGCATAACGGGTCTAGACAGTTCCCGGCCTAGCTAGATTAAGTCAATCGCCAAAGCGGAACTAATCATCTATTCAGTCAATTACCGGAATACCATGGTCCATGGAATTGATTCTGTCTTGAGCATTCCAGCCAACAGACTAGAATTTTTACATAAGTACTTCTGCATTTTTACGTGACGTCGTAAGAGCCGTTTGCGGAAATTTCTAAAATTCAAAACTTAGTTATAACTTGATAACTCAAGGGTACCGATTTTGATCCCACATGTCCTCGTTATTGTAGACTCGAGAAATATCACAAAATCCTGCCAGGCATCGTCCAGATCATCGGAAAGGGTAGCTAAGTTTGAGAAATATGCGATCCATATGTTCTAGACAGATCTCTCCGTGAAACATTTGCGAAAAGATTTGTGGGCTGTATAAATAAATCTCGCAGCAATTTCTAATGCAAACCTCCCGTAGATTTTCTTTCCTTTACACACATCCATACCGAACAAACGAGGATATTCTCAACTATATTAGTGAAATCTCCGCAACATTCCCCATTAGTGACAAAAAGTCGTCCAACATTTTGGTCAGACAAGATGTCAGATAAGAGTGACATCAACAGCACGTCACCTAGGCGTGTGACTGTACGAGGCGCAGGCAAGCTTCACCGGTGCCCTTCACGAGCAAAGAGCATCGATTCATCGGCTTTTCAAGATAGCAGCGAAGAACTGTTTCAGCAGGCAGCAAAGAAAGGCGATCTTAATACTGTGGAGCGCCTTATTACTGATGGAGTAAACATCAATGCTCGAGGGCCAACAAATAATGGACGAACCGCCCTCCAGACGGCCGCACATGAGGGACACAAAGAAATCATTGAAATACTTATTCGGGCGAGGGCAGACGTCAATGCTCTTCCAGCGAAAATTAAAGGACGAACCGCACTCCAGGCGGCAGCTGAAGGGGGGTACGAAGATATTGTCGAAGTCCTTATTCGGGCCGGAGCAGATGTTAACGCTGCCCCTGCCGAAGTTGAAGGACGAACCGCACTCCAGGCGGCAGCTGAAGGGGGGTATGAAGATATTGTCGAAGTCCTTATTCGGGCTGGAGCAGATGTTAACGCTGCCCCTGCCGAAGTTGAAGGACGAACCGCACTCCAGTCGGCTGCGGGAAAAGGGCACGAAGTTACTGTTGAACGCCTCATTCGAAGTGGGGCTGAGGTAAATGCTTCTCCGTCGGAAAATGGAGGAGAAACTGCACTCCAGGCAGCCGCCGACCGGTGCGATCAAACTATTGTCGACTGTCTCCTTCAGGCGGGAGCAGACGTTAATGCTCCACCAGCTAAAGTTGAAGGGCGAACCGCCCTCCAAGCAGCCGCTGGACAGGGTGATCAAGGCCTTGTTAGTCATCTCATTGAGGCTGGAGCGCAGATTAATGCCCCACCAGCCGAAATTGGAGGACGAACTGCTCTCCAAGCAGCAGCCGAGCGGGGGCACGAAGCCATTGTTAGGTATCTTATTGAGGCAGGAGCTAATGTTAATGCTCCACCAGCTAATGTTGGAGGGCGAACTGCACTTCAGGCGGCCGCTAAAAGAGGATACAAAGCTATCATTAAGTACCTTATCCTAGCTTCCGCAAATATCAATGCTCCTCTAGCTAAAGTTGGAGGACGAACCGTACTCCAGGCCGCTACTGAGCAGGGAGATGAAACTTTAGTTAACAGTCTTATTCAGGCGGGAGCAGACGCCAACACTCCCCCAGCCGAAGTTGAAGGACGAACCGCACTCCAGGCCGCCGCTGAGCAGGGAGATCGAGATATTGTGAATTATCTTATGAAGGCTGGAGTACATATCAATGCTCCTCCGGCCGAAGTTAGAGGACGAACTGCACTCCAGGCAGCTGCCGATCGGTGCGATCAAACTATTATCGACTGTCTCCTTCAGGCGGGAGCAGACGTTAATGCTCCACCAGCTAAAGTTGAAGGGCGAACCGCCCTCCAAGCAGCCGCTAGACAGGGTGATCAAGGCCTTATTAGTCATCTAATTAAGGCTGGAGCGCAGATCAATGCCCCACCAGCCGAAGTTGGAGGTCGCACTACGCTCCAAGCAGCAGCCGAGCGGGGGCACGAAGCCATTGTTAGGTATCTTATTGAGGCGGGAGCAGATGTCAATGCCGCGCCAGCCCAGGATAGTGGACGAACCGCACTGCAAGCAGCCGCAGATTGGGGTGATCCGACTCTTATCGACTACCTTATTCAGGCAGGAGCAGACGTTAATTCTTCCCCGGCCGAAGCTGGAGGCCGAACTGCGCTCCAGGCGGCAGCCGAGGAGGGACACGAAGATATTGTGGACGTCCTTATTCGGAGTGGATCTGAGATAAATGCTTCTCCATCGGAAGATCGAGGAGAGACTGCTCTCCAGGCGGCCGCCAAAGGAGGGCATGAGGCTGTTTTTAAATACCTCATTCGCGCTGGAGCAGAGGTGAATGCTCCTGCATCGGAAGATGAAGGACAAACTGCGCTTCAAGCAGCTGTTGGATTAGGCAATCAAGACCTTGTCAATCACCTTATTGAGGCTGGAGCAGAGGTCAATGCCCCCCAGCCCAAGATAGGGGGCGAACCGCTCTCCAGGCAGCCGCCGACCGGTGCGATCAAACTCTTATCGACTGTCTCCTTCAGGCGGGAGCAGACGTCAATGCTTCCCCAGCTGAAGTTGAAGGACGTACTGCTCTCCAGGCAGCCGCCGGGCAGTGTGATCAAGGCCTTGTTAGTCATCTCATTGAGGCTGGAGCGCAGATCAATGCCCCACCAGCCGAAATTAGAGGACGAACTGCGCTCCAAGCAGCAGCCGAGCGGGGGCACGAAGCCATTGTTAGGTATCTTATTGAGGCGGGGGCTGATGTTAATGCTCCACCAGCTAATGTTGGAGGGCGAACTGCACTTCAGGCGGCCGCTAAAAGAGGATACAAAGCTATCATTAAGTACCTTATCCTAGCTTCCGCAAATATCAATGCTCCTCCAGCTAAAGTTGGAGGACGAACCGCACTCCAGGCAGCAGCCGAATGGGGACATAAAGCTATTATCGAATGCCTGATTCAAGCAGGAGCAAACGTTAATGCCCCTCCAGCCCAAGATGGGGGACGAACCGCACTCCAGGCTGCCGCTGAGCAGGGAGATCGAGATCTTGTGAATTATCTTATGGAGGCTGGTGCATATGTTAACGCTCCTCCGGCCGAATTTAGAGGACGAACCGCACTCCAGGCAGCGACCGGACAGGGAGATCGAGTCCTTGTCAGTTATCTTATTGAGGCTGGTGCGCATATTAATGCACCCCCGGCTAAAGATAGAGGACGAACAACACTCCAAGCAGCCGCCGGACAAGGAGATCGAGGCCTTGTTCGTTATCTTATTGAGGCTAGAGCGCAGATCAATGCCCCACCAGCCGAAGTTGGAGGTCGTACTGCGCTCCAAGCAGCAGCCGAGCGGGGGCACGAAGCTATTGTTAGGTATCTTATTGAGGCGGGAGCAGATGTCAATGCCGCGCCAGCCCAGGATAGTGGACGAACCGCACTGCAAGCAGCCGCAGATTGGGGTGATCCGACTCTTATCGACTACCTTATTCAGGCAGGAGCAGACGTCAATTCTTCCCCGGCCGAAGCTAGAGGCCGAACTGCGCTCCAGGCGGCAGCCGAGGAGGGACACGAAGATATTGTTGAATTCCTTCTTCAGGCTGGGGCAAAGGTCAACGCTTCTCCAGCCAAGTTTGGAGGACGAACCGCACTGCAGGCAGCAGCCGAATCGGGTAATCAACCTCTTGTAAACCGGCTCATTGAAATTGGGGCATGCGTCAACGCCCCCAAAGCCGAAGTCGAAGGACGAACCGCGATTCAAGCAGCTGCGGCAAACGGCCATACTCATGTTATACATACCCTTCGCAAAGCTGGGGCGGAAACAGATTTAACAACAATGGATTTTCGAGGCGATGACACACTCATCAAAGCTGCGACGGATAAACCCAACTCTGATCATCACGTTCGAAGACGGTTGATTGTTTGTTGTGATGGCACGTGGAACAGAAACGATACCGACGGTCCTCTTTCCAACGTCGCTAGAATTTCACGTTGCATAGAAGATTTGGACACACGAAGCGGCGACCAAATCTTCACCCAAATCATTCATTACCAGTCTGGGATCGGAACGAGTACGAACTTGTTATATGACTTGTGGGAAGGTATATTCGCATCGGGTAAGAATACATCGAAGCATACCAGTGGCAGGTGACCCACTGACCTATTTAAAGAGATACTCCGAGCCATACGAGATGCTTACGGTTTCATTTGTGATAACTACTTTGACAAAAATGATGAAATAATACTTATTGGGTTTTCTAGGGGGGCTTTTACGGTTCGGGCAGTTGCCTGCTTAATTCAAAAAATCGGTATCCTGCGACGGTACGGCAGATACTATCTAAGTGACTATCTGACTTACTGGGAGAACGAGGTGGCACGTCCTGGTAAAATGCCCCCTTGGGTAGCATGGCAGTACAAAAAAGAGAAAGAATTTTGGGGAAAGAAAGGTCTCGAGGATGACCTCCGAAAATTGGAGCGAGACGGCTTATGCCTGCGACACGTGAATATAAAAGTCTGCGCGGTCTGGGATACTGTTGCGTCTCTCGTGTCGAAGAATGTTGATTTGGGCCAGTCGGAGCCTTGCCAAGATATCGAAAACACATTTCAAGCATTGGCCCTTGACGACCGCAGGCGTCCATTTAGTCCGAAAATATGGAGACGAAGAGTGAATCCTACACGAACATTGAAGCAGTGCTGGTTCCGTGGAATGCATGGGGATGTTGGTGGTGGCGCCAACAAGATCTCAGGACTCTCGGACCTTTCCCTTGCTTGGATGATATCTCAATTACGCCCCTTTGTTCTTTTCAATACGACAAAGGTACTGGACCTCGTGAAAGACCCAGAAGCTGTACGTCTTGGGAAAAATAAGAAGATCGAGGATCCCAGCATAACACGGCGCGCGTTTGAGCTACGCGATTCAATACACTGGATTTACTGGTTATTATGGGGCCCTCAGGACAGAAACCCTGGTTGGTATATGCCGAAATCTTTGGAAACCATACATTTCTCCGTCCGCGCGTTCTGGGGAGAGGAAAGATATCTTGGGCCTCGGAAAGGGAAACTAGGTACATGCCAGTCATTAAGTGACTACAGGATGACGCAAACCCACAATACGTGGTACTGGGACCACAAAGAAAGGGGCTCCATACAGGAGGACAAACCATACAAAGCAGAACACCAAATCTGGAAGGCTTGGAAACGATTGTGGCCCTTGAATTCAGACCACGCAGACAAACGACGCGTGCTTCAAATCCATCGCACTCTACGAAAGCTATGGCGAAGATGAGTACTGCTTATGTTTGGAGGATATCCATATATCTTCCTGTCGTTTCGTGATTTGACAACAAAACCAAAACTTCATGAAAAATATCCTTGCCAAAAGTAGGGTAATTCACTGCACATAGTTAACAAGGCTCACCAGCTGAGCCCGGGAGAGCTTATAGTGTTTTCTTCCTATAGGGATCCTGCCAGCAGTGCGGGCCTAGTTCACAGGACCCAGGACAACACATCAAAGCATATGCTCTTTCCAGGCAGGCGGCTCTCCGGAAGCTGCTTCCTCAGCATAGATCTGTTGGTCTCGCTCTTGAAGCATTCGCTGAGTAGCAGACGAAGTGCCTCGTTTATCAGTCGTTTTGCCGCCTACGTTTGAGCTCAAAGCGTTCTCCATGTAATTGAATGAGATAACCAGTCTCAGTTTCTTGCCAGCAAGAAAAAGATCTCCCCAACCCGAAAGCTGTTCTACAGAAATCCAATCAACGTCGGTTCCATCGAACCTCAGAGTGAAGCCCTTTTGCCGAGTGGCGGGAACGACAACAGACGTGTCATCTGATTCAAGTTTTCGATGCGGATACTTTCATACAAGTAGCTCCTTGAGCTTTGGTTGCAAAAATTGCCTCCAGTGAGATCGAGAGGCTAGAAAAAGACCTCGTTCTGTATCTTTCGCCACCGTTCTGTTATTGAGAGTGACCTTCCACTCGATCAAGTAGTGGGTACAAGTCGGTGGATCCTCGTCATATGTTCGACCTTCATCCCAGTCACCGAACTGTACAGTAGTAGGGAAAGACTATTATTTTGCGAAGCAGTTTGTTGTGAAGGCGCGTAATCGACAAAGAAGATGGGATCGACGTTGATTCAGCTTATGTCGGATGGAGAGGCTGGTGACCAACGCAAGCTGCCAGGTGTTGGTGCATATTGTGATGTATCGACCCCCGTGTCAAGTGCCATGCTTTGTTGAACGCCATAATCGAAGATAATGGCTAACGAGAGAACTGGAAATCATTTCTTGGGCCTACGGTAACGAGGTGAGTGATAATTAGCTGAGGCTTACACCATCAGGAGCCTTCGAGGGTATTGTTCGCATGCAAACCGCCAACTAGTTAGGATGGTCGTTGGCCGCTAAAATCACTTGTTGAGGTTCTCTGGGCCGAAGAGACACCTCGCAAGTGATGACTAGCACACACGGCACAAGGGAGAAGGAGAAGGAGAAAGGTCTCCCGGTACTCCGTAGATCATCAAGTTACTTAGCGCCAAGTGGCCTTCCCCACATGATTTGCAGAGATCCCCATAGAATTCCATGGAATTCCACGGGCCTTTTTTTCATAAGCATAATATAATCTTATGTCACATCGTACTGTAACATACACAGCGTATCTTGCTGAGGCGCCAGGGCATTGATCCCTCCGCCCTTTCAGGGGCCTCGCCTAGAATGTTCTGAAAAAATTTACAGTATTTTACAGCGATCTTGAAACACGATACACTTCAATACGTGATACAGCCGAGTAGCTGTCTTTCTAGCTTAACCAAAGAAGGCTTAGCGGATACTCGGGTACGAGCCGAGAAACAAAGCCAGTGTGTTCTTGGGGTAATCTGTTTTCGAAATCGACTGTAAGATTAGAATTAGAATCCGAGTGACTGGGACAGGTTCCCTAAAACCAAAAAAAAAAAAAAAATGGTAACTTACTCTACGTACAGTATAAGGGAGACGAGACCGATTCTCTTCCTTTCCTCAAGATTGTTATAAACTATTCGTGGCCTAGCTAGATTGAATTATCTCTGAGGTTGAGCTCCTACTCTTCCTGGTCTTGTCGGCTATGAATTGGCCAAGTGGTGGTTTGCCCGCCAACTTCGCAATTTTCTAACGTTCTAAATCGACATGCATTCATGGTGGTACTGCCGCTCGAAGATGTCCGTCGACCAAATCAAACCAAATTCCCTTATATCCAGACTCTCGAGATGCTCTGATTTGCTTGATGAATCCCCGAAGCCTTGTTGCACACATGCCCTGAACAGTATATATACACACTCTGTCCCACAGATCCTCGCACGGCTCTTCGATTTCGATCATGGCAATTGTCAGAGGGAAGATCACAGGCAATGCTGCCGTCTCCTTCGCAGCCGATTGGGCAAATAACGACAAATACGAGAGTATACCATTTGCAAAATCTCTAGCTGTCTCGTCTTCAACTCCAAGGGGATATCGTAGCCGATGGATTATTAATAATGCAGCGAGACGATACACATTCTCTTGCGTCGTTATCGCTAGGCGTTCATGTGGTTCATGCTCAATGAATAAATGAGGTGGGCTAGGAGGTTTCCACTCTATGATCGTTTTCTCTATATCGGCCAGTCGACTATCGTAACCTGATAGTGATTCGACTCCAATATCGAGAACTTCCCTCTTCATAGCATGGCTGTATTCGCAGAGATCATAAAGAAGGGGGAGAAGTGTTGCGCAGACACCCATATAAGAATGAATAATTATGGGCTCTGTGCTAGGGAGTCGGATGATAGGGATGTTCCGGCGGACTAAACATTCGACCGTGTCGATCAGAATCGGAGTCATGATCGATGTGCCTATAATCCCGAAATGAACTAATCTTGGTGCCCAGTCCTTGGTCGATATAAGTGCGCTTCGCAGGATTGAATGGGCTGTAGAGGAATCGGTCGCTGTGAGTACGTGGAAAAGGTACAGTATATAGCCTAAAAAGAGAGCGCAAGCGGCATCGGATTCTTGGGTAATCTTCACATTCCGCAGGTATTGCAGTCCCTTTGTAGCTTTAACCATATCGGGCTACATTTGGCGCATAACGAGCGATCTTTGATGCCGCATCATTAGCCCCAAAAATGCCAAGTATGGCTCCGCGAGAGTTGGTTCTGATAGGCGTAACATAGTAGAGACTGACTGTTGAGCCACAGGAAGAAAGCTAGGCCCTAGTAGAAATGGCATGCATATCACACAGAACTTTTCGGGGTCCAGCACTATACGAAAGGCGTCTGAAGCTGTTTTGAGTATGATCGGGTATGCGAGTAGTATTTTAGGCCCCAAGGCCACCACGTCGCTCCTTCCTAGCGACCACACTTCTTTAGCAGAATCAGTGGACGAAGTGAGATCACTAGATGACAAGCTTGATTTGGAGTGTCGACTGAGGGGGCCAAGGGTGGTGTAACCATTGTGAGACATGGGCTTGCTGCGTGGTTGTGGTTGTGATTGAGAAGGCCCGAACTGTCGCCGTGAGTCGATGCTCCAAACCTGCATGTCCCCATAGGGAAAGGCCTTCGTAGCAGGCCTGCGCCCCATACGCCTGCAATGCCGGGACGTTGAGCATGCGATTTTGAGGCGACGACACCTCGTACATGGCTGATCATTGCTGGCGAACATACATTTTTCTTTACTCGTGTAGCACTGATCGCATGCCTTTATACCCATGACCTCTAGACAGCAGAAGCTAGCCAAATACAGAGGCAAGCCAATCGAGATCAGGTTGGCAAGCAAACTCGCGAGAAATAGAAACTGTGTGGTTGTGTGGGTTGAGACGTGAGAAGACGCGGAAAGGTAGGAAGTCCCTAACGCCCGCTGCATTTCTGGGCTTCCCCCAAGATTTATTTACCCGTAGGCCGATCACGGCACGCCAAGGTGCAAATAGAATTCCCCTTGCTTCTTTTGGACCAAATGACCCCTTTTGTCTTTCGCCCTAGCTTTAGATAGCCCTGCAGAGTATTAAGGAATGGGCCTATCTACCGCTGATGAGGTACTTGCGCTAAAGTATCGCTGTGACTGGGTACCTTCCTAGCGGACTGTTTTATATTGCTTTTGTATAACAAATAGTTGTTCCGATGGAGGCCTTCCCCTTGGCTGGCAGCGCTAGTCGTCCTTTGGCGGTAATTTTGAATGAGAATTTTTATTAGCATACCAGCCCTCACCGCTTATTACTCGAATCTGTCTCGTGATCAAGCTAGGACTAGGATGACCGTCATAGAATGGATACAGTACAAAGAGGAGTTTCATATGACGTAGCCCCTCTTGTCTGGCATTTGCTCTCGGGTCGGGCCTCATAGGACTAATTTCCTCTCAAGAGGATCCTCTCAGGAGGATTAACTTCTCAGAATAAAGGTCTTGTTCCGGGGTTTCCAAGTACCCTAACTTTCCAAAAAAATCTACCCAAAAAAATCTACCCAAAAAAATATTCCCGTCTACATCTTCCTACAACCAGGCCTACAAGAAGCACTGCATAGTCCAAAGATAGACTCAAGACATGCTGCTCATTTCATCAAGTCTTCCAAGAGCTTCCTCCCGGGGCGGCATCGCTCACATCTGTAATGGCCTCTTGTTTCGGGCTACATAGTACCCATATCCGCCTAAAAGGTTCCTCATGGTTCCCTTGGCTTCACAGAACGAGATGGCGTGATTGAATCTCCTTCCTCTTCTATCCTATCCAGCGCTCGGGAAGCCATTGTTAGAAGTTGCCTCTCCTTGGTGAGTCAGCCTTTAGCGACAAGTTCCCGCTCTTCGTGCTCAGAAATCACGAATATGGAATTCTCGCCGTCGGCGGTGGCCGCACGGAAATATTGGGCCGGTCTGAGACTTTGAAGATATACATCGTACAGTGAATAGCCTGTATTTAGTCCACGTCGAACAACAGCGGTGTTCACAAACCCTACTAACAAAACGTACCCGGAGCTAAACCAGAACAGTACTAGCGCCCGCTGGTATTCAGGGGCAAACCCGCTGGTATTCATAACTTGTAAATAGTAATAACAACACACGATACCATTACCTTCTTAACCTCATCTTGACCTATGAACCCTAAAATATGCCCCAGTTCATAATTAATACGTCACCCTCCTTGGTTGGTGGAGAAAATGACATCTTTCCGTCGTATGTTAAGGTCTTGCGTGAATGGCGGGTGGCTCTGTGCACTACCCACGGTAGCTGCTATACCCGCCAGAATCTGGCACGCTATCTACTTGAAAAACATCGAACACCAAGTGATCGGCAGAGGATAATTGAATCTAGCACCTAAATGCAGGAGGTAGCGGCTACGAACAACGATACGGTGCAGCCACCCGATGGGACGGAGGAGATTTATGGGCTGCCGACCGTGTTTGGGTATCTCTGCCACTTTGAACGCTGTGACTTCCGCACGACAAGTACGGACCGGATCCGACAACACTACAATCAGCGGCACCAGTGGCAGGTTTCCCGCCAGGGCGCGATGCCATAGTACTAGGCTTATGTTCAGACATTGTTTTCCCAGTCGCAAGCTCAACGTTATTTTGCAGTAGTTCTGGCCGACCAGGTCCACTAGTCCGGTACCCCACAATATATATATCTCCACGCTAATATTAAGCTCAAGCACGAGAAAGATATCGATCAATCAACATGGTAGCATTTGACCAAAACAACTAAGCATGAGAGAAGGAAAGAAGGGAAGATGGCGGAATGGCGAGAGAGCTATCTAAATAGTAAATGGATGCCTTAGGAACCAGGCATCAATCCTGCTGACGATCGTCACAGCTAATGCTCCGGCGAATGCTCTATCTCGACCCATATCCCGTCTCCCCCCACTCCTGTTCTAGATAATCCATGGAATCAAATTATAGGACGGTACTAATAGAGTTAATCTTAGCTACAACGAGATTGTGTAGAGACCGCACGGCATGTCTCCGAGCTCACGCCGTGGATGAGGCGTACTGGCATTTATATCTATCTCCTAGGGCTAGAGCTTAAAGAACTCGGTCCTAGCTATTACCTCCCTAGGGTGCAGGACGAGCCGTCTTTATTCCTGATCTGTGAGAGTATCGGACGGGTTCTAGAGAAAACGATGACCGTCTCGTGCATGACTAGAACGTAGAGGCCCGTGCCTTAGCCGGCGTAATACACGACTTCTCAATACCCTTACGCGGAGGGAGACCTCCTAAGATCCCATCACTGAACTACAGAACTAGCAGTCATGGTATCACCCAACCCTAGCACAAACCAACATAAAGGTATACATCCCAAAGCAACATGTCATACAAGCAACCCCCATCCCCCATCCCAATCCCCCATTATGTCCTAAATCTCCTGAAACACTCTAAACCCCCCAAACTCCCAAAACGCCTCCTCAAAACTCCCCGGATTATTCGCCACAAAGTCCGAACAAGTCTCGGGGCAACTATACATCTGCGCATAATACTGCGGCTGCGCGGCTAATTCCCCGCATAAATCGATATTCGCGATGATACTCTGGTTCCGGAAGTGACTGGCGATGTCGCAGTCTGTGCTGGGGAAGTCGGCGAGTGCGGTACCCCAGGTAGACGGGTTAGGGGTGAGGGTAGGATTGGTGAGATCTGCTGGGATTGCGGTGCGCGGGAAGAACCAGGCGCGGATTCCTGCTGTACGTAGTTCGAGGGCGTAGACCTGATTTGCAGCGTGTTAGTGAGGGTGTCTCGTGTATAGGTGGCATTGAGGTGCGATGTTTGTACTTACTCCGCCGCCATTTTGGTTGAATTCCTGTCCGTATGTGGACGAGTCGCCCAGCACACCACAGCCAGCATTGCCATCGGTACTGTTATTGCACGTTGTATGTACGGGGTCGCCCGTTTCTTTCCGCTTCACATCCATATTGCACCCCTCGGTCGTATGAAGCGTGATCTCGTTGCCGTGCGAGCCCTCATTATTTGACTCGAGTACGTCGATTTCCCCGTTCATCGGCCAGTTATGCCCATCCGTCAACCATAGAGCTGGCCAAGTCCCACAGCCATACGGTGTGTGGATGATATCAAACACAAATAGTCCCGTGTCGTAGGTAGCTTTGGACTCGATGCGGACCGAGTTACGACCGCCGACGGCGCGGGGTGTGAACGAGTCGACGCGCAGTATGGCCGAAGTATCACTCGCATAAGTGAGATTGAGATCTCGGGCTGCGTGATGATTGACGTAAACCACGAAGCCGTCTGTCGGATCCTCGTCGGAGAAGTAGTGGAATTTGTCGAAGAAGGATGTCCCCTGGTATGTATCGACCAGCCGGTAGTTGAGGGGTGTATAATCTGGATATCGGTTGGCTCGGACGCCCATCACCGCGCCCACGACCGTGACAACAATCACCACTGCTGCTAGCACTGCAGTGGTGAGGATTTGTCGGCGTCGTGACCATCCTTGCGGGTGATACCATGGGTATACTCTGGTTTTCCGCTCTGGAGATTTGGCTGCCCCGGTCACCGTTGGCACGATGGGTGATTTGGGGATTTCCATGGGGTCGAGCTTGGGGATTTGCGAGGTAGCCCCGCTGTAGCGATTGGCGTGTTCTGGTGGGAGACGCCGGTCGTCCATGTTTGGTAGTGAGTAGAGTTGTGAAGTATAGGATGGTACACGCGAGGAGCTTGTATTTGGCTGTGTTGGAGACTGGATAAACGTTGACCAGGGGAGCAGTGTGTTCAAAAGAAGGGAAATCTTTTGGAGACGTATTTGATTTTAATTTTCTTGTGATTGTGATGGAATGATATCATTGTCGTCTCTGGTATGCTGGCATGCGCTAAAAAAGGTCAAGTGCCGATCTTTTAAGGAAGGCCCGTTTGTGATGCTCCGACGCACGGTTGGGGGTCGGAGAGCATGGAAAAGCTTAGAACTTTAGTTAGACGGAAGACGTAAAACATTGAAGAAAGTCTATCACGATAAATTGTCAAAAAATCCATGCGCATTGTCAATTAATCTGTGAATGCTTCTCATGGTTCTATATGGATAACCTTCTCTATTCTTGTACTGTCTTGTACTATAGTACAGTTGATATCTTCAGATCCAGCGTCTGATAGCAGAATAGCCTGTGGACGATACCATGTCTCGTTAGAATGATCAAGCAAAGAAGAGTATTTACGCTCCACGAAATAAAACGCGTATCTCCCGAGTGATCTAACAGGAATAAGCTCGGCGGCCGCATTCAGCTAGGAATGCGGACGGCCCACACGTGGAAGACACCTACGTCATGTCCCTGACTGATAGGTACAGAGCCCGACGAATGCAGAAATACATTAAGAAGTTTGATCAAAAATGGTTCATGGTAGAGTGCTTGGGTAAAAGTCCAAGCGAGATATTGAAACAAAGATTCACGATCCAAGGACGTGTATGCAGATAATTCGCCAGAAAACGCCAAAACCTCTATAGATGGTAGATGAATGTACAAAAGATGACAAATGTAAATACGAAGCAACGCCGGTCTAGCTCTAAGAGTTACCGGACCGACCGAACGGTCGACAAGCGATGCACGAGATTATCCCCGTTCGGCGCTGGATGAGTTTGCCAATCATGCGATTCGAGGCCCGTCGAGAGCCCGCCGTCTGCCTGTGACTGCGAATAGCTGCGCGATCGTGGCCGTCCGAAAGACTCCGCACCGCTCAGATTCGATGCTCGTCGGCGCATCCGCCGTTCAGACTCGGCAGCCTCGCGGCGGTTCAATGCGTCGGATGGCAATAGCACGGCACGATCCAGGGCATAGGGCAGACCACGGTGACGACCACGGATCTGCATGGCAATGATGACCAACTTGGAAACCACGTTGAACTGTCCCGAGAAAGACGTGTTGACACCGGGGTATCCGAATGACAAGCCCACGGTACCGTAGGCCGACACCACCTCGAATAACACGGTGAACAATTGGAAGCTGTAGTCGCTCGGGCTCTGCAGGCGACTACCTTCGGCGATAGAAATGATGAACAGTCCCAAGAAGACGTACCACAAATCGAAACTCAGCTGACGCCGCAAGTGAGCACCGATGTAACTGGGAGCAGTCTGGGTTTCCTCAACGTTCTCCTCTTCGTAGCCATAGATTCCCAGACTCTTTTCTTCGTACACGTTCGTTCGACGCATGGAGATGGCAATGGGGAACACGGAGATATACATCATGATCAAGTATGACACTTGAATGGCCGGGTGAAGGTCCGACAGACTGACAATGCCAAACCCGGCGGTTCGAGTGGCCACGGCCTGGAACAGACCATCGAGCACTCGGATGCCGGGTGGCAATGCAGTGACCACTGGGTCATTTAGCTGCAAACAAACCAAGTTAGCATCATTCTCCATTCGGAGTTGGAAAGCATATGGTAGAACCACTCACATCTAGAATGATAAAGAAGATCACATCAATGGCATTCAGAGCCACCAGAATCGCAAACAACCACCACGTAGCATTCCGAGGAAACAAAAGAGTAAAGCATCGACGAGGGTGATCAAGGAGGAACTTCAACTCCTCCCACAGCGCGGTACCTTGTCGTGCAAACTTTGACAGAGTCCAAATCATAAGTCGCAGCATGCACGGGAACCCGGTGTTACCAATGACAATCAGAAATGACAACAAAAGCAAAGGGAAAACCGCTCTCTGGAACGAATACATCGAGTCCGGCGTCAGGGTGAATCCCAGATCGTTAAACGCAGACGCGGATGTGAAAATTCCCCACCATGGCCGTCCAACGCCATCGGCAGTCACCACAGCACCCCAAGTATTCACCGTCATGATCCAGCCAACCATACAAATCAGGCCGAACAGATGGAAGCCAACATAATACGAGATCAGCACCACTGCGAGGGTCTTCAGCGCACGATATTCAATCCCACCCAGCTCGTCGCGCTGTTCCTCAGTCAAATCCACAAAGTTGGAGTTTCGCGCGACGGTAGCGTTCCAGCTCAGGTACGGCTGGGTGGGCCGTTCTTGTTCCTGGGTGAGCGATCGGAAAATGCCCCGAAAGGTGTTCTTGGTAGTCGCGGGACCCAGTGCATTATCCTCCACATCCTTGGTCATGGTATCGCGGATCGTTGGCCTCGTATCCAGACGGGAAAAAGTGTTGCCGCGGGTGCGGGTGCGTGTGATATCCGGCTCGTTGATGGTAATGTGCGGTCCGTCCAGCGGACCAACTTGGTCATTCTCACCGGAATCTGCCGAGCTTCGTCGACGAATCGATCGCGGACTCGATGGCTGTTGTACCGGGTCACGTTCCTCTTCCTCGCCCTCGTCCAGTGTTTCGGGAACTCCACCTCGGTCGTACTCGCGGGGACTTGGAATGCGCAGGGCGCCTTTATTTTTGCGCTGATTCTCGAGGAAGGCAATGTGATGCTCGGGACTCAGCTGGGTCGGTACCCGCAGACTTCCCAGTCCGAATCGGCCTTCCACGGTGGGGTCCTCCGTATCCTCCGAGCTGGACCGTTCACTGGGCTTTTTCCCATCGGGAGACTCGTCATCCGTTTGGGGCTCGGTGAACTGGGCGGCAGGGTTGGGGAGTCGACTCCCTCGAGCATCGCCAGCGTTGTTCCGTAGCACCACGATCGAGCGACCTCCCACCCCTAGCTCGGCACGATTCACCTCCCGAGTCTCTTTATCCTGAGTGACTGTGTCCATGCGGGATCGAGTCGAGCGCAAGGCGCGCGCATCCCGCGCCACGTGTTGAAATCGCTTCTCGAACCAGTATAACCGAATAAACACCAGACCGCTGTGGATGAAAATCGGAGTGCAAAGTAGGGTAATAAAATAGAGCACGATCTGTTGATATAAGTACATCTGGTTGAGGTCAATCGTGTTCAACCCGCTCTGGGTGGAGGCGCCGGCGGCATTAAAGAGGGCATCGATGTAGGCCATGTTGCCACCTGCAAAGACGATGACGGAGCCGACGATCACCCATGATATGATATAAAAGTAATGTATGAATATGAAGTTGAGATGAAGCTGGTTCAGCAGCGGGACCCGCTGCTTGAGGTCGTTCAGCCGGTGGATCAAAGGCGAGAACATGGTCAATGGAATGCGGCGATGACGCCGTCGTTCCTAGGCGGAGGCCACAATCCGCGGGAGGTTGAAGAAGTGGCGGCCGGGGGGGTGGGATAGCACGCTTGTTCGTCGAAGGAGGGGGTTTTCACTTGTCAGTCCTGATTTCACGGCCAGGCCAAAGTTAACTGCCGGCGCTGGACCTGATTAGTCTTGAAAAGGACGCTTCGCACGGATCCGGGGGGGGGTCATACATGTGGGAGCAGTGTCGATCGCTGGCCAACGGAGACTTTTTTCGTGCAGGGCAGCACGAGGCGGGCAAGGCCGGCGTTAGCCGCGTGGCATTGGGCCACACTGAAGTATCGGAGAGGTCGAGGGCATTCCTGATGAGGCGGAGGAGGAGGTGGTTGTAGATGGAGGAGTCAAGTCGAGGTGAGAAAAATAAGTCCACCGGAGAAACGAAGCCAACCTTAACGCCTGAACGTGGTGGCCACTGGCCGGTCGACCAAACACCAAAAAAAACTTCGCAACCGGCCGACGGTACGGTACCGAGAGCGTTAAATTACGGAAACCTGCCAAAACCGTGCACTGCCGATCGGTTTGGGCAAGCGGTAAATTACCGACCAGTAAACCAGTCCGCCAAAGAGAGCAAGAAATGATGGCTACTAATCGACACAAAAGAGAGTCATGAGATTGTTAGATCCTCAGTTGGACTATCAGCATTCGCAAGGAGATCCTTGATCTCTACGTGTCTCTATTTGTACCTCGGTGGCCCGGTCTAGATCGAATGCTGGGGCCGAGTGTAGGGTCCCCAGCCGACTAGAATCAAGTTATGGTGAAGGGAACAAGTGAACCACTCACAAAGAACTACAAGGAGAATTCGATACACACCATTCCCAGTAGCTCGGAGTACTCCGTAAGACTGTGAACCATACCACATATACTGTACTTCCGGCGTACTGTACTGGTAATAAACATTCAGATCATATTTCTTCTCCATCCCAAAGACTGGACCCCAATCCACACCGACCCGACTAGTGTCCAGCCAAGCTTTTGCTCCACGGGAAAAGTCGCGCCTCCCTACGTAGTCCTAAGTAGTTAGTCTCGTTAGTCGTGACTTTCGTAGTATGTATTCAGTCCGAGTCTCGACCCAGTCGGACACTCTTCCCATTTCATATTGAGATCTGGTCGGCAGAACGGGTCCTGCAAGCTGCTGCATCTGGCATGCGTACTAGGATGATCATGCTGCCAATGCGACCGGCTTATCGCTTCCACATGGCTCCATTCAGACCTGCGAGTAGACCTGCTACAGTAGCAGGGTTATGATGCTGCCTGCATTGTCTACGCTTGGCCTGCGACGGAGGACTTGGCATGTCCTCGTCCGACCAGGAAGAGTGATGGGAATTATTGCCACATCACATCCTTCCCCTTATGAATTATTTTTCGCAAGTATGAAAATTAAATTGACCAGGGAAAATCCTGTTCGCTCTTGGGCGGTGAGTACTCTCGACAGTATTGCAGTTTCACGAAGGAGAGGAAGGATTAACCCGATTAAATGGGGGGTTTACCTTGGTTCCTATACGGTGATCTTTATAAGCAAGCCTAACGTACTTTCTCAGTTACCCTTTTTCCAACCAAGGCAGTCATGCCGAGGAGAATATAGCTTTTGATAATTGAAACCGTTCTCTAGGGCCCATACAGAACCGTACAAAAAAGACCAAATCCCCAGCAACGGGCAAGTGGATCTCGTCAGGGGCAGATCTGTGCCGACCCATTTTTCATTCCGACCCACTTTTCATTTCGCAAAGTCTGCAACTTGAAACTCGGCCATTTCCGGATGAAATTACCTCCACATCTACGGAGTACGTACTGTCCTACTATGTATACATAGTATGGAGAGTCTCGAAGATGGTCAACAAACTGGTATATGGGGATGGTAAACTTTCAGAAAGAAGGGCTATGTTTCTATTCAATCCCTGTGAAACTGCTTGCAGGGAGGAGTGCGACCACGCTTAACCAGATACCCCTGCGATATATATCTCTACGGGACATCATAAACATGTCACACGTAGTGGTCTAGAGCTGAAAGTTCGAGATTCGATTTCTTCAGGTATAGGGCCAGAAGGAAGACAAAGATGCATATTCTACAGGCATTTCCTTTCATCGCTACAATTCCGGTGGAAATGTACCCTCCGCTCGTGTCAAGAAAATCAATTCAACCCTGGTATATACCTACGACTTCATGCAACAATGCAAAATGTATATCACAAATGACGATCCAAAACTTTTTCCCCTATCCTTCCAACACACCATAGCCCTTTGCCAAAGCTACAGTACTACCGGTGCAACAAACGACGAGTCCGGGATTCCCTCAAAAACCCAATTCAAAGAATCAAACACCTCGGAGAACCCAGCCTCATTGAAGAAAGCACCGCTCTCGTCAAACTGCGTAGGCAGCAGCAGCCCCGGATTATCCAAAGTGCCATCGGGGGCCGCGAGCCCATTATTGGTCGAGATGACTTGATTCGCCGCGGCTGCAGCTGCTAGAGAGAAGACGTCAGAAGGATAGTCAAACAGCGAAGGAGAGTGGAAACAGCCATACCTTGAATCTCTTCTACAGTCTTCCCCGGTCGGAATCGTTGTCGCCATCGCCAGACTGTATCGTAGACATGGCTCATGCTCATCCGGCAACGCACCTTGAGCTGCAGCCCGTCCTCTTCGGCGGCCATGGGCCCAGTCGCGTTCCACATTTGAGATAAGATGTCCGCAAGTCGGACTGGACGATCATGATCCATGACGCTGATTCGCCGGATGGCCGAGATCGCCCCGTTGAAGAGGAGCTTGCCGTGGTTAAAGTCGATGTGTCGGCTGAAATTACTTTTGAGCAACTTCATGAGAGCGAAGGCTGCTGACACGATCATTTGGAGGATGTAGTTGGTTGAGTGGCCAATTAGTTCCCCTGGTGAGGTTTCGAGATCGAGCACTCGGCCCAGGAAGGAGGTGGTTGCGATGAAGAGCTTGGTGAGGTCATCGCTTCGTGCATTGGAGCTTAGAAACACGAAATACCGGAGGTGTAGTTCAGCGGCACGCAGGTGAATCATATTGATTGCTGATGGGGGGTCAGCCGTTGGACGAGGACCCAATATGGCAAATGCAAAGTGGGGGGGGGGGGGGGGGGGATCATACCTGAAATTTCTTGACCAAACTGGAGCTCCATCTCATTCAATTCGCTTTCCAGGATCTGCACGATGACGAGCTTCTCCGCACTGACGAATTCAGCTGGCTCGGGCTTGCTGCTATATAAAGATTTGGTGACTCGGTCGCAGAACTTTTCAATGCGTAGCCGGATGGCCAGGTTCTCGGGAAGGTGGTAGTCCGCATCCTTCAACGAAGCAGGCTCAAGAGCCCAATCGTAGATTGTACTAGGAGGCTGGCCATAGCCAGTCGCCACGCTAGGAATGAATGTCAACATTGGATCGCAAGTCACGGGGCTAGGCTAGGCATACTCACTTCTGCGCGACAATATTGCAAATCACCCACGTATGCAAGCGATCTTTCAAAGCCTCCCCTTGGGCCTCGATCCGGAACGTTGTGAACTCTTCAGCTTGCACCGGCCGATGCATTCCAAGCTGCATGGCAATTTGCATCATCAGACCGCTCAGCATGAACGTTGCGTCAGTTCGTTGACTGGTGGTCGGTAGGGGCCATGTGCACAACACGCACAATGCCTTGACGACTCGGTAATCTTGAGGGACACCTGTAATGGTGGACCATAAGAGTCGACTGAATGGTCCTGAAAGAGCCGTCAGGAGGCCCGGATCCGATGGAGACCGACGACAGGCCACACAGACAATTGTCCATGCCAGTAGGGGACATCGGTTTAGATAGACCTCAGGTGGCTTGGGTAGATTCAGAAGAGGAAGAAATGGGTGATAATAATTGAAATAGCTAGAAATCAGATGAGTCGTGAACCATAGGGGGGAGCGAGAAGGTGGGTCGAGGGCTTACTGTTCAAAGAGCCGTGCAACTCGCGCGCGGGAGAGGGTGATATCCTCAAGCCTCCATGGCGTATTATCGTCTTGAGACAGAATGGACCCGTCCCTTTTCATCGTCAATGGGGTGGCCATCGACGGATGCGACTCCACCGGTACGGATACAGGTCGAGATCGATCAATGCCCGTCGAGTCCCGGCGGGCAAAGGCATCGTCCGAGCATTGCGACAGGTCGTCGCCTTCACGATGTTCTCCGGTTTGAGAATACTCCGGGTTGGACGAGAGACGGCGGCGAAGATCCGCAATCTCCTTTTCCATCTCAGCATTGCGTCTGTATGCAGTGTGTGAGCGTTAAGTACTGGGGATGCATGCCAATCGGTTTACATGAGATGGAAATCACCTTCGCTTGGAAATACGCTTAAAAGATTGCTCAACCTTGCAGTCAATCCCTAGCCTACGACAGCGAGAGCATGCCGCGGCCGGAGTTTGAACGATATCACATCGTAGCTGTTCCACACAGAGATTTGCAGCTCGTCAGCACAAGGCGTACCCACACAGAGAAGAGGGAGCAACAATTAAAGGCGTGGCGTCGGAGCAACTGGCAGGCCCGCTAGGATTTTGCATGTGGCACTGGGCAGTCTCTTACCTTCTGCTGCTTGCACTCGTTGCAAGCTTTCCGACAGCCGCCTCGGCGCTTGCCCGTGACAGGCGGGACCTTCTCCATCTCGCCAGAATCGGGGGTCCTGTGTAGCTCGTCAACGACCGGAGGTGGCCGTGGCAGTTGCGGGGACCGAAAGTCGCTTGGGGGGATCAAGTGAGGCCCATTCGGTGCCAGGAGGTTCCGATACCCCAAGTCCATCAGGATCGGCTTATGCACGCCCGATATAATAATAAATCCCCATCAACCATGAGCGTGGTGCTCATGTAGCGTATCTGCCGGAAATCGGAGGAAGCGCCGTTGGCAATGGCAAAAGAGGGAGGGGCTGTTCCGGGGAAACTCGCAGGCGAGTGGAGTTCGGCGGTGGCCTCTCGTGCGGTGTGATTCGGTCCTGGCAAGGTTCTGGCGACCGCGCCCAACGAATTTCGGCGGTTTGGCATTTGTGCCTCAGGCAGAAAATAGACACGTGAACGTTTTTCCATGCCTGCCTGAGGCAGGACATAAATAAGGCACCAAGGCATCAAGGGACCAAGGCCATAAAGGTGATGAGGCATCAACAACCACCTCCACCGGCCAGGCTTTGTTGAATCTGCACCCCAAATTCTACTCCTCCATTAATTGAGACTACAGGTCTGTATCAATCCGTTGACAGTCCCTAGTGGTGCCCATCGAGGTCAACGGCGTCAAAGCGGCCTCGACTCATTTTTCATATGACCTCGTGTTGATGATCACCACAGAATCTCGGTGGCGCAGCCTTGCGTCCCACTATGCCCCAAACGAGCTAAACCACAACTCGACTTAAAAATGACTACTACGACAAAGCGCGGAGTTTTCGAATTATTGCAACCGGAACAGGGCTCCTTTTTGACCGTGACATCCCCTTATGGCTATGAGCTATGGGATGTTTTTTCCTTCTGTCGCCGACTCGCCGCGTCCCCTCCCCTCATTCAAAGCAATCGGGTGACTGATAATTAGGACTGTGTCTTGGATTCCAGTCTAGTTGCAGGAGAACGCCAATAGTCGGTTGGTTTCCAAGCCAAACTGCCCAAGCTCCTCAGAGACAGGGGACCATCGCCATGGCAGGCGACCCCGAGGGCAATTCCCTCATAGTCGCTAACTCTGGAACATGAATCAGCTCACCAATGATGCTGGTAGCACCATCGTCACGCGAATGGAGTCATTCCCTCGTGAGGGTGGATCCACCTCGGCCCGTGCGGATTTTGTCGCCAGGGGCGCTTCCCTGGTTTTTTGGCTGCTAGTGTGTGCCGATCCATCTGGCTTGTTTCTTTTTGTGGCAACCGATGGTGGCCCATGTTCGATCGCGTATTGTTTCTCCCGCCAGCGACGCGTTGATTGGTGCGTTACATTTACGCCTACTACTCGGTGCGACGGAGACTGTCTGCCTCCATCAAGCTGGTCCAGCCGAGGGACGCGATCGCTCGTTCACCGTGAAGAGATTCGTATGGGGGATCAATTATTGAACCATTTCCATCTGGCATAGGACCTACTGTCTGCAGGGTGGATCACATTTGAGAGGTTGTCATGACCAGCCAGATTGGAAAACTCGATCTGGACCTCAAATGATGGGAAAGTCTGGAGTATCAAAGGGGGGGTGCACGCCTATGCAGACCCCTTGTCTCTGGCGTTTGGAACTGGAGCTGGACTGGTCGAGTATGCAAGCGCCACATGGCATGGCTTGCCCGACCGAGTCAGTTCATACTATTGTATCATACAGTCAATGCTATACCATCACACTGTCACGCTCGCCCTCCAGCCTGCTCACCGGACAATTATTCGCCGGCATCGCACAGCATGATCAATTATTGAATGACCTGGCCAAGGTTCCTTTCCTCCAGGGGGTTTAGCGCTGATCTTGACTGGCAATCCGGCTTCCTCGGCTGCCCTCTTCTTTTGCGTATACTTCGATCAAAACAGACTCGTCATCCATCCCGACCGAGGACTTTGGACATCCCACGGCGCGACGGCCATCTTATCAATTCTACGAAGTCTACCCACAGACCCAATCCTATCTGATATGCGCAGATATCATTGCGTCCATCGACCCGAGGACATGGTGCTTGGTACCGCTGCATTTCTGCAGCAATGCGGATATAAGACGGCATCAGTGGAGGGAAAACTGGGCCTCGCAGAGTTTTGAGAATCGATAGCCTTGCCGATCAGATTCAATAGCTTTCCGAGGGAAATAAAATTGGGTGCTGACTGCTATCGCGCGATCTGAAATCGGTCGATGAACGCCAACGACCGCCCCCGCGAAGGCCCGCCAGCGGTCCGCAAGAGACTTTCCAGCAACCTCCTGCAAGTCCAATCAGGACCTGACGAGGTTGACAAATACATGCAGGTACGGAGGCTGTGGTCGCAGCAGGACCAATGACGTGCCAACAAGCTGCCTATCTGCCTCCATCAATGCTCAACTTAGCCCCGATCTGGACTGGCTTGTCTCCACTCGCTATCAGTCTTGGCCCACCATCGCATCGAGGGATCGACAGGCGATTGTCCATCGCTCGTGCTGTTTGGTCCAGCACGCACCAGAAGTTGGTTGGGGGTTCCACTTGCCGCTACGTGCTGGGGCCTGAACTGGATCTTTCACTCGACTTCATTTCGCAGACAATTCTGCGAGGCTGTCATAGTTTAAAAAGACCTGCAAGGCCCTCGTCCTTGTGGAATGGGCAAGCGCTATCCAACTTCACCACTCTCTTTCAGCACTTCTGCTCAATCAATCCCGCCAGACCTTCATCATGGGTTCGGAATTGGGAATCACCGCCGATTCCAAAGCGGCCATTGACCTCTCGCCGGTCAGCATTTGGTGGGTCGTCTGGGGATGCGTCTGGACGGCCGCCGTGGCCGCTGGCATGGCATATCTGATCATCAATCGAGATATGCCTACTCTCCGAATTCGAGGCCTCGCCTTGTCACTCTCTTCAATCGTTCTTCTTCATCTTTACTGGTGGGTCTGCCAATTTGGCAACATGGTGGGCGCCCTTCTGCCCGGAGATGCCCAGTATTGGATCATGGGAACCTATCTTCCCTGTGGCATCGCTCTTTTCCACGCCTCCAATACTCGTTTCCTTCACGTCGCCAAACTTCAGCGCAAGTATGCTCAGCATGGTTATCGTCTCGTCGATACCACGCCAGACGGAAAGCCCAAGACCGGCTTGATCAACCGTTTCCGCCGTCTCGACTACACGACCAAGATCCTCATCACCGTGGGCATTGGCATGTTCGTTCAAGTCTTTCTGACCGTCTTTAATTATATCATTTCTCGCAAGTGGCATAGCTCCTGGGGTATTCCCGGCACCGAGGTCCACGGCAGCGAAATGGCCCAGAAGACTGCCCAGGGTCAGGGATGGGAATGGTAAGACCACGACAGGTCCATAACATGCAAGTTATATTCGTCCCAGCTAACGATTTATTAATCTTTATAGGTGGCCTGGTGTGTTCTGGCAATTCTTCTGGTCTTGGGTCCTTGCCCCCGTCATCCTCTGGAAGTCGCGCAACATTCACGACACCCAAGGCTGGCGTGTGCAGACAATTGGCTGTGCCCTTGGCAGGTGAGTCGCATCAAACAAGTACAAAAATGGGAATGCATTTCATTAATCCACCATGCAGTCTCCACGCTACCCCCATGTGGCTCATCGCTCTTTACGTTCCTGGCATGGCTCCGGTCAACAAGTACTTTATTCCTCCACAGTGGTGAGTATACCGCTCTCCGACCGCCTCGAAATTATCTTCGCATTCTCTAACCTGAACATTATGGTCTACAGGATCTGCTTGTCTATCTGGATCATCGAAATCTTCACCGTCTTCCTTCCTTGCTGGGAAGTGATGCGTCACCAGTCCCTTCGTCAAGAAACACTCGACTCGATTGCTCGGTGGGAGGTCAAGGTGAAGTCCAACAGCTCCGAGAACAAGTCCCTCAACTCGGAAACCACTATGGTCGAGTCCATGATGTCTGGATGGAAGTCCACCAACGCTTCTATCAAGTCTACCAGCTCGCGTGATAGTATTCTGACCATGAGCGCTCTTGAGCACGTTCTGGAGCGCAACCCCGCCCCGCTTCAGGAGTTCTCTGCGCTTCGTGAGTTCTCAGGAGAGAACATTGCTTTCCTCACCAGCCTTGCGGAGTGGAAGAACTCGCTGCCAACGGTTCTGAAGGATCCCAGAGCTCCCCGGGATGGCAACTCCAAAGACCTTCTCCGTGAACACTTCAACCGTGCCTTGCATATTTACGCCGATTTCATCAGTGTCCGCCACGCCGAGTTCCCCGTGAACATCTCCTCCAGTGACCTCAAGAAACTGGAGGATGTCTTTGAACGCCCCGCTCGCCTTCTCTACGGCGAAGAGCGTGAGGCCGACCCCGTCAGTCCCTTCGATAAGTTCACCCTCGAGCCCGCGTCACCCACTGTCTCCGAGAGCTCTGAGAAGGGTATGACGAATCGCATTCGCAATCGTGTTCACTACTGGGGCGAGATTCCCGAACAATTCGACGCAGATGTCTTCCAGGACGCAGAGGCGAGCATTAAATACCTCGTCCTCACCAACACCTGGCCCAAGTTCATCAAGGATCGCAGGACCTCGATTGATTCTTTCGAGACCCTCAAGGCCAAGACGGAGGTTGTCTAGGAGTTTTATGAGCGACTCATGAGTTCTTTCTTGATATGATCCTGTACCTTTCCCGGTGTAGAGTCTTTTTTACTTTTTACCTTCTCCCGTGCCAGGTAACTGTGTGCGACCCCATTACGGAAGTTGAAGAAGAACCCCCGTATTACATATAATAACTTTTTGTCATTTGATTGAATTTCAATAGCCAGATACCCACATAAATTTGCTCTCTCATTACGATTGGAATCGATGCTTCTCCCTTTTCGATGTTTCTTTTTCTTGTCGGATTATCCGACCTACTATACCCTTCTGTTGTCAAGACTGCTGAGTGCTTAGTCTTGTGCCTATAATGATAATCTCCCTTCTCTCTCTCAAGATGCTAGATCTCACGAAATATTATTTAAGGATCGAATCAATTTTTAACTCTTCGAAATCTTCAAGAATGCTGCAAGCAACATCCGGTTCCCCGTAAAGTCCGGGGTTTGACATTGTATAGTATATATATCTTCGCTAATAGATAGGATTTGGATCTCTATCTTGTGAGACGGATCCGCTGCAATAGCAGCTTCCTTACTAGCAGCTTCCTTACTAGCAGCTTCCTTACTAGCAGCTTCCTTACTAGCAGTTTGCTTAGTAGGCTTACTAGCTGATTGGAGAGTAGATAGGCTAGTAGATTTACTTGCAGATTTACTAGTAATCTTCTTTTTGATAGGGTTTACTGCTTCTTTAGCAGTTCTTTTCTTAGCAAATCGATTTTCGTTTGCTTTGATTCCTGGCTCCTGATTGGCTAGATCAGATTGATTCTTCAGGAATCTACCTTCTAAGTTAGTAGGGTCTCTTGACCAGACTATTGTGGTCCAAAGGGTAGATGGGGCATGCCCTTCTAAGTATGGTAAAAAGAGAGACTATATAACATGCGCGGCCGACTGCGACCTCACATGACCAGAAGTGGCCGGAAGGGGACAGTCCACCAAGAAGGGCAGCCTAAGGCAGAAAATGCTCCCGAGATCTCATCTCATCCTCCCCCACTAAATCTGATCTCGACCCGAGATCATTGTATACAGGCATGAAAGGGCACATATGCAACCAAAGAAAGACAAAAATGGGATAAAGGAGATATATATGGGGTTCGAACCCGTGACCGTAAACAAAGGAAAGTCGAAATCCGTGGATAGATTTCTAAGGACAAATTAGGAAGGAACCGAAAGTGGCTCTTTATTCCAGAAAGGTATCATTTAAAGAAAATCAACAAATAAAGAACTCATTAACACAAATACGCGCTTCTTCTGTTACCCTCTCTAACACAACTCTCCTTCCTATATAGCCTTCGCATTCGCGTTTATTGTCACGAGCCAATCAGAAAGGATACGAAAGCGTAGATTCTGGTGCATTCAAACGAAGAAACTAAGTCTAAAGAAAAGAAGAAGATGAGAAAGCTACGAAGTTGCGCGATGAGCCCTTTTGTTTACCTCCGTCCTTCGTTCCTTCCTTTCCTGCGAGCCCGCTGTCGCTCCTTCCTAATCTTATCAGATCTCTGCTTCAACTCACCAAGGTCGCGGGTTCGAATCCGGCCGCATGCACACATTCGTCACATTTATATACAAATTTACCTACTTCTAATTACTTTCGATCACTCTCGATCACTGTGAGCACGCTATGCTGCGCAGGTAGATAAGGAGGAAGAAAGAAAATTGAATAAGATAGATCGATCTTTCTTCGTCTAATTGAATAGGAAGGATAAAATCAATTCGGCTTGGAATCATAAAGATAAGATGAGAGAAAAGTGAGGTAGGACTGAAGCTTGGTTGATTGTTTTGAATCTCTTGTTGTATATATTGAACATGATGATCAGACCTTGATAGAGAAAACAGGGCATATTTATAATCAATCTTTTATGCAAACTTATCAAACTTGTTTCTTGCATATGATCGTTCCAGATAGATCTAGATGCATTCTAGATGCATAGTGATCTCATGCAGTAGTGGTTTGATTGGTGGTTGCTTGATTGTACGATGTAATTGATCGTAGTGATGATGTAGATCGCATGGCTATTATATGCGTCTTTTTATGCCTGATTATCTGATTGGATAATGATGATATAATAGCATAAAGCTTATAGATGTTCAGCCATATAGCAGTTCTTGTATAGGCCTTATGAATCTGGCTTGATATGCTGCCTGACGGCTTCGGCATCTTGCCCTATATCTCACAAGATATCTACCCGAAAATTCAACACAAAGCCTGATATAACGACGAGTTAACGTATTAGGTGGAATTGGAAGATGGCTTTGCCCACAAACGAAGAGTACTAAACAAGTAGCTAATAACGGTATCGAATGCAAAGTCTACAGTAGGCCAAGATTCTGCCTATTCAAAAGCACAGAAGTTGATTTCCATCTCCCAGCCGTCCACGGAGTACGAGCCACCATTCCTATGTCCAAGGCACTGGTCGATAATCTAGAGCCACGTTAGCAATGTAAATAGCTTATAGCAAGAGCTGTAGGGACAATTCGAAAAGAATATGTTGATTACATACGTCAAGAGTGCTATCCCAGCACGCCTGTTGATTAGGGATGTTGTGTGGGGAAAATATTCCCATATAATCGTTGGCACCATAGAACTCCTATAATGTAATAGTTGGAGATTATTTTCGCCTAAGGAATCATGGTCTAGTTATAACTAGTAAGCGGGAGATTGCTTACATAAACCTGGTTTTCCGCCAAATAATTGTTTGGGCTATTGCAAAACACCTGCAATAAGTATTAGCTCAAGAGCATCTTCAAAAAACTCTCTAGATCCATTATCCTTCCACCCTATATATTTGTCAACTCACCTCGCGGTTAGTTAGAAGATCAGTAGAATCGACACATCTTTGGGATCCGTGTTGCGAAACGCACTCAGCAGCGTTGGCGGTAGCAGCTAAGAGGGTCGCGACTGGCAAAAGAACTGCGTAGAACTGCATTTCACGTGATGGAAGAATGATTTTAAATAGAAGTGCGAAATGCGGATGCGTATTTTGTTCTGGATGGACTTGCTAGGCTGGAATTGAAGTAGCGAGTAGTGCATGTTATATAAATGTTTGGAGGTTTCCCCGATCTCCTTACGCGCGTAGTAGATCCAAATATAGGAGGTTTCGATCCCCCTAAATCCGCCCCCACTTTTCTTTTAGCACTACCGGAGCCCTCCCCGGGCATAGCGACTAGAGTGCTTACTATGTAATTGTTCAAGTAGGCCGTCTCCACCGGCTGAATTAGGCCTTAGTGCGTTCGTCACGGAGCCGCGGCGACGTTGGTCGTGTCCTTGCAATACCACAGTGTGGGTGCCGTGAGGTTTATCTTTGAAATTGTTACTTTCTCGAGACGAACACCCGCCTGCAAGTTGAACATCCTGTGACAGAGGCTGTAACAAGGACTTGGCCTGGTTAAGTGCATGTTGCACATCGTCATTGGAGATTGTGCCACCCTTTTCCCTCTGGGGGTAACCAATATCTCAACCAAGACGCGGGCATTGAAGTGCGCCTCTACGATGAAAGTACTCCGGTCATTTCGCCCATCTCCCGGGAAGCTTCTGAACGTGGAATTTTCGATGCGATATTCGTGTCAACACCTGGGTAGCTTCTGGTCAAGAGCTATCCACTTCTTTTGATCTCATGGTGGCGGTCATCGCTTATGGGAAGGACCGCGCCAGAGCGATCAGAAAACCATCTCTGTCTTTGGAGAAGACTATCATTGTGGCGTAGAGACGCATCGCGGGTATTTGCGGCAAATTATGGCATGCGACACTTTCAGTGCTGGAAAATTGAGAACAAATAGATTGAACAGGTTTCAATACGAAGCCCAGGTGGTCAAGGTCACTGAAGCTGGTCCGATACGCATGTACAGGACTTTCCAGGACGCCAAGAGCTGTGGCACATTGGTATACCACCCTCTGGCCTAATGAATTCCTACTCTTTCTGCCTCGCTAACAAAAGTAGTTGACAATGAGGACGGTGCCGCAATCTAACGATCAGAAACGTCTCTGCTAACTGGATCAATGGTCAAAGAAATCCGCGAATTTGGTTGAACTATTCGGTACTTGCAGGCTAGTGATAGAGCTTTGCTGCTTAATTCTTGGCAATGAGAACAGCTTCACACTGCGACAAAAGATTCACATTATGTGTTTTATTCGAAGACATTGCATCACACCCATTTTAGGAGTTAAAGAACTCACTCCGGAAGTTCGCAGCGTTCATGTTCGTATGAAAGCAAGCGCTACATTCTTCAAGGTCTCGATGGGCTGGTCGCACATGAAATATCCCTTGGCGAGGAACTTCCCTCACATCTACCTCCCAAATAATCAATATGCCTTTTGGTTTTGATGAGTCGCAAAGCTATCGCTCGCGTTGTATCTCCTATAAGATCCTCAACGCTATATCTTCCGAGTAAAATTGAATTTCTGCAGAAATTGAACAGGCTTGAACGTTTTCATCACGTCCACAAAAAATTTATGCGCAGGAACATTCCTTGTCTTGGGACTGGGCAACGTTTATCAAGGATCTCACTGCGCCGTGCCTTTCGACCCTCGCCACCCATTATTTAAACAAAATATGACCCATCGCGTTCATTTACCCTCCGCAGTGCTGTGGATATGTCTAGACAGTATATGTGTATCTACGCATCCGACTCACCTGGGGGTTATCAACTTGTGGGCCGTGCCATTCCTATCTGGGACGAGTTTCACAAGCCCGAGCTCACCGAGCAGCAGCCATGGAATGATTTCCCTTTTGAACCAAATTCCCTTCTATCTCGTGACAGAAGCCGAACTCGTCACTGCAGAAGATAAGGGAACCTGCAAAGATCTGGTCAAGGTTGATAATACTGAGCGTTGATTAGCTGAGAATAAGGTGGATTTCACTACTATCCGAGAATAAAGCAGAAAACCAGTTGATCAGGCGCCCTTCTTTCAACATTTGCTGAAGCCGTATGATGCTGCCTTATGCTGCCGTCTCCGGCAGATAATCATGATAAGGCAATGGGTGGACGGCTAGTAAAACACTTCTTCCGGGTGTTACAAGCCAAGCGAGAGGATGACGGAAGTCTCCATTCGGTACTATATGCGAAAGAATCAAGTCTAGAGAAGGAAAGAGAGAAGAAGAAGAAGAAGAAGAAGAAGCGTGGTAGGATATGTGAGGCCTTCCAAGCAAACATCATACTCGCCAGTTGCCAACTCCGCCCTTTCCATCCTTTCGTCACATTCTTAATCCTCTGGTCTGGTGACCAACCCTTTGGCCTGACTAGCGGATTGACATATGGGCACTTGTCAAAATCGTGATCGCCGTGGCTAGGAGGTCCTCTGCAAGGACAAGTCCCACTAGGCCAAAAGGTCCACCAAGACTTCTGAAAGACTTTTGAATACTCAGAAGTCTTAGCACGCGGTTTATATACTAATGATCCGCTCCGCGAATCTCATATTGACAATCTCCCTTCTCTCTCTCAAGATGCTAGATCTCACTAAATATTATCTAAGGATCGAATCAATTTTTAATTCTTCGAAATCTTCAAGAATGCTGCATGTAACATCCAATTCCCGCAAACTCCGGGGTTTGACACGGTATAAACTAGAATTGATGTTAGTTGGGAGGTTGGCAGGTGTTTTGTTATCGCTTCTCATCAATTCAATCTGCCATACAATCTAGTAATTAGTAGTTACACCCTCTCGTTCAATAACCTTTTGTACACGCTTAGGCATATATCCTGCTAGATTTTCTAGTATATCCTCTAGGACCCCCTGCTATACGTCCTCAATCACTACTTTCAACCGCTCTAGCGATATGTCTTGTTCACCGTACCTCTGCGAGATATACTCTCTAATCCAAGACCAAACGTTCTTAATCGGATTTAGATCAGGCGAATATAGTAGATAATTAGTATATATAATATCCTATTGATCTAATTACGCGCGCGTAAATCTTAACTATTAAGCTCTTACGCTATCTTGCATCAAAAGTGGCTTAATCTAATCAATCATAAGTAGGAAGAAGAATCGATTAATTAACGGTAGAATATACTAGCAAAATCGTATTCAATTAATAGTTCCCTATTCCTTTTCCTAAATGACGAATAGGCCCTTTTAACTACTAGTAAAAGACTCCTAAATCATCTAAGATTTATAGTTCTGGTCAGATTAAGGTAGTAGATTTGGCAGTAGATTTGGTAGTAGATTAATGTACTATCTACATGACTTTTTTGTTTCATTATTTTCTTTGCACCCCCTTAGATCCGACTTATGTAGATGCCTGAGAAAACAGGCAATCATCAAGAGACCTCCGAGGCTGCTCCGCAGTTTTCTGCGCTCTCGCTCGCAGCTTCCTCCCCCCCCTTTTCACTTTACGCAATCTCTGCGTCCCTCACTCTTTGTCGGCCCCTAGGACAGAATCTCTCTTTTCTGGCCGGCTCCGTCTCTATGTACGCCTCAATTACTGTCCGAATCTCCCTCATTCGTTACCGATTCAACGCGTCGAATCCCGCTCCCGGTCCGACCCCCGATTACCGCGCGAGCAACCTCTGTCGCGCCGCAGAGTCCACACCAAGATCAATCTTCTTCAAATTGCCAAGACTCAGTGCCGGCTACCTCTCGGAAACTTGTTATATCCCATCGAGGACAGAATAACCGGAGCACACGCTGGATATTGGGCTATACTTGTTCATTCACTGTGGGTCCTTTGCGATTGTATGGAGTAAAACTTGATCTTTCATTGTTGAAACTCACTATTAACCATTTTAGATCGCTCGGCTCTTCTGCGCAATCATTCGACGAAGTCGGTTCATCTCAATCTCACTTCCTTTGGCCTTGTGGCCTTATGAGCATGGTGCTCCACGAGTCTGCGACGCCCATGGGGCCCCCGTCAACAGCCCTCAAGGAACAGTCGCAAAAGCGCCAGCGCAATTCATCCCCGGTCACCCCGTCCAAGCGACGACGAGTTCAACTTCTCCCATCCACCGGATCCCAGAGAACTCCGGCATCCTCCCCAATATCTGTCACTGCCACTCCTTCGAGTACCCCGCGCACCAGAGCTCAACTGGATCGGTATTATGAAGATGTGAGGAGGGACGCAAGTCGGATCCTCGCTGTGAAACATCGGCTTGGTGTTTTGCGCCCGGAAGTAAACGCAGATCCACAGAGTTCACCAGAGGCAGGGACCGCCTCGAGATCCACACCAATGACAACGAGAAAGGCCGTCGAGCTGCTAGAACGGATCTTGAAGGATAATCAGCTGATCGAACACATTGAAGGGGAGCGCAAGGTTCTCGACCCCAACAAGCGCGGTCCCAAACGCAAGGATTGTGTCGTCAAACACTCTTCGATCAAGGAAGAAACAAGGCGTGGGAAACTCAGGAAGGATATTAGAAACGCTCGGAAAAGAATTGGGTACACTTGGTCTATACTTAAAGCCGCCGAGATTGTCGCTGAACCCGAGGTGCGCCCCATGACCAATGCAAGGGCAGCCGAAGACACTATGTTCTCATCTCCTGTCGCGTTGGTGAATGTCAGAGACGAGGGTGAAGAGGATCCCGGTGAATTGGCCGATGTATCAGATGGTGAGCCTACGCTCCCTACAGGCAAGACTATTGCTCGGTCCGTCATGTCGCCTTCAGTTCCTCCCGAACACACCATGGAAGAAGAGGACAGAAGCAGTGGAGGTAAAGATGCAGTCAAGAAGGAGAGTAACCTCGAGAATGGCAAAGCGGATACAAACACCCACGAAGAGAATGGGCTTGTGGAGACACAGGCGGTGCCAGAAAACCGGTCACTTTCAAAGTCGGTCCACAACCATCTCATCCTCTCCGCTGCGCTAATGCCTAGTCACAGGGCTACTCGCGCCCCTCGCCGGTCGATCTACACGCCAGATTCAGGTGGTGATGAAGACCAGCCTGACCAGAAGCGTCAAGAACAGACCAGGACACATACTGCCCAGGAGGATACCACTCCCAGTTCCAGAGGACCAGCCGGTCAAATGTTGGAAAAGGCGACGAACCACTTCAACACCACCAACCTGAATAACTTGGAGATCCAAGGAAAACCCGCCTCCCGACAGTCAGTGGCGCCCTCCCTCCTATCCCCAGTCATATTTGTTAATCGTGATGTCTTCTCCAGCTCCGAGGATGACATTTCCGACAGCTCAGAAGATGGGGACAGCTCAGGAGATGACGGAAATAGCGACGTGGATGTCAAGTTAGACACGGATGATGAGAGCAGTGAAGACGATGACGATGATGAGAGTCAGAGCAGCGATGTGGAAGTCAAAAAAAAAATGGATGACAATGATGATGATGACGGTGGGAATGACGAGGACGAGGACGAGGATGAGGACGAGGATGAGGACGAGGATGAGGACGAGGATGAGGATGAGGACGAGGATGAAAACGAGGATGAGGATGAGGATGAGGATGAGGACGGGAACGAGGCTGAACACGGCGACGTTAAAATCAGGCTGATCAGTGACGACACGCCAGATGGGGAAGACAAGAAGTATGAAGTCACTGAGGACATGGAAGAGCAAACAAGACAAAGGTTAGCTACGCACCTCCTCTCCTCATCTCATCGACTGCGCTAACATCCAGGATCAGCAACGAAAGCCAACACGCCATTCAACCGGACCATCCTGAAGGTCCCACATCTTCTCGGCCCAGCACTGGCTTGTTTGAGCGCATGAACGGCATTCAAACATCCGGCTCCTTCGAAGCCATGATGGCCGGATTGGAGGCAGGCGGCAGCCGAAAGAGAGAGGCAGGCGGCTCTGCAGGGGCAGGCAATCGACTCTGACACGTCTGACTCGTCTGACGATGAATCAATGGCGTACTTTTCTCCAGAGCCAGATGAAAAACCATTCATCGGCTGATTCTTCGGGGACAAGAAGCGACAAGGAATCAGCGATAGGCTTACGCAAGTCATGATATTCACGAATCCATTTCCGTCTGCATTTTGATATTCCCTGCATGGCTGCAAGCGAATGAAAGCGACACTCCTCTTGTCACACCCATTATTGTATCGAGTTAGACATTGCACAGCAGGCTTTATGTCTAGAGAATCCAAGTGACCTGTTGGATTTACAGCCATTCCATCTCTATCCAGTTGGTTAAGAGGACGACATTTCACATAAAAGAGCGTATTAGCATTACGGGAATTTCCCCCTTTAACATAACAAGGGAAACTGTAAATTAAGCAACTATGGTCCACCATGATAACACAGGATTTTGTCTTTATAGAAGGTGTTTTCATTCTCATGTCCAAGATTCTAAGGAGGCCCAAGCTACAAAGCAGTAGTGCCGTCTGGGTCGGCTAAAGGTCGGACTTGGGTTCTGCTTGAAGGTGGAGAGCCAATCAAGAAAAAGCCTCCCTACTTAATTTCCTTCTTGAAGAGTCACACCCAGGACAAGATTGCTGACCGGACAAATTCAATGACGTGATGCAGAGGTTTGGCGCCATGTGTGTCTCATGCAGCGATGTAGTCCTCCAGCATGTCTAGGTTGCGCGCATTATTGGAACGTGGGGGGGGATGCTCAAGGGCGGGGGGGGGGGGGTGTTGACAGCTAGAATATTTGTGCCCTGGCAGAGCTAAACTTCAATTGGGCATGATTGAATTCGGTCCGGTTACTTTGAGGGAAAAGATTATACTTACGTGTGGCGGCTAAACTTATCAAAACAAAGGCCATAGAAATTCGCCGCGATGGAATTGAACCGTCGCCCTCCTGGAACTACAGTACACATGGACACTAATATGATGCAGACAGATCATGGAGAGCGTGGCCTCGCTATGCCTTGCAAGGGGGCTTGATGATGCTAAGGACCGAGCATTTTGTGGGATGTACATGCAGCTGCATCAGCTACAGTACCCCTTGATCCGAAGCACATCAAGTCGCAGGTTCACCCGCGGTCCGAGCGACGCCTATGCATGGCAATGAATGCCATGTTGCCGAGAAGCCGTGATTGATATCATTGCTCTGGATTGATCTTTCCATGAAAGCAGTAATCCATTCAACTTCCTGGAATGGGATTGGTCATGCAGATCAGGAGGTCTCAGCAAAGCGCGTCGGTGGATCCGATCAACAACATAGATATGGGATTTGGAGCTTCCGGGCCAATCAAGGGATCTCGGGGGCTACAAGGTATCTTCGTGCTTTTGGAAAGGGTATGTGAAGAAAAGAAGGGATTGATTTTTAAAGCAGCTTGAGACCGCCGATGTGTAGGAGTGTTGAATGTCGTGTGTTTTTGGTGAGGGAGCTTCATTATGCCTGTTTCGGGTTGGTTGTCTTTTGCACTTTTCATACCATTTTTTTGCACTCAAGTCATTGCCGATAATGCACTAGCACGAGCACGGACAGCTCTTGATACTCTACAGACTTGGTATAGCCCTGCGACCGGGCTATGGACTACTCGACAATGGTGGAATTCAGCCAGCGCAATGACAACAGTTGCAAACCTCGCTATGCTTGACCCATCAGTCATGGAGACCGCTATCTATGTATTCAACACTACCTTCAGCCTAGCACCAGCCTCAAATCCACACCCAGGCCCGGAAGTCAAGACTATTTTTCAGCGAAGAGATCTCTTCTCGAGAGCGGGCAATTCTACTAAAAATGCCTCGCAGTGGCTGGATTCGGCATACGACGATGATGGATGGTGGGCCCTTGCTTGGATTGCTGCATACGATGTCACTGGGAATAATGACTACCTGAGGCTGGCAGAGGGAATTTTCGCGGCTTTGGTTAGAATCTTTTGTCTACTCTACACCGACGAATGCTAATTCGCTCAACAGACTGCGGCATGGGGTACGAACTGTGGAGGGGGTGGTCTACCGTGGAATCCCGCAAGTACATACGTGAATGCCATCACGAACGAACTCTTTCTCTCAGTTGCTGCGCATTTAGCGAACCGTGTGCCATCCAGGCGGAAAGAGTATATTGGGTGGGCCCAGCGGGAATGGGACTGGTTCTCGGTTCAAGGCTTCATGAACGAGAACCACACTATTAATGATGGGCTGTTGGATAATTGCCAGAACAATGGTCAAACTTCGTATGTCCATCGTTTCCAAAACATGCCAATCTTCTCACTTTAACACTATCGTCCAGATGGTCCTACAACCAAGGAGTGATTCTCGGAGGCCTCGTTGAACTGAACAAGGCCACACCCGATGCTACATTGCTGGAATCCGCAAACACGATCGCCCAAGCTGCCATCGCAACTCTTGCGGACTCAAACATGGTCATCCATGATTCATGCGAACCCAACAATTGTGCTCCAGACGCAACCCAGTTCAAGGGCGTTTTTATTCGCAATCTACACATGCTGCAGCGAGTATCTCCCAACCTAATCTACAAGCAAGTTATTGACAGCTGCGCGCGGAGTATTTGGGCAAACGACCGGAGCTCGCAGAACCAACTGGGTGTTGATTGGGCTGGACCCTTCCAGGATCCGGCGGATATGTCAACTCATAGCTCAGCAATGGACGCACTGGTTGCTGCTATCGGGGGATAATTGCATTATGTCGGCCTTTTGTCATAACCAATAGCCTTTTTATTGTATTTTGAAGCTAGCTTAAAACGTTAGATATAGATAATGCTTCAAGGCCATACTTTCGTCGAACATTCATGAACATCAATTCCTGCTAGACTCCCAAGAGAAAATTGACTTGTACCAAGTCCGAGTTGAGACTCATTCAATCGTATTTTTACCTGCTGTATACCGCGTACCATAATCTTCAAGCAGTGTAAGAAATCAATTTTTGCGTTGATGTGTCCTATCCACCTCTATACATTACGGTAGGATTGTTAATCAGCGCATTAGAAATCGTGCGCCATTTTCAACCGGAGACTCCTTCCACCCGGTCCCGCACCGGAGGATCCGTATAACCCGGTAGAACCAGGAATCGTGCATATTTCGGTCAAGCAAAGGTTGACAAATATGTTTCCATGGTTTACTTCCAACACATTCGAGGTGAGTCTACCAGACTTGTAACACTGATTTTATACAACTTGGTATTACGGATAGACTTGACTGAACGACCACTCTTGCGGAACTATTGTATCTACCTGCTGTCTTGTACCTTACGCAATGCGTATTGACGATTCACCGAGACAATTATTCTGTATATCATTCTGCATATTAAATTGACGGGCGTTTTCACAGAGACCTTTTTCATCTGTCATGCAGTCACATCATATTTTATCGACAGTCTTGTAGCCCAATTCACAAAGATCAGCTATGCTAGCTGAATCCAGTGAAATTGCTCAATAGAGAATCCCACTGGATGTCTTCGAGAGGGAGTATGTCTTCCAAATCGCCATCAATAGACGGCCAGAATTGGGGTGTCATAGCAACCTCAGTTCCCTGAACTGCCATCATGGACGAATCCTGCCTTGCGTGTTGAGACGGCGCATTTCCCACAGTTGCCCTGATTTGATAAGGATAACAACGTGCTAGCAGCCGCATCTTAGAGCAGAGGCTTCCCACAATGTCCGTCTCCTTGTCTGCCGCGGACATTCCCTCAACTCTTGTCTCCAGTGCTTTGGCAAGCTTGGTGACAAGATTGGGATAATCTGCTTCATCAATAACAGTCTGTATCTGGGCCTGCATAGCAGAGTCGGTGGGGCTAGCAATGAGCTTGAGAAGGGTCAATACTGCTGAAGGTATATAGCCAACTGCAGTGCAAATACGAGCACATGTAGTTATTGTCATTTGGGCAATCTCCGCCACTGGTAGGTTTCTGATCGTCTGAATGAGCTCCTTGCTTCGCTGGATCATACTTATCAGCATGGTTATCCGGACTGCGCAGTCTGGCTCTGCAATCCACAGTTCCTCCCGAAGGCATAATTCCTCAAGCCGTATTTCCGCATGTTTGATCTCAATGCGAGTTGCATTCTCTGTAACGGTGTTAATCTCCATCATCCACTTCGAATCCAAGACACACCTGTTGAGGAAGGGCAGAGCGAGAGATCTTTTTCTACAGATGACCTCACGCCGTTAAATTGCCGCTGTAAAGAGCCCTGCGTAATTTGGACGAGCACTTTGCCACCGCTTGCTTGCATCGAAGCATATACTTCATCCATCGTTTCAATGAAAGTCTGTAGGCGGACAAATAGCGGGACCCATCGATCTGACCGATGCTGGGTAGATGCTATACCCCCAATGCACTCATCAATTCGACCATCATGTTTTGTAATAATCGGCCGGCCGAGTGTGCCGCAAAGACTGAGATAGAATTAGCCGAAGCCAGATCTAACATGGCAGACAACCTCACCCGATCGACAGCCAATAAGTACCGAGCAGCGCCCGCTGCTCATCGAAACTTAGACTAGGCTTTCTGTGAAGTCCCAAATCATACAGAATAGAAAGACAAAGCTGAACCAACAATAAGAGCCGCGGGTGATGTTTCTCGGCAGGATATGTGTACCATGCGCTGTGAACCAAAAGACCACAGAGCAACTCAAGATTTCTCTCGGACCGTGTCACAATCCTCAACGTAACGTGCTTCATAATTTCCTCGGTAACAATATTACGCAGAGGGTGCGCACTACCCATGGTTGCGGCCATGATGCACAAAAAGAGAAAGGGCTCACGGTCACTTAGGCGAGCGGCTGTCTCGCCTTGTGCAAGCAATACAAAGGGAAACTTGGGCACCAAATCAAGCCGGAAGGTCGCAACCAAGCGTTCAGCCTCAGCTTCACTCAAAAGCCCTTGATCCACGATAGATGGCTGGCCCTCCAGAACAGAGCTGGTCGGCGGATCGGGCCCGTGGGACGGGTCTTCAGCAGCATCCAGTAGTGCGGTAATGTCTGTTAAATCCAGCTCGGAGTCGTGAGATGAGCTCAAGTCGTTGGTGAGCGTATTCGAAGTATCGGGCGATGTTTGCCCGCTCTGTCGGGTCAAGGTGGCCAGCTGGGACATCAGTTGGTCCACCTTTTTCTCCAGCACCTCCACACGGCTAGATCTATGGTTAATACATTAATACTACGAACGCCATATGTGGGAGCAAGGATTACCTTGGTGCAGCCTTGTACCTCCGTTTCGTCTGTGGAAGGTCAAGGTAAGTGCATGATTTGCCTAAGCGAGCACATCGCTGGCATAGGTTGGCGGCCTGTGGCGTGCATCTCGCTTTAGCAATCGTGCACGCCACGCATGCCCTCCTCTTGATCGGAGATAGTGAAGCGCTCATGATGTCGCATTAGGGGCCGGAGACTGGGAACGGAACGGACGGTCGATGTGGATGGCCCCCGCGAGCTCAGCAGATGGACCGGGAAAACCGGACCGTCCGGTTGAGACGGGGTTTGTCATCCACCAAATGTTAACTAACTTATATAAGGACAGTAAATCATGCGACTATCCCAACGAAATCAACCATAAATCAACTCATTCATCCCTCAAATATATTGTTAACGTTGAATCAAATAAAAAAAAATGTCGTCTTATGCTATCACCGGAGCCTCCAAGGGCCTTGGCCGCGAATTCGTGCGTCAACTTGCCGCCGATACCACCAACACGGTCTTGGCTATTGTGCGAAACCCCGAATCGCCCGACATATCTGAGCTCGCCTCCAATTACCCTAATGTGCACGTTATCAAAGGCGATGTTACAGACCCAAAGTCTCTCGTTGAGGCTGCCTCGACCGCAGCCACCATCACGGGTGGCAAGCTAGACGTGCTTATCCACAACTCCAACGCCGTTGATCCGGCCACCATGTCCTTCAATCCAACCCAGATTCCCTTTGATGCGCAAGCCACTCGGGAATTTTTCGATCTGCCGCTTAGTACAGCCGTCTACGGCGGTATATGGACGACAAACGCCTTCCTTCCCCTGATCGAGAAAGGCACCCAGAAGAAGATTGTGCACATGTCCAGTGGCATGGCGGATCTGGATGTCATCAAGAAGACGGGCATCAGCTATGCTGTCGCGTACTCTGTGGCAAAGGCCAGTATAAATGTTCTAGTCGCCAAGTACACAGCAGAACTAGCGCCTAGAGGCATCAAGGTGTTAGCTTTAAGCCCAGGGTGGGTTAATACGTGGGAAGGTAAGTGGCCCTTTGCCTTGTTGCAGCAACAGTGGACAGCAACACTGATATCGTCACAGGAGAGAAATCCCCTCAGGTATTACAAGCAGAAGAGGTCATGCTGAAGCAGTTTCAGGCCGTTGAGCCTGAGCTCAAAGGGCAGATTCAGCCCGAGGAGAGTGTTAGAAAGTGCCTCCAGGTGATTAAGCGTCTGGATGCGGAGACTAGCGGCTTGTTTTTGAGCCACAATGGAGACAAAAAGTGGCTGTGAGTGTGGTTGCAAATGATTTGTATTGAAGGCTGTGTCAATTGCAAACTTACATAGACGTGACTGAACTGGATACTTAAAGTTGATACAACCAAATATAATACGGACAGTCTCTTAGCATTCAGCTGCTTTTTGTCTATAAGAACCCCCAATTTCACCAGACACATAGACAATACTTCACATGGCTGGTTACACAGAAAGGCTTCGTCAATGTCTGCACAGTATACTTCTGTACTTCTGTACGCTGGGCTGTCCATCTTATCTTATCTTATCAAACCTTGGGCTTGCCATGCTTCACCGCTTTGATGCCTGAGGCGATAGTCCGGGGCGTGTCTGACACCCCGAGAGAGATTCACGGGGAAGCTCCAATCGAGTAATCTTCACAGCGAGGTCCCTGCCACCAAATCGCACCGAAAAATGGGTTGAACAAAGAAAGGTTTCTGAATTTGATTCCATTGCCCCATCCCTACCATGTCGCCCCGCCTGCTACACCCGGATGAGTACGAGCTCGGCTCGCGGTCGTCAGCCGAATCCGATGGCTCCTTCAACCTTGACGATGATGATTTTGAGTCGCAGATTCCTCTCACATCCAGGCTAGGCGCACGGCGACTACCTTGGTTATCTCGACTGTTCTCTTCGTCCGGGTACCGACGCTTGAAGTCCAATACCCGTCCCATCCTCGTCCGCTCCACGCGCCCGACTTGCGCGCGACGCTGTCTCCCCCGCCGCCGATGCTGTCACCTCCACGTTATTTTTGGGATCGTGTTCGTCCTGGTGGTATTTGCTTCCATCTTTACGCCGTCATATACCAACCCGCCCGCGCATTACGCCACTCTGCGGAAGTCAGCGTTGGATGGGAACGTCGCCGGCAGAGGCAACCCGCACCACAGGAAAGTGTTCATTGCAGCAAGTCTATACGACCGCGGTGGTGAACTCGCACGGGGGCAATGGGGAACACAGCTGCTCCAACTGATTGACCTCCTGGGAGGCAAGAATGTGTTTGTAAGCATATACGAGAATGACAGCGGAGAAGAAGGCCAGGCTGCGTTGCGAGAGCTGGAGCAACAGATCCCCAGTGCCAAGGCGATCGTGTTTGAAGAACATCTAGACCTCAAGAAAATACCGTCCGTGGTTATTCCGGGCGGAGAGACTCGTGTGAAGCGCATCGAGTATCTGGCGGAGCTTAGAAATCGAGCGCTACAACCACTGAATGACCACCCCGAGATTCGATACGACAAACTTCTTTACCTGAATGATATCCTCTTCGACCCTATAGATGCGCTGCAACTGCTGTTCTCCACCAATGTCGATGAGCAAGGCGAGGCTCAGTATCGTGCCGCCTGCGCCGTTGACTTCGACAACCCCTTTAAATTCTACGACACCTATGCCACGCGCGATCTTGAGGGGTACTCGATGGGATTACCATTCTTCCCCTGGTTTTCCACCGCTGGAAACCATGAGAGTCGAAAAGACGTGCTGCAGGGCAAAGATGCGGTTCGAGTCCGTAGCTGCTGGGGCGGCATGGTCGCCTTTGACGCCAAATATTTCCAAGATCCGCTGCCTGGAGGCACCACCCCGGCGCGTTTCCGCTCTGGACCCGATCTCTTCTGGGAAGGATCCGAGTGTTGCCTTATTCATGCGGATATCCAAGATCCTCGGACTGGGGAAGACGACGCCACCGAGACGGGCATCTACATGAATCCGTACGTGCGGACTGCGTATGATGCCCGAACTCTGTCGTGGCTGGGGATCACCCGTCGATGGGAGCGGTTGTACTCGCTCATCCACAATATTGGCAATCATCTCGTCGGTCTGCCGTGGTATAATCCCCGTCGTACCGAGACGCCTGGTCAGCGCGTGCAGGAGACGGTATGGGTCCCCAACGGCAGCCAGGATGGCGGGGGCTCCTTCCAGACTGTCGACCGCACTGCTGGCAATGATGGTTACTGTGGGCGACGAGGCTTGCAGGTTATTGTGGAAAACCGCAAACCTGGGCAAAAAGGGTACGAAGAGGTCCCTGCGCCTTCGCAATAATATTGAATGTGGACTGAATATTTTCATGACTTGGCATGCCATTTCAGCCGGATGACTTTTCTCTGTACGATTTACCTAATATATAGTTTCATGAAATAGAACATAATAGTGATCAATTGCGTTTTCGACGGTAGTGCTGTTGCGGTCATTGACGTTTTCTTGTAAGATCTAATTCATCCTTCAGACCTCGTGCGATGCTTGCGTATTAACTTAGAGCCGGTTTCAAGGCTTGATCCGCTGAACAGCAATATGACTACTGTAGCACTTCGCTCCTGTGCTATCCCGTATCTTAGTTGACGAGTATCCCTGTTCCGAATGCTTGCCCCCGAAGCCGACTGGAAACCTCACGGCAGAGATCCCTTCCAAGTTTGTGTTTTTCTTGCCTGCTTCATCGTATGTTCAGCTCTTCGGCTTCTCAGTTGATCAGATGAACTCGAATTGTTCAACCTGACTGTTTCAGTGTCAGCCTGAGGCATCATTAATTCCCTGTTTCTGCCTCAGGCACCAATCCTTATCAAATCGCGGGGCGCCTTCCAAACCGCCGCGGGGCTCAAAAGGGAAAAAAACGGAGACGAGAAACCAACCCACCTCCCACACTGACTATGACCATGTTACAAGCCATCAAGTACAGCCAGGGTCACCTGGAGATCCTGGACCAACTGCAACTGCCCTTCGTCGAGAAATACATCCCGATTCAGACCGCCGAAGATGGATGGAATGCGATCAAGGAGATGAAGGTCCGCGGCGCACCCGCCATTGCGATCGTGGCCATGCTGGCGCTAGCCTCGGAGTTGCATGGGCTTAGTGCCACGAATAAGATCCCTACGTCGGCGGAGGAGACGAAAGCGTTGATTGCGCAGAAATTGGATTACCTGGTGACCAGTCGCCCGACTGCGGTGAACTTGGCGGATGCGGCGCAGAAGTTGGGGGCGTCGGTGTCTACGCAGGCTGGACAGTCGAGCGCTACGGGCCAGAGTGTGGTGGATGTCTTTATTCAGGGTGCGGAGGATATGATTCGCAAGGATTTGGATGATAACCAGCGTATTGGACACAATGGTGCGGAGTGGATCATGGCGAATGCCACGAAGCCCGGAGTCGCTGATGTCGCGGTTTTGACGCACTGCAACACTGGGTAAGGCTCCCCTTTCAATGAGATCTGACCGGTGTCTTGATCATCTATGCTAATCACCTCTGCAGCTCTCTCGCCACGTCCGGCTACGGCACTGCCCTCGGAGTGATCCGCTCACTCGCCTCCACGAATGTTCTACGCCACGCCTACTGTTGTGAAACAAGACCCTACAACCAAGGCTCCCGCCTGACGGCCTTTGAATTGGTTCACGATAAGATTCCAGCTACACTGATCACGGATTCCATGGCGGCGGCACTGCTGGCAGATGCCCAGGTTGGCGTGAACTCCATTGTGGTGGGCGCCGACCGCGTGGCTGCCAACGGAGACACGGCCAACAAGATCGGCACATACAGTCTAGCCGTCCTGGCCAAGTACCACGGAGTCAAGTTCTTGGTCGCCGCACCTCGCACCACCATCGATATGGCGACCAAGTCCGGGAGCGATATCGTGATCGAGCAGCGTCCGGCATCGGAGATGACCAGCATCAAGGGTCCTCGCGCCGGAGCCACCGCGGTCGATGGCAATGTCACCTTGGAGACTGTCTGCATTGCTGCCCCGGGAATCAACGTGTGGAACCCTGCCTTTGATATCACACCGGCGGCCCTGATCGATGGAATTATCACGGAAGTTGGGGTGGTCGAGAAGGGAGCCGATGGTCAATTCCACATGGAGGGGTTGTTCAACGGCTCGGCTCCTCGGGCTTGAGCTGTTCCCCTTCTGTCTTTGAGTTATGTGGTGCTGCGTCACCCGGTTCTTGCTGAGATGGATCTTGTTTCTCGAAGAAGGCCAGCAGCTCGTCCATTTTGCCTTCGAGAGCGTTGAGGTGGTTCTCCAGAGCCGACGCGGTTTGTTCTCCCCTGTTGTCGTGTCAGATAAGCGGAACTACACGGATAAATAGCATGTTATATACTTTGCAATATCGGCCAAGGCCTGGAAGGTATGCAAGTCAGTATGTGTTCCTCTTGTTGGAGATGGTGGTAAGTGGGGGATCAAGCACGCTTCATCGCCATGACCATCCCCACTGTCAGGCAACCATGCACGGCAGGGCTGTCCCCTTTTAGACGTAGGGACGTAGGGACGTAGGGACTCACCTGAGCAAGACCCAATTCATCGTTGGGTTGTGGCATATTGACCGTATGTGTTCCAACTGAACTGGGCAGCTCGGGTTTGTAAATCGACGGTCGCGGGTGGAGGGGAACTCGGAAAGTACAAGGGAGCGCGTGCCTGATGGCCTCAGGTGTTTAGTCTTGGCGTTTTTGTGGTTTGGAATGTTTAGAATTTCGTGTTGGGCTTCTCCTGTCGTCAAAAGACAGCCAGCGTGGTCTAGCGGTTTATCTCCTCGCCTGATCAGCAGGTGAATTGGGCCTGATCACCCCAATCATCCACAGGAAGCTCTAAGCCACGACACGGACCCTGACAAAACGGTGATGTTTCTGTACGAAAGGACAGCGGTACAAATGCCGTTGTACAGTTTTTGCTTTTCCACCTTGATAACACCACCACCACCACCACTCAGAGATTTATTAATTGTTGCCATATTTCCCTCTTATTTTAAGTAGTTCCCGCCTTGTGAGTAATCTCGCTTCTAAAAGCTCGTTGAAAACTCGGTCGCTGGAATCTGCATGACAGGACGCTATGTCTAGACCAACGGCCAGATTGACGCGCGTCAGGTACAACTGACACACTATGATTAACTGCACTCAGGAGTCAGGACTGTCGATCAGGTTTATTAACGAATTAATTGACCGAGAAAAGTCCGCTGGCATGGAATGTAGGGATCACTCGAGCCAAGATATACACGAGTCGAGACTCTTGGAATGGAATGTAACAACATCAACAATGCCATGCCATGTACAGTCATTTATAGTCTGCAAAGGACATCCCTGGGTGACAGTTCCGCCCATCATCAATCCATATCTGGCTCGAACTGTTGTGCATGATGCATTTCCACACCACTTGGATCGGTCTTCTCGCCACTCTTCCCTCCGCCCTTGGCTTCTGGCCGATCTACTATACCAAGTCGTCAAGCCCTTACCGCAATGATGCGCCTACAGTCCAGGTCGAGACCTTGTTCCAATTCCCTAACAATGGCTCGTGGATCGACAATCTCGCCTTGCGCTCCGATGGCAGCATCCTCCTCACGCGTCTGGATACACCTGAAGTCTGGTCGATAGACGCCACCACTGGACACGCAACGCTAGTCCACTCCTTCGCCAACGCGACCAGTTGCTTTGGTATCAGTGAGATCGACGATGATGTCTTTGCTGTCGTGGTGGGAAATTTCTCGACCAAGACATACAAACCCACTCCAGGATCCTTTACCGTCCAACAGTTGGACTTTAACAATTTCCAAGCGACTGCCGACGAGCAAGAGACTCAAAAGGCATCAGTCTCCCACATCGCTGCTCTTCCAGAGGCCCAAGCTTTGAATGGTATGACATCGTTCACCAAGGAGTCGCACCTAGTCTTGATCGCAGACAGCCCAAACGGCGTGGCGTGGAAACTCAACACCCAGACCGGTGAATACTCCATCGCTCTCAATGACACCAGCATGTTACCCGCCGAGGGCCAGCCTCTTCCTCTGGGCGTCAACGGCCTCAAGATGGTCGACAACTACATCTACTATTCCAGCACGACCCGCATGCAATTCGGCCGTGTCAAGGTCGACCAGGACGCCACCCCGGTCAGCGACTACCAGATCATTGCGAGTGGATTCTTGCCGGATAACATGGATGTTGCTTCCGACGGCACTGCGTACATTGCGACTGATCCGCAGAACTCGGTGGTTCGTATCACGCCTTTTGGACAGATCTCCCTTGTGGCGGGTGGCCAGCTTTCGACTCAGATGCCTGGACCGACGTCGTGCCGGTTGTCGGCGGATGGCAAGACGTTGTACGTTGGGACCAGTGGGGGTCAAGTTGCTCCTGTGCTGGGCAAGTTTATGGAGCCTGGTAAAGTGGTGAAGATTACGTTAGAATAAAGTGAACATGTTGCCCATAACATGTAGATATAAGAGATGTTGGCTGGATTGATGATTCTTGCGTGCACCAAAAGATAATTTGGGCTTGAAAAGTAACGAAATTGAAGGTGGTCAGGTATTATGCCGACGGAATCGGGTTCAAGAACACTTGTAAATTGAGAAATGACTGTCTTCAATGTGACTACGTATATGCCAGTTGAGTTTGTGGCAGCGACGATTGTGATGAAACATGGCCGCCGAGGTGCCCTGTAGTCAGACAGAGTTTATTGTAACAGTATGGAAAGAGTATATTCTTAGCCGAGAGCTGGAAGTTCCCATTTCAAATCTATAATACAGTGCTGAGATTCCCACGACAAAAGTCACATCCCAATACGCCAAGCCAATGTGATGATGGCCGAGGATACACATACATACCTTCAATGCACGAACAAGGTCCAAAGCCTTGGCGAGATCGCTCAACGGCATTACCGCACAAACTTATCCAGCCACTTGGAATCACGGGCTCTTTGCTCTCGCTCCCGTGCCCTCCGTTGCTGGACCAGCGCATAGCCACACCCAGCACCGGTAACGTAGCCACCCAAGTGAGCGGCGTGGTCCATTTTGGTGAGTCGCGACAAGGGCCAAACCCGTAAGAAGCGCGCCGGGGTCACCATACTGAATACTTCGGTGGCAACAAGACAGGCCAGGAAGATCCAGCCTTGAGTCCAAAGCGTCTCACGGAGATCACGTGGCAGAATCCACATGGTAATTTTGTCACTGGGGGACATGCGTTAGCCTCGAGACTGAGGGAATGTGGGATTAAAAAGGCAAAGAGACTTACTCAAAGTGGTACATGCACCATGCTGCAACGATACCGCTGGTGGCAGCACTGGCACCAAGAGAGGTCATACCGAGGTAACCAAGGAGGACACTTCGTGACAACGACACCATCGAGCCGACGGCTCCAGAGGCTAGATAAATGGCCAGAAAATTCCCGCGGCCAAGTTCGTCGTGAACTATGACGCATCAAACAGAATTAGCTGACTGGTCCATGGACGATCATCGGCACAAGGATCTTACCTCTGGTTCCCATAAGACCCAGAACCATCATGTTCGTGGCCAAATGCCTCCATGTCTGATGGCTAAACGTACTACCAAGAACGCCCAAAGCACTTGGGTAGAACGGAACGATGACGAAGAAGCGATTAAGCAATTTCCAAGACGGAGGAATATACTTCCACATGAAAGTAATGGCAAGATTGGCACCGATGATAGCTCCAACCGTTGCGGCAGCAGGAGGTATATCAGGCCACATGCGATCTTGTCGCGCAGGAGGCTCGTAATTTTGAGCAAATACATAGCAAAGGCCCAAGGTGATAATCGCGAAGATCAGAGGTGAAAGAAGACGCTGGGACTGGAGGTTTTCTGTGGTTAGTCAAGTCCATGCAGAAAGTGAAACAGAGTCATTCATACGGTAGTAAGATTGACAGCCTCGGCTTGATTGAGAGTTCCCGCGATGTGGTGTTTCTGGACCCAAGCAAGGTAGGGACGTTCATTCGGATCCGCTCGGGGTCGAGCTGACTCGAGTCTGTGAGCAAAGTGACAAATTCCAGCACACTCGAATCCACATACCTTCCGTTAGAGCAGCTTCTTGATATTTCTGCAGTGTAGTGTTACCCTCCACCTGGCGCTGCAATTTCTCAAGCTCCTCATTTTCGCCTTCAAGCCACTGCTGACGCTTGTGCTCCTTCTCCGCCAACAATCGCTTCTCGTTCTTCTCACGTGCCTCTTGGAGAACGCTCTTTCCATAGACGGACTTGTCTTCACCAAGCTCTGCCCCATAGGATCCACTCTGGGGCTTGTAGAGACCCAGCTGTTCCGCACGTCGAACAAGCTTTTGTTCCGCCTCGTATTCCTCTCGTTCAATACGGGCTAGGATGGCAGCATCCTCATCGATCGGATAATTCTGGCGCAGCCATTGCAATGCGGTATCGAGCTGTAATTGGGGCACACCGCGGATGATGTCCGATGGTAGGTCGAGGTCGAGGGTACCGTGTACTCGGCGATTTTGTAGAACCGCCAACGTGCGGTTACCCAGTCGTGTGGAAATATTTTTGGAGGCAAAGATAGACTTGATCTGCGCATCAGACCGCGGTCTCTCGCCCGGCAAGCTCTCGGTTGCCTTTGAAGCGGCTGTTGCCGCAGCGGTGGTCCTTTTCAGCCTCCGCTGGCTAAGAACATGGGGGATTTGTTGGAAAGTAATTGCGAAAGCACTGGGTCGGTGTTCGTGTAGAGACGTAGGGTGTAAGGAACTGAAAGGGCGGTTGGTCGGACTGCTGGACAGACTCCATGGCGTCATGCGGAGGTTACGACAAGTCGGACGGAACGAGACTGGAGACAACACACTGGGGCTTCGGAGTCCCGAGCATGGTATCCGCCATGCGACCCAGAGCGCATTGCTCATGACCTGGGATTGGCGAGGGGGAAACCTCGTAGGACGTGGAAAACACGAGTGTTGGCGAGGAACGGAGGAGGCTCCGTCAACTTTTGGACGGCCGATGCCGATGGTTCGGAGCGAGAGTTCTTCCGACGGCCGGGGTGTTCCCTGGCGGATTCGCATGTGATTGAAGATGGACATTTGAAGCTTCGATTACTGTTGTGTTCGAACAAATGATATAGATGAAGATATCGAATGGATTCAATTCTGTAACAAGCATACCCTCTTTCATGTATGAATCAATCCAAGATATACAATGTAATACCCATTTCTAACATAGAAAAACTCCCAGCCAATGCAATATAAACCTCAACGAACCACCCAAATGCATCCCATGTATCAGATAATGCAGGCATCCCACAACAGAAAGGGGAAGCACAATAACATATGCTCATAACGGCCAAGCCCAATCAATCGCTATTGTATGCTCTCAAATTCAGATCATCCACATCAATAAACCCCGTAAATGCTCGGGAGAGGAACGTGCGCCAGGCCTCGTTCACCTTCTTCTTTCCGGCGGCCGACGGGTCGGGGGAGATGGAGGTATCGGTGGCAGCTGCTCCATCCTCACCGATTCGAATGGCAAGTTCCAAAAAGCTGCGGACCGTCAAGTCCGTCATTTGACAGACGCCATCATCATTGGTGGAATATTCGACTTCAAAGTCGATTTTAAGAGACTTGTGCCCTTGGGATGCGGCCTCCTCGTTGAGTCGAGTGAGGTTTGCAAAGTACTGGGTGTAGGATAGCAGGGTAAATGGTTGTTTGGAGTATGCAGGGCCCGGAGGTGCCGTGGAGGACGGGGGATCGGGAATCTTGAAGCTCGGAGGCTCGTCGTCCTTGTCCTTGCCCTTCTTTTTCTTCTCAATATCGACTGATGGAGTCTGAGGGTCGAACAGTGTTGATCCCACAGTAGACACATCGGAAGAGTCCCCATCACGATCGTAATTGGATTCATCCTGAATTGAAAGGGCCTCCAGTCCAGTGATGTTGTATTCCACCACCCTCAACGTGGGGAAATAATTTGGTACCAGGCTCGGCGAGACCAATGAAAGGCTGTATCGTTCAGCAAAGGGGCCTCCAATCTTCTTCAGGTACTTCCGCTCCTTTTTCTCCCTCTTCTTCTCCTTCTTGCTTTTCTTCTTCTTGGTTGCATCGAAATCGAAAGGCTCTGACGTACTGCGCAGCTTTTCGAAAATACCAGCAGGCGGGGATGGTAGTGAGGACCATTGCTTGCGAAGCGAGACGAGATAGTCCTCCTTTGACAAAGTTGTTACTATGTCGTCCGCAGGCTTCTCCAACACGGTCTCAATGTCGACCTTGTGATTGTCCTGCAGGATGAAGTGATCGATGTTCATGTGTCCATAGAGACCGGTCACGACGACATCACGGTATCGATCCATCCACAGGGTATACTTCTGCCAGCAGCTTTCATCCCAATTCTTCTTCTCGTTCGACCGAGCAGGGGCCACATGGCCCATCAATATGGCCTTCATGCCACGGCTCCGTAACAGTTGCAGCTGAACCCGCAGCCACTCCATGTGTTCGTACCCGGGTTCCGACTTCACATTGCAGCCATCCACTGCGCTGTTGGATTCGAAGAAGTACATAGTGTTCAAGCTGATGACGGCCAGCTTGCCGGGAATCACCTCGATGGTGAACCATCCGCCCTCAACGAACGTGTGGCGTTGGTCTTCCGGAATAAAATGGCGCCAGATTTCGGCGAACTTCTTCGTCCACGTATTGGGACCTTCTCGGAAAATATTATGGGGTAGGATGTCGTTGTTGCCAAAGGTGGGTATGACGGGCACGGACAGTCGAGGGATGCTGGTTGGACTTTTGGCGCGATCACGGACTCCGAATAGATCAACCCATTTCTGAGCCATAAACTCGTTCAGTTGGACGATCTCGTCTGCATTTCGTGGGCGTTTTTCATCGTTGTCATGGCGGACCGAATCCCCCGTCCAGATGACAAAGTCGATCTCGTCCTTCAAATTCTCCTCAATCCACCGGAACGTTTCGTTGACCAGGGACAAGGGAGAGTCACAGTCTGAACCTTCCGCGCCGAAGTATCCTGCCGGTCCCTTGCCGCGGTGGCATGTCCCGCCTTTCTCGTCGGGCAGGGTGCCCGCCTTGTAGTATTGGTCGGGGTGGAAATCTATCCTCGTTGAATCCTGTCAATCTATCTTTCTGCCTCCCCACAAGCCAAGTATTTTAACTGGAGCCCAGTACGTACCAGTGATATGCAAGAAGCGACCACGAGGCCCCGAGCCCGCTACCCCTGCAGGAGGGTCGCGTGCATGATCGGGGAGGACAAGGGTGCTGGAATCGGTGCTCAGATCGGCCAAGGGCTGCTGTTCTACCGGGATTGCTGATGCTGCAGCGCTGGCCCACAGGGTGAGCAGCACAACTGTTGACAGCATTGTGCAGGCTGCTCAGTCCCTGAAGGTTTGTAGATCGCCCAAATCGACGAGAATTTTTGGGGGAGATGGACCCGATCTTATCGGCAGTTCACGTCACGTCACTGCGCGGCGCAGGCTGCCGGGGCATGGACCGCCAATCAGCGAGGGCACCGATGCTGAGTCACCTCGGGAAAGATTTGCGGGTGCCGACACAGGATCTGAGGGATTGTTCAATGTTAAACTTGTGTCGGGATGGTCAAACTTGGTGGTGATATATTCAGGGTCTGGATAAGAGGAAGGGAAAGAGTTGCATAAGGGAATTTCCATCGCCTGCGCACTTGCCCAGTTGACCCTCACTGAAAGTGCCCCGGATCGACGCCCACGACACGTGCCGTCCAATGACTATGGCACGTGCGGCGATCATCCGTGGATGAAGCCTGAGGCAGGAATCAATCGATTAACTGATATGAAATGACGACCGACACAGATCTTTGGTGAATCATAACTATACTGTAACCGGGCGACATGTCCGCTACAATGCCCTTCCATCTACTGAGCTAGCATAACACGACCATCGGAATGATCTAAATATGTAACCATTGCTGCCTTTTCTGGATATCTAGTGTGAATGAACTATAACCGTCATGTCGTGATCATGTTGTCAATGCACATGGCTCTCATGATGTCTCTCTGTTGCTCTCAAGCACTTGGGATCTATTACTCATTGGGCATAATCATAGCTCATACCACGGCATTTGAGCCAAAATGCTCGAATGATCTCCGTCGACTGCTGCCTCGCACCGCGTGCAACAACCAACGACTGCACAAATCGAGATTTGTCTTGCTGGGAAAGGATTGGGACGCGATTCGAGGTATCATCCAGGGTGTGCAAGTCCAGCGCGTCGAGGGCGGCATCAATACTGGGCCGGGCGAATGCCATCTTCTTGAAGATCAAGCGGCGAAGCACATCGCCAAGGGAGGCCAGATCCGACCGTGCGCAACGGCCCGCGACCTGGTTGATCAAGGTCTGGCTCAGTCGGGGGATGAATGAGTGGAGGACTTGGTCCAGGGCGGCAGTCTCTTCCGCAGAGTTGCCGCGAAGGTCGATGAGGGCGACCCAGAAGGCCGATGCCGAGCGAAGAGTCAATGCTTCCGGTCGGGTCAACGCGTGGAGAGCAAAGTGTAAGGGAACGCTAAACGCTGGGGTACTTTGATATGACGAATTGGGTGCCAGGGATGGCAGGGGCTCCGTCAGAGAAAAGAGCACCGTGTAGTATTTGGGGGTCAGGCGGGCGAAGAAATCAATGCCGGCATTGGCCGTCTCCGGGTCGTACAGATTGGAATTATCCAGCATCGATGCGAATAACTGGGAAACGTGGACAATCAACGCTACCGCCTCGTCGCGAATCTGGATGAAATGAGATGCATGGGAGGCCAAAAAGGCAGACGCAGTTCCCATGATGACATCAGTGCCAGAAATGCCCAGCGGGAAACTTTTGATGAAGTCAACTGTCATGGATGGGGGGAATACGAATAGTCCGGATGACTCGGTGTATCCAGCTTTGAGAATATCACATGCGGAATCGATCATGTTGCTGTCCACGGGAAAGTCCACGACAAGCAAACGCATGGATTCCATGATGAACTGCTGAGCCCGTGATCCGGGCCCCGAGTTCCAAAAGGATGGGGGATATGGATTTTGTTCTGTTGCGGTGGCATCGATGTTGATAACCTCGTCCGCATCCAAGCGCAGACCTTTGCCGATACTGGCAATGCAGCTCAGAATCAAGTGACCATGTGAACAAGCGACATCATATGCTGAATTGGCAGCCTCTTGTCGCGCCTGGGTGGCTTCTTGCACAAAGAAGCTCAGAATTCGCTCCAAGGTCTGCACCTTCTCTTCATCGGTGGGTAGTCTCTGAACGATAGTCGCAATGCCCTCGAGGACCTTAGGCATGGTGGAGGAGGTCGCTGTTGGTTTGGTGCGAAAGAGGTCTAGTTGGTCGAGGAAAATGGGTAGCTCCGACGTCAAGACTCGGGAGCACGATTTGGAAAGGGTTAGGAAAGACCGAGAAGCTGCCTGGGCACACGATTCGAAATTCAAAGACTCGAAAAGGATGTTGAGAACACCGGGGAGCAGCGAATTGTGTCGTTCAAAGTAGGATTCATACTTTCCAAATGTGTCCACCAAGGTTTGACGCGCCTTGAGAGGTATCCCCGTCTCCCCGCCTGCGCAGAGGCGTGCAAAGGCATCACTTCCAAAGATAGCGTCTAGGCATTGATCTGCATGTCCGTTTTCATCGACAGCCTCAGAGAGCTGGGCGATACAAAACATTGCAGCCTCGAATCCGCGCCAGTCGCCATTTTGGAGGTGATTTGTTGCACTTTCTTGGAACACACTCACCAATTCCACGCCGAGAATGGGATATGCGGAGAGCAAATAATCACAGGCCTCGTGGCGGAATGCATTGAATTCACTCCGTTCCTCATCGCTCCAGTCGGCCAGGTCATCTGACGGAGGGTACAAGAGCTTGTTGAACAGACCAAGCACAACTTGTGCCAAGTGCGCTTTGATCATTTGCCATCTGGGGTCGTTTCCCTGTAACTCGTCGAGCACACCTTCCGCGATTTCATTCCAAAATTCGAGTACACGAGGCGTAGCCGGGTCGTCAATCACCGCATAACCTGGTGTTTTGAAGATATTATGCGCGACATTGAGGATCTTGGCATTCTCAGGCGGCATGGGGTCGCTGAAGACTTTCAGCTGAAGGTGTGATAGATAAGCGACCAAAAGGTCGACATAAGTCATGCTCTCGGAGTCTTCATGGCCCTCTGTGAGAGATGTGATATGCGTTGTCACGATCGAATCAGCGAGTACCTGCGCGAGAACCCAGATGGAAGTGTCATCGAAAGCCGAACGGCGACTTTCAAAGACCTGTGTCAGGGTAGAAGCGGCAAGTTCACTCAGGACAGGCACTCTGAGGGTCTCTATGATATTGTGGCCGCAAGAGACGGCTAGGCCATGAACTTCATCTCCATTTGGTAGCGATCGGTTGGAAGCAACACCAAGCCACGCTTTCCAGGAGTTCATGACCTCGCTACCCAGGGTCTGATGAACCTGCTTATCCAAGGCTGCTCCAGACTGCTCTGAAATCTGTGGCAGGATGTACTGCACCAATAGCAAACCGTCTCCGGTGTTGGTGATTGCTCGTCCAAGTGCTGATCCCACCAGTTCATTGGGCTCATCTTCGAGCCGTAGCGTGGCCTCGGCAAGTGTGACCGAAAAGAATAGCAAAGCTGTAGCTTGCTGAGTGTCGAGAGTGGGCAGCAACGAAGTCGAAAAGTCCACAGTCTGCGCTTGCTGTTCGGAAACAAAGCCCCCATGGGCCAGGCTAGCTGCTACCTGCCACAATACTCTCTCGCAGGGACACGTTGAATGCCTGAAGAGGGTGACCAGACTGGATGCAAGCTTCCGGACTACCATGGCTTGTTCTCCTTGCTTCACAATTGTCACGAAGTGGTGAATCAGATGCTCTAAGACCTGGAGGCTAGTCGCCTCGTCGATATCATGACTAGAGACATTCACTTTCACCGTGAATGTGAGGGCTCCCATGAATCGATGATGAGCCGAAGGCCCTCTCAACAGTGAATCAGCAATCTGCCAGGCATGATCACCTCTCTGGAGGTGCTGCAGGCGCGTTTGGATGTCATTGATGCGCGTTGGATTTCTTTGATTGGCGGGAGAGTACAGCTCAGTGACCAACGCGTGAGCCTCTGAGATGGGATCTGCAGAGCCCGAGTCCATGTCTGTGAGTTGTGTTGCCCTAAATCTCCCACCAGATGCTATGTAAGATGTGAGCTTGCTCTGAGAGCAGTCTTGGTGGGTTGGAGATGCGCAGCACTTGATACACCCACACGACCTTCCAAACGGAGCGACCTTATGTCATCCCTTCCCGATGCCCACCAGGTGCCAAGACCGACTTCCGAGTCACGTGCATTGTTTGCCCCCACGTAAACTCATTTCCAAGCGGAGTCGCTCAGCAACATTAACGGCCACAGCCGGTGGAGAATGGCAATGGCATTGACCCTAGTGCGAGAAAATCACGCTTGATGGAATGCCATTCGTCTCATATTTCAGCCAGAAATAGACTAGGAAGGCAATCACACGGACACCTCTCATGTACTAACTGGCAAGGATGATTCTTCTTCCCTACGTACTACGGAAGTAGAACGGCCCACGCCAAGAAATGTAACCCCCGCTTATCCCGTCCACCTCGTCTACAACCTTCAGACATCCATTCTTCATTGTACTTCGTGCTTCTTGAATAAATCCTATTGCCTGAAAAGACTTGGCCATCTAATAATGATTCCCGTCAAGGTTGATACGACTGCCCTCCTCTACATCTTGTTTGTTGTAGTAAGATGCTGAAGACTCAGTCAGCCTGGCGATGACTCCTGGTAACCCAATTCCGCTATTAGGGTGGAGCATTATCCTTGATCCTTGGGGGCGAGTTCTTTTGCATAACGTCTATAGGTAAATACTCCCAATTAATCACTCCCAATTAATCACTCCCAATTAATCACTCCCAATTAATCACTCCCATGACCATTTGCCGGCAGAATAATTAACGTGATACTTCGGGTGGTCTCAGACTTTTGGGGCGCCTCTGTGAACATACTCTCCCGCTTATATCTCACAGACTGTTGACTTCGTTCTGCTGCCTTGGCAATATCAGCGGTTGTTAGATTGCTCTCAATCATATCACAGATCAGGCTTCGATGGGATAAGTTTGGGGTCATCTTTGACACAATAAACAGCGGGTGTTTGGGGGAGGGGGGAAGATATTGTATAGGAGGAACAGCCCAGATCGAGCGCCGCCTAGGTCGCAGCCGTGTTGTCATCGTATCCGTTCCTTATCATACCTTTCAGAAGGTTCTAGAAAGGGGCCCTAATAAATCTAACCGATTGAGGTTAACATGATTTTGGCAACCGGTTTTGTGAAAGAGAGAGTGTGTAGAATCGCAAGGCGATTTTGCAAGCTACTCTATCCCAATTCTACGAGCGTCATGACATTAAAGCGGACTGCTGTTCCATATTCAACACAATTCACAGTATCCTTTCAAGTCCCAGATAACACTCAACGACATGTTACATAAGCTTTGTATCTCACTATTATACGTGCGCCTATACCACGAGCAAATTCAGCTATTTTTCGCGTAATGTTCGAGGATCAAACAGCTTGTCATGACTAGTTCTTCACATAATCTGACAAAATATTTTAACAGAGCTAAACCTTCGAATAATCTAGGCGTGCACGATCAATTTTGGCGAGTTCTAAGTCATATTTTGCTAAAAAAAGAATTTACTTGGAGGGCTCGGATTTATCAATACCGACAACTTATGTTGAAGAATTGACCTTATCATGGAAGTTAAACCCATGGGGATGCTGTAGACTTGGGCCAGGCCCCTTCCTTCCGCAGTTTAACCTACTCTCTCAATTAGTTATGACTCACGATCATTCATCATCTCCAGCTTTGCTGCTCCCCTTGACGAGTGCGCGGTCTGACTTCTGTCGATGTGTCTACCAACCTTTAGAGTGCTTCCCGAAACTGGTGCAACCACTCACACTCTTTAATGGCGTTTCCAGCCTCGGAACCAAGACTTAGATTCGGACTATCGATACTCCTGGACCAATACAACACGTCTAACTGACAAAAGGCGCCCCAAAGAACTCCAAATATAGACTATCTGGTCTTGGTGCTCTGGCTGGAAAAATAATCAAAGAGTGTAAGTGGTTGCAATAGTCTCGGGATGCAGTGTACGAGAAACTGTTTATACAGAATGTGTCAAAATTCTGAAGAGGTCCTGCTGGGAGGGCATGTTTCTAGGTCAATTACCCTTATTCAATTTTATTAGTTTTACCTTCAAGGCAGTAAGTCCTTATTCAAAGAATTCAATCTGTACCGCGTCTAAATAAACTGCCAATAAAATCCACTTCAATCCCTGCATCATCTCGCACTTTCAGCTCTGTGATCGTAGAATCCAGCGCGTCACCCTCCATATTATTGTACTCATTCACAGCGTTGTGTTCATCGAGAAAAAACCGGCCAATCTCTAGAGATAGCTCTCCTTCCAGCTTCAGGTTCGAGTTATGATCGAGAAATTCGCCATCAGCGTAGTGATAGACGGACCATCCCCAGCGTCGGAGCGTGTCAAGTTCCTCGATTTGCCAGCGTTCTCTCAAAGGACCACAAACAGTTGTGTTCTTTGCCTGGCAAGTAGAACTGAAAGGGCAGTATAAAGCCTTTGAGGTGACCAGACATATCTCATGGGTCGCAAAGAAAGAAATTTTGGCCGATTTGATTAACCCCACCCTGACGCTCTTTCCGTCCGTGAGTCTGTGATACGATGACCTAAAAGTCTCTTAAATATGTCACGTTAATCAAAGTGATATTTTGAGTAGCAAGGGGTATCATACGTCTGTAGCTTGATAGGAGGCGCTGGTGGTCAAAAAACGATGCCAGAAAAGGCGGCTACGGGCAACGGTATGTATATGGTAGCTCGTGCCTGCACTATGGGCTCAACGGCCAATATAGCATATGTCTCCTTCATGATGGTCTCGGCATGGCACGATTCACCAAAAAAGAGACCTATCAGATCAGGGCCATTTAACGACATTGGAAACATAGCCGGGGTGGAAGACATTGATTGTAATGTGACAGGTCCTTACTTAAATGGGCCTCTAAGTTGTTCAGAAAGGAAAATTTGAAGTTAGGTGCATCATGAAGACAGAACAAGGAACTCTTTATAGTGCTCTCAGTCCCAAAGCCGGTGTTACCACCTTATACTCTCTCACCCTTTCCCCGACCCTACGCTAGGACAAACATGGACAGGCTGGGGGCAACTTCTAACGTTATGGTGACACGTCAGTGGCCAGGCACTTGGTGCTTCACTATTTCGCACTAGCGTAGGATAAGAGAAAGAATAAAAAAGCGCAAGGTTATGACGCCGGTTTCGGGGTAGACATTATCACAGAGTCCGCAATAATTGAACCATCGGGTGCCAATTTGGCTTGCTCCCAGGAGCCCTGCCAACGCTCAATTATTATCTTGCAATTAATTGTTTCTCAAATTTTTTCTGACTATAGATTCTGGCAGTATAGATGATAGGTGAGCTTGGAGTCAGGGTGTTCCTAGGAACAGTACAATTATTCCTATCAAGGCTCGGACGTGCTTGATAGGACGAAAGTATCTTGCTCCTAGGAGCCGATGAAGAACACTTTACGAGGTCTTGTTACAAGCCAAGCGAGATGATGACGGAAGCCTCCATTCGGTGCTATCTGCGAAAGAATCAAGTCTAGAGAAGGAAAGAGAGAAGAAGAAGAAGATGCGTGGCGGGATATGGGCCTTTATACCCTCTCAGGGAACTTCCCCTTTCGGAATCGCATGAGGCCTTCCAAGCAAACATCATACTCGCCAGCTGCCAACTCCACCCTTTTCCATCCTTTCTTCACAGATAAAGGTATCTAGCTTGTAAAGGTCAGACTGGTTACCTTCAGTTAAGAATCTAAGCAGGGTAGGAATTTCATCCTGTTCAACATCGTCTGATTGAATATCCTTTAACGGTATATTGAGCGATATACGGAGCTGCATTAAAAGCCCTCTACCGGGACGTATAGGGTCCGGTTCGACATGCTCGACGAAGTCTCAAATATGAATAATAGCCGGACAAGTTAAATTTAAGGTCGTAACGTTGTCCGGCGTACATCAAATTTAGATAGAAAACGTAGCTCGAATATTTTGTAGGGGTTGTAGAGGGATTAACGGGTGAAAGAAGAAGTAGGTAAGAGGGACTCTCGTTGGTATGCCCACGGTGTACTATGGAGCAAGATCCCTGTTATAGGTACGAACCTACATACAGTGGCACCGCAAAAGTTTCCGGCCACCCCCGTTCACCGCCTGACCTACACCGCCTTCAGTAGAAATTACTAGCTATGATAAACACTAATGGAAAAGGTAGAATTCCTTTCTTTTACCTTTAATCCTCCCAGATGAAATGTACAATTAGAGATCAGCAATTGTTTTGCCTCAAACTTAGGGATAATGTTGGAAATCTGGAATTGTTTATAGACGGCAGAATGTTATGTAAGTAAAGGGTTGTCGGAAACTTTTGCGGTGCCACTGTATGATATGTCCTAAATGTATCTTACCGCTGATTCGATCAAGAAAGTTAGTGGATGATTTTAGGTTTTTGATAACCACCGTTTATGTACACAGGACGTGGAGGTGAATGATTTATGGAGATGTTAGTTGACAAGGTGCGGGTTGAGTGTTCTATCATTAGTAGTTTAGGGCACCCTCTGTCACGAGCCAGGCAAAAAGAACTGGATGCTTCAATTTGGTGCTTCTAACGAAAACAACTAAGTCTGGAGAGGAAGAAGAAGAAGAAAACTACGAGGGTGCGAACAGGGCCTTTTTGTTTACCTGCCCCAGGCCCCTTCCTGTTTCGGAAACTCGCGCCTTCCTATTTCCATGAACTTCTCAGATCGGAAGTTTCCAACACCAAAACTCACCATGATCGCAGGTTCAAATCTCGCATCCGCCACATTCGTCACACCTTCTATCCATGCACGGCATAGACATGCACATGGACTAATACATGCAAGAAGTGATCATTCCGGTCACGGAGGAATATCATAATTTTTACGATCACAACCATCGGAAATGTTGATAGTGTAGCAGAATCTGTATCCTAGTCATCCAGTGGTTTGTTAAGGATTAGGAATCTTCCTATATGTATATTCTGGGCTGGGCGAGAAGGGGATAGAGATTGTAGAATTACTGCACTCTGGTTGGGAGTAGAGAGAGAGAACTTTCGGCGAGAATTATGATGTCGTCGGGTAGCTATATTATGTAGGAACTAAAGCCGTTAACGTGAATGCTCCTATTCGTCTAACGTCATTCTTTGCAGCTCCTGAAGTCTCTGCATTTCCGCGAGTATCCGGGGATCAGGTTCAAATTGGACGTCCTTCATCTTGATTTCCTGCAGAAGATGAAGTCCATCGCGCGTTCGTAATCGGGATAATTGTACGTAGGCCGAGCAGAACTTTTGGTGACGGTCTCGACCACGTATCGTCGGGTCATCCCTAAGATCTAGGATCACAGAGTCAAGCGTAGAGCCCTGCACTTTATAATCGCTGAGGCAGAACGCCGGGCACACAGGGACTTGTTTCCTGCGGACAGAGTAACCCTTCATAACGATCGATCTCTCTAAGGGAAAACAGGAACGATGGCAGGCGCAAGACCTTCGAAAGCAGAGGCGCTTGACTTGTCCCGTTTGAATAAAACACGCGCGGGAGGTTTGGTGCAAAGGATATACAGATCGTCAATTTCATAGAACTCGGCTAAGATAGTTCTAGCGAATATTTATGTATTACTAGATATAAATGGCGCAGATTCTCTAATTCGCAGGCCTCTGTATTATCATGGCCTTATTGCAGTGGGACTTGGCGAATATCTTCGGCTATCTGCTGGTCAAAAAATACTAAAAATAGGCCTGTTCCCAATGGCAGCTATGGGCCGCCGCACCCTGCCGCAGTAAACTCCCAAACCTATTATGCTCCTCCTCCTACTTCTGCAGGGTGGCGTCTACCCTAGTGACTAAATGATGCCAATGTCCATTTTCCTCTTCAATTATATCCAACGTATCGGATAAAAACCTTAAACGAGCCTGCGACCCTATCCGCCGTTAGATCCGTCGCAGCGCGCAACCCGCCCTAACGCCCTCACGCTCATCACCAAGGGCCACCCAATGAATATCCGGTGCACAGCAAACATACCCCCATCCACCCGGGACACCAGATAATGTAGGCAAAGTGTACTGGCAATTTTGAGCGCATTCTGCCCAACATCTTCGTCGCGACTCGGCGACCGCCGATGTATGGAGAAAGTGTTTAGGGGAAGGACTCGCCACAACCTGTTGATAGCACTCCTTTGCCAACAAGACTCTGTTTCCTATTTTGTATTAGTCTAGGCTTCTGTTTCCTGGAGCATTTAGGCCTCGGAATGCCTGTTGATGCTTCTTGTGAACGAGGGAGATACAACAACCGTGGATACGCATACAGCTAAATTCGAAATTGCCTTCCATGTCTTACGCAGAGAAACTATCTGAAACCCTAACGCCAAGGCAATGGTGAAACTACTTAGTCTCGTTTTAGCTAGCTTGCAGATCTCCCTCGCGCGTCATTACAGAACTGTAGAATACCAGACAAGTCTAATACGCCACTGCCCCTGTAATCACGCGTTTCTTTAGTACGCTTTCTGCCAATGTTGTCCTACCCGCCTAGGCGGCGCCTCCTCAGACCACGTTGTCCCCGACTACCCACACCATGAGACAAAGGAATGGCCCCGAACCTGCCAGCTTCCAGTCGAGAATTTATCCGAGATATGATCTTGAGCAAATCATTAACCACAGCCGAGATTGCTGATGCTGCTGGATGTAGCCCCCGTTCCGTCACCACAATCCGCAGTAACCTGCGGCTATTCGGTGATACTCGAGCGCCTCCCATTCGAGCAGGCAGACCACGAAGTATCACATCACGGATGTTGGAGGCTCTCTGCGACTACTTACAGGAAAAGCCTGATCTCTACCTCGATGAGATGGCGATTTTCCTCTGGGATGAATTTGGAACGCAGGCAACGACATCTAGCATAAGGCGTGCGTTGATCTCTAAGAATTGGTCAAAGAAGGTTGCTCGTCAAAAGGCGAGGGAGCAGAATCAGGATCTTCGGGATTGTTACCTCCACAACCTGTCCGACTTCAGGTCGTATCATCTAGTATACATTGACGAGTCTGGCTGCGATAAACGGGTTGGCTTCCGGAGGATAGGTTGGTCACCGCTCGGTACTGCACCGATCCAGGTCTCCAAATTTCACCGCGACCATCGCTACCAGATCTTGCCAGCATACTCTCAAGATGGTATTGTCTTGTCAAGAATATTCCGAGGCTCGACGGATGCATCAGTTTTTGAGGATTTCATTGAGGAGCTCCTTCACCACTGTGGGAAATGGCCAGAGCCCAGATCCGTTCTGGTGATGGATAACGCCTCTTTCCACTATTCTGACCGCATAAAATAACTGTGCTCGGACGCGGGAGTGAAACTAATGTACTTGCCTCCTTACTCGCCGGACCTAAATCCTATCGAGGAGTTCTTCTCCGAGCTCAAGGCTTTTATCCGGAGGCACTGGGGATACTACCGGGATAATCCCGAATAAAGTTTTGATAATTTTCTGGAGTGGTGTATTGATCGAGTCGGTTCAAGAGAACAAAGTGCAAGGGGGCATTTTAGGCATGCAGGTGTCTATCTCGATGGAGCATGAAAACTGATTCAGATTCTATACCATTCTACACAGTTGTTTACCGATTAGAACCGATAGAATAAGACATAAATGTTTATTGCTATATGTAGTTTACTATCGCTGTTGAATATCCCTGTTCTCTGCAAAGACTCTTCTAGTTGATTTCCGTGACTGCTCCTTTTAAGCTGTTCACCCATTCGGTGATCTCGCAAACGAAGCGGCGTGCCACCCCCACTTTAACACCTTGCTTGATGAAGAAGTCTGGGTCTTGATCACCGTGGATCTGCTTTAAGTCAAGGCCGTTTGTAAGCACCAGATCCCGAGCTTTTCGAATATCGTTCTTAAGAACTTCGCTGCTTACCCTTGATTGTTGCCAATCACTATATTCCGCCACCGCCACGTCGTGCAGACCAGGTATATTAATTGGATCAGTGGGAGTCAGTGACGTGAAAGGGGAAGAGCTGTTTGCGTCTGACATGACTGCTTGAGATGCCTGAGTTGGGAGTACATGGATATTAATGGGAGGGCACATCGATCCAGAAGAGAGATTAGTATGTTTTTGCTGCTTTGTGATTCGCTCGTTGTCCTCAGCGTAAAGCTGCTCACGGAGACTGTCCGGGATGTCATCGTGGGTTTTAAGGGTTCCACCTTTCTCCACATATCGAACGAGGCTTCTTAGCTGATGTGTCCGGAGTTTATAGTGTCTTTTCCCTACCGGATCCTGCCAGCAATATTAACCTTCGTGGCGGTATGGTGGTCCAGGGCATCGCATTATTCTGTAAACCTCTCTCCACACCGAAGGGTGCCCCGAAGCTTCTTCTGCGTCAAGTTGCGAGTCTCGGTCGGCCAGCATCCGTTTGGATACCGATGATCTTCCTCGTTTATCATACCTCGAGGGAAGGGGAGAACTGTCCTCGATATAGTTCACAGATATCTTAAGCCGGAGCACCTTGCCAAGCCGGGACAGCTGGCCCAACATGAGCAGCTGCTTTTCTATCCCCGCCCAATTAATGTCCGTGCTGTCAAAGCGCTTGATCAAGTCTCGCTGAGATCGATCATTTACAGACGCCACCACATTCGTATCGTCTGGTCTCACTCGGCGATCACGAGCTATCTTGCTTCGCAGAATTTTGGCTATCTCCTGCTGCAGTTTAGGCCAAAAGGTGCTTGGGGGTTCAGCCAGGTCCTGCTCCGTATCCTTCGCTATCACTCGATGATTCAGGGTGACTCTCTACTCGATCAGGTACGTGTATCGACTACAGTCTAAGATGTGTTTACCGCCTGCTCTTTCGTCATCATCTTCTTCTTCTACCAGATGGGTGAGGCGGACCGGATCCGTTGGTGGTGAAGAATCATCTACTCTTTGCTCGGGCTCGGGAGAGGCATGACCGTGTGACGGTGTCCAGGCGCCGCCAAAGAAACCCGGAGTTGGGGGGCAGGAGGGGGTCGTATCCCACGGCCGAGGGAACTGATGGTCGAAGGTATTTTCATCGTCTAAGGCAGAAACCGACATTCCCCCCCGACAGCAAATGCCACTGAGAAGCCTATTAATAGCATCATGGAACGTCAGCGAAGGACAACATAAGGCGGGGGCACAGGAGGGAGCAGTGTATCTGACAGGACGAGCTGAATAACGGGAAAGATCATGGATGAGTGGACAAAACCAAATAAGTGTTCGTGATTCTGTAAAGACTGACGATAGTTAGTTGTGAGAAAAGCAGAGAGAGAACAGGTTGGGGAGAAAGGCGACATGAAGGGGAGAGGGTTATGGTCCCCTTGCTGGGGATCAATTGGTGGTTTGGTCTGTTTGCTCGAACATGGATGGTTCTAGACTGCGGTTCCTCGATGGCCCACAGCAACTGTGCCACGAATGGGAGCAGGGAATTTGCGCCTGCTATCCACGAACGCAGCCAAGGCTATCTCCCGTCCTGGGGGCCGGAGATCAGTGGAAGTTCATCGCTAATGATGTCACATGATAGCGGGGGCTAAGAGCGGGTGTCCCTAAATATTGGTTAGCACCCTCTTCTGAATCAGAACCTAAATACTTTTAGGTGGCATCTTGACTATGACCTCCATATCATACGGCCACTCTAATTCAGGATTGCAGGTAGGGGTCAATCAAGGGTCGATATATATGACACAAGGAGGTAGGTGTTCCAGGATCCTGCCGGGTCGTGCGGACTAATCTTGGCCTTTATTTCCAGAGCGATCGGAACCCCGCCCTGAACCTCTTTCGACGGTACCGTTCCCGCGCGACCCAGACTTTGTTGGCCGCAATGGACTTCTCGACCAAATTCACGAGAAAGCATCGATAGCGGGATCTAGACTGGCTCTCGTTGGTCTCGGCGGCGTTGGGTTAGAGCAACATGTTCTCTAAGAGCAGCTCCTCGGATGCTAACTAGATAATAGCAAAACGCAACTTGCCATTGAATATTGCCACCAGGTTCGACAGCAATCCACCAGCACCTGGATCTTCTAGGTACATGCAAGTAACGTGGCCCGCTGCGAGAAAAGTCTCCGAGATCTCGCCGATCGAGCCAAGATTCCTGGGAGCCAGGACCGCAACGCGAATATATTCCAAGTCGTCGGCCACTGGTTACAGGACGGAAAAATCGGAAAATGGATTCTTGTCCTTGATAACGTCGATGACGACGAGCTCCTTCGCAAATCATCAGCGGTCGGGACCGATGGCCAGATAAATACGCACAGCGGTACTTCGACACAACCACTACTGAGGTATCTTTTCGATAGCTTTAACGGGTCCATCATTGTCACTAGCCGGAATCGAGCGGTGGCGCTGAACGTCGCCAGTCATAAGAACATTATCGAATTGCAACCAATGAATCAAACCGAAGGGCTTGATCTACTGCAGAAGAAACTAAGCATACCGACAGAGCAGGAAATTATAGTGCGTTTGGCTCGGGAGCTTGAGTTTATGCCACTCGCAATCGTCCAAGCCGCCGGCTATATTACACACCGATCACCGCGTTGTTCAGTATCGCAATACCTCGAGAAAATCCAGAAAGGTGACCGAGAGGCAGCACGAGTACTAAATGACGAGGCCGGGCTCCTTTACCGAGACTGGGAGGCAAAGAACTCTATTCTGCTCACATGGCAAATATCATTTGATTATATTCGCTGGAAAAGGCCTTCTGCGACTGATCTGCTCTCCCTAATGAGCTTCTTCAACTGGCAAGGAATCACCGAGGATGTCCTTCGGGTTGACCAGAATCAGAAACGCGGCAGGCATTTCACTCTCGAGCAGCTAGAGGACAGTTTAAGCGAACAGGACACGGACAATGAGTCTAATGGTGCCGCTAACACCGATTTCGACAAAGATATTACAATCCTCTGTGACTTTTCATTGATAGCGGTCGGAGAAGACAGCATGTCTTTCACAATGCACCGGCTGGTGCAGCTAACCGTGCGCACCTGGCTCAAAGCCCATGGCCAACTTGAATATTGGAAGGGGCTTTTTATCAAAAATCTATGTTCGAAATTTCCGACCGGTGAATATGACAATTGGGAAAGATGCCGTTCGCTCTTTCCACACGTGAAAGCATCCGTATCACAACGACCCGAATCCCCGATCGCTCTACAGCAATAGGCTACTCTACTTTATAGAGGCGCGTGGTATGCGCGAGGAAGCGGGTATATCACAGAATCGATAGAAATGGCATCTCTGTCGAGAAAATATAGGTTAGCACTCCTCGGTGCGGAGAACGAGGAGGCGCTTGATAGCACTACAATGTTAGCAGGAGCATACCGATTAGTCGGTCGGTGGGAGGAGGCCGAGCAGCTCTACTTACAGGTCCTGGAGACTTGTAAGACGAAGCTCAGCGCGGACCATCCCTCTACGCTGTCGAGCATGGCCAACCTAGCGTCAACGTATAGGAACCAGGGCCGGTGGGACGAGGCCGAGCAGCTCGAGGTGCAGGTCCTGGAGACTCGCAGGACGAAGCTCGGCAAGGACCATCCCTCCACGCTGACTAGTATGGCCAACCTAGCGTCGACGTATAGGAACCAGGGCAGGTGGGACGAGGCGGAGCAGCTCTTGATGCATGTCCTGGAGACTCGCAAAATAAAGTTCGGCGCAGACCATCCTGACACGCTGACGAGCATGGCCAACCTAGCGTCGACGTATAGGGACCAGGGCCGGTGGGACGAGGCCGAGCAGATTGACTTGCAGGTCCTGAAGACATGCAGGACGAAGCTCGGTGCAGACCATCCTGACACGCTGACTAGTATGGCCAACCTAGCATCGACGTACAGGAATCAGGGCCGGTGGGACGAGGCCGAGCAGCTCGAGGTGCAGGCCCTGGAGACTCGGAGGACGAAGCTTGGCAAGGACCATCCTTCCACGCTGACTAGCATGGCCAACCTAGCGTCAACGTATAGGAACCAGGGCCGGTGGGACAAGGCCGAGCAGCTCGACATGCAGGCCCTGGAGACTCGCAGAACGACGCTCGGTGCAGATCATCCTGACACGCTGACGAGTATGGCCAACCTTGCGTCGACGTATAGGAATCAGGGCCAGTGGGACGAGGCCGAGCAGCTCTTGGTACAGGTCCTAGAAATAAGCAAAACGAAGCTCGGCGCGGACCATCCTGACACGCTGAAGATCATGGCCAACCTAGCATCGTCATTCTGGTACCAGGGCCGGTGGGAGAAGACGGAGCAGCTCTTGGTGCAGGTCCTGGAGATATGCAGGACGAAGCTCGGCGTAGACCATTCTTCCACGCTGACTAGCATGGCCAACCTAGCGTCGACGTATAGGAAGCAGGGCCGCTGGGACGAGGCAGAGCAGCTCGAGGTGCAGGTCCTGGAGACAAGTAAGTCGAAGCTCGGGGCGGACCATCCTGACACGCTGACGAGCATGGCCAATCTTGCTTCCACATTCGAAGCTACTGGTCGTCGTCCTGCAGCGATCGATTTGCTTCGAAGCTGCGTTACCAAGCAGCAACGCATCCTAGGTCCTGCTCATCCCGAAACAGTCTCTAATTCTGACATCCTGCTGGCCTGGGAGGCTGGGGAGGTGACTATCGAGAATTGATCAAAATACATCTTTCTCTAACGAGGAGGCTGCACTATACAAGTATCTGATAGTCTAATCTGACATGAGATTGACTACTAACCTATCCAGTCCTATGCAGTACAGTCACCAGCGAAATCTGCTTCCTCCCTGACGACTGTTTCTATTTTTCTCGGGACCCACTGCCAAGGCATTAGCGGCTAGTTTTATTTGACAGAGATCAATGTGATTTCCTCCGAAATGTATTGAGCGGTACTGAACAGCAAAATTACAGTAACTTAGTAATCTTTTTTTACAAACAATTACACGTAATATTGAATATTACATGAATTGCTCATACACTGCCACCTGCCCCCTCCACGTTCGTTGACCTCTTGAGAGACACTTCCACGTTCTCTCCACATCCCTAAAAGCAATGTCTTCGGCGTCCGTAGAGTGATCATTCGGAGAAATCTGCAAGAATCAGGTACCCTGGCTCCAACAGCCCTCAGCAGCCATGGCCAGGATACTCGTCCTCCCTGTTGAGTTGCGCATCTCCATTTTGCAAGAGTTATCCGATATCGGGGATCTTTCCGCGGCAGTTTCTAGCCATCGTCTCCTGGCCGAGGCGCTGCACGAATCCCCTACCATTGTTGGCCATGTCCTGGGAAACGAAATTGATCCTCGACTTTGGCCGGTCGCGATGACAATATGGCAAATGCGGACACGTAGAAAAGATACTAAGGTTTACGACCAACGAGACGCGTCCTCGATCCTTGAGGAATGCCAAAGCACTACTCCCCAAGAAGCATGGAAATATCTGAACACTGTGGATCTGGCCGAGGCGCACAAATACTTCCACCAACTACATCGCGCTATTGACAAGTTTACGGCCGACTTCATATCTATCGCCCTTGACTTCCTAGCTGTCGACGGAGTGCTACACCACTCTCCGCCGGCACCGTCATCTACTGAAGTCTATCGTGTCCAACGCGCTTTCTATTTCTTTGAATTCTTCTGCTGTGTCTGGGATGACGGTCCGTATATCGCGGACTGGGATCGGCAGTGGTCAATGCCGTTAGACGTTGGATTTGACCCTTGGGTAAACGAGCAACTCGCCTCGGTGTATGAGTATTTATTGAGACAACTCACTATCGGTAACTATGCTTCTCTATAGCACAGGGATAAGAATGATGCTGACTAAATTCTGCACCTAAAGCTCTCAGTGACATAAATCGCATCTGCTGGGGTACCTGGAATACGGCCGATTTGGAACTACCAGAATATGCAAATGGCGAAAAGGCATTTTTGGTTAGTAGTGAATTCACAAATAAGGACGTCCACTGAACTTGATAGGTCTCTCGCGGTATTCATTACGTCTACAAGCTTACCAGAGCACCGACACGCGAAGCCCGACGCCGATTATTAGCTGCCGAATCGAAGGCGGGAAAGTATTTCATGCTTGACGTCGCTATTGCGGATCTTAACGACTATTACTACCATGATCGCTGGATTTCCCGAAGTCCCCTATTTGGTGAAGCCTACATGAGAAACTTACAAGACATATCGCAACACCCTGATGTTTCAACTTGTGAGCTCTTTCTGTCAGATTTGGGCAAGTCCGGGCCAGCAGAGATCTGGTGTCAGGCGCATCTATCCGATGATCATGCCCAGTGGGGCTTGGATTTTGTGCTGAGCAAGAATTTCGCTAATGAACGGAAAGCGGGCTATGTGATGTGGGACGCATGTCGTATTCTGGATTTCGAGAATTTTAAGCGGAAATAAGATGTCTCGAGCAGAAATCACTACTAGAAATTCGATTAAGCCCAATGGCGACTGTCATTCGCCAGAGGCTCCGCGCGATGAGTAGGGCGAACTTCATAGGAAAGGCTGGGAGGGGGAAGCCTTGTCGCCAGCGCAGCTCCCCCAAGCTGAAAGACCACGCAGCAGCGCGGCAAGAGATAAATGACCAACAGCACGCATCTCACGTGACACTATGGTCCGTGAGCCTCCATCGAACAGGGGGGCACGAAAGAGGAAGCACGATGGACGATGATCGACCTCTACGCTCGATTAGGATAATTCTCAGCAACGACTGGCACTCACATATCTGCGTCTTAATCCCAATTAAGAAAATATGAATGAAATCAATTTCTAGAATCCCTGGCCGAATGCCATTACCATGATGGAATTCATAATCGTATTTTGTAGGTTGATGATTAGGTGTTAATGTCATTCAAGGGTCGCTCAAGGACAGGTCTTTGAACGGTCCGCAGCAAGTTGAGGCCGCAGCTATCGATGGATTTTTGTAACTTGTCCTTACTGCGTACAAGACTTAAGTCACGTGCGTTATCCAGCGCCTGAGTACGGAGCACCCCAAACCAAAAAGCCAGTCTCATAAATATTTGGTAAATTTGAAACTGTAATCTTCCTGTAAAATATCGCTCAATACACACTAGGATGAACCTTATGTGGATGTCCATCAAATATATTTCGGGCGCTAGTGCCTTGGCGGTGGATCCCGAGAAAAGAAAAGCAGTCGTCAGGGAGGAAGCAGATTTCGCTGGTGACTGTAACCATGCGTTGCCCACCCTTTGTTTTCGGGACGCGTAACTTACAGCCTGTGTAATAATGTTTCGAAAGAACTTGTACTTCGTATGTCTGTCTCGTGAAATCCCCCCTGCATTCCCACTAACCGGATTTAGCATAGCGTGGCTTAATTTGGGGCTCGAGAAACAATTTCTTTGTGTAAATCATGGAAGGCAATTTCGAATCTAGCTGTACACGAACGAATACACACTCCTTTGATTCTCTGTTCCGAATGCCTTTCCTTCCTTGTCCGGTCTCTCAGAATGATCTCTAGGTGTGGTGGTGGTTTCTCTCCTATCTCGACCTGTCTGCTTGGTCAGACTGCCGTCGGGCACTTCCCTCTTCATTAAGAGAACTTCATGCTGCTTTTAAACCAATCTTCCAATTGAACTGTATTCACAGCTCCTGATACTGTTTTTGTAGCTTTTGCAACGATACCACAGTGTCAGTGATACTCTCAGTGAGAGTACGATAGGTTAAGCCGAGCTCCTTGCTTGCTCGCGAGTTGTCAAAACCATATAGCCCTCGTTTCGGATAACCCCCACTCTCAATGTTCTTTTCGGGGAGACGCTCCTCATATTCCGGACAAAACTCTCTGATCACTTCACAGATCTCCTTATTTGAGAAATATCCAGCGGTCAATAAGAATCTCTTATTTTCGCATTTTGAAGCATCCATCGCCTTTACATGGGCTAAGGCGGCGTCACGAACGTCAATCCAGAGGAAGAAGGAGGCCCCAGTATCTGGAATCTCAACTTTGTAGTCGCCGGCTATAAAATTTCGGACCCTCTGGTTCGACGTGTTGAGCTTATCAAGAGTAGGCGGTGGATGTACTACTGGGCCAAACATCAATGTAGGACACATTGTAACAAGCGAGAAGGTTGGCCTCCTTGTTTTCATAAACTCCCAAGCTGCTCGCTCGGCAAAAGTTTTGCTTGCTTGACCGACATATTTAGTTTAGTTTGAAGACAAGGGTCATGGAACGAACGACAAGCCTAATACTAACCTCTATATCCGTTGAGTGGATTCAAGTAAGCGTCATCCATGGTGAGCGGATTCCAATTATCTTCAGAATAGACATGCTCAGGGCAGCTGTTTTCTTTATAGCTATTGAGGATTGACGCAAAAGAAGACGTAATAATCTGCCACGATTTATAAGCGAACCATAGCACTATAGTCAAGCTTTTCATATTTGTTAGGATGTGGATTCGCATACCACTTTTTTCACCGAGGGTGCTTTGTCTTGAATCGTTTTCAATAACAGGGTGGTTCCGGTAATAGCTGGGTCCAAAAGTTCCCGCTTAATATCAGTTACTGCGTAGCGAAATGGAGACGCGGTATGTATGACCACATCAAACTGTGTGTCCCATTCGAAGCATTTATCAAAAGCACCGGGACTTGTAAACTCTTGGATGACAATAACCCTAAGCTGATTGGGAGATAGATCTGGATGAAGTTTATAGATCTGGTCGGCCTTCTCCTCATTGCGTGCGGTAGTCACTACTGAGCGTCTTTAAACTTGTCAGGTCTATGCATATGCCTTCTTGGGCCATCGAATTGCACATTACCCTTGCGCCAAGAGGAGATCGAGAATATGGCTGGCAAGGAATCCGTTGCCGCCTGCGCTTAATGGTCAGATCAAGCTCACACAGGGAACCTTTCGACTTCAAAAAAAGCATACCAGTAAGAAGGACTCCTGCCATATTATTTTCGTTCCACTTTCTTTGCTTTTTGTTTTCAGCGGATGACTGGGCGACGTATCTGGGCGATGGCCACGATTTGAAAGCTGGAAACTGAGGAAGTAGTCTGGCTTTTTATATCTCGAGGACTTGTGGGAGCCTTCCTTCAGAGTCAATTTAACTTTGCATTCATTAATCATCGGTGTAATATCAACACGAGCGTTGCTTTTAATGTGACCAACAACGTCCTCTCTCGCAAAACATTAGACCCGGAGCTGACAGCTCCGAGTCCCGACAAGACTTAGCCATACCAACCGGTTGGGCGGGTGGGGCCCCTAGGCAACGACCCTACCGAGCCAACCTGCGGGGGACGCCGCTAGGTCCTCCCCAAATCCACTATATCCTATTATTTAGCATTAGCCTCCCTGTGTCAAAATTGCAAGCACTGCTACTATATTCCGTATGCTGGCATGGTTAACAATCGACCACTCGCGACTTAGCTATATCAAGACACGGCCGATTACGAGCGCCCTATCAACCCCGACGACAATCTATACTCAAGAGCGGTGTGGATCACCCTGACATAGGTTAAGGCTGTGAGTGATGACCCTGTGACGGCCACCGATAGTCGCATAAACGCCCATGGGGCAGGACCGAGGGATGTCAACTTCCCCTCTCCTCCATTTCTTCCTGTGTTCAGTTTTCTAGTTGATAGCTACCTAGGGGGATCTATGTTGGATTGAGCTCCGCGTGACATTGTGCACAAATTTTGCACGCTGGTTAGCGCGAGGATTCATGCAGGAAGAAGGTGTTGACTACCACGAGACCTTCACTGGCACTGGCAGATATGAGACCTTACGCGCTCTGCTAGTAGCTATCCTGCTCCTACGCTTATACACCTCACATGTTGATTCCAACCTGGCATATTTGAATGCTGTGCTAAAGGAGCAAATCTACATGGATTACCCTATTTAACGCTAGGAAATCTCTTAGTCAAAAGAGGCTTCCATCGCTCTGCAGCAGATCCTTGTCTATACGCCCTCCGCGCCAATCATGGGGTGGCTTTTATCTTCATCTACGTCGATGATATGTTGATCGCTGCGTCATCTGACGATCTGCTAAATCGGTGCAAGCGCTACATCTCTGCGCAGTGGTCGATCACCGATCTTGGACCAGTTTCACACTACCTCGGTCTCAAAATTGAGCATGACCGAGTGCGCGGTAGGCTGCGCATCTCACAACGCGCCTATATTGAAAAGATTACCGCAGCTATCGCCGGCGACGTTTCCTGGCAAACACCAAGCACGCCCATAAGCGAAGAGCCTAGGGCGGCAGCAGAAGGCCATCAAGCGACGAAATCAGCGACCAAAACCTACCAATCAGCAGTGGGTTCGTTAATGCACGCCATGAATGTCAGCCGACCCGACCTCGCATAACCTCTAAGCGTCCTATCCCGTTTCCTTACGAATCCTACCGATGAGCACCTTCGAGAGGTCAAACGTGTAGCTGCATACCTTTCTCACTCAAGCGACCTCGCCATCGAATACCGAATCGATTCAAGTAATAACAGTGGAGAGGAAGACGGAGAGTTGAGGGGATATGTCGATGCTTCCTACGCAGGTTGCCCCGACACACGCCGCAGCCGATCTGGGTATATCTTCTACCTAGCTGGTGGTCAACCCCTTGAGATCTTATTTTTCGGGGCAAGTCAGAGTCATCGAAGGGTATATAAACAGACTCATGTCTCTCGATGTTCTGTTAACAATAACAAATATCTTGAGTTTTGTTATCTACAGCACTTGATTTCTTGTTGCGGCACAAATCAATACAAAAAGTTCTACGCCTGTTACCAGAATGAAGTTCCTCCATATTGCTATCCTGAGCTTTGCCTCTGTAGCCCTGGGATTGCCCAACACCAAGTTGGCGTCAAAAATCTTTTGCCTCTCCCGCTGCCAGTGACCCTCGGAAGAGTTCTTTTATGGAGTCACGAAAAAGGTGACTTTCTCCAAGGTGGAAAATAACCAGCAAAGTGAGAAATTGCGGAGTAAAATCCACCTCGACGTAAATGTCAGAGCAGGCATGTATGCCGGGAAGGAAGTTGATATTCATCCTGGGCGTGGATGGCCATTCCGCCGTTTGTCCTTTTTGATTCACGAGGTAAGTTGGACACATCACTCTACCGAAGTCTCTGCGTATTAATGTCTTGTTCTAACTACCTTATTGTCTAGATTGAGCATCCTGTATTTAGCCGCAAATATTCTGCCTTTCATGATAATTCAAACCTTCAACTGTATTGCCAACAGATTGGTGGTCCTTCAGCGCCTAAATCAATACAGATTACGTTCATTGATGGCGAACAGAAGCTCATACATCTCAATGAATTCCAGTACCGTGACATCGGAGGGGGGAACTCGAGAAGAAAGGGATGCCCAAAAATGCCGTGAAAAACGGCCCAAGGGGCGGTTTGACCATCTCTCCTCCAAGGAGATTTAGCTGGTGGATATGATTTATATCAGCTCTATCCGCTGAGTCATGGCGCCATCCGGCATCCGCTTGTTTTCCGTCTTTCTCGATCGGCTTTAAAGGGAGCACAAAGATCTATGCATGTGGAACCTGAGATCTTAGACAATAAGATCACATAGCAACCAGCAGGCAATGTTCTATTTATTTATTTATCTTTGTCATACGCTCCCCATATGACGGATGAGAAGGTGTGTATTCGCGTTGGGGATAGTGGACACTACTCCACACTCCCGATAAGCACAATCTCCATCAGAGTCGAAGTGCAATAATATCACTTTATTATTGTGCTTATGGTCCTCCAGGGCTGCTTACCTGGAACTAGGATACTAGTAAATTGCAACTATTGATATGAACTCAGCCATTAATTCAGGCTGTTCTTTCCAGAGATGATTTAATGAGACTGATCATACCGTCTACCTTGTATCATGAAGAAGAGAGTAAGAAGAATAGTTCTAATAAAATAGAGAATGTACAAACAAAAAGAACGCAGACAATAATCAACTGAACATTGTGCTTCCATTACTAGCTATTAGTGATACCAATTTCCCTCTTGGCCATTACACTACCCGCGTGCGGAACGCTATAGATGAGAAAATCAGCACTGTACTTTTGTCTAGCCCGGTTTGTCTAGATTTTCACCACAGTTGCATTGTAGTAATCCCTAACCAAGCCACAATCCTCGAGGGCTTCACCGTCTCCATAGTTCCATTTGGATCCTATAGCCATGCTTTCGATTCCTTCCAAGATTTTTTTCCTCTCCAATGTGAGCTATTTTGATTGCCTTTTTGGGTCAATCTCGCGAGATCCACTCCGGGTGTGACGGGTGATGTCAACCACCTGGCTAATACGAGGGAGATCTGCACGCTGAGCCATGCTCAACTTAATCCAATTCTCCACCACCCAATCGAGTAATTTCGTATTCGCAGTCGAAATAATCTTTCTGCACTGCCTGCCTAGGGGATTGAGGGCACTAGGACCAAGCATATATAAAGCGCGATGTCCGTTCAGTCGGGGGTGGTCCCTGGGACATAATTACTCTATATAGTGCGGAAGAAATCCACCATGATCAGCCCACTTTTACTTTCTCTTTTTGCAACTGCAGCCATTGGGGCTCCGCAGTCTGCCGATTGTCGATGTCGCCCTAGTGACAGCTGCTGGCCATCCGCAAAAGAATGGTCATCATTAAACAAGACCATCCATGGGAACCTGGTAGCAGTCCGTCCTGTGGCATCGGTTTGTCACCAGCCCGAGTACAATGCCGATGCATGCAGAGTCGTGACCGACAGTTGGACCGACTCTGTCTGGCGTTCCTCGCAACCAGGGGCTGGTCAATGGGAGAATTGGGAAGTCTGGCCGGAACGTAATCAGTCGTGTCATATCGAGTCGCCCCAAAATACCGCCTGCCAGCAAGGACGCATCTCGCTATATTCCGCCATAGCTCAGAGCGCGTCTGATATCCAACATACTGTCCGATTTGCTAGCACTCACAACCTGCGACTGGCTATCAAGAATACCGGGCATGACTTCTTGGGACGCTCGACGGCCCCCAAGTCGCTGCAGATTCTCACGCATAACATGAAGGACATCAAGATTGTGGACTGTTTTGTGCCCAAGGGATCGTCGAAGAGTGAGGGTCCCGCGATTACGATCGGTGCTGGTGTACAGCTTCCGGAGATATATGAAGCTGTAGCTCAGCACAATCGCACGGTCATCGGGGGCTCCTCGCACACTGTGGGTGCTGCTGGAGGGTATGTTCAGGGCGGTGGTCACTCGCCATTTGGTCATTAGAAGGGTCTGGCGTCGGACAATGCATTAGAATTCGAGGTGGTGACGGCCGACGTAAGTATCATTCATGAGAAATATTGCACAGATTTCTTTTTGATAACGTTTAAACTAAAGTTTTAACGTAGGGCAAGCTCGTCACTGCAAACTCCTATCAAAATAAAGACCTCTTCTGGGCTCTGTGAGGAGGTGGCGGTGGAACCTTCGGCGTGGTCACCAGCGTGACCCTGCGTACTTTTACGGAAGTACCAGTTGTCCTGTACAATTTCAACATTACTACTGCTGGGGGTGATCCTCGCTTCTGGGATGCATTCGCCGAATGGCACGCAGCACTCCCATCCCTCAACGACGGTGGAGGTTCCGGCTATTATTTCGGTCTCCCGAATAATCCCATCAGTGCGAGTATCAGCGTGTCAACCATTATGTCCCTCATGATGTTCCCTGAAAAGAGCGACGTCGCCCAAATCGACTCCTTATATCAACCGCTCGCCGCAAAGCTACGACAGATCGGCGGCATCCAGATCGCAAATGCATCCATTCCCTTCCCAACGATGAATTCCACCATGTTCACTATGTTCATTGGTGGCCGATCTGATAGCACAGGAGGCATTGCCATGCTGGCATCCCGTCTATATTCCAAAGATCTCCTGACCTCTCAAGATGGCCCCGGACGTCTGGCCAACGCCTTCAAGAGCATCAAGTGGAATCCCTTCACCGAATTCATCGGTCATGTTGTGGCTGGTGGTGCTGTCGCTGCCAACGCTGACAAGGTTGACAGTGCTGTCAACCCGGCCTGGCGCAAGACCATATCGCATCTGGTCTTCTCCCGATCGTGGGCGGCTACTGCCACTCTGGCAGAGCTGACGGCGGTCATCAAAAACATGACTGATGTGGAGATCCCCATTCTGCGGGCTGTCGAGGGCGAAGATCAGATGGGTGCGTATATGAATGAGGCTAATGGGTATGAACCTGGCTTCCAGGCTGCATTCTGGGTTGCCAATTATCCTCGTCTGTACAGAATTAAGCAGAAGTGGGACCCTAAAGGTCTGTTCATTTCTCGGAAGGGTGTTGGTAGTGAGGACTGGGATGATGCGGGTTTGTGTCGTATTTGAGGTTAGCTTGATAGAGCTGTTGGATGGGTTACTATGGTGGCATAGATTGTTCCAAGACCTAGGCTGGACAAGTAAGCGATCATTTTCTGTTGTGTAATTATGTATTTAGAAATCTCATTAGTGAATATTCTGTTGCTTGACATCATTTTAACACGCCTCTAACGCCCACAGTCCCAGTATCCCAAGCTAATTCAAGCCCATTATCCGCCGGAAACTCGGGAGCCCCGTCCTGGTGATCAATTTGGCTGCTTGTACTGCTATTGACGGACAACCGAGTCTCGTGCCGCCCAGTGCAACAGTTGTGTCTGGGGTGCGCTGCATTGAGTGCGATGTGACCGTAATTGTCGTGGCAGAATTGTTTGCGGCTTGCTCGTTGATGTGTTCCAGGTCGGTGTTTACTTACGGCCCTTTGGACGTAGTTACCACAAGCTGGTGCATCTCTGACGCGTCGCTCAAGGTAAGAGTCTGCTGGGATACAAGGTAAGCTGTGTAGTTTGCAAATTATGTCGCACTTTGTTGGGTATGTTCTCAGCTGTTGGTGGTTTTGTTGTTGCCGTGATGAGACTCGTTCAGTTGGAAAAGTTGCTTGACCATGTCCTCCTGTTCGTCTCGGCCGTCGCGCGTACTCATCAAACTTCAGTAGCCGTAAACAGTTGTCGGGTAAGAAAATGGGGTCGCCAGGTCCGTTTCCTATCGTGGGGCGTGTTTGGAAGGGGCGTCACTTCCTCCGGTCACTGGGGCTGTAATATTTGGTGTTTCGGGAGGTTCAGAGATCTGATTTTCGACATGTTGAAGTTGGTAGACGAGAGAGACGGATGGCGTTTGTGGTGACTGCCTTCGTGATGACGACGCGATAGGTCCCTAAATCGGGAGCCTAGTCATCCCTCACGCGAGAGTCAACGGTCTTCGAAGTTGGCGATGATAGCGCGATAAGGCCTGGCACAACCTTAGCTACCCCTTGTCGTCGTCGTCGACCGACAGGGGAGGGCAGAAGACGTGTCTCGGGCGCACACCTGCACCTCGACGCGTCTCGCTGCTCACGGCTTTGGGCAGGACTTAGCTTCCTCCGTCAGCAGTCCGACAAACCTGCTGATTGAGTACTAATCCCCAGCACCACGGAGAGGTGCCTGCCCATTGCTGGGGGATGATGGTGTGTATTCCCTAGATGGACTACGGGTTTTGTGCATTTCTACTGATCCTTTGTGGGTCTCTCGAAAATTTTCATACCATCGTAGCCAAAGATCTTTCAGGGTGCCGACGTCATGCCATGTTCGCCATATTGAGTGGGTACAATTAGGAACCTTACCGTATATGCCCAAAGGATTGTTCCTGGGAGCGTCAAGGTGCTCCAAGGAATACCTCAGGGCGTTGATTGATTGATTGATTGATTCATAGACTGTCCCAGCCGCCCTATTTTAGCAGCTATGCAGCGTGTGACTATAAGTACAGATGTCCCCGCCCTCGCTTTCAGAAAACAAGTCGTTCCTGGCACGAATGACTTCTCCGTCCGCTCCAGTAAGTTACATCCCCCCTCGTAGTCTTGGTGTCCGTTCTGTTTCTATGTACCTGTCGGGCCTCTGCTGGCCCTGCTCTACTTATATATACCAAAGATCACTCGTCTTCGCTATGTGCATTTGAGTACTGTGGACGGCACTGCTTGGAATTGCCCTAGCAGTCCAGTGCTCAAGGTCATCTTGGCTGCTTGTACTGCCATTGGCGGGCTACAGAGAATGCGCTTGATGTCAATGCATGGAGACTTGCCTGCCCACATTCGATGTCGTTCTTCCACCCAGTTCCGGCATTTGAGCAGGATGTGTCGTACCGTCTGCGGCCCATGGGCACACTGACACTGGTCTGTATCGGCCTTGTTGATGGCGTGGAGGTAGGCCCGTAGGCCAATCTTGCCTGTTCGTATCTGTGTGATTGCCGAGCTAATTGCTCTATGCGCCCCGACGTGTGTATCGAGGATCGCTTTCCTTGGTCGTACTCCGAGCTTAAAGAGTTCTCTGCCGTGTTTGTATTTCTCTTAAGCCTATTCCTACTCGTTTCTCATCGCTCGGCGAATAGTAGACTTGGCGGTTGCTATGAGTGTTCGTAGAGAGTCTGGTTCTGGTCGCGGTTCGGCGTTCGTTCGCTCTTGCGTGCGGATCAGCCCCGGCGGCCTCTTTCGTAGCTTGATCAGCGGCCTCGTTACTAGGCACTCCAACGCGTGCCGGGATCCATCGAAACTACACCTCCTATCCTTGGCTTCGGGCCACGTCAAGCCCTCGTACCGCCTCGACCAGGATGTACTGTCTAGACGGGTGCTTAGGGTTCCGGATGGCTTAGATGGCGGCTTGGTTGTCGGTGAATATAACGGCGCGCTTATTCGGGGGAACACACGTTGGCGGTGTGTCGAGTATTATCTGTAGTGCCAGGACTAATCCTCTGAGCTCTGCCGCGTATACCGTTAAAGTGCATGATGTGCCTATGTACTGAGTCCGCTTCACATAGAGTCCGTTGACCTGCTGCGCAGGTGTTATAGCAGCTGCTCCGACATAGCCGCTAATGCCGCTTCCGTCGGTGTAGATGCGTAATGTTTCTGGCTCCGTGGTGTCGTGTTCCTTGATCGCTTCCTCCGCAGATTCGTTGATGTGGACGGGTGGTGGGATCCACTAGGGTGGCACTACGTGCGGTATGCGTTTCTCTAACCGTTCGAGCCGCACGCCATGTTTACTCTCTAATTTGCTCGAGAAACGGTAGAGGGGGCTCTGTTCGCTGCGTCCTTAGGCGGGCGTCCTGGGTATACCCCTTCCGGTCTCGGTTGTGGCTATATCGTCGTCAAGCGGTGTTGTTCTAATACGCATTGTGGCTTCTAACCCGGTTTGCTCGAGTTGCTGTTGCACTAGAAGTGGATGATATTCGACGTCCATTGCTGCACCGGCCGTTGTACGAAAGGCTCCTGTAATGATCTGAGCTGCACGTCTCTGGATCCTCTAGATAGTACTTATCATAGCGCCTCCTCTGCTTACGAATACCGATATAAGACTTTACGGATAAATCAGAAATATAATTATAACCACAAAACCCTACGCGGCCGTGGCTATAATCATAGAGCACGTTAGATCTAGACACGAGCGTATAGACCGAGTGGTATTATCCCCGATCAACAACCACGCCGAGCGAGGGAAACCCTTATTCAAAACCTTAACGATCACTTTAATATAGGTATATACGTCAGTCTTTATAAATTAGCTAGAGTCAATCTCTATAACTCATAGTTTGCTAAGGGTACTATATAGGGCTAGCATAACAAAGGCACCTAGATTAAAGATAAAAGAACCCTAGTAACTATAGAACCAAGGTCAGTTTGTTAATCCCACTAGGTCACTAAGACTTGTATTACGCACGTTTAGCGGCTTAAGTGCCCCCAAGCTAGCCGGGAATGATCTTCATGGCTACAGACTCGCTGCCATCAGAAATTTGCGTCGAGGCTGATAGCCTCTTTGCCGAAGTTATTTGTCTTTCCAATGTTCGAGACGACGGTGAAAACCAGGGCTGGATACACCTGAATTCAAACCTTGCGAGTAGCCATCATGGGTGATAGCGTATGGTGAAAATACCTGAGATTTTGGTCAAACAATGGGCGAAGAAAGAAGCTCTTTTTGCTCATCACTTGAAAGATGGACATTTCTCTCAAGAGACCTTGGCGACCGAATCAGTCGACTGAGGGCTAACTGATGAAACGCAGAGGGGAGTATCTCGACAGACATGGCACAAGTGTTGAGTTTGCAGAATGTAAGAGGCAAGGGAGGAAGATGACAGAAATGTGAGCCAAAGGCTAACTAAAAGACGTGTTGCACTGAGCTTTTGTAAAAATTAAAGCGAAATTTTCTTTCTACGTCACAATTTTGGCCTCAGACTCCTTGGAGTACTGCGAGTGGCATCAATGGACAATGAGCAGACCAGATCGAATTGGTACCAGCATAGCTTTGGTCACTAGAGGTAGCCTACAAGCCCTCGTTGGCTGTCTTCTGAATCAAAATGCCATCCAAGTAACGAGTCAACTCATCAACCTCTTGCAGCTCACCAGCCCATCCGATATATTGATCAGGACGAACAACCACCATGGCGCCTAGCAATCGGTCCACTCCCCATCGCTCATAGCCCTTTCCATCACAATCCCTATCCCAGATACAAGCATCATCGCACCAAACTTTGTCGTATTTCCACCCTTGGACAGGATCAAATGGGCGCAGGATCTCTGGGAAATCAAAAAATTCCACTTCAGTCCACGGCGCGCTGTGGATGGCTATCACGTCAATAACGCAATCGAAACACCCTACAATCGGAGCATAACGGTCAAGTACCGCCCCTTGTTTCCCATCGCTTTTGGAGAGATGTTGTGTCAAGACCAAAAGCCGGTCCTTCTGGGTTGCTGTTCGGACATCACCCGCCAAGATTACCACCCGGAATCGTCCATCGCTTTCCAGAAGTCTTGTTGTCCATCTGAGGTTACCATCTGCTTGCATGCGCAGCTTAACCGGAGGAAAACGCTCGCCAGGGATCATATGCCGAGCTGCAGGAGGACCCTCATCATTCTCAAGCTTCCACACGAGCTCACTAGTGCCATAGAATGAATTTCTTCCCTCCGCAAAGTCTTCAAACAGTTCGACGACTTTGATCATGTTGCGGGTTTTGCTCTCTCCGTCGCCGTCGGTGAACAGCCCGGACCAATGTCGGTCAAAATCGAGCAGCATCTCGGCCAGACGGTGTCTCTCCGCGTCGTAAGTACCCAGAATTGATGCCTGGGCAGCACCTGCCGCTACCAGGGCCACTTTCCAGCCGATATTGAAGCCGTCTTGCATGCTCATGTTCATTCCCAGGCCCACTTTTGGCGAATGAGTATGTACTGCATCTCCAGCGAGAAATATTCTGCTTCCTTTGGAGAAAGTTGGTGCAATGCGTTGCCCAATCTGGTATGCGGTCCACCAGTCGCATATCTGGAAATCGAATGTATACGGAGCAAATATTGCTTGTACTCGCCCCTTGATCATCTCCAATGTAATTTTTGAGCGATCAAAACGGCCTTCACTGGCGGCGCTTGCTTCGATTGTCTGTACTGGAACGTATAAACGGACCATGTTTCGTTCCCGGGGAATGACGAGGATGGTACCCGACGCATGGGTCACAGTTCCTAGGCGACGGATATCCGCTAATGCCTTCAAGTCAGCCAGACGAGTTCGAGTCGCTTACATTCTTTACGGCGCGGTGAAACTTACGAAAGTTGCTAATGGGAACTACATCAATCACACCCCTAGGGGAGACAATTTAGCGCAAAACCTCACGACCCAAGAAATTTGAAGCTCATGCCATCAAGCATGTCTGACTTACCAAATGTGATCTGTAGTTGACCCTTCTAAAGGGATGTTCACCTGCTTCCTCGTCCAGCTGTGTGCCCCGTCGCAGCCAATGAGATATTTGGCTTTGATGATCTCCGTCTTGGTTTCTTTTGCTTTGCTCTTTGCAATCAGTTCGATCCAGTCGTCTGGTAGTAGATTACCTGGAGCCACTCCACTCGCCACTGCGCTCTGGTTTGGCCCTGCCATATGGAGACCTGGAGGGTTGGCTTCGTCACTCAGAGTTCGTAGCTTAACGGTAATTGGATAGCCCATTGGATCGTCGTCCACTTCATTGTGATATTCAAACGTCTCTGCAATCACACCTCGCTCAACCTGAAGGTCAGAATGTTCTTGTATACTGTCTAGTAAGAATCGCTCAATGCGGCCCTGATTCAGTAGCATATTGCGGAAGGGTGACTCGTTGACTTTGGAGCTGCAGTGTGGACCCTGTCGAATGAGATTGCCCTTCCCATCAGGGACCTGTTGCACTCGCTGTCAGCTCCTGCTCTTTCATGCGGAGGAGGCTATCAAACCCAAAAGTTAGCTTCAACAGCTACATGACCCTCCTGGTGGACACGATGCTGGAATCCTATACTGTCAAAAAGCTCCAGAGTCCTTGAGCGTAAACCATCAGCTTGGCCTGTGAACACTTTAGTCCCCCGCTTGTCCACTATGCGCGCGTTGATACCACAGCGGGCCATCCAGTACGCTGCCATCAGACCTGATGGCCCTGCTCCAATGATGAGCCTGAGTAGTATATTAGGTTCTCTGTCAGAAATATGTAATCAGATCAATTTCTTACACATCTGTCTTTGATTCGACGTTGTCGTTTGCTGGCTCCATGGTTCCCGTCATTCCTATGATACTTGGATTCCGAAGGAGTTGGCGAAGCTTTCTTGGCGTACAATAAAGCCGTCACCGTGAAAGGCCGAGGCCTTTTATAGATTAGATAGGCTTTTATCCCTCAATGAGGGCAGCCTTGAGCGTTAGAAAACACTGCTCCGTAGATTCAAGTTCTGCGACAACTGCTCATACGTGGCAAAGTCTGCAGGCTGACTCACCTTACACTACCTAGCTGCTGTGTCTTTCCGGTAACCTGGCGTAATTCCTGATTGGATCATAGGACTGGAAATCTCTGAGACTTGTGTAGCGATCAGTTCAAGACAGGGTGCAAATGTTTACTGGCACCGAGTTGTAGTCCTGGGAATAATGACAAGTTAACCATCAGATAAACCTCACGAGTAAAGACAACATTGAACTAAAAGAACCAATTGATACAAATTTGACCAGGACAGCGCCTACGTTTTAGCAATCTTAATGACGCGGGTACGTGTAACAACCTTCTGATTTCGGAATTGTTCAAGCCGTCTCAACGAATATACATACACATACGGTCGTCAAGATCTGCACATAAGACGCAGCTCAGAAAATGACACACCAGGGGACCGCTGTCTCATATAGATAAGCAGAGTGTTGGTTGATTTTAATTTTCGACTCTGAGAGAATGCTGAGTCAAGGCTGACCGAGCCCGTGAAACAGCTTTCGCTACTGAAACAGATACTTGATATTGTGCGACTACGGCTTTCCTTCCTTACAGGTTAGTCAGAAAATCCCTTACGATGGAAATCATTTGATGGATTTACGCAGCAACATTGAATGTCATGTACTGCGTCGATTCATAGAGACCCATCATGATTCATAGGATCTTTCCGATCCCGAGTACGCCGCGGACAACAGTTCGCGTGGACATTACGATAATCCTTACTAGGCAGCCTTTAAATCGGCAGAAGTCTCTACCTTACACAGCTGGCTCAAAGCCGGATAAAGTATAGCTTCACACAAAACCCGGTATTATTCTCTTGGAGTACGCATTTTGTGGTAAAGAAGTGATGCAAAATGATACTAACTCATTGATAAATCCCAGTTGGGAACAAACAAAACATATAAATGAAAATTTCACGAACGCAAATAGTGCGAATGGAACATGTCGCGTTGACCCGATGGAGACAAACATCGGGTACATACAACTGGGCACCACTCCCAGTGGAAAAGTCTCGGCTTCGACTAGGAAGTTTGAAGATTTGCAAGAATCGGTCGTTTAAGATTCTTGGGTTGCGTTTGTGAATAGCTGGGTGGAATTCATGTCCTCCAGCCTCACATCCACTTTCATCGTCACCAGGCAGTATACTCGGCAATCGTATCGGCCATTTTGTTCGCCATCTTGTCAGCTACCCCGTTGGCGATCCAGGATCTGGCGACGAAAGACAATCGGGCGTTGACGAGGTCAGGCAGCCAGGGCCGGTTTTCTGGAAATTGATGAGTACAAGCACATTCATTCCGTGAAAATCAGTCTATGTACGCTACTTTAATTTAGTCTACAGCTCGGTAATTCCACCAGGACTAGCACGGGTGGTCGTTGGAGTAGATAAGAGTGACTAATAATGGTGGGGGTAACTAACTAACTAACTAGTATTGTTCAGGCCTCCCATCACGTGCTTGCTCTGTTGATACATGGCCGCCTGCCTGGAGCCCACTTGTCATCTTCCTGCCAGACTTCCTCGTTGAGCACTGTTGATCCGAGACTACTCCACGAACATGGCTATCGGCAGCTGTAAATGCGGCAATGTCCGAGTTGAATTGAAAGGGCAACCTCTAAAAGCGGTAAGTAGCGCACCCTATCCATTAGTCCGGGATCAAGTCTAATCTTGTTTTTGTCTAGGGACTGTGCCACTGTCTCGATTGTCGCAAGCTCACCGGGGGACTGTTTTCCTACAGCTTTGTCGTCAAAACTGCAGAACTAGAGATCTCCGGGAATCCGAAAGCAGTAGCCAAGACAGCCGATAGCGGAAATGACATCAGGAACTATTTCTGTCCTGACTGTGGTCTGTATCAATCGACTTCGTCTGAGAAATCAACCAACCTCTGACAAAATTGAGTAGGCACGCCGCTGTTTGGACGGAAGATCAAACCGGACGGCGAACTTGATGTGATTTCAATCGTGCGGGCTGGCATATTTGATGACACATTCTTGAAAGAACATAAGCCCGAAGCGGAATTATATACTGATAGACGATTGGATTGGTTAAATCCCATCGAGGGTGCTGCTCAAGTTAACCGCATGTTGCCGCTGTCATAACCTTAGAGTCAAGCTTGACTCTTCAAGGCCTGTTGTGGGGTTCTAAACGCGGGCTTGGGATATGGTTCTTGATGTTAGCTGAGAGTTGGGAGGATACTGGATGGGGGCGCAAAGGAAGCGTGTGTATTATTGTGGTGTTGTCAGTATCTGTAGTACAGAATAATACCACAAGCCAACGTTTTCTTCCTCATGACGCTCAAAGACTTAACTAACTGGTTACAACTACGGAGTAAACTGTATGTCTTGGCATAATCTTCAATGACGATTTAAGATCCTCGAATCACGATAAGCGTACCTGATAAGCTCCACCTCGAATCCCGTGGTTCACTTATCATCACGTGAGGCTGGCTCCCTGAACGTGGGGAGGACCAACGGGACTCGAGTGATCCTCATCAACCACCGAGTCCAAGGGGGCTCACAAACCATGCGCGAACTGCCATGGCGGCCAGACTGGAACGGTTTCTGAATTCGAGCTCCCTATTCTTTCTCTTCCTTGTCTGCTTCTGCCTCATCCTCCTCACCCCGGCCGACGCCATCTACCAATGCTGGGTGACCAACCGACTCACGGACATCTTCTTCATCGCCGGTGCCTACGTCATCACCTTTATTCTTGCAATCCTCATCTATGCCACCAGACTCTACACGAATCGCACCGCATTGGCAGGGATTCCAAAGGCGTGGATCCCCATTGAGAAAGAAGATGTCAACAAGAGCGTCAGGCGCATGGTGATGGTGGGACTTGCCCGCAGCGCAGTCATTTCGTACCAAGCTCGTCCGCGCGATACGTCAGACGAAGGGGATAGGTTTTTGAACCACAAAGATCTTCTGGTCGATCGCGACCACCCGCCATGGGGCTCTGTCGAGCATCCCGGCTGGTCATCACCCGCGTCTCCTGATCTTCCCAATCTCCCATACCGCACAGTCATCCAGGAACTTCCGAATTTGATTGAAGCCAAGGCCGTATCGATAGCTCCTGCCGACGAGGCATTCTCAAATGCAGCAGACCCATTCCCAGATACACGTGTGGTGGAGGCTTTGCAGAGACCCGCTTCAATGGGTCTCAGACAATACATTCGGCATCTCACAAATCTGGGCGTCATCACCTCCCCAGATCTTGGCGTGGATTTTCTGGCGCTTTACGAACGCGCGCGCTTCTCATCACACCAGCTCCACGAGGCGGAATTTCGAGATCTCATGCATTTGTTCGCTGAGATCTTGAGAGGCATCACATCGCTGGCTCCGCCCGTTCTCGAGGGGATTCGCGACAGCGCAAGTTATCATCGCGCAGATACCGAGTCGGTCATTGGACCTTCGGACGAAGAGGGTGAAACAGATACTGTGGATCATTTTGGATATGGAGGAACATTAACACCAATGCGGAGTAATAGTCTTCGTCCATCTAATGCGTCTACTTGGGAGACCCAGTCGGGCTACGATACAGCGCCTGCAGCGCAGAGCCCAGATTCCAGGCTGTCGGTCGGTCGTGGCTCATCTCGGGGACCACCAGTGATGCGCACTCCGTCGACCCAATCTCTGTGGCGTGTGCAATCTGGTCAATCTGGTAGCTCTGGCGGCAGTGTGATCCGCCTGGCGCCAACACAGAATCCATCAGATTTGCCGTATACCATTCTGCGCAGGCCATAGAAGCTAACCGGCCGTCTGTCACGTAAACCCTTGAAGGCGATCATGTACATTATTAATACCAGACTATTCAATGGCACACTTTTGATGAGCAAATTCAGGCGGAACACGTCACAGTAATTCACTCCCGAGTACTCTACTGATCAAGAAACAAATCTACCAGGAAAGCCATGGATTGTCCGTTTCGAAATCGGAACAAACTATATGTGGGACTATCCAAATCATCACCGAAAAAACTCCAACGCAGGAGAGCGAAAATAAGTACCAGAGACCAAAATTATGGTAAACATCAAACTGCAGCGCCATCCACTTCGCATCGGGGTTGTCTAGAATGAAAGAAACAAAAAGAAGAAAAGACAGGAAATGCTCGCTCTGTGTGTGTGTGTAGTATCATCTGATATGTGGTTGTCTTGAACCCCCGAGTATAACGTTGGACAGCTCCAAATCAATTCGTTCGTGTATGTCGCGGTGATCATCAATCGTCGAGACAGATGAGTCACAAAAAGAACCTATGAGTATATGTATGCGAGCAGGGGAATGCATGGTGATTGACATCGCAGTTGGGGCCAAGCCCCATGGGGATTGGATTCATCTAAGCGTCCCTCAAGAACCCAGGATCTTCACGGCGAGGCTGGTTCACTCGTGTGTTGGGATTGGCTCGGTTACAGGATCCCGACAACCGAACCAGCCCAAATCATGGCAAGTTGCCGATGTCGTCGATGAGATCGGCGTTGTGATGGTGGGCGCCGGCGTGACCATGTTACTGGAAGTCGTGGAATCGTGGCAACCAAACCAACCGGGTGTCTTGCATGAAGATGTCGTGGAAGTTGTGGAAGTTGAGGTGGACGTTGCAGAAGCGCCTGTGGTGGTGGCTGTCGGATCCTTGCAGCCGAACCAACCAGGCGTCTTGCAAGTCGACGTCGTCGTGGTCGTGGTACTTGTCGTAGTAGTAGTGGTGGTCGTCGTCGACTCGTCAAGGCAGCCCCACCAGCCCGGAGTTTTGCATGTAGAGGTCCTGGTGAGGGTTGGAGAGGCCTTGGTCGTAGTAGTAGTCGTCGTGATCTCGGAGCCATTGCTCTTGAAGAACTTCCAAAGTACACAATCGTAGCATTCTTCCTCTGGTGCACAGGGTGGCACATCATCGTAAACCTTGATCACGTCCGAGATGACATTCCTGATCTTATGCGTTCCAAGACCCACGCGCCAGCCTTTGTCTCCCACTGTGTCATATGTACACATTTGACCAGTGTGGCAGGCGGATTCCATCGCGTAGCCGCCCCATGTGCACAGGGAGTTGATGCCGTTGCAAGTTCCCATGTACACCGGATCTGCCGTGTGGCCGAAGTGGTATGCTCCGGTTGAACCCCGCTTTTGTGGAAGTCGGGGGTCATGGCCTGGTGGACTGGGAATTCCGAGTCGAGCTGCGGGCAATGCTTCCGGGATCGCTTCAAAAGTGACTGTTGGGAGGCCAAAAGTCAAGCCGAGAAGACTGGCCATGGCACCGCCCAGGGAATGTCCAGTCAGCCAGACGTGTGCGTTGGGGTAGATCTCCGTGACGTTGGAGTAGAGATCGATGGCAGCCCTGTAATATTTGTTCTCGTCACCCATCGCCTCCTGGATGCAAGTCAAGTTGGCGGTAAAAGTGTCGCTCTGGCAGTCACAGACCTGCCTCCATAGGTATGAGCCCCCCTGACCACAGCAGCAACTGAAGAACAAGTTATCATTGGTCTTGTCATTCGTGGTGGTACCTGCTCCATCAAAGAGAGCCGGGGAAGTGCCCTTCAATGAAACAACAATGGTACTGTTGGTCTTGTCGGCATAGATGTGGCCTCGAAGGCCGTCCCTCTGCCATCCAAAGCTGTTGGAGTAGTTGAATCTGCCATGGATGGTTTGCCAGTCCTCCGTACCGGGTTCCTCAATGTAATCATTTGCCGTCATTTGCGCAAAGGTCAATACCGTCTTCTTGTCCGTAACATTCGGGCCCGCAAGTGTGTCCATCACCCAATCCGCCGGCGATGACGTTGTTGCGACGCCTGAGGATCGGGCAGCGGACAAGTGCGCTTCGATGACAGATAGCCGTCGGTCTGCTAGACGTTGTATCGTGATGGGAGATGATGAGGCTATCAAGGGGCCTTCGCTGGTAATAGGTCCATGTTCGGTGCCATCCTCTGACAATGTCCACAAGCGGGTGTTGGGGTGGACATCGAGTCTGGCGTGTAGCTCGGGATGTTGGTACGCTCCTCGGTGGAATATATGGCGGAGAGACTAGAGCGAGTGAGCCATAACCCTGGATAAGTAGTGTATGCCCGGCACTTACAAACTCGTATGGTTCGGATGGCAACTCCGGTTCATCCAAGGGTGTGGGTGGCGGGATGATGGGGAGCTGGACCGCAGGCGTGTTGTCATGAGCCGCAGCGGCCTTTGGTAGTAAGACAGCCGAAAACAACAACGCCCAAAGGCTTGACATGTCTCTTAGTCGGGCTCGAGAGCGCTGAAAACGAGCCATGGTGATAGATGATGATGCAGGGAAGCCGAGGATGGAGATGGGCTATCGCTGCTGGGCTTATCGCCCAGAGTGACGCACTGCGGAGTGAGCCGCACGTGATTTGACCCCGTGATGGCCCATGCCGATCAATCGATAAGCGATAAAAGATAAGCTGATAAGAGCCCTTTCGAGAGACTACTGTACCGCATCACTACGTGTGAATCAACCATATGGCCACCCTCTACCGGTGATTTTAATGGACATACCTTTATGGCTAGCTTAGAATAAAACTACCACTCAAGTAGTGTAATCTTCATCACTGAGAATTTGCGCACTGAATCTCAAACGGACAAACTGCGACGGCCTCATGTTGACTGCCCCACTATGGCACGTGGTACAGTAAAATTCCCGCGGAGAAGTGCGAAGCCCAAGTACAGCAACTATTGCCGTGTTTTTTTGTGTCAGAAGCTTGCTTGGCCCCTGTTCATCCAGATCACCAATTTTGATGAGCGATTTGGAAGAAACGTGCGCCTCTCTGCGAGCGCAAATCGCAGCCACCGAGACACAGCTTGCGGGGCTCAAACGGGAGCTCGCCAGGGCTCAGGAAGCTGCCGTGGCAAAGTCGAATAACGCAAAGGTCTCGGACAGCAATGAACATGCTCAGCCAACACCGGAGTCTCGATGGCCCTTGCTACAAGAGGAATATAAGAGATATGGCAGGCAGATGATTGTGTCGCAAGTCGGGCTGGAGGGTGAGTCTTGCCCCAGTGGAAATGGGCTTTTGCAGCAAAGAGGATCATCGACGGCTAACGGCTTGAGCAGGTCAACTGAAGCTGCGCGCGGCTAAGGTGCTTCTGGTAGGGGCTGGTGGTTTGGGATGCCCTGCTGCACAGTATCTTGCTGGTGCGGGTGTCGGTACTCTCGGCCTGATTGACGGAGACACTGTCGAGGTCTCGAATCTACATCGTCAGGTCCTCCACCGTAGCCGCAATGTCGGCAAGTACAAGGTGGACAGTGCCATTGAGACTTTGCGAGAGTGAGTCTCAATCTCGGGAACTTCATGGCAATCAAGCTTAGCCCTAACTCGAGTGCTCCCGAACAGGCTGAATCCTCACCCGACCTACATTGCTCACCGAACACACCTCACGCCTGGTGAAGCGCCTACGATCTTTGCTCAATATGACCTCATTCTCGATTGTACGGATAATCCTGCGACACGGTACCTGATCTCCGACACTGCAGTGCTCTTGGGGAAACCATTGGTATCTGCATCCGCCCTTCGCACCGAAGGACAGTTGATGGTGTTGAACAATCCTCCGCGGCCACCTGGGGATAAAGAAGGAGGGCCTTGCTATCGCTGTGTGTTTCCAAAGCCCCCTCCCGCCGATAGTGTGGTTAGCTGTGCGGATGGTGGTATCTTGGGGCCCGTGGTTGGAACCATGGGTGTGTTACAGGCACTCGAAGCGATCAAGATCATCACTGCTGGGTCTGGCCAAGGACATGACACTGGGGCGACTGTGCGAGAATCTCCGCTACTGCACATCTTCTCGGCGTATTCCAATCCCCTATTCCGCACGATCCGCATCCGTTCCCGCCGGACCAATTGCTCAGTTTGCTCTGCGGATGCCACGGTCACATTAGATACGATCACCTCTGGGTCTACTGACTATGTGTTCTTCTGCGGTTCGGCTCATCCACCCTCACTCCTCGCTCCCGACGAGCGCATCTCTGCGCGAGAGTATCACGACAAGTATCCACCTTCTGTTCTCAGACCCCAAGGTCCCTCTAACCAGGCGTCCACTTCAAGAGGTCACACCATTATTGACGTACGAGACAAGGTCCAGTTCGGGATCTGCAGTCTGGAAGAGAGTATCAATATTCCCATCTCGAACATTCTGGCCTCGCCATCAATGGAGGAAACTCCCTCGTGGGTTCCAGCCGAGCTGGCCGCCTCAGAGTACAATGACCCAATCTACGTTGTCTGTCGACTTGGCAACGACTCTCAACTTGCGGTCCAGAGAATGAAGGATCTGGGACTGGACCGCCATGGGCAAAGATACATTGGTGATATCCGAGGTGGACTCCGCGCTTGGCGAGAGCAAGTGGACCACGAATGGCCAGAATACTAATGATACATGGTCTGAAAAAGAATCTTGCGGAAAAGTATATCCACGATGGAGATAGATGTCGTCTCCATCTTGGGTTTGGGAATTACTCGATCCAGTTCGGTCAAAAGGCTAAATTTGTCGGCTTTTGCATAGTTTGAAAGATGTTCCATACAAAGGGGTATTATTGTCAATCGGATCATAATGAATTTCTATCTGGAAAGAAAAGCCCGAAAACCTGGAAACAGATAATCCCCTGATGAGGTGCCAAAATGTGCAAAATCAAAAGAGCTCAACGCAAAGAAAATTCGTGTCATTAAAGTGGCCCCTTACTGGGCGTTGTTCTGAGGCGCAGCTGGCGCGGGGCCTTCCGGGGTGACATATGCCTAGGCGAACCATTCGCATTAGCGCCAGGACCTTTGTGTCGTGGGGGCAATCAGCCAATCTCATGTGGAACGTACCTTGCTGAGACCACCATCCACCACGAAATCAGTGCCGTTGACAAAGCTGCTCTCGTCACTCGCCAGGAACACCACAGCGTGTGCCTGCTCGATGGCCTCGCCGAAGCGGCCGCTGGGGAAGTGCACCTCACGGCGGAAGCGCTTGGCATGGTCATCGCCGAGCCAGTCCTGCAGGAGGGGAGTGCTAACAGAATCGTTAGTGAACGCGATCATGGTCAGGAAATGGGGAAATTGTCTTACTTGAGGGGACCCGGGCAGAGTGAGTTGAAGCGGAAGCCCTCGCGGGCATGAACGATGGCCAGCTCGCGAGTCATGGCCAGAACAGCACCCTTGCTGGCAGTATATGCCAGCTGGGGGGTAGCAGCACCCATCAAGGCCACAAAGCTAGCCGTGTTGATCACACTGCCAGTCTTCTTCTTGTTGCGACGCATGCTCAGGACAGCGTGCTTGCAGCCAAACCACACGCCCTTAACATTGATACTCTGAGTCAGATCCCAGATCTTCTCGGGGGTATCGACCGCATCCGCATCATCGGCATGCATGATACCGGCATTGTTGAAGATCACATCCACACCACCCCAGCTGTCCTGGGACTCGATCATGGCCTGCACATCGGCCTCCTTCGACACGTCGCAGCGGATGGTCTCCAGACGGCCGGCGGTGGGGACGACCTCCTTGACCTTGGCCAGAGCCTTGGCCAAGGCTGGCTCGGAGATATCGGCGAGGAGGATGTTGGCACCCTCGCGGGCAAAGAGGATGGTGGTTTCGAGGCCAATGCCACTGTACAGCCCGAGGAATGGAATTAGCGTGCCTTGTTCGCAATGCAGGTTTGAAAAGATTGCATGGTGGTCCTACCCGGCAGCACCAGTGATAATGGCATTCTTGCCTTGGAGACGACCCTTGGGAGCAGACATTGTGATTTTTGGTGGGAGTTGGAGCTTCTGTGCAATGGTTGAGCTGTTAATGACCGGTAACCTGGTCTCCCCCCGGCAGGGAAGATGCACGGCTTTATGACTTGCGGAGCTGTAGTGGACACTCACTCTGGAAAAGACCTGACAGAGTCAATGGGAGCGCGCGGATACAGGAGAGAAGGAGAAGAAGGCAAACCAGGGGAACCAGTCGAGATGTCAACCCCAACTTATCTGAGGCGGTCTCTCGAGCTGTACAGAGAGCGGGACCGCGGGGCAGAGCATCCGATTAGATAAGCCGGGACCGCGCTGGTAGCTCCCGTGACCGCGCGGACCGCGCTGTGGGTCCGACGGCGCTTATCCGACGGTCATCGCTCGGCGTCGGCTGCTCCCTTCTTGTTGGTGGCTGAAGATGGGGCCCCACGGCCAGAACGGGATGACCTTGCACTGATAAGCTTATGCTCAGGGCTTCTTGCGGCAGCCTCTCTTCCCACTTCTCAAGATAACATCTCCTCCTCGTGTTTCTGTCGTGGACATCATCAGAATTCCCCCCAGAACCGCCCTTCCTTGTACCTCGACGCCCTCTTTCACATTACATGATGTCGGCACCCGACGTCACCGCCGCAAATGTGGCAGAGATCCTTCAGAATGATCGCATGGTCAAGGTGGCCGGAATCGATGTGGATGGCCAGCTGCGCGGCAAGCTCATGAAGAAGAGCAAGTTCTTGTCCATAGTTGTGGAGGGCTTTGGCTTCTGCTCGGTGATTTTTGGCTGGGACCAGCATGATATGACTTACTACAAGGAGCTCTCGATCAGCAATAAGGAAAACGGCTATCGCGACCTTGTCGCAGTCCCAGATCTGAGCAGCTTTCGTCGGATCCCTTGGGAGAACAATGTGCCTTTCTTCCTCGTCAGCTTTTTGGACCCGGACACGCGAGAGCCGGTTTGCGCGTGCCCACGCGGGCTGTTGAAGACCGTATCAGCGAAAGCCGAGGCTGCGGGTTATCGCGCCATGGCGGGTGGTATGTTCACCAGCAACACACCCTCTGTCCTTGCAGAACTGAACGAACATAACTGACGTATCGCAGCTGAGTATGAGTTCTACCAGTTCCGGGCACCAAGCGATCACCCCAGTCCAGAACGCGCGGCGACGGCCACGGCAACCTTCCTGCAGACGAATCCAGTGGATTCATTACCATCACTAACGGAGGGCATGTTCGGATACTCGATTACTCGGCCCCTGCACAACCAGGAATACTATTATGGCATCTTCGATGCCTGCGAACAGTTCCGTTGCGATATTGAGGGGTGGCACACGGAGAGTGGACCCGGTGTTTTCGAGGCTGTGAGTTGTTACCATGGCGAGGACCTTGCGACGAGGTTTTGTGAATTGAAATGTGTGCATTATTTGCTAACACTGGGTCTTGTGACAGGCACTTCAATTCGGCGAGGCCAAGGAAATGGCCGATAAGGCTGGCTTGTTCAAGTAAGAGAAGCTGTGACCTTTTAGACCTGTCAATTGAACCCCAGGCTAACCATCTTTCGTCTCTGTACAGATACGTCGTCAAGGCATACGGCATCAAGCATGGCATCACACCGTGTTTCATGGCCAAGCCGCGCCAGGGCCTGCCTGGCAACAGCGGCCACATGCACATTTCCCTCGTCACTGCGGATGGCAAGAATGCCTTTATCCGTGACACTCCCGACCCCTCTCCTCCTTACCCAGATGTGGCACACCTGTCGGATTTGGGTCGCCATTTCCTGGCCGGTCTGTTGGTGGGTCTACCGGACGTCATGCCGCTCTTTGCGCCCACGATCAACTCCTACAAGCGCCTGGTGGAGAACTTTTGGGCTCCAGTTACCGTATCCTGGGGCCTGGAGCACCGCGCAGCGTCCATTCGCCTGATCACGCCGCCAACAGCCAGTGCAAAGGCCACCCGCTTCGAAGTCCGCACTCCCGGCGCTGATACCAACCCACACTTTGTTCTTGCCGCCATCATGGCCCTCGGCTGGAGAGGTGTAGAGAAGAAGCTTGAGATTCCCGTACCACCCTTGAGCAAGGGCGAGGATATGGGTGGCGCCAGTGACCAGGGTGTTCGGCTGGCTAAATCTCTGAAGGAGGCAGTCGCTACATTCACACGACCGGATAGTGTGGCACGCGAGGTGTTTGGAGATAGCTTTGTGGACCACTTCGGTGGCACGAGGGAGCACGAGATTCGTCTGTGGGAGGAGGCTGTTACCGACTGGTAAGTGTATCCCAGAGGATGGTGGCTGCTTTCTCCATCTTCTCAGTCTGTTTACTCTTTGTACGATTACTGGCTTCGGGCTAACACCATGCTTTTCCAGGGAGGTACGGCGCTACATTGAAACTGTTTGAAGGGAGAGGGATTGCCCGCTGATAAGCTGATACCATACCATGATCATTTCCATTTTGTTCTGTTTTTTGTTCACTTTGCCCTTTTTCTCTATGCTTGTCTTGGGTTATGCACGGCGCGACGCCTTCGGCTGGTCGAAGCTCCATTCAATTTTTTCGTAGTTGGACCGCGGGCGCCAGGGTCCGGAATATATCTTCTACATAGATACACGCAATGGAAACCAACACATCTCTCAAGACTACATTGTCGCCCTGATCTTCTATCTGAGCTCTTGGGAGCACTGGAAAACCACTGTCTTTTTTTGTTATATGCTGCCTTGTCAAACCCCATCACAATACCCATTTAGAACCGAGGTTCATACTCCATCCATTAGCAGACAAACAGACCAAACAACACAAACGAAGTAAACACGGGGTGCGATAAGATAAGTAGCGCATACTGGAACAATCACGACATCAGCAACTATCACGTGACTACACACTCCGGCGATCGGAGCAGTGGCCCTCGGCCATCGAATTCAAGACCATCGCTTATTTGTCGGTGTATAATCCCACTGCCAGCGTGCAATATGTTCCGTCACAGCATTCGACGCTTTGGGACCACCGCTCTTCGGGCTGCGGCCGCAGAGTCCTACACCACCGGGGTATCCACGGCGCAGGGTGTAGTCAATGGACTTACAGAAGGTATGTCAAGCTCCGCAAGAGCTCATTGTACGACAAGACATTAACTGCCGTCCTTCTGCAGCTATTGGAAACACTCCTCTCATTCGGTTGAAGCGACTATCCGAAGAAACTGGCTGCAATGTCCTTGGCAAGGCCGAATTCCAAAACCCCGGCGGAAGTGTGAAGGACCGTGCTGCACTGTTCGTGGTTGAAGATGCTGAGAAGAAGGGACTGCTGCGCCCTGGCGGCACCGTCGTCGAGGGAACAGCTGGCAACACGGGAATTGGCCTGGCCCATGTCTGTCGCTCCAAGGGCTACAAGCTGGTCATCTACATGCCCAACACCCAGTCGCAGGGCAAGATCGATCTGCTCCGCTTGCTCGGTGCGGAGGTCTACCCTGTCCCGGCAGTGGCCTTTGACAATCCCGAGAACTACAACCATCAGGCACGCCGCCATGCCGAGTCGCTGGACAATGCCGTCTGGACCAACCAGTTCGACAACACCGCCAATCGCCAAGCTCACATTGAAACGACTGGTCCGGAGATCTGGGCTCAGACGGGCGGAAAAGTTGATGCTTTCACCTGTGCCACTGGTACTGGCGGCACGCTTGCTGGTATCACTCGCTACCTCAAGACTACCAGTGATGGCCGGGTCAAGAGTTTCCTGGCTGACCCCCCCGGCAGTGTCCTGCACAGCTACATTCAGAGCGGTGGAAAGCTGATCGACCGCTCCGGGGGCAGTATCACCGAGGGTATCGGCCAGGGACGTGTGACGGACAACCTGCAGCCCGATATCGATCTTTTGGATGGCTCGTTGAACATTTCCGATGAGAAGACCATTGAGATGGTCTATCGCTGCCTGGATGAGGAGGGTCTCTATCTCGGGGCTAGCTCTGCATTGAACGTGGTCGCTGCCAAGGAAGTGGCCGAGAAGCTCGGCAAGGGCAGCACGGTGGTGACGATCCTCTGTGATGGCGCTTACCGCTACGCTGATCGGTTATTCTCCAACACTTGGCTTCAGTCGAAGAACCTGCGGTCGGCCATTCCCAAGCATCTGGAGAAGTATATCGTGTTGCCGTGAACATTATGTTATATAGATGTTGTGGATCTTGAACATACTTGTACTTCTAAATTAATGCAGCGTGTTCCGCATTTCTGCGGATTTCATCTACTTCTTTTAATCGGCGCATGTCATGGGCAAGGTCCCCGATCTCGGGTTTTGCTGGAGGATTGTAGCTACTGCGAGCGAACCGCTTTCGCGGGGGCTTTGCGTGCGACGCAGTGGGAGTTTACGTACCAGTCAGTATTCGGGACGGGTCTTTTCCACGGGTCTTTCAACAGCTAACAACCAGGCCCGGAAAGGGTGTATAGTGTGGGTGAATTGCAACCACTGCAAGAAGACTTTTGTCTGCATTCATCAGCCGCCATGTGAAATAGCGAATTGATCAATCGATTTGAAACCCAAGAATGCTCCACTATGTACAACATGAGAATGAGGGAACAAGTGCAACGCGACGGTCATGATGCTGTGCGAGACGTGCGACTCGAAAGCTTTTGCAGGTCCAGCTTTGTCAGGGTACAAAGCGTGGATGATATTCGCCTTATTTCAAAGCAGCAACTAATTCCTCCACGCTTTTCATTTCGCGGTCATTGTTCTCTCCGACATCCAGGGCCACCAGGAACCGGCTCACGCAGTTGTATCCCGCAATGCCCGTGGTCAATTCCACGATCTCCCGGTCATTGAATCCGACCGTCTGCAGCTGGGCAAAAACTGCGTCCTCTACTTTGATGGTCCGAGTCATCTGGTCGGTGTATCGCAGCACGGAGCGTTGGCGAGGGGTCAACACGCTACTCTCCAACTCAGCCAAGTCTCCTTCCGCGGTGCAGGGCAATGTTTGGCAAGCCTGGAGCTCCTCTGGTGCAATGCCACCTTTCAGTGCGAGCGGAGCGTGCGCATTCCACTCGTACACGGCGCCGTTGAGCACGGCCACTCGGCACACGGCCAATTCGAGGAGACCCAGGTCCACGACGGTGCGCGTGCGAATGGCGCCCAGGAAGCTGTTCCAGCCATCCGCGACGGGCGGGCTGTGCAGGAGGGAGAGATCCAGAGGAATGAGAGGTCGTGGGTTTCTTCGTGCCGCGATGCGGGCATAGATCTCCGCGGTGTCGGCGGCATCGTCACCATCGGTAGGTGGGGTGTTGGGGGCGTATGGAAGCCGCATGGTGCGTACTGAGGTTATACTGGTGGAAGAGGTGCGAAGACGAGAAGGTTGGAGTAGTAGTCTGCGATGTAGTGTGCGATACATCAGCTGTATAACTCCTTCGGTCCCACTCCGATTGCCATTGTCACTGCCATTGCCAGTGCCTTTCTCCGATCGGCTGTGGCCGTTGAATGTTGCCGAGCGACTCCGCACGGAAATGAGTTTACGCGGGGCAAACTGTGCACGTGACTCGGCATTTGGGCTGCGCATGCGGGGGGACGGGTCATGTGACCTCCCTCGATCTATGTTCTGCAAGTTCCTGGGCTTCTTACACATGTTGGGGATCTTGTTTGGTGGTAGAACTGTACAAATATCACGATTTGTATAACTTACAATTCCAAACGTCGCCTTGTCTATGGTACATGCCTCTGCGGGCCGTTCAAGGCGGCCGAAAGTGAAAGGTTGGACGACTCCGACGTTCAGAACCGGGAGTTATCAGGAACCTGTTTCAGTTAACCCAGTATAGGCTGCCATGAGTGCTCTCAGCGTCGGATTAATTGTGACAGGACCGAACCGTCCTGTCAAAAATGCACTCAGAAAGGCATATCCTGCTCTGGGCTCGGCGTGCGTTATCGGTTCAATCATGGGGTGGCCGCTCGGGGTAAATTAGTTGGCAAGAATATAACAGGAGAGGAGCTACACATGTACCTGTCCATTTGGTGTATCATTCACCGCAGTCTACTAAATAACCCACAGAGAATACCCGGCTTCAAAGCTATCGAGTACCAAGGCCCATGTGCCGGTATTTAAGCGTACCCTTTCATGCCCGACCAAATTGGTGGACTCTTTGGATTCACGGAACAGGTATTTGGTCAACTACTGTGAGTGCTTCAATCCACCACGAGGTAGGTAAATCATGTCTGAATGAGGCTTAGTTGGTGAGCACATTGCACCCGCAATGGTTGCCATCGACGATGAGTCGAATGGCTATCGAGCGATCATTCTTCCCACGGTGGAACGGCACCCCTCTGTTCTCAAAGCAGTTCTGGCCTCCTCTACGTATCACATTGCTTTGAGATTGAGTAGTTCAACTGGAGCATTACAGCATGCACAGAAATTCTATACACAAGCCATCGATGAGCTAATGCGGCTCTCCTCTGATATCACTACTGACTCGACCCAGACGTCGCGCATACTAACGACACTGGTCATGTTAGTCTGTGCCATGATTACTGGAAGCTATGATTTTCCCATTTTATTCAAAATGCTCGTGTCTTTGATAGAAGCCGGCAATACCGAAGGGAAGTCTGGCATGTTCTACTATGAATCATTTCTTGAACTTCAAATGCGAAAGTATGTAACAGAGTCCATTTTTATGAAGATCACTTAGCTGACACGTGAGAAAACTAGGTTCGAGCTATATGCCGGCCCATTTCTTGACCCCAAAGCGGCCTTGGAGAGGTTCAATAGCACAGATTCGATCGACCGCGGACTAGGCTGTCTTCTTCAATGCTCCCACCTTCACCCAGAGCATTCCGTCGTTCTCCAAAAAGCCTTGAGTTTGATTCACATTGCTTGTCTTCTTTACTCTCTCCGAGTACGCAATGAACTCAGCCCTGAAATGTCGCATGAGCTGGTAGAGCAATATCGGGAGATCATCTCCCAGTACCATCCAGAGAGTCCTGGATGGAAGATTCTCATTTGGCCCACCTTTATCGTTGCAGCGGAAAGCGTTGATCAAACTTATCGGTGCTTCTTCACCTCAGTATTCCATGGGTTTTTCAAGAAGACTGGTTTTGGGAACCTTCATACAGCATTGAATATACTGCACAAAATCTGGCAAGGGGAGATGAAGGAAACATGGGTGGAGGTCCTACCACAATGGAAGTCATTCATCATGTAAATCGAAAACCACCATTCCCAGCAGATTTCACCCTGCCTACACGCCCTTGAAGGAGTGTAGGATTAATTGCGGTTGACAGCAGACGGGGTCGTAACCTTCCTTCCACCCTCGCAGGAGAAAACCTGGCAATATCTGCGCCCCGTGACCTCTGCGGGCCAGGGGTAAGTAGACAGTTTTCTGCTGGCAAATTGGCTACCAGCTGAAAGATCCGTGTATGAATCCATCATCATCATCATCATCACTTTCTCAGTTCCGTCGATGGGAGAGATTTGCACCGAAGATTACAGGTGTCAGGTGACGATCGGTCCTCTGGCAGCTTACAATAATTGTATAGCGGATACAGTATGAGCAAAATGATGATTTGAAATTGAAAGAAGGGGTGACAAATTCCTAGTTAAACACTGAGGAGCAAACAACCTGCATCATCAAGTATTCCAAATGATACTGGTCGAAAATATCCGGGACGAGTTCTAACCAATCAGGCTTTAACTGGCAATAAAGCGTCGAATTGCAGAAATCCCAATATTCTGGGTACCAGCCCGAAAGATTCCAATTAACCAGTGTGATTTTAAAGTCGCTACTTCCATCTTTTTGAGTCCATTGCGTTCAACCATTATGTTCTTTGGTTGAAGATCTCCGTGCGTGAACACAATTTTGTGGCCTTTGAGGGTTCGATCAACCATTCCTCTCAAAAGACGAATGTAGTGGGGCGACTCCTTCTGGCCAAGACTTGTTAAGATACCCTGATTCATTTGCTCTTGATTCTCGAATGGCCCCGAAATCGTTGGATTGAGGAGGATGGTTTGATGCCGGAGAGGGAAGGCAGAGATGGAGATGCCGAGGAAGCAGCAGGCTAACGAGAGGGCTTATTGAGAGATGTATCGTGGAATTGGGGGCATTTCGGGCGTTTTGGTACAGTTTTTAGGCTGATTCTATATGTCAATACGCCGTTTTCCTTTTCTATCTACTGTCTCATGTGCTTTGGCTGGCGTTCGGATCACTCTTGCTTCCGCCGGAGGAAGCGCCTGCATAGCCATTACGCCACTAGTTACGCTGCATCAGGTTAATAGAGTGTTGATTGATTGATTGATTGATTGATAAATCGTTGGATTGTCATCTAGAGAGGAGAGCACACCATCGGTATAAGGCTGGCGTTCCAAGTTTCCAAAGTATCCTTGAGCAGGGATCTGCCGTAGTTCATCAATTGCGCCTTTAGTCCGTATGCTGATTGTCTTCTTTTCCACTGGCGTGAGCGATGGTAGTAATTTTTCGAGGTCCGTGCCTGGGATATAATCCATAATAATATATCTCTTTTGAGTTTCCGGATCGACAAAGTTATCATGGACTTTGGCACCGGAACGTTGCTGTTATGTGCAACGAATTTCATGTTCTCTGCCTCTAGGGGTGGAATAGAATAGCCAATCTTGACCGCGAAGCGTTCCCGAACTCGAACAACCTTGATAGCGTTTGTCCGAACACTCAACACATCAGGCGAGGATTTGATCTCCGCAATTGTCGGTAGGTCGGTTCCTTCTGGCGCAACGATGGCCATGCTGTCAAGCTAGGGTATGGAACTGAGGTTAGTTAACTAACATGTGGCCAATGCCAGAAATGCTGAGTCATTGATCATGTGGTCTGGGTCTGCGATATCCGGGTCGACACCTCCCCCTGGTTTCATTAGGTTCACTTAACTAGCAGTTGCTATGGTAAGGATTTCTCGACTGATCTGCCGCCTGCGATAATGCTCCATATTTTGGCGTCCTGCTTCACCCGTACGTTAATTTGCACAATTAAATTTTCCTCTTCTTGATTCAAGCACATTGCTCGAGGAAGAAACGCTTCCGTGGTATACACAGAGTCGCTTTTATCCTGTACAAATTGGTGAAGTTCTTCACTCACGTACTAAGTCATTGGAAAGCTGGGGTTCGGGCGTTACTCGACAGTTTGGCTTGGTAGGGATCTCTTATACCTTCGCTAGCCCTCACGCGGATTAATGTACTAATAATTAATTTATAGGATAGGCAACATGTCTACGTCACATTGAAGGTGTTTGAGTGCTAGTTAACCGAAAGCAGAAGAGAAATTGATGTCTATAATCGCCTCAATAAAACCAATTTGACCTATATAGGCGCCATGTTTGTTCGTACGGCGCTAGATAATTTCTAGATTAGCCTAGCAGATGCTTATTATCCATGCTGTTGGCAGTTCGTCTGGTGCATAAGACCGTAATAGAAATCGTTCGCGCGTACTAATCCCAGTAGTTACCACGATTGTGGAAGAGTAACTAATCAGGATAGAACACAATCGGCTGATCAGACGGAAGAATCAAGCAGTGGAAGGTTGGTTCGGATGGTCTACTATGCCCGGTAATTCCTCCTGTGATAAAAGAGATGTCAAACTTGTTCAATTTAGATAGGAAATAAGGCAGTATTTATAACGTGAGGTACATGGCAAATATCACATGAGGAAATCAAGAACATCCGAGGTCATCTTGGAGTGTTGAGTATTCTCCAGCCTAGATAGGCAATGTTGACAAGACCATTGAGGATCAAATTGATGATCAGAGAGGGGTAAACAAGATGGAGTTTTCTCCGCGGTAGAACCAGGAAGATTGCTTAGTAAGCAGGCAGAATTCAAATTGGCAATCTGGGCCTACAGCCCACATATGCCGACAAATATTGAAGCAGCTATATGGATATCAGGAAGAGAAAGTCGGAAAGAATGAGTCTTTAGGTTAAGGACCTCGGTTAAGTCCTGCTTTCCATCTTTCGTTTTTAACCTCATAAATAGCTAAGCTAGGCTAGGTGTTTTGGTGTAGGTTTTTAGATTATCCGATAGTACAGTGAGTCGGCCTTTTAAATATGAAATAACAGATAGTAAAATTCTTGAATCGTTCAATATATTGGCTTATAGTCGTCCATTGATAGGATGCTCGAGATAGCGAGTGCGTAGATATCTAACCGAAAATTCAACACATGAGATCCCAGGTCCGCGTCAACCAGGGGAATCATAGACCAATCAGCAAAAGGGCAAGGAAAGCAAGTCCCACTAGGCCAAAAGGTCCACCAAGACTTCTGAAGACTTCTGAATACTCAGAAGTCTTGTACGCGGTTTATATACTATGATCCGCTCCGGGGATCTCACACAAAGCCTGATATAACAACCAGTTACACGTATTAGGTAGAATTGGAAGATGGCTTTGCCCACAAACGATGAGTGCTACGCAACCAGCTAATAACGGTATCGAAGGCAAAGTCTACAGTGGGCCAAGATCCTGCCTATTCAAGCACAGAAGTTGATTTCCATGCTCCAGCCGTCCAGGGAGTACGTGCCACCATTCCTATGTCCAAGGCACTGGTCGATAATCTAGAGCCACGTTAGCAACTTCAATAGCTTATGGCAAGAGCCGTAGGGACAATTCGAAAAGAATATGTTGATTGCATACGTCAAGGAGGCTATCCCAGCATGCCTGTTGAGTAGGGACGTTGTATGAGGTAAAAACTCCGTGATGACCGTTGGCACCAGTGAAATACTATAATGTAATAGTTAGAGATTATTTTCGCCCAAGGAATCATGGTCTATAGCGGGAGATTGCTTACAAGCTCTTGGTCTCCTACCCAATTATCGCTATTACAATATTTCTATAGTAAGTATTAGCTCAAAAGCATCTTCAATAAACTCTCTAGACCCGTTATCCTTCCACCCTATATATTTATCAACTCACCTCGCGGTTAGTTAGAAGATCATTAGAATTGACACAACGGTGGGAACCGTGTAGCGGATAGCAGTCAGCAGCGCTGGCGGTAGTAGCTAAGAGAGCCGCGACTGGCAAAAGAACTGCGTAGAACTGCATTGCTCGTGATGGAAGAATGATTTTTAAATAAACGTGCGTAGTGCGGATACGTATTTTGTTCTGAATGGACTTGCTAGGCTGGAATTGAAGTAGTAAGTAGTGCATGTTATATAAATGTTTAGAAGTTTCCCCGATCTCCTTACGCGCGTAGTATATCCAAACATAGGAGGTATCGATCCCCCTGAATCCGCCCCCACTTTTCCTTTAGCACTACAGGAGCCCTCCCCGGGCATGGCGACTAATCTTTCTAGTGGGCCGTCTCCACTGGCTGAATTAGGCCTTAGTGCGTTTGTCACAGTAGGGGGTTAGTTAAGTGTTCCTCACCAGGCTGGCCAAAGATGTGCGACGCAGTCGTTGCCACGTGATCAGGATTTGTCATCCCGCGGATTTTAGTTACGCCGTACAGGATGTTGAGCTGCTATGCAGCTGGGATTTCTCGAGCCAGGAAATACAATTCATGTTGGTGGCGCCCGGATTCTCACCCTGTCTATTGCGCACTCACCCTCTCTCACCCCAGTCGCGCGACCTTAAAGCGGCGCTCACCCTAAACTCACCCGGGCGGCACCCACCCGACTATCTGCCGCACATAAGGCGCGCACCGTTTGCCCACCCTAGCAAATAAGGTAGTTTGGCCCAGTGGAGAAATGGATGATCGCCGCTTTAAGTCGCGCGACCAGGGTGAGGAGGATGTTTGCGCGATAAGATAGGATGAGAATCACCCTCCGTCGCCCGATCGCCGTGTGATCTTGCTGTAGCTAAACAGCTACATATTAAGCCATTTGCTCGCAGTAACTCCGCCAAGATTTTCTAGCTGACATCAACATACCAGCGACAGAAGTCGTTCACGTCATATTCCGCCAGGTTGCTGGTTTGTAGGCTATTTCTGAGGGTGAGTTAACACAATAGGGTGTGTAGTGGTTCTGTGATCTTACGGTATGGAATGTGGCAAAGCGCGGCGTTGAAGCGGCAATAACGTTCCCAGATCCTGCGTTGCGATCGCCCTCGGTCGATAAGGTTGAGTGCGGAATACGGACAGTGGGAAGCGGGGTGATAATCACCCTCCATCAGGCGACCCCCGCAATAACCCTCTCAGGCAGGATCTAGTACTCCGTATCTCCGTACACGATTACAGGTCGGCCTTCCAATGTCCCAAAGATAAAAGGTTCTAGACCTGGAGAGCTCAATAGCTACCAAGGCCTGTGGGTGCTGAACGTCCTGGACAGAAGCTAGCTGGCAGGAGTGTAGAATTGTCTAGGCAAATCTATGAGGTCAATTCATGTCTAGATGGATCTGGTACCAACGTCATCTAATAGGTTTACCAGGTCCACTATATCTGTCATATGCGCTGATACTGCGTGAAAAAGCTTATTGCAAATTTCTTCACGGGCCGAAACTATCAAAAGTCAGAGCTAGGGGCTTAATCTTTGGGTGAGGTACAGCGCAACTATTAGAATGGCCGAGCTCTTCATCGACTGCGCTCTGCTATGAAGTAGGACACTCGTAGGTGTTCTCGCCGCCACATCATCACAAATAGGTTGCTGAAATTTTCAAGCAGGCCCAGGATTACCTTTCTAAGGGAATGAACACAATCTCACGAAATCAGGGCTGTCTTTGCTCAAAGCGTACTGTAAACTAAAAGACCGGGAATCCAAGCCATCCGGAACCCCAAGCACCCATCTGGACAATACATTCTGGTCGAGGCGGTACGAGCACTCGATGAGCTTCGGAGGCAGGGGTGGCAAGTACAGTTCCGATGGATTCCAGCACATGTCGGAGTGCCAGGTAACGAGGCAGCCGAACAAGCAGCGAAAGAGGCCGCTGGAACCAATCAAAGCACGGGAGCGAACACTGAGCGGCCGCCAGAAGCAGACTCTCTGCAAACACTCACGGCAACTACCAAGTCCACCATCCGTCGAGCGATGAGAGGCGAGTGGGACACGGCCTGGGAGAATGCCAAGCACGGTAGAGAGCTCTTTAAGCTCGGGGTAAGACCAGGGAAGGCGATACTTGACACACAAATTGGCACACACAGAGCGATCAGCTCTGCTATCACATAGATACGCACGGGCAAGATCGGCCTACGTGTGTACCTCCACACCATCAACAAGGCCGACTCCGACCAATGCGAATGGGGCCACGGGCCGCAAACCGTACGGCACGTCCTGCTCGAGTGCCGAAACTGGGCGGACGAACGACATCGAATGTGGGCAGGCAAGGCTCCATGCATCGACGTCAAGCGCATTCTCTGTAGCCCGTCAATGGCAGAACAAGCAGCAAAGATGATCCTGAGGACTGGACTTCTCGGACAATTCCGGGCAGTGCTATCCACGGTACTTCAATACACATAGCGAAGACGAGTGAATAATGGTATACAGAAGCAGAGGAGGGCCAGGAAAGGCCTGACAAGAGCAAAGACAGTGAACAGATAGGATAACTATCAGTAGAGGTGCCACTGCTGGGAGCGGAAGGAGAAGTAGTCCGGACAGGGGCGTCCTGTTTCTGGAAGCGAAGGGGGAAGACCTGTAGTTATAGTCGCGCGCTGCATAGCTGCCACTAGGGCGGCTGGGACAGTCTATGAATAAAACAATCAATCAATCAATCAATCAATCAATCAATCAAGCTGACCAGCGACCCCTGGGGCTTTCCAACCCTCCTAGGAGTAAAACTCGCCCATCCCGAGACCACAAGGTTGATTTTTCGAATACACATTCTTTTGCCTCGATATGACCTTCTTTTGATATCTCCTGCTGTATCCTCGGGGCTGAGCACTGCAGAAGTGTGCGATTCTTCCGCTATTTCGACCCGTCTGCTTCTCAGACTGCCATCGAGCGCTTCCCACTTCAACAGTTATCCTTCGAGTCCGCCTCAATATCCTGTCGGTCTAGCAATAGCCTGACCACTGCTTCATGTCCACCTTCAGCCGCACAGGATAACGGTGTCCGACCCCAGTTAGCCTTTGAGTCCGCTTCAACATCTTGTCGGTCCAGCAGCAGCCTGACCACCGCTTCATGTCCGCGCCAGGCCGCATATAACAACGGTGTCCGACCCAGGTTATCCTTCGAGTCCGCCTCAACATCTTGTCGGTCTAGCAATAGCCTGACCACCGCTTCATGTCCGCCTCCAGCCGCAAAGGACAACGGTGTCTGACCCCAGTTAGCCTTCGAGTCCGCTTCAACATCTTGTCGGTCCAGCAGTAGCCTGACCACCGCTTCATGTCCGCGCCAGGCCGCATATAACAACGGTGTCCGACCCAAGTTATCCTTCGAGTCCGCCTCAACATCTTGTCGGTCCAGCAGTAGCCTGACCACCGCTTCATGTCCGCCTCCAGCCGCAAGGGATAACGGAGTCAACCCATCGTTATCGTTCGAGTCCGCCTCGACATCTGGTCGGTCCAGCAGTAGCCTGACCACCGCTTCATGTCCACCTCGAGCCGCATAGGATAACGGAGTCAACCCATCGTTATCGTTCGAGTCCGCCTCGACATCTTGTCGGTCCAGCAGTAGCCTGACCACTACTTCATATCCACCTCTAGCCGCATAGGATAACGGCGTCCGACCATAGTTATCCCTCGGGTCTGGCCTGATACCGGCGTTTGCGAGCAGCAGCTTCATCAATTCGCCCTCCCCTCCCTCGCGAGTAGATGTAGGATCGACCTCCCTCCTTCGTCCTGAAGCGTGGTATGCTGAAAAGTGAGGACCCGTGCGAGCCCAGGAGCCGCACATAGGAGAGATAGCAGGTCAACAGGCATAAGATATTCGGCGGAAAGCAGGGTAAGTTCGATAGGGAGATAGGCTCCTACCCTAGACACTCTCATTATGTCGCTTTCGCGGAGATACGGAAACAGTAGATATAATTCACACGTCTAACTCGGAAGCCGAGCGACGCAAATGATTCAACGAGGGACAATGTTCAAGGATGAAAGAGGTTTCAGTTTCCCCAGCTTGTCGAAGTACTCCTGAATACTAATAATAGAGGGGTGTGGGGCGAAGGGTGTCCAATCTTCTGAGGCGTCACTGTATGTCTCATACCTAGCCCGATGATTGGTACAGAGCGGCCCCTTCATCCTGAACATCCTTAGATACCCGAACTCTCTCTTTCAGGGTCTTCTGTTCGACATCCCCGATTTCCCGAGTCAGTCGGGACGTCCCTAGATCATACCCTCACATCCGTCCCCGAAGAGCTCCTATAGAATCACCCCATATCGCTGTAACCGGCTTGCTAGATTTATCGTGTCAGGAACCCGTCCCAGTACGTTGTGCTTGTCCTGACTCCGCTTCGGTGTTCGACCCTCCCGAACTCTTTTTTCTTAGATAGCTCCCATCCTAGCCCACGAACGCCTCGAGCTATCAGGAGAGACATTTCACCCTGGATTCGTATCTTGCCGGGACGACCGGACAGACGGCGCGGGGACTCGGAGTTTCGGGTTCTGCATATCATCACGACCATGGATGATCGACTAACAAGGTGCTAGGGCACAATGGCTGGTGCGGACGAGATTCTCGTGGCAGTGACGGCGGTGCTGCAGTCTCTCGCTAGAGACGAGCCCACCAGGGGCTCTGTCTCCCCCCCTTTGATTTCGAATTTCCCGCGACCAACGGTGCCAAATCATCCAAACTTCCCGGGGAACCCAGCCCAGCAAAGGTCGCCTTCGAAGCCGAGTTGGAGGCCTTGATGCGCCGCGTGCACCACCTGGAATTCCAAGCTGTCAGTCATCACAAACTCCCCGACATCCCCCAGCAGACCACCCTCGGATCCGACGAGAAGGACCTTGATTTTTTTGTGGACCTTCGGATTCGATCGCTTGTTGTCCGGTCAAGGTTCTGACTCTTCTTATTGCCTTACATAGCAGCAAAAACTGAATCAACCCAATCGGCGACAGCGGACTCTGTCGGGCCCTGAAGAGAAATTCCCTCATCCACCCCAACCATCCGCCCCGGTTGGAGACCTTGACGAAGACGACACCGACGAGGAGGATGAGACCGGCGCAACGCGTGTGGTTCGCGAAGAAGACATCAGCATCCTCCGTAATCATGTGCAAAAGCAAGCCGAGGAGATCAGCTTCCAGAAGGATATCATAGCGCAGTTTCGCAACGAGTTGCAGAAGCAGGAGGAGCGCACTCGCCGTGCGCTCACCAAGGTCGAAAACGAGGATGTCGTTCTGCTCGAACGGGAGCTCCGGAAGCACCAGCAGGCCAATGAGGCCTTCCAAAAAGCCTTGCGAGAAATCGGCGGCATCATCACGCAAGTCGCCAACGGTGATCTCTCCATGAAGGTCCAGATCCACCCCTTGGAGATGGACCCGGAAATTGTTACGTTCAAACGTACGATCAACACCATGATGGACCAACTGCAAGTCTTTGGTAGCGAAGTGTCTCGAGTCGCTCGCGAGGTCGGAACGGAGGGTATACTCGGCGGTCAAGCTCAAATTACTGGTGTCCACGGTATCTGGAAGGAGCTCACGGAGAACGTCAATATCGTGGCCAAGAACCTGACGGATCAGGTGCGAGAAATTGCGGTTGTCACAACTGCTGTCGCCCACGGTGATCTGAGTCAGAAGATCGAAAGTCGCGCTCAAGGTGAAATTTTGGAACTGCAACAGACGATCAATACCATGGTGGATCAACTCGGGACATTCGCTACGGAAGTCACACGAGTCGCGCGCGATGTCGGTACGGAAGGTGTACTGGGAGGTCAAGCTCAAATTGAAGGTGTCCAAGGCATGTGGAACGAACTTACGGTCAATGTCAACGCGATGGCCAATAATCTAACCACGCAAGTGCGTGATCTCGCCACTGTCACCAAAGCCGTCGCCAAGGGTGACCTGACGCAGAAGGTGCAAGCTAACTGCCGAGGAGAAATTGCCGAGCTAAAGAATATCATCAATTCCATGGTGGACCAACTACGCCAGTTCGCGCAGGAAGTCACCAAGATCGCCAAGGAGGTCGGTACCGATGGTGTACTAGGTGGCCAGGCCACCGTGAATGATGTGGAAGGCACATAGAAAGACCTTACAGAGAACGTCAACCGCATGGCTAACAACCTGACTACTCAGGTACGTGAGATTGCGGACGTCACCACGGCTGTCGCCAAGGGCGATTTAACCAAGAAGGTCACTGCCAACGTGCAGGGCGAGATGCTTGATCTGAAGAGTACCATCAACGGCATGGTGGACCGTCTCAACACGTTTGCTTTCGAGGTTAGCAAGGTCGCGCGTGAGGTCGGTACCGATGGTACCCTGGGAGGTCAAGCTAAGGTGGACAATGTGGAAGGAAAATGGAAGGATCTCACCGATAACGTCAATACCATGGCGCAAAATTTGACGTCGCAAGTGCGAAGTATCTCGGACGTGACGCAAGCTATTGCTAAGGGTGATCTTAGCAAGAAGATCGAGGTGCACGCGCAAGGAGAGATGCTGACCCTCAAAGTGACTATCAATCACATAGTGGGTCGTTTGGCCAAGTTCGCTACTGAACTGAAGAAGGTCGCTCGCGATGTCGGCGTCGATGGAAAGATGGGTGGTCAAGCCAATGTGGAAGGGATCGCAGGAACCTGGAAGGAGATCACGGAGGATGTGAACACCATGGCCGAGAACCTGACATCCCAGGTGCGTGCATTTGGCGAAATTACCGATGCCGCCACGGATGGTGATTTCACCAACCTCATCACTGTCAACGCTTCGGGAGAAATGGACGAACTGAAGCGCAAGATCAATAAAATGGTTTCCAACCTGCGAGACAGTATTCAACGAAACACTGCCGCCAAGGAGGCTGCCGAGCTTGCTAATCGCACCAAATCTGAGTTCCTGGCCAACATGTCCCACGAGATCCGAACTCCCATGAACGGTATCATTGGTATGACCCAGCTCACGCTGGATACCGACGACCTGAAGCCGTATACCCGGGAAATGCTGAACGTGGTGCACAATCTGGCCAACAGTTTGCTCACAATCATTGACGATATACTCGATATTTCGAAGATTGAAGCCAACCGGATGGTCATTGAGAGCATTCCATTCACCGTGCGCGGTACCGTATTCAATGCGCTCAAAACTTTGGCTGTGAAGGCGAATGAGAAATTCCTTAGCCTGACTTACCAGGTCGACAACACAGTCCCCGACTATGTCATTGGCGATCCGTTTCGTCTGCGCCAGATTATTCTCAACTTAGTCGGTAATGCCATCAAGTTCACTGACCATGGTGAAGTTAAGCTCACGATCCGCAAATCCGATCGTGAGCAATGCACCACCAACGAATATGCCTTTGAGTTTTCCGTCTCCGACACCGGTATTGGTATCGAGGAGGACAAATTGGACTTGATCTTCGATACCTTCCAACAGGCTGATGGGTCAACCACCCGCAGGTTCGGTAGTACCGGTCTCGGTCTGTCAATCTCCAAACGCCTGGTCAATCTCATGGGTGGTGACGTTTGGGTTACCTCGGAGTACGGACACGGCAGTACCTTCCATTTCACTTGCGTCGTGAAGCTTGCCGATCAGTCCTTGAACGTTATTGCTTCTCAGCTCTTGCCATACAGGAATCACTGGGTGCTGTTCATCGACAAGGGCCAGAACGGTGCCCAAGCCACTAATGTCATGAAGATGCTCAAGCAGATCGAATTAGAGCCGTTGGTGGTGCGTAACGAAGAGCATGTTCCACCACCTGAAATCCAAGACCCCTCTGGAAAGGAGTCTGGTCATGCATACGATGTCATCATTGTGGACTCGGTGGACACTGCTCGCATCCTGCGAACATCCGACGAGTTCAAGTATATCCCTATTGTTTTGGTATGTCCTTTGGTCTGTGTCAGCTTGAAATCTGCTTTGGATCTTGGTATCAGCTCGTATATGACAACGCCTTGCCAGCCCATTGATATGGGCAATGGTATGCTTCCTGCATTGGAGGGTCGGTCGACGCCGATCGCCGCCGACAACTCCCGCTCGTTCGACATCCTTCTTGCTGAGGACAACGACGTCAACCAGCAACTCGCCATGAAGATACTCCAAAGGCACAACCACAACGTCTTTGTTGTTGGTAACGGTCTAGAGGCCGTGGAGGCTGTCAAGAAGCGCCGCTATGATGTGATCTTGATGGATGTTCAAATGCCCGTCATGGGTGGTTTCGAGGCTACTGGCAAGATTCGAGAGTATGAACGAGAGAGTGGTCTCCAGCGAACCCCGATTATTGCACTCACTGCACACGCCATGCTGGGTGATCGCGAGAAGTGTATCCAGGCTCAAATGGACGAGTACCTGTCCAAACCACTTAAGCAGAACCAGATGATGCAGACCATTCTCAAGTGCGCAACGCTTGGTGGATCGCTGCTGGAGAAGAGCAAGGAACCTCGGATCTCGAGCAGTGGAGAAATGCATCCCATCCACTCATCTGTCTCCGATAATCAAAATCAACAGCAGCAGTCACAGAAACAACAAGAGTTGCCCTCCCCACCATGGCCTGGCATAGAGACCCGGGCAATCTCCACTGCTGGCCCGATAGGCCGTGGTAGTTTCGCCGAGCCTCAAGACAAAGATGAAGAGACGATCGATGATCGGGTACGTTACCATGTCTGTTGTTGAAGGACTGGGTTCCGGATCGACCCTTGGCTAACCGTTCCTTCTTTCATCATAGACATTGCTGCGCTCCAACAGTACCTGAGCTCTCGTTTGCATACCCTGAACATTTACTTTCCCGCCCTGCAGATTGGCCCGATGGTTTTGGTGTAGCCTGTTGATACCCTGTCCATATGAGTCTGTTGAGTGCTTCTTGTTATCATTCCCATTTTCTTTTCAAGGTGGTGAAGCCGAAACGGAACTCTCATGAATTTTCTGCTTTATTCCCACTTCACTTATATTTGCTCATACCCGCGTACTTCATTATCACCTTTCTTCCATCGTTTTTGCCATGGCCGGTTGGGTTCACACTTCTTCTTTGTCTCTCTGCCCCGTACAAGGATAGGCCTAGTAATTACATATATTATAGAGCCACCAGTCTACAGGACCCAGCGTCACGTCTCTATCACTGTCGTCACAAAGGCCACTTCAGTTGACGTCCATACTCTCAGCCGCCCCTCATGAGATCATCTTCCCACGGGACCGGGAAGAAACGTCTCCCCATTAACTACGAACCATCATCTCCTGCCAGCAGTGCCCCTCAGACAAAGCTCCTCACCAGAATCCAAAACCCGGAGACCTGGCAGGCAGGCTTCCATATGGGCCAACCAGATGAGACATTCGGAACTCAGATCTTATAACAAAATACCGACAAGGTAATGGAAGATAGGATTTCCTCCAGGATAATCCGGCCAAGGGCCGTGAGGTTCCGATCACGTTATGTCTCGGTCCCCCTAAATTCGCTAACACTAACCCTCTTTGTAACTAGCTTAGTGGCAGCTGAATAAGCTTGAGAGGTAGCACGGAGCTACGGCTCCGGAGCCGGACCCCGTATCTCAAGGTCTGATAAGACTATCTATGCCGAGAATGCTCCGTTTCAATCGGTATATAAGCAGGTGCTGACAGCTTGTCTCGTACCTACTTGTCTATATCTCTAGTCTTTATCTATACGCTTCAACAGTAAGATACACTTAGTCGTCGTCTAAAATCTTGTGCTAACATCTCTAGTGTCTAACAACAAAATCGTTCCTCTTACCATTATCAAGGGCGCCGGCCATGAACACATCCCTATCCCCGAGGGCGAATGCGCCATTATCGCCGACTTCCACTCAATCAAATCCCAGAGCTCACACTCCACCCCTTACCTGACCACTGGATTCTACCGTGTTGTGCCCGGACCTACACGATACGGCGAGTACGACTACGAGGAGACCAAGTATGTTCTCAAGGGTCAAATCGACATCACAGTAAGATCCCAGTCGATTTCGAAATCTGTATTACGAATGATACTGATAACATACAGGATGAGGCCACTGGCAAGACCCACCACCTCGTTGCTGGAGACTGGGCCTTCTTCCATGTTGGATCCAAGGCTCAGGTTAGTTCTCTGTACTCCAATCAATCAACCTGTATACACTTGCTGACCCATTTATAGTTCTCAACAAAGACTGAGGGTGTTGCTTTCTACGCTGTCACCCGACCAATGAACGACGGTCACCCTAACCTTGTTGGCCGCGAGGAGAGCACTTCAAAGTTGTAAAAGTCAATGCTATCATAGCCTGTTAGATAAACCCTAATGCACGATTCATAATATTTCGTCTTGTCCAGGGTAATTCTAGTGCTAAATGGTTACAGGTCTCAGGAAAGTGATGTTTACCGGATTTGGCTGAAGAAAACTTGCGACAGAAGGGTCAGAATATCAGAATTACCCCTGCACCCGCTTGTGCCTCAATCTACACCACGACAAAGAAGGTAAATACGCGATTGTTGGAGAACTTAATCCTAATCTCTATCTCTTAATAAAGAGACAGCGTCCTTCTCTCTGAATCTCAACCCTTGCCCTTCGCTATACTATTGTTACACCTTGATTTATCTCTCCGAGATATCCAATAATGTTGTACCATCTTCAATACTATTGCCACATACCATGCGTCTTGAGCCTGCTACTCCATGCCGTACCTTACTCCAGCAGATGTGGCACCTTGCGAGCAGGGAAGTTTGCTTCATACGCAGACATGGAGCGAATGAGAGATCCCTTGTCATACCGTCGACCCACGAAAGCCATACCGAATGGAAGATTAATATCGTCATAGCCCAGAGGAACCGACCCAACGGGAAGTATCCCTACGGCACCGAGTCGCGAAGACGAGAATTCAGTCGGTAGCACGAGCACATCGGGCCTGTACTTCACAAAAAGGACAGCCGGACCTTCTTGATAAAGTCGAGCCTGGGTGTTCTTGGCCAACCAGTATTCTCCAGAAGTCGACCGATCACCCAGTTGATCTGCTGCAACTAGGACAGGAAAACAGCATTGGCCCTCTGGAGACTCAAGATCCCACAGCTTGACGGTGAAGTTAGCTATTACTCGCACAGTAGCCGGCCTAGGCGGTGCTCTACGTAAATCTATAGAGATAATCTATTCAACAAGCGAATCCTCTTCTAATTGGGTCAGTTTATGGCCTGATGGGCGTGTATCGACGCGTGAAGATAGGCCGTGTGCGCGGTTGTGTAGGGTAGTAAGCGGTATTTCGTATAGCTTCGCTGCTGCGCGTAGAGATTTGATACGCTATTTTGAATATCATTAAGGGCTAATAAGATCTTGCCCTCCTGATTAGCTGATTTCTGCTGAGATTCAGAGCGAATTGGTGGTATGGTAGGTGGTTGAAGTTGGTGTGTAGGTAGAAAGATGCGATTTTGGATGGGGTGTTCGAGACGGCCGGGAATTACGTTAGTGTAGTGGGAAAACTGCTGACGGTGGTTTTGTAGCGTGTTGGTTTCCGGTGTATGGTCCGTTTCCTAATCTTATGTTCTGCCTTACAGTTTGTCGCCTTTGCATTAATTATCCTGTTTGTTCGTTGCCGTTTTGGGTCGTGTGGAAAGCCTCATAGAGGAAGACACACAGAAAGAAGAAGATTATCGGTCACACAACAGACAGTCTTTATAAGCAATTCAATCGTTCTTTATTTCGACTACGTCATGCATTACAAGGAGTGATCTGATCCTGAAGACAATAGAAGAAATGTGAGATTCCACAGTTCTTCTTCATGGAGCTTGCTACTGCCTATTGATCTACTCGAGGTAGTCGACTGGGTTATCTACTGCCCTCCGGTGGATGGTTGGCGTTTCCTATCCTTCCTGGAGGCTGTTGTCCTCTCTCGTGCCTCGACCTGTCTGTTCCGATCAGACTGCCGTTAGTGCATCCCCCACTTTAATAGGTGCATATATATCTTATCTTCAAAATGGCTCTGGAAATATGCGACAGTCGACTTATGTTCCTGTTTCTACCGCAAGAGCTGAACTGTCCAACTACATGTCCTTTGACTAGGTTCTTGGACTAGATCAAACGTCGTCAGCGTCGGGCGCCTTCCCCTACGAAAGCAATACACCTAATGATCCTAGCGGTACGACTAGACGCTCGAAGTTCAACACTCCCTTTTTCAATAATAATTCTTCCGATCATTCTGGCTCCCCGCCCGTGGTGAAGCACCACTCCATCAAAAGTAAGGCCGGCCATCCTCTACGCTCGAAGACCAACACTCGTCGGGCGAAGAAACAAGTCAAGTGAACTCTCTTGATACATAAGACCCCATTGCATCAAGAGCAATGTTAACTTTAAATTGAGAAATACCAGAAGTCAATCGAGTTCCTTGATCTGCGAATGTGCAAATTGCAACAAACCGGGCCCCATCGGCCGCAAAGCATCCCTGATGCGCCATGTGGATAAACAGCACGTGGCTCCATGTTCCGTTCTATGTCTCGAAAAACACTGTGATAAAGTTTTCAATCGCAGAGATAACATGATGAATCACTTCCGCAGTGTTCACGGTGATGTCTTGTGAGGGGGACATCTTCTGGGTTAGGAGTTTTGGGCCATTGGAATGGCGATGTACGGTTGACTCGGATAAGCGCGGATTCCATGCGTTTCTGGCCTCAAAAGTAGTCATTTTCAGCGTCAATCTCATCTGCCCTCATATTCTATGTGCAAACTATCGTCCAAGGCACTTCGATTCCACAGTTACGGCTTGTTCATAGCCTGTATGAGGCAGGATACTGTCAGACCCTACCAAAAATAAAAGGGTTGTACAGGCTTCTCTTTGACCTGAATTTCAAAAGGCACCTCGTTCCCCAACAAGCGCACAAGTTCGTCTACCGCAACTGACCAATCGAACTGGACAATATACTTCGGGAACTTGACTGTCGCCATCGGCTTCAAAAGATGCACCACCGCATCCCGGTGCGGATATTCATCGTCAAGGCGTCCATCAGTGAACTCAACCCGAACGCACTGCAACGACTTCATCTCGGCGATGATTTTCCAGGCGGACTCCCAGAAGAAAGGTATGTCGAGAGGATAGATACTGTCGGCTGCATCTATGCGCGTCCCAAACCAGTATAGTTGGAGCAGGAAGTACAGATGTATAGATCGAATGCTATGTAGGCGCTGGGGGACAATGGTACGTTGGAGATCCACGATAGTCCGCGTTTGGCGGAAGCTGAGAATGTTTTGGGAGTAGAGGAGATCAATTGATTCGGAGTATCTAGCTTAATTAGTGGGTTTGTCACTTGCTTAGATGTGGAAGATTCTAACAACATACACCTGTCGGCAAGAGCGCAACAATCCCAGTCTTATGGGGTAAGGAGAACGGTCTTCAGGCTTATACCCCTTTGGGTACCCACTCCGGGCCGTCGTGCCGTCTCGCTTGTAGCAACGGCCCCAACAGCCGTGCTCTAAGCCTGGAATATCGGGGTTCTCATTAACGCAGCGCCGACTCAGGAGTCGCTGGTCCGCACTGGCGACATGGAGTTCTGGATGACCTGGAGGGGCCAGGACTTCCCGATAAATCAGATACCGGATCTCTCGTGGGAGCGTAAAAAAAAATGCAGATTGCTGCTGATCGCAGGTTCTTTGTTGACGACTATTTCGGACCAAGTCCGTGTTACTAGGTGGGAGTGGCAGCGTCAGGGTCCGTTCGCGGACCGCTGGCAGGGATTCAGGACGGTCGCTGATGCGCCTGCGCCTCTCAGCAAGCTTCTTTTCGTCTCGGCGTCGAGCAGTAAGACTCCATGACCATTTCATGGTGATGTCGTCGTGGTCGGTTTGATGGTTGATGGGGAGGGGGAGGAATAGAGAAATACTCAACCTTAAATGTATCAGGCTGGCGAGGCTGAGTTAGTCTCCGCATCAGCCCCAGCGATTGATCCACAAGCAATAAACCAATCAACCAATCTGCTTGCTTGATGGCCAAGGTAAGGGGATTCTCCGACGGGCTGAGTTTGACTGGTGCATTATTCTATTTTTGTCGTTTCCTATGTACCTATGAACACCCCTGTACATAAAGTACCTATTGTAGTGGGGGAACTGCTGACGGGTTTAGAGTGAAGTGTTGATTGGCTAGGTCCGGTGGGTGTTTAGTAGCCGGTTTCTGATTTCTCACTTGGAGCTAATAGCTATGTCTTCTGTATTGGTTTGTGGGGAGAGCAAGGACAGAGAAGAGACACACTCATTTTTCAGGACCTGTCTCGCGAAGAAGGAAGCAGTTCAGCCATCTCTTTTCCAGTCACTCTTTCTAGTGAATCAATTCGTTCTATCTTCGCATTTTCTACGCGTTACGCACACGGGTAGTGATTTCTTATGGAGAGATAGAATTCTAGGCGACGAAGCGATCTTAGCCGGGTCTTTGCCTTTATCTTTGATTTTGCTACCTCCAGTGGACCACGCTGCCCTCCGGTGGGTGTTTGGTCATCCTTTTTTTTTCCTGGTGGTTGTCATCCTGTATTGTGCCTCGACCTGTCTGTCCTGACCAGACTGCCATGAGCATATCCCCGTGTTTACTATATAGAACCCAATACTGAGAGTATCCGCAGATGTAGGCGGACCCTGGCACGACATATATGGTTGAGAGAAATTGCAAAGTCTACCGTGACTTGTGATTCCATACAGAGAGATAAATACCCAATAACAAAAAAATGATAAAACTATGTAGCTTCCCTAGGTATACACCATAGACAACGCTATCCTGACAGACCACTTCCAATCCTTACTTGTCCTCTACGTCCCCATTCTCCTTCACCTGCTTCCCTTGCTTAATATACCTGATGGCTATAGCTCAGTCAGCAACCTACGTGAACAAAATTCACAAAAGGGACCAACATACCAGACCCACAAAGCGCAATCGAATCCGCATTGACTTGTGCTTGCCGGTTGCGATCATCGCTTCCCTCCTGCGCCAACTTCCGACACCTGTTCCACCCATACCTAACAGTCAGAAAGCTGGGCCCATCAACATCCAGCGACTCGCCCGCAACACGTGTATGCGTTAGCTCGTGCAGAACCACTTTGTCGAGCAGCGAGATCACATCAATAGGCGTTAGTAATGTGTGCGCCTTCGACAGGCCTTTGCTGATTGCCCGCCAAAATAGACCTTTAGCCTCTGCGTCCCTCAGGCTTTTAGTATCTTTAGATTTCATCCAATTGAGGAACCATGGGCATAACTGAACCTGGGAAGGCTTCGAATTTTCCTCAGGTACCCAGGTGTAGGCTACGTTAGGTTGGAGGCCTTTGCATGCCTCAAATGACTGGTCCTTTTCGAGGACCTCATCGATGTCTGTATGAACGTCAGACCAGGGAGATTGTGAATGTTGTTGGCTTAATGAACCTACCCTTATCGTACCATTGACCGCCAGGCCTCGGTTCAAAGCGGTCAAAGCCACAGTATATCACGATCTGCTCATCTGTCAATCACTTGTATCCCTATTACACCTGACATAGCCATGCCAGAGCTGAACCTAGAAGGCTTACCGTCGAACCGTCCGGATCCTCGTCATCTTTACGATCCTTTGCCTTGGCGAGAAGCGACATACGCGCTGTCACAGTCAGCAAACCGACCTCAAGGATGAGAATAAAAGAACAAGTGAATATACTTTTCAGCACACCAATTCGCTCTCTATTCGGCTCTTCGCCGTCTTTCGTAAACATCCACTTGACAACATTGAGGATGTTTTCCTTGTTCTGGCCCAGGTCCTGATTGGCGAGGATCTTGGTGAGTACGTCGGCCTCATCATTTGCCATCGCAAAGGCGTTATTCACGGCGGTAGTGACCATGTCATTGAGATCTGGGGGACGGAAACGTGTTATTCAAAGGTCAACAGGAAGAGCGTGTCTGGCTTACCACTTGTTTGGCATGACTTATCGAGCTTCCATGACAGGCCTTTAGCACTGGCCAGGCTGGTTAGGCCAAAGGCACAAAGTAGGCCTTTGAGGAATCTCATAGTCGAGTAGTAGAGGAGACAGATAAAGAAATAATGTGAAATGAATTGGCGAAGAGGCCAGACAAAGTAATAATGGAAGTTTATCGCACAGTGCGAATGTTAGCATCTTATATCTTCACCAATTTGAAGCAGCATCCGGTGGTCTACGACCAGCCAAGAACAGGCATCAAGCGAGCTGAACTGCATCGCCACGACCTTCATCTGCGTGAGGGGTATTGCATGAGTACAATGAATCAATATCCATTGCTAAATGTGTCGCGTTGGTCCTCTCGTATGCACAGTGTCGCCCCGCCTCTAGTACATAGCCCCTGCCCTTGGTAAATTGCCCCCGCACCAGGCAAGTGCCAAATACTTAGAACCCGCCCGTAAGATTTCCCCGCCGGATTATCTAGTGCTGATATGGGAGTATGAGGGTCCAGTGAATGTATCCCTTTGGGGAAAGCTAACCAGAGCTACGAGCATTGATTGGGTGCCTTGTCAGGTCCTGATCTAATGCTGAAGCCCCCAACAGCCCCCAATCTAAAAAAAACACCACCCGGATCAACGATGGCTGTGTGCCTGACACCCTAGCTCAAGACCCTACATCGTGAGGCTCGGCATAAACCTTGTGAGGCTGCGGCGATGTGGGGGCCCGATCTATAACCTATGGTCTGAGGGTACTACTCCTAGTGGTATTTATATTTTCGCCCCTTATTGACTATTTGACGACTTTCCACATGCCATCGACTTCCTCGAATTGGGGCCCAATTGTGCAGATGGATGTTGCGTTGGATGCAGCTGCTGTCAGTCGCTATCAACAAGGTCAACAAAGCAGACTTGGGCAGTGCTTTGCTGGACTCTGCCTCGGACTTGTTTTGGGGCTGTTGTCTTCGTCCGATGACGCCGGGGGGGTGGGGGGTTGGTGCTGGAGAAAAACCAGAGGTATAAAGCTTATAGTGCCCTCCGCTGGAGTCGTTGAAAGAGCCAAGTGACAATCTCTCATACTCCATGATCATGAAGTCTCTTCTCGTAACATCCTTCTTCATTTCGGCGGCCTTCGCCTGGCCGGTCGAAGTACCAGCGGAGTCTACTTCGCCCCCGACCCGCGTCGAAGAGAGAGGCGTCGGCGAGGTGGCCGCAATTATACCTACAACCACTGGGCAGATTGGAATCAATCCGGTTTTCGTGAATCCAATGTTCGTCGCTTTTTCTGTTTGCTCTTCCTAAAATTGTTATCGCTTATGCTAATAGACCCTAGTGAGACCACAGCACCATACAACACATTCTTCTCGAACTATATCGACGACAAGGGCAACGTAAGCATATCATCGCACTGATTTGCAATTATCCTCGCTGATAATGTCCAGTGGAAAGCAAAAGACACAGAATACATAACCCAAGTCCAAGTCACAACCAAAGACAACAAGCCCACATCAGCCACCGTGATAGCCCCGGTAGCCGTTATGACGGGACCCAAAGGTTACTTGGACGTCCTCATGTCACCCAAGCTCGAACAGCAGCTGAGCGACATGATGGGGAAGGTTCCTGCATGCTCGAAGAAGCGGGAAGCAGCATGCGGCATCACCAAGTTCCTCGAGGACTTCAAAGCTGACAATTCCGAGCTGATTAAAGCCCTGAACGATGCGGTTAAAGACATCCAATTCCTAAGCCAGGACGTGCTCAAGGCCCTGGGCACTTCTGCTACCGCACAGGAGGCCCAGATGGTTGCGACTGGGATAGGTGGCATCAGCCTGGTCTGGATGGCTTTCCATGTCTACGCGAAAAACCATCTGCCGCTCGCGTTTGGGATTCGAGACCCACCGAAGAATAACATTCCCGCCATAGAGACTCCTCCTGATGAGCCCAAGAAGTGTCCGGCGGATGCGCCCAAGGGGAAGGATGCCCAACTCTGCCAGGACTGCAAAGGGAAAGATAATGTTTGTCAGGATGTATGTATCTCGTCACCCTGTTTATTGCCAGTGGTATATACTAATGACCTGGTTCGTATAGGGCAAATATAAATACTGTAAATGCCTCGACGTAATAAACCCCATATTCTTCCCCTTCGACCAGGATTGGTTGAACGCACAGGCCGATGTACTCAAGTACGCTCTTGAGCATATGGACGATAAGCCCAACGTGACCTGCTCCGACACTGGGTACGACAAGGCTGTCGCGGTCGACGTCTCTTTCGTGAACAGCTTGGCGGATAAATTCTGCAAGGGTGATGCGAAGAAGGCGCGCCATATGACGCTTGCCGGCAACGACATCTCGTCCACGGCGTATAAGAAATATACCTTTGACTTCTCGTACACTCCACCTAATAACGTGAACGAGCAGTGTAACACGGATTGTGCGGGGGCGATCAAGGATATAACGGCTCATTGTAAGCTTTCCTTGGAGCCAGTGAGTGACGGTGTATTAATGACATGGAATGACAGGCCAAGGACTGGACAGTCATAGTGTGCAGAGAGGAGCAAACGTGACTCTTCCATGCGGTGCGGAGTACAGCTATAAGATCAACATCCCCGACCACCCAGACCAAGCAGACATCACTTGTGCTAATGGAGGAGTATGTACCCAGTCTGCATGATAATTTCAAGTGCATTGTTAACGTGTGGTTTGAATGCAGGAATACAGCAAGGCCATCGATGTCGACGTCTCCTTCTTCCAACACATGTCCGAGAACTTCTGCGGCAGGGACCTCTCCAAAACTCCTAAAGTGGACCTAACCAGCGCCGACATCAAGTCCAGCGCTTACAAGGGCTACAAGTTCCACTTTGAAACCGACTCGAGAACAGATTGCCTGCCCGACTGCAAGGCTACGTTCGAGAAGATTGCTCCAAAGTGTAAGTCCCACTTCCATCCTGACCGGACCAGCCCCCAGACACTAATAAAGTAATACAGGTGAGGGCCTCAACAGCCACTCAATCCAACCATCCGGTGAAGCCAAATTCGCCTGTGGCACTAGCTTCAGCTACAAGATTGAGAAGCCTGACCAAAACTCGCCCCCGCCCGCAGGAACGACACCAGGAGATAAGCTCGGCTCGCTCCAATGTCATGGTGCCAACGACTTCGGCGAGCACGCAGACATCTCTCCCGACTGGCAAAACCAGTATACTGGGTGGGCGTGTGCGGGCACCGCTCTTTCTTCGAGCATCATGGATGAAAAGAGTGATCCAATTGTGTGGCAGACGAAGACGAATGATGCACCGTACTATTACTCGATCTCGTGGGTCAAGGGGTGCAGAGGGCAGAAGCAGAGCCCTTGGACCCCGTTGGGGGACCAGAAGTTCCCGAATAGCAACGACCAGATTACGTGCACGAGTCTGTTGAGGAAGGATTACACAGACTGCAATAATGGGGGTGTTGGAGGATACAGGGATGCCGGGTGTTTGCGATATGAATTCAAGGCGCAGTATACCAAGTAAAGTGGAGTTTGGGAAGGAAGAGACTTCGGGTAAATAGGTGTGGTAGAATTGGTTCAGTATTGAAAGGTTTTTAAATCACAGAGGCCCATACGAAGCGATGTCCTACATCAGTAGTTAGCCGCCGCTTCAAAGGGCGGATTCGGGACAAATCTAAGAAAAAAATGTCGATTCCATCCACCGAGACAGAGGAAACAGCAGATGCTCAAAGACCACCCAGACCAAATATGTTCTGCTGCATAGTCTTAAGGCCGAAGAACCAGACAGCGGTTTTCGTTGATGACACAGGGTCCTGGCGAGGATAGATGAATATGAAGACGACCAAGAAAGCGGGGAATTGGAGACGTCGTAGTTCCTCGTGTGGCGTGACTCCGGGGTCCATATGCCGGTACCTGCCTCGTGGCTCTCTACTGTGCACGGATTTTGATGTTTGTCTTCTAGGCTTATTCTAAGGTCACGTATCTGGCAAAGTTGCGGTCTCCGATAGGACTCCAACACCTAACACTACTCATGTCACGTGCGGTCCGGATGTGTCGGAGCAGCAGTACTGGTGGATAGCCGGAGAAAGGAGATACTATAGATCCGCCGGGATTAGTTATGTATTCGAGCCAATCTAAATTGCTAGCGAGGGGCATTATAGAAATTTAGACCGGTTACTTCAGCCTAGACAGCTTGCCGCTTTCTCGACTGGCTCTTGGGCTATTTTCATTAAATGCAGAGCTCTCTTTGACTTCTAACTGCTCCCACGAACTTTATGGGTGATCCCTGCTCAAATGGCTACTAACCGGCCCACGCCAGCATCCCCCTAGTAACTAACAAAGAGGGTAAAATTAGGTCAATCAGTATACCGAGCGACTAACTCTTCACTAAGTTTACAGGCAGTCTCAGCCGGTAACGCTCGCTTAGGGCCTGAGAAAGGCGATACTATGCATATTAGAGCTAGCGAGAAAGGATACTAGCTCACACGCTATAGGACTATTTCGGAGCAGCTAAATTCGTCTATGTGGTAGGCAGAGTATTCGGATATACTAGGTAGTGTGATTATTGTTAAATTTATTAAGGCCGCTAGCCCGGAAGAGCACTACTTAGTTTACGCTACTAAATCCTAGATACGCGAGTCCGTGTGTAAAGATAGTCTACTTGCAGGGTAGAAAGCCTGTCGACTAGGTAGGAGAGCAAAGCACTAAGTCCGATTGTAACAGAGACTGTTTCTTGGGGCGGCCTTCTTCCCTGTCCCCCTACTGATCTTATATACAGTAAACCCTACCACGAGAGGGGTAACCACGTTGGCTTGCATGAGCTGTATGTAGATCGGCGGATGACTCTCCTCCGTGGAAAACAGCGGTGAGAGCGCAGGGATAGGCCACCCTGAAGTGGTGCGCCATGGTTGATCTCCATGGATGATCTCCCATGGTGGCCTGAGTCCCAAGGCCGAAAAGTGTGAATAGCCTCATGGTGGGAAATATCATAACACCGTGATTCACTCGTCACTCGAGGGACACGTAGGTACTATCGGTCTAATCTATTAGTGTTAACTCTAACCCACTCTTTAGTTAGCGATCCTTCGTACGCTCGGTTCTAACGCCCGATTCTAAAGTATATATACCGAGCACGTCGATACGAAATCGCTAGTGTAGCTCCGATAGCTAGCTAGCGATCTTTTCGCCGGTAATTCCTCCGATACGAAGACGATCCTCGCTAATATATCGTTAGCACTTAAATTTCTCTACGGTAGCGGAATCGTTCATAACGATCTTAAACTAGTAAATATTCTATATAGCCCCGCTCGGGGCACCGTTTTAATCGATTTTAGCCTTAGCTTTTTAGACGGTTAGCCTCTCTAATAGGCGGCTCGCCGTAGTATCTACCACCTAAGTTTATGCGTGACTAGCGCTTACGTGGCCTACCCTGTGATATATAGGCCTTAGGTGTTATCGTACCATAGCTACTTAGCTATTGTAAGGATAGAAAGGTGATAGGCCAGGTAGAAGGTGGTTGAATCGAAACAAACAAGGATGATCGTTGAGGCAACGCTTCGGCTACGAATCAATCTCTTTTCCATGCAGGTCAAAACATCAATTGATTCTTGAGGATCTTCCAAAAGGCCCCATTGCATGGGCCTTTTATCCTCAAGCCTCTCTTAACTACATGACGTAGTATACATATATCATCTACCAAATAGAACCCTTCCAGAAGGGCCCATCGCAAGGTGGACCCATCATCAAAGAAAGCAAGGTTTATATGACACACTTGACAAGGGCCTAAACTGGCCCGAAGCGTTATCGAAAAGCGGTAGTTTTGATTGGTTTCCCTTACAAAACCAGATCATCCCGAAAGACATGTGGAAAGATCTTCCAAAAGATATATGGAAAGATCTCTTTTTACAGCTATATTCCCTTACCCGAAAAGTCACTAAACTAGTTAATTATAGATATATATCCGTTAAAACCTGGTACGCCCTCTCACTTAAGAGCGACTAACTTAATGTCCCGGTGGCTTAAGTAAATCGAGAATGCCCGGTTAAAGCTATGTTAGAAAGAGAAATTACTAGTATCTATAATTAGGGATATTCTAGCACCGGAATTAAAAGAGCGGATTAACGCGGCGATACTAAGTCGGCGGGTGATAGAGACTTACTTCGAAGAGAGGATATACGGATAAGGTTACTAGTATATAAGCGTCTTTAGGTCTGGATATTACCTACTATCTTAATTTATGTACTAAAGAATAAATTATAATGACCGCTGTCTAAAGAACTAAAGCGCGAGAAACTGTGACGGTCGAGGACGAGCTGGAGTGAAGGGTCAAGTGGTGAACTGGTCAATTGGTGTTTGATGGAAGGTTCCTTTAGCCTACAACAAAAAGGCTTCCACGCGGCAGATAGAACCTCTTCTTCTTTTCTCCCCTAGATTTAGTCGCTTCGTTGAATGCACCGATTTGGACCTGTCCTCTCGCTTGGCTGTAACACAACTAGTATACCTCTGGCACCTGTGACACGCCCAGAATATCAAGATCCTCAAGCACGACATTCATTGAGGACGACACCAATAGGATCTTTATGCACTTCGGGATGAGCTGAAGACACGATGAGGTCGATCGCACGCGAGTGGAATTGTGAAGCGAAGGATCTTGATTCAATAGCATTGGGATGGTCTGCAGACCGGAAGGGCTGCAACAATATAGGCACAGAATCGACGAGGCCCTTCGCCATGAGAAGCGTTCTCGTAGCCTGGCTCTGCGGGCTACCTTTCATACATATGAGCATAGAATTCGGAGCAATACAGGAATTCACCCTTACTAGTATGTATATCGAGCCATTCGATGATGTGTATATACCACAAGAGTTCGTCTGACGCTCTTTCGAGCTCAAGTGCAGTCTCGATAAGGATTGTCTACTCTACAGTGGCAATAGTTCTATCCCGTAGCCATACCACCGCACCTGATAACCGAATTTTGAGTTACAAGGTCTCGATGTTCGTCCTCAACAGGGCTTAGCTTGCGACTGAAAGAACTTCGCTGAAACAGGGAGTTTTGTAGTATTTTGGCAAGTCCGGAAACTCAGGCTCGCATGCGCTGGCGCGTCCATCATGAGTCTTTGTTGCATGCGAGTCACAGTCGACAATTACTTATCCAGTGGTCTTTCAACCCTGTAGAAAATAAAGGGCCTACTTGATTAATGCTCGGTCGGAAACACATTTGTATTTCGGTTTGTGTATAGGCCACATCATCAGGTATTCATTTTCAGCTATCGGTCTTTGTTCTAGAGTCAAGAGATTATAAACTAGTGCTAAGATATTGTTGTGTGTGACAACACTTAGCGGCGCTATCTAAGCATGATAAATTCCTGATAGGCCGAATCAGCACATTTCCCACTCTACTTTGACGTAGGAATGAGCGAACGAATCAGCGAATGGACTTGTTGCCTGTTCTAGCCAGCCGCTTGGAATTGCACCAGCTTGCGACAGCGATGGAAGGAAAGCGCATAAAAATAGTAACAGAAGTCAAAAACCGTGGACAAAGGCCAAGAAACCGTGACATATGCAACAAAGACTCATGATGCACGCGCCAAGGAATGCGTTATATATACTAGGGAGCATCAGGATTTTGCCTCTAATTGGTCAGATCTACCTATTTAGGTCTTCGGAAAGGCCTTGGGTATGATTAGTCAACGCCCTGAGCGACCCTCCTCGTAAAGATAAAGGGTGGGTTTCCTACTGCAATATCGACCTGCATTTGTTTTGAATCAGCATCGCTACTGGGAACTTGATGATGGCTGCCATTATTCATCGAGATATACGAAATCCACTTCTCCTTCCGGAAATTGTTGGCTTGGTCATCGACAATGTTCATATGGTTCTAGATCTTCTGAACTGTGCCTGTGTTAACAGCGTTTGGAACGCAGAAGCTTTGAGAAAATTCTATATTGGCTCTATGAATGATATGCAGTTTCGTACACCTGACATTGGATCGCTGAACAGCCTCTTTGTAGCGTCGCGAAAACGCTTCGCTCGAAACATGAGGTTTGTGAAGCACCTCCTCCTCTCGCCAGAGATACCCGCGATTGATGAATCTGTGAACCCCTGGACTAGACTTGCATGCTTCGAAAAGTGTAGCGCCTAAGCAGCAATCAGAAGAGAGCGTGGAAAGAAGACACAGCGAATGAGAGAAGGCTACGAAAAATGCTGGTGAATGAAGAAGCAGGATTTGGCTAACAGCAGTATTTAAAGATAAAAGGTTTTGACAAGTAAAGGGTATTTCCTGGGGGCGAAGGTAAACCCTTTCTCTCATTACGTTCGTTTCAAGGCACAAGTACGAAAGGAAGTGTAGTTGAGTGATAGTATGAAGCTTGAACGATTAGTTTTGATAACCGACCGGAAAGGTACGCACGCATGTCCACAAGAATCAGCTAATTATCAAAGTGCGGGGTACGATGACACCACGTTCTCATAAACGAATGGATGTGACGATCGGCAGGTTGATGCCTGGTTCCTAACGCATCAATA